ACCCTAACCCTAACCCTAACCCTAACCCTAACCCTAACCCTAACCCTAACCCTAACCCTAACCCTAACCCTAACCCTAACCCTAACCCTAACCCTAACCCTAACCCTAACCCTAACCCTCGGGCTCCAGGAGCCATATGTGGAACATCACAAAGCGGTTCGTGGCCTGAACCGTTTTTGCGCACGCTGGGTGGACGACCGAGAGCCAGCCCTTACCACCAGCTAGCAGCAGAGCACAAACCCATCAAAACTTCTCGACTTTCGGACCTCCAGACACTTCAAAACAAGCAGCAAACACATCGCGACGCCATGTTTTGATCATGTTTTCCCCGTTTTGACTTGTTTTGTCCGACGAGGGCCGGCGGACTAAGTCTCTTCTATCATCGAGTGTGACAGGGAGGAGACGTCGATATGCATCCCCCTTTCTACCCAGAGCTTCTCAGACATCAATTCACAGATCTACGCTTCGAGGATGACGAGTTTCCGCGCGGTTCGCAAGTGCGCCCTCGTCAGGCGTTCGCCCATGCGCCGCGTATCTGCGCACATCTCAATCTCCACAAACATCAAGAACGGTACAACTTCTTGCTGGAAGGCTTGTATTAGGCCTGATTAAACATCCACGACCTCGTGTTCTCGAATGTTCTCGACGTCGAAGTCAATATGCCCTGCCTCCGAAAGTGCAGCCACATCCAGCACCATGCGCTGTACAAACCACACGCACATGCCTTGATACGAGACTGTACACATGCATGAACATCGTATCGCCGTCTGTCTACTTCATGCAAGTCAGACAGGGCTCCTTTTCCAACGGGTTCCCTATGTTCTTGACTCGAACACGCTTGCCTTTGTTCCTGCTTGTTGAGGAAACAGCACAAAACACATGACCTACTGTCTTCTATCTTGGCTAATTATCGCTTCGAAGAGCATGGCGCTGAGTTCTCCAACAAGTTCGAGATGTTCACCGCGGACTTACGATGCTTCACCGTCGCCAATTCGTACAGCCGCCTTGCGTGGATAACGTCACTCCAGATCTAGCGAACAAAGCGAAAACCGAAGCGAACACCAAGAGAACACGACTTTAGGACGTCCATAGACACTTGCCAGACCTTCTCCAGGCCAAAACGAGTCGATTTTGACAGTATGTTTTTCGTCGGAGTCTTCGTGCGCCAAACGAACACGACCGAACTTCATGGAACCGCATCCGAAACTGCACATCTCGAGCTCGCGCCCATTCAAACGGGTCTATTGCAAGAGCCTCGTGCGGGTGTTCTGTCAGAAACCGCTGCCGTTGCGACCGAGGAGGGACAGCCGGCTGTGAGCTGGCCTGGGCTTTGGGTACCGCAGAACGCCGACAGAGCATTCCAAACCTGACACGAAACTCCGTTCAGATGCAGCCAGAAGAGCAGCGAACTCTCCCCGCTTGTGCCTGATGCATGTTCCCCGACGGTCTTTGGTATTCTCTCCACCGCCTGGCTTCCGCGCTGATCGCGCAACGTGTGGGTTGCCTATGGCCACGCCTTGATGCGCACAACGCCGCCGACCAACGAGAGCGCTCATTCAGCGTCGGAAGCCTCGCTGTAATCGTCGATAAGGTCGGTGTGGCAGATTTGGGCTATGCAGGGCTCTCTCTCGCGGGAGCCAGATCTGCTGGAGCCGAACCGATAGAACATCCGCAGTACACGACAAACCATAACCGCCTTCGGTCCCAAGCTCATCAACGTCATCATCCGAATCATCTGTGGCCAGAGTTCTACAGAGTTTACAACTTTCATGCATGGGTGAGAGCGCCTCCTGCATCACCGGCAACCTCGCTCACCCAATCCATACGGCATGCCACCAAACACTACTCTATCTGCCCGAAACCGTGACCTGCTGTCCTGGAGATCGGTCTCGAGCGCTGGGAGGTGTCAGGCGCGTCGTGCTGATCTTCTAACATGGCGTTCTGCCATCACATCTTCGAAGCCAATCCACGAACAGCACCCAAACACAATCGAACCCATGGCGTAGCCTCATACCATTGCACAAGCCTACGACGCAGCACCAATAAAGTCTCCCGAGCCCAATTCAGAGTCGTGAAAGGCCGTAATGCGATCCTCATTAGACATAGTTTCCAGCCGCAGCCCACCGAACGAACACCACAAGAACACCACAGAACATGGACCGGTAACGTCGGCCAGTACGAGGCGCAGCGTCACAGGACCTCTAGTCTCACAAAGGCTCCGATGCGGGCAATGCAGAACACCCTAAGTCGCTGTTCATGCCGGCGGATGTCCGCTTGACCACCATGTCTGCCCCACCTTCATGCCATCGCCCAACGTGCATACAACGACGACGACTTTGGTCTGGAGCTATCTAGAGTTGCGTCTCTCGCTTTCACCACCGAGCAGCTGTCGTTTTCACCATCGAACGAGGAGCGGAGGGCGCAGCCGAAACTCAAGCTGAACGAACGCTCGGCCGACGTTCTCCATGTTATTTGCACAGATCTGGCCGGACTAACTACCAAATACGACAGGGCTTGATACGTAGATGGCTCTCGTACTCTTTGTTTGGCCGTTTTCGGAACGCAGAGTGATGTTCTGCCACTGCATACGGCAGGCAAACAGCCACCGAAACCAAAAACGCTAGCAGGAAGCAGAACTTGTCGGACTTCCAGCTGCGTTCGACTAGCTCGACGTGAGGTGTACCCTTGTACCGTTTGTTCTGCTGTTTTCGGAGCAACAAATACAGTTCTGTCACTGCCTTCCGACTTTGGTCTCACGCTACTGGCTCGCCGAGACCACGACATATCAGGAAGAAGCAGAACCCGTCGAACATTCAGTTGCACACGACTCAGTAAGGTCCATAGACAGCCCTCTTGTCGTTCATTTTGCTACCTGCCAAGGTTAGAGTGATGTGCTGTTACTAAGTTCCGCCTTGGCTATCTACCAGTGCACAAAAACCACAAAACATGAGAACCAAGCGAAACCTGTCAAACTTCCAGTTGCAGCCGACCAACTCTGACCCTTGGATGGATCTCTTATCGGTTGTTCTGCCGGGTTCGAACTGTTTCATAGTGTTCTATCACCGCCCTCGACACTGTGCTGTCCAGCCCCGAGGACAACAAAACCGTCGAGGCTCAGCAGAACTCATCGAACATTCCAAGGAACCTGATGCAGCTCGATTGGAAGACGTCACTCGTACTGCTTGTCCTGCTGTTTGAGGAGGGGTTGACCGTGTTTTGTGACCGTTCAGCCATAGGCCATCAGCCCACCAAAACCGAGACATTAAAGACGAGCAAAACTTGTTAAACTTTCTGGCATAACCGACGCAGTACCATCCACAGGAATACCCTGAACTGTTGTTCTCCATGTTTTCGAAGAATACGATGTTGTTTTGTGGCAGTCTTTACTCTCAGACCACGGCAGCCGCGAAGATAGCAAGCTACCGCAGAACGCAATGCAGAGATTTGTAGACTATTGCTAAGCGCTCATATGGTCGTTTGAGACACCGCGCGCACGATCTGGGGCGTTTGCAGCTCATCCTGCGCATTTCCTGACGAACGCTAGGTTCTATCTGGAGGAAACCCGGGCAAAACACCACGCACAAATGTCCGAGCATGGCCAAAACGCCTACCTTTAACCTCTCACCCCTCTGCGCTAGCCCCTCGGCTCAGAAAGATGGAGGTTTTCCACGTATGGATACATCAACATCGAAGCGCCACCATTTCCTCGCTCGAGCTACGCTTCATACCCGAGGAGATCTACAATAACGGCCAGAACTCCACAGAACTGTCGCAGAACACTTAGCTGAAGTGTCATCTTGCCGACTTAGATGTTGTGTTCGGGCGAGTTCTGAGCTACATTTCGACTAGCGCATGATCGAATGCTGCCCGCCAGATGGCTATCCCACAAAACACCGCCCAACCAGCGAGAACCAGCATCACTTAACCTAGAGGCGACTCCTACGGACCTATTTGCCACATGTTCCGCCAGTGTTTTCAAAAGTTCAGTAGGTCAGGGCATCTTCCGCAATGGTTGTGGCTTCCTTGCAGGTCTTCTCGAACCCGCCGAACATTATCAAAACACCAAGAAACCTCTTCGAACAAGCCTCGGATGAGCTCGAGCAGTGTCTTACGCTGTCTCTCAACGGCACCTGCAGGCTGGAAGAAGCCAATTTCCGCGGCATCGCTCGTTCGGCGTCACAGTGATCTCACTATGTGCCGACTTTGTCTTCCCCCACCAGAACCCATGTCAAATGCTCCACTGGGAGTCTATCCACCCTCACAGCCAGTGCAAAGAGCTCGCTGATGCTGTGCGCATCGTTGCTGCCCACGTTTAAGCCTCGAATCTCCGTCAGGACTTCATCTGCTGCAGACCTCACGCCCCGCCGCGAAACCACTTACAAAACCGCCCCGAGCGACAGCCCAAACTCTGCAAGGAGCATCACACAACTGATCTGAGCCAGTGCCGAGCGAAATGAAGCACGGAGCGTATGGAAGACAGAACGAAGCTCGCTCCATTCCTTTTCATGATTCCGGCCGTGTCCGGCGCATCCGAACCAGGCTTTTGCACGACAGATATGAACCGTACGATATCTCTGCGCATCCAGGAGCTCCTTCGGGGCGCGTGCGCTGGCGTCCGTTGTACAGCGCTGGCATATGCGACACTTCGAAAGATTTTGGTCTTCTCCAAACACCACGACAACAACTCGAGACACGTCGCGGCACCCCGGGATACACCTCGTAGTTGACAAATAACACTCCAGGTTGATCAGGAGCGAGAAGTTCTTACAAGTTCGGCGATGGCGGGCCAAAGAATGCTCCGACTGTACGGTGACCTACAGTCTCTGGAACACTTCTAAAACCGACTTACGGAACGAGGACCCCACGAAGCCAACCCACTGCGGAGGCTAATCAGAGCCTTCTGAGCTCACTCTGATGCTCGTTTTGCCTATACTCGCAGAAGTGCACCAGCGCTGCACCGGCTGAGCAAGCGCGCGAAATCTTTTTCCACCATATGGCGACAACGTCTCACACGTTGCGCGAGCCAGTCAGAAGGTCTCCCTCCGTTCCTCACCTGGTATAGAGTAACGTGCACCATGCGTTGGGAGCGACGCTCGCTCTCAGCCGCTCTCAATGATTCCGGGCCACACCACCTCTCACAGAGAATGGGGTACGCCCAAGCATATCCGCCGCACTCGCAGACATGTCGGCACTCGCTAGGCTACATCATAGAGTACGGAGACAGCATCCATGACTGTCTTAGCCGTTGTACCGCAGCATGCTTCACAAAGGAACAACGTTCACCACGAACCACGATCAAGCCATCCAAAATCTCCAACACAGATTAGCCACATCGCGCGAAGGTGAGCCTTGCTTACTGAGCCTTCTATACTCGCTTATCTGAATCTCCAGCGTTGCGCATCAGGAAGAGCGTGACGGGCTGGTGGTGGAGCTAGCGCAGCGAATGACGAACCAGGATTCATCACTCGCACTACATCTTCTTACAGCAACACCAGTGTCTCGGGTCGCCGTGCGCACGCAATCACGGACTCGTGATCTCACGTCGAATTTAGAAGAGCAGTCGCCGTACAGGAATAGTGCCGCCGAGGTGATCTGCCTGCTGAAGGCGCCCGAAGACGGTCCAAGCAACCCGGAATCACACCTCCCACAATTCCGCCGCTCACCAAAGCTTCGCTACCATCACGGCAAAGTGTTTCGGCATCAAGCGCACAAAGATCGCCATCATGGCGTTGAACATCCGCCTACAAAGCCGGCCTAACAACGAAGCGAAAACCAGGACTGCACTAGCCGTCCTTGCATGCGATGAGCTTCTATACCCAGAGATGCTTGAGTAAAGCCTAACGAGCCTTCTTGTCCAAGTACAGCGTTTCGAGCCAGCGAACTAGCCGTGGAATGGCGATCGCTGCTCAAAATCGGCTCTTCAAGAAAATGACCATGTCAGACCATTACCCAGGCCGTCACCGCTAAGTACACCGATCCATAGACGCTCCAACTAATGTGTGAACGTCTCCCGATCGATTCGAAGGCCTAGCTATCCCTCCCGTCGCCAAGCCGAACTCCGGCAAACCGCTCCTGTGGTTTGCCCGTAGTGAGATTACTCGGTCATCAATACAAGCTTGAGGCGAACTTCATCTGGCAGACCAACCGTCTGGATACCCTCTACAGTCTCGAACTGGTTCTGAGGATCTGGCGTCGTCGTCACCGCTGGGAGATGGAAAATCCCCTCCTCGTTTAGGCCAAAGACGCCGTGGTTGATCCATTTCTTACCATCCAGTGCGGTCGAGCATACAATCTGCATCTGCCTACCTGTTCGCGGCTCGAATCTGACGGCAGGGAGGTCAGCGACTCCGCCGACCAAGGAAGTGCCGTTTCCGAGACGTTCGCGGGTGTGAGACTTCCCCAGGGATTGACGACCAAACACCACCTTCTGACAACGTGGAAGAAACACTTGTATACTTGAGATGAGAGAAGGAACTCCTCTGGGAGCCTTGATTCTTAGCGCTGAGCAAAAGCGCACGTCACCAGAAAAGCCGTTGGTTGCGGTGAGCAATCGTGACACGCCGGGACGCTCGGCTTACCAGGCCTGTTCGTGGACAATTTGACAGGCGCACCGATCTTACGCCATCCACAGCATTGTCCTACACATCCGACCGGAATACACTTGGACCTCCATCAACCTCCATCAACCCGTTACCGGTCATCTGCCGGATTTGCTCCTCCTTGATCTGCTTGGAATGGCATCCGCCACCCCGGCCGCCATCGTCACCTGCAGAGCTCCCACCTGCTTGAGCTTCTTTAGACCTTAATGAAGCTCCGCAAATGCGCTCAATGAAGCGTATCTCGCCCCGAACCCCGTTTCTCGCCTTCTCCTGGAGCCTGACGATGTGCTTACGGTGGCAAAGCTCCTCCCCCATGCTCTCGATGCCGCCAGCGACTGAGTTAAACACAACGAAACCTGATGTGATCATAGCATGCGCTTTGAACGGTACAGCAGCGTTATGTAAGACGATCGAGGCAGTGCGCGGGCCGACCAGATCGTGCTGCGGTGGTAACGGCTCGGTGGGTTCCTTGACTCCCATCCGGTCGTAATGATGGACAAGATCTTGGACTCAAACTTACAATCGGTCGAACCGTCTCCACCGTCATTGCCGACGCCGCGCTCGATTGCTTGCGCGCCGAGTAGTGATACGGAGGTTGTCCTCAGATGGAGGTGGAAAGATGCGAGGAATACCATTCCACGTAGCTAGCTCGGGTGATGAGCAGCTGGGGTAAGTTGCATTGTAGTCTTCATCATGAGGGTCTTCGCAGGCGAAATCTTCGTCATCGAAAGTGTCTTCACCCTTCACCTTCAAGTAACGTCGGACAAGCTTGTTCAGAGCTGCTGCGCTGCGCTTACGGTTGCGACGGGTACGTGTTGCACAAGCCCGCCACCGAGCTCTGGGTCCTCGTTATCATCTTCAGTCTTCGCATCATCGATAAGCTGCTCCGTCTCTTTCGTCTAGCCGCAGCCGCGGCGACGCTTGGATAACGGTGCTGCTTGGTCGTCATCCTTCTTCGCGCCGCCGGCGTGCGGCCTCTGGTTAGGATCATGCTGTAGCATTCACCTGAAAGTCGTTCGTGGCATGGGCTTCCTTATGCGGAGTTGGCCTGATGTCCTCTTCCAATGTCTTGATAGTGCGGGCGCAGTCAAGCATGACCTGCTTTGAGTTCGGCCTGTTGATAGCTCCACACATGAAGCCAGTTTTTGTACTCGTGGCCGGCTTCGGTCTGGTTGGAATCAGCGTCTAGCCGCGCAACCTCGTCGTACCATAATTGAGGACTGCGTGTCTGATAGTCGCCCGGTAGCTGAAAACGCTTGCTAATGTTTGGGCTGTCACCACCGTCCTCGTTCCGTTCATCGGCACTGAATCCGAATTTTTTGAATCGAACGACCCAGTTCGTAGCTGGACGATGTGCGCAGATGCGGATCTTCTCAGTGCCACTGTTGACCAGGACGAGCTGTGTCGTGCTATCGGGGCTGCCGTCTCCTTGGTCTATCGTGGGAATGCGACTAATCCAGTCGTGCAGTCCTTGATCTTGTCGCGGAGGCGGCAGCCCTTGGGTCTTTTGAATGGGGCGCCTGTCCTGATCTGCTGAGACATTCAAGGCCTTCGGGAAGGTCGTAAATATTGGCATATATCCTGTTAAAAGTGGCCTGTGACATATTGCGGGAGCAATGAGTGCTTAGTGCGACGGAGTTGTAACCTTTCCGCAAGTGACATTAACTAATTCAGTCAGTCGTGGCATAACTCGAAATTAATTCAGCGAGCTGAATTACAATGGAGCATTCTGCGGTAGGGGACAGAACGCAGGTCACAACAACGTTTCATAAGCCGTCCGTGAAGGTAGACGTTGAGAGAGCGGTGCGCCCGTGTAATAGCGCTAGACGGATGAGGAAGTCACGGTTGCGCCAGCCACCACACCGCTTGTCCCAATGTTCCAGAAGCTGCGTTGGAGCCGTGGATCGTCAGCGGAACGTAGTGTCTTGAGTTCGACGGATCTGAGGCGTCTTTGACCGTAGACCAGTGCAGGTTACCTTCGCCGGCTACGCTGCGTTGCGATTCCAGAGCAGTACGGTCATATGGCCTAGTACGGGCGCCACGATGCCGCAATGGACCCGCCAGGTTGCCCATGCTGCGAGAGCACTCGGTTTGACCACCAGTCCTCGTGTCAGCCACGCAACGACGCTGACGAGACGGACGACATCGGTACCCACGAATACCTCGACATAACAGGCACCATAACGTGCAGAACAAGGTCCGCAACCAGTAACACAACAACCACCCCGACATGCTTTATATCAGGCTGTACAGGCTGTTGATGACCAGATTGGGAAACCTCGAGTAAGGCCAACGATATCGTTCTGACCAGAGCTTGTTGAGCGACCTATGCGACCCAAGCGATCATCGTGTATCTAGCAGTTGATCTATGCTGCATTGCCAGTCTCAGCGCACTACGCGAGACTATCCATGCATATCAGTGGTGGTGACTGCTCCGTTATGCTACGCGAACGGTTAATCGATAGTCGCCGAAGTGACAACCATGTGAGGCGTCGAAATACAAATATTTGTGGATACCGCTGTGATTCTCCGACCTACTCCAATGTCGACTACTGTCAATAGATCACTGCCTTTTCACCCGTCGCATGACAGAGTTATGTCGCCGCCGGCTGCTGTTAACGGGGTAGGATATGCATCGCGCGGTCGCCCAGTCTTGCACCGCTCGGGCCGCTTTCCTCACTATGGGCGCGTCAGTCAAGTATTACGGGGTTCCCTTTCTTCCCTTCACCATCGTCTGCGCTCTGCTGATGAAAGTTCTTCAACTCGTCGATGGAGCGCCACCAGCGCATCAGGTCGGGCATGAACCTGCGCGTCTTTTAAAGGTCAAAACATGATCTCGTCATCTTGCACAAGTCTACAATGAGATTGCAACAGCGCAGGTGATCATCTTCATCCTGAATCTCCTCCGCCTTCGCCGACTGACCTCTGACAGGCGCGAAGCGCTTGCGCAGAAGGTGTTCTGTCTCATCTGTCATCTCACCTACGAGTGCGCTGCGGTTCGCATGGTCGTTGATAGTCTCTGAGACGGTGCCAGGGCCGTCGGCTCTGTTAGTTCTGTTAGTATGCCCAGCAACCCCGATACGCTTAATGTGGACACTCTCAGCCTTCTCCACTCGTTGTAAATCCTTGGTGGGCTTGATGCGGCCCACGACGTAGGTTGTCTCCGTGTCGAAGTCGGTCGCTCCGGCAGGTGTTGCGGCTTCTTCGACGCTCTCGCTTCGATCTTTGATGCTAGACCCGAGCACATGCGCTCTTGCGGAAGCATTTTCGAGGTCCGTAGTGTGGACACTTGGGCCTGCCATTTCGAGCGGCGCTTACTGCGAGCTTGATAAGTAAATGCGCACCCACCAGCAATCATACAAACAGACATACCTCAAATGGTTATTGTTATCGTTAGTATGCGTATCTGAATGAACGTTGCAGTTGCAATCGAGTAAGAGGGCGATATGAGTGCTGTGGTGTAGTCATGAAAGGGTTTCGTGCTTCGTCCACTCGCGCCAAGGCATCAAGGCCCTACATGTCGTTCCTTCCCCATCCGATGGATGTCTGAAATACCTGCGCTGGCATCACCACCACCCTTATGACGGACGTTACAAGCGCATAGGATGGAGCCAAGGCAGTATATAGTTTGTTTGTGCAATCATAAGCCTATATGTACTCTCCGCCCCTTGAGCATGTGCTCTGCCGGCCATTTCAAATCTGAAGTAGGCGAGCATTACACTCGCACTCTCCATCCCCGATCCAGGAGAATGCACTGCTCGTGACTTACCCACTCTGAGCTTGCGATCGTGGAGCCTGCCACGCCACACACGCCACGCTCGCCTTCCGAGCTGTCCTCTCCATCCACATCTTGAGCAAACCCTCAAGCTTGAAGAAGCGCTCGCTGTGGTACAACTCCATGGCCGTGTCGAGCTTTATCTCAGGCTTTAGCCTCTGATATGGAAGGACAGCGCGCGACAAGGTCGTGGCTTACACAGCAGTCAACGCCACATCGTTGATCAATGCCCTTTCTCGACCAGTTCTTCGTCTCCCATCTCCCCAGTACTGTCGCCAGAGTAGTCTTCGAATCCTTCTCCATTCGTGAACTCTGCAGAGTCTTCCTCGTCGGAATCACGATCAACCGGGCCATCGTGACTCGAGTCTTCATTGCCAGAGCCGTCACTATCCGAACCCTCGCCGCTGGGTTCGAAATCATCGGAGCCGTTATCCTCAGAAGTCAGATCGCCTTCCTCGTCTCTGACGAAAGAGTGATCTCCGGAGCTCCGCCCATCGGATCTTTCTTCATCGGAACCATCATCTTCAGCGCCTTCGTGACGACTCTCGGCATCTTCCTCGCAATTGCTACCCTCACTCTGACCGTAGACGGCTTTGATTTGGAGTAGTCGTTCGTAGAACATCTGGACCGTTTCGGGAACCTGTGGTCGCTGCTTCATCTCATGGCTCATGTATTCAACGGCGGCAGTGGTGACCCGCTCCTCCGCTGCCATCCATGCGGCAGCATCCTCGTCCTCGACCAACCACTTCAGCGGTCCGATGAAGGTCTCGAACCATGCAAGGGCCTCGCGCTTGATGACGGTCAGTAGCTGAGAGCTCGGTATGGCACGTGGAAGGGGAAACTGCACGTACAAGTTTTCCCGATTTGACAGCCTGCATCACTCGTGTCTCGGGGCCTCTGAATGTGCACACCCGTGATTCGATGTCGATCTCCGCAGCCCTCAACACCGCGGCCACCTTGCTCTGACCCTCCGCGGCCACACGTTCCAATGCTTCGGTCTCCTGGTTCAGATCCTTGATCTCCTTGTCCAGCTCGGCGAGCCTGGCCTCCTTCTTCGCGATCCTGCTGTTATAACGGTTTAGCACAGGTGACAATCACATCACAGAAGAAACATAACTTACGCCTTTGCATCTGCCATAGTGAGAGTCGTTTCGATACTGGTCTGCTTTGCTGAAGTTTGTGTTTGTATCGAGCATGTCGGTGCCGCGGCGTTGAGAGAAAGAAACGGAAACCACGCCAAGCCGCACATGTCACCTGATTATTGCGGACTTTGCCGGTTAGCGTTGCCTCCGCGTGGTCTAACGCTTTCACATTCGTCATACCGCTGCGTGCAGTGCACCACGGGTTCCCGCTGATTGTCTCTTCCATCAGTGCCAACAGCACGATTCTAGCATCACCGAAATTGCTCTTCCATCACCATGGCTACCACGCGGGACTATCTCGGGAACCTGCCGCCAGAAATTCGTCAGAAGATCTACCGTGAGGCGATGCGATGCGATATGAAGTTGGCCATGAGCAATCACTAAGGCTTCCGACAAGCCCTCTTATAGTATGTCGACGCCTCAACAGCAGTGGGTAGTTTGCTGACCACGATATCAGCGTGAAACCATCGACACGTCGTGCAGCGAACTGGCACGGGATTGCGGCATAGGTGTTGGCGAGTTCGTGGGCATCCCATTCTGGTATTGCTGGCCTGTCCGCGACCCTCTCGTGAGCGCTTCAATGTCCGGTTCTGCGCTCTTTACAGTAACCCCTCGGATCCGACACAAGGCTCTGAAAGAGTATGTCAAGATGACGTGTTTCGCATTCTCGACCTGGCCGAGAGACATGCTGCGGTGGGTGCAAAGCATCCGCAATAGCAAGAACCCAGGCCCCAATCTTGCAACCTTCTCGAGATTCCTCTATCTGGGAGATTTCTCCACGTCCATGCCGGTCGGAACAATAGCCGAGCTGCACGCCATGCAACAGCGTGGGACACTGAGCCCAGTAAGCTATGATTAGCGATTCAACTCCTTGCGACCTTGTCATAGGTCACAGTCATGCGGCTAACAAAACGACAAACACTCAAGATCATCGTCGACAGCCGGCAGGTCAACTGGCACCTCCGAGCGGCGCTTGGCAAGCAGTTGAAGGACTTTGATCGCCATGTGGTCGAACACGAAGTGCATAGCGGCCACAGATGGGACACCGTTGCGCGCAAGCGTTAGGGACGTGCTGTTCAACTATGGTGGACGGGAGCGAGCCAGGACGATGGCCAATGGGCAGATTGTCAGGGGGGTTGCGAGTTCAACTGTCAGAACAAGAGATGACCCGAAGATGTCAACATGCGAATGAAGGTGCTCGGCGCTAATGAAGCAGAGACAAGATGCTGGAGAGAGTGTGCAAGCTCGATTGCGCCCGTACGTCGCCGTGTGACCATCGTGATGACGAGTAGAAGGAACGGGAGAAGTAGGCTGGGTTGCGTACAGGTTTGAGTAGGCGGTACAGGCTGCAAGTCCCACGAACACGCGCGTCCAACGGGCGGGTCCATAAAGTCTGCCGGGCAGTGTTATGTGTAATGTTTTATAACGTCATTGTTGGTATCAAATCTGTTGCATTGCAAGGGAATTGCAGAATGCATGCTCATACAGGATGGGATGAGGTGAGGTATCCTTGCCAAGCCCAGGGGTATCGCTGAGCTAAGCGTACAACCGTTTCCAAAAACCTTGTCGCACGGCGGCTGTCTCCGCGTCGCGGGGTCGCCCATAGGAATATAGACGCGTTCTGTGCCTACGAATTCTCAGCTCGTCGTCGATTGCCTAATTCGGAGTGTGAAGCCATTATTTGTGTGAGAAGTCGTATTATAGCACTTTCTGAGGTGTTAGCGATATCTCAGCGTGCCAGTAGGCGCAAGCGCAGTATGCCTACGCCCTTCGAAGGCTCCCAGCCGCCTATACCTTGTCCTATAAAGAAGAAGAAGAAGCAGAAACAGTAGCAGAAGCAGAAGTAGCAGCAGAAGAAGTAGAAACAGCTGTTAGTGCCGTCGTCGCCGCCGGTGGAGGAGGAGGAGCTAGTAGAGGGTGTAATAACTGGTAAAATAGAGGACATTAGATACACACTGCACATTAAGGTTAAGCGCAATACCGTTGATCTATATAATAAGCTAGTTAAGGACATAGGTAGTGCTACTTATAACGACAACTACTATACTATTCGCAATCTCGTATTGAATAAGCTTATGGGCTCGCGCCGTAACGTATAGCGGGTACCGTATAGTAGGCATAGCAGCTACGGCTACTAGTAATTAGCAACACCTCGAAATAAGCGATATCAAGATCCTCACACTAAATTTGGCTTCAATTACGAGCGGCAGCGAGGTCAAGATAAAGATACATGTTGCGCGTCTATATTACTATGGGCGACCCCGCGACGCGGAGACAGCCGCCGTGCGACAAGGTTTTTGGAAACGGTTGTACTTACGCATTGTCTGCGAAAACCAAAACAGCCTCAATGGTCAAATGAGCACAGATTACGGCCACACCCTGGACGACTTCTTTTGCGGGCAGAAGGGGACTCTTTACACCGTGATGTTGAAAGGTGCGCTGTTGCTTCGGAACGACCAATAAGAGCGCGATATGGGTTGTCGTGGTCCTTGTAGGCGTGCAATTATACAGGGTCATTGAGTCGTACATCGCGCCGCATTGGACATGGTCGTCTTCACGCTGAGAATCCAAAAGTGATGAATCGCAGCATGCTGTGTGATAGCGACTGCGCTTACAGTCTCTACAGACGTGAACGTGCAATTACAGTGGGCACGGCCAGAGGTGACGACATTGTGCAAACATCGCTTGATCGCGCTGCCAGTAATAACGACTTTGAGTCAGGCAGACCCAACCCTCTGCTGTGTCGAGCTCATCGACAAGCCGCTTTGGGGCGACGACAGAGAAAGCAACACACCCGAAGCGTGTACGCTTGCAACCCCACCGACGATCCATCACTATCAGGGGAGCGATGAAAGTCCCACCCAAGCAAGAGAGGAGCATGAGTATGCGGCGCGCTTGCACCGGGCCCATTAACACGCTGGTCAAATATGATCCTTTAGCTCCTCGCCTGCATGTAATGCGTAATTGGTCATTAGTGGGCGGCACCAAAAACGGTCCTAGCGTTCTGGAGTGCCGGCTTGCAATCTCGCAAGGGCGTCTTCGATATTGAAGAAGTCCGGAGGTCCGGAGTTTGTTTCCATAGCGTCGCTCACAGCGTCGGTCATGCGAAGAACGTCGGCGTTCCTTTGATCCATAACGGCCTCGAATGCTGTCTGATTTGGTTCCCAAATCTTCTCTTTCGCCGAAGCCCAAAACTCTGCGTAATCTGCAGCACTGAAGTTGTGGCGGGATTGGTTGCTGCGTCCGGCGTCGGCATGGCTGCAGCTACCGCCCTTTACGACAATATCCTTGTCCAGCTCGCGTGAAGTTACATTTCAGCCAACTGGACGAGCTCCTTGAAAGTGATATTATAGATCGGTATTTGGAACAGTTTGTACTGTGGCATATGCAACCTACAGATGGCATCGAAGAGGTTCATCAGATAGTTCGAGCTGTCGTGGTTCTTATGTTGCCGCAGCCCTTCCTTTTCGTTCTGAATGTAGCCGTATTCGTTGAAGCCTCCTGGTATGGGCTGATTCCACTGCTCGGGTGGTATTGCAACGCAGCGGCGTACGGATGGCACGGCAGAGTATTCCGAGACGACCGACCTTGGCTGGCGACGGCAAACTTCATGCGTTCCGGCCATCTTGGGTGCATAGGTAGCGGCGTACGGATTGGTCGCTCTATCTTTAAATGATGCCTTGCTTCATCATGTTGTTAATACGATTCGCCTGGCGGTCGTCCCTCAAATATGACTGTGCAATAAGTGCAAGCTTATGTAGATCCCGCACGGTGACCGCCTTGCCCGTCTTGACTTCTGCAGAGCTGTTGGCGTCAATACAGGGTCTTGGCTCTCCGTTGGCTTCCTCGCGAACGTCGGCAAGGGCAGCTTTGATATCAGGATCTTCGACCGACCTCTGCGCGAGATTACCCCTCAAAACCGCATCATGTATGCTGGAGTGTGTTGTCATGATGATCAGATGAACACGACTCTATGGAATACGAGGTCAGTTCAATGCTTTGCACCCTCCGAACTCATCCTGCGCAACGTACCACAATGGCCTCCGTATCCAAGTTGTCTTGGAGCACGGATGCTTCGATGCATTCTTGTTTCACGAATAGTTTGCAATATCCTATCACGTGAGTACGACGGCACGTAACACTTGTTTCACGAATAGTTTGCAATACGCTTCCAGTCGTCGCGCAATCAAGTCGACGTATTGCCGAGAGTTCGCATCCGCCGCCGGACCGATGTCTTCGCCACTGGTAACTTCATCCATGGCTTTGCGACAAATCCTCCTTGCGTCTTGAACTTCAGCCTTTGCCGTCGCGCCAACCGCCTTGCCTGTGCCGCCGCCACCTGCTCCGATTGGCGTAGCATATACGATTTCGTCGAGTTGTTCGAGCACGGTTCTGTCATATCTGCCGGCAGATAGCGGAAGAGAGATAGCTGACGTAAGGGTGGGAAAAGAATAGAGACCCTATCGCTCACATCCTGGACAGACATCCGGTGCAACTGCCTGCTTGTTCGCTGTGTTTGCCAGACGCGGCAAGGTAAGCGATCTTCTCGACTGTGCTTGCCAACGGTGACGGATCGATTAGCCGACTTTCGGCCCTATCACCAGGATGACATCTCCAGTGGATGGCTGTGTCTGAGTGCTCCCAAGCGTACAAGTCGTCGGCACGTGCCTGCTTTGGGGCCGGGATTTTGACAGTCGTCGAGCCAAGATGAGCTAGTCGTTGTTTTGTTACATGACATTCCATTACCATCATCATCGGAGCCGTCAGGAGACTGGGCCTTGGTCGTCGTTCGTGTCAATCTTACCTGCTGCCGCCTGTCTCAGTGAAGATGTGCCAGCCCAGCCGTCTCGACTTCTCGGGAGCAATGTATTCCAGCTCTGATCGTACACCTGACTCGCAGATGCGCTTCCTACCTAACTTCCATTATGCCTCAGTGACCTGGTGGTTGTTATGCTTCGGCGCTGCAACTCACCCCTCCTTAACTGCCTCGTGAAGCGATACCATCCTCGCTGCTACCGAGTAAGCTCTGCCAAATGACGTGGCGTAGCTTCACATTTACCATCGCATTGTATTCTCTTAGTCACAGGGACGTACCGTTTCAGGTCATTGCGAATCCGGACAATCCTCGAAAGCCAGTCGTAGAAAACTTTGGGCCCATCTCCCGAAGGACGTCCACGGCTTCCAGTACGATCTGATGCGGACGGAAGGATGCGCTTAGGCGTAGAAGTCCGCCGCCGTCGTCAGGTTGCGAAGATTGTAACAACGCTATGATCAAATGATAATTCGCCGCCCGTTTATATGAACCTTACGATAGAGGGGTGTCTCAAGGCGGAAGGAAACGCCGTGGGGCAAGCGACAGCACCCAGACACGGATGGAACGAGCATTGGAGTCTGATCTATGACTGGCAGTAGTAACAACGATGCAGCCATCGCTGTTATGGCGCTGTTCGTGCGGACCAGTACGCTGAGAACAACGGCGCGCGCTTATACCGACTACACCGGTCCCCAGGGGTACAGCAGCGTCGTCTTGCAAGGATAACGAGTGGACGTACTTCCTCACTCTGGGACGGTCCGCGTGCTCTTGTCACAAAGCTACCAGTATTGTACACGGTCACCTGACGGAACTGCATTGGCAAGAGGCAGTCCTGGCGTTCGGTGATTGCTGCACCGCTCTCCAACTCGGGCAAGGCTGCGCATATTGGCATTCTGGTACAAGCAAACCGTAGCCTTTCATACCAAACACGGGTGACCTGCCCAGTGTTATAACAAAGATTGCCAGGCGGGTTTGCACCTTTCCTGCGCCGTGGAGTGAAGTGAGAGAGGGTCTCCACTTCGTTGTGGGGCAAACATCTCACCACTGGACGAGCTCGCACAACTATTCGATCTCCCGATGGTAGAACACTGCCTAGTGGTACTAAATGGAGACAGTACAGGATGAGTTAACAATCATCCTGTCAATACTGCCATTACTCGATGTGCAGAGCTTCCAAAACAGTAACGGCCAGGTCCTGTCACAGTATGCTGACTACTTGCCAATCTGCGCCGAGAAACTACGCCCTTCACCAAGACTCATCTCCCAAGCACAAACGCCGTGAAGCTACATCCGGCCGGTCTTGGTATTGAGCTCAGCACACAGCCTCGTGAAGCTCCCCTTGCCTTCCTCGCAGGTGATCTAAGCCTCAGCCTGATGCTCCACCTGACAGGTACAGCGACATGAAGACCTACATCTTTCCTGTTTCGTATCCGTGTCTTGTCTCATGTTTGATCTCCTCCCAGCTGACAATCCAGCATGATTGACCCGGTGAACGCTCTCGGAGCGGCCTCCGCGTGTATTCACTTCGCGAAGTTTGCGTGGAGTGTCGGCGATGCGCTGTACAAGCTCGTGTCTGACACGCGATACATCAACGAGACGGTAGCGAGCCTTGCGCGCGAGGTCAAAGGGCTTGGAGACGCTTGTAATCTGGTACATCAAGAGCTAGATGATGTGCTGCGCACTTCTAGCGGTGGTGCGAACGAGCAATACGACAAAGGGGAACGCCTTTGGAGAAGCGTAGGCAGCGCAATCGGAGCATGCGAAGAGACCGTGAAGCAGTTACAGCGCATAGTAGACGACGTCAAGCAAGAGCACGAGGGATTCCTGCGCCAAGCAGGCCGACAGATCCGACTGAACACACATAATGAGGAAATGGAGGCCATCCGCAAGCGGATCTCGACCCACACGCAAAGCATGGGAATGATATTGCAGATGGTCAACATGTGAGTGGGCAGTAGATCGTAGCGGCCCGTCCGTCGCTGACGTCCAGCACAGCAAAGTTGCACACCTCGCGCCCCATCATGCTACCAAAGACCTCGCGCTCAAGCTGGATGCGCTCGAAGCGACGATCCAAAAGCTGCAAGACTCTCTCAGGACTGGCGGCCAGCAAGGTTTCCAAGCGGATGCGGGCTTAGACATCGTCGGCTGCGCTGTGGAAATCAAACAGAGAGGTACTACACTCTTCGAAGCAAGTGTCGCAGGGTCAGTCGTAGGTGGACCGGAGTTAGCGCAACGCAATCTGCGAGTCGCAGAGTGGACCTCCGACATTGAGCTTCTACGACGGGATAAGGGGTCCACTTCCTCCGCCCCATCAGACTCTGACACCTACTCGCCCACAATATTCTCCAGAGACGGTGCCGCTACTCTTACAACTTTAGCCACATCGCCCAGCAGCCAAGGGTTCGGTTGCGACGACTGTACCGTTAAGGAGCTCGAGGTAATCGAGGATCATGAGGACGAGTTCTCGCTTGATTTCGCCCTGGAAGCTCTCACAGCGGGCAATCAAGCATTCGATGAGCAGAAATGGGCGGAAGCGGAATCATGCTACATGGAGGCCCTCGCCGACCTTCGTCGCCTACCAGCGCAATTCAGAGCCCAACGCGATGTCTGCGACACTTTTGAGCTGCAGTACAAGCTTGCCATATGCGCCTGTCACACCAAAGAGCCGATCGTCGCGCGCGATGCCTTGATCGGCGTCCTCGGGCAGGCTCCAGCATCCGACGAACACAGACGTTGGGTGTGCAACGCCGGCACGATGCTGTCCAAGTTGTACATCCAACTGGGTGCTCTTGAGGCTGCACGGTCCTCATGTGAGAGTGTGCTGAGAGAACTCAGCAAGCTTGTAGGAAAAGAGCACGACTCATACTACGAGTCCTTGATTGTATTGGCGCGGATTTGGATTCTGATGGGCAATCCTACACGGGCAAGAATCTACTTGCGCAAAGTCCCCGAAGCAAGAAGGGGGCTTATTCTAGAAGAGCTGGAAGCTTCTCCGTTGCCTTCGCCGCAAGCTGCCACTTCCGCAGTGTCTGAAGAGTCACTGACATTGAGCCCACGCCTCCCTGCCTACCAAGTCCGTCGTCAAAACACCGATGGCGTAGCAATGGAGGCCATTACGACTTGTACTCCCAACGTCTTTCGTGCAGATTCGGTTCGCGATATTGCACACACACCCTCCATACTGGATACCGCTTTGGAACCCCGTAGACTGTCTGAGATTCAGCAGAGCCCTCGCTCTCGAGACGCTCGTTTGTCTAGGGTTGATCAGCCCCCGCGCAAGCCATCGGTACCAGATGCAGCCCCAGACCGTTCAGTTGATACTGGTAGTGCTCCGTACACGAGCCTCGGCGATATCGTGTTGCCTGCCGTCCATGCGCCACACGGCGGTACCGACAAGATCATCGTACGACAGGAGAGATCGCATAGCAACCGCCATCTACCCTTCAGCTCACGACAGCGCATGGATACCGCTACGCGACAATTGCTGCTTGATCGCTTGCATTGGCAACCACGCAGTAATTTGGAAACCGCAATCTGTGCTGGAAGGGTCGACGAAGCCTTATCTATAATAAACAACTGGACAGCTGCCGGAGAGGCGAAAGTGGCAGCATCACATCTACATTTCGCGGCTCTTTTTGGCGACGACGACGTTGTTATCGCTCTCTTGAGGCAAGGCGTACCGGCAAACATGGTTCGTACCACGTCGGAACTGGAAAACACTGTCCACCATCCGAGATTCTCAAACGAGTTGCCCATGTTCTTCCGCCATCACTTGGAACCTGGATACGTGGGGTCCGGATGCTTATACAATTACTTACCTCTTCATATCGCTTCCGAGATGCGCTGGCATTCTACCGTGCGACTATTGACAACAGACGGCCCCGGTGGCAGTGATCCAACCTACGATCGACAATTCGGGGCCTCGCCAGGAGAACGACAACATGAGCTCACGTGGAACTACCACCCAGTGCTCCGCCTGTTCGACAAAAGAGGATGGTTCGGGATCCATTCACCTAGAGATCCGCAAGAGTTCATTGCCGTTATCGACACCATCATGGCATGGTGGACAACATCCTGCGCGTCAGACGGGTGCAAGCCTAAGGTGCTCGAACAGCAAGTACGTGAGGTTTCGGAGCAAATGTTGAAGGCCGCAGTGCTACTACCCGCCAAACCCAGGAATCTGCGCAAGGCCGTGGTCGAATACATCATTCAACGTTCTGATAACAGTGCGAGCAGGGCATCTGGCGAGATTCTACATCTCGCGGTAAGCGGCAATGCTCCTGAAGTCATCCCGTTACTTTTGCGCAAACAGCGCAGTGAGCAGCTCAATGCAAAGTGGCTAGACAGAGACACAGACGTTGCGCAAGACGCTCTATGCTATGCAGTCAGTCGCGCAGCAATGGCAGACTCGGGCGCACCGGAGTACGCGCTCGACTGCGTTCACGCATTAATGACAGCAGGCGGCAATCCGCTTTCGGTTAACAAAGTCCGCAGGGACAATGTTCCACCCCGGGCCAGAGGACGGAACGTACTTGCGTATCGAGTTGTGACGACCCCATGTAAGATTGCTGAGGCGTCAGGAAGGCAGGATCTTGTCGACGCTCTGTCACGATAGAGGTGTGGACTTGTTGTGCGGAGACACATCATTTGGCGACCGGGTCACTCGTCTTACGCTCGAAAACGACTGCCGTCTCACAATCGCAGTCAGCCCTGGCTGTTAATGTATATATGTGCATACAAAGTGCAGCCTTGCTACCGTCTCCGACGAACTTCCATTTCTGAGCCATTACTGTCAATGTGATTCCATCACTCCGCTCACCAAAGTCGCAAGGTAGAGCGTCCTTCGGCCCAGACATACTCCTTTCGGCGCTTCTGCTGAGTGACCTTTAATTCTTCGAAATATGGCAGGAAAGAGGTCGACTTTACTCTGATGCTGGGGAACCAACTCTGCCGGCTTATTTTACTAGTTATTGAACGTCGTATACGTCACTACCTGCGCATGATAGGCTGTCTTCACTGCACCGCTAGGGTAGCACATTACAAGACCTGGAAACAGAGCAAAAGCGATAGCGGAGGCGTCAATATCGCGCGGACGGTTCCTAAAGCTCATCGTTGTGGTATCTAGCGGCGTTCCATACGATGGGCAGTCGAATGTAAGCTTGATATCCGAGGGCAAGCGCTCGATCACTTCGACAACTAATCCGCCCAGATCCTTGATAATTGGCTGCATTGTTGTCTTGAAGCTCTCCGGCAAGTCCGCCTTGGCGTTGGCACCGTAGCTGTCGAGTGTATGCTGGACATGTGGCTGGATCGCAGCACACGCTGTATTCGCCAGTGTTTGTGCGAGCGTCCCGAGCGTAGCACACTTGCAATCGATGCTGGCGGGCTTGGACATATATCTCTCCCACGCTTGGCCAACGCGGTCACGGTTCACCTTCCGAACCGAAGCAATGGCAGTCAATCTCCGCAGCAAACATGGTCGCCACTTCTTCGCGACGGTCAGTAACTGAAGTTGACCAACGCAAAGATACTACATACCTCGCGAAGAGAATGCACTTTCCACGCATTCAGTCATTCTGGACGACAGAACGCGATTCACACAGCCTGAGCTATCCTTCAGCATAGCATGATAGAGGGAGATCGAAACTAACGCCATAACGAGATCGAGGCTTGATGGATTGCAGGATCTGCCTACAGCTGAGCTCGTTTCTGGCCAGTCGGGTCCCCAGCCGGCTTCATAAAGTGACCTCAATGGCCCCGTCGCCTGTCGGAAGAAGAGGCCGCTCAAGGTTCGATTCAAGCCAACCTCGTCGAAGAGCGACATCAGTGCCTCCTTTTGGCGATCGAACAGGCGTTGCATGGCTTCTCTGATATCATGGATCCCCATGTCGGCTTGAATGAGCTTAGGAGAAAGACCTTGTGGTATAGTCCTGTTAACGACTGAGTCTGTGGCAGACAGCACGCCCAAGCTATCATTGAGAGGCGGGATATTGGAGACATCGGTGTCGACTTTGTGGAATACGTTTGCATAAAGCGGCTGGACCGAAAGATTATCTGTTGGAGTCGGCGAAGAAAACTGCTCAGCAGATCCGCTTCCTGCAGATGTGCGCTGGTGGCTGGCATCATTAGCCCTTCGCACTCCGAACGCGGAGTGAGCTCCTGTGGCTGAAAAGTCGAAGTCTTGGAATGATGCGGTTTGCATTCCAGGACAAGCCGCTTGGCGATGTGAGACGACGCTTTATCCTCATCCCCATAGTTCGAGATGCCTTTTAGGACTGCTACCGACTGCAGCGTCCGACTCCTCTCCGAAGATCGTCTCGTCGATATCCGACAGTTCGGAATCCGAGTCCTCTACACCATCTTTCTTCTCGGTGTCGGCAATACCAGCGCTGTGCTGAGCTTGCAACCTCGCCAACAACTGGTCGACTTCGCTTGCCAATGACACTGCATCAGGTCCTTTCAGGAGCACGCCTTCCTGCTCAGCCATGAGCTTGGCGGACTCTTCGATCAAGCATCGGTATTGCTCGTCGTACGCGCTGAAGGCCGTATTGAACGCACTGTCGGCATCATAGCTACTATGCCCGCCTACGTGTTGATAATACCCAGCTGTTACGAGCTCATAAAGCTCATCTGGCGTGATTCTGGAGATGCCTGCCGTTCCGTCCGGTCGTACGGTCCGAACACTGAGTTCATACTGCAAGATGAGTAGGCTGAGGGCTCGTAGCTGGTGTCCTTCGTCACGATACTTGAAGTCGAGGTTGCTGCGCTGATGTTTGACAGCATCAATGTCTCTAGCCGCAATGAACAAGCACCTGCGCGTATGGTTTTCGTTGAGATTGCACACCACCCCGCTGATGAGTCTCGATCTATCCGCAACATATGGTGATGGACTGATGTTCGCAATTTCGGGCAAATCTTGTGAATTCTCTGATCGTTGTGGCGGAGAACGATTGAAGGGATTATAGGCGTAGACTTGGACGATCCTCGGCAGGTGCTTTTGACGTTCGATGATCAGCTGTTCAACAGCGATTCGATGAGGAACTTGCTTGAGGCCAATCTTCCGAGCGATGTCGCTGTAAATTCTGTTGAACTTCTTCGCATCGTACGCAGTGCGAGATTTGCGGTTTGACAGATAGGTGTAGCTGTTGACGCTGAGATGCCTCATTGTTGTCTCGATGCGGTGGCTGCGATCCTCCATGGTGTCCCCAGACGTATACAACAACGTCAGAGCTCCTCGCAAGACTCGCACGCTCTCCAGATGATTGAGGTCTATTGGGCTTGGTGACGGTATGAGAGTGACCGGAAAGTAGAGGATTAAACGATGGCGAAGAGGCACAAGACTGTGCGATACACGCGGTCTCGATGGGAAAAGTACCCGGAAGATCTAGAAGGTGACGCTGTTGCGGACAGACCGTGGCAAAGCAGACGGAGGAAAAAGCGCACGGATGAGGAACGTGGTATGCGCCCACCATGAAAATGCACACCGTAAGACCATGATGCGAGCCCAACCCTGGAGCCTAGGGTCTGGTTTGCGGGCGGAGCTTTGCTGTATGCGGTGGGCGGCGCATATTGTTTTGAAACACGGCTGTGACCATTGCACCGCTGGGAACGCTAGGAAGGGCAACAACAGATCTGGGCCGATGCTAAGACCGGGTGACCTTGCATGTCGAGCCACACTGCGAGCTATTCATCGTAATGACATTGAAATCTGTCACATCGTACATGTTTGTGACATGTCGTAAAGTGAGCGAGCACGGTCGTTGAGGTGAGGTGGCCTCGGCGGCTGCACTGACAGGGGTGCGAGCCTCGACAGGGGACCCGCTTCGGACAGCACAGCTCGACATCGCTTGCATCTGCGCGATCAACCGCGAATATGGGCGCTTAAGATGATAGGATCCCACGCTCTCGATCTCTCCCACGATGCAGCCACGATAGTTACGTGCCGAACACATGCCGCGGAAGCTGCCATCCGGCCCGGTTTGTGAAGCGCGTAGCTGTAGGCTTTGAACTACCAACCTGGCGCTTGCAATCTTCGCATAGCTTGTGCGAAAGCTGTGCTCGAGATCTGAGCGAGGATAACACTGGACTGGGCGGCAGCGCGTAGGTGCCAGCCATGCACACAGTACATTGCCGAAGTCGATCCATTGCACTTAAGCCCTGCGAAGCTCAACTGCTGTCTCTGAAATTGCAGCATGCGGGAATCGCATCTGCTACTATCTTATGCAGCCTACGCAGATCGCCTGTGCGTGATCAGAAGTCCGCAACCGACAAAGACCCACAGCTCAACATCTAGGTGGCTACATGCTCGTACGCCAAATTGGACTTGCCGGTAGACATACCCAGACTGCTGGTTGGAGGCGCCCGTCTATGCACCTAGGCACACTGTCCCCCGGCTGAACGAACCGCCACGCCAAGCAGGGGCTTATGCAAGATCTGCGCCCCAAGCTACACCAGGCACAATGAAGCAATCATTAGCATGTGTTTTGCCTTTCTCCTTCCATACGCGCTGATTGTTCTTTCTCTACATTTGTGCTTTTGCGCTGCGGTATTGCTGGCTTGAAGTGCCGCTCTGTGTCCCAGTTCCATCCAATTGCGTTTTCCTTTTCGTGCTATACAAGGCGACGGCATGTTTGCAACGGCCATACCTTCGGTCCACGATGATTTCCCTCGCGAGAAGAACGTCGTTCGGCTCAACATTGACTACGGCAGCGGCCAGTTAAAGGCAGCACTACAGTACATTTGTAAAGGCGAACGCGCCTGCCAATCCAAGATCATATCGGTGCCTTGGGACGAAGGTTGTTCCGTACTTGAGCAGAAGATTGTTCCTTTCGGTGATGGCTCAATCATTCGTGGAGATGACGTTGACCTCTTCGTTGATAAGGAGCCAGAGCGTTCCGGGGAGGTGATCGAGCTTTGTAAGTTCGTGCTCACTCCCGTGTCTCGCTTGGCCAGTCTCCATCATGCAGCTCACTAGCGGTACAGGGAAGCTGTGCTTGTGTCCCGAGTATCAGGACATGGATGCGGCCAGGCGAGTATGGAGCGCTCTGGGTGCTAAGCATGGCGACATGGGCGCCATTCGTGATTCTTATCGAGCGCAATCTGAACTGGATCAAGGGCAGAACTTGGCACTGGCTCAAAACGTGGAGCCTTTGGGCGGAGGAGCCGGGAATGTCGAGCGAAGACTGGGATACTACAGACGCTGAGCTCGTGGTCACGGTCCCTTGCATGTGGAACCACTGCGCTCTGGAACGTCGATGTTGCCGTTCGTACTCCCGTGGCCACTTGCTGAACCCGCCGTTTTGCAGGGTGTCATGGCTTGTGCATGCACAGGCGCCGGATTCAAGAATTTTCTGTTTGTCTATGAGCCAGTGTGGTACGTCGGCTACGCCGTAATGCTCATTCTTTCAGACTGACATTACCTAGTGCGGCCGCCCAGCTTATGCCTGATCTTCTAGACACCATGCCGACTCTAGAATCCCTGTGCTTCGTTGACATCGGTCGGGGGACTGTTGATATTGCAACTGTTAAAGGGCTCGCAAATACGACTGAAGCGCGACCCTAGCTCGACATCGTCGGTGAGCTTACCGGGCGGTACGCCGGCGCCCAGATTGTTAACGGCCACATTGCTGAGTATATCAGGACATGCCCGGAGATTGTTCATCATCCTTCCATCTCGTCCGAGCACTGGCCAGAAGATATACTACATCTTCTGGGCGATATGTCGCAGTGGGATTTTGCCCTGCAGGTTGGTAGAGAGATTGAGAAGGCATGAAAAGGAGAATGGCGTTCGAGTCGAATTCACCATTGTGATACATGCACGCGAGGGCTGGAATAGACTTGAGGGAGGCCTCACGGAGCTTACGATCAGTGTCACAGAGTCAGTACTTCTTCCGGCCACGCCGTTGAGGAGTAGTAATGCCGACGTTGGCACAAGGCAAGTGGCGCAAGCAGCCTTTACAAAATGGACCGACGCGCTTGTGGAGGCCGTTCAGACACACCTCCGCCGTCCTTCGCAGGCCTCCGTCAGTGCAGCCGTTATCTACATCTGTACTATCGCTGACCTTTCTGCAGTGCGGGGCGGTTATGCTTGTTGGTGGAGGTGCCAGGAACAAGTTCGTAAGTCAACGCCTGAAGGCGTGCATCCAACATGAGGGTCGCCACTTCCTGCAGCACACACATTATGGAGAAAACATCGTTACCCTTGGCGGTCTCAAATATTATACAAACATCCCATGCGCACCTACGCCGAGCGGGTATTGGTACATCATTCGTGATGAGGATTCGCTCCCCTTTTCAGCCGGTCATGACGACGTTACGAGATGGAAGACAATTTATCGAGAGCATGGCGGCTCAAAGCGTGCTACTGGAAAGAGTCCTGTCTTCGTCAGGGGCTCTTCTCGGGCAGAATTTGACCAGGATGGCAACGTCTGGGTGCTGCCAGACCGCGTCATGATGCTGGCAATGCGGCGGAAAGGCGAAGAATTACAGACAAGGCGCCATCCCGTCACGTTTCACATCGACCCAACTACAGAGTGAGCAGATGAACCGCTCAATTGGCGCCATATTGCTGACTTGTCATGTAGCCCGAGGTTGAGGATCCCAATATACTGTTCAACGGCCCGGATTGCAGACCACAGGCCTGCTATGAAGGGGGACGGAGCTCTTGTTGACCGTCTTAAACACTGGCGGTCGCATGAGATCGATGTATCCTTGGATCAATTAGCCTATCATGCTTTTGAAAATATCTCAATCAATGGCAGGGAGCTCTTCTTCGCCCGAGCTGTTGTCGAGCTGCAGGGGAGCAACACTCACCTTCACATCAATGTAGATTCTTACAGCCGGGCCAGGACTACCGATATCATGAAAAGAGTAAGTTCGTCCTCGAGTGATGACCCAGTGTTAGACCCTCACTGACCTTGTGATAGAGCGGGCGCCGATTGGAACATTGCTCTTTAAGGAACCCGTCCTTCTGCCGTTCGACGAGCAAGGGGAGTACTCTACCGTACCAGAACTGTGGAGCAGTATGGAGCTCTGGCAAAAGTACCGCACTGAAAACGTCGCCAGAGCGAAATGCACGGCCAGAAACCCTCGTCAAACTGAACGGCGTATGCTGCATGCCTCGCTCCACACCGAAGCCACCAGACGGAGTCCGAGGAATCATACCACGTCCCATCACGTTGTTGGCCCACCCTCGGACTTTGGCGCTGTGTCTCTGATTACCGCAGCAACGACAGCCTTTGAACAGGGTATAGCGTCTGCAGCCGAGTCTTCGTGGACAGACTTCACTGCTGGAAACTCAGAGACTGGAGGAGAAGCTGCACTCGCTATTGACAAAGACACAGAAGGTGAAGACGGTACCGAAGTTCACACCAGCGACGGTGCTGGTACGAGTTCGCAAGCTGGTGAGCATCCGATCGAACTATCCACGGCACCGACATACAATCCTTTCCAGTTCTCAGCATCTCCAGCAATCTATGCAGTAAAGAGTGCATGTGAGAGCTTCAGACGCTCTCCAGACCATTGGGCGGCAGAGCCTTGTGACGGTCAACCACCTGCAATCACTTCTACACCACCATCCACACATCGAGAACCACAGGCCTACTCTAGATTGGGAGGAAGAGAGCAGAAAGCAGAGATGCAATGTCGGGCTAGGCCATATAAACGCAAGCCACCTCCTGACGAAATCTGTTTCATTCCGAAACGTAGCACTCCGAAACGCAAGGAACCGGCTCGGTTCGCAAGCTGCACCGAAGAGACGCCATCAGGGTGGACCTTCGTTGATTATAGCGTTCCTGAGCCTAGCATAAGGGAAGATGAAAGTGCTGAAGCGAAGTCCTACCCCGGACATCGCCGGAAAGGTGAGGACAAAGCAGTCCGGTATAGCGTTTGCCCTTCAGGATCGCATGGATACCGTTAAGCATATTGAAGGAAACCCTCCTTCACAATCGAGCAAGCGTGTCAGGCTCATCAACATAGCGGAATGCCCTTCAGGTGTTTCCCCCGAGCATAACCAATTGCGAAGGCGAAGCACAGAGCACAGCAAATCTACTCACGCCCAAAAAGACCGTTCAACCTCGCCGTTAGACTATACTATCTATGATGTACTAAATCTTTGGTGGGAAGGTGTTGCAATGGCACTACACTCTACAATGAACGTGAACTTTCCGCGCAAGATTGTCTGGAAAGTCCGTACACTTCGAAGTCCGTGGACTTACCTCATTACGTTTACAGATCGAACAGTTCGCGTGACAGAAGGATAGTCATTGGACCTTGTATTTCACCGGTCGGAGTGGCTATTTGAGCCACCTTGCCTTAGTCGCACTACACGAGCACCAACTCTAGCTAAACGCATTCGGGTAAATCAACGACCCGTTCGGCGCCTAGAGCATTCGTCAGCACAAATTCACGTTGATGTATGACCCGGCGGCACTCACACTGCAGAAGTACTGATTCGCGCACGTGCCGTTCAGCCACGCCGGCTCTGCCCCGGCGTCGTTCAAAAGCAGGGCACTGACCCCGTGCGCCGGTAGCGTCACCGACCAGCTCCTAACTGCGGTCCCGACAGTGCGGTGCGCCCACATGTCGTAAACCTCATACTGCCTGCCCGCCTTCAGCAACCAGCTCTCCGCCAGCGCAAACGACATGTTTTGTGCTTGATTCGCAGTATTGAGGATCATGATTACGACGCCATAACTCGAATTGCCGCTCCAGTACTGCGCGGGCGAGGCCGGGTTATTAGGCCAGTAAACGGCTGGGTAGTTAGGGTTGCCGACTTTGAACGAGTTGTTGCCCCAGCGGAACGGAGTTATGCTCGTTCCGACATTTGGGTCCTGGTTGATCTTGATCAAGTCTCTGTTGCCGAGGATGGTGAAAGTCTCGTTGCTGACTTTAGTCAGATCCGTGCCGATGATCAAGGGCGATTTGAGCAGTGCCCAGGCCGTAAAGTGGCTCTTCGACTCTTCATATGTGAGATTGCCTGGTGGGTTGCCAATGCCGTTCGTGTTCCCGACCTCCAAGATATCCATGTCGTTGTGGCCATAGAAGTCGGTGGCCCAGTACTGGTAGCTTGCCTGGGTGATCACCGTAGCAATGGAGGACCACCATGGTTTGACGTCGTTGTCAATGCGCCAGGACTGGCCAAGCTGGAGGAGGAGTCAGCATTGCATTCGAACCCTGCGGAGAGGTTCGATGAGTCTACCTGCTTGCCCCATACCCAGGGCTGTTCAAGACCCCACTCACAAAGCGAAAAGATAAAGGTGACGTTGGTCCGGGCGGCAAACTCGGCGATCGCATTAGCCATGGGCGTGTAAGTGCCGTAGATGTTCTCCTGGGTGATGTTGTCCTGCGGGAAGTCTACGATCTCGGTTAGTGCAAGCTGTTCCGCCAGTAGGCTCGCAATGATCCAGCCATCCACTCACAGCAGTGGTCGAGCTTGAGGTAAGTCATGCCCCAACTGTACCAGGTCTCCAAATCTTGCAGCTCGTGGCCCCAAGATCCAGGCTGTTGTCAAGATCAGCTGCCGTTACAACACAGTCAAGCAGTAGCACGCCGGAGGACTTACGAAACCACCGCAGGTCTTGTACCTGGCAGTATCGCGTACCTTCATCAGCAAACTACACCCAGCGAGCGGTGTCAACGCAAGATTTCTCTTCACTCACCCCAAGTCCGAATAAGCTGCCAGCTGGACGCCCAGCGCGTTCATCTGCTTACTGAGTGCCGGCATACCGTTGGGAAACCTCGTTTGATTGGCCACAATGTATCCGGTAGCGTTGCGCTGCGCCTCGAGGTTGAAGTCATCGAGGATGAACTGCGTATAGCCCGCGTCCACCAGCCCGCGTTCACTCATAATCTGAGCCTGGATCAGGACGTCCGAAGCGTTGTAGTCGCCTGCGAAGCCATTGAAGGTGTCGTAGCCCATGGCTGGGAGACGGCCGACGCCATCGTTCAGAGCGTGAGCGAGGAGAGAGGCTGCAAGGAGAAGGAGAGACGTGGAGGGAACGGAAGACTTCATGGTGGCCGAACGATGCAAGGGCGGGATTGTCAGAACGAAAGTGAACGTTGCAAAATACCTAGCCTTTTGTACGAGTTGCGCGATGCATCTTAAGCGAATTCTTCTCTCTCCAGCCCCCCAAGCGGAACCCTTTCCCACCGGACGAGCAGCAAGGTTTGACGTCTGTTATGCACTCATACACATGCAGGCTATTAATGCGCGGGACTATTTCTCCGCCATTGACGTGAGTCGCTAGTGTGCGGGGTGACGATCAGAAACGTACAAGATCATTGCGGATGGTGGATGGAGTGATGTGGAAGAGTAGCCGGCGGAGCTGTCGACCACATCCCGAGCGTGGAGCCGCTTTGAATGTGGAACCGAGTTGATTCCGGTGTGTGGTGCATATGCTGAGTTCGTAATGGTATCTTGTGACACGACGTCTTCGAGACTCCACATCTCTTAATTTTAGCCGGTACGATCGTTGATAAGATTATCGGGACTCGTGTGCGGTAGCCAGAAGTCAGTAGGCTAGGCCTGGCTCGGCCAGACCAGCAAACGGCACCTGACTTTATATGGGAATGAGGGTATTCACGGCCGAACAACTGTAGCTAAGCATGGTCGGTTAGGTATCATCATCCCGTCCGGACGTCAACATTCCCAGACCTGGCAATCGAGCAAGGCAGCATCGCTGTCCCCAGCCAGCATCTTTGACCCACACCAGTTGACCGAAGCCTGTCCCGAGCAAACGATGCCGGAGCGGACCGACAGATGTTCTGCTCAGCCTCCCTTCCGCGCTCCAGATGGAGTGACAGCTTTCCGCTCCCGCTCCTCCCTCTCCTTCAATTTGCGGCGTTCTCCTTCCAGTACCTTGCGCACGCGACTAAGCACTTCCTGCTTGTCCTTCGCGCCCTTGCAGTCCTCACTTCTATACGGAGGAGCGATGATGATCGCTTCGTGCACTATCATCTCCTGGTTATGCCAGCGGACGGGCATGTTTCTGTAGCCTTCAGTTAGCATCACAGGTATGTAAGGCGTGGAGGAGAGAAGACGTGCATCCGTCGGAAGCTGTCAAAGATCGCTTGCGCCTCTTTCGTGACGCCCTTGCCCTGGTTCTTCTCCTGTTCTTGGACAGCCGCTACACGTTCATCCAGACGTCGGCGGAGACGTTTGGTGTCCACCAGCCCGACACTGGGCTTAGCGTTCTCAACGCTGCTCTCGCTTCCGCTGCCACCGCTCGCCAACGACACCACTTGGAAACTCTGGATCTGCGAGATGGGGATGATGTGGTAGTCGCCGGGCTGAGATGCAACGTCCGTCGAAGGGTTGGCCAAAGCGGCGCGAGTATTGATGGCAATAACATTCAGAATCGGCGAGACCGTGAAGAGCGTGCCGTCGTATGTTTTTGGAGCCGGTGCAGCGGTGGTGACTTTGATGCTGCGAGGAACGTCAGCATACGTGACCAAGACTTTTCGCCTCTCCTGCTCGACAATATACCGTGCGCCTATAGCCTTCCCAAGCGCCTCATTGTTGTCGGGTAGCGGTTGCGCGGCTGGTGTGCTCGTGCCTGCCATCTTCGGGGTTGCGACCTTGCCCGCCATGCTACTGCGCTTGCTATCCGCCATCCTGCATTGGCGTTGTTGTATACTCTATCTTCGCCTACGCAGACCAACTGCTGAGCATGAGTGCGCCTTTTATGCTGCTGTTACCGCTGCATTCACGCAACTAAATGCAGCTTCTCCGCAATCAACCGAGAAGATAAGTACAGACTAAGCGAACGGGTTGAGGTGTCGCAAGGAGAGCGATCAAGAAGGTTGTGTAGAGATGTGAGTACAGATCGAAGGAGCATGCGACGCGATGCACGAGAGTTCCTCGGATGTCGCACAGCAGGCGAGCAAGCACTGGGGCACGGACCAAGCATTCTCTCATTGGTACATGTGTCGAAGTGCGTGCTAGTGGAATGACACGAAGGTTCGGAAGCATGCGAGACGAACCATACTCGTTGGAACAGCAGCTATCGAGGATCCTCGCGACAATTTGGCGTCGTATCAAGCAATACGGAGCAGGAGAGACCGTTCACCTAGGTGACTCTCAATCATCATCTTGATCGCTCTGTTCACAGGGCCACTGGACGGAAGATATACTACTCTGTTCACGGCATGGAGGTTCACACTTTCCAATCTCTGAAGAGAGACACCTGATATACCCGACATGCTCTCGCAAATGAATGAAAACACACCCCTTCCTCCACAACTTCCGCTTTCGCTGAAGGCAGCCCCACCAAACGCGCTAGCGTGGCCTCACACGAGTCAGTCACTGACACCTCCACCACCCACAAGCATCACCACCAACCGCCCTATAACATATAACCCGGCAAAGCCTCTTCTCAAATTTTGTACCCGGTCTTCTTAGGTCCCCGTCCACTCAACCTTCCTCAAAATGCAGATCAAGTACATCACATCCTCCCCTCCACCCCACCAACCCCACCATCACTCCGAGGCTGTATAGTAGACGCTGACTGGTTGATTGTAGAGTGCGAACACTGACAGGGTACGCCCACACCAGCCCGGAGGTTAGCCTTCTTTGGTGAAGCTAGCGCTGACTTGGATCGTGTGACGATACAGGAAAGAGATCGAACTCGACATCGACTCAACCGACAAAGTAACGCGCATCAAGGAGCGCGTGGAGGAGAAGGAGGGCATCCCACCGATGCAGCAGCGATTGATCTACGGAGGGAAGCAGATGTGAGTAGATCTACCACTCACAGCAACGGTCTTGTTAGTGGCCACTCGCAGAGGCAGAGGTCTTCATAACCAAGGACGGGTGCGAGGAGATTGTTGGAAGCAGGAAATCGAAGGTATTATGATGCTGACAGGAGGGTGATTACAGGGCCGATGACAAGACAGCCGCAGAGTACAGCCTCGAAGGCGGCGCGACACTGCATCTGGTTCTTGCGCTCAGAGGTGGCTGCTCGCAATGATGTCTGCTCTGACCGTCGCGTACACCGGCAACCTTACGGGTCGAGGCAGTGATAAGCAAAAGTCAGGCAAGGCGAGCGAGTATCAGTTCGACAAGATCACTGCGTCATGAGCGGGCGGTTTTTCAATCAACCAGGAAGAGGCGGCCGGGCACGGCGAGACGAAAACAAATCGACCATGCATTACGAGGGACCGGCGTTGCACTTGAGGGCGGCGCGACGCAAGCAGTAAAGGTAGAGCCATTGTAAGCGGGTTCTTGTATGGCGTGCGATCTCTGCGCCTTGTCAATAACCAGCCCGGCCAGTAAATGCAGGCAGACATAGAGGAATACCTGCAGAGCCTCTCATAACACTCCGTACGCTGCCCATATTCCTCGCTGAACGCACGAAGCACAAGCACAAGCATACCACATCACGCATAGACACATACCATTTTCCATCCCACTCAAACAGCACCGGCAACCCTCCTAATACTCCTCCGTACTCCCTCCCCAACAACCTGCACCCTCCCCTCCGCCTCCAGCGCCCTGACCGCCTCCGCAAACTCCTGCCCCTCGACCGCCACACTACTGCGCTCAGACAGCATGCGGACCACATCGCCATACCTCACCCCAACACCCCCACTGCCCCTTGCCAACTCGTCTAGTACGTCGAGCACGCCTCTCTTCAGGTCCTCCTTTCGCTTGCGTTCCGAGGCGGATGTGCCTTCAGTGAGGAGAGACATGTCGATCAGTCCAGTCCGAGCGTCCGTGGCAGCTTGCTTGAGTGCGGATTGGATCAGTCTGACGGCTTCTTCAACATCGCTCGCTTCAACCGTATTCGACAGCCGCATCTTCGCATGTGCTTCGGCAAGGCGGATCATAGACTCAAGTTGTCGAGTCGTAGCCGTAATCCTGCGCTCACTCGCACGGATATCCTCGCCCAACCTCCGCATGGCAACGTAAGACTGCACCAACGTTTCCGCTGCAGCGGGCGAGATAACGGGGTGAATGTTAGCGCGAGCGTAGGAGATGTAGAGAGTTAGGAAGTCGACGGGCTGTGCTCAGGCCAAGATAGTCAGCAGAGAGACCAGATAGAAGAGGAAGACGGTGTGTAAGGGATACGCACCAAGATTTCGTCCTTGCTGGCGTTCTCCGGCGCGTCTTCGAGGTACATGCCAACAAGGAAGCGTGCTAATTTTCGATCGGACGATTCTTCGATGCGGTCGAGCACGAGATATACCAAGTCAAATCTCGACAGCAGTGTCGGAGGAAGATCGATATTCTGCGGCACTGGCAAGTTGGGGTTGTACTTGGATCCTATTGGGTTCGCAGAAGCCAGGATACTCGTCCGGGCGTTGAGTGTTGTGATGATGCCCGCCTTCGCAATGGATACAGTCTGCTGCTCCATCACCTCATGCAACACTGACCGGGTTGAGTCGGACATCTTATCGAATTCGTCGATGCAGCAGACGCCACCTACAATCCGCAGAAACGAAGGTCAGCAAAACAGCTCAGCGCTCCTGCACATGGTCGGCCTACTTACCATCACTCAACACCAGCGCGCCACTCTCCAGCACCAAACTCCTCGTCTCCGGATCCCTCGTCACGTACGCCGTCAACCCAACCGCAGAGCTCCCCTTGCCACTCGTATAAATGCCCCTCGGCGCAATCTTGTGCACATACTCCAGCATCTTCGACTTGGAAGTACTCGGATCGCCACACAACAGCACGTTGATATCACCCCTGTACTTCGGACTCCCGCCCTTTTCGAAAGACTTGTTAGTCCCGCCGAAAAGCTGAAGCAGAATACCTTTCTTCACGTCGTCCATTTCGTAAATCGACGGGGCCAGACTGCGGGAGAGGAGTTCGTACACGTCGGGGCGGGCGGCGGTGGCGCGGATGCGTTCCTCATCCTCCTGACTGACCTTCCGAGTCCCTTCGCCGTCCCCCTTCCCACCGCCTCCAGCAGTCGCTTGCTCGCTCAACTCCTCTTCAATCGTACTGACATGAACTCCCATGCGCCTCTTGTCCACCTTCTGGATATGCAGGCAGTCGACGTAAGTCTTGAACACGTTCTTCACCGTCCTCTGTCGCGGGTTGACGCGCACTTGATTGCACTTGAAGATGCCCGTAATCTCCACCCGGTCGCCGGCCTTACAAACATCGACGAGCTCGTCGTAAGCGCACAAGCTGACAGAGTGCGGCGTCTGTCCATCCGGCACGGAGTCGGGAGTCTCCTGCAACTTGATAACCTGCTTATCCGCAAACCCTGACCGGTTGTGGACAATCACCATACTATTGCTGCTCCCACACACCTCGCGCGGACACCTTGTAGGCTCAGCAATCTTGCCGCGGTCGATGTCCACCTTAACGGTATGGTGACACACTCCACAGCGGAAGAATGCATCCTTCATATCTGGGATGACTGGCGTGGTCCGGATGACCATCCCTTTGATGGAGACTAGCTTGTCCATATCTTGAGGATTCAGCTCGCGCAGGTTGATCGTAGCGTCGAGACCGAAGGGCCGCACGCGGTAGATCTTCTGCTCGACTTCTGATACGAGATCCTCCTCATCACTATCTGTAGCCTGCTGCGGGACGCCGTTCGGCTGTGCCTGAGGAGTCTGGACGTGTGCGGGAGTATGAGCACCATCGATATCCGAGCTGGGCACTGGCGGCATCGAGCTAGACCGTGCTTGCTGTTGCCGCGCCTGCTGAGTCTGTGTAGAGCGCCGCTCATTCATCCTCTTCTCCGCCAGATCGATCAACACATCCTTGACCGCCGTATCAATGACGGGAATAATCTCCGCCGGGAACGCCTGGACTTGATGCCATAGTTTCCTCGTCGCAGGGTAAGCCTTCAAGTTCCGGCAATCTAAGTAGAACGCTCTCGTGCCGAGATCTAGTATAGTCTCCAGCATGGTCAGGTTCTCTTTCTCCAGCGCAGGGTGATCGGGGTCCAGTATGTCGTCTTCGCTCAATTCGCCATCAGCAATAAGACGATACTTCTTCTGGAAGTTCCACAGAAAGTCTTTGAACGCTGCGAAAGAGTCTGCAACAGATACATTCGTGCCCCACACGATCTTCGTCGAGGAGCCACCGAGCAGATCGGCGTCAGAGGTGTTTGGGTTAAGGTTGGAGAAAGTGGCTGCGCCGTCTGATCCGCCATCCCGGGTGGGCATGCCACTCTCATCTATATAGACTCGGGCACGTCCGGAAATATCGGAGTCGATGTCATGACGTCTCCGCATTGCTGGAGTCGCGGCTCCAGCACGTAGTAGATCTGGAGAGCGAACGAAGAGGCCGGTGGAGCTTGTACGGTCGGCATGATGGCCACCAGGCGTAGGACCAACGGGATCTGAGCTGGTGCCATAATGGATGGGTGACGATTCTGCGTACATTATTAGCATGAACGGAAGCTCTACCATGTCTACGTTGCACGCTCACCCGTGATGCCGCCCGTTGCCCGCGGCGTCCTCCCACCTTCACTGCTTCCGCCAGCGACAGTCTGTTGTCTAAGTGGCGAGCTGATACCAACGCCATTGATGCCTGGCACGTTTAAGCCTTGACTCTGGCTCTGACTCTGGCTTCCGTTCGGGCTTTGTCGCATGAACAGTGGTGAAGAAGTGGGCGGGACTTGCGATTGCGACGTCCCCTGCGACGACCTTGAATTGCCTCTTGGCGTGTTCTGGGATGGCAAGTCTTGCTGCGACGCATATTCAGCCTCGCTTTGTAGCTGGTCATTCGCAGCGTCTGCGTCTGGCATGATGGGGTCGCTGGAAGAGGGAGCTTGCGATGCTGGTAGCGATGCTGGCGCGCTGCGCTGAGGTGTTCCATTAACGGAGTTGCGATTGGAGCGACGGCTCGCTGGGGACGACATCTGGGTCGTTCACTTCGCTGCTGGATGGTATATTGGGAATGTTGGAAGAGAAAGGTGGGAAGCTGGGCGTTGGAGGAGGAAACGCGCCTTGACGCGCTTCTAATCACGCTAATCCCTTTCAAACAAAGTGGTTGCATTAGCGCGCTTTATTGCGCAGACTCGACGGTCACGGGAAGCAGCCAGAGACTGCATCGTTGTAAATGTAAATATGGCACCCTCGGCGCTTGCGATAGCGACATCGTCGCTAAATCGTCTGGTGAAGGAAGAGAAGAGCTACCACGCCGAGTTGGAGCAGCAAAAAGCCCGGATCACCAAGCTGGAGCAAAGTGGCAGCGGGGACGAGAATGCCGAGTTCACTTTGAGGCAAGAAGTATGTACACATCAACTAATCTCTACATTCAGTCATTTCTCGTTTGCCTGCATCCCTCATCGGTGGCGAGTTTCACGGCTGTAGTCCGGTCCCGCTGACAAACGTGCAGCGAAGAGCTCTTGAGGAGACGAAAGCCATCTTCCCGAAGCTGCGGGAGAAGATCCAAGAGGCTCATGACAGGCTTGAGCATGTAATCGTAAGTCCGAACCCACCGTGCTCCATACCCACTACTTGATCCCATGAGTGTTGCTGACTTGAACTTGCGCAGGAGCAAGACAAGGGCCCAGGCGATCAAAGCACGCCCGAGGACATTACCAAGGCCAAAGAAGCCATTGCCGCCGCCAAGACCGCACTGAGGGAGACGGCGTGATCAAGCAGTTGCTCTGTATCCGTAGGTGTTTCGCCTGGCATCGGAAGGCATGAGCGTCTCACAGCGACCGAGCTCCAGCCATTTCTCTGAAGGTCGTACAGGCGTCTGGTAAGGTCACGAACAACGATGGCTTCGTTGCTAACAACTAGCATATATTGATGACTCATACTCAATGCTCGTAGCTCAGCCCCTTTTCCTCTTAGCCGGCATGAAGGGTGAGGCCGCCGGTGCCGCCCGCTTTCTCATCGCCTGCGTTGCGGTTGTAGGTGCATGACTCGGTCGCCGCTCTCCGGTCGGCTCAATGCCGAGCCTGCCAACACCCGGAAGTTGCTCCGGCTCATTCAGCTCCTCAGCCTTCCGATCCTGCCCAGACATGATGGGTGGGCTTAACGGAGCAGCTGCAAGCACTGGGACCCGCGACTTCGCTTGAGTCAGTGCCCTTAGTCTCGCCTCCTTCTCCGCATTGCTCTGACCCTCCGCTTTACTCAACGCGGCATCCACCCTGCTGTGTCCTTTGGATGCCGTAAACACCCTGGGCACCGCAATCTTCTCCCTCCTCACACCCTCACCCGCCGCCGGCACTGGCTTAGCAAGTGCCGGCTTCTTCAACTCCTGCACCATCCACTCCGGCGCCGCCTGCACCTTGCCCTTCGTTCCCGGGGGTGGTACAGTCGTAAAAGTCCTCTTCTGACCCAGATTATACTCCCTCTCCCTAACCGCCTGCCTCGACTGATTTCTTAACGCCGCAACCACATCCCTCCCCCTCTTCACACTAGGCTTCACCACACCACCCCACCCGTTCGCCTTAGGGTTACGCACACCATCCACAAACGCGCGTCCCTTCTCCTTCATCGGCACCACCTTCCCCACAAAACTCACATTCGCATCCTCGCGCTGTTTAGTCAGGCCAGACATCGCCTCTCTCAACCTCTCCTCCTGCTTCTCCCTCGCCTCCTTCTCCTCTCTCACCAACCGTCTGTAGACCTTCCACCAACTCCGCGCATTCCTCGGCGTGCCCAGTTCCGCCAACTTCTTCTCCCAGCCTGGTATATCGCGAGCAATGAACGCTTTCCATAACTCCTCGTCCGCGTCAGCGACATGCGGACTACTGACCTCGATAGTGCGAAGGTGCGATGGGTTCTCGATCCGGCGGAGAACAGGTCGAAGGACCGAGTAAGGGATCTCGCCGACGGAGGTGATGTCGGGGAGATGGCGGATGCAGGAGCGGATCGCGAGCGAGCGGAGAGATGGGGCGGGCATGCTGCGTATATATATATGTATACCCAACCGAGTTCAGACTTGCTCTCCAAGATACAGTCTATTTGATTGCCGTGTAAGGGGTTTTGAGATCCTGTAGCGAAGTAGTGGCCGTGCTACTCTTTCGTCTGGGATTGGGGCTTGGTTACGGCTGAGGCTGGAGGACAAAGAGCATCACCGCGGTCGGCTGGGGTAGGGTGGTCCGGTCATGGACAGTGTGAGAAAGGTACATATTCACCCAGTCGTGAGCGCATCTCATTAAGGATCCGCTGAGAGGGTAAGCTCAGCAGGCGCGGTTGAACTCAATCTCACTCAAGGTCAACTCGCAGCCCCACCTGACCGTTGTCACAGCCGCAGGAATATCGCCGACTCGCTGGGAGGATCACGGCGCTAGTATATGTCATGCAATATTATCTTTCAGCTCCTTCTCTTCAACACCTTGCAATATACCGTTCTCGACTGTTCTTGGGCGGCGCAAGGCTCGGCGCCCGGACAGCAGCTGTAACGAGTTCGGCGGAAGCAACAAAAGCAATCCAACACATGCAAACACTGGTTGAGCATTCCACATGCAAAGGCACTGACAATGATGGAAGACACTCCAGGTTCACCTCTCAGAGCCGCCAAGCGTCGCAAGGTCTTCCGTAGGAAGCTAGACGCCGACGATGACAATGTCTCGCCCTCTACCCCAATTGAAACCATGGATGCCGTGGCGAACGAAACCGAGGCCCGTGTAGCTTTACCCCGGTCGCGGCATAATGTGGTGAAGAAGCAAGGCATCTCCTTCTCCAGCAACAGTCTCGCTCCCAAACCAGAGCCATTACCGAGCGAAGAGACCGCGCTTGTTACCATGCATCCGGACCGGGAGCAGCGTATTGCAGGGACCGACCGCTTCGTAAAGCCAAGTGGCAAAACGGCGGTGATTGATGACAGACATATGTACGTGATTTGTACTGCTTCCTTCCTTCTGTTCACAATCGAGAGGACAGGGCTGCACTAACAGCGTAGGACGGCATTTGTAGACTCCAAGATGGCTGAGTTGAAAGCTGTACAGGCTGCCACGGAGCAAGCACAAAGCACCCGCAATGTGACAGACGAACTTCAAAACGGCGCTGAGCGCAACGTAGAAAGCGTTCCGGGGATGAACAGCGCTGCAGAGGGCGCGGCCGCCTCGCAGCGCAACAAACATCAGCACAAGCCGCTTGCCAGAACTTTACGTCAACCTCCTTTACGCGCCACGTCGGACCTCGCCCGGGACAGCCTGATCGAAGACATCATGCGCGAATCCGATGTTGGATTGTACGATCGCTCAGCTTCCGGCACGCCATCCCAATACAACTTCGAGACTCCCGCCACCGACGCCGACCCCGACTCTGCCGCAGCGCTCGCCTTCACATCCGCCTTCCTCCGCGAACAAGAGGAGCGCAACCGCCGGCGCCCGCCCAACCCGGCTCCCTTCTCAAAAGTAGCCAAGGCGACAGGCATGGATCGAACGAATCACGGGCCGAAACTGGGAGGTAGCAGGGCTCAGCGGGAGAGGATGAAAGCTGCGCAGGCCACAGGGGCCGGGAGTACTACTGCTGCGGCGAAGAAGTGAAAGGCCCGAATTGACGGTGCTCATCGTACAGAAGTCGAGCTATAGCTTAGGCTTCTCCACCGTCAAATCCGGATCCAGCTCGCTCGTACACAAAATACACGTATCCCTCAAGCTCGGCAACCTGTCCCGATGATTAACTTCCTGATAATCCTCACTCGCAATCATATCCGCGAAATGGCGAATACTCGGGTAGTGCGCCAGGGCAATCTCGTCCCAGCCCGCTTGATCCTCGCCTTGTGTGCCCTGCTTAGGCACCACCTTACCTACGACCTTGGCAAAACCACCGCGTTTTTTGCCGATGGATTCAGAGAAAGCTTTTCCGTAGCGCAGGTAACTCTCGTGCATATCTGGCTTGAAGGCGAGGAGATTGAGCATGCTTACTGCCCCGTTCTGTCCCAGCTTGAAGTGGCGGCTCCATTCCAGAAGCTCGTCGTTCAGCTCCAGCCCTTGGGCGGAAGATGTCATTCTAGGCTTCTCTAAGCTTCCCGTAAGCTCTGGCACATCGCCGGACTGAGGGTGCAAAAGTCGTTCATTTCGCCGCTCAAAGTCGTTGACCAGGCTGCTTGGGACGCCGGCGGTGATGCTCCAGTGGTTGCTCACCCAGTCCCGAGACAGATAAGCTTCCGGGAGTGGGCTGGAGGCGGGAAGGATGATTAGGAGGTCCCATGTCGTGTTGAGCAATTGCTCAGTGGAGAGCGTTTCGGGTCTGATAACCCAGCGGATACAGCGGGAGGTAACGAAGGGTTTGACGCCAAAGGAGGAGAGCGCGCGGACGTATTGGTTGATGGTAGCGTTGGGAGACAGTGCGAGGAGGTGGAGGGTTGTTAGAGGCATATCTGTCGTTTATAATCGGGCAATCCTGGTTGGGTTGCTGTAAAATGTGGTGATATGAAGAAGAGGACGATCTGATAGCCGTAAAATGTTGTCGGGAGTCGTGGACATTGACGATACATAAGATACGCGACAGAACCCCATCCTGTACCTAAGTGACGTTCAGGAACCTCAGTCGTACCTCGGTTCCGCGGCACCGTTCCAATGCGTTCACTTCCACATTACCTTACTTTATTGTGAAGAAAGAATACTTCTCCTTGTTGTTCTTTTCCATTGAACGCTACTTCGCAATGCTCGAGTTGGTGTCGTACACTTACAGAAAAGACATACGGAGTGAAGAAAGAGGTGACATCCAAAGTCATGCAAAAGACTGTCGCCATACAAGCTTGTAGCTCCCTTCGCTTCATGCAACTGCTTGCAGATCCGCAAGGAAGGGGAAAGTTGGCAGCCATCTCTGTTTCCGGGCTGCAATATCGACACTCCTCTTCACCTTCAGCATTGTCACTGATAACAACAAAGATCTCGGCGAGAAACCGGGCGCAGTAAGCAATGAGGTAGGTGATAGCAAACTCGCCCAGAGGTTTTGCGTAAGTACGTACGGAACGCTACAAATGACGGCTAAATCATTCTGTTTCACGCCTTCACCTTCCGCCCATCCACATACTTCTGCGTACCAATGGGTTTTGAACCCGCCGACCGCTTGGTCGACGCAGCGGCCAGATTCGCCGCGGTCAAAGGCTGTACCTTCTTCTTCTCCGCGCGCTCTTTGTTCGCCTTAGCAGCGACCGCCTGCTTGATAGCAGCCTCTGCATCCGGTGAAAGCTTCGCCTTACCCTCCGGCCTCTTAACGCCATTCGATACTGAAGCACCCGACTGTGCCTTCTTCGCCGCCGCAGGGGGCGTTTGACCCGGCAACGCAGCACCCTTTTCTCTTGTCCTTTGCGCGGCAGCGTTCCGGACCGATGCCGCGGCGGTCTGAATAGCCATCGTGCTTAGTGGACGTGTCACCATGGCCTGCATATTCGCCATCGGCATGGCTTTTTGCATGCTTGCAGCAGGGTTAACAGAAGATCTCCGCGTGGTGTTCGCTGCTTCGCCTCCCACTGGTATGGACGACACGCTGTTCGCTTTCCGCGCCGGCGGAGCTGCTCGAGCGATGTTCTGCTGAACTTGTTGCGCGACTCGCATAATGTTCTGCTGCGTTGCGGAGGATACCTGGCCCTTCGCCGCGGGCGCCTGGGACGCTTTCTTCGCTACTTCGGCATTGCCGGAGGATGCGAGAGTCTTCTGCATTTGTTCTTGTGTTTGCGGTGCAACTTGCAACAGCTTGTCCATAACTCCTGACGGCAGGGGACTATGGGCGTTGGCGGCTCTTAGGGCGTTCCGGATGGCCTCTTGGCTCGTTGCCGCGATCGGTGCTTTGCCGATATCGAGAAGATTCAGCTGTTGCTGCTCTGCGACCTTCGCTAACAGGTTGTCGAAATTGAGCGGCTCGGTCATGTCAACTGCGCTCAATGCACCTGCTGCAGTGGTGATGGGACCGAAGATGCTCAGGAACTCATCCCAGCCGCCACCCTTTACTTCCGTGCTGATCATCTTGGCGTGATTGGGCTCCTTCTTGCCTTCCACAGCCTGCATCGCGGAGACCGGATCATCCGCAGGGAAGTTTTTGAACTTGTAGTAGTACTCGAGGATGTAATCCTTCTCCCTCCACCGGTTCATCAACCACCGACCAAACGCTTGGTCGTTGTCGAGAGGAATGTCACTGATTCTGTATCTACGCCAAAACATGTTGACACTCTTTGGCGGTCGGCCTTCGAAGAACGAAGACCGCAGTGTGAAGATGTCCTGACCATACTCGCCCTTGGGCACACCCTCGTATGCTACCGTGCAGTCATACAGCCAGTTTGTCGAATGCTTCAGCTCCTGCAGGATGAACTGAAGTCCCGTCGTCCTGGGTAGAAGCTGATTCTTCATGTCCGGAATACCAGACTTTTTCGCCCACGCGGCTGATTTCTCCCTGGTGACGGCGGAGAGATTGGTGCCCTCCGGAAAGATGAGCAGCCACATTGGATCTTCCGGATTCTTCAGATGGCTCAACGCAGACTTGAAGCGCCACCGATCGGTCTCCCACTTACGGCTGAGAAAGATGAAGTTATAGAACTGTGCACCCCACCCGAAGATTGGTAGTTGTTTCATGCTTTCCTTCAGAATGATGTAGATGCGACCGTGCATCTTGTTGGTATACGCGATCCACCAAAGGTACAACCAATCCGTGTAGAGTTGATGGTTGGCCATCAGAACCATGCGGTGCGGGAAGTTGCATTTCAGCGTCCCGTCGTCCATTTGGAAGAGCTGGCCTTTCATACTGTCATCGCCACTGACCCTAACAACCGTCGGCGCCCACCATTGCGTGATGGTTGTCATTAGCACGGCAAAGGACTCCTTAGTCCACGCCATGTAGCCATCGTAGGCCTTAGGGTCGACAAGCTTAAGCGGCGCACCTATAAACTGGGAGGCAGAGATGGCGAGGAGCCCGGACAGGAACGTCGACGCGGCGCTGAACGCTCGCTCTGCTTGGCCCATGCCGCCATGTTGGATTGGATTGGGGTTGTTGACGCCGGACTTGGTGAGAGTAAGGCCTGCGCCTCCGTCGCCAGATGTTGTGCTTCTTGCTACCATGCTTGGTTCGTAAGAATCAATTCCTATTGGGCAAGTCTACCTTTCGTTGTTACCATCCACGACTCGAAGACACCAGGCTTGAGATGGTTGGCTTGATGGTGAGGTTCACGCCAGAATCATGATCGAAAAAGCACAACCTTACCGTCCACCACCGTCCTCAAGCCGTCTGTCATGCCATTGCCGTCTCGCCTCACACCCGTCCGGACCCCTGCAGCAATGACAGCAACCGAGCCAAGTTCCAGCCACAATCTGCAGATCGTCGGACCAAAAACGGTCGCTGTGGTGGCGCTTGCACCCTTGCTAGGTTGTTGCACAGACGATCATTCTCCCGCTTTTCTGCACAGTGACGCAGGCCCTTGAGGCGTCTGCGCAACTCCAGCCCCTTCGTGGATCGAACGGTTGAACGTACATTGGCGCATGTAATTGCTGTTGTGAAGTATTCTGCTCTGCAACCACTTGTGCTATAGTCTTCAAGCACGTCTTCATTGTCCACCACAACGCCTAGTGTTCGTAACGACTCGGCAACACTCTTTTGATCGTGGATTCACCATCGAGCAAACGAGTGCGCTTCGCAGACTCCGCCCATTCCGCAAGCCCAACTCCAACTCCAGCCATGGCAAGTAAAGTCCAAGGAGCGCCGCAAGTCAATGGCGTAGCGAAGAAGCCGGCGCCTCGTGCACCGGTAAGGAAGCCCGCAGCCGGAACAGTCGCGAAGCGAGCGGCCGGCACAGCACAGCAAAAAGCAGCGCCAGTGATGAACAAGGCCGCATCGGTCGCCGGCGGTGAGAATCCCATGGGCGGAGTCACGTCCGCCTACGCGATCATGGCGAACCGAATCGCGAACAGAGTTGCGGAGATGGCGGAGAGCATCACGTTCGTGGAAAGGTAAGACGGAATAACCTCACCATTATTTGTCGACATCCCCACTAACCTTACACTTTCTACAGACCGAAGGCAAAGGAGCCCGAAGTGCAAGAGCTTGACGAGAAGAAACGACCACGGAAGCTCGAGATGCGTCTTAACGGTGGCGCCGCAGACTCCGTTGCCTTCTCTGCGCCTTTCCTCGACAACACGCTGCAGAAGATGCTGCAACTGCAGAATCGCATGCTGAAGTCTTCTGCGGAGTTGAGCAAGGCGGAGGGTGTCGATGAGCGTATGATTAAGGAACACGCGGCGCAGAGCGCGGAGTTGAGCAGGATCATCGCATTGATATGTGCTGAGAAGGCGAGACAGGGTGCATAATTTTTGTCAAGGAAGATTGAGAGATCGTCTATTTGCAACGCAGTCATTGGTAATAACGTTTGTGACGACTCTTGGATGTACTTGGCCAACGAAAGCATGTACCGTGTGCGCAAGGCGTTTGTAGGGCACAATGAAGCTAATATAGCTCTGCACCATTGACCCTCAGGAATACTTGCGTTCTTGCCCTGCGATGGCACCACGCAGCACGATTCCGCTTATGCATTGATTTGGCCCTTTGACGCTCGTTTCAAGTAGGGATGCTCCAGCGCCTAAACTTCGTCAGCTAATATATTCCCATTTCAACCTCGGTCATTCGCACCTCTTCAGCAGTAAGTCGTTGGTGAGACTCATACACGACAAGCTTGCTGACCAAGTCTACCGCCGTTCCGTCCGTCTCCGGCAAGATGGCCGGCCACTGCCTAGCCGGATACTGCGTAAAGTTCATCTTGGCCCAGTCCGGAAAGGCCGCTGCTTCAGGCCACACGGCAAGATCGGGCGTACCAAGCGTCTCGAAAATGCTTTTGATGAGTGCCAGCTCGCTCCCAAGATCGCCAGCATCAAACAGGGTCTTGCTGCCGAGACAGGCGACTTGAGCGGCGACGCATCCGGCAGCCCACATATCGAGCTTGTTCTCGTATGCTTGGTGACCGAAGAGCAGCTCCGGTGGGCGGTAGGAAGTTGTGCCAACGTCTAGAATCTTCTCGATGGTGGGTTCGGAAGCCGGGTCGGATGGTGACCAAGCAATGCCGAAGTCGATCAAGAAAGCCGGTCCTGTAGGCGAGGAGAGCAGGATGTTTGTGGGCTTGATGTCGCGATGAATGATGCCTAGGTTGTGGATGTGAGCCAGCCCACTGAAGATGTCCCTCAGGATGTTGCGCCGTGAGTCACCCGTGAGGGTACCTTGGCGCAAAAGAGCGTCGAGACCGTGTGGTAGAAACGGAAAGACGAGCACGAATCGGCCCCCGGCTTGTTGGAAGGCTTCAAGAAGAGTTATGATGTGCTCCCCGTTAGCCGCTACAAGAATGCGTGCTTCTTTTTTTGAATCATGCGGTGGCGTCATCTGATCTGGCACCGTGATCTTCAAAGCAACCAGTTCATAGCGGCTATGGTGACTCCTGGCTTCAGGATCAACAGCTTTGAAGACTTCGGAGAACAGGCCATCACTGTGATGCTGAGCATTGGCATAGCGGCCTATTTGTGCGCCAGAAAGGGGCAGATTGGGGAAGATGTGCTCATCAACATGACGATCTTCTACGTTGCCGGCGGCCTGCGCACTGAGCAGAAGTTGGACGGCCTTGGCGCATAACTCATGATACTCTCGCTAGGCCACCTCAGTTAGGCACACGCACAATACGCATTGGGGGCAATGCTACATACAAGCGAGAGTGCATTCTGGCGTGCCTTCTCTTCTAGGAGCTTGGCATTCCGAGACGGCTCGGTTGACGAACAGTCTGGGTTGGCTATCCTGTACGCTTTAGAGCTGCTGAGGGTCAGATCTTAGGCCTTGATGACTGGATATCGCCGTGCTGACTGACTTGCATTTTCGCTGTGGCCGCCAATCTATCTGAGAAGCCTAGGTCACCACGCCAGTTGACCGCCATGCTATGCTGGTCGCTCGAGTTGCGAGTCTTCCTCGCGGGTCATGACTTGTACATCCTTGAATAGCGCGCACGCTCACTCGGTACTCACGACGAGCACCACTCTGCACCCATCGTTGTCGGAATGGTGGCAATGCTATGAGTGGGAAGCTCTGGCATATCTTGCACAGCTGCGGTGAATGCTCAAGGACGCATTCAGGCGCCGGCTGCGACCGAGCCAATGTGAAGCTAGCATGTATTCCTCACGTGCCTTCGAACTTACGGCACCACCTCCCCTCGATATTCATCAGTCAGCGACGAAGCATGTCCGCCCAGCCGTAGGGATTATCTAGGCAATCGAGTCTGTGTGAAGGCGCCCTCGCCTGCAAGCAAACACATGCCAGTGTCTAGCGAGCCAATGAGAAGCTTGGCAAGCCTCACTCGAGCAGCTTCACGTCTCACAAGGCTGCAAGTTCCGTGTCACCAAGCCTGTCATCTTCACATCCTCGCCCTTGCCTGTCACTAATCTTGCATGGTCTATTGACTAGGGCGACAGGTTCGCCGAGTATTTCTCTCACACCTACAACAGACATCAAGCTATCATAGGCGTATTTAGCTTGGAAACAACGACCACTGAAGATGCCAGCCTACTACGGTCGCGACAGCCTGCACCCGCGACCCTCGGCCAGCACGGCTTCACCCTTCAATCACTCCCGCCGGTCATGGACTGACAATGGCGTGCAATATACAGTAGAGACTGCCAGCTACACCAGTCCCGGCATGTCGTTCGGCGCGACGGGTGGTACTGCCAATGGGCTTCTGGATGTGCTGTTTCCCGAACCACGAAGTGCTCGCCACCAGCCTTCGGGTTCGGGTATAGCCGCTGGACTGCTGGGGACAGCTCTGAATTTGCTCACTAGCGCGAATGATATGCGCCAAGCAAGCAATCCCAGGATTGCCCGTCGAAGCGAGCTCGTAGAGTCTAGTGAAGCCGATTCTGACGATGAAGAGAGCGGAGACGGTCTGGCCTACGGAGACGATGGAACCGGAAGTGGCAACAGGCGGCGGCGCTCCGTATTCTCTCGTGTCAAAGACAAGCTGGGCAAGGAGCGCACACGCAAGCCTCCGAATGTGCGTGACCCGTACGCATCGAGGGAGTGGCGTGAGTCCGAAAGCGGGCATCGAGCGCCCGGCAACACCCGCGCACACGGCGCGTCGGAAAGCGAAGACGACAGCCTGGGGCATATTGAGTATGACGAGTACAGCGACATGCGGCAGAGACCTCGTTCAAGTCACGCCAACTCCTCTCAACCGGATGCGCTGAAGCCTTTCCATGATGCAGTGCAGAACCGGTCAGACGGCGTCAGGCGGTGCCGTAAGCGCCTGGAGCGGGCATCACGGCAGCCTGGGCTAGACATCCGCTACATTCAGAACTTGGTGGATCAGATCCAGCTGCGCGAACAGGCTCTGGCTGTGGCACAAGAGAACCTCCAGAACGAGCAGATTCGGCTGGCTAGTGGTGGTAGACCGCGCCAGCAGCAAACACCGCCGCATTTTCGCCGTGCGTCGCAACGACAGGCTCCGCAACCGGGCCTGTCCGACTTTGGCGAATACATGGAGCTGCCTGGGATTGAAAGTTTCTCCACTCCACCTAGAACAGCCACTCACCCGCTGTTTGCGGACTTCGGCACGCTCCACAGTCAAGGACCTTTTGCAGATCCATTCTTCGGAGCCTTCCACAACCACTTCCATCACGTTTTCGGCGGTATGCCGGGTATGGAGAACGACTTCCACAGCTCCTTCACGATGCCGGACGGCACCTTCGCAGATGGGCAGAGAAAGCGGACGCGCTTCACACCGACAGGCCACGTGCCGCAACCAGGCTTTGCCACATTCACCCAGCCACCACCACCGATGCCGCCATCGAGTCTTCTAACACCCGACGAAGCCAAGCGACTTTTTCAAACATACAATGACCGTTGGACCGCGCTGTCGCCAAACGACCCAAACATACCATACCCAACACGAGGTCTGCTCCCGCAAGCATTACTCACTCGTGACACTCTCTGGGCTCCTAACATCGCAGCCCATCCCTCTACATGGTCCGAAGAGACAGTCATGCAAGCAAACGCTCAAGCCTTCTTCCTCAACGTCTGCGACCTAATTCCGCTGTACGCGGACGCCACGGGCACTGGTCGCATCGACATGGGCTATAACAAGCTCCGGGCCACTCCGACGCAGATCAAGGCACTGATCGATGTGCTGAAGAAGGAGAAGACAAGGTGGCATAGTGACCGTTTGGGGAGAAGAACCGGAGGGCGGCCGGGGGTGAACGAGGGTTTGCAGAAAGATGTACGGGCGAGGGCGGTGTTTCATGCGGTTTGTGAGTTGATGGAGACGGCGTCATGATGGATGTGGCGAGGTGGAGATGTCCTTCACGGGGAACGCTCGCGATTGATGCGCGGGACGTGTATGACTTACGTTTGATGCGGATACGGTTCATAATGTACCCCTAAGTCGACCAGTATTAATATCAAAGTCTCCAATCGCAATGGGCGAGAAAGATCTATGCGGCATTTCTCCAACGAGTCGTGGTACGTCTAGTCGCTGACAACATGTACTCTTCGTAGCCAAGGACACCCACTGCATCTCCTCCATCAGATCTTGGGTTCGGAACATTTGCATGCGCCACACGGCATATGCTCGGTTTGGCCCGCGATCAGCGTCATTCGTGCATTGACCCCGACGGTTGGCGAAGCTTGACAGTGACATTTAGCAGGCCACATGCACTTGCTGCAGCATTCCCTCTCTGCATCTCCTACTCTCCTCCATCTCTCAATCTGCAAGCTGTCATGGACGCCTCCAAGGACGACATCAACCGGATATCAGGCCCCAGTTCAATGGCAAGGCCTGAAGATGGTTCGGCTTCTCAGACACAGGATCCCCAGCCGAGTTCCATGTCTTTACATAACAAATCCGCATTCTCTACGTCCGATGCAGCGAAGCCTAAGAAGAAGCGTCCCCGCGGCGGCAAGAATCGTAGGAAGACTCGACGACAAAGCTTTGCTGGTGGTGAATCGGAGAGTGGAGCAGGCGGCGAAACGGAAGGACGACCGAGTCTGCTTGACGTCCCCAACCCGCGGTCGTCTGCACAGCAGTCCAGCTTCTACCGCTTACGGGCCGGAAACCGTAGCAACACTAGTCTGGAAAGCGAAGCACTTCTGGACCACCGTGAACATGGCGCCATGAGGAGCAGACGGCAGAGTCTGCAACAGCCTTTCGCCCGTCCGAGTCTGGCTCCAAGACATCGTGGGTCAGGCAACTCCACGGCGCAGGCTGGTGTCACGAAGACACGCTACCCTTATACTGCCGCTAGTGCTATCAGCGAGGATGACGACGAAGGCAACACCAACGACCGCACTCCACTGTTAAGCTCCAGCAACCGCAATCGATCCAAGCCGGAGCTGGCACGCAATAACAGTGGCTTCAACTATGGCAGTCACGGATCGCAGTTCCGGCCTAGGAGGCTGTCCACTACGTCTTATGATTCATCCAAGCGCAAGAACGATGCTCGTGGCCGTCAAGGCACTACCGACAATGTCGAAGACGGTCATGATCCAAACAACCCGCCCTCAGTACCATCTTCCCCAAAGCTTGGGTCGCTCGATGATGTAATGGCGACAGACCGCAACAATGACAGTGACAGAGGCCGGGACGCTATCATTGACATTGACAGTGCTGATTTCGGACCCGACCGGCGTTTCTCAGAAGACTCTCCAGATGCCGTTCGCCGGCGCAACACGATGGCCGACTTAGCCGAGAGGGATGTGTGCTTCCCAGGAGATGCACCACTATCGGAGATTGGAGAGGAAGAAGACCGCCACTCGCAGATTGGGTCCGGCGAGAGGAGGAAACGCAAGCGAACGCGACAGTGGCCCGAACTATCCATCCTTGAAGAGTGGGCGCATGAGGAGAAGGAGGAGCGGACTCAGCAAGACATCATCCGTGCGAAGAAGATCTCCGAGCCGGTCATGGTCAACGGACGGCTCCGACCTGCTAACCCCGTCTTCAAGCCAGAGGAAGAAGAGCAGCCATTTCGCTTCACATACTTTAATGAGATACTAGACAGTACCATTCACGCGCGCAGCATCAGCGATCTCGTTTCGGACGGCACGACCTTCGAAGACCTGTTCGTACCGCCACCAATCGAACATGAATACTCAGAGGACGATGAAGAAACCGACGAACATCACGATCACAGGACGCACCACGCATCGCTCGGCAACCTTCTCAACGGTCGTCTTGCTGAGAACCAACCAGGACGTCCTCCGTCAGCAAGCGAGAGGTCCCCTTCAAACTCCAAGTCGAACACGGGCTCCAATACCCCCGCAGCTCAAGGCGACAACGGCACCATCCGGCCCAAGATTCACCGTAATGAAAGTCGATACGGCGTCAGGCCGACGTGGTGGCTCGACGTACTGCAGCCCACCGAGATGGAGATGAAGGTTATTGCCCGCGCGTTCGGCATCCACCAACTGACTGTGGAAGACATTCTGACAGAAGAGGAACGGGAGAAGGTTGAGCTCTTCCAGAACTACTACTTCGTCAACTACCGCTCCTTCGAACAAGATGCCGCCAAGGAGTCTTACATGGAGCCCGTAAATATGTTCATCGTGGTCTTCAGGAACGGCGTCATCACCTTCCACTCCTCATCTTCGCCGCACCCGAACAACGTCCGCCGACGTATCCGGCAGCTCAACGATTACATGAGCCCAACAGCAGACTGGATCAGCTACGCCATCATCGACAACGTGACCGACTACTTCGCACCGCGCGTTGAATCCATCGAACGTGAAGTCGACGACATTGACGCCTGCATCTTGAACATGCACCAGAGCAGTGCCGACAATGCATTCGATCAGGACACGAAGCCGCAAAAGTCTTACAGCGACGATCCTAAGACGCAGGGCGACATGGGCGCCATGAAGGCCGAGGGCGAGAAGACGGCCGGCGACTCCGGCGGCGACATGCTCCGGCGCGTAGGCGAGTGCCGCAAGAGGGTTATGGGCCTGTACCGCTTGTTGGGTAACAAGGCGGATGTCATCAAGGGCTTTGCGAAGCGCTGCAATGAGCAATGGGAGGTGGCGCCAAAGAGTGAGATCGGGCTATACCTGGGTGATATCCAGGATCACATTGTCACGATGACGAGCAATCTGAGTCACTATGAGAAGTATGTCGTCCTCCCTGCCTAGCGATATCGAGCATTCAAGCTGACTGTCTTTCCAGCCTCCTTAGCCGCGCGCACAGCAACTACCTCGCCCAAATCAACATCCGCATGAACGAGCGCGCAGAGCAGACCTCGGATATCCTCGGAAAGCTCACGGTCCTGGGTACCATCGTCCTGCCCATGAACATCATTACGGGGATGTGGGGCATGAATGTCTGGGTGCCCGGCCAAGGACAAGAGGGCAATTTGACATGGTTCTGGTGTATTACGGCAGGTTTGTTGGCGTTCGGGTTGACGAGCTACTTTATCGCTAAGAAGGTTTATGGGATCGTTTGAGTATGGAATGGTGGGGTGCAAGGCTGAGATCGGGATGAGACCTGAAATGTATATGTATTTGTTTGAAGCGAGGCGTTTGGTACGACTGGGGCACCTAAGACTGTGTATATGTAGGTAGGGACGCACGTGTAACACCGCCACGCACTACTTTTTGGCAGAGCCGGTAAATGACGTCCCAGAGCTTGGTAAATATGGCCTGGTAGACATGGTGAAGCTGCTGCAACAGTCATGTACGTATAAGGAGCGCTGGGAGAGATGTCGAAAGCATAACACGGTTGATACTGGAAAAGTTTCCTCATGGTCTACGTCCGCTCACGTATGTGGCGCTGTGCTCCTCGGGGCCCAAGCAACCACATCTACGCACGGAACAGTGTTGTATGTTGTCGTGGGGAACTCAAGGAGGCGTCTATCCGTCCTCCTCGTCGCTGAAAGACCACCGGCCGTTGTACATCATCCCATCGATCTCCGTCCATCGGATGGTTTCCGACCCGCCACCATCGCTGAAGATGGCGTTCAACTCGGCAGCCAGCTCGATCGTGAAATCCGCACGGCGCCTCAGTTCGTCCGGAAGACCTTTGAAGCGCAGGACGCTCGCGGATGGGTTGTCTACATCTATCGGCAGAAAGAATCGCAGTAGAGATTGAGCGGTGCGGTCGTAGGTGTTAGCCTCGAACTGCAGATACTCAAGCGCGTGGCGGGTCGATCGCTCACCAGGGTAGCGCTTGGAGCCGACCGATCCCTGGTCTGGGTCGCCAGCAAGATGGTGCCACGCCAGATAGAGGGTCGATAAGAGCAATCGTAATTGGAAAGGCAGTCCCTTGACTCTCAGTACGCCGATCTTCGGGGCTTCCAGTGCGCAGTTCTGATAATGAATGATGCGATAGAGGATGCCCGAGTCCCAGTCGGTTTCGTGTTCGAAAAGGACGTCAACGCTTTTGAGACGCGGTAGAGTGGATAGGTAATCGAATAGTCCTGAACCACGATCTGTGAATCGGCACAGTCTGCATGGTCGTTCTTGATCGATCCTGGGTAAGTACCCGGAGATGGTAATATCCCGCATGCGCTCGTTCAGCGTAGGAAAGGGGAATTGATTCTCACATGTGCAGAGATGGTTGTACGAGATTTCGAACTTGTTGATGTCGTAAAATACATCCTTAGATTCCCTGTAGATGAGCTTGCAGGTCGTGAGGAGAGACAGATTGGTAACGTAGCCAGTGAAGTCTCGCCATGCCTCTGCTCTGACGGGACGGCACAGTGTCCTGTCAAACTGGAAAGCATCGACGTAGATGCGGGCTCTGAGCTCTGCCGGCAGCTCAAGCAATCCCGATGGAGCCATTGGCAACATGCTACTCCACGATCCTGATTGTGGTTGTCATCATTAGGCTTGACCTACAAGCCTGTAACATGAGGTGGACAATGGTCTGAAGCCACACATGACCCCACTCGGCTTCTTCCGCAGCCACCATGATCGACCAGCTAGCTCTCTGTTCCTGCATACGAACCGACACCGCTGTGAATAGAATGGAGAGGTTGAAAAAGCCTCAATGTAAAACGCTTGGCCTGCCTAGGCATATCTAGCGCACCGCTGTACGACGCCGTCCAGTCCAGCTGCTTGCTCGAGTGTGCATTTTCAGGCTGATAAGCCACGCCTATCGAAACCAGCCGTAAGCTGAGTACGAGCAGCAGGTTTCAGCCTCGAACAGGGCAGTGCTGAGCTCTCCTATCTCTTCTTAAGTCGCTCGCGCGACGTCTTCGTCTGGCTATATACTCCAGTAAAGGTGACCCTCGTGGCCAACAGCGCGGTACGACAGGATCTACTGAGTAACGTTGGACGAAAGCCATGGCCTCGGATCAGCCCAATGGTTCGCTTGACGTCGCCAATGGCGGCGCACCGCACAACAAGCTTCTGGAACGGGTGGTGCGGACGCCAGGGCGCCAACCATCACCACAGCCAACGCATCTGAGTGTACCGGGGGCGCCGCCGCAGCATTCGCATACGCTCCATGAGACCGGCTCTGGCTATGTGGCTCCGAAGTTCGAGGGCAAACAGAAGCAGATGGAAGATGTCGTTGCGCAGGTTGACGAGAAGGGCTTCCTGCCCTCTGACTTGGTGGAAGATGAAGTCGAGTGGTTCTACAACGAGCTTGGCATCGACGACATGTACTTCAGCACGGAGACTGTGGAGGCTATTGTGAGCCACATCCACTCTTTGTATGCAGCAAAGGTTGCCGCGTATGCTCGGGACGACAAGAAGCTTGAAATCAGGCTTGACAAGGAGGCCAGCGACCATGCTGTCTACATAGACACTTCTGTGCCAGGTGCTTCGCCGGCGGATGGCTCAGGCTTCGAAGCGAGACTGGAAGAGAAGTATTTGGATGGCAGCAGAGGCCTCAACTCCTACCGAGTGGAGACGTTCCGCTCCCCAAGTAAGCTGCCTGGTGGAGGAGACCATGCGTTACGGTGCTACTTCGTATATCACACCAGCTTCAAGAACAAGGATCCAGATCCGCTCGAAACCAGCATCGAAGTGCTTGGTGATTCTCGCTTCTTGCAGAAGACCACACCAAACACTAGAGCTTTGTACCAGCGTGTCATGGATTCGGTGGTGTCGCGTACCGGGCCCGTCATTGACATGTACGATGTCGAAGGCTCAAGGGAAAAGCGGCTCGTCGTAGGCTTCAAGCAGGGCTCTGCGCTTGGACTGTTCACCGCTTTGAGCGATCTGTACCACTACTACGGCCTCACCTCCTCCCGAAAGTACGTTGAACAATTCAGCAACGGCATCACCATCCTCTCCATATACCTGCGGCCGGCACCGCAGGCGGGGACGAACCACCCGCCAATCGAAGCATCAATTCATCAGATCATGAAGGAAGTGTCGCTGCTATACTGCATTCCGCAGAATAGGCTCCAGTCGCATTTCGCCAAAGGCAGGCTATCCCTACAGGAAGCCATCTATGCCCACTGTGTCTGGGTCTTCACGCAGCACTTCCTTAACCGTCTTGGCAACGAGTACAACACTCTCACTTCGCTCCTAGATATCAGCAACCAGGTCCACGCGGAACTTCTTTCGAAACTGAAGAAGCGTCTGCGTACCGAGACCTTCACCGCCGACTACATTCTGGAGATCATCAATCAGTATCCCGACCTTATCCGGTCGCTCTACTTGTCGTTCGCGAACGCTCACTACGTCCAGACCCGAGGCGAGCAAGACGACTTCCTGCCGACTCTGTCCTACCTGCGCATGAAGGTAGATCGCGTGCTCACGGACGAAGAGCTCAAGGATATGATCTCTAAAGCGACCATCAACGAGCACCATACTATGGTCATGTCCGCTTTCCGCATCTTCAACAAGGCTGTCTTGAAGACGAACTTCTACACGCCCACAAAGGTCGCGCTCAGCTTCCGACTCAACCCAAGCTTTCTGCCCACCGAAGAGTACCCGCAGGCGCTATATGGCATGTTTCTGGTCATTAGCTCGGAGTTTAGAGGCTTCCATCTCCGCTTCAGGGACATTGCACGCGGTGGCATTCGCATCGTGAAGTCTAGGAGTCGCGAAGCGTATGCCATCAACGCGCGCTCGCTGTTTGATGAGAACTACAACCTTGCAAACACTCAGCAACGCAAGAACAAAGATATTCCGGAAGGTGGTAGCAAGGGTGTGATCCTACTCGACATCCAGCATCAGGATATGGCGAGGGTAGCGTTTGAAAAATACATTGACAGCATCATGGATCTGCTCCTCCCGCCTACTTCGCCTGGCATCAAAGATCCGATCGTGGATCTGCACGGCAAGGAGGAAATCTTGTTCATGGGTCCGGATGAGAATACCGCAGACTTGGTGAACTGGGCGACCGAGCATGCCCGAGTAAGAGGCGCGCCTTGGTGGAAGTCGTTCTTCACAGGCAAATCGCCGAAGCTTGGGGGCATACCACATGATACGTACGGCATGACCACATTATCCGTCCGCGAATACGTGCTTGGCATCTATCGTAAACTCAACCTCGACCAGACGCAGGTGCGAAAGCTGCAGACTGGCGGACCAGATGGCGATCTCGGGTCGAATGAAATCCTGCTGGGTCAGGAGAAGTATTGCGCTATCGTTGACGGCGCGGGAGTCTTGGTCGACCCTAATGGGCTTGACCGCAAGGAACTGCTGCGCTTGGCGAAGGAGCGCAAAATGATCAACCACTTCGACATCAAGCTGCTTTCGCCCGAAGGCTATCGAGTGCTCGTAGAAGAGACGAATGCTACGCTGCCGTCCGGCGAGATTGTCAACAACGGCACCACGTTCCGCAACACTTTCCATCTCCGCGATACGGAGCATTACGATGTGTTCGTGCCATGCGGTGGCCGACCGGAGTCTATTGACTTCAGCAGTGCAAGCCGATTGATCAGCAAAGGCAAGGCGACAATTCCGTACATCGTCGAAGGTGCCAACCTCTTCATCACACAAGAAGCCAAGCTGCGCCTGGAAAAGGCAGGCTGCATAGTATTCAAGGATGCGTCTGCCAACAAGGGCGGCGTCACTTCTTCTTCGCTGGAGGTGCTTGCATCGCTGTCATTTGATGATGAGAGCTTCTTATCGCATATGTGCGTGCAGTCTGACGGCACGGTGCCGCAGTTCTACCAGGATTACGTGCGGCAAGTGCAGGCTACAATCCAGGAGAATGCGCGGTTGGAGTTCGAAGCGATCTGGAGAGAGCACGAGGAGACGGGCGTAGCGAGGAGTATCCTCAGTGATCGACTGAGTACCGCGATCACGAAGATGGACGAGGAGCTGCAGTCCACTTCACTGTGGGACGATATTGAGCTGCGGAAGAGCGTCTTGATGGATGCGCTGCCGAACTCACTGTTGACTGAGATTGGACTCGACAAGATGCTCGAACGGGTGAGTGTTCATCAGATTTAGCGGTACGAAGGATTGTGCTAACGAACACGACAGATACCGGACAACTATCTCCGCGCCATCTTCGGCTCTTTCCTTGCCAGCCGGTTCATCTACACTATGGGCATCTCCGCATCGCCGGTAAGCTTTTTCGCGTTCATGAACGCACGAATGGCGAAGGTCAGACGACAGTAAGTGTAAGATGGTTCGAAACGAAGCGAGGCGTATGGCGCAGACCCTGACAGCGGGCGTCCTTGTGTTGTGGAATGCAGTGCTCGGGACGCATTCTTTGTTGACACGGTCAACAGAAGTTTAGATGAAGTCATGTGCGCCAGTACCACTTATAGACGATACACGAATACATGGTTGTTGTTCGGTTTCTCTTGAACTTCCATCTGCGCTGCAAACGTTCATCTCGCAAGCGTCGCGTAAGCACGCCGCACAGTAGGCTCGCTGTCTGAAGCTAGCCGTCGCTGGCTGTGCACCCTTCAAGGACAACGTCGCTAACGCTGCGCAGGTGAAGCCCACTCCCTGCCATATTCCTTGCGCAACCAGCTCGACGCCGGAAGGTTCAAGAACGAAGATGGCGCCGAAGCGACCTACCACCCCTGAACGGCCACGCAGTAAACGCATTCAGGCGGCTGCGAAACAGGCTGCCAAAGGGGCCCAAGAAGAAGCAAAGGCTGTTGCTGCGGAGGCGAACACGAAGAAGAAGCGAGCAAGTCCTGGCCGACCGAAGGGTTCCACTAAGAAGGTTACCACTGGGCGCGTGACTAAGAAGGCCAGCCCGAAGAAGAAAGCCACCCCAGAGAAGAAGGCCACGCCGAAGAAGCCGGCCGCCGCGACCACTACCAAGAAGGCTGCTGGTGCTAAGAAGGCGGCGCCGAAGAAGCATGCCGTCGACGCGGATCATGCCGATGATGATGAGCATGCCGCGAAGAAGAAGCATACTCTTAAAGAACTGTTCCCGTCTAGTGACGAGGTTTTGCGCATGGCGGACTGCCTTGGGCGGATGGCCCCAATGAGGACCTTCCGAAACCCGCCCGGGAGCCACTCTCACGACAAGCCCAAGCCGGACAAACGGCCTGCCTCGACTCAGTCTAAATGCAAGGTGAGCAAGGGATCGTCCTCTACTGGCGGGCTCGGACGGTCTTCCTCTAAGCCGCCAGTGGGTAAGCAAGGCAAGCACGACAAGCACGACCATCACGACGACCATGACCATCATGGCAAGGCTGGCAAGCAAGGCTCATCCGGACGCTCATCATCCAAGCCTCCGGCGAGCAAGCCCGGGTCCAGGGAGCACACTCCGGCTGGTAAGGAAAAGTCTCACGGTCATTCTGACCACCATCCTCGCCACCACTCTCACGAGCCCGAGGGCGTCGTCAAGAACGTCTCGGAGTCCCTCAAGAGCGGCATGGACATGGTCGGCAACAGAATGGGTGAGGCGATGGAAGCTGCTTCGCATTACGTTGGTGTATGGTTCTCCGGAACAAGCGCAGTAGAGATGACGACAGTTTACTGACATTTTCACAGGCTGGTGGGCGCGCACGATCGAAGTCGCCGGGCAAGTCCAAGCATTGAATGGAGAGACGGCGGCAGAGTTCGACAGTTGTCTGTTGCGTGTTGGTCTCAATCCTGGTGTCGGCATTGTGTTGCGCGAATGGCACGAGGACGCGCACCCGTATGAGGTTCATTGCCGTGAGCAGGTTGAGCGTTATATCAGTACCTAATCATTACTGCACGTTCCAAACATTACCGTATATCACCTCCTTCGTATGCCCGTCAGCACCATGCTGAGCGTTTTGTTTACATGACTGGCTGTGCACATGGCGACGTCGCCATTCAGCGAATAGTGAGGCGCTCGGCAGGGGGCAACGCCGCTGGCTTGAGGCAAACTATGATCGGGACAGACTGGTGCGACTGGTGGTGCATAGTCGCTCTCCAAATCAGCTCCTAAGCATCTGCCGTCCCTACCTTCCTAGACCTGCTACTACCCCCTTCGAGCAGTGAGTGAGGTGTAAAGACTTGACGAAGTGGTAGAGAAGCTGCCGGGCATTCTACCGTCTAGCATTGATTGCGACACGCTACCCCGGACATACGGAGACAACCGGGCAGTTTCACGTAGTAAAGTCACGGCCATTCGGTCGAACCAGTCATTCGAGGCCATTGTCGACACACGACCTACCAACTGCAGTAGCCATCACCACCAAGGCGTCTGCTGTGGATCAGCACGCCAGAAGGAAGTGAAGCAATCCTCACTCTACTCTACCAAAAGCGCATCGAATAATTCCCTGCAAACGGACTTTGCCATTGATGAACGCCCTGCAAACCTTCTGCCATAACCTCACACGAGCACCCACCACACGCAATACAGCGCCCGGACAGGCACTCCGAATCCCGCGTTACACACGGCTACTGCAACTAGCGCAAATGAAGCCACGAGAGGCGCAATCAAGCCTATGATGAGCGCCAGCCACACCATCTCTTCCTCAGTATCGACCGCAACCTCACCAACGAACCCTCTCACGACGCGATCACAGCCCAATATGGCCGACCAACCCGCGCCGCAGTCGCCAGCCATGCTCGGCCTCCGTAGTTGGGTCTCCCAGGCTGTGGTGGCATCCTTCATAGCAGGAGGTGTAGCTGGCGCGGTGTCGAGAACGGTAGTCAGTCCGCTGGAGCGGTTGAAGATCCTGCTGCAGGTGCAGACGCAGAACACAGAGTACAAGATGAGTGTACCCAAAGCGTTGGCGAAGATATGGCGGGAAGAGGGCTTCAGAGGGATGATGGCCGGTAATGGCGTGAACTGCATACGCATTGTGCCTTACAGTGCGGTGCAGTTCGGCAGCTACAACCTCTACAAGCCGGTGAGTCAAGACCTGTGGAAATACAGACATGCGACGTAAGCATAAACTTACGACGACGAACAGTACTTCGAAGCCTCACCCGGTGACGCACTATCGCCCCAACGCCGCTTACTCTGCGGTGCCCTGGCGGGCATTACATCCGTAACCTTCACTTATCCCCTCGACATCGTACGCACGCGCCTCAGCATCCAATCCGCCTCCTTCCAAAATCTAAAGCGGGAAGCCGGCAAGAAGCTACCCGGGATGTGGGAGACGCTTGTCCAAATGTACAAAACCGAAGGCGGTTTCGGGGCGCTGTACCGCGGTATCCTGCCGACCGTGGCAGGTGTCGCGCCCTACGTCGGCCTGAACTTCATGATCTACGAGTCTGTGCGCGAGTATTTCACGCCAGACGGTTCCTCGAACCCGGGTCCTGTCGGCAAACTGGCGGCAGGTGCCATCAGCGGAGCATTGGCTCAGACGTGCACATACCCTTTCGACGTCCTGAGACGAAGATTTCAAATCAACACCATGTCCGGCATGGGCTACCAGTACAAGAGTATATGGGATGCGATACGCGTCATTGTCGCGCAAGAGGGTGTTCGAGGCTTGTACAAGGGATTGTACCCGAACTTGCTCAAGGTCGCGCCGAGTATGGCGAGTAGTTGGCTCAGCTTTGAGATGACGCGGGATTTCTTGGTAAGCATGAAGCCGGAGGTGAATGGATATCAAGAGCGATAGCAGTACCGAATCCACTTGGCAAGCGCGTGGACTCTGGCGCGATCACACGCTGCGGTGTGCTTAGTATCCAGAGAACGTTTAGTGCTCGAAGTTCTGCGAGCTGGCCCAAAGGTGGGATGGACAAGCATGGGTGGAGCATTTGGAGCACACGGAAACGAGCATTTTTACTGTAAGGCCGTGGGAGCGCAGGCGTTCGAAAGCGGCTGGGGAAGAAGATCAATCAACCTTCTGCGACGACTGTTGCTGAAAGGTAGCATGCGCCAGCTGCGAGATTAATACACTGAGCGAGAGGCGCTGGCGGCTGGTTAGACCTGTATATTAATGGAAGATGAGAAAGTCTCGCCTGATCCAGATGAAAAGCCGTGTCGTCAGCCGTCTGTACGGGTACGAGCAGATGCCAAGTTGCGTTGCGGTTGCACCGTGGGCAGAGCAAAACCGTAGTCCTATTCCTCACCTATACGACTGCGAGCGACGACATGTCATTGGTTACAGCATGCGCGAGCTTACCATTCACAGCAGGCGACCCAGTATTGATAGCTGTAATAAACGACCCTAATCGCCTCGGCTCCCATGCAAAACCCTTGCTTGCAGTGTGCCTCGCGAGGAGCTCCCGGAGACTTCACATCCGTGGCATCTGCTCCGTCATACAAAAAACTGGTGCAGTGGAGCATGCCTGTACTACGACAATAAGCTTATAAGTTTGCTTGACTTGCGCTTCCCTCTGTAGGTGTCAGTCCCCGTCGTTCCAAGATACTGCATCACTTGGGTAAGTTGGAGGCAAGATGCTCGCCACTTTCTTCGATCGTACGTGGACGCCCACCTTGCTATACGTAGCGATATTAGCTTTCATCTACAGCTTGAGACACAATGTCCATCAATACATGATTTACGGACTCGCAGCAGCGGCAACAATCTATTACACACAGATCGTTCTCAGCGCTGTCACACTTGAGCGTAAACTCGATGCTTTAGGCAAGAGGGCACCCAGCAGACGAACTTGGTCCCCCTGGAACATCGGACTACTGTTTCAGGCCATTTGGTATTTCTCTCACCACCGCAACCATGAGTGGTGGTGGGCTCTGTTCGGTAAATGCGGTAACAAGAACCTGCCGTACACCGTGGAAGCTATAACCGCAGGGGCGAGGATCATCTTCACAGCAGACGAAGAAAAGTAGGTAAATGTCACCGAACCCTCCGTAACCGATATGCTGATAGTCGGATCAGCATCAAAGCCATCCTTGCCACGCAGTTTCAGGACTATGGCAAGGGTGAACGGTTTAGGGAGGAGTGGAAGGATTTCCTCGGCCTCAGTAAGTCCAGAAGCCGTGTCGAGACTCGGTCACCAGTATCGGTTATGCTGATTGCATCGCAGGCATCTTCACAACAGACGGCGAGCGCTGGCACGATTCCCGCAGTCTACTCCGCCCACAGTTCATCAAAGACCGCCTCTCAGACTTACTCACCTTCGAAAAGCACACCAAGGTCTTGATACCGCTGTTGGCTGGCAGCCACAACGGTGCAACCGTCCGCGCTGATGACCTCTTTTTCCGATACACGCTTGACGCAGCCACAGACTTCCTTCTTGGCAGCAGTGTCGACAGTCTGCACAACGGGCAAAGCGAATTCGCTGCAGCGTTTACCGAGGTCCAACACATTCAGAGCATCATCGCTCGAGCCGGGCCTATGCAGAACTGGGTGCCAAGGAAGAAGTTCCACGCAGGCTTAAAGGTTCTAAACCGCTTCGTAGATACGTATATTGATCGTGCGCTACAGCTTCCGCCAGACGAGCTGGAGAAGATGACCAAGAGTGATGAAGGCTACACCTTCCTGCACGCACTGGCAAGTTACACACGGGATCGCCAAGTCCTGCGTGATCAGCTTATAGCTGTTTTGCTCGCTGGTCGAGACACAACAGCCGTCACGATGTCCTGGCTTACTTACGAGCTTTCTCGGCACCCTCAGGTGGTGCAAAAGCTGCGACAAGAGATCATCAGCCACTCCGGCCTGGACAAGCCGCCCACTTACGACGATCTCAAGAGTATGCGCTACCTGCAGCATACCCTCAATGAAATACTCCGACTCTACCCAGTCGTACCCTACAACGTCCGCGTAGCGTTGCGCGACACCACGCTCCCCCACGGGGGGGGTCCGAATGGCGACGAGCCCATCGGCGTCCTCAAGGACACTCCGGTCGGCTACTCAACCCTAATCCTGCATCGAAGAGAGGACATCTACCCTCCAGCATCCGCCGGTTTCCCGGACTATCTATCCTTCGTACCCGAAAGATGGGATGGTTGGACGCCGAAGAGCTGGACGTACATCCCTTTCAACGGCGGACCTAGGATCTGCATTGGTCAGCAGTTTGCGCTTACCGAGTTGGCGTATACGCTTGTCAGGCTCCTACAGAGTTTTGAGCGCATCGAGTGCCGGACAGACGAGTTTCCGATGATGAAGACAGATATTGTGCTGCAACCGGCGCAGGGCGTTTACGTAGCTTTTATCAAGGGTGAGAAGCAGTGAGCTTACGTAGAAACGATAGGCACGACCAGAATGAAGGGAGTAGACTCATGAATACCCACTACTAACACTACAAGTTCGTTGCTGGCCTCGTGGCTGCGGCACGGTTGACGCCCTTAGTCTAACATAATCCTCTTCTTGGTGGTGGCGGCTACGCATCGCTTGCCCGCGTTACATGCCACTCACTGCTCCGAACAGAACTGGTGCTAGCAAGGGGTATGCACGCTCAGCCGCAGCTCTCGTACGCTGCGTTTCATAGTTGCAGCATGTTGGGAACCCCTGGCTCTGTGTCAATCATTAACGAGAGCACGCCATCCCATTCTCCCACTTGCGCTTCGACTGGATGACCTTCATGTACGTAAATGTGCTATGCTATGTTCTGCAGCAGGCCCGTCCGAGCGCCTGCCGCCGATTTGGCTCTTCAGCTTGGAACGCAAGTACCTCTGCCCGGGTAGGTTCGTCCAACGAAGCATCGCGACATACTGTCGTTGACTCTCAACGGGAAGATTGTCGTACAGCACTAGGATCTTAAAGCCCAGCTCAGTGGGAGAGGAGGCTGCGGCGTCGGCTAAGGTTTGATCAGTAGCCTTCCGAACGTCCACGAGCGCGTACCTCGCGCTTGCTTGGGAATATTGTAGATCTGCTCGCCGAGGCCTGCAGTGTCCGCGTCGTTTGCCAGGATCGAGCTGTCGCTTGATCGAAGACTAAAGCTGGTGTGAAGGAGGACGTAACTACAGGAGGCGGTCAAGCCTGGTTTCGATCTCCAAGGCGGTATATCAAAGGCGTCCCGGCAAGTCCTTTGCGAGCTGATGATGCAGGTTGGCCTCTCTGCAGTCCTAGATGCTGATTATGCCTTGAACCTCAAACCACGCAGGATGATTGGTGCTGAAACCGGCCTAGAGGAGGTCTAGTCGTCTGAACATATGTCGGGTTAGCTCATGCGAGAACGCGTTATGGTAAACAGAAGGGGAGGGTGCATTAGAGATCTTAAGCTCTTAAGATTGGAGTCTGTTTTGCGTGTGCTGTTAGCTATGCTACACTGATCAGAGATTCATTGTACAAGGCGGCAATCACCGCCGATGCCACGGAGCGTCGTGCTCGTCAAATATCCATCTCATATACGACCACCATATGCGCCAACGCTAGATATCAACCTGCTGCCCGTTTCCGAATGCACCAAGACACGCAACCATACTTATTGAGCTGTCGTCCCAGCCTCATCCATGACGCTGTCGTCTCCAATCGAGTGCCCATCCGGGTCCGCACCTGTATCGACGCCATGCCACTCATCATCCCCTTGATCAGTCGGTGGCACATCCAACACCGTATCTGCCTCAGTGTCTCCATCCTCGCCGCTAAAGTCCGGTCGTCCAATATATGTATTGTTGCTGTGCGGTGTTGCATATGCAGAAGGTGTGGTTCCACGCTTGCGGCTGGCAGCGAGCTGGCTCTGAGCGTCGCCCACGTGCTCAGAGGTGTACGGTGAAGGCGGCTCGCGAGACATGCGTGGGGTGAACCCGACTCCCCTGCGCTCTGCTTCTGGCGTGATTGAGGTCCGGCGCCGTTTGTTTGCGCCTGGCGTCAGGATTTGGCCAACTGGCACGGCCTCAGATCTTCCAGCAGCTTCACCATCTAGCGCCTTCTGATTCACAATGAACTGAGCGGGTGCGGCGAGATTGAAGGATGCGACACGGCGTTTCGGCAGAGACGCTTTGTTGCCGGCCACTATGGATGCAGAAGAGGGCATTGAGACAGCCCGATGATGGCCAACCGAATGTTGATGAACGTCTGGTCGGTCACTTGCAGTAGGCTCGCTCCCATTGTAAGCATCCGGAGACAGTTGACTGTGCGTATTCCAACGTGATTCGTGCGACATTGCGAAAGAGGCTGCAGCGCTTGATGCCTGGTCTAGACGGTCGTTGTAGGTCCAGCAAGCCTCTATGACAGCATTCGTGGCCTGTGCAGCTTGCTCGTCTGGATGGGCGTCGTAGATCGGAAGCCTTCGCAGCCCTGGCCACGTCGATCCTTGTGTGCCACGCTGAGTGTACGCTTCTGGGGTGGTGACGTACAGCCGTCGTTGTCCATCGGTAACCTTCATGCACACACTAGAGTCTAGCCAACCAGCCGTCCAGGTTGCGGATGTCACCATCTCCGCCGGGCTTAGGAAGCGTAAGCGTGATGACTTCCGAACCTTCCTGAGGGGAACAAAGCGTTCACCAAGTGCCTGGTACTTTACACTCTCCGGAGACTGCATATCCTCGCCTAGAGAATCGGCATTGAGTGCTGTAGAGATTGCATCGATGATGTGTTGTGATGATGCGGACGTCAGTGTGATATCTTGGACCAGACCGCGACTGGCTAGGCGCTTGAAGACTGTTCCTGACGGACCGCAGGCCTTTGGGCTCAGCCACTCATGCGCATCAGCGGCCCAAGCTTCGATAGATTCAGTTGTCCATGCATGACTGCTTGAAGCTTGAAAAGACAGTCTTGGGGCAGACTCGGGCCCGAGCCACTCGTCGGAAGCCTGCGTTGAGCTCTTCAGCGAGTGCTGTGTCGCGTCACAGGCTGAGAACCAAATGCCACGGAGATTGCGACCCCACGGGAGCAGGACCACCTGAACATGCCATGGACGCGCGAAGGAAGGCAGTGCTGCGTTCTCTAGATCTGATATACGGCCTTCAAGCGCGTCAATACGTGGACCGGTTTCAGCATTAACTGCGATAGTCGCCAGAACTGCAGCCTCGGTCTGCGCCGCGGCAGCGCTGTCGAACGACTCATCCGATTCAACCGACGCATCTTCTTTGCAGCTGAGACGTCTACGCTTGCTATTGCTCGGACCATGGAGCGGTGAATGGTTAGTGAAGGTATCAGTGTCTCTTTGCCATTGCTCTAGGTCCGAAAGTCGTACGCTGTGATGCTCAAACCTGTCGTGCACGTCTTCTGGCGCAACATGCGCAAACGACTGGCTTTCCAGCACCTCTACTCGGCGACTGAGGGTCTGAAGCATGTTGCGCATTTCGTGGATAGATAGATTGGTAGCTGAGCCCCGGAGAACTGCCGTACGCGCATCGTCGATCGGCGTAGGTGCCCCCGCAACGATGACCGCCGGTTGAGCCGTCGCAGAGGTCACATCGTGTCGAGCCTCAGGCGCATCCGGTGGAGCACGTGTTGCAGTAACTGCAAATGCTCGAAGGTCCGGCGTTCCATTCAAGCTCGGAGTGGCGATCTCCGTCGCACTGTAGTCCTCCATTGCTGGTGCTAAGGTGCCAACTCCTGAAGGAGGGATGATGATGGGCGGTGCCATGGAAGGCAGAGCTGTGCTATCGAACAACATGCGGCCTGAGCTGAGCCTTGGTTCGCCAGAGATACTTGGACACGCAGTGCTTGGGAGGTCGGATGTCCTTGTGGACGCAGTACCATCATCCTGCTTGCGAGCGAAGTCGTTCAGCGCGGTCCAAAGCCTTGTGTCGATCGACTGTGTCTGGGCTGAGGAGCTGGGCCGTATTCCAAGCCCTGCCGGCTGCAGTTGGTGTGCCTGCCCTTCATGTGGGAAGTTGGCAGCTTGAGAGATACTGCGCATTCCATTCGAGCTACCAGGAGCTAGAGCATCAGCAGCCATTGAAGCGCTCGGCGGACTTCGCCGTTGGCTTGGAGAACTGTGGAAACAAGCATGATGGCCGCAGTAGCACCAGGCCTTGTCCATGTCACCGCTCTGCGCGCCGTGATGGCTGCCATTCAGCCAGAAGCTCTTACACCCACAAGTCGGTGCTCGCGTGCCGATGCTGAGATCACGGAAGTTGCATGGACCAGTCGGAAGTTGATGCTCTGCATTGCTCTCAGCGTTGTAGTATGGTCGACTTGCGGAGCGTTGGTAGTTGAAGGTCGCCATTGGCGGCTATCGAGCACACCAACTGTATGTAGACCACAGCATTGCTTGACGATGCTGCACCCGACCGATTGGCAGGCCGTCTCTAGACTTTCCAAACTCTCAATGTGTCGAGTACGAGAGCGTTGCAGGCAGCCTTGTAGCCCCGCGAAGGGCACCAAGCGCAATCAATGAAACTTCTAGGCGCCAATGGGTCGTCAGTGAGCTTGCGTGTTCGGGTGTCAAACAACAGTCGAAGATCGAAAAGAAGAGTCACAGATTGGGAACCCCACGCGATCTCCTACCCGTTGCCGTTGGTGAGGCGCCGTGGTCCGTAGAGGAGCCGTTGCAGCATTCATTGGTTCGGGGAAAGCCTTCCCTTTGCCGCTGCATCGAGAAGGCGCTACTGCACCCTTTCAGATCTGCCGCTACATCGCCAGGTCACTATACACACACGTGCTTCAGCTACCGTCAGTGGCGTTGTTATGCGAACCATTACCGCAGATTGATGGACTTCGAGACGGACGACGGCTGGCGTTACTCGGTCCGGGCTGTTTGGGATGAGGACGCTGAGCCATCCCGCTACGCTCACGCCTCTGTGACTGCCCTCGTCTCCGACAGGCCGTTTGCGGGGAGAATCGACAAGGCGGTAGAAGACATCAATGACGAGGAGCTTCTCGATTGTCTCGAACCCGTGCAGCCGGAGTGTATCTTTCCAGTCTTTCCGGGCCACTTCACCAAAGCTCCAGCCTTCCACCTACCTAAGCACTATCTGAAAACGCCAAGCTTCGCGTGGGAAGATTGCCAGGACGGCAGAAGCATCGTAGCAGAATGCTTCCTGAGGGAAGTCTCCGTACTGGAGCAGTTACGGGAAGTCCCACATCCTAACGTAGTAAGCTACCATGGTTGTGTCGTTAATGGTGGCCGCATCACCAAAGTCTGCCTCAACGAATACAAGTGCAACCTAAGCGAGCACCTGGACGCCCATGCTGGACGATTGCCCACCGACGAAGCCTACCGAATTGTGGACAACGTCGAAGCTGGAATCAAGCATCTGCATTCGCTCGGACTGGCGCACAACGACATTTGTCCGGACAATATCTGCCTCGACGCAAACGGTGACGCGGTTGTTGTTGGCTACCACTCATGCCTGCCGTATGGTCAGCCTCTACTGAAGGGCGACGTGGCAGCTGGCAGCTTGCTGTCTCGAGACACGCCGCGATCGCATCCGGAGAACGACTGGCGAGGGTTAAATGAGATCGCAAATGTGCTCTTCGCCCGGCCCCACGAAAGTCTTTTGCAATCGAACAGCTACCAGATATGGCGCTGATTGTACTCAAAATGCGTGCCTGCACTGCCTGTAGTGGTATCGCCGACACAGTACGGCTGGCGCTTGCTGAAGCCCTACCTGAAGCATGCTGCACTGTTACCTGGACAATCTGGCCCACGGTGCCGAGAATGATGACCATCACTGCATTGAGCGGTGGCTACGAATGGGTGTTCTTGACGATGCCGGAGCGAGGCTTTGTGACCGATCAAATGTGGTGCACTTCGCTGTGAAAAGAACCGCGGGCTCACCGACAACATCCCGCCAATGATGGCAAGATAAGCGCGTTTCGTGGCACTTATAGCACCAGGATCGTGGTCAATGGCTATAAGACGTCAGTGAAGAGAAGCGGCCAGGAAGTGCAGATGTGGGAGTATCTGAATCCGTCGTACAGTGATGTCGGTGCTGTCTACGTAACTGTAATCAACAATGACATTGTCGTGTTGTGCACAGAGGTGCTAGCCGAGAGTCTCGCAGAAGATTCTCCCGCAATCGGAGACCTGTAGGCCTTCGACTGTGCACCAGAAACGGTCATTATCCTTCGCTCTCAACTGCTCCACAGCCCTGCTATCGGAGTAGAGAACCTAACGCCCGCTTGAACGACTCATGAAACACCAGCCATCTTTTACTGCTTACCAATCACATCCTCTCTCTCCCAGCCTGTTGGATTCTGGAATGCTATATCCTTCACCGGATGTGGCTGGCTCTCATCCTTGTACTTGCTGTTGTACGGGTTGGGATCGTTCTTTTGATCCAGATTGCCGAGCGTGTGATTCACCTCGCGGTGCTTCGATTCGTCAGCCCTGATGTACAGGATCAAGTCCCGCATTGATCGGTGATCTTCCGGCATGTTCCAGTACTTCACCGCAATATCGGGCGCCTGCATTTGAGAGAACATGGGTAGCTTGCCGGCGTCGATGTCCGACAGCACGCGGGAGTAAGTGTAAACGGCCTCTTCTTCCAGATAGCCCACGAAGCGGTGGCAGGTTTTGGGGGAGACGAGGTAGAAGAGGAACATGCCGTTGAAGAAGACGCCTTGGGCGCCGAGAACCATGAGCCGCAAGAACCAGCCGGGCTCGGCCATCTTCATGAAGGTTAAGAGGTGCATTCTCTCGTTGTAGGACTCCTCGAGAAGGGTCTCGATCCAACCGTTGTCTCGCTTCATGCGGCGCATGGAGTGTAGGTGGCGGAGCATGCCAGCGACCATGCCTGGAACCCCTGCCACGCTCTCGAGGAAGATGAACCTGTAGGTTTGTCAGCCTGCTGCTGTTGGGTTCGTTCCCAATAACTGGCGTACCGGATCATCCATTGTCGCTCAGTCATGGCGCTCTTGACCACGCCCGTCTGCGGGTTCTTCTTCGCCGCGGCCACATCTTTCGTGTGTTTGTCGGGCTTATAGCCGGACGCCACGTCCAGGCCGAAGCGCAGAAACCTCATTGCGGAAAGGGCAAACCAGTCTGACCATGTCTTTGCTTGACGGTGAGCTATGGCCACGGCCTCCATCTGCTCCTGGCTGTAGACCGGATGGGGCCATGCAGGTTCGGTAAGTTTGATGTTAGGTGCATCTGGTGCTGGAAAGAATTCCTTGATGCCCATCACTTTGGTCGTGCTGAACTGCCTCCGTGGTGGCGAACATTGTTGCTGTAGATGGATGAACGCCGGCCGAGAGGCGGCAATGTTTATCTTGCCATTCAGGGATCTGAGGGCTTGTCCAGCGGACTGCTTTGTGAAGGCGTTTGCTGTGATGCCTCGAGTGCAGTTCATCATGTTGCTGGTGTAGCTGTTGCTGGCAGAGGTGAGATGGTGGGGTTGTTATCGTTTCGGGGAGGTTGAATAACAAAGAGATGGTGGGTACGGAGCGGGTGAGCGAGAATTACACTATATACCAATGGACCTACATGGAAAGTGTGCTCAAGCATGAGAGCAGTCACATGGACCTCGCATTCGTGTTCGGTCTACGCCTGATACCGGCGCCGCACATGTTGTGAAGCTGCGAACAATGACTCTAAACGCGGCTCGCTTAGGTCGCGGGATATCCGCTAGCCAATAGGGAGCCGCTTCCGCCATCGGCGAAGCGAATCATCCGGCTGCGAAAGTGTCAGCCCCCTCCGACGGCATGGGCGAGCTGAGCCTAGACTTGACGCTGCGATGATACTCGACATTGGCAAACAGCAGGCAAATGTGGGTCATGTCGCATCGCATGCAGCAACGTGACGATCACCATTCATCTGTATAAGGTATATCGCTTTACCCAAGTGTTCGAAAGCTGAACGAGCAAATGAGGTTGTACTGTTTTGGAGAACTGAGGCATAAACACCCCGCTCCGAGTTGTTCCGTTTACCCGATCACGCGCTCGCCGTATTCTTCAACGACGATGGCGTCCCTACCACGACGAGGCGTTCCGCAACATAGACGGTAAAATTGACGCAGTCAGCATGCCGACCCGCATCATCCCGGCAATATGCGATCCATTGACATGCCATTGCACCTCGGCGGTGCTCAAAGCCTACACTCGTCAATCAATACCCAAACACTACGGATTCTCTACAACGCACTCACCTTTGGAAACCTTTCTCGCCGTCCCGTACAGTAATCTCCTTGTGGTCGACCTTCTTCACATCTGCCTCGGACGGTCCCATCTGGAGATGCTGTACAAACTTGTCGAGAGCACTTGGCTCGCCTTGAGCCTCGCCCTCAACCGTTCCGTCGTCAGCATTCCTCGCATGCCCTGTGACGTTCAAGCTGGTCGCCTGCTTCACCGCGAAAGCGCTTAACGAGAGTCAATCAGTTGTAAGACAATGTTGGGAAGCCTGATAGGCTTGATGCCACCTACCGATAGTTCACTCCTTGGACATCGCCCTCGACCTTATATGAGATCTATACGCATGTCAGCCGTCACTAGACGCTATTTCAACGTCTCGTTGAGCTCACTCTCTTCGACATGGTGGCAGTGGATGCACTGAAGCGTCTCATAAAAGATTAAGTCTGACAGAGTACCTTGCTTGACTCGTCTTTGCTGACTTACTTTTACAATTCAGGTGACAGCTGCTTTGTTTTCGACTATCGTGCGCAGGTGCTTTCAGACTGGATCTGCGAGCTGGAGCAATGTTGTGGCGTTCTGCACGTCGGCCGGCTATCGGAACGGTCCCTTAGCCTCATCTTTGCTCAAACGCGTCCGAGCGCGTAGATTGAGTTTCGTTTGTTGACCTGGCCGGGCCTCAATTTCGGGGACGTTGCAACGGAAATGAAAGGCCCTTGCCCATGCACTCATTGCAACAGTGTGCACATTCACAGTTCCATGCAGTACAACAACAACTTCTCCTGGATGCTGTGGCTCAATAACAAATCTGGAAGCCCTGGAGTTGTTGGCGTTGCTCGTTCACGAAGCCATGGAGTGTGACGTGGTCGCGAAGGCAAACATGACCGAAGCAAGCACACCAAGCAGTACTGTAATGCTCGATGTCCATCGTCCAGACTCGCCATCACCAAGTGTTACGCCTTCCTTGGCACTCGATGCGGTTCCATCGCTGGACCGCTCAGTCTCAACGCCTTCAAGCTCAACAACATCAAACTCTTCGATCCGGTCACGACAGTCGCGGCTCTCAGATGGTGCCACCTCATTTGTCAGGAGAAGAGGATATGTGCGACCGCAGGGCACCACGTTCGCGGACTCCGCTCGCAACAGAGATAGCGTGATGAGCCTAGGATCTATTGCGCACATGCAGTACTACTTTGCTCGAACAGGGTTGCTTGATGGCAAAGGAGCTCAGCTCGCCAAGGATACGGAGCGCAAGCGGAGCATTAGCAACAAGGAGAATCTGGAGCCAGCTGTACTATGTGTAAATGAGCTCGGTGCTTCCTCGCCGTCGATGTACGATAGCACATCTAGCTGTGCCGTTTCGGAGTCTGGAATGGATGTTAGCATTGTCGGAAGTCCGACTGATACCTCATATATGGGCGACGTCTGGCTGTCTGGTTCGGAGCCACAAATGCTCCCGCCTACGGTAAGCACCTACAAGGTCAGGCCTTCCTACTCCGAGCCTTTGCCAGACCTTCCCGTACTGAGGCGAGAGCTCAAGGAGGCGCTTCAGGACGCCTGCAAAGTCATTGAGGAGTCGCAGAAGCAGCAAACCGGAGACGAGACCGACGGCTTCCACGAAATCCAAGGTCTGCATATCCTCGACATCATCACATTGGCGATACGGGCTGCGAAGAATTACTACACGTCCCACGAGCATCCGACTAAGCTGTACGCAATTAGATCCGAAAGACAAATTCGGGCAGACTTGTATGCGATCCTGGAGATCTTGAAGCGCATGGCAAGCCGCAACTTCCGCGGCGGAATGCGACTAGACGAGCTGACTGGCATTATCGTTTGGATAGAGAGCATTGACAAGCTTCTCAAGAGAGAAGAGCAACAAGAGCAAGCGGAAGCCGCAGAGAGGGAGCTGTGGTCTTGGCAGCAAGATGGTGGTTGGACGGGACGCCAGCGACAGCGAGAGTGGCTTTTCTTGAGGTCCTTCGATGAGGAAAACCCCTCCTTGCCGCAATGGCCCGAGTTCAGCGAAACCGAAACGTTGCCGAATGACTTCTTGCGCGCTCTCGCTGACGGCCAGCGGCTGGTCAAGCTACATAACACGCTAGTGAAAAGGTCGAAGCAGCATTTCGATCTGATCAAAACGTGGCATAACGACGTCAGCAAACCGTACAGAAGGGCGGAGAACTTGCGATACTGGATCAAAGCCTCAGAGCTGCGCTGGGAGATCAAATTGGATGTACCGGTCTCCCATATTGCCAACGACAAGCCTGACGATACGGCGTGGCGAAATTTCGAGGACGCTATTCTTCGCTGGTGTTCAGGTGTCAGGGAACATCTGATCGAAGAATGGCGACAAGAGACACGTCCTAGAAAGAAAGAGCCTCCGATGCTGAGGATTGAAGTGCCTGACAATGGCCGGGAAGCATTGCCTGATGCATTACCTTAGTACTATTGAATCCCAGACTTAGCAGCGACATGATACCCAACAGCGACGTTCATATGCACAAACCTTATGCGAGTCTTGATGAGCATCGTGCGACACTGGCTGCCATATGGTGAGTCTTTAGTTCCATCGCACGGACGACTGTTTCAGGGTGTCATTTATGCCTCGGTTCATTCTAACTTCGCCGGTGCTCATGCCAAACACGGGCACTCACACCTGGAACACGCTAGATCATATTAACCCGGTGCTTTCAGCTCTCCTACTGTCGGGAGGAGCCTTGGTCATAACGATGATCTCCACGAAGGCAAATTTGAGCTCACCGCGTGTTTGGCACACCAATCCAGAATCAAGTCTACCTCATAGGCGAACGAAAGCCATGGCCATTCTCACGAGCTTTGTACTCGCAATCAGGACCTCGACTGTGGTCACACTCGCCCACCTGCAGAACAAGTAAGACTTGCTGAATGCTCTAGAGAAGGCATGTATGTGTTAAAACGCTGGTAAGCCCCCCTCTCCGTCTCCTTCTCCGGCTGTAACTGTCCCTTTGATACATCTAGCTACTGCCGATCACTCCTCGAACTGGGGTCGACAACGATTTACAAGATCAAGACCTGGCGAATTGCCTCGGCCTCTCCATTCCGTAGTATCTACAACGCGAACAGACTCGACGCCAGTCAAGGTTCCTGCATTGAGATACTGCGTTGGCGTATGCAGCGTGGCCTCATGTGACGGGCACATTCCAAGCTGTCACGCCTAATAGATTAACCCGCCTACTTGTGACACGATCTTGAGATGATGATTCGACACACTAGGAATGGTCATGTTTCAGCGCGATGCGTTACAACCCGAAGTGCCATGGACAGAAGCGCTGATGCCTCGGAGGTCGCTGGAAGACATTCCTGCTGTGTGCAGAGGACCTGGTATAAGTACGAGCAACATCACCACTGTGTCCTCGACTCCTTCCGTTCATCACTCGAAGAACAAACGATCTTTTGAGCTACCATTTTCACGGTTCGAAATCCTTCAAGAACTTGCACTATGGCCTTCTTCAGCACATTCTCCCTCCTAGCCCTTGCACTATCTGCCATTGCTGCTCCCATTGAAGAGCGTGCGGCTGCCTGTACTGCCTACAGTATGCTATATGAAACTCATACTGTCTGAGACAACCAGTTTGTTGACCTCTGCTACTAGCTCTCATCGATACTCGTGGCACCGGCGAGGCCCAAGGCCCGTCGGCCGGCTTCCGTACGATGAACTCCAATATCCGCTCGCAGATTCCTGGAGGCACTGAGGTACGGCATACAATGACTGACTCAACATACACCGAAGCATACTAAACCGCCACGCAGTACGACACCGTTTACCCAGCAGGCTCCAACCAAGACTCCTCCGCCGGTACTCAAGATGTAAGTACTTTTCACCGCTCACTGACGTACAAGCGTAACTGAGGCCCACATGCAGATCGTCAACCACATCAACTCGGGACTTGCCTCTAACCCGAACATGTGCTTCATCCTGGAAGGCTACTCTCAGGGGGCTGCCGCGACCGTCAACGCCCTCCCCAAAATCACTGGCGCCGCTTTCACCGCAGTCCGCGGCGTGTTTCTGATCGGCAACCCAGAGCACAAAGCTGGCCTCGCGTGCAATGTTGATGCAAACGGCGGCACTACGACGCTCAACGTCAACGGCCTTTCGGCTTACGGCTCGAATGGCATCCCGAGCAACTGGGTGTCCAAGACGCTCGATGTTTGTGCTTTTGGGGACGGCGTCTGCGACACCAAAGATGGATATGGCATCAACGCTCAGCATCTATCTTATCCATCGTCAACGAGTGTCCAGAATCTGGGGACTACATTCGTGGAAGGCAAGCTTAAGGGCACTTCTTGAGCAGATAGACATGCAGGAACGGCAGAGGAGATTGATAGGGCTAGTGGTAGGGAATTGGATGTATCTTACCATTCATGTTAGCACACATCCGTGGCGAACAGTCACACCAGTTGCAGTAACAGCCTAAGTCTTCTGTAACATTCGGCCGACAACACAATGTACTGATCGTCGTTGTATCGGTGTACATAGATACGTCCACTTCAGGCCAGTCGAGCCGCAAAGCCTACTACGCGTATAGCCGTCCGTAACAGCCTGCCCACGGCCATGGAACACCGTTAACACGGAAAGCTCCAGACGAGACAGATGTGTATTCCGTACTCGTTCGGATTGTGAGGTCCGAAGAGGATAGTCTGCCCTGCTTGCCGGGCCCCTTAGGAACCGCTTATTGATTCTTCTTTCTCGCTTAAATTGAAGCTCTTGCTGTCAGAATCGACCATCTCGGGCCGATTGAGCGCAGCCGAACAATCTCCGAGTTACGCAGCCGATTGTGTACGCTGAAACCCACAGTAATGGTTAGGAGCCACTGCGCATTTCTGACGTGAAAGCAGAATGGCCCCGAGACGGGCCGGACTAGTGCTTTGTCTGCACAAGAAATCTTGCCGGTCGGCGTGAACGCGGAACGCGTTGACACCGTCGCTGATGGGTGAAGCGGCGAGTTGCGCAACACCAGATGGACCTATCGCTGGATCGATTGTGTACGGGAAGGAAGCGCTGCATGACCGAGAATGCAAAGTCACCACCGTCCAACAGCTCGAGTAGTGGAAGAAGTGGTGAAACAGTAAAGATAGCTCATCTCCAACAAACCAGCGTTGATCAATCAGTCATTACGCGCGAGACGCCTCTGCGATGCACTTGCCGCGGCGAGAAGGCCGCTTGATGCATGTCTGAAGTTGCGGCGGCTGAGCGTCTCGGCGTTTAGCTCGAAAGTTGCGCGCCATCATCTGCCATTCGTCTCGTGCTTGCTTGTCGTGCTGGAACCTGCGTGTCAGACAGACATTGTGGCATGCTATTCCGCCGGTGCGACATCTGCGACGGGGGTATTGCATAGAGTTTGTGCTTATGCAGGTCAACGGCTGCGGATATTGGGACCAAGGGTCGCCGTGATCTGCGAGTAACGTCATCTCGCAGCAATTGGCACACTTCCTAACCAACCTTAGCGATCGACTGCATCGTAGGCAATATCGCTGTTGATCGTGAGGCGCTCATGTGGCCAGGCGTTGTAGACAGTCGCGCTTGGCAATTGGTGTATGCCTGGGAGGGTTTCCGTGAAGCGTGGAAGGAGCAAAGTCCGGCTGCAAGATGCAGTCGCCGGGAGAGGGGAAGGGACGGCGGGAGACGAACGAAGAGGGAGGAGATGGAGACTCTGAGCCACCGTCCATCTCAAGGACCATGACAGGCTCTCCTACGAGTTCGCGGCCTCACTTGAGTCGCATGGTGCGGTCTCCGCCAGGTCGACTATCTGAGTTGCCGCAGACGTCGCCAGAGCAGATACTTTCGCCAAGACAAAAGGTGAAGACGCCGGAGCAGCAAGGCGAGAGACAACGCGCACAGAGCAGCAACGCCACCGCCTCAGGTGAGATCCGGCCAGAGATTATGCGCGTTATTTCGGGCACGGAAGAAGAGAAGCTGGAGAAGCTGAAAGAAGCGGTAAACGCGAAGTTGGCTTTGCAGCAGCGCAAAAGAGGCAGCTATGGAGGGAAGAGAGTGTCGCCCATCAGGGAGGAAGATAATCAGATGATATCTCCCTCGCTGAATGCTGCATTCGCCAGCCCCGTGGAACCTGCTCCTCGACCTCTCTCAACCGACTCTACAGAATCCACAGAGTCCACAGGCTCGTCACGAACAGTACGCGCTAGCTTGCCTCCCACTCCTGCCGAAGGCCGACCACTTCGGACGCCTTCGTATCCCTTCCCTTATGTGCCAGGGACGCCGCGCACATGGTCTTCGAATTTTCATCAGCCTTTCACGGCACTGTCTCCTACAACGACTATGAACGCGGGCCTAGATGACACGCCGGGTCAACGCAGTGTCGATGTGACGTCCGCCGGCAGCACGCCCGGCGTGCAAGATTTTGCACCGCCCGGGGTCGCGCCACATGGTGTGGAAGATCCGCGCTTTCCCACGCCGAATCTCTACGACCTGGTGTTGCAGCTGAATGCCGAGCCTGGCATTGAGCAGTGGTGGGCCACGGTTACTAATCTCATGCATGACTTCTACAAGGCTGAGCGTGTGACGCTTGTTGTACCGATGGACGCCACTGATATCGAGAATGTGCCGTGGGGCCAGAAAGCAACGTTCAGTATGTACGGTCGCGAAGAGTTTGTGCCACATGGCACAATTCTTGAGCAAGTCTCACAAGCAGACGTCAAGGAAGCTTCTACCGACGCTCTAGCGGACTGGCATATGCAGAAATTGCACCCTGAGAGGCTTGGACGGCCAAGGCTGGAGTCTCGCCACTCATATGCTGGGCCGCCGCCGAAACGGGACGCGCCACCTACAGTCTATGAAGCTACATTGCGTTCTGCCAGACCCCGGGGTCCTCAGCGGACCGTCACACATGCCGGCATGTTCGGAAGCCGAGCACAGAGTCGAGGTCTACCCCATCGCTACCCATCTACGAGCAGTGTCCGCCATACTTCAATCAGCGATCCCGACTTCAGTAGCATCGCAGGAGGCGTTGACACTGGACCGTATGCCGAAGTCTTTCAAACGCTTCGAGCACTCGATCACGAAGCACGACCACTGATCGAGTCTGGTGGGGTGAATCGTGTACTCGACCGAGGCAGAGTTGTTACCATCACCAGAGACTACAGCTCGGACCCGTCCGACTCCAGTAACGGCCCCAGCTCGGGTACGACATCCAGAGCGAGTAATCTGCCAGACACAACACCTGTGGAGAACGCCAGCGTTTCTGCGACCAGACAACTCTTCGGCAATTATCGCACCAATGCTTTCGCTTCAGAGAATGCTTTCGGCTTTCAGCGTGACTACGAGGAGTATGAGCAATACCCGCAATCTCCCTGGGCACAATCGCCTGCGCCGTCACCGGCCATTCAAGGTGATGAGGAGAGTAATCCTTTCTTCGCCTCTGAAGAACAAGAAGTGGAGGACTCGTTCAATCCTGCAAACAACACGCCCAGGGACTACTCGCAATATAACCAGGTGGAAGCCATAGGGGTGGACAGCGCAAGTACTGTCATACATGTCCCGCTTGTTCATCCCACGCTTTCACAACCCATGCAAAGCCTAAGGATGAGACAGCCGAGAGACCATCCCGGTATGCCACAGAGGAGTAACACCCTCGACATGGAACGGAAAGCGCCTATCGCAATGCTCTCTATCCTGAGTCAGACAGTACCGTATCCGCATAATCTGACGCAGTCACTGAAGTTGCTTGCACCGCACTTGGCGACATCATTCTCCACAGCGCAGCAATTCTCGGCAAGCCATCAACAGGCCATTACGATTCGTCACAGAAGGACTGCATCTGGCCACAATGTTAGCACGGCACCGATGACCATCGAGCCAGCCTCTCTCGAAGACATCGTGAACGCCGAGCTCGAGGAGCCTCCGGGCTCAATCTCCGGTGGCAGCATCACGAGTCCGTCAGACTATTCTGGTCGTTCTCGCCACAGCCCCACCAGCTCCATTGTCGGCACACCAGGATGGGACCCTGCTTCCCATGGATGGTCTAACAGCCGGTCTGTTACAGGCACCCCAGCGATGACCGGTTCGGAGATCGTTCACGACTATTTCGACCAAAAACGAACTCATCGTACCGGACACAGGAGTGGTAGCCAGACGAGTCAGTCGGCACACACAACGCCAGCAAAAGCGTCGGCGAGATTTGTTGAAGAAGAAAGCAAAGTTAGTGCGCGGAAGGCGTCCCCTGCAACCAAAGACGATCATAAGAGCTCACAAAGCGAACAAAGGCTGAGGGCAGCCAAGTCCGTAAGAGACGAGAAATCTCCAATGCGAGTGGTGCGGGCGCAGAGTCCTACACGACAAGCCGAAGTCGCGTCGCCGCAAAGACCAGCGATGCATTATGCGGTGTCGCAACATAACGAATCAACCGCAGCGGATGCGTTTCGACGCCACTCGCTGCTGCACTCTTACGGCGCGAACTACGAATCATCCTTCGGGACATTACCGGCGAGTCTCAACGCGGAAAACACGCCCTTGAGCGCAGCCGGGCATGCGCGTAAGGCGTCGTACTCTGAAGATATGCCTCCGCCGTCTGAACGCCTGCTCCGCACCATCATCGACTCGGTTCCAGTTCAGATTTTCACCGCGAAGCCCGACACCGGCCAGCTATCTTGGGTGAACACCAAGTTCCTGATATACAGAGGTCGCGAACCGTATCAGGTGCTTAACGAGCCCTGGCAAGCCATCCATCCAGATGACCGGGCCGAGTTCATGGCGAGCTGGCAACGCTCGCTGCGGACTGCGCAGCAATTGCAGCAAAAGGTGCGCCTAGAGCGCTTCGACGGAAGCTTTCGGTGGTTCTATGTCAGAGCGGCGCCGCTGAAGGACAAGCGTCAGAAGGTCGTCCACTGGATAGGGACTATGATGGACTTTCACGAGCAACACCTTGCCGAGCTGAATGCGACACGGCAGCAGGAAACGGCGGCCTCGGAAGCCAAGTACCGCACGCTTGCGAACTCAAGCCCGCAGATCGTTTTCGCCGTGAACAGGAGCAAAGGGGTTACCTTTTGCAACTCGCAATGGCTGCATTACTCCGGCCAAACGGAGGCGCAAGCACTCGGTCTTGGCTTCATGGACCATGTGCATCCAGACGATCTTGTCAAGTGTAAATTGCCTAGCTTTGATGACGACTCTGGTAAGCCGACGAATGTCCCGACCTCTGTACCTACGGAGCTCAAGCGGACGCCCACGAACTCTGCGAGCTCCTCAAGCGGGTCCTCCGAGACTGAGCGAGGTGTGAACAGCTCCGAGTCTTCACCACTCCAGACCATGCCGCAGCGGCAACTCTCTGAACTCGCAAGTACAGGTATACTCAAGGTCGCGCGTGACGTTGACGGCCGCCCTTTTTACTCGACCGAGGTACGCCTGAGATCAAAGGAAGGCGAATACAGATGGCACCTCGTACGTGTCCTGCTCGCGGAGCCGCTACTGCAGCAGACCGAAGACGAGGAGACGTGGTACGGAACGTGCACAGATATCAATGACCACAAAACGCTCGAACGCGATCTGAAGGAGACCATGGACGAGAAGTCACGCTTCCTAAGCAACATGTCGCACGAAATACGAACTCCGCTCAACGGTATCACGGGCATGGTCAACTTCCTTATTGACAGCAGTCTTTCGGCCGAGCAGATGGAGCATGTCAACATCATTAGAGCAAGTACCGAAGGTCTACGCGGCTTGATCAACGACATACTAGATCTTAGCAAGGCCGAGGCGGGCATGATCCAGCTCAGTATGGACTGGATGTACGTCCGAGCGCTTATCGAGGAGGTCAACGACTTGACATCCGCCATGGCGATTGACAAAGGTCTTGAGCTGAACTACATCGTCGAGGAGGACGTGCCCACACAGATCAAGGGCGATCGCTTCCGCATACGGCAGATACTCCTGAATGTCATCGGCAATGCGATCAAGTTCACACAACAAGGCGAGGTGTTTGTGCGGTGTAGCGTCTTGACTCGCTCAGACGTCGAGCTGGCGAAGAATGAGATGCTCATTAAGTTCGAGGTTGTGGACACCGGTCGAGGATTCACAGAAAAAGAGGCGGAGTATCTGTTCAAGCGCTTCAGCCAAATCGACGGCAGCAGCACGCGCCAGCACGGAGGCACTGGGCTAGGTCTTGTCATCTCTCGGCAGCTAGCCCAGCTGCATGGGGGTGACATGAGCGCTAAGGGAGTTCCCGGCAAAGGCTCAACGTTCAGCTTCTATATCAAGACGACTTTGCCGTCAAGATTCGACCAGCCACCAGCGCCGCCGCCTACACCGGGTCTGATGACTATGTCGAGTCTGCCAGGATTCCCAGGCCTCGCATCCACGCCGCTAAGCATGCCAAGACTGACAAAGATCCCCTCTCTTCCGGATCAACCACGACCGTCTCCGAGGTTCGCGAGTGAAACGACTTCAACCCCTTCGCCATATATGTCGCCAGACCTTGGACGGCCGTCGCCAGCCGCTTCCATATCTTCAGCCAGCTCGGAACCTTCGATACTCTCTGCAGCACGCACAAGCAGCCTCAAGTCCGAACGCTCATCGGCGTCCTCTTACGTGCCGGATCCGGCCTTTACTGGACCCACCGTAAGCCTCTCTCTGCCGGATCACCGCAAGTCTGACTCTCCTTCTGGAGCCTCTGAACAGTCAGTCGACACTGTGCGACGCATATCTACGCCGGACATTGTTGGCCATCTGTCGCCAGGTGGTAGCATGGTGCCACCGCTGTATTCCATATTGGTGATCTGTCCGCTCAAGTACAGTCGCGAGGCTACCGTGCAGCATATTGACAAGACCGTACCGAAGAACGTGCCGCATTCTATCACGGCACGAGAACATCTGCTCGAGTGCCAGAAGATGCTGGGTGGCGAAGATCCAGTCATATTCACGCATATCGTCGTGGTCCTGCAGGATGTGGAAGAGATTACTGCACTCATGGATCAGATACTGTCATCGCCTGCACACTCTGGCACCTCCATTATTATCATCACGGATCTTGCGCAAAAGAGAAAGATTATCGAGCAAGCACCACGGTACAACTACGAAGCTCTTACAGAGGAACGGCGGCTACGCTTCGTTTTCAAGCCGCTCAAACCTTCGCGCTTCGCCATCATCTTTGATCCACAGAAGGAGCGTGAGATGAGCACAGACCGCAACCAAGATAGCGCGCAGCAAGTGGCTGTCAATCAGAAGCAGGTGTTTGAAGAGCTTACGGCGCGTCTGGGCGACAAAGGGAAGCGGGTGCTTCTTGTTGAGGACAACAAAGTCAATCAGATGGTGAGTACGCGGCGTTCAATCTCCGAAGCCTCTTGTTAACAGCTCTTTAGGTTATTCTCAAGTTTTTGAAGAAAGTCTCTATCCCAGCCGACACTGTGATGGACGGCGTGCAATGCACGGAGAAGGTGTTCGCCCAACCCCACGGCTACTACTCCATCATTCTCTGCGACTTGCACATGCCGAACAAAGACGGCTACCAGACGTGCAAAGAGATCCGCCGTTGGGAGAAGAAGAACAAGTACCCATACTCACCGATCATCGCACTGAGTGCCAACGTGCTGGGTGACGTGTACCAAAAGTGTGTGGAGGCTGGATTCAACAGCTACATGACGAAACCGGTGGATTTCAAGGAGTTGGCTCAGGTATTGATGACGTTCATGGATCCTAGCGATCCCACAAAACCGTTTGAGCTTATGAAGGGAAAGAGAATGACAGGCGCTTCTCAGCGCTAGGAACGGGATAGTGCAATGCTGATTATGACAGTATATGAAGAGGACGATCATTGGGTGGAAGGGGCGGAGTACGAAAGGGATGGGTAATAGCGAGGCGTTGGGTGGTATATGTGGCATTATCCTGGCGTATGCGTACGGACTTGATGGGCGTCGACAGACAGTATTTGGTGTGTACCTAGCGATGGCGCTGGCGTGAGGTGGCGGAGCGTCTGGCAGAAGACTCGACTTCTTCACATCTAGCTCGATACTCCGAACTGCACTATATCTACATGTGCGCTGCCTACAGGTCCCGGAAGACCGCAAAGGCTTGTTCATGCTGCTGTTCGTCATCTCACACCCTTCGTTATACATGCAGCGCTGAACTCAAGTGCCTCATACCTTGGCCGACTTCGGACTACTGTCGAACCTCGTACTGCCACGAAGTCGAGAATGTGCTTCGTGACTGGCATGAGCAACCAAGATCAACTGTACAAAAAGGTGCCGAAACGAGCCTCCCTCCTAGATGTACCACATACGGGTTGCAGCCAGAGCCAGTCACCCTTTCCCTCGATATAAGGGTAATATGATTGACAAGTCTGTCGCATCTAGCACGGACTACAGCCACCGCGAGTACCATCTCGACCTCACGCAGCTTCCAGACTCTGGCGTATGGATGACTCTCATCAGGCCTACCGTTGACCTCACCCTGCCCACCGAACCAAAGAAGACCGTGCTCCAACCGGGCACCGGCATGCGCGCGGTTGACGGCGAACAAGCTGATCATGATCTTCATGACGTTCGCCCGGGAGTCGGTCCTCCTTACCTGGTGGGCCCGTACTCCGGGTCGAGAATGTGGCAGCGATGTGGCGAGCGCTGAGCCGGAGTACGAAGACGCTTTATGGGTACGCCGCGGAAGCGTGAACTGACGACTACGGCGACACGATTGCTGTCATTGCAAACGATATGAAGAGGCCACATGCGCCCGTGCTGGGAACTTTCAACGCCCTCACGCCCACTACGCACGATCTTTAACAATAGCTCTGACCCTCTTCCTCTCATCCGCGTCAAGCATCCACTTCACACCACTCTCACGCTCCAACTTCGCCCCATCCATCTTACTCACCTCCTCCCACTCATCATCCTCCATGTTCATGATCAGCGTCATCTGCACGCACCTCGCAAAGGCATCGCGCAACTCATACCGACCCCCCCTGACCGCTGCGGCCACAATCCCCGCAACGTCTCGCTCCAGGCGGACAGCGCCGAGCTCGTTGACGCGGCCGTAGTAGGACCAGATCCGCTTCTCCAGCGTTCGCGCAAGGTAATGCACGGTCGCTGTCAGGAGCCTGTCGTATGTGCTAGCGGTCAGGATGCGCTTGACGGGGAGAGTGAAGGCTTGCCAGCCTCGCTCGAAGCGCTGCGCAACGGCACCTTCCGCCGGCTCTTGGGCGGCCTCCTCCTGGTCATCGTCGACTGAGGGTCCGTACTCGACATCGCGGAAAGTCTCGATGAGGACGGGTCGTAGTCGGGGTCGCATGACTTGCTTGAGCATGACCTCCGTCGCTTCATTGATAAGCTCTGAAGTTTTGCTCGCATAGCCGGCTTCCATATTGTGGAGCAATCTTTCAACAGCGACGGACTCGTTGCCAAACGGGAATGCTTCTCGAAGAGCGTTCGTGCCGTCTGCGTGGGCTGCTTGCGCGGGTTGCTGACCGCCAACACACGTCCGAACAATGCGCTTGACATATTCCGTGGAGACATCAAGGTTGTTGATGAGCACAAGAAACTGGATGATTACCGTCTCCGGTGGTAGAGCGCCCTGTATGGCGGCCTTTGGGTAGCTCTCATCCCTCATCCTGCGTTGGATCATGCCAAAGAAGTCACTCCCAAGCACTCTACCAACGGTAGGCACCACGCTCGACACCACAGCTCGTTGGTTTGTGGATATCGCACGCTGCAGGACTTGGTTGACAATGTACATAACGTCATCGACCGCGCTGGTCACGAATGGCGGGCTGGCACCAAGGGCCTTGCTAGGGTTTAGCGTGAGGTCTGACGGCCACTCATCAAGCTGGAAGGACTTTTCCACGCTGCGACGGAAGAAGAAGGTCGCCATCGTGTTAAACGGATCGATTAGGAGGTCTGCCACCTTTCTTTGAAGAGTGCTGTGTGTCAGGAAAGACGGGATTGTCAGCTTGACGTCTTCGCCGTCTTCGCTCTCCGCTGCGGTCTTGGTGGCGAGAAAGCGGATGTAGAGTGACCACCGGCCGAGCATGACTGCGCTTTCGCCGAGCAACGCGTCGACCTCCTTCATGTCTACACCCTCGTCTTCGCTCGCACGCCCTGAGCCCGGTGCGGGTGACCCTGTCCTCGGTGACGAGCCGATAGTCGGCTTCTGAGCAGGCAAAAATGACTGCACGAGGAAGTTGAATGGGTAGCTTCGGACATCGGTCAACTTGCGGCTGATCCTCCTCTCCTCGGCCCAAGTGTCGAGGATTATGCCGCCTTGCACGTCAGCCTCTACTTGAATGCGCTCGATGACCTTTGTCATGCTGCCGGCGCCGTAGTGCCGCTCGACAAGCGGCTCGTGTCCGTCGACAATCTGCGCGATGTGCTCGAAGAGCTTCGTCAGTGCATTGGCGTAGAACAAGCCCTCTCGGCGTTGACTCGTGTTCATGCTGCTTCTCGCTCTCGCCGCAATGCCTGTGCAAACGTAGCGACCATAAGCGTCCAGGCCTACGTCTCGGCGTCCTATAAGCGGAAAGAGCTTGAAAAATCTGGTCACTCTCGCCCCATCACCCTCCTTGGCGGCCTTCTCGAACTCACGCAGGAAGAGGCCGCACAAGCTCTCGGCGGCGGCATCGAGCGTCTGTCGGGGTGGATCCGGCACTTCAGCGGTAGGTACGACGTCCTCGGCGAAGGCACCGTCGATGACTGCATCCGGGATTTGCGAAGCGCGATGAAGGTAGGAAGCCGCAGTCTCCCAGTCTTGAGGCGCGCCCATTGACCCGTGGACGCCGAGCACGCATGCTTTGAGCTCGGCAACTTGTTCGACGACTTCGAGCGTTGCCCTCACCGCGGCCTGCTCGCGGTCCAAATTCTTGACCGCCACGGTGATGCGGGATGCGGTGCTAGCGGCTGGCGAAAGGGCAGCATGGCTGATTTGCCTCGCAGCGAGCACCTGAGAACCCAGATGGGCCCGCGCCAAGTCGAGTCTGGATAAGTGACGGGTGAGGTCTTTTTGCGTGGCGAGGAGATTGTCCAACCGGGCTGTCACGGTGGCTTCCCTAGCACTGAGCTCCGCGAGAGCATTGCGGATGTCATCGACCGTGGATGCTTCACGTACGCTGATGTGCTCTCCATTGCTGCCGCCATTCATAATGAGCCAGGTGGTAAGGTGAAGCAGGAGGCAGTCCAAGCGACCAATCAACAGTCGATGCTAGCGTTTCCCTCGCTCGACGTTAGCGCGACGTTGGTGTGATCGGCGCATCCACGCGTTGTCGTTGTGGGGGCGCAAGGAATCCGTGGATCGCATTGCCCGTTGAGCCTCGTCCGTCGCATGCGGTGGCCATGATGCTGCTGTTACTGTAGGAGTCTACATTGCCATCACGACTCTTCTTCTCTCATCTACTTCGATCATCTCTGGACAAGCTGCAGTTTGCTATAGACCGGAGGTCTGCTGGAGAGACGCGTAGCGAAAGAGTGGCTTGGCTTGTTCAACCGCCACGCACTCAGCCACCACTTCCACATCTGGCCCAGGGACTGCGCCTAGAAGCACGACAGGTCGTCGAAGTTTGGAGAGCCATTGTACCGCCATAAACACTTATTTTGCTGTGCGACGTGCATTCGTTGGATCGCGGTCGTTCTACCAACATTGGCAGTCTCGTTTGTATCGTCTTCTTGCCATACCCGCTTCCTTCCCACGTCTCGCCTCCGGCAAGCGCAGCGATAAGCGCCCATAGCCTTGTTAAAGCTGGACTTGGAGACTGATTAAGGAAGGCACATTGGACAGCACAGTTCGATCGTAGGAGACGGAGATATTGAATACGACGATCAAGCGAACGACCTTGGACACACCCAGCGACAGTATCCCTACGCCTATGCAGCAGCGGTCAGGCGATCGATAACCACTCAACTCACCTCCTTCCCATTCCCGCTCTCCCCATGGACACACTCGCCCAAGATGTCCTATACTCCACAATCACACATACCGTCACGCTCATCGCGCGCGCGGACGCAACCTCAACGAGCGCATCGAATACCAGCAGCAGCACCGCAAGCGCCACCTCAACCTCGACGGCGACCGCGCAACGTCCGCCAGCGTACAAGATCGTCGGCATATGTCTTGCTGTCTGTTCCGGCCTGTTTATCGGCGTATCGTTCGTGCTCAAGAAGGTCGGTTTGCTGAAAGCGAACGTCAAGTACCATGAAGAGGCAGGAGAAGGGTATGGCTACCTCAAGAACTTCTACTGGTGGAGTGGCATGACCCTCATGATCCTCGGCGAGCTCTGCAACTTCGTGGCCTACGCCTTCACCGATGCCATCCTCGTCACCCCTCTGGGCGCACTCAGTGTGGTCATCACCACCATCCTGAGCGCCGTCTTCCTCAAGGAGCGCTTGAGCTTCGTTGGCAAGATGGGCTGCGCCATATGTATCCTGGGAAGCATCATCATCCCGCTGAACGCGCCCGTGGAGAGTGCGGTGGCCGACATACAACAGATGCAACACTATGTCATCCAACCCGGCTTTCTCTCCTACACCGGCGTCATCCTCCTCGGGTGTGCATTCACCGCTTTCTGGGTGGCGCCACGGTACGGCAAGAAGAGTATGCTGGTCTATCTCAGCATCTGCAGTCTCATCGGTGGACTCAGCGTCGTCTGCACTCAAGGTTTGGGCGCCGCGATCGTGGCACAGATCAACGGCAAGGCGCAGTTCAACCACTGGTTTCTGTACATCCTGCTCGTGTTTGTAGTCTGCACGCTTTTGACGGAAATCGTGTACCTGAACGTGAGTCGGTCATCGTCCCGCTGAGAGCGAGCTTATACTGACCATACCTGCAGAAAGCACTCAACATCTTCAATGCCGCCCTCGTCACGCCAACCTACTATGTCTACTTCACGTCCTCCACCATTGTCGCGTCCGCAGTACTCTTCCAAGGCTTGCACGGCACGGCTATCCAGATCATCGACGTCGTTTTGGGCTTCCTCGTCATCTGCTCTGGCGTGGTCTTGCTCCAACTCGCCAAATCCTCCAAGGATGTTCCGGACACGGCAGTCTTCAGCGGCGATCTCGACCAAGTGCGGACGGTCGCCGAGGTCGAAGAGCCAGAGTACGAGCCTCGTGCTGACACCATCCGTGGCGGTGCCGGTATTGTGCGCGCACTCAGCAAGGTAAGGACAAAGCGGCAGGTGGAAGAGGTGAAGCGCATTCAGGACGAACGCATGGAGCCTATAGGCGAGAACGAAGAGTTCGAGTGGGACGGTCTGCGAAGACGGAAGACGGTCTCGAGTCTCGGACGAAGCCACGCCGAAGGTAGTATATCACGGCGGAAGACAATCCATCCGCCCTTGGGCATGGCGCAGTTTCCAACCACGGACGACACCATTAGTGAGCCGGACAGCGAGGTACATCCTGGCTTCTTCGGCAGGATCGCACGCAGAAGCCATACCACGAGCGGCGGGGGCAGTCAGAGGGATAAGAAGCGAAGGAGGAGCGGACACAGTCCGGTGCCGCTGTCTACCGTAACACCCAACAAGGGTGCGGATGCTGCGGAAGAGCAGCCGGCAGAGCACATCTATGGCCTTCCAGCCGGTCTCCAGGCGCACCACGCCGAGCATGAGGAAGATACAGCCTACAAAGGTGCCATTGGCGCTGCGAGTACTGCTAGCGATGGAGGCCCACACATCCACTTCGCAACCTCAGAAGCGCAAGAAGCGCGCGACCGCACCGGCTCAAGAGGCAGCTCTCTCGCTCCACCCCGGCCGCCACCCCATGCCCACGGCGGAGGGAAGCGACAATTCTCCTTCCAAAACCCCTTCCACCGCCGCAGCCACCACGACGCCACCGAAGACGAACGCCCCACCAGCCGCGGCGCCCACTCCTTCACCTCGCGCGGCGGCAGCGTCCGCGAGTACCCCACCGGCGGCCCCACGACGGAAGAAGAGCGCGCGGGCCTCGTGTCGGGCGATGGCTCGCGGTCGACGTTGCCGCGGTACACGGAGGTGCCGGAGGAAGAGGAGCCGGAGGAATTGGGCAGGAGTGGAAGTGAGGAGTGGCAGGTCACGTCGGGGACTAGTAGTAGTCCTGAGGTGATTGGGGCGAGTGGTGGGGATGTGGGGAGGCGGGGGAGAAGGGATCCGTATGATGGGCGAGGTGGAGATGATGAGGAGGACAGGCTGTTTGACGAGCCGTTGAGGAGTCCGCTTACGAGGGATGAGGCTGGTGGGCGTGGGAGGGGAGGAGGTCCGGCGTTTGTGTAGGCTGGCGTGTGCTGGTCGCATGCGTAATGTTGGTTATCAGTGTCAGTTGTGTGCAGCGTTCGAGCAGGGAAGGGAGGGGTGTAAACTTTTGTACATGGATGACGCAGAAGATGACTATATCGAAACCTCCGCTAACGTGATGAGCGGACAGGTTCTCAGCGGACACGATGGGTGCTCGATTGTTTGCATATTACCCGAAAAGGCAGCTCATACCTGAATCCACACAGCGCCCCGCACGGAAGTGAAGCTTACAGCTCGCCAATGGCGATAGCTTGCCCGCAGCTCACTCTACGCCTGCAGCGGTGGACGCGACTGCGCGATCTTATCGCACTGCCGTTACATGATAGCATCCCGACTGACTACCACTTGGCTGCCCGCCTCGGTTCAGGACGAGGTCTGCTTATCGACGCGAGCTCAGAATGTACCCCGCTGGAGCACCATAGCGAGAACGAGCTCCCTTCTCTCCGGGCAAGGTTAGGTAGGTGGAACACTCTCATCGTCCTTCTTTTCTCTCTCGCTTCGTTTTACTCGTGTTCACTGGGTGGATTGAACCTTCGTTGCTCCTTGTCATCTAGCAGAAAAAGCAGTAGAGGTTACTGTCTTCATCTTGCATTCAGAATGGGCAAAGAGGGCTTGAGATATGCGGCTAAGGTGGACTTGACGAAGGAAGCGGCTACCCAGCCTCATCTCCATGTAGGTGTTGCCATCAAGGTGTGCGGTGTTGAGTCCGCGCTGACCCTACTCATAGAACAGATGGCACCCTGACAGTAGGTCCCCCTGACCGCACCTAGATACCCAAGTCGGTGCAGCCGGTAGCTGATCGCTCAAAGTTCCCTTCTGCGGTACTATCAAGAACAATGAGGTGGTCAAGATTGAGTGCGTCGACTGGACGGGCGGGCAGATTGGCAACAATGACAGCGCCGACGATGTCCGGGATGTAGACCTCACCAAGGTTCGTGACGTGGTGGAACATGCCCATGTACGCTAGCTGGGTGATAGCTCACACTGTCCACGCGCGGCAGATCCATTACTTGACCGGCCCGTTCGAGATCGAAACCGCAGAGCCGGGCGATGTGCTCATAGTCGAGATCCAAGATGTCCAGCCGCTGGAAGACAGCCCGTGGGGCTTTACCGGCGTCTTCACGAAGGAGAACGGCGGTGGCTTTCTGGACGAGATCTACCCAAAAGCGTATGTCTTCTACAGACTCGAAGTGGTGTCACTCCAGACCTGATCTTATCTTGCAGCGCGAAAGCGATTTGGGACTTCGAAGGCATCCACTGCTCCTCCCGCCACATCCCCGGCGTCCGTTTCGCCGGCCTCATCCACCCGGGCATCCTCGGTTGCGCGCCCTCCCACGAAGTCCTAAAGACCTGGAACGACCGCGAAGGCCAGCTCATCAAAGAGTGCAGCCACATGGACCGCGACGTCGCCCTGCCACCGCAACCCAAGAACGTCCACGCCGGTTCCGCCGGCGACGACATCAAAGAGAAGGTCGGCAAAGAAGGCGCACGTACCGTCCCCGGCCGACCGGAGCACGGCGGCAACTGCGACATCAAGAACTTGTCGCGCGGGAGCAAAGTGTACTTGCCCGTTCACGTCAAGGGCGCCAAGTTCTCGGTCGGAGACTTGCATTTCAGTCAGGGAGATGGTGAAATTAGCTTCTGCGGCGCTATTGAGATGGCGGGCGTGATCACGATAAAGTTCACCGTGATGAAGGACGGGATGAAGCATCTCGCTATGAAGTCACCTATCTACATTCCCGGCCCGGTAGAGCCGCAGTTTGGCCCCGGAAGATACATCTACTTCGAGGGTTTCAGCGTGGACGAGCATGGCAAGCAGTATTACTTGGACACGACGGTAGCGTACCGGCAGACGACGCTAAGAGTCATCGAGTATCTGAGGCGATATGGTCCGTCACTCCTACAAAAGCTGGGTTTGCAATGGCTAACGGGTTGGCCAGGCTACGACGACTACCAAATCTACCTTCTCCTCTCGTGTGCTCCAGTACAGGGCCATGTGGCGGGCATCGTGGATATTCCCAATTCGTGCACGACTATCGGTGTGTTTTCCTCTAACCTGCTTTGATTCATTGCGTGCACACGCTGACAGCATTTCCGCAGGCGTGCCCATTGACATCTTCGATTTCGACATCAGCCCGTCTGCGCCTGCGGAGAAGAAGGACATGGGTAGCTGCGCTTTTGCAAGCTCGTGATATCCAGGAGTAATCCAATACGTGCAATCTTCGCTAGATGTGACCTCAAAATCAGAAATCTATACTGCGTAGTCGAACTTCTCGTGCCCTCGCTTGACAAATCTCAATGGCACCTTGTCGGTTCGCATCTGGATTGTAATGATGGTCATCATGCCGGTCTTCAGCAGATGGCGCGCTCTCGCATCCGCCTTATTCCAAGCCTCGCGCTTCTGCTCCTCAGATGCCCTCTTCAGCTCCTCGTCAGACAGGAACATGCTCACATCGAGCTCGACGCTGTGCGTTTTGAAAATCGTTGCGAGCACGGCCATGATCTCGACTTGAGCGAAGCGGCGTCCAAGACATGATCTGTAGCCCTCGCTGAACGGGACATACGCGCCTCTTGTTGGACGGAAGAGGTGTTCAGACGTATCATGTCGTTTGTCGGGACCTTCAAAGTCCAGACCTTCTTCGGTGGCGTAGGCTTGTTCTTCTCCAGTCGGATGGCTACCACCGCTCTTCGAGCCATCGAGCAGCCAACGCTCCGGCCGGAATTCGTCCAGGTCCGCTTCTGAAGTATGTGGCCAGTACTTTGGGTTCCGGTGCAGTGCAACTGTATCGAGAGTGATATTGCAGTTCTGAGGCACTGTGACGTGCTTTCCTCCGAACTGCAGGCCCTGTGGCTGCCCGGCGTGGGTGCACTTGGGAATACCAACAACAGGCGGGATAAGGCGGAGCTGCTCGTTCATGACCGCACCGCACATGTTACCCATGAGCTTGGGAATGTCATCGTCGTAATCCCACTCCGAGGCCGGCCGGTCACCGAGTGTGTTGTCGAGGTCTCTTTGGAGGTGACGCTGACTCTGTGGATGCATTGCCAGGTACAGCAGGCAGAAATTGATGGTGTTGGCTGCCGTTTCGTGACCGGCAAGAATGAAGACGAAAGCATTGCCTAGGATTTCGTCATCTGTAAGAAGCTGCTTGCTGGACGATGAAGGTCCTTTCTCCGGAGTCGAATTGCCGTTCGCTTGAGAGTGGCTTCGAGCAACACCAGCGCCTTTGACCAGAGCACCCATCAAGTCCATTCCCTCTCGTGTCTCGCCTTGCTCGACCTCCGTCCGCTTAGTCTCATAGATCTCACGCATATACTGGCCCCACTCGGTGTAAGCCTGGTTGGCGATGCGGTGAAACTTGAGCGGCGAAATGCGCAACAACCACTTCGGTGTCAACATCACTACGATGATGTAGTCGATAAGCGTCCGGAGGGCGTCTTTGTAAGTCATGCTGTGACCTTTTGGCACCATCTCGGCCCCTTTCTCGTGCGGCCAGGATAATCTCACGCCAAACCCAGCTCGACTGATAACGTGCAGACTGATCGTCATACCACCATCGACCACATCCCAGATCGGCTTGCTGGAGATCTCGTCGCGTCCGATCCAGCCATCTACCATAGCTTGGGCCTGGTGCAATGACTCGTCCCAGACCAGGCGGTTGTTCCTCTCGGTGAAGGGTGGACTGGTAATTTTGCGGTGATGCCGCCACGCAGCACCTTCGCTCGAGATGACATTCTTACCAAAGATGTCGATGCTAGCGTACATCCAGGTCGGTTTAGGGAAGTCATTGCGTCTGTTCGCTATTTGAGTGACAGCTTCCGGGTCCGCAACCAGAAGTGTGCTCTGGCCTGGAGCAACGATGAGGAAGACGTCGCTGTTGAGCTTCTTGAATGTCTCGAACTTCTTAGTCCAAACATATTCAGGGGTGATGTAGCTGTTCCTTAGTCAACTGCCAAATCTATCTGAACATACCCACAGAATATACTCACTCTAGCCATGGCTGAGTCCACCCTTTCGGAAGAGCCTGGAGGAAAGGAATCCACAGCCGATGAGTGACCAGCCACGCCCTGTTGAACGTGTATATGGGTATAGCTTGTGCATGTCAGCATCCCATCCAGCCCCTAAAGCCCACAGTTGCCGCTTACAGAAGTAAGGAATTCCTGATTGTTTGGCTGCTGCAAGATTAGCCGCGAATCTGCGATAATTGCGTATGGCCAATACAGCCACAAGGCCGAATATGGCTAGAGCTATGGAAGAAGGCATTGGCCACTCCTAGACGTCTTCTAAACGGTCGAATATCATACAGTGAAGCGAGGGGTAGGCAGACGCTTGCTATGGTAAACGATGGCAGTATGGAGTGGGCGGACAGAAACCGCCTACCTCGCTCTCACCCGTGACCGTCAAGCACAAGCTCGCCACAGGATAGAGCACGCTTGCATAGAAGATGCATGCATGACATGCGCTCGGTTAGAGTGTAACGCGTAACGAAGCGTTTCGGAAGCCGGCCGACGACATCAAGTGGTCTGAGATTAGCGAGCCATTTCGTCATCTTGGGAGTCGGAAACGCCTCATCCGAGCAGTAGGTCATTGGGAGAGGATTAAACAAACGCACACACGCAGATGCAGACGTGCAGTGGTCTCCACGCGAGGATCATGAGGTGCGGTCGGGGGTCGAGCACGATCTGTGATGCTGTGCAAGAGTCATTTAGAGATGGATTTGCACCTCGCTTGCGCGTAGGGAGCGTGCTACTGTACGACGTTCTTTTGGCTGCCGCGCCGCTCTGCAGATCATATACCTCGCACTCGCTTGCCAAGCTGAATGAGCAGCGCCGACGGCTTCCTCGGCCTGACAACATGACCTTACCGAGTCTTGCTTGCATTTTCCAATGGTACCGAGGTGCGGATGGGCAAATGTTTGGTTCGCAACAGCGTTCCGCGGCCCAGCGGTCGGTCGACACAACCGATCCGCACCCGCAGATCACTGGAGTTGGTGCAGAGGAGAAAGCTTGTGCTCGGTCTTTGCTCACCACTTGTAAGCGAGGCCAGGCGACTTTGACGGCACGGACTGCGAACATACTGCTGCAGTGCCACACGGTCAACTACTTTGTATGGTTGTTCCTGGAGCCCGAGTAGCCGACGACTCCATCCCACGGATACATTAGTTTCGAAGCCTACAAGCGAGGTCTAGGCGAACTTCACGATGTGTAACAGCGCTATTGATCGAATGTCGGTACGATATGCGTGTCACGCTCACCGATGGGCGTCTGCAAAGGAGTAGAGGCGGAGTGCTCATTCCAACATATATCCTCTTCGTACAGTCAACGCTCCTTTGTATGGACTTCTCATTTCATAGCGTTTGCACGCACAAGATCTTGATTTCAAATTGCCCTCTGCTCTCGTTGACGCTCTCGGGACTTCTAAAGGGCTGCGATAATCTCAAAAGCTGATGAAGACTGCTCAAACAAGCCTGTTGTGACGGACGATCATTTACACCGAAACCAGTCGACCTTCCGACACAATGGACATTGCATTGCTTTACTCCTCAATGGAGCCAGATCGTAAGGTCAAAGAGTCCTACTCAAAACAGCCATCTTACACCATGTTTCTCCAATCGGTATCAAGCAGCATCGCATGCTACATGGCCGTAAGACAGAATGAACCACGCTGTGCCCTCTGCAGGCTTCATACTTCCGGCAACCGGACTCGTCTCGCAATCGAACAGCTTCTTGCGGTAACAGACAACACCAAAGCACGCCGTCATCATCGCCATGGACGACCAGCACGACGAAACACACGCTGTAGTGGGATGCGACGTCGTCATGCTCCATAGCCTCTCCGACTGCAAGCCAACTTTGCCCATCAAACCAGCGCGAAAAGCACTATCGTACGGCCAACCGGTGCCCCCGGCCTGCATTGCAGTGAGGTTCAGAGAAGGCAATGACTTTCATCTACCGTGTGTAACTGCTCTAGACATCGTCCTCTGTCACCAGACTAACGGACTGGTAGATACAGAGGCCGTCACATTCCACATCCCCAAGGAGCGTCATGCACACGCACAAGAACGAAGTCATACGTGCATTACGACGCGTGGGTCCTTCGAATGAGAAGCGCACCAGCACAAGCGAGATAAAGTAGGCTCGCCTCAGTGTGGCCAATGACTGACTCGACCTGATATCCTGTTGCTAAGGAGGTTTTGAGGTTGGAGAGGTAGTGCATCTGAGAGCTGGTGACCCGCCCAATCAAACGCGTTTAGGTACGTGTGGGCTATGGTCTCGTGAGAAGTAGATAACAGGAATCGGCGAGTCGTGAGTACGACTGTCAAGGAAGCCGTCGCGAGGCGCTTGGCTTATTGCGCATCGATCTTATCGCCGTAATATCGCTCGCAAGCGAGTTGTCATCGTCCTCTGCAAACGACCCTTCGCACGGCAACAAGTCCGTCATCGATCAAGCGAGCACCCACTCGGTACCCCTCTTCACATACTTGTCCAACAACGTGCCCAGATCGGCCAATACAAACCGACACACGTAGAAGGCGAAGAACTCGGCTGCGTGCCGAATGCTCAGCTCCAATCCAACATGCGTAGGCGAGGAGTGCTTCAAGCCGGGGTCTTCCACTTGACGCGCTATCTGATCTGTAGTGGAGTCGCGATGACTCATCGTCAGCAAGCGAGGTTACACTGCAAATGCGAAGCAAGTTCAAAAATGCGATCGAAGTTTGGCAGGGCTGCATCAGAACTTGCAGTAGGTAGGGTAGATAGGGACAGGGATTATGCGGACACGGGGGGGGGGAAAGGATGAAGCTTACCGAGCACCTGCGCGCTGTCGAAAAGCCGCGCTAGCGAGCCCATGTACTCTTTCTGTGGACCCTCGAACACGAGCGTGCGGACATCCCTTTTCTGCCCACGGCGTTCCACGGGCAGGAAGCTCGTCATCGGCACGGAGGAGAGTGTCGCTTGCTCCTTGTCGCCGACATGCTTGCCGATCGTTGTGCTCGTTAATGGTGCGCCGGAACTTTTGCTGCGCAGTTTTCGCCAAGAGTTGAGGTAGCCTTTGCCTTCCTTGCTTTTGCCAACCTTCTCGGCTCCAGCAAGTGTATCCGCAGTGGAGCCGAATGTGCCGGACGTGGATGCTGAACTGTCCTTGAATAAATTGGATGTGCCTTGCACGCCGACGTCGCTTCCAAGTTTCTTCGAAAACGTGGCTTGCACCCGCTCCATGACCTCCTCGAAGCTTTGCAGTTCTTCCATCACCGCATCCGCGTCATACGTGTCGACACCTGCCAAGCGGCCGAGGGCGGCAGTAAGCAGGTCGCAGTTGGCCACCTTGTCTTCGATCGATTTGAGCTTAACGCCTCGCGTATGCCAGGCTTCACGAGGTACAAAGAGCTTCGTGGTAAGAGAGCCGCCTCGAGGATGTGTCCAGGTGGAGGCGATGCAGCGCATGAGCCAGAAGGGTCGTAGCAAGGTCGACTCGGGACATGGCTCGAGGTAACCGGGTTGCTGCGATGTGTTGGGTGAGCGAGGTGACCGCGGCGAAGACACGATCGCAAGGGAAGTGTCAAACAGGTAGGCTCCGCCAGACTCTGTTGAGCTCATGAGTCGTGCATCGAAAGCAGGGAAGTTCGCTCGCTGTGAGGACAATGGGCCTGGTGCTCGTTTAGACTGTAGCAAGAATGTCGAGCTCATCGGCGTGATAATGGAGGGCGCCGAGGTATCGGGCGACGACAACAGCACCGTATGCTCACGTAGACTCATTGACGACTTGTTCTTGCGATACAAGGTCGGCCTCGCTGACAGAAGGTTGCCCGGCGCGTCATCCATGCTACTTCTCCTCGTATCAGTCACTGAAGCAGTCGCCGGCCGCACTGGGTCAGAGGCCGCCGAGAGGATATTGAGAGACGGCGGAGATTGCAGTATGTGGTCGTGTTGCGTGTCGGAGGCACTGGGTTCCAACTCCACGCCGAACTTGAACTCTCGGTCAAGTATAGACGCCTGTTCGTCACCTTCGCGGACGCGGCTAGGTGAGTAGTGGAAGGTAGATGCTCGCTTCCGGCCCTCAGGCTTAATGGATGTCTCGATTCGAAGGTCCTTAGCATTCATTTGACTTGACATCCTCCTCCCTCGCACGCCGGATAGCCGTGTCCCGCTCGTTTGTGGTAGCTTCGGCAGCGCTGTAATGGGTGGCGGTGTCTGCATAGGTGGAGGGTCTGCTTTCACCGTGTTGGGAGTAGAGGGGGTACTGGTGGACATCTGCGAAAAGCGTGAGTTCAGACTGTCTTCTGCGACGGTCGAAAGCGACGTCGCAGCGGTGGTGCGGTCTGCGGAAGCCTGTGAGCTTTGCCATGTGCTGCGAGAGTAAGTACTCGAGTCCGATTGTCGTGGTAACGCAGACTTCGTCGAGAGGTCGAAATTGAAGCCTTGCGCATAGTCTTGTGTGATTTCGTCCAGCAGTCTCTCCTCTTCCTCATCGTCGAGGTCGGCAACTTCTGCCTGGGACGGATGAGAGTCGATAGTTGCAGAGGCGATGTCTCCGCCAAGACGATTGGGGACGAAGACTGACTCGCGAGGTGTGTCCTTGTACGTCGTTCTTCGCCGTTTCCGGGCATCCAAGTCAGGCTCGAAGCCTTCGTCATAAGCTGCCTCCACTGCCGCATCGAACGCGGTGTCGAAATCCGGATCAGTATCACCGCTGGTGCCGCGAATGAACTTCCTTCTCACGCCCTCTCCGGAGACAGAATGCACAGAAGAGGCACAAGAAGATGATTCATCAATGGTGTCGAGCCAAGATTCACCCTTCTCATTAGCTTTCGGAGACGTTTCTGGTGTCTTGTGATCGCTTGCGGGCTGAAGTTCGGGCTCCTGCCGCCACGGCGCTTCCGCATCCGGCGCGAACGCGGGCGAAAGAGGTTTACGAGGCGACAATGGTGCCGGCACATATCTGTCTTCCAATGCTGGCACCCTCAGAGTCCGTTCGAGTATCTGTGGCTCCGCAAGAGCAGATTGCGCATCCGTAAACTCATCCCGCTCACTCCCCAGCCAGGAGTTTTGCTCTGCCTCGTCCGTGAAGGCGAAAGTAGGACTTCTCTCCGCCGTCAGGGTCCGTGGGTAGAAGCTGTTCCGGTCTCGTCGCAAGTATGACTGTCTTACTATGTCCACCACGCGTCTGGCCGTCGCTGTCTCTACCATTGCCGGTTCTCGGGTGCCCGCATCAATCGGACTAAGCGGTATGCTGAAGCCTTCTTGTATGCTGTCGTCACTCATTGGTCTCCGGGGCAGTGACTTCTCGCCTGAAGTAAGCGGCCGGTTGATCTTAAGCTGCTCCAGCTCCTCGATGCGGTTGCTGTAGGTCACCCGAATTGCCTCCAGTTTGCGCTTGTCTTCAGTGGTCGAAGTCCGATCCATTACCTGCTGCAGTAATCGGCAAGCATCACTGTACGCTTCGAGCGCACCTTCAAAGTTCTGCGCATTGTCCAGTAACACAGCCGTGTTCGCCTTCTGCAGCGCTTTCGAAAGCATCGCCTTCTTCTCCTTCTCCCGCCCTTCTCGCGTCCGGGACCGCCTGGCGTGCATCTGTGGTACTTCCGCCGCTCGTGGTGTGCGTTCTGCCATCTCCTCTGTACGGGTTCGTTGCAGCGTCTCTTTTGATGCAACCGCACCAAGTCCACGTGATCCACTCATTGCCGACAACACTGGCGCGGTGTTGTTGCGGATGACTATTGGTCGCCTCACCTTCGCAACATTCCTTGGCGACACTCCATCATCACCAAAGTAGTCTTGCGCGTACGAGGACCGCGTAGAAGGCGTCCTCAAGGTCTGTGTGGTTGATGGCGACTCATCTCCATACGAGGGGACCAGTGCGGGAGTTGTGTGGAGGGGAGGGAGCGCGGTCAGCGAGTCGTTGAATAGATCCGGCCTGGATGGGCGACGAACAGACTGGTCTGGGCTCGCAGTCGGGGAGAACGATGGTTGCTGATAGCCACCTCGCGATCCATTGACTCTCCGCTGCGGACTCGACCGTGGCGAGTGATCAATCGTAGTCCGGTTCCGCTTCTGTGGCGACAGCTGTTGTGTTGCCAGATGCTGCAGGGCCACTCCGCTGTTCGCTCTGCCGCGCCGAGTGTTGCCGATCGAGGTCACGCTGTCATTGGTGGAATGGGACCAGCGATTGAGATTATTTAACCCATCAACTTCGCCCTGGATTGATGGCTCGACTGCTACGCTTTTCCTGCGCTTTATCTCGGACATGTGACCTCGGCCCACTCGCAACGCGATCAAGGATGGCTCGGCCGGATTCGGCGAGGTTAATGGTAGCATGCTCTGCCGTGCTCCTGTGCTCGATGAGCTGAGCGATCCGGTGCGCTTGACCGTCACCACCGACGAAGAGGAGATGGAGTTGGACCGACGCTTCTTCGACAACGCTGACCCAAGGGTGCTGCTGCTGTTAGAGGCTAAGACATGCGCCGGCGCACTGTGCAACATCTTCCTCGAGACAGACAGCGGGAAGCGCAGCCCAGTTCTATATCCCTGCTGCAGCTCCCCGCCGTTGCGTCGATGCTGTCGCGTTGGTTTGCGACGCCGTCAGCGCAGTGCTCCCAGAAAAGGTTCGTGCGTCTTTCAAGATGTGGCGGGCGTCCGGGTAGGTGCTGCGTGCGTTGCGTCCTTGTGCGACGTAAAGCGTGTCTCTGCCGGTTTCCGATACAGACTACAGCCGCATTGGTGCGACAGAAGGTCTTTGTGTTACGCTGCTGCCTTTCCGTCCGTCACTTCATCTTCTCGACGCGGTGCTCTTCCTAAGCGTTTCGAGCCGTTATGTCTCGACGCCACTGTAAACAACACCCGTGCCTTATTGCGCAAGAACTCCCTTCTTCCCGGAGTCCCTGGTAGACCGCTGCAACTCTCCACCAAATCGCCAGCCTCTGTGCAACTTGGACGCCGTCGCGACGTGTCGCAAGTTCTGACCACCTCCAAACAGCCCGGTTGTGGAATGTGAGGCCGATCTTAACACCGCCACTGCACCTCGTCGTCCCTCGTTATACTGTCTTCCCAGGCCGTCGATCTAGGTGTCAATGCCACGCCAGATACCCTTCCCCTCCACTGTACACTTGTGTTTGAGAATGCGAACGGAATACAGGCGATTCCATGCTCAACATCTCAGGGCAAGGAGAGCGCTAACTCCAAGGGTGCAGGCTGCCCTCGGTCGCCGGCCCGCTAATTGGCTCCGACCCAAGGGCAGCGCAGGCCCCGGACAAGGTTAGTTGCGCCAAAGAATGTCTCAGTTGACTCGCGGCCGATCTTACTCTCCTATCACGTAACCTTCTCTCCTGAGTAGGGGACGTTTGTCGGTCTCACTCCACACTACATCCGAAAGGCCGCGAAGCCGAACAGCGACTTTGACCTGGCGATGGCGACACGCTCGAGCTTGCTCCTGCACGCTTGCATACACTCCTGCACGCAATCCGGCCCTGAACCTGCACTAGCGGGTCCCGCAAATGTACCTCGGACATATTGCTCAAAGCCAGATCCAAGTCCGCGTACAGTTGTATCTCATCTGTTCCGAAACCCTGGGTATGTGTCTCAGGAAGCGGCGATCATCGAGGCTGTCGTGAGACACTCTCCGAGACAAACCGTTACGGAAAACTTCCAAACGTGACAGCGCATGAATAGACATGCTGTGCGTGCATCTGGAAAATTCTGAGCCCGACCAATCCAAAAAAACTGGATCTTTCGCCTGCCAATAATGCACGCCAATCACACCGCAAGGCCGCTGTGAATATGCTGCATGTGACGTGAACGTACATGGACGAATGCAAAGGCTGAAGAAGCATGAGTGTCAGTGGATCAAACCATTGCCGCACAAGCTCCCAATAAGCTATGGCAGTTGTAGTCTTCCATGGTACCATAGGCAGCTGATGGAATCGAATGTTGCTGGGACACTTTGCCCAAAGCAAAAGTGTCCACAACACTCTTCCCAGCGATATATCTTTTGGCACAAGGTGCTCGGATGCCCTTCGCACTCCATGCAGACTACGCCGAAGTGGGAAGCACGGCCGTCTTCGATCTTGTGGACCCTCGCCACATGATCCAGCGAGTGCTACGTAGCGACTCCATTGCGCCGCCTTTGCACAGAAAGGTCTCAAGCCAAGACGTTATCGCGTTGAGTCCTAGTAATATCGATGTTGTACATATTCATGCACATATAATGGGGTATGTAGGTATAGGCTCACTAGCCCGCTATGAAGCCTGATATGCAAACATGCCATCACAACCCTCCTACTCCTCCCAGCGCCATGCTCACAAAGTCTCCCACCCACCAGGATTGATATCCGCCTCCAACTTCCTCGAAATAACGGTAGGAATCATATGCATTAACCACGCCTCCCTCAACAGCTTATCATACCGTCGCTGATGCAGGAACAACTGATGATGCCTCCTCAAAGTCGGATCGGGCTCGCCATGCTTATCAAGATATGGCGCATGCATCCAGCTGCCATTCGGTCCATCACTCTCAAGCCCGCCATTGGTAGCGATTCCGTCAAGCGCTTTTCGTTGGCCCGGGTTGTGTAAGAAGAGCACCATGCACTTCCGGATGTTGAGGAAGAGACCGAAAGATTCTCGGTGTTTCGCCATGTGCTGATAGCAGCCGCCCTTATTCTTGTCCTTCATACAGCAGAGGCCCTGTCCGCAGTGTATCTCTCCACAAAACAAGCAAACGACTGGATCAGTGAGCTCTTTGCCAGTAGTTGGGCAGCGGCGTTTTAACGCCTCTTCGGTTAGGGTATCGTAGTTCTTGGGTAGGCCAACGAGCTCGAAGATCGCGGGGTGCGACATACGGATCAACTCATTGGAGCCTTCGCTCCTTGGTCTTAGATCGCTGATAACAGCAGCCTGCGCGGTCCAGCGTTTGGTAACCTGACGGAGCCTGTCGCCACCAACACTGTGAGAGGTGTACAGCGTGCAAAGATCATCAACGGAGGGCATGTGGAGTAAAGAGCTCAGCCGCTGAAGCTCCGGTAGATTCGCATCGAGATTGTACGGGCTCTCAAAGTCCAGCCCGTAATGCACATGCATGAGCACGATTGCCTTCCGCAGGAAGGCCAGCGCGTACTTGCTGATCAGCACCTGGAAGGCACGTAGCTGAAGGTTTGACAGTGGCATGCCATATCGGAGCTGATCTTCCATGACGAGCCCGGAAACGGCCAGCTTGAAAGCATCGCTAACCGGCTGAGCCACTGGATCCTCCTCGTCGACGAAGGGCAGGATCGAGCTCTTCTCATAGTCCGGATCCCGGACCAGCCAGCGATACACAAACACCGTCTTGACCACCTCAGCCCAATAGCATAACTGTAGAACATCCGCGGCATCGGCCACGGTAGGACCTTTTAGGGACAGCCAGTCGGAGAAGAAGAGGAAGATGTCGTCCTCGAACAGCAGCGTCTCACCCACTTCCCTCACCTTCATCATGACCACTTCGTTCTCAAAGCCGAACAACTTGGCCGTCATCACGGCGCCAAGCCGCAAGATATTCGTGGCCTGCACTTCTTGTCCGTAGGACTTTTCGCCGTTGTTGCGGAGGACGTTCACGGCTAAGTACGACTGCACAGTCTCGGATAAGATCCGTAGGTGGGTGAGACTTTGCTCGGACATCTCGCCCACCAACGAGATCGATGCGGCTTCTTGAGGGCCGACCCCACGATGCGCAATCTCGAATGCGGTGAGCGTGAGGGCAAGCGCTCGGGAGAGTGCCACGAGTGTGTCTGCCCCATGAAGTCGTTCGTCAACTGTAACAGCAGGAACACCCAAACCGTTGATCCGAACAGTTTCCTTGATGCGCGCGTACGCCTTCATCAGCTCCGTCATGCGAGGTTGTTGATGATGCTCCACCGCTGACGGAGACAGGGTAGGTAGGAAGTTACTACCGCCATCTTGACCGCCGCCACTGTCACCGCGTCCAATGCGGAACAGAGACGACAAGCTGTAACCCCTCCTCAACCGCGTATGCGGCGCCGGACTACTGCTGGAAGAGGAAGATGATGCCGCAGGCGGCGAGTTGAGGCTGAGCTGTTGCAACACCGAGACTAGCGACGGCGAGAACATGTTCGCCACATATTGCGAGGCCCTTGTCGACAGCGCATCTCGCTCGAACGGACGCAGTGCAATACTCGAGCCGTCCGCAGCCGTAGTCACCTGCAGCAAAAGGCCCGTATCGATCTCGTCACTCGTGTTGGACGCGAGCCAGTCAGCCAGCGATTTCGCCTTCTGCAGCTCATAGTCATGAGCGCACTCTTTTGCCTTCCAGATGATAGGCACGAAGGTATTGCCCAGCGCTTTGCACAGCGGGCAAGTGAATTCCTTGAGCTCGATGCGCTCGGGATGGTTGCGCGCAATCTGCTGGTTGTGTCGGCGCTGAGTAGCCGTAACATACAGCTCAAAGCACGCAAAGTGCATGATATGGCCGCAGCTGGTCGAGATCGGGTTCGCACACCCGGTAGCGTTATGCTGATGTGGAAAGCCCCTCGAGAGTCCTTGTCGTTCGAAACTGACATTGCTGCCGTCTGCGGTGACCTTGGTGATCGTCTGCTTATTCGCACCCGCAACACCGAACGGCCGAATCTGGTCAGCGGGTCGATCAAGACTGTCAGGCGTACCAAACACCTCCTTCACAAACTCCGGATCATTTACCGGGGTTGTCCGCAAGATGTTGCTCTCACCCAGATACGCAAACGTGCCGTAAAGTCGCTGATCATCCGTATCCTCCTGACACAGAATACAAGTCCCGCTCGGGAACTGCCACGTCTTCCTCTGCGGTTCCTGCTGCCATCCTCCCACATCATCTGCGGTAACGGACATTTCATCGTATTCGTCAAAGTCGTCGCCGTCGTCTCTGAAGGCAGCCAACCCTTGGTTCTGCATGAAGGATTGCTGCTGCTCCTTCATCCTTGCCATCACCCGTGCCTGACGAGCCAAAGCCTCCTGCTTCTTCTTCTCCTTATCTTCAGCGGGGAGTGAGGCCGGCGAGCCGGTGTTGCTGCGGTCGAGAACGGAGCTAAGTGGACCCATGACCGTGCTCAGCTTATCTGGCTGGCGAAGCTGCATCTTGCGCAGTATATGCTTGATACTAGCATGACAAGCGGCGTACTCTTCCTTCTTCGAGAGTGTGACGAGCAGCAACACGATGGTCTCATTTCTGTCCCCAGCCAAATCACCGATGAACGTAGCGGCGAGGTCCGTAAAGCCATGCTCGCCACTGCCCGGTCGGTCCTCGATCACAGCAAGGAGTACCAGATGCAGCACCATATGCAAGAAGGTCTCAACCCTCGTCGCAGGCATGTTCGGTATGAGCACTCTTCTGCACTGCGCATACCCCAATGCCGCACAGATGATCTGCACGAACAGCGGCGTCCTCGTGAACGCCGACAGGTGCGCAAACAGTCCCGCCTCGATCGCCGGCAGCTTAGGTTCGAACACCACATCCTCCGGTCTCCTGCCAGTCTTGCGGGCCACATGCTTCTTATAGATATTCTCCGCCTCTTCTCGGTGATTGCGCGAGTAATGCGCATAATACGGGTCAACCATCTCAACATACTCAGCCTTCAGCTCAAACGTCCCAGTATCAGACATTCCCTCCGGCGCGCGGTAGTTGGTCATACTCTGCAACGCCTGCGCGAATTCATCCGAATCGCCGACCTTATCTGTCAACCTAGCCTTAAGGTCTGAAAAGGAAAGCGGCTTAAAGCAAAGCGCATGCGCAATGTCTCGCTGCAGATTCCGGTCAGACCGTTCCGGCCCGGGCACGAGATTACCACGCTCACTGAGCGCAATGACGAGCAAGTGGAAGAACTCTTCAACCACATCAAGATGCTGCGCCTCCTCAAACCCATCGGGAACGGAGTACCACCCATGCGCCCACAACTCCATCTCAAAGCGATCCAACATCTGCGCCAGAAAACGCTCACCTGGTAACTCGTTCTCGGCTCCGCAAAGCACGAGTCCAGCTTGGATCATGAGGATGTCGCGCTGATAGCCGACATCGCGGTGGTTCACGCTGCGGTACGTGTGCGCCTGGTGGCGCAGCGTGATACCGTTGCGTACCCACATCCCGGCCTTCATTTGCGCAAGCCAGACGTACGTGCGGAGGGGATGGTCAAAGATGGAGCTCAGCAGTTCGTCGGAAGTTAGAGTGTTCGGTGCGGATGTTGTCGTGCGGGACGGGTTCCAGGGATCCTTGAGGTCGTCGGGGGAGAAGCTGAGGAGAGCGCGGAGTTCATCTCGGGACATGGTTCGAGCGTCTTCGATCAGCCAGGAGAGCAGGTAGTGGAGTGGATGGTGGAAACTCATGGGCTCGGACTGAACGACGCACTTCGGGACGCTGTACTTTCGCCCCTCTTCCCAAACTGGTCCGATGATATGCCAGGCTAAGTCGTCCTTGAGCTCAGCAGCAACGAAGCGTTTCCTTTCATACCCAAACGAGTTAATCATCGTTACCTGCGCAACCGTTCGTAACGCACGCTGGAGATGCATGTAGTGCTCCTCCAACATGTCCGCTTTCGGCTCGAAGGACGCAGCGATTTGCTTGCACAGTTTATTGACCTCCTTCACAATCATACTGGCGCTGATCCAAGCATCGGACTCATACTCGACATGCTCGGCCGTAGCGCGCACATTCGGGCAGATACCCTGGTGCAGCTTCACGAGGTCAAGGAATTGAAGGAGGTAGCGCGGCTCAACGCGAGTTTTGTAGTGGATGAATTCCGATTGGCACAGCCAGCGCAAGTCCATAAAGAAGTGGAAGATGCGACGGTTGGTCACAGCACCGGCATCGAAAGCGAGAGTTGCTTTCAGGTTGACTTCCTCCGGAAAGCCGACTTGGCGAGTGGTGAGGAAGGTGTAGAGGATTGCCATCAGGTTTGTGAAGAAGTTTCCACGCTCGACTACCTCCTCCGTTATGCTGGGTGTGGTCAGCATCTGCACGCTGAGGTTGATAATGCTGTGATCCGGCTCCCGGTCCGCAATCAAGTATAGCTGAGCGAGGGTCGTATACAGTCCGGCAAACCGCAGACCGAGGATGCGCTTGAAGTTGGGTATGGTGACGACGGTGGTGATGTAGAGGTGTCGCAGATTGACACGAAGGACCTTCCATAACCGCAGATCGTAAAGGATGAGAAAATCGAGCCGTACGCGTTGCCACAAATCCTCGCACGGCTCGCTCGGTCGTGGCGCACGGTACGCTTCGGGCTTCTCCAGCCAGTGCTTGCTCGGACGAGTGGGTCCTTTGATCACACCCTTCGTCTTGGGCGTCTTGGGGAGGTGGCTGTAGGGTGCGTTGGACGCCGGTGTCGTTTCGGTGCCGTCACCGTCCTCGCTTTCCGCAGGCGTGAAGATGCGATGTCTCCGCCGTAGAGCTGGTGGCGGTGGAGGCGGTGGAGGCGGGTAGCCAGCCAGCGTTGCTTCCAAAGCCTCCGTAACGTCTTCGTTCTCGTCCATATAGTCAATGTCCATGTCTGCCGCATCTGCCTGAGCGGCCATAGCTGCGTTGGCCGCTCGGCGAATATCTTCCACGTCAATTTCCATCCCTTCGTCCTCCACCTCCATTTCTTCGTAAACATCGTCTTCCTCGTCATTCTCGTCCTCGAAGATTTCGTTGTTGTCGTCGTCATTCGTCTCTTCTGGCTCCGGCGCCATCTGCACTCGCACTACATTCGGCGCACCAGGCTGCGTTGTAAAAGGCTGCAACCAAGTGCGGTATCTTCTGCGGAGTTTTTCATTCTCATCCATTTCATGATCGTCAATACCACCCTTACCCACATCCGCATTAGTGCCTTGACTACCACTTCGCCATGGTTTTAGCAGCTCCTCGCAAACAGTGTTCCGAAGGATGTAAGTGTCCGGTCCTACCGCGCAGCCCGAGATGTCCTGAATCCAGTCGGCAATGGTTGAGCACATCTGCTCCCGGAAAGTGTCGCGTGACGAGCGTATTGTGACGGTGACTTTGATCTGCTCGATAATCTCCGCCATCCGTAACAATTCTCGCACGTCAGTGGAATATCGTATGACAGAGCGCCCAACCGCGTCGACTTCCATAGCTTTGTTCCGCCCAAAGCGCTTCGTCTCGCTGCATGCTCGCGCGACCTGATTCTGCACATCGTCTACCGTATGCTTCTCATCATTCCACAGCACAAGCGCAAACTCGGGCTGCGGCTCAGCAGGCTCCTGTCCATACGGCAGGCCGAGGTGAGACGTCTCTTCGTCCAGCCGCACGGACGTCTCACTCTTAGGCAGGCGCAGCTGCTCCGGCGAGCACGAAAAGACGTCACATAGGTAGTCTACCACCCTCGCAATAGTCATTCGTATCGCCTCCACCAAATCAGGCGGTAGCTGCGACCCTATGACCGGTGCCTTCGCCTTGTCCTTGTGCGCATGTGCCGCATGTTGATCCGGCGTGCCAGCCGTATGTATCGAGCACCTCACCTCCCGCCGCCACGCCTCGCTGTCTCCGCAGTCGCAGCAGCCGCTGTTGCCTGGCGAGACAGAGATGAAGACGTTATGACCCTCGTGATCACTACTCTCGAAGCACCGCGAACACAGCACACAAGTATCGTCTGCGGCACACGTTTTGCACTGGTACGTGCTCTCGCCGGTTTTGAAGATGTGCCCGCATGCGGTCCCCTTAGCTGCCGCGGTATACTCTGCGCCATCCTGCGCCCCTTGCGCTTCTTTCAGTGACCATGGCCGTGAGCGGTCAACCGGCGGCCCGTCCGGGAAAAGTAGGCGTAGGTAGTCGTTGCGGTTAGCGGCGAGAGAGCGGAAGAGCACCTGGCGGAGATGGCGGTCGGCGGCGCTGGTGTAGCGGTATTCGAAGTTGGATGGCTGGTGGAGAAGTTCGTGGCACAGCGCCTCATCTCCTATGGACGTCGGCTGGAGCATCGTGGGTGCTGTATCCGTTGTCCCTGCGCCTTAACGCCCGCTATGCGCAATTGGATGATAGAGAAAGGAGCATACAGGTTCACAAGCTTTGCATCATACTACCACCGGAGCGAGCAGAGTCGCTCAAAGCAAGTAGGAGTGGAAGTGGCGGTTAGTAAGCAGTGTTAGTGGTAGAGATGGTTATGAGGTTGCAGTTCACGCAAGTGGACTACAACATGGCAAGCACGCGAGAGGTACCTCGTGATATGACGTAGAAATTGATGGCCTAACTACGCGTGGAAAGTGAAGTCTAGATGTAAACCTAACAGCAGACATGACTGATGCGACAAGTGACACGGGTACTAATGGTTCGTACGTTGTTGTGGCTTTAATTTCGGTTTAGGCTGTTCGCAGAGCACCATACGCTTCACTACTTAGTACAGCCAACCCTCTACAGCCTCCAACCGCGCCATTCATAGCCATCTTCGAGCTTCTACATTCCGCAGGGTTGGCGATGAGCCTCAGCGACGCTGCTAAACCCTTCCGTTTCCTGGTTCGTCTACCCGAGGTGTCATTCGTCTTCCGACTCCATATACCGGTGCTTAATGTCCTTCCATTGCCGCTGTTCAGTATATTAGCTCCTGTCGATGGCATGCACGCCTCCCTAGAGTAAGCGCAAGATCATCCACGTACTCCTCGGTTTATCTGATCCCATATTGAGTTGGCCGTCGTTTCGAATGCGCTACAAGCTCGGGTTAGCACCTAGCTCTCCCCGTCATACCGTACATGCAGGCGTATCCGTACAGTTCGGTCGCGAAAGCACCAGTGAAGATGACGCCGAGGAAGACGGCGTTCCGTCGGAACAAACTGCATTGCGCCTGTCAGTCTTCGCTTCTGTGTAGCGTAAGGGGTGCGGGTAGACGCACGCGGCCAGGCCGCCCATGATACCCGACATCTTGGTGGCTCAATGCTCTCCTTTACGGGCAGGTCGGTGATAGGGTAGGGTCCACACTGGTGCTAGAGACTCGCTGGCCTCGGGATCGCTTGCGGTGGTTGTTGCAGCATTGAAAGTCGAAGCTCCTCAAACCCTCAAAGCGGATCGGGCGGCCGATAGGTCGGGCCAAGCGGCCGCCAAACGTACTCTGACTGCAACATACAAGGCTGCAATAAACGTTCATAACTCTCCGCTATGGACGGACGAATACTGAACTACGAGCCCGATAGACGACAACGTTAACCATGTCGCACAACTTCGGTCCCAGTTTGCCTGACTGGCCATAAACCTACAATCTCAACCAAGGTATCGCAAACATGGCCTCAACACCCAACTCCTCCAACTCCGGCATAACCCACACCCCAAACGGGGCCTCCATTATACCCTCCTCCACCCGCCCAGACGGCTCCGTACGGAAGGAAATCCGCGTGAAACCCGGCTATCGTCCGCCGGAAGACGTGGAAGTCTATAAGAACCGGACGGCGGAAGCGTTCAAGAATCGGGGCAAGGGAGGTGTGCCTGGTGCTGCCGCTGTTGCGTCAAGTGAGGATGGGAGTGGAGGGGTCGCTGGGTTACCGCCGCATAAGGCGGCCGCGGCGAAGAACGCGAAGAGAAGGGAGGCTAGGAAGAGGGCTGCTGTTGGTGGAGGTGGTGCTGGCGCTAATGGGACAGGAGAGATGGTAAATGATGGAGATGACGCGCATGTGAACGGTGTTGGTGATGACGACAGTAAGACGACAGCAACCCAGGTAGCGGCGGAAGTAGACCCAGAAGCGGAAGCAGCGAAAGAAGCGAAGAAACTCGCCAAGAAGCTGCGACAAGCTCGTGAGCTGAAAGATAAGAAGGAGCAAGGCGGTGATCTGCTACCTGAGCAGTTCGCAAAGGTCATCAAAATCCAAGAACTCATCCGGCAGCTTGACGCGCTGGGATTCAACGCGGAGGGCGATCGAAAGAGCGATGAGATTGGCGGGGCGGAGAAGAACGGGGAGGAGGGGGAAGACGGGAAGCCAGCTGGTTGAAAGCTGAATCGTAACGATTACTATGATGCACGGAGAAGGATCCAAGGGTTGATAACGTCGTTGTCACAGAAGCCGCGACATGACGAGGTATCCGTCAGCGAGCAACACGGCAAAGCTCACATGAGCGGAAGAGGAGGGAGGCTTGGCAAATTGTTTAAGCATGCTGCACGCAGACACGTTACGTTACGTCACCCCGCTTATAGGCAGTCGCACGAATGGGCAAGACATTGGCTGTGCTTATGGGTGAGCAGAGCTGCTTACGCACCACGACACTACCTTTACAGCGGTTTATGGTCGACGTGTGCGCGTGCGTCCGTGAGAAGGACGAAGCACCGACGTTGCACAAACGCTGAGCAGCAAGGGTACGATGCACAAACCAATCGCACTGACAGCAGAGGCTCGAGTTGGACCATCATGTCCTGGTGCAACCATCTAAAAGCGGAGGTGGGGGGAGAAGGAGGCTGAAAGTATTATCATCGTTAGGTGCCACGCAAGTGTAGAGAGCAGTTTATCGGAATCACGGCTACGACGAATGAATTACTCTACCTAATCTCCCAAACCCTAATCTTCCCCTGCTCATTCCCCACCGCCAAAACCGAATGCACAGCCCCATTGCCTTCCCTCTCCCCAACAACCTCCCCACCCGCAAAAGCAACCCCCGTGATCCTTCCCAACGGCGTCGCCGAAGTCGGCCAATTCTTAAACACCGTACAACTCGGCAAATGCACCAACCTCAACGCATCGCGCTGCCATTTCGACGCCATAGCCAGGATTTGTCCGTCGGGGGAGAAAGTGAGGTGGGAGGTCGGGGTGGTCAGGTGTTCCAGGACGCGTGTGGGCTTGGGGTGGGCGGGGACGGGCTGCGCGTTGCTTTCGGCGGCCGAGGGGAGAGGAGTGGTAGATGCTGGTGGATGTTCGAGCCACTTGCGGCGATCGTAGAGATTGACGATGCCGGAGCTGCTGCCTACAGCGACCCAACGGTCATGGCCAATGCTTGCTTTGACGAGTTCATGCTGTCCTCCCAACGCAAGGGTCGTAGTGCCTACGGCGCCTTCGTCCTGCCATTGGGCTACCGTTGATTGCGACATGACGGACCATTCGGTGATCTCGCCACTTTTGCTCGCGATGCACAGACCCTGACTGTTCCGCCACCAGGCGAAATCTGCGATCCCGCCGCGACCCTCGATACGGACTTGGGAGATCCATTGCAGGGTTGACGCGGAGAGGAGGTTGAGGACGGCGCCGCCTTTGCGCGCGGACCCCAGTAAGGCCATGTAGTTTCCATCCGGACTGAGTTTGAAGCGCTCCATACTGCGCTGTTCGTGCTGGTGGCCGTAGACTCGGGTGACCTTTTCGATACGGCCGGTTTGCAGGTCCCAGATGTGGAAGTATCTTCGCCGGGCGGAGAGGAAGATGCGCGAGTCGTGGGGGTGGAAGGCGGTGGTTGTCAGTGCTGTGCCGCGGAGGTGGAGGCTGGTGAGGAGCGGGTTCGGGGAGGGTGCTGGAGGGGACGAGGCGATTTGATGTAGGTACAGAGTGGATGAAGGTCCAGAGGACAGGAGGAGAGGAAGTTGAGGGTGGAAGGAGAGGGATGTTATTGCCGAGGGTTGCGTGCCGGGGATGTCTTTCATCCGTTGGATATCAAGGACTTCAGGGCGGAGTTTGCGCTTTTTGCCTCGTCCGGGTCCGGAGGAGGAGCGGACGAGGCTTTCGGCGTCTTGGAGGAGTTTTGAGAGCGGGGCTACGGTGGGCAGGTCGACGTCCATCTCATCATCGGAGGCTCCTTCTTCGACGTCTTCGGAATCGTTAGGGCCGGAGATGCGTCGCTTCTTCCGCGCTGGTTGCTGCAGCGCATAGTGCGCCCATTCCGGTCGAGGATGGAGCACTTCGAATTGTCGGCGCAGTCGCTTGGTGTACTCTTTGCCATCGATCACATCCTCGGCTTCGGTACGTCGTAGCTTTCGCAAACGAGGTGCAGAAGCGAGGGAGACGAGCATCCGCTCATCGTCGCTGTCTTCCCACGCCGGTGGATGTCGGGAGGGGAAAGTGTCGTCTTCATCTGAAGTTGCAGCAACCGTGGGTCGTGTCGCATCATCCGTCACTCCAGTGTCGACGAAGAACAACTACACTCCAATCAGCATCTGTACGGGTAATGTAAGGCCCAGACACGCCTGACCTACATCCGCATCGTCCAGACCCTCATACCCAGTCGTGCCTTCCGCATCCACACTTTCCTCTTCCGGCTGCACGAGCTCAGCCAAGCCTGCTCTGAAGGCAGCACTGTCACCGAACACAAGCCTCTCCAGCTCCAACTCCGCATCGGCCTTCCCTTCTGCGCCGTCCACTACAATATCCACATCCGACTCGTCGTCGTCGTCATGCGTTGGCGGTGTTGGCTGTTGCACAGCCACGGCCGCCCTGGCTTTCTTCCCCGACATAATGCGACCTCCGTCCCCGTGAGTTGACACACCCTCGATCCTTCACAACTGCACACCAAATATGCACGAGTGAGCACTGTGGGAAGACCAATCGGGGTGAAATTTCGAGGTCGGATGGTGTCGCTTTAGCATCTCTGGCTGCCGCTTACTCGGCTGCTGCTTCGCTGTTTCTGCCTTAGGCGCTAGAAGGTTCGCATGTAAGATGACTAATGGGGAGGCCCCTGCGGCTCCGTCCATCGCAATTGCTGCACGCGACAAGAGAGACACGAGGAAAAGCGCGAATTCCTCTCACAAACATCGTACTCCCCTCAGGCACCCAACTTCATCTGTCACTCCCTGACTAAAGTCAAGCATGGCGGTGTCGGTGGAGGCGGGCAGCGCGCTGGCGCAAGCGATCCAGTCGGCGGCGCAACAGAAACTGATGGAGAACAGCTGGGCGGCGGAGGAGAACGACACCACTCTGTCAGAGTACGTGACGATGATGTTGGTCAATGGTAAGGACTTTCAGGGCGTGCAGGCGGAGCTGGGCGGCGAGTTGTTGGGCGTGGGTGAAGATGATCCGCAGGTGGCAGACTTCACGCGGTGGTTGTTCGAGCAGGCGCATATCCTTAGTGGGCATGGCGCGGCCCCAGTATCCGACGCGGAGCAGACGATGAGTTCCGCGCAGATGATGGACGCTTCACAGATCGTGCCGACGACGGAAGTGCCGACCGGTGACGAGCAGATGGGCGAGGCTGCACCAATAGACGGCATACCAAGCGGACCGAGAGCGATGCAGAACGGGCACGAGGGTGGTGCACGGGGACGGGGGAGAGGACGTGGTGGGCGTATGCTGGGCCAACTGAACAGGCAGATGGACCGCACGACAGACGACCCGTTGCGAAGGATAAAAGGCGCCGCATCCGGCCATACCGGACGCATCGACTCACACACCGGCAGAGCACCGCGAGCGCCTCGAGGTGCTGCGAATGGAGTGCAGCGCATGATGAACGGTGCAGCGGCAGGCAGAGGCGACATGGCGGCGCAGATGAACAACACCATGATGCCACAAACACCCGAACAGATGATGCTCTTCTCGCAGATGATGGAGATGCAAGCGCAGATGATGACGCAAATGATGAACAACGGCGGCCAGTTCCCAGCCATGCAGCAATCAACGCCTGGCTTCCAACCGAAAGGCCGCGGGGGCAAAAGCATGTTCGACCGGATCGACAAACGCCGCAACACCAGTCAACAACCCTCCTCAACAAACGGCGACATCAAGTCAGAAGGAGGCAGCGGCATGGACATCGACCGGCCCCTCGAGCCCGAAAAGAAACCCCCCTTCGACACCCTCTGCCGCTTCAACCACAAATGCCTCAACCCGGACTGCCCCTTCGCCCACCAATCCCCCGCCAACACCCGCCCCAACCTCTCCCTCGACATGACCGACACCTGCACCTACGGCGCGGCCTGCACGAACAACAAGTGCACCTCCCGCCACCCCTCCCCCGCCCAACGCGCCGCCTTCCGCGAGTCCGCCAAAAGCGAGGTCCCCTGCAAATTCTACCCCAACTGCACCGCGGGTCCCGCATGTCCGTTCAAACACCCCGACGCACGGCCGTGCAGGAACGGAGCGGATTGCAAGGTGGAAGGCTGCCCCTTTGCGCATAGCGCGATTCTGTGTCGGTATAACCCTTGCAAGCGGCCGGATTGTCCGTTCAAACACGCCGAGGGGCAGCGGAGGGGCACGTTTTCGGATAAGGTGTGGACGGCGCAGGGGGAGGATGGGTCCGGATTGGCTATGCTGGGGGGTGGGGAGGGGGAGGGAGGGGGAGAGGGGATGAATGGGAGTGGTGGCGGTGCGGCGACTACTGCGGAGAGGTTTGCGGGGTTGAAGGCGCAGGAGGGGCAGGCGGAGGAGTTGATTCTGCCGGGGAAGGAGCAGCAGCAGCAGCAGCAGAATGGGAATGGTGTGGAGGGGGTCGTGCAATAGTCTTGTATGGCATGGCGTAGACGACGATGAGCCAGCTGAGCTGGTGGTCGTGCTGTATCAGTATCTATATTAGACGTGTCATTGCATTGCGTGGCGTGCGCCCGACATACGTCAATGGGACGAGCTTTGTTCCGCGTCGCCTAAAGGGCGTACGGCGGTGAGGACTACCTTTTCTGTGCACTTCCTCTCTACGTCTCGCCGCATGCGACAGTTTGCCGGACACACTACCGAGACGGGCTAATTGAGGGTTTGATGCCTCGAGAGTTAAGAGTGGAGTCCTCTCCTCATATTGAAGGCTGTCCAATGCACGCCAGCGTGGAGGACTGCAGTAGCTGGTACATTTTCTACCGCCCCTCTTCCAAACTAATATCAGGGTTTGTCCGTCTTGAAGTTCACATATATCCCAACGGTATAGACCATCTAAGGTTCATGTTGAGGGAGTGCATGACGTCGGTCGGGATCAAGGTACCTCCAATCTTCATCTATGTCCCTGTCATTCTCGGTTACATTCGGAACCGTACCATAGTCCCTTACAGAAACTCAAGTGTCGAGTGACAGAGCCGTGACCATGGCGCAGGAAACCAAGATTGATCTGTGCGTACATGGTGCTTGCGTGACTTCCTCTTTCGGCCGCCACCCGGGCCAGCTGCACCTCTATGCTAATATAAGCAATTATGTATCAGGTACACGGCTGGCACGCCAAACGGCCAGAAGATCTCTTGTACACTCGAGGAACTTGGATTGAAATATAATGTCCACCATGTCGATATTTCGAAGAACCAGCAAAAGGAAGAATGGTTCCTCAAGATCAACCGTAAGCCATATACTCCAAGCCACCCCCCAACATTGGGGTGGCGAATCCACAAATATCGAATGTTCATGACGGGAAAGAAACAATACATTGACGCATCATACAAACTCCAGCCAACGGCCGCATCCCAGCCATCGTCGACCACACCTCCGGCAAACCGCAACGCATCTTCGAAGGCGCAGCAATCCAACTCTACCTCTGCTCGAAATACGACCCAAAGCACAACATCTCCTTCCCCTACGACAGCGCCGAGTACTGGGAAATGGTCTCCTGGCTCACCTGGATGCAATCCGGCATCGGACCCATGCAAGGCCAAGCGAACCATTTCTACCGTTACGCCCCGACGAAGATCGATTACGCGATCAACCGGTATCAAACGGAGACGAAGCGGTTGTATGGGGTCTTGAATGATCGATTGAAGGGAGCGGAGAGTGGGGGTTGGTTGGTTGGGAGGAAGTATACGATTGCGGATTTGTGTTGTTTCAGTTGGGTTAACTGGGCGGAGTGGGCTGGGGTGGAGACGAAGACGTTTCCGGAGTTGCAGGGGTGGTTGGAGCGGATTCAGGGGAGGGAGGCGGTGAGGAGGGGGGTGGATGTGCCGGAGAAGTTTGAGATGAAGGAGAAGATGAAGACGAAGGAGGGTGAGTAGTTCAGATATCGTTGGATTGTGCTATGATTGCAAGGTGGAGTCTTTGCTGACGAGGCGTAGGAGAGGAGGAGTATGCGAAGCATCATTCCAACTGGGTAATGCAGGGGATGAAGGAGGATCAGGAGAAGCATCGGTGAGGTTTGTACCGCACCTACACGATCCAGCCTTGTGGTGGACACGACACAAACGAAGCCATATAACATCAGCACTTCCTGCGGGGCGATGTCGGAAGAAGCGGTGATCTATCGACGTGGCCGCGCTCGTGAATGAAACTACTGCTTGCCTCCCGGTAGGGCTTGCGATAAGCGGGCCATCGCGGCTCATATGGTTGGTCGCCATGGTGTGCTTCAGCAGCAACTCTGTGGACACAAAGAGGTAAGCCGCTAGGCCACGATTGCTTTGAGGTTGTTATTGCTGTTTTGAAATCTTCTCCGAGTCTCTTTCTTTTGCGAAACACTTAGTCTTCAACGGAAATAAGCAAATGCGCATCTAGCTCTTACACTCGCTTCAACACATTCCTACCTTTTCAACGCTTCGCAAGCTCTTCCAAACGACGAATCCTCCAAACGACGAATCCTCCAAACGACGAATCCTCCAAACGACGAATCCTCGCTCTACAAGGCCAGATACAGGTACACACCAGCACGCGCACCGCCGAAGCCAGCACCATCAAGCTGTCAGACGACTCCGCCGCATCTCCACGGCTACGCTGCTTTCTCAGCTTCGACAACATGCCCTCTAGGCGTGCAGCAAATTCCCAGAAGGCGACCACCGGTCTTTCAGGTACTTTTCGACTCCTCGCTCTCCCGGACGAACTCGTCATCCGCGTACTGGAATACGCAGCATCCACCGACCAGCCCAACGCACGCGTGAATCTCGGTTGGACGGCCGAAAACGACGGGACAGCGACCTGTATCCTCCTCGACCGGATCACATCCCCAGCCCTCGCCCGCGTCAACCGACTTCTGCGACGCGAATACCTCAAAACCTTCTTCACCCGCAATCTCTTCCGCGTAAAAGTACTAGCACTCCACGAAGACCTCCCCCCCAACCAAATCCTCCCCTTAGAACGCTACACCAACACCATCCCGCAACCAGTGTGGAGCTGGTTCCACCACCTCGAGCGCGAAGGAATCCACATCGAATTCCCGCACCTGCGATTCCAAATCCTCCGTCTCTGCGAAGACCCCACACACTCCATCTCCACTTCCACCTCCACCGTCCTCGCGGCAGCAACACTCGACTGGCAACCCAACACAGGCGAATTTCACCTCTCCTTCCACGACGGCTGGTGGACGGGTACCGAGCGACTGGCGATTCTAGCGTGCAAGTACCGGTTGCAGATGATGGTGCAGGAGTTTCTGGGATTGTATTGTAAATCTGAGCGCGGACCGTTGGAGTGGATGGCGGTGCAGAGGTTGGCGAGGGTGTGGTGTACGGGGCCGGGAGATGAGTTGAGGATGTTGTTGGATGAGGCGATGGAGAAGGAGGGAGAGGAGTGATTGGGGACTGGAATGTGGGGGACTGTGCAGGTTGAGACGATAGTGCGGTACTATGGCGAAGGCGGCAGTAATGGAAGTTTCTGGGTAGGGGTCGACTTGGATACTAGACTATTGCGAAACCTGGAAACCGCTGCGTTTTGTGAGATGCTGCTTGATATGCATGGCGACGGCGCAAGGGACAGCGTCGAGAGGAGGAACTTTCCAGAGGGGGAAAGCCGGGTAGATGACAGCTGTTGAACCTAGACTGCTGTTGTACCTAAGAGCTACGTTGCCAGCGTTTGTCCTTCGAAGTGCGACTTGGGGCCGCTTTAGCATGCAAGTGTTTGATGACGAAGTAAGAGTGCTTTACGTTGTTACAGCGCAGCTGTACCACACCCTTCTGAGCACAGATTCGTGTTAGCTCTCATCGCTATGTATTAAGTTGATGTCGTCAAGACGTACTGATTCCACCTTCCCAACCACGATCTCCACGAGCACAACTCCCCGGAATCTCGACGCTCTGAACAACTTTCGCTGCCTCGCTCAGCAGGAGAGCTATGCGCATGGTTGAAGCTTGCCCTCATTGCGATGAAACAAGGGCGTTGTGCCCGATCGATTGGTTGCAAGAGCAACAGCCCGTTCTCGCATTTGCCTTGCCAAGCCATTCCGTGGTTTGCACAGCCGGTTCCAGCGGGTGTCCGCTATCTGAACGTCCATTCACGACGCTCATGAACTTGTCGCCTCACCCCAAAACCTTCATGCCGGCCGGATACCGAACCGGCTTCTTCTCAATATGCGCCCCCGTACTCGCCCTCAACGGATCGTCCTCTTTCTTCCCATTCCGGTCCCGATTCCTCCCTTGATGTTTTCCGCCCCGCCGATCATTCTTCTGCACCACCGGCCTCAAATCCGTCTTACTCCTCTGAATGGTAACAGGATGACTACCAATATACTTCCCCACCATCTCCCTCGCGGCACGGAAGCCTTGCTCGCCATCGAAGAACGACACGAACCCGAACCCCTTCGATTTGGTGGTGCGTTTGTCGCGGACGACGCGGGCCTTGGAGACGCCGTAGGAGGCGAAGGCTTTGGCGAGGGAGTCGTCGGTGACTTCGCCCGCGAGGTTGCCGACCATGAGGCGGAAGTGGGTGGGGTCCCAGTCGAGGAGGGTGTTGTCTTCCCATTGCTCGCCGCCGCCTTTGCGGATGACGGTTTTCTTCTTGTCCGGGTCGTCCGCGGTCGTCTTCGCTTTGGTTTCTGGAGTCTCTGGGAGAGAGGTGACGGTGGGTTGCGCGCGCGCGCCGATGGGTCCGAGGTTCGGGTTACTGCTTTTCTCGCCCTTGGTGCCGCGCTTGGCGCGCTCTTGCTCCTCGGGTGTCGCGTAGGCGGTTTGCCACTGCGCTATCGAGGCTTCGTAGTCGGGGTCGTAGTTTGAGTTTGTGCCCGCATAGGCTGAGCGAGCTGGTGGTGGAGGGGCGAAGGGGTTCTTGGGGATGAGTTGGGACTGTGTTGGGTACTGTTGCGATTCAGTATAGTAGCCCGGCGGGTAGTTGTAGCCTTGGCCGCCACCGTACTGTGAGTAGTCCATCTTCGGTGGGTGTGGTGTGAATCACGTTGCGCCTGGTAAAAAGTGCGTGGCTTCACTTCAGCTGTGTTACGACCAAGGTATGACAATCGATATGGAATGGATTCAAGACTGAGCACTGACGCACCGCGGCCCTACCCGGCGCGAGGCTGCTTACGGAAGGCACACTTTCACGTGATGCAAAGTTTTCAGCAACGTGAAAGCTACAGCACAGCGAAGATGGAGATAGTGCCCGCCAATCGGACGTGGTTGAGGTCGAATCTACTATGCCTACCATCTACATGCAAGGGTTGGGGGATGCTCTCACGGTGAGCGCTGCAGAATGACAAGCCCAATGGCGGCAGAAACAGCGTTGGTGGGGCAGATTTGGAGGCGTGGGAGCCGTCGGCAACGGAGCGGAGGAGGTGAGAAGTCGGATCGAATCTGCCTAGGCATGTAACATCAGCATGTAGAGGGGATTAGTAGACACTTGTAGAGCTTCACCACTTACATGGACAGCTACCGAAATACACATCCCCTCTGCATTTACCGACAGCATCATTGGCTGAGTAGTGGATGACGGAAGCTCGAGTGCTGCTTCTGTGAGCAAAGCAGAGCAACCTGGAAAGCAACGCAGCGCCATCGGACTCCAGCGGACCCCACCATCGACTAGGCTAAAATCTACTGATGCTCTCAACACAATATTCTCCCGCGGAAAACATCGCAGTGCCAGACCACAACAACAACAACATTAACAAAACCTCCTCCTCCTCCCTGTCCAGTCTGACTCGGAGAAGACTCGACAGTATATCACAACACATACATCCAGATCATACTCGCAAGATGTCTGGGAAGGAGCCAGTGTAAGTGCCATGCCCCTCATTGCTGCCCCTCCGTGTGTCAAGTGTCTGTGTGTACGGTGAGGAAAAGAACACCGATGCATGGTGATGGCAGGCAGGCAGGCAGTCAGGACGTCCAATGGTGAGAGCAGACTGGTATGGGCGTCTAGCACTTCGATGAAGAAGAGCCTATCGAGCTCTAACATGTACCGGTGTTGGGCTGGTTCGACGGATGAGAGCTTGACATTAGGCATTGCTATTGTATTACTTGCTAACCGACATGTCCTTTTAGAGGAGACTTCGGTCTCATCGGCCTCGCGGTCATGGGCCAGAACCTGATCCTCAACGCCGCCGACCATGGCTTCACCGTCGTCGCCTTCAACCGCACCGTCGCCAAGGTCGACCGCTTCCTCAACGACGAGGCCAAGGGCAAGAGCATCGTCGGCGCACACAGCATCGAGGAGTTTGTGCAGATGCTCAAGAAGCCCCGACGGATGATGATGCTCGTCATGGCCGGCAAGCCCGTCGACGACTTCATCGAGACCCTGCTCGGTGCTGGGATCGAGGAGGGCGACATCATCATCGACGGTGGTAACTCGCATTTCCCGGACACCAACCGCCGCACGCACTACCTCAAGCAGAAGGGTATCCGTTTCGTCGGTACCGGTGTGTCCGGTGGTGAGGAGGGCGCCCGTTACGGCCCGTCCATCATGCCGGGTGGTAACGAGGAGGCGTGGCCGTACGTCAAGGATGTGCTGCAGAGCATCTCCGCCAAGTCTGACGGCGAGGCCTGCTGTCAGTGGGTTGGTGACGACGGTGCGGGCCACTACGTCAAGATGGTGCACAACGGCATCGAGTACGGTGACATGCAGCTGATCTCCGAGGTAAACTTGTAATATGCGTGAGTAAATCGATGGGCCAGCAGCTAATATATCTTGTGTACAGGCATACGACATGATGAAGCGCGGGCTAAAGATGAGCGACAAAGAAATGGGCGACGTCTTCTCGCAATGGAACAAGGGCGTGCTCGACTCCTTCCTCATCGAAATCACCCGCGACATCCTCTACTTCAACGACGACGACGGCACGCCCGTCGTGGAGAAGATCCTCGACTCCGCGGGCCAAAAGGGCACGGGCAAGTGGACGGCCATCAACGCCCTCGACATGGGCCAGCCCGTGACCCTGATCGGCGAGGCGGTGTTCGCGCGCTGCCTCTCCTCGCTCAAGGGCGAGCGCACGCGCGCCAGCCAGAAGCTGCACGGGCCCGAGCCGCACTTCACCGGCGACAAGGCCGAGTTCATCAAGAACCTCGAGCAGGCGCTGTACGCATCGAAGATTATCTCGTACGCGCAGGGTTTCATGCTTATGCAGAATGTGAGTCGAATGTAACCCTCGAGAACACGCAGAAGTGCAGTGCTAACCACAACATTTCTTCCGCCAGGCCGCCAAGGAGTACGGCTGGAAACTGCAAAAGCCCGAGATCGCCCTGATGTGGCGCGGCGGCTGCATCATCCGCTCCGTCTTCCTCAAGGACATCACCAAGGCGTACCGCGAAAACCCCGACCTGGAAAACCTGCTCTTCAACGACTTCTTCAACAAGGCCATCCACGACGCCCAGGCGGGCTGGCGCGACATCGTCGCCAAGGGCGCCCAATGGGGCATCCCCACCCCGGCCTTCAGCACCGCGCTGTCCTTCTTCGACGGCCTGCGCACGAAGGATTTGCCCGCCAACATGCTGCAGGCGCAGCGTGACTACTTTGGTGCGCATACCTTCCGCATCAAGCCCGAGTACGCGAGTGAGAAGTATCCCGAGGGCAAGGATATTCATGTTAACTGGACCGGCCGGGGTGGCAATGTGTCGGCTTCGACGTATACTGCTTAAGCTGTCTCATCATGTAAAAGGGGGAAAGTGAGTAGGAGTGAGATGTGTACGGAAGCGGTAGCTTGCTGGAGTCTGCAGCATTGCGTGTGGCCGCGGCGATACTACTGCTAGGTGGCTGGCAAGGTGATGTTACACGCTTGCGGATACGAGATAGATGTGGATGATGGTTGTATCTAGCTGGAAAATGAAAACGAAACTGCGCCAGATACAGCATCAGCGTGCCGTTCATCGCGACGGGGTGTCTTGCTTGGTCTTCCAAGGCTCAACGTGAAGCCTTTGCGGCTGTGTTGCATACAGGAAGACTGAAGGCGGGCTGTCACCATTGCCTAGTGAGGTCGTCTTTTTGAATCTAGCTGCCAACAACATTGCAGGTCGGACTGGATTACGCTTTCTTCGCTCCAGTCAGTCGCTGCGATCATCCAAGGGTGGAAGACTGACCTCCTTTACAAACCTTCCAACGCTCGTCTTCGCTTTACAGCGTATCACGGACAGATCGAGTCAGGCATGCGCGCGAGCCACTGATCGATAGTACAGTAGGCTACCATCTCCGTTCGCGGGTGGTGGTGAAGAGGGAACTTCCGAAGTGCCTTCCTGTCGGGAGTATGATCGGGGTGGAGAATGACGGCTACGTGCTGCTGTCGTCGGCTACGTGCTGCTGTCGTCGGCTACGTGCTGCTGTCGTCAGCTAGTGACTACCGCGATGATGCGCCGAAGGAGCAGGCACATGTCCTTGGCGATGCCCCACGATAGAGCCAACGACTCGAGGACGTGGTGAAGCGTGAACACGTCCTGTGTGAGGCTTCGGGGAGCTGCCGGTGTACCGGCCCGAAGCATGCCGGCTGAGAGATACGCGTGGGTCGCTTGCGTGCTCGGCTCAGTCGTCGCGACCTGCTCGTCATGCAGACAGACGGTTCGCCAGCATATCGAAGCCGGCAGAGTGACTTTGTGCGAGCCGGCACCTGCGATGATGGTGAGCAGGACTGCCTCGGCCGTGAGCAGGGCCAATGGCAGGTGGAGTGCTTGAAGCTTAGCAAACGGCACATTCTGTACCAGGTCGGCTATTGCGACGGCATGAAGGATAGCTTGCCGTGCAGGGGCGGTATCGCGCTCCAGCGATGCGTCCGCAGCTCGACCGGCATTTGGGAAAAGGTCTTGATTGACATTGAGCTTGTTGCAGAGACCACCTATGAGTAATGACAGTGGCACAATGACACCAATGCAGATCGTATGCCACCGTATGGTGAGATCAGTTCGGGCAAATGCTGGCAGGTGCGGGGATGAGTTGATGTATTGATCGTACACACGCCAGAGAGCGTGTGACACCGCAGACTTTGGCGGCAAAGCCACAGACTCTCCACCTGCCTCATGCGAATCGGATACCAACGACTGCAGTGCCTCCAGCAAAGCCGGTATACACATGTGGGAGGCAGGCTTGCACGTAAGAGGCGTGCGGATATCGAAGATCTCGTTGAGAAGCTCGCGGAATGTAAGAGCAGGTACTGCATCTTCCTCCGACATTGCAGCAATCCATATGTCAGCGCTGTCAGCTTCCCAGCTTTGCTCACTGGACGGCAGGCGCATCCTGTTGGTGGTATGTCGTACGCTACCGGGAAGCCCAGACATACCGGAGATCAAGCCGTCAAGGATGTAGTGGCCGAGCAAAGCCCGGTTGCACGTTTCCCATGCAGCCCAAGCTTTCCACTGCGTTGTCCGAGTCTCAGCATCATTACCGAGAGAGGGTAGCTGTGGTGATGGCATATCGCACGGCAGTCTCGACAACCTGGCCCAGTAAAATCCCAAGCCATGAAAGACATGGGAGGTCAAGCGTATTGAGCGGTTGCGGGAAAGCAAGGCATACGCCTGGCCTAGGAACGCGGTCAGGATGAGTTGCACGCCCGGCATAGCATCCTCTGGCCCTTGATATTGCAGCATGGAGTGCCAGGAAGTAGCAACAGCAGTGTGTGCCAACTTCCAGAGGCTCTCGCCTCTGGTAATAGCGCCATCCGTTGCGACAAAGAGCGATCCTAAAGCGATCATATTCAGTAGGAGCGGCGGCGTACAGTCTTTGACAGAGAAGGTCGGCTGGTGAACTACGGGAAAGACTGCGAGAAAGCGACTATGAAACATATTCATGCACATGTCAAGGAAGTCACCAACCACGCCAAGTCGCTCCACTTCCCTTGATAGACTGAACGACAGGTCTTTAATGAGGTTGTCGAGGTGCTGCATGGCCTGACGAGCTCGACCCGATGACCGGGGTGGCTGCTCGGTTGTGACCTGCTGTTCCGCAGATGGGAGGTCAATGAACGAAAGATCCAAGGGTGGAAGAGAAGGCAGATCCCACGGTGACGGGTGGGTTGTGAGCAGAGCGTACAGCTCATCTGATGCCGGCCATAGAGTCTCGAGTTGGGGCATATTGCATCCTAGATTGGGGTTGCCGGAGCCAGGCGTAAGGGGAATAGACGAACCTAGCCCAGAGTCGTCGAATTCATCAATGTTGGCACTTTCGCGAGCGTTTGACAGAGGGTCAATGATCTCCATGTCGGCAAAGCCATCGAAGGCTGCTGTGGCAGGCACTGTAGGCGTTTTCACGCCGCCATCATTGTGGAGGTGGACCTTCGCATGACGGGCAAGCGAGTCTTGGCGGTTGAAGCGTTTCGTGCAGTTAGTGTGAGAGCAGCCGTATGGCTTCGAGCCATTGTGTACGCGAACATGTCTCTAAGCATCTCGTTGTCTTAGATGACGGTGCATTCTCTTAGTGCTGCGGGAACTCACTGAGAGGTGTTCAGGCCGCGAGAAGCATTTGTGGCAGACACCGCACTGGAGATCTAGTCTTTTCTCGTGACGTGCAGTCGAATGCTCGCGCGTGACCGTCATGGTGCCCAGGCTTGCTGAACTTGTGCTGTGGAGCGTGAAGCATGTGCGACTGTGGAGATGGGAGTGGGGGGATGGGAGTGGGGAGACGAGAGGTCTCCAGTGCATGTGGAGAGCATTTCGGCGTGCCGCGGCGACACCACATTCACTTTCGAAGCCCGGCAGTTCAGCATGGCCACAATAAATGTTGCGCAAGTGTAGTTCTGTGAGGATGGCTCCCGGAGTACTACCTCCTCCTCCCTCCGGCTGCCTTCCGAGCTTTGCCTCCAAACGCTGTGATGGCGCCACCAGGCAACGTGATCGCCATACCACCTTTGCATAGCTTAACATTGAGGACCACGGCAGATGGCTACCCTGCAATCCAACCTGAGCAATTTAGAGGGCTTGGTCGCGGCCGTGTAGCCCTTATCACTGGTTCGGGGCGCGGAATAGGCAAGTCGATCGCACTGGCTTTCGCGAAGGCTGGCTACTCCGTCTGTGTGTCGTTGTTACTCGAAATGCGCCTTTACCTCTGCTGAATCTTCGTAGGTGTGACTGCTCGCAATGCCTTAGAAGTTGAAGACACGGTCTCCGAGATCCGTAAAGCATCACCTGACGTAAAAGCAATTGGAGAGGCCGCAGACGCCTGCAAACTCGCGGACCTGGAGATGCTGGTCCAGAAAGTCAACGAGCAGCTTGGTGTCATTGATGTGCTTATATGCAATGCGGGAACCAATAGTAAGGCTATGTCGTCCAAGATTGGATGTGCGGCTTTGACGATGACCTAGCATTCATGCCATTCACAATGACTGATCCGCAAGACTGGTGGTACTCTCTTGAGATCAACCTAAAGTCGCCAACGGAGCTCACACGACTAGTACTCCCTCAGATGCGGAAGGGCAATTCTGGAACGATCATTTACACATCGTCTCGTGCCGCTGTCGCTGATCTCCCATGGACCACAGCTTATGGCGCAAGCAAGACCGGCATCACCCGATTTGCAGCATGCTTGCAGAATGAACTAGACCAGACTCAGAAGATCGACTTTGGCCATGAGCGCAACGGGATCGCGTTGTACAGTATCCATCCTGGCGAAGTGAAGACTTCGTTGCACACGACAGGCTTCCCGGAGAAGACTCACAAAGAAGCTCCCTACATCATAGAGCATATGAAAGCATTGGAAGCGAAGCATCCTCACTACGAGGCTTCTTTAGCAGCTTGGACTTGCGTGTATCTTGCTTCAGGCAAGGCGGCAAACATGCGCGGAAAGTATATTGATTGTACCAGGGACATTGTCGAGCAAGAAGCGCTGTACAAGTAAGCATCAAGTATCACACACAACAACCAAGCACGTGGGAGTCCGCGTAATTTGCTACAAGCCTTTTCTCGCAAGAACGAATCAACGAAGGTGAACAACTCGCTTCGAGACGGACATAAAGCTCAACTAATGGTCCGGAGTTGCCTCGTTCCCGTGAAGCTGCTTTTCACGGGTAACACTCTTCTCCAGAGCAGATTCAACATGGCTGTTCATCTCCGCATTTACGGGCTTAAGGAAACAGCTACTGAAGGCGCCGGCAAGGACCACGCATCTAACACATCGTCAGGCATTAGCACAGTCTTGGTACCAAAGCGGTTGTGTTGTGACTTACGCAATGGCAATCCAGACATACTTCCATGCCATAGCTGAGGCCACCGAGATCGCTCCGAGAACTGGGCCAATCATGCTTGCTGGCAACTGCTGGACTGTTTGAAGAGCCACCGGTGGCGGGAGAGGGGACGACAGCGCTCCGATCACCGCTGGAACGATTTGCTGACTGTCCGGTAGGTTTTGAAGCGCGGTAATGACCGCCCGAGGCATGTAGACGGCGTACTTGTTGTTATAGATTGCAGTGAAAACTGTGACGCCAACAATACCGCCAAGTGCTCGTGCGGAAATACTGAGCGTGCCAGCAGTCCCCAAGAGGAAGGAGGGCACTGAAAGGCCAAGCGCGACCACTGAATTTGCGTCAGTCCAAACCACAAGCACGAAGTATAGTGTCAAACGAACACGGAAGAACTGTCGTCACGGCAGTGCCGATTCCGAATAGGGCGGACATCGCGAGAGCGACTGAAAGGCGAGATGGGTTAATCAAGCCCATAAGACCTAGTGTTTGGTTAGCATTATTGACACCCGCATACCAAAGTGAACAGATCCTGACCTGTGAACAGACTGCACCAGAGCAGAGATGCAACGAGGAGTATCCTATACGACTTCGTGCGGCCCATAGCGTATCCAGCTGGCAGACAGCCAACAGTGCTTGTGATCAAGAAGGGTGATAGGATAACAGCGATCCGGACTGCCTGGCTGGCAAAGAGATCACCGATCTCCTGGGCGTACAGCACGTTGATGCCAAGCAGTAACATGCCGTCAATCAAGCAGACAAAACACAGAATTGGAAAGTTAGGGCTGCCGAACAGGCGGCGATCGAGCAATGCTCCTTCACGCTTGACAAGCCATTCGAAAAGACCGAAGATGACCAAGCCTGCGCAGCCTCCCGTGAGCGTTCCAATGATGATCCCCGAACGCCAGGGGTATGCTGTGCCGCCCCAGGTGAGACCAAGCACAATGCATGCGAACGAACCAGCCAGCAAGACCATGCCGATATAGTCAACGCCGAGTAGGATTTCGCGTATCGAGGCTGAACGCCGGATTGCTGTCGGCGGAGGCTGGTATAACGCAAGCACCGACAAGGCGGAAACAGCGTACACAATACCATTGAGACGGTAGCTCCACGCCCACGTCGAGTATTGCGCAAAGGCTGCAGCCGTAAAAACACCAGCGACTGCGGCGGCACTGTTGACCGTCTGCGCGAAGCCGAAGGCGTACGGGCGGAACCTGTTTGGAATAATCTCCTGGTTGGCTGGAATCGCGACTATGCAGCCTGCATTGGCGATTCCGGTAAGGACGTTGCCAGCGATGATGGTAAAGACGTCCTTTCCCGAGGCGCTGATAAAGGAACCTGCAACGCCTACGGCCGCTCCGCCAACGATAAACCACTTCTTTCCGAGCCTGTCTGCGAGAGAGCCGAAGATGGGTCCGCAAGCCAGCGTCAGCAAGAAGTTGCCATTAGCGATCCAGCTGGCTTCGGCGGCGCCGCCCACCGCGATGACCTGGAACTTGATGATGGTGTTGGTGGTGTTCGACAGTGTTGCACAGCAGTTGGCGAGTGCCAATGCTATGATGGCCAGACTGGTCCTCACGCCGACGGAGTAGTTCACATCTTCCTCATGCTCGATAGCCAGAACGTCCGGACGCTCGACATGCATGGCAGCAATGTTGCTCTTCTGTATCTCGTCCGGCTGCATGTTGTGCTGTAAATGGGGTGGAGCCAACGAACGACTGATCCAACAGTGCGTCAGAAAGGGAACAGGAGGACGGTGCAGACTGGTCGGACAACGTCCATACTTCATCCCCACAAGTTTATGCGTCCAGGCTCTCGGTTACGGCAAGGGCGCCCTTATGCCCCATGGCTTCTGTTGCGGGGTGTGGAGGGCAATGTGGAGAGCGGGGAGGACGACTCCAACTTCATATGCACTCCGGTCAAGTTGCTGAACCTTCGATAAAGCACTTTGCAGTGGTTATGATGACGCAACTCAGTTGGCAGGATGCCACCATCGAATGGTTTGGTATGCTCACTGTATCGTTATAGGGGCTGCCACATTACTCATGGGTTCCAGGCGCCACAACGTTCCGACTGCAAGCAAAAGGGTTGACAATCTTTCTTGATACGTGGTTGGAGAGGCCGAGTGTCATGCCAACGTTCCTTCGTATCGACGAAGTGACTCATGCCGACTACATCTTTATCTCCCATGCACATTTCGATCATTTACCAGGTTGTGACCGCTTAGCGAAGCAGACAGGCGCTATCGTGATAGCGAACGGTGAAGCCATCAACGTTCTGAGAGGTGCCGGCGTCCCAGAGGAACAACTCCTGCCAGTTGCCGGCGGCGAACGGATCCCTCTATTCCTCAGCAAGACACGTCAGGATGCAACGGGTGGAAAATGTCGTCTCGCTGGAGGGCCGCCAGGAGCACCACCTTTACCACATTCGGATCTTGCAGTAGCCGAAGTCCATGTTTGGCCAAGCCTTCATTGCCTCTTACCTGGCCAAAGTCATGCCGATATGTGCGTATACAATGGATAAGAGTGAACCGAGCTGCTTTGCATTGCTGACACTCTGAACAACTTGTAGTCCGGACGTGATGGACACAGGCACCAAGTACAGCGGCAGCAGTCCATATGCTTGCACCATTGACATTACGCGGGGTATGCGGTATGGTCTTCTACGCTTGGGTGAGATTGTACCGGCGGAGCGCCTTGACGATGGCGAGAAATCTTTCGTCGAGTATGTCGCGGACACGAAGCGCAATGTGATGAGTAACTTTGATGGCGGTCAGCTATGTTTCTCCTTGCTGGTTGATGAACGAACTTTGTGCTGGAACGGGCATCTCGGAGGCTACAGTGCAATCCTTCAGACCATCCGCCCCCAGCCTGACGTTCTGATACAGGCTATTGCTGGCCGTGCCAACATAGATGGGTGGCCATTTGATGGTAGCGCCGCTGAAGCCGCCTCGGACATATGTCGATGGCTGGGACAGCCTCAGCGAGTGATCTGGTGTTTGCACGACGATGCGCCCATCAAGCCTTGGCGGATAGATACGAAAGCGGCGACGGAGATGGTTGAGGCTGTCACTAAGTCTCGCATTCACTCGCTGGATCATGCGGTCAAGGTGAAAGTGTTCCCGAGCTAAAGGTGCCCTCGCCGTCGGTGAGATATAGATTAATATTTAGCTGCTTAGCAGCTTCTCCCCACCGCTATGCGCACGCCTCACGACCCACATGGGACAGGATATCCTCGACTATGTCCTGTGCTGAGCTGATAGGCTGTAATAGTGAAAGTATGTGCTGATCGGGGCGCACGATGACAGCACCTCCACTGCTTAGTTGCAGCGTCGCAAGCCAGATTTGGCCGTGAGTACCAGGAACGACGGTGAAATCCTCGTCGTACCAGATGGCGCGAACAGGGACGTTTCGGGCCCGCAGCTGCTGAACCGCAGAACGAATCGCAGCTCGACAATCGTCCGATGAAGAGGCGATGATGGTGAATGCGTCATATGCACATAGATCCAATGATGAGTATTGCATCCCTCTTCTTCTGTCCGCGTCAAGTTCCTCAATGTAGGCAAGATTTGCGGGAGGAGGTAGGCTTCCGTACAAGCTCGCGGAAGGCCAGATCCAGACGTGCGGTAAACGGGCTCCAGGTACATATTTTGCTGTGAATTGCGAAGCGTGTGGTGGGACGTTACTGCTGCCGTAAACGTAGCCGATATGCAGCTCAAGCTGACGTTACAGGGTCAGCGTCCATCCCTGAAACAGCGTCAAAGAAGTGAAGCTCACATTGTCGAAATGCTCTTGCTGTAACCTAACCTCTTCGTCAATATGAGCACGCCTGACTGGCTCCGCCAATGCGTCATGAAGGTTCGCTCGTGCCTGAGCGGTGTCGTCGGTTGTGGTACCCAAGGCTCGCAAGAGACCGAAAATCTGCTTGCCGTTTTTCACGCTCTGTTGTGCGTTAACGACGGCGACATGCCTCCGGTCTGACTCGTAGGTATCCAGCAGAGAGTCCTCGGCGTAGCCTTGAAGCACGGCTGCGAGCTTGTATGCAAGGTTGTGTGCGTCTGCAAGCCCGCTGTTTAGACCCAAGCCGCCTGTGGGTGGGAAAGCGTGGGCCGCGTCTCCGGCGCTGGCGTCTGTCAGCTGTGACCGTTTTCGTAGGAAGTACCTAACTTGCAGGAATACACGACCCTTGCGGTATCTGAGATCATCGTTAGCGGCTGCTAATCATCAAGCCATTATTCCACCTACTGATTTGCCACTTTACGGCTCAGCACCCACGGTCGAACACTCCGCAGCTCAAAGGGAGTGTCATGGCCTATCGCCGTTGTTACGATGCTCCTGGCGAAGTCCGCTGTCCACGTGGCGACTGGATGCTTGTCCGTCTGCACGGGATTAATCAACGATTATCAGATCGGTACCGGGCCGGTTTACTTACGTTGACATTGCAAATCAAAACCTCTTCGCCGGCGAGATCATAGCCGATGATGAATCCGCTGACAGCAGGGTCGGCGATCCAGTGGAGCATTCCAACATGATCGCCAAGGACTGGGCGGAGGTCGGCTCCAAAGTGTATTGTCATCATGGTTTCGTCTGTGGGTGTTAGCACGCATCCTCCACGGCCAGAACATAATCGGGAGAAGTAGCTCACAAGAATCCTCGCCCTCACACTTAATGCCTAGAAACGATCTTACTTTACTCTTTGCACCATCGCAAGCAACAACGTAAGTAGAAGTAATCTCATGCAGATTGCCCGTCGTGCGATCTTCGAAGGTTGTGGCTACCAGACCTTTGCGCTCCTCACAAGAAACAAAAGATGTGTTACGCAAGATCTCAACCTTATCCGAGATACTTTTTTGCACGAATGTCTCAAACACTGGTTGCGGTACGTTGTGGATCATCTACAGAACATTAGCGGACTAGTAAAACGCAATACCCCCCTCGTGGACAGTGGCTACCTCGGGAGTATCATGGAGCACTTCAGCATCCATTCGTTCGTAAGGCAGCTGTCCAATGCGTTCGCCAGTCAATGTTGCCACAAAGTTGACCCAGTATCCATCCCGGCGTGCTGTGCCCACGTTGCGTAGGGTATGAGTGTCAAGATTGTTCTGTCGGCATATTTCCAGCGACCTTGGAGACAGAGCATGGGCTTTCGGAGCAGCTAGTCTCGAAGCATATCGTTCGATGATTGTACATTGCACTGATTAGGCTGTTAGCATCTTGGTGACTTACAACATTACGCACATACCATCAAGGCTCGTCAGAAGTTTCGCCAGCAGCAAGCCTACAGGACCCGCGCCAACAATGAGAACGGGAACAGTGAGCTCTCCAACATGACGATGGCCGTTGATCGGGGTCCTTCCGTTGCTTGAGTTATCTGCATCGATTGGGATCGAAGATGTACGTGCAACATGGGGATCCTTGGCCATATTCCGTGTTACGTCTCAGCCAGCTGGACCTGCTCTCGGGACGATTTCTTCGAGTATGCAACATGAATTGGAAGTTCAGCGTACAGTACAGATTATTCGTTGTCGGAGTGGTCGAGCCTCCAATGGCCGCTTTCGCTGCTGGTCGCAATCAGTCAGGGCTGTGGCAAGGGCAAGGTGTGGAGAGAACGACACCCACAATGGACCCCACAACCACTTGTCCCACCCCCACAATCGACTGAGGAGGCGGCACAGGACCGCGGTGTTCACGGAAGCAGTCAACTGATTGATGAGACAGTATAGTCTGCGCTGTCCATGAGTGTTACAACAATGGCTCACAACAGCGACGGTGATAGATTGAATCCGGACCTTGTAGAAACCGCAGACAACAAACTTCCTCAATTGTTTCCCGATCTTGTGTACGCCAAACTTACACCGGCACCACAGCACCCTCACTTCAACTACCAAGGCTTCCATCCGGGTAAGGCGATCTTAACAAAAGGCCATGTTCGATCGCCGGGACGCCGTGCCTTTCCAGCAGACGTTGTCTTCGATCGTGATGTCTGCATACGGTGCAGAGACGGCATTCGGCTCTATGCAGACGTCTACCGTCCGCTGGACTCGGATGGAGTGCCCGTGCCAGTAGTGATACCCTGGAGTCCATATGGAAAGACGGGAACAGGTCCGCAGCAATACGATGTAATGGCACCATATCGAGCCGGCATTCCCGAAGACAGGACGTCAGGGTACGAGAAGTTCGAGGTGTGTCTGTTGCGGCTCGTCGATGGTTAGACGCTAAAAACAGGTCAGGCCCCAGATCCAGCGGAGTGGTGCGGTGAGCGTGGCTATGCCATTTGAACATCGACGCTCGGGGTGCCGGCAACTCTGAAGGTAATATCGCCATGTGGGGTCTGCAGGAGGCGGAGGACGTATATGATGTGATCGAGTGGTGCTCGCGTCAGCCCTGGTGTAACGGATGCGTGGCCATGGCGTAAGTACGCTGTAGGGAGTGAGTTGAGTTTGGCTTACTGATGCTCGCTTCGTGCAGTGGCAATTCATGGTTGAGCATGGCTCAACTGAACTTTGCTTCCCGTCTGTCTCATCCCGCGCTGAAGGCGATAGCGCCGTGGGAGGGCCAAACGGACGTATATCGCCAGTTCGTTGCGCGTGGCGGCCGACCGCATAATCCAAAGTTCCATGACATGATCAAAGGCGGCTTTGCTGGTCCAGGGTATGCAGAGCTCATTTACGACATGATCCACAAGCGGCCGTTGTATGACGAGTATTGGGAGGCGAAGCGGTTCCCAATAGAGAGCATCGACAATATACCGATGTACCTCCTGGCTTCGTATTCGACTATGCTGCATACGCAAGGCTCCTTCTCGACGTTTCGGGATGCGAAGACAAAGCTGAAATGGCTACGTGTCCATCCATACCAAGAGTGGTATGACATATACCGGAAGGAGAGTAATGATGACCTGCAGCGTTTCTTCGACCGATACTGTAAGGGTGTGCAGAACGGCTGGGAGGAGACGCCGCCGGTGAGACTCTCGTTGCTCGGCTTTGAGGCAGATGGGAGCCCTGCGGAGACGGTGTTAGAGCGGCCTGAAGCTGCGTATCCGCCGACAAGAGGCCAGGATGTGGAGCTGTACCTGGACTCGAAGAGTATGGTGTTGACGACGCAGCCTGCTCCAGATCCATCGTCTGTGAGTTATGAAGGTCATAGGCTGACGTCCTCGGCGGTAAGAGGACCTCTCCATTACCACCGCTTGCACAGCGACTGATCGTCAAACCAGGACTTCACATGGCATTTTGAGCAAGCAATTGAGCTTTGCGGCTGGTCGAAGCTGCGACTGTTCGTTTCTTGTCCGGACCACGATGACATGGATATTGCTTGCCAAATTCGCAAGATCGACAAGCACGGTCGGCCGTTACAACATATGAACTGTACGTCGAGCTGTGGGAGTGCATGCCGACGCGGCGCTGACTGTGGGTACGAAGATCCAGTACCTGTTCCAGTCAATCAAGTCCCCGACTTCAACACAGCGAAGACGCTAGGACCGCAAGGGTTCCTCCGAGCGTCTCACGCCATATCGCTGGACAGGTCGAAGTCGCATGGCAACGACCTGTTCTACACCCACCGTACTAGAAAGCCGATCCCAAAAGGTGAGGTTATTGAGCTTGAGATTTCGATGTGGCCTATCGGGATGGTCTTCGCGCCTGGTGAAGGCATCCTGCTACGGATCAGTGGGCACGACATGTGCCTGCCTGAAACGGGCCTATGTGTCGTGACTGAGCCTGAGGATGCCAACGTCGGTACACATGTTGTGCATACTGGAGGCAAATACATGAGTAGCCTGTGCATCCCAATATTGCCGCCAGAGTAGTTAGAGACGAGACAAAGCGGCCGGTTGAGACTCTCCCGCCGTTCCTCCATCTCACTTCGCTTAGGAGAGTCACTGTTTGGCCAGGAAAGTGACCTGCAGCAGCGCCGAAGTGACTTTGCTGCATATCCACAGGTTGGTTGCAGGTATGGCTCGGCACGTGTATACGAAAGCCTGTGAAAAGCTCAATGGTAAGCATTACCTATACCAACCCAAACAGAATCCGCACAGCGGCCACTGTTCAATTTATATCCAGCAGACCGTTCGAGGCTATTGGCTTCATTGTGCGAAATACCCACCTCGTGGTGCAGACATCAGAACCACTGTCAGGAAAGCATTGTGTGTCTCCTAGCCTTTCGAACGCCATCTCGTCCGTCTGGCTATCACAACGCCGGCATCATTGAGTGCGTGCCCAATGCGGCACCAAGACCACATCAATCATCCATGAGTGTCGCACTGTAGAGACTTGGAGGGTGTGCTGAGTCCATCCAGAAACGCACCGCCTGACGTCCTAGAGGCCGAGGATAACGGTACCCAGCATTCGGCAAGGCAACATTGCACTGTGCGCTTCCACGCACCTGAGCGCGCAACCCAAAGTCCGCTCTCAAGCTTCATCAACCGCAATCCGGAGCTGCGCAGCTTCCTAGGCGTCGAGGCGGAAGACGACGACCAAGAAGACCCCTCTCCTAGCCATCTCGAGGGACCGCTCAACGCCGCTAGTTGGTGTCTCTTCGCCTCACAGTGGACGTGTCTTCGCCGGTGCAGCTCGTTCAGGTCATCGCGGAGCTGTAAAACACCTCTCAGCGCCTGCGTTTGGACTCTCCTTGCCACCTCATGCGCGTGCATTAACAGTCCACCCCATCCCCAACCAAAGCCCACATCTCGCCGCAAACAGCTGCTAATCCAAATCTACCGCCGCCCCAGTACCAACATCACATTCAGAACAAGAATGTCCAAACCCCATCGCCCTCTTGGTGAACCCCATTGGACAAAGGAAGCGCTAAGCATCTTCATCTGGCAATCCTTCATCAAACGCGGCCGCCGCGTGCCACGAGCATACAACAGCCGCTGCCTCAACCTGCCCGTGCTAACCCGGATTGTGGAATCAGTGGCCGAAATCTCCGTGGGCAGCTTGCCACTTAACGGTAACGAGCCGCGCCCTCGACGTATTCGATCGAAACTGAGAGCGTATAACGTGGTACTGTCGACCGTCTGTAGGGTGCCGAGTCCACTCGGACGGAATGTTATGACCGCTGAGAGTGTAGAGGAGGAAGTTAGGGGAAGCGTAAGTGTCTCGGCTTCTTCTTCCGAGACGGGGAAGAGGGCGAGTGTTCATGTTGGTGGGTCGGGGTCTGATGCTGCGTTGGCTATTCGGGAGGGTAAACGACCCGTTTATTCCAATAGCGTTTTGCAGGGACGCAATTTGCTCGTTAGCGAAGACTGGATGTCGGGAGCAGGCGAACATTGGAGTCAACCGGGAATGGCCTTGTCGGCATCTCTAGACGAGCCACCCAAGTCGCTGAGGGCGCCACGGAAATGGCAGTATAAGCGTAAGTCTCAATGCGGCGGTCCTTCACTTCCATCGACTGTCGGCGAATGCGAGAGTACAACCGGTTCGAGTCCGGACACTGCGTTGCCGACGAGTCAATCGCAGCAGCCGCCCACCTGCGCAGCGCCAGCGTGGTGGGAAGCGCCGACCGCGGATGCGAAGCAAGCGAAAGCCCAGCGGCGCGCAGCTAAGCGAAGTTCATGGTTCAAGCAGGTCGAAGTGGAGGCGGTGCTCGAGGCGTGCACGGGGAAGACCGAGGCCGAGACACTCGATGCTACTAGCGATGGGCCGCTGCGAAGCAGCATTGTGCCGACGGGACTGCAAGATACTGAAGCCACATGCTTGCCTGCTGTCTCTTCAGCGCCGGAAGAGGCTCATGTCGAAGGGCCGGTCGTGGATGAGCCACCTTTTACTGCCAAGATCTCGACTGAACCGCCAAATTTCAAGTCCGAGGCCGAAGCAGCGACCTCACCAGAATTCCCGGCAGCGCGCCAGCGTTCCGCAGCCTTCCGCCGCGAGGTCCGGAACGGCATGCCTGGGAGTGCCTCGTCCGTCTATGGCAGACGCGCATCCGGTTCGTCTGTAATAACGCTTTCGCGTATGAATCCAGCAGCGAAAACAGGTCGAAACCGGAATGCCATATATGGAGGCTTTCATGCTCAGGACTCTCCAGAAGGGGTCAGCACGTCTGTACGGGAACTTCATGACCTCTGTGACGACGACGAAGAAGAGGAAGGCTATGGCCAACCTCAACCATCTGCTCACTCAACGCCTGCGCAAAGATTGAAAGCTCTCCAAAGGAAGAGCGCGCAGGCGCTCAAAGATGTGTGGTCGAGCTCGCCAGATGCCGACAACGATACGGCCGAGCCAGCGAATGCGTTGAAACGGCTTAGTAGGCGGAGTGTAGCTGCGTTGAAGGAACTTTTTCCGACGGTCGGAGATGCGACGGCCGAAAGTTTGGAGCCGACAGACGAACGGGCGGAGCCAGCACGTGCCCTTGAGAAGCTGCGCAGACGAAGCGTGCAAGCGTTCAAAGATCTGTTGACGTCTAAAGCTGTAGAGGGGGCCGGTGACAGGGCAAGTTCACGTACCGCACCGTCGGGCCAGAAGAGGCGGTCGGTGATGAGCATTCACCTCAACCAGAGACCGGAGCTCGACGGTGCCGAGGGAGTGTCGGGTTGGTGCTGCCCAAGCACAAGAGGATGTTCTGTGGTGGACATGTCGGAGCACAGCGGGACGGCCCCCGCACACTCGTCTCGTCTGCCTGAAGTTTCGTCTACATCGTCTCTGACTCCGGAGGTGAGAAGATGGAAGCGTGCAATAGCTCCTCCTATCAATTCAAGTCCAAGGCTGGACTTCGACTTCCAAGGCAGCCTTCAGATAGACGAGTGGGAGCGGATGACGACTGCAATTCTGGCACGTTTGTGCTCGTCGGAAGATGAAAACGCTGAGGCTAGAGTATCCAGCTTAGGTGGGAGGAGTGAGCATTCGCGCATTCACACAACGCAGCCATGGCAGGGGCAGGCCCTTGGTGACGATATCCCAGCTGCGCCAGCACGTGAGCTAGACGACCGTGCGAAAAAGTCGACTTATCGCCTACTGTCGCTGACGGATCCAGCTCAGCTGCCCATCACTAAGCCGTACTTATTTTCCAGCAAGACGGATGTGGAAGAGGCGGTCTCGCCGCGGACACATGTCGCCGCAAACGAGCTTGACGATGGCCAGTCTCATTGTCACGACGTCGCGGTGAACTCCGGCCGTTTCATCCGTCCGCAGACAGACGGGACAAACGCAACACTTGCGAATGATGCATCTTCACCCCCGAAGAAGGACTCCACGCTTGGTACTCAGCAACCAAATCGGAAGTCTGAGACGACAGAGTGAGTACCACAGATTTCAGCGTTGGATCTTGGGGTAGACCTCTCCAGTTTGGACTTCGTGAGGATCTGAAGTCAATTGATGAGAGTTGAACGAGGTGCTGGTCATGTCTTGTCGGAGGGAGTGAGGTTGTGCGGAGGGCGTGTAGTAGCGAGCCTGAATCGAGATGTACATCAATCATGATTTGATTGAGATCCTTCAATGTCTCGGTGCTCGTGTGGCCCAGACCGAATTAGGTATGGTCTTGTCGATAAGCAATTGGACCTGCAGTTACCCCTCGCGCGGGCTGAAGCGAGTGACAAGTGACAAGTGACCAGCTCCGCGACTTGACCACACGCGCACTCTAACTGACCAACTGACCAACTCCGCCAACGCAAACTACCCTGCCTGCTGTTTCACTGCTGCTGACTGACCAATGTCATCCTTTAGCCAGTATGGCTTAGCTGACATGCCCTAAGTGACACTCTTCCCTATATATATATACACCTCTTCTCCTCCCCACGACCCCGCCTGGCACTCGGATAAACAGCTCACTCCCTCCCTCACGCGACACCCCACCCTCACCAACATGGCCACCACCACCCACCCCCTGCAGTACGCGCCATGGACATCCGATATCGAACTCGCCTTCTACTCCGCCCTCGCCCGGCTAAAGATCGACCACGACAAGCTCGACTCCTCGGCGCGTAAGGTGCTCGGGCTGTACGAGATCAACCACCGAGACCCGCCGGAACGCTCCTGCCGCATGCAAATCCACGCCTCGGCACTAACCACAGACGAGTACGTAAGTATCCAACTCTCCCGATTAGGCAAGTGGCAGACTTACACAGTCGCGTCAAGTGGGCCGAGGAGCTTCTACCGCGCCGAAGGTCTCATCCGTAACTTCAACACGCGCGAGGAGTTTCAGCAGGTGGATCGAGCGGCGTTTATTGAGAGGGCGGGGCGGACGGTGTGGGATGCGATATGCGATGGCACGATCTACTCCTGCCCGAGTCTGCTCTCCAGCTTCTCCGCCATTTGTTTTGCCGATCTGAAGAAGTACCGCTTCACCTATCACTTCGCTTACCCATGCGTGCATTCCGACCCGCCATGGAGGTTGATCGGTGAAGAGGGCAAGTCGGTGGAGGAGGCAGTGAAGAAGCTGGGTCAGAAGGAGACGGAGACGCTCGTCGATGCGGTGCAGACGTGGCGGTATAGTGTCGACTCACGGCAGCATGGCTTCTTTCTGGCGAAGCGGCTGCGCAAGAGCGTACTCGAGGCGCAGTGGAAGTTAGGCCCCGGCAGTGGAGAGGTTGAAGAGGAGAAGGACGACGACGGCAACATGAACCACGCCGCGCAGAGGAGGCGAAAGAGTAGGACGCAGAGTCTAGGTGAGCTCGGCTTCTTGTGGCAGATCGCATCGTTGGCGAGCTACGAGAACGGCTTCTTCGACAATGCCGAGGAAGAGGACCGGTACCTGTGCTTTGCCGACCCTTCAACATATGCCGCCAACCCAGGCTGGATGCTGCGTAACCTGCTGGTATTGGTACGGCAGCGCTGGCATTTGGACAAAGTGCAGGTGCTCTGTTACCGCGACATCCACTTACGGCGCGAGCACCCAACGAGTCTCATCCTGAACTTACAATCAGCATCACCAGTACATACAGATCAAACCGCGGAACAGCTCAGCAAGGACATGCCCACCATGGCCACATCCTCCGCCCTTCGTCCAGACGACGTCGACGCTTTCGGCGAGTTGATACAGCGCAAAGACCCTCCACCCGAGCCAGCGCCTGAACCAAGCGTCGAGCATCCGCCAAAGATTCCCCCCATGCCAAAAGTAACGGGCTGGGAGCGCAACGAGCAGAACAAGCTCATCAGCAAAACAGTCGACTTGGCAGCCTACATGGACCCGTCAAAGCTCGCTGACCAAGCAGTCGATCTCAACCTCAAGCTCATCAAATGGCGTATATCGCCTTCCATGGATCTGGACATCATCAAACAAACCTCCTGCCTCCTCCTCGGCGCCGGGACCCTTGGCGCCTACGTCGCCCGCGGCCTGATGGGCTGGGGCGTGCGCAAAATCAGCTTCGTCGACAACGGACGCGTCAGCTTCAGTAACCCCGTCCGCCAGCCTCTATACGACTTCAAAGACTGCGAAGAAGGCGGCGTGCGCAAAGCAGAGCGTGCCGCGGACGTATTGAGCGAAATCTACCCCGGCATGGACGCGCATGGCTATCACATGTCCGTTCCCATGGCGGGACACGCTCTCACGGATGAAGAAGGGGTGAGGAAGGATTTTGAGAAGTTGAGAGGGTTGATTGAGGGGCATGACGTTGTCTTTTTGTTGATGGACACGAGGGAGTCGAGGTGGTTGCCTACGGTCATGGCCAAGGCGGCGGGGAAGATTGTGATCAATTCCGCGTTGGGGTTCGATAGTTATGTTGTTATGCGGCATGGTTTGCGAGATCCAGACGCGATAAAGCCGCAAATGGAAGAAAGTGCGGAGGGAACGGTGATCAAGAACGCAGAGGACGTCTCAGACTCTCTTAAAGCAGCGGCCAGCGATCCGATCGAACAGCAGGAACCAACACACACCACGAACGGTCCCACTGAGCAGACAAAGCCCTACGAAGAACTAGGCTGCTACTTCTGCTCCGACGTCGTCGCGCCAGCCGATAGTCTCAAATCCGCAACCCTAGACCAACAATGCACCGTCACCCGGCCCGGCGCCGCGCCTCTCGCCGCAGCGCAAGCGGTGGAACTGCTAATCAGCATCCTGCAACACCGCCGCAAAGCTTACGCCCCCGCGCCCACACCCCCAACCACGCACGGCATCCAACCCGCGCCCCCCACCGACCCTTCCCTCCCCAACTCCCACCCGCTAGGCACAGTCCCGCATATGCTCCGCGGCTACATGTCCACCTGGCAGATCCTGCAAGTCAAAGGACAGGCGTATGATTGCTGCGCTGCGTGTTCGCCGAAGATCCTGCAGGCGTACGAGGAAGGGGGGTGGGAGTTTGTGAGGCGGGCGGTTGGGGAGAGGGGGTTTGTGGAGGAGGTCAGTGGGTTGAGGGAGGTGCAGAGGCGGGCGGAGGAGATGGAGAGGGAGATGGAGGGGTGGGATGAGGAGGGGGATGTTGGGGGGGAGGAAGGGGAAGGGGAGATGGTTTGATTGGGGGAATTTTTTCACTGACTGTTCCCGAGAAGGGTGGAGAAGGTGAGGGGCCGATATGCACATTCGACTCCCCCACATAGCTGTTCTTGTTGATGGATGGTGCCACACGACGCTTGAGATAGTGAAGGCAGTTGGATGTCCGTGGGGCAGAGACTATAGTGAGCGCGAGGGAAGCGGTCACGCAGCGGACCTTGAATGACACACACGGAGACCCAGCTTGAGCCGGATCATCCTGCGGCGATATGATGTGCGCGCCTGCAGAATAAGCGTTATAATTTCGCCTCCCCCAGCATAACCTCCTTCAATAAAGTCAGCGCCTCAACAGCAAACCTCTTCATATTCCCCACCCTCTCCCCTCCCAGTCCCGTGTTCACCTCCCGCACAAAACACCCCCTCTCACAATCCACCGCCAACGCCACATACCCCGGCCTCCGATTCGGCGTGGTGCCCCCACTAGGTCCCGCCGTGCCGGACTCAGCAAGCGTATACGTACTCTCCAGATCCTTCCTCACGTGCTTTGCGAGTCCGCTCACGATATCGGTGGTGGGACCTTTGTAGGAGGCGATGGTTTCTTGCGACCAACCGGCGTAGGCGATGCGGGAGGGGAGGGTGTAGAGGGTCAGGCCGCCTTTGTAGATGGTGCTCGCGCCGGGAGTGGTGAGAATGGAGGCGGAGATGAGGCCGCCGCAGGCTGTTTCCGCGATGGAGAGGGTTTCGTTGCGTTGTTTTAGGAGGGTGGTGATTTCGTCCAGTATTGGTAGGAGATCGGAGGGTGGGAAATCTTGGGGTGAGGAGGAAGTTGAGGTCATGGTGTGAAGGTGGTGTCGGCGAGCTGTATGAGCAGTGGAATATAGGCGCTCAGATAGCTGGGTGATATGGCTGCTCGACAGGAGACTAAGAAGTGGGTGGCGGCGCGGAGTGATTAGAGGCTGCAGGATCCCGGCGCGCCTGAGAATAGTGTTTGATGTGAAGCTTCGGAGGACTTTGAAGACGAGATGAGTGTTGAACAGCATAAACTTGTCGGAGCAATCCACAATGTAGAATGATCGAAGTGCGCAGTGAACAATGCTTGTCGTATGTAGCTCTTATTGCGTTATGCCTGGCGGGGCAAGGCGGGGCTTGTCAGGCTCTCTACTGCGTCTTAGCCTCGAATCCGTCTCGCAGACTGCTCAATTAAATGCTGGGCCTACAGTCAGGATGCTTGGATCGATTGAAGATGCTATCATCGCTTCTGAGCAAGCATCTGACAAGTCGGGCCATGTCCACGGGCCGGACGGTACACTCGCGCACGCTTCCGGCATGCTTCATGCGTGGCGGCACTTCCAAAGGACTTTTGATTCATCGCAAGCACCTACCTGACGATGAGGCAAACTGGCAGCCTATCTTGGCGGGTGCTATGGGCTCACCAGACAGCTACGGCAGGCAGTTGAATGGTATGGGTTCCGGCATTTCTTCGACGAGCAAAATCTGCGTCGTCTCGCCTTCCAATAGAGCGGATGCGGACATTGACTATACTTTTGTCCAGGTAGGCATCAAGGACGGTTTGCTGGATATGGCTGGTAACTGTGGTAACATGTCGTCCGCGGTCGGTCCGTTTGCGGTGAATGAAGGTATCACAAAGGAGATGACGGCCGCTGACGATGGCTCCGAAACCATTCGCATGTTTAATACGAATACGTCGAAGGTCCTTCATTCCACGTTCACGGTTAGGGCTGGCAGCTTCGAGCCTTCTGGAGATTACTCGATCGACGGAGTTCCTGGGACAGCCTCACGAATCACACTCCAGTTCCTGAGTCCCGGAGGCGCGAAGACGGGTAAAGTCTTCCCAACAGGCAGTCCCGTGGATCAACTCGAGCTCCCCAATGGAACGTCAGTTAAGGCAAGCTTGACCGACATTGCGAATCCCGGCGTCTTCGTGTCTGCATCCGAGCTCGGTGTGCCAGGTGACATCCAACCAGACGCACTAGGCTCCGATGTGCAGCTGCTGGCCCGACTGGAGGAGATTCGACAGACAGGCGCACGCAAGATGGGCCTCGATCCAAACATCCAGAGCATTCCGAAGATCGTATTGCTGTCGTCGCCCACGGAGTCAGCAGCTGCCAACGGCGTCAATATCGTCTGTAGAGCTCTGTCCATGCAACAGGCGCACAAGGCAGTCCCGCTCACGCATGCACTGAACATTGGGGCGTGCTGCAGACTTGAAGGAACGCTGCCATATCAACTCGCTGCGAATGCCGGGGGCAAAGAGTCAGTGGTCATTGCGCACGCAAGTGGTAAGCTTGAAGTGGCCTGCACTATGAAGGAGGGCGAAATCGAGAGTGCAGTGCTGTATCGTACCGCCAGAGTTTTGATGAGCGGCGAGGTGATGCTCCCCTCGTGAGATGTCGCGCGATGTCGCGGATAGACGAGGGTGTTAGGTCCATGAGGCTTATGACACGTGCCGTGCTCCAGCAACGAAGGCTGAGCGCAGCAGAGTCACGACGAGGTAGCAAGCGTCCGGTAACCATTAGCTTACCAACAGTCAAGCTGGAGGCGTTGACACGAGGACCAGTCGCCCATACGAGTCGCAATATCAGCGCTTGGCGACCAATCTTATCTCGCCATCACGCGAAACTGCCGCGCGAAAAAGCTCTAGCTGCACGCGCAACCTCGCAGCCGCTGCCCGGGATAATTGATCAAAGTCGCGTGTAAGCCTGGGAAGTGTGACGGACCGAGGCGACCTGAGACTATGAACAGTCATGAGTACTAAGACTACGCCGAGCACCTGTGCAAGAGCTTGTGTGTCGCCATAGCTGTGGCTGCCTGATAGGCTATATCGAGATATTGGGCTTGGCTACGAGGCTTGAGACAGTTGCTCGCCAGGCAGCCTCAGAAGACGCCGAGTCGGATGGAAATGCATTCATCAAAGCGCGTGGACGCTTGGCAACACGGCGCCGTTAGTTCGGTGTCGCTCCGATGAAGATAAGGCGGGCGCGCGAACGCCGAGGCCGCGTACCAGCGGTGACGGTTGAGTGCTGAATGGTGAGGAACTCAGCTTCTTATCGGTCAAGGGCGATGCTCACGACTGCTGCATTACGCTGCCACCTGCATCTGCATGATCAGCGCAGCGCGTGTGGCTATGTTGTGCATTTCGAGCTTGTGGTACCTGCAGCGGCAATCCCGCAGACCCACCGCAGCATAGTAGCCGAGCGATAGCCGCGTGTGCTCCTCCACATCGCTGGCTTGTGATCGCAATTTCGGCGCAACCACCTAGCTTTTCCACCGCTCAACGTCGCCTGGTCGTACTCGCTTGTCATCCAATCGATAGTGACGTTGACAGCCTTCGGCGGACTCTGTTCATGCTGGCGCCGATGTGGGGTCGGAGCATTTCATGGTGCCTCGACCGCAAAAACGTCAGGGGCGTCAATCAACGAGTGTCTATCAAATTTGCTGTTCGCACCCTCCACGGCGTCTGATATCGAATGAGCGGCGATCTGCGTACAAGCACAATCGACAGGCTCGACGGTGAGATGAGTAACACGAGCTGCTGATTGCGTCTTCCAGAAATGTTACGCAACATGGACAGCTAAGGCTGCTGCATGCTGCCAATAATCCACTGATTCGACGATCGAGGTCGCAACCTCATCTGGCGATCCGGGATGCTCGCACAGCGCGCATACCGAATGAAAATCAGCTGCTCGTCGAAACAGAGTCCGCGGCGAGCAGCTGGCGTAGTAGCAATATCGCGTTGCCGCCAAGCCTTACCATAAAGTGACCGTCACGGTTACATCGCCGCACAACGCTTCCCCCTTTGAGTGCTCGTGTTGAGTGGGTCGTTGACTCTGTCAACAAACACTTTTCCGCGATCGCGAGGCGCCAGGACGGTCTCGTGCTCACGGACCCTCGAAGGTGAAGGCTAAGTGGTGGCGTAGCAGGGGATCCCAAATTTGTCCAGCCCTGCTCAGGGGTGCAGCGTTTTAATTGGGCCGACGGAAGTTGTTCCTGCATTAGGCACCCCTGCACTTGTTCATCCTTAAAGACCACCATATCCGTTTGCTGATCGCTCGTTCTCCCTACCCTTTTGCTACGACACAAAACACACACTCGTTCCAGCAGACAATTCAACACCGGTCTTCACCGCATTCACTCGCTTTCACAAACGCAGAACGACGTATCGTCACTAATACCGTCAACCTCACCAACAACACAATCTACATAATAATCAACATGCGTTTCTCGACTGCTGCTGTTGCCGGCTTCGCCGCCGTTGCGCTCGCCCAGAACACCACCGTCGCCCCGGTCTACGTGACTGACGTTGTCACCGCTTTCACCACCTACTGCCCGTCGTCCACTCAACTCACCCACAACGGCGTTACCTACACGATCACCTCCGCCACCACCTTCACTATCACCGACTGCCCATGCGTATGTAAAATTAAGATCGATCGAATGAATGACCATTAACTAATAACCATGCAGACCGTCACCCGACCTGTCACCTCGTCAGTCGTCACCTCCTGCTCTACTTGGTGGGCAGAGCGATATGTCGACGCTGTGAACCCGCTAACAATCGTTGCAGCAGCACTAGCTCCACCACCTCGTACGCGATGGGTCTGATCACGCCGAGCACAAGCCCTGCTGGCACCTCTCCCGTGACGACGCCCCCGACCGTTATCACCTCCTCCGGCACTGCCATCACCATCACCCCAGTGACCCGCCCGACCACCTCGTCGACGCCGCTGTACCCGATCGCCAACGGCACCACCACCCGCTTCGGCACTGGCACTGGCACCGTCAGCAGCCTGAGGTCGTCGACCACCACTGCCTCCTCCACCCTTTCCCTGTATGTTTGAACACTTTTCGCACTGAGGAACGCATGCTAACGAACATATCCAGCTTCACTGGTGCAGCCCACACCATGGCTGCAGGCGCCGGTGCCGGCTTCTTGGCCGTCGCTGGTCTCCTCGCCGCCCTCTAAGCATCTCGCTTCTCATGGAAACGGGCTGGGGGTGGGTTTGGATCTTTGTTTCGGCGTTGTGGCTACCTCACACCGAGGTCGGACCATGGTACCCTCTTACGGCATTGCGAGCGTACTTGCGTTATATAAGCTTTTCACTTTGGCACAACTCTTCGGAACGGCATGCCCGGTTTTAATATCGGCGGCAAACAACCTAATGACCTGATGGCGGAGGGCGCAAACGCTCAAAGAACAGTCTTCTTGATCGACATAACCCTCTTTTTTTTCTTTGCGCGGGAGTTTTTTCGTAGTTCTCCCGACAAGGAGATCGGCGACGGCGTCCGAGGCATAGCAGCATTAGGAACGCAATGCACTGCGCATGTAAATAGAGACGCTATTGCGGCAATGACCACGCCGCTGGGAGATACGACTTTTGGCCCGGCACATTCGCTTCTTATACGTGTGTGCCGTCTCAGTTGCGAAGTATTATTCTGCGATGCGATAGGTAAGGTAGCACTCTGCAACCATGGCAGTGTTGTTGGGAGCCGCTGTAAGAACCATGAATGTTACGTACCGCGTACTTGGTAGATTCTTTTGGTCATCGATCCTCCGCTCGCACTGGTCATCTACTTGCTGGGGCTTTTACTGATCTTTTCCTGTATTTCCGCTTGCCTCACCTCTGCTTCACCGGAGCCAACGATAGCTCAGCCGCAAAAGTTTGCACGATTGGCCTGCGCTATGGACACTAACATCGACGCAGCCGGAACCGGCGCACCCGCTCGCATTTATAGTCGTCCGCTCCTCTGTCAGCCTTACGGCCCAATCGCGCGTCGAAATTGTCGCGAGGAGCTTTGCTCGAGCTGTCAAGGCTTCTCTCGAACCAACGTGACTCGGAGCCTTAACGCTACCGATGTTGATAACACGGCCTGGTGTTCTCAAGCGCAGCAGAACGACTTGCAGCACCCATAAAAAACAGCGAGTGTTAGGCTGGAGGGTTGCATGTGAACCTTTAGACATGATGTCGTCGGTTTGCTCCTGTACTCATCACGTCTGCGCTATCCAATGGGTCAGGGTGCGACGCATTGTGATCAACGGCGAGGTGACTGTTGTCAGGGACGGTTTGGCGAAAGAGGATCAAGAAGTATCCTCTATCTTTCAAAAAATCTGTTTGCAGAAAGTGTGGACTCGCTGTACGCTGACCTTGGCTATCGCGACTTCATCTACCCGAACAGGATCAAGAACTTCGCGCTTACGGTTCCTTACGCCTTCGATTTGCATGCGCAGGCGAGATGCGGCATCAAGTACAATGCTACAAGAAATGACATCGCCAGTATGCCACCATGCTAGAGCGCCCAAGGCTCTGGCGGCATTGGTGTTTTCGGTGTTGTTTTTGTGCTGTATGGCGATGAGACTGGCTATGCATATAGTGTTCGCCTCCATCCAGCTCTTGAAGCCTCAATGCATCTCACTAACTACTGTGCGACGCGTCTACTGCTACTTTGAACTTGTTCTGACAAAAGATTGGTGAATCCTGTGTCGAGGTTACTGAACCTTTGGGTTTCCGACCCCACAACGCTCCGCATCTGCCCGTCTCCACCGTTCACGTGGCGCTAACTTGCGTTCTCTCGTCGTTATGGTCCCCAAAGCCTAAAGATGGTAGCCCATTCCGAGACTCTCATGCCCGGCCGTGATAGCGCCATGTCTACACGAGCATAATGAGGGACAGCCAGGAGGCCGACGAGGCCGACCTCACGGTCGGTCAGCTAGCCGACGACCTTGATATTGATGAGAATCAGCCGCTGAGGGTGTTGTCAAAGGGAGCGCAGCATGAGCTCGTGGAAGAGTTCGCTGAGACGTACGGCCTTGCAGACCATCTGGACGTCTTTCACAGGGTCGCGCAACTACTCCAGCACATCGCCGATAATGAAAACCCGGAACCTGACTTGACGGCTGGTGAGGCGCAAGCGCTTGGACGGGAGACATCTCATCCATGGCACCAACCAAGGTTGCTGTATTTCACCATCCTGGTCTGCTCGCTCGGCGCTATTGAGCAAGGCTGGGCTCAGACCGGGATCAATGGTGCCAATCTTTTTTTGGGACAAGCTCTTGGTATCGACTCGGGCAGCGCACACGACTCGTTCATCTTGGGATTGATCAACTGCGGCATCTACCTCGCCCAAGGGCTGTTCGGTGCATGGCTTGCGGAACCGGTGAACAGTCGCCTCGGGAGACGTGGGGCTATACTACTCGCCAGCAGCCTTGCCCTTCTGGGTAACATTGGTTCTGCGCTCAGCCCCTCGTGGCAGATTCTCCTGCTGTGCCGTTTGATATTGGGCACGGGATTGGGTCTGAATTCCAGCACCGTCAACGTCTATGCAGCTGAGTCCGCTCCAGCGTACATCCGAGGTGGGCTCGGAGTCAGCTGGCAGATGTTTACCGCCGCTGGCATTTGTCTGGGCTTCTTAGCCAACGTGGCTCTATACTCCGCCCCATCTGATTTGATCTGGAGACTGCAGCTGGCAGTACCCCTAGCGCCCCTGATTCCGCTCCTGCTCCTCATCTACAGCTGCCCGGAGTCTGCAGCGTGGTTCACGAAGCGTAGTAAGTACGGGTTAGCGTTCGCCTCCTTGTCACGCCTTCGGAACACCGAGCTGCAAGCGGCCTGCGAGGTATACTCGGCCTACCTCTCAAACCGCATTCTCAACAAGGAACTCGATACCGAGCAACCTTCCGCGTTCACGGCTCTCGCATCACTGATTACCGTCCCACGCAACCGCCACGCGCTCTACGCATCCTACACCGTCATGCTCTCCCAACAGATCTGCGGCATAAACATCATAGCCTTCTACTCCTCAACGATCTTCTCCTCCTCCGGCTTCTCTACACAAGCTGCCCTCTGGGCCTCAGTAATCTTCGGTCTCCTCAACTTCCTCTTCGCCATCCCCGCCATCTGGCTAATGGACGCCTTGGGTCGCCGCAGCATCATGCTCTGGACTCTGCCTCCGATGGCGCTTACGATGTTCTTCGCCAGTCTCAGCCTGAGTCTGCCCGAAGGTACGGCTCGGTTCGTCCTCCTGGCTGGGCTAGTCTACCTCTTCTGCATGCTATACTCGCCGGGAGTGGGTCCAGTTCCGTGCGCGTATTCCGCGGAAGTTTTCCCGTTAAGCGTGCGGGAGCTGGGCATGAGCGCTGCGATTTCGACTGCGAGTCTTTGGGCTACAGTCCTGAGTCTGACGTTCCCTGCTTTACTGGAGGGTTTGGGCGAGCAGGGGAGTTTTGGTCTTTATGCGGGATTGAATGTGGTCGCTTGGCTATTGTGCTGGATGTTTGTGAGGGAGACGAAGGGAGTGAGTTTGGATCACGGTATGGATGAAGTCTTCCTGCCGGATCAAACTACGTACATGAGGCAGCAGCTTGCTGCATTTTGGCAGGGGAGGGGACGAACTTAAGCGCAGTTGAACAGTTGTACAGTTTGTACACCCGGGCTATCTCGGGTATCTGCACCGAGTGTGCGATCAGCGATCAATCGCGACATGTCTAGGCTCAATCGTGATCCCTACTGTAGTCTTGGCAGATACGGATTGCGCGCAACCTAGCTGACGATGCTAACGTTGAGTTCGAGTTGCCCACGCATGAGAAAGCGTTGCAAATGGAGCTCGACGGATTTCCTCATCGTCTGGACTAAGACCATGCTTCGCGAAGTGACGAACATGTATAGGTCAGCTGCATGTTGCGTGTAATCCTTCCCGAAGCGTCCTGGGTGCGTTGAGCCGGAAACGAATCAGGGACAGAGTCAAGGCCCGGGTGGCTTTCGAGCGAGTGCTCTTGGTGGTTGGCTGCAAAAGCCGCAGTTACCAAGAACGGTAGTTTCCAAATGCTTCTGGCGCTCTACTGGGCTCGTATAACGGAAGGACTGGCGCCAGACTAAGTGTAACGTATACCATGGTACAAAGCGGATCAGATGGTCTATCCCTTGTATTTGCCCTTGGGTTTACGATCAAGTGCTCACCTATCGTCGTCTATCGAAAGGCCATTCAAATCTTGGCACGAACCGGTGTACGCGAACCAACAATGCATTGCAGTCCACTTACGACGAGTTCGAGTTGTCCGCGCACGAAAACGCGCTGCCGATGGCGCCTGAGGCATAAGCATCCCTAATCACGTTAGTATAATATCAATGAGTTCCAGCACGAGTCAAGAACGTACTTGATCAGCTCCGCCGTGCCGTAGGTGCCAGCTACACAGAAGAATGCTCCAAGCAAGATCAAGAACACATGGAACCAGTACTTTGTCTGTTCAATGGGACTCTTGCTCTTGACGGAGCCTCTAAAGTCGTACAGCCATAGGGCACCCGGAAGTGCAATCGCGATGGGGGCGAAGCAAACGCTGCCGGTCAGAGCAACGATATAATTGAAGATCGGGATCGCCTCCGCAAGGATGAATGCAACGGATCCCAGGCCGATGGTGCATCCCAACCATACCCCCCAGTGGATAGCGGTGTTATGCTGCAGGTGACGGGTGTTGCGCAAAATCCGGACAAAGACATACTTGGCTGCGACATGCAAGTACAAGCACCCACTGACGATGAGACCGATGAGGCCGATGCCAAATGCGACCTTCTTGATGGTTCCTCCAGCGCTAGCGAGCGAAGGGTTTGCGACGTATTTGCCGCACCAGCGGTAGACGACCAGGGCGAAGGCCAGGTAGGAGGATTGAACGATAGCCATGCAGAGGTACACAGCTCTGGAATAATGCGCCGGGGTGCGCATTTCAGAGATAACTGGCAAGAAGGCCGACGTGCCTGCGGAGCTCACGAAAATTGTCGCGCTCCCGACCATACCGTTGACAAAATTTGGGTACGCAATCGCATGGAAACCCAAATCGTATGGTCCAGTCGCCGGGGCGGCTGCTGGACGTGAGCGTACCGTAACTCCGATGACCACGACGAACACAGCGATGAATATGGAAAGGAATCCAGCCCATGTCAACCATCCGATCTGTTGGAACTTGCGGACGGAAGCGGCAGCGATGACAACCACAGTGGCAAGGAACGACCACCAGACTGTGCAAGCGGCGTGGTTCGAGAGGGCGTTGAGGCCGATCGAGACGCCGAGGATGCCAGAGCCGGCGCAGAGGACGTAGGCGAGGACGAAGAGTACACCCTGCCACGTAATGGGTGCGGCTGTTAGCGATCCGTTCGATGCCGAGCAAGGCTCATGCTCTCTGTTACGTACAACGATCTCACGGAGTATAGGGCCACCAATAACGGCTGCCATGTCGGCAATGGAGTGGCAATTAGGGTGACGGTTGCGGAAGTTGCCTTGCAGGATCGCGGTGTCTGCCAGTGTCAGCCAGGATCCGTCCAGGTACGCTAGATCGACGAAGCATGCTGTATCGACCGGACACGCTGTGTCGACGAGGCATGCTGGGTCGACTGTCACTTACAGGTGTTGAGCGCGCCCCATCCGATGACCGACAGAGCACCACCGACGGCGCCCAGCTGATACATCGCCGTCGGGATCGAAAGGACACCAGTGGCGAAGATAACTAGCTTTTCCGTCAGGTGTGTCGCTGCTGGGAAGTTGCTCGTCGTTGCATACCCTTGAGGAAGATGACGCTGGCTCGGATCCAGTGGACGGTACGGAAGTCGACGCCATCTGTATTTTTCTTAAACACCTCGAACTCGTCTTCGCCGGCCTTGACTGCTGATACATGAGTACAGTTTATTACATTCTTTGGGCATCTCCTGTTGCACATACGAGCATCCGACGATCCGATGGCCACCTCGTTGTCCGGGCTCGGGACATCATAGTCCTTCTCATGCGCTGACTTCTCCATTGTGCAATACTTGGATTCTTGTTTCCAATCTGACAAACTACGCAAAGACCGAGCAAAGCAGCGGAATTAATAGCTTCGTACACGCCATACTAGAACAATGGAGTCCATTCATACTCAACGCATCCCAGCATCTCGGCCAAGCGCCCATGCAGCCACGCACGTGGCAATAGCCGCTCTAGAGCAATCATCATGGGGAGGAATTCCTATCGTGCGCCCTTCCATCTCAAGTCGATACCAGTGACCTGTAGCTGGCACTTTGTGCTCACGCGAGTTTGAGCGATAGGGGACACTATCTTTCCCGAAGCGGTTTAGCTCGAGATAGGGCAAAGGCGAGTCTCACCATAAGCATCCTTGACCGAACTGTCAACGCCGATAGGTACTTTCAATGAATCAGGCGATGGCGTTTGGGAAACTTGTCATGGACAAACAGTCCCGATAAAATTTCGTTGTTCGGAATCTTTTAAGCCGACGTGCTATGTTCGAAAGATCTCACCTTGTTTACCACGTCCAGCAACTTCGAGGTGTTCACAGGATGGCCAATGGTCGACTACGGCACAGAGAATGTGCACTAGGTTGCAAGTGTCGAAAGCCCTAGTCGTTAAGTTTCCTCTGTTCTTGTCACTGTCATGGCAACTGGACCCCGTTGAGGCTGCCTCGACGGCCATGCCATATGCACGAGGTACACGCCCCCGGAATGAACCATCGGTGAACGCTATCGTAAACCCGATGTGAGCTCTGTGGCCTTATCCAGGTTGTAGACGCTGACACGCCGCATCCCGTGCTCATACTCGGAACAGAGACCGGTGATCTCGGCGGCCAAGAACTGCGCCAACTGAACAATGTCCGCAGACGATTGATTGCTCTCTCCCGTAGTCTTCGTCGTAATGCTATTGCACGTCCTTTAGCGTGATCGAGCATATGTGAGGACCAAGGGATATCGGTGATCCATCTGTCCAATCATTCAACCCCAGTACGGTACGCTTCCAGTTATGCTCGAGAAGGTACTGCTAATCGCGTGCCCTACGTCTTCGGTGGTCGACAATTTGGCGCGTTGACCGCTTAGCTGCAAGAATTCGATCAGTCAGCGAATCTTCCATTTCCGCCAACATGGCCTGCACTCACCTCAGTTCCAACGCCTTTATGCAGCGTGACAAGCCAATCGACGTAGTTGCTAGCCTCGCCATTCCGGTCCTCGTACAACAGCCGCGCAAACTCGAATTCCGACCCGTCAAGGCCCTGCCTCGCTAGCTGTATAGCCAGACCTTTACTGCCTCGCTGCTCCTCCAGATGCAACAAGATGTTCCGTGCCTGCGCATTAAGATGGGTTTCCAGCACTGGCAGGGCACTGAGATTCGGGTCAAGAGATTGAAGCGTATTGGCGCCTTCACCGAACAGGTCCTCCAACAGATTCGGACTAACTTGAGCATGCAGCCAGAGAAGGAGGATCTGGCCGTTATCGACAAGATAAGCGCCGCCTTCTTCCATGTGGGTGAATGAGGCGCGAACCGCACGCGGCATCTTCAAGTGCCCATGCTCGTCCGCAAAGCCGTCTTCGAGCTCCAGCGTGTGCAGCGCGATGATGCGAGGGTAGAGATAGAGGCTCAATTCAGCCATCCCCATCCCCTTCACCATCCTGATTTCTGCAATACGTCGGTCGCTCGGTTCCTTGCCCGCCTTCAGCGCTCGACTCTTCATCAAGCCCAGGATATACATGACAGACTCCTTGAGGTTTTCAGGAAGTACGAGCTGGCCCGAAGACTGACTGTTGGAAAGCTGCCTGCGGTAGCCCGCCAAGATCTCGATCGTCTTGTCCTGTATATTCTGCCGGATGTCTTTGAGATTGCGCTCTGGGACGCGGGAGCAAGCTTCCTTGGCAATGATGGCAAGGACAGCATCTTGGTCGATGAAGCGCATTGAGTCTCGTGCTTGCTCGGTCACAGTAGCTACAACGTTGATACAGCGTACGCGGCGTTGGCCGGAAGTCGTGGTGTAGAGGAGAGCGGCTTGGAAGTGTGCATCGAGTCGAGTGTCGAGCTATACAAGTGCCATTGTCAGCCATTTGGTCCCGTATTGGACAACAAGGTCGTGCCAGGCGCACCTCAACATGCGTCGCCCGCCGCCTCTCCTCCAATGAAGCCACGGGATCCAGTCGTACACTCACCTTGCCGTCGTATGCAAACGTCACACCCATACCCGTGTCTTCCGTCACGCTCGCCAGCTCCAGGTCCGCGCCAAAGGTGTGCTGTGTGAAGTTGCCGCTATAGTGTGCCACTTGCAAGCCTTGACTACACCGGACCTTCATCAGCGCCGCATACCCCTGGTTTCGCTGTAAGGTGTGGCTGATCTCCTTCGCGACCCTCAAACAGTCCCGGGGATAAGACCAGTTCGGGTAATAGAACGTCTCGCCTGCCGTCTTCTCCGCTAGGAAGCCGATGGTAGCGATGTCGAGGTACCCACCCATCGGCGCTGATAAGAAGAAGTCTACACCCACTCCAGCCTTGACAAGGTCGGCTTGGCACTTCTTAAAACCGGTATGTTCTGTCTTGAGAAACTCCTTGCTGGAGTCGCTGTCATCGGTTTGCCTCTCACCTTTGTCACGATGGTTCAGGCGCCCCGGGCCATAGGTGGCAAGACCGCCAAGGGAACAGATGATCTTGCCTCCGCTAGTCTCTAAGGCTGATAGAGCGGCCTGCAAAGACGGCAAGAGCGCCGGCTCAGGGTGTCGAATGTTAGCGAACATGTTTGGGATCTGTCTGAGCAGCGTTGTGACATTCTTCCGGCACTCAGTGGCATCAACGAACAGGCTCTCTGCGGATATAGCTGTGAAGGGATCCTCAAGGTCAGAGACGACCAGTTGCTGAGGTGCGGATATCGATCCAGAGACATCGTAAAAGTGTATCTCGCGGTCGAAGGTCATGATGCCTACCTTGGCGCCTGCAGGCACCTTGCTTCGCATAGGCGCGGTCTCGCCTTCTGCATGCTCACCGTTGGTGGCTGGCTCCTCATCGTCGCCGTACAGTGCGGCTATGATGCCATCGCAGATACCCTGCAAGAAGCCACGAGTGTAAGCTTCAGCGCTGACATCAATCAAGAACAAAAAACGCATGGGCATCGGCTCTTTGGACCAATACTCTTTCGGCACCAGGAACTCGCAGGTGCCGAGCAGCAGCTCCGGTCGGTCTTGCCTGTCAACTCGAATTCCAGAAGGATCGGTAGGCGAGAAATATTCGGGCGGTACCTCGTTCGGGTGACCGCAGAGATTGCAAGTCATTCTGTTGCCACCGTTGGAGAACACCATGAATGGGTTGATGTATGCTCTGCATCTCCGACATCGCGGCGGGCCAGCATCACCAAAATCAAGGACCGGAACTGCCTGCTCGCCATCGATCTGCTTCGCAAGAGGTTGCAAGACAAGGCCGAGTGGAAGACCAGTGGCCATCAGCTGATCGTGTGCGTTCGGAATTCGGTTCAACGTCAGACGGGCATACTTCGGCGAAGCGTTGCCTTGATCGTATGAGACGAAGGGTGTTGTAACAGGCGGTGGGACATGTTGCTCCATTGTCGGGTAGATGTGATTTTTGTAGTACTCTGCCGGCAGATCTCTGCTCAACGGCACGCTGGGAATTTGGTCTGCATTGACCTTGGCTTGTGCGCCAGCCGGCATACCAGGCTGCTGTTGGCCAGGGTGACCGCCCATCTGAATGGGCATGCCCGGTAAGGGCGCCATTTGGGTTGTTGCTTGGGGCAGCTGCTGTGATTGCCACGGCTGCGACGTTGGCTGCCACTGCGCTTGCTCGGCGCTCGCCCCCAGCTGCGGTTGGGTTGCGTTTCCGTTCCATGACTGTCCGCTCGGCGCGCCGTTGTATTGTTGAGTGGGTGCTACAGGCTGCTCGATCTGATGGTATGCGTGTCGGTCCTTCTTCCTCCTACCTGGCCCAGGTGCACTACCATCTAAACTCATCTGACCCATTTGCTGTGCGATGCCACCTGCATCTTGCTGCAGGACGTGCGCATCTGTTCCGTACTGTCCATATTGTTGCATTGCTGGCTGGCTTGTTGGTTGTGAAGTCGGTGCAGACTGTGCTGGGAAGTAACTGTCCGCTACAGGCGCGCCATATGCTGCACTCCTTGGGCCAGCATTTGCGTATCCGCTGCTTTGTTGGTATCCGCCCGGAGATGGTGCCACTGGTGGGCGAAACTGCGACTGCTGTCGCTTCGGTTTGGGTCGATCATGGGTGGGTGTACCAAAAGGTGAGGCACCTGGACTACTAACGTGGAATGACATGTGTCCAGAAGCATAAATTTAGCGGCGCTGATCTGACAAGAGTTTCGAGCGACGTGTTCCTAACATGCTGTGCAAGCGGCAAGTCGATCAGACCGTCACATATGAAGAAGTCACTCTTTCAAGTCTAACGTATGGCTTTGGTGTCTTAGTCCAACCAAGCGTGTCCGAACAGGGAAGTTGTGAGCTATGTGAGCCCCACCTTTCCACGTGCGGGTCTTCACACTAGCGTGACCACATAGTAGCAGATCCATAACATTGCATGACCGCAACACTAGGTACATCAACGGTCTATCGCCTTGGGATCTCGACGAAGGCGATGGCGGTGTCAGAGCCTATCCGCAATGTCGCCGCGCGCTGGATGGATCTGGATCGTGATGAAGACACCCGGCAACAGATCGTCAACTTGCTTGAGGCTGGCGACGACGTGGAACTCGAGAAGCGACTTCGAAAGCGTATCGCTTTCGGTACTGCAGGCTTGCGAAGTTCGATGAAAGCTGGCTTCGCTCATATGAATGCCGTAACCGTCCTACAAGCATCACAAGGGCTTGCAGACCACCTTATCAATTACCACCAACCAGTACAGGAGTGGAAGCTAAGCGTTGTAATCGGTTACGATGCTCGCCATCAGTCCGAGAAGTTCGCACGTCTGGCCGCAGGTGCTTTCTTGGCGAAAGGTCTCCGAGTCCTATGGTTCGGCGAACTGGTACATACGCCTCTCGTCCCCTTCTCAGTAAGCCGCTTCAACGCTGCTGCGGGCATTATGGTTACCGCTTCTCACAATCCAAAAGCGGACAATGGCTACAAGGTATACTGGGAAAACGGTTGCCAAATCATTCCGCCGCATGACAGTGCCATTGCTGCCGCTATTACCGCGTCTGAGCAAGAGCAGATACTGTCATGGGACGAGCACGCAGTAGACGAAAGTTCTCATGTTCACAATGTCCACCTCGCAGCTCGCTCGCAGTATTTCGATTCACTTGTAAGGCTACTTCCTCCACTACAGCAAGGTGAGGCAGATCCCGTTCGCTTCGTCTACACTCCACTGCATGGGGTTGGACTACCGTTTATGCAGCAAGCGGTGGACAATCTTAGGTTGCCATCGCAGACAATGCACGTTGTAGCAGCACAGGCGCAGCCAAACGCAGAGTTCCCAACCGTGCCATTTCCCAACCCGGAGGAGAAAGATGCTCTTGACCTTGCAATACAAGAGGCTGAGACTAGTGGTGTCAGTGTTATCCTTGCTAACGATCCTGATGCGGATCGTTTTGCGGCAGCAGAGCGTTTGAACAGCGGCAGTTGGCACCAATTCACCGGCAACCAAATGGGTATACTGCTTGCATTGTACGTACTGGAAATTAGTGAGCAGCCGCGAGAGAAGGTGGTAATGCTTGCCTCAGCCGTCTCTTCTCGCATGCTTGCCGCTGTGGCGGCCAAAGAAGGTTTCGCCTATAGAGAGACGCTGACCGGCTTCAAGTGGCTCGGCAACGTCGCGCAACTAGCCGCGAGGGAGGGCTTGACCCCGGTCTTTGCCTTCGAAGAAGCAATAGGGTACATGTTTGCAGACCTAGTATGGGACAAGGACGGCATCGCAGCGGCGACAGTCTTCTTGCTCGCTTGTCGAAGCTGGCGTCAGCAAGGTCTGACGCCATGGCTGAAGTTGCAGCAGCTATATGGGAAGTATGGCTACTTCGCGGACGCAAACACCTACCTCATCTCGCCTTCTCCAGACGTAACCAACAGCACCTTTGCTGCTATCCGAGCTGCTAAGAATGATGGCCCACCTTCTCATGTTGGTAAGCGGAGGATACTGCGCTGGAGAGATTTAACACTTGGTGTGGACAGCGCTTCCAGCGATGGTAAACCAGATTTGCCAGTTGACTCCGCAGCGCAAATGATTACATGTTGGCTTGAAGACAATGTAGTCTTCACTGCTCGCGGTTCCGGTACGGAGCCTAAGATCAAGCTCTACATTGAGGCTAGTGCTAGTGACGCAGGACTCGCGAAAGCAATAGCGGACAAAGTACTCCACGACCTGGTCAACACATGGTTTCATGGGTTGAGACTGGCTGGCAGCGGATGAGGCAGCACTTCTGCACTATCGCAGATTCTTCGTTTTCAGATGTGGCAGTTTCCAGCTCTAAGTACATGCTAATGAGATCTATACAGATCGTTCGCTTCCAGCACTTGGAATTGCGAAGCGTCTCGTGGCGCTGAACTCATACAAAACAGAAACGCTCGGACAGTGAACCTCAACCCGACCACTTCACTTTACACTGCTCAAACTTCTGCTTGAACGCTTGCACCCTGTCCATCATCCATCCACTCGTCCAATGCTCATCGTACGGTGCATCACTCCGCCCCAACCGGATGTCCTTGCCCAGGTAGCAGCGACCAGGCGACCACATCCACTGTACGCACTCATACTCACGCTTTCGCGCACATGCTGCCGCGCAAGCATCGGCAGAGTTTACAGATTCCTGCTCATAGTCTTCTAGGTCATAGAAGTTTGTGTCCTCGGCCCCAGCCAGAGACTCCGAGATAAACCTCTGGTCTTGGCAGATGTTGTTCCAGTTCGTGCGGTTTACACTGATGTGACGCTCGATATAGTGCTCAAAGACATCGCGGAAGAGATAGGGCGTATCCCAGCCGTGATCGTCGACCCACGACATCTGAAACTGAAACAGGCTGTCGACTTCGATCGGAGTGACGTGATGCCAGGTGATTGCCACGGAACACCAGTGATTATCAGTCCAGTCTATGGTGCTTACCGTCTCTCCTTGAATACGCGGCCAGGCTGGTGTGAGTGCGACGTCAGCTTCCTGGAACGCACGAGCGACGACTTCATCGCCGCAGCATGACGTGCTTGTAAGCTCTTCCCACTTCTCGTCGTAGGCTTCCTTGCCCATCGACTCCCTTTTCCGCACAAGCAAATCTGCAGCCTTGCGGGAGAAGACGAGTCCACTCCCGCCGTGACCGAAGGTAGTGTCTCCAACAACGTTCTGCGCGCCGAGGTAGTACGGCTTCCTCGGGTCCATGGTCTTCAGCCACAGTAGAAGGTTAGGCCACGACACACTCGTATCGGCCTCAATCATAACGAACCATTGGATCTGGTCAGGCGCGCTTTTAAATGCTTGATGTAGCATCGGTAAGAACTTCCACTTATCTAAGTTCCATCCACCATCACCCTTGAGCTTACCCATATCCTGACCTTCTCGCTGGTACTGTTGCAGTCTGCGGTACAGCTCAAAGTCGCCATGGTGCTCCCGATACTGCTTACCGACCGAAGCGATCGCATCATGAATCGGGTATCCCGCGAAGTCTTGCGCCATGTCGGAGAAGATCATAAAGTGCGGTACACAAGTTAATGTTGTTACGAAATGTGTTGGCAGCTTTTGATATAACTCAGTAGCGCCAGTCTTGAGCATAACAAGCACTTTGTCGGCTCCCGGTACATCTTGGCAGGACCCTGACGCCGAGCTCGATGTCTCGGCAACGTTCCCTTCATGCGAGGTCGTTGAGTGCCCAACGGTGGGCGTGCCAAGTGTAGCAGGCTGTGTGGTGTATGCTAAGTTGTCAGGGAGCCATTGGTCGTGGTAGAGGAACAAGCCAACCAAGATAAGGAAAATAATGGCTAGACGAAGCAGAGTGACACCCTTGAGGTTGTAGGCCAAACTAGCGCTCATCGTGTTGTTGTAGCTGATCGAGTAGGCGGCAGTGCGCCTGTGTACTTGCTAGCGTCCAGCGTCAACGTGGGTAGAGTTCTTCGATGCAGCGTGAGGCCGTGCGTGGACGCGGCCTGTCTGTTATGGAAAACACTGCCCACGCTTTCCCGGAGCACATTGCATTGAAAGAGGTCAGACAAATATGCGTGAGAGAGGGGCTGCTGTCCTTACCTTATCATACCTGTGCAACCTGAACACAGCTTGCCACGGCACCACTCGGCGCATGCGCAAAGGGGAGGTTGTCCGCCCGGTGCACGCCCAAGTCGGCCCTGTCGGGTTATCTACCCCACCGGTCAAGTCACAAACCGTTAGTTCCCGCTTCGAACCGTTGCACCGAGCTGCCGTATACGAGTTTGTCTCGCCGAAACGCGAAACCACGAGGGCCTTAAACGCTCCGAAGCGAGACGCCACAAGGTGATGGGTATTGAATTGCACGCAAGCATTCCGCCCCGTACTGCATCCCGAGGAACGCGTATAATCGGCGGGCAGCAGTATGTGGTCGAGAAATGCGCAGTACCTACGACGGCATCGATGTTGCTCTGTCTTGCGGCCAATCAGAACCCGCAGTGCGACGGTACTGCCCTATGCAATTTTCGTTCTCATTACCTTTGGTGCAACGGTGAGCATGTGCCACTGTACCGGGTACTAGCCTGCGGACATACACGTCGCATCAAGGCTGCCGAAGTGCGAAGCTGCATCGCGACGGCGTCAACATCTAAGACCTTCCGACTGCGTCTAGTCTGACACCGCTTTGCGACATTGGACGCTCATGTGCACCACGCACTCGAAGCTCAGCAGCGAACATGGTGAGGAACGACATTGACTGCTTCTCGGCGCGTGCAAACACTTCGTTGGCGCTGTTGGCCAGCACATATCCAGACTCAGTGTATGCTGGAATATTAAGCGGGAAAACGAGAGGGACAGTTTGCAGATGACACTCTCCCAAATGCGGAGAGCAGAGGTGCATGCAGGACATCTTCGAGAGAATTCGACTTGCCATACCATACGAATGATCTACGGGGCATCTACGGCCTAGCGATATGCTCTGCGGAACTCTCTCCGAAGTGGTGTGCTGTCGTTCTTCACTCGAAAGCCTGCAAGAGAACGATTTGCAGACCCTTTTACGCCTTCGGTCGATTGTGTCGAAGAAAACAGATGCCAAGATACAACGACTAGTATGCATCGGGCAGTAAGCGTATCTCATCGCAAGCCGAAGCCTCTTCATTGGATCCGCTTCCACGCGCCCTGCCGCACCGCTTCCATGCCGAGAGTCTGACCTCATGGTGTTGAAGATCCATGCGCGCAACGTGCATCTTGCTCCTCGAAGAGCATGCGCGAACAACGGCACGCCAGATTGCCCGCACCGCCTGGCGTTCAACTCGTCTTTCATCCTGGTGCTTAGCAAGCCCTTTAAGCAGGTTTGATGATTGCTTCTGTATCTCTTACCGAAAAACAATCAGTCTCCTCTCGTACCTGCATCGTGTAAGCCACTAAACGTGAAGTTGCACTATCTGACCAATCGAGCAATATCACAACCCTGTCAATATCAAAGCGGAGGCGGACGCTCTAAGCCGACTATCGTGCCATTGACGTAAAGGGAGCGTGCCACTCTCCTCTGCTTCATCGCGGTGCGCTGGCAGATCTGAGCACATCAGTGAATGCTCACTCCGTCATGACCGATCCGCAGAGGCGTCAATCTATCTTCCGCGAACTCGGGCTCAACAACTCGGACGAGGCAATACCGCTGAACACATCACGTCGTCCACGACCGCAGAGTGTTCGCTTCAGGAGCCGAGACTCCGTGCACGTTGTTGAGCGGTATAACGATGCCGATATAGAAGAGACGCGACAATCACCCACTCGAGGAGCAACAAGTCAGCCGAAGGAATACAACTCCACTGCGAGCAATTTGCCTCTACCAACCAGATACAGATCCATGATGTACCGCATTGGCGCGACGCTGTTGTTGCTGGTCATCGCTGCACCCTTCTTGAGGAACACGCCAATACTCGGACATGGAGCTGTCTTGCCCCTACAGCCAGTTGAGGGAGGCGTCATACCAAGAGATGCACAGTCGAGGACGGCACCTGTGCTATCTGCACGCGCGAACAGTCCGACAGACATTTGCTTCAGGTGGGCTCAACAATGTGCGTGTAACGGAAAATGGCGGAGAGCTGGCAGCAAACAAGACGCTAACATATCGTAGCTGCGGTCGTAAATGGTACCCTCTACCTCTATGGCGGCCAGACTACCACACAGGCAGGCCAGACGGACAACACATGGAACAACAACCTCCTCACCATGGACCTTACGAAGACTTGGCAGATCGCGTCGCCATCGCTCACCGGCCTTCCGCAGCCTTCTGGCCCGCCAGCAGTGGCCCTTGGTATGCTATGGAACTCGTATGAGTCGCTGTACCTGTATGGCGGCGAGTTTTCGTGGAAGCCGGTGGTATCACCACCGCCGGTGTCAGTGTGGGAATACGACATCCTGTCCTCTTCATGGATCCAACACAGCAACCCTACCACGTCCAGTGGCACCAACTCTCCAAGCAACGGAGACCCAGTCCAGCGATCTGCGGAAGGCGCTGGCGTAAGTGTTCCGTCTTTGGGTCGTGGCTTCTACTTCGGCGGACACCAAGATGGGTATACGACACCAGGGTGGTCACAGTGGATTGCCCGGATCTACCTCCAGTCGCTTCTTGAGTTCACCTTTCCCGGATTCTCAAACAACCAGGTTAACACGCTAGGTAACGGGAAGACTGCTGGCACCGATGGCAACTACCGGAATATCACATCAGCCGGTCTACAAGCTCAAGCTGGCTTCACAGCACGTGCAGATGGTCTGTTGGTGTATGTTCCAGGCTTTGGTGCTCAAGGTATCCTGCTTGCACTGGCTGGCGGTACCAATACCACGTTCACGCAGATGAACAACATCGACGTGTACGACATTGCAACAAGCAATTGGTATAAGCAGTCAACTTCCGGACCCACGCCGACTATACGTGTCAACCCTTGTGCAGTGATCGCGGCAGCTCCTGACGGTTCGTCTTACAACATTTACATGTTTGGCGGGCAAAATCTCGTCCCGGCTGGCAACCAGTCACAATTCAACGACATGTGGATCTTAAGCTTGCCGTCGTTCACGTGGATCGAAGTTAACCAGGGCGGACAGTCTGTGCCGTATGGCAGGAGCGGCCATACCTGCAATATCTGGTAAGATAGAGCCACCCGTTCACAGTATCGCCTCGTACTGATATGTCATAGGGACGGTCAAATGGTTGTTGTTGGCGGTTATGTTGGCGATCAGCTCACTTGTGACAGTCCCGGCATATACGTTTTCGACTTGAGCAACACACAATGGGTGCAACAGTTTACCGCACTCAGTCCGGGTGGCGCCGGTTCTGGCTCGTCGTCCGGCTCGTCGTCGGGCTCATCATCGGGATCGTCCTCAGGATCATCGTCAGGCTCATCATCTGGCTCATCGTCAGGCTCATCATCTGGCACAGCGTCAGGCTCATCATCTGGCTCATCGTCGGGCTCATCGTCCGGCTCATCTTCAGGGTCCTCCTCGGGAGCATCCTCGTCATCATCCTCGAGCTTCAATTCTACTGGCGCCAACAATCCGTTCAACCAGCAACCTGCGCAGCTCGCAAACTCTTCAAGCCCAGGTGGGCTGCAAGGCTCGTATGGCTACACCGTACCAAAGGTTGTTGTCGATGTGATCGGCGGCGGACCAAGTGGTGGTGCAACGCTCACGGCGCCTGTTGTGACCGCAACAGGTGGTCCGTTGGCTACTGGCAAGCCCATTACATACACCGTCACCCAATCGAACGGCGCAACCGTTACCCAGACCGCTTCGCCCAATAGTGGAAGCAGTGGTAGCGGTAGTGGTAGCGGTAATGGAGGCGGTAGCAGCTCATCTGGGGACTCTGGCAAAGCAGGCCCGAACATCGCCGCCATTGTCATTGGCGTCGTATGCGGTATCCTATTCATCATCGTCTGCTATCTCGCCTTCTGCCTCTATCTTTACCGGAGGCAGCTGCAGCTGTATAAGCGGCACGTGGAAATGACTCAAGCTCAGGCGCGTGGAGAGAAGGTGCCCGCCATACCGGGTCTGCTTGCGAGCGACAGCGCGAAGACGAGCGAAGACCGCAGGCGCGAGAAGAACAACCCGTTCAAGGACAATTCGAGTGGAAACGGCAGCCACGTTCACAGTGGTCTGGTGCCGAGCTCGCTTAGTGGAGGTGGAGCCAGCGGGTACCAGAGTGTCCGCAGGGACAGTGATCGGAGCAGTATTGAGAACATCATGGATCGGCAGGAGCCGACGTTCGTGGGTGTCATGCTCAATCCTCGACGCAGTCTCAAGGTTATCAATCGGGACTGAGCGATTGTAAGGAGATACTGGCGGAGGAGTCGGACTTTGTATGAGTACATGGATTATGATACCCTTTCATGCGAGCGAAAAAAATTCACTGGACATGAACCCCCTGGTTCAGAACAATAACCGGAGCAAGTACAACGTAATTGTTATATTATAAAGGTCTCTCAATAATCAAGCACTACGCTAATACAATGCTCACATACCGCTAATATTAAGCGCTACACTAACGTCTTGCCTCATCCGAGTTGATCTTCCCAAGCATCAATTCATGACTCTAGCGTAGATCATACGAGCTACAGATGCTGTGCAACCGTACGCTCGGAGAGCTCCCGGATCACCCTCGCCATTTTGGCTTCTCAGCTTGCGCCGGAACAGCTGTCTCCTCCAGTCTGCTCCTGGCGCGCGGAGGGAGCATACTGTTTCGCCTCTCAGCCGGAGCGCCCGGAACTCGCGACTTGTGATGAGAAGGGCTTTCAGAATCCGCCTCGTTGCCGTCCGTTAGTGGCGGTAGGGCAAGCATGCTCGACCGCCTGCCGTTTGTAGGTCTCGATGCCGGACGTAGTGATGAATTGCTGGGCTTCGGTACGGATGCGCCAGGACCTACCGAAAATGTGACAGCGGAGACCGGAAGCGATGATTTACGAGGTCCAGTTAGTGGTTGCTGGAGTTGACCCCGTGAGTTGCTGTCATCACTGAGCGCACTCGTTCGCTTCGCGGGTGCAGTAGATGGGGCAGCAGCAAGTCGCGTGGAGCGTAAGAAGTTCGTCTTAGGTGTAACGGGCGTCTTTGCATATGGTGACGGCTCCAGCGCAGATAGCGGCAGGAAATCACGGTTCTCGCTCTTAGTCCAGCCGCGCCAGCGTGGACGATCGCTTCCTGGCGTCTCCGACTTCAGCTCGATCCTCGTAGCTGCTGATGATGGTGTGGGGCTTGAGCGTGGCTCTGAGTGCTCCATTCTGTTGCTTGACACAACCCGCCGCGGAATGGAGCTGGTGGAGGAAATGCGGCTCATCGGTCTGCCGCCAAGACTTGCTCGATCATAGCTTGCCTGCCTCGTCTTACTACCATGAAGAGGTGTGGGCGTGCGCGACCCATGAAAGCTGCCCTGCGTGCTCGCGCCGAATACGCTGCTTGCTGGTGATGTGCCAGGTGTATCGACTAAGCTACTCGAGATGGAGGGCTCGCTCGAGACGACCGTGGAAACCGAGTCCCGCAAGTGCTTGCTACTGCTTGTCTCGCTCGCGGCATCCTCAAGCACCAGATCCATATCTTGCATGTCAGCCTGCAGAGCGCTCCATCTCCGCTTCATGTCGCTCTGCAAGCGTAGAATCTCGCCGTTGACTGTCAGTCTATCCAGCACTCCACGGTCGATGATAGCCAACACCCGCTCGATGGCGGGTCCATAGTGAGTCTTCTTCGCTTCATAGTTCTCTATCTTCTTGTTGAAGCTGGGTGCATCGTTAACCGGCTCGGCTGCATCCATACCATCTTTGAGCTTGTTATAGCTCCGGGATATCGATTCGCACATCTTCAGCGCCTGTCGGCCCGCGTTGCGGAACACAAGTACCCATCTGTCTTCACCGAGCTCTCGCCGCAGAGACTCGGCGTCTCCCTCCAACCGCTTCCATTGCACCTCGAGTTGATCTCGACGTTGTTCTAGATCGAGGCACGCGGTTGGAAAGAGGGAGTTGCCGCGACAATGGAAGACGGAAAGTCGCATAGGAAGGAAGTCGAGCGAAGCTCGCAGCGGCTGCATACGCGCAAACAAGCCGAGTAAGCTCGATTCGGTGCTGGTGGGAGTGGATGTAGGTCGTATCGCCAGACTAGACGACAGTGACGGCAGGCTTAAGCGGTTGCTGGCAGGTGCGGAACCTGGCCTTGGTTGCTCATCCATTATCGTCTCGAGCTCGTCGATGGCGATGCTATCTTTGCCGTTGAGTAGGCTCTCGGCGCCTTCATGCCGCTTCTCCTCCATTTCGAAAATCAGGCGGCTCAAGCCGTCCAATTCCTGGCCAATCTCGCCGAGGACGCTGTTCCACAGCTCTTCCCACTCCATCGCGATTTCGACTTGTTCCTTGACGCCTCTGAGAGTCAGCTTCACCTTCTGCCAGCTAGTTAGGATGCCCTCCATTTGCTTCACGCTTCCCGTAAGCTCGGTCGGAGCAAGCTCTGTAATATCCTTTCGAGTCTGCAAACGTTCGATTGCCGCGACATAAACTTGGACCAGCGTTTCAAACCGGCTGATGGCACTGTCAACTTCTTCGATGCCTTCTCTGCCACCTGCTGCAGCCCATTCAACATCATCTTGAGCGTTCAACCCACTGAGCAAATCCCCTGCCTTGCTTATCCACATACGAATTTGCTCAGATGCATCCACGAGCGCCTTCGATGCCTCCTTCGCCGTGGGTATCGACGATATGCGTTTGGCCAGAGAGTCCGGGTCCGGGAGGCGCACACTAGTGAGCTGCGACAGCTGTTCGGAGAAGCTCATCCTCATTATCGAATAAATTGAACCTGCTCGTGATAGACCGGAAGCCACAAAGTCGCCGTCTGTCACACTTTCCGCACTGGCATTGTGACGTGCGAGCGGCGAGCCCAACATATGCTCCATCCCATTGCGCGGTGACTTTGGCGTCTTCGGCGTGGTTGGCGCAGAGTTGCTTGTTTGTCGCCTTGGCGAAGCAGGCGATGGGCTGAGAGGCAGTTTGGTCCGCAGATGAAGCCGTGTCTTGCCCGGATCCGGCATGCGATACTTGTGGGAGTCGTGCAACGCGTCCTGCTCATCTTCTCCGTCCGAGTCAGAGTGCACCAGCCGCTCACTAATCGATATGATCGATGAGACATCGCTCTCCAGCATCGAAGTCTCTGCCTCTGACACAGGCCCGCCATCCAATTTCACGCCACCAGAGGATGGCATTACCCTCACTGGAGGACCAGACCAGGCTCTGCCCCTTCGTCTGACCTCGATCACGCGCTGCTGATGAAGCTGTTCAAGCTCGGCCAATTGCTCCTGCGGGATGCGGCCGATACTAGCCTGCCTCCTCCGCTCGGCTTCTCTCCTGCGCTTCTGCTCCTCAAGCCGTTGCAAGCGCAGCTCTAGTCCAGGTGAGACTCGCTTCGCTGCGCGAGGAGGCTGAGCAAGCGGGGATGCTCGGATAGAGGGTGTCGCATCAGGGTGGTTCAATGCTCCCAAATCGGTAGCACCCACAATCCGGAGTGGTGCCAGGGCCATGCCTGTTTGCTTCAGTAACTGCTCATGGGAGGATCGGAAAGTGACTGCCTAGACATTCAAGGCGAGGAGTAGGAAGATCACCGTTTGAAACGGACGCTTGGGACGGTTGACAGACTTACACGGGTCTTCATACGCGATATGCAAGTCAACGTCTCACCCTTTCTACCCAGCCACCAGCACATCACGTCGTCACGGGCCCTACGGGCGTCTGCTACAGATTTACGATCGCCAGTCGTCACCATAGGCCGAAATAGGCTGTCTGCCGTAAAATGACATCCCTGCATGTTTCACGCGGGATGATCATTGACCTCCAATCGTGTGACCCCACTGTCTAGTTTGACCTGCAGCAGATCGATCGACATACAGCAGCTCGGTCCATCTCCCGACTTTCTGCATTGACTTGAGGTTGTCAAGGTTTTCGTGAACATATAGTGCTATAAGCCATAGTCTCGCTGCCAACACCCAAAGCACGAGAACACTAAGGCTGTAACCCAATCAAACTTCCATTGGTGGCAACGGAAACCGACCGTCACAGCAATATCTCCGTCCCTCGCCAGGCTGAGCACCTTTGTCCGTGAGAAGACAACAAGAAGCACACAATATACTGTCTGCTAAATCTCGTCGGGTACCCTCATGGTCCAAGAGCAGTCTCATCGTGCTAAAGGTTGGTCCTGCTTACCGAGCCTTCCAATGACAGGCTTTCCTGCCATCCTAGTTGATGCTAGGAAGGCATTCGCTACATAGCGATTCACATTAGATGAGGTAGGCACCATTATCAACACCTTCCGCCATCCTTGCTTCTCCTCCGTTACAAGGAATTATTCACAGACTTGACGCTGTCCCTCTCACCTTACCAGCACGTATGTACTAACCAACAGAATCCGTCCCCTTCTATTCTTCTGGCGGCATGAACCATGCTCTTTCACCACAAGAAGCGTACTCCGACCGGGAACAGGAGTGCTTCGGGCCCTTTAGCCAGAAAAGTTTCTCGTCTCTTCCGAAGGTCAACATCCATAGCAGATCCGCTTCCGGAGGCCTTCGACGGGACTTCGTTGGCTGCACCGCCCAAGCCTATTGGTATCGTCACCAGAACACAGCAGCTTCGACGTTCAGCTTCTCAAGTGCTGAAAAGGCTGCATTTTCACCGCTGTAAGCGTTTCTCCTTTCGTCTTGTCAAGCTGATGTTAACAAGCGTTCAGGCGCTTCGATGCCGATGACTGTGGACCGAGCATGCACGCCACACCATCGGACTCTATCTCCAGGTCCTCCAGCGATATCAACCATTCGCAGGATCCGTTCATGGTTCACTTCTTCGAGCCATGAGGAGCGTCAACTGCCTCAGCGTCGGCGCTCAGTGCACTTCAAAAGCGTAGACAATAGTCAGCTGGACGGCCCGCATAGTTTCCAAGCCGCTCTCGGCTTGGAGGCAGCTACTTCTGAGGATGCTAGAAAAAGCGGAGTATCTGCAAACATGATCGAACGAATTGCGGCGTTCCAGGGCAAGGCTAAGGGCACTGTCGCAACGTCTACCATCGTACATCGAGCCAACCTCCGTGCGAAGCCCAGCGTCCCTTTCGTCAACACCAATGTGTTCACGTCTGAGCAGAGCATTGCGGGAGCCGGCAACGCCTCTCCAAGCACGCCGTCCTCACGCACATCCTCCGTTGGCAACTTCAACTGGTCACCGACTAGCACTGCCTCAACGACAGCCACGTCTGTCACCTCGCCGAGCTCTTCGACGTCACGGTACAAGTCAAGCACGCCGAAAGACTTCCAGAACCAGAGCAAGAGCATCTCCGTCGAGCGAGACGACGGTACGTTGCCGCCCATTGAGGAAGATAGCGGACGTTATCTGTTCATCCCAGTGCAGGAGGCGCCTATCAAAAGCGAGCCATCCATTGCCACCGTGGAGAGCGCTGCCGCAGCCAAAGTGTACTTCGAGACACACTTCAACAGCCTCTTGCTGGAGCCGATTTCGCCTCGTTCCGTTCGCCGCAAACGGTTTGAGCAGTTGCTGTGTGATCATGGCATGTCCCACGACGAGCGGGTCATTGCAAGCCAGGAGTGGGCACTTGTCGAGAACGAGCATACGCGCCAAATGCGCGTATTGAAGGCCAGCTCCATCCAGCGCCACAACGTTAAAGGCATCTCAATAGCGGGCTTCGATGTCATCCGTGTCCTTGGTAAAGGCAGCTTCGGTGTGGTACGTCTTGTGACCGAGAGGGCTAGCAAGGCCACCAATGCCCAAAATGGTGAAAGCGACAGCGATAGCAGCAAAGACTCCGCTTCGACCACCTGCATCAACAATCTGGACGGCACCGCGAAGTGCAACATTGCGGCTGGGAAGTCACTCTCGGACGTTTTCGCCATGAAAGTCATCCGCAAGTCCGAGATGCTGCGCGCTTGTCAAGAAGGCCACTTGCGAGCCGAGCGCGACTTCTTGGTTGCTGCAGAGGGATCGCGATGGGTGGTGCCTCTCATTGCCAGCTTCCAAGACAACACCAATCTCTACCTTGTCATGGAGTACATGATCGGCGGCGATTTCTTGGGCTTGCTTTTGCGAGAGGATGTACTGGACGAAGACCTCGCCAGGTAGTATGTGGCTGAGATGATTCTCTGCATTGAGGAGGCGCACAAGATGAAGTGGATACATCGTGACGTTAAGCCTGACAACTTCCTCATCAGCGCTTCTGGTCATCTCAAGATCTCTGATTTTGGCCTGGCGTTCGATGGTCACTGGGCACACAGTCAGTCTTATTATTACAATCAGCGGTACAGCTTGCTCGACACGCTTGGGATCACGGTTCTTGGCGACGAGCAAGACGTTGTCGAAGATATGGCGCCAAAGTCGACAGTGGAGGACACAGATTGCGAAGGCCGTACTGTCCACAAAGCGAGGCTTCGAGTAGACACCGACGAAGTTGCGAAGCGAGAAGGCTTACTGAACTACCGTAACCGCACCGAACGCCGCAAGCTAGCAAAGAGTATGGTAGGTACGAGCCAGTACATGGCACCCGAAGTCATCATGGGCCAGTCGTACGATGGCCGCTGTGACTGGTGGAGTGTTGGCATCATACTGTACGAATGCCTGTACGGAAGAACCCCATTCTACTGCGAGAACAGGCAGAAGACGAAAGAAGCGATTGTTGCACATCGTTCTAACCTCCACTTTCCGGACCACGAGCGATGGGCGAGACCGATGTCCGAGTCGCGACGTCTGCTGCCACCGCCGAGCGAGACTGTGGTCGACTTGCTGCAAGGCATACTCACGGACAAAGCGGTCCGACTCAGCTCAAGGCAGTACCGTCACAGTGAAACTCGGCTTGGCAGGAGACTCTCCGCTGCGTCAAGCACTACCAGTCCACTAGCCCGCCATGTCTATGCGAACGGCGCCGAAGAGATCAAGTCGCACAGATTCTTCCACGGCATTCCTTGGTCGCACATGCACCTGACGCCGCCACCATTCGTGCCGCGGGTGCGAGAGAACCAGTCCATCACCAAGTACTTCGAGGACGAAAAGGACATTATTATGACCGACGACGCGTCAAGCTATCTCAGCATCCGGGAGCGTCTCGAACACGATGGTGAAGAACTGGACGACGACCAAGCCAAAGCACTCCTGGGCCGCCACTTCGACCACTGGAAAGCCGACTGCATGGCGCTCGAGAAGCAACAACTCGGCATCGAAGACTGTTCCAATGGCGAACTGCAACGCATCAAAGAGCACTTAGGCGCCGATTACGAGAAGTGGAAGATCAATCGCATCTTGCAGGTCGCAGAGGAGCAGTTGGAGCAAGGTCTCGAGGCTCGACCTCTGCATCGAAGTAGGAGGGAGAAGAAGCGGGCGCGCGATAAACTGCTGCGGGATCCGACTGTGGGTAAGAAGGTGTTGGAGATCCGGAAGAAGAATGCTTTCTTTGGGTACACTTACCGCAGACCTAAGCCATTGGTTCTGGAGAGGAATGATAGGAGTGTAAGGAGTGCGTACGCAAGGCCATCGATTTTGCCGGTTGAGGCTTATGTCTCGGCTTAAAGTATGGTAATACAGCCCGGGATACGGAGTTCGACGCACCTGGGTATATTATGTAGCGCTTACCCTACAATGACATACTCTGGATCTTACTGTTCGCTCTTACAATTCGCATGCCGGCAGTAAAAGGCAGGTGGCTGCAAAGTAGGAGGTACAGTCCAGCTTATACACGGGCTGGGGCTGCAGGCGGTTAAGCGGCTTCACAACCCTTTCAATACACGAAGCCGGCATTCGAACGTCACGTCGTGTTCCACGTCACTGCAAGATTGAGCCTTTCAACGCCACACATGCTGCCGATGTATGATAATCGTACCATGGCGAGCCTGATGCCGCAAGGATCGTAAGAAGTCGTTGACCACCGTGAAGCACATGCACGCCTTGCCCAGATGCACCGTCTCCAGCTGCAGCCTGCCGATAGCTCAACGGGTTCCGCGTCTTGCCGATCGCAGGGTTCAGACCCAGTCGCATCTTCATTCCCATCCTCTAGCCCGTCGTCCATCTAGATGGCGTACTTCCTCGTCCATTCTCGTGCTGTGGCCTCGTACCGCGAGCGGTCCGTCTTGTAGACATGTGCGATTTCCGGTACAAGCGGATCGTCTGGGTTCGGGTCTGTGAGCATGGAGCAGATTGAGAGAAGCACTGCAAAGTAATCAGGTTAGCCGTTCAATCTCACACATTGCTGCACTGGGTCGCATCCTCACCCTTCGAGATCGTCAGAGCGGGACTCCATTGGTCTCTCAGAATGTCGAGGCAAATACTGCCGTTGCTGTTGATGTTCGGGTGGTAGATGCGGGTTGTGAAGTTGACCTTTGGCGGCTTGAAGGGGTAGTCTGTAGGGAAGTGAATTGCGAGGAAGAAGACGCCGCCAGAGTATGGTGAGTCGCCTGGACCCATGATGGTTGCCTGCCAGTGGAACTACATGCGATCCTTCAGTACTGTGCTCCTCCTTTACTGCTTTACCGCAAGCCTCTAGCCGAAGAGCCTTGTGGTGGGAAAAGGTAGGTACTCACGAGGTCATCGCCTATCGGACCTGCGCTGCATGATGACGGTGGGTCACTACACGCTGTCAGTATCGTTTCGCAAAGGCGTAGCCTCCTCCTGTTCACGCATACCGGCCGAGATCTGTCAATTCCTCTGCGTAAAGTTAGCCACAGCCCTGCCATCGGCGGGTCTTTGCAAGGCACTCACTGTTGATGCGCTTCAACGCCATTGCTCCGGTTGTAGTGAGGTTATGCGTATGTCTCTCTTTCGATTGATCGTAGAGCGGAGATTGTGGTAGGGCGGCAGTGGAGTCGGAGGTGGGTGTCGTGTGTCTTGCAACGGAAGGCGTATCGTGACTGCAGAGAACCAACACTGAGGTCACCGGATGACGGCCCGCCGGCTGAAGCGCGCTTGGCGAGGAATTTTGGGGCGACGGTAAGGTGCGTTTGTAACGCCGCGTCTCGGATTATTACAAACGCTTCGGGGGCGCTGAGAACGGGATGGAAGGAGAATTGGTCGTTGTTCACTCTGGCAAAAGGTGCTGCTCGCCACGCCTCTTATGAGTCAACAGTGAATGCCGGAGCCACCAAAGGCGCTAGGGACCGTAACCAGTATACACCTCATAAAGCAGATACAGCGCCACGAGCACGTAAGCCTGTATTCTGAGACATGCCTTACACGGCAGAAGCAACTTTTCTTGTCTTACAACTGGATCAACGTCTTACACCAACTATTGGGCAGTTTCCGGACGCACCCCGATTCGCCACCTGACAACGTTGGAGAGCTCAACAGATTCCGACTATACGAAGACACTTTCATCCACCACTGCTCGACCTAGTCCTCGCATGATACAAACCAGGTCCCCACTCATGGCGTGGCACCGACCCCGGCGTCATAGGTCTCTTCCTCTCCATTGGACTCCAGTGTCTCTTCAACGCATCCCCAATCATCGCATCCTCATCAGCGTCTCCAGGCCTAGAACCACCACCCTCGTCCTCCACAATCCTCACGCCCGCAGCACGCTGCCTCTCCCTTTCCTCCCCTTGCTTCGCGCCTTCTACCTTCCTCCTCTCGAACTCCGCAACGAGGTTCTTGAAGTAGACTTCGGCAGCTACAGTCTGGCTATAAGCCAAAGGTGTCCAATCGTGGTTGTTCTTTGCCAGTGGGTTTGCGCCAGCCGCAAGTAGTATCCGCAATGCTTTCAGTGAGCCCGACGCAGAAGCGTGATGTAGCGGCGTGTTACCGTCCTGGTCCTGTACGTGTGGTGACGCTGGGTAGTCCTCGTTGTTAAGCAAGATTGGTATCAGGCCAGTACTTGCAGGATGCTGACTGGCGAGCGCGAGAGCATCGAGGCCGAATTTATTGAACATCGGCACAGATCTCGGAAAGCTGTCGACTAACAGCTTGCCTACCTCGATCTTGCCATGCTGTGCCGCCAATATAAGAGGTGTGTCATGGTTGGTGTTCCGGCTGATCTCTACACTCTCGTGTCCCGCCTCGATAAGGTACCGCGCAATCTCCAGTAGGCCATTTGCAGCCGCCAGGTGCAGACTTGTATTGCTTTTGTCCTCGAAGTCCGGGTTTTGAAGCAGCTTGGGGTTGTTACGCACAATGCGCCGGACAAGGACCGCGTCGTTGAGGTGGATGGCTCGCCGTAGGCGAGTCGAAGCATCGATCATGCTGCTACGCTTTCAGATCGCAGAGAGTTCGTGTACGGCCACGAGTACCATGGTGTAATTGCAAGTACCGAGCAGCCAATTGCTGCATTGCTTTCGCTCTTTCACATGGTTACGCTATGTAAGGATTAGAAAAGACTGTACTTGGAGTCTGAAGCGTGAAGCCCAGTACGGTGGACCGTGCATATAGGCTCTGAGATTGCACAGGTACCCTTCGTGAGAAAGCCTCGAATTGCTTTCCGGTTGTACAGTGCTATACAGATCTATATATGCAGTAATGTGCTACCATGCCGTGCTCGGTTCCGGCTTTCGTGACCAGGAACAAGTTGTGTCGCGGGTTGATGTACACACACATTGTTGTAAAAGTGAGTTGAGGCGTATTCGCCAAGTACGTACTTCTCACTCACTTCCTCCGCTCCATAACCTTGGAGCACATATCTATAAGTCCGAACTTTGCCTCGCTGTCGGGGAAGCCGGAGATCGCACGTGCCGCATTATCCACGTAGTCCTGAGCAAGTGCTCTCGTTTGCTCGATGCCGTCGCTGCGGACAACCATTTCGCGAGCCTAGTAATGATCAGCACACGGTACATGCATTCGGACTATTTCTTGCACCCACCATCTGAACGTCGCCATCCTCGCAGAACTTCCGGCCGACGAGCGTACCTAGCTCCCGGTTGTTCTTCCATGCAAACAGTAATGGTGCAGTGGCCAAACCCAGCTCGAGGTCGGCACCCGCAGGCTTACCGAGCTCCTGCCCGCTCACGGTATAGTCAAGCATATCGTCCACCAGCTGAAACGCCAAGCCCAAGTTCTTGCCGTACTGGTACGCAGCCTCCACAACGTCCACCGAGTGATCGCCAAGTAATGCCGCTGCACGACACGACTTGCTGATCAAGCTGGCCGATTTGAGGTAGGTCTTCTGAAGGTAGTACGTGATTGCGTCTTCGCTCCAGACGGGATGCCGCTCGTCTAGAACGGTGTTCTTTAGCTGCATGAACTCGCCTTCTACGAGATTCGCAATCACGGTCGCAAGCAGCTCGGTTACCTCAGGGTCTCGAAGGCGAGCTAGTGCGACAGATGCTCTGCCTAGTAAGAAGTCTCCCGCAAGCACCGCCATCTTGTTGCCAAACGCAATGTTGGCGGACGGATTCCCTCTTCTTGATGTAGATGTGTCGATCACGTCGTCGTGTAGTAGAGAGGCGGTGTGTATCAGCTCCGTGATCTCTGCCAGTCTCCGCTGTGACGGAAGAACTGATGTATCAGAAGTCTGTCCGTTCTCAACACTGGGTGCTGTGAGCGGAGAGGTCGGGTTCGAATCTGCCAATACCGACGCCGGTGTTATGGATTGGTCGACCTCTTCTCTTCCTCTTGACCATGATCTCGACTGCGTAGGTAGCATCGATGTAGCTTGTGACATTAACAGCACAAGCATCGGTCGAATGTATTTGCCTTCGGACTGCGTGTAGTACTTGGACACTGTATCCAACATGGGATGACCGGAACCTATGAGTTGTCTGATCTTGCCCGTCATGAACTTCATCTCCTCCGCCACACTTCTGAGAGGGTCAATGCCCATCGGTCCTGGTGGCGGAGGGCCATTGAACAGCTCTTTCGCCTTCGCGACCGCTGCAGCGACGGCAGATTGGCGAAATTTGCTCGACTCATGGTACACGCGTCGTTGTTGGCGGGCTGCTGGGTATCGTTGTGGTAGCGGTCGGAAACACTCTGGGCACAACTGCAGTGGTAAGCGCTGCCGCGTGGGAGCTGCTATAGACTTCCCAACCAGCGTGGAGCTTCTGGCGGCGGATGCAGACATATAATCGTTCCTAATCCGTTTTCCTCCTTCGGCACAGGGCAGTAATAGTACGGTAGCGCAGGTTATTCCTTCACTGCGGGCTTGTAGAAACGAAAACGCTCAGTTTGCTTTGAACTCGTGGAAACACAGTGCATGCGTGAAGGGGAGCTTTTTCTGGAGTGACGCCCAGATCTTGCATTCGGAGATCGGCCCGGCGCAACCATGCCGATTCTGGTGGTGCCTTGCAGCTTCATACCGGGCTGCACTCTGGACTCTTCATCAGCGTACAACCCATGGTCAAGCTCACTGTGACTGCCGTAGCGAAGGCAGCTATCGTACAATATTGCTCTGGGAAGCGGTCCGACCGTGCAGAATTCGACGATGATGAAGCTACGCGTCTTAACAAGCTGTCGGACACAGAGATAGGCAGTCCTATCGAACATTACGAGCTCATCCTAATCTCCAAATACCTCCTTAACAAGTATAGGAACAGCGATGCCGAAGGTGGTGATACGCGACGGTGGCGACTGGACGCCTTGCTTAAAGGAGCCTTGGTATACGAACCGCCTCCCCCACCAAAGCCTGAGCCTGTAATCTGTCTTCCATCCTTTGCTCAATGTCTAAATGCTAATCAACGTCAGAGCCCTGAGTACAAAGCTCTTATGCAACGGCTAAGGCAGCAAGAGGAACAACGCCAGTACGAACGTATGCTCAACGCTCAACCTCCGCTTGAGACTTTCAGCCAGCGCTTCCCGGCCGCAGTCACCGCGCCAGCATTCAATCCCGCATATTCGTATGGCTCTGCGGGAACATCGGAGGAGGACGAAGTCACATACGCCGATGTGAACCGGCAGATGATCCTTATCATTAACGTACTGGTCTCTATCGTCACTTGCAGCATCTTCGTCTGGATCGCTGCTCGACGCTGGAGTGTACCACAACGTCTTGGCCTCTCCATGTCGAGCAGCGGCATTGTTGCGGTTGCTGAAGTCGCGATCTATCTGGGCTACATCAAGCGAGTCAAGGACGCCAAGCAAAGGGAGCTCAAGAGAGCCGAGAAGAAGGAGATCGTGGAGACTTGGATCATTGAAAAGTCTCCAACGAGCGTGAACAGTGATTCTGTCCGACATCGGAAAGGGAAGCATCGCTGAGCCCAGCGGTGCGTGTTTAACTTACTCCGGTGACCACTTACCTGATTCTCACACGCGGACTACGCAATTCACCCAAAAGCGAATATGTGGACGACCATACTCGTTCTTTCAATCCATCCATAGCCGATTGATTCTTGGGTAGTCATCTGAGAAGCACTCAGGCCGTGCATAGCTCCGGGTGAATCCCGGCTCTGGCGCGCCACTAGCGCGAAGCGGCCCATCTATCGCGTCGCGCCCCTTTGCAGTACTAGGTAGTATTGGCAAGGGCTTACGTGCTCGGAGAACGGTATCTGCCAATAAGACTGCACGGCGCGCAGAAGTGCGCCGTCATTGCATGAAGCTGGCTGTGTAGGCAAGATGGCGCCGAAAGACTTCCATCACCCTTTTCAGCCGTACGATATCCAGCAACAATTCATGGAGGCTATGTATGACTGCATCGAAGACGGCAAAGTGGGCATTTTCGAGTCGCCCACCGGTACCGGGAAGTCGCTCAGCTTGATCTGTGCCTCTCTGACATGGCTACGTGAGTATAAGCGCAAGGCTTTCGATGAAGCGCTTGCCACGATCGCTATTGATGACGACGACCCGGAGTGGATGGTTGAGCATGCCAGAAACAGCCGACGGCGGGAAATGCGGCAGATGAGAATCGACTTCGAGGAGCGCTTGGACTCTATCAGAGAAAAGGAGCGCAAAGTCCGGCAGGAACACTCCGACGTTGGCCCTGCGAGGAAGAAACGCAAGGTTTCAGTCGCAGGCGGTGATCCTCATTCAGACGACGAGTACTTTGCTCTTGATGATTACAGTGAGGACCAAAACGAAGTACGACCGGCGGCTGCTGCAACTACCCAGTACTCTGCGGCCACGTCTGCGTTGATGGGGAAACTTGGAATGCTTTCACAGACAGATAAGGGCCGTGACGACGCTGACGGGCTGGATGAGCCTAAGATCTACTTCTGCTCGCGCACTCACTCGCAGTTGTCGCAATTTGTCCGGGAGTTGCGCCGCGTGCAGCTGCCGCCCAGCATGCCTCCAGGGGCTGAGGCGAAGCTTGATGAACATGTCCATGAAGCGGTCAAACAGGTACCGCTGGGTTCACGCAAGAATCTTTGCATCAATCCTAAGGTTATCAAGCTTGGCGATCAGACTGCGATCAACGAGCGGTGTGTGGAGCTACAACAGACAAAAACACCCGCAGAACACAGATGTCCATACCTACCCTCCAAAGACAACGAGGATCTCGTGCTTGACTTCCGCGATCATGCGCTAGCCCGGATCCGAGATATTGAGGACTTGGCTGAGGTAGGAGCTCGGTTGGGTATCTGTCCGTACTACGCTTCACGCACCGCAATAGGCGCCGCTGAGCTGGTGACACTACCCTATCCGCTCTTGCTCCAGAAGTCTGCTCGGGACGCTCTAGGAATCTCACTACGAGGTCAGGTCGTGGTCATTGATGAGGCGCACAATCTTGCGAGTGCTGTTGAGGGTATCTACTCTGCGAAAATATCTGACATGCTTGTCGAACGGTCGAAGTCGTCAATGTTGATCTATCTGCAGAGGTTCCGTAACCGCTTGAAAGGCGCGAACAGAGTCTACGTTACCCAAGTCGTCAGAGTGCTTGACTCACTACTATCTTTCTTCGCTAGCCTTCTGAACGCTCCACGTACATCAGGCACGGTGGAGGCAAGCCGACTGCTGGCAGGTAAAGGTGTCGATCAAGTCAACATCTCGAAGCTGATTCACTTCCTCACTGTCAGTAAGCTGGCGCGGAAGGTAGAAGGCTACGCATCGCATCTCACCATAAAGCAGGATAGTGCCGACAACAAGTCCCCTGTGGAGAACACCGCGGATACGCCTGCCCTTACACATGTTCAAGCCTTTCTCGCTACACTTGTCAACCCATCATCTGACGGTCGGTTCTCCTGGTCCATCGAAACCGGCAGGCGCGAGCTGCAGTATATGCTCTTAGATCCTGCCGAACACTTTCGAGGCATCGTCGACGAGACACGAGCGGTCATTCTCGCCGGAGGTACCATGTCACCAATGGATGACTACCAAGAACGACTGTTTCCATACTTACCTTCCCTCACGACATTCTCTTGCGGCCACCTAATTCCACCAAGCAATCTTCTTGTTCGTACCATTGCCACCGATGCGAAGGGTACGATTGAGCTAAGCTACAAATCACGGAACGATGCGACTGCCGTACGTATCGGCGACGCATTGCTGAAAGTGGCTACGTACGTCCAGGGCGGACTCGTGGTCTTCTTACCCAGCTACGGCTTCCTACAACAACTCTATGATTGCTGGCACGCGCACTCGATGATTGCCAGGTTGGAGCAGATAAAAGCAGTATTCTGGGACAGCCGAACAATGTCTGCAGAGGCTGTTTTCAAGGCGTACACTGAAGCCATATATACTAGCGCAAAGGGCGCAATCCTGCTATCTGTCCTAGGCGGAAAGCTGTCGGAGGGCATCAACTTCTCCGACGACCTTGGAAGATGCGTCGTAGTTGTCGGCCTACCGTTTCCGAACCTTGAAACGCCGGAGTGGAAGGCCAGGATGCAGTATCTCGATGAGAAAGCCGTCGGAAGAGGTGAGCTGAAGGGCAAAGCAAGCAGAGAGCATGCTGAGAATGTGTGCATGAGGGCAGTCAATCAGGCAGTAGGCCGCGTCATTCGACACAAGGATGATTGGGCAAGTATCGTGCTTATGGACAGTCGCTACCTACAGTCTCGCATCCGGCAGAAGTTGCCGGGATGGATCAAAGATTGCTTTCCGGCGGACAGCGCCTCTAAGGTTGATGGTGTGGTGGGTGACGTTGCAGCGTTCTTCGGACACAGAACGGAAGCGTAACACTGTAGAGCACACAATGATGTTCACGGGAAATACAAGGTATGGACTATATTGCAGGTTCAGTCATATCCGGCCGGTGCTATCTCCGTACTTTGCAGCCTTAGCGGCAGACGTCCCCGCACAATCACCGGCCCTTGCAGACGGTGACGATACCTCACCTAAGATGATCGTCAAGCTTTTTGAGCCTTTCCCGTCGGCTTTGGACCCGAAGCAGCGTACATCATCGACCTGTCATATGGCCAATGGCAGATGGGGCCTGCAGCATGGCCGCGTGGTGCCTGGCGGAGACTCGCGACAAGCATTACATGACTGACGTCGTGTCAATGTCGATTGCAGAATGGTAGAAAGGTCAAAGTCCCAGTCCTCTGTCTACTTTGTGTAAACTCTTTGCAACATCGCATCCGTCGTTACCATACCACTGATTGCAATAATGCGTACCTACATATTGGCAGCGGCGGCAGCTAACATCCTCCTGTGCTCTGCACAAAACTCAGCACAGTTGATCCGCGATCCCGGTGTTTATGGGCCACCATTAGAACTCGTACATCTCTATTATGACCAGTTTCCCACGGGTACATATCCTTTTCTCTGCGAGCTCTTCTCGAAGCGCTAACTCAGGGAAGGCATCGCTGTGTCGTCTACCGGCCGCCTATTCTCCAACTACCCAGGCGGCTTAGACCCTAACAACACCAACAACGGCAGCAATGGCAGATATACGATTGCTGAGCTGACCGGTAATACAACGGAGAGCGCGTATCCGAGCGTAGCGATCAACAGTCCGCCAGGTGGAGCAATCAACTACACGACCTACCCCCCGTCAGGTGCTGGCTATTCGAACTACTTCATCGGCTCACAGTCCATTGTGATTGATGCCGCCAATCGTGCTTGGATTCTCGATACAGGGCGCGTTGAGACACCCAATGGAACGCTAGTACCGGCCTCGTACGGCGGTCCAAAGCTTGTGGGCATCCATCTCAACAACAACACCATCTTCCAAACCATTGTATTCCCGACGACCGTGGCTTTCTCTGACTCCTACCTCAACGATGTGCGCTTCGATCTGCGACCCAACATCACTGCTTCTGGTAAGGGCGTCGCATACATCACTGACAGCTCTGTCGAGGGCCGCAATGGGATCATCACGGTCGACCTCGGTACCGGCCAGTCTTGGCGACACCTAGACGGTAATATGGCGGTGCGTCCGGAGTCGCAGTGGCTGGCATACCTATGGGGCGTGCCGTTATATTCGTTCAACCCAGGACGACCATTTGGTTACAGCACCTTTGGAGCCGACGGCATTGCCTTGTCAGCAGATGGTGCAACTCTGTACTGGAAGTCTGTGGCTGGCCGCTATCTGTATAGTGCGTGCTGTTCACAATCACGGCCGTCATTCGTTCTCTAACGCTCTTTTGCCAGGCATTCCGACCGCACGCCTACGTGACAACAGCGCGACATCGGAAGTCCTTGCTCAAGCTGCTATTAACAACCACGGCCAGACAGGCATCACTGACGGCATGGAAACCGATATGAACAACGGTTTCATCTATCACGGTGGGTGGAGCAATGTGCAGTTGCGTCCGGGTTGTGCCAGACACAGCTGACCATTTCGTCTATCGATCTGTAGGCAATATGGAGCAGAACGCCATCAGCTTCTACAACCCTGCTAACGGCACGGACTCTCTTTTTGTTCGCGACCCGAGGTCTGCCACTCCACTTTGTCCCCAGTACAAAAGTTTTCATGCTGACTCAACATAGGATCAATTGGGTACGCATCCAGCGAGACACTGTGGGGATCTGCCCACGAACAAGCCAAGCTAGCCGGCTTGGTTGTGGGTAACTGTTTTCTGGCACGTATTTGCTGACTTTCCCAGGTCGACACGATGTCCGTCTCAACAAACGGCTACCTGTACTTCACCTGCAACCAGCTGGCATTCGGCACTGGTTTCTACCCTGGCACGGACCGGCGCCAGAAGCCGTTCGCTCTTTTCAGGGTCAAGCTACCGAACAACGGCACGAAGGTGATACTGACATAGGCTCCATGATCGAGATCTAACATCTCACGCCGCACAAATTAAAGTTGCAGGCAGGGCTTGCGAATATGCTAGTATACTGTAACTTCCCATGATGAATACTATGAATGAAGCTAAACAACTCCCGCTTGTGCATGCTCTCACGAGGCGGCAACACTTGTAATGTAGATAGTGCAGGTTCGGTGGTTCCTCGCAAATGCTTACGTGCGCATATCAGCGCTCAATTCGTCCAACGCCACGTTGCAGGCTATAAATCCTGCTTCAGTTCCTTGATGATGCTTCCCTAGATGTGCGCTGGCAGGGTTGTAGAGGTATCATAAGCTGTGATCATAACGCCTGTCTAAGAATGCTTATCGCACCCTGCTCCATGCCCTCCTTTACTTGATCCGACGAATGTCTAGAGGACATCCGGGTAGATGCTTTCTTGAGAGATGCTGTGTCGTAGGTCAGGGTGCTCAACTGAGACATTGCAGATATGCCGAGAGTGCACCGTATGGCCGCAACACCGAAGACACAGCAGGATCTCAAAATATCTGCGACGAGTGAGAGTAGTATTTCGAAAGTGGACAGTGCGAAACCGGAAACATAGATGGAACCGTTACCGCATAATTTCTTCGTAGATGAGCTCTGGAAAGTGCGTCAGCTTGTGCGGTTACGTTTCGCATTCAATTAACTCACGTCTAAGCTGCTCCTTGGACAGTGTGTCTTTCTGCAGATCGAACGAGAAGAACTCTTCTGGGATCGGCTCCGCGGTCGGCTCGTCATCTGGGTCGTGGTACGGCTCGAGGTACGGGTGCTTCAGGGCTTCCTCTACCGTAATCCGTTTAACCGGGTTGAAGGCGAGCAGCCTCTCCAACAAATCAAGCGCGAGGTCTGAGGTCTTCGGAAACATCACCTTCCAAGGAATTTTCTTCTTGAAGGGAAGTGATCGAATGTACTCTCTCGCACGTCTTGACTTGATGCCGTAGTAGTCTTCCATTGTTGGCGTACCAAGAACATCAAGGATAAGCGTGAGCTGGTGATGGTAGTCTTTGCCAGGGAACAGTGGCTTGCCGCTGAGCATCTCAGCCAGAATGCAGCCGACCGACCATACATCAATGGCTTTGGTGTACTCCTTGAAGGTAAGCATGATCTCTGGTGCACGATACCAGCGAGTGGCGACGTATTCGGTCATGAAGCCTTGGTTGTCTTCGGAGCTTGCAGCTGAGCGTGCTAGGCCGAAATCACAGACCTTGAGGTCGCAGTTGGCGTTGAGTAGCAGGTTTGATGGTTTGAGATCACGGTGAAGGACATTGGCCGAGTGCATGGCCTTCAGCGCACGCAGCGTCTGGTAGATGAAATACTGGCAATGATCGTCGGACAGCTCCTGCGTGCGGATGACTCTGTGCATGTCAGTCTCCATGAGCTCCTGGATAAGGTAAACTTCGGAGAAGCTCTCGTAGTTGCGCGGCTTCTGGATGTCCAGGATAGATATGATGTTCTCGTGGTTGAAGTACCGTAGCAGCTTCATCTCACGCAGTGTTCGTAAGCTAGAAGAGGGTGTTAGTGCATGTTTGATGGAGTAATGATATCACGAATGGACGCTGTCCAAGATGCTGTTAGTGGTGAGTGGTTGAGATGTTAGGCCGCCTCGGCCGCCCTCGCGGCTTTGGCAGCCTTGAGGATGTGCTTGTCCGTCTTGTAGTGCCGCTCCAGTTTGAACTTCTCTCGGTAGCTGTGATCGCAGAAGGCGCAGTGGTATCTCTTGGAGGCGATGTTCTTCGCGTAGCACCTCTCTTGAGAAGTAGTAGGCCCCAGACCAGCGACTTTCTTCTCGTGACGAGTGGTCTTGAGGTGTCTGTCAAGCTGTGCTTGAACATTGAAGGAAGTGTCGCAGGGCTTGCAATGGTACTTCTTGAGAGCTTTGTTCTTCTCATTCTTGCGGGCCTCGACGGCTCTCATTTTCTCTGGATTCGCCTTCTGCCACTCTCTGCCGTTTATTGCATCCCGCTTCTTGCGGTTTTCGGCCGTTTCCTTGACCTTGACTTCCACTTGAGCAGCAGTAAGACCGTCGACAGTGAGCCCTTCGAGTAAGGGACTGTGAGAGCAGAGTCCGTCATATTCAAAGGCATTGATTGGCCAGCCACGGGCGTGAGACATGCGGTAGTCTTTGCGTCGGGATCTCATAGTCCAGAGATAGAAGGAGAACGTGGCCTCAAGTGCCATGATGACAACCAGGACGTTGAGATGATTCGATGGATCTGGAATTGGAACCCAGCAGAGGTATCCTTTGTTTGTAATCTTGTAGCCATCATCGAGTGCCTCCTTGACATATTTAGGCAGAGCATTTCCGACAGTGTAGCAGTACAATCGAGCTCTTGCTCCGCGCTTTGCGTTCGTACCACTGCCGAAGTAGACCTTTGGACGCTGTCCATCTCGCTCCAGTGTAATAGCGTAGATAGCCCACCAGTTCCCAGGCACAAAGGGTAAGCTCTTGAAATATGCGAAGGATGGAGGTGTTGCAGCTTGCAGTACAGCGAGTAGTCCAGGAGCAAATATGAGAGACGCTGATGTGATATACTCCCGCACCACTTCAATGCTTGTCATGAGGATGTCGTAGGTCGCATTCTTCTGTAGCACTGGTGCACCAGACACGCATGTCCATACCAGCGTGATAACCAGGTCCAGTAATGTCGTCGCTGCTGCGGATGCCATGGCGGCTCACTTGAGGCTGTCTGAGCGGTAGGTCTGTCTCCAGGTGCACTGTCGACGGTCTGGTATGCTTGTCGTAAAGCGATGCGTCTTGTCCGGTCGGACAAGACAGACGTGAGGTCTGCCATCTTGCCCAGGCTGCCATACCGACCCGCGAGCTGGATGTAGGCGTTCGCGTGTTGCGAAGAAGTCGCGTTCATGGCCACCACCTCACCTTGTCTGGACGTCACCCGGTCCGGCCTCACCTCATGTCGCTCAGGACACTTCACTTACCCCGCCTCACTCACACCTCGAAGAAAATGGTTTACTTACCAGAACCTATTAGGATTATTAGCCAGCGTTCAAGCGTGTTGGAGGAGGGATTCGACTTTCATGGAATGGTCGAACGGTGAGATTTTCTTGATAGCCACTTTCTGCCCAGATGGCTTATGGAGGGCTGAGCATACGACACCGTAGGCACCTTCTCCCACCACATCCTGAATCTCGTACTGCTCGGAAACGTTGAACGAGATCTTCCTTGAGCCGCCGGGCTGCGGAGCGCGAGACATGGTGACGGCAAGTACGTCTCACGGTCTGTGCTAAAAGCGCTGCTGTCGCTCCCGGCAAGCCTGCGACGGCTGAGGACGGGCGGGCACTAAGTCGACAAAGTTTGTGACTCTGATTCCGGTAAGAGTTCTCGTCTCTAATTGTGCTATGTCAGACGTCAGCCTAGTATTTAAGGATGTTGTTGCCTGTACGACTTCTGGCATGCAGCTCGGTACATTGCGCTCTGCCTTGAGCGACAAGATACCCTCTATCGCAGACCATAGCCACTTGCTGCGCACAGCCAAACACCTCCACCGAGGACACTGCTCTTGACGTACCTGAACACGTCGTTGTTGGTACCCAAGGTAGCTCTGTATGTTGGCTTTCGCGAAGCTTGGGGCAGGCTTCTAGGGAGCTTCGAGCACTTCTGGTGGGCGAGTAGATCGTGAGGGAGACGCTGCGCTATACTCTGATGAATGTAAGCCGCTGTCATATCACGATATCGTGACCAAGTCGCAGTAGTGAAGTCGGGCAGTCACAGAGTCACTGCAGTATCACTCACCCAATGAGTTCTAGGCTTGGTGGGGTAATCGGCTCTGGTTGTGTAACAAGAAGACGCTTGTTAGGTGAAGATGCAATGCAAGAAGCTGGACTTGTCGAGTACCGCAGCCAGCCACGGTTTTCTACAAGTACTCAACCTCTTGCTGGACGGTGACCCGACAATGGGGAGCTTTACAACAATAGGACAGCTCAAAGCATGACAGTCGTTTCACCACGTTTCAGCGGGGTGGAAAGCCCGCACAGACAGGGCATGGCCAGCGGCAGGGCAAGGATCCTTCGGCCCGCTGCAGGGACGCCACAGAAGTCTCATCTCTTGCTTTTCGTGCGCCGATTCGCTGGGAGTGCTGGAGCGCTCAATCTCCAGGTGAAAGCTAACGACAGCGCAATGCGGTATCATATCGAGTGTCAGGCTGCGCGGCTACCGGGGGCGTATCCAGTCGCGCGAGCAAGCATGCTTGAAGAGCCGAAAATAGTCGCGCATGTCGATTATCGATTGAAATACGGCAGTCAAACGATTGTTGCAGTGTAGATCCTATCTGCTAAGTGTATGGTACACAAGGTGTGAGCTATTGCTTTGAGAACCGCAGTGTTGGCACCATCCCGTGACTCGTCGCCGTTTGCACATTACAGATGCTCGCCGAGGCCTGTCGGCATGCCGTCCCGTTTTCGTGCCAGTGCCGCCGACTGTCCCACCGAAGCAAGCTAGAGTACATCCCACCTCATAGATGGATGAAAATAGTGATACAGAAGTAATAGCAGACGCAGATGCAAATCGATGCCGATTGCGATGTTTCTACCATGTCGACTTGACCTTCGGGTAGTCCTTAGATGAGATGCCAAGATCGGCGAAGATAGTCTCGTCGCCAGCAAGATGCTCGATGCGGAGATCGTCTTCGTGCTCCAGCTTCTCAAGCTCCTCTTCGGCCGTCTGCTGACCGTCCTTGGTGTCTTCTTTGATAGCGTCAATGCCGCTCGACTCGCCAATCAGTAGAATCTGCCCGTTGGCGTAGTTAAGATGAGCCGGTCGCGTAGGGAGCCATCCGCGACTGCCGAACTCGTCCATGATCTCCTTTGGGTAGCCTGGACCCTGCGGCAACGCAGCGTTGGCAGGAGAGGATGACTCTGGGTTTTTAGTAGACAGCACGAAGCTGCCCTTCTCAGCGAGACCGAAGTCTTTCTGCACCTCACCAAGCTCCTGGGGGATGGTGAGCATGTACGAGAGGTGCGTGGTGGTACGACCACTGCCAGTGGCGGTAATAGCATAGACACCCTCACCTAGCGGCGTCACCTCTGGAGTATGGCGCGTGCCAGTGGTCTTGGTGCTGTAGTCCGAGCCTTGGAAGAACTCCTCCTTGAGCGTGTCCATCGATGTCCCTGCTTTCTCGACGAATGCCATGAACCGGTCACGACCGCTCTTTGGCCAGACCTTCTTCGGCAAAGCGATGAGGCGGTTGTTGCTGACATCTTGGATCGCGCCGTCCGTGATCTTACCACCCGGAGGTAGAGGCCTGAGGACGAAGTAGCTGCGCTGAATGTCCGTGACGCTTTCCGGCTCATCCACGCCGACACGGCCACGAGTGAAGAAGTAGATGACGCCTTTCTCGAGCAGATTGTCTGGCTCGGCCTCCTCGCGCTGCTTGTCTTCTTCCACGGCTGGCTCTTGGGCTGCGCCACCATCGGCGGGCTCGTCCTTGCTATCCACCTGCGGTTGCCGTTAGTCATGATCGGTCCTGTTCAGGCTTACGCCGCATTACATACCTTTTCTGTCTTGCTCGTGTCATTCTCGTCTGCCTTAACATGGTCTAGCGCGTTCAAGCCACTGCCGCCACGCGAATCCTTAAGCGCTTTCTCCGGATCACTCTTGGTCTCACCCTCCTTGTTCTCGCCCTCGAAGCTCTCTCCGGGCTTGCTGATCTTCTGATCATCTGAACGCTTGCTCTCACCATTCGCTTCTGAGGAAGTGTAAGTGGCGTTATCCAGCCAGAACCAACAGCCTGGTGGGCGCTCAAACGCGACTTTCTTACCTTCGCCGTTGGCTTCGGGCTCGGCGTCATCCATCTCCACGTCCTTGTCTTCCTTTGGCTCGTCATTGCCCGGCATGGTCTCCTCGAGAGTCTTCTGCTCCTTCTTCGAAGGGCGACCGCGCTTCTTGGCGGAATTAGCAGCTGGACTTGAGGTGTCGTCGGCCTTGCGCTTAGTGCCGTTCGTTGACTTTGCCGAAGACGGTGGGTCTGAGCTGGTCTGCGCCGCTTGACGCGCCGATCTGCGTGTGCCTGCCATTGTGGTGGACTATTATGACGGTGCCGAAATGGGTGTATTGGTTATTGCGCGCGATGTTTGGTGGGTGGTGAGTATCTAGAACGCAGTCCGGAGGGGTCTTATAGGTGCGACCGGTATGAAGGTCGAAGTGAAGGGTGCGGTCATCGACTGAACTGACGTTGCGATCGAACAATCGACCAAGAGCATTGCGTCATGGCCAAATGTCAATGCTTCTAGCGCGTCTCTTTCGCGTCTTACAGCGATTTGCATTGAAGTATTTCGTAACCGCAGGCGAAATGAGCGACGCTTGCCTCCATCCATGGGCAGCAGCATGTTAGTAGATACCGTCGCAACATTGGCATACTATGAGCTCGGCACAAGATGAGCGTCTTGCTACCGAGCTCGCCTTGCTCGAGGCTATGTACCCGGACCAGCTTCACTTTGCTGAGAAAGCTAGAGAAATGAACTATAGAGCAGATACGAACGCACTCGTTCTCAGGCTACCGGACGGCTACCCTGGTATAGAGCTCCCGCAAGTTCTGTCAGCGAACGCCGGCAAAATTGACGTACGGGAAAGGCTCAAGCGACGAATTGGGGAGCTTATCAAAGGCGAAGAGCTGCTCGATACTATCCTAGCCATCTTCAATGAGCTTGTAGATGATGTCGGTCAGCACGGCAGTGATCACGCGGAGCAGAGCGAACAAGCGAAAGCTTTACAACGCCGTGAACCTGATACGAAGGCCACGATCATTGTGTGGCTTCATCACTTACTCAATACCAATAAGCGCAAACTCGCACTATCCCCCGCCTCGTCAGCCGTATCAGGTATCACCAAGCCTGGATATCCTGGCGTGCTTATATATACCGGCCCTGCGAATGCGGTCCACGAGCACGTGATTGAACTCAAGTCGCAGAATTGGCAAGCTTTTCAGGTCCGGTTTGAGAGCGATGAGGAATGGAGCTTCGCCCATGGTCAGGGCGTTCGAGAGGTGGAAGCGATGAAGGACGTCGTGGCTGACGTGGGTGGTGTACACAAGGAGTTGTTCATGGAAGCCATGCGGATGAAGTAGGTTTTACAAGCGCAGTTCGTCCGCTTTCGCTTATGCTTGCATGCACTACGTAATTTCTACGCAGCCTTCCCATGGTCTTGATGCCGACCCGAACGCCAGCGAGAAGTAAGCCACACATTTAGAACACCAATGCCGCACCCTTAGTCTTCTTGTCGCCACTACAGTCACGGTCAGCATCTCCCCCAAATTTGCTCGTTCCATACACATGACGTACCCCAATTCGAAGTGCTTGCAGCGCTTGAGCGCTAATTGCGCCTTGGTCTTGCATTGTGTGCATTCTAACCGCAGAACGACCTTTTTCGTTGTTTTGGCCTTCTTGTGGAAGACAGGCTTCGTTTGACCACCATAACCGCTCTGCTTGCGGTCGTATCGACGCTTACCCTGCGCAAAGAGGGAAGCCTGGATAAGGTGGTTAGCCTCTCTAGCCATGCTTGTTCGGCGGGCGTCATGCGCACCTTGCCAGCTTTGTACTGAGTAACCTTGTGTTGGGTGTGCTTTTTGCAGTCCTTGCCCTTGCAGTAGGTGCGCCGAGTCTTCGGTACGTTGACCTGTTGCGCAACACTAAGTAAGCATTTGTCTTCAGCCGCTGAATACAGCGACCATTGTGTGTGCGGCGGTCCTGTGCAGCGCAGCGATCCGGAAACGTTGTTCCAGCTTCTTGTTCTCATTCAATTCTTCTTCCAGAACCCAAATTCCGTGAATTCACCTCCTCAGTATCGCTTCTTCTTCCGTTTACGTCCACCTTTCACCCTATCGAATCTGTTGCGGTATTTCGACGCTTCTTTCCATCTCCCACTTCCTAACCCGTGATCCTACTGCGCTGCACACGCTACAGCTTGCAATCAGCGCCTGAAAGACTTACCATCTTGACGGCTGATGAGGACTGCTTGAGGAAGGCTCTATGACGGTTGGTTGTTCGCTCGTGCCCGCTCGCTTGAGTGAGGTGGGCTGCATTTTCGAGGTGCGGCTTGTTCCGCACACTAGTCTTGGCACTCAAAAGCCTAAGGCATGCGCACCGCCGTGGCTCCACTAGAGCGAACGACATCCCTGTTCCGAGGACTACGCGGGATCTACCAACGGTTCTACACAGCCTACATTGCCGACACCACATGGGTTGAATCTGTTGAAGTATCCTAGAAGACTTTCGCGCCTTATCTTGAGAACCGTCTGTGAAACAAGATGCTGGGCAACCGACTCCCATGACTGGTTATGAGCATTCAGGCCGTGTTCATTTACGAGAATAAGTTTGTAGGGCATTACCGTATTGTATTGGACTACCGTAAATACTTCGCCGCAGATGGCGCGTCGTCATCATATATACAATAGAAGCCGAAAAAAAATGTAGCCCGTATCGGCACAGAGAATTGATAAATCAACGCCAAGATGCAGTGTCCGTAGCAGGACAATCAAGGTCTCAACTCGCTAAATGCCCAGAGGGTTGGCACAATATCAAACTGCCCTTCTGCGTGGGAGTCGCGACAGGCTTAAAGAACCGCTGCCACAAGTGCTGCGACAAGGAGCGCGATGCAGCTGGTGGCGCCAACGGCTCCTGCACCGGAGTTGTATGGGACCTGGTTTTGTTAGCAATGCATTGAACAGCGGGTAGGAGGGTTTGCGGTTACTTACCGTGGTGGGTGTGTGCGTGGAGGAAGAAATGGTTGGGCCCGTTGGCGTGTGAGATGCGGTGGTGTTCGTTACCGGGCCGTTGGTTGGCGGTGTGACTGTGGACACGGTGACGGGACGAGTGGTGCTGCCAGTGCCAATGCCGGTGCCAGTACCACCAGTGGAGATTGGACGGGTACCGCTGGAGATGACGGTGCCGGTGCCGAACTGGGTGGAGTTGCCGTAGCCGGTGGGAGTAAGTGTCCTTGTTCGGGTAGTTGGTGCGGTTGAAATGGGAGGATTGATACCAGTGCCAGATGACGTGCGCAATGAGGTTGGGGTGCTGCTGATTCCAGCGCACACGCCAGTAGTGCAGGTCAACGTTGACGTGATCGTCGTGAGGATCGTCGAGGGAGAACCGGTGCACTTGGTCTCAGTGCACGTTACTGTCTTGGAGGTCGTGATCGTGGTAACAATCGTAGTGCCATTGCGTGAAGTGGTTGGGGTCGGGCTACCAGATGCGGGGTCGGTGTTCAAGCTGGTAGTGATGGGCCGGCTGCTGGTTGGCGATGTAGAGCCAGTTCCCGGAGCTGATGAGGATCGGCTGGAGGATGGTGCAGAGGAGATTGGTGTGCTGGAAGGCACGGAGGATGTCAACGATCTGGAGGGATCGGACGAGGTAGAGGATCGCACGGAGGAAATCGAGAAGCTTGACGGGATTGACGTGGTCCGAATGGACGAGGTTGCAGAAGTCGATGGTATCAAGGTCGTGCTCACAGACGATTTAGAGATGCTAGTCGATGTGGAAGCAGAGGTGGTTGACGACGAAACAGAGCACACAGCTGGCGCCGCGCTCGGGCAGGTGGTACACATCCATGAGGTGTACAGCGACGCATCAGCAGTGTCGTTGGCCGCATAACAGGCCCCTGTTATGCATGCGTTGAGACTCGTCGCGATTGAAGGAGTGCAAAGTGCTGCCTCTGTGGAAACGCTGTACTGAACGAAGCATCCTGACTATGCAGCATTAGCTTCCCCTTACAAGACTCTCTTCGCTCTCATCCTCTTACCCAGCATGCCGGAATGTCGAACGCCGCTGCCTGACTTGCGAAGACGGATACGGCGGCCGCCGTGATTATGCTTTTGGTGGACAACATATTATTAATTCTGGAAAATTAGAGAGCGCTAAGTGAACGAGTGACTGAGTGAGCTAACGTGTATGTCAAAGGAGTGACTATGGCAATATGCCTGAAATGTGTGAAGAAGAAGAGCACCTCAGTACGTATCGTCTTGCAGAGGGAGAGACGGAAGGAACTACATGCAAGTGACGATTAAAACAACAGGCCTGGCACTCCTGTCCACGTTGCGGCCGACGTCCGACCAGCTGGTTGTGGAAATTCGTTCCATCACACGTCGCGACTCGTGGCTGGCGAGCGTGGCAGCCAAGTGCTACCGTAGAAAGAAAAGCCCGCGGGCAGGCTGACCGAGACTGTCGAGGCTTCGGTCCGTGGCGGATAGCTTCTGTCTGTGAGTGGTAATGTCTCTCGGTTTGCCCGCGCGTACTCCATATCGATCTTAGGCGGAGGATGGGTTGACTCGTGGCGAAGCCTCGAAGGTGATAGGAGCCGTTCTCGGCGCAGCTCGTGGCTTAGGCTTCCCAATGCGAGTAAGGTTTGGTCTAAGAAAAGACCTTGGCTGGGACCCTGATCGCTTTCGCCTTAGCTCAGGGGAGCACAATCTCACTGCATCGTCTCGAACTTCGAAACGAACAGATTATTTCGTGTCTAGACGATTTCAATCACATGTCGACGGTGTTCTGGGACGGAGCTAACCTCCACTCAGTGTCGAGTAAGGTGTTGATAACATTCACCGACACTACAGGTTTTTTGCCTTTTCGAGGGGAAGATGAAGTGAGTTCCTGCATAATGTATCTCCTTGGACGGAGCGGAAGCAGAGGTCAGGGCCGCAGCACTCGCAGAGGCTGGTCAGGTACAACAGTGCAGCAAAGGACGTGAAGCAGCCTTCGTCAACATGAGTACCACCGTTGGTCGTCAATATACGGAATCCGGTCGATTCCAGAGAGACACCCATCCATTCTACGCTTACTAGCCCTGCCTTCGCTGCGCTTGAGATATTCTACGCTAGCCGCTAAAGGTTTACTCATTAAGACTCTAACTGTGTTCTTGCTGGTGCTCGGAGGAGTCATTGTATCAGCACAGCAATGAGGCACTTATCTTCCATCGCTCAATGTTGCCTGGAGCCTTCATTTTTTCAGACTTTGGAGCTAGGTGAACAGCAAGGTATTCGACTTATCTGTTGCGTTGCTTCGATTGTGGGTAGCATGATGAGGGCCAATTGCATGGACAGGCGATCTGTTGCTTCCCGCTTTTGAAATCCTTGCGGCTTGCTTCCGTCCACGTGGAAGCCTCTATCGCCCTGGCGGCCACGCCTTACCGTTGAGCAGCATGCTCACTCCCCTACTCTTCCTGCGGGTCTCAGTATTCTGATTTATCGCTTCCGTGCCTTTAGCCGGCACAGCAGGAGCCTCGCAAATTCGCGGTTCGGTCCAGAGCAGTATCGGCGAGTCGCTGCCCATTTCGGGGTTCTCCACCGGGTGAGCCAGCACGCCGCGGTATCGCCTCGTATAGCAGGCATCGATCTCACGCCGTGCCCGGGACAGTCGATGTGTGTACGTTGATAGTCGGCTCTTGCTGGTGTCTGCCCGTGCTTGTCGCTGACGTATCCACTGCTTTCGAGCAAGCACCGCAAGTCCGGCGAGACAGAGGCAGATAGTAACGACGCAGAGCGTAATGGCGAGAACGAAGGCCGCACCAGACGGGCTGTAATCGGCTGCTTGTAGCTGCGTGTGACTTCGAGTGCCATTCATTGTAGCATTGTACCTCGGTAATGCAGTATCATTCAGACTCACGGTAGCAGGTGAGAGTGGTAGAATCATTATTTATTTCTCGCTAATGGTGACCCTCGGAAAAGTGGTGCTCGAGAGTCCTTGGTGTCGCTAGGGATCAAACAGAGGAGCAGTACTGATTGGAGGTATCATCTCATTGCAACAAAGCAATACGCCCTACCTTCTATCTTCATATAGTCGTGACTTACCTGCGAGGCGCCGTAGCGGCACAGTTATGCGCAAGAATGGTCGCCTTGGCGGTGACATACTAGCCTGCGTGTTTGGCTGTTGACGCCATACTTAGCACTGCGAGCGTGACTAACGCAGCAGTTCACGGGTCATGGTCCATGTTCGGCGTAGCAGTTTCGCGACGTGCTTAGAGCCCTTGCAAGAGACAGCAGTTAAGCGCCAGAATGGGCGCTTAGTCTGAGGTTTGGGTAGCCGTTCTTCTCCGAAGGTTCGTGCGCTGTTGCATACTATTTGGCAGGCGTGTACTCCTGAACGCGTGTTTTGTCGTCCTGAGCGACGCCTACTAGGGCGTGAATGCTCTTCTGCTGGCGATGCAGTAACGCTAGTCAACGCTAAGCCCGTCACGTGACGAGCCTACTTCACTTGCCTGCATTCTTTCTTCCTTCAATCACTCTCATTAGATCAGCCATGTTGTTAGCATCACCTTCCCTCTTCTTCGGCTTGCGCTGTTTCTTTTTGCCGCCTTCTCCATCGCCATCTTCCCAGCCACCGTCTCCACCCTTCCACTCAGACAATCGCACCTTCTTGCCCTCGCCATCAGCCTCTGCTTCGTCTTCAAAGCGGCTGCTGCCAAAGCCCATATCCATATCATCCAAATCACGATCCTGCTGGGCTAGCATCTCGGCTCGTCGCTTGAGGCAGGCTTGACGTTGCTCCTCATCTTCGCCTTGGGCATCGTCAGAGGCCTGGCGTAAAGGGTTGATATTAGCTGCTTTCTTCAGGACATTCTCTATGCCAGCAAAGTGGTTGCTTGGCATATCTTGCGTGTTTGTGGAGCTGTCGCCAAAGTAGTTGCGGGCAAGTGTTTGCGATCCTTCGGTATTGTTGATGTCGGGAAGTTCGCCGCCGTCTCGGTCCCGGTCCGCTTCGGTCACGGTCGTGCTTTCAGTGTTATTCGTTGTTGTCTCCACATTTTGTTGGGTGGCATGATGAGTACTAGTATGGTCATCGTCGTAATCGTCATCGTCGTCATTTTCGTCATCCTCACTGTCGGGCTCGTCGCCAAGAGGGTTATACTCAATGCCGGCGCCCTCGAAGATATCGTCATCTTCGTCTAGCTGTGCTACCACTGGCTGTCCAACGGTCTCCGGTACAATCACATCAGACCCCAGAATAGTCTTGCTGCTATCGGGCAGCATAGGGACAGTCTTTTCATGTGTTGCTTCCACCGGCATCTTGCGCACTTTCCTTTTCACTACACCATCCTCGTCTACGGTAATCAGCACTTCGCGCCCTTTGTGGTCAATCTCGATGCGACTGGTCTGCTTCTCGCCGACCTTGCGCCATCTACTGTCAAGTGCTGGTAGAGGGTGGGCTTGTGTCGCAGCTTGACGCGCAGCCTTCAATTCCCGCATAATCTCGTCGCGACTTCGCTTCTTTCCTGCCACCGTCATCGTGCCTTTCTTTTCCACCGCTGTACGCTGGACTATGGCGACATCCCTCTCCGCGAGCTTGTCGAGCTCATCCTCAACATCGGCCGGTAGCTGGGTTTGCTGAGATTGCTCGCCGTTCAGATTCAGCACGTCCTCGCCTCTGCGAACTCTCTCGAGCAGCTGTCGATCTAAGCCCTTCACCAAGTGCGTACTCGACGCATCGCCGCCAGTGATTTGATCTCTCAGACTGTCGAACACTTCCGGCGAGATCTGACCTAGCTTCATCTGCTCTTCGAGCGCCTTAATGCGGGCTGCCTTGCCGTCTTCGTCCTCGCCAGCCTCCGCTCTAGCTTTCGCTCGGTCTGTATAGCCTGATGTATACTTGACGCCTTTCGGTACCGATGACTTGAACTTCTTCGCGGGCTGTAGCGCAGCGTTACGCTCGCGGACCTGCCGGGCAAAGTCTATGTCTGCGCCTCCTCTAACAGTGCGCGGAGTCATGGGCACGAAGCCGACCTTCTTAGACCCTAGCGCTGAAGGAACTGTGCTCTTGCCCGGTGGTGCATCGCCATTGCGATTTGGCGTCTCGGAGAGGAGTCGGCGGAATTGGCTGTTATTCATGGTGTCGGTGGTATGGATGGCGCCCCGTCCTTTCCACGTTACTGATACATGGATCGCTTGCTACACGATGATGCCACTTCGCTTTCACCAATCTTTTGAGTTATAGTGGGTGATGAAGGGTAAGTACGGGTTGCGCATATTGAACGCTGAGTCAGCACCATTGCTTCACACTTGGGTGGAAGTTGATGCAGAAAAAGGAATGAGTGCGACTCTTATATCAAGTGTTCATCCTCGTATGTACCGCTATGACATGGGTAGACGTCGGTGGCGGCGAGCTGCCTGTATGCTAAGTACAAGATGTCTACATTGCCTGCGTCAAGGCAGGATCATTGCATGTCCCATTTCACCGTGGTATGCCTCCCAACGCCGTCGCTAAGTGATCACAATATGCCATGCAATCCCCTTCGACGTTTGCACCAGTCCGCCCCTCACGAACTTCCTCACGACCCCATCTGCTTATAGTCCACACTGCGCTGCCTCCGCTGCCTTCCCTGATGCCGATGCGGGTTAACCGGTTGCCGCATATACGCTCCATCACTCCCACCACCGTTCTGGATGCCCATGCCCCAGCCTTGCTGCTGCGGACCCACCCATCCACCACCATTAGGCATACCGTTCATGCCACCCATCGGGAAGCCACCCATTCCCATCATTGGGTTGATCATCATCGGATTCAACATCGGATTGTTCATCATCATTGGATTCATCATGGCATTCATGCCGTTCGGCATCCCCGGCATGCTGGAAGCCATGCTCTGCATCTGCATAACGAAGCCTTGCATGTTATTGGGGATTTGCGTCGGTGGTTGCTGTAGCGTTGACGCCTTGGGTCCCGTAGGAATCGGCGTGCCTGTCTTGGAGTTGACAGGCTGCTGTTTCTTCGCCATGGCTGGGTTGGTACCTTTACGGTTGTTGGGCAGTTCGGCTTCTGCGCCGCGCTTACGCGAACTGGAAGTAGACGAGGTAGACACCGTGCCGTTGAGCTTGGTCTCTGGCACATTGGCAGACGGTACCTCAGACTTGACTGGAGGCGTGCCTGCCTTAGCTGGCGAGCCCACAGCACTGGGACTTCGACTGGCTTCCTTGTCCTTGAGCACTCGCGCTGCCTTTCTCTCGTCCTCGAAGGCTGCCACCTTCTTCGCCACCGCCTCGTCCGCCTCCAGCTTGTCAAGCAGCACTTGCTCGCCGCAATTCGGGCAGTTCAGATCACCATCAAGCAACGCATTCTCAATACAGTCTCTGCAGAACACTCTACCACAACACGGCGTCTTGACAGGATCGACAAATGCACGCTTATCAATTGGACAGCTGAGCCCACGCTCGACTAGCTCGGCATCTTCCGCCACAGCCTCCTTGGCCTTCGCTGCAGATGCATTCTGCTTCTCTTGGAACTTCTCCCAAGCCACTTTGTCCGGCTCCGCGATGACCCACTCGCCTGTGGACGTGTACATGACGCCGGCGGGAAGCTTGGACACGTCGATCTTGCCATCTTCACCGACTTCGGTAGGCTTCTCAATGACCTTAAGCATGGAGCGTGGGATACCGGTTGTGCGACGGAACTTGGGTCGGCCGTCGAAGGTGGGATCGTTGTTCGTGGGACAGGCTTGGATCCAGTGGCCTTTCTCGCCGCATCGATGGCACGTGTAGCCGGGCGGAAGTGGCTTGTCAGGCGCAGGGACAGTGGACTTATAGTTGGTGTTCCGGATGATGGGCTTTCCTGCATTGAGCGCTTGGTCTTGCTTCCAGACTTCGTTATTCGCGTTCAACATTGCCGCAAGCTTCTCTTCTTCGGTCATCTCGTTGTTGCCGTTCGCTGCTGCACTTGACGCAGGCCCGCCCTTGCCGGACGTCGCCGGCATCTGCTCGACACGGTGCTGATTCTTGGCCATGATAGGCATCTTGCCGGTGACATAGCGAGCTGCACGGCCTGCACCTGGCTTAGTGGCGGGCAGGCGGCGTGCAATGACCGTAGTAGAGCGTGGAATTTGCGTAGTATCATCGTCGTACTCTGATGTTGTTAGCATGTCTTCCTTATCACGTTGCGAGGCGGTAACGCTCGGCTTACTCTCCATCGCCTCAGGCGTATAGATCTCGAGGTCGAAGTCAGTGCCATCGCCGAGTTTGGAGATGGCAATAATTTCTCGCTTCACTTCGAAGACTGACAAAGAGGTGCCGTCAAATGTTATTTGCAATGGCTCCTTCTGTGACTTGAAGCGGAAGAAGATGGAGGACGACATCCCGCCGGTGACTGAGAGCTTGGCCTAGCAGATACGCAATATCCAGCAGGTCACTGTTGCGCGTGCAATTCGCTTGTCGCTGTCTCCACGTTCTTTTGGTAAACGGTGTGGTCTGGTCGTTATACAGTAGAGGAGGTAGTTAAAGGGCAGGGGAGAAGGAAGTGTACAGCTGAACAGCTAGTGGCTCAACCAGTAAGCCTGCAACAGATGGCGCAACCGGAGAAAGTGCTTTTTGTATTCAACAAGTTCTGCCTCTGACAACAGCTGGCGAGCAGCCTATTGTTCACTCCGTAGTTTCAGGGTATGTGAGCTTCGCTGCCACCCAAAGTTCACTTTGCCACGCAGTATGTAGGTCTCAAAGGTATACAGCAAGCCACGCAAAACAGGAAGTCTGAACCAAAGGGTATTGTCTTTCGCCCTGCTTCCTCCCTTGAATATCGCTACCAAGTACGGCGTATGCTGCTCGCACGGCGCAGTAAGCGCGTCAACGGCGATGTATGCTCGGAAGTCGCGGGTGGTTTAATTCGTGGCTAGCTCTGGTCGTTGAAATGTTGATGAGTGTAACGCAACAGACAAGGGCGACACGAGGGTGATGAAGGAGCGGCAACAGTTGATGAGTGTGGTGTTGCAAGAGAAATGGATGCAGGAGCATGCGGAGATTGCGCAGCGTCTTATTGTTGCCGCAGCTGACAAATGCCAAGCTAGCCCGTGCGCGAAACTGACTCAAAGCCGAAAATGGCGAGGTGAATGAACGAATGGAGATTGGATGTTCAATTTGCTACTACAGAGACGCATCCTCATGTCCACATCAATAACCTTGAGTCTCGGGCTGGATCTTTTTTTGACGGCACCAACAATCTTGCACCTTTCGGTATGCTCCACGATTCGGGTCGCTCCGCCTAGTAGCTACTTGGGACGGTGCCATCGTAGCTAAATGATGGCCAGGCGGTCAGCATTCTCCCAACGGCCACAATGGAATTGATAACACGCACTGCAAACGCCACGTTGTCGGCTGAGACATGTGTTAGCCGAGGTTGCTCTGATCGCAATAGATTGGAATGAACTTACGAAAGGGAAGTACCTAAAGATGTTGGGTACATTCGTCAGTAATGCTTACCAGTCCGGGCGATGCTACACGTTGATCTGCTTACTTTCCCCAGTCTTCGGTCATCTGTTCGTGGGTTAGCACGCATTCGACGAGGACTTCGCACACGAGATACGTACGTATGCATAGAAGCCTGCCATTACGTTGCGTATAACTGTTAGCAATGTTTCTCGCAGCAACAAAAGGTTGTTGGCCTCGAGTCGTACCTAGTGGTCTGTCCACCTTCTTCAAGACTCTTCTCAATGTCAGCATAGGCGGTGCCATAAGCGCTGCAGCGAGTGTACTTACCCTTGCGGTCCAGGTGCTGGCCGTAGGTTGTCCAGCCTGGCGACAGTCCTTAGCATCGCAGTGAGAGCAACCTTCGAAGCGTCCTCGCCCAAGCACTCATGCGGGCCTTTGCCGTAATGGATGTAGCTGTCCATGTCCCGGTCGAGTCTGACCTCGTCCGGGTTCGGGAAGACCGAAGGATCTCTGGAGGCTTTGACGAACGAGACAAAGACTTTATCACCTGGCTTTACCTAGAATGTTGGATGCGATGCGTTAGCGGTAACTCAGGCAGGAAGGCAGGAAGCAAGCATCTTGATCGTCATGTTGACTCACATCCACATAGCCTTGGAAATTGGTATCGTCGATTGTCATCTGAGCTGCGACTTCACGGTAGCCGCCGAACGTGCCGTTGAGACGGATGGCTTCCATGGCGTAACGAAGCAGCTTATCCTCATTGTTACCGACGAAGCCTTCGCGTGCGATTCGCTGGATCTCAGGCCAGTGCTTGTTACCGGCTGGTGACATGTAGTAGTCGACGATCTGAGTGAACTACAAGCTGTTAGTGCATGACAATCTGCAGCGGTCGTCGAGGTTACATGCCACTTGCGCTTGGTTCGCAACCATTGCACCTGCCGTGCCCATGATATTACCGTATGTTATCTCCTCAGCTGTCTTGCCCGTTGCAAGGAGGCGTTGAATCATGTGGGTGCCGTAGTCGCTGAGCGGGGTCTCTTCGTGATGGAGTCTCTCGGTGACTGCGGACAGGAAACCAGTGTTCTGAATCCACTTAACATTGGCAAGCACAAGCTGCCCGAGTTGCTGGATAACGTTCCGGACGAGTAAAGCTAATGGGAAGGATTTGGCTGGGTCGATGTCGAAGAAGAGGAACACAAACTGGCCTGCCATAACCTGAGCGAACAGATGAGGTGGTCAGTAGTGATTCAGGCGGTATGGAGCCTTTAAAGTCATTATCCTCACCTGGTAGAGCTCATGCTCCGTATAGACACCTCTTGGGTGCTCGTGAGTCTTCAGTGGGAGGGAGAAGACGTTCGCCACGAAATGTACGTGTGCAAGATTACCAACGTCTCGCGTGATGTCGATCTGGTTGAGGCCAGCGATCTCACAGCTCTTCTCGCGAAGAAGCTTCAGTGTGATGAACTGAAAAGGCACAACAGTCAGCTATGCTTCCCACAGTGGTCGTCATGACTTCTGTAAATACGTGCCTCGTAGAAGTCCCTGACCTGCTGATGCCAGCTCTCGCGGTAGAGAGCTTTATGCATCATCTGCTTGTTCTCCACGAATGGCTTGCCATCGCCAGTAAGCATGAACGAGCGACTGAGCGGTCCGTACAAATAGGCGAATGGCTCGGCGTTGATGACCTTGAAGACGTTGCCGTTCTCGAGGATTTGACGGACGCCTTTGTAGTTCTGGATCACAACACGATCTGGGATCCGCTTCGGTCGGTCCCAGCTGTAATGAGACTCGCGGCCAAGCACTCTCATAATCTTCCTATTCTCCTCCGGGGTCGTCATAGGCATGTGTGCATAGATGCTGTTCGGGAGGAAGTGGTTCGGGAAGGCGCGCAAGAACAGCTTGTAGAAGCAGCAACCCTGCTCGACTGAGAAATCGTATTGGACCTTGTAATCATTAGCATCACCTTGGGCGGGTGATGATTTGGCTTCGTTACCTCGCTGTAGCCCCAATTTGTCAAGTTCTTAGGAGTACTAGCTTGTGTCAGTACTGCAGGGCAACGCAATGACCGAGTGGCATACTAGTCGATTGTATAGAATCGGTCGCCCCTCACAAGAGCAACAGCATCCGAAAGGATAGCGCGAGAGATTGTGTAGGTCGGGCAGATACCGACCCCAACATCGCTGAGCTCGCCACCGGACTGCATGGGCTGCTTAGCACCCTCCGCAATAAGTCCAGTATAAAGCTCAACTCGGTCGGGCTCCTCGTACAGGTTGCGCATTTGCTGTGCAACCTTCGGATCGGGATTGATGCTCTCAAACGTCCTGTGCGGTGTTAAGCCGAACTAGAAGTGGTGAGTAGAGTGGTCAGCGGTCTGTAAGCAGCAAGAACGATTTTCTACTCACAAACTTGCGGAACTCGTTCAACGAACACAGCTCCCAGGCTCTTGCTTGCTTCATGCCCAGAATGTCAATAGCGCGGAGGGACTTGGGGATGTGATTCGCGCCAAAGCGCCCCGCCACGTCCTCAATGCTAGACGTGATTACCTCGACCAGTTCATCGTCGTTGTATCGGCCATCTGGCCCACGCTTCATCTTATTGAACTCGCGATCGAAGGGATCCTTTGGCATCGTCTGCTCCCAATGGTGCAGACCTATGTCATTGGTTAATGGGTCAGCAATATCTCAGGCACCGCACATCAGCTCACTCACCCATCATAAGCTCCGGCATAGAGACTTGCTGTCATACGATCAGCCAACATCTCCGCGCAGCACACGTTCCGACGAACTCACCTCTGCGGGCTTGCCCCACATCTCCTTGAACAGCTCTTGCGTCCACTTGTCGTCTCTTTCGCTCACAGCACTGTGCCATCGATAGACTAGGTTGAACTCGGCGCTCACTTGGTTGCCAATGCCGCGAGGTGTGCCATCGTTTGCGAAGAGAGTATCCGCCTCCTTCACTCTTGGATCAAGTGTCCAAGTTGTGTTACTTCTGGTGAGATTGATGATGGTGCGAACGTAGTCGATAAGCGTGATGTTCATGTACAAGCCGCCGGTGACCAGGCGAGCGGTCTGAAACAGATCGTTGTCGTACTTAGCCCAGGCCTTCTGTGCCTGTTCTGGAGACAGGTTTGGCGACGGCTTCGTGAAGCGATTGTTCTCATTGATGGCTGCAAGTTGTTCGGCTACGTTGTTATGGAAGCGGTTGAACATGATGAGGATGACCTTCACACTGATTGTCAGCTACCGGACAAGTACTTGAGCGGAGCGTGAGCAGCATACGCCACAGCCCTAGATATTGTCAGCAAGTAACCTTGGGATAACCGACGCTTCAAGTCGCTCACAGGTGGAAAGGTTAGCAGACGATGCTCGCAGAAGCAGTCAGGCTTCAGCTTGCCATCCTTGAAAGTACGAATAGTGTCTTGGTCCTCTTGCGTATCGCCATAGCTGAGATCTACCGTCAGTCTTGTCGGGAACAGCTAGTAACATCGTGCTCGCTCGTTTACGTACAGCGGTGACAGATCGAGGTAGCTTGAGGTCTGCGAGTTGTTGAAGTCGCTATGATCTGTCTGGAACAGGTCATGAATGATGATCGATGCCCAGTAGAAAATGATGCTGCTGTTGTTGTTCGGATGAGGCTCAAACTTTTCACGGGCAAACAAGCTGTCGAATACAAGACCGGGATCTGGCAAAGCACCCGGCTGCACAGTTTCTGACTGAACAGTTCTGGCGTATGGCGTATTAGCCTTTCCCATGTGCTGCATTTGATTGGGTGTAATCGTCAGTGCTCGTTCGAAAGGCAGGTGAAGGCTGCAGTGTAGGTTCAACAGACCGGATACTAACGGCATACATGTCAGCAGCACCTCAGTTGACATACGTCTGATCCATACCATGATATTGTTGTGAGACCCGTCCGCTTGTCTGTATTTGAACTGGTCTCCTAAGTATGACAAAGGTGGATGCTGTAGGCTGTTGAACAAGGTGTCCACGAACTTGTTCGTAAGCTCGACACGATGCGCCGATTTGTCCGGGAGCTTTGCGACGAGCTGGATGACTCGCTCCATAAGCCTGTGACCTCATGTAAGCGGCACAATTGGAAGGCATCCTAATGTTCCCTACATGGTCTTGTCATCAACCTGGAGTGGCGTTAGCAAGGACAAAGCCGGGGGGAGAGTGTTCCTACCGGCCCAGTACCTGCCGACACATAGTCCGCAAGTGTCTTGTAGTCTTTGATGCCAAGCGACGACAGTTCCGAGAACAGGCTTGAATGAGCTTCCTCGTGCTTTGCGTACGTGCCTACGGAACGGCCCCCAGTCACTTTTGTGCCCTTGCGAGCTGCTTCTTGTCCGCTTACCATCACCCATCTGCTCAGGCATGGGTCTCATCATATGAGAGATCAGGCCCGTGAACGCCTCAAGGTCGGCTCCTACGGTCTGTCTTTGCTCGCCATGGTTCTTACATGAAGGAGTCAGGCGAGTGTCCGGCGACTTGGGCGCAATGCTCACTTACTGGAGGGTCAGGATATCTGCCTTGCGCTTCTGTAGCAGACTTCTGCGGTACGTATGCAGGTTGGCCATTCGTAGCAGCGCCGTAACCGTTCGTGGTTGTGCCATTGGCAGCTGTTCCATTGACACTTCGCCCATTGGAGAGACCGTTCACTATCTGTTGGCTCTTTCTCCTGTTCTTGAAGACCTTGTCAAGGAACGCCATGGCTCGAAATCACGGACGCTATGAACTCGACAAAGGAGTCCAGGACGAAGAGATATTGCAGAAAGACAAACTTCAGCTATGAGAAACGGAGCTGCAATGAGAGCTGCATTACCTTGGAGGCCGATCGTCGGAAATATGCACGTCGAGCACAACTAGCGAGCAGCTTATGGGAGAGCTAAGGCGGTCCCTGCGTGCTCGTGGGCTGTGGTTGGGTGTGTTGGTGCGCAGGTGTGCTTGTGGTCGCGGGTGCCAAACGATATGGCAGAAAGCCCCTCCGCTACCACACCGCCCGTGGAGGAGGTCCCAGATCCTCGCTCAAGGCAGATCTCCGTCCATATATGATTGCGGTCAAGGCCCCTTCACAAACTTGGCCCAGTGCAGCAAGGCATACCCAAGGTTCGTCTGATAGACTCTTGCCTCAACTAAAGCATTAGAAGCGCCTGCTTGGCATGTGATAACCTGAAGTTGCATCTACTCAAGTCTGCGGAGTGACTTGCAAAAGCCTTATTAACCATAAGCCGTTCGGATACCGACCGAGGATTTTTGGCGGCGTAGAGGATACCAATCAGACCATACCCAAAGCAGGTGTTGCAGGTGGAGAAGATACTGAGGTTCACGAGCACTGCATAAGCCAAAGGAAGAAGTGCGTATGACGTTTCAACCATGTCGTGAACGCTGGCTGCGGAATTGGCAACTGCATAGCGGGGACGCGTTGATCAAAGTTGTTCGGCGCGAAGGAAGATGAACTTCTGATTATCCATCCAATCTTCTGTTCCGTACACCGGGTTAGGCCAATGCGAGCAGTCTATGGAATTGCCGGAAAGAGGAAAGGAAGCGAGAGAAGTGCAGTAGATTAGTTGATCAGGATCGTCGAACCCTGTCTCAGCGGGATCGGTCCGTAGCCAATGCCCTCGAACCGCTGACCCACTTGCACACCATCTTCCGCGCCAACGAACGACAGATCACACGCTTGCATGATGCAGCAGCGAATCTGCGTGGCCTTAGAAGACCCTAACGACAGGCAGAAGTCGAACGACGGGCTCCTCGTGGTAAAGCTATGGCAGCTGTACGCTTTCCCCGGGCCTCAAGCACCCTGGCTCAGGCTGTACTTCCAGTATACCAAAGCCAGACACTGCCCCGAGTTTCTAGCCCCAACAGTATGAGACCGGACTTGGCCCATGCGGGCCGACGCAAGCCGATGCTAGCAGGACCGGCTCGGGTCTTGACGGTAGCTTGGCTATGCAGGTAGTCGTGATGGTGTAGCTCCATATGCTGAAGGGGCGGGCGGCGCCAATGCTGCGTTCCCGCCATTAGCATTGTGTTCAACCTGCAGACCATACGAGCTGCCATGTCAATCAACAACTTGAAAGTCTTTACGTAAAGCTTATGTCGTATGGGCTATAAGCGCAAGGAGGGTATGGGACATGTTTGGCCACAGGAGCTGTTTGCGGACCTCGATCGTCTCACTCTGCCTGCTGCACACCATGAGCATTTTCGAAACGTCTCAGATCCGGCGACTTCCAGACAGCCAGCCAAGGCACTGAAAACCTTGCCTCAACTTGTAATCCCACAGGCACACTCGAAGATGGAAGGCGTCCAGCCTGCGGCGGCTACACCCAAGTCTCTGGTGCGACGGATGTAGGGCTCGTCTGCTCTGTAAGATATCGCTAACGGTTAGGAGATATTGTGTTTTGATGGCACTGGTAATAAGTAAGGCTGAAGAGGCATCCTCTCCATCTTAAACTCGCTAACAGCTTCACTTCTCACTGTAGGTTCCAAGGTACAGGAACTCCTCTGGTCTACCCAATGGTAGGGTTCTGATCGATGTGTTAAGGGAACGCCTCCGACAGCAACATCGTGAAGATATTCAGCCTTCTGGACCGTCAGGATGGCAATCAATTTCACTACTATCAGCCTGGTATTGGGACTTATGTCGGTTAGTGGTCTTGAGTCTCGGAACCTTTGAACTACCGAAGGGTTTTCTGACCATCATGTCCATGAATCGTAGAGACGAGCTCGCTCTCTCACAAAAGTCGCTTTGGTCGGATAAAGTAAGCAAATCGACGTGTAAAACCTCCGGGATAGTCTAAGTCTCCGCTAACGTTCTCACCCATGGATATCAGGTCATGGTATGTTAAGAGCAAAGACAGTAAGTAGAGAAACCGTACCGATATCGACAACAGATCGAGCATAACTAACGCCGTGCCCCCAACCTAGTGGCTATCGGCACTAGTTTCGGCGAGCAGTAAGTTGAGCAATAGAAAACCACTGTCACCAAGTCTCCAACACGTTGACCGTTGGAACAGTGTGATGGCAGGCTACAAGTTCCTCATGCGCTACTACAACCAAGGCGATCACCTATACTTCTTCGGCTTCTCGAGAGGGGCGTACACTGCACGCTTCTTAGCTCAGATGTTGTGAGTGTGAGCTGACAATCATAAACGACATACGCTTTCTGATATGTAGCATAGAGACTTCATTGGCCTTCTTAGCGCTGGCAACGAGGAGATGCTGCGGTTCGCCTGGAAAACTTTCGCCGGCTGGCAAATGCGGGCCGAGGGCACGGAAAAGGACAAGGAGAAGAGAAAAGAGCAGTTCAACTTCATGAAGAATTTCCGGCAAACGGTGCGTCGCCCAAAGCTCCTGTCCCTGCGTTATAACACTGACTGACGGCTGCGCCTTCGTTCCCAGTTCTCGCGGCCCATTGACCGTATCCGCTTCATTGGACTCTTCGATTGCGTGAATAGTGTCCCGCAATTCGAGGCAGCCTGGTGAGCGCAGCGATGAGTAGTCCCATGGCGAGACATAGCTGACCTTCCTACCCATCGACCTGCAGGATGGGCCGGACAAGGTTTCCGTACTCCGCCAAATCTTCGGCCCTCGTCATCCGTCATGCAGTCAGCATCGACGAGAGACGTGCGAAGTTCCGTCAAGACCTGGTCTCTGAACAACGAAGGGCACCGGACGATCACGCTCACGTCCATGGCGATCATCTGCACTGGCACCACAAAGAGGCGCTTGAGGGACCATCACCAAATGAGAAAACTGATCGTCCGAAGCTGCAGTCACCGCCTTCAGAGCATCACTCACGCTATTCACCTAAACGACAGACTTCGCATTTACAGCCTATAGCCAGCTCAGCAGCCTCGCAGAACGATGCCGCTTCGACTGCAGGCTCGCAGATATCTATCGACTCCACTGCTGCTGCTCGCGAGAGGCGCCAAGAACACCGTGATTTTGATGCTGATTACCATGACGAGCATGATGAGCAGGATATCCTCGAATTGTGGTTTGCAGGCCAGCATGGAGATATCGGTGGCGGATGGGTAGGAGGATCGTGGCACCAACAAGAGTATAGATTGGGCTGACGTATCCTTCAGACATTGAAGGAGGGCGAGCAACCAGCAAGCGATCTGCCTCTTATGTGGATGGTGCGCGAGGCGAAACGAGCGGGTGAGCAAAGAGCGCTTATTGTGCTGTGACACGATGCTGACAATATATACTCGACACCTTTAGGCATGCCTTTCGACGAAGGTACGGAAACGAAGAGCAGAGTATCGGTCCGCTTTAGGAGTTGTTACTGATTGCCGTACCAAACGTGTGCCAGACAAGCTCGAAGCCTCTGGATACCTCGTGGATAATGTCTTGCGCCATCAAGAGACCCCAGCGATCACAATCGAAGGGTTTGTTGCCCACACTTATCACATGGAGTGGGGTTGACTGACTCTTGCTTAGGCAACCGATGCCACAGCCACAGCGAACTGCATCTGTCAACCATTCAGTAGTTCGTAACGAGGAAGATATGCTACGACTTGAGACAACCACAACTGTTCACGACTCGCTCGCTTTTGGCAAGGGTATGGGTGCGATGTCCGTGTTGTCGTGGCAAGTGATGGAGTACCTGCCTTTCGTGAGTGTCCCAGTCATGGTTAACGGACTTGCAAGCTAACAAGATAAACTTCCAGCGTCGGATGGATCTCCATGAAGGTACATCGTGATAGCTAAAGTTGTTTAAGGCATCGCTGACGTTCGCAGACGGAAGCTGGAAGCCTATCAGCTGGCCACTGCCGATGGGTGAACCTCGCGACATGCCGGACACAGCGCTTGTGCATGGCTCCGTAATTAGGCGTATGGAAGCGGATCCAAGCTATAGACCGGGCAACCTAATAATTGGCGGCGGAGGCCGTGGTGTGAAGATCGCACCGAAGGAGGCCGGCATAGGTCATTGGAGGGTCGCTCGGGAGGCTGGCGATCGGCTTGGCGAAGCGGTCATTAGGATGCCAAAGCAGGCCGTCTAAACTCGTAGAACATTGGACTGCAGCACTACCGTTCAGGCTGTACGAATCATTACACATGTCTTGGCTGTGGTGCCGTACACGTGGTCCACCTAGTTCTTAACCCTTTCCAGCATACTCTGCCTTCCATATCGAATCAAACTTTGCTTGGTCAATCGCAAACTCCCGAACGTACTCCCACTCCATGTCATGCATCTTTGTGCCGCATAATACTAAACTATGCAGTGGCCGGCCAAGGTCAGCAGAAGCAAGCTCCTCAAGCGTACCCGCAATAATCTGCTGATCCGCATTCCCCAGCCTCGCCACTCCTACAGCCAGCTTGCCATTTGCACAGACGCCTTGCTTCCTCTCGCCCTCGATTTCGATCATCTGACTAGCGCATTGGTCCACGGTCATGAAGCGAGGCGGCTCGTACACGATCTTGCCTCTTGCCAGAGCCTTTAAATCAGGCTCTTTGACCTACAGAATGTAGTATGCTACCGTTAGCAATCTTCTAGGTACTGAACAAGGGTTATATATACCGTCACGCACCTTTATATCTAGGAGCACGAGTGTATGAAAGCCTAGACTGGCATTCTCCGCTATCCGATCATAGAAGCTGCTAGGCTTCCATGTGTCTGTGAAGAAGACCATGCTCACAGTCTGGCCAAAGCTGTACAAGCTGAGTCCAGTAGCACCAACTGCGGTCAGAATGCTGGCATTGGGTAGAGTCCGGGTCGGTATCGATGGCTCATGTTGCCGACAGCGTAGAGCAAGGTCTGTGTGAGTTGTTGCACTGAAAGGGTCGCCAACAACGAGGAAGGCTACATCCTTCTCGAGGGCGCCTGACAGTATCTCATCAGACTTTGACTCGACCATTTCCCGGTCAGCAAGGATGATGGGCCGGCCATAGTAACTCTCCTACTGCATTTCATGGGTCAGAACTGCAATGGCCAAGATTACTAATGTCAGACTCCGTACCAGCTGGCTTTGATCGACAAGCAGAATCGCAGTGTATGCCTCTAAATACACACGTTCAGCGCGGCGGATAATTTCAAGTCCTTTCACGGAAACATCGCGCTCGTCCGCCAAGCCGAGCCCGATGATGTATAGCATAGCTGATCAGAAGTTGCTCCACCTGATGGCACCCAAACCTTACTCTAGGTATGAGCTTTGAAAAGCTCTTGGTTTCGAGGCGAAAGGTTTGCTGAATCCGCATTTCGATCGTGGAGCCGGCGCGGTCTCACGATCGCCTCGGTCCGCACCTTGTCCGATCAGCGGACTGCGCTCCGCCGTCGACCACAGCATCCTCGCGCACCGTCCTTCTACTGACATGTTGCCTACATGTATGATATGACATAGCATGACAGTGCATCGAACTTAAGATTTGAGATTACATGTTTTCGAGCATACGCCATGGCGGACACTCGTGCCAAGTACCGCACAGAAATCCAGCAGGTTGGTAGCGGAGGCTCACTGGGTATTACCATGTGCTGAAATGTAACCAGATGATGTTCGTCTCTGGTGAGACGGGAGACGTCTCATCGGAAACCACGACCATGATCGAGAACATCGTTCAGCAACAAGTCTGGGAAATGGTAGCATACATGCACTGTATGCTTGCATATATCCACTAATGGTCATTAGCTTCGACGAGCAACCGACCTCGCAGCACGCCGAGGTGTACGGACGATCAGCACAGATGATCTTATATTCCTGATTCGTCACGACAAGGCAAAGGTCTCACGCTTACTCACATTCTTATCTTGGAAGGATGTCCGCAAAAGCGCCAAAGACAGCGACGAGAAAGGCGGCGGTGGCGGCGACGCTGGTGGCGTAGACGATTTCGACTTAGCGGCTAACGACCCTACGCTCGGCACTGGTCCCAGCGTCGGCACCCGGAACAGCAAGAACAAGAAGGCCAAAGTCGGCTTACCTTGGGATGTCTCAAGCTTCTACAGCGAGCAGGTTCCGGAACGCGAAGACGAAGAAGACGAAGAAGCAGAGGAGATGAATGCTGCTACCTTGCAACGACTCAAGCAGGCGGACGAAAGAACGAAAGGCATGAACGCCGAAGAGTACTTGCACTTCTCGGAATGCAGACAAGCTTCATTCACCTTCCGTAAAGGTAAACGTTTCCGCGAGTGGGCAGGCTTTGGTGCGGTCACAGACTCAAAGCCCAACGATGACATTGTCGACATTCTCGGCTTTCTCACGTACGAGATTGTCACGCTGTTGACGGAGGAAGCTCTCGAGGTCAAAGCAGCCGAAGACGCTCTGAAGCGTGAAAGTGGCGGAGACGAGGAAAAGCGAGGCCGCAAGCGGAGACGTGAGCCAGGTTTGTTTGATCCACCGGAGGAAGCGAGGACGCCTGTTGGACCAAAGCACATCCAGGAAGCCTATCGCCGTCTTCAGAAGCCAGACCTGAAGAGCCGCTATATGCACCACATCCCGAAAGGAAATTGGCGACGGCCCCTGAAGCTGATATGAACGAGTGTGTCTGTCTATTGTCTGATTTAGCGTCGGAGTTGGAGCGTTCGTTTTGCACAAGAGGCGTTATGTTCCCTCCGTGTGTGACGATCGCAGGAACCGCAAGCTGATGGAGGCCGCCGCGCATCCAGCACCCCGAGTAAGTTGTCGCGGGCTTAGGCTCGTACAGTCCAGATAGCACGCGCATCCAATGTTATTCTTCTGGGACATCTACAAACTATCATCAATCGTCCCAGACAGGCAAGAAGCCTTTATTGAAACTCAGACAGCCATACCATCGTTGAGTGGCCCTGTGAGTGCAGGAATGGTGGCAACGTTGAAATGCAATGGCACTTAGCGTATGAGCTCCGAATTGGGTTGGATTCATGACTTTGCGGGCAACGATCCTCGTGGGACGGAGCGCGAGGCAGCCAAGAGTTGTAACAGCCGCCACGAGGGACTCGCTTCACCAACCAAACCGGAAATCCGTCCCCTCTGCCCTGCCTTCCTCACTACACCGGCAGCTTGAAGCTCCGGCCTTGTAACACCCTGTGAGGTTAGTCAGCATAGGCTCAAGGTCGGGGTTTGATGAAACCGTACTTCGACCAATATATGTAAAAGAAGTCGGAGTATAACACCGTCTGCACGATACCTGCCACAACCGCGATAGGCTCTACGTGCTCGCGGGCAAAGTACCGGTAGATCCAGTTCGGAATGTACAACGCCCTGTAGGCGCCTAACGCAAAAAGATAATGCGTTGTAATCGTCTCCGCCTCGCCTGTCCGTTGCAGCATGAAGAGCTGAGGCAGGATAGCGACGGATTCGAGCCAGATGGAGAAAGCCCAGAGCATTTCAGTGACCTGCCATGCTGGGGGCCATATTATCCCTAGCACCGCCGCCCCTCCCAAAAGAAACTCTACTCTGAAAGTGTCTTGACCGGGATCATGCGTGGGCTTGTAGTCGACGAGCATTAGGTAGATGATGTATGCTTGACCCGAGACGAAAATAATCTTGAAGAAGGTGTTCCACAAGGACTTGGTTGGGTCTAGAATGCGAGAAGTGGAACGGTTAGCCATATTGTAGACAGTATGGAGGCCTTGTGCTCCACAACTACTCACCAGTCCAGAAGAGGTCTAGGTATCTGGATATGTAGACGATCAGGTAGAGGAATTGCGATTTGAAGGAGATGCCGGATGCGCTCTGTCTCGTTTCTTAGCAATTGCCTGAATCGCCTCGTCGTGAACTTTCTTTACCGATGAGCTGCGCATCTTGTGTATCAGTATCAAGACCGACGCCAAATGCGACAAGTCCGCTGCCTTCGATCAGTCGCTGTACACCCTCTCTTTGAGCCATTGAACCCCTCGAACCTAGTATCCGGAAGATATTCATCTTGCTGCTGATTGCGCGGGAGCACCGCCACCACCAAGAATCGACGTGCAAGTAGTACGGGTCTCAAAAATGTAAATCGCCGAGCATGTAGTTGTATGTGAAAAGTCCCGTGGTTGCTAGAGAACCGCAAACACCAGCTTTCAGTTTTGGATGCGAAACTGAACCCCTGCCGGAATAGGCTAGCGGTTGATCCCGCACCATGCATTCTGCCGATCCTCGCGTGTGAAGGGCTGCGGCGTTTCACGCCCATCTCCGCACCCAATTTGCGACCACCACCACACAGCCGTGCTCCATATAAACAGAGCTTCTCACAGTGGAAGGCAGCCTCTGTAGCGGACTGGTGCCGCAGAGTCTAGCAGCTCTGGGATTCACGAGCTCATGTAGCAAAGTCTGGATCGAAGCATGCGACTCTCGCTTCTGGGGCCGAAGGACGTGCTGACTGGCAATGTCGATGGAGCGCATTGAGGCAGCATGACCAGTGATCAGAACAATGCCTCTCCGACACCCGTACCGCGGCCCAGTCGAGGCCGCTTCCTCAACCGTAGGCTTCGCCGTGCATCTTGGATTTCTCCAATAACCGGAGAACGATCCAAACGAGTTTTCACGTTGCGTGAAGCATCACATCGTCTCAGCGACAGCAATGACGTCTCTGAGGCCACGCCGCTCTTGGACGGCTGCGCCGAGGGTACAACTCCTCACAACTCGGCATGGAAGCTGGTTCAGCGAGCTTGCGTCGAGCGAGCTGACACCGCATACACGTTTGCCACTTCGAAGAACGGCATTGGCATCCTGAAGTGTTCCCTGGCTTACCTTGTCGGTTCTTTAGCAACGCTGGTCCCGGCTATTGCAGCTCTGATTGGAAGCCGTCAAGACAGCAAGCACATGGTATGCACCGTGACAGTATGGTTCCATCCCGCGCGCAGCATTGGAAGTATGCATGAAGCCACCATCCTAGCGATCATAGCACTTTGCTATTCCGGTTTCGTATCATTCACATCTATGGCTATATCCATGCTGTTTGGGCGGAATGATCTGCTGGTTGTGGGCCATGTCATTGTGCTCATGGTTTTTGTCGGGGGCGGCCTCGGCTTCATTGCGTGGACGAAGCAGCGCATGGCTCATCCCTTGGTCAACGTCGCTTGCTCTCTAGCCTCGTTGGGCTGTATCACGGTATTGATCAAGGAAGGCGCGGTTCAAGCAGGTGCCTTCTCTCATGAGCGAGTGCTACAGATCCTGCTCATGGTGTTCGCTGGGGTTGTGATCGTTTCTGTTATCAATGTGATATTGCTTCCAACAACTGCTCGCGGCTCCTTGGTCAAGGACATGGGAACGAACACTGACCTCTTGGGTGAGATGCTCATTAGCATTACCAGAGCGTTTCTACAGGGCCGTAAGAGTGACTTGGAAAATGAGCAATACAAGACGTTGGCTCAAGAACACCAGGCGTCTGTGGGTTCAATGGGCAAGAACCTTTGCGAAGCCAAGCGTGAACTCTGGTTTCTTGGTCGCGAGCGACAGTATGATATCGAGGATAAGGTCGTGGACTGTCTCACTGGCCTCGCTCAAGATCTTGGTGGTTTACGAAGCGCTGCCTTTGCGCAGTTTGCATTCCTTGACGAAGCCCTCGCAGAAGCGTCACCAGGCACGGTGACACCTCAACAGAACGGCACGCCGAATGGGCACCCTCAGTACCCAAGCATTTTGGACGTCATTACCGAAGCCCCAGAAGAGTCGCAGAGCGGAAGGCTCGTTGACTCCCCAGCCGGAACCATCACGCCCACCACGCCTGACCGACGACAGAGCCTCGAAAGCAATCCTCCAGCACTTGATAAGCCTGCAGATATGTTCCTTGCATTCATTGCACAGCTGGGCCCACCCACGAAGTCGCTCGTCTACACTCTAAAGCAGATACTGGATGAGCTACCGTTCCGCCCAGCGGAGAAGACTGGCTTCATGAACACATACGCCAACGTGCCGTCGGTCGAAGTGGCGGTGAACGAACGCTTCCACAGTAGTCTGAAGCGGGCCATTGAGCTGTACAGACAGTCCAGAAATGAAGCACTGCAGAAGCTATACGCAAGCCGTGCAATGAACGCCGCCAGCTTAGCGGCTCTCGGGCCGGGTAAGCTGGCACGTGCATTTAGTAGTCAGCGCAATACTACACTGAATACCGCTGGAGCCATCGATAGGCGCCCAGAAGCCATCCTCGCCGACATCGAAGAAGTGTCCGCCTGTTGCGGCCACTTTTCCTTCTCACTGCTAGATTTCGCGGAAGACGTCCTGACGTATCTGGATGTGCTTGAGGAGCTTAAAGTCGAGTTGCAACACCCTCGTCGGTCGTGGCGCTGGCTAGTAGCTTGGTGGCCGTGTAAGACTGAGAAAGGGGATGGAAAGCTTAGTGCGCCCCCCAAGCGCTTTCAAGGTCACAATGAAGATCACGACACGTCGCACGACATACCCACGCACATACAGCGCGCCGATGCCTTCGCAGACCTGGAGAAGTCCAAGCAACAATCCCCTTGGAGGTACCAACTTTATCGCACCCTTGGCGTCTTCCGCCGTGATGATGTCCGCTTCGCGATCAAGGTCGGACTAGGCGCTCTGTTGTACGCTTTACCAGCCTACGTTGCGAGCACTCGACCGTTCTTTGTACATTGGCGTGGTGAGTGGGGCCTGGTCTCATACATGGCGGTGTGCTCAATGACAGTCGGTGCATCGAATACTACCAGCATCAACCGTTTGATCGGTACCTGCATTGGAGCTCTTCTCGCCATACTCGCCTGGCTTATAGCTAGCGACCACGGTGACGCAAATCCCTGGCTTCTTGGTATCTTCGGATGGCTTGTGTCGCTTGGCTGCTTCTACCTGATCATTGCTAAGAACAACGGTCCCATGGGTCGCTTCATACTCCTCACCTACAATCTCGGCGCTCTATACTCGTACAGTTTGTCCATTCAAGACGATGACAATGATGACGATGAAGGCGGCATTGACCCTGCTATATGGGACATCGTAATGCATCGCCTTGTTGCTGTCATCGTCGGCTGCATATGGGCTGTCATTGTCACCCGCTTCATCTGGCCAATCTCCGCGCGTCGCAAGCTCAAGGATGGGCTATGTGTCCTCTGGCTTCGTATGGGTCTCGTGTGGAAGCGGGACCCGTTGGCTATGTTCCTGCTCGGCGAGCCGCGCAGCAGCTATATGGATATCCGTGAAGAGGCTTTGCTGCAAGCGTTCTTGTCAAACCTCGAAGGTCTGCGTAAAGCTGCAGAGTCCGAGTTCGAGCTGCGCGGACCCTTTCCCGATAAAATCATTGGAACTGTGCTGGAGCATACTGGTCGTATGCTGGACTCCTTCCACGCCATGAATGTTGTGATCAGCAAAAACCTGCAGTATACGCCTGGAGAGGCTGCCGTGCTGCGATACACACGTCCGGAACGCTTCGAGCTTTCTGCACGTATCAGTCATTTGTTTTCTGTGCTAGCGAGTAGCATGAAACTCGAGTATCCGCTAAACGACGTCTTACCGTCGATTGAGCACACCAGAGATCGGCTGCTTGCGAAGATCTCAGAGTTCAGGCGGACTGGAGAGGGTAGAGAAGAAGCTACTGAGCAGGACTATGAGTTGCTTTATGCCTTTGGTAAGTCGTCCCTCTCAAGTGCGGAAGTGATTAAATTCTCATCCTACTGCGTCTAGTACTGGTGACTGGCCAGTTATCTCAGGACATTCAAGCTGTGAGCGCCGAACTTGAAACGCTGTACGGAACTTTAAACGAGGACAACTTGAAGCTTCAGTAGCTGCGAAGGGGTGTTATACAATGCTTCCACCCTGCTGCGTGTGGCGACATTGTTCGCCACCGTGCCCTCCCAAATTATCATTATTGTCATAACCCCACCAAGTTATCCATACAGTGTCTCGTGGCGCTTTCAGAGCTGCGTGTACGCCATCAGCCTGCTGGGATCTCCATCTAATTTCTAAGGTTCACCGTTGGTGATATCGTGGGGTCAATCTGGAAAGAACGTGTTGGAACCGTAATCGGGACAGAGCGTGGGCATGGAAGGCTTACAGTAATCCCTCCGACAGAGGCTGTGTTGTTGTTACCGTCATTAGAACCGCTGCCGTTCTGCGAAAGGTCAGTAGCCATTCAACACCGTGTTGATATGCAGTTGATTTACGCCGTCGTTAGAACCATTGCCGTCACCGTTGTTGTTACCATCACCGGAGCCTGAGCCATCCTACTCGATGTGTCAGCATCACATTCTAAATTGCATAAGGTCAATACTTACGCCGTTTCCTGAACCGCTGCCATTACCGCTGCCGTCGGCACTGTTACCGTCACCAGCACTGTCGCAGCTGCCGGCTACGCCTCCAACGACTCCTGCAAGGTTGAAGGTGCAGTCAGTGGAGCTTGCTGTGGCGGCAGACTGGCTCGTGGTAGGTGTCGAGCTCGCCGCGACAGTTGATGAGGCTACATCAGGGACCGGAAGGGCGACTGCGGCAGCGTAGCTGACTGCGGCAATGAGCGAAAGGAGTATGGAATTACGCATTGTCAGTTGCTGGGTCAGATTGATGTGTTTAGATTGGTAGGGGCTTGGTAAAGTGACGATCGTCTTCTGGAGCGAGAGACTGTATGAATTGCGATTGATGGCTTGCTACATCAAGGACGGGGCGATCCATAATTATATCTCATCCGTCGCCTTCTCGGCATCGTCGCCAGTCATTGCCAGAATGCACCATCGCTCGATGATAACATGGCGCTGCCATCCTTCCGCACAAGGTTTATCCTGTGCTCGGAACCTTAGCGACTCTGCGGAGTGACATCCGTTCGGTCAGTCCACACCGGGTGGTTGCAGTCGTACGTAGGCGTGGGACCTAAGGCACGACGTCTGGCAATACGGAACTCGCTCCGAGCAATAGAATTGGGGGCGTAGGCCGAGCTGCGTAGCGCAGATCCCATCTTACGGGTGCTAAGAAAAGCCACTGATGATGATCTTGGTTGAATACACAGAAATGTGGTTAGCCAGGTAATCGGAAGGTTTGATGTTGATCTTGAGTTTCGACACATGAATCGCTTTCTGGTGCCGGCTTGATTTACTCGTCGTTGTACGTCGCTAGTCAGCCCGTAGATGATATGGATTCGAACGAACGAACATCGTCTTTGTGGGAGACTTGCAGCCGAAATTTTAGCAAAGACTAACTGATCAGGAAAGCACAACGCCTGGAAGAACAGAAGGAAGGTTTTGCTTCCATACCGCTCAAGGCCACGACGGCGCGAAGATCGTCATTTGCGGTCGATCGGAACTCGTGTTGATTGACGGATTGTATGGTTTGTGGAGACCGTGCATTGCTGTGACTTACTCCATCCACCTAAGGTCAAATGCTCGTTGACCAGCGCGCATCAGGGTGCAAAAAAGTGGGATAAATTGAGACGGCATTCCGTAGCACAGCGAATGCTGTGAATGGTGCGCCGGGTACCTGGCGAATAAGCTCAACACCACCAAAGCTTGTGGGCAAACATCATTCCAACGCTACGGATCTTTGGAGATCGGCAAGGCTTATGCCGAGAGCATTCTTCCTCTGTGATTGTCAGTACTCTGGTGCGGAGCGCATCTTGCGGCAACGATCTTCGATAATGAATGCCGCGTTTGAATATGCATAGAGCAGCGGGCCTTCGACGTTGCCCTCCTGTCGATACCCTTGCATGCCTGACCATAGTCGCCGATGCACACTCCTTGGACGTCCCACTACCCTCTCGTCAAGCCTATCGAAAGCCGAGACCGTGTTTACGTCTTCGGGGCATTAATGCTTGAGAGAGGCGGTTGAATAGAAGTCATACAATGTCGACGGTGAGTCATGTCAAAATCGCTCATTACCATAATGTCCTGCACTCATGCTAAATTATTTCTCACCGGGAAGCAGGAAACACGACGGTTGCGCCTGAAGATGGCGTACGCTCGTAGCCCTGCCCATTCCACCGTACTTGCGACGGTGACGTTGACCGATCACCTCCAGTTTGTACTATGAGGTAGCTCCTAGCCTCCTCTGGGTAAGCGTTTGGGGTTCGGGCCTCGCCTGTGATATGAGATACTGTCGCTATCCCGGCCGCAGGTGACTCTGATCGAGCGTAATATGACTGTGTAGGCAGCTTAAGCTCCTCCAGGCTCTCGTCAAGTTCATGAAATCCGCTTTGACTTCCCCCTTTTCTGTTCTTGAGCTTCCGCACGCCACGGCGGACTGCTCCGTGCATACCTTCTTCGCGGCTGGCTATGCGCCAGTTCCTCCAATCTCCGTTACGATGCACTTCGAACACCAGCGGAAAGATTCTGTAGATGCCTACAATGAGATCCGTAGGATTGAGGGCATCCAGAACAGCTTTCCGGAGCGGAAGCGGGCGGTCCTGTGGCTTCGCAGACGAGCCATACTCAGTCGAGCTGAATGCGTACCAGAAACCGGTTGCGAAGAGCACCATCTCTGCGCATGTTGCAAGCCCCGGGATACCCCATAGGATGTCATTGTACTTCGAAGATGTTAGCATCATTTCTTCAATGTCCAATGTTGGGTTATACATACAGAGAACGAATCGCCAGTTGTAACGACCTTGTATTGCAGAAGCAAGCTGAATACCCAAGCCTGCGTAAAGCGGATGAAGACGATGACTTTGAAGCAAAGAATCTTCGCAAGCGCCCGACGGCACTTCATGAGCTGCTTCATCCGGTTTCTGAACGCCAGAATGGCAATCACGCACGCGCCGATGCCGACGGACTGTAGGATTTCCACCCATAAGTGGGCGAACTGCGGCTCAAGGCTGTTCGTGCAGTAACCTCCCGTAGCTTCCGTTGAGAGTATGATAGCGAAGCATATTGTCTCGCAAATCGGATATTGAAAGACGAAGATCCAACAGATGCGCGGCCAGTCATACACTGACCGAACCTCTTCCGCTTCCTTGACGGCCACGAAGAGCTCATCGTTGTACGTGCCAAAAGGCGCGGCATACTCAATGAAGAGCAGATACAACGCGCAGAGTCCGAAAGCTTCGTAGAGATCGCCAACTGGGTCGATGTATTCCGCCACACGGTAGTCGTAAACTTCGAAGAACGCAACGACGGCGTAAAGAATCACGCTGAAGGTGATCCTGATGATCTGGCGTTGTTCCTTGGGTGCGCGATACCGCCGAAGATGTAGCGTGATTAAAGAAAGTGTGATGACAGTAGTTGCAATGGTGCAGCCTGCAGCTGCGAAGAGCATGGGCTTCCACGCTGCTCCGCGCTCGGTGTAGTCCAGCGAGCCTGTCGGTATGGGACATGAAGAGTTAAATATGCCCATGATTGAGCCGGAAACGACGGCTATCCTGGATATAGTGAAGCTAGTGGTTATATCCCGTGGTCGATGTAATGCCGTGTGTTAAGTTCGAATCGATGGTTTCTCAGCCTGGCATATGTATTTTGCAAGACGCGACCACGAGCATAGCATCGGACAATTCGATGGAATCCTTCGAAGCTGACTGTGCGCCGCGCTCTATCAACAGTCGCGACCGAACCTCCGGGTGGTGGGCTGAGGTGCGGGTAACGTAAGACGGTGGCTCGTTACAATGCAGCATGATTGTTGCGCGCAGCCTTCCCGGCTGCAGACACGAAAGCGACTCCGACCCCTGGACGCGGTATAGTGTCCGGGAGGCGTTGCAATGTATCGCGACACGCCCTAGTTTTGGTATAGTGTCCCATTTTCAGCCCTGTGACCCGTGCACCTGTCAAATTGCACTCAATGGCTATTGCAACTCCAGATATCCTGTGAATGGTGATAGTCGCTAATGATCGCAACAACGTCACCCTTTTCTGTGTCGTATCATCTAATCGCTCGCTATCGTACCGTACTGCCGCTCGCCGAAGCTTGGGCGCGCAACTATCGGATACCACGCGTCAGAGCCTTGACGCGTCACTAACGGCCGGCGACATTAATTGGAGGCGTCAGCCACACTTAGAAATACGGGATACGTTTAATCCTCTAGTGGAGGCTCATCTTCGAGACTTTAACAAGATTTCCATTTCAGTACTGTTCACTCGCGCTGACACATTGTAGAGACGGCACGGACTTGTCCTCAAGCCCTAATGTACAACCTCACAGCCACCAAGACCTGATCTTCCGCTTTTGTCACGAATGTCCGTTGATAGGAATAGGGCACAAATGTTGCCAGGTAATGATATATCATCTGCTCCCTTGATACCGCGTTTGGTTCGAGTCAATCGCTCTGTGCTTGATACCGGAAGCATGGGACAAGCGTAGAGGAATGCGTCTTCATTTTGGCAACGTCCGATTACGCTCGCATCTCTTGTTCCGCTATCTGCAAACGAACCCCGGTAGCGTCCCCATCCCTCACCCTGTTCTCATGACTGCCTATCACGAACAAGCCAGCATTTTCAGAACTTTGAAGCCCGATGCGGGAGGTTAAGAAAGGCCTAAACCACGGTGCTCGTGGCACCATTGCCATTGCACAAAAGAGCTTTGTGAGGTCATTTCAGGAAGCTCAGGTCGCAGGCAGAGTACCGCTTGCGAAAGAGCACATCTTCGTTGTCGTACGGCCGGATGTCACGCTTGACATTCTGCGCAAAGAGCAAAGCATGGTGCAGCATGAGTGTCTACGCCAGTTCAAGGTGTAGACAACGAACTAGTAGATAGCAATTTAAAGAGATATTTGTGCGAGCTATCCGTCCATGTATCGACAATACACACCCATCCTCGCCTTCCGGAACGCCGTAAGACTTTTGATACAGTATGAGCAACATGATCTCCACAGAAAAAGCCGTCAGAAACCCATCATTCCTGCAAACGCCATGCGCTATGCGTAGCCACAGCTTGCAAGTCGGGTATCACATTAGACAGCATCGTTCGAATCATAGTAAACACAAGCAGCTTAAAATGCAGCCTCCAACAAAGCAAGCTGCATCCGAGACCCGTCCTTCCCTCCAGCGCTTGGACTGGGAGTAGGGTCGCCGCGCTGCAAACAGGAGTCGAGGTGAATGCAATGCGAGCAACGCAAAAGCAGCAATTATAGCAATTCGAAGGGATCGGAAGTGGTGAGTAGCCGTCTATGCCTCGATGCTCGTCATTGGGTACCACGAGCAGACCCCTACTTTCCCTTATTGAGTTCGATGAGCTTAACATCGAACGTCAAGACCGAGTTTGGCGGGATATCCTTGCCAGCACCCTTGGCTCCATAAGCGAGATGAGCCGGGATGGTGACGCGACGCTCGCCACCAACACTCATGCCCTGAATACCGATGTCCCACCCCTTGATGACGTCGCCGGCGCCGAGCTTGAAGCTGAATGGCTTGCCCTTCTTATTGCTGTCGAAGACCTTGCCGTTTGCAAGCTTGCCAATGTAGCGCATACCGACGCGGTCACCGGCCTTGGCTGCTTGACCCTCACCGAGCTTGCGGTCGTCGATTGTTACGCCTTGGACCGTCTTGACGCCAAGGGAGGCTTTTGTCTTCTCCTTCTCGGCGGTCTTGTTGGCAGTGGCAGTTTTCTCCTTGGTTGGCGTCGGGCCTTGCTCGAGCTCTTTGGCAAAGGAGACTTTCTTGTCGGATTTCTGGGATGATGGTACTTCGGCAGGCTTGTCCGCAGACTCAACCTTGGCAGCAGTGCCATCGTTCTTCTTGAGCTTCTTCAACTGCTTCTTGCTTAGCTTTGGCTCCTCGGCCTTGGGCTCGTCAGCTTTGGCAGACTCTTGCTGAATCATCTCATCCAACGTCTGCGGCTCCTCATCGTCCTCAGCGGGGCGCTTCTTGTTGGTCTTCTTGTCTGCCTTGGGCGCGGCTGCCTTAGTCGCCACCTTAACGAGCTCGGGTACGTCGATTTCGTCATCCTCGTCTTCCTCGTCAAGCTCCATGATGCGAGGATCAGCCATATCATCAAGCTCGTCCTCCTCCTCGTCTTCATCGTCCTCAAGCTCATCCTCATCCGGATCCAGGTCGTACTCTTCGTCCTCGTCGTCGTCGGGATCGTACATGCCAGAGTTGTCCTGAGCCGGCTCGACATAGTTTCCAGTAAGGTAGATGGTATGAGTGCCGGAGACCTTGAACCAGACAGGCTCGTTGTCGCCGATGACAATATCGAGCGGTTGCTGATAGTTCTATGAAGTGGTTAGCGGCTGCATAAAGCGTGTCGGAGTGTGCTTGTGGACAAACCTTTTCAGGGTCCAGCGTGCAGAGGACGAACTCCTCAATCTCCCCTTCGAGATCATCGATGTCGATATCGTCATCGTCCTCCTCGTCGTCCTCATCATCTTCCTCAAGGTCACCAGCGGGCATCTTGCCCTTGGCCTTGGCGGACTTTGCAACGCCATTCACACCGTTTAGCTTCACCTCCTGATCGTCGCCATCCACATCCATGCCGTCACCAATGAGCTTCTTGATAGCAGCCTCAGTACGGGCCTTCTTGCCTTTGCTAGGGTCGCTTGGACCGCCATTGAGCTCCTCATCGTCTTCGTCATCCTCATCGTCCTCCTCGTCTTCGTCCTCGTCATCCTCATCGTCGCCGTCTACGAGCTCACCCGCAAGCATCTTCTCCATCATGTCAGCATCAAAGTCCTCCTCATCATCGTCCTCGTCATCCTCGTCTTCATCGTCGTCCCACAGCTCGAGCGGACGACGCAGAATCTTTAGGGTAGCTCGTGGAGCAGCACCCTCAGCGCCGTCCGGCTTCGCACTCGGGTCAATAGCAGCCATGGTGATGCGAAAGGCCGAGGGGATCTCGGTGCCTGCTGAGACGACCATGTCACCCGATGGCACGGCTAAAGCGTAGGTCGCCATTGGCATGAGAGCAGACATCGTGAAAGCTCTGCGATGCTTATGTAGCTCGTCAAGGCTGTACAGTAGTATAGGAGTGTAACAGACGCACAATATGTGCTACGTAGTATGGCAAAAGGAGTGGATGCGACTTGCAAAGCGAGGCGGGAGGTGTTGATCCAAGGTTCAATATCTTGGGCGAAAAAAGTTCTTTGAGCGTTGGAGCTTTGACCACTCCGCGTCAGCCCTCTGCCTTAGGCTGCTGTTTTCACTTCACCTCCACATTCTGTTGAATGTTGCCGCCTTACCCCTACTCCGTGGTTTGCCTCTCAAGTTTCAGCAGATGTTGTTCAGCACATGAGAAGTACGATATTGCAACTACGACGAATTTCGCTCCACGATCGACGTTGTCCAAGATGATCAATCAGCACTGTGAGGGTCTGAGGATTTGCCTCTAGCAGCTGAAACGGGCCAACGTCCATGGACTGCGAAAGCAACGTCATAACAACTGTCCTGAGATGGCTATGTGCGGCAACCTCTCCCGCGGACATGCGACCGCTTACTACGGCGCACACACAAAGTTACCAGACGGCTCAAAGTTGCAGCTCGAGCCCTTGCCACCCACAACATGCACATTCTCGAACGTAAAATCAGAGCAACTCCCTTGTCCGCACAAGATGTAGTAGTTCTTCGCCGTGCTCTGCGCGGTGCCGATAACGTTCGACATCCTTACACCGGTGATGGTCACGCCGTTCGTTGGGATGCCGGTTGGACCGCCGTTGAGGTAGTCTTGCTGGATATCAATGCCGTATGTGGAGATATTGCCCAGCACAATGTTCTCGTAGGTAACGCTATGGCACCGTTAGCTATTCCAAGTCTAACTTAATATCGAAAGGGCGGTGACATACTTGGCAATGTGGCCGGTTGTCCCGGAGTTGCTCTTGATTCTAGCCCCATTCTGACTGTTGAGCACAGTCGAGTCCTTGAAGGTTATGTTTGTTACATTGTTGTTGGACTTGCCGCCTACGCTGCCGATCGACAAGCCATGACTGCCAGTGCAAACCAAGCCGGAGACAGTGATGTTGTTACCAGAGGTGATGGCCACGCCTATATTGCAGTAAGCAAGTTGCTCAGCAGATAATGATGAGAGACTCACAGTCGTCTTGGTTTGACACAACGCTGTTTTGTATGATGGTGTTGTTGCAAGAGCTCAAGTCGAAGCCGTCCGAATTGTGCGCGGCTGGTAACCCGCCGGATCGGTTGTTGGGCGCATTTCCAGCGGAGTTGTCAAGCACGATGTTCTCCAGCACGAGTCCAACACAATTGGAGATGGAGAAGCAGTGGGTCGGGTAATTGCGGATGTGTAGATCTTTGATCACGCTGTTGCCGAGTGCCTTGGAGACAGTGAAGAAGTGGTCCGGCTTCGTCATGCCTCCATTGCTGCCTTGACCGTCCCACCAAGCTTGCCCGTTGCCATCGATGATGGCACCAACTTCGGCTGTGATAGTGATGTTGGTGCCTCCGGCTGTAATCATGTTGTAATTGGCGTCTGCGTATCCAAAGGTCGTCGTGCCGGCAAATGTGACGGTTGTGCCCGTCTTGAGCTTCGAGAGGTTCAACGTCTCATTGCCGGGAACGTGGATGTTCGAGAGGGTGATGGCCGTACATGACGCCGTGGCGGCAGGTATGGCTGTATATTGAGTTACATAACATGGATTGGTCGAAGTAGGAGTTGCGCTGGTCGTGGCTGCTGGCAGCGCCAATGCTGTGCTCGCAGCAAACGTGCCGGCAGCGAGAGCAGCCTTGACATTGAACATCGTTGCGGAAGACTAGATGAGAAAGGTACGATGCTGAAAGTGTTACGAGAGCAGGATAGACCTGCTCCCCAAGCCATGCCTTTGGCTCAGCTATATAAGTTCTTCCTCAAGCCGGGTCCGAGGTCTCGTCGTCTGGGTGGAGCGGGGGACCCCATAGCGGAAGTCGTAGTCGCTGCACGGAGACAACATAGGACAGCAGAAGCAATGTGTACAAAGTAAGGACCGCCGTCCAGAAGGTTGTAGTATGCGTAGTGGCTCCGTGTGCGGCTGAAGAAATCCCACCAATGAATCGTAATTCCGCTTACGGTAGGGCTGGAGAAGTCAATACTGCAACAACAACAGCAAAGCATCGGTCTAGTACCTCAACCGTGATGCCGTAGTTCCGTCGCTTCGAAACGGACCTTGAGGCCGATAATTGCGTGTTTATGGTGCGGTAGTAACGATCCGCCCGAAGGGAAAGAGTCCATTACAATTGATTACAATTGAAGTGCGTCCTTGTTCCGATACTTCATGCAGTCATTCATCCATCGCAACTCCGATGCCACCCACAGACGATCTGCGCGCCAGACTAGGTCGCCACGTGTCCTCATTTAGTTACTTGTCCGGCCCTGCGTTTGTCCCTGGGTATTAAGCCGCATGTCTAAACGCCTGCCCGCACTACAGAGACAGCTTCCACAACAGGAGCCGCATAATCCAGTTCTCACGTCCAGTCTGTTGTTCGATCTTGCTAAGCTGTCCCTCAGCCTCAGCATACAAGGACTCCAGCTTAGCCTTCGTCGCCTCCAGGCTCGACGTCTTCCCGAGCTGCTCCAGCGCCAGAAGCTTCATTTCCTTCGACAGCGAGCGCCGCGCTTTCCCAGAGGTGAGGATCTGGCGCAGGATGGCACGGGCGGACTGATGGTCATCTGAATGCTGCAACGCAAGGACGATGGGATACGAGAATTTGCCCTCATCGAGATCTTCGCAGAACCCTTTCTGCTCTTCTAGCTCGGAGGTGGTCAAGTTGCGCTGATCGTCTCGGATTTGGAAGTACTGTCCCAGGCTGGTTAGTAGCTTCTGCAATGGTACAGTTTGCGCTTCTTCGCTGCTGCTGTGCACCTGCATCAAACGCGCGAGCATCACGAATAGACCGCCGGTTTTCTGCTCGACCATATGCAGGTACTCCTTCTCGGTCGGACATTGATTGTTGTATGACCAGTGGAGATCGTAGCTCTGGCCGACATACAGTTCTCTCATCTGCTGCGTGAAGACCTCCAGGGACGCAAGCTTCTCCGGCAACTTGCAGACTTCCTCCATAGCCTCCAAAATCGCGAAGTTCGCGGCGTTGAGCGTTGCCGGAACACCAAAGACAGTATGCGCGGCCGGCTTGCCTCTACGGAGCGGTGAGCAGTCTTCAATATCGTCTAGCATCAGCGAGGCGTTATGGAGTATTCGTATGACACGTTTGATCCGCTCAAGAACAATGGGTGAGATGCCGAGCCACACGTTGAGCGCATCTGCCAGTGCGTCTCGCACGCCCTTCGATGGATGACTGAGCGTATATTCGATTGGACCGCTCACGTGTTCGCTGCTCGGTGTGTTCTTGTGCGAAGAGTTTCTGACGCAGCTATCGTTAACAGGTGAGTCGACTCGTGCTTCGCATACTTCCGAAGATTCTGGCATTGCATCGGGGGAGTGGCCATCCGCTGGCATTGGGGCACTGCTCTTGTTCTCGTTCGCTCTGACTTTGCAAGCGTTTCGCAAATCTTCGACTGTGGGTCGTGATGTTTGTAGGTCGAAATCGAGCTCAGCACCAGCATTTGGATCGTACCGTCGCTCCGCATGATACCTCGGGCAGCTCAGACTCCAGACAAGGTTGCCGGGTATCTGTTGGGTCATGGCCTGCAGGTATCTCTGCAGCTTACGACTCTGCCCAGCATCGGTGCTGAGAAACGCGTCCCGTTCGCGGACAAAGTCTGCCTCGTACTGCAGCGTGAGACTCTTCACCCTCTCCTTCGCGGTGGCTGCGTCGACGTTGTCCCATTTCATACACAACCACACTGCATTGATAGGCTCGTCGCTGCTGTGGTTCTGATAAGCATCTAGCTCCCGCTCGAACGACACGTAGTCGTTGGCAAGACACAGCGCTCGGGCATTTGTGCGCGTAAGAGGCTTGAGCAGGGCTTCTTCATCGTCGGTGAATGTCAGACCCATGCCAAAGCGAATGAGTGCTCGAACAAAGCTAGCATCATGTCAGCCAAGGCATGCATGAGATCTGAGTGCTGCAAGCCACTAACGCTGCGCCAGAGTCCAAGTGACGGAAGTCGAGATACTGATCCATTGTGGTGAACGGCTTCGCTTGCTTCTGGCCATCCGTTGTGAGCACAGCTTCCTTCCACTTTTGCATGACTTGTTGGCCGCATAGCTTGTCCTTTTTCATCAAGGAGAGGATGATCTTTGACTCAAGCTGTTTTGCGCCCGTAATTGACAGGTTGCTGCAGTCAATCTCATATGCGTCAGATTTGCTAAGATTCGGGTCGTCCAGCTAAAGGGTTGATTAGCCAATGTTGGAGCACGTTAACTGCGCCGCCCTACCAGATTCTCTTTAGCTGACTCCAGGACGTTGTCGTAGATGAATGCGTCTGTATGAATATTAGAACTTCAAGCTTCGTTAGATGGGCTGAGTAGGTACACACATTCCATTGCGTACGCGCAGAGTCGTACTCGGTCCGGGATAGTGAAGGGTAATACTACAGAGGTGAAGTCACCATGGTAGGGATTGGCGTTGCCGAACTCATCTATGGGTCCTATGGACCGAAGCCAGTCTCTCCGCGCCTCATAGGCACCGAGATTTGCTTCGGACTCGCATCTGTGCCGTCGAAGTTCGTAGCCATCACAAAATCCCTGGCTGTCAAACTGGCTGCTATCAACAACGTAGGAGGTTTCATTGTACTCGTCGAGAAGCGACTGCGATTGATCCATGGCATGCAAGCGGCGCCGAGAGCAGTTTACTGTTGTCCATTCGCCATGAAAAAGGAGGTGGGCTGCCTAAATAACAATAGTGGGAGTAGAATGCATCCTCGGTCTGTCATACTATCCAGTCTCTGCGACGCGTGCTGTGTATGATGTCGCTTGATGCAGCTTAGCACTTGCCAGAGACGGCAAATACAGAGGAATGTCCTCTAGCGGCATCTTCACATGCGCGGTCTTGTACTCAAGCCGTGCTATCTTGTCTATTTTGCTCGACGCGGTGATGCGCGATACATCACACCGCAATATTGGACCTATGCGGTACAAGCAGTGCACAGTAACTGTCGATCCACACTCTGCGTTGGCCAGCGATGAACGAAGGCTGCATATCTGTGGATCATCATGAACATTGTTACGGAGCTAGCACGCACCATCGATGGGTCCATGTGATGCGCATCATCGGCCTTGGTTGAGACACTTACCAATGGCCGGGTCGTGACGCCTCCGCTCCCGACAGCAAGGCTTGAGCAATGAGCGACATCACAGCTTCGGTTGTGCTTACATGAGGGAGTTCAACGCTTCTGTCTGACGTGAACACCGTTAGCAGAGCTATGTAGAGTTTGCTCACTGGAATTGAGGTGAACATGATGCGACGGGACCGCTAGACGATACGTCAACGGCCGTCATACGATGCGGATAAGCCTAATGGCCTATGCAAGGCATAACCGCAGTAGGTTCTTGGTTATCGGTTTTTGGAAAAGTATAAACTGCGGCAGAGGCACACAGCCGGCCGGGTGGCCCGAGCCGCTTGCAGCTTCCTGGGTTGCACGTGAAGACGGCAAGCTGGTGGAGCTCGCTGATACTCACATTACCAAACAATACCCCGTCGACATGGCTGATGACGAAGTGGCCACAAGGGCGCCAGAAAGCGACGTACGGGAGGTGGAGATGGAGGCAGAAGGTCAGAGTGGCATTTCAGGCGACAGCAAGCCAGACCAAGGCGCTGCAAGCATGGGCGTAAGCTTGCCAAAAGGCGCAGCCGTTGGTTTTCACAGACTAAACATGGTATAGGAGCATTGCACGACGGACAGACCAACTCGTACGCCTGATCACATGCCAACTGAAAGCGGCGCAGGCTGACGAGGCTTGCAGCGGCCGGCCAAACACCTTCAGGCGTACGTACACAACCGAATCGTGAGAATAAGCATGTCCACACCAGCTGAACAACAGTCCAGGAAATCACGAAATTCCACGACGTAGACACCTACATCACCAAACCCGCCGACTACCCACACTCACCCGCCAGGCTCCTCCTACTCCTCACAGGCGGCACCGGCGTCCATAGCACTAACAACCAACTCCAAGCGGACAAATATGCTTCCGAAGGCTATGTCGTTGTCATGCCAGATCAGTTCGGCGGAGACGCCGCGCCCACCACCACCACTTCTGTAGCCGCGGACGAGAACCCAAGCCTAATTGAGCAGGTAAAGTTGGGTATGGCCACCGTAGCCAAGTCCTTCACAATCGATATGTGGCTTGCGCGACACACGCCGGAGAAAGTGCTACCTATATTAATGAAAGTGCTTGATGCGGTTAAGGAGGAGTTTGCGGACGCTGTGGCCAACGGCGACGGGATCTATGCAGTCGGCTACTGTTTCGGAGCCAAGTACGTCCTTCTCCTCGGCGCCGAGTTGCATCGGGATGTTGCTGCGGGCCAGCGAGCGCCGGAAGCTGAGGCGGAGGAGGGAATGGTGAAGCAGGGCCCAAGGATCAAGTGTGGTGCGATCGCGCATGGGACGTTGATCGGCAAAGAGGATTTGGAAGGTGTGAGTGTGCCAATGTGTGTGGTGGCTGTAAAGGATGATCCATTGTTCCTAGATCACGTGAGGGATGAGGGTAAGAAGGCGATGGAGAGCAAAGGGCTAAAGCATGAGGTGAGGGTGTACGAGGGTGTGCCGCATGGGTTTGCGGTGCTGGGCGATTATGCAGATGCGAAGATTGTGGAGGCGCAGAAGGAAGCGTTTGGGCAGATGCTGGCGTGGTTGAAGGGGCACTAAGCTTGTGCTGCTCAACCTCGAATGATCTGCGAACAACCACTAGACGGTGTGACATGTGACGAAAGACTTGGAAACAGCGATGAACACACAAGCGAGGTCTGCTTGCACGAATCATGAATAGAACGGGTATCATATCAACTCCACATCCCCCCTTCTCACCCCATCTCTCACATCCTTCCACCTCAACACCCACACATCACCCCTCTTCAACTCCACCACACCCGCCCCTTGCTCGCCCTGTACCACAACCTCGCCTGCGTTTCTCAGCACCCGGCAGAACACAGCCGTATCCTCGTCCGGTTGATCGACCATGCTGACTCCGCCCGCTGTGTCGTCGAGCTTCTGCAGGTTGGTGGGGAAGGTGGAGAGGAAAGAAGCGTGGTAGTGGTAAGACAGAAGAGCTTGGTGGGATTGTAGGTACTGCTGTTCCAGGTGCGAGAGGATGGTGGGCTGGTTATTACGGTAGTGGTGGGGGTATTTGTCGATCTTAGAGAAACTGTGAGCAAGCACAGACGTGAGATGGTGCAGGGAGGGAGGTTCTACCTTCGCTATTCGTGCTCGCAGGAAGGAGCGCACCAGGAACTTGAAGCGCTCTAGTTCTGTCTGCAGGATAATGAGAGTGAAGTTGGCTTTAGGGTCCATTGTGCCGGTCATCTCTTCGATCGCTTCAATCTACCCCTGATGCGGTCAGCATACAGAGTCCAACGTCTTCTAACCAACATGACCTACTTGTCTTTTCACTCGATCCGTCACTCGATCCACAAGGGCAGTCGGGTATGGCAGCAGCTCTGGCGCCGCTCGTTCGTTGACCCATGCTCGCGTGAGTGCTTGCAAGTCAAGGGTACGAGGATCGATCGATGGTGCAGAGACAGAATTGAGGATGTCTTGGATGTCGTCGTCCATGATATCTTGTCGCTAACACCGATATTGTCATCGATGCATCCGATGCTAGAAGGTTTGGATAGAGGGGCGTTCGACGCGACGCGCCACTACAAGCGCTTCCGAAAGAACCCCCATTAAGACGCCGTCACACGACCATGCCTCCGCTTCTTCGGTTGCTGACTACCCACATGGTTCCAGGCCATTGCGAAACATAACCTACCACCGTGTCCACACGATCATGATATTACGATAGGACAAAGATGGAGTTCCCAGCCCCTTCCAAAGACAACGACTACCTCGGCTTCTGCCCATCAGCCATAAAGCTCCAGCATGGCGACCGCAGAGGCGCGCTCAAGAAGCGCACCGAATATCACGACTCATTCTCCACTTCCGGCGTGAGCACTTACATCTGCTCCACCAAAGGCTGCCTATTTCAAGGCCACGTTTCTGTCGACTTTGTCTGGAAGGTCGTCATGAAGGACGAGCAGCTGGGCTTGCAGTGCCGCTGGTCTTTCCTGGCGAAAAGTCACGTCATGCAAGCCTCGGTCTCGGGCAAGCAGTACCACTACCAATGTCCTATCTGCATTTACTCGCAAGGCCATGCTGAGGGAATGGTGTGGAACGGGACCAACCTATTCCTCGATCACGTTTCGACGCATCGAGGGAAGGCCATCCCATCTGAGGTTCTGCACAAGCTCAATGTAATCAACGAGTACGTGGCGGAAGAGAAAGAGAACTTCGATCTCAATCTCTTTCCGCCTGGCTTTGACAGCAATGCGAGCGGACATACGAGCAGCAACAGCAGTCTCTCCCTTTCCCGCGCCCCGACGCACAGCAGTACGCATAGCAGTTCGCATCACCATCATCATCGCGTTTGGAGCCGGAAGGAGAGCACCATCGATCTCCCACACACTAACCCGAGGCGAGATACCGTTACCACGTTGCGAGACCGCGCGGACTCTGCCGTCGCCCGCCCTGGTGCGGAGAGGACAGAAAGTGAGAGTTCTGGTAGGTTCCGACTCTACTCATTGTGCTTGCTAGGTGGTATGCTAATCACTGAGCAGAGCCGTGGAGTACCGGACTGAGCACCTTTCACGCGGAGAAGGATACCGATTATCTGACAGAGGAGTTCTGATTTCCTTGAATCTGCAGCACGCTGAAGGAAGCAACTATGTGCGGGCAAGCATATGACGCTGTAGCTCCACTCTCACTGTAGGGAAGAGCCTTGCTTCTCCTTCGACTACGCTGGGAGTGCTCCGTATGCGGGACTGATTGCGAATTCGATGAGCACAGGTCCAACGACTTGGCGAGCCATCTCCACTGTGTTAAACAAGTCTGCTGGAGTGTCTGCACGGAAGGTCTGCATACCGTAGCCCTCGGCAATCATTGTATTGCTGATGGCAGGTATATCGAGGCCCGCTGTACAGAAATCAGCACAACACTCTTGTCGGGAGGGGAAGGATGTGGTACTTACGACAGCCGGGTGTCTCCTCTTGGACAGCGAACTCTTTCAAGATGGCGTACTCGCCATTCCGAGGAACGAGGATGATCACGTTCGCTCTATGCTGCACGGCCGTCCAGAAGCTCTGGATCGAGTATTGCAGACTTCCATCTCCGACAACAGCGAAGGTTGTCCTGTTCGTTTGCGCCAGAGCGAAGCCGATGGACGCGGGAAGAGCCCAGCCAAGTCCGCCACTAGCGTACGAAAAGTAGGTAAATTGCTCGACAATCGGCCAGGCGGTCAGCAGGTCTGCTACGTTTGAGGGAGACTCCTGGAAGAGAATATCCGACGCTTTACGTCCCATTGCGATTGCTTTGAAGGCCTCGGCAGAGCTCATCAGAGAGCTATTGCTCGACGCCGAAGGCTGGGAAAACAGACCCGCTGACGAAGTTGATGCCGCTGCCTGCGATGTCGTTGGCATCTGGCTGGCTGCTGCAATCGGCCTCGTATTATTGCGGATCAACGGAACGACAGACTGCAAGAACAGCTTTGCATCGGTCAGGATACTGTCACCCACCCGCGCTGCGGCAGCATCATGTGGGCTGTTGGTGGTCTGCAGGAGCTTCGTACGGTTCGCAAGAACAGGGCCAGGAGCCCACGGATAGTACCTGAAAACCTCCGTACCCACCGCAAGCACGAGATCATAGCTTGCAAGTTGTTCGGCGATCGGACCTTGACCAAGAGCCAGGGAGCCTCTGTACAGCGGGTGGTCGAACGGAAACGATGCGCGTGATGCGAGCGGAGCCCAATACACGGGTGCCTGTAGCAGCTCGGCAAGCGCAACGCCCTCGCTCCAGGCAAGACTTATGTCGACCTCCTCGCCGTATACTAGAGCGATCTTACCAGCTTTCGAGATGCGACCGGCAAAGTCAGCGACTCGTGCCGGGTCCGGTGCAACCACCGTACTGAACCTCCGTGTGTCGTACTCCTCATCAACCTGCGCACTCCAGAAATCCAACGGTACGACAAGATACACCGGCCCAGCAGGCGGTTGACTAGCTGTTGCAATCGCTCTGATAATCGCTTCGGGCACCTGACCAGGCGAAGTAACCTCGTACGCCCACTTGACCCACAGCATCGGCAGGAGCGTCGGATCACGGTTGGTCAGATACGGATCACCAATCACCATTTCGGCTGCCTGCTGGCCGGCAATGATGACGAGTGGAGACTTGTTAGTAAAGGCGGTCATGATGTTGCCCATGCCGTTACCGGTGCCCGCGGCCGTGTGCAGGACTACGAGGGTTGGGTTCATGGTTGCTTGGCTGAAGCCGTCGGCCATGCCGACTACGGAGGCTTCTTGGACGCCTAGGATGTAGTTGAAATCGGGTGGGAAGTTCTTGAGGAAGGGCTGCTCTTTGCGTAGCAACAACTTGGGTCAGCAAGGCATGTCTTCTGCTAGTGTATTTCGCGTGGTAGACTCACCGGTGCTACCAGGATTGCCGAAGATGGTTGTCATGTTGTTTGCTCGGAGCACGTTGTAAGCGGCGGCCCATACTGTCGTGTTGACCATGATGACGGCTACAGACTGACCACACCCGGTTGTCAGACTGTGTTATCAATGAGGCGCTCTTCACGAGTGTGGGATGACTGGGATCAAAAGGCTTGAACGAGGGCAATCGGACGGGAGCATGAACGCCTTTGCACGAGTACCAGGTATTGAGGGCAACGGCATGATACAATGGCGCCTGACAAAGCTTGTGACTAAAGACCTTGCGCGCAGAATAGGACCCCATCCTCCTCTGGTCGTGAAGGATCAATGGTTGGAAGTCTAAAGGTGGTGAAATGGAAATTCCCATAGTCGCAAAGGCTGCCAGATGCGGCAAATGCATGCATCATGAGATAGCCTCTGTGAGCCGTACTCCAGTACCATGACTGTGTTCCCAGGCGCCTTCGACATGATCAACAGTTGCGTTACAAGGCGCAAGTCAGCATCCTTCTCTAGCTTGCGACCCGCTGTCGATGTGATCGACACAGCTTCCCGGCCACTCGTTCAGCGTCAGCACCACAGACGGCGCACAGCCGCTTGCGATGAAAGCCATCCATGGACTGGTAGTCACAAGCCCACCAATCGTCCGCCAAGCTCGTTTCTTCCATTCAAACCTTCTCCATTTTCACCACCCCCGGCCCGACAACTCCATAACCTCATGCTTCGCCAAGCCCACAGCCAACATCTGCCCTGACTGCCATTGCAACACAACCCGCCTCAGCCACCGCCTCTCCCTCTCCGTCAGCGCTTTGAGCCACTGCACGACGATGGATAGCTTGGTCTCCTCCTTCTCGAACGAGTAACAAACATCTCTCGCCGATAGCGCCCAGATAAAGGCATTCACGTTGTAGAAGATGGGTAGGGCTTCCTCACGAGTTTGCCGGCAGGCGAGAGTGATGGGGGGTTGTGCGACGATTGCGCGCCGAAGGCGGACAGGGGTGTTGGCGTCTGTCCCTACAAGGACTGTTGTAAGATCGCTGTTTGTTTTGCCGTTGTGATTCACTACGACGGGTGCCCAAATCATGTTGCGGAGTTCTCGGCTTAGCAAGCGGCTGAAAGGCTGGTCCGTAGCAGGCTGGTCCGTATGATATATTATAATTGGCGGAGAGGTGCGGGCTGCGTCCATGGGTGACGCCAGGTTGCTGGAGGTCGCTTCCATTGCGGGGCTGATGGTGATGATGTTGTTTCATATTAGTGTCGACATACTGTGTCAATGCCTGATCGAGTACGCAACTGGATAATAAGTGTCCAAGCAGTCGAGCCGCCATCACTGCCCTCCAGTCAAGCAGGTTATGCACCATGCCACGCTTCAGTGCGGCGGTTATACTATCCTCCAGTCACCGCGAAAATCGGCTACTCACCACACAACACCGGGCGCATCCTCGGCTAGGACCGTACAGCCATTGACCGACTCAAAAGGCCTTATTGATCCCCTCCCACCCCGGGTTCTCCAGTTTGGATCTAACCAACACACCCGGCCAACTGGCAGGCGGAGCCTTCACTATCTGCTCCTCCCCCGGCCTCCGCAAAGCCTGTTCCACAACAGCCACGCTCAAGATCATCTCGATCTCGCCCCGCTCGAGCGCCGCCTCATGCTCCTCCACCTCCCCTGCCTCCGTCAGCGCCAGCGCACTGCCCTTCTTGAAATCCATCAACACCCCCAACCTCACCAACCGCGCGAGCGGTGAAATTCGCTCCGCGATTCCGGCGGAGGTGTGGCAGGCGATTGCTACCCAGACATCGTGGATTTGCTCGTCGGTGATCGCATCGTCGTCGTCGGAGTCGTGGGAGTGAGAGTGAGAGTGAGACTGCAGGTACTCCACCGCCGCATCTGCGCCCTCGACCTCAAATCGTTGGGCGCCGTCATGTGGCTCTGCCGTCCCCATGTCGTGGTAGAGACAAGCTACGAAGAGGAGAGGGGGCGAGATGGGAGTAAGTTCGCGGATCGCAAGGTTTCTAGCGAAGAGGTACACTCGGAGGCTATGGTTTAAGATGACTGGATGAAGATGGGAGGATGTGTAGACGTAGGCTCCACGGGAGAGAGGGTCTGGTGGCACGCAGTCCGGGTAGGTTCCTTCGGGTTCTCCAGGTGCTGAGGGACCCGTTGCGCCAGTGCGGCCGGTATGTGGTGCCAAGGTAGCCCGGAGGTTACACATGATGCTGCCAGAGAGCCGGTGCCGTATCGAGGTCTGCAGCAGGTTGTGGTGCTGCGGAGCGTGAGCGGCCCTCGACGGTATATGTAGCTGCTCCTCGCAAGCTTTTGAAAGCGGAGTATACAGCTCTCGGACAAGAAAGCGTAGGGCGCCCGATGCTCGATCCTACGCCCTCGTGCTGAGGTGTACTCGTAGGCGCTCAGGTCTCGTCCATAGCATCCGCGACCTGCTGCACCGAAGCCTCCATACCGACGGAGTTCTTCGGCGGCGGCACCTGCTCGGGTTCAACCATCTCCACATCCGACTCCTTAGCTCTTCTTGAGGGAGAAGCAGTCCGGCTTCCGGCCCGCATCGCATCTTCAACGTCCAAGAATTTGTTCGTCGGCGCTTTCGAAGCATCAGCGTGGGTCTCGTCTTCTTGCTCCTGCATCGGCGTCTCCCCGCCCTCCGCATGCATCATCGGCGTGCGTCCACCCGCAGGCGTCGGCGTGCCCAACCTACTGCTCTCGCCCCTCGTCGCATCGTCCCCATCCCCATCTTCCATACTCTCATCCACATCCCCATCCGCATGTTCCTGTTCGGGTTCATCCTTGACCCCTTTGATCACCCTCACCAACGCCTCCCCCTCGCCCACCACCCTCTCAAACCCCTCCCTCCTCCCCGCCCACGTGACCTCCACCTCCGAACTCTCAACCCTCAACTCCTCAATCTCCTTCTCCAACCCCTCAATCTCCGCCGCACACTCCTCGCGACTCTTGAGCTTCTTGTCATCCAAGATCTTCGCCGCAAGCTCATCATAGCCCTTCCTCCGCTCCAGAACTTTCTGCGCTTCCTCTAGTTGCGCGCGAAGCTCGACAGTGTTCTCGCGGACCGCCTGGGCAGTGTCGAGAATCTTGGCTTTTTCAGCGGCGTAACGTTCGCGCTCGCGTTGGTTGGACGATTGCAGGAGTTGGATGCGGAGGATGCTGCTTTCGAGCGCGGCAAAGTCGAGGAGAATCTCTTCGCGGAAGGCTTGGAGGCGGAAGGGTTCTGACGCAGGATCGACCTCGGATTGTTCATCTCCCTCGTTTAGTGGTGAGGAGGGGAGGTGAATGGGGAGTTTGCGGAGGAGGGAGTCTTTGCCGAGTAAGGACTTGGTCACGCGTTGGAAGGGCCGTTCTTCGACCGCGAGGAGGCGGGTGGCGTGGAGGGCGTCTATAATCATTAGTGAGGAATTTCTAATGCTGCGTGATGGACATGGTATGCTCACCTTCCTGTGACTGCTCGGGGAGGAAGCCATAGTTATGCATCGCTTGAGCAGCCATCGTTCTGCGCTCTGATATATGGCGGTGTTGATGGATTTACCACACATACGCACTTAATCCTTTACAGGAAGTCATTGATTTGATGTCGGCGTCCTTGGAACTTTGATTTGGCGGATTCACAAGCACTGAGCAACGTTCGCTAGCGTATATTGATGAGCAACCAATCAAAGTGTCTCTCCGCCGCAGCTAGCTGGGTGACGCTGCAGCTTGACGCCTGCAGCACGCGAACACACAAGCCCGAGTGAAGACAGCTTATACATCTCATCACTCACCCTCCGGCAGCGGCAGTAACGACGTACAGCCTGACTAACCGACGACATCTTCTACTCCTCCCGCTGCGTGAGTAACAGTCACGATGAACGCCTTGGTCTCGCGGTACAGCCAACCCGCATACCAACACGAAGGCCACTCAGACAACGACACCCAGAAACAACTCGCCCTCGATGTCGCCCCCTCCCTCTCCCTCAACTTCGCCCTCCCTCCTATCGCAAGCACGGCTTCCTGGCTACGCGCCATGACCGACGACCACGCCAACCCGAACGTCCCTATTAAGCTCGCCCACGGTACCACCACCCTCGCCTTCCGCTTCAAAGGCGGCATCATTGTTGCCACCGACTCGCGAGCGACAGCCGGGAACTGGATTGCGAGTCAGACGGTGAAGAAGGTGATAGAGATCAATAGTTGTTTGTTGGGGACTATGGCTGGTGGTGCTGCTGTAAGACTCACACCCTTCCAAACAAGACTTGCCTGCCATACATACTGATCCTATGGGTGTGTTATAGGACTGCCAATACTGGCTAGCCTACCTAGGCATGCAATGCCGCCTGCACGAACTCCGCCACAAACGCCGCATCTCCGTCGCCGCCGCCTCCAAAATCCTCGCCAACCTCGTCTACTCCTACAAAGGCATGGGTCTGTCCATGGGCACCATGTGCGCCGGCGTCACACCCATGGAAGGTCCCGCGCTCTACTACGTCGACAATGACGGAACTCGATTAGCCGGGAATCTGTTCTGTGTGGGTTCCGGTCAGACTTTCGCGTATGGAGTGCTGGACGCGGAGTACAAGTATGATATGGAAGAGGATGAGGCGTTGGAGTTGGGACGGAGGAGTATTCTTGCTGCGACGCATCGGGATGCTTACTCGGGTGGTTTCGTGAATCTGTATCATATCAAGGAGGAGGGGTGGGTGAGGCATGGGTTTAATGATACGAATCCGCTGTAAGTCTTGCGGCACGACTGTGTCTGTTCAGGGGAAGATGCTTACTGACTGACTTTTGCCTAGGTTCTGGAAGTACAAGCTGGAGAAGGGCGAGTTCAGTAATGTCACTTCGCAGCTGGTGTAACAACGATGATCGTGGAGAACGAAGGCGAACTTCGTTTGTAGTATATGCATCAAGCGACGGAGCAAGAGCGGATCAGTATGGGAGGCGTTCGTTCGTCCGCCTCGTAGCTACTGCAGCTACACACTGTAGTTTAGTGGTTCGGATGTGAATTATTAGCTTCTTGCCCAATCGTCTTAATGAGGCCCATGATCTAGACCAGCTGCGATGGACTGCCTCGAGAGAAGAATCGTTATACAGATTGCGGTAAGCGCAGCCTCGCCTCTGAAGGGGCGGTCATGTCGATCCCAACTCATTCAGCTCGCGCAAATGGAGCAGAGATTCACTTCAACCGCGCAAACGCCCCGCCAACGCCACGCTACAATAACACAACCCCCTTAGCACCACAAGCCCATCACTCACACCTCCCATCCCTCCACCCCGTCCGCCACCGCTCCTCCCACCGGTTACAATCAAACGACTCCTTCCCCAACTTAACGTTAACCGCATTATGCGCCTCACACATCCACCTCCCGAACTCATCCCGATTGCTAACCCTCGGCTCATTCCCCTGCGTCATCCACGTCCGGAAGTCGTCCGCGCAGACCCAGCAGGGATACATTCTGCTGAAGAGGGTGAGGAATTGCTTCGTTTCTGTTTGCTGGTTTGCAGTGGGTCGCTCGGGGTAGGTGGCTGCCATCGAGTGGAGGAGGGTCCAGGATGAGCGGCCTAGTTGTTCGACGTCTGGTGGGCAGTCTTGGGGAGGTTGGAGGGCTGTTACGGATTGGGCGGGTGGTTGTGGGGTTGCGATCGTGGTGGGCTTGCTGGTGGGCGGCTGCTGCTGCTGCTTGGTCATGGCGGCCCAGGATGCGAAGGAGGTGCAGGAGCGGCATCTACATCTCTTTAGCACATCTCCATGACCTAGTATATCCGCGGATCGACGTACGGCTTCCCGTCAGGTCCAAGTACCACGCCCTTCGGCAACTGTTTAGGTCTCGAATCATCGTCCTGCTGCGTCTGTTGCTGTCCCTCCGCCTTCATTATCTGTTCGGGCGTCGCTTCCAGCGGCTGCGCCGGCAAACCTGTTCTACTTTCTACCGTACAAAAGAAATGCTGGAGGATAGGAAAGTCGAACTCCGTCAGTGGCATTGTTCGCCATCGTCTGACAAATGCAGACCCACCCAAGTCACGAAACGGGTGATCAGTGCGTTCGCTGCCGCTTGAAGTGAACGAAGTGAAAGGTGGCGGCGGATGTTGCCGAGGTGCTGTCTGTCTTGACAATCTTGATATTAGCTTGCTCGACGTAGCTCAACAGACTAGACCGTCAACAATGACCGAAGCGCAATGGACAATGTCACAGCGAGCTTGGAACAGCTGAGCACCAACCAGATCCCGGTGTACTTGCTCAAAACCAAATCATCACCATCCGACAGTTACGAAGAACACTTCGAGCAACTCAACAATGGCCGGTACAGACCCCTGTTTATGCCGGTTCTCGAGCACATGTTCCGAGACGATGCACTGCGAACTCTCCGACGCTCGGCGGAGCGATATGCTTTTGCCGGCGGCAGTGCAGCCGACGAAGCGAAACTACGGAAAGCGACAAACAACCCAGCCAAGAAGTATGGCGGAATAATATTTACCTCGCAACGAGCGGTTGATGCTTTCGGATCTGTAACTGCTCGTCTTGACCCGTCGAAGCTCGGAGCGCTTTTCGACAAGCAGATGCCGCTGTATGTTGTTGGTCCTGCAACGGCACGAGGCGTGACGTCTATGGGGCTGCCTTGTCCGGTGCTCGGTGAGGAGACCGGCAATGGCGAGGCGTTGGCGGATTTCATTCTGCAGCATCGGAAGACCCTATCTCAGGACGTCACGCACCTCAACGGCAAGCCCCTACCACTACTCTTTTTAGTTGGCGAACAACGACGGGACATCATTCCGCGAACGCTGCAATCCGAGCGCTTGTCTGAGGCGGAACGGACGCCTGTGTTAGAACTCGTAGTGTACGAAACTGGCGAGATGGCCACCTTTGAGGAAGACTTTACGCGATTACTTCGATCTGCGAAGAAGGCGCATGTGAAGGAGCAATGGGTGGTTGTCTTTTCACCGCAGGGGTGTGAGGCTATGCTTATGGCTCTTGGCTGGCTGGATGAGAAGTCGGGCAAGTACAGCGAGGCCAGACGAGAAGCACTTGCAGGACCGATGACGACTCGGATCGCTACAATCGGACCTACGACGAGAGACTATCTGATACAGGAGTTTGGGTTTGCGCCCGATGTCTGCGCGGCGAAGCCAAGTCCGGAAGGTGTCGGAGCGGCTGTATCGACTTATGGTACGACCTGAAGCAACTTCCTCACATGTCGCGTCCTCAGCTACGGAGGGTGCTTCATACATACAGCCTTACGTGAAGGCTTTTCGGTCCCTTTGACCGTTGTCGAGGTTGTTATCATTCCCACTCGGCGAATGCTGCTCGAAAGAGTGCTCGACACCACTCGAGGAGTTCTCGTGCCAGAAAAGCTTCAACTCGAGAGCAAAGGGCCTGTTGGCAGGATGGTGAATCAGACGCAAACGGCGGCTGTGCCGGACTTGCTCGTTTTCGAAACGGTAAAAGTTACACTCGACCTCGGCGACCTCATCTGGGCGCTAAAACTTTCCACGGGTCTTCGATGAAGCTGGGAAGGAAATAAACCATATCGCCGCGTTCATTTTTGATGCCGTGACGGAGTGCTTCCAGGCGTGCTGCGTCACTTTGAGGCTCGTGAGCTGAAGAACCCGCGATACACGCAGTTGTTGCGTCTTGTTTTGGCGCCTCCTTATTCCGAACGCTGATCGGCATGCTATTGGCGCCTGAGCTGTGTTTCTGACCTTCATTTCTCGCCACTGATGGGTCTATAAAAGTGTCGTTCTCGAGCTTACGTTTCTTGCCTGGCTGTGTGCCAAAGCCCGAAAACCCCATTGCCTCTGCGACGGTAGGGTCGAACCCCATTGCCTCTGCGATGGTAGGGTCGATATCATCACCATCGTGCTCGTCCATCGTGTTCGAATGAGTCCCGGTATGGGGGGTTGATGGCCGGCAATGAGATGGAGCGGATCGTGCGAAGTCAAGGTTCAGGAAGCGAGACACTGAATCTGGACACAGAAGACTTAGACACGACTTTTGGCCGTGAGAGTTATTGAATTGATGTTGCTATCCAATGCTACGAAAAAGATGCCACGTGGATGCTGAAACGTCCAAGACAATGCTATACACGAAGCTTGCGCTGCTGCTCGAAGACGTTCGTCACAATGTCCCTCCAAAGCTTGTGCTTGCCGGTCAAGTCCTTGCCAGGATACTTGAACAAGCGGGCCAATATCTCCTTGAGCTTCTTCCGCAACGTCCTTAGTACGAGCATCGTCTTCCAATTGCGGACCTTGTACCTCAAGCGATTCCCATCGATGACAATGACACCAGCGTACATGTTGAAGGCAGCATCTCCCGCAAGCAGCACGAGCGCAAAGTCCGATGCAGGCGTAGTCTCCTGAGCGTTTGTGAAGCGCGAAGCACTCTGCATAATGCTGTAGAACGACAAGAGGTTGACACCGGGAGCAAGCGAGCTCTTGTTGACAGAGGCAGGGTGCAGCGCCAAGGACTGATTGTTGGCGATGTTGCGCCATCCTTTACCATCACGTTTGATGATCTTGGGATAGAACGACCAGGCGACGACGGCCGAGATCAGGTCATCGTCGTCTTCTGCTGACCGATACTTTTCCGGTAGAGCCACAAAGTTCCGCTGCCGTGAGCCTGGCCGCACCCTCGACAGCGCGGCACGCTCGTCCGAGCCTAGGTTGGCGAAGCCGGCATCCACAAGAGCTGTCAGTAATTGGCCCTTTAAGTCCTCGATATTCGCAAGGTTTTGCGGGCTAAGGAAGTTCTTGTTGCAGAAGTGATACTCGGACGTTCCAGAGGTTGTGCAGGTCTTGCGCCACGCACAGTATGCCTGGTAGACGGTGAGCAAGTCCGAGTCGCCTCGTTTGAAGCCAAGACGGACGGTATCTGCTTGTTTCTTTGCATGCATAGGGCTCAAGAATGGCGACTTCGACGTCAAGGTTGCAGCCGTGGTCAGCGCAAAGTCAAGACAGCCGAAGGCGCTGCCTAGCAGCACCAGCTTTCCAAGTTGTGCATCCAGTGGGAGTTTCGCCAGCTGTTGCCCGAGAGACGTTAGCTCCTCGTTCGCAGTGAGGGCATCAACTTCGATGAGTGCTTCGATGGCTCTTCGGACATTGCGGCTGGACGGAGGATCAAGCGCCTGACCCAAGGCTTCCTCGATATTGCCAAGCTTGCAAATCTTCACCCGCATCACAAGGTCTTGCAGTGATAGGCGTAGCATCTCTGGAGTTTGGCTTTCCGCCATCAGCTCATCGTGCCGATACTTCGTGAACAGGTGGAAACATATGCCTTCCTGAACACGGCCGGCTCGTCCGCGTCGCTGTTTGGCGTTCGCTCGTGCAATGAACGACTGTATCAAGCGGGACATCTGCCGCTTCTCATCGAAGCGCATCTCCTTATGTTTGCCCGTATCAATCACACAAGTGACGTCGGGTATGGTGATGCCCGTCTCAGCAATGTTCGTGGCAAGCACGATCTTCCTGACCCCGTTCGGTGGAACCTCGAAGGCAGCCTGCTGGTCCTCGCTAGCGAAGCTTGAGTGCAGTGCGTGGATCCTCCAGCCGTGGCTGAATGCTGGATGGCCTACAAGCATATCATTGAGCTGGCGTATCTCGGCGATACCTGGTAAGAACACGAGCGTGGCTTTGCTGAACGGCTTGTAGTTCTGATCGTATGCGACCTTCTCCAGCAGCTTCAGTATTAAAGCGTAGTCAATTCGATATTCATCATAGGTGGCCAGCGTGTTGATAGTGCGCTTGCTATATCCAACGAGCTGCTGTTGGCCGGCACCCTTCTCGGCGTCGTCAGGATCAGTATGCTCAGTCTCATCTTCTTCAACTCTGCTGCGGGCATTATCATTAACGTGATCAGTCATCTCAAGAGCATCCTCAAGGAACATTGCCTGAACAGGAAACGTTCGTCCCGGTACGTCAATGATAGGCGCTCTGTCGAGATACTCCGAGAACCGTTGAGCATTGACCGTAGCGCTCATGAGGACGACTTTGAGGTCTTTTCTCTGCTGTAAGAGCGACCGAAGTATGATCAACAAGAAGTCAGTATCAATGGTTCGCTCGTGAACTTCATCAATCACAAGATGCGTGACGTCCTTAAGACCGTCCACGTTTTCAAGCATTCGGAGAACGATCCCTGTTGTTGCATAGACAAGGCGCGTGGATGCTGCTGTGTGCGACTCCAAGCGGATGGCGTATCCGACAAGTGAGCGGGCGGTGCCAACATCACCTTTATGCTCTCCCATCTCCTCGCTAACACGCTGGGCTAGGGAAATGGCAGAGATTCGCCTAGGCTCAGTACAGTACACTTTGCACGCCTGTCCTTGAGACAACTCGTGCTCCAGGATGTATGCAGGCAGCTGGGTTGACTTTCCAGAACCCGTCTCCGAGACCAGAATGATGACCTGATTGCGTACGATTGCGTCTAGGATGGCAGCCTTGTAGTGGAAGATGGGCAGGTTCATGCGCTGGAACAGCATGCGCTGGTATGTCGGTGCTGATAACTTGCGCGCCCACAGTCCTCTAAGCTCCTCGGCAGCAGCTGTTTTTGACGAGAGCACTTCACCATGCTCCGGTCTTGGTGTAGAGACGCCGCTGACACCACCGCTGCGGATCCTGTTACCGGCGTCGAAGACGACTTCGTCGTCATCTTCTTGATCCCGCGATGGTATTTGTTCGATCAATGCGCGAAGACTCCTCACCGTTTCACGGTCGTTTGCGTTGTGGTCTTCATGTTTTAACCGAACAAGCTCATCCCACATGTCGCGGAACGCAGGTGGCAATCGTAAGTGAGCTTTCTCCTCCTTCGGTGAGCCTGCGAATATGACGAACAGCGCGATGGTCGCTATGTAGCCTTCGCTTTGTGCCGCGTCAGGGGTGGCTTCTTCAACCATCGTGAACATTGCTGCGCGAGGTCTGCTCTTGACTTCTACCGCACGCAAATAAGGCGCCTCGACAAGCTCCTGATCTTTCGCCCAACGTATGTGCAGAGAATGTCGGCTTGCGTATGTGGTCGGAGAGACCAGTGTGTAAACAAGCTTCGCACCTGTATCTCGGGCTCGACAAGCTTCTTCCAGGATACGTCTGGGACTCATGCCGGTCGGTCGGCCAAAGTCGCGAATCTTCACGTTCGAAGAAGGGAACGCGCCATTGGCGGCTGTCGCAGGATCTTGGGTTATACCGGGTAAGGAATCGAACATTCCGCTAAGCAGGCCGTCTCCGTCGGTGTCTTCGGACGTTTGCAAAAACTCTAGGCCAAGCTTTTCTGCTTCGTCGGTGACGCTACCGGCTGACGTGCCGTTCATGTCGTAACGCGGCTTCGACGTGCTTTCAGCTGCGTGCGATTCCTTTGCAAGCAGTAGTCGGTTCCTCTCGCTCGCTTCCCTTACCAGCTCTATCCGCCGGACCTCCCACCGAGCTTCAGCCTCTTGCAGATCGAAGAGCAGATCTGATTCTATTTTTCGAAGTTTCTGTAGCAGCTTTCGTTCACCCTTGGATTTAGCGGCCGGTGTTGTAGACTTTGCGCCCTTCGTAGGCTTTCTCTTCTGCGACGGCGCTCCGGCCACTAATGCCTCGTTAAGCTCGAAAAGCCTCGCTTTTGTTCGAAGATGCGTCGCCAACAGCTCTTCCGGATCGACATCACTTCCTACGTCACTGACATCGATATCACCAGCAACTGCATCGGGTTCGCTGCTATCGATAGAATGCGGCACACCGGGCGCCTTCGCACCTTTCGGAGGCCTTACAGATTGCACTGGCGATGCCAGCTCATCTTCACTCTCGTGCAGAACCGAAGGCTTAGCGCTCTGCCTGTGATAGTCATAATCGAAGAGCTCGCCACTCCCACTGTGCATAGCTAGCCAATCCAAAGAAAAGGAAAGACCCCACAACAGACCATCGCCCTCTGGACTGGGCGGCTTCTGGAGGAGCGCGCCGAGAGCACTATTAACCTGCTCTGGTGGAAAATCAAGAGCTAAGAGACACATACGGAGTGCCCAAACCTTTGACAACAGCTCATCACCTGCTATAGTTTTGGACTGAACAGGCGCGGCGATGTTATCATCATAATCCGCAACTGTAAGTTCAATAAGCTGTTGCATCAGTTCGTCAGGGAGCCATTCTTTAGTCGTGAGAGCTTCCGCCTGGCTCCGTAGGAGACGCCTGTCGGTTTCGAGTCGTGAAGCTGTCCTGGCAGAGTCTTTCCGGATCTTGGCGGCGTTGCGTTCTACAAATTGCTGGAGTTCGGCCGTCTCCAGCTGCTCCTCTAGTTCTTCCGGGCTAAGTAGGTGCAGCTCTCGCGGCTCGTTCTCGGCGGCAGTGCCGTTTCGAACAACATCATCCGTGACGGACGTCAATACGTTGCCTGGCGTCGCTTCCCCCGATGCTGTCGTACTCGGGTCATCCTTGAAATCGTCGGTTTGGTGGTTTGATACCTTAGGTAGAGATTTCGTGGCAAACCCTCTGGCTGGGTTGGCAGCTGGCTTGGTCTTTTTCTTCTTCCCGCCTGCCATGATATTTCGATGTATCTAGCTTGTCCAGAGTACGGGTAGCGACATAGTTTACGCCTGCGCAAACTGCAGGAGCAGGCTTAAGTCGCGCTGCGCGAAGAATACGAAAGTTTGAGGCAGCGGAAGTTCCCGATGTGTGGAGTCACATTCACCACACAATAACTTCCCATCCGGCGAAATGAATAAAATGCATGCCGATTAGACATCCTGGGGCACGTGGTAGTTTTACACGATGGACACGAATGGCGTGATTGCCAACAACACCGAAGCCTTGGACTTGCGAAGGGTACTACTGTCCAGCTCTACGAAGCGAAGAGTATCCGAACTACAAGCGCTCTATGATCGACTCATAGTTGAAGAAGGCGTACCGGCTCCGCAGCTCAGATCTATACTTTCCACCCTCGTCGACACGTATTCATTGTACGTTGACTCGCGGTCACGTCAAGCCGTCGAGACGTGCCTCTCCGCGATCGTTAGCTCGCCACGCTCACCGGAGACCCTACCTGCGCTTGCCGCTGCGCTTGAGATTGAAGCAAGAAAGCCTGGCATCGCTCCCTCCAGTGCCTTCGTTCTAGTAAGATGGTGTTCTTTAGTGATTCAGCATCTAGCCGCAAGGAGGACGCTCTGGGACGCATGGGGCATCAGAGTCCTCAGCGCACTTACCAATGCCCTACAAACTCTGCTTGCTGGGCATCCGAAGGCAAGTACGGCAGCTACCGCCTTCAGGGTCACGCGAAGAGCGATCCGGACTGTAGCCAAAGCCAGCTTTGGCGCAGAAGTTCTGGACGACTGCATTACCTCGTTGACGGCGAAAACGTCGGCTCCGTCTCCTGAGCACGCTTTGCCTTTAGGGGTTGTTGCTGGCGTCTGTAGGCGACTTCCGGATCGAAGCTATGTCGTTGAAGCACGCAAACAGGACTATGCTGCGTTTTATGTTCGGGAGATACTCGGCTCAAAGGTACAGCTTCCTCCGTGGATCGCTACAGCGCTCAACGATTTCTTCGCTGTTTTCCTTCCGAAGGACGATGTCGAACAGCTTCTCGCACCTCCGATAGAAAAGGCGTTGTTACGTGCGCCGGAGATCGCTTTGAACGATCTTGTGTCGCCCCTCATCCTGAGTCTTCCAGATTCTATCGACCTGACATCTGTGCTTGTTGTCAACCTGCTCAAGCCCCTGCTTTCGAACATCAAGTCCTCCAACCAAACAATTCGTGAGGGCGCGATCCGGACCTTCGAGGCAGTCGCGAGCCGTTGCCACGACAGCACCCTTCTTTCAAAGGCTATGGACGACATCCTCACACCCCTGAGGACAAACAAGCTTCCATCTGCGGATCAAAGAGCGCTGCATGCACAGATGCTAATAGCCTTGTTGCACAACATTGATACCTGCGGCAAAATCGCTCAGGGCTTAGTCACAATAGCGGCAAAGGAGACGAATGAGCATGCCGTGTCCGTGCAAATACGAGCTATCTGCGAAGGTGCTGCGTTTGCCCTTCGCAACAACGTTTCCGTTGACAAGACGGTCGGAGGAGCCTTCGTTAATGGTCTGGGAGAGAAACGCTTGCCAGTCCGGCGGCTCTGGGCGCTACACATGGCTCAGGCTCTCTGGAGCCTCGGTGCAGAAGTCTTGCAACTCACTGCCACCGCTGCACTCTTTGAGCCATCTATAGGCAAAATGATCGATGTGTTCAACGAGCTGATTACGAACCCGACGCTAGCGATTCAGTCCGGCCAGGCGTCTGTGGCTTGCGCGATAACAGCGGTCTGCTTGGGCGTTGTACCAAAGATGTCTTCACTGCAGAACGCATCGATTGTCAAAAAGGCGAGCATTGCCGAACGATCGTTGGCACTCGAACCGAAACCGTCTTTCCTGCTCAATCCTCGAGCTCTTACTAAACTTTCCACCGAAGACGACTTGACATGGTTCGAACGAGGCTTGTTTGCCGCCTTCCGCAGTCTGCCCGTTCACACAGCCAGTGAACCCAAGAACACACTCTGGGCTCTGTCTACCATTTACATAGTGTCAGCCTTCAGCATCCCGGCAAAAGTACGCCAGGAAACCTTGGGAGCGCTCCGACAACTGTATATGGAGGAGTCACAGCATGTATCAAGCAGCATCATTGACGGACTTTGGCGGTGGTGCGAGGACGTTCAGCTTGATTCTAAAGACAGCCTTGCAGTCGCTGCGGGTACTGGTCGCGAAGCACTCCATCGTGCCGTACGAGCCATCTGTCCACCGCAATCGTTCGCTTCTTCGGAAGCACGAGACTCTGTTCAGGACATCAGTAGGAGGCAGCTAAGAAAACTGCTCGTGCTGTGCAGACCACAGCTTGTACCGCGCGCTCCGTGGATCGAGCTTTGTCTGCAGACCGGCAATGATCCTCGCCAATTGGTGCTCGAGGCACCCCATGAATGCGTGGCCGACATTCTCGCCGTTACCGAGCATTCCGCGTGGAAGCCGCTTCCTGCGTTCCAAGCGGCAGCGTTTAGTGCTGCTGCAGAGCTCGCGTTTGTGGCACCAGATGTGATGACTCCACTCATTGTTGCACAGATATCTCACGACCTTGATCCATCCCAACTCAGCGATATCGGTCCCACAGAAGCCGCTATTTACCGAACACCGGAGGGTACGGCTTTTGTGGATGTCCTCTCCAAGCAGACGCAGTCACAACCTATCAGCAAGAACACCAAAGACTACGATACGCTAAAATGGGAAGAAGAACTAAGGACGCAGATAGCTCAGAAGAAAGGCCAAGCACGGAAGCTGACTGCTGACGAGCAGGCCAAGGTGAAAGCTCAACTGCAGAAGGAGACCAACATACGCAGTCACGTTGCGGACGTCGATTCCCGCTTGAGGCGTGGTATTGGCATCGTTATTGCACTTACGACTGGCCCACCCACTGAAGCCGAGGAATGGTTCGGTCCTTCAGTGAGGCTTCTCTTCGATGTGATCGAGGCTGGTGCAGGACTTGTCGTCGGAGATGCCGCTTCACTTGGCTACTTACAATGTGCACATAGGATTTCAAGCCGGCTGGGTGCGATGCGACCTTTCGTAGGGGTGGCGACGCTGCGTAGTGCGGGTGTAACTGTGCTCCCGGAGAATCTTCTAGCTGAGCCTCTCGGCGACCTGGTGACAAGAGTACTGTATCGGCTTCGCTTCCTAGGCGAACAACGACCCTTCGACACTGTGACATTGAGCTACATTCTCGCCCTTGTGTTCCTTGTCCTGGAAAACGGCGGAGTTGATCGAGCCGCTGCCGAAGACGCCGGGGAGCAGATCGTGCTTGCAATCGAGTTTCTATCCTTCCACACAGAAGCGTGCAGCGACGTCCGAATACCGCGGCAGAAGCTACTGCGCACTCTCATTTCCGCCATGCAGCGCTATACTCAGCATTTCCGACAAATCAAGGATTGCTTCTCCGACCTATGCAGGTGTTTGGCACCAAGCATGACAAGCTCTGAGACGGATACAGTAGTTAAAGGCGTCACCGTCGAGGACCCATCAGTAAGAGGCGCTGTCCTACAGGCTATTAGTGCCGAGCTGGAGCTCACGGAACGAGAATTCTACGTCGAGGTCTGGCTCGCTTGTCACGATGATGTGGATGAGCACAGAGACGTTGCACATGACATCTGGGAAGAAAACGAGCTCAAGGTTACCGTAGATGCTGCAGACCAGTGCTTGCCGTACCTTGAGTCGAAAGACGTGCAGCTTCGGCGAGCTGCAGCCCGTTCGATTGCAGATTGCTTGACAGAGCACCCCTCATCCTTCGGCAATATCATGAATCGGCTTCAGCAAATGTACGCAGAGTGTGCGAAGCCACGCATGCCACAATTGGACCGCTATGGCATGCCGATGAAGAAGGACCTTTCAGACCCGTGGGAGACCCGACATGGTGTAGGTCTGGCTTTCAAAGAGCTTGCTAGTGTATTCCCGGACGACGAGCTCGAACCCTATATGCGCTTTATTATCGAGAGCGGGCCCCTTGCGGACAAGAGCGTTACTGTCCGCGACGCCATGGTGGCTGCGGCTACTGCTGTCGTGACCACCCGTGGCAAGACGCAGGTAGAGCCTCTAATGAAGTTGTGTGAGAGCACGCTAGGAAGCTTAGCAAGCAGCAGCCAGTCGCAAGACCTTGTCAGCGAAGCCGTGGTAATCCTTTACGGTGCTCTTGCCCGCCATCTGCCGAGCGGTGATGCACGCATACCAAAGGTGGTAGACCGCCTACTATCCACCTTGAGCACACCGTCAGAATCGGTGCAGTACGCCGTAGCCCAATGTCTGCCACCTCTTGTTCGTGCCTCTAGCGGTGAGGCCAGCCGTTACCTCAAGCAGACACTGGACGAAACGCTCCACGGGAAGAAGTACGCCGCGCGACGCGGAGCCGCATACGGCCTCGCTGGTATCATTAAGGGCTGCGGTCTTTCTGCGCTGAAAGAGAATCGCTTATTATCCACTTTGAGAGCTGCAACGGAGAATAAGAAAGACCCGAACGAACGACAGGGCGCCTACTTGGCGTATGAGCTTCTGTCTTCACTACTCGGCCGGATCTTCGAGCCATACATCATACAGATCGTACCTCAGCTTCTCGTGGGTTTCGGCGACACCAGCACTGACGTACGGGAAGCATGCCTTGACGCGGCCAAGACGTGTTTCGCCTCACTGAGTTCTTATGGTGTTAAGCAGATCTTGCCAATGCTGCTCGAAGGCCTCGACGAATCGCAATGGCGGAGTAAGAAGGGTGCGAGCGACTCGCTTGGCGCAATGGCGTACCTTGATCCTCAACAGCTCGCCGTCAGCCTGCCTGAAATCATACCGCCGCTCACAGAAGTGCTGAACGACACGCACAAAGAAGTGAGAGCATCGGCTAAACGTAGCTTGCAACGCTTCGGCGACGTCATCACGAATCCCGAAGTCAAGAGCCAAGTGGACATACTACTCAAAGCACTCAGTGACCCGACAAAGTACACTGACGAGGCATTGGACGCTCTGATCAAGGTCAACTTCCTTCATTATCTGGATGCACCCTCGCTAGCGCTCGTAGTCCGCATCCTCGAGCGAGGTCTGGGTGAGCGATCTGGCACAAAGAGAAAAGCTGCGCAGATCATTGGCAGTCTTGCGCACCTTACAGAGCGGAAAGACTTGGTCTCGCACCTTCCGATCCTTGTTGCTGGGCTGCGTGTTGCCATCGTCGACCCTGTGCCTTCAACAAGAGCCACGGCGTCGAAGGCGCTTGGCTCGACGATCGAAAAGCTGGGCGAAGATGCCTTGCCCGACCTTATCCCCAGTCTCATGCAGACTCTCAAATCAGACACGGGCGCCGGAGACCGTTTGGGTTCCGCACAGGCTCTCAGCGAAGTGCTTGCCGGACTTGGAACTGGTCGCTTGGAGGAGACGCTGCCCACCATCCTGCAGAACGTGTCCAGCTCGAGGGCTTCTGTACGCGAAGGCTTCATGACTCTATTCATCTTTTTGCCTGCCTGTTTCGGGCAAAGCTTTGCGAATTATCTGGCGCGGATTATCCCGCCGATCTTGGCTGGGCTTGCAGATGAAGTCGAATCGATCCGCGAGACTGCGTTGAGGGCTGGTCGTCTGCTTGTGAAGAACTTTGCAGCTCGCTCAGTGGATCTTCTGCTGCCCGAGCTTGAGCGCGGATTGGCTGACGATAGCTACCGCATTCGACTGAGCTCCGTTGAGCTGGTCGGCGATCTGCTGTTCAATCTTACAGGCATTAGTGGGAAGACGGAAGCTGAGGACATGGAGGAGAATGCTGTTGAAGCTGGGCAGTCGCTGCTCGAGGTGCTTGGCCAGGAAAAGCGTGATAAGGTACTGTCAGCGCTGTATATCTGCCGCTGTGATACATCCGGCCTCGTGCGCACCGCTGCTATCACGGTCTGGAAAGCCCTGGTGTCGACACCGCGGACACTACGCGAGCTCATTCCCACGCTTACGCAACTGCTCATTAGACGCTTAGCCAGCTCGAACATGGAGCACAAGGTCATCGCTGGTAACGCTCTTGGCGAACTTATCAGGAAAGCTGGAGAAGGCGTGCTGGCGAGTCTGCTGCCCACGCTTGAGGAAGGCCTAGAGACGTCTACTGACACCGACGCAAGGCAAGGCATATGCATTGCGTTGCGTGAGCTCGTCTCTTCCGCGGCTCCAGAATCGCTCGAGGAATACGAAAAGACGCTGTTCTCCGTCGTGCGGACTGCGCTTGTTGACTCCGACGAGGATGTCAGAGAAGCTGCTGCAGAAGCGTTCGACTCTCTGCAGAAGATATTTGGCAAGCGTGCAATCGAACAAGTGTTGCCGCATTTACTCAGTTTGTTGCGGTCTGAAGATGGAGCTGAGAATGCCCTGGCTGGACTTCTTACGCTGCTGACAGAAGCGACGAGGTCTAACGTAATCCTACCAAACCTGCTGCCCACCCTGCTTACACCTCCGATCTCCGCCTTCAACGCTCGAGCACTGGCATCACTGGCACAGGTGGCAAGCTCGGCGATGACGAGACGCTTGCCAACTATACTCAATTCGCTCATGGACAACATCGTGGGCGCAAAGGACGAAGCCCTGCGGACAGAGCTCGATGCGGCTTTTAACACCATCTTGATCTCTGTCGATGAGTTTGACGGCCTCAACACGATGATGAGCGCCATGCTCGTGCTGGTCAAGCATGACGACCATCGCAAGCGAGCATCTGCCGATATGCACCTCGCGAAGTTCTTCGAAACCGCGCAGGTCGACTATTCGCGATACTACCCAGACTTGATCCGCGTCCTCCTGCTTGCATTCGACGACAGTGATACAGAGGTCGTGAAGGCCGCGTGGACCGCTCTGAGTGCGCTGACACAGAAGCTACGCAAGGAGGAGATGGAATCACTGGTCAGCTCGACTCGGCAGACTCTCAACCAGGTCGGTGTTGCTGGACACAACCTACCCGGCTTCTCGCTACCGAAGGGCATCAACGCGGTTTTGCCGATCTTCTTGCAAGGTCTCATGAACGGCTCGGCAGAGCAGAGGACGCAGGCTGCGCTTGCAATCTCCGACCTCATCGACCGCACGTCTGCCGAAGGCCTTCGGCCGTTCGTGACACAGATTACGGGTCCGCTCATCCGTGTCGTGTCTGAGCGCTCAACCGAGCTCAAGGCTGCAATCTTGCTTACACTCAACAACCTGCTCGAGAAGATTCCGACATTCCTTAAACCATTCCTACCGCAGCTTCAGCGTACGTTTGCCAAGTCGCTTGCAGACCCTTCGAGTGAGGTCTTGCGGTCGAGAGCTGCTCGGGCGCTTGGCACATTGATCACGATGACTCCTCGCATTGATCCGCTTATCGCCGAGTTGGTGACCGGCGCGAAGACGACCGATGCGGGCGTCAAGAACGCGATGCTGAAAGCGCTGTATGAGGTCGTAAGCAAGGCGGGCTCGAACATGAGCGAGTTGTCTCGCACGTCTATTCTCGGACTTATCGACTCGGATACTGCGGACGGTGACGATGCTCTCAACATTACACATGCGATGTTGCTGGGCGCTCTAATCAAAGTGCTGCCAGCGGAGGCTGCGGTGGGACTTATAAAAAGCCGAGTACTTACGAGCCACTTCACCCACTCATCTGTGCTTGCGCTCAACGCCGTTCTGCTCGAAGCGCCAGAAGCGCTCACGGAACATCTAGATGACATAACGAGGGCAATCATCGTTCAAGGTGTCGGTAACAGTGAGCCGTTCATCGCCGACAACTGCGTGCTCGCTACCGGCAAATACCTCCTCGCGGAAGCAGGCAGTAAGAGCTACGAGCATACCAAACCTCTTTTCGAAGCATTGGCACAAGTCTTACCACCCGGCGGGCCAGTCGACACACGTCGCTTAGCACTCGTAGTCATCCGTACCATCAGCCGCGAGCACAACGAGCTCGTCCGTCCGCACCTCGACGTCCTCGTCCCGCCAATCTTCGCCAGCGTGCGAGATCCCGTGATCCCAGTGAAACTGGCGGCCGAGGCGGCCTTTTTGGCGGTGTTCGATGTGGTACAGGAAGACAAGGCGGTGTTCGATAAGTATATGGCGGGACCGGGAGCGAGCTTACAACCGGGGCCGAAGCGGAGTATGAATGAGTACTTCACGCGGATTGCGCTTAGGCTTAGCAGTCAGGCGAAGGAGAGGAGGGAGGCGGAGGGTGGTGCCGGTGGGCTGGGGTTGTCGTCGGATGAGAGGGATGACATGAGTGAGGTTATGTCGGTAGGTAAGGTTGATCTGGGCGAGAAGAGCTTTGTTGAGTAGGGTGGCATACTGGCCGAGCGTAGGTGCATAGCGAGGAGTTGTATTTACTGTACAGCATGCATGTTGATGTTGTGAGTATAATGAGCACGAGCATACCTTTGTCAGTCTCTCGAGTGACACAGTAATTTCACAATGTTTACTTGATATGCATACTGCTCAACATACGTGACTGCAGACGCCTATCGAGAAGCAACCAGCGCCATTGATAAGGTGTACCCTAAGCCCTCCCATAAACGGCGGCCTCGAGCAATGCACAGCCATGCCGTCTTTGCTCGTCCTCGGCACCGGTAAATGCAGTTCATCACCATGACCCTGTATTCGTTCGATCAAACTCAGTACGAAGACATCTACGCCTCCGCAGCTGGTGTCTCCTCCTCGCCCGCCATCTGGTTCCGCTTCTGCTGCACGCGCTCCTGTCTCCGCTCGCGGGCGGCCTTGGTCTTGGCACGCTTGGCGTCCATCTCCTCCTTGAGCACACGCTCACGCGCCTTCTCGGCCTTGGCCTTGTGGATCTACATTGGGTGGTCAGTCAATGTCAATAGGGGAATAAGGAGGACGTCGGATATCGATGACGTACGTGCTCCACAAGCGCACGCTTGTGCTTGAAAGTATTACCCTTGCTCAGATGGTAGAGCTCGTGGTAAAGGTGCTTGTCGATCTTGCCGGCGGCGCGGTACTTGACGAGTAGACGGCGGAGGACACGCAGACGACGCATCCACATCACTTGGCTTATTTTCCCATGCGTCAGCATTCCGGCCTGCCATCAAACCATTGCAGTTACGATGCTGATTTACCTTGGCATTCTGGCATCCGCCGTACCCTTCCTCTTACCGAAACCTCTGTGCCTACCGATCCGCCTCGCTGCCGTCAACTCCCGAGCGCGGCTCCTTGAGTGCATCGTAACTGGCTTGCGGATGATGAGGCCATCAGCGATGAGTTTACGGATGGTCTGACGGCTGTTGGCATTGGAGATTTCGGAGGATTCATTGGGGTCGAGCCAGATCTTGCGTCTGAAGGGACGAAGTTAGTGGTCTGGTGTACGAGGGTGTAGCCGGTTAATTAGATGTCACGTACTTGCCGCAGTTGGCTACGGATGCCGCCAGGCGCTTCTGAGTGCGGAGGTTGACCCTACAAAACCATTGTCGTCAGTATCGGGATGGTATGCTGGTGTTGTTGTGGCCATTGAAGAGTTTGCCGCAGGGGTGCGGTGAGGGCGCGTGCATCACTCTCGACACTATTCACCACTTCTCCTTTGCGACAATGTTGCATACTGGCTCGACACAGGCGGTACTCACATCTTAGCGGCGTGTAATGATGGTTGGCGATGGTGGCGTGCGACGGTGACTGTATCATCGCCCTCGTGCAAATGAGGGGAGTGCGTGGGCTTGGCGCCGGAGAAGTTGTGCCAAGCCGCTAAACAATCGATGGTCCGTGCCGTCCATTTCTGCTTCGCGTCCAAGTCCTCTACGCTGTCACTCACGATGAGTCAAATCAATGCAGAAAGCAGAGCTGTATAAGTAGTATTCTGCTCACGTTCAAGGCGCCATAGACAGTGCTTTTTGCTCTACTGTCCGTCGTAATCTAGGTCCTCCTAGTCTGTAGATGAAGGATCAGCTACCTACAGTGCCTAATATGTGCCTACATTGGGTCCATCTATCACACGCTGTATAGCGATATGCACACCACCATCGCAGCTCGCAGCAGGATTCGCGAACCTCGGATAGAGTAGCCCGCACCGACGCAGCAAGACCTCAACTCGACTTCCCCTTAACCTCTTGCCCCGGCTTCTTCTCCGCCTTCGTCCCCTTGAGCAATTCATCCGGATTCTGAATCCCCACTGTTTTACCCTCTTGCACGCGCTTGATAGTCAGCGCCGCAATCAGCGCAGCTCCCACACCACTTCCGTCCTCAGCAGGCAGGATCTCGACAGGATCGTGTCCACGACCCAGCGGCTTGCCGTCACGGCCCTTCTCCCAGTCCAAGATCTCCTTGAGCGCTTGCGCGCCGCGCGCCTTGAAGTGCGGGTACTTGTTAAATACGCTGCCGTCGGCGCCGACATGGGCCGTCTTGTAGCCTTTCTTGTTGCAGATTGCGGCGACGCCACACGCACCTATCGTCCTTGTGTTAGCGCAGAGCTACTACGTGTAAGATGTAAGTGATGACTTACTAAGTCTGGCGCTCCGCGTTCCGATCAACTCGGCTAGACGACGGCATAGCTCGAGTTCGGGCTTTGAGCACTTTATGTTAAGCTTGTGGGCGAAGGTGTCATGCGTTTCCTGCAAGTTCTCGTACGGGTCGCTTTCGATGTCGGAGAGGAAGGAGGCGTCGAGAGAGTAGGGCTTCTTGAGGGCGCTGATGTCTTGACCTTCGAAGATCTTGACGGTCTGTTGCTCATGTAGATCGACGAGCACCAGGCGGAACAGCTCACCCAGGTACAGACCCGCAACCATCTTCTCAAAGGCTTGCTGGCCAGGTCGTGGAGAGTCCTTGTCGATGATAACGTCGTACTTTGTGCGCGGGAGGACCTTGTGCTCGTTGTCAAAGGCACCCCATTCGCAGTTAATCGCAATCTCCTGTTCCGGGTCGATCTTCATGTGATCAAGTTTGGGGATATTGCCGCAGGTCTCCATGTATGCAGCATTGCAGCCCGTTCCGAAGATGCAGCCAATCTTCATCTCCGAATCGGTATAGCTACTAGCTATCAGTGTGCCGGTTGTGTCGTTGATGAGCGCGGTAAGCTTGATTGGTACGCCACGCTCTTGTAGTGCTGCCTCGAACGGTGGCACGACATCTTTGCCCTCCACACCTTCAATGTCAAACCCCTTTGTCCAGCGTTGGAGCACTCCATGGTCGATGTACTCTTGCGTGGCTGGGTATGAGAAGGTAAAGCCGAGCGGGAGCTTATCGAGCTTCTCGCCCTCATGGTGGTACTCGATGAATTGCTGCAGACAGTCGGCGATGTAGCCCCACAGCTCATCTGCCGTGCCCGTCTTGAGCTCCTCAGGCATGCGGTACTTGGACTGGATGATGTCGAACTCGCCGCGCTCCTCCGGCAGGTTGATCTCGCAAACACGCAGGTTGGTTCCGCCCATGTCCAAGGCAAGGAAGGTGCCGGTCTCGTCGCCCGTGGGGAATCCCATACACCAGGTCGGATTCATAGGAATGCTGCCGCCCTCCTTAGACAGACCTTTCGCTAGCTCATTGACGAAGTGCTCGCTGATGGCTTTGAGCTTGGCTGTGTCGACGGTGAACATATCCTCCAACTTTTTGATCTCTTGAAGAAGGTCTTTGGGCACATCGGCCATGGAACCCTTACGGCTGGGCTTCCGCCGCGGGCCTAGACTTGTCGACGACATGATGCCGTGTGGGTGGGAGCGTTATCGGATCAGTAGGGTTATATGGAGCTCGTTGTCGGAATATGTAAGAAGCCACGAACGGTCGCTAGCTTGGAACTCGAGTATTGTTCGGTTTCAGGAGAGGTCGTGTGCTGTTGATATCGGTCGCGTCTGCCGCGGTCAGTAAGTGAAGCTGCTGCTTGTCGATTCGTGAATGGGGATTCTTTATTGCCTAGATTCTCAGGCTGTTCCAAGCGATACCTGAGCCTAGCTTTGCATTTCATGCTAGAGCGGACTGGCTATAGATAAGGGGAAACTGCCACCTTCTCTCTCACACTCTGCTCGTTCGTTGCGCATCACAACTCTCTGAGCCCCCCACTCTGCCCCTCGACCATTGTCCCAACCATGAATACATCCTCGCACATGTGGACTACTTGAATAAATAAATAAACGAGAGACTTACCTAAAGTATCTGAAGAGGTCGTTACCGTTGGTCGGCGAAAGTTGTAAGAGTGAGGCCGGGAGTGTTGTTTTGGCTCGTTGCTTCACCGTCTGCTTCCCAAAAAGTCCGAAAGCTCCATGCCGCCAATGACGCCCAAACGCACGGGCTTTATGTAATGCGGCTGTACCCGTCACATCCCTGCAGAGAGCTCGTGGCAGCTCCCAAGATTGTCACCTGACAGCAGACAGTATCCTTCTTCAACCTCACTGGAGCTGTCTCGGTATAGCCTTCTTCTGACACCTTAACCACTCGTGAGTGTTTCCCTTCATCTAACCTGATACCGGTATAGTACTCTCTAACGATTTGCAGACCAACCCCAACAATGTCTCTCCAACTCCGCACTCTCGCCCGCCAGCTCCCCCTCCGCACCAGCACTCGTACCTTCTCCGCCCTTGCTCGCCGCATGGCCGAAGGCGACTCTGGCGCTCCCCGCTCGGGTGGTTCCGCTCAATCCGATGCCTTTACCAAGCGCGAGCAAGCCAGCGAGGACTTCTACGTCCGCCAGAAGGAAAGGGAATACCTCGAGAGACTGAGGGCGCGGGTTAAGAGCTCAGAGGAGCAGCTAGAAAAGGATAAGGCGGTAAGTTCGAGTTGGACATTGACAAGGGCGCGTAGAGGCATTGGTCACGGACTGACTGTTGGTTTGTAGGAAATGGAGGAGATGCAGAAGAGGAACCAGAAGTAGACGGACGGTTTCCGAGAAGGATGTTGGTGAACGTGGTAAGTCTTCAACAGCAAAGTAGAGTGTCAGTACACCGGCGCATCGCTAACATTATGTTAGGGTGTGAGATCTTGTTTTTTTGTGGACGGAAGCTTGCTTTTACAGTCAGAAACTCTCTTCTCGCACTCATGTGTCCTATGCCTTGTAGGGAGATGTCATCCTGCCTATCAGCTTCCGAAAGTTGCTGCAGAATGCTGTATTTATATGTTTATCCAAGAGGTAACACAAGCAGTATGCACGCGAGATCAAGCTCATCACCGCTGCACTAGACGTGGCAAACGCCTCCTGCGCCTCGCTCAAAAGACACCGCTCCTAATGTTTCAACAGCATCCTAGCTAAAATGTATGCCTTCCTGATTGAACGCATACAGGAGCTTCAGGAAATCGCCCTCATCACACATTCGTGCTCGCCTCTCAGCCAGCTCGGTCTCGATCTCGAGCACCTTCTTCACCTTCGCGCGCACCAGCTCCGACACCTTACCCTTCCTCTTCCGGTTCGGGTTATCTTGCAGCTTCTTCGCTTTGCGATCAGCCTCTTCTTTGAAGAAGTCAGGCACATCATCGTCGTCGTCCACGTCCATAATGCCGTCCCACCCTTCATCCTCCCCACCCTCATCCACGTCCATGCCGCCCGCCATCGCATCATCGAGCGGACCGTCATCAAGCACCACATCATTCTGCGCACAGAACGTCCTGTAATTAGCCTCCAGCATATCCATTACGCTGCTCGTCCCCAAAAACGCGCTCCGCAACACTCGGTTCTTCCGCACGAACGCTATGCGAAGCAACCCATCCCACTCATCGTAACTGATCTGCGGACGAGGCGTCTTCGGCGTAATCCGTACAACATTCGACTCCACCTGCGGAGGCGGGTTAAAGTTGTTCTTGCCAACTTTCATCACATGGTCGACTTTGGCCCACATTTGCGCGTTGACTGATAAGCGTGAATATAGCTTGTCGCCCGGCTTCGCGAAAAGCCGCATAGCAAATTCGCGTTGGAACATGAGTACACACGATCGTGGGGACGGTGAGGTGGCGAGTAATTTGAATGTCAGAGGCGAAGAAATTTGGTACGGCGTGTTCGATATGCAAACGTCGAAGTAGGGTAGTTCTGGCATCTTGATCACGTCTCCAAGGATGAGCTCTAGTCTCTTCGCAGCAGGTGTAGCTTGGAAGCGCTTCGTGAGTTCGGCAGCCATACGAGGATCCTGCTCTACGGCAATTACTCGCTTCGCTTTTTCCAGTATGCGAGTCGTGAGGTTACCAGTACCGGGGCCGACTTCCAGAACGATATCAGATTGTTTAAGATCGGCTTTGTCGACGATTGCTTGAGCCACGCCTGGATTCTTGAGGATGTGCTGGCCGATGTCTGTGTTCATCTTGAAGATGTTGTTCGCCATCTTACCTTTGCCTTTACGGACGGCGGCGCCCGCGTAGGGATCCGCTTTGGCAATGCCGCCATTCCCAGGTTTGCGAGCCATCGCAATATATGTCTTCAGTGCGGTTGGATGCAGTCGGTTTGAGTGCTGCGATGTGGAAGGCGAGATTTTTTGGCGAACAGCAATCGATAAGCGTGCCCTAATCCATATAGGCTCAACGCTAGTGAGCGAGTGGCGTTGGCATCAGGCCGAAGACAGCAAGACGCCGACGAGCTGTGGACCTCTGCTTGAGCAGAGAACTCGAAGCTTTTGCGAGGTCAATGCTGCAATGGTAGGAGTGTCGCTTGCTGAACTCTTTCCTTACTGTTGTGTCATGGTTTGCTTGCAAAGGCAGCCGTAAGACCCATTAAGTCCCAACACCAACGCAGCCTAGCCGAGGATGAGGTACGTACATTGAGCGACCAATGGATCCGTAAGGCGGGACGGCTGCTTGTACGACCTGCATACCATGCGCAAAAGCTCACCAGAGGACGAACAGGTTCGGCCAGCAACTTCGCAGTTCGCTGATCAAGGACTGGTATTACTACTACATCTCCTACGATGAGCTCAAGAAGAGCTTACGCACCGATTTCGCCCATACGCCAGCGATAGCGCAGGCCCACAACAAGAGAAAGCCGTGGTCGGAAGAGGATGAACAGCGCTTCGTCAATCAGCTCGAGGAGGAGCTGGACAAGGTCTTCACCTTTCAAAAAGTGAAGAGCCAAGAGATTGTGCGTCGCATCAATGCTACGGAGAAGGAGGTCAACGAAGCTATCGAACGCACCCGGGCTGCGGAGCAGGATGAGCGAGCCAAAGCCAACGCACCCACGGAGGAGGAGTACATGTTGCTGGAGGAGGACCTCTCAGACATCATCGCGGACGTCCACGATCTTGCCAAGTTCACGCAGCTCAACTATACTGGATTCCAGAAGATTATCAAGAAGCATGACAAGCAGACCCATTGGCATCTGAAGCCTGTCTTTGCAGCCAGACTGAACGCGAGGCCGTTCTTCAAAGACGACTACGATGTAACAGTCGTCAACCTCTCGAAGCTTTACGACCAAGTCCGGACAAGAGGCAACCCTATCAAAGGCGACTCATCCGCAGGTGGCAAGCAGCAGAACTTTGTCCGGCAAACAACCAAATATTGGGTTCATCCAGATAACATCACCGAACTTAAACTCATCATCTTGAAGCATCTGCCAGTGCTGGTATTCAACCCAAGCAAGGAGTTCGAGAAGAAAGACTCCGCCATTTCTTCCATCTACTATGACAACACCGACACCTGGGAGTTGTACGAAGGCCGCTTGAAGAAGACCGAAGGCGCCGAAGCTATTCGTCTCCGCTGGTATGGCGGCATGGAGACCGACACCATTTTTGTGGAACGGAAGACGCATCGCGAGGATTGGACTGGCGAGAAGTCGGTCAAAGCTCGTTTCTCGCTGAAGGAGAAGAATGTCAATGCCTTCTTGCGCGGTGACATGACTACTGAGCAGGTTTTCGAGAAGGCGCGGCGGGAGGGTAAGAAGAGCGAGGCGGAGATCAATGACCTTGAGCAGCTTGCCAAAGAGATCCAATTCCGGGTGATTGACCGTAAACTCGTGCCTGTTGTGCGCTCGTTCTACAACCGAACGGCCTTCCAGCTACCGGGTGACGCACGCGTGCGTGTCTCGCTTGATACCGAGCTTACGATGGTACGGGAGGATAACATGGACGGTAGACGACGAGCGGGCGACAACTGGCGTCGGATGGACATCGGCATTGACTATCCCTTCTCACAATTGCCGCCGGAAGACGTCGAGCGCTTCCCGTACGGCGTGCTCGAAGTCAAGCTTCAGACGGCAGCTGGACAAGAGCCGCCCGAATGGATCCGAGAGCTGACCGCGTCGCATTTGGTTGAGGCCGTGCCGAAGTTCTCAAAGTTCATTCACGGTTGCGCTACGATGTTTCCAACCCGTATCAATCTTTTGCCGTTCTGGATGCCGCAGATGGACGTCGATATCCGGAAGCCGATTACGCACCACTTCGGCCTAGATCGTCCCGGGCACAGTACAGATGCAAGTACCAGTACTGCCATGGAAGATGATACTGATGACGAACTCGAAAATGATGAGGATGAGGCGGCGGTAGCCGGAGACGAGAACATCCGTAGACTCCGTGCTGCGCGCGACGCAATGGAGCAGCATGAGTCTGAACGCGCGATGGAGCACGTCAATGGTAACGGCAACATCATGGACGAAGAGGAACGCATGGCACATAAGCCAATCGCGCATATCGACGACGATTACCCTCTGTACGATTCGGACGATGAGGAAGAAGCGCTCGCAGAGGCAAAACGTGTAGGAGGTTGGACGTACCGCTGGAAGCTGCTCCGCAGGCATGCAGTGATGGCTGGCGACAAGATGCTTGATTTACTAAAGGCAGCGACGCCGGCACCGAGACCTACAGACATACCACCAGCAGAAGGTCGCATGGGTATTCCACGTGGCAAAGGCGTGTCTGAGAAGCGCTTCAAGGCGCCGCCGGGTAAGAAGATCCACGTGCCCGTGCGTGTGGAACCGAAGGTGTCATTTGCTGCTGAGAGGACGTTCTTGGCTTGGGTAAGTCGAACATAACCATCCAGTCTTCGCTATCTGCTAACGTAGTGACAGCTCGAGTTCTCCATCATCCTCGGCTCAATCGCAGCGACTCTGCTCAACTTCGGCGACAACATCTCGCTCGCTTCCGCCTGGGCCTTCACTATCGTGGCCGTTATCGCATTGTTCTACAGCATGGGCCTGTACGTCTGGCGCGTCAGCAATATCAAGCGGAGACGGGCGGTCAACTATCACGATAAATGGGGTCCGAGCTTTTTGTGTGCGGGTTTGATTGGGGCGGTGGCGATTAGTTTCGCTTCTCGATTGTCGAACGGCGGTGAGGGTGGTCTTAGAGGCCTTACGGCGCAGTTGTAGCATGTGTGGCGCATTGCCGCTTGTATAACGTATTGAGATGGCAAAAGCGCGTGTAGATCGCGGGTGGTGTATAGAAGCAACCCTTGATGAGACTCTGAAAGATGACCTCCAGTATACTGATCTATCGCTAAATATGCCTCACAGATGGCGTTTCGAGAGACCATCAGTGTCCGTAATGTGAGACCGCTTGGCACGTGCAGGCAGAAACGTGCACGTCCCAAAGCTTCTCTCATGCGGGGACTGCATGCTGCTCACATCGTGCATGATAGCAGCTTAACGGAGCTGTTGCAGCATACATGTTAAAGAGTGCTGCGTCTTAGTTACTTACTGTCCCACCTTCACATCACCTCTGATATCGTTGTGTTAATCGCAGAAAGGAGAGCATAATGGCGGAAGCAGTGCAGCAACAACAGCAGCCGTCAGACGAACAAGCACCTCTGCTTGGTGGACCGGGGGATGCAAGCCAGCAGAACAAGCCGCTGTATTACAACTTCATCATTGGTCCGTCTGCTCAAGGTTTTGAATGCGCGTAGCATGCGCTGACTCACACAATAGGAACCGGCGTTGTTGCTCAAGGTGGCGCCTGGATTGTAAGTAGTGTATACCCCCTAAAAGGCGACTAGGCTAATAGATTCAGTTGGCTGCAATTGTATGGGGTGGGTAGTGCGACAGTAAGCGGCTTGAAGCGCATAACATTGCTAACAGCCTCCACCATTGTCATTAGGCTCGGTCTTCTCGAACCAGCTGATACTCTTTTCTGCGCATCCGCTGCTCAACTCCGCCGCCGTACTGTTCTTCATCCAAGGCATCCTCATCCTTCAGCCCACCCATACCGCGAAGCAGAAAAAGCAAGGAACATTCGTGCACGCTGCGTTGAACGACATCGCCGCGCTCGCAGCCGTAGCCGGGCTGGTCGTTATTGAGTGTACCAAGGTGCAACACCATGGCGCCCACTTCCAGTCGGTGCATGCCATCCTCGGTCTGATCACCTACATCTTGGTTGCAATGCAGGCGTTGGTCGGCATTACTCAGTTCTTCACACCGGGCCTTTACGGCAGTGTGGACAATGCCAAGGCACTCTACAAGTATCACAGAGCGTGTGGGTACCTGACACTGCTCGTCATGCTGGCCACTGTCTGCGCCGCGACCCAAACTACGTTCAACAAGAACGTGCTCGGCATGCAACTTTGGGCAGTTGTCGTGGCGTCAGTGATTGTAGTGCTTGGCGTGGGTGCGCGCATCAAGCCTAGCAAGTTTGGCTGTGAGTGACCTGCCCGCAACGAGCTCTTAGACCGCTACGTGCTGACTGTCTACTTCTTCTTCTTCACAGGGTTGGCTGGGAATTAAAGGCAACGGCGTTTACATGACCAGAAACGAGGCTCTGGGTAGTGTGAAGCAGAAAGTCAACCACAGGCAGTAGGATGACTGACCTCAGGCAGTGGATTGCAGATTGATCTTGTATAGCTCATCGAAAGCGGCATCTTGGAAAGTTTGGGCATCTGGCATATGTGCTTGTAGCCACATAACACCAAAGGAATCTACTCGTACGCCAGATTTTCTTGTGCTGCATCTTAACGAGACTGCACCAAGGTCATGTGTGCGTCGGGCGACCGTCTGATGTTCTGCGCTTCAAAAGCCGATCCCAGAAACTCGGGCATTGTTCGGCTGCACCTCGACCCCAGTCTCTCCAACGACAGTCTGCAACGTGCGGCATCAAGGTTTCCACAGACAGCCACCGACGCACAAGTCGGTGTGGGAATACTGCGTCGGCAACTGATTGGGTGTGTTCGTCCTTAACGGCTTAACACCAAGCCAAGTGGCAGTACTACGGTGTACGTAGCACGCTATTCCATGATTCCCCGCCTTGCTACCACCAACCGTGACAGATACCAATATAATCCGCCTGTAGGGCTTGCGGGGGTGGAAAAGGTTATAGACAGGTAAGGCATTACGGTAGTCACAGACCTGACCATAAGTACATCTGCATTGAAGTTTGTCTACTCCTACTGAAACGATCCTTCGTCAGCGATGAAGGGCCTACTCTCCGCCTTCATTCTCCTTGTCGAGCTGTCGCTTACGCGGCTGGTAATCACAGCCCAGCAATGCTGCTCTCCGCAGTGCATTGCCCTCCCTACACTGTTCGGAGCGCATATCTTAAACTTCACTGCAGCACCAGCGAGCAACTACACCGCATTAGTTGGTCAGAATGGTGCTGTTTTGACCGGCAACTACACGATAGGCCAATTTTGCAATGTCAGTATCCAATACACACACCCGGGCTGGAATGACACAATCAACGTCCGAGTTTGGCTCCCCATGGACGGCTGGAACGGCCGCTTCCAAGGCACGGGAGGCGGCGGATGGACGACTGGTGCTTATCAAGGCAGTACATCAGATTACGTCCTGCCCGCCGTCGCGAACGGATATGCTGCTGCCAACACCGATGGCGGTCATGACAGCAACCTAGCGCATCCTGACTGGGCTTTGTCCAGCCCAGGCAACGTCAATTTCTTTCTTCTCCAGGACTTTGCTTCAGTAGCATTGAGTGATATGACGATCCTTGGCAAGCAAGTAACCCAAAGCTTTTACGGAAGAGCTCCGTACCGCAGCTACTGGAACGGGTGCTCTACTGGCGGCCGGCAAGGCCTCATGCTGGCACAGCGCTTCCCGGACCTGTACGATGGCATTCTTGCTCTTGCGCCAGCCATCAACTGGGACAGCTTCATCGTCGCAGAGTATTGGGCCCAACATGTCATGGATACTCTGGGCTACTAACCTCCCAACTGTGAGCTTGACGCTTACACCCTGGCCGCCATCGCAGCTTGCGACGGATTGGACGGTGTGATCGACGGCATCGTTTCGAACGAAACCGCGTGCAACTTTGACCCGACGTCGATCGTCGGGCAGATTTTCATGTGCAATGGGACGGTCCCTAGACAGTACTCCGGAGCAGGCGCTATCATTGTCAAGGCTGCCTGGACGGGACCCGTCAATCCCGTGTCGGGCAAGCGAGAGTGGTATGGACTGAACAAAGATGCCAACCTTACAGCCGGTATCGTTGGTACCCAAACGATTGCGACTGCAAATGGCACAACGACCGTTGGAGCGCCGTTCTCCATTTCCACCGACTGGATCAAATACTTCATAGCCTGCAATGCTTCTTACGCGGTGACAAACATGACGGATGCGGCCTACTTCGCTAACCTCCATCAATCGCGAAACCGCTATGCTGGTATCATCGACACGTCCGATCCGGATTTGTCTCTGTTCAAGAGCAACGGCGGTAAAATGATCACGTGGCACGGCATGACTGATCGGCTCATCTTTCCTAATGGGTCTGTCGACTACTATCAGCGTGTACTGGAGCAAGATCCGAACGCTGCAGACTTCTACCGATTGTTCCTTGTTCCTGGTGTAGAGCATTGCCGCAACGGCCCTGTCGCTGGTATGGGGCCATATCCGGTAGATGTACTGGACACCCTCGTACAATGGGTCGAGAACGGGCGAGCACCCAATGTGTTGCTGACGAAAAATCTGTCTTCGCCCACCCAAAGCTACTCTCGCAATGTGTGCGTCTGGCCGAAGGTGCAGACGTATGTGGGTGGTGATGCGAGTGCCACGAGCAGCTTTGTTTGCGTATAGGCCAGAGGGACGGGCATCGCTGGCGGGTTGGTGGCAATGGCCAAATCAGTACATTCAAGACGGGTAATTAGTGCTTGAACTCGACAATAACAGCTCTCTCTGAACCATCCGCGCACCGTTCGTGACAAACAACGCGGAGCGGTGAACATATCCTTATCACCCCGTCAGGCTTCCTCGATTAAATATACCAGCTACCGTAACTCGAACATGCAAGCAGGTTGTTTGGATGTCTGATTCAATAGTACATGAACTGGTTCAGAGCCGAAGATGTTGCTGACAGCGGCGCTTGTTTGATTCAGCTCTCCGGAATCCACTCCGCAAGGTTCGATCGGTATCGGCGGCCCGTCGATTGTCCAAGTCTACATGTAGTTAACCGCATCGCTGTGTTTAGACTTCGGAAACGGCTCGTAGTTAATCTCACAGGCGGGATATTGACGCTGCATCTACGGTATTCCAGCCCCGTTTCCCACATGCTGCCAAACTCCACTCCAGAGAGCTCCGGCTCGCTTATCATGTATTCGCAGTCACACACCAGCTGCTAACGCTACGTCCTCGGCAAACTAACCCATATCGACGCGTCTCCCGCCTGAGACATGGGCGTCATGATGGACAGCTCTGTCGACGATTTGACGGTACCGGTCGTTCACGGCGAGGGTCTACTCAAGACCATCCGCTACGAAGATGCATCTGATGGCGTGGTCCCTGTGAAGGTCAGGACGATCAGTCCGCCTCCACGGTCTTCATCACGTAGTCCGAATCTTGCAGCACGCAATCAACTGCTGGCACGAGGTGCAGCCCTCGCGCAAGAGGCGAAGAGAGACTCTGGCATCGCGCCTTCTTCGACAACCATCGGGCGCACCTCGTACGGGGAAAGCCTCATGTCATCTGGGCTGGGAGGAGCAGCTCGAAGCACGCCCCTTCCCACCATTGTCGTGCAGGATGAGGACTACGCAGAGTCAATAGAGCGAAGCAAATCGCCGCCTGCAAGGAGAAGGTCGAGGGAGACACCGCGTTCGATCAATGAAGAGCGGTCTTCTGGCATTCAGCGCGTCAGCAGTTTTAGAGGCATTAACACCGACATACCAACAGGAAGCTTCTTTGATGACATCAGTTTTGAGGACTTGGCATCGGACAAGCTCGCCTTTTCAAAACGAGGCAGTTTGTTGTTTGGAGGCAAGAAGATGAATGATCGGGTTACGGCGCGAAGGGTGGGACAAGGTCAGACCGACGGCACAGTCCAACCCATTGTGCCAGCCCATAGTGAACCTGCAAGGGCAAACGGAAGAGAAGGTGCGGTAAGCTCAGACGACACTGGAACTTCGGTACCAGCGACTGTTCATAACGAGCTTGCACAAGCGGATCCGCGAGAGGATGTAATGAAGGCACGCGACAGCAAGGCTTCGCCCTTACCTGTCCACAATGCACCTGCACAAACGAATCTGCGAGAGGAGGTGGTTAAGCCACAAGATAGTGAGGCTCCGAGATCCGGCCTGGTAAGTGGTAGACGGAAGCCAAGCGTGCACATGCTTCAGACAGCACTAGAAGGTGGAAGAGTGCTCTCTGCCGAGGAGATTAGCTTCTCCATGAAAGTCCGCAGCATGTACGAACGTGGGGAAGAGCATGTCGCGGACTACGTAGACTCGCCAGTCTCTGCACGAACCGATTTCGGCACAGCAAGCAGAAACGAGCGGAATGTTAGCACCTCTCTCAGCTTCACGAGTGATGTTCAAGCCAACGGCTACGCCATGAATTCAAGCAGTGGTACGCCGGCGCCAAGGAGAAGTTTCGCGCGTGAGCCGCACGAACTTGCTGGCGGTATTGAGGACTGGGATGCAGTCAACAAAGAGGACGTGGATCGCTATGGCTTCATCGTCAAGAGCCGCGTATCTTCGAGGCAGTCGATTGCATCGCAGAGGCCGAGTGACACCATCCACAGAGTAGCCAGCGCTCTGCGCCATGAGGCGGAGCAGCCACGCCGAGAACGCAAGCTTCGCCGTGGACTTTCGAATGCAAAGTCTTCACACTCGGTAGCACCACGGACGAGCAGAGATACGCTGAGGACGGCACCAGCGTCAATGCACAGCTTTCAATCACAACGCTCAGGGCAGGGCATGTCCGGACCATTCATGTCTAAAGACAACCGGACTCTTGCCGACGCGGCGAACATGCTTACATTGCCGCCTGGATTAGCGGACGTAGCCGAATATGAAGACGCTAGCAGCACAGCAAACGTTTTCAAGAAGCGCGAATGGGAGCGCGACGAGAAGTGGCAAAAAATGGCGAGACCGATACGGGACCACTCCAACAGTAAGGGTGGCGGGATGCGCTTTGACTTTGACACGACCGATCCGAAGCTTGTCAACCGTACCTGGAAGGGCATACCGGATCGATGGCGTGCTATGGCTTGGCACTGTTTCCTTTCCACCAGTGCTAGGCGACGAGGCAAGCATGAGTCGGACGAGCAGCTCGTTGATCGGTTCCACCAACTGCAGGATGTCAATTGTGCAGACGACGTGCAGATCGACGTCGATGTGCCCCGAACCATCAGTATGCACATTATGTTTCGCAGGCGGTACAGAGGCGGTCAAAGACTGCTGTTCCGAGTGTTGCACGCCATCAGCTTGCACTGTCCGGAACCAGGCTATGTCCAGGGCATGGCAAGCCTGGCAGCAACACTGTTGTGCTACTTTGATGAGGAGCAAGCGTTCGTAATGTTGGTGCGGCTTTGGCAGCTGCGCGGCCTAGAACAACTATTCAAGTCCGAATTTGTTGGATTGATAGCAGCACTTAACGAATTCGAGCGGGAATGGCTGCGCGGCGGCGATGTCGCGCAAAAGCTGGAAGAACTCGGCATCCCTTCCACATCGTACGGCACGCGGTGGTATCTGACGCTGTTCAATCTCAGCATACCATTTCCAGCGCAGCTACGGGTCTGGGACGTCTTCATGCTGCTTGGAGACGCTCCCAACGGGCAAGGGCAGGACTTTGGCGGCGCGGATCTGGACGTCCTGCACGCCACAAGTGCTGCACTGATTGATGCTACGCGAGATATTCTTCTCGAGGCCGACTTCGAGACTGCGATGAAGGTCCTTACCTCATTCGTTCCGATCCAGGATGAAGATCTGCTCATGCGTGTAGCCAGGACCGAGTGGAAACTGCGAAAGAAGAGGGCTGGCATCAAGCTTTAGGGCCTTGTGCCCGTGTACTGAGTAGGCATGAGCAACAGGTGGCAGGCGCCAGGAAGATACCCATGGGTGCAGATACTGTTTGAAGCATATAAGGTAATATGTAGCCCGGTTCTATTGAAACCATGGTTTTCAACGGTCTCGATCTCTGTGCCGGTCCAGCTCCCCCGAGACGCTGCGCTGTCTGCCAGTCGCATGATTAACAGCTTGCAGTACGAGGTGCCCCACCGTTATCATTTCCTAATTTATGTGCAGAGGGACCGAGAAGATCGTCAGGTGTTTCAATGTGAGCTCCATGCGGCGCTCAGAACGCGTCAATGATGAACGGAATTTGTACGGCCGGTAGATTATGTCTGGCGAACATTCCTGGCTTTCGGGCCCGCCAAGCTGCGTTCTTACTGCGTTATTGTCAAGGGTCTCAGCCCTTGGAGTTGTGCATGCACAGTGACGACTGCGGCACGGCTTGGAAGCTGCAGGCAACTTGTGGAGGGTTGCATTCAATCTTTAGGCGAACGCTCGCCGTACCTTTTCGATGCTGTAGGCGAGCTGCTCGTGTGACATTGATTGACGATCACCTACTGGAGTGTTGATCATTGACGTGATATCCATGTGCGAAACGTGCTCTTCGCGTGAAGTCGATCTGCACGTGGCGCTGCTCTAGGATGTTGGTTCGAAAACACCACTGATAACAGCTCACCTCAACTTATGCGCCAGAGCCGAGAGCGAGCTTACTGGCAAAGTGGTGATGCGGAAACTGGTCGAATGACTTAACAGGCAAGCTTCTAGAAGTTCGTCAGCCGCACTTTGTCCAGACTTCGGCTCTACCGTCCCATCGGTCTCTGGAGGCACGGTTGATTGCGTTCATACTCCGACGTTCGTGATTGGGTAGGGAGTAAAATCGCCGCCACTTCGGTCGTACCGTTTGCAACCGCTTGCGTGTTGCGGCGTAGTGTCTACGGGCGACGCCTCGCCGCCACCAGATCAGCCTGTGCTTTGGACGGTTGGCAGCCAAGACTCTCGACGTATCACGGTGACACGGTGTGCTTGGAGCGTCTTCGTCGACCTGGCCACTTTGTGTGCAGCTGTGTAGCCCGTCTCGGCACACGGTCGGGACGCTAGGAATGCCGGCATCTGGACCCTATGTAATGCGTGATGACCTAAGGTGAGCTTGTTGGAGCCGACGAAGTATGTCGCGACCGCCGACCGGCGACAGCGCGATCAGAAGTGATCTACGGCTCACCGCGGCCTCCAACGGGCAAAGAGGGTGCTTTTTCTCCTCCTCGGACGGCGTTCTCCACACATTTCTTGTTAGTAGCATCAATCTCTGTATTTCATTCGCCAGCGCCTCGTGGTCGACACGTTCGAGCGCCGCATGGCTCGTCACAGGGCTGCTGACGATCGTTTGCCTCACCATTCACGGTTCTTCTTCCGGACTGCCTACGATCATACCCCCGTTAGGTGTTCCGCATTCCGCGCCTTGCCTTGCCTCTTACGGTGGCTGCATTGCCGCTATAGACATGAAACGACTAGGGGAAACGCAGCAACACCCCTGCTGGTCGGGCGAACGTTGCGTTTCATCCAGGGTAGTGACTGCGCCGCCGACCTATGCTCTATCAGCACATGCACCTCTAGCAGACTTCCCAATGCTGGAACTGCCTGCCATCTGAAGCTTTGTGCAGCGGAACGCCCTGCATACCAGAGCGTCGCCGTTTGGCAGCATCTCTCGGTTGTTGATCGCCGGTCGTGCATCTTTGGCCTCGTTTAGTCTGTCTCGAGACTGCACACCATTTACACTTCTGCAGGGCAGACGCTGTTCCCAGTCACGATGGCTTGACGGGGACTGCCTATAACTTGCGCCACTGAGCTTGACTGGGTACTGTACCGTCTACCCTTTCATTGCGCGTTCGGGCGTGAAAGCGTCATTTCCGCGTGGACTTATCAAGTCGCAAATCGCTACCTCAACTAGTATCCAGCTGATCGATTTCCTTCGAGAAGCGTTCCATCTGCTTTGGACATTCGTTACCATTCCGCGCGCCCCGTCACTAACCGCACTCGTCTGCAATTGCCATTTCAGCTTGTTCTCACTTACCGCATACTTGGAAGGGTCTGGGCCTATGTGCCCATTGCGGTGTTTGATTCGCTTCACATTGGGACGGAATTTCCGCGGTAGCGCAGCTTGCCTTTGGAGGAATACCGCAGCCCGTTAGCGACGAGTAACGGCGGACGAATCATTAAGGCGATACTGTTGATCGACAGGCTGGTCCCACAGTAGCTTAATATCCAAGCAGTGCTGCGTTGTTGCACGAAATTTAGCGGGCATACCTGAGGAAACGTCACGCACTGCATAAGACGATCGGCATGGATTAAAAAGTATGTTACTGCCGCTTCTGGTTCCCCTCTACGCAAGACTGCTGTAACTCCTACACAAGCTTGCCTCGCGTTGGACGCTGTCACATGCTACAGCATTAACATCCGTCCAATGCTGCTCACACTATCCCAGCCGGCCAAGACTGAGTGCGGCTACAGACCATCCCATGACTACTCACCACGACTTCCACCGGTTACGAAGTCTCGTGCCTCCCCAAAACCGAAAGTCGACACTGCAGTAAGCTCGCTGCGGGTCAGCGTCACAGCGGACGACATGTCCACAGGTCACCGCGGCCTTCCTCCGCCAGCTGCGATGGCATTGCCTGAACCAAATCGACAACCTCCGTTGTTAAACCAGCCGTTGGGAGCAATGCCGAATCCGCCGAACCAGTGGCAGGGTCACGAGGAATCGATGCGCAACTGGCTGGTTGCAAAAGCTGAGGAGGACAAGCGGAAGCAGGAAGAAGAGAAGACGCGGCAAGAGGGCTATCGCCTTGAGCAGCGTCGTATCGAGCTGCAGATGTTGCACGACTCGTTGCAGGCTGGTGTTCCTCCTTCTATGGTGCCTATGATATATGCTGGCATCGGCGGCGCAAACCTAGCGAACGTCAGTATTGATTGGTTGCAACAGTATGCCGCGCAACTGCAAGCGGCGCAACAACAACTTCAACAACAGACTGCTCCAGACTATCGGCGAGAAACCAGATTGATCGGTTCGAACCCAGCTCCATACGGCGCGCCTCAGCAGGCGCAGCCAATCGTTGCCGCTCAACCTCTCCACCCCAGCCAGCCGAATGCGTCAATACAGACAACCTTCCCAGCGTATGAACCAGCGACGAGCGCGAGAGGTCCACAATCAGCAGCGCCGCGATCTGCGCACACGCAATTGCCTCGATTAACAACGAACGAGATGTTCATCCAGCAGCCTCCGGCAGGCAATCCAGGCAGCGCGCATCCTCTACAACAGACGCAAACGATGCAGCAAGACCAGCCAGCATCGTCGCCAGCACTCTACTTCCATCATTGGGTGCCACCGAATGAGGCCAAAGTACAGCCGCAAACACCAGCCAGTCGAGGCGAACCACTATCCGCTCACCCTGGATCACATGCGTCTGAGGGCGAGTACAAGGAGTCCCCACGCAAGCGCAAAGCACAAGGTGGGCACCAGGCAAATCCACCGCCATCGACTTCGCCGTCGTTCGGTTCGGCGGCAGCAGGTTCCAGGCGCAGAGGCGGCCACAGTCGAACGCGCAGCAATGCGTCGCTGCGAGAGTCTGAGGGCAGGCCAGGCAGCAGACGAGAGGCGGAGTCGTCGCAACCGGAGCCCACCGAAGAGCGGAGGCCGCCCGACCTGCTGAGGCATCGTGACGAACGTAGTACGCGCTCGTCAGACGAGGGTCCTGGTGAGCCTCATTATGAACCACGGTAGCGATACTTGCCAGCTTCTGCTCCTTTTTGTATATACTGCCAGCTTGCGTTTCTCTTGAGTGGGTGATAAGGACCAGGGTCGGTTTTAGATACCCATCTGCTGCATCTTGGTGACATCCTGCAGCACCAACAGCTGCTTTGAACAAAGAGCGATAGGTGCTCGCTGAGTGTCTCCCACGGTACGTCTCAGTGCTCTTTCTTCAACAGAATGAAATTTGCAAAGGGTAGGATGAGTGAAACCCGAGTCAACGTCGACAAGCCTTCAGTGGTGAGACCATGATGAGACCAGATTTACTCTACCATACCAATACTATACAATGTTGATGAAAACAGCTATACGTAGCAACTCCGTAACATGTAGAGGTCATCGTCGGCACGAAAGGCTGGTCCGTGCTATTATTATCACCGGACCACCATCTCGGCTGTTCTCGTTCTGCAACTCTCAAGCACTTTTGCTTGCATGAAAGCACCCTTTGCATGTTGACGCTGGCGAGAGCACTCGTTCGAGTGTCGACAGCATTATCCGCGCGCCCCATATGTGAATCACATAAGGGGCGCTGGCCTGCATGGCTGGCAAACGGTCCCTCCACCGGAATTTCTATAGCTGCAATAAGCTATTCCAAACCGCAGCTTGAACGGCTCGCTTCTACATCGTCTTCGACCAGATGGAAGACCCGTCAAGCAAACGACTCTTACGCGCGCGAAGCCAAAGTAGCCGGGCTGAAATCACGCGCCGCCTTCAAACTGCTCGAGATCAACGAGAAATACCGTCTTTTCAAACGCGGTGATACCGTCGTAGATCTCGGCTATGCTCCGGGTTCATGGAGTCAAGTAGCATTGAACCGTACGAGCCCGGGTGGGAGAGTTGTTGGTATCGATGTTATACCAGCGCAGCCGCCCAAGGGCGTGAGTACGCTTCAAGGCGACTTTCTCAGTCCTGAGATCAGGGAGGAGCTGCGTCGATATGTGCAAGATCCTGCGAGAGGGCGACCGAGGGCTCATCATCAGCTTATGAGGCGTGCAGATGAGCATGGCAATGGGATGACGGAAGAGCAGCTTGAGGATGAAAGTAGAGGCATCCTGCAGCTCGAAAGCGCTGCGAAGAAGGGTGAAGGTGTGACTGCTATGGATGAACGTAAAGAGACGATGTCGCAGAAGGAGCTCGACGTGGCAGTAGGTCGAGTAGTTGATGTGGTGTTGAGTGACATGTGCGAACCCTGGCCTTTGGTCACCGGAACGTGGATAAGGAGCGTTAGTAACCCATGGCGCAGGATGATGAACACGAGCGGCATGGCGTTTCGCGATCACGCAGGCAGTATGGTGTGTATAACATCCGCTCCTCAGGTCTGTCGGACATACTTGGCTAACACTCCGTGACAAGGATCTCTGCCTCGCCGCGCTGGATTTCTGCTATGAGACGCTCGCCACCGGCGGACACTTTCTCTGCAAGTTCTATCAGGGCGCAGAAGATCATGCCTTCGAGCTCAAGCTGAAGAAGCTATTCGACAAAGTCCACAGGATTAAACCGGATTCTTCGCGCAAGGAGAGTAAGGAAGCATACTTCGTTGGCCTGAGACGGAAAGCCGGCGTAGGGAAGGAGGATGTATTTGGCGCAGGATGAGCCTAATCAACAATATGAACGATAAGCCGACAACACGCCAGCTGAGCGGTCATCAGATTACGATGTCATAAGAGCTCGGCATCGCCAACACCACCCGCGCAAAACGAAGGATGCAGCCTCATCCTCTCAGCGTATCATCAAGGTTCTTCCTCGACCTCTTCAACGGCGAAAACTGGAACCCACTCCCGTCCAACGCCGTCAACAGCGTCGAGCCCATCCTCGACGACCCCAAACCGCTCTTCTTTGCACCAAGCGCACCAACACCGAACGTTTTCGAACCAAACAGTGGCCGCGACGGCAGACCCTTTTGAGGCGCCGCCTCTTCTTCCTCGTCAAACAGCGTCTTGCCCAGTCCGCCTAGCTTACGCTTCTTCTTCACCTCCGGCTCCGCGTTGAATGTGGCGAATTCATGGATGCTTTTGCGGATCTTGGGCTTCTTCTTCGCGCCGTCTGCGTCTGTCGGCCCGTCGGCGATCTTTGTCTTGATCTTCATGCCGGTCTCCTTCGCTGCGGGCTTGTTGGCATTTTCCTGACCAAGCGAATGGACGTCCTCGGCCTCCTCCGTCACCATTTCGAGTGCCGGTGCGGTCTTCGGCTTACGCTGAGCTGGCGCCTTCTTGGGCTGCGCATTAGCTTTGCTCGCAGGCTGTGCGGCGAGAGGTTGCTTGTCGGTCTTCCTGGCTGCCGGTGAAGCCCCTCCGGCGTCATCCTCGTTGTCACTTTCTGGTGCGGCGCTCATTGTCCTATTAAGAAACGGCGTGATCGAGAATGTGGACTTGTCGCCGAGACCAGCTGTCTGCCGACCGCGCTTGGCTTTTGGGCCATCACCTGGCGTCCCAAGTGTGGTAGCATCTGCGTCAATGTGCGCAGCATTGCGCTTCTTGGGATTCTTTGCGGCGGCTGCCTTCTTCGTCGGAGCGGTGGCCGTGGCCGCCTTCGCGGTGGCTAGCTCAGCTTCCATCTGCTGAAGCTTCTCCTTGGTCGACCGGAGCTTGATGCGAAACTGGTTGAGCTTGTCTTCCAGGGTAGCCTTCTGCGCTTCAAAGTCACCAGCGGCCTTTTGCGCAGCTTTCTCAGCATGACTGCGTGCCTTATTCGCCTCCGCAAGCTCCTCGCGAAGCTCGGCGCTTTGTTCATCAGTGCTCCGATTGGCGTCGGCGCGCTTAGCAGCACGGGCTGCGGCCTTCTTCTCTTTCTCCATTTCGGCCTGCAGACTCTCCAGGGCATCCTCGAGCTTCTGCTTGGCCTTTTTCTCCCTGAGTAAGTCTTTACGCACATCTTCCGCTTGCGTATTCTGCTGCGCTTCCTCGAGCTGCTCCTCAGCCTTCTGCCGAGCCCGCTTCTCTCGAGCGAGCTCTTTCTTGAACTCATCCACACTCAAATCGTTCTGCGTGACGTCTGCAGCTTCTTCTGCACGTTGACGTGCTCGCTGCTCCTTCTTCAGCTGTCTTCGCAAGTCCTCCATCTCCTGCTCCTGCGCAATCTCCACGCCCGTGTTTCTCCGCTTCGCCAAAGCACGTTGAGCCTCACGCGTCGCATTCTCAACTTCGCACTGCAAATTTGTTATTTGCCGCTGCAAAGCCAACTTGTCAGTCATCAACGCTTCCGTATTTGCGGCTTGTGCCTTCAGGTGCTCCAACTCCGGTCTCAGCACGGACAGCTCGCGCGTCAAGGCCAGCTTCTCCGTCAACGCCGCCGTCATATCCTGCGTGCTGTGCTTCAGAGCTTCCTTCTCCGCTTGTAGACCGGCAATCTCCTGCTCCCTTCGCCTTAGATCAATCTCCAAGACCTGCAATTGCGCCTCTGTGGTTTCCGCACGCACGAGATTTTCGCTAACCAACCGCTCGAAGGAGTCTGAGCGCTCTTCCTCATGCGCAAGAAGTTCACGTATCTCATCATTGTCGTCTTCTAGGATATGCAAGTCAAATCGTAGGCGACGGATGTCTTCGTCTTTGCTGAGTATGTCGACTAAATGCGCGCTGCGCTCGTGCTTGAGCTCCAGCACCGAGCTGTGGAGCGATGCCTCGCAAGCGATTTGCATTGTAACTTCCGATGGCTTCATGATGACCTATGTTACATTGGGTGATGCTCTGTGGGTATGTCTGTGGTCTGTTGGGCGTCTGTATGCTGTTGTATGTAGTCGACGCGATCAGTGTTTTGGCGCGAGTAAACAGTGGCAACGCGGCCGGGAAATCATTCCGCCGAGCCTCCGGATGCCACCATGACACTTTGGAGGTCTTAGGCGATACAGAGCCATTGATCCTCCAGCATTGCTTGCTTGCTTCAGAACACCATGAAGCTGCTAACGATCCTGACAGCATCGCTGCTCCCATTCACCGCACTAGCCGTCAAAAAGTCTTCCGGAGATCGCTTCCAACAACACTTCGCCAAGCAACTCTCCAACGCCGGCCCTCTGAAGCTGGACGACAAGCTCTATGGCGACCTTACGAAGACTCCTCGAGACTATTCAGTTGCTGTACTCCTGACAGCACTCGAGGCTCGCTTCGGCTGTCAGCTGTGCAATGAGTTCCAGCCGGAGTGGGAGCTGCTTGCCAAGCAATGGACGCGAGGGGACAGAAATGGGGAGGGCAGGTTGCTGTTTGGTACCCTAGACTTCATGGACGGCAAGGGCACATTTCAGGCCGTATGTGTTTGACGTACTCGAAATACAAGCAGCTTGAGAGTTCGGAGGCTGATCTGTCACACAGCTACAACTTCAAACCGCACCTGTTCTGCTCCTGTTCCCACCCACCACCGGACCGAACGCGAAGCCGGACAATGTCCCTCAACGTTTCGACTTCTCTTCTGGGTAAGAATAACTATGGTGTGGCATCCGATACTACACATGCTGATCGCTCGACTCTAGCATCAACAAGGCTGAGCCAATCCACTCTTGGCTCGTCCGCCAATTGCCCGACATCCCACATCCAGCCTTTGTCCGCCCTATCAACTATCTTATGATTGGAATCGGCATCACTGCAGTGCTGGGAGTAATCACCTTCTTCACAGTCGCCGCGCCTTACGTGCTGCCCATCATTCAAAACAGGAATCTGTGGGCTGCCATCAGCTTGATTGCCGTCTTGCTGTTCACCTCAGGGCACATGTTCAACCATATCCGCAAGGTCCCATACGTGGCACAGGATGGCCGAGGCGATGTCAGTTATTTTGCTGGTGGGTTCCAGAACCAGTTCGGGCTCGAGACGCAGATCGTAGCAGCGATGTGTAAGTGGATCATACCCCGTGTCCTGTCGCTAGTGTAGCTAATGGACATTGCAGATGGCGTCCTTGCTTTCGCGACCATCAGCCTGGCACTCAAAGTCCCTCGGATCGCCAACCCTCAGACACAGCAGGTAAGTTTTCTGCCAATTGTACTCTCTACGCCGCCGCTAACAGCATGTAGATCGCAGTAGTGGTCTGGGGCGGCGTTATACTCGGGATGTACTCGTTCCTCCTCAGCGTCTTCAGAGTGAAGAATGGAGGCTACCCTTTCTGGCTACCTCCGTTTTAGGAGGAAAACATAATGTATTATAAGGACCGTTCTGAATAGAGCCGGACAAACCAAGCGGCATGTGGTGTAGCATAGTGGAAGCAATACATCGTCTACGATTTAGCGTCTTTCTCCGTTTGTCGCTGCATCCAGCCTTCAACCTCGAATAGCAAAACCATGCTGTGATGCACCAAATGTTGTAAAAATGTGGACGAACCCGGAGTCGAACCGGGAACCTTCTCCACTCAGATCACGGCCAGAGCCGATGCTAAGAAGATGTCATACCGCTAGACCATACGCCCGCACCAGGATTTCAATTCATGCTGGGTTTGCACTCTATATAACTCTCCGTTGTAACCACGAAATGGCGCCGAAACGCTGTCTCGGATAGCGAAGGCTAATTCTGCGGGTGTACGACTTCATCGTTAACATTGGCTTCACGTGCTACGATCGAGGCCGCAGCTCCCCCACGCTAGATCAGACCAGGCTGCCGTCTATTCACTCTATAACCGAACGTACCGTCTAGAATATCTCCATCAACTTTATGCCACCCAAGCTCAGTACTTGAACTTCGTCGGGACCGTCTTCATCTGGTCCACCGGATTTGCCTCGATACCAAACAGCTTGTACAACCACCGCAGAATGATGAAGAAGCTCTCCGGCTCGCCCATATGCTTCCTATCAGTCACGAACCGCACCTCCTTCGTTGCACCTCGCAGCAAGCACTCATAGTAGTCATCAATGGGAAAGATCTCATCGTTCACGCCATTGACGAGCAATAGCTTGGTGCAATTCGGTTTGTCAAGCGTGCCGTCCTCGATCAGCGAGAACTTCTTCATACCCTCCTGCTTGAACAACTCCAAATCGTCACCGTACCCCCATTTGTACGCTAGGGTGTTGGCGAGATCGAACGGGTACTCGAGATGGTTAACTTCGGACAACCACCGTGGGTCGAACATGTAGTGGCAGCCACCGCCAAGCGCAACGGCGCCGGCGAGGCGGTCATGGTGGGTATGTGCCAGGCGGATGGCGTAGTAGCCACCAGTACTGAACGCCCAGAGACCGACTCGTTTGTGATCAATCTCGGCTTGCTCATCGATCCAATCGAACAAGGTCGACCACTCTCGCTCTGGCGACGTAGGATCTCTGGGATCTGCGGGCGAGTCTCCCGTGCCCGGGATCTCGAGCACGATTACTGCGACGTTGTTCCTTGACCAGCCTTCAACCCATACAGAGAGCTCGGTGCGATAGCCGTCGAGACCGGTCAAGATGACGAGTAGCGGCACCGGCTTGTCTTTGGTGGTCCCCGGCGGCAGATGGTAGTAGAATGGAATCTCTTTGCCCTCACGCTCCAGACCATGCTTGTGCGGGATGGTTATTTCCCTCGTTGGTCGCTCTCGCAAAGCCATTCCTTTGGCGGCCGCCTTCTTGCCTTCCCGCCACGCTTCGCGTTGCTTGTCTGACCTAGGGGCTGGGAAGCGGGATATCCTGTATACTGCGGAAGCGCGACTAGAGCTGTGAGCTTGTGCATTACACAAAGGGGTGCTGTAGACCTACAGATAGAACTCAGATGCTTTCTCCTTGTTGCCCTCGCTGTCCGCTTTCTCCGCAATGGCTAAGAGCTCCTCGGCTTTGGGGACTGAGACCCAATTAGCTTATACGTTCACGCCAATCCAGGAGAAGCGACATACAGAACGTTTGTGCGTACTTGTCCCAGTCATATGGTTCCCCTTGACCTTCCTAACGTTTGATCTCATCAGTAAACGCAGTGACAGTCCGTATAAAGGTTGGAGTTCGTACCTTCACCAGTTGATCAACGATCGGTAGAAAGTCATCGTACTTGGCAAACATGAAAGGATATAATGCCTTCGAACACTATCCGCCGTTGTAATCAGAAATCATTTTCCACTCAAATCTTCACGTATCGATCATACAGGCTCTTGCCACTTTGTCTTCCATAGCCTAGAGCATATTGGTTAATGGTACACAACAACCAAGAGATGACGCGGAGACTGACTGTTCGAAGCTCTCGTGGTGCGCTGCCTTAATTGACAGCTTATCCTGAATGACTAGCCGAAGTTAGGACAATCGTGCATATATACTGCGTTGGTGAAGCAATGATAGACGTACTGAAATCACGGTTATTAGCACGAGCATTAGCATTGAACTCTTGAGTGCTTCTTGCAGAAAGCTTACCAGAACTTGCCTCCAGGCGCCGCCATCTTACCCTGTTAAGTAGAGCAAGGTCAAAGTGCTGACTTTGAGCGCAAGAAAGGATACACCTACCTTTGCTTATGGGCGACTTACTCGGCCCTGAGTGCGCGCTATCCCGTATGATGAGCGGTGCTCGGGCAGGGTGGGGAGCGGCGGCGTCGGGCGTCTTCTCGGCACTCCACCACCGCAGCCGACCATGTCGACCTCACTCTAGATGGACGACTTCTTGACACAATCGGTATGAGTGTCAAGACTCCTATTCAAGCCATCTTCGAGGGCCTGAAAGGATCATGGAGACTACGAAGATCCCTCAGTAGCTCGCTAGCTGGCTTTCCCTCTGGCATTTTCGAGGGGACCGCCACATTCACACCCAGACAACCGTCAGCACATAGTGTAGCTGCCGAGCTGTTGTACTCCGAACAAGGTGAGCTGCGGACTGACAATGGCTTCACGCTGAGAGCCAACCGAAAATACATCTACCGCTACAATGCGGACGAGGACAAGATCAGTGCTTGGTTCGTTAAGGAGGACACTAAGCAAACCGACGGCGGAGAGGAGGTCGACTACCTTTTCCACGGCTTGGAAATGGAAGACAAGCCTCAAGCCTGGATTGGGAAGGGCGAGCATTTGTGCGAGCTCGATATGTACTGGGCGTACGTCCTGCTCGCGACGCTGGGGTTTGTCCAATGGCGGCGCTAATCCACGGCGCAGTTACTACGAATTCAGAATGCCCAAGATCGTCGAGGAGGGTCACTCAATGGACGTCTTTGGTGTGAGGTACAAAGTCAAAGGTCCACAGAAAGACTACACGTGGGTTGCTGTTGTTGTAGTCATGAGGCCAGTTACTGACGATTGAGTATAGAAGCGATACTGCCTACGAGCGGGCATTCACGGCTAATCTCCCGGGACGTTGATTGCTGGCAGAAGACATTGGCATACGATCATGCCAGCCGTCACTGCTGTCGGCCGCATGACATCCGCAGCAGTACTGTAGGAAAACTGCCGATTTTTCCCTTTCGCTATCATCGAGTAAGCCCACCGTACTGCCAGCATAGCATCATGTTGTCCGTCCTGGAGTACGCGCTGCTCTGTGGTAGCCAGGCAAAGGGAAGCTCTGGGGTAAGGAGGGGATTCCGCGAGACATTGTTCGACTTGCTCGATGATGGGCAGTCCCTGCTTCGCCTACGGGCCGCCTCGCGCCAAATGCACCACATCATCGGTCATCGCCCTGGCCGGCTGTTCCGGAGGTTGTACGTCAAAGCACCTATGAACGATGAAGAGGATCAACTTGCATTGGAGAGAGCTGCCCCTTTCTGTCATAGTCTCACCATTACCATCACATCTACCGAAATGGAGAAAAGCTTGACGACAGATCTCGCTCGAGGTGGCCGCAACAACCTCCTCGAGCTGGTTCGTGGCAGAAATGCGCAATCAAGGATGACAACGTCCAGCTACGATGCCGCAAGCATATACTCCACAGTCACAGGACTCACAGCACGCATGTCCGTCCCGCCCGCTCAACTATCACATTCCGACCAAGTCGCACAAGAGCTGTCACGCAGACAGTGGCTCAGTATTTTTTCTTGCTTCCGCCAACTCCAGACCCTCACCTTCCGGATCCATGGTGATCCCGCCTGGCCCGGCCGGAATGAGGTAGAAGACTTACTCATCACAATCCGTGCAGCCCTTGAACAGACTGATCTTCCACACCTTACTGAAGTGCAACTCAAGCCCATCCACGCAATGGGTATCGTACACCTCCGCTGGACTGGTCTCTCCGCCTTCGGGCCGCCGCCACGCCTGCCAACGCCGACAAAGCCTCCTATAATCTGGCACCGCCTAACAATCCTCGACATCCATCTCCGGAACCCCTTCACGACCTCTCAACTCACACCTGCTCAGCGCCTCATGTTCAAGAAGTTATTGTACGACTACCTCCGTGCCTTTACTTCCACGCTTCAAAGCCTGCGCTTCGTTTGGCTCGATGGCGAAGGGCCCAGTCCTCTCACCTTACACCATGAAGACGGACTAGCCAGGTCTCGTCTGCCTTTGCAGTGGCACGTCCTGGAGACACTGTGGTTGGGTAACATTACCTTTCCGCACAGCACCATTGCTTTAGCGAGCCGGATGGCGCCGAAGTTGAAGGGATTGTGGATGCTGCGGAGTACGTGCATGAATGAAAGACGCCTCAATCTTGATGCACACGATATGTGGGTGGAGGTCCTGTCTCGGAATCAGACATCAGCTGCGGCTGGATTGCAAGACAATACGAGTAGCGTCTCCAGTCAAAGTGCAAGGACGAGTGCGACGCCGTGGGCGAGTGGAATCAGTCGGGTTGAGGGTCGATACCGATAATGCTCGATATAGGCGACCGAGCTGCGAATTTACTTGTCACACGAGGAATTGAGCAATCATGTTATCATCAGTGTGTAACAAATGGTGAGATCTTACGTGTCAGTGTACGCTGGCATGATGCTCGAGTACAGCATATAACCATTATTGCACAATGCGGAAACTATATCGAACAACCGATAGCAGTTACAAATCGACGAGACGACCCGGGCACGGTCATAACAGCACCCAACTCCTCCTGATGCAATGCCACAACGCCATCCGCTTTTGCGCTTAATCGGAGCAAGTATCGCACGACTCGCCCTCAACAATGTATACATCGTAGCAAAGGTTGTCAAACAGGACAGCATCGAGTGTGCTGTCGAGCAGACCCACGGTGTCGAACTCCACGGTGTCGATGTTCTCGAAATCGTTGTTGAGGAAGACCTGGTGCATCTGGTCTTCCAGACCGTCGGCGGTGAAGGTGGCCTTCTGGGAAGCAACCTGGACTTCGTTCTTGTATCCGGTAATCTGGATGGTGCAGGTATCCGGCACACTAGCGACGGTCTCTTGGGAGGCGAGGACGCAGCCGAAGAACTACACTTCCGTCAGATCGAGCAGGCAGCAAAGGGGGGGCATTCTCCGAGTCGCGCTTACGAAAGACTTGAAGTTCCAGTAATCGACGATTGAGTCGTCGAAGACGGAGCTACAATGACCACCTCGTCAGTCACATCCTGTCTGATGCCGGGACAGCGAAGCCTTACGTGATGGTCTGAGGGCCTTGAGCCGCTGCGATAACATCATAGGCGAGCACGTTGGGAGCCGATTGCGGAATCAGGCCAACAGCGCCTTCACCGACGTTGATCACGTTGAGGTGCAGGAAGTCGAGGCTGTTGTACGGTCCGAGAGATGTGACGCCGCGGACCGGGAGGTCGGCGAGAAGGCCTGCGTTCTGGATGTTGTCGAATTTGGTCACGTATGAGATGACCTCTTGGTTGTTGGAGTAGCCGGTGCTGATGTCGTCCTTGTCTGGCAGTGGGGCGGCGGCTGTCATGCCGACGAGGCCGGCGGCCAGGATGGAGAGTGCGAGCTGCATTTTGTAGAACGTGGAAAGAGTGACTGAAGTTGTGGAGTAACGAGTGACAAGTGAATGAGAAGAGATGCTGATGGTGCTGGCTGGACATGATGTGAAGACGGAGAGCGCGGCCTCATATACACAGTGGCACAACATCGGCGCAGCCTCTCTGACCGCGCGGGTGTCTCGTTTGTGTGTCGATGTTGTTTGTCGATCTTCACCTACCTCCACCATGAGGCGTGGACTACTGTATGCGGTAACACCATCGGTGCAGTTACAGGACGGGCTCGAGCGTGCACATCTTCTCCATCTACAGCGTCGGCTGCCCGCCCCTTCCATCGCCCAAAGTAGAACCGCAACAATGCGAGTGTGTGGGAGATGAGGAGTCGTGACCAGGATCCAACGTGCTATAGCATGCGCAGTCCATATTAGGTTACTGTCCCCAACGGTGGCCGTAGGGTTAAGCGTAGTGCGACTTTCTCGCCGATCGTCACACCAACTAAAAGACCTCCACTTTCACTATCCGTTCGCGCCTGAACTAATGGCAGGTGAGTAAGTCGTTGTCTTTCCCCTGTCCGTCTTGTAAATAATGATCAGCTTGCAAGAGCCCCGGCGTTGGCTGATTCATTGCGTCTTCGTGCCTCGTTACGGATTTCCGGGTACCCGTCTGGGCAGCGGTTAACGGTCGGCTGGTTAGAACTAACAACTGCGTGTCCATGCACGATTCAGGAAGCAGCGGAATCTCGGGTGATGTGCTACGTTCATGCCCTTCAGGTCCGGGATTTCGATGACAGTGCATAACAGCACAGGTTCGATGACGGCTAGGGGCGTTTTTACGTAGTGTGCCATAACAATTGTTTGATGATTTGTGAGACGCATATTCATACTCCGCCATCCGGACAGGTCGTATCTTTCGCCTGAGCAAGCATGTACCGTTGCAGTGAGTAATGATGAACGAGGGAGATTAGAGCATGGTCATCGCGGAAGTGGACAGCGAAGCAGGAGTAGATGGTGGTGAGGGAAGAACAGCGCACTGCAGTTCCATCCGCTTCTAAGACGACTCCGTATCGACATGCGCGAGAATGGCTATATGTCCACACATCACCCATCCCTCCACGTTGACCTACCACGGGTACAGCGAGTGGCGTGGACACTTCCCAAGGTCGAGGTAATTCGTGCTCGTACTTTGGGGGCCAACAGCGGCGCATCGACTATACCTCGTCCGGCCTAGACCATCAGCTCAAGCGCGTGCGTGCTTCCACTTTACGCGTCTTCCAATGGCAGCGAATAATATTCGATATTTCCAACCGTGACAATTCTGTATGTTGGCTCTGGTATGAATGTACGGGAGTATGAACTGGAGAAGCCAGATGTTGCTTTACTACGTGCGGATTCATTGCGTTGAAATCTGAAGATCCCTAACCTCCACCCACTGCTTCTGCTGAACGAGCCATGCTGCTGGGCATCTGTGGCGGCATATGCGCCGGCAAGAATTCGGTCCAGGACTATCTCGTCCGACAGCACGGCTTCACCCCACTGGTCTTCCGAAGAGCCGATAGTATTCCAGCCGTAGAGACATCAGCCTCACAAGCCTTCGTTCCCCGTAGCCGGAAAGTGGACGACAAAAAGACAATCACCTTCAACGATATAAACGCCCTCCTCGATCACGCAACCAAGCATTGGCAGACCAACTTCTGCACCATATCCATCCACGACGAGACCATCGTGGAAACCCTCAGTCGCCGACCCTTCTTCATCCTCATCCACGTCGACGCCCCCATCTCCACCCGCTGGCAACGCTTCAAAACCCGCTGCGCCACAGCCAGCCTGACCCCCCCAACCCTCGAGCAATTCGTACTCCGCGACGACGAACACCAGTACAACCCCTCGACCGGTCTCGCCGCCCTCGCCTCGCGCGCCCAAATCAAACTCCTAAACTCCACTTCGTCCATTCACACCCTCCACTCCGCCCTCACCAAACTCAACCTCACCGACCCCAGCCGCCTCCGCCCGACCTGGGACCACTACTTCATGACCCTCGCCTCCCTCGCCGCGCGCCGAAGCAACTGCATGCGCCGCCAAGTCGGCTGCGTCCTCGTGCGCGCCGCCCGCGTGATAAGTACGGGCTACAACGGCACCCCGCGCCACATAACCAACTGCAACGAAGGCGGATGCCCTCGCTGCAACGACTCTTCTTCCTCCTCCAATTCCGGCGGGCAGGGGCTGAGTACCTGCCTCTGCATCCACGCGGAGGAGAATGCGTTGCTGGAGGCCGGGAGGGAGAGGGTCGGGGGCGGGGCGGTGTTGTATTGCAATACCTGTCCGTGCCTGACCTGTACGATTAAGATTGTGCAGGTGGGGATTGCGGAGGTGGTGTATAGTCGGAGTTATTACATGGATGAGGCGGCTGCGAAGGTGTTTCGCGAGGCCGGGGTGAAGTTGAGGCAGTTTTCGCCGCCGGTGGAGGGGGTGATTAACCTAATCGATGATGATGATGATGATGATGAGCTCGCAAAAGATCATCTGAATGGAGCGGACGTGAATGGTGCTTACGACGGCACTGCGATCGACGGAACAGCGAGCGCCGAGTGAAGCGCAAGCCATCAATGTACCAACACAACGTCGCCGCAGTCGCCAGCTGACGCAGCAACAAGCGAAGAGAGGCTCCTATGACAACCCATACAACCCGTTGCAGCGACTACGAAACAGCGGCATCCGCCGATCCAACCCGACCTCTTGACGGAAACACCAACACCTACAACACGTCGACTTGTCCTCAAACCGTCATGACACGACTGCGCCGCCGCTGGAGACATCTCAGATTCGTTATTAAGGTTCGGCTCACAACTGCAGCACCCCACCACCACCACTCCTCTCCGACCCACCACCACCAATCTGCCGCACATGCGCCTGACTGCCGGCGAAAAGACTCTTCCAAATGAACGCCTCGCTGAGCAACAACTCGATATCCTTCTCCGTCCACCGACCCGTCGGCAGCGCCTGCAAGAACACGAGCATTTCCTGGAAGTCCATGCGTTGCAATTTCTCCGACCATTTGACCAAGAACGCGGCGCAGACGTAGAGGTGGAAGGCTGTGAAGCCTTGGTCTTCTGCCTGCACAGCCACCCGTCAGTAGGAGAAAGTCGAAGGAGGCTGGAGGTGGGAGGTGTTAGGAGCGGGTTAGGAGGGGACGTACTAAGTAAGTATCCCACATGCGAATCGTATTCCGCACGCTAATCTCCCGCATGAGCAGACAATTCATCCACCTGAAAGAAAACTGAATAAACTCCACCCCCTGCACCTCCATATGCCTCGCCAGCGCCCCGTCGATCCTACAAACCAGATCCCGCAACGCGCTCACCTGCCGCAGTATCCCGGGCTGGGCATGGATATAGTTATCCTGGATCCCCTGCAACAATTTCGTCAGACACCAGAAGGAGTCCGCTTCCACGGCGTCCAGGACGGGTCGGGGGAGCTGTCCGGGATCCATCCCGCTTTCCACATCCGGGTCGGTGATGTATTGGCCGAGGAAGACTTGCCAGAAGGGGGTGACGAGGTCGTTGATCCCCTGCACGTAGCCGGAGGCCGGGTGCCGGATGGCCCAGAGGTAGAGGATGCGTTCCAGCGAGCGTTGCGTCGCTTCGTATTGATATAAAGGGATGTGGGGGTTGGTGCGGGGGACGTCGATGCTGATTTGGTGCCAGATCTCCTCCACCAAGCCGCGGCTTCTGCCCGTACTATTGCTGTTGGTGCTGGGGCTGAGGTTTGCGGCGGCGGCGGCGCCGTGGTTGTTGCGGGGTTCGAAGGCCTGTCGGACGCCGTCGAGGTATTCTTTCCGCTTGCGCTCGAGTTGGACGATCCGGCGTTCGCTGGAGGTGGGGAGGTAATTAAGAAGTAATTGCCACGACATCGCCCGTACTTCGGTTGGGAGGCCGGACCAGGCGGAGTCGCGGAGTTCGGGGAGGTTGATGGAGCTGGCTTGCAGGATTCTCTTGAACTTGTTTATTCGTGAGATCCGGGCTGAATGGGCATCGAGTTCTTTCGCCGTCGCGTTAGGGGGGATGGAGGGGTGGCTGATGAGGTGGAGGGAGTTTGCGGGATCGCGGAGGATGTCTTTGTATTGGGGGCGGAGGATTTTGCCTTCGGTGGGTTTGTTGAGAGCGGAGGGGTAGGTGGGGATGGCGCGTTCTTCGGCCACGTCGCCGTTTTCTAGCGCCCATGAGGCGGCGGGTGGAGGGGCGGAGGTGCGGTTGCCGTGGCCGTTGCTGTATGTTGATGTACTGCCGCTGCCGCCCGGTTCGGAGCCCTTCTTACTTGACTTCCGCTTGCCTGTGCGCCGCATGGATGCTAGACTGGGCAAGCCGAACTCGTCTTCCTCCTCATCGTAAGCGTCGAGTTCGTCCTCCACCGGCGTCGCATCACCCCACGCATCGTCGGTTGAGGAAAGAAAGCTCGTGTATGTCCGTCGGGGTGGCGTCGCTGTGCCCGCGCCCCCGCCCGATCGCGAGGGTGGCGGCGTGCTCTTATTGCGGCCTATGGAGGGTGGTGTTCGTGGTCTCCCATCGCCGGTTAAGGAACTTTGGTTACATGCCGTCAGCGTGCCAGTTCACTTATATTACCCTTCGCATGGAAATTGGGTCGATTGGATGGCATACAGATTGTCAAACTTGAGGATGTCGGCATGACTGTACGCCGCGCCAATGACCTTGCGCTCCGGGGTGGAGGCGCGCTGGTCTCGCTGGCTGTTGGCGGAGGAGGCTCGCCAGAAGGGTGATGCTGTACTATGCCAATATCACCTATAAGCACGTGATCCCCAATGATATGGCCGCCACCGCTTTTATACCCACTCCGATCGGTCTATAAAGGCCCACAGATCCATCATTAGCTGGCTGGATGGTGCTTGTGCTTGCGGCAGTGGTACGAACCGACCTCGCGCATTTGCTGCATTTCCTGCATGAAGAATTAGCAGTTGAGCTTTGATTTCAGATTGATTAATGGTTTACCTGCTGAGGCGGTTTGCGGAACATGATGAATGAATGCGTGGTAGGCTGTGGGTAGTAGGAATGTAGCTCTCCCCGGGCGAATTGAACATGAGGCACACATCACATTCCCCCATCCGCCATCGCACTCCGGCGTCATTCACAAGCCACAAGCTACAGCCACAGCCACAGCCACAGCCATATGCAAGTGCGGCAGTCTCCGCCCGAGGAAGCATCTGGTCCGAGCGCTGGTTCTTGCCAAACTTCGAGGCTTCGCTTTCCACTTGCGACTCAGCAATACTCACCCACAACATCACCTCACCTCACCTCACTTATCAACTCGTCACCATTACTTCTCTCTCGTCTTGCGCGTTGGTGTACAGCCACTGAGCAGCATCGCCAGCGTAGCGCCAGCACCATCTCTGCTGAGGTTGACTCACCAGGACTGAGCCAGCGCGCTTCGTGTCTGCAAGGCTGAGGACAACCTTCGTACTGACCACGGCCGTGAGGCTGCCCCAACAACCTCCATCCATACCATCCGTGACTTACCCTCAGCATGGCTGACATAGAAAACGAAGAAGACCTCTTCGCCGATCTGTGAGTGCTCTTCACCCTCCACCCCATCACGTCGCTTTACAACCTTACTAAGACGTACCGCAGCTACGACGGCGAAGCGGACGACGACACCGCCACAGCGGCGGCGAAAGTCGCGAACAATGTGGCCGAATCGGTGCCGGTCAAGGCAGAGCCGCAGAGTGACTCGGTCTTGCCCGACGCAGCTCCCACCACCGAGCCAGTCAAGGATGAGCCCGGCGATGACTTCAACATCAAGACCGACTTTGACACCGAGGAGAAGTATCAGCCCACTTTCAAGATGGAGGACGTAGATCATGGCGGCTTCGCCGACGGGCATGATGTGCATGACCGGCCGATTCAGATCAAGGATGATGGGTAAGCCTTTTCGTTTTCTCTGCATACTTACTTTCGAATGCAGTCATGAGCATGTGCAGCATCAGCTGTGCCAGCGGTTGAGAGTAGTTCGGTGCAGGAATGATGCACGCTGCCGGCATAACAATAAGTGGCGGAGAACAAGGCTGGCTTGGCTGCAAACCTTCTTTCCGGCTCGAGTGTGATCTCGCTTCTACTCGGTCAGCGGTTGGACTGCCGGCCTCGTGTCTCGCGATTGCTGCTAGCCTCACCATGGTGGGAATGCTCGATGGGCCGTTGTGACATGTTCTCCGGTCCAGCAAGTGTGTCGGCGAAATGCTTGGTTGGGGGCCCACGCGAGCGACGCTCCTTCGTGACTGTGGCATACCGTTGACGATGAGGGAATGATCACGGCTACGGTATTGGAGGGCAAGGGCGGATGGCTGTGAAGGACTTGGTACTGGTCATCGTGGGTATGCAAGGGCCGGTGCGACCGCATTCGAACCAAGAGCGCAAGACACGCGTAACGCCTATATCATGCTCGTGGTCGATAACCGAGTCTAGACTCTAGCAGCAGCAGATCAGATCAGAGCAGAGCAGAACATGCAGAGCAGGAGATAGATGTGGAAGCGATAAGCCGTGCCGTCGGTTCTCAGCGAACGGGCAGTATAGGCGAATGAGCTCAAAGTCTATACAGCGAGCCACCAAGCATGCTGTCCACTGGAACTCATCGTATACTCTGCGTCCTGCATCCGCATGGACCATACGCGCCCTTCCCGCTGTGGCCCCGCTTTTGGCATAGTTGGACTTCGCCAAGGCAGGCATGTATCAGTGGCAACCCACCCAACACCCACGCTACATGTATACCATCTGCGCTTGGCGCATGCCGCTCAACGCAGTGTACGCGCTGCTAAACTACAACCGCGTCCGGAGTATAAGTGCTTGCTTGGGAGGAGGCAACACTACGTCCCACCGCTACCGGTCTCTCGTTTGCGCGGTTGACGGCATATGCATGGCCGCAACATGCATCGTCTGCAGACACCATGGACACCTGGCTGAAGGCTGCACACGCTCATGATTGTATCGTCGCAAACAATGTATAGTACTATGGCTGACGTGCACGTACAGCAAAATGTTCATCGGTGGACTCAACTGGGAAACAACAGATGGTACGCTAGCCAACCACGTCGCGAGACTTGGACAGCCATGCTAACGACATGTATAGAATCACTCAAGAATTACTTCTCCCAATTCGGCGAGGTGGTAGAATGTACCGTCATGCGTGACGGTGCCACCGGTCGCTCTCGCGGTTTCGGCTTCCTCACCTTCAAGGATCCGAAAGTCGTCAATACCGTCATGGTCAAAGAGCACACCCTCGACGGCAAACTCGTGCGCCCTACCCATACCGCGTCCCCACAAACTCAAGCCAGACATGCTAACTCGATACTGTCCAGATCGACCCTAAACGCGCCATCCCGCGCGACGAACAAGAACGCACCGCGAAAATCTTCGTCGGCGGCGTAAGTCAGGAAGCGAGTCAAGACGACTTTGCCAACTTCTTCCGCCGCTTCGGCAATGTCCTCGATGCCACCCTGATGATGGACAAAGAGACCGGCCGGCCCCGTGGATTCGGTTTCGTGACCTTTGACAGTGAAGCCGCCGTGGACCGGACCCTGGAGTCCCCCCTCGCCATCTGCGGCAAGAACATCGAAGTCAAGCGCGCCCAGCCTCGGGGCGATATGCGCGAGGACGGCGGTGGTGGCGGCGGAGGCGGACGCGGGGGAAGGTTTGGTCGGCACAACAAACATGACAACTTCTCCGGTGGCGGCGGCGGAGGCGGTGGCGGAGGCGGTGGGAACTTTGGCAACCCGAACCAAATGCCCGTTAGTGCCGGCAATGACGGGACGGGAGGCGCGCAGGGCCAGTTGTCTCCTGCGATGATGGCGGCGTATTGGCAGAGGATGCAGCAGTACTTCAATATGATGCAGCAGAATATGGCGGCCGGGGGGATGGGGGCGATGAACCCGATGATGGCGATGCAGCAGCAGAATCCGGCGATGATGCAAATGATGGCGCAGAGGGGGATGAATCCGGCGATGATGATGCAGCAGATGGGTGGGATGCAAGGAGGGGGTGGTGGTGGTGGTGGTATGGGTGGTAACGGTGGTGGTGGTGGGTCGCCGATGAATGGAGGGGTTGGCGCGCATCCCCCGCTCAACGCGCAGGAGCAGATGATGTTCGAGCAGCGCAAGTACGAGCAGCAGCAGATGCAGCGGATGCAGCAGGGAGGTGGCGTTGGGGTTGGAGGTGGGAACTTCGGCGGCGGCGGTGGAGGAAACGGCCAAACGTGGGAGGGCATGTACGACGACGTGCCTGCCCCAGCGGGGATGCAGGGAGGCGGCGGCGGCAACATGCGTGGTGGGCGCGGTGGCGGGGGGCGAGGCAACCGCATGGGCTCCCAAGGTCCACCGTCATCGATGACTCCACAGCCCACCGGCCAAGCTCCTGCGAACGCGCCCACGGGTCCCAAGAACTCTGGTCGGCCGGGCGGGAATTACCGCGGCGGTGGGAGAGGGGGTCATCGCGGTTTCCATCCGTATGCGAGGGGTGCTGGTTAGGAGCCGCATCGTTCTTCGATTGGTCTGCCTTTCCGTCCGAAGCCCAGGACGGGAAAGGGCGGGCCGTACATGGATTACTAGATGGATCTCTACTTCGCGACATCGGCCTCGGCTTGTGGGCTGGTTGAGGAGGCCTCGAGGGTATGCATGGAGGAGTTGGGAGTTATGTGGGGATGGCGAGGCGGCGTGCGTACTGTGGTTGCGCAGGCCGGGCTGACTGGCTGCGAATAGCCTGAATCGGGCTCGGTATGAGAGCGAGAGTGGTTGGTTGTATGATAGCTCGGGCTATACAGCACCACGAGGTTGCAAAAGTATCCCGAAGCCTGCTTCTGTGTTTCTCCCCCGGACATGTGATCTTGTGACATCCGCGTGCGCGAAACACCAGAAGTTCCGTTGCCGGAAGAGGAACGAAGATCACCACGTTGGAAAGCTAGCATCATAAGCCAAGCAAGCCCGGTTGAAACGCCAGACACTTGTTTGCCCACTTTCCAGCAGCTAGCCACACCCTAAGTCATCGTGAAAGTTCTCGTTCAGGTGAAAGTTTCACACAAGGCTCGTCAGATGCCAGACAATGAAACAGGCACACTCCCCCAATTGTCGGAGACGTCGTCAGAGGCCCAGCCCGGTCAGGCTTTGGGCTTGTGTACCGTGACCCAGCTGCAGAACACGTCAGCACGGCTCCCCATCCACTCGCTTGTACGCCACGTCACTTACACCGGCGGCAGCGACTTCCCCCTCTCCGCATTCCAGCCCATGCTCGAAAACGTCCCGCTCGCCTTACCACTGCCATACTCGATCGTCGTGCCCTTAAGGAACGTCCTGTCACCTTGCTCGTAGACTTCCGTAGCCGCCCAGCCCTTGCACTGCCCACAGTCTTCCGGCTTCTTGATGTCGAGGACATACTCGATCATGGCTTTGACGGTCTTTTGCGTGTCGACTTGGTAGATTTTAAAGTGCCTGTACGAGCGGCTCGTGAGTGGATGGACACGATACGTGTACAGTTTATGGTTACGTACAGCTGCTCGCTCTGATACTTGGGCTTCCAGACGCTTGCAGCTTTGGTGAAGACGTGCAGTAGTAGCGTTTGCATAGGGAACATGTAATTAGTGCCAGGAATGAGCGGAGGCGGCGCACGTGGGTTAGATGGTGGCTTGCTGTTGTCGGTCTTTGATGCTTTCTTGGGCTCTGGCTCTGGCTTGGGCGGTGGTGGCGGGATAGCTGTCTGGCCTGGCGGTGGAGAGGGTTTCTTCTCGGCACGCTTCTCGATCTTGGTAAAGATTCCGCTGATGCCCACCGGGGCTGGGATGTCCTGGATTGGGTGCTGTGGGACTTGCACGAGGCATGGCACAGCCTGGAGGACGACCATGCCGTGTGCTGGCGGAGGTGCGGCGCTGATGTAGCCGGCCTCGGCTCTCCATTGGTAGGGCGCGGACATGACTGTGATAGGTTATTGAAGGAGGTGTACTGAATGGTAATAGAATGCTTTCGGCTGCAGTGGATCAGATAGAGTATGGAAACAAAGTAACGTGAAAGCGAAAGCGTCGAGTACTTATCCCACGTCAGCAACCATACGACCGCCGTATGCCAGTCACTAAGTATAGGCTGGCCTTCCTTTGCTCAGGCCTTACGCGCTCCGCGTGCTTCTGAGCTTGTTGTGTCATGGAACAGCCACATCTGAAACAGCTTGACTGCCCGGCCGGCATGCTCCAGTTATCAAGGCTTGTGCCTGGCTTGTGATCGTGCTCGTCAACCGTAGCTTAGGATATACGTGTCTTTCACGCCAGTGCATGCGGCGGAGCGTGCGTGGGGTTCGGTAGGCTAAGCTGTAGTCACCATAGGTCTGTCGCTCGTCAGCCGAAGTTGTGCTGGTATTGTGCCGCGAACTTTGCCCCTTGACGAGACTTGGAAACACGAAGGCCATCGTGTTCCAGCACTCAGTCTAGATCGGGGGTTTTAGTGAACCGGTGACTGTGGTACTGTGCTTCGGTCCTGGATTCAGCTCGATCTCACATCGGAAGCTTTCGCCATGTGTCAGCGGCAGTCATCAAGCGAGATTCTGAACGATGTGTATCTTGGAAGAGGCCACGATTCACTCTTGGTGATTGTCGTACAGCAGTATCGTAGGCCTGATCGCATTTGCGAGAAGGTGATCAAAGTGGGAGGAAGCTTGTAGCGTGCCAACATGCTATCCAATATCTGTGTTGGTTGGGAGACGGTTCAAGACAGTAAGACTTGGTCCACGATCGGCGCTAAGACCTTCGCTCAGCCTTCCTTGACCGTCCATCAAACATGGCATTGGTCGGAGCGCGCTTGCTCCATCCACATTGTTTCAACTTGACACGCCCCGATGAGGCCGACCCGACGCGTCCAAACTGAACCCCTCAAGCCCATCTTCAACATCCCGGTGACGCCTCGTATGCCTCCGCTCACGCCGTCTACGCTTGTCAGTCTTCTCGCTCACTTCAAGCTCAGCCAAACGCTGTTTCTGCCATCGCGCTCGATCATGCTCACTCTGCTTAAGCTGCTGCTGAGCGTGCTGCATGGCCGCGAAAGGATCGTTGGAAGAAATGCGATTACGCTCGCGGTCTTTCCGCCGCGGGTCTTCGTTGCCCCAGACATCTTTCTCCCGTACACCAGCCTGAGATCTGTCTGCGTTCTGTTCTGCGTTGGCAAGCTTGTTGGAAGCGTACCATGGCTTCGCCATACTGGTTTTGAAGCCGGCTGCGTCGGAGAAGCGCATACCCTGCTGCTCGCCGTCGTTCTGATCGTGATTCGCTCTTCGAGCTACGCCATTACCCTCCTTTCCCTTCTCGGCCTTTGATGTGGCTTTTTGATCCGGCTCAGGTATTAGTTGCAGATGGCCCGCATCATCAAAAAGCGGCGCATCATCGCCTTGCTTCCTCAACGCCACCCGAGCTGTCTTACCCGCTCCGGCGTTCTCACGAGCATGGCGTATGTCTCTATCTGTGTCGTCTTCACCGCGGAGCCGTCTCCGCTTCCTCTCTCGTCCAGTATCCGCGTCGTGGATGCGAGCTGCTTCACGTGACGGTTTTGCATCGCGGACATTCGCATTGTGCACGACAACAGTCGGTGGTGTCTCACCACGCAGTATAGCTATGCGCCTTGCAGCATCTTCCTCCTGCATACGCTGTTCCTCTGCTTCATTCTGCGCCGCGGCTTCGGCCTCATCGCGCCGTACGCGTTCGATACTGGCAGTATTGTAGACATTCCAGCTTTTCTTACCTAACAAATGCAGTACCATGTTTACCGGGTGCAGACAGTGAGCACATGGGATGTGGCTTAGAAAGTGTCAACGGTTTCGCGAAGGTTGGAGAGCGTTGCTCGGGTGGCTTGACAGGTGGCAGGCGGGACGACAAGCTGTTCCAGCCACGCCTTTGAATCCTTGCGTTGATCTACGACTATCACCTTGCACCGAGCGGCAGCTGACAGCAGAGCACGATCTGACCACAACTGGCCGACAGCACCGGCAAAGCAGCGAGGCAGGCCAAGGTCTGCGAGGTAAGGAATGCGACACACTCCACAAGCCTAGTCAAGGTACGTATCCTTGATACGACTCGCGTGCTATTATTACAAGGCTCGTAAGGATCCATCAAGGCTGGGCATTGCTCAGGCAATCGACTCTTCGCTCTCCCGTCTGCCTGCCCACCTATTCTCTCTTCTTAAGCACACCCTTACCATTGTTGTGCGACCACACAGTACCCTTTCGGAAAGCTCACCAATATTGGAGCGTTGCCCGCACTAAGGCGCTCCACCTATAGAGTCTATCGGACAATAACTCTACCGGACCGACCGTATCGCGCGGCACTATCTGCTCGGTAGAAGCTTCGAAACACGCACTACGCTTCATCTTGGCCTAGGGTTGCACGGCAACAAGCACGACCTCATCCGGCCGTCTCCATATGTGCGCGCAATCGCCGCGTCAAGAGCTGCTCTTGCGCAAGTGCATTGCGAATACAGACTCGAGTAGTGCTCGTACGAGCAGGCAAGCTTTCGGCACGAGCAGACGTACCAGTGGGTCTTGACACTCTGGCTACGAACTTAACCAGAGAACGACGATCTGGGTGAATCGTCGTTACCGTACTACCACGCACGACTTCTTCCGAGAACTGGAATACAATTTCACCATAGACACCTGGTAGGCTGTGTGCGACACCCCAGACAATCTGCCGAGTACGTTGTTGAAACCCGCCTTTCGCGTCAGTGTCGGTATCAACATTCACAACCATCTCTCACCATGCCTACATATTTACTCCATGGTTTTCGCTGGCCGAGGCCATTAATCCGCATCCACATCATTCTCCAGAACCTCGACGACGCTGCGGCAGAATGGCTCGTTGCGCCGGAAACCACACGCACAATGTTGCAGAATTTCCACGATCTATACCCGGACCTTATCCAGCATCTACCTAACCTACGCTTCGTGGAGCAATATGATGCGAACGATCTGACTGCAAGTGCTGCTAGCCAGCCTTACGCCTATGTCGCGGATAAGGTTGAAGAGGTGAAACTGGGTGTTTGTGTTGACGATGTTACGACGAAGGGCATTGGGAACGAGCAGTGGAGCGCTATGCTTGAGTTGAGGGATCGGGTCGCGCCGGAGGAGAAGGTTGGGTGGTATGTTGTTGTGTGCGGCGATGAGGAGAGGTGGGCACCGTCTACTATTGGGCAGCTGGAGGCTGGTGTCCGGCAGGGATCCATACAACGGTCTTCTGACGGGCACAGCTACGGTGGTGGCGATGTGCGTTTTATTGTTGAAAGAAGCAACGGCTTGGGCTAACATTGGTGCAGAAAGACGCGCAAACGCCGCCAGAGGAGAAAGAAGAGAAGGGGTTCCGTAAGCTGTTCGGCTCTACGAAGCTTGGAAAGCGCAAGAGGTGAGTCGACAGAAGCGGAATGTTAACAACGCGCTAACGAGAGCAGTCGCACCAACGTTACATCAATGCAGTCTTCCACCTCAACTACCGACCCGCGCAGGTCTAACCAGTCATTTACGGGTGCCGAGGCGCCTCACGTACCGGGCCCGGGCACGGCCGCGTGACAACTACAGCGGCCGGGGGGCGCGCAAACTAATGGCCACGCTACCAATGCTACTACTGTCAATCAGCACGCCACGAATGGCAATGGCCATGCAAACGGCATCAGCAGCCAAGCTACAAGAAGCGCTCCGGGAAGTCGAGGCAGCAGCAGTATCGGCGGTGCAAGCATCGTCTCCGGTCCATCGGTCATCCATGAACAGAAAGCACTAATGGCCGAGCATTTCCCTCAAATTAGCCAAAAGCATCCGCGAAGACAGAACGCGAGCTCCGAAAGGCGATACACGGTTCATGAGTCATCGCCATCTCCGCTGATCGAAGAACGAGATGAGCCGGCTTCTCAGCCGTCGAAGCAGCAAAGGCGCAACTCACTCATCACCACGTCCCACGTTCGAACGTACGCACATTCGCCGAGAGAGGTCAGTCCAGATATGACAAGAACGCACAGTCCCGTGTCCACTCTCCGGAGTCCGCATGCGGTGCGCGCACTGAGCCCTGTGTCTATTCTGCGGAACGAGTGGACAGTGCGCGAGTCCTCGCCTTTACGCAGTGAGATTACCACACCAGCAGAGTCTAGAGGAGCAAGTCCCATCCGCAATAGTGCAGGAAACTTGATGCGGAACGGGAATGCGATTCCTCGTGCAGGACAGACTGCGCAGCGCCAAAGTCAGCATGAAGCAGCACATCACCACAACGCCGCCCTAAGCGCACTTCAAGGCCAGACATCCCAACACTCACCTCCTAGCGAACCCATAGGTCCGCCAAAAGCAGCTGAGGTGAAAAAGTATAACCGCGTCTCGCTGCAAAAGCTGCAGACGCAGGTCTCCCCTCCTTCTCCGCTACCCGTACCTGAAGAGAACGAGGAAGAAGAAGTGGAAGTCATCAGCATGTCGCCCGCAGTGAGGGAGTCGGTGTCTTCTTATCGTCTTTCGCGGTCGAGTTTGGCGAAAGACGGTCGCTCGTCCATGTCGCCGCAGAGCGGGAGCGGAAGTTCGACGAGTTTGATCAGTGGAATGAGTTTAACGGCTGATCCGAGTAAGCGGTATTTTGGGCAGAGGATTGATGCCTCGGATTTGGTGGCGTCGGGGTTGGAGAATGCTGTTGCGAGGTTTGGGCTGGCTTAATGTTGACCGAGATGATAAGGATTTGAATTTCTGGGCAACTGCTCGGAGTCGGTGACGATGGGAAGATACCAGATAATTGAGTCCTAATGCGCGGCTAGATAGGATATAGATGCTGGTCTACGAGGAATCTTGATGCTGACATTGTGTCCTGAGACGGCGTCTGAAGCTGCCAAGACGCCGGGTGAAGTCGTTACTCGGGGAGCAGATCTGCGTCACTTTCGACTGCTTCGAGAGTTTTTGATCGAATACAAGATCAAATAGTTGTTACGAACAGGCATTCCGTCAAGTCAAGATCCTTCGTGTATACGGTGAACATGTGCAAGAAGTCAACGTGCGGGAGCTGCAGTAAGCAACCCATGGTCCTGCCGGAAGAGCGCAATCCTGGCGCTCTCGGAAGTATTACTGACAAATCCATCAGACAAGGCGACGTGGTATGATCAGATTGGCAAACATGGCAGTGTTCCTTATTATTGTTACTGACACCGCACGCACTCTCCCGCAGGTGGGGATGCGGTACGGCCTTCAGGAACATGTACTCCTAGTGAACCTCCGGACGAGGTAACTAATCAACCGCATCGTCACAGGCCAGCACATTCCATCGGTACTCGACTCCATTTCGGAGACTGAGCGTTGCACATGCGAGCCCAAGGTCGAGCGCGATGGCAAGCAATATCCGCCTCAAGGTCCGAAGCCGGGAATGTGAGGGCCGAGGTTGGTTAGCTGATGGGCGTTTGTAGGGGACGCATTTGGTATGCTGAAGGCTGCATTTGGCTTCGGCGGTGCATCTGGCAATGAGGGGAGTAGTGCGAAAGATGAGCTGTAGGTTGTTCACGAGGACGAATGAGTTCTTTCCTTTGGTGGTGTTGATCGCATAAGGGGCAACCTTGATGGTAGCGTCTGCCAACTTCGCCTAATGCATAGACATGCAGCAAAGACGGTTCAACGTACCGTGTGGTCACTGCCGGCTTTCAGCATTGTGGTGACGGCGGTATTGTTGAAGTCCATCCGATACCGAGGATTTCAGTCGTGCCTTCCGTCTTCGGTAAGGTCATCTCCTGGCTCAGATTTTGCTGCTAATAAACTCTGGCGTGTCAGAAGCTAACACAACGCTAACCACACAAAATGAAGCAGCCTCCAAACCGACTGCAATCCTACTTTGGATAGATCTCTGCTGCATCCTCACCTCTGGGCCTCTCATCAGCCCGATCCCTCGGATCCTCCCATTCCACGTGGATTTCATCATGGTCTTTGCTCATCAGCGTGTTCACACCTGACGCATCGCGGCTCCACACCTGGAACTTCAAACCAGTCCCTACGACGGCTTTGATGTCGAAGTCTGCCACATAGTGCTCCTTACCAAGCTTCCACCACTGATAATTCTTGAGGCGCAAGTCCTGCTCACTCAGCGTCAGGGTGAGTTCGCAGGTCTTCGAGACGCCGCTTCCTGGGGCCATAAACCGCGGGATTTGATCTCGCGGTAGCGTCGAGTGGACTATTTTCACTCTCCAGGGCTTTTGCCGGTCCCCAAGAGCAACCTTCCCTCGGAAGTGTTTCATCGATCCGCCGCCTGTTCGAACTAAATCACCCTGTGCGTGTTAAGTATGGCTTCAACAGTTGGTGGATGCTTACGCTTACCTCCTTAATCAGCCAATGGATTTGCTTTTCAGCCCAACGCTTTCCGTCGATATGGTCAATTGTCACAGGTGCACCCTGGTGCTTCTTGGGATCGTACCGTTCCCTGCACAAAACCCCATAGCTCAGCGGGCAACGGCGCTCGTCCAGAATATCGATACCACTTATTAAAGGCTGCACCCTAGCAAGTACAAGGCCTTTTACGACTGCGAGTTGCCTTGTCAAGATCAGCAAATTGGCGCATATAACAGGGAAGACAAGCGTCCACGGTGTACTCACGGCTCCTCAGCCGTAATGATGCCCAATCCTTCCGCATTCGTATGCCCACCACCACCACCTGACGCAAACCGCTTCTCAAGAGCTTTTCTAACGTAAGGCGAGCTCCCAAGACCACCGGACAGGACCAGACCACACTGCAGGTCGCGTCAACGATGCCCAACGCGTCGGACTACGTGACTTACAATGGATTCCCCAGGATGCGTGTCCCGAACTCTGTTCAATTGCTTGTCTATGACGTCGCTGATCTTTCGGATCTGCTCATCAAACAGCCCTTCCATCTCGGTCCTTGGCACTCTGGGTCAGTCAAACCATACTGGCAGAGATTCTGATTCTGGAAGTCGTTACCTACCGCTCAACAACAAGCTTGGAGTCTTTGATTCCAGCACTCGGGTAGTCTCGTCCTGGCGGGAAGTCGGGTATCGGAAGCAACAGGAAAGGCCGCGTCGAGCCGCCTCCTATGCTTCGCTTGAACTCTTCATACCGATCAAGCATCATCATGTGGGCTGTAGATTCGATACCGTTCGGGAGCATTGGCTCCACTTGTTGCAATCGAGTCTTGAGCTTCTCAAGGAACTTAAAGTCTATGAGACTACCACCGGCAGCCTGACCTTCATTGGTCGTGAGAGGCTCCATGTGAGTGCGCTGGCGTTCTATGGACTTTACCTTCAATACATTGACGTCAGACGTGCCGCCACCAGCATCGCAGACGAGGAAGACATCTCCGGCCTGCATCTGCTGCTTGCAGGCCGACACGGCGGCTGCTTCAGCCTCGGTCAAGGTGATCTCCATCCGATGGTTGGCTGACTGGCCCCAACCCGCGTCACGAATGAGGCGCTCGATGTCCGCAAGCATGTTTGCATGCTTCCAAGTCGTAGGCACGGAGAAGACAAACTCGACCTTCTTGCTGCTAAAGCGGTGGTCCTGATCCTCGAATTGCCGGATCACATAGCCGTATAAGCTTCGAAGGTAATCCCGAAACCAGGTTCTGGCGCCTGTGTGGTACTCTGGATGTTCGATGCACTCCGGATACCGCGGGTCGAGGAGCAGCTTGAAGTTCTCGTTGATCTCTAGCGTGTCGTCGGTGGGGTCACAATGGAAGCCCCAGGTGGTTAAGCCGCCCGTCGTCTCATCGTAACCCACCGCTGTCTTCACCTTCACTGCGTAGGGTGAGCCGAATGCACCCTCCCATCTCTGGATCGCTTTCGGATCGTGCCAGTCCGAACCTTGAGACTTGCTGTATGCCACGGCTGAGGATATACGTTGGCTCGATGTACGTGTTTCACACGTCAAACAGGGTTACGGACTGCTTACCAGTGCATGTCATACCAAAATCAACACCCACAATGACATCTGGTCTCCAATCACTAGGCATTTTAGATGAACTTTCTCCCTGAGCACTGCTACGGGAAAATGGCAACACTCATTGCGCACACATCACCAGCAAGAGGAACGGAAGGTCATATAGGGGTTGCCGCGGTCCCACGCGCTGCTATCCAGAAACCCTGGATTGCTGAGGAGCAGACACCCAGAAGCCTGGGGTTCACCGGCCCAGACTGCCTCAGCCTGATGCCTCATAGCACCTGCAGGGGTGGCACCACCTCGGTTAGCACGAGCTGGTCCCAACGGCACATGAGTGGCTGCCAGCCGTTCAAAGGCAAACGCCTGTAAGGGCTCAGACCTGACCATGTCCCTAGAAGTCCTGCACTTCTGGCAAACTCCCCTCCTTTTGGGAATCGGACCACGCACAGCCTGATCGACTCCCCGAGACTCACTGCTCCCACACCTTCCCACTTTCCCAGCTAAAAGCCGCCCTCTCCCAGGCCAGCCAGCGCCTCCGGCGTCTTGTCAAGGTTCAAAGCTTTGGTTAGGCCTTCGATTGATCGTGGACAAGCTAAAGCACTTGCCCCAATCTCTACTTCGACCGACTACTCTACCAGCACGATCATTCTGAGTACTAGCTCTACTTCGGAAGCTCTTCCTCAAATGTCCGACACCATACCCAATGTTCAGGGAGCGGCACCTGTGTCCTCCACGTCCACCCTGACTTCGACGTCTGTCGCATCCTCATCAAATGCAACCCACAGTGGGTCGTCGAGCGGAAGCGGAGTTACGACGGGCGCCCTTGCTGGTGGGATTGTCGGGGCCGCTCTTGGTGCCGCCGTATTGACCTTCCTTCTGACCAGCCTAATCTGGTTGAACAGAACGAAGTCCCTAGAAAAATCTTACAGGCGAAGTCATCGAGCAGAAAGAACACTACCAAGAGCCCTGGGCGAGAAATCCAACTCGCCAGAAGATCCCAACCAGCCGAGTTGGGAGTTCTTCCTCCCGCAGCCCGCCGATGACGAGACTGTTCGCAGTGCTGTCAAGGCTCTGTTCGACGAAGCAATGCTACACGTGGAGAACTTTTACTCTCGCCGAACTGCTCACCTTTCACCAGAAATGGTTGACCATCTCGCGCTGATGCAGACTGCCTCGCCGGAGCTGTCTGGCCCCGCTCTCATGTCCAAGCCACGGTCGGCCTGGCCAGGGATAAAGCACTGCCTTGCCTATATGCTTGCTGAAGCGGTTGACCCCACAAGCTCTCCGGCAGTCTCGCTGCTTCCGCTGGGGTGGACGTTGGCCGCAGGCAATGAGGATGATCCAATCTCGAAGTCAAGGGTAGCTGGTACGCTCGTGACCAGTCATTATGTCGCGTCACTTTCTCATCTGACTGACAAGTGCACAGCGAAGCAACAAGCCATTAGCAAGTGGAGACAGCTTACAGCGTTCCTGCACCCACAGCCCTACAACGAGCGAGCCTTCTCCACGTGGCGCGATAAAGCCATCATTGCGCATGCTGAGCGCTTCGAGGCTGCATTCAGGCCGTGGCAAGCTGATATGCAGCCTAGTGCCCACGAGGATGTTCTGCACATCATGCGAAGTGCAGCTGACGTCGCTGTCCTTCTGTTCTCGCAGCCATCCGGCTATGTCTTCCGATGGCAAGCCGTCTCTGGTCAGTCAGGCTCGAACGCGAATATCGTCGTAATCCCAGACTTCATCAAAGTCACAGACGAGTCCGGAATGTCACTCTCTGTTCCCCAAACCATGGTAAAGATGGTAGCAGAGCGGATCTGACACGTTGACATAACCTGGGTGAGTCCGGAAACGGACTAGCAGACGGTAGCAGTTCTACAAACCAAATTCACCTCTCGTAGCTGTAAGCAATGCCTCGTTCTTCGCCATTCAAGCTTCACGTGTTTCATTGAGAAAATATTGCATTCAATAACAATAATTGGTGAATGCTCAGTACGGTCTGGGTGCGCTCAATGTACGCTACGCCGCTATCCAACTGAGTTTTGACCAGACTATGGCAGAAAACTCGACCTTACGTGGATGACCTGGTCGCTTAACCCTCGGCTTGTCGCTGCAACCACGCTTGATTTCGTGCTTTGCCTCTCAACAGTGGTCCGGTGCTCGGTTCTTCAGGTGGAACAGCTAGCAGAAGCATCTCTCGAGGTTTGTCTGTCCGCAATGGTGGGTCAAACAGTGATGTGGGCGGGTGTTCAAGAGTTGAGCAAGCATCCACGGGCGAACCTGCGAAAAGTGAAGGTGTCTCCGAGTAACCTTCTGCAGGTGCTGTTGTCTCACTCATGGTTGTCGAGCTGAAAGATGCCATGCTTGCTCGTTGGCGAAGACGACTGTTCCTGAGTCTACTTTTGTGCAGGAAGTCGGTCTCATCGTATGCGGGAGGAGGTCCGTTCTGGGAGATCGCTACGATTTCGGGTAGTATATACCGGCTACCTTCCTTACCGCTCAAAAGACCGATAGCGGCGTTGAGGTTCGAATTCGCGAATTCCAATTTTTGCAGACTCACAGGGAGCCGAGCTGAGTCTTGAAATACGAACTGTAGGCGGGTACGCAGGCTTACACGGCCAGCCTTCTTCCCTCCAGACACTTCCAAATCTGCGCGAGCAGCTTCGACCAGTTTTGCGACCGAAGCAATAGCTCGTTCGGCAGGTTGCAACGCGTCTTCGACCAGTGACTTTTCTATGGAGCTCAGTAGATGCGACTTTTGGTGGAGTAGAGTTTTCGCCTGCGCGAGCCTTGTAGTCATCCGCGAGGTAATCTCCAGAATGTCTCGGGCTTCCTGATCGACGGCGATGACCTCGAAGATCTTCTCTGTGACGCGAAGGGAGGCTTGCAAGGCCGTTGATAGGGCGGTAAGCTCGCCGATGACTGTCACTGGCATCGTGCTGGCGACTCTCAGGGCTCAGTTGAATGTCAGGCGACAGTCCGTCAATCAGTATGAACCAACTTTCTGCACTTAGAACATTACCCATAAGTCAACGGGTTAGTTTGTCCCGAGGTCTAGTAGCCAAAGCATAGGCGTAGATATCCCTGCCTTAAGGTGGGCAGAGCCATGGACTAGGGTAGATTTGCCTCGGAACGATCGTTGTTGTTGATGCACCGTGCGCATAGATGGGTGAGTATGTCACCCAGAACGGTCACTGCGTTAGAACCGAGTTCCCCTAGCATGCAAGGCTTGGTGGCGTGATGTCAAGTCGACATGGCCGAGAAGGCAATGTCGACGCCTTGAGGCCCAAGCTTCACAAGCTCTACATGCAAGCTTCAAGTCTCGCCATGAACGGCTTTGCAAATTATTGACCACTGTGATACTGCTTACAGGGCCCAACGCTACATCAGCAAGGTTACGGCGCTAGACTAGGCGATGAGCAGCCTCTTGCTGCGCTCCGGATGATCACAACCGGGCCGTCCAATGATGCTGCGAAGATATGTCCCTCCAATCTTCGCAGCCTGATAGCATCGGCTAGGGCGCAGTCAGGCCTGTCCACAGAACGGCGGCTTGTTTGTGGACGAAAATCGGAGCGGTACAGATGCAGCTCCAGATCTCGCAAACTGACGCCTATCCAAAAACTCTCAAAAGACACGAGCGGCGACTGCGAGCGTATGATGTATCTGTATCTCTGCAGCAGCATACCCTCAAGCCCACACTATGCGTTCTCAGACTGTCAAGCACCTAGCCAAGCTTACAGCGGCCTATGGCCATCAGCCGATCCGCCTGGCTGTATGGCCGGATCTGGCAGGGAATGTGATATGGCTGTCGAGGCTGCAGCGGGGCTTAGAGCTGTCCTCCCCTAGTTCGCGAGTAGAAGCCTTGCTTCTTCACCGGTGCAATTTCTTCTGGCCTCTCAATTGCCTTCATAGACGCCATCAGGTGTAACCGGCCAGGGAGCATAGTTCCAGTGGCGTGATGTCGCATGGCAAACTTCGGCAACTTTGCACAAAGAGAGCGCTCGCCCGTATAGGTGACAAGGTAGCGGAGAGCAGTACCCGTCTGTGCTGCTAATGAGCATACTGACGATGAATATCGAGCCAACCTTCCACATGTGTAGAGAAACGCGAGCCGCGAGCCTCTCATGTCTGATGGCGGGGGTCGATCCTATATAATGGAGGGTCAGGTTCGCTCGCACAGCGGTGAGCCTTGCGCCTTCCACATTATACCAAGCAAAAGCGCATCTAAAGAATGGCGAAGATTCTACGCGTTGCATTTGCGGAGCTGGCGCTTGCCCATATTGCTCGATCATACCTTATCCCTTTGGCTTCGCACACCGCATTCATTGAGGATGCACCTGATGTTGATGGCTGGACTCCACGACCAACACAGGCGCCTTATGCCCAATATTTCGAACTAAGCGATCACCGCAATCTCTTGGCCCGACAAGCTGGTCTCGCAACTTGCGGTTACCTTGCCGGAAATGCGTCGCTTCCCATCACCTGTACGTGGTTAAACAGGCACGAGCCTCACTTATTGGGCTGAACATTGCTAACACTCCTGGGTTCACTCTGTAGGTGACGCTGGTTACGGGTGTGGCTACAACTCGCCAGTTCCATACGGCCCGATATGCTGTTCCACTAACGCAGCTGGAAACTTCGTTTCCAATTGCCCATACCCATCGTCGTGTGTTGACTATGCAAATCCACTCAACACCTTTTTAGTTGAAACCACGTCCAATGGCCAGCTTTGGTGGTAAGTAGATACAAGCTTGACTGTACAAATGGTGTGTAACACAGCGTTAACTTCTCAGTCCCTCGTCACTTCCGTACTGCTCAACAGCTTATGAGCCCATGGCCACCACCTACTTCCTCTACTGGTGCGCATCGGCTTCTGGCGCAGCAGCATTAACAATTCTTCCGTCTACCACTGCCGTCGCTACGGGCCATCCAACATCTCTTAGCTCACCACGAAGCTCGACGGTTGTGTCAAGCACTTCATCGACTCCTATTGTCCGGTCAAGCACGACGTTGTCCATAACCAGTTCGTCAAGCCCAGTAGTGGTCCTGCCATCGTCCTCTCATGGGACGTCTCCAACGCCGCCGCCGACGCCGACGCCGACGCCAAATCCGACTAATGCAGGTGCTATCGCTGGTGGTGTGGTTGGTGGAGTCGCTGCAGTCGGCATTATTGCTGCTATCGCTGTGGTCGCCTTCTTAAAGAAGAAGAAGAAGAACGAACGTGAGAAAGCTAATGTGCCTGAGGTCAGCCAAGCCAATATCTAATCCTTTCCTAATTGGCTGGTGAAAGCTGGGCAGCTGGTGCACGTTGACCAATTTGGCTACTGCTCAGCAACGCATCGCGAGAGAAAGGCAACGAGTTCTGCTTACACCTGAACACTATCACAATGCTAGTAAACAGGTATGAGAGTGAACTCATGCATTCTCCCTCAAATTCGGCGAGAAGGCAAACCGGTATATCTGATCGCGAAATGTATGCTACCGGGGTCGGACCACAAGGAAGATTATTATCCGTTCCGGCGGCGGAATGCGCCTGGCGGATGAGCCGTGAGCACCGTTAGGGTAATAATTTTCTTCATGCCCAGGCCCGATGAGCGGTCCTGGACAAGATCGTTGCCCTGCTCCATCAGTAGATGAAGGGCTGTCATTGCACAATGTGCCATATTGCTGGAGAGGATGTAGCGTAATCGTCGCGTGACTGGCCTTACATGAACTTAGGTCCGCGCCGTAGGGCCTAAGCTTTCCAAGCCCGCTGACAAACTTCATGGGGTTCTCGATCCTGGACTACTTCTATCTCAATTAGAGAGGCTTCTCTACAATCACCCATTGACCAGATGTGGTCTCAAACGGCTCTACACGGATCAAGCAAAGCGCAAGACCGATTTGGCGGTCCTTGACCTGCAATCGGCGCATGAATCTTTCCCACCATGCCCTTCACGCAGTAGAGACGCCCTCGCAAGTGCGCAACCCCAGGGCATCCTTTCTTTTGCGGCGGTCGCCGACCGGTAACTCCTTAGAGCGTCCGTGTCACATGCGCTCGGACATTACCGAGCTGAACTTTCTAAGGCTTAATCTAATCTGGAGTAGTGCTCGTCTGAGTCTAACTGATAGGGTTAGTTTTAGCTGCACGAGGCTTGGAGCTCCTCAAAGCCAGCCAGTCCCTTAGCTCCAACCCCTTCACCGGTCAAGCCACAAGTCACTGATATTGCAGTGGTCTGAGTCGAAAAACGCTTCTAGGCCCGAATGTGCGGCCTCAGACCCGCGCACATACGCTCAGAGCAGCGAGCAACAGAAGAGTGCTGAAAACAGTTTGGGATGCCCTAGGATCATGCTAATGAGCCTTCTTGAGCTAGCATCTGGCGTCGTCGTTGTGAATATGAGCAGCACCGTATTTCATGAGGTAGCTTCAAGCCTTGGTCTCTCCGGCACTTAGTACCCTTCAAGTCTCTATAAGTTGTTCGACGGCATTGTACTCTTGCAGTTGCGGAAGGACTTTGGAATAGCCAACAGAACGTCCATCGAGATGGCGCTGCGTATAGCTATCGCACAAGTAGCACTTACACACGTGGCTCGCTCGTATTTCGTTGCCCTCCCTGATCCCACCGCATTCGCTGCGGATGAGCCTGACTTTAACGGCTGGACACCATTACCAACACAAGCGCCCTTCGCAGAGGAAGGCGGGCTAATCGACCGTTTCGAGCTCTTCGGCCGCCAGATTGCTGCCCAGACATGTGGCTATGTAAACGGCAATGGCTCTCGTCCGGTCACCTGCGCAGTCGGTTATGGCTGTGGGTACGACACTTCATACAACTATGGACCAGTCTGTTGTCCTACCAACTCCGCCGGCAGCTTCACCACGTACTGTCCGCCAGCGACGGCGTGTATTGATTATGCCAACCCAGCGAATACCTATTACGTAGCGACGCTTTTCAGCAGCGAGCTGTGGTGGTAAGGCAAGGCTCTACAAGCGTGCTGCAATGATGTGCTGATCGCTCAATAGTCCGTCGTCTGCGCCATACTGCACCACGCTTTACGAGATCGGAGCATCTACGTATTCAGCCTACGGCTGCGCTACAGCGCTCGTCAATCTGCAGTTGACTGCGTACGGAAGCCCGACAGGTGTCAGCCTCACCCCGGCAGTAACGCCGGCTTCCACGACCAGCCGTTCGACGACGCCGACGGCATCATCAACCTCGTCAACGACCACTCCAGCTGCATCCTCAACGCGCCCATCAACAACAGCGTCTAGCCTGTCAACGAACACTCCAGCCATGTCTACCATGCGTCCATCTTCAACGCCATCGTCGACTACCACCCCGGTCACGCCAAGTACGACCACTCAGTCTGCGGTCAGCTTACCGACAACGACTTCCACGAGTTCGTACAACGGTGTGTTTGGCGTAGCAGTACCAACCACTTCGTCCCCTGTCCCGCCGACTTCGACCTCGAATTCTGCTTCGAATAATGTGGGCGCCGTAGCGGGCGGCGTTGTTGGTGGCATTGCAGCCATTGGCATCATCGCGCGAGCCGCTTTCATCTAGAATCTGGAAGATCAGAAGGAGAAGCACCGAGAGCGATCCTCCGGGTATCAGTCGAGCTAACATACAGTCGGTGTTTGTTGGCTTGATGCTTGATGTTTGCACGATGTTATGAGCTTCCCTCACTGTCGGAGTGCGGCGTTTGATATCAGTACTGTAGCTTTCGTAGCTGGCGTTCGGACTCAATGCGTTTGAGCGACTGAACAGGATTGGCCGCCTTCGGTACATTAAAGAGGATTTTCAGATGCACAAGTTAGGGCTACAAATAATCCAACTCTCTTTCTGATCTACGAGAATTGATCGTAGCATAACCTTCAATGCCAATGCTTCAATGTCGCGCGTCTTCAGCAGGCGGGAATGATCGACCTCTGCTTTGGTCATGAGCCAAACATAGTTCTTGTATCTTCACTGCAGTAAATCTAGTCCGGAAGCCGATGTAGGCAGGTTGATGATACTTGGTTCGCAGCGAAGGTCACTCGCCAAGCACGCTGAAATGGCGAAAAGCTCTTGAAACCCGTGCATGGCTTCCGATCCATCCAAGCGTCGGAGAGCCTGACAGCGGTAAGTAACCTCACGATCGTACCAACATCGAGCATAGGCCTAAGCCGAGCGATGAAATGAGGCAGGTAATCCTTGCTTCTATCGGACGTAGGCGAGGGCATCTTAGAAGGAGTCGGCGGCAGGGTACGTGCCTTGCGAAACATACAGCATGTTCCTAGCCGCTGAACACGGCGGCGAAGAAGATCAGCGCGGACATGCTCATTGCGTCCTAAGAGACGTAGGTCCATTGCAATGGACGTGACGACATGCACAAGCGTTTCTTTAGCCTTGTAGGCAGTCTCTTAATTCACATTGCACACAAGACATGAGAGTTGACGTCCAGCATTGTTGAGGTAGATGAGTTTGACGCGATGATGTGAAGCGATGTACGAGCGCATAATCAAGAGTGCTTTTCTTCCTTCCCTTCTTTCAGCCTCGGGCTTGGAATGCCGAAGATTGCCAGTCGGCTGATGCGATACAGATGGTCCCCTTCCTCGTACTCCAGCCGGTCAGATTCCCACGTGATGTTGTTATAGGCATTCATGACCGAGAAAACCGTATTCCAAATGAAGGTGAGAAGAAATAGTAGCCAGTAAGCCAGGTCCTTCAGGTGCCAACGTCGGGCATAGGCGTAGAGGAAGACTACGAAGCCTACCAACGCAGTGGGCTGCTCAATGGTCAGCACGTACTTCACAAGCGTTGGATGGCATGTATGATAACGTACCAGCATCATCCGGTTGAGCCTAACAGCAAGAAACAGGAATTGCCTCCTAGTTCCCAAGTCCGCCTCGTCCCTTACCCAACTAGCACGCTGGCACATGCCAACTGCAGTCTGCAGCCACGCCGCCCAATGGAAAACAGCAAAAGCCGTGAAGACGCCAACGAACGGCCCGCTCCAAGAATGCCCTACAGAGCCCAGTGCCGCAGCAGTGATCAACAAGCAAAGGCTGATGATGAAGAAGATGTAGAAGACTACAGTCTCGGTTTGACGATCCATTCCCCAGAGCTTCTTCTCCGGAATATCGGCGTGGCGCGCGTGCTGCTCTTCGGTCTCTCCCAGGCCGTGTGGCGCTTCCTGGGAGAGCCGCCGGTTCGGGTCACTTTCATAGTGGTGGTGAGGTTCTGAGTATGACGCGTGGCCGGGATCTGCCATATCAGGTGATCCAGAAAGAGGATGCAAACGCGCTTTCAGTACAGTAAAGATCGGCTACTGTTCTGGTGGCCTGATTCCGCTCGCCCTTGCTGCAAGGCACTGCCGCTGAAAAAATATGCTGGAGACTGCAATGGTTGTCAAGGTGATTCCAGATGCGTAGGACCAATGTCGCTTGTCCGATGAATGCTCCGGTCCGCAATTGGATGTTGCGACTTTGCCAGACGTTGGTGTTTGCTGATGAAGACGGAAGGCTTGTCCGTCAGCATCCGGGGTGCACGCTAACGGTCCGCTGCGGCAAACCCCGCCCAAGGCCTCCAGTAGCTCGCGTTTCGATCGCGACCAGCCCGTCCATCAATATCGCAGATGTTGATTGCACAGTGTATGCGCTTAGCGCTTCTTGCGTCTACAGCTTGGCCTACCTTCGTGTTGGAGTGATGGGTAACACATCATCACAGCTTGCGGACACGACGCAAACCGAAGCTGCTGCGCAGCTGCAACCGCAGGGTTCGGAGAGTGTAGATAGTGCCGGGTCACCCGACGGGAGCGAGGTGCGTTTTTCACTTCTCGCAGTCTTGCTTCGTTCTGACACTGCACAGATCATCGTACCCAGGCCGTGGTCGAAGGCCGCCTCCCCGAAGAAGCGCAAACGAACAACTTATGACCACAATGATGTTGGGAAGGAACAGATGGGACTGCATAGTTCGAAGAAGGCACGCGGACGCCCGCGAGACCCGTCGCTACTCAAGCCTGGATCTCCGAACAAGCCTGTCTCTCAGACTGCCAATGGCGACGTTGACGAAGTTGTCTCTTCGCCTGAAGTACAGGCGGAGTCAACGCGGACCCAAAGGGGGGCACGGTCCGCCCAAATATCAGACATGACTGTTGTCGAAAACGGTACCGGCGAGGTGAGATCCAGTCTCCACGGTGGCACACAGACGGACGTCGACAACGTGACCGCCCCTGGGAGCATGCCGTCTAACCACATGGCGCCTACATCGTTTAAGAAGCATGCTCGGAAACACCATGCTTCACCTAGAGATGCTCAAACAGCAACTTTCAGTCTTCCGCAGGAGCGGGGACGGGGCTCTCGTCGACCCCGCAGCTTCGCTCAGGCTGATCGAGCCGTAATCGACGTCCCCGCGACGCAGAAAACCAACGCGCAAGCGCCAGCGCGTCGAAAGCGGCTCAAAGCGACTCCCTCATCTGGCGCATATGCACAAGCGGATCATAGGGAGGCAGGGCCACTTATTACAGCAGTCCACGAGCAGCCGCAGCAAGTGTTCACGGAGAGGAAGCCTAAGCAAAGCCGATCGTCCTTAGAGGCAAGTGGGCATCCTACTACTACTACGCCCAAGACGAACAAAGACTCAACGAAGCAAGTCAATGACCATACTGACGGACCGACTCGACATGTATTACCAACCATTCCCGTGGCCGGCCGACTGCCGCGAGAGGGATCAAGTATCGTTCAAGACGCTACTACGAGCCATGATGCAACCGCACGTTCTACAGACATTCCAACCCCACCTGTTTCTTCACAACAGCGTCAAAGGCCAGTCTCTCAGCGTTCAACAGGCAGTGTACCGAAACTAGGGGCGGACATTGCGACCAGTAATGTATTCACCACCGTTCGTAGCGATGCAAACAGTGGACCGCCGATGCGCGGCGCAAAGGTAGAAAGCCGGCCGGCCTGGGCCGAGCATCTTATCGTCACTCGGGGCATCAATATTGGCCGCTCACAACCCGTTGCAAAGCCAGAGCCTCTGCTCAACGGGCCAAAGTCCGGGATGTTCACGGACGCGGAGAAGGCCATTGCGGACGATCTCGTTGATCACTATGCCCAAACAACCGGATACGGTCCTTACGAACTCTGCATTTTCCTTGGTCATTGGCCAAACTCCGAACTGCAGGACTTTAAGCCGGAGATTCTCAAAGCGCTTCCGAACCGAAAGAATGCCGCGATTCGGAAGTTCTGCGCAAGGCGATACTTTCCCAGAAAAGAGGGACCGTGGACGGAGAGCGAGGATGAGCGGTTAGAGAAGGCTCATATCGAGTACGGCGACAAGTGGGAGGAACTCGCAGAGGTCATTGATGACCGCACCGCCCAACAGTGCCGAGACCGGTGGCGGAACCATGTGCAGTATGAAGGTTACATGGAGACTGGTGCCTGGAGCAGAGAGGAAGAAGCGAAACTTATTCGTGCTGTGCATGAGTGTATGGACATGGTTCGGGAGGAGAAGGTCAGGGCAGGTGAGCAGCGTATGAAGCCTGAAGATGTTGAGAAGCTAGTTAGCTGGGATGCGGTCAGCAACAAGATGAAGGCATCAAGAGGACGCAAGAGGTGCAGCGAGAAGTGGCAAGCTCTCAAGCGGCGCCATGGTGGAATGATCCCTGCTGTCCCCGCCGAAGCTACTGTCGTCCCGGTGGACGTCGAGCAGGCGGCCTCGGCATCAGCCTTCGATGACAAAACCAAGGCGCAGCGCCTCGTGGCGAAGAAGTTCGAAAAATTCCAGACTGGAGACATCTACGACGCTCTGGTGGAGGTCATGTGGGCCATTACCGATCATACCAAGACCTTTAGCGAAGACAGTACGCTCTGGAGCGCTATTGCTGTTAGAAATAAGGGCAGTCGGTTTGAAGGTGCATTAAGACGCCGGGCCTACTATTATGCGCTAGAGCAGTACGGACAGAAGCCCGCTGTCAAGGCTGCAACTACTGTCGCGGCAAAGGCCAGAGAGATGGTTTTGCGATTTCAGCGCTTTGCAGCGAAGAATGGTACCACGGTTGATGACTTTGAAAGAGGGTACATGCCAGAAAAGGCACCTCGCAGGCCGAAGAGGAAGGTACTCTCAGCTGAGACAGTGGAAGAGAGTAGCGAGAGCGAGGCGGAGCCAGCTAAGCCTTCTACAGCGTCGAAGAAGCGCAAAGCTGTTAGTCATACGCAGGAGAGAAAGGTCTTGTCGGCTGTTAGAGTGGAGAACAGTAGTGAGGATGAGGCTGCGCTGGCCAAGCCTTCTGCAGCGTCGACGAAGCGGAAAGCGATCAGTCGGAGCGAGGAAGACGGTGTGGTCATTCAGTCTAATGGTGCGCAAGACGTCCAATCACGAAGTAGCACGCAGGCGCAACGCAAAAAGCGCGCAACCCCAGCCAAGAAGGATAAGCATAGCAGCAAGGACAGTGCAGCTCTTCACCACGAAGCCGAGGTGGCGGCCATGCCTCAGCAAGTACCCGAAGGCGATCCGCCGCGCTATGCAGCTCATGACGATGCGGATCACCAGCCGAGAATGGTGAACATCTACCAGAACTTGGGTAGGTCGGAGTTCATACAGCGGTGTAGAGATGCGGGTGGCAGGCAGCATCAGCAGCATGCGAGGACGCAGAGGCAGAGATTGTGAGAGATTGAGCGTGGGAAGTGACAACCTATACTGGCAACCACGGACAGCTCTCCCAGCGCAGAAGGGTGGAGAGGGAGGTGCCCTGAAGGATACGAGCCTTAACTGAAAGCCACGCCGGGGACGATCCTGCAGCGCGGCCGTGGGTATGCTGCCAGCCTTAGCAACCGGTCAAGAAGCCGCAGTGGATTGTGTAAATTGTAGACGACGGTTCGCTTGAACGTTCGGTATGCTGGTCAGGCGATGAGGCTAAGCTGGAAAGACCGCATGCATTGATCGCCCTACATGAGGCTGCAGAGGGAATCCAGAACGATGTTGACAGCGCCGGCTTGGGCCCAGCCTCTCCTGTTCGGCAGACACATGAGAACGTGAGCAGGTGACAACAATGTAACAGCTCCCGCCAGACAGGCAAACCCACGTTGATGGGGTTTCTGCATCTTAATTCTTTCTGTGATCTACTCGCCACAAGGATCCTCATGTGGGGATATCCCATCCTCTGACCGTGATCTCAATGAGGTTGTCTCCATAAAACACGCCCTTGGCTTCTTGGAAGACAGTCCGGTTGGTGGCTAGGATTTCGGGCTAGCGGTTTTGCGTCCTTCGCAGCACAAGGAGCTCCCTATACATCATTGCTCGTATGTTGGGTGGAGGCTTTACGAACAGTATTGTCGTAACAGCCCGTACAGCATCGGCTTCTTCAAGCGCCTTCATGTAGTCTGCTTTGATTAAGGACTGGGCCCCGACTTTCCCGCTGCGGTTGTTGGCAAGTCTGGAAAGATAGGCTTTGTTCTTCTTGCTGTAGACCACCATGACTTTCCGATACCTTGACGAAGTTCATAGAGAAGAAATGTCGAGCTTGTGAGAGTGCGTCGGTGATGCTGTATCTACGGCGATTTACCGATTCCAAGACACACCAAGCTGTTTGTCAATGTCCACAAGCGCTATCAGTGTCTGTCAAAGTGTAGAGACTTGCATTGTAGCGCAAAAAAGCAAGCTAGGACTTCGAAAGAAGGGCGATGGGACCAACAATGTTGGTGAACATGGCACAAACCTGCACGTTAGACCTGTGGCAGCGTTCGAAGCAGTCTCACACGATGGTATGTCTGGACTGACGTACGACTCACACCGGGAAATATCTGGCGTAGACGGCAGACTTAGTGATGCTCGATGTCTCCGGTTTCGGATGCTTTGCTGGTAGCCACCGGGTTCCGGAGTGCAATATACAAGCTTCCAAAAGCACAGTTTCAGTGTTTGGCTGACGTGCAGGCCTACTCTGATCGAACGGTCAATGGATGAGATCAGTCATCTACAGGCGCAGAAGACGCTCCAAATGGGCGCCAGAGCAGCGCTGCCAATTGATGAAGCGACCTCATGGTTGCCAGCCTGTGGAGTCGCGAGCAGCGGGTACATAGACACATGCAGAGCAAGGAAGGGAAGCGCGAAGACTGCACGTGTTTCGCAGCGGCTGCTTTCGGCTTAGTGTTCCTCGGCTTACTCACCCACCGACCCGCTCTCGAATCTTCAGCGGCAACCGCACCGTCTCCACTTATCGCTCACAGCACTCGAAACACTCGCCTACCATCCTGCGAAAGCGTAAAGCCAGCCGCGACAATATCCTGCAACCACATACGTTGATACAGCGACAGCGCCAGCGAGAGCGACATCCAGCAACAACACCGCCATATCACCGCGCACTCGAACCCTCCACCAATCCCGGCAGACATAGCAACCGTGGCAGAACGCAATGGCGATGTTACACAGTAGTAAAAGTAGTAGTAGTACGAGAAATTATGGCCGCCGCAGCTCGAGCGACTCGGGCAGGCGCGCCAATCTCCAGGCAACTACTTACGCTGTCGACGCCGACACCATGGCGTTGACCGGCTTCCACTTCACCACTTGCGGGGCAGGTGGCGCGGCGTGGTGGTACGTCAATATCTCCTGACAACGCTATATTCAACGCTAACATGATGATCTGTAGGGTTTGAGGCGCCTCCAGGAGGCGTACCATCTCCACCGCCGTCTCCAGACGCGGCGCCGCTCGGCCGGACAGCTCGTCCAGGCCTGAAGGGGCGCGCGCGCAGCGGAGACGCGGCATATCACATCACGGAAGAGTGTGAGAGGCTCTTCTGCGAGACTATGAAGGCTGTGTTCTTGGTTGAGAAGGACACTGGTCGGCAGAACTCGCTGGTGATGGATGTGCATGACAGCACGAGCAGCGATCGCATCGACATACCACGACAAGGTATCGCCATGATGAAGCATGACTTACCCACGCCAAGCCCGTCGCCCGACGGTAGGATCTACCCGAAGACGGGCGGGATGGTGAGGGAGTATGTGGAGGTGTGGGATTATGTCGGCGGTGCGCGGTTCCGCGGCTTCGTTGCTGAGAAGGACGACGAGCGTGGCATGTTCGTCTTCTTCGATAGGGATGTCATTGGCAAGGACCTCAAGCCTGGGTACGTAACAGCCGCCGCCCTAGTACAAAGAGCACAGCAGCTGACAAGGTGCAGGCTCATGGCACTCCTCGAGCTAGCCAGCAGCGACGCATTCGACTGCTCACAGCTTGTCGTTTGCGTCGATCGAACGGCTAAAGACGAAGACGTCAAGGACACTACTCGTGATCTTGGTTGGGTCGGCTTCGAGCTAATCATGCTGGATGCATGGGCCGGAGACGAAGCTTGCATTAGCGACAGGTGGATCTACCTAGCTATGGATGTCTAGACCAACCTTGTTTTAATGCGGTAATGGGAGGCGATCTCTACGCGTTACCAGAAAGCTCATGCTGCGTTGACAGTTGGGTGGAGATGGGGGTTCAGCGGTTGGGATGACAGCTTTACGGTGTAGACAGTAGATTGTAAAGACTTTTGGCACCACTATCCGCTGGTCTATCTCATCATCATGTAACGTGGCACGTGTGACTGCAAGACGCAGATATGCCCGTACGTCTCTTCATCGAAACGTCACCTCACTCATCAAAGCCTAGTTCTCTCTCATCGTATGAAGCAAAGTGCATCAGCGCGCACTTTCTAGCATTCAAGATCACCTCCTGCCCTGAGAAGATGAGTGGCAAGCCGAACCCCTCCGCCAATCTGTGCGCCAGGACGTAGCCAGAGCTAGGCCCCCTCACTTCCCCGCCGTGAAGTGAACAAACGGTATGAAAAAAGACGGTGTGTTGGGAACGTGCATCAAGATCGCTGCTCGACCGCATTTCCGCGATCTCGGTGGTCAATGGCAAGCTTGATGTCGAATGCAGTATGTTTGTCGTTTTTCGTTTTCGTTTTAGGCGTGTTTCGTCCGTGATATAGTGGCTTCGTCATCATGAAGTCCGGTAAAGTCATGGTCATTAAATTCGTGATTTGCTGAAAGTACAGTTGAGGAGTTTAGTGGACCAGAGAAAACAGCGCTCGCCACGTCCGGCAGCCTTGGGACGGTCAGAGAGACTATCGTCTGCCGGCCTTGACTGACTGCGGCTGGCTGATCGGGCGCGAGCCTGGATCAGTACGCTGACGCTTGAGACTCTGATCGCCGGTGGCGCTCATGGGTCGGTTGTATTGATCGTCTTGGTCATCGACCTCGCGCATGCGCTTGTTAGACGGCGGGACGCCGTTCACATTCGAGTACTGCTGAGGTGCGTAATTGGTCTGTGGCGGGTACGCCTCGGCCCCGTTCGGAGCGCCTCCGCGTGGGTCGTTGCTCATTACGTTGTAAAGGTTGCTCGAAGGCAGCTGCGATGCACGCTGTGACGTGCCATAGCCACTGGCGTAGGTGTTAGCTGTACGTGGCGTGGCTCTGCCCGATCCGTTCTGGTGCGGTGAGTGTGTCATCTCCGGCGAGATATGGGAAGGGTCGGAGTGCAGCGCTCCTAAAGAGTGATTAGCAATGATGTTGGACGAGACTTTCCCTGCGCCTTTAGACGCACTAGTGTGGGTGTAATCACCCTCGTGCTCACCCTCCGCATCCGACTGGGCTGCGTAACCATCGTGTGTTTTGTTGTCCACCGACTCATTTTCGGCGCCTGCACGAGCTGGCGGGCCCATCTCGGTCTTCACACCGCTTGGGCTGGTCTGCACGCTAGGGTAGCGGTTCATGCCTTGCTGAGACGGATACTGGCTATAGTTGGCGCTCGCGGCGTACATCTGCCGTGAGGGATCGTAAGACTGCGTCGTCTGGTACTGAATACTTTGCGCGCTGCCGGGCGGTGAGGAAGCTGGAGTCGTTGGCACAGTTCTGGAGGTAATGCCTGTATCAACGGAAAGAGGCTGACCTGAATTTATGCTCCCCGCATGACCTCCGCCGTACTCGTAAGAGCTACCTGCATTGCCCATACCCATGGTCAGACTTGATGCACTCGTTGGCGGTGTTGGGAAGGTGTGCGCTCTGTCGAGGCCTGGCCTACCGGAAGCAGGATGCGGCGCGATCGAATGGGGAGGCTGGGGGATGCTCGCGCCGATCGGGTTTGACATGGAGTGATGGTGCGTCAGTGCCGGAGGCTGCGTCCCTTGTGGTGTTCGCAAGTAATCAGCCGTATCGGGGCGCCTAGCGGCCATTGCGGCGTTGCCGATGCTTTGACGAGCCTGGTTGGTGGGATGGTAGAGTAGAGCTCCGATGTTGTGTACAAACAGAGGGTAGAGGTGCTCGGTTATCTTCTCCTTATTCGCAAAGTCCAGGGCGCGGTCAAATGGGATCCTACCATTCGTGAGTCCAAGATCACACGATAATAAGACGGTGCTACATACCAGACACCTTTCAGATGCATCGGCCCAATTTTGACAACGTGACGAGTCTTCTCGCTCTTCAGGATACCGTCGCGACGACCACGCGTCATACCAGCGACATTGAGAAGCTTCGTCCCATTGATCATGTGGTTGTCCTCGCGTCTTGCAACACAGACGCCATTGGCTTCAACTTGGAAGCACAGACTACCTTCATCTTCCCAGAGTGTCGCAGTCACGCGTGGCTTCATTCCGGGTGGAGCAATCTGACCGGTCGTGTCAAAAGGGCGCTGAGAGAAGTCTTGCTGATTGCCCGAAGACGCTGGCTGCGCGGACGCAGCCATGGTAGGCAGTGGAAGAGACTGCGCAACCATCTGACCGCCCATTGAAGATGTCACGGGATGACCTGCGGACATTGGTGCCATAGTGGCCGGATACGGGTAGCCGTAGCTTGGCGCATAGTTGTGCGCCGATGGCTGCAATGTCTGGGGCTGGCCATATCCAGTGTACTGACCGATGCTGGAGGCTGGCCCTGGAGGTTGAGCATGCGACTGACTCACATCCATGTAGGGTTGAGCCTGGTTCATGCTGCCGTAACTGAGTGCGGTAGGGTAGGGGCCAGAGATGCTGGACTGAGGGTAGGTGACCTGCTCAGGAGAAGGTGTTTGCAGGCTGTGCGACTTGCTGCCGTCTATGGATGCAGCGTAAGACGTAGCGGAGTCGTGGGAGAGATTCGCTACGGACGAGCCGCTAAAGGAACCAGCCCGAGGAGACGAGCCTACGGACGAGGCGCTCGTTGGGTGGTGCACCTGCTGAGAGTAGGGCGTGAACGGAGTCTGGTGCCACTGACTCTCAGATCCTCGGGCTTGGACTTGTGAGAGCGAAGGGAGCGCCAGCTTAACGGTTTGGGCGGTTGCTATCGTGGAAACGCTCCGTTTGCTCAGGTCATAAATTGCAATTGATTCCGGACGAGGTTCGAATCCGATAAAGACGCCGGAAGCAAAGCACTGCAGTATCAGACGCCAGTGAAGTCGTTAATGCGCTGCAGTCGTCAAAAGTCATAAAAATCGTAATAATTCGTGAGCTTCGTTGTCGTTAAGGAACTGTTTCCTCAGCACCTCGCAACCCTACATGAGATGGTCAGTATGTGATGACCGCAAGCATTGTGCAAGCTGCGACTACGGACGCACCCTGGGATCTAAAAGATGCAATGCATGCAGAGGGACGGTTCGAAACTTGCAGTGGTGGGGAGGTGGAAGAGAAGATAGCTGCGGAGGTGGTTGGGGGATGCAGCCGTGCTTGCACGCTAACCGGCGGGAGAGCTGATAGCACTAGGCAAAATCGGATGTTCACAAAGGTGGTGTGGTGGAGGCAGAGAAGTGACTTACCTTTACGTGGACAAGAAGGCCGGCTTGAGGTTTTGCGGCAATCGGGATGCGCTATAGAGAGCTCCGTTTGCACCGCGGTGAGCTGTGTCCGGTCGGTCGGTTGCTCGTTCGCAGCAGTAGAGAGGCTCCAACGCACAAAGCTGCGGGGCTGGCGCTCTCTGCCGCTACTGCTTGTCTGGCCGTGTGTCTTGGATCGATGCAGCGGGCCGAGGCGTTGTGCGGTAGTTGTCTGCGAGCTTGTGTGAAGTTGCAGACCTGCAGCAGATTTGGCAGTCTAAGGACTATGCAGGTGAATGCAGCGTTCGAAAGGCGCGGCGGAAGATGGAGTCTCGGTTCTTGATGAGACACAAGAAAGAGGCGCCAAGTTTGCAGGGGTGTCGAGTAGGCGCTGGGGTGGGGCGGTGGCTTGCCGAGTCCAGCTTTCAGGAATGCTGCCGTTTCCGCGGCTCGCTGGTCGTCGGTACGTCTTGCTCGCTGACCGTTGCGGACGATACGAGGGTCAATTCAGCTATTATTGAGATCGCTCGAAGGTCTTTGTAAAGAGTGGCAGCGTAACCTGGCATTAACGATGAGCAAGGAAGGTCCGCGCAAGACGCGCCGTCGCGATTCACCGGACGAGGGAACGGCGACTTTTGGCTAGACAGCCACACGCGGAACGATCGACGGCAGAATCGCTTCGTCGCCAGAGACGGCAGTGATAGGCTTACGCGTGAGGTCGGAATTGAGCTATCTCCACGAGGTATAGCGAGGGATGACCATACTGTGGAGTGCAGAACCTTAATCGCGAGCATTCGGAGTCCACGAGCGATAACATTACGTTCCGAGCAGCTCAACCACACGACTGGCGCATGCTGCTTGTCACGATCCTGAGACTGCGAACTGACTTTCGAAACCACTGCAAGATGCTGCGTGCCAATGGCGACGCTTCTGCGGCTCCAGCGTGGGAGGCTTGGACCCGAAACGCTTCTTTGGTGCACAGACCCAGACGAGGCTTGCAACTTCGATGCTGATGACACCCGCCCACATGCCCACGTTGTTGAGCCGGGAGCTTTGGCCCATTGGATGATGGATAATATTGCCATTTCGAGACAAGGCTCCGAGGGCGCGGGATTGAAACAATATGCGATCCTGCCATCTCCTCCGTCGTGTAACAATTGTCATAAATCACAGCGATTTCATCGCTGGCTGTTGATCACGAAGAGTGCCACAGCTTGAACCAGGGCTTGCCTTTTCGGCGAGATCGTTTCATGCATATGCATCGGGAATGCAGGTTGTCCTTAGCTCCCGCTCCAACGGCAACGTTCGTCCCCGCTGCAGATGCGATGCGATGCGAGGCAAGTGATTGTGCGTGCCCCTACAGCGCAGTTCATGTTTCCGCTGTCAGCATGGTAATAAAAACCGTCCTAGAAGTCGAACGTATGTCGCTGGGCTAATTTGAGACTTGCCACTTCATCTCGTCACATGTGCGAGGCTCTGGGGCTGGTCAGCAAGAATCGGCTTAGCGAGCAAATGGATATCAACGGAGGACTCCACACCCAAACGCCATCTCGAATGATAGCCGGACACGTCGACGCTGGGGGCACTCTAGGCAACCTAAATGCGCCACCTGGATTTACGTGACGGTACCACCGTATCACGAGCATTCCTGAAGACCGCTGTGGACCTACACAGTTTCCTTTTCCAGACAGCTATCGAGCGCGAAACAACCCAACACCACGTTCAACGGCAGACATCTGCCATCTGAACGAGCTTGCTTCCCTTGCAAGATGGCGGGCGTAAGCTTCCACATCCACGAGACGGTTCGCATGGCGCAGAAGCGGGCGACGATCATCGGGGTCTCGCTCACCGCTCCTTCTGATTCCTCAGGCTAAGCTTGCGATTGGACGGAAAACAAACGACCAATTCGCTCGTTGAATCGTAGCCGTTCCACCTCTCGGAATGGTTGTGCAACGGCAGGACGGCAGAACGTCCGGTGAGCAAAGCCTCAGAGAGCTCTGCCCGACCTGTTGCGTGTGTAAGACACCGGACATTGTTTATTGCGCATGCGACGATGCCCTCATTGTTCAATAACGGTCATTGCGTTTGTCTTGCTTCTCCCCCTGTCTAACCTCCAGATCGACAGCCAGCGTCCCCTCGGTCCCCGGCTGCGATCTCCCGCCGCATCTCGTACATCGCGGCTTCGACATGACACGCATGCCGCATGCACAAGAGGCCCGTCGCATCATGTGCGGCCGAACTGTGCATTGCGCAGCGTGGTCGCAGCGCCAATGCCAGGGACTGAACTCTCTACGCATATATAATCGTTGATCTTGCTTTCGTTCTCCATGGTCTTGCGAATGCACGTTGACTAGCTACCGTCAGACAGTCCTGGTTCGCTGATTCACGGCAAGCATTGTTGCACAAGAGCAACCCGGAAGGCCGGCGAACATAGCACAGGAACCGCAACCAAAGACCCGAGTTAGAAACTCGTCTAAGCTACCAATCCAATCGGCCTGAGTCGCCTATCATAGTTCTTTCTGTTGAGAAATGCGTACGCAAGACGTCGCACGCAAGGCAATGTTGGCGAGAGCAGTCAAGAGGCGGTGAACTTGTGCGATGTAACAATGACCGTCACAGATACCGGAGCTTTGTACCATAGGGAAAAGGTTGCGAGTCGTTATGTCAACCGCGCGTGGATATGAAAGCTCAGTTTATCGAAGTATCGATACGTCTGCGTATGTGGTCTATCTTCTATGATCACCGACTCATTGCAAAGCTCGCCGTGACCTCTCAGAAGCAGACGAATATGTCTTGATTTTCCTGGTTAGAGTGAGTCCCGACATTCAAAGTATATGTCCACATGTCAGACGCAAAGAGTCCAGGTAGTTGCCCTGCCATATGCTCATGAAGCTTTCTGTGGTTCTGAGCCCTTCACGAACTTCGTGTGCGTGCCTGTAATCACGATCCTTCCTCGCTTGCCGCCTTCAACTTTGAAAACGTTGATTTTCGTGAAAGCCAGGCTGCCACCGACTTTCTCTGCTATGCCCTCAATCTCGATCTCCTCGCCGACTTTTGCGCCGCTCTGGTATGAGACATGTATGTCAACGCTGACGCCACTTCCAGCACGGAGATCGTGCGTAGCAATCGCCATCCCGCCCATCCAGTCTACAATGGTAGCAGAAACTGACCCATGGAGCGACTGCATCGAGTTCATGTGATTGTGCGAGAGAGGTAGCCGAGCTACCACATGCCCTTTGGAAGCGCTCGTTATGACAACATCAGACAACAGGAATGCGTAGATTGGACTGCCTGGAAGCTTTGTCTTCACAAGGTGCTCGATATGCGCATGTTCAGCTGTCTTGGATGTATCTGCGTCCATGATCGCGGGTGACACTCCGGACTGTTACGATCTTACTGTAATTGAAGCAGGCTGCGAAAAGGTCAGCGGTACGGTAGCAACATCTGCCCGGCTTCGAGACAGGCCGGCGTTGAAGTAAGTGTGCATATGCCCACGTGCGACACGGGTTCTTTACGAGGCTCGACTCAGCATGCAGATGGATGCGGATGTGGTGGCGCGATGAGACTTACTCGTGACAGGCAGGATGCAGGATGCAGAGTGCAGAATTGCGGAGCTTTTCTATATGCAGGTCGGCGCACATGCCAGACAGGGGTCCGGACCTGGCACCGAGGGCGCGTCAGAAAAGTGAGACATATGACATGCGCGCAATGCTCCCTAGTTCTTCATAAATTGTCAGCTGCTTAAGGAGTGAGACTATTGGACGAGTCCGCGCTCTTGGTGGAGCTGTCATCTCAAGCTGAGCCGTGAGCGAAGTAAACCTGCAGAACGGCAGGAAAGTTGGCTCGCATCTCGTCCTGGACGCAATACCTGCGGCGGCAGTATCCCTGGTTCTTCGCCGATTCCGGGCAGAGTACTCGGCCAGCAGTTTGGCTGAGCAAACGGGAGTCCGGCAGATGGCCGGAACCGCAGCAAAGCATGAGTGGCCCGGATAGTGCGAGCTCATCGTACTTGTCCAAGCTATCACCGTGGAGCAGGAGCAGGAGCCCATCGATACCGCCTAGCAAGGGACGCGATGGCGAGTCGGAGCCTTTACAGCACCAGAAGAAGGGTGCAGACCATGTCATCAGTCACAAACATCGTTTGAGTCTGCGCAAATACCCGCGAGACTGCCCACCTGTCAGACCGTGCTGGTTTCATGCAGTGGACGTGCCAAAGCGAAGACCACATCCTGCCCTGGGTGACCGCAAAGAGGAGAAGCCGGCTACTGCGCCGAAGAAGTACGCTGCATTCTCGATCACAGATTCAAAGGCTATAGAGGCGGCGTTCCAGAAGCTTGTGCAGGACGAGGATGAAGCCGGAACGACGAGTCTGGAGCAGCAGCAGGGTGCTCCAGACTCGCAGGCTTCAGGTGAAGCCCAAAGGTCCGACGGCAAGCCAAACACGAGCCTTCCAGATGACATACATACTGTCAAAGTGCCGGTGAACGAAGACTACCTCTTCGACGTAGATGTTGTGCGTAGAGAGCTGGCTCCCGCCTATTGGCTCGGCCCCGTCTATGATGTAAGAAGGGGCACTTGGTTCTATCAGGATGGAAGCACGCAACGACCTTGCGATGAGAATCTCGCAGCTCAGCTAGAAGAAGGCTACCTGAAGATCAAGCCTTGGCGACTTCCTACCACTCAAATACCGCCGCAGCAGCCGCGTTCGGCTTCACAGCCACGCGGTCGACCTGTATCGTGGGCTCCGGGACAAGATGACATTGAGGTCGAAAAGCCCGGCTTGCCACATAGCTCGCTAACTCCTCAGCCGTCGTCGGGCAACCTCCGGGATCGAGCGGCAAGGCAAGATGCTGAACCCCCGAGAGGCCCGGCCAGGGTAGAAACTGGTCAGACGGAGCTACCTCACGACACCCACCGGCTGTTTGGCGCGCACATGAATTCGGTCGTAACCTACCAAGATGCAACGACTGCCTGGCTTCTCACAGACGACTTCTTGTCACGCATGAATTATAGTGTCTACCAGAGGTTTGCAGGCGGTGGTCACTTTGCTGGCATGAGAATGACTCGAGGTTACATCAATCCGTCCCAAAAGCCCGTGACGGCTCCACCAGAGAAGGACGGCAAGATCGAGAAGCCCACCGGAAGCTATAGAGCATCGAGTCAGGAACGAGCGCAACGAGAAGCTCAAGATAGGATGGACGCGGCGCCTGAAGAAGCCGTCCTTCATAAGCCAAGCTCTTCCGAAACCCGACGGCAGAACCTGCAACGTCACATGTCATCTTTGCTCGAGGACCCGTCGCACAAGGACCCGGAAAGGCAGGACGAGGAGCTGCGCAAGCGCGACGAACGTGAGATAGAGGACGATTATCGCGAGACAGAAGGCGATCAGCAAGGTCGTGAGATCGAGCACCTTATCCTTGTCACGCACGGCATAGGACAGAGACTTGGTCTGCGCCTTGAAAGTGTGAACTTCGTGCACGATGTCAACACTTTGCGCAAAACGCTGAAAGCTGTTTATTCCGACTCGCCTGACCTTAGAGCGCTGAACGCTGAGCTAGGCGATGCCGAACATGTCAACAGCCGTGTTCAAGTCCTTCCGATTTGCTGGAGACACCTTCTCGACTTCCCTAAGCAAAGTCTGAAGCACAACCGCAAAGAGCGTGATCTTGCTGACACCGATATTGATGACGAAGCATTTCCAAGTTTGGAGGACATCACGGTGGAAGGTGTGCCCGCCGTGCGCAACCTTATCACTGATCTTGCACTTGACATTCTGCTTTACCAGTCTCCAGCATACAAGGAGCACATTTCGAGGATAGTGTTGTCAGAATGCAATCGCATATATCATCTGTTCATGGAACGCAACCCGACCTTCAACGGAAAGATTAGCATGGTAGGGCATTCGCTGGGCTCCGCTATCATGTTCGACCTTCTCTGCAGTCAGGAGCAGAAGGGCCAGCCATCGATGAAGAACCGCAAAGAGCATCACGGCAAGAAGCTGGACTTTGAAGTCGAAGACTTCTACGCTCTAGGCTCGCCTATCGGACTGTTCCAGATGCTCAAAGGTCACGCCATAGCCGCACGCGATGGCGAAGACGGCGGGCACAGACGTGGCATGACCACCAGTATGGACGATCCAATGCTTGACGCGCCTGCAGCACCTTCTGCGAAGAGAGCGAGCACGTCAAAGGGCGTGCTTGCCGACTCCGAGATTCAGACCTCCAGCCCCAGGTGCGCACAGATCTTCAACATTTTCCACCCGACAGATCCCATCTCCTACCGAATGGAACCGCTCATCTCGCCTGCCATGGCGACTCTGAAGCCGCAGCCGCTGCCTTACACCAAACGCGGCATCTTCGGGGCGCCGATGGGACAAGGCATTAGCGGTATCGGTGCACGCGTCAGCCAGAGTGTATCCAGCATGTGGTCGAGCATGGCGTCTAGCCTGCTCACGCGCGGACTCGGCTATACGGGAACCGAGACCGCTCAGCTGCCGAATGGACAGACGGTCATTAAGAGCAGCGGTCCGCTGTCGATGAGTCAAGGCGCCGGTACCAACATCTCTGCCGGCGTCATCCCAACAGCACCATTACCGGCGGAAGGCACAGAGATCGCGAAGATACCAGAGGATAAGCAAGAGCGACTTGCGAGTGATGCTCTTGCCGCCAGCAAACGCGGCCAACACCCGCCCACGCTCATCGATGCAGATCTCGAGACATTGTATGCAGGATACCAAAAGCGCCGCCGTTCGATCGAAGAATCTGATGCCGCGAAGCGTGATCTCGGCGCGGGCGCGATCGGAAGTCTGGAGTGGCAAGAAGCCGAAGAGCGGGCGAAGAAGCTTCGACGTGAAGAGGAGAAGGTTCGTCGCCTTAATAGTAACGGTAGGGTCGATTATGCGGTGCGTATTCTCGAGGGTAGTAGTCTCTGTGTCGTCTCGGGACTGTGCTGACGGTCCACCACGAACTAGATTCAGGAGGGTGTCTTCGACATCAACATAATCGCAGCGATCGCAAGCCATCTCAGCTATTGGAGCGATGAAGATGTGAGCCATTTCATCATCTCGCAGCTTTTGAGTCGGCACCGCATCGTGAGACCGAAGGCTGGGGGTAGCGCGAAGGCGCAAGACTGAACGGCGTTCAGTCTGTGTGATCAAGCTTAAACGCGAGTGATGGCGGTCCTGTAACAGGTGGAGGCCGCAGACCGCTCTTTCGACACCATGTCTCCGGGCTCATGGCATAGCCAGTCGAGCATTCCCAATCCAGCCGTTCCAGACGATCCCGACCTCCTTCGCGACATCTTCCGCCGTCCGACCTTGCGCATCCTTCAGACTGCGGATATCTACCTTTCCCGTCTGCTCCTCGCGCATCACACCCAGCGCTGCAGCCTCCTGGAAAACTAAAGCTGGAAAGTCCATCTCAGGATACTCGCTCGCCAGCAATAACAGCAACCACGCGACCTCTCTATTCCCATTCGCAACCGCTGCATGTAAGCCGGAAGCCATGTCGCCAATCGGATCTTGGTAGCGCAATATCTCGTCGGCCGCCTTGCTGGAGCCAGGCGCTTGCTCCGTAATGAGGTTGCCATCTTCGTCCTCAGCCGTGAACTCCTCACCGCAGCTTTTCAGCAGGTCGGCAATAGCACGATGATCTCCCTCGCGGCAGAACTCAAGGAAAGCACGGCATTTGCGCTCTTCAGGGTAGGTACGCAGGTACGACTCTTCTTTGAGCAAAGGCATTATGTCTATTCCGCGTTGGAGACCACCCTCATTGTCCAAGTCGACAATTATTCGATCCTCTGATTGAGGTGACGAGCTGCCGGCGGATGAGGAAATGATGGACTGCGAACACTGCGGACACTTGCTATATTCGTAAGATTCAAGCAGGCATTCCCAATGGAAGTGGTCACCACAAGGTAGCAGGACGTCGTCAGGAACGGTCTCCTGGCCGTCTGGCTCCATCTCCACATCTTCATCGTCGTCTTCAGGTTGGATGTCGAGAGTGAGAGGCTTTCCGCATTTTGCGCAGACAGCCATTATAGGGCTATGTAGTTGCCAGACAGACTGTAGATGCTGGACTTAACCGGACCTATGTTAACTTCACCATGAATTTTTACCTGCACACAAGAAGAAGGCTCTACGCAATGACGTCGGAAGGGAAGCTTGGACCGGGTGTGGTTGTTGCGCTGTAAACACCGATCCTCCAGTGTCTTATTAACACTAAACTGTGGCGCAGACACCTTTTCTTTGTCGCGCGCACCACCCACTAAAGACAAGACTCGTTCGGCAGTTGCTCTGGGAAAGCTGATCGCTTCATCGACTCTGCGCATCGTACTCCCCCAAAGAAGGTACAACAATGGAAGATCAGGCCTACCTTGAGCCTGACTTTGATCCAAACAGCCTGACTGTGCCGCGCTTGAGGTCCATACTGGTCGCGCATAACATCAACTACCCTTCCTCTGCCAAGAAGGGTCAGCTCATTGAGATCTTCAACGAGCAAGTCGTGTCCCAAGCGCGCAAACTGCGCACGGCCAACTCGCGAGTGAAGCGTACAAGCAAAGGCATCGAAGATGTACCCAGCAGTCATGCGACCGCGAACGGCGAACATGAAGAGGACGATATCGATGCACGGCCTGCGCCACCGTCGACCTTGAGAAAGAGTGGGAGCAGAAGAACGACACGTGCGCGGACTGAGGAGGCACAAGAAGTGGCGCCCACGCCCAGAAGTGTGCGACATAGTACTGCGCCACCTGACGAACCGGTAAGGCGGCTGTCAAGTAAGCATGTGCGCGGAGATGGCATGGTGCAGGAAGAGCCTGAGCGCGAAAGGCCTGCTTCGAAGAAGTCAAGATTTAGTGCTGTCACGCCGCATGTAAGGTCGGATCGCGCGCAGCAGGATGAGAGTCCGTTCTCAGATGTCAATGTCTTCCAAACGGGTAGCTCTCCACCCCCAGGACCACGCAGTCGCGAGCCTGAGCGGAGACAGACGGCCGCACCCTCAGCGAGCAGGGATGCCCAGCGGAGACAGAGCGGCGACGGCAGGAGACAGACTGAGAATGCACGTCCGGTAAAGGAACAGACGGATGGCGCAATCTTGCCTACTCGGCGAATGTTCGACATGCCCGTTGCGCGAGTAAAGAAGGAGCAGGAGGCGCAGCCAACTGAAGAATTCACGCCCGAGGAGCATCAAGAGCTTGTGCAGGCGAAGCAATCCGGTCAACTTGTACCCGCCCCACGCAGAGCGCGCCCAGCAGCCAACGCCGCTCGAACCGGGGTAGGTGCGATCGCCGCAGCAATGCTGCTCGGCCTAGCCGCAGTCTGGAGACAAGAAAAGGTCGAAGTCGGCTACTGTGGTGTCGGTCGTCCCACTACCGAGCTGGCCGGTGTCAAGATCCCAGAGTGGGCGGAGTTCATACGTCCGCAGTGTGAGCCGTGTCCGCCTCATGCTTATTGTGGCGAGAAGCTTGAGACGATGTGTGAGCCAGACTTTGTGCTCACGCCGCATCCACTGTCACTGGGAGGACTGCTGCCGTTAGCACCGAGCTGCGAGCCAGACAGCGCGAAAGCGAGGAAGGTCAGTGCCGTAAAGGAGCGCGCAGTCGAAGAGCTGCGAGAGCGGAATGCGAAGTATGAGTGCGGCGAGGCCGCGAAGCCACAAGTGCGGGAGACGGAGCTCAAACAAGCCATCAGCACCAAGAAGCGAAAGGGAATGAGCAATGAGGAGTTTGAGGATCTTTGGGCAAGTGCGATTGGAGAAATACGCCGCGCTGACGAGGTCGTCAGTGGTGCTGACGGGTAAGTCCACATCTACACCTCCTTCGTCACCACAATTGATCTTCGCTTACACGATGTTGGATACTGACAGATACGTCCTCACACCAGATCCGGCCACCTTACCCTCCGCTCCCACTCGCTCGCCCGAATCCCACTCGCCTGCGCAATCCGAAGATCGCTACTCCAAACACTTGGACAGTATATTTGGCAGCTTATAGTCATTGTCATCGTGCTGTCCTCGGGCGGCTATGCTCGTTATCGCATTACCAGCGGCGCGGAAACGGAACGCAAAGCGAAGGAGCTGGCAGGTCTGGCGTTAGAGAAATTGAGCCAGCAAGCCGCTCTGCACGCCTATGACCCGGACGCATATGGAGACAGCTACATCAGCGTCGCGCAGCTAAGGGACGATGTGCTTAGGGAGGAGTTTAGCGCGAGTCGACGAAAGGCGCTCTGGGAGAAGGTGCAGAGGAAGGTGGAGGGTAATAGTAACGTCAGACCCATGGTGCGAGAAGGGCGTAGTGGTGATGTTGGACGTGTGTGGGATTGGGTTGGTGCTGTGCAGATGATTGAGGGGACTCCGAGCACCGTCGACAGGAGGAAGAGTGGCAGGGTCAGCTTTGGTGGTGTGACGGAGGAGAGGCTGATCGAGCCGAGACGTGAGGAGATGACTGAGGTGCAGAAGTGGAAGGAGGGTGGGAAGTACTATTGAGCGAACGACGGCCTAATTTTACGGCTGTCGAGGCGTTTGGATGGAGCTTATAGCATGATGATACCACCGGGATATTATTGGGCTCAGGACGCCGGATTCCTGGCGAGCTAATTGTGGCCACGCCGAGACAGTACATAGTTCTTTGTTTGGCTTGAGGAGCTTCTATTGAACCTAGCGAACATGCTCGGGTTGCTTGTTAATCTCATCCGTCCTCTTGTTCCCTGCAGCAGCACCCAACAGTAGAGCCGGCTTATTCCCAGCTACAATCGGAAGCTGGAAACACCCGCTGCCGGCTACCCGAGCCTTAGATTGTCGAGGTGAGCTCTCTTCCCATACCGTGCGAGTGTCACCGCGGAAACCTCACGGAGGTTGTATCGATTGATTCCGTGCCAGCATCATCGGAGTGGTAAGCTGACTGTATAAGAGGCTCGGAGCCCTTACTTGTAGGTTTTGCACCCATCACGTCTCGCTCATAGGGTCAACATACCCAACTCCAGACAGCTCAGTCGTAAACGCAACCAACACTCCTTCTGTGAACGCATCGGATGTTGTAAAGCTTCAACAACGCAAGACATTGACCCTAACCGTGCATCGAAGACTCCACATCGCACCGCCGACCATGGATTCCACATCACTCGAAAAGGCAGCGCAGATTGTCGGCGTAACCAGCGCAGCCTGCCTTTCTGGTAGGATTAAAGCTGGCCACCTGGTCACGACATGAATGCGATGGCTGAACAACAGCATAGGCTACATAGCATGCTTCAGCTACGCCGCCGTCCCCGCAATGGCCATTCCCTCCGCCCCAGCGAATATCTTAGTCCGACAATGGGCCAAAGCCTACGAGATCGGCTCCAACTCGTCACCTCCGCTCGCCTTCATGTCTGCAGCAAGCTTCGCATATCTGTCATACGCAAGCACTTCAACACCGCTCCGTAAGCTGCTGTTTGGGATAGCCTCGCCAAGATTGCTGTATGGCCTTGCCGCAGGATTAGTAGTATCGATCGTACCCTACACCTTTGTGGTCATGCACCCACAGGTGAATGACCGATTACACGAGATTGAAGCGAGGGCTGAGATGGGAGACGAGTTGAAGGCTGAAGATGGGGAGGTCAAGGAGCTGCTAAGACATTGGGTACCGATGAACTTTGCTCGGGCTGCCTTGACGGGAGCTGGCGCTGTATTGGGGGCTGTCGCGGTCATTGCATTGTAATGCATGGGCGGCAATGACTGCTTCCTATGACTACATACCACAATGCCTAGCATAGCTTCTTAACTGTATTCTTATTATATAGCTCCCTCTTGCATGTGATTATGCCGCTAGTCGCTTTCGGCAAACACCCGCAACCTCCGTCTATAGCAACAAGCATTGGCTTCAATGCTGCAGTACGACCTGCGATAGCGTCTTCCTGTTCCTCAGTAGCGGTTAGCCGAAGGGAAGCAATGGACTTCAAAATGAAAGGGCAGGGCTTGGATGTTACGTCGCCGTCGCTTCTGCTATTCTGATGTCAATAACACGTTGCAACTTCCCTTTCCGCGCCTGAGCAGCGCAGCCAGGATTCGTACCTTTACACTACAATGCTAGCGGTCCCACGACGTTGAGCACCGGGTACCGTGCGTTTCTCGCAGGCCATGGGCGAACGCAACAGCCGTGCAGTATTTGCCGGCATCTTCTGCTTGTTCCTGTCTGCGATCGCTGTCCCTTCCGTGAACGTAGGACTGCAGGCAGCATTTGATGCGCCGCCATTACTTGTTGAACTATTGTAAGAAATCGTCCGGCCGGCAGGCGGAGCGTCCAGGCAAAGACTGATTAATTCTAGAGAGACCGCGGCTGAAGAGAATGCCACCGCCTACTTCCCACTGCTCGACCGGATAGCAGAGGGCTATTTCCATACAGCTCGAACCGACAAGGAGCTATATACGATTTTCAGAACTCTGTTGGAAGAGGATGGCCATCTCAGCAAAGCCGACGACCTTTCGTCGTTCGACTTTGCCCTCTCCATACACTCCACGGCCCCTCGGATAGCGGCTCACTATCACTACTACGATACTGCTGTAAAGCCTTCGCTTGGACCAGATGAGGATGAGGGTTGCGAGACATGGGCATATGCAGCTTTTAACGGGCAGAAGTTCTGCTCGCCGGATATGGCAGAATCTGGCGCACAGGTCCCGGGCCTGCCAAGCGAGCATCTGCATCAACTCCCCTTCGACAGAGTGCTTGGTGCCGCTGACAGCAATCGTCCGTCTGTACTGTATGCGGATGTCTTATCTGAGTCCTTCCGAGCCTTCCACCGCACCATGAGCAAGACTGCAGCAGACGGCAAGACGTCCTACCGCGTCCGTTACAAGCCCAGTCGAAGCCTTGTATCCACACCACTGACAGTAAATGGCTATGGTGTAGAGTTGGCGCTGAAGCGTACCGACTATATTGTGATCGACGACCGGCAAGCGGATGGAGAGCCAAAGCCTGCTACGGCCGCAGCTGCAGACGCGACCCTGAGCGAAGAAGATGTATCTGACTTGCGGCCATTGTCTTCCTCGGAGCTGCTTCGGCTAGGTCTGAAGGCTTCAAGCTTCGTTATGGCCAGTGACGCGCAGCTCGATACTCTGCTTAGGCTGACCCAGGACTTCCCGAAGCACTCGAGCGCCATCGCTTTGTTCAATGTCTCGGATGACTTTATGAAGGAGCATAGGGACAACAGAGACCTCCTGCTTCCTGCAGGCTTCAATGTACTTTGGATTAATGGCGTGCAGATCATGGCTCGTGATTTGGACGCCTTCTCGCTCCTTGAGCATCTCCGGCGCGAGCGCAAGATGATCAACGGCGTCCGCGAACTTGGGTTGAGCGGAGCAGAAGCCATTGAACTGCTTTCACACGAGGCTATCACTGCTTCTGCAGTCAATCAGGAAGTGCAACGCTACGATTGGCGTGACGAGAGTGAAGGTGGCAATGTTATTATGTGGCTGAACGACATCGAGAAGGACAAGCGCTATGCAGACTGGTCAGGCAGCATTATGGCGCTTCTGCAACGCACGTACCCTGGTCAATTGCCCGCTGTGAAACGCGACATTCACAACCTGGTCGTCCCTATAGACTTCTCCAGTCACGCAGATGTTATGACAGTGGTGGAGAACCTGCAAGGCTTCGTTCAGCGCAAGGTACCGATCCGCTTCGGCCTCGTACCTCATCTAAAGACCCCTACCAGTACCGATCAAACAAAGATTGTATACTACTTGATCGAGACATACGGTCTCTCCGCTGCGCTGGATTACCTTGCGAAGTCCGTCTCGACTGCTGGCCGCAAGTTTGGACCACCGCAGGAGAAGCTATTCACGCAGACCACCGAAGGACGGAAGGTCCGTCAGGACCGCAGCATTCTGGCGTTCGCCGACGTACTCGCCAGCACAGAGTTTGATGAGCGTCTCAAAGGCGCTCAAGCATACATCAAGCGGCTTGGTGCCGGTCAGGCTTCGCCACCTATACTCATCAACGGTGCGCCTATACCGCATACCGATGAATGGTTGCAAACCATGAGCCAGCGACTCGGTCTTGACGCACGTACCGTACAGCAAGCCGTATACGAGGGAACTGTGAACGAAGATAGCTACCTTCCCCACGTCTTCCTGTCACAAGCAAGCCTACGCCGCAACCCAATAGTCACGCCGGAAGATGACAAAGACGTTCGACATGTCAGTCTTGGCGAGCTGCCACAGATGGCTGGCTTGCCGAGTCTGCCCGCCAGCGAAAGCACGATAGAGAGAGAGTTGGTGCATGTCACTGTTGCTGCAGACTTCAGTTCGCTTGAGGGCATGCAGCAGCTTATGGAGGCACTACTTTTTAAGGACCTGCATGACAACGTAGAGCTTGCCTTTCTTCATTTGCCGGGAGACGGCTCGGCTCACCCAACCTCCAACGCCGAAGCTGAAACTGAGGACGTTATAGGTCATGTGCAGTCGCTCCAGCAAACATACGAAGCTTCTATGCAAAGGCCAAAGGGCGAGGAAGCAGAAGTGCCGGACTACGACGGAAGACAAGCCATCTATAAGCTGCTTTACCGGACACTCCGCGATCAGTCCAGCGCGCATTCGTCCTTGAGAGCGTCAGCCGCGTCCAGGAAGCTTGCACAGGCAGTCAATATCTTACCTGGACAGCACGCCCTACTAATCAACGGTCGGGTAGTGGGGCCCATGCCGGCTTCCACGATCCTAGAACTGGACGATCTGGAAGCTGTGATGGCTTACGAGCGCAAGAAGCGTCTGCTGCCCGCTGCGCTAGCTATCGAGGGGTTAGGTCTGCAGGCTAAAGCGTCTACACCATCAGCATTCGCCCGCATATCGAACTTGATTGCACTATCACAGGTTTCTAGTCTGCCAGAAGGTATCTTCGAGGCCGCGCCAACTGTTCGTTCCGGCGCCTTCAAGGCATGGAACTCGAGCTACACTGCGATCAAAGTTGGGGATGTGGAAGCAGCCAATGTGCAGATCACTGCCTCCATTGACCCTGCTTCTGAGGTTGGCCAGCGCTGGCTGCCCATCATCAAGACTCTTTCTGAGCTCGATGGCACTGCGACAACTTTGTACCTGAACCCAAGAGAGCGGCTTGAGGAGATTCCCATCAAACGATTCTACCGCCATGTGCTGCAATCGAAGCCCACTTTTGACGCGGATGGCGCTCTAGAAGGCCTGACTGCACGCTTTGGCGGCCTGCCTGCCGATGCTCTACTGAACATGGGCATGGATCTTCCGCCATCGTGGCTTGTCGCTCCCAAAGACAGTATCCACGACCTCGACAACATCAAGTTGAGCGCGATCAAGTCTGGAGCAGATATTGAGGCAACATACGAGCTGGAGCACATCCTGATCGAAGGTCATTCGAGAGACGTTACGCTAGGTCCACCACCTCGAGGCGCACAGCTTGTGCTAGGCACTGAGCGCGACCCGCACTTCGCTGACACCATCATCATGGCCAACCTCGGCTACTTTCAGTTCAAGGCTAATCCTGGCGTGTACAATTTGACCTTACAGGAAGGCAGAAGCCAGGAGATCTTCCACATAGACAGTGCCGGCACGCTTGGGTACGAACCACAGCCGGGCGACAACACAACGGAGATCGCCTTGATGAGTTTCAGGGGCTCAACACTGTTCCCACGGCTAGCACGACAGCCCGGAATGGAAGATGAGGATGTCCTCGAAGCGCCCAAGACCGCACTCGACAACTTCACAGAGGGTGCAGAGACCTTGCTCGCGCAGGTTGGGCTGTCTTCATCTCAAACACGCAAGTACCTCTCCAAGGCCGCCAGATGGGGTGTCGCCTTGATCTCGGGTAAAGGCAAGCCGACTGACGTCTCGGCAGAAGCTCACGCTGATATCAACATCTTCTCGGTCGCTTCCGGCCACCTTTACGAGCGCATGTTGAACATCATGATGGTGTCAGTCATGAAGCATACCAATCATACGGTCAAGTTCTGGTTCATTGAGCAGTTCCTCTCGCCCTCATTCAAGAGCTTTGTGCCCAGCTTGGCGAAAGAGTATGGCTTCAAGTACGAGATGGTCACGTACAAGTGGCCGCACTGGCTGCGAGGTCAGAAGGAGAAGCAGCGCGAAATCTGGGGTTACAAGATCCTATTCCTGGACGTGCTATTCCCGCTTGACCTGGACAAAGTCATCTTCGTCGACGCTGATCAGATCGTTCGCACGGACATGTACGAGTTGGTGCAACATGACCTGCATGGGGCGCCATACGGCTTCACGCCGATGTGCGACTCGCGGACGGAGATGGAAGGCTTCAGATTCTGGAAGCAAGGGTACTGGAAGAACTTCCTGCGCGGCCTGCCATACCATATCTCCGCGCTATACGTGGTGGACCTGAAGAAGTTCAGACAGATCGCAGCAGGTGACCGGTTGAGGCAGCAGTACCACCAGCTCTCCGCCGATCCAGCAAGCTTGAGCAATCTAGACCAAGACCTGCCAAATCACATGCAGATGGTTCTGCCTATCCACTCATTGCCGCAGGACTGGCTGTGGTGCGAGACGTGGTGTTCGGACGAGGCGCTGAAGACGGCGAAGACGATTGATCTGTGCAACAATCCTATGACCAAGGAGCCAAAGCTGGATCGTGCAAGGCGACAAGTGCCTGAGTGGACGGTTTACGATGATGAAATTGCAGCGGTTGCGAAAAGGTACAAGGAGAGTCAGGCTGCCGGTCGGCCTGTTGCTGGTAGTGCAGGAGATGCTGGGGTGCAGGGAGAGGAAGAAGAGAGCATCCAGGAGCGGTTGCAGCGGGAAGATGCTGAGAAGGAGCGCAAGAAGCAGGAGCACGTCAAAGATGAGTTATAGAATTAGACGAGCTGTACTACTACATCGCCAGTTAGAGTCCGCTGTCTTGTCGTTCGTCGGGCATCTCCTTGGTTGTCACGCGGTCGGATCCGAACCCGGTCGCACAGTATGTCTTGAGCGCACTGTGAACATTGAGGTCACTGTGCAGTCGAGCGATGTTACATCGCCAAGCTCACATTCTGTGTAGTTTGCAGCTCGTATTCTGCCTCCAATATCCGTAGGCTCGGCATCGTCACTCCCGGCGTCCTCCACAGCTTGCCGTGAACCGAAGAGACAAACTTTGTCCTTCAGCCTCTTTTGCCAAGAAGACGGCAGCACCGTCTCTGTCCCGGAATAGTACGCTCGCGACTTCTTGTGCACAAGTTACACAATTGTAGACCTAGGGAACCGGCCACTGCAACATTGTAGACTCTCGTGCGTGCTGGGTCGGCAACGGCGCGGACGATGGGTCGCCACTCGTATGCTTTGGGCATATGCGGGCACGAACGACCGCCGTGGAAGTCGTAAGTGCATGCAACATTGAGCGCTTGGCTACCAGATTGACATATGATATTGTTACCGGCAGAAGGTGCGTTGGCTCTAGGTCAGGAAGGTATAAGTAAATGTTTCCTTCCAGCCCGTAAACTGTTCATCCATCACAACAACACAAAAACCACAAGCACACTGCAAAGCAAAGCAGAGCAATCTCCACACCCGTTACACTTCACTCCATCAATTACACGCCAAAGTCCGTCAATATGAAAACCGTCGCAGTCCTCTCCGGCCTTGCTGGCATCTTCGCTGCTGCTCAGGCTCAGTATTTCAGTGGCCTCTCTCTACGCTCCGCATCACCCATCCACTTCCAGCAACTGACTGCCTCTGGTCTACGAATCCACCTCGGAGGCCAGACCGCATCTTACTGCCCGGAGAATGTCCAGCAGCTTGGCGCCTGCCCCAACGTAAGTGGCTCATTGAAATCGTTCCGCTCTGTTGCAGATGCTAATTGCTCTTTAGACCACATACACCAACTTTATTGGTGGCAACGGCGGCCTTTCTATGGGCGCTGTAGTCCCAGGCGGCCAGCAAGTCTACGTCGACCCGACTTGTGGCGCCGTCAGCTACACTCAGGCTCACTCCGCTGCCATGCCCGCAAACGCCATTATCGACGGCTGGGTACTGACGCCAGGTGGTGCTGGTAGCTACCTCTCGAACACGAACGGCGCCACGATTGCCTGCCAGAACAATGAGACCAACGTCTGGGATGTCTATCTCGCGCTTCCCGGCCTGTAAGTCAACCACAGATCGTGTTGCAAGACCTCTGCTCACCACCAGCTAGTGCTGTTCCGGATAGCTGCCTTGGCTTCACCATCATCACTGCTAATGAGACCGGCGCGGCTCAATGGCAGTACACTTGAAGCGACCTGCTCTAATTGGTAACGGCAGCTGGGAGAATGCATAGTCCGGAGTTTGCCAGGAAGTGATGGAATAATCCACGTGGGTAGCATCGGCGAGGCGTTTCCGGAACTCATAGGTACCGGCGTTGTGACCGGCATGCGAGCAGGAGCCACCTGTATGAGATAGACAATCGATTGGTAGCAGTAATGTGTTCTTTGAGCTTAGTTCGGCACCATCAACGTTTCACCTCTCTTGCACCACGGAAGCGGCTTGCTGTGCTTTCTCCATACGCGCTACGGTGCCGCCCAAGCCGCTCTTCAGCGCCAGCAAATCTCTTGACCCTCTTGTCCAGGCATTTTGGACCTCATCAAGCCTTTCAACTTGACCCGCATCCACGGTCGTCATCCGTGCCGCTTTAAGCTTCGCCTCGTGATCGTTCTGGAATCGCTGATCGTAAGCCTGCCGTTGCGATTCGAAACCGTTCTGATACCGCCTCGCCGTCTCCGCTGGGACTGTTCGCCTCAAGTTCGCAAGCTGTAACGTGTGATGCTCAATCTGAGCGGACAATGCTTGGATGCGCTGTGCTAGCTTGGTGTCGAAGGGTTCGATCTCTGCTTTTGCGTCTGAGTTACGGTGCTATATGATTAATGCGGGATCGTACCTTCGCCGTCCTGGGCTTTAGCGAGTTCCGCATCCATCTCCTTCGAGTCCATGCCATTGATTGACATGCCGTCTTTCGCCGCATTAAACGTGTTCCGGATGTACTATGAGAGTATAAGCCCGGGACATCAACGCATGCACGCTTTGGTCTGCTGCACCTCATCAACCAGCTGCTCCACCCTCTTTCTCATCGCATCATCGCTGTCTAGAGCGGCGTCCGGAGGTAGATGCTTGTCAAGCTTCTCACGTGCAGCACGCGACACGTTCGCGATGAGGTACGTCAAGTCGGCCGGCGACTGCAGCTCAACCTTTCGATGCGCAGTCTCTGTCGCTCGCGCGTCATTCAGCGGCGCATTGTCCTCAAAGATGCTCATGCTGGTCGATGCTGTCGCATTGGCCGAACAGATCGCTCTATTCATCGCTTGCGGAATTAAGAGGTAAACAATGACCTGCAGCTAGTGGCGTCCAGTTCGGTCCGCGCCTTCCTTTCCCGCGGATATCTGCAACCACTGAAGCTTAACGTTGGGCATTATGGGAGACGCCCTCTGTACCTATGAATCATTCTTCGTAGGCAAAGCTGCACAATAAGATGTACTTTGCCGCCTTGATCAGCAGGACGGTTTAGCGCGTAATAACCTGATGAGTTATCCTTTTCATTGCCTGTGTAATATAGTGTGGAACAAGTGAACAATTCCACGCCCATCAAATACAAGCACACGCAGTGCCATTGTGAGGTTCAAACCCCAATACTCTGGCCAGCCGTATACTGCAGCACTTAAATCCTGCTCAAGCGGCTCGGCTGGTGTCATACGTGACCGGAAGCACTTCCAAACCATGGGATTTCCGATACGCTAGTCGAGGAGAACAGCTGCTTTATGAGACTGACAGTAAGCGACATTACTATTGCCTCTACGTGAAGTGCAATGGTCAAGCATTCGCATGCTACTATGATCTAGAGCGACACACCGCCGTCATCCACAATCCGGAGATTCTGCAGCTCATCGACTGTGACCACTTCGGATGCCACCATCAAGGCGACCAAGGGTTCACTCGCAAGGACAAGACGATGGACCGCACGCGCGAAATGCACAAGGTCGACGTTCTCAAGCGAGTACGTTGTGGGACGTTGATTAAGACCGGTGTGTAGAGGGTGGTATAACCGAGCTGACAGCTTGGAGTTCCTCGATGCACTGGAAAGATGTACTTGCGGTCTTCCAAGCAATGATCGTTACTGCCGCGTAAACTCGGAAGTAGAAGGCTTGCTTTATGTGTTATCTAAGCAGTCCCAGTGCCGACTCCAGAGCAACTTAATCCAGCAAGACTCAGCGCCCTTGCGAGCCGTGGATCACCGAAGCCTGTCCTCTCGAGGGATGGACTGCAGGATGTCCAAGCCCTACAAGCGACTGCGGAGGGGTACACAAACCAAAAAAGAATGTCCAATGCAAAGCAACATGTTATCCTAGCGCCGTGCTCCATGCATAACGCTATCAAATGTGCTCACTTATCGTGGTAGCAAATCCGCAGCTTGCTCGTCAGTTAAGATGATGTCGTGTACAGGATCCGGTCTGTGCTCCAGATCTTGTGCATCGAAATGAACGTACGAAGGGAGGAAGAGCTCTAAGTAGGGCGTGTCAGCCGGACCAGATGACGCGACGCCCGTGTAGTGCTTGAAGCGAACATACCTTGATTCCAATCGAAGCCTTGCGAGGACTTGACGCAGCTCACCTGTGTCCATCAAGTCAGCCGTCCGTAATTACTCTCATGGACGTTAGCGGCACTCACCAGCCTAGGCGGCCCGTCCTCATGACCTAGGTTGATCACGGTATACTCCGACTTCGACAGTGAACTGCCTGTAGTGATGTCTTAGCGTTGTTCTGGAAGCCCACACTGTGTTCTTTCCGTGTCTCGGAAGCCTCACCCAACAATGACGGTCGCCTCGGTGAGATGGCCTCGGGCTGCGGAGAGGCTGGCGTCGCAGGGTACTTCCCCTTGTCTACTGACCCTCTGGGCGACGCTGATGAGGTGCTGTGGTTTGGACTGCTATATGAGGAAGCTGCGGAAGATGTCCAGCTCGAGCCTCCCGCTACGTTCCGGACGGGCTGCTTGCGCTTGGGTATGGGGACCGAGGACGACATTGTCCTGTTTATGTAGGTTGGGTGCGCGTTCAGTAGGATTGACGTAACCCAAGGTGCACTAGAGCTACGATGCAGTGAGTTCACATAAGTACTATGCGTAGGCGACTACGAGTGAAGAGTGTCCACAAGCCCACGGAGGGAGCATTGATGGTATATGCAGACTGATAAGGCTAGCGGGCAGCCTGCTGTGACACACCCCGGATGACTCAAGATCGACGAGACGGCGGCATGCGCATTGCTGATCATTCCGATTGCACAGAAGCATTGTGACATTCGCTTCCGGGTGACAAGCAGTACCGAACCAAGATTAGGTGGCTCAAATTCCACCGATATCGTACAGCTAACATGCTAACGCTCCTTCGCGCGTATAGGTTTCAACGTTGCCCCCACAGAGTACCAACATTAGCGCTGCTCAAAAGCCTAACCAGCAACCAGAATGCATGCCCACCCATGCCCACGCCACTTAATCGTACAACCTCGTCACACAACCGCTGGGTATCACAACAATAAGCACCGCCCACCCCAGTATTGCCAGAAAGCGCGTAGCGTTGTTTTCGCCAGCCTATAACGCCCGTGGTTTCGAATGTTCGCAAGCAGACCTTCGTAGTATTACATCGAGATGTCGTTCTCACTTCTATCACCGGCCTCTCTTCCTCGCGAACCGCTTGTTCAGCAGTTCCAGCACCTTGGTAACGTTAAACTGCACGTACTCCAGGTCCAGGTCCTCCTGCTGCTCCTTCTGCATTTCGAGCAGATCATCGAGCTTTAGGTCGAGCTCCAGCAACCCGCGGTTTCGGCCTTTATAGTGCAAGCTGATGACGAACGTTCCAGGACTCGGACTCGTGATGTTGAAGAATATATTCGCTCGTCGGTTCTCGGGCACGTTCGACTTTTGTATGACGCCCTGCTTCTCCAACTCCTGATGTGTGAACTTGTACGGCCCAAGCACTTTATTATTGTTCTTCGTCCGGATGCCGTTGCCTTCCGACTGGCCCCGGACGTTGTGAAGGTAGCTCTTATACGTCTCCAGCTGCCCGACAAGGTACCCGTTATGGTCGCGAATCGTGCGGAAGACTTCCTCGAGCTTCTGTGTCTCGGCAATAACTCTCTCTTTAAGTGAGCCAAGGTGCACCAGTTCTTGTTCTACTTCGTCGCGGAGTAAGGCGTAGTTGTCGTCCCTGTCAATGATGCCGAGTTCTTGGAGTTGGTTGAGAAGCTCCATTGCCCGGATTCCTTTGCGGACCATGACGGAGTCGTTCTTCGTGGTGGCAGCAGCTTCGGCGACTTTATCGAGCCGAAGTGGTCGTCGCATGACGGCGGAGTTGGAGGGAAGGGAGCGCATGATGACCACGAAAGTGGCCTTTGCTTCCATGAAGTAGACCTCTTCCTGCGTGATGTCAAGTGCCGCAGTCAGATCGTCCAACGGCGTCTCCCACCTACTGAAGAGCGGCAAGTTCATAATTCTGTTGTCCTTACGCGGTAATTGCACGGGAGCTGGTCCGAGCTCTGATAGCAGCTGGTTCAAGTGCGAGCTCTCGTCCTTTGCGAGCTCAAAAGTATGCTTCTCCAGAAGTGCATGCATCGCATACACCTCGTTAAGTGTAATTTGTAGCTCGAGATCACGTTTCGACAGGGCCACATAGTTGTCCATCTCCAGCGTCTCGTAGAAGTCCTGCACTTCGCAAAGGTCAAGCATGAACTTGTTGATGCGCTCCTTGTTCTGGTGGATGAAAGGCTGCAGCTTGACCATATATGGCTCCTTAGCATAGGCTGCCTTGTTCGCCAGATTCTGCAGCATCTTTGCGACGTAAGTGAGCGTTCGTTTCGGGTTGTCGGCGGGTGTCTGCTCGATAAGCATGTATGACCGCGGCGTGACTATGGCGGGATTGATGAAGCGCAGGAAGAAGAAGCCTCCTATCAGCGTGCATACTGTTTGCTCCTGAGCATCCGGGTATTTCCGTCGTGTCAGACTGCGGATTTGCTTGCAGATCCATCTGATGCCGTAAGGCGTGTCTTCAAGGCCCATTATGATGGTATCGAGAAAAGAGTTGGCAATCTCGATCAGCATCTCGATGCGCGGTGCAATAATCCTTTGCACGTTTTCGTTCGCCGCAGCCTGTTCTGCCGTAATGCCTTTCTGGAGGCCTGGTGGAAGTGGTTCGCCACTCGCTTCGATCTTCTCAATCATGGACTCGTACACCTTGAGCGGATTAATCTCCAGGTCGAGATCCTTAATCTCGATTAGTGAGTTGATTCGGTCCGCAAGGACGGTCTTGAGGTAGCTTTGACCGGGTCCTCTTCGCGTGTAGGTCGTCATCATCCGCGAAACAGGGGTGTTGGCTCGTAGTAGGGACGAGTACTCTGGCGTGTGATCGAACTGCCACGTTAGTACAGACTGAAACATCGTCAAAAGCAGGTGCTCTTCTCTGCTTTCGTACTGGTTACCGTAGATCGTGAACATAACGGTCTGCAGTAATTGGTCGATTTCTGCCATGGTGACCAGCCGGCAAAGGTGCGCTATGTGTCGGGGCTCGCTTTGGAGCAGAAACAGGAGGTTGCCATACTTCTGCGTCTTCTCGTCGTTCGGGAACGAACCTTCGGAGATGTCTGCTGCTTCGTCGAGATGGCTTGCCATTTCGTCTCGCTACGGTCTAGTCAGTAGCCGTACGCAACATGCTGTATCGTCTTTGGAGCTTACCTCTTCCATTGCCATCCGATTTTGCACAAGCAATGCTATTCTCGAGTCGAGGTAGCGGACGTCCTTCTCTAGCACAAAGTTCTTCTTGGACTGTGACGATATTCGCGACTTGAGTTCTCGCAGCGCTTTTTGAGCTGCCGGAACGTCAGCATGACAGGCACAATGGCCAATCGAGCGGTGCAAGCCTACCTCTTGCCAGATCATCCTCAATCTCCATATCCCGCTGATTGGCGTTCATGGACAGATACAGCGCCGTAACCGAGTATCGCTTGGAGGCACGCAACGAGCGCGTGCCCCCGTCTTGCGAACTGATGGTGTTCTGCCGTGTCATTGGTATGAATGAGGAGCCTGCTGAGGATGTCGAAGCCCGGGAGGGCGTATGCAGCATTGAGACGGCCATGTTGTTGCAGCTCTTTCGGATCTTGTGCGGTGCTTAGCTGTGCCGGCTGCCTTAACTGCTAGGTAGCCGGCAGCGGGCGCACGTGAGGTTGAGCGCAATCTCGCTGACTCCGACGGCGAGTTTACCGGTTCGATAAAGAATGAAGTGGTCGCGACACTGGTTGCGCTTTGTTTCGACGGCACCTTTACGCCCCTCACACTTGCTCCACTCTGTCACCCCACGCTCGACTCCGGTATGTATGCGCAATGCCCCTCTTCGGTCAGAGCGATCGCAATCGCAGTGAGCTGGTGTTGATGACACTTTATGCTCGCACTTGCACAGTGGATTGGAAGCTGTCCCGAGTGCGCTCAATGGCAAGATGTGAAACAATGTCGCAGTGCTCTGATGCAGGTACACCCGTTCACCCGCCGACGGCGCCGCAGAGAGCGGCTACGCGCGTTGAGTGGATTGGACGGGTGTCTGCGAAACGTATTGCATTCCAGTTGTGCGGCACTGGCAGGTGGGACAGTCGCCTTCCGGATACGATCCGCTGGTGCTCGCTCGGATGATGCCGATGGTCTATAGGACACAAGGGAGGCAAGGAGGTCGCGGGTGGAATGGCAGCGATATGCGATCGCGACGCAATGCACCACCGCACTACAGCAGCAGAGGGAACCACAGCCCTCCCAGAATATCGCGCAACACACTAATCGACGGCAGACTCCTTCAGTAGATTTGTCCAGATCTGATGGCGCCGACGGCAGACGTTGATGGCTGATGGCTGCTGCTTGCGCGCGGCCCGCACTGAGCGCATGATCTCGTTTAGGGGGGAAGCGAGCCAAATCTCCCGCTAAGAAGCTAACAAGCGCTCGGTCTATGGTCTCGTGCTATAATAATCTACTTTTGTCGTCACCATTTGGTCCTGGAGAAGCATCGCGCGCGAGACGGCAGACGATCTTGTTCGCTCACGTTACCGCCGCAAGGAATAGTGGATGCATCAGCGCCCGGCTTCATATTGAGATAGTGTCCGCAATGTCTTCACTACACGCTGAACGCGGCGATGAAACAGGCTTCTTGCATGGCCGTACGACATCCTTTCGCACATGTACTCGGTGCCATTAGGAATCGTATGCAAGTTAAAGCTAATGAGATTGTTTAACGAAACGAGTGCGGCGTGAGATGCAGGTCAAAGAAGTCTACGCCACCATTGCTCATTTGAACCCGTCGACCGGACCTGTCTCCGACCCTGCAGTCATCCCTCATCTCTACCGGCGTCTGCCATATTTGTGACTTTCATTGCTGTATTGGGAATCCTCGGAGGCACCTGGCGATATTGGAGGCTAATTACCGTGTCCGAACGTTCCCCAACAACTGTGAGCAGATGTTCAGCGGCTAGAACGGAATCGAACCAGATCTAAAGCATGAACCAGCGAAGGTGTGCATCGTCGAACTCCTGGATCAGCCATTTGGAAACAATACGCATGCAGGAACAAATTGATCGCCTTTACTAACCACGCAACGATCGTTTCCTAACGTCCAGATGATGTCATTCCAGGTACAAGCTGCGATGTCCAGATGTAAGCGCACGTGTGTATTCTCCCTAGCAATCCTTCACTGAACCCATCTTACAAACTTTCTGCATTCTTTCAATAAGATATCCCCAGCCAAGACAACATCAGAATCGCCCGTCATGTCCAGCGGCAACCCAACTCTAGATGCAGCGCAGAAAGCGACTGGGATGGAGCCTCTGAATGCACAGCCATCTGAACCACAACCACCACAGCACGGCGCATACGTCAAAGATCCCACCATTGACACCGTGCCGCCAGCGCTGCAAGGTCTACATCCACCATTCGAGGCTTTCGTGCTGGCGTTGGACTCGACAGACAGCCGGAGCAAGAACAACCAGTCCGTGAATCCAGCGACATACCCTACCGATAGCGAGTTCGAGAACCTGGTGAAGGCGGGACTGAAGCCGGAGGGACCGGTGCGGGCGGAAGCCATTAAGCCGGAAGATGTGGAGTGGCCTGAGGGCTACAGGGAAGTAGTGAAGCATTTGGAGAGTGTTGGAGACGAGCGGAACATCAAAGCGTATAAGGTCGTAGAGGGCCGTAAGAAGGCGGAGATGTTTGTGCTGGCTTTGGATCTTGATAACGATCGCTTGGTGGGTGTACGATTTCCTGCTTAGTGATGGGTCCAGTACGTATACCCAGCAGATTTGCAATGTGGGCGCGGCTCCGTGAGGCAACCACCGTCTACAAGCGGCAGTATGCTGTATGTCTAACGGGGCCCGGCACACTTGCATAGAAATGGGATTCGCCACGCAAAGGTACGTCACGCATCTGAACAGAGGTTACAAGTGCCAACGTTCGCTGACTGCAAACAGAACGTCCGGTATGCAGCTCTAAGGTGACAGCGGCTAGCTAAGAAGTACCCTAATTTCGTCTCCGGTTCTCGGAAAGACCTCCCTCAACCACACTTCCTCTTCATCTTCCGTGCCTGCCTCACCGTTGACCTGCTTGGCCCTCACCTCATCAGCCTCAACAATCAGCTGCTCCATCTCCTCGAAGTCTTCACAGAACCTCTCAGCGGCCGTCTCAACGATCCTTCTCGCCAATGTCCGATCCTCCAATTGGCCCAGATATGTTCTTGCATCCTCTGTAGCCGCTGGTAGGAAAGAGTCCAGTTGCTGCGCGATAGAAGCCAGTTGTTTAGGGTCCTTGTATGACGATGCTAAATCGTGGAGAGTTGTAACGCTTGTGAGTAATCGGTCCAGCCCGGATTGCCTCAGAAACCAGTCGTGCATCGCATTCGAAAGCTGATCTTCGTGCTCCCGGATGCGCGGCCGTAGCTCCTCTGAGCGATCAGCGAACGCGTACTGCCGCAGCGTGTCCTGAGTTGTAAGCAAGCAGTTTAGCGCGAAGATGTGGCTGTTCGGCGTCCGTAAGCGTTTCGTAATGTTTTCGCATCCAACAAGGAATGGATCGAGTGCTTCCTGCAGGATAGGTTGAAAGCCTGCAATACGCTGAGCACGGTCTGCGGCGACGGCTGACGTATCGTAGCTCTTCATCAAAGCTGTCAACGTCTGCAGAGCTTCGGTGAGGAAGTCTGGGGGCGTCAGGTCGTCTGGAGATATGACCAGGTCTGTTTGAAGATTGAGAACGTTATTGCGCATGATTGAGCGAAAGTTGCGCATCGCCGTGTCCGACAATGGTCGAAGAGCGTCGACGATGGCAGACTGTGGGCCTAATAGAGCGGAAAAGATGTTGCAGTAAAAGGTCACCAAGTTCGCAATTTTATACGACAAGGTAGAGTCTTCGTGGCTCTGGATGACCTGCTCAGTCCGCTGTCTCAATTGACTGAGGACACCAGTCAAGTCTCTGTCCACAAGCTCGTTGAGTGCTTTCCTGCCGTCAAACGGAGTTTTGCCGTCAGCATCATCGGTCCGTGACCACGGCTCGCTTTCAATGCCAGCCTGGATGCTTTTGGCAATCTCGTCGCCTTCGGAGATAAAGAGAACTTCCAGCGCTTCTCGCTCGGACACTGTAGCGGAGTGGGCCCAGGCAAGCATATCACTCACGTACCGCAATGGGTCATGTGCAGATAGCTCGATTGCCTTGCCCATGACCGGGTGATCAGGATCTGTAGGCCTACCAGTAAGTGCTGAATAGAAGCTGTTGGACACGACACTTTCTCGTGCTTCGGCGAAGAAGTCCAAGCTGTTCTCAAACAGCGTTGGGCGTTCTGCTAGCACACGCAAAGCTCGCCTGATAGCAGCACTAATCTGCGGATTCTCCAGGTCCAAGGATTTGAACTCGCGCTGCACCCAGCGATACAACTTCTGAAAGGCAGCACTGAGCTGTCGTGAAGTCTGCTCCAGGATCTCAAGACCCAAGCGTTGGTTCTCCGAGCCGAGCAAGACCTGGCTGTCATGGTGGATTCTTTTCACTCGCGTGAGGACGCGGAAGAAGTCATCGTTGACCGGTTCAGTGGAGGCGGTCAAGATCGATAGCTCGGCATCAGAGACAACAAAGTGTGCTCTGAAGGCATCCAGCAAGCGCTGCTTCTTCTCGACTTGCTGCTTCTCCGCCAGAATCGCCCGTGCTTCGTCCAGCATAGGGCCAGTCTCCCGGTTGGCAGCACCAACATGCTTGCGCAGCTCCGTGCAGGTGTCATTGAGACGCTGAATGGAGGCGCCAATGCGTTGGAGCTGCTCGGCGACTTTGCCAAAATCTCGGACAATCTCGCCGTTGCACTGAACGAGTTCTTGTTGCACGTCAAGGCGGAGATTGCGTCGGGTCTCTGCAGTATTCTGTAACTCGCGTTCATCCAGGATGGAGAGTGCGTCTCGAATCTCAAGATCAGCATACGAGGCAGAGAGCACGCTCGTGATGCGGTTCTGCAGGGCATTCGACCTGGGTGCGGTGGCGGTTGAGGGCGTGGTAGGAGAGAGCAGGGAGCTGCCGTCTGCTGTCGGTGATTTCACACGCTCGTTGAAGTACGAGGTCATCGTTACTGGCTGAACCCCGATATGGGTTGGAAGAATGTCGAGGCTTTCGTCCTGTAGTGCACGCCGCTGTCTCATGTGACAACCGCGTGGCTTCCGCGTCAGCCCCGCGTCTTCCCCAATGCCATCGTCTCCGTGCAATATATTATCTCACTATCCATACTCGCCTACTATGTCATACGGCGAAGAAACCAATGCAGCGCAGCTCACGAGCTTAAAGCATGAACTGAAGGCGTGGGAAAAGGTCTTCGCCATCGACCACGACGGACGTAAACCGAGTCGCGACGACATTCGGCAAGACGCGTCCATATCTGCTAAATATAAAGCATACAATGCCCTGAGAACTCGGCATCATGACGAAGCTGCACACTCAACGCCAAAGCGAGGACGGCAGCGAAGACTGGCGAGTGATCGCGAGCGGACGGTACTGCGGGAACGATGCGGTAACGCAGTCGCGGCTACACCGAGGAAGACGAGGGGAAGGGAGGTAGAGAAGCATGAGGTGGAGAATCAGGTGATCGAGCCCACGCCCGCCTTCATACGCTGCGCCCTCGGTCCAACGCCCCAGAAGGATGGACAAGTACTCAGCATCTTCGACATTGGCCTTAGCGCTACACCCTCTAAGCGAGACCGGGCCATATTCACAGCAGAAGCAGACGCAATTATCGCTAGCACGCCGAGCAAGCAGACGCGCGCATCTGCTGCCGGTCCCGAACAAGCCTTGTCCGCAACGCCGCAGTCGTCCGGCAAACGCCGCCTACTGGACGCTTTCGCAGGCACGCCGCTCAAGCGACAGCGACTCGAAGACGGCTCCACACCGGGTACGGCCAGGCCAAAGTATGCCACTCCCTCCTTTCTCCGCCGCAGCTTCCCACTGGCCGCCATCGAAGAAGATGCCGCAAGCGAAGCACCGCCGCCGTTCAAGAAGCGTGGTGGCTTCGTTCGAAGCTTGAGCAGCATCATTCAAGGCTTGCGTAAGCACGAGGAAGAACGAATGGACGATGAATGGGATGTGTTGAACGAACTAGAAGCGGAAGAGCGCGGCGAGCCGAAGCCAGTGCAGAAAGCACACGTCCTGGTGGCGGAGAGTCAAGGCATGGAAATGCCGTTGGGGCCAGATCAGGGTACAGGTGAGGATGCGGCGAGCGATAGCGAAGCAGAGGTTGTGCTGGGCGCGGACGGCAAACCGAGAAAGCCGTGGAAGAAGAAGGGTTTGAAGCGACAGACGAAGAGGGTGATTATGCGACCAGTCATGCACAGACCGAAGAAAGCCGAGGAGCTTCAAAGAGTTGACGAAGCTGACGAGGAGGCGGTGGCTGAAACACAAACAGTGGAGAAGGCGGATGGAGTTGTGCGTGACGGCGATCAAGCCGCGCAGGTCAATAAAGAAGAGGCCAGTGGTTCAGACTTCGAAACGAACGGTGCTGCGCATAAGCGTGACAAGAAGAAACGACTAGACGAGGGCAATGTCAGGCAAGGCGACGCCGAGAAGGCTTCACCAAAGCAAAGGGTGGCGAAGAAAGTCAGCGCCACCGCTCATGCAAACTTCCGCGCACTCAAGATCAAGAACAAACACAGCAAGGCCAACGGACGAGGTGGCGGGAGAGGAAAGTTTGGTAGACGAAGGTAGTGTGTAGCAACAGTAGCTTTCAGATTCGCACGCTATCCGAACCGCCTTCGCATGCAACTCCCGTGCGTTGCGACGCGAGCTGCAGGGCCACCTTGATGTATATGACTTGTACCCACCCCTGTCCCGGGTCCGCCGCAACAGCATCGCAAGTAAGTTAGACTAGAATCGACCCAAATTCCATATTTCAAACTTCAAAGACATCGGACCCAAACGCAGCAAAAACTAAACCCAAACCCAAACACAGCACAACTCCAAACCCAGAATGATAGCATGCTGGAACCTCCCATGACTCCGATGACAATCTGATATAGCCCCAAGTGACTTGAGCATCCCGGCCTCATGGCCAGCCCCGGGCAATGCAACACCCACGCCGAGGTGAGGCACTGCCCGTCTTCCACGCCCCAGATACCCATGATCCCAACATGATAGTGATGCTCAGGTGTCTCCGGGTGGTGATGACTACCTCAAGCCAAGATGTGGACTTGAAATTCCCGGCCGAGATGGCCAACCTCGAGCAGTGAAGCACCCACGCCGGGATGCATCACTGCCCGTCCATCTACGCCCCAAGCCCTCGTTCCCAACCCCAATGCCAGCTCTCAACTGCTTATGAGACCAATGAGAAGTCTTGGCCCAACAAGTCGATCCACGGAGTCAAATCTTCCTCCCACCATGGTGGGAGTGGAGTGAGGTCGAGGCCGGCGAGATCAAATTCCGGGCTCGCATCGGCCGTGTCGGCAGCTTCTGGTGCCGACGATGATGATGAGACGGCGTCACTGGAGGCGCCGTCCAAATCAAAGAGATTCCGGAAGTCGATCCCAGAATCATTAGCCGGCGACGATGCCGTATCGGCCGGCTGAAGAGCTGATGACCACTCCCCAAGCATGGACTGCCAGTCAAGCAGGTCCAGGCCCTCAACGGTATCGCCCTCACAAGAGTGGCTGGTGGCCGTCGTAGGAGCTTGTGCGCCATTGATGGCGGCGCGCTCCTCCTCCCGCGCCCTCTTGGGGGCAGCTTGCTCCTCTACCTCTCCCTCCACCTCATCCCTCCTCCGCTTCCCGCCCGCTCGCGCTGCCGCCGCAGCCACCGAGCCCTCACGCACCTGCCCACCACTCTGGGAACAGGTCCTCCCTTGTGCCGACGCCGCGGCCCCTAAAGCCTCATCCCTCCAATCCCTCCACACCGCTCGTGCTGCTGCCGCAGCCATCAAGCTCCCATCTACCTGCCCAGCAGACTGGGAACAGGTCCTCCCTTGTGCCATGCCAGGCCCTGTCCACCCTGGTGGCGTCTTAACTCGGAGAAGAGACGCCGGATTGATGCATCCCTGTCCCACCTCAAGCGGCTGAGGTGCCTGCGGTATAAAGGACCAGTCCCCGAGACCGGTTGGTGGTGTTGAGACCTGTGCAGGTGCCGCAGGTCCCGGAGCGGTTGCAAGCAGCTGAGCTGCCTGTGGCACTGGTGGCCGTCTTTGACGGTAGGCCAATGCGGGTGGAAACTGTGCAGGTGCCACAGTCTCCGGAGCCGGCGCCGGGTTTCCCGGGTTCATCGCCACTTGGGTAGGCTGCTGTGTCGGCCCATGAGCAGTGATGGTGTTGCCGACGTTGGTGGAGACACGCTCCCGCTCAGCTATGTCCAGCTGGGTGGCGCGGCGAACGGTCTCGCCCTCCTGGGCCAGAGTCATCTGGAGGTCCGGAGGAAAGGTGTTCTTGCTAGCCCGGTAACACTCGATTAGCCAATCCGGGACTGGGCCAGGCGGGAGCACGTTGAAGCTGTGCTGCTGCTCGTAAGGCCGTGTCTTCGCCGAACGAGCCATCTTGTCCAGAACTTGGTGAGAAATGAGGTTCACCAGGTGTGCAAAAGGATGCAAAAAAAGTTGTAGAAAGTGTGTGTATGTGTGTGTGACTGGTGAGCTTGTGGGATAGTTGTGCTTGGGTGCGTAGCAGTTGAGTTGGAAGCGTTCGCTATCTCAGAAAGCTCGTTGACACTATGTGTGCAGAAGAAAGGAAAATTCAGAAGAGACGGGGCGGCGGCTTGAAAGATATGTGCTGATAGAGCGCTAACGTGCTGGCTGACCATGAGATAGCACAAGGGATTGGCTTATTGACGGGCGAGGAGTAAGAAAGTCAACCATAGGAGTATCCGCTCGATTGTTGCCACGTATAGCATACCATTGCCTCTATCTCAGGCCAACGATGTCCAAATGAGACCGGAGAAGTTGGAGGAGTATGCTGGCACACTGGTGAAGAGCCTCAGGAGCAAGAGAAGACGGAAAATGTACGTGGTTGTTTGGACGTTGGTCGCTGACCCTACGCTTGGGCCAGTTGAGCCATTTGTCAGAGAAAGTCTAACTTGTGTATATGGTCGTTGTAAGCCGAGGGAAGGCATCTTGGAGCCAATGGGCGTTCAGAGAGTAAGCTGTAATGCTGCCGATCAGCTGATGACAGTGGGCTCAGCCAAGAACCGATGGAGAGAGAGACAGGACAGTATGCAACAGCAGATCGTTCATTGGTACGTAGGAACGGCCGACCCGCCCAGGCAGCAGCAATATCCAGCGAGCAAGGCAAGCCTCGGTTGTGTAGGCTTACCATGACTGCCGTGAGGCGAAGCGGCATGTAGGTGATGACGACAGTGTCCAGAAACTAGCCATGCACAGTATAAATGGCACTATGCTCGTGGAGACAACAGGGAGGCCATTGCTGCCGGAACTGCGCGCCGCAAGGGTGTAGCAGGCCTGCGGATGAAAGCGTCAAAATGGTGGTAAGCCAAGAATCCGATTCGTCCCTAAGTGTAGGTCCGGTCAGCAGACTTGGCAGGCCAGTCGCAAGCGATGCCGAGGATCTCCCACGCCTTCTATGTCGGTTTAATCGTTGGCGACGACATTGTGGTTCTCCTGCTGTAAAATGTAGGACCGGACAGCTATCAAGTCCGATGAAAGCTCCTACATCCCGTTGACAAGTGGCAATAACTTTGTAAGGATTAAACTAGTTCGAGCGATGCATGCTGCGTCGACAAGCGCGTATAGCATGCGATGCTCTTTAGCACAGTCTGTCTTTTGAGTGCAGCGGTCTTCAGAAGGTGCTGTGCTTTCCGTGGCCCGTTGACGATCGGCAACGGCGGTGGGATGGCGGGTGGCAAAGTAACAGCGCCGGGAACACTTGACTTTTCGGCCAGCAGTATTCCGATTTCATTGAGCGAATCAACCCCAGTATCGCTACCATACAGGCGTATCAGCACCCGTACACGCACCAAAGTGCCGGCAACGCATAGCGCGGCGGATACGGCTGTCAAAGTTATGACGGCAGGGACAGTGTCAGCCATTCCGTCAGCAAAGCAGCAGCGACCAGACCGAACCGGCAGCGTGGCAAGCGTAGGGTCCGCAAACGGCATCTCCGGGCTCACAATGGCAGGCTCGAACCTTCTTGTTCTGCATCTGCTCGACCACCACGCATCAGGACGCCATCTTCATCTAACGACATAGCCATGTTACCTTCCGAACAACCAGCATACTGAGAGCAGCAACGCATTGCATGGCAGCCATGGAAGACTGACCAAGAAAGAAGATCATGCCGCATCCACTCCGTTCTGATACAACTCTCCCTTACTGCGTTGCTACTTCGCGGGACGCCGAGGACGCCGCGACAAAGTCGAGGGTAACGGTGTGGTCCAACCATCCTACCCGGCATCCTCCGTAGTTCTTGGAGCGGGTCGGCCCAACGGCATCGCATGGCCTAATCAGGGCTGCCAGGAGGGCTGTGCCTCACGGCGAAGCACTGTAACCCTCTGGTGGGTGCGATAGCTGATCGGTGGCGGTCCTCGCCGCTGAGCCTGCTGGAGGCTCGAACCACACGCTGCGAGATGTCGTGCTTTCCTCGATCGAGCATCTGGGCTTGCACCGTTCAAGTCTTCCCATCCGCAGCTGCAGCGGCACCGGGACCCTTCTTCTTCTGCTTCTTGCTTTTGTCCTTCTTCCGCTTGCTTCGGTCCCTCTTCTTTAAGCTTTGCATACCAGCCTTACATACTTCGGCATACCGAGCGAAGAAGGCTTCCATCTTCTCCGGCTGAACGATCGTACTCAATCTAGTCTTTCCAGCATTCTTCGTCCGGTCCTTGGCTCCTTCCGGGCCAAGCTTGTGGCTCTTGCCATCGGTTGCGCGCACGATGAGCGGAAGCGGATTCGGCGGGTGCAAATCCCATAGTGGATCATCCGCGATCTTTGCTGGTGTGACGGACGGCGATGAAGACGATGTGTTAAACGTTACTGCTTCTCGTCAGTTTGCCAAGGCTGGAATGCAGGGTAGTTCGATCTTGCTACATCGTTTCTGGGTCAGGTAAACGGAGCCATGACCCTTCTTTTGCGTCGACTCTAGGAGAGAAGACAGCTGCGAGAAGAAGTCCTCGTTGCTGAGATGCTGAGAAGCACCCATGGTGTAAGGCTGGTTCAGTTTCCGCGTTGGCGACAAGCTTATGTGCGATATCGCCAAACCTGGCCGCACTTTACGTGACTTCTTCTTTGGGATGTCGTCAAATTTGGCAAGTGCGTCAACCGGCGGCCCGGTGAGGCGCCGGCAGAAACGGTCCGCTCGCCGCGATGGCGGCGGCGGCGACAGTGAGATCGTGGCGCGAACTCTGTATAGACGCAATCGAAGAACATTGCGCCGTGCAAGTCTGCAGTTCGTCGGAGAAGAAACTATTCTCTGTTGCGACCTTTCGTCAAGCAGCCTGTTTCCATGATGATTGGGGGTCTGTTTATCGCTACTTCCAGGTACCTTCATACCTTATTATCTATCGGTTTAGTGTTCATAACGAAACGAAGTCCCCATTCGGGAGTCATACAAATGCAATACGAAGCGAAGAGTTAGCCCCTCTGATAAACCTCCTGTAGACCAGCATTATAGCGTTACTTCATAGATTGTTTCTGCTCTGTCATACCTCCTGTCGCTGGTGAGTAAAAAAGGCAGCCAATCAATCTCAGATTCCCACAAATTTAAAGTTTTGTCAGCCTCTTCCGCTGCGAGATCTTCTACTTCAACATGAAACCATTCACTTACTTTCATATGATTGCCTGAGTGGACGAGCGTGCGCTTTCGTCATTTTGCAGCGCCTCGCACATGATCGACAACATTATCCGGCACCGTTGTCTTGCTAAAACTGTACGAACACTATGCGCCACGCCACATACCGTGGCCCAAAGCTACCCAAAGATCTCCTAGATCAACTTGGTGGACCGCAACGGCGACATGTATTCGAAAGAAAACGACACATAGGAGAACGGCGAAACGCTCCAGGTGCCCGCAGTCGGCCAGCTAGGAATGCTCATGGTCATCATGCCGTCAGCGACGATGGTGAGCAAGACAGATTCTCCAAGCCTATTGCATATGAGAAGCCTCCCAACAGCCGGGTTGCAAAAGCGCAGAAGTCAATACTCAAACCCTCCAAAACTACGCTGCCGCAGCTGGAGCGGGCCGACGAACTTGACGAGGCAAGCGATGATCAAGCGGACTTTGATCTAGATGAGCAAAGCGACGATAGCGATGGCTCCTTCACTGTATCACGTCATGCGGCCAAGGCCGGCATTGCCGATGAAGACGCAGATATCGCCGCTCTGGAGCGAAAACTGGGCGTCAAGGCTCGCAAACGATCCCAAGGCGATGAGGATGACAACGATCTGGACTGGCTCGCCGGCAGCTCTGACGAGGACGACGAGAGAGGGGTGAAGCGCAAACGGCCCGAAGATGCAAACTGGTTGATCGACAAGAGATTCAAGGCTAGTCAGCCGTCCGACAGTGAGGACTTTGAAGGCTTCGAGTCTGGAAGTGATTCTGAAGCGACGCCTCCCGCCAAGACCAAGCGAGAGAATCCGTACGTCGCGCCTGTGCCGCAAGATAGAATGCCTACTGCGAAATACATCCCGCCGTCTCTTCGCAAGCCTGCGTCTTCTGATGAGGAAGCGCTTAAGCAGCTTCGACGCCAGATGCAAGGTCAGCTTAACCGACTGTCTGAGGCCAATTTATTGTCCATCGTACAGGCCTTAGAGGGCTTTTACGAGAAGAATGCGCGACAGCATGTTACTTCTACGGTGATTGATCTGTTGATCAGTCTTGTAGCAGACGAATCTATTCTTAGCGATGCATTCCTTCTACTGCATGCTGGCTTTGCTGCCGCCTTGTACAAAGTTACCGGGACGGACTTTGGTGCTCAGCTGCTGGAGAAGCTGGTTAATACTTTCGACCAGCACCTTGGAGTCGGTGATTCCCACGGAAAGCAGGCACTCAATCTTGTTGCTTTCCTATCCTGCCTGTACAGTTTGCAGGTTGTTGGCAGTAACATCATGTTCGACTATATCCGGCTGTTGCTCGATGAGCTTACGGAGGATAATACCGAGCTTCTACTACGCGTCATACGTACTGCAGGTCCTCAGCTACGCCAAGACGATCCGTCAGCGCTCAAAGACATTGTACTGCTTTTGCAGCGCAAAGTCGCCGATACTGCCGAAGCCAACTTCTCTGTCCGTACAATGTTTATGATAGACAGTATCCGTGACCTCAAGAACAACCGAATGAAGGCTGGAGCTGCAGGATCAGCTACAGTAGCAGAGCACACCGTTCGCATCCGCAAGACACTGGGCTCTCTGAATGCTCGCTCGGTGAGAGCCACTGAACCTTTGCGCATCACCCTTGCGGATCTCGAAGACACAGAGAAGAAAGGTAAATGGTGGCTTGTCGGTGCCAGCTACCATGACCCGGCGAAGCCCGCCAGCAATGGCGGTTCAATGAAGCCTGTTGCATCTTTGTCAAGCCACGATGCTGACGCCGGCTATGAGTCCGATACTCCAGGTCACGTGAACCTCACCAAAGCCGCCATTGCGCAGGGGATGAATACCGACATAAGGCGTGCCATATTCGTCAGTATCGTTGGAGCGGAGGACTTCAAGCATGCTTACCTGCGGTTGCGAAGCCTCAATCTAACGTCGAAGCAGAAGACTGAAGTCCCTCGGGTAGTACTACATTGTTTAGGCGCTGAGCAGACAGTCTACAACCCGTACTATGCAGTAGTCGCACGCAAACTCTGTGAAGAAGAAGGCGTGATGCGGAAGGCATTCCAGGCTCGCCTATGGGAACATCTGAAGCGCATGCGCCGTGCAGACGAAGACGATGTCGACAGCGAAGACGACGAAGGCGGCGGTGGCGATGGTGCTGGGATGAGTGTGCCTAGGATGGTACTCCTTGCCAAGTTCTACGCTACGCTTATGGCAAGTGGTGCCGTTAGTATTGCCGCGTTAAAGGGTATCGACTTCCAATCGCAGCGGCCGGAGACGAAGGCGTATAGTTTCGCAGAAGTGCTGCTCACGACCCTGCTTTTGCAGTTGAGGAAGACGCCGGAGAAGCTTGAGGAAGTGTTTACTCCCAGCGGCGCAAATCCCAAGATGCTGGGGGGATTACGATGGTTCATGCGCACGATAATCAGTAAGGCTGCGCTCGCTAGTGGGGAGAAGGAGGCGAGGAGGATCAAGGAAGCCTGCAACTCGGCTATCAGCGTGCTACCGAGCGGCGGCTCTAACCTTGCACCAGTGGTGGGTGTAGATAGCGACGACGATTGAAGTGGCAAGACAAGTCTACTTCGCACTGCCGTTCTTCACACACACCATTCTTGTTGTCCTCACATCAGCATGACATCCTTGTGACGTACCTTAGATCTACGTCGTTCCAAGCCGTATCGCAAGACATCCATCGACATCGACATCGATACCAGTGTTGTATGAATGATGTGCCGGGAGTGCCTGTCGATCGATTAATGACAACGGATTAGACTCAAAAACATGTTTTTGCGGGTGTGCTGCCGCCTCGGCGCCACGATCGGGGGGCCATCGGGAGACGTGGGTAGTCTCCAAGAAACGGGACGCGAGATGAAAGGGAGACAACGGGTGCATGGCGTGGGATGAGCGTGGCAATTCATCTCTGACTACCACCTCGTTGGCCCCTTTCGTTTATGCATGCGCTGGAAGCGCTCTGCATCGACTCTCGGGCTTCAGAATGTTCCTGAAATGCCAGAGGCTGTAATTGTTTCAGCATGCGCGACCACTACGTACTCGTGAGACACGTCAACGATATAGATCTGGAGACTCCACACCTCCACACCCTTGCCGATGCGTCAAGTTCTAAAGGGGATCCGCAAGCCCCGGCAAGCCACCTCCGCGATTACCCACGTCTTCCCCGAAGCAGGTTTGCGAAAAGACATCCATTATTCTTGTTCCGGGCTGAAAGCGGTGTGCGGACTCCCGGGTCTGTCTCACCACACCCACGGGCTGCCGGCAAGTCGAGCCTTGCTCCCGCGCCAACGACGTCGCAAACCGAAATATCGTGTACGTGGCTAAGACAAGGCAAAACTTCCTACTGGCTGCGGCAAGACTTCCATGATGAATAATTCTCTGGAGGCGAGCCTTACCGGTGCCCTAGTAACGGCATGGGGGGTTCCTTTTGTGTCTCTGTCTCTTTTTCTGGGACATGTCGGCAGTGTGACAGGGTGACAGGTCATCATCGATCGTGTGGGTGAGGCTTACTGCTGAGGTAAGGGGAGTGTTGCATGTTTGTACTTAACTGTATCACCGCCCTCTCTTGCGCTTGATGGCTTTCTTGCTTGCCTCTCACATCTGCCCTCTGAGCCACTGAAGTCTTGCTGTGCTTAAGATCTATACACTACTCATATTGGAGGAGCCACTCTGAAAGACTGCCAACCATCAATTATCGCATACACACACCTACCTGCCTTGAGAGCACAACACCCTCGAAGAGAAAGCCACAATGACGGATACCATGCCTCTCCCTTCCACAACAACACAACTTCCGCGGAACGACTCCTTCTCCGCCGACGATATTAGCAAGGCATTCCAGGCTTCGGCGGCCAAACCACGCAACAACCTCTCATTACGCATCGTGCAGCAAGACGAGACCCTCGTTCCGCCACCGTCACCACACCACTCAAGACCCTCGACAAGACGGTCGTCCTTCTGCGGGCGCCCAGACATGAGGAGTTGACGAGCGAAAGCCACTGGGTGAGCGTGCTCTGAGCGAGCATGTCTCTGTATTCGTTTACGAGCAGTCGGTGTTGGTAGGCGTTTACGGTCGGGTAGGGAATAATATTACAGGTCTTAGTCGGCACCAGTAATGCACTTGAGCTTCGGGAGTTGAGACGGCGTATCTTTGTCCTATTGGCCATGGGTGAAGGCGCTCCTGATTGGCAATGACTGTTATAATGCAGACTTCTGAGGCCGGTGATTATGGGGACGGGATGGCGTAGGAAGCACTTTCAGCACCTCAGACATATGCAGACGTTCTGAACGTTGCGCTCTGCCAGGAAGGGTGAAGCAATCGATTGCGGAAGGTGCAGCTTCAGCTTCTAAACGAGGTTGCGGAATCGCACGAGAAACCAATATGCATTGATATCACTACTCTCGCACCTTCCACCCCTCGCCTTTCAAAACCAATCATGCCCAGTACTTATCCCCCTTCCCCTTCACTCCCTCCCAAACCCCAGCCACCACCTCCACGACCTCCACCGGCAACGGCCCCTTCTCCAAATCCCCCAAATTCTCCTCCAAATGCTTCGCACTGCTCGCGCCCACAATCACCGCATCCCCCTTCCCACTGTCAAGCACAGAATGCCACTTCAACCACCTCATCGCCGTCTCCGCAACGGTCAAATCGTGCTTCGAGGCCACCTCCCTAATCTAGAACGACAGCACCAACACGTCAGCAGACCTCTCTCGAAGCAGGAAAGCTCATCTGCGACAACAGTATCGAAGTGACGCACCTTTTCCAACGCCTCAAACACTTCCCCCCGCCAGTACTTGACATGATTATGCTGCCCCACAATCTTCTTCTTATCAAATCTCCCTCCCTCTTCAAACTCCGTCTGCTCCTGCCGATACTTCCCCGTCAACAACCCGCCCGCAAGCGGACTGTACACGTAAAACGCGATTCCGTGGTGGCGGAGACACGGGATCAGTTCGTCCTCGACCCGGCGTTGGAGGAGGGAGTAGACGCCTTGGTATACGCTTGGGCGGATCCAGGAGTGGGCGGTGCAGAGGGAGTGGATGTGGGAGACTTCCCAGGACATGACTTCCCCATAAGTCAGCCTCTAGACGTGAGATATGCCACCATTGAGGACCGAAGAAGGGTAAGTAGGGAGCGTACAATTACTCAACCCAAACCGTTCAAAAAGACCTTCCTCGTACAACTCGTTGACACCCTTGAGCGTCTCCTCGAAACTCGCGTGCTTCCGATCCGGGGCGTGGAGGTAAAAGATGTCTACTTTCTTCGCTCCTAGAGCTTTCAGACTATCCATCAACCCTTTCCTCAAGTCTTCCGGTCGATGCGTGTACACCATATGTGGTTTGATGCCCGGAAAGCCTTTGCTGGGGAAGAGCTTCGTTGCTTAATCACACGTCAACATCAACACCAGTCCGCCAGACGGGCGGAGGGAGAAGGTTCGCTGCGCTGCGCGAAGGGAATGGTGAGGAGTCAAAAGGTGACGACGTACAAACACTGAACCCTCTTTCCTCATACCTAAGCTCCCCAAGCATCTCCTCACTCGTGCCCCACCCATAGACGCGCGCGGTGTCGAGCTCGGAGACGTGGTGCTGTGCGCAGAGGTCGAGGAGCTGTGCTGCTTCGCTTGGGGAGGAGATGCGGTCGTAGAGTGTGTCTAAGACAAGCTGTGAGTGGACAATGGACAGTGCACGGTGGGAGTGGTCAGGTTGGGATGTTACGGACCTTTCTTCGCGATCGTCATGGTGCCGAGCACGACTTTCAGGTTTGCGTTGTCGGCCATCGTCTTTGGAGGAGCTTCGGAAGACATGCTCGAGTTTGTGTGCTCGGAGCAGAGTAGAGTAGTAATTAGGAAGAGTGGCGAAGGAAGAGGTAGATTCGACTTGAGGAAGGAAGTGACAATGAGTGGTAGTTTTACCTTACCTGCCTACATTCTTATATGTTCGATGCCGTGGCTTACTGCTCGGCTTTGCACAACTTCTATAGGTCCATTCGAGCCAACGGTGTTAGTGAGGCTATACTCATGGCGGCCAGGCGGTGTCCAGAGATGCCGGAGTGGACGGCCAACCAGAGAGCCACTAATGCGACGGCTCGAATGAGATAGCTCTGTTTCTACGGAGCTCGTGCTGCAAGGTTGTGCAAGTGTGTAAGGTGGAGATGTCAATCCGTCTTGGACGGGGAGTTGACGGTAGCCGTAGGATCACCAGCCAATCAGCTTTTCCGCTTTCCGAGCACCACGCTAACCGTAACCTTCCCGCTGCCTGTACCCAGCAGGTGCTCAAGCAACAGCTTAATACCCTTCCTGCTCCTTCCTGCTTTCTCGACCTCCCTCCCCAACCACCTTCCCCTTCATTCCCGCCTCATCTCCTCTCAACTTAGCAAAGTAAGCCTTGATATCCTCCGCCCCAACAGCCTGTCCGCTCTCGGCAAACGGCTGCAAAAACGCCTTAACCTTGTCCCTGACATGATTGTACGCCATCACGCCCTCAATCGCTCTCACTCGATCCATAGACGAGAGTGCAGCCTCGCCCCGTTCGAGTAGAGATCCAGAGTTGACGCTTCTGCCGGTGACGCTGGCTGGGGCTTGTCCTTCGGAGCTCTCGGAGAGGGGTGGTTCGTAGGAATCTTCTTCTTCGAACAACTGGCGGTGTCGGGCGAGGCGTGGGAAGCAGTCGGTGCAGCGGCAGAGATGGTCACGGAAGTCTTCTTTCAGAAACAGGGAGATGCTGCCTCGGGGTGGGGAGGGGAGGGTCGTGTGTCTCGGTTTGTTGGCGTTGCCGTTCGCTTCGTCAACGACACTTGATTCGAGTGATGACGCTTCTTCGTTGACTTTGACCTTCTTAGTGTCTTGTGCCTCGTTCACGTCGTCGTCGGCTTTGCGTTTCCTGCTCTCGGCTGAGCGGTCGGTGACCACGTCGTTTGCGTTGAGTTGCATCGGGACAGCGGGTAAAAAGCCTGGTGTAGCTGCGTACTGCTTGATCCACGGGAAGGCATCGACGCACTTGTAGCAGATGAGGTGGTCGAAATCGTCCTCCGCTGGGAAGCCTGGCGGAAGCGGTGGTTCGACTTCATGCTGCACTGCCGCAGCACCTTCCACCTCGTCCTCCTCTCTGACAGGCTCAAGCTCGCCATTCATCGTCGCTTTTCCTGACACGCCCTCACTCTTCTGCCTCGGCAATCCCATCAAGCACTCCGCATGCCACCAATCCTCCCCACACCCCCCCTCCTCCATCGTCCCTAAGCCAAGACACTGAAACATCGTTCCCTTCTCCCTCTCCGGATCATACTCCTCGCCACATCCACAAAACCTGCCCTGGAAGTTATGATTATACCGATTCCCCTCCCTCGCTTCCTCACCCACCACGCCACCCTTTCGTCCCGTCACAGCATTATGCCGTAAAGAGCAAGGCGTGCCGCAACTGGCCAGCCTCGTCGTACCGCAGTCGCAGACAAAGTCGCGCTTGGAGAAGAGTTCGACGAGGTTGTGGTCGCCGTGACAGCTGATGCTGCATGAGTAGCAGACTCCCGCCGGCGTGAAATGTTGGTGGGGTGAGGCGGGTGGGGGCGTGCAGGTGAGACAGGCGAAGACGGATTGGCGAAGGGGACCGAGGGGTTGGGTGCAAGAGTCGAATTGGTAGGGCAGCACTTCGCGCGCGTCTGCCTCAAGGCGGAGTTGGGACGCGATATAGTCTTGTGCTGTTTGAGAGAAGGAAGAAATGTGCTGTGAGTCGCCATTCACTTGGTCTGAGTCTGCCATGACGCCCTTAGCTGTTGATCGAATTGGAGAAATGCTTGACTTCCTCATGAGATGGTTTGGGAAGCGTCGCTGCAACGCGCCTTCCTGCAAGCACTTCGTCACGGAAACGCGCTAAGATCTTGGCACTTTACTACGCGCCTTCAACGGCGCGTCTTCTGCCCCTCGTCTTACCATTTCAATCAATCATACCACCATCATCGCAACACAGATCACTCAATGAGGTATAGAGGCTCATCTACCATGAAATTGAGGACTGTCTCTAATGATGGATAGTACACCACTTCGACCCAACATGTCCGCAGCGAACCGCGGCCGTCCAGCGACTGGGCGCAAGCGTGGCCGTGACGCTGAGGGCGAGAACATGTCCTCTCCGCCTGCGCCGCCTTCGAGTCGTGAGTAGTACACTACAACGTAAATTGTGTGTGCAGCAGTGTTCATGCGATGCAGCACCCGCCTCTTCACCACCGGTCTTCCCGCAACATGATGATATCGAAGAAGACGATAATCTTGACCCCGAAGACGAAATTGCTCTAGATCTTGACGATGCCGACGAGATGGCTGAAGACGATGCTGGCATCGATCTCTTCGGCGACAACTTCGACAAAGACTACAATCGCACCGCAGACCGAGACTACGAAGGCGCCGACATCGACGATGAAGGCGATTACGATGATATGGACCTTGCGCAACGTAGACAAATCGAAGCGCGCCTCAACCGACGAGATCGCGAACTTGCGCGGGAGGTGCAGATGCCGAAAGCGTTCTTAGCGGACGATGATGAAGAAGATGTTGCAGCCTTGACACGCCAGCCGCGAAGACGTAGGAACCGATATGACGAAGATCAGGACGACGAGATGATGCATGAAGATATCATGAACGAGGAGCTATCTCTGGAAGCGCTTGCAGACATCAAAGCCGCTTCGCTTACGGATTGGGTGGCTCAACCTGCTGTGCACAAGACTATCGCTCGCGAGTTCAAGAACTTCCTGACCGAATATACCGACAGCAATGGCACGTCTGTCTACGGTGTGCGCATTCGGACACTCGGTGAAGTCAATGCAGAGAGCCTCGAAGTAGCCTGGGATCACCTCTCCGAGTCCAAGCCAACTCTGGCTTACTTCTTGGTCAACGTGCCGAGCGAGATCCTACCCATCTTCGACGCAGTCGCAATGGATGTGACCCTATATCATTACCCGGAGTACGAGCGCATTCACAGTGAACTGCACGTTCGCATTACCGATCTGCCGGTTTCCTACACTCTCCGCCAACTTCGTCAGTCGCACCTGAACTGCCTTCTCCGCGTGTCCGGCGTGGTGACCCGCCGAACAGGCGTCTTCCCGCAGCTGAAGTACATCAAGTTCGACTGCACCAAATGCGGCGTCACTCTAGGTCCCTTCCCACAGGACAGCAACGCAGAGGTCAAGCTATCATACTGCCAGAACTGCCAGAGCAGAGGACCCTTCACCGTCAACAGCGAAAAAACAGTCTACCGCAATTACCAAAAGCTGACCCTGCAAGAGTCACCCGGCACCGTGCCAGCTGGCCGCTTACCACGCCATCGCGAAGTCATTCTCCTCTGGGACCTCATCGATTCCGCAAAGCCAGGCGAGGAAGTCGAAATCACAGGCATCTACCGCAACAACTACGACGCCCAACTAAACAACAAAAACGGCTTCCCCGTCTTCGCCACCATCCTCGAAGCGAACCACGTCGTCAAATCCCACGATCAGCTCGCTGGTTTCCGCCTCACAGAAGCCGACGAACGCGACATCCGAGCCTTATCCCACGATCCAGACATCATCAACAAGATCGTCCAATCTATCGCGCCCTCCATCTACGGCCACATCGACATCAAAACCGCCGTCGCATTATCCCTCTTCGGCGGTGTGGGCAAGGAAGCACAAGGCAAGCATTCCATCCGCGGCGACATCAACGTCCTTCTTCTCGGTGACCCGGGGACAGCCAAATCGCAAGTACTAAAGTATATCGAATCCACCGCCCACCGCGCCGTCTTCGCCACAGGCCAAGGTGCATCCGCCGTCGGTCTCACCGCTTCTGTCCGCCGGGATCCCATGACGGCCGAGTGGACGTTGGAGGGTGGCGCGCTCGTACTGGCGGATAGAGGGACTTGTCTGATTGATGAATTCGACAAGATGAACGATCAGGACAGAACGAGTATCCACGAAGCAATGGAGCAGCAGACCATCTCTATCAGCAAGGCGGGTATTGTTACAACGCTGCAGGCGCGCTGTGCAGTTGTCGCAGCCGCCAACCCAATCGGAGGCCGCTATAACGGCAGCGTGCCCTTCTCGCAGAATGTGGAATTAACGGAGCCTATCTTATCGCGTTTCGACATCCTCTGCGTCGTCCGCGACACCGTTGATCCGGTTGAAGACGAACGGTTAGCGAACTTTGTGGTGAACAGCCATGGGCGTGCGCACCCTATCACGCAATCCAAGTCACAATCCCAGACGCAGACAAACGAGATGGAAGTTGACGAACCACAACAAGCACCACCCACTGCCAATAAGCCCACGAGTCCCATCCCGCAAGAGCTACTGCGGAAATATATCCTCTACGCTCGTGAACACTGCCGACCGAAACTGTACCAAATCGATCAAGATAAGATCGCCCGTCTTTTCTCGGATATGCGGAGGGAGAGTTTGGCTACCGGGGCTTATCCTATAACCGTAAGAACAACCCCAATCCCGATCCTTCTCACTGAAATTCACTGACATTTGTATGTGCAGGTTCGACACTTGGAGTCTATCTTGCGGATTAGTGAGTCCTTTGCCAAAATGCGACTGAGTGAGTACTGTAGCGGGCAGGATGTCGAGCGTGCGATTGCGGTGGCGGTGGAGAGTTTTGTGGGCAGTCAAAAGGTCAGCTGTAAGAAAGCTTTGGGGCGGGCGTTTGCGAAGTATACGCTTGCGCGGCCAGGGGCGGTTAGAGGGAGGAGGGTTAGAGGGGGACAGGTAGAGGTGGGGGCGTGAAGAGGAGAGGCGAAGAGAGCGGGGTGACTGTTGACTGGGATATTATGACGCTGAATGATACCCAAGGAGCGCAGGAATCGAAATATGTTGCTGCTTATACGCCGCGATTGAATGGGACCGCGTCGTTGGGTAGAAGACGAGCTGCTGACAATGCTTGCGAGTTGTGAACTGTTTCGGACGTGCACACTAATTGCTACTGCTTCCCACTCTCCTGCGCCAGACTTAACTTCTCCAGCCCCTCCTCCGTACTCTTACCCACACTAACCTCATGCGCCCCCTCACCAACCACCTCTCCATCCGGCTTGGCTTCCAAACTCCCATTCGCTTCGCCACCGCCCGCCCTGCCTCCCGGAAACCTCGACCCCAGATTCTTCACCTTCTTCTCCTTCTTGGCCGCCTGCGGAGGAGGCGGATACGCCCGCAACTCCACCTCCTGCCACTCCTTGCTGCTCTCGTACTCCTCCCTAATCGGCTTCAGGATCGCGAGAAGTGCCTCCGTAACGGCCGGTTTGAGCGATTGCGGCGATAACACATCCGCCTCGTAGTCCTTCCGCATTCGTTCGATCGAGTCGTAGACGAGCGGTTCCGCGTCCCGGCGGTCAACAACGAAACGAGGCGTGCCGTTGTTCTTCAGTGCGGAGGCGGGTAGGAGCACGTACTCCACAAAGCTTAACACACCGTTACCCTCTACCTGTTTAGGCGGGCAGAAGGCCTTTTTGAGTTTCTTCCGGACAATGTCGGCGGGCTCGATGAGATCGATCTTCGAATCCGGATCGGAACTACTCATCTTCCCTCCCTCCTGCAAACCAGGGATAAGCGGGTTCATGAGATGGGCTCGCTTGCGAAACCCGATTCGCGGCAACGATTCGACGGCTAGGGTGAAGATTTTGCGTTGGTCCACCCCGCCGAACTGGGCGTCGACGTTGAGGTATTCTTCGTCCAGTGCTTGCATGAGGGGGTAGATGATTGACGAGACGGGTGGGGAGTCGGTTTGTTTGACGACTTCTGACCCGGCTTTGCTCGCGTCGTGGGAGGAGACTTGGGTGCAGAGTCTCAGCAGGTCGAAAGCGTAGTTCGTCGCTTTCTCCTTCGGGGTTTGGTATTGCGATCCGATCACGAATTTGAGTCGGGAGATGTCCACGTTGACGGCTTTCATGGCGGACGTGATGGCGTGGCGGTAGTATTTCACCCGTTCCTCTACTAATTCGATCGGGGCCTTGAGGTTGTCGAGGAAGCCGTGGACGTCTGCGAGTAGGACTTTGACTTCGCAGCCGGCGGCGAGGAACTCGGCGATTTTCAACATGGGAACGAAGTAACCGCAATGTGGTTTTCCGGTCGTTGCAGTGCCCCAATAGATGCTTAGTGGTCGCTCGTTCTTGTCGAGGATTTCTTTGATGATTTCGGGGTTGAGGACTTCTTGGAGGTTTTTGGTTATGAGGTCGAACTTTGAGGTTGCGTCTGTTGGGGCGGCCATGGTGGGTGACGAGAGGACTGTCGCCCAGAATCAGACCCGTCGATGTTAGCGACTGTTCTTGTGCAGAATTGTGCAGTGTGCTCGAAAGTGTTGTTATATTCGCATGAGTCAGGATGCCATTGGAGGTTTAGAATTTCTTGGGATGTGGCGCTTTTGTGGCTGGCGTGGAGAAGGCACATGCACGCTTTCATGTTTGGATGCGTCTCCCCTGCATAAGGCTGAGGTGACAGAGGACTTCGATGTCGGTTATACATGTATAAGTAGGGTAGTACTTGAGCTGGAGTTGGGATTGCAATATGTTGACTGAAGCATTGCGATGAAAATTTTGAAGATCGGGGACGAGGATGGACGAGCAAATATACGAGGCTGTTGTCCCTGTGATGGACAGCTCAACATCTCCTCAAAATGCCGAAGCCGACAGACCTCCTAGACCTTCTGAGGGTGTTGATGACCACGATGGAACCGGAAGTGCTGCGGGCAAGCGAACTACGTTGTCTGGAACCCTGCAACGCTTTCTGGACCAGGTTTTGCACTTCTTGTCTCACGCCAGCAACGAGACTTTAGGAGCATGCCTTGTCGCACTAGGCGCAACCACTTACTTTGCGCTCGGCCGGATAGGGCTGGTCATCCTCGGTGTTGCCAGTGGAGTGGTGCTTCAGGCGACATGGGAAGGCATACGGCACGACGATCGCGACGAGGGGATGAAGCAGGCGGAGAAGGAACAGAGGCGGCAAGCTGGTGTGGAAGTAGCGAAGAGAGTACTGGGCTGGCGGACGGCTAACCGAGATGAGGGTGAGGCTAAAGAAGACATGAGGGTATACGCGAATCAGCAGCTTGACTTCTCCAGCTTCGGTCCGAAGGCCGCTGAAGCGATGGACTACTTCGCAAACACAATCATTAAAGACTACGTCAAGTACTGGTATGACCCGGCCATACCCGGCGAGGAGTCATTCCCCGGTTCGTGTAAGCGAACATTAATCGCGTTCCTACTATCTCTTACTGGCCATCTGAAGCGCAAACGACCAGCAGATGTCTTCCTAGACTTCGTTACCAATGTGAGCAGCATTATCATCGTCTTCCTGAACGAGCTCTCCGCTGCGCTAAATGCTTCGCCAAATGCAAGCGCTGAGGACGCCGTTGCGACCTACCTTGCGCTGAAGCCGGACAGCAGTTTGTCGTATATGCTGAATCAGCATTCGCAAGAAGCTAAGCTTGCGGATGCAGCAGAAGACATACTGCAGGCGTACCTCGATCCGAAGGCGTACAATTGTCCGCCGGTGCAGACGTTGCTCAAGGAAGTCCTGGCACAACTGGTTCTTGGGTATACGGTCACCTACTGCTCAGAGCCCTCGTGGCTCAATGATTGGGTCGTGTACGGACTTGAGGAGAGCGCGACGACGAAGGAGGTGATGGACATGGTTGATGCTGGAGTAGAAGGCAGGGTGAAGGAAAAGGCGCCACCCATGAATGCCGCGGAACAGGCGGAGACGGAAAGCCGAGCGGAAGCTGCCACTGAAGAAGTAGAGCAGCAAATACCGGAGCCGGACCACAAGCGCTATTCGAGTAAGGCCGAAGAAGCTATGGACGAGGCTATGCGAGAGGCTCAACGGCTAACACAGCTCATGATTGAGGAGGATGAAAGACGAGCGAAGGAGGAGGAAGAGAAGCAAGCCGCGCTGAGCAGCTCGGAAGACGTCTCCGACGCGGTGACCACTCATGGTGCTCCTACACCGACATCAAGTCAAAGTGATAAGGATCGGCAGTCCGGAGAGCATGATGGATCGAACAGGGAGCAGTCTGCAACATTAGCTTCGTCAACGGCTGTAAGCTCTCCACCAGCATCTCCGGAGAGCCAGCAGTTTGCAACCTTCGATCAGTTTTCACATCAACCTACTGCCCTGCTAGACAGCCCTGATCGATCACGCGGCGACCCGGTTCAGCTCACATTACACAACGCCACCATCTCCATCTTTGACGACAGTGTCCCTAGCGACCGTACAACCATCAAGACCAAACCGATGGCCGATTATATGATCCAGATCGAACCTTCGAACACAACCTTCGCAGGGTGGATGATCGCTCGCAAGTACGCCGACTTTGAGAACCTTCACGAAGTGCTACGGCGTATCAGCGTCATCACCGGTGTGAAGGGCTTCGCGCAATCTCATACCGAGCTCCCGCGATGGCGGACTAACACTAAGGCTTCGCTGCGAGAGGAGCTGGAACGCTACCTGACAGATGCCGTGCGCTTCCAGCCACTCGCAGAAAGTGAAGGCATGAAACGGTTTCTCGAGAAGGATCAAGGGCTTGCTAAGTCACCTTCGGAGCGGAACCGGGGCTTTGGATGGCCGACACCAGATGCTTTCGGCAAGTTTGGCGGGGATATGATGAACGTGCTTACCAAGGCACCCAAGCAAGTTGCCGGTGGTGGCAAGGCTGTGTTTGGAGGTGTTGCCGGATTGGTTGGCGGCAAGCGCGGGAGCTTTACTCAGGCCAGCCTTAGTCGGACCAACACCGTGCCTACGGCAGATGGTACGTTGCACCGAAGCACGCCTAGTCTTGCACAGTCCGTCTCGGCGGCTGACTTGGCTGAGGCGGATGGTGCAAGCGATCATGAGGTGGAGAGTGTGCAGCCTAGCCCGAGGCCATCTCTCAACAGGCCGTCGAGCGTGGCATTGGCTGATAGCCAAGAGCCTAAGCCACGTCCTAGTGTAACCTCGTCCGCACGGATGAGCGGTGAGAATATCGCACGCGACGATGACACGACTGCGTCAACGAACTCGACAGCCCTGTCGGCGACGCACGTCCCGAGCCTTGAGGGCGCAGTAGAAGCACCTGTTGACCTCCCGCCTCCGCCATCGGAGATACCGGATGACTTTGGTCAGCCGAAGCATGTCGGTAAAAAGAGCACCGACTTACACCATTCCGCCAACCATGGCCAATCGCTCCTCGGTGACGACGAACCGCCTCCCACACCACCAAGACCGAGCAAGCCAGCCGCAGCAGCAAAGCCTGCAGACAAGCCCAAGCAGCCACTCACAGAACGAGAGACTTCCGTCGCCATCGAGCTTATGTTCGCCGTCATCACAGAACTATACACGCTCTCGTCAGCCTGGCAAATCCGCCGGACGCTCCTCGCAGCGGCAAAGAACTTCCTCCTGCGGCCTGGTAACCCAACACTGATCACCGTCCGCGACATGCTGCAAAAGTCATTGCTGGACGACAACCTCAGTGACACGGGCCTGGCAGCGCACATCTACAAACTGCGGGTGAACGCTCTTCCAACCGCCGAAGAGCTTGAGGTCTGGAACCGTGACTATCCGGAAAAGACGCCTGAGCAGAAAGAAGAGCTTCGTGTCAAAGCTCGCCGCTTGCTGGTGACGAAGGGCATGCCGCAGGGTTTGGCGGCCATCATGGGCGCTGCCGCCAGTGGCGAGGCGTTAGGGAAGGTGTTTGACTGCTTACAGGTGCCTGAAGTGAGTAGGGGTTTGGTTTTCGGGCTTGTGCTGCAGGCGCTACGCATTGTCACGCATTGAGCGGGTGTTGATGTGATGCCACCTCTCATGGGCGGTTATGCTGTTGAGTCAGGTGGACAAAGCGACCCTGGTATCGCGATATCGCGCCGAGCGTCTGTGTATAAAGGAAAGTCGAAGGGTGAACAAAGAGAGCATATGAGCCTCGGACTCGGACTCGGACTCGGACGACAACATTGCACTTTCACTGTAAGATTACCGTCTGTAATTTGCGCCCGAAGGCAGATTGCCAAGTTCAGTATACCGGCATCATCTGGGCCTGCAATTTCGCTGTCTCAAGCAGCACTACGCTCCTTACACCGCCGACAGAATCCGGTCGAACTACCTTCCCTTGAGCATTCACTGACGGGCAAAGCGCACGGCATCTCTTCTGACGCAGCTGGTCCGCGTCTTGCACTCGCTTCGAACAAGCAAACGGTCAATCAACTAAGCGAAAGCTGGCAATGCCGCCTAATCTCACCATCAACCCAGCGCCATTCAAATCGTCCAACCTCGCCATCCCGCCTTCGCCATTCTCACCCAGGTTACCGCTCTCTCCCTTGCACGCAGCGCCGCAACGACGGAAGTCAGCCGCAAGGGTCAAAGCGATCCTCGAGCTCTCCCCTCCGCCCGCAGAACCCCTGCAGTGGCTCTGGCAATGTCACATCTGCAACCGCGTCTACAAGCTAGGCGTCACACGGCGCTGTCTCGACGATGGCCACTACGTCTGCGCCGGCACTACGACTGTCAAGCGCAGTAAGCGTACTAACAAGAAGGTGGTAAGGCACAAAGCTTGTGCGAGTGAGTTCGACTACCAAGGGTGGGAAGCCTGGGGAGCATGGCGACGGAGTGCGATGGAACGAATGGATGCCGCGAAAGTGCTGTATCAGGGTGATGACGGGTACGATGACTTTGGGCTGCCGCTGCTTGTGCCTACCGTGCCGGGTGAAGGGCAGTGGCTGAGCGGGATCTGGACGAAGAAGCCTGCCTGGGAAGTTGTGCAGCAGAAGCCAGAGAGAGTCGGGTATTGGGAGAAGGACTGCTGGAAAACGTGCGACTATCCTTCCGAGTGTCGATGGGGAAAGCAGTACGGTGTCACGACGCCGGCCATTGCGGCTGTGCCTAGTTCACCGCCACCGGTGCCGTCACGACCTGCGGAGGATAACGCGGAAAAGCTGCCCGCGACCACTTTTGATGAAACGTTCTTGGATGCACCTTCTGCAGTTAAGATCTGCGCCGTGGTGCACGCGCAGACACCCAGGCAGCCAGACGCGCAAAACGAGAGAAAGCCATCCATGGATGATCTTCTCGATAGCGTCAAACGACGCAAACGTAAGAGTACCGGAGCGGTGCCCAGCCCACTTGGCTCGAACCCACCATCGCCGACGACATCTGTATTCTCAAAGCCTGTGGCGGCAAGCACCGCGTCTTCCGGTACCAGCAGTCTGCACAAAGCGTTCGACGATTTCGAGCTGGACTTCAAGAAATCACTAGAGCGAGCCGGTGAGCTCGTGACAGGTTGGGCGAGCAGTGTGCGCAGCACGGCCGCGCCAGAGGATGTCGGAGCGGACTCGATGGTCGTGAAAGCGCTAAAGATGACGAAGAAGAAGAGCGTTGCCGAGCGACTTCCAGCATTGGAAGATCGTGTTTGATTCCTGCATGTGTCCAGCTTAGCTGTATATGAGCGCCTTTAAGCCTTTGTTCCAAGCGAGACTTGGCTGCCTAAACGGCAGGTGCTATCTTACCATACCGCAAGACGAAAAGCGAGTACCGAACAGTGAGCTGGCGTGAGACTCGCACCTTGAACCTATCGTTCGTTTCAAGCTACATTGGTGGCTGTCCGCGATCTGTGCTGGTTGGAGCGACATCATCTGAGTATTCGGCACAGCTTTTGTGCCTGAATGTCGCCTTGCAGATGTTCCTACGCGCTTAGTGACAACCTGCAAACGTCAGCGCAGCAGAGCAAGGTCTTCTTCGCCCAAGCACCGCACACAATGCCACGAGACAGACAGGCAGGACGTGCTATAAATATGAATGGACTCAGCGCCCGCACACGAGTTGTACGGAACTCCGCCATGCCTCGACTACACAAGCTTCATGTCTCTACGTTCAGTGGGTGGAGTCGAAAGACACACGGCTTAGGCAACTTGACGTCGTCAATAGCATTCGAACCCAGTCGCCGGCTGAAGGGTTACCGCCGTCAGGGGAGATGTGAACACAGAAGTCGACGTATACCCGCCAGCCCTTGCAATTACGGTTTACTGCTTTACTACGAGGTCTGAACCTTCTCGGCGTCCTGCCCTGCGGAACCTAGGTAGTCAAACTTCCTACAAAAAGGAGGGTGTAAGCGTCAGCAATGTCTCAGCAGGGGGTGTAACTTGTACGCTTTCACCACGTACCCGATGGGAACGCCTTGGTTGCGAAGAATAGCATAAGCGGCCATTTCGTGGAAGAAGAAGTTCGGTAGAGCGAAGCTTTGAAGGTAGCTGCATTACAGATATCAGTTCGGGCCTTGGAGACCACAATGCTTATGCCGGCAGGACGTACGACAAGCCGGTGAACTTGAAATCTCCGACGCCCGTCTTCATCACGACTTGGGACTGTTCCTTTCCGGCGAAGTCCTCCGGTTTGACCTTCTCCAGGAACTTGATGGTCTTCGTGATGCGCTCGTAGAGCTGCTCGAACTGAGCAGAGGAGCAGAGATTAGCGAGGCTGGGCGACTTAGTATTCCGTAGCGAGGAAGTACGTACTGTGGTCTCATTGTCCTCCCACGGATCATTTTCGGTGCCTGCAATCCGGACGCAGGTGAGCTTGGCCGTGTTGCTGATAGTGCAGATCTGGAATGGAAGTGGCTAGACGGCGATGGATCAGCTGTTGCTGGCCGGCACATGGGCAAAGCCCTTTCAGACCTTCATGTCCTCAGCAAGCTTGCCTTCCAGAAGCTTCTCGACTGGGTGGCCATTGTCCTTGCACCAGGCTTCCTGCAATATGATTAGCGAAGTGTGGAGATTGAGGCTGGTGCGCTTCGACCTACTCCCTTCTTGAGAAAGGCCAGAGTGTTCTTCAGAGCTTGAGTGTAGATAGGAACACTCATGTCGTACAGCGAAGCCATGATGACGGCACGTGACCAGATGACGTGCTTGAGAAGGATGACCTTGCAGGTAAGCGGCTCTTTTAGCGTGTCAGATGAGTGTGAGGTTTAGTCTTGTCGTGCCTTCCGTAGTTGGATCAATCTACGTTCTTGTAACGACTGTATGCTACAACGTCTTTTTTTTGCTGAAAACTCGAAGCAAACATCATGCCACTGCCCCACGTGCTTCTTCGCCGCTAAGGCCGCTAACAGACGGCTCGGCGCATTATTGGTCAAGTGCTCTAGGCCGGAGCGGAGTGCGGCCTTGATAGCTACGCCGTCGGGTCAACACGGTCTAGATGGGTCACACCACAGCGGTACTGGGCAAGAAATATCAGCAGGTCTGGGACATTGCAATGTCCTCGCTCTACGGTAACTGGCACAGGCACTTATTGTGACGTTACAGAGCGATAACAAAGCATGTGATATTGCATCGCTGAAGCTTTGCTAAATCCGACCATTCCCATTTACTTCGGCTATCGTGGTATAGACCGTAGCATCCCTATCGTAATAGTTGAATGAGGCGTGTAAGATGTAACGCGGCTTAAATCATGAATCTGCAAGCGGTCAGCGAATGATCTAGCATCACGACTTTGAATTGATATGCTTACCGGTAGCCCTTTTGCAGAGCACGTGCGGTGGCTATGTCAATGCCTTCCATCTCTGCCGTCTTCCTCAGTCTGGCTACCTCCTTCTCAGTCAGGACAGCATCAACGTCATCCATCCTTTCCAGCCGCTTGTTCTCCCTTGTCAAAAGCCAGCGAAGCACGCAAGCACCGATGACCGCCATTCCGGTGAGCGCAATATTGACACCCATAGCAACCACGTAATGAGGTCCATCTGTACTGTTGTAGATAAAAGGCGTCCATATCGATGCCGCATTTCCAACGCTGTTCACGAAAGCCAAAGCAACGGCGCGCTTCGCAGGTGGGCGCGGAATGGCGTTGGCAATCCAGGCGTAGATAGTACCGTTGGTCGCAAAAATGAATATGAGCAGGAACAGCGAGAAGTATCTTGCGCCAAAGTTATTGCTGAACATGAAGATGAATGCACCAGCGAACACTGGTATGGCAGGGTATACGAAGAACCAGAACCGGTTTTTGACTTTGTCCGAGATGATACTGTGGGTGAAGGACCAAAACACCATGAAGATGTACGGAGGTGCAACCAAGAGGAGCGAGACATAATTGCCGTAGCCGAGCGTCCTCGTCAAAGTGGGGAAGAAATTCTGGAAGCCCGCCGCGCCCGTTGTGCCATGGTACATGATCGCAAGTACGTAGGTCTTCGGGTCGGAGAAGGCGAGCTTCATACCCTTGAGCTGTGACATACCACCAGCCTCGTCGAGATCCACATCTGCGGCATCGAGCGCCATTCTGTGCGTTCGACTGTCAGTGTGTCATATACAACCAGCAAGGGCGAATAAGTTTCGTACCTGCGGTTTGCGACGTGCTTCAGCTCTGGGGTCAGGGCGGTCCAGGTGTGTGGAAAGTCGGGTAGGACGAACACGATAACCACGCCGATTGCCATAGTAATGGCGCCTTCGATTATGTAAAGCCATTGCCAGGCTGCGAGTCCACGCTTGTGGGCCAGGCCCTTAAGAATACCGGCGGCGATGAGGTTGCCGAAAGCGCCGGAAAGTAGAGATCCGGAGTAGAAGATGCTCATGCGCAGATTAAGCTCAGACTTGGTGTACCACTTCGACAGATAGAATAGTACGCCCGCGAAGAATGGCGCCTCCACTATGCCTAAGATAAAGCGGCAAGCAATGATGTCGGCAGCGTTCCTGACCTGCGATGTGAGAAGAGAGACCAAACCCCATACGATAACGAAGAATCCGATGTACCAGGACGGCCGACCGGAGAAGTTGAGCAGCATGTTGGAAGGGACTTGCATCAGGACGTAGCCGACAAACAGAATGCTGAGTCCGAGCTGGTATTGGTTCCCCTTCAGGTGGAGGTCCTCGCTGAGACCTTGGAGCCTTGCAGCTGCGTAATTGTTACGGTCAATGTAGTTCATAAGGCTTCGTGTGGTTAGCAGGCGTAGCACAACATCTGAAAGCGAGGAGAGCATACTATACGGTAATGACCAGGGGCATAATCAAGCTGTCGATCTTCCGCCTCAGTTTCTTCTCGACAACCAGCTCCTCTTCTGATAGGTGTGAGAGGTGTACTGCATCCTCCCTGGTCGTCTTTCCCACGATATCGTGGTCATGAATGACTTCCTCGTGCATAGCGTCGCCCTTGTACTCGATGGCATGGCTGCCGTGGCCGCTCTCTAGTGTAGACATGTTGACTCGAATGGCCGGCGCTCGGGATCCAGTTAGAACAAAGACACTCAGCGAACAGCAGAGCGCCAAAGAGAGAAGCAAGGTCAAGCATTTGCAAGACGGACAGGTCAGAAGTCATTCTCGGAGCCAAGCCATAAGGTGCGGAGGTGAGGGGCCTGGCACTGGGCCCTGAGAGGCCGTATCACTCGTCAAACATGGAGTCCATGGCTAGATCGGCAAATGAAATATGCAAGGTTGGCTAGCACATGGCTTCTGCATGTCTCCAGGTCACAAGCGTGGAGATCAACGGGCTAAAGGCGCCCCCTTCCACTTTTAGCTAATCCTGCGATTCACCGTCTCACTTCGAACAAGTATTCGCCGTGAGCTGTGTAAGCTTTTGGTGTTTGTCAAGTGTTGAATTGTCCACGGGAAGGTTGGCGATTGCTCTAGAGGTTACGTTACTTACAGCCGTCGCTGTCAGAGACTCTGCGCCACCGCTTATGTGCATTTTGCCGCTGGGATTGCGATGCCAACGTCTTCGTACAGTAGCTGCGGTCATCTTCTCCACACGCTGTCGCTCCTCCCCACACAAAAGTCAGGTCTTCTCCGCATGACTGGTGGAAATTGTGCTGGTTACCGAGCGACTCAAACGCCGGGGCTCCGCAACAAAGCAACCCGACCATTTGCCGACAGCAAGGATCCATGCCCCATATCCAGGAGCATGTGATTTGTTTCCGTTCAAGGTCCAGACCCACCTATTGGTCCGGTCTTGCGCACCGAGTCATGAACAGACTCTGGGACGGCTCCACGTGGCGTGAATAGCCGCAGGTCGGCGGTTCCGAAGATCCAAGTGCGATGTGAATCTGTACGTGTACTGCTGGCTCTGGACTGAAGCCATGTGACCGAGTCTGCATGTAGCCGATCTACAGAGCAGCAAAAAGAGGGAAGATCTTCGAGTTGGGCAGTGGGTGCCCTTGACCAACAGCCTTAAAGCAAGGCGCCGCCGCGGTTGCTGGAGCTGTCAGCTCAGCGCCTACTTCGAGTACCCAGAAGTCTCCGGCAGGAAGACTGTAGGTGTTGGTTGTTTAGGCAGTCTAGTATTGTGTCTGCTGCGAGGCACGATACATGTTCAATCACACAGGGGATAGGGCATGCTAAGCATGCAGAGCCGCAACCCGTCTCCCCACAATATCTTCTTCTTGAGCCTCGGTATCCGGTTGAGCCGAGCATACCACTCTCCACTCGGCTTCGTTGCGAACAGTGAATGCACCTGTAGACTTCTTGAGACGTTGATTTGCGCTCTATCTGGGTGTTGCCGATATCCTCTTGCGTCGAGCTCGATTGCATCGTTTGCGGCACGTCTTCCACTACGATTCTGTCCTATTTGAATCCAAACCAACACCATGTCGAAGCAATTTACTGTCAAAGATGTGCAGGAGCACAACACACCAGATAAGGCAATCTACCCACGCGCGAGACGAGGCGACTTGAGGATTAATAAATGGCAGGGTCTATATATCATAATCGACAACGGCGTTTACGAGATGGGGGGCTTCGTAGACGAGCAGTAAGCAGGATTAATATGAGGTCGAACCAACGTGTATAAACTAAGAGACGGTATTAGCCCTGGTGGTGCCAAGATCCTCAAGCGAGTCGGTGGCAAAGATGCAAGCAAGCAATTCTGGAAGGTGAGTACAGCGCGTCAGCCTAGCAGACAGTGCACTTATCAGAGCGTATGCTGATCCCGTGCTTGCAGTATCATAACGAGGTATGTACGTTACGGACCTGTACCAATGCAGCGCCTAACAAGCAATTCAGGCCGTACTCAAGAAGTACCAACCGAGACTAAAGATTGGCGAGATCAAGGAGTCCGCCAAGTTATGATGTCTTAGATATACAGAGTATAGAGAACGCCTAAACTCGCATACGCTTCACAGTCGAGCAGTATCTCCCTTTGTTGCGCGAATACGACAGCGTAGGCTTGTCGACTTAGGCGGCAATTAGGCGCGACTCACCGCAGAGTTCCGGATGTTCAGCCTTTCATTGAGTGCAACCAGATGCTCTTCGTCTTCCTTTCCAGCACAGCTCCTCCGATCGGACGGTCTCTGGCTCCAATGCCTGCGCCGGGCATCATGCCACAGTAAACTTGACATCCCCGCAATGGTCGCTAATGCGCTAATGCCAGCAAGGATGGCGAAATAGCCGTAATGTGTGCCAATCAGTACAACGGCCGCGGCGTCCCAGTCGTGCCAACTACTCGCTCCCCCGTGCTCGAAAAGCGGCGTCTTCACCTTGCCTCTCAGCATATGTGGCTCTGGTGCACCATGTTGATCCGCCAAAATGTACACTCTGTCTTCTTCGGCGCCGTCTGAAGCCAAGAGATTCCGCACGTATTCCATCCAGATATTGGACAAATACATGCATCCCGTGGTGAGCATGTTCTCCACGTACGGCATCGGCCATCTCAGGTCGTGGCGTGGTAGGTTCTCAAGCAGACTCGATAGGAAGCCATGCCGTGGTCGTGCTAGTATGAATGCGTTGTTCACACCAGCTGGATATGCGCCTGGCGTAAGAAGAGGTAGATGCATCAGGTTATTAAGCGGTTCGAGACACGTGATGTCCAGGTCAAGGTAGACACCACCGTAGTGATGAAGAAGTGCATAGCGCAGGCTGTTGGCTTGCTGAATGGTACGTGCGTAACGCTTGTAGTGAGGCGCTATGGAAGGATAGTGGCTCTCCATGAACGCCGTGGCATTGCTGTTGGTCCATAACATGTACTCCTAGTTAGGGTGAAGCCTTTGACAACTGGTCGCAGTTTGCCTGTACTTCTCCAAGGACGATTTGCCGCCGTCAGTGAGGTAGATCTGATGGATGATTCTAGGAACATAAGTGGTTGCATTGTCGAGGCCATTCTCATCGGCAGGGTTGTGTGGATGCAGTGTTTCAGGATGTTTGCGGACGAGTCGATGGTAGGTCGCATACGTTCTTGCTACGTCGCACAGAACTCGTAGGTGGCGTCGCGTCAAGAGTGTGATCGTAAAGAATGAGAGCAAAGCTATTGCTAAGACGTGCCTCTGGCGCATGATGGACGCTAAAGATGTAACACGTTCTTTTGATCTTGACCCAGACGACCTGTAGTGGCTCCAGGTAGCCTTTGCTACAATTGACTCGTACAGCCCTTAGTATCGAGAGGCATATACAAAGACGTGGGAAGAGAAAGGGCCCAACTACGTACCTTCCGAGAGGCACCGGACGCAGTCACTATGCACGTATGGTTTTGGTTTTGCCTGCCTCCACTACAAGCTCCGCGGCTGCTAAGGCTTGTTATCAAAGCGCCAGCACCTGCATCTTTAAGTGAGAAGCCCAAAAGCAGTACCTCCATGCGGCTACTTCAACCCTTCCTACGCGCGTGGCAAGAGCCTTGTTCGTAAAAGTTTGGAAATCACGACAACACGGAATGTGTTGGTGCAATTACACAACGCATTTCTTAACGCTAAGAAGAGTGGGTAGCATGCCTAGTCCTGAGGCCGGCTGGCGTTCGGAGGCAGCAGGCTTAAGAACAGTGGGATCAGGTCGCTTGGGGTGTTGTAAAAGTCAAACATTACAATCCCCAATCGTTTGCCCATCATTGTCCGCAGGAACGGGATGAGTCTCTCATTGACACCACCGGTGGGTGTCAGACTGCCATTGCCGAGAGCCTGAATAGCCGGTGTGATTGGTGGATTGTTCGCGAGATTGGTGCTTGAGGCGAAGGTCCAGAACAGACTGTTTGGATGAGTGTTGGCAGCCATTTGCAGATGAGCCTCGGTTGCGTTTATCTTCCACCGTATGTTGTCTTCGGCGGTGGAGTCGGAGGGTGTCAGCGGCTGATAGTAGTCTTCGATATATGCGGCACCGCCGGTCGCAGTATTATACACGAGGGTGATGTTCGGTGAGTTATCTATCCAGGCGGCTGGTGAAAAATGCACGCCTGGCAGAGAGTCACCATAAGCGGTAAGAATCTGGTCGAGATCGAAGCGTTTGAGCAAGGTGATCTTGCCCCGGGCTTCACCAAGCGTACCGAAACTTCCAGTCGTCTGCAAGATGTAGTGTCTCGCTGCGGGCGAAGATAGAGCGTTGTAAAGCTGTAGCTGAACGCCAGCATCCTGGCTTGCGCCGGGTATGGTACCTCCTTCGTATTGAATGGAGAGGAAGATAGCCTCTGAGGGGTGATCGTCAAGCCATCGATAGAAGCCATACAGCACATCGTCCACCGTGGCTGTCTCGGAGACGAGGCCGGGTCCGTGCCAGAACACCAGGGTTGTGTTTGTGACATCGAAAGCGTACCGAAGATCGAACACCCGGATGCCGTCGTTAAGCATATTCAGCATCGAAGAGTCTTGACAACGATATGCGGCAGGGTCGAACTCAGTGAGCTTGACGAGATTGGTGACATGGGCCAGAGACTGCTGGGTCGCCAGAGAGTAGTTCCATGTATCTGCATCATGAGCTCCTGGCTTCATCATCAAGTTGGGAGGGTCAGTTACACTCCACTTCGTGCAGTAGGTATGCTCATCGACATACCAGGTTGAGGTGCACGACCAGTGTATCATCCGAGTAAGACTTCATCCTGCATTTTCGATCAGCGTGACATGTCACGTTCCACGGATCCGTGGTTATAGACCATGTTGCAAAGCCACTCTGAACGTTTTGGTAAACGCCAAAGACCGGGCCGCCATCATTGAGCACCTTGCTAAGTGCATACTCTGCCAATGGCGACGTTGAGTGCTTCGATGCCAGTGGCTGCGCCCAGTCTGGTCTACCAAAAGCTGATGCGGGATCGGTTAAATCAGCTATTGCAAAGAAGGTCACAAGGATCACCGCAGTCAAGGCCATCCCAAAAACTGCTCGCCCCAGCGTGGTGGCTGGGTTGAAGTGGTGCATCTGGAGCCATGACAGATACTAACTTCTCAGTTGCAACAAGCGCACCGGAGCACGTCGTTGGAACAAGACCATGTCACTTGCTTGTGGTAGCTTCAACGAGCCTGTGGCAGGGAAAGAAGCGATGATTGGCTGCGGCGCATCGGACGCCTAAGGCACGTTCACGTACTCGATAATCCTCACTGGGACGACATTGATAGAAGTCCTGTCAATGTGACTATCTTGCTGGGCTCACTGACCACGCTCGAGCCCCGCCATCACGCCGTATGTCGTCGTTCTCAATACGTATATCCCAGTAAAGGATGGCTGTCTTCCAGATTATCGGCACTTGACCCTCTTACTAAATCGCCGCGCATGCCCTCAGCGCGCGCTTGCTGTTCCGTCTTGACAGGATGGTGGAGCGCCGTTACCGAGATACCTTTCAGAAGTAGCAGTCCAAGCGCCACTCCAGCCTACACCATGGTACGGCGCGTCAGCTGTGAAGCAGGTGGTCTTTGCGATGATCCCGCCGATCCCGCCGAAGCCGATCTGACAAGCGGCTGCAAATGCGCGCTTTCAATGTTTATAAGTGTTGTCGATTAGCATGGCAACACTTAGAACTAGCAAAATCTGCAGCGAAAATAACAAGGGAAGTGGGCGAAGTATTTCCAAAAGTATCATCGTGGCAATACTGCACTGCTGGCGTACCAGATGTAAATCTTGCGACATTCCTTGGCTCTTTGCATTGCCGGTATTGGCACAGTCCCAGTAGTTCACCACGAACAGTACGAAGATCGGCGGCATCCCGCAAAGATCATATGTCCGGAATGTGCGGCAATCAAGTGCTTTGTCGAAGTGTGCTGGGACAGCCTCATCCTGGTCCTGGCGGTAGTGAAAAGACTGGTATAGAGCCTCCCAACTTCGAACCTTCGTCCGCTAGTCGTGACTTATGTGACTCTGGTCCAGCGTCGGCGAGGGAAAATTGACATCGTGGGCGGCTATCAAGGCCAGAAGAAGCTCCGACCGGCTTCTGAGTGCTCCAAACTGGACATGGAAAGGAGTGCTTCTTAGCTCTCGAGGAACGGCGAGGTTCACTGCTCTAGCATGGAAGCACCGACACCAACAGTGGTGAGTTGACAGCTCCTGCGGCTGGTCAACATGGGAACAGCCAGGTACCCAAGGTCTGCAGGGACGAGCTTGCAGCGAACGCCCACGTGTCATTGCCCAGCAAGGTTGTCGGGAGCATGCAAGGAGAAGATCCCCTCTCATCTTGTTTGTCCCGCACTGCTTCCTGCTGTATCCCACTTCCTGCGTCATTGGTACACTTGCTCTGATTCTCGGCTGATTATGAGAAGTTGGACATATGACCGCCCAGAATTCAGCGCAAGTGTATGCGAGCAGATATATCAAAACTCCATGCCGTTCAGCCCCTCAATAGCGACTTCTTCTCTACTCCGCTTGCCTTTGCTTTCCTCCTTCAGCAAGCCAGCCACATAGCCTCGGAAGTACTCAACGTACGGCTTCAGACTCGTCTTCTGCCAGTCCTGTACTTTGGCTTTCTCTTCGTCGCTCATATTACCGCTCTTGCTTTCCCACTCGTCGATCTCCTGCAGCAGCGCGGTCACAGTAGGGACGCCGAGCGGGTCGAATGAATCGAGGTGCCTCGTGTCGATGGGAACGCAAACACGGCCAGTGCCCGGATGTATGACGAACGGCGACTTGAGCAAGTGATTTAACTTCTTCGACACCTCCGCATCAAGACGCGGGTAAGTGTACTCCAGCCGGATGTCCTGCTTGACATCGACCAGCTGCTTCGCGCTCAAGGTAGACAAATGACCTGCTTCAGCGACGGCGTCGATATCTGCCCACTTTTGGTTTGACGAACGTCCTGGCATGCTGTCCCACTTCTTTTGCAGTGCCGCTGTCAGGTCCTTATCTGGAAGAAGACGGATCAATCTCTCAGCTTGTTCGGCTGACTGCCATGGGTCTTGCTCCGCTAGCACCTCATCTTGGAAGTACGGATTAAGAACCTTCAAACTGCGGTCAACATGCGGATGCAAAGGTCGCTTGATCGATATCTTCTTGCCCTGCTCGCCGCTCATGGCTAAGACAAGGTACCCAGCCAACGCTTTCCGCTTGGCATCGTCCATCTCTCGTGCGCGCTTGTCGCTGATCCAGGCGTGAGCACCTCTTCGTCCGGAATAGACCCACAGGATGTGTTGAAAGCCAAAGTCTTCCCGGAGCGCAGTGTCAACCACTTTGATCGCCATAATGATGAAATGCCAGCACTTGTTGCAAATCGCTGCCTTGGAGCAGCAGGTTCGTATGGAGTCGTAATCAGTCATGTCGATATCAAAGACCAGCTCCTTCATGACTGGCCGGAAAGAGCTTGCTTTGCGTAGCTGCTTGCGATCTCTAGGATTGATACTGTACTGGGGCCCGATCTCAAAGCGCTCGGGCGTCATCTGCACACACTGTTTCTTGAACAGATCCGCAGACAGGAAAGACTGGTAGCGGATATATGCGCCACCTGGCAGCACGAAGGCGAACTCCCGGTTTTGAAAGTCCGGTTGCGGCGTTGGGCCATGGTTCAGCCACTGGAATAGTGGACGGAAAGGGAAGAGTCGTTGGTAGAACTGTCGCAGGATGTCGGGCGAAGAGTAGTTGGGCTTTGATGACGCCTGTAACGTCTCCGGCTGTGAGCTGTCGTCACCTTTCGTCTGCGCAATTGACGAGAACTCGTCATCGTTACCCGCGTCATCGAATAGATTGTCTAGGTTTGTCGTCGCTCCCCTCCTGGCCAAGTCGTTTCCCTCTACTGCATCGCTGCTTGGTTGTGCGGCATCCTGCGGTACTGCAGGCGCGTCGGTCATGTACGTATCGTTCTCATCTGTCGGAGATTCAGTCTCTGGCGACGGCGAAACGGCGTGTGGCATTTTGTTGCTGTGTATTGCTGTCAATATTTGCAATAAGCAATAGTTGTCGCGTGAACAGCAATCGCGTAGAGTAACCGATGAACGCGCTACCTTCGCGACTACGCTAGTACGCTTTGGGTCGTGCTTGCAGCCTCGGCTCACACCACATCCTCACGGTCCTTTACCCTACACGATATGCAATGCCATTCATAGTGTACAAATGACAACGTCGGAGTCACTATGGCATGACGAAGATGATACACTCTCTGATGAGTCGGATTTTATTGGTACGATTTCTGGACTTTCGCACATGGATGCGCTGAACGTGGCGCAGGAACTGCCCAAACGAGAGCCGTGCTGCAGCAGCGGATTGGCAAAGGGCTGAAACGCCATACCGAGACGGCTCTATCTGAGGTAGTGTTGGATGTTGTAGCGAAGCGGCGTAGACTGGAGACTCGTAAACATGAGCGAGCAGTCTCGGGGATATTGTCGGCATTTTCCGCGACCGGTATTACAACGAACCACAACGTGACCGACTGCCTCAGATTTCGACCACAGGTTAAGGCTACGCAAGCAAAGCTCCTAGAGGGCCCCACGGCCGTGAAAGTTATAGCCGCCATCAATACTGTAGTCGAAGACCACTCGCGGGATAACGAGCTCGATTGCGACCCATCATGCTGGCAACACCGGACCGAGACCATCAATGCATTCCTCAACCGGGGGCCTGTTGCTGAACCTTCCACTGCCGTTCTCGGTCCATGGCTATGGGTAAGCAACCCGAGTCCAAATAGACAGATATCCTCGCAGGTCAACGTCACAGCGTTTGTAGAGCAAGGCGCTCGGATTCTGAGCCGGATCAATAATCCGAAAATCGATAGTCAAGCAGAGGAAGTTGAGGTGTATCGAAAACCCACCAAACGCCAACTTACTTTACGTGCCCAACTCGAAGATGAACTTATCGAGCTTGCTGTCAAAACAGACACGCTTTGCGGCAAATGGATGTTGTTCCCTTCGCAGGATGATCTGCAGCAAACCTGGCAGCTCGTGTCAGAAGCTACGTCTCAGGGCAAGCTTGGCCCGAGGTCCAAGGTGGCAACTTACGACCAAAGCGATCCCAGTGGATCTCGAGTTATTTGCGTATACACATATGACTTCACCGACAAAGACGATGTCTTCCGCGTGCTCAGCGAGCTTGCTAGCCTGAACGTCTCGCCGGGTTTATCAGCAGGTCGCTCGTCAATATACTACAAGTGCGATGCCTACACCTACCTCGATATCAATTCAGGCAACCCGTACGGCATCAGGGCGAGCTTGTTCGCAAGCAATGGCGGAGGGAGTGGAGGTCCTGTCGAAAGGCTGCTGAGGAAGCGGAAACTTGCCTCCCAAGAAGCAGTTGGCGGACACCCTGACCGCACACGTTCCTTATGGCTGTATTAGTGAGCCCGCAACGCTTGCAAATGGGACTTTACGCCGCATTCTGGAACAATACGGTACCTATAGGCTGCGCCACAGTCAGTGCATGATCTAACCAGCAACCTTAATATGCGGTAAGCTACCAGCAATGACCGGAAGGACTAGTCAGTCCGCATAGTATTTGTAACGAGCGGTGTGTTATACTGTTCGAGGCTCCAACAACAGCTCGCCTGTAGGTCCAACTTTCTCCACAAACCCACCCTCTCTGCTATGGACCTTCCTCCCCCGCAGCCACGTCTCCTGCACCACACCGCGCAGTCGGCGACCTTGGTATGGCGAGCACTTGTTACGGAAGAGCATCGCTTCCGTGCCAACATCGAACTCTGCCTGCGGATCGAAGACTGCTATATCTGCATCCATGCCGACCTTGAGCATGCCCTTCCGGTGCTCAAGACCGATTTGCAATGCCGTGTTGGCACAGCACCACCTCGCCACATTCAGTAAGGTGTCGTCCACATCTAATGACCGCCTCATGGCTTCGGTCCAGAGAATGCTAATGCCGAGTCCGACTGAGGAGATACCGCCCCAGGCAGTGAAGAAGTCGCCTTGACTTGCCGTCGCGCAGCAAGTAGCAGCTGGCTTGTCAATTCGTGATCCCGGTATATGTGACGGTAGCAGCTTGAGGTTCGGCGTACATGGCGAGTGGTCCGAGACTACTGTCCTTATCACGCTGTCTTCAATATCCAGCATCTCCGCCCATAAGCCGTCTTGGTTCGCCTGTTCCCGAATTGGCGGACAGCATTTATGCCTAGTGTCGCCTTCCTGTATCTGCTCGGCAGCCAAGGAGAGGTAATGGAAGCACGTTTCTGCTGTGATCTTAATGCCGTTATGACGTGCTTCGCGCAGGAGTGGTATCGCTTCAATCGCTGATAGATGTACGATGTGGAGCAGTAGTTTGGGTGCTAGGTGCGCTAAACTCAATATCTCCGAGATGGCGTAAGTCTCAAAGGACACAGGCCGCGAATCAAGAAAAGTTTGGTATCGATCTAATGGACCGCTCGGTTCGAGAGGCGGTAATGACCACTGTACATCGTCTCCGACTGAAGCTGTGATAGGCGGTATCATTTCAGCGTGGAACATAACCGTTGTAGGCTCGTCCGCTAGTTCTTCGAAAACGGCGGCAATGTCTTGTGATGATACTGCAGGAAACTCTTCGACGCCACTATCGATCAGAAAGCCTTTGAAACCGCGTACACCGCCTTGTACCAGTGGCTTGAGCTCTGCAACATTGCCTGGCACTATACCGCCGTAGAATCCAACATCAACCCAGCATTGTCCTTGTGCCGCAGCCACCTTCTCCTCGAGCCCTTGAACGGTGGTAGTAGGTGGTATTGCATTCAGCGGCATGTCTACTACCGTAGTGACACCACCGAATGCAGCGGCTCGTGTGCCGGTCCAGAAGCCTTCCCATTCTGTGCGTCCCGGCTCGTTAAGGTGCACGTGTGCGTCCACGAGGCCTGGAAGGAGGACGTTAGGGCTGTAGTCAATGTAAGGTGTGCCAGGCGGGAAGGACGTGGGAGGTAGCACGGAGTGGAAGAGGGAGGTTATGCGTCCAGTTGACGGTGAGACTACGATAGTAGCTGGACCGAGGCAGTCTTCGACAACTGCGCGGGAAGAGGCGAGCACAACGACGTCGGTGGTAGTGTTGTACTCGTTACCGACAGATGGCGGACTTGTCGTTTCAGTTGCATGGGGCGCCATTGCTCGTTGTTTGTTCGGTGATGGTGCTGTGGGTGTGACTTCGAAAAGCGGCACTGGGTCCTGATCTAGATGAGACTACAGATCATCATAAAGTTTCAAAGATCATGGTCTGGTTGTTAGAGTGGGAAGCTAGAGTATGTCGGGCTGCTTAGAACGATAAGAGAGACATGTGAACCAACCATTGCCGGCTCAATGCCAACGAGCTGGACCCAGCCGTGACCCGGCATCCTCTACAGGCCGGCAATGATCCTGTCGGAGCCGGCCGCCATGTAGGTGGTACGGTAGTCAATCAATGAGGTGAAGAGTGGGCTTGAGTGTGGAAGAGATGGAGATATTACTCGATAAGAATTCGGCCGGGACGTATCACTGGTGGCTTCTGAAAGCACGTTGCTGTGCGCATTTCAGTGGTGCGTGGAGCGTGGAGCGAAGTCGGCGTCTCACTGAAAGACTGTACACTCTTTATAGTCGTCTTACTCGACGTACGGGTAGTGCAAGTGTAACAATGCCGATATGCTCCCACATGCACTGTGTCTAATGAGCCGCCGTGGCGATTGCCTAAGACCCAGATCTACCAACAGTAATCCTACCATTAGCGCAGCACATCAAGCGTGACATCTCGCCCAAGCACAACACCTTTCTCCCCTAATACCACTGACAGATCTTTTTGCTGCTCCGCCGTACCACTGACCGCCCATGCAAGCACGCCTTCTAACGTGTTGGTGCCGGTATCCTCGAGTAACGACCAATGTCCGCAATGCATCAAGCTGAGCACATGACTACTCGTACTCCGTGAAATGCTTACCTCGCCAGTGCGGTACATTTCATGTGTCTTTCCTAGAACGTCGGACGAAGTGAAATAGCCGCTGATGCCGTCTAGAACGATTCTCGGATCTAGTGCGATGTCTTGCAGCCCAAAGATTACCGTAACGGCACATCTGAAGCGTTGACTGTTTCTTCGCGACGGTGCTTCAAACTGCTTCAGCTTCTCAGCAAACACCCATTGGCGACTTGCCAAGCCTTCGCGGTAAAGTCGGATGCGTTGAAGCCAATCCCCTGGCGGTTTACAGCTCGCTCGTGCTAGCACAGAAGGTCCGTAGGACAAGCCCTCTGCGTCATGCGTCGCGCATTCATCGACACTGGGACCGTAGCAGGAGGCTTGACTGATTGCGAGCTCTTGCACCCAGTTCGAGGCTTTGGACGGAACGGGAGATTCTGGGTTCGCGTTGTGCCCATTTAGCCATATCCAGCGCAATTCGTGGTCAATGACTCTTCTAATGAACGGCCACTTGGCTAGCAAGCCCATTGGAAGGTTAAACATGAATATCTGCGGCCTCAGTTAGTTCGTAATTATCGAGTGCTTTCTGTTGCCAGGTGGTCGACCTACGTAGCTCGACTTCAAAAGTTGTGACAACCACGGGCCGCTTTCTCGCCAGGCTGTACGAAATGACAACTTGCGCAGAGCTCGCTGGCATTCCTCAGTCATCTTGCCGGCGTTGGATTTGAAGAGCGGCGCCTTGAACGCACACGGTCAGCTGCGTTGCAAGGTCGCTCTAGCCCAGGCTCGTTACGTACGTATGCCGTGTTGATAGTGACGACTCTCCAGACCAACCCCACAGTCTCAGCCGCAACTCGATAGGCAATCAACCCTCCCCAATCGTGCCCAACGAGGATGCATCTTCCACCACTTGCGCCGTCTTCCAGATAGCGTCGCTTCAGCTCGCTGATCGCTTCGGTGACGGCGTTGAGTACTCCCGTTGCACTGTAAGTGGCAAGGCTATCGCTACCGCCGAAGCCGGGGAGATCGAGAGCCACGAACTGTGTAGCCGTACCATGAGGTTCGGACGGGACAAGGAAGTGGCGGAAGAGGTTCGCCGAGTCCGGGAATCCATGTAGGAAAATGACAAGGCTTTTCTGTGGTTCACGTCTGAAGCTAGAGAGATAGTGAAGTTGTAGACCGCTGTCTAGACAGAGAAATTTATGCTCTAAGCTCGTGGAAGACGTAGACTGTGATAGTGTCCATAGGTCATGCTGCGCTTGGAGGCCATCAGCGACAGTTATGTCGAGAAGGTTGCGATATTCTGAGGTACGAAGAGTCTATAGCATCGTGAAGACGAGGTCGATAAGATGTACGTAACAAATAGGTTGACGTGGGAAGATCCCTACCTTTCCTCAGCCGTTGTAGTGATACAATCGATGTTGTTTGCCATGTCCGGGTGTCAATGAAAGAAAACGCCGTGAACACGCCAAGGGTTGTGAAGCCCAAAATGAACGATATGCCACTATACAGCGCTGAACTAAGCGACATGTTAATCACCTTTACACTGATGTCAGAATGTAACCTCTCGGATGGTGGTGGGCGTGCAGGATGCGTGTTGAAGGGGAAGTTACAGGGCTTGGCACTCCCGAACCCTCCGCTCTCAAGTGCAGAATGAATGGCATTCGAGCATCACGCGACACCATTTCGTAGAATCGCGTAATTTCGTCTTGAGTCGACCATGAGCCGAAGAAGTCTCGTACTGCCGTTGCGATTGGCCAGCGCTGCGAGGGTACAGCAGCCGCAATGGGTCTGCCGAAGATGTCTGGCATCTCAAGCAGCTGCAGTGTTTCAGCCGGAGGGACCAGCTCCCTTACCTGTCGACCCAACAAGCATACAACCAGAGGCTTATGACCCGTCATTGCCAGCGTTGCAGCGTATAGACCCTGCGACCGGCCAGCCGTACAGGCTTAAAAAATCAGACTTCTACCTGAAGAAGCCTTTACCGCAGCGGATACCATCGCAATATCTTCAGCACAGTACGGTCGAATATCTGCACCAGAGTGAAAAGGATCAGCGAGCGCAGACGCAGAAGCATATGAAGATCGTTGGAGTGGTGGTGAGCGCAGGGAAGATGGAGAAGACAGTTAAGGTCCGAGTGCCGGGTCAGCGGTGGGAGAAGAAGATCGGGAAGGTATCCGTTAAACGCATCTCGACCAGTCTGCATGAGATCGCTGACTGATGGTGTCCAGTACTTTGCTGACCACACGAACTACCTTGTCCATGACCCCAACTCTACCCTCGTGGCTGGCGATGTAGTCGAGCTCCATCGTCTCCGCGTGAGCAAGTCGGTACATCACGTCGTGGCGTCCATCGTCTCCGCTTTCGGTACACCAATAGAAGCTCGCGCACCCATACCATCTCCGGACGAGCGTCTGGCCGCATACAAGCAAAAACGTTTCGCCAAGCTCGAACGGCGTTCGCTACGGCAAGAAGCAGCCAAGGGCTCTGCTTCCGCGATCGAAGCCTTAGCGGCCATGGGTCTAGATCCGGGGCATGGTGCGGAAGCGGGCAAAGGCGCGAAGGCCAACGTGCAAACCAAAACGGGCAAGACGAGGCATAGTGGGAAGGGTGCGCTATTGGGTGAGAAGGGACAGAAGTTGCCCAAGGGCGTGTTGCCCGGTGGTAAGCACGAGGTGGGCAAGATCGATGAACGGGCGAAACATAATAAGCAGAAGGCTATGCGGCTGAACGAAAAGGCGGAGGCGAATCGGTCCGAGGCAAGGGAGAAGGTGGCAGAGATGGAGGAGAGAGGCGTTAGTGATGACCCGAAGAGTGGTGTGACGCTGCCGAGAGGACGTGTAGACTGAGGTGGACATTCGACCGCTTGTCGATTCGTTTGCACATTCATATTTCCAGCGCGAGCCATGACCCGCCCACATTCTGAGCCTTTGAGAACGTTCATCACATCCGGACGGCGCAATCCGACCACTGGAAGATCATTCATGGCCATGCTTGAAAGGACGGACCAGAACAACGCATTCTCAGAACAGGGGCTCGAGTTCTAAGGTTGCGGCCTTGGTGTCGCTCCGTCTCGACACGAGCGTGGCACGGTATACCACCGGAGTTCTAAACGGGTATTCAAAGCTTGGTACCATTGCTTGAACCGACAGCGTAGTGTCATGGAGCGTTGGAACTTCATAGTGTAACGGCGGGCCTCGGGACATGTAGTTTTTGCGCCACAAGGCTGAAGATGGCCACAGAACTCATGAAGAGCGCGAGATTGTAGAACTAGATAAACGTCAGTTTGGATTTTCTGAGCATTGCATGGCGCTTCCCTACGGCGTTGCGAGAGTATGCGCTCTCTTCCGCCTCCGTTCGTGCTTCGACGAAGAGGCGGCGAAGGTTGGGGAGGCTGGAAGGCTGCGCATGACGAAGGGTCAGCAATCTGTAAATCTATATAGCGTGGATTTGTGCTGTACCATTAGTCGCTGTTCATGTTGTTGATTGGCTGTGCAAGAACTCTCACATTTGTAGATTGATAAAGGGACGGAAAGACGACTGCACGTGAGGCGCGTCCTGCCAAGAAACAGCCGCTCAGGCTGACTTCGCAACGCTTCATTGACACCACTGTGCCCGTGGAGCATCAACACGTTCTGATATTTGGGTCCACTTTCACACGATCTCCCTGCGAACGCCATCTCACATCACCAACAATTGCGTGGAGAGCAGCATCTGTCTGGACTCACATCTCGCCAAGACTGCAATCAGCAGTGCTCAATACTCGTGCCTTCCAAATGCGGTCATAACACCAGCGCAAGCACCACGAGGGTAGTTCAACAATGGCTGTCAACCGGCTGCGCAGCGTCCTCACGGCGCCTCGCAAGGGCGAGACGTACGAGCTGCGCGCCGGGTTGGTGTCACAGTATGCTTGGGAGCGGAAAGAGTCAATACAGAAGACCATCATGTCAATGACCCTCGGCAAGGACGTATCAGCACTCTTCCCGGACGTCCTGAAGAACATTGCCACACCGGATCTGGATCAGAAGAAGCTGGTGTATCTGTACCTCATGAACTACGCAAAGTCGCACCCCGACCTGTGCATATTGGCCGTCAATACCTTCGTCCAAGACTCAGAGGATCCCAACCCGCTCGTCAGAGCGTTAGCAATTAGAACGATGGGCTGCATTCGAGTGGATAAGATGGTGGACTACATGGAAGAGCCGTTACGGAAGACGCTGAAAGACGAGTCACCGTATGTACGGAAGACGGCAGCGCTGTGCGTGGCGAAGCTCTTCGACTTGAACCCGAGCTTGTGCATTGAGAACGGGTTCCTCGAAACATTGCAGGAGATGCTTGCCGACTCTAACCCGATGGTTGTTGCCAACTGTGTCAGCGCCCTTGCCGAGATCCACGAGACTGCGCCGGAGACGAGAGCCTTGGTCGTCACTAGCTCTATGCTGAAGAGACTGTTGCTGGCTCTCAGTGAGTGCACGGAATGGGGCAGGATTACGATCTTGACCGCTCTAGCAGACTTCCGGCCAACGGACACGAAGGAGGCCGAGCACATCTGCGAGCGTGTGAGCCCGCAATTCCAGCATGTCAATCCGTCCGTCGTCTTGGCCGCCGTCAAGGTCGTGTTCTTGCACATGCAGTACATCGAGAACCAACAATTACACGCGACGTATCTGAAGAAGATGTCACCGCCCCTCGTTACGCTCGTGTCATCACAACCAGAAGTGCAATACGTGGCTTTACGGAACATCGACCTGCTATTACAAAAACAACCGAATATCCTTGAGAAGGAAATGCGAGTCTTCTTCTGCAAGTACAACGACCCGCCGTACCTGAAGCTCACCAAGCTGGAGATTATGGTGCGAATAGCCAGCCCTTCCAACGCCGACCAATTACTGGCTGAGCTGAAGGAGTACGCTCTGGAAGTCGATATGGACTTTGTACGGAGGGCGGTCCGCGCCATCGGTCAAGTGGCAATCAAGATCGAAGAGTCTGCGGAGAAGGCGGTCAATGTGCTGCTGGAGCTAATCAACACGAAGGTCGGCTATGTCGTGCAGGAAGTCATCGTCGTCATCAAAGACATCTTCAGGCGGTATCCGGGTTACGAGGGCATTATTCCGACGTTGTGTCAATGCATTGACGATTTGGACGAGCCCAATGCGCGAGGTAGCTTGATTTGGATCGTTGGCGAGTACGCGGAGAAGATATCGAATGCGGGCGAAATCTTGGCTGGGTTTGTAGAGGGCTTCAATGAGGAGTTCACTCAGGTGCGCAAACTTGAATGTGATAATAGACGGGAATCAGCTGACGTCCCAGCAGACACAACTACAAATTCTTACAGCAGTGGTAAAGCTTTTCTTGAAGCAGCCAGACCAATCGCAAGGTCTTGTACAGAAAGTGCTTCAAGCCGCAACAGCAGAGAACGATAACCCAGATATTCGAGATCGAGCGTACGTCTACTGGCGCTTGCTATCCTCTGACCCACAAATAGCGAAAAATATCGTGCTCTCAGCCCGGCCGCAGATAACATCGACCATCCCTGTGCTGCCAGGACCTTTACTCGACGCTCTGCTTCCGAATCTCTCAACGCTTGCTTCTGTGTACCAAAAGCCGCCCCAGACCTTCCTCGGCAAAGGCAGAAGCAGCGCACTGCAAGCTGCAGCCATCGAAGAGGCTGCAGAGAACGCTCGCGAGAATCCCATCGCTGCAGCTGCCGTTTCCGCCGCAGTGGCAGGAAGCACCACTCAACAGATTCAGAACAACGCTGAGAACCTGCTCGACATTGATTTCGATGGTGCAGCACCCGCGAGCATGCAGAAAGCGCCACTGGCCGGTGATTCTGGGCTTGAGGGATTGGCAGGGACGCCGCAGAGGGTGGCGAGCCCAATGTCTGCCGGTGCTGCGACGAACGGAGGTGGGATGGATGATTTGATGGGTATGTTTGGGAACAGTAATGGTGCACCGCCTAATCCGATGAATGGTGGTGGTGGGAGCGACGACTTGATGAATGGGTTTGCGGGGCTTAGTATGAATGGCGGACAGCCGCCGCCGCCGCCGACTCAGTTGGATGGCAGTGGGGATAGGAAGACGAAGGAGGACCTGTTGGGACTGTTCTGAGGGTGATGTACAGGGTGACGGCCGGCTTGCGGTAACACGTTACAAATCCGAAGCACTACGACAGCGAGGACAGCATCGATCCATCTATCTTCTCATCGCAGAAGGAAAGCTTGCCAGGCCAACAAAACACTCAATCAAGTCATGCGAGGCCGTAGTGGTCGCAAAGCGGCACCACCGAGTTGGACTGCCACGAAGACAACATCATCCTTTGGGCTTTGTCAGTCCAAGACATCAACCGGCAAGCAAACAGAACAGCCCATCAATATTCCAGCTTGCTTGGGGTCCGCTACATAGCAACGCACGACTCGCATGCGTCGCATCCAGCGTCTCTTGAGGTGTCACCATGGCGAAAAAGCAACGGCGTCAAGGAAGTGGTCTTCGGGGTGCGACTGAAGATTCGTCCCCGACGTCGAGTCCGAAAGCGGGATGGTTGTTGCAGCAGTTAGTGTGTTGGAAGAAGTGGTAGGTCTGACAGCGAGGACGTTAGTTAACTCAACGGAAGTGTTTGTTGAGATTTCGGCGACTCCACGAGTGAGATCGAGCGGCGGAGGTTCTTACAATTGCGACGGTGTTTGGCTGCAAGCCATATACCTGCAATGGCTAATATGCTTGCCACGATCACAAACACAAGCTCGAACGTGGTGTCGAGATCCATTGTTCTTTTTCTGTGTGCATCTTGCGAATATGCTCGAAAATCAAAAGTACACATGGGGTGGCCATCTCAATATAATGGTGACGATTCGCAAGTAGTCGCCGCTTTCGTCTCCCAGTTCTTCGCCATTGCCATAAGATAGCACAGCCACGAAGTGCGTCGAGAACCTCGTCGGTGATTGGTTTTGTGGTTAGCCTTCACAGGAACTCATCAACCGCTCCGAGGACTCCTCACCTAGACAAAAGTGCGCAGCTCTCGAGTTAAGTCAGCACTTGATTTTGACCGATGAACGACTCGCAGTCGTGCAGAGGCAAGTTTCCTCGGCCGGTGATTTTCGTCACGGATAGTTCTCCCCACTAGATGCGATGTTGGAAATGCAGATGCTTTGAGTATTGTAGCTTAGCTGAACCCTCCCCCTTTCATATCTGGGAATCCTGCGGGTACGGTCGTCAAAATAGGTGTCAATCTTAGTATTTTCCGAGTCCTCAGAGCTTGCCGTGATGCAAAGATGGACATCGCTGTCACGGTTTGGATATCTCATTCACAGTGATTACTTGCTATACAGATCTCCATGATGAACCAAATTACCGATGCTTGCGGGAGATGCATTCCATGTTATCGGTCCAAGGAGCGTACGGCGTTCGATGTTGTCCTGCATTGTGTTCACCTACACCCCATGCACAAGCGCACGACGCGCCTTGAAACGCTTGCACAGCCAACTGCTCGGGTCAATAACGTTGAACATCGCCTCTCATTTCTTGAGTAGTACCATATTCTATATTCAGCCGCGCCCCAAGTTGCATGTGCTTCGGTGCGTGGCAAGGAAGCCTCAAGGCCCCACGGTGAACTTTAAACGTATCCCCATAGCTGCCAATTCGACATCCAGATACCGCAGCACGCCTGGCACAGCGACCTGCGTCACATCGTCGCCGCCGAACCACTTCTGACCCTTGCGATCTTCCCAACATTGGCTTCGTGGGTCCACATTCGTTGCTCTCCGACTGCATCTCTTACACCTGAATCGACCGCCCTCGCCCATGCGTCTTCGACTGTACTGCCCAGCACTGGGCTGCGTTGACAAAAAACTACCGCAAGCCTTACAGATCCACGCCTTGGTGTAGTCGCTGCAGTTCATCAACCGGTCTTGCAACAAGAAAGCGGTACCGTGGGCCAGCAGAGCGTCACGCTCCATTTCACCAACGCGAATACCGCCGCCTTTCGCTCTGCCTTTGATTGGCTGGCCAGTAAGTGGCGTAACGGGTCCCGTTGTCCGTACTTGAAACTTGTCGTTCACCATGTGCCGAAGACGCTGATAGTAGACGACGCCGACATAGATATCTGCCGCTAGCTCTTCGCCAGTAATACCGGAGTACATGGGCTCGTTGCCATGGTAGTTGTAACCTGCACGCTTGAGTTGATGGCCAAAGTACTCTACCGCGGTCTCGCCCTCCTTGTCTTTGAACTTGAACGGCGTCGAATCTTGCGCCAGGCCATGAAGCGCCCCAGACTTGCCGGCTAGAGATTCCACGAACATGCCGATTGTCATACGAGATGGGAAGGCGTGAGGGTTGATTATGATATCGGGCTGAATCCCACTCTCCGTAAACGGCATGTTGATAGAAGGCCACTTTTGAGAGCAAACGCCCTTCTGACCGTGCCGCGAAGAGAACTTGTCGCCTATGACTGGTGACCGCGGTATGCGGAAGCGGATACTGACAGCTTGACTAGGTGTATTGTCACTTAGCTCACTGCCGATGATCTTGATCTCTTCCACAAACGCTTCCTCGGGCTCTTTGTAGCGGTGCAGATGCGTGATGCCGTCCCGATTGACGTATTCGTTGGCACTTGGATCCCAGGTCACGCTATGCGACGCTGCGATGATATCGCCTTCTTTCACCTTCATGCCAACCGCAGCAAACCCGTCGTCATCAAGAGTGTTCTTCCACTGCGCCTTCATCAACCCACCAGGTGCAAAGCCGAACATCGAAACCACCTTGCTACCTCGGCCGCGGGTTTGCTTGCTATCCTCGCTCAGATCGATCTTCTTAGTCTTGTAGACGGTGCCATGCCCAAAGCCGCGCTCATGCGCGGACTTGTTCAGTATCATAGCATCGTCCATGTCGTAACCGGTATAAGCAATGACAGCCACTACCGCATTGGTTCCGTTCGGGAAATTATCAAGACCATATTCGTTATACAGCGGAGGGCGTACTACAGGGGTCTGACCGGTCTGGAGCCGGTATGTCTTGTTGTCGGTGCGGTACTTGAGTGCTGTTCCCGGCGTACCCATAGTCTGCTTACCCATCTGACAGTTCCCAGTGAAGAACGGCTTCTGCGCTGCATCTATAACCTCCAAAGTCTTGTGGTTGTCGCTGTATTGGACGGTTCGGCGAGCGAGGAAATTGCCGTTGGGTACTGTCAAGCAGTAGACGAAGCCATCGTGGCGAGGGTTGTAATATGGCTGCGGCTGGGGAGCGCTCACAGTGAGTTCGCTATTGGCGAATGTAAAGGAGACGCGCCACGTTGTGGTGTTGGCATTGCTGCCCATGCTCGGCATCCGCTGGCTCTTTTCGTGGTCGACACCAATGTTGACCCTCGTGTCAGCCAACAAGCCCAGCACAGACATGTCGTGCATCAACGGGATCGAGCTGCTGAACACTCGGACGACTCCTCTGTTCATGAGAGGGACAGCCAGCTGCTCTGATTGAACGCTGTCCATTGATAGCTTGATCCTCTTTGCACCGCCGCCACTACAGAGAATCCTGCCACCTTTCGATCGCGCCTTGTATGTTATGCTCCAATCGCCATCGGCAATAGCTATACCTTTGATGATCGCTCGAGCTTGGTCCCGGGCCAGTAAGTATAGCCAAGAATAATACATCCAGCGTCGACGATACCACCAGTCGCCGGTCTTCCACCCGGCAGGTGCTGGTAAGATAGGCTCGTTGTCCGACCTTGACAAGGCTTGGTAATGAGACGCTTGATATGTACGGCACATTGAATCGTCCAGAGGATCATAGGACTGTGGTCCGCGCATCATGGGCAGAAAGAATTGGTACAGACCGCGGTGTTGAATGGTCCAGGTGTGCTCTTCCTGGACGCCAAACACGCATGGCGGTTCGATCACAAAACCAGGGATCTTCGCAGCTAGGCGCTTCAGAAGATCCTCAATGTATGCCGTTGCGTCGGGCTTCCCAGCACAATCACGTATCTCGACATAGTAGCTCTCTTGACCCTGAGTATTGGTAATATGGTTGATCCCACCGTCACCCATAACCAGCCCGACGAATCGACACCAGTCCAGATTGCACGCTTCGTCCCTGGCAAAGCTCCGGGGAAGCCAGGGGCAATCCGGCCACAAGTACATGGCATTGCCATTCTGTCCGACAGTAGGAATCTTATGGTTGAGATGAGTGGTTGTGCCGGCCTTGCGACTCCACTGACCTTTTTCCTTCCCAGTAGCAGTGGTGAGTGCAATTAGCTTGCTGTCCAACATCTGCTGTGTGGTATAGGACTTATAGGTAGTGGGTCGATCTTTGGTGTTAAGATACCAGCGATGACTCTCGTTACAGACAGCGTCCATACCGCCACTCATCAGTCTGTAGAGAGGTCCACCATAAGCGAAACGTGTCGTGGCCTGGACGGCGTTCCATTGCTGAATGCCCGTTCGAAGATCCATCGTCATTACCTGATCTGCGGCCTGGATCGCCGGAAGGGCTTTCCACCCAGCATTGGTGAGCACTTCATGATCAGCAGACAAGCACTGATACATGTTACGCGGCGACTGATTGAAGTCTGGGAACGGCGTCTGATTTGCGACAATTGATAGTATATTCGTTGGGTCGTACTCCACGTGCGTCGAGTCTCCGGAAACAATCTCTGGCTCGGTGCATGCGATGGACATGAAGGGTTGCTCAAATGCGCCGACATAGTCTGTCTTGTCGAGTGGCAGGTACTTGACGGGTCGCAGCATGCGTGCAGGAGATGAAAACATGTACACGCCCGGATACTGTCCGCCGTTCGACGATGGTATGAAACCCACTTCGAGATCCAGAGGAACGCCGTGCGAGCCTTCGACCTTCCAGTATCGCAGTGTGTCACCGATTACCTTCGCTTGTTTTGGTGTACAGAAGCCCAATATCCTGCCGTCAAGCTGCACTACGACGCTGTCGCTCAGAGAGGCTGCGGACGAGCTTACGACGCCCAGCTGTGCGATCAGATGAGGTATGTTGGAGACGTCTGCGCTCTCAGTAGCAACCTTGCACTTATGCGAAAGGTGATTAAGCAGACCGCAAGGCGCACCATCAGGCGTATGGACGGGACACAGGAAGCCCCAGCTTTCCGGCAGCAGCTTCCTGACCGTCGTCGTCTTCAGCTCTGCGAAGAAGCTGCCTCTGTGAACCATGCGAAAGTGACTGATGAAGCGATAGAAGTTAATCTTTTCCGCGACCACCGTGTAGCCCGAGACTTGTTGCAGGTCGAGGCCCGTCGGACTCACTAGATTGCCCGTTGACAGAAAGTAGTCGAGCGCCTGACCTAGGTTCTCATTGGTCTTGCGAAGCACTTTTGACATGAAGTCGCGCTCAAACTCCCGACTGGTGAAAGATGGGTACTGGTTATTGCGACTCCAGTCGCGCAGTTGTGCGCCAATTGAGGTCAACCATTCCTCCAACCGCTCCTTGATAATCATGCCGTAAAGTGCGCCCGGGAGTAGTATCTCTTGGCTTGAGACAGTATCCGGGTTGTCGACCATGCATTCGCCTTCAGCCAGAGCGTAAAGTTTACGAATCATAAACAACAACATTCGAGCTTTGTCCTCGTTGTTAGCTTCTGTTACATCGAAGCAGCCAAGATGCGGCAGCACAATCTTCCGCAGAAACTCCGCTCCAGCACTTTCGTCGCTCATGTCATCAGGCACGCCCAGCACAATTCGGAACTTCGAGCCCAGGTACGCTTTCGTCTGATCTCGGTTGTAGAGCTGGTACGCCTGGTATGTTCGCAGTAACAGTTCGACCCGATCGGTGACAAACTGCTTGGCCTCCAGCCCCTTTGTATCAGCAGGGCCCACGACACCTTCGTAGATTTCGCGGTCGGTCGTTTCGACAAGAGCCTTCAATATCATGACGACCGGGACAAGGTACTCGTTCTTCCGCCACGAGAAGCGGAAAGTGACGTTGCCGTCACTGAGGTAGTGTAACACATTCGTCTGTGATGTCTGGTCTGGCCGCACCGATCGTATCTGAATGCCGTACTTTGTGTATGTCGGCCCTCGATTCTCGAATGAAGGCCGAATTATCGCCATCGGGAAGTTGCGACGGTTGACAATAAGCATCCTGATCAGCTTTTCAATGCCGTTGACAATGAAGTAGCCGCCGAGCTCTTCTGTCTCCTCGCGACAATCGACAAGTTGCTTAGGCGACAAACCTTCGAGATGGCACCGATTCGAGCGGAGCATAATCGGTAGTTGACCGAACTCCCGAACACTCTCCTTCCACTGGCCATCGTTGACTCGATACTCGAATCGGCCTCTGAAGCGGCCCCTATAGGTCACATGCCTTTCTCGACACTCGACAGGGAGGATGTCCCTCTTGCCGAGTTGTTTGTTGTTGGCTGACACGACGCTTCGCTCCAGGAAGACTTCCTTGACGCGGAGCTGCAACCGATTGCGTGGCCTAGCATTGTCGTCAAGTCCTGCGCCGGGCTCGACATCAAGGAAGGTCTTCGTCCCGATATCCCTCAAAGCATGCTGTAGTTGCCCATCTGGCGCAAAGATTGTGTTGAAAGACTCCACGTGTGGCTTTATTGCTTGAGCAAGCGATGGGTACGCTGTCTTCTTGTCGGGAGGCTCCCGGAAAAGCTTGTGTCGCCGTAGTGTATCGTATTCTGTTGTCCACTTCCTGGGTGAAGGCTCGACTCCGTTCATCCTTGGTGGCGCCATTCTGGACAGGCTCTGCTAATGGATATGCGCAATCTACCATCCAGCGGCTACAATTGGTCGCTCAAGATCATGCTGAGACAAAAGAGCTGCCGGCCAGAACTGACAACCAAGGTGGAGAGTTGTGAAGTCCCAAGTACGTGTGTTTGCATTCTCCAAGCGTCTTCGCACTTAAGCCTTCAAAAGTTCGACTAGCTCGGCGAGTCTTTATCGATAGGTGCTAGAGGCTCGGAACTCTCCGCCACCGCCCGCCGCGGCGTTTCGTGCATCTGCACCTCGCTTTGTTACAGCCTTCCCTCCGAAGATCTTGTCTCACCCGCGTGCAGCAACTTCACGGAACGAGCTATCTCAGATTGTGAAACTGGTGCTGCATCGCACAAATATGACCATGTACTGCAAGCACGCACATTGAATCGACCAAATTCTATTACTACAGTTTACATAAACAAACTCTATCTACCTCAGGAAAGTAGCGCAGGCACCGGCGGTAACGGTAGGCCCCGCTTCGAAACGAAAAACCGCACCATCTACGCTCGCGCGGCCGGGTACCCTTGACCAGAGAAGGTCCTTTCGATCCTTGCCTTTCTGCGAGCCTCTTCCGCCTTACAAGCTCGACTGGCCACCATTCTCTGGATACCTCCCGGCGCCAGCAACGTTGGTTCCCGCACTCTTCACGTGGCTATCGAACGCGATGGGCATCCTACAGCGCATTTATGATTGGCTGTTAAGCTTGTTCTGGTATGCGAGTGTTTTCCCTTGACGCTGGCAGTGTGGTCATTTTGTTTCCAGCGCGGTTGTGGTTTACCGCTTCTCCAGTCGACTCGCAAAGCAACGAGGATGGTAGATAAGTTTTACGGCGCTGATGCTTCGCCTTCACGGCATGTAGGAATACGGAGCTCGACATCACCATGATCGGCCTTCAGAATGCTGGCAAGACGTCTTTGCTGCGAGTGTTGGCGGTGAGTGGTTCGGAAAAAGGTGCAGCGGAAGTGTTTCAAGTGCTGACGCTGTGGCACAGGGCGGCGAGTTCACCATCGAGTATGTGCGACTGCGGTGTTTCCGGCCGAGTGCTGGCTGCGAAAGGCCATGGCCAGTAGGTTTGCTGACATGCGACCAGCTCAATACCTACTGTTGGGTTCAACATGAAGCGGGTGCAGAAAGGTCATGTTACACTGAAGTGGTGCGTCCTTGATCATTTGTAATCCTACGTTTCCGTCACTGTCATCGTCAACAACCATGCCCCCCTTGCTGTCGGCGATGACCGAGGGAAACAAGTTGCTGAAAGCGGCGTTACTGACAGCTGGCAGTTGGGATCTAGGAGGCCAGCCTCGATTTCGCTCGATGTGGGAGCGGTACTGCCGAGGCGTAAACGCCATAGTGTATGGTTTCCATTTTGAGATTCAGGGGTGCTGTGCTGATTCCATCAAAGCTTCATCGTTGACTCCGCCGACAGGGAGGCTCTCCCAGTTGCCAAAGAGGAATTGCATATTCTTCTGGAGAAGCCGGCCATGGAAGGTATCCCTCTGCTGGTCCTTGGCAACAAGTCCGACCTACCCGACCATGCAACCGTGGACGAGCTTATTGAGGCGTTGAATCTCAAGACTGTGACGCACCGAGAGGTGAGCTGTTATGGTATCAGCGCGAAAGAAGAGACCAATCTCGATGCTGTTCTGCAATGGCTCATTGCCAGGGCGCAGAAATAGAGGCCCGCCTTCGCATCAAGCGACGTGGGCGATGATGAATACTATCCTCCGCCAACAGTGCGAACGATGAACGGCCGCAAAACGTATCTACGATGTCAGCATGGTTTGCGTGCATAAAAGGGCGAGGGGCGAGGGCGAAGAGCAGCGTGCTGGCTGCGGGCCAGTAATGGCCAAGACGACAGCATTGATGCTTGGATTTCTCTATGCTCTTCCATGCAGTCAGAGCAACATCCGCTGGCCGACGGAAGTTACATGGTAGCTGTGACCTTGTCGTGACGGCGGAAGCTCCTTGCTTGGAGAGTGCAGGATAGCATGGGCGACAGCGACATAGGTCTGGTCACTGAGTGGCAATGATAGGCAGGTGGCTAAGACCGTGACATGCTCCCAAGGTATCATCTTCCAAGGCCTTGGTCCTGACGGGCTTGAAGTGACCATGTCTCTCTTCTACTGCAGCCCATGGGCCTGATGATGGGCGGGAACAAGTATTCGTATTTGCCGTCAAGTCAAACCTGTGCCTGTTCGTCATGAGGACAGCGCGAGAAGCGGAGGAAACGAAAACGAAGAACAGCGCATCTCCTTGTATCAAAATACTGCGCTCGGGCCATTGCCAGCACATCATTGCATACAAACATCTGCACCACGCAACCCAACGCAACGCAATGCATGACCGATATCGCCATACCTTTTCCGGTTAAGGCTCGTCGCGGGCATGATCGCGCTAAGATAGACGCGCCTCTTCTCAAAGTCAATTCATCGATACGGACGAAGAATGCCGGGCCTCTCCTCGTTCCCGTTCTCGCATCACGTTCTCGTAGAACCTTCGATTGCACGTGATCATGGGAAGCTGACGAACGTTGCGCGGCAGTGCAATGCAGCCTGAACGGAGTATGCGAGCCGTGATGAATGGAGTCCAGATCGCAAGGACTCGGCATAGGAGGCGCAGCAAGGCCAAGTGGCGTAAGCTGGCTTGGAAAGTACATGAACCTCGTCATCACTTCAATATTCACACGTCTTCGCGCCTACCGCACTTCCTTCTCCACCATCATCACTTTTGTGATTAGCAAACTCACAGAGACAACTCGTCCAAACCGTGAAGATGGCGGTCCTGGGCATAAGACAGTATGGTACACTAAACGAGCCGTTTGTGGTATGTCGCTAACACCTACCTGAACAGATATTATGGGTATGTTCTCTCGCATGCAGTCGCAATCACTTCAGTCGCATGGACGTCAAGAGTGCTTTGTTTGTTGTTTGGATGCGACAATGCTAACAAGCACTGCGCGCCGACCGAGATGAGGGCACACGAGAGCTCGTGCAAGGTTTCCATGCTGGCAGGACCATACGCTGACAAGATGGATATTGCTAGCAACAATGACAACTGCTACTACAATGCATACGGCCAAGTGGTGTGCAACAACGGCGGATGGTATAGCTGGGGCAGATGGCTCGTTCTTGCTTTGGTGATCATCGGCGCTTTCCTCATCTTCTTCCTCTTCTCGTAAGCATATTCCACATCTTCCGCCAGGCTACGGCATACTGACTGGCCATCGTTAGCTGCGTCTCGGCACGTAGGAGGAGAAGAATGGGCTACCGACCGTACGCCGGCACAGGTTGGGCGCTTGGCCGCACACCCGAAGGTCATGCGCCCGCACAGTACACTGGACGACAGAACGCTCCCAACTCCGGCTACACTGCGCAACCGTACTACAACAACAGCAACGCGCCACCACCCGCCTATGGATCGGCAAACGACTACTACGGCAACCGCGGGAATAATGTTGAGTTGCAAGAGCCACAGCCGGTATATGGATCGACTGGTCGCAAGGCTGGGCAACAGCCTGAGTACGCTCCTCCTGCGGGCCCGCCGCCGGGTAGGTCTGACGGTGTCATTCGATGAGTGTTTAGTCTGCATGATATGATGGGTATGGGAACAGCACGGCACGGCGCTCGAGGCGAGATGGCGCGTGAGGATTGAGACGGCAGGCGAGTATCCTGCGAGGTCCAAAATCTGACGCAGTAATTGCCAGGCCAAGGTCTGATACTAGCAATGTCGCGTGTTCGTCGAATTCACAGCACCATGCGGCTCAGGTGCCACGTTCATTCGCAAACAGCTATCTCTCAAGTGTAACAATTCATTGCAGACCTCGTTCTGGCGCTTTTGCAGATTGAAACCCCTCGGCCACTTGTAGGGTTGCATGCAGGATCGTGCCAGTGACTACTAGCTGCCGTCAGTCAACATAAGAAATAAACCTGCACTCAATACACTAGCACAGGATGTTCGCCTACATGTACTAGGTATAAGTCTGGAATGGCAGCGTCTTGGAAGAGCAAGATTTGAAGACACCGACAACATCCTTTCTTTGGGATCTCAGCCACCCATCAAGCGCTCAACTACTTCCCTAGCCTTCTCCGGTTCGATCGTGCGCTCTTCACCACGTCGAACCATTTGCCCGACGAACCACATCAACTTGCCCTTTTGACCTTTCTCCTTTACCGCCTTGACCATGTCCGGGTTCTCTTCCATAATGACGTTCGCCAGCTCTTCATAATCCTGCTCTGATAAGGGCCGCAATTGCAGGCCCAGCGTCTCGATAAGCTGACTCACGGTAGGCCGAGCATCTGCATTTGCCAAAAGACCATCACTGGGTGCCGGTGCATGGTCGAACAATGTGGCGAGCAACTGCTTCGCCCCTCGCGACGTGATCTGCTTGCTGTGCAAGGCCACTAGAATGTCCGCAAGCTCCGTGGGCGCAATGGTCAATTCCTGCCAGATAGTCTCGGTTGTTGATAGAAGACCACCAAGCTCATGCAGAGTCCAATTCGAAGCAAGACGTCCGAACACGCGTACTCGGTCGTCTCCATCCACGCCGATCTGCGCCATCATACACTCTACGGTGTCCTCGAGGAAATCAACTCTCTCACCACTATCGAGTTCAACAAGAGTCTTAGCATCTTTGGCAGTGAGACCGTAGTTCTCCCGCAAACGGCGCTCTTGTTCATTTGGGAGAGTAGGCAGAGTAGTACGCAGATGATCAACCAGATCCTGACCAATGACCAATGGTTGCAAGTCAGGATCAGGCATGTATCGGTAGTCGACCTCGCCTTCCTTGCCTCTCAGCTTCGTAGTCTCACTTGCACCAAGCGTCCATCCTCTGGTCTCGCCTTCGATCATACCGCCTGCCTCAAGCACACTTATCTGGCGGTCACGCTCGGCTACGACAGCATCCTCCACTGCCTTAAAGGAGGATAGATTCTTGATTTCAGTGCGCTGACCGAGCCCGCGGACTCCGCTGTAGCTTGACCCTGTGCCCTCAGTACCATGTTGCCGAACAGATACGTTAACATCAGCCCTCAACCCGCCGAGCTCCATCCCGGTCACACACGCGCCGACACTTCGTAGAATAGCCTGGATCTTCCGCACAACGGCTGCAGCAGCCTGCGGAGAATGTATGTGAGGCAAAGTGATGATCTCAACAAGTGGCACACCGGCTCTATTCAGATCTACGTGATACGTTGATGGCGGGTGGTGTGTCGTCTTGGCAGTATCTTGCTCCATCTGTATCTGCTTGATGCCAATTACAAGGTGGTCTGCATCGCCAAGATCCGCAGCCGGGACGCCATCTGAAGCCGATAGCTCGAGATGCCCGTCTTTGGCAAATGGACGATAGTACTGCGTGATCTGGTAGCCGTTCGGCTGATCCCAGTGAAAATAATGCTTCCTATCCCACCCACTGACACGCTGTATCTGGCATTCCAGGGCTAGAGCTGCTCTTACGGCAGGGAGCAGGGTCGCGGATTGGAAACGAGGCTGCGTTCCAGGAAGTGCAGCATCGAATGGTGCCACTCTACTGTTGGCAGCATGGCCATTGTCTGCGACATGTGAAGCAGAAGCTCGCGAGAAGAGCTTCTGGTATGTGTTCAACTCCGCGTGGATCTCGATCCCGACTGTAAGCTCCCATTTGTCCAGCCGTGAGTCCCGCTTGAGATTTTTGCTAGCATTGGCTTTGTCTTGGGCCTTCTTGCGCTTGGCCTCATCCTTGAGGTGTTTGCGGAGTGGTATCGCTCCCTGCTGTGGTTTTGGGGCTGTCGTAGATAAGCCACGGGACTGCAACCATTTGGACACGATACAAGCTCGTAACGAGCGTGATACCGGACTATGCAGGCCAGATGCGGACGGTAAATGTGCCTGTCGGAAGGGTAACGCCTGCATGCCAGATAATCTTGTACAGCCAGACACCCTTGGAGATCCACTACATGGAAGCCTTGGGGCCGTTGTGGCCTTAGGCAGCAGCATTACGACTCCAACACTCTCAACGTCTTCCCAATTATACTCTATCTTTCAAACCAAAACGGCGTGGGTTTTGCGCACCGCTCAACGTTCCCCAGCTCGCATGGGTGTGTCCTTCGGTAGGACATGCAGCAGATTCGTTGCTTCGCACCAATTCAACCAATTTGATGCAGGTTTTGGTGCGACTGTACTATGCCGGCGGTCGTTGGAACGTGGTGTGAGTTGCAGTTTCTGGACGCAGACAACTAGAAAACAGCAACTGCCGCAGTGTAGCGACCGTACACAACGCCAGCCTAATAGTGAGGGCCTATTAAGACTACACCCTCGTCCCTTCTTGTAATGACCTGTCTCACGGTGCAATGAGCTTGACGGACAAAGCGTCCTGTGCTTGGCCGCTCAACGATATGAGGGACGATATCGTCGAAAGCCCGCTCAAGCAGGCAGGCAGCGGGACAACAGCCCAGCGCGACCGAAGCGTGACCGCTGGCCCCTCCAAGACTTACCTTGAGATTGTGAGCATGTGCGATGAGTGAGTGCTTTTAGGCGTGTTTACAAAGAACATGCTTTGTCTGATAGATACAGCTTCCCGTATGAGCCTTCTGCCGCATTGTCGTATTACGAGCTGTATCTGCCGAATGACGACTGGCCGCATGGGTATCTGTTGTCAAAGACCGTGCAAAAGATGCCATGGACGGCAGATTTCCATGTCTCCCATAGCCCACAGAAGATGGTGACCGTGCTCGACGCCTCGAATGGGCAGAATACGCCATCCGCTGTGAACACAGCCTTCCAGAAGTTGATCGATCTATGCATTGAGCAAGATTGTTTCCATCTGCTTGGTGGCCGTCACAGTGAGCTCTTCGCCATTCCCGGGGCCAATTACGGAATGCCAGTTTATGTCGAGCGCTTCGCAGCCGCATTGTTTGGCATCACGCAACGGGGGGCTCACATGGTGGCCTACATCAACACTCACGACGAAGGAATGAAGATTTGGGTGTCTAGACGATCTCAGCATATTTACACGTATCCCGGAATGCTAGACACGACCGTAGCTGGTGGCGTCAAGTCCGGCGTGCCGCCACTCCAGACTATCATTGAAGAGTCAGATGAGGAAGCATCACTACCTGCAGCACTGGTACGCGAGAGAGTACGATCGAAAGGTAAGCATTGCGCTGTGCGGATCCTTCTGCCATTGTCTGGGAAATCGCTAACCCTTCTACCCAACAATCTTTAGGCGTGCTTACCCACATGTCCCTCACCGGTAAAGGCTTCCCCGGCGAGCAAGGGCTTGTGGTGCCAGACTATATCTACGTTTACGATATTGAGCTGCCAGGCGACGTCGTACCGAAACCACACGACGACGAAGTCAGCAACTTCTACTGCATGAGCGTAGACAACGTCCAACGTGCCCTGCTGCAGGAAGAGTTCAAGCCAGACTCCGCGGCTGTGCTGATCGACTTCTTGGTTTCGCACAGCATCATTACGCCGGAGACGGACAAAGACTTCGTCGACATCAGCATGCGTCTGCATAGACATCTGCCTTTCCGAACGGGCCCTCCTTGAGGCTGACCACCTCTAGCCACGAGATGATTAGAACAGCTTCGATAATCTAATTTGCTACGTTCGCCATGACAATTTGGTGCCGTAAGATGGCACGGTTGAAATAGCTGCAAGGAGCATTCGACATTTCCACCCATCGTGCCGCTGAGGGCAACTTTGACATGGAGTCACTATCTCATCTATCGGGCTTCTCAGCCATAGAACGGCGGAGGGGCCAACATATCATCGTTACAACATGAGGCCTCGCCGTGTCTTTCGTATATTATCGAGCGGAGCGCCACGCTGTATGTAATCTTGCCCCAACGCCTCGCTAATCGTCCGCCGATAACCCAGTCTAAGTCAGCCGACCTTTAAGCGCCGTTGCCCCAAGGCTCAGATGTCTCCCATATTGCAATGCCCGATTCCATTGCTGATGCGCCGTAGAACCTGTGGCAGCGGAATCACCCAACCGCAAGCTTGCGATGTCCACATCGCTCTCATTCTCGACAAACGTCCAGCTCTCCTCCTCCTCATCTTCGGCGTCATCTACGTCCGTAGCCTTGATGTTGACCGCACGTTTTTTGATCAATGTCCTAGCATATTCCATATCGCGATATATAGCCTTGATTGCCGTGCCCACTCCATCTTCGCTGCGGATTTGCTCTCCGAGCACTTTCGCTTTCTTGATAATTCGCTCATCGTGGGTGGCATACCACAGCGCTATGCCAAGCTCGTTACTTGTTGTCTTTCTCAGGTAAAACCCAACACCAAGATCCTCGACACGCGTGGCGAAGAAGAACTGATCGCCAAACCACGGCTTGATGATGGTCGGGAGACCAGCGCGCAGACTAGCGCCGGTAGTGCCGGAGCCGCCGTGGTGCACAGCAGCGTCAATCTGCTTGAAGAGCCAATCGTGAGGAGCCGCAACGATCTCGAACACCGAGTCTGGCAGTGGGATTGGAAGCGCCGTTGTTTTGTCTTTCTTACTGCCCTGATCCGCCCAACCTTTGGACAGGATGCAACGTACATCAGCCTTAATGACGGCGTTCACCACTTGCTGCAATAGCTGCTTTGACTCATTGATTGGCACGGAGCCGAAGCCGATGTAAACGATCTTCTTGCCGTCCGCTCGTGCCTTGGTGATGAAGCGCATGAGATCATCTGGCGGCCTCCAGTTGGCACCTTCGTCTAGGAACCAGAAGCCCGTCGGACGCACCCAGTCGCTGTAGTCAAGCGGTGGTGGTACAACGTGCGGTGAGTAGTTATAGAGGAACGGCACCTTGTTCTGCTGCAGCTTGTCGAGAGTCGTCGGCTTAAGGCCAAGCGTCTTACCGCGCCATTTGTTGATCGGAGCGGCGCTCATCTGCCAAAAGACGTTGTCGAAGAGGGTGTAGGTGAGGTAGTTGTACTGACCGCCGAGTTTGCGAGAAGGTACGGCAAAGGCATGCGGGTACGCGCGGGTTCGAGTCCACGGCATGGTAAACGCACGGAAGTAAGGTATACCCAGCGCTTCTGCGATGTGGATGCCGGCCATAGCTTGCGGACTCTCAATTAGCAGATCACTGCCCTTGCAGGCTGTGAAGGCAGTCTTCAGCAGCTCATCCAGCCATGGCCGCATCTTACCCAGTGACTCGAAGACGAAGGATGGCGTGAACATGCCATGCTCGGTACAAAGCTCCATCAACTCCACCGGATCACCAGCGACTGGCGCAAACTCAATACCATGCTTTTCGATCCAAGCCTTGAACTTCGAGTGCGTTGCGATGCGCATGTGATGACCGTCGGCCATGAAACCCTTGCACAAAGCGATATACGGCTGAACATCTCCGCGTGATCCAATTGTCAGGCACGTGATGCGCATTGGCTTCTTAGGCTTGAAATCGAGTATTGACATGCTTGCGTCATCGAACAAGATTGGAGCGTCAGGGATGTCGCTCAGATCAACATTTTGTAGGTCCTGTGGAAGCACGAAGTTCTCGTTAGCGAACCCATCCTTGCGTGCACGTTGCAGAACTTCATGTTCAGCAGCAGCGGCGGCGGCATCCATCTTCTCAGCCTCCGTTAGCAGCAAGGAGTCCTGAAGTTGGCGGGCGGTATCTAGGCGCTGGAGAACGTTCACAACACAGTCGTCACGGAGCTCGACGTTCTGGAAATCGAAGAAAAGCTCCTCGTGGCCCCGAATCACCACCACCATTCCAGGGTAGCCCAGACGGTAGCCCTTCTCCTTTTCCAGATTGAGAAGGTTGCTGAACGGTATAACCAGCCTCGTGCGGGTCCCGTAGAGTAGGCTCCGGAAGCAGAAGTGGCGCGTTCCGACGTAGATCTTCCCATACAGCGGTAGCACCCTGTGAAGTGAGCAGTAATACGCAGTAAGCAATCTCTCTGACTCTGGTAGTTTGAAATGCTCTCGAAACCGTTTCTCAGCGTTTGCTTCGTCTAGATTGGCCTCGGAGTCTCTGATGCGGTCTTCTGCAGCTCGGCCATCATCGTCACCGTACTCGAGCTTGCCGCCGGCGAGGGCACCAGAGAAGCGGTTGTAGTAGTCTTTAGGGCTGCTCCCAAGGTACGAGAGCCCGCGTCTGCTTTGATCACGAACTTGCTCAGCGAGGCCGTATGCGAATTGAAGCGGCGTGGCGAGAATGGTGTGCATTGGCCTCGGTGCTGCATGGACCGATGCATTTGGGCGGAGGCGATGTGTCTCGGTGTGTTCAATGCTAGCACGGTCAGTCACTGCCATTATCTCGCCGGCTAGCGTACGTGACGGAGGTTGCCGTCGAGTCGTGCCTGGCGCCGTTTGCATGGGTGCAGCTGACAGCTGCTGTGGTTCACGGCGAAGTCTTTCGACAGTTGTAACAGAAAGGGTGCTCTTCGGAAGAGGCTGCCTTAATGTAGGTGCTCGGAACGCTCCGTCACCTGTGAGCATCTGACTGGCTGACATGTCGTTTACACCTCCAGGAGTGGAAGGCGCGCTCGACACGTGCTCGGAGGAAGTTTTGAAGGAGTCCGCGGAATTGTGCGCTGACGGTGAGACAGGTGACTTCGAGCTTCGCCGGCCTTGTTGAACACTCGTGCGCCTTCCACGATCAAAGCTTGCACGTCCTTGATCTATGCTCGCTCGCGAAGTCTCGCCACTCGACCGTCGATATTCGCCGCTGGCCCTTGGACTCAGTCGACCTGCTACAGCAGAAACTGGCGACAGGGTAGACCGAACGGGTTGTGGCACGCCTGGCGAACGATCGGAATCTCGCGGTGACTGCTCGGGACCTAATGCCCGCCCATGGCGGGATGCCCGTCGCCGAGCCTCATTGTCCTCCGTTAGCGTTCTCAGCACGTCCAAGGCCTGGCTGCCGCGGCTGAAGAAGGTGAAGAAATATTCGTCGACTGCGAAAGTAGTGCCGTCGTCAATCACCCTTATCCGCACAGTCTCCGCAAGGTCGGTCACCGGACTGGACTCCACCTCCACAACGTTCGCCAAAGGCAAGGATATCTTGACGCTGTCGCCATCGTTGCGTGAGCGGAAGATGACGCGCTGTAGTTGCTTAACCCACTCCTTTGCGCTGGTGATGCTGTCGGCCTTGAAATGGTAGGTACGCTGCTCCGTCGTTATGGCGAAGACGTTCGTCTCCTTCGTCGCCTTGCCCTTCTCTGGAGTCAGCTCTGCCGAGACAGCCGACCTCAAGTCGATAGTGCCACGCGGGAAGTACGGGTCTGCGGCGCTCTCATAGTACGAAAGCACGTCACCTTTCAGGACCAGCCAGTACCGGCGATAGTGAGGGTTCCGCTTGCCCTGCTTGGCGAGATGGCCAGACTTGATCACGATATGACCTTTCTTCTGGAGGTACGCATAGAAGCAGACATGCTTCCGGGTGATGTACATGTAACCCTGCAAGAGCACGCTCTGCAAGTACCAACATGCGAACTCGCCGATAACCTCTTCAGGTTCATCGAACTGAAAGATGTCCGCAAGTGCATTAGCAAGCTCAGGCTTATTTGGTGCGACCTGAGCTGGAGCGCCTTTGCCACCTTTTCGACTGCTTGAGGATGTCGTCGAGGCATCCATCTCAGCTCTAGCCTTTGCCTGCAGCTTACGGTCAAGCATCGGCGCGTCACTCCGCACACCATCTGCGCTTGTCGGCCTCTCAGGCGGCTCAACCACAGTCTCTCTTGGCGGCAGAAATTGCGATTGCGACATCATGTCCTGGCTTTGCGACTCCCCACGCTCCCGTACAGTCTTCAAGAGAGACTTCAACCCTTTGGCCCCCGACTTTTGCTTCTTGTGGCCCGAAGTCACCTTCTCCACTTCACCATCTTCTGCCTCAACTGCTCCATCGTCTTCAGATTCGCTTCCACCATCCGCTGCAAAGGTGAAGCCTCTCCGTGGTCTAGAAAGTGCGCCGATGATTCCGTACAATGACTGCTGCATCGGTCCTCGGTTTACCAGATCGTCCGTGACATCTTCTTCTTCATCATCTACCTTGAAGCGCTCCGGCAGCTCCATGCTTACGCGCCGCTGCTCTCGCCTTCGACTGCGACTACGTGCAACCCTTCTTCCGAGCGAGGGCCGAGCGGCCGGCGACGGTAGTGAAGCCATTGTCGAAAATACGACCCACACTCGCTCAGGCGCGTGTCAGTGTCACGATCAACCCTCAGCAGCAACCAAGTTGACGCAGTCACGCGACGTCGATGGGAAAGCGTTGCGTGCCTCTCTTTACTCTCCGAATCTCAGTGCACTGCTGCGAACTTTGTCTCGTTACAAGCAAGCGTGCTCGCTACCGGTCTATCGGTCTCACATATTGACGTGTTCGCCGCTCCATCAGGCTCCGCAATTGCTGCCTGATGTCTTTTGGGAGAAAGGTGCTATAAGTAGCGATGTTGAAAGCTACCTAGACGATGGATCACGTCGAGAAGCCTAGTGATCAATCTGGGGTTCACGAAGCCATGTGATAGGCGGCTGACTCAGGCTAAACTCTCCGAGTTGGCCAGAAGTGGTTCTTCACGCAATCACGTCGAACAATAGTGCAATGTTTCGATGGAAAAAGTGAAAGGTAGATATCCTGTGAAGTACATATAGATACAAGACATGAGGAGACGGACCCTATAAAGGCACAGGAGCCATTACTTTAATACGCAATACACTTCCCGAAAGCGGCTGACATCATTCTCCTCACCGGACACTGCGCATGTCTGATGTAAGCGCTTCGCAAGCATGCGCGGTGGCATCGCAGTAGCTAGGCTATGACACCATGCTGACAGATTCCACCTTATATGCATCGTTCGTGAGAGATCTACTTCGCCTTGGCAAGACCGACAGCGTTGTTGCCAAGGTCGTAGACTGAGTACCACTTTCTCAAAAAGGCGTCACCAAGGATGGCAAGCGGTCCAGCCGGCTCCGGAATGTCGAAGCCCATAAAAGAACTGATGCAGCTGCCTTGCACCTCAAGAATATAGTCGTACGGACCGATCGTGAAGTTGTACCCAGTAAGTGTGAACGTCAGGTCCGGCAGAGAGTCCCGCTTGTTGCACTCGATGGTGTACTGTCCATTGTATGACTTCTTGGCGCCGATCTCGCGGTTCAGGAGCTCAGCAAGAGTGGTCGGCAGAGCAATGAGAGAGGTGCCAGTGTCGAGGATAGCACCAGTGGAGTCGATCTCAGCAGTCTGATCGCCAAAGGTGATGGCGTCGAGGTCCACCTCCCAGTAGGCCTTCCGGCGGAGAGGGATCTTGGTCATCTTACCCTCGTAGTGAGATTCATCGATACCGCCAAAGGTGGCCTCGGACTCATCACCCTTGTTGGTGTCGCTGAGGTAGAAAGCAAAGACCTGCTCGTCGATCAGACCCTGGTTGATCATGTTGTAGAAAGGAGGCACAATGTGGTTGACGGAGATGGTGTCATAACCGAGACCCATGATGCCGTCGAAACGGCCAAAGGCGAACGCAAGTCCGGGCTCGGAAGTCGCCTCGGCAAAGAGTTGGTTCTTGATTGACAAGTCGCCAATGCGTACGGTATCCTGGCTGATGTAGCCTTCAAGCTCACCCGAACCGTATCGAATCTGGAAGTCCGAGCCGTTCTTCTTGTAGGTGCTTGAGTCACTGTGGTCGTACTTGGAGTGCAAGTAGCAAGCGATGGAGCCGCAATCTTGGCTGGGCACCCACAAGTTGGAGCTGCCGGTGTCTAGCACGACCTTGAAGTCTTGCGGTGGCGTTCCGATGGAGATGTCAGAGAAATACTGAGCGTTCAAGAAGTTGCTGACAGCGACTGGGTGATTCTTCTCCGGCTTGATGGACGTCTCCTTGAACATCTCTTCCATGTTGCGCTGCGGTCGGATGCCCATGTACTTCTGGCCGAGCGCGCGCATATGGTCGTCAATGTTGGCATTCTCGAGTTGCTCTGACAGCGGCACCTTCTGCAGCTTCATGCGGTGGATCTTCTCATTGTCAGCGAACTACGCTCCAAGCGCCGTGATTGCGTTGTACCTACTTCCGCAAAGGCTTGCCCGGCAAGCGCCGCGGCGACGACAGCAGCACCCTTCATGATGGTCTGATCAAAAGATGGAGGTGTGAAGTGATTGAGATGGAGAGAATGATGGTGAAAGTGAAGGGGAAGTGATCGTGTGAGCAGGTCATGGAGCTTCGATAGCTGCTGCCTTAGCAACGCCGCCGCGTGCGCAAAGCCGGTGGCTGGCAGACGTCATCTCGTGTGGCGTTCGAAAGGCCGAGGTACTGTCACGTGTGCAGCGGTGACTGGAGAGAACCGTGGAACAGGCTATCGCTTTAAGCAGCGCTTGTTAATGTCTAAATGTACATAAAGTCGACATGAGTACTATCCCCGAGCGCCTCGCTTCCAATATAGTTAAATTGATGTCACGCCTCGCTTTCAGCTATTCCCGCCACTCCGCGTCCATGGAAGTCGGTGGTGGCATCTAGCTTCATGCTGAGGGTGCCTGTCGCAACAGTAATGCCGGACCATCTGAGCCACAGCATCACTAACGCTTCTCACCCTCCACCAAGTCGCTGATTCTGATAGCATGACGTGGGTGGTTAGCAGGGCGAGCTCCAGCCGACCGTGCCTAAGAGTCCGCCTTGCCAGTCCCGCCAACTCCGCCCAATGTCTTGGCCGTCTGTATCGCCTGCATTTTGCTCTGCCATCCGGCGGCAGGCTGGAACTTCTTAACTGTCCTGGCCTCCTCCAGACTGTACCCGGGCACCCTGATGCCCCAGTTGCGTTCGAGCACCATCTGAATGTCTCTCAGTTCCAGACTGTTGCCGGGACGTAGTTTGGCAAGCTTGCATGCAGAGGTGATGACCTCGTCCACAAAGTCATCAGCCAGAGTGAGAAGATTCTCCTCGACTTCTGGAGACAGATTGGACTCATCGTTGCTGCTACCGCCCGTGACCTGACGCACAAGCTCGTCCAGCTTGCGCTTGGATAGTACTCGATCGCCTTCACCCTCTAGCGTGAACGGTTGTGGACGTGTAAGGCCAGGTTGACCGAGCATACCGGAGTTTGCGAATGTTGGGCGAGAAGGTGGCGCTTGCACTGGTGCTTGAGTACGTGGGTCTAGCTGTAACGTCTTCGGGATGTTGAAACGGTTCAGACTTTGCGCAGACGACATCGTTGCCGCTCCATTACCGAAGGCAGAAGTTGGCGTGGTTTGCGAAGCGGAAGCCGGTGTGTTAAACGAGCCTGCAGCGCCGTTTGGCAGCTGTGGTATGTTGCTCGAAGACTGTGAAGGCTGCAGACTCTGTTCACGGTACTGCTGGGCGGCTTGTGCCATCGCCGCTTGCTGTGAGAGCGCTTGCGGGCGTTGGTGCTGTTGCGCATTGGGTGGAACTACTGAGTTGGAAGGCTGTTGTGGGGGCATCTGTGGCCGTTGAGTGGGGTATTGCTGCTGCGTAGGCTGCTGCGGAAAGTTCTGCGGTGCCTGCGTTTGTGTCGCTGTCTGTGGAGTCTGCTGGGTTTGCTGGGTCGGTTGCTGTTGATGGTTTGGTGTAGGAAGGGACTGATTCGCGGCCTGCGGCATGCTCTGCGCTTGCTGCTGAAACATACTTTGCGCCTGCTGCGGTGAGTGTGACATTCGTGGCTCCTGCTTAATGTCGCCTTGTGTGCCACCGGTATTTGAGCGCTGCATGTCTGGCGCCTGGACCCCGTTCGGCTGCTGCTGTTGAGTCGACTGGACCTGCGCATTCTGCTGCAGTTGTCTGTTCCGTTCATTCTCCGCTCGCATCTGCTCCCACTTGTTCTTTGCAGTCTGGCCAACAGTTCTCGCCTTTTCCTGTTGATTTACCAAAGCCTGTGGCACGTCCTGTCCGCTTTGTTGTAGCTGAGTTATCCGCTCGCGCGTTTGTCTGAACTGGTTATGCGCATCATATTGCTGGGTCAGTGCAGGAAGTGCCTCACGCAGAAACTTTGCGCGATACCCTTGTGCAGCCTGCGATGGCATGTCGGGTGGTGCTGTTATCATCACGTTCTTGAGCTGTTGGTGCGCCCATGTTTGAGCCGGGCTGGGCTGCACCTGCGGTTGCTGTTGAGGTTGAGGTTGAGGTTGCGCATTTGCTTGCTGCTGCGACATCGGTACGTTCTGCGGGCCACCCATGCCAGCTTGTGTGGAAGGACGTGATTGAGCTCCGCCTGCACTGCCATTAGTGGCTCCATTGTTCGTACCGCGACCGCTGCGTGCGGCGAGGTCACCCATGATCTTCTCGCTGGCTTGACGGAGGCGGTTCTCAGCGGCCTGCCTTTGTGGACTACCCTCTGGCAGACTTGCCATGGCCTGCCATAGCTGCTCCAGCCCTTTCCTGTACTTCTCCTTGGCGACAGCATCTAGATATGGGAGTTGTGCGACCTGCTCCGGCCTAATAAGTGGTCTTTGCGACATAGCTGCGCTAACCACACGTTGCCACTAATGCAGCGCCGAAACTTATGGGTGCGAACTCTTGTCCGGAACGTGTGGAAAGGACTGAGCAGACGAGATGGTATGATCGTGACGCCGGACTAGCTTGTAGGCGGCGTCAGATGTCAATAGATGATGAGAGCAAGGCAGGCCGGGAAAGAGATAAATATGGTTATTTTAGCACGCAGTCTAAGGAGTCACCAGATTCGACGAGGTAAGACCACCCATTCACTGTATGGAGGTCATCAACGGTAGTGGAGGTGGGGCAGAGTGTCACGAAGCATCGCCCGGACATGTGAAGTGAACGTGAGGTTAGTGGAGGATGCGGAGCACCACGATAATATATCTGACACCCTTCGACATCGATTACAGTTCATTTATCCACCACCACCTACACCGCTCCGTTGCCATTGCAAACTGAGCGTGTCTAGCCGTGACAGTGCTGCGGGAAATAGCCCAAGGTGTGCCATTACAATCACGCCACAAATATAGTGCGTTCAGCTTCAGGTTGTACGAGTGCTTCCCTTCAGAAAGACGGACTATCCAAACTGACCACAGCGTGAGAAATTAGACTAGAGTGTCTCTGCCTGGATGTTGTCTCTGTTCGATACCACTTGCAATATTGCAGGCATTGCACAGGAGCGCTTTGCCGTTAACAGCCAGAGCAGACCATGCTGTTAGAGGCGGCAGCTGATAAGTTCAGGGCGAGTAACGATGCAGCTGCGACAGCTGAGAATCCAGATTTATTGCAGCCTGATTAAGATTGACTACCAAGCCCCTAGTGCCCATCCAACACATTTTTCACAGTAATACTTCTCTGGCATTCTGCAAGTATCCTCGCTTGCTTCGCAACCTCTCCCAACCGTCCAATGACCTTCTCGTTCCCCTCCACAAAGCCATACAGCGCATATGGGATGCCGACGTCCTCGCAGAACCCCATGACCAGCTTCTGCGCTCGTCTTAGATTGTGCCTCGGCATGCGCGGAAACAAATGATGCACCGCCTGAAACTGCAGCCCGCCGTGAACGAAGTCCAGCCAAGGCGGACAATCCACGTCCATGGTGGTGCGCAACATGCGCTGCGGGAAGGACTCCGCGACGCCCAGGTCGGCCGTGGACATTGCGAAGTGGGACAGCGTGATCTGGACGTGTACAGGCATGGTGACGGCGTGACTGATCATCACGTAGATAAAACGGTTCCAGCCGTCTGGGATCGATTTATAAATGACCAGGTAGCCGAACCAATACCAGAAGAAGATCTGACCGGCCATTTCCAGGTAGCGATGCCACCACGCTGGGCCTTTCCGAGGTCCTATACCAAACAAGATGTATTGCCAGCTCAGTACATAGAGGTTGAAACGGCCGAAAGTCAAAATCGGGTAGTACATATAGTGTTGATACTTCAGCATGAACTTCGCAACTGGATCGTACGTCATGATGCGGTCGTAGTAGGTGCTCCTCAAGCTATCGAAGAATCTGTGGCTGATGGCGAAGAAAGGCATGTGCTGTATGTCCGGATCGTGTTCGGCACTATTGGTGACAATATGGTGCACATTGTGGTTGTGCTTCCACCAGCAGGCGGACAGTCCGCCGAGGAAATCAGCGACGAAGATGCTTATGCAGCTGTCGATATGGAAGTTGTGGGTAATGCCCATGTGGCCAGCGTCGTGAACGGTGAAGACTAGTTGATGCCACAGCAGGCCGAGAAATAGCGCCGAGAGGGCGAAGTGCTGGGCACGAAGAAGGTAGAGTGACGATAATGCCAGAAAGGTGTATCGTAAAAGCTCGATGGCGTAAGCGCTATAGTTGCAATCGTACAGCTTCTCATCTCGAACACGCCGATCCAGCTGTTTGTACTTGATTATGATCTCGGCCTGAGTCACTGGATCAAGGCTAGGGTAGAGGTCGAGATCATGTTGCAACTCCTGCTGCGTTCTGAGTTCGCCAGTGTCAGGCTTCTCCGGCAACGCTGCTTCTCCGTCCAGCTCCAAGTCGGACAATGATGTTGCGGAAGAGTCGCTCGCAACGCCGGTGCTCCCTCGGCGGTGTCGCAGATGGTGCTCTGCAAGGTCAGCCGGCTCAAAGATGGGCGAAGGCTCCTCTGAGCTGTCTTGCTCAGAAAACGCTTCTTGCTCTACAGATGGCGTCTCGAAGATTCCGCTTGGTGACGCGCGTTGCTCGTCAGTCGTCCGGAAGATGCCTCCTTGTATTGGCGGTAAGAAGTCCTTCCATTGGCCATCAATGCGTCCGATTTGGTACTTCAACATGAATTGCTGTGTCTCTGATGAGTGGAAAGCCTTGACTTCGTTCGTACCATCTCGTCCAACCATGTGCAGTATGGCTTTGTCACCTCCAGGATGGTATGGAAGCCATGCATTGGTCAACAGGACTCTGCCATCTACAATCACAAGCTTGCTGCCTTTCGCGATCAATGCCTCAATATCAGACCGTGGGAGGAGACGTTCCCTCGAAATGCGAACACGCTCTGACCGAGCCATTGTTTTTAAGCAATTCGAATATGCGTTAGCGTTCGGAGAGACGTTTCAGCGCTGCTGTAGAGGTGTTCTAACCACGTCTGCGCAGCCCAGGGCAAGCGTGCTTCTAGGAGTCTGGATTGTGGTGGACTTCAGCGTTCACTCGCTGCACGCTGATTGGCTGAACACTCGTCAGTCAAGCCCTCTACCAACGTCAATCGAGCTTCGCTGCCTGAGCAACTCACTCGGAGCATATGCGAGCAGTCGATGTGAAAGAGCCCACTCAGCTACTGGACCTTCAGTACTCGTATGCAGTGGTCTGGATGCCATGACGATGATCAATAGATAGCATTCTATTGAAAGTTCTGGCGCCAACATCATTCGGTGCCTCCAACACCATCCACCATGGCGGATGCCCTGTCCGTCGTCCTCTCCTTCCCGCCGGAGAACGTCGCCAAGCTGAGCGCGAAGAAGTATGAAGAGGAGGTCCATACATACATGAAGCGGCTAAATCAACTACCACCCACGACATGGACCAAGGCCATCGACAAGAAGAATCTCCTCGACTTTCTCAACCCAGAAGTCAACAGTCTACCCTACTTGGCCACTCTTCGCGCGCAAACGGACACGGTTGGCAAAGACCGAAAGGCGATCGAACACCTCGTCAACCAATGCGCCGTCTTCTTCGCCACATTCGACCCAATCCAGGTCCGCTACCTTGGCAGTCAGTGGACGGAGCTCGTGGTCTGGTTACTTGATATACTGCCCAAGCTCGGCATCTCCGACCATTCCACAGTCACGACCGCTATGCTCCGCCTGGATCCGACAGCCGGCACATTCACATCCACGCATCTGCGCCTTCTACGGGCATGTCTACAAGCTGGTGTTCCCAGCCAAGCACTACCAATTCTAGATAAGGACATCTACGCCTTTCCCGTCGACCAACGGAAAGAGATCCCTGACGAGCTGTTGAGCGAAGATGTAGAGCTTAGCAACGGCTTCATCACACCCAAGTCTGGCTTTACGATTAAGCTTAAGCCGGAGTACGTGCTCGAATACTATCTGCTGGGCGCACACATCTACATAGGCCGACGAAACTTCAGTCGCGCACGGCTTTTCCTGGAGTACGTTGTTCTACATCCCAGTCAGCAGCAGACAGTAAGCGCGCTGCAAGTTGAGGCGTACAAGAAATGGGTCATGGTTGGCTTGCTCGCGGAAGGAAAGTCATACCCGCTCCCAAAGACGCATGGCGCCGGCGTGATGAAGAACATCAGAGCAGTTGCCAAACCATACGACGTGCTAGCTGAGTGCTTCGAGAGGCGGGACTGGCGGAAATATCAAGCAGAGATGGATGCAGGCACACAGACTTGGCATGAAGATGGCAATCTACCGCTGGTGAAGGAGGCTTCCACGGCACTGATACGCTATCGAGTGATGGACCTACAGAAGACGTATGCCACCCTGCCAGTGAGCCGTGTAGCCGCTTATCTCGGTTTCAAGCCGGAAGCAGCGTTGCAGTATCTCCTCGATGTCATAAGCTCCGGGCACCTGCATGCCAGCATCGCACCGAGCCATGACAACAGCGCCGCCAACGCCGTGCTCCGCTTTCACGAGCTCACGCCTAGCATGACGAATTTGACCGCGGACAACGAGCTTGCGGCGCAGACGAAGCGAATAGAAGACCTCGCCACGTACGTGCGCGATGCGGACCGCAGATTGCAGCTCACGAAAGAGTACGTCGAGCATCAGAAGCGGCAGAGGCGTACAGGCCCGGACGCCGACTTAGCGGACCAGATGGATCTGACGTGGGATGCTCCCGTGCCTGGGTTGGGTGAGGAAGGTGATGAGGATATCATGGCGTCGTAGAGTGCGCCTGTGCTTCCTCTTTCCGAACCTCAAGACAAGTCGTTTTGGGCTGTTGTCGGCAATCGCCGTGACGGAGCTGGCGCATAGAAAGGACCTTTGGTGGTGATGATTTAGCGATGGAGTTGCATTGCACAGGAGGAGGGCTATGGAGTAGAAGGAGCGATGCCTGTGAGCCATATTGCAGTCGGTCCATCAACGATCCTGACGTGAGTGATATATAGCCCTCTACAGCCGATATGTGAACCACAGTCAGCCTGTTTCTTGATCTGCTCATCCCGCGTCGTGTGCATCGATGGGTGTGCCAGCCGCTGGAGTGCCGTCTGCAGGTGCAGCGTCATCGGGCTGAGGCGGAGGAGGCACGACCACCGTATGCTCGTACAGGCCGTTACTTTGCTCCGCCGGAAGAGGCTGCTTCTTCCAGATTATGATGGTTTTGTCCATGCCGCAGGTAACCAGCCGCTCGTTGTCGGGACTGACATCCACGCCCAGAACCACGCCTTCATGTCCCTCCAACGCCTGCAACACTTCCTTTGAACTGACATCCCATAGCAAGGTTCTGCCGTCTTCACTCCCACAAGCGATAAATGCCCACTGCTCGCTCGCGCCGTCCTCGCCATCCTCGCCATCAACCCCATCCTGACTTCCATTCTCGGCAGCATACTGTCCAAAGGTAGCGTTAACACTGAACCTCTCATTCCTGTGCCCCTGATACGTCTTCACGCACCGCCCTTCCACATAATTCCACAATCTTACGCTCGAATCCAGCGTAGTCGCCAGCACATACCTCCCATTCGGCGAGAAGCGCACACTAGTCACGGGGGCATTGTCCTCATGCACCAAGGTCTTGAGACACTGTCCCGTCCCGGTGTCCCAAACCCGTATCAACCCATCACTACTGCAACTCGCGACTAACGTGCCATCCCTCACAAAATCCACCCCACTCACCGGATCGCTGTGAGCAGGTAAGCTGCGCATCAGCCTCGCTGTTCTTATGTCCCAGAGGAAGACGGCTTCGTCGTACGAGCCGGATACGAGCATGTTACCTTTTGGTGAGAAGGCGAGGCTATAAATGTAGTTGTGGTGGCCAGCGAGTGGGGTGGGGAGGGGCTTGCCGGTAGTAATGGACCAGAGACGGATGAGCTTGTCGTCGGAGCCGGAGGCGAGGATAAGGGAGTCGGGGGACCAGGCGAGGGTGGAGATGCCGGCGAGGTGGCCTTCGAGGGTGTGCTGGAGGGCGCCGGTAGTGGTGGACCAGAGTTTTATGGTTGCGTCGGCGGCTGCGATAGATCACATATCAGCAAGGGCAGCCTCGCATATGTTGAGATGGTAGCAGTGGCCTTACAGCAGCTGGCTACCCATTTGCCGTCTGGCGAGAACTTAACGGCTGCGACGCCTCGCTTATGTCCTGTCAGAGTCATGTGCGGCACGTAGTTCAGCCGTCGCGGTCTTTCCAGCTTCCGTCTCTTGGGTGTGCCGCCATTCTGCTCTTGCTCATTGTCCGCGTCGTGCTCTGGCGGAGACAGCAGCTCGGCGGGCATCTCTTCGTCGTAGGCATATTGCAGCGCTGCACCGTCTGCGGGTCCATCGTACTGCGGTACTCCATCGTCTTCCACTTCTGACCTCTTGCGCTTGGGTGAGCGCGGCGGTAGCCGGCTGTCAGTAGTGATGCTCATAATGCTCTACTCAACCGGCGACGTCGATAAGCTGCGAGAGGGAAATATGGCTTGTACATCACGTGTTGTGCACAAATACGGATATGTAGCATTACGAAGGGGGTTGTTCGACTAATCACAGCCTTGACGAGAGCTGACCGCCGTTCTTCACCAACTTTACATGTACAGTCACTTACAGCGAGGCTACATATATGTTCAAGTTCGAGGCAGGGGTGAGCATCGATGGCGGTGGGTAGATAACGGGGTAACCTTCTCCAGAACTTCGCAGGACGCGAAGAGACTGATGAAAGGTGGTTCGCGTCAGCTGGAGGCAGTGCAATACCAGCGACACAGTGCCCGAGGACATAGGCAAGCCCAGCGGCCCAAGGACGAGTGACAAAAATTTACTAATCTTGAATCGTCCGTAGACGAGTTTCAGCGATTAGACTGAAAAGAACAGATACTACACTTGATCTAAGCCAAAAGGCAAAGAGAGCTGGAAAAGAAAGGAAGAAAATGGGAAGACAGCGAGCAAAGAGCGCGTTGAAATATTTCGCAGACCGCGGCCCGCAGCGGGGCAGATCCGACGATAAAAGATCCGAGGGAAGATCCGCTAACGGAAGCTAAGCGAGTAAGCGAAGCATAGCAACGCGGCAACGCCAGTGTTTACGGCTGCCACAACACTCATCTCTGGTCTATCGACAAGCTATGTTTTGTTGAAAGAGATTTAGCAACGACAAAATGGCCAACACAGACGATCTGATCGACTTCAACGTTATCGAATCCCACAAGGAGAACATCGAAGCGCTTCCCAGCGGCCGCTCAGCGAAGGCATTAGCGCAGCTCTACTCACCACCTCTGCTAGGAGCGACCCCTTCGCCGGCTGGCATACAAGATACGCATGCAAAGGAGCGAGCACCGTTTGAGGAAGAGCTGGCCTGTATAGACGAGGCAGACGATCCGCTTGATGTATATGACCGCTACGTAAAATGGACGCTCGACGCATATCCGTCTCCCCAAGCGCGACAGACTCAGCTTTTGCCGTTGTTGGAGCGCGCCACCAAGTCATACCAATCGTCCTCGCATTACCGCAACGATCCGCGATACCTCAGACTGTGGCTGCACTACATCTGTCTCTTCTCGGATGCTCCACGGGAAATCTTTGTGTATTTAGCGCGCCATGGAATTGGCGAAGGACTGGCGCTGTATTACGAAGAGTTTGCAGCGTGGCTTGAGAATGCAGGCCGGTGGAATCAGGCAGAGGAGATATATAAGATGGGTATTGATAAGGAAGCGAGGCCTGTGGAGCGGCTACTACGCAAGTTTGGTGAGTTCGAGCGGAGAAAGGAAGCAAGACCGCAAGATGCAGCGGAGCCGACGAGTCCTGCGCTCCCGGCAGTGAGACCAGCTTTAGCAGCGAAAACCGATCCCTTCGCCACAGCTTCGCCTTCTACAACACAGCAACGGTCAAGATCTATAGCGCCGAAGAAGTCGAAAGCATCAAAAATGGCAATCTTCTCCGACCAGAGCGGACCTTCACGACCAGACTCCGGCAACAGCTCCAAAGGCTGGGACAATATTGGTTCGATCGCCGACCGCAAGAAGGAGAACAGTGTCGAGGCTAAGCCTTGGGCGGGCGAAAAGCTGAAAGGGGGCAAGACCAACGGTGGGATGGAGAAGCTGATGATATTCAAAGACAGCGTAAGTTGAACCCCAGCACCCACGTTGGCATCTTCGGCAGCGTATTTACGAATGCAGGACTGAATCTCGCCCTGTGTATGCAGTTTCCCAAGCGTCCCGTTTCACTCCCACAACACATCAGGCAGTCTTTGTTGGGTAATAATAACACCCCGCACCAGTGCGTCCGTAACCCGAAGACCGGTAGGCTGGAGGCTGTTTTTGTAGACCTGGAAGCAGTCTACTGTGAGTCTAGCAAAGGTGCGAAGGAGTACTGCTTCGAGGAGCTGAGCGCGCGACGTCGCGGGTGGTTGACCAAGGAATGGAGCCGAGAACGAAAGCAGCCGCTCCGAGCAGCACCACTGCAAGGGTTGTCGTTCGACACCGATCCAGTAGCAACGCCAAACGTAGAGTCAGACGTCGCCCTCCAGGAACCATTGACGGTCACCGGCACTGAACATGTTGCCAAGGTGTGTGCAACGAAGCAACGCGGCTTCAAAATCTTCGAGGATGCCGGCGAAGAAAGGCCAAGCGACCTGAGACATATCGAACCGGCGCAAGAGGAGCCCGTGCTCATAGAGGAAATCAAGGCACTTGCGCTGAACGACGAAAACGCCGAAAACGTTGTGCTTAGGCAACAAGATGTTGCGCTTGCGAAGAAGCTGCGACGCGAAGAACGCGCAAATCGCACTCGAAAGATCCAGGTTATGGACGTCAAGCATATCAAGAATGAGACTCGGACCATCCAGCTGAACTTGGACTCACCGACGGGTCCAAAGATTAAGCGGAAGAAATCCACAGAGCGAGCTGCTGAGCCTACTATGACCATCAACACCCGAGAAGCCATGGATGAGATCTACGGCATCTTCAACCAGCCTTTGCCTTCGCAAGCTGAGCCGGCCGAGACCGAGGAGGAAGACAGCGACGAAGAGTGCACGACTGGTGACGAGAGCACAGCGACCGGCAAGCTTTCAGGTTCTGCGAGTGAATACGGAGATGAGACCAGAAACGAACTCCTCATCCTTCCGAAATCTGAGCAGACGGGAAATGTGAGCCAGCTGGACAGCACCGGGTGGTCAGACTTCACACGGAGCAGAGATGTGCGGCAGGATGCCGCAAGCGTTGCGCTAGAATCCGCTCAGAGCACAATGTGGGAGGTGTACCAGGACACTTCGCAATCTGCGGCCGTAGAGGAGGAAGACGAGATCGTCACGCCACAGGACGAGCACCCACGCACACAGAGCGTGCCTCTAGCCCATGAGGACCGTGAGACACCTTTCACTCACTACCGCGATCTGGCCATGCTTCCGAACCACCGTCTTCCGTTCATGACACCCATCGTTGAGCAGACCGAGTCATCCCTAGGTTCTCGTACTGCGAGGACGGAAAAAGACTACTTCAGCGCTAAGACGCCGAGCCGTAGGTTCGGCGGACCTGCGCCGCTACTAGAGGATGACGAGGTGTACAGTAGTCCTTTCCAAGAGATCACGGCTGACCTGGCAGAGGAGAAGCGCAGGGTGTTGCAACCAATACGGACGAAGACGACGAAGGGCACCATCTCACTCGGTCAAGGTACAGCAAAATCACAATTAGCCGCCAAAACCACGGTGGCAGCAGCGCCGGAACCCGTCCAGAAAGGCCCACTTGTAAAGGAAGCACACTGCAACCCCATGGACCCGGTGTTGCGGCATAGCATACTCGCACAAGCTAAGCCGGCTCTGACCTCGTATGAAGGCTACCACGAGCATCTGCAGCAGACTCTAGGTCGTACGGCTGAGATCAAGAAGTACATCAAGACTGTCTCCAAGGCCAGCCGAGGCAGCGTGAGCATTGATAAGACCGCGCAAACGCTGGCGCTTCCACCCATGCTGTCTTTCGCAGGTGCAGAAGGCACGTATACTGTCAAGCGCGAGCTCGGTGCAGGGACCTTCGCGCCAGTGTACCTTGTCGAGAATAGCGCTGCAGCGCCTACTGAACTTGAAGTGAACGATGAGAATCGCCCGCCTTCCCGCGTAGGCAAGCATACGCACCGCAAACACCTCGAGGCGGTTAAGATGGAGGACCCGCCTAACGCTTGGGAATTCTACATTATTCGCCAATCCCACCGCCGACTTGGCATTACACGTGCAGCAGACAGCATTGTCCGCGCCCACGAGCTGCATCTTTACCATGACGAGTGTTTCCTAGTCGAAGAGTACCGAGATCAGGGCACGCTCTTGGACCTCGTCAACCTCGCTCGCGTCGACAGCGCCAGCGGAGCCGGCATGGACGAAATTATAGCAATGTGGCTTACGGTCGAGCTTCTCCGAGCCGTAGAGGCACTGCATAGCAAACATCTCATCCACGGTGATCTGAAAGGCGACAATGTGCTCGTCCGCTTCGATGACCCGGGGCAGGAGGTGGACTGGTCGCCTACTTACTTTCCCTCGGGCGCACACGGCTGGGCCAGCAAAGGCGTTTGTCTTATAGACTTCGGCCGCGGTATCGACATGAAGCAGTTCGTGCCTGATGTAGCCTTCATCGCGGATTGGAAGACGAGCGAAGCGGACTGCGCCGAGATGCGCGAGATGCGGCCTTGGACGTATCAAATTGATTACCACGGACTGGCAGGTATCGTTCACAGCTTGCTGTTCGGGAAGTATATGGAGACCATTGGCGAGAAAGCAGGTACCGTGCTCGGTCAGGGTGCGACGAAGACGTACAAGATCCGAGAGAGCTTGAAGCGGTATTGGCAGACTGAGATGTGGAGCGAGCTGTTCCACTTGCTACTGAACCCACTTGCGCATGTCGAAGCGGAGGAGGGTAGAAAGCTGCCTGTTGCGAAGAGCATGCGGCGTTGTCGAGAGCAGATGGAGGCTTGGCTTGAAGAGAACTGTGAGAAGGGCGTTGGATTGAAGGGTATGATTGCGAAGATGGAAGTCTTGATTAGGGAGAAGAGACGAAGAAGCGTCAAAGCTGCATGATAGCGTTTGCATTATAAAGCGCATAATTTCGCTAGATTTAGACCTTGGGCGGTCATTAACTCGCCGTCCTCGCCCAAGCCGCAAGCAGCCGATCGACTCAAGCTCCTCAGTCCTCCGATGCTGCGCACAACCAGAGGTCCAACCAGCGTACCCTACCGTTCGCATCCTCCCCTTTGATAGCCGCGCTTCAGGCAACCCTGGAGCTCTTCTAGCCACCTGAGGTCTACACCGTCGGCCAAGCCTCTAAGCAGCATGCGCCTGTCCTCAAGGTACGAGAAGAACAGCATTTCTTCGGAAGCATCCAACCTTTCCAGGATGCCTGTAACTGGACCTAGCATCATGACGCAGAGCAACCAAGCAGAGTACGCTTCTCGTTCCCGCCTGTCGTACGGGTAGCTGGGCATCGCGTCGGGCATTGACTGGCGTAGCTCGTTCATCATCCTGATCTGCCGTGGTAAGGCATCAAGGATACACTGGCGCTCGACCAAGTAGGTGTCTGCGCGATCATACCGCTGTTGGATAACAGTATTGCGGAGCAGACTGTTTAGCGATAGGCATGCCGAAAGCTGGCAACTGGTCGTCTTAACGAGATGCAGGAGCTGCCACACGTGCCGGTGGAGGTTGGTGAAGCCGCTTTCTGGCTGTTCAGTACTTGTGGGCTCTGCAGGGTTAGACATATCAGAAGTGACTAACAAGCTCGAAGAAGATACTTGTTGGCCCTATAGAGGGTTCATCACGAACAATCCACGACGAATCTTGATTACTAGGCGTTTGCAGGTGTAGACGTACAGTGTGACCCATAGCTAAGCGCAGGATCGATGTGATCCTCACTCCCTGGTGTCATCATCCGTGCAACCGGCGCCCTAAGGTCGTGGTATCTTGTGCAGTCAGCACCTCGGCCGTCGTTGTCATTCGCGCAGTTGAGTTCATACTGATATTGCCGTCATGGTTGATCAAGCCGGCCCACTTCATAGCGTGGGTTTCGTGCCCATGGATGGATCGTTCGCAAGTCATACGATCGACCAATACAGAGACGATGGGATTTCATCGCTTGAGCTCCGCAAACCGCTTGGCAAGCTCATCAACATCTGGAATCTTACCGCCAGGACCGCCGTCCTTCTTCTCGCCATTCATAGACTTTGCCTTGTTTGCATCAACCATCTTCTTGCTCGGTTTCAGATCAGGCGGGCCAGGTAGGTTCACTTTCGGACGCACATTGTCTGTGCTAGGCGAAGGAGGCACGACGGACACTGGACTCTTCGGACCTATGTCCCGCGGAGGAGTAGCCCGGCTGAGCTCATCGGTCGTTAATGGTGCTTCCAGCGATCTGACTTTCTGGCCACCGGACGGACTGTCATCTTCGTCCTCGTCATTACCTGCTTCCTCTGCCTCGCGCTTAGCCCTTGCGCCTGGTGGCCAGTCGACGCCATACGCTTCCGCGATGGTGGACAAATACGCCTCCACTAGCTCCTTTGGTGGTGGCTCGACCTTCAGCCGGCCGGCCACCCGTTCTGACACTTTCCCATCGCTGTTTTCGGTCGCTTGTATCGCGAAGTCCTTGCCATACTTCTCCGCCAGTAGCTGCCGCACCATGCTGAGCTCTTTGATACCCTCAATCTTTGGAGCGGCATAGATGATACTCTTCACCGCTTCCTCTAGCCCAGGGTCGCATTCTCTCTGCTCGAGTAATCCAGCACGTGCTGTGAGAAGCTCGCAATACAGCTCCAATATCTCCAGCAGCTCAGTGTTCATGTCAGATCTGATGATGTTCTCAACACGGATCCTTGCGCTCTCTTCCTTGCCTTGCTCTAAAAGCTGTGCCATGGCTCTCCGTTGCTGCTTTGCCAGTGCTGTGTCTTTTTGCTGCACCATTCGTAGGCGCGAGACGGACAGCTTGAGCTGCACCTTGATCTTGTTGACCAGCGTTGAGGAAGGTGCCATGTTGAATGCTGTTTGATCGGTCGACTCAGATTCACTACCCTATACACCACGTCTTGTCTCCTCGCATCGATGTTCTTCTTCGTCGCCAACATGTAGTGGGCGGCAGCATAGCGCGAGGGGCACGTGAAGCCCCACCAGCCACCAGCCTAAGGCAACAGAACTCACCCAGGCCACTGTCAGATCGAAAATAGTGGTCTGACTGTTACAAGCACAACGTAGGATCCAAACTTGGTGCTAAAGGGGCGGTTGTGCCCGTGAGCAGGCGTACCGTCAATGACCTAAGTCCATCGATCCAACGAGTCTTGAGCCTGTATTCTCATTCTCAACTGTATATATAGACAATCTAATCGAACGTAATCTTCGTCGCCTTTTTCATCTCTGTTGTATCTTTATAGAACGCACCATAGGCATCATGGCCCTTCTTCTTGACCGTCGTGCCATACTTCATCAACTCCTCCGGCACCGGCTGCCCTGCAGCCTTCAGGACATTGATGAGCGCTCCGGCCAATCCCTTCTCGGCATCAGTGAAGAAAGTGATCGCTTTGCCATCCTGTCCGGCTCTGCCTGTCCGCCCGATGCGGTGGACGTAATCTTCCACGGTGAGTGGAAAGGTAACATTGATCACAAGCTTGACGGCGGGTATGTCGAGACCGCGAGCTGCGACATCCGTTGCGACCAGGATTGGCACTGTACCCGCCTTGAACGCCTCGAGGCTTTCGGTCCGCTTGTGCTGGTTCAGGTCGCCGTGAATGCCTGCAACGTTGAACCCTCTGCGCCTAATGAACTCTTCGATGCGCGTAGCCTCCTTCTTGTACAAGCAGAAGACCAATATGCGATCTTGCTTGTTCTTGCCGGACTGATACTGCTTCAGTAGCTGTATCAAGCGCGGCTGCTTGTCCTGCTGCTCCGTCATCACCTCGACCTCTTGCACGATACGTGTATTGGCGCGGAGCTCGCCGGACGCGTTATCGCCAATCGTAACCTTGACCGGTTTGCTCATGAACGTATCTGCTAGCTCACGTACTGACGGCGGCCATGTCGCGGTGAACATGAGAGTTTGCCTACCAGTGGCTGGTGTTGTCGAGATGATCTTGCGGACCTCCTGCTCGAAACCTGTGTCAAGCATACGGTCCGCTTCGTCAAGGACAACATACTGGACGCTGGATAGGTCTATCGAGCCCTCCTGAATGAAGTCGTTGAGTCGGCCCGGAGTGGCTACCACAACATGCGTACCGTTCAGTAGCTTGCGCTGCTCATCTTTGCTTACGCCACCGTAGACGCAAGTCACCTTCAGGCCCATAGGTTCAGCAAGCTTCTTAAGCTGTTCGTGGATTTGCAAGGCTAGCTCCCGGGTTGGGCTTACAATGCATGCTTTGATGCTCTTACGATTGGCTTTGGAAAGCTTCGCAATATGATGAAGGCACGGCACACCAAACGCCAATGTTTTTCCTGATCCAGTCTCCGCCACACCCACAAGATCTCTACCTGCCAAGAGATAAGGCCAGCATGCTGCCTGGATGGGAGTGGGTGCCTTGAAACCCGCAAAAGGCTTGCGCTGGTCGTCATCTAACGGAAGGTACTTGAAGTCGATGATGGGTCGCAACTGCTGCCCTTGAGTGTCCTCAATCGCAAGCCGTTTGTCCTTGATGAAGGTGTCGATTTCGCTTTGCGGCAAGCTCCTAAGCCCAGCGTCCTCGACGTACTCTGCCCCTGCATGCCTGGAGACGGTCGAACTTTCGCCATTGCTAACGATACCATCGGTTGCGTCAGTCTTTGTAGCTTTCTTTGCAGCCTTCTCAGCAGCCTTCGACGCTTTGCGAGCAGCCTTATTCGCAGCATCTGTGTTTTCTGTCGCAGTTGGAGTTGCGATCGCAGCGTCATCTGCAGATGCAACCTTTGCCGCCTCCTTTTTCGCACGTTTCAACGCTCTCCGCTCCTCCTTCGACAGGGTATCATTCTCTGGTGCATCGTCATGCTTCTCTCCGTTTCCTACTATAGCATTCTTAGCGGTTTCTGCTCGGTTTGCTGCTTTTTCTTTCTTCAAGCGCTTAGCCTCTCGCCTCGCCTCCTTATCCTCGACACCTGCAGCCAGTCCAGGATCTTCGTGCGCTCGCTTCGCCATGATGATGTGCCAATGTCAATCGCTATGCACGAGGACTTTCTCGTGCTCTGCAACTTTTTTGTACGCTAGTGCTGCACGGACCAGGACATCCCAGGCGATGGGTGTTCCACTTCAATGTCGATTTGAGGCTGCAGGTGGGTCTACTTCCAATAACCTTTGACGAATACATCAGGTACCCATCCTACAGCGTATCGGGCAGATTCTGGAAGATCTTGTACTTCATGCGACGGGCGCTGGGTATCGCAAACTTCCGAGAAAGGGCAACGTCCATGCCTAGCTGCAAGCATGCAACCTTTCTGACTACGCTCTGCATTAAGGGGTTCTACCACGCCGATGCTGATGCGGCGAAATTTGTACTTGACGGCGGTATGATCTTACGACCCCCAAAGTCCAGTTAAGACGCATGCAGTATATATGATCCGCAACGCCACCAGGTTAAAATGCCGAGGCCGCCTTTGTTGGACCTCCATGTGCTCGTGGCTGCATGGATTCCCCGCAGCTCCGCAGCGGAAACTTTCATCTTTATCCTGCCGACAGCCATTGGTTGCCAGTCGACATGGAAAGTGCTTTACGGCACACTATTGAATCTGCGTGCAATATGCAGCCTGCTCTGCTTGCATTCGCTCTTTGCGCTCACGGTTCCTTCCCGCTGGCTGACCGCAATCCAAAGGTAACTTTACTGCTAAGCTTCTCATGTCAGCCGCCACCTGCACAGTATGCTCTCGGCCACTGACAGCACGGCACCACCCTTCTAGAACCCTGCTTGCTCCACCGCTCACGGCTTCGATTGTTTAGATCCAGCTTTTAGCGTCATATCTGGAGACACTAGTCGTCCGTGCCTGCAGACCACCACCGTCATCTCCACCTTTGGCACTTGAGATTCTGCGGTTACTCCGCTAGATGGCCCGCTGGACAAGCTGCGCTTCAGCCCTCTGCCGGTCTCTCCACCAACGGTGATTGCAGTGTGGTAGTGCAAGTAGTTGAGCCGACTGCGATCATGGCCACGACCTCTGAACCCGATCGGGCATTGGCGGCGTCGGCTGACCAGCGTCGAGGGGACGTCACTGTGCCTGAGGAGGTTGAAGAGCGGCCGGCCTTCAAACGTGCACGTAGCTCTAACAGTAGGAAGCAATCGTCAGCTATGTCACGTCCGTCCGGTGCGGATGCCACCACTTCGACCAGCATTCTCAATCCTTCCAGCATCGCATCGTCCGCCATGGAACAACTGGACGTCACGAGCTTAAAACGTTACTCGCAAGATACATTGGACTATCCGCGTCGACGAGCGACCATCGCTTGTGAGATATGCCGCAGTCGAAAGTCTCGTTGCGATGGCGCGCGACCCAAGTGCAGGCTCTGCTCGGAGCTTGGCGCAGACTGCAATTACCGCGAGCCTGGCATTAAGCTCGATGCCGGCGACAAACTAATACTGGCGCAACTGGAGCGCATCGAGGGTCTACTACATTCAAACTTGACTTCGCCGATCAGCGCCGTGGGAGGACCCATCTCGCCAGCAACGAGCAACACGGCTTCTGACGATCTCCAGGCGAGACGAGTGAACAGCAACAACACAAACGGTCCTAGCGTGGGCGCGCTACCGCTCAATGGCTTGGGAACATGGTCAGCGAACATCTCGACGATCCCACCTCATCATACTACGCCTGCCCTGCATCTTCTTCAATGGCCGGTAATCAGAGACCTCATCTCTCGTCAGTGCGACCCTGGTGTACTGGTTCAGCTTGAGATGTCACGAGAACCGCTCAACCTTACCAGACACTACTCGCTGGACTTCACCAACATGACAACGTACACACAAGCATACTTCGACCGGGTCAACGTTTGGTACGCGATCGTCAACCCGTACGCATGGACGCAGTACTACCAGAATGCTGCCTCAATGAGCTTCCGATCAGGCGCTGAAAGCTGCGTTGTGCTCCTGGTGCTAGCTCTCGGCGAGGCGGCGCACTCGGGTATCAGCATCTCGAGGCTACCGCACGATGTTACACCGCCGGGCATGAGCTTTTTCGCCGCCGCGTGGAAGATCCTCCCTAGTCTAATGATCAAAAACGATGTGTTGAGTGCTCAATGCCACATCATGGCAGCGGCCTACCTAATGTATTTGGTACGGCCGCTCGAAGCGTGGAACTTGCTTTGCAACGCGAGTATGAAGCAGCAGCTCCTGCTCAGCTCTCCGCATGCCATTCCTCCGCACCAGAGGGAGCTCAATGAGCGGGTCTATTGGAACACCCTCATGATCGAAAGCGACCTACTGGCTGAGCTAGACCTTCCGCAGTCCGGTATCGTGCAGTTTGAGGAGAACATGCGTCTACCGCGCAGCTTTCCGTACGATGCACCTTCCCCTGGCGCTGAACTGCCAGGCAGCGACGACTTGTGGTATTTCCTCGCCGAGATCGCACTTCGAAGACTCCTGAACAGGGTCTCTCACCTTATGTATACACACAAACGTAATGCCCCGTTCTCAGTCAACGCCTTAGATCCAGTGGTCGCCGAACTTGATTTCCAGCTGGACCAATGGTACGAAAGTCTGCCTTCGCCCGTGAAGTTCCCTAAGGATCGGCTACCCGTCCGCAATCAAGTTCAGACCGTCCTCCGTCTTCGCTACTACGCTTGTCGAACCATCATTTACCGGCCATACATCCAGGCCGTCCTCACCGACGAGTCACTGGCGGCCGAAATGTCTGTGCAGGATGCGTGCCGCAAGTGCCTTGAGGCTTGCGTTCGGCAGCTCGAATACGTCACAGCGCACCACGAAGGGCATCTGCCTTACTTGTGGCAAGGAGCCCTGAGCCTCATGAGCCAGACACTTATTATCATGGCAGCAACACTGTCGCCTGCGCTCAATGTGCTTCTGCCACCGGCAAATCAAATGGATGTTATCATTGGTGAAGTCGTTACTGAAGTGGAGAGGGTGGCGCATTTGGCACCGAGTCTGGGAGTTTGTGCGGAGATTGTACGGGAGGCGGAGGAGAGAAGGTTGGTGATGACGAGGAGGCCGAACAGATGACAATAAACCGTCGAGCTCGCTGATGAAGACGGAGAGCCTGGGCTTCAGTGACCATGGCTTATCACAGCAACTGGTATGTTCTTTGCGACATCACTCCTGAGGGAGGAAGCTACTCCATATACACGCTCCAATGATCATGGACGAGGTATGCATAGAAGCTCAGCAGCAACCAGTCTGGAGGACTCGCTAGGCTGCAGGCCTTGGCGCAGCTGCATGCGTCCAGTGCAAGGCAACAGTGCGCAGGTTCAACGAATGAAGGAACAGAGTGCGGAGGAAGCCGAGACTGACGACGGGGAGAATCGATGAGATGCTCTCTCAAAGCGGTGAATGGTCGATGTACATACAAAAGTCCACCGTCTTCCAGATTGCTTGCTTTGCCTTGCCTTTCCTCCATCTCGTATCATCAGCTATCCGCAGAACCATGACTAAAGCTAAGCGTTTCCTCGGTAGTTCTTCGGTCGACGCGACTCCCCGCAACGCGTCTGCCTCGCCTGCGCTTCGTGATGCGCCACCAAACAATAATCCATCATTCAGCAGTTACTACGGGACTCTCACACCCGACGATACCGACGACGAACAATACGACATGGCGGACCCGATGAACGTGATCAGCGTGGGCACGCTGGCGCAAGTTGCGCGGGGCACGCTGCCCGAGAACCCGATCATGCAGTGCGTGCAGATCAAGCCGATGGCGAGTACACAAGGACAAGAGCGGTATCGAGTAGTTTGGAATGATACAACCAACTTCATACAGGGGATGCTTGCGCAGCGTAGGTACTAAGCTATGGTGTTGTGTGTGGATGCGCGCCGCTGACAAGGCAGAACAGAGATCAACCATGTCGCGCAAGAGAACAAGCTGCAGAAGGGAAGCATATGTCGCCTGACCTCGTACCAAGCGAACTATGTCAAGGACAAGCACATTCTCATTATCCTCGACCTTGACATTCTCGATGAATATGGGCAACCGGAGAAGCTCGGTACGCCGGTCGCGCTGGAGGCACCTAAGCCGGAAGTGATGGATGATGTAAAGCCGCAGCCCGGCAACATATCCGGAAACGGGATGTATGGCAATCACCAGCCTGCGCAAGGCCAGCAGCGCTCCGTGGCGGTAAGGACGAATGGCGCGTCCAACGGCGGATCGCATGGTAACATCCACCCCATCGAGGCTCTGTCACCGTATGCGCATCGCTGGACGATCAAGGCGCGATGCACGCACAAAGGCGAGATCAAGACATGGCACAACAAGAATGGCGAAGGCAAGCTTTTCAGTGTCAACTTTCTGGACGACTCCGGTGAGATTCGAGCTACGGGTTTCAACGATGCAGTAGATCAATGGTACGAAGTGCTGCAAGAAGGCAGTGTATACTACGTCTCAAGTCCATGCAAAGTTGGCTTGGCAAAGAAGCAGTTCTCGAACCTGAACAACGACTACGAGCTCACGTTCGAGCGGGACACTCAAATCGAGAAGGCGGAGGAGCAGGACGGAGTGCCGCAGGTGCGCTATAACTTCACGTCACTCGCCGACCTTCAATCCGTAGACAAAGACTCGACCATTGACTGCATCGGCATTCTGAAGGAAGTCGGCGAAGTCTCCGAGATCGTTGGGAAGACGTCTTCGAAACCGTACAGCAAGCGCGAGCTCACCCTTGTCGACAACACAAACTATAACGTCCGTCTCACAGTTTGGGGCAAGACAGCAGAGAACTTCGACGCCCAGCCCGAGTCTGTGGTCGCATTCAAGGGACTCAAGGTCTCAGACTTCGGCGGCCGTTCACTTTCGCTACTCTCGTCCGGATCGATGAACATCGATCCGGACATCGACGAAGCGTACAAGCTTAAGGGCTGGTACGATGCCAGCGGCCGCAACGAAGAGTTCGCCTCTCACGCCAACACCATGTCCACCGCCGTCGCCACGGCCGGTGGCGATCGCAACGCCTACAAGACCATCGCCCAGGTTCGCGACGAAAATCTCGGCATGGGCGAAGATACGGATTGGTTCAGCGTCAAGGCTACCATCATCTACGTCAAGCAAGACAACTTTGCCTATCCTGCATGCATATCAGACGGTTGTAACAAGAAAGTCATCGAGCACGAACCTGGGCAATGGCGCTGTGAGAAGTGTGATACTTCGCACCCTCGCGCCGACTGGCGGTACATTATGAGTGTCAATGTCTCCGACCATACGGGTCAGATGTGGCTGAGCTGTTTCAATGAGGTGGGGCAACTGATTATGGGAATGGATGGGAATGAACTGCATGCGTTGCAAGAGGCAATGGAGGAGAAGAAGTTGGCCGAGGCGTTCCAAGAGGCGAATTGCAAGACGTTTGTATTTAAGTGCAAGGCGAAGATGGATACGTTCCAAGATCAGCAGAGGTACGTTTGACTTGTCCACTACGGTGTTGAGACTGCATGCTGACAACTGTGTTACAGAGTGCGATATCAAGTGCAATACGCCAACCCGCTTAACTTCCAAATAGAGTCGAAGAAGTTGGCGGATCTGATCAAGGTGTACAGCGCGAACGAGACCTTGTTCGTGCAGTGAGCCGATAGTGCAGGTTGATTCGGGGTTGCAGCGGTGCGAAGGCGCGGGCGTATATTGCGTTTCAAAGCAGGGCCATACAGGCGTGTTACGAAACAAGGGGTACTTGGCCCTGCCATGAGCGATTGATACAATGCAACGTGCAAGGGATGGTATATTGGGAGGCTAACATTAGGAGTCTAAGAGATGCCTGTATAGTGAACAAGACTAAGCCAGAGCTAAATTATCTGAGCCAGTGAAGCTACCACGACAAGGCTGCCCACTAGAAGTCCACCTTGGCCAAAAACCGCTTACACAACTCTGCAATCTCCCACCTCGCCGTCTCCAGCGCAAAGTGCCCGGCATCCAACAAGTGCACCTCCGCGTGTGGCAAATCCTGCTTATACGCCTCTGCTCCAGCTGCAATAAATGCTGGGTCGCCTTTACCCCAAGCCGCCAACAACGGCACTTGCGACTTACGCAGGTACTTCTGCCACTGTGGGTACATGGCTTTATTTGTGCGATAATCGTAGAACAAGTCTAGCTGGTGCTCTTGGTTCTCTTTACCAGCAACGTTCTGAAAGTAATCGCGGATCGGCTGCTCGGGGTCAACGAGCGCTTTGTCCGACTCTGGAACCCCCATAGGACCGTATAGTACTGGTAGATCGTGGCTTCTTGGGTCAGCATGCTATTGCGTACGATCTCGCGGGCAGAGGGAGAGTTGTCCGTCTCCCAAATTTTCCAGATAGGTTTCCAAAAGTCGGCACCGAATCCTTCGTTGTAGGCGTTACCGTTTTGCGTTACGATTGCTTTGACGCTACAAGGGTTTTCGAGGGCGAGGCGGAAGCCGATGGGAGCGCCGTAATCGAACATATACAGTGCGTAAGTCTCTACTTTCAGTTCCTTCAGCCAAGCGGAGATCACAGCGGCGAGGTTGTCGAAGGTATACTTGAAGTTCTTGGGGACTTTTGTGAGTCCGAAGCCGGGAAAGTCCGGGGCTAGGACGTGGAAGGAGTCAGAGAGGAGGGAGATGAAGTCACGGTAGTGATTCGATGAACTCGGGAACCCCATGAGGAGAAGAAGGGTGGGCTTGCTGTTGTCGCCGGCCTCGGCGTAGTGGACGGTTGTAAACCCAAGTGGCGTCGGCACGTCCAGGTCTGGTAGGTAGGGGCGAGGGACTTGGTTGCCATCGTGCTTGCACTTGGGACTTATGGTTGGGCGAAGATCTGGGAGCGCTTGGTTGACAGACTGTTGTTGCTGGTGCGTGTTTGATAAATGCTGCTGTCCCAAGTCTCTGACTACCTGTCTACCTTAAATACATATGCGGCGACGCATCGATGGCACTGCTGACGACGCATAGTGGCTACCACTATAGACAGATTGCTGCGTCGCAGTAGGTGTTGTCGCTCTCAACAGCACCATCTTGACCTAGCGCCGCGAGGGAGGCTTCAGTTAGGCAGTCATGCTTGGGCAGTCCAAAGATTGGGAGCATCGGAGTGTCGTTGACATCAAGGTCAAGTTGTAGCTGACTAACCGCTCTCGCTCTTTACGGAGGAAACGCAGCGAGGCTGACCGAACGTAGCAGGAAGCTGACTGAGAAAGCATTGGCAAAATGGACTACAACCGTTTCGAATAACATTGTCGCATGCTTGGCGTCTCTGCTTCGCGGAGTCGCTCATAGTAATTCGGACACTTGCTATGCCTATGCACTGAATATCGTCGCTGCCGTCTCAATTCGGAAGTTGAAGCCATTGCTGCCACGTCTAATTGCTATATAGCCGATTTTGAGGTATAGTTCGTTATAGCTATATTGTAACGTATAAGCGACTATATATGCTCGAAGGTTTCTAAGCCCTAGTCAACGCTCGTAGCCGGCCTCTTCGAGCAATAGAAGGTAGATATACCTTATAGAGATCTGTAACTCCTTACTAATAGCTATATACGACATCTAGCCGTTATAGAGGAGGTTATATGTACAAGTCGTTATATATAGAGGGTACCGCTTTACTATTACGGCTACTATGCAACTATGCAATGCCTATATAGCTAACAACATCTTAAATCTGGTTATAATAGTGGCAATTATACTAATTATAGCTTCATTTACAAACGACAACGATGTAGTAATGCATAGGCATAGAAAGTGTCCGAATTGCTATGAGCGACTCCGCGAAGCAGAGACGCCAAGCATGCGACAATGTTATTCGAAACGGTTGTAGTCTCCTTCCAGCGAGCTACTGACGTTGTAATTGTGTTGCTGGACGACACATCGGGCGCCCGCGCCTTACCATGCGTCTCTGCAATGCAACCAGACCGCCGTGTCGAAACGTCACTATACCGCTATATGCATGCTCCGAGCGTGGCTCTGCAACTCCACTAATGCCCTCTCACGCTATGCGAATACCAGCCCGCTGTCAAATGCATCCGCTATATCTCCCTCCGGAAGAAGTAAATGTAAGCAAACTTGCTCATCTCCTCGGCGTCCTTGCCCAGCGCCACCTTCTCATCGTTGAACAACACCCAACCTTCCCTCCCTTCCGCAGACTCCGGTAATGTCTTCTTTACGAAAGCAACGTAGTGCCCCGCGTGAATACTGCTGCCTTTGTGGCACACGATTGATCTCAGTCCGTACTTCGCAGGCTTCGAGTCTTCCATAGCGCCTGCTGCTGCTGAAGCAGATGCGTTGGTGGTACTGCTAGGTTGCTGTTCATCGTCGCCGAAGTCGCCCATAGCGTCTGGATGAGAGAACAGCCAGTCGACTGCTCGCTCCATATCCCCTCCCGTCTCTTTGAGTGCTTGCCGGGCTTGCGGGGCACTGAAGCCCATATTGCCCAGATTCTCAATCTTCTCCGGATCCACTGCTGAGCTAGCCACACCACCAATTGAGCTGCCGCCAAGGTCCAAAGGAGTGTCGATGTCAGCATCCTCCATGTGCTCGAACAACCACGCGGCTGCCACCTCAGCGTCTGCGTTACCGGTGGCATGTAATGCCTTCTCGCATCTCACACGCGGAAAGCCCATCGACATGAGCATCTCGAGCGCCGTCTCATTTGGCGCAAACGCAGCGGCTGCACTGCTGCTCGCTTCCTGATCGTCAGGTAGTTCTTCTTCGCCCGACTGCTTGCCTTTGCTGCGATATGCCTCGAGATCAAAAGTCGTGTCATCAACAATGACAGGTACGTCTTGCTTCGTAGGCACCCAGTTGACGATCTCGAACCGCCGTGCATTGATCGCCAAGATGTTGGGGAAGGTCTTGAAGAGACTTTGCTTGCTGAAGCCGGACTGCTTGCATGCGGAGCACGTAAGCTCTACTGTCTCGGGCGCGGTGAAGTCATCTAGGCACTGCTTTAGCGTCACCGGCTCGAACTCGTCTCCGGCCTTCTTGTCGTCCTTGTCTCCGTTTGTCATGGCGACGTCGTCGGACTTTGGTAACCGCTTGATGGGTACGGCAACTGATAGGTTCTCCATCTCGTCTTGACGATACTTTACCTTGCCGCAATGCAGACATTGCAGCTTTTGCTCCATCACGAAGCGGAATGCTTCGACTGGATCGGCAATGTCTTTGTGCTGGCTTCGAGCGCCCGCTTGAGATCTTGTGATGAGCTTGAGCAGATGAAGGAGCAGTTCGAAAGAGTCTTGCTGGCGCATCGTGCTGAACTCGGCGTGACCTCGCCCAACCAGGTGTTTGAGCATGGCAGGCGCCAGACCTCTCTGCCACGGTATCTCCTCCGTGTCCTCTGAAGCCTGTACATCCGAGTCTGGCTTGCTGTACCGCCCCGACAGCAGACCGTCTGCAAGCTTCCGTAGCTGGACTTCAAGGTCCTCCGCAGGTTTGGATATGGGCGGCACCGGCTCGTCTGGTCTGTAATATCGTCCTGCAAACTCTGGCATGGCGAACAGCGACTGCAGGATGGAGTTGAGGTAGCAGCTGTTGCCCAGGTTTTTTAGTCCTGTAAAGCCACCGCCGAACATGGGCTCCATCCTGTTTCCGTGCTCGTCTGCCATGCTGAACTCCCACGTAAGGTTCTGCTCAATGTTCATCTCTGTCATGCTCTTCTCAGTCTTGACACGATCGGCGATGTCAATGGCCCAGTTCTTAAGATGCGGTACAAGTTCGGGATCTACTCTCTCTTCGTCGCAAGAGTAGCAGTATATATCCGCACTGCCGTCTGCGGTAAGCGAGCCAAGCTTGACTGCGACCGGGTGCCCGGAAGTCTTGGTATGCCCAACGCCATGCCCATTCCCGCCTAAGCCACCCCACTGCTGTCTCCCACACCCGAGGTTGCCACACGTTAGGCATAACCACAGGTTCTCCTTCAGCTCGCACTGACTACAGTGCCCAAGGTCACCGCTCGGTATATCCCTGCTCGGCTCTTGCTCCAAACACAAGGTATGCTCACACGCTGTGATCTCCTGCTCCCACGCCTTCACCTCCTCCTGCTTTGCGAACGTGTTAGCCTTCATGATCCCATCCACCGTTTCCCCGACTTTGCCCTTCCCCTCGATGCCTTCCACTCCGCACTCGAAGCAATGTACGTCTGTCTGCACATCGTACCGCTCCTCCTCCGTCTCAGCATGGATAGCGAGCTTGCTAATCTTCTCCGGTGGTTCGCCCTCGGGCCGCTGTTTCCGCTTGCGTGTGCGCTTGATGTTGACAGCGAGAGGGTGTTGCGCCTGTTGGGCGTGGATGCGGCCATGGACGCGCTCGGAGGAGCAGCCGCCGTTGTAGCAGTGAAGGCAAACGTCCAGGCCGGCGGGATGGTCGACGCTGTCGAAGCAGAGGGTGCAGTCTTCACGGTAGACGGAGTCGCTCGGACGCGGTGGGTGGATATTAGCCGAGGTGGCGTGTGGGCAAGTCGACATAATGAGTGAAGTGTTGACCTTGATGGGTGAGACGTGTAGCAGCTCTCTGTGGCAGCTATGTATTGCTTGGGCACGAGACGCGAATTGCTCGCAAGCGTTCGGTGCTCGGCATTTGCCTCCACCAAAGCTTGACATCAAGCCCGCCCCGCAAGACACGCACTATTCCCAAGAAAGAAGGAGTGGCGGGTGGGGCATGTCCGAGGGGTCCATCTCTATGATGAAGCCCCGCCAGGCAGAACATTTCTTAAGCAGAACGTCTGCCATACGAGACTAACAAAGAGCTTGAAGCTTCTTTCCTGCAATCATACAGGAAGACTCTAAACACTTACCATCCCATCACTCCATCACAATGGCATCGAACCCACCCGCTCGCTGCTGCACCATTGGCGTCAAGCATGAGGGCAAGCCGCAGGGCGAAATCAAGGACATCGGCAAGAGTATGGTAGCACCGCATACTGCAAGCAAAGATGGCGTATCGAACACAAAGCTAAGAAGCGCGCCGCAGTCTCAACCTACTTCGCCTACCCTGAAGACAAGCAGACAGCGAATGCCATCCTAATCCTGCCAGATGTCATCGGACATGAATTTGTCAATGCACAGCTGTAAGTGTCAGCGTCTGCATCAACACCGCTCAAGGCGTCTTGTTGATGGAATCTGCTAGCATCGCGGACCAGTTCGCCGCGAACGGCTATTTCGTCGTGATGCCCGACCTCTTCGAAAAGGACCCCATTCCCCTCAACCGTCCCGAAGGCTTCGACATTATGCAATGGCTCCAGAAGGGCGGTCCGGAGGGCAAAGGCCACGGCCCCGGCCAAGTCGACCCGATTGTCTCCCACATCATTGCCGAGATGAAGAACTCCATGGGCGTGAAGAAGATCGGCTCGGTCGGCTACTGCTTCGGCGCCAAATACGTCGCTCGCTTCCTGGCCGAGGGCAAGGGTATCGATGTCGGCTGCATGGCTCACCCCTCATTTGTGGAGGCGGATGAGGTGAAGGCCATGACGGGCCCGTTGTCCATCGCGGCGGCGGAGACGGACCAGATCTTCCCAGCGGAGAAGAGGCGGCAGACGGAGGATCTACTGAAGGAGATGGATATCCCGTACCAGATGTGCTTGTACAGTGGCGTGGAGCATGGTTTTGCGGTACGGGCGGATCTGAGCAAGCCGCAAGTCAAGTTTGCAAAGGAGGCGGCGTTTTTGCAGCATGTGCAATGGTTTGACGAGTATGTAAAGGGAAAGAGGGATTCGGCTGCGTGAGTTGATGCTACGATGGGGTCGAGGTGAGGCTAAAAGGCTGACGTTGCTGGCAGATAGAGAGGCTAAGCTCTGAAAGCGCCATGAGCATATATGCGTCCCCATTAGTCGTTCGAATTATGCCTCACAATGCACACAGTGTATAGACTTCAAGAAAAAGGGGAAGGCCTTTATCACATCAGCAGCCGTTTACAAGAAGAATGCGAGGAAAATTTACAGCACGCCGTGTCCGACGGTAGTCTTCTCCTCATGAAGATCCCTTGGTGAAGCGGCAGACATGTTTTCTTGCTGGTGAAGGAGACCACTGCTCAGCTGACGGTGACTGTCCATGCCTGAGGCCGTAGTCGCCCCCCTCCCGTTAGCCACTTCGCCTGATTCCGACTTTCAAAACCATCGCCATCTGCGCTTCGAACAGCGTGAACAACGCTCCTCACCGGAACAAGTAGCTACCTCGGGCAGGCGCAGAATGTCTGATAAGATTGCCGCTGTGGCTGCTTACCTACGTTGACCCATACATCTCCATTGAGTACGGCCGCAAGGGCTTTGTCAGACTACAAGTCGATTTCGTGTACTGTCTTCTTGCCTTATTATTCCGTCTCCATATCTCATGTCTCGCTTGCAGCAGATATCCTCACACATCCACTACACTGCAGCCAACATGCAAACCACAAGACATCTGCTCTCGCCACCCTCGCTTGACGAGCTAGCGCAGGCTCTCCATCCTGCACTAACAGCGAACTATGAGGATGCCTCCATCTCCGTAGTCGACAGTCCTGATCTCAGGGAGGCTCCATACCGTTTGGCAGCGCGAGGTTTGTCCGGAAATGAATGTGTTGCAGACATCGGCGGGCAACCGCATCTCTTCCCGCGACCTCGGCTAGAGAAGAAATATTCTATGCTAGAGTGCGCACAATGTATGGAGATGTCGAAGGACCGAGGGCTGCTCATCGGAGCCGGTGCAGGCCCGTTTCATGTCCTGGGTAAGAATTCCGAACTGGCGCCCAACTTGAGCTGGACAGACGGCTTCTCCAAGCTTGAGAACAAAACTCACTTCGCCATGACGGGCGAACATAACACGGATGTGGTATGTGAACCTTCTCCGAGCACCGACTGTGCCCTCATGATGAATCTGTATGGAAGCTCTGGCAATGCTGGACCTGTCCTTAAAGTCACTGCCCGTGCCCGCAAAGGCGAGCAGAAGAGCTTCACAGAGTGCATTCGGCAGGCTCTGCACCAAGTCTACGGCGACGAACGCCAGATCACGCTTGGAGGCGTCTTCGTCATCAAACGCGGCAAAGCGCTCTTCCACGTCATGCCGGACTTTCCGCCCGAGAGCGAGTTGCCGTGGAAAGAGCGAGAGCAGCTGAACAGTTGGCTAACGTTCCACGAGTTCGGTTCGCCGATGGTCTGCTTGACGATCTTCCATTCAGCTGATCCCGAGAAACTGGGGTTGAGAATGGAACATACGCATGCGTTCTCTAGCGATGGGAAGAGTGAAGGTGGGCATTACCATTTCGACCTGCCTGTGGGTGACGATGGAGCGGAGGAGATTGAGTATGAAGCGTACTTCAACACTGCGAAAGTTCTGTACAGACTCGATCAGCCTGAAGTCAGACCACAGCAGGATCTACATAATTGAACCTGACCGGTTATGATAAACTCAGTGAGCTGGACATTCAATCCAGCTAAATATCCCAAAAGCCACATTGCATATAGGGTAGCTCATTCCTCTTTGAGGTCCATATTTTCCTCAAGCAACTCGAGCAGACCGACAGAATGGCCCGCCCTGGCGTTATCCAAGCGCTTCTAACGACTCCTTGTTGCATGGATACGCTCCGGGTATACATTGCGTCGCTTGCGCTGATCTGTTAAAATCGAAGCGTTAGCGCTATTCTTTTGAAGTTCGTGCCGTATATGCTCGGTTCATCTTGACCGGCGGCACGCTGGTGGCTTGGTGGACTACAAGAGCTGCTGGTATTGCGTTCAGTGGTTGTACCAACGCAGACCCCTTTGAGACCGCCTAGGCTGTCCGAGTACGGCAGGGTAGTCAAAGGCCGAGCGGGCTCTTGATCGCATATGGGTGTTGTAACACAACTATCGCTGTTCGTCAATTGCGCGAAGCTAGCATGCGAGGCTGGTGACTCGGCTGGGCCTATAATAACAGCGTCATACTGAGCGTTCCAGATGGTATGGAACTTTAAGCCTTTCATGCTTTCGTGCAGATGTCCGTCTGCAAAGCATAGCTTGTCAGCCGCCTTTCTACTGGCGCGATAGTCAACCCGCGGGACTTACCGACAAGGTACTTCGCCTTCAGTTCACCGTCTGTATATGTTCGTGGTCCGTCAGCTCATCTGACAGTGACGAATCAACGGCACCTCGAATCAGGGGCGACACCTACTATTGAAATACCGCGGTAATGGCCTGAGGATTTTCACAGCCGCTTTAATCTGTGTGCCGTCGAAGTGTAAGACTTTATGACCGAACGCCTCGAGACGAAGCCTTGTTGTACCATCTTCGAGACGAACTCTATACTCACGACCGTGCTTCCTGTATTCGGCAATGAAGCCTGCTGACATGGCGGCAGAACCAGCAACGACATTCATGCCATGTCGCAGGGCGCCTTGGCGGTCGTACAGCGGCTCATGCTGTATCGGTCGGGTGCTCCGACTGAACACGACGGCAAAAGTGAGCATTGCGTCATTCGGATGAGTGTACCACAGAGTGGCTAAGCTCCGTGTGTAGATGCCCTCTGCGTCAGGAGCGGAAGACTTCGTATCAACGGTGTCAGCACTGTCCTTGCACTGCTGCCGTAAGAACTGACCTGATCCAGCTGCCACACGATGCGGTCTTCGACTACGTAGACGATGGCTGTGTTAGCGTGCCTCTACCCAGCATGCTTTGCGTCTTCTTCCCACTTGGACAGCTTGACAACTCGACAATTGACAGGTGTTTGCTTTCCGATCCTGTCACTCGCATCATAGGCTCCATTGGGATGCCACTTTGGGGTGTAAGTCGCGTTCTCCCGCAGAGGGCCAACTGCATACTCTGGACGTAGGTCGCGCAAATTAATGATGTGCGGCACAAAGAGCACTCCTTCTGCCCATAGATGTTACAGCAACACAAGGACTGCCATGGCGCTAGAGGCAGCAATTCAGTCTGACCTTGTGCCCTTCTCAAGCGGAGTGAATATGATCGCACGGTTTGCAGCAGTCACCTGCTTGGGTATCTCGCCATAAACATGGTTGTTAAGGCTGAGCCCGCCCACCACCATAACGTACTACAAAGATAGGTCAGTCGCTCCGACCACGCCAAATAGTATGTTGAGCAGTACTCACCACGCAGGTGTCGCTAGGTGGAACCATTGCATGCTGCATGTTGATTCCACGAGCGACTTGACTGATCATGTTCTCAAGGGTACTGCTGTGCACGCTCTGTCAGTGATAGAGCTCCATCGCCGAATGATGTGCAGAGTCACCGATCCAGTGCTACCGTGATTCGGAAGCCGTTGATCTTCACAGAAACGAAGTCTTCATTTGAATCCCCGTTCGGGTTAGGGGAGGAGCACTTGGGCGGCTGGAATGCCTGAACATAGTTTGCAAGCATACGCTCCTTGAGGTAGTCAATAATACCTGACAGGACATTTAGCCGCACCTTAGCCACCGTTGCGTCCATATGCCCAGCATCGAACTCAGCAGCCTCTTGCAAATATTCGCGGAAGGCATGATCGAGCGACGTGCCTCCGCAAAGCATACATTTGACGTCAGTGGTGGACTGCGACCAGGCTTGGATGCTGCCGGGACTCACTGTCGGACTTGCCAATAATCTGAAAGCTGTTAATTGCTCGCCGAGCGGACCGCATCCAGAGGAAGCCGGAACGTTGAGAATTTTTGCGTTCGTCAGTCCGACTTACTTGGTGATGACTACCAGAAAAATTGCCTACCGATGTCCCGGCGCTGAGATCTGCGAATACCACAGTGATGCTCCGCTTGCGATAGTCAGTACGGTGCTGCCTGAAGCTTCCGTGTGACTTACCGTGGTCGGTGATATTGATGCTTGACGGCAGTTTTTCAAGGATACGACTCGCACCAGCAAGCGACTCCGATACTAGACGGACTCTCCGTAATCCGGCTTTCTCAGCAGCCTCAGCCAGGATCTTGCCAGCCCTGGGCGAAGCTCCGTTAGAAACAGTCAGGGAGACCATGATCTTTGACATGTCATGGCTAACGTCAGCCATGTTCAGGTCTGCCTCAACTTGCTTCCGGATCTCCCGAAGCACGCCGCTGGCCAACTGTTCCACGGATTATCCTGCAGTGGCCAGTTGCTCCACAACGTGGCGGACCTGCGGCGACTGGGAGTACGCTTCGTATAGACATAGTTTGAACCCTCTGATCACATTCTCCGGATGTAACTGGCATCGATTGATCACTAAAGGGAGCCGAGCGCTGGGAAACAAATATGTCGAAGCTTGCAGGGTGTCGCACCAATAGTATATCGAAGCCCATCCTGAGTTGCAGATGCCATCGGACGCGCCAAACGATTGGCAACAGACACCCATGGACATGGTCGATAGCTGCAAGGGAAAGTCTGCGAGAAGGACTTCCGGCCGGGCAGATGGTCTTCGCTCCCGTAACATTCGCTGGCCTGGTGACGGCGTTTCGAGGTAAGCGGACCTCCCGATCGCTCGTATATAGCTTACATAAGTTGCAGGAATGCCGTGAGCACGAAGCATCAATCGAAGCGTCTGTCGTCGAAGCAGCGTGGCGCGAAGAACAAGCGTCAGCAAGAGCACCAGAAGAGAGATGTAATAGCACGAGTGATTGGGCAGAACGATAGCTTGCTACCTGGAGCACAACAATAAACGCATGATCCCTGCGATGATATAGCAGTGCTGGCAATAGCAACAACATGAATGCTTTGAAGCTTCACTAAATGTAGTACCATACGTACCGTAACATTCCCTACCCAGGATAGCGAAACCCTGCACGGGTGTACTAATGTTCGTTCAACCGTGTTTAGATACCAGGCATTGTCTTCCTACCCTGCATCACCTGCTCCCACTCCGGCATCGACATGGCGTGCTCAAGATACGTCCCCAGTCGTCCAGGGATGAGATCCTCGCGCTTCACATCGCGCAAACGAGCGAGATAGACAGCCAAATGCGCGTCTAGTGCAGACGGTCGATCGCTGCCAAACAGCCACTGCTTACCGCTCTGTAGGGTTGACTCGAGTTTGGCCGCGATATCTTTCGCACGCTCCTCGTTCGCTGCACGAGCGGCTGGAGCCATGGCCTGTATCTTCTCCTTGTTCGTGCTACCCGACGTCAGCGGAACTGCGTCATGGCGAGGTTGCGGACACGAGGTTATGAAGCACTCACACCTCGAGCTTGTACTCCAGGGCTTTTCGGTATTCGGGGCTGATGCCGTCCTGGCCGAGGCGCGCCTGGATGGCTTTCACCATAGCCTGAGCCTGCTGAGGCCTGTCTCCAAAGGATAGAGCGAAGTAGTTCAGGCCGTGCAGCTCCCGCAGCCATGCTGTAGTCTCGCGATGATGTGCCTCTGGGATGAGCGCAGGATAGTGCTCCGCAATGTAAAGCGTCATATCCAAAGACTCCGCCATCGGTTTAGGCAGAGCCTTTGAGGCCAGAGCGGGTACTTGTCCCTTGGGATTGATATGGCAGAGGTAGTATTCTTCCAGCTGCTCGGCGCCTCTAAAGATATCGACGGCTTTTTCCTCGACTTGCATTTCCGAGGAAGCGTCCCTCGGCTCGCCAGCTATGGCCAGACTGAATCGGACCATGTTCGCGCAGAGGGAGTAGTCATGGTAATAGAGGGTATACTGCTCAGCCATGATGGAAATACTGGGAGTTAGGGCACAGAGATATGTGAGATGGAGTGATTTGGACAGGTCTGAGGGAGACAGGAAATGCTACGGCTCATATGGCCGCGGCTGAGCTCCATTGATTCGAGGTCTGATACACGCGAACGCGAACGCGAGGAGCGACCAGTGACTAAACTCGTGCATTGGTAGTGGACGAGCTGCGAGCCAGCTTACCTCGGATGGAGATGTTCCACTATGTCCTGTCACACCCATTGCTTCGGGACAGATCAAGGGCTACCCGTGCGTAACAGATAGAACTGGATGGACGCGGGAGGTGTGAACGGGCTGAGTAATCTCCCGGCCTGGCTTGAAAGTTGCTGTCGCCCCTCCTTCCAGTCCTCGTGCTGAAACGTGTAGAAATGTGGCGCAGTTGCCCCGCCACAAGCAGCGTCATTCGGGAGACTTTGAAAGCGAAGCGACAAGAGCTGTGGACATGGACGCGCAATACCAACCAGGCTCCCACATTCAACGAGTCTTCATAGTCGCTGCTAGGGAGTTAATGTCATATTCTATCACACACAGTCGAGAGCAGACGAGATGAACGTCCTCAAATTGCAAAAGTAAGCCGATGCGGAAGCTCTTGGGTTAGAATAGGCGCTGACAGCAAAGCAGAAAGTACCCTCAGTTCCAGCAGTCGGACATATATGGCCTCACAGACGCTTTTCGAAAGCTCGACGTCGATGACCGTGGCTACGTGGATGAGGCGACGGTAATCAAGTCCGCACAGAACAGCGAACGACAACCCTACGATGTCGTGCGGCAGGCGCTGCGAGAGGTGGAGCTGGGCAGCTCACGGCATGTAGAGCTAGAGGATTACGTCGACCTCATCTCGCGACTACGGCAAAGCAGTCCGGCTCAGCAACGCATTAACACTGGCGCACAACGATCACGCGGCCTCAGTAATGCCGCAGACGGAGGTTCAGCAGCCACGCAGTCACCCTCACACGCTAGCAAAGGCAGCCATGGTGGCGGGCGGATCACTGTTGGCGGTGCGACGGGCAGCTCTCAGCATACCATCAACGAGGACGAGCGGACAGCCTTCACATCGCACATCAATGCCGTGCTTGCCGGCGACCCGGACATTGATCATCTCCTACCCTTTCCGCTGGACACTTTTGAGATGTTTGATCACTGCAAGGATGGCCTGCTTCTCGCAAAACTCATCAATGACAGCGTGCCAGATACCATCGACGAGCGTGTGTTGAACCGGGTCGGCAAAAAGATCAAGCAGCTGAACGCGTTCCACATGACTGAGAACAACAACATCGTCATCGAGTCTGCGAAAGGCATAGGCTGCAGCGTAGTCAACATCGGGTCTGGCGACATCATCGAAGTGCGAGAGCACCTGATTCTAGGCTTGATCTGGCAGATTATCCGACGAGGGTTGCTTGGCAAAATCGACATCAAGCTGCATCCGGAGTTGTACAGGTTGCTGGAGGACGGCGAGACGTTGGAACAATTCTTGAGGCTGCCACCTGAGCAAATCTTGTTGAGGTGGTTCAACTACCACTTGAAGAATGCAGGCTGGCACAGAAAGTATGTCTAGCCACGCATGCTGTAGTCGAATCGAGCTGACTGTTTGCAGAGTTCAGAACTTCTCCGGAGACGTCAAGGACGGCGAAAATTACACGGTCCTACTCAATCAGCTCGCGCCAAACATCTGCTCACGCTCGCCACTTCAGACATCCGACCTCCACCAGCGGGCAGAACAAGTGCTGCAGAACTCCGACAAGCTAGACCCGCCTTGTCGGAAATTCTTGACACCCAAGTCACTGGTTGCCGGCAACCCGAAGCTCAACCTCGCCTTCGTCGCTAACCTTTTCAACAACCACCCTGGTCTCGACCCGATTACCGAAGAAGAGAAGGCCGAGATTGAAGACTTCGATGCAGAGGGCGAACGTGAAGCGCGTGTCTTTACCCTTTGGCTCAACTCCCTCGAGGTCAAGCCCACTGTCGTGTCATTCTTCGATGACCTCAAGGACGGCACGATCCTACTCCAAGCGTACGATAAGGTCATTCCGGGCTCCGTGAATTGGAAGCACGTTAACAAGCCTCCTGCGAATGCCGTGAAGCCCGTAGGCCAGGACGAGGACGAAGCATATCTGACCATCGGCTCTGGCATGTCGCGGTTCAAGGCCATGGAGAACACCAACTACGCGGTCGAGATCGGCAAGCAGAACCGTTTCTCGCTTGTCGGCATACAAGGCGCAGATATCACCGACGGCCAACGCACGCTCACGCTCGGCATGGTGTGGCAGCTCATGCGAAAAGACATCACCAACACCCTCACTTCCCTCGCACAACGGATGGGCAAGCGCGAGATCACAGACTCAGATATGGTGCAATGGGCCAATGGCATGTCCTCCAAGGGCGCGGGACAGAAGTCGCAGATTCGCTCCTTCAAAGACGGTTCGCTCGCTACTGCCGTGCCGCTATTAGATGTGCTGTCTGGCATGAAGAGCTCGTATGTCGACTACGACCTTGTGGCGAGCGGGAGGACAGACGACGAAAAGTATCAGAACGCTAAGCTCGCCATCAGTATCGCGCGCAAGATGGGCGCCACGATCTGGTTGGTGCCGGAAGACATTACAAGTCTGAGGAGTAGGTTGATCGTGACGTTTATTGGAAGTTTGATGGCGACGGCAGAAAAACTGCAATGAGCAAGACATCTTCTATGAGACCATGTCTTGTTGAGACGATGCCAGTGTATAAGCGTACGAAAGGCCTTATTGCTCATTACTAGCGTAAGACATTAGCGCATCAACTTGTCCTTGCATCGCCTAACGGTCCTACCGCTGCACCTTTTGGCCCGACTGGCGCTAGACCGCCGCTCGAGCCTGTGAAGCTGATCATCAGGCGAGGTGCATACCTTTCAGGGTTCGTTCCTGCGACATCACTCCGCTCTCATTGTTAGATGCGTACATTTTGTACTATGCCATCCTTCCGTATACCTATAGTGGCCGTCCTAAAGCAGACGAGCCTGTGGCCAGCTCCACACATACAGTACCTCGTCGAACCGTGAAGCAAAGATACCAACTCAACAAGCCTACATCCACGGAAATGTCATCCACTTTACAGACCCTGCTGTCGCCGACTTCCCAGATCCTCCCCAACACCGCGGCAGTCATTGGCATCTTTCCGTCCGTTATGGGCGTCGCATGCCTCATCAATCCTCGCTTCGGCTTCAGCGTCTTCGACCAACGCCCTGTGTCCAATCCTGAGTCTCAGAAGCTTGTGGATAACCTCATGCGGCTCTTCGGCGCACGGGACGTTTATCTCGGTTTGACGAATCTGATCGCTTGGCAACTAAACGACAGAGTGATGCTAGGGTATTGCACGCTTTTGGGCACCGGTGTCGTGATTGTGGATGGTCTGGTGCAGAAGTGGCAGACGGGAGAAGGGGAGTGGAGGCACTGGGGGTTTGTTCCTGTCACTGCGCTTTTGGGTGCCGGACTCGCTGGATGGTTGGACGGTATGGTCTGACATCTTTGCGGCTGTACTGTGATTCATTTCGTATGGTTTCGCCATCTATACTTCAAACAGCATCGCTATGCTGCTAAACATCCAAACACGCTACGAACGCTATCAATAACCACGCCCGAGACCAACGTCTGGTAGTGTCGGCTCCCGATCCGGGCTTCGGCTGACACTCCTTTCCGTCCGCCGGCCCATGCTCGCAGCGCTGGACATGAGACGCGTGTCGTCCCCTTCCCTTGCAAAGCGCGAAGGCCGGCCCAAGTCAAGCTCTGAGCTCGGTGCAGGCGACTGTGCCCGCGCAGGCACAGGGCCATACCGACCCTTATTGTCGCCGAATGGTGCTCCTGCCACCATTGGTGCCTTGTATGCAGTACTGCCCTTGTTCTGCATCGGCTCCAGCGGCGTCAAGTTGTCTAGATCTCTCTCGAGCTTAAGCTTTTCCCGCTCCTTCCTGGCTCTTCTATGTGGGTTCTCTCGAATGCAGTTGACTAACGCATTGACCACGAGTAAGATGGCAAGCAGTGCAGTCAGCACGCATTGTGTGACAACCAGCACAATGCCGGTAATCGTCTTCGTTGTCTGACTGATGCCAAGCTCCTCCACGAAAACCAAAATGCAGCCAACAGAGATGACACGGACAATCTGGACGAGAATGTTGATCCACTGTCCGCTCATCATTTGGAATGGTCGCGTCCACAGTAGCAGCCCAAGCATCAGCGATTCCACGATAAGCTGGCCCGCTGACTGTATGAGACCGTGTCCGTTGGCGCCCGCAATGATGCAGCCCTTGGCAAATCCGTACACGATCACTGGGACAAACAACCACCAGTAGCGCTTCTTGTAGTTCTCGTAGAAAATGTTGTACTTGATCCATGTCTCTTTCTCTTCGTAGAGCTTGCCAGCGTCGCCCTCCAGCTTCTTGTACTCCTTCGCTTTGCTGTGTATTTGCCACGTGTACCACGCTAGCACGAGTGTAAAGAGACCTAAAGTGATTCCTGCGAGCACTTTGGCGGCCCAGGAGTCGCCGTTCGTGAACTGGTAGATGCAATAGAGCGTCCAGACCCCGTAGAGCAGCAGAATCAGGCTTGTGAGCGACTTGGCCAGTCTCCACCAATATCGCTTACGCCAGCTTTCCATGGATCTCGGAATATTGCCGAACATACTCCAGGCCTCCAGGATGGCTTTGAGCAACAGAATGAAGACAATGATCACGGCCACAATGATAGCCCAGATCAGCAAAAGTGTCATGAAAGTGTTGGCTTCCGGTATCTCGAGCTGTTCCGAGTAGGCCTCAATGCCGCTGACGAAGTGGTCGGCCTTGCTGTATAATGAGGGAGACGAAGAGCTCTCACCACTGCCACCGACATCCGTAGATGTGCCATTCACTGTAACAGTGGAGCCGTCTCTTGCCCACAGCATGATGGAGCTGACTGCACGTCTTGCCATCCGCGCACTTGTGGTCGCGCCATTCTGAAACACCAGTGTCGCGTTGTTGTCAAGATATTGATAGCTGTCTTCAGTCAAATTGCCGCCAGTCTTGGCGCGGAAGTTGTCGATTGCAACTTGCATCGAGCCCCAAGGTACAAGACCCGTGGAGAATGCGAAGTTGGCCGTGAAGCTTCGGTAGACACTCGGATACGGAACACTGAGCATACCGTTGGTAGCCATACTCTGGAACCAGCCAATTACTTCGCCGAACGTTGGTGATGGTGTTGATGCGCCTGGATGACCGCCTGCTGCCAGAGCCGAAAGAGCCGATAAGACCAGCGCGGCTGCGGCCATGCCTACCGCAGCGTATGATATTGCTGCTATATGGAGGGTTTGACCGTTGCCCACCATGGATTCTATGCATGCAACATCCTCCCCACCGTCTCCTTGCAAGGTCATCTTCACCGTGCTGTCCAGATTCGGTATAGAAAATGCTATCGACGGTATCTTGTCCGCATATTCTTGTGGTATCGTTTGCTGTCCATGGCTGGCGAAGCTCGCTGCTGGTACTGGACACATTTCCGCCATACCTGTATCGCATGGGTTGAAAGTGTTGGTGTAGACCTGCTGTCCGTACGCACTAACGATCATAGTTGCAGTGACATTTTGGACAGTGTTGCTCGAGCCCGCAACATCGAAGTTCACAATCCTCGTGTCTTTATTGTACGTGACGTTAAGTTTGGTGACTTGTACTGTTGCATTGTTCTGACATATCGTGAAGCCGCTTGTGCTGAGAATGTTCCCACCTAGTACACTGACGGGCAGCAATCCGAGTAACAGAAATGATAAGAATCGAGCTGTCCCTCGGGAGAACGCCATGGTCGCGTGACCAGCTCGGCCGTGAGGAACTGGCCAGGTCCCGGGTCGTAACACACAACCAAGAGAATTGCGGATTCAGGAATGCGTTGGAAGACGGACGGAGAAGTGGACGCTGAACGAGTGTAGACCGCGATCGCAGTATGGCTCACCAACTGTTTCGGATTGATGAGATACCCTAGAGGACGGAATCAATACGCTTCCTCGACAGTGTTAACGAAAGACTTTGCTCGAGCGAGAGTGTATGGAGATCAAGCAATTCAAGAAGGACCAAGTAAAAGCAGAGATAGGACGCGAATAGCACGGTAGAAAACACTGCTGATGTAACTGTACAAATACGAAGGGTACCATGCATGATAGCGCAGTGGCTTCACCAACGTCTTCGGGAGCCACGCAAGTCGTGCAGGCTACCATGCCTAGTCGAGTTAGGGCTTTCGTTGAGCCTATCGCTATTTTGGAGAAGGGTCTCACGAGGATCTTCGTCGGCACTGACTCTCACACTCGACAATGTATGCGCAGAGACTTGTATGACACGGTGGTGTTATGTGTGCTCTGAGCAGACTCAGCGACGGCAATGCACGAATCTCTTGTCAGCTGGCATGGTGCTCCCTCAGCATGTGTGAGTGCTCACGAAAACTTTAACCGTGCTCAGGCGGCGCGCCGGATGTTCGCGAAGGCTTGTGGCTGAGCAAGCGGTCCGTCATGCTTGAGCAGCTTGACCAGAGCTTGCTGCGGCATTTCGACACAGTTGTTAAGAGAGGGTAGAGTGTAACGCTTCGGTCGATGCGTAATTGGAGATATACTGACGAACGCTTAGCGGGTATGACCGTCGCACGAGTGTTGGTCCGATCATGGTGTCTGTTTGTGAGGTCGAGTGCGTTGGGCTGTCATGCGGTGGTTCGTAGGAGCGGGGTGTCGTTTGGAAGTGAGACGCACACCCGCTCACCCACACCGATCCGCTGTGCAGGAAAGCTGGGCGTGTTTCATGGTTGCAGCTTGCATCGATGGAAATGGTGTCGAGTTCTTTTGCCGGCGGCCAGCCGAATCGGCGGGTCAGAGGCAGAAGAACAAGCTCTGCCACTACCCCCTTCCACCACGCTTCTGCGTCGCCCGCCTGGACCGAGGGACCTGGTTGGCCGCAAGACTAGCCTCAGGGATGATATCATGCCTACGACGTGTTTGACCGTCCGTGCCCCCTAACTCCTGCTTACTTTGTCGGAGGAAGTGTGTATACGTTTCGCCGAGCATAAAGTTCCAGGTAGGCGCAATTTGCACGCGAACTGGCGCACACGAGCTCCCCTCCTTGGAGAGAATCTCCGCCACCGCACACAAAATCGCAGGTTGCTCACCTTGCGCAGCGGCACAATGCGTCTCTGGGGTATTGCAGATATTCATCTGTCGTTCAAAAGTAATCGAGAGGAGTGGGGCAAGCTTCAATCCAAAGGGCCAGATGACGGCTTGATCCTTGCTGGAGACGGTATGCATGTGCATCAGAACAACCCCTTGTACATAGTAGCTGATTAATGCAGTGGGTGAAACCATTGAGACTCTTAACGAGGCATTCAGGGTCGCGAAGCTGAAGTTCAAGCATGTCTTCTGGGTCCCCGGCAACCATGAGCTGTACACTTCAAAGTCCGCAAAGGAGAATGAAATGCACCTTCGGGGCGAGGCCAAGTACATGGCTTGCATCAAGGCCGCCAAACAGCACGGCGTGCTCACTCCCGAGGACGACTATATGACCTGGGTTTACGAAGACGATGAAGGCTACCAAGTGGCGGCCGTCATCTGCCCCATCTTCACACTCTACGACTACAGCTTTCGACCAGCAAATGTCACGCGAGAGGGCGCGTTGGACTGGGCGATGGAAGAGGGCATCAAGGCTACTGACGAGACTCTGTTACATTCTGACCCTTACGAGACCCGCGATGAGTGGTGCCATCGCCTTGTGTCTGAAACAGAGACCAAATTGCAGAAGGCCGCGGAGCTGGGCTTCCCACTCGTCATCATTAACCATTGGCCATTGCGAGAAGATACTATTTTTATTCCGCGTGTGCCACGCTTCAGCTTGTGGTGTGGCACGAAGAAGACAGAAGACTGGCACCTGAAATACCATGCCAAAGTGATCGTAACCGGCCATCTTCACGTCCGCCGTACTGACTGGATTGACGGTGTGCGCTTCGAGGAAGTTAGCCTTGGCTATCCGCGGCAATGGCAGGAAGCCAAAGACGAAGGCCACAACGTCAACACTCTGCTTCGCGAGATCCTACCTGGCCCGCCGCCCCCGAAGAAAGGACAGGAGCCCACGACAGTTTGGCGAGGTCGAGGCAGAGGATGGTCTTTGTCTCACGGAATGGAGCCACCCCTCATCCCATCTAGTCCAACTGCGCGGATAGGACTGTGATGTAAGCAGAGTGGCTCATAGAAGCCCGACTCACAGTCGTGGCCGGCTTCCCAATCACAGCAACAAACATGGGGCTGCGACATCTCTAAACACAGATTACACCAGAAAGATTCGAAGCTGTTTGCATCCGGCCAGTCGTCGATACTCACAAATTTGGGCCGGTTCGGGCGCAGAGCTGTCGTCTTGTCGCTGTTGCCAGCAGGACTTGTCGGGACTCACCGCGTTGGTTGTCAGCATGCGACACGCCCCCGCTAGCCTCTAGCAGCTGTTCGTCGGCAGTGAGCAGGAAGCTCACTGGGATAGGTTACGAGCCACTCCACGAATTACTCCGTCCGCATCGCCCACGCAACTTGCAGCAGCAACTAGCAATACATTGCCGCCGGCATGGACCGAGATTTTGCCTGCTGTCGATATATAGCCTCATTACCAAGTTCGCCGAAGAGGCGCACCAATCGTCATTATACGCGACGGACGCCACGCTTTACCCGAGCGTAGTTGCTTTCAACTGAACGCAATGATACCCTGCGACCGCATCATTTTGGACGGTGGTTAACTTGGGCTTGTGGTGTTGTGCTTGCTTAAATGCTGCACATGCGAAGTAGAAAGTATGGACTTGGAAGCTCTTGGTGTACGCTAGTGGAAGTGCTATACCTAAGGATGTATGCCATTGCAACGTGGTAGCTCAACCTCCTGGGTGCGTGGGCTAGTATACGTCGCCATGGAACACACCTTTAAGTCGCAACTGTGTAGTTTCTGCACTGCAACTGGCGCGTGGAGCTCGGGCCACTTTGCACGTAGACCCTAGAATTCGGTACCTGGTCACCATCATAAACCCACGCGCTGCTCGCTTTTATAGAAACACAGCATATCTGTACAAACGGACGAGGGTGCGCAATGTTGTCCCAAGTACAGGCCACCTATCAAAGCATTGAGCAAAGCTTGCAACAACTTGTAGATTCTATCGCGGCCTACAACCCTTCCGTGAGCGCAGCAGATGAGCTCGTTGCGGCTGATGATACGCTCGATGCGGGCCTCGTAAAGTGTCCGTTTCCTGTGGTAGCCGAAGGTTCAGTAACGTTAACGGATAATAGTGGCCGAGCACCAGCGCAATGTCCTGCGTATTGGCGAGCTCAAGCGCATCGCACATACCAATGATGAGCGAATCAAAGGCCATTTCAGGGCAATCGCACAACTACGCAAGGAAATGACGTCTATTCCTACAACTGATGATGCTGGTACGAACCACAACGTAAGCGTTGACGAGCTGCTGGAATATGCTCGCTTCATCTCGCCAACTACCGTGCCTCCAACCTTCCGCAGGCAGGACGTGGCTTTGCCGGCAGTGAAGCCGGACATGGACGCTCAAATGAGCAATGGCATATCCACTCCTCCCGCTGTACCGGCAAACGACATGAGCTCTCCGTACATCAAGTCTTCCGCCCTGGTCGACCAAGCAATAACCGAGACCGACAAAGCCTGGCTTAACCCTGTACAAGGTCTGCCATTCGAGCCTTGGCCTTCTCATGCAATTATCGCAAGTGGCGCGTTAGCGGATATTCAGCGGATGATGGAGCAAGGTAGGGATCCAGGCAGTGTATTGAGTGCCGAAGAGCAATTGGAAGCTGAGCGGAGGAGGAAGGAGGAGGAAGAGAGGGAGCGACTTGAGGAGGAAGAAAGAGCGCGGCGGCGCATGAGTATGTTCGACGCACGCCAGAGGACAAGAGAAGAGGTGGACGATGTGTTCGACCCAGATGCCTGAGATAATAGGCGAAGACCGCACGCGAGGGCCGTTGCCCACATAGTAACTCCCGAAAGAGCGATTATGATGCAGGCTACGTCCACGAGAAGGCTTGCGGAGGTTCTACCCAGGACAATAGCGAGGTGCACACGATCAGCAAGACTACAGACACGATGGCAAGGTGACTAATCCGGGGGGAGTGGGTACTACAAGGCCGGCCAAGGATGCCTTGGTCAGGATGATCACAATGAGAACGGCACTCTCACAAGCCCAGGATGGATCGACCCACGCGTACATGAGGTAACAGGTGGGCGTGTGCGAGGGCAACACACCCCTTGAACGAAGATGTCACGGCATCTGATCATCTCCTGGCTGCCCTCAGCGATGATCATTTACTTGGAGATGACCGGCTTCCTTAGCCAATTCTCACTCGACCGAGCGAGGCAGGTGGTGGTGTCTGCCAATATCAAAACCACAGGCTCAAGTGCAATAAGTAAACCGTGCCGAGAGAATGGTTCGACGGTACCTCTCCGATCCGTTACCGTACTGTATTTCCACATTGCTCGGTAGTGTTGTCCGTTGCCAACGTAGAAGCGAACGCCACTCGCCACGTCAGGCTGTCAATCATGTCAAGTTCGTACAGACTTGTCTGCATTTGGTAGCAGTGGCGCTGGCCAATCCCATTTCGGCGGTCGGATCATGGCCTGTGCGGGTATATCCCTGCTATACAAGTCTCCATCCGCCGCTCTATCTTTGCACGCAATCTTATACGCGCAACTTCACCAATCTCTCCGCAAGCGAAGTGGATATCATGGCGTTCGGACGCACCCTGCACGGCGATCTGCCTTCACGAGAACCACACGCCGCCGCAGGTCTCCCTTAAGAGAGCATCTGAAACGTGCAGGGGCTTGGTGTCACGCTGAAGCAACACCGCCATCCAACCCACACCGTTGCCACCCTCGCTTTCGGCACGTAGGGCTATCGTTGCATATACTCCGATCTACTAAGTTATCCGTGTGTTGTCCCTCACTTCCCAAGATCAGAGCGCTTCATCTCGTTTCGATTCCGCTCTCTCCGCGTACAATGGCACATGTACGCGCCGTGTCTCGCATTTCACACTTCCATTGTTGACTTTGAATCTTGAATTTGAAACTTACTTGCTGGTGCGTGTAAGACCACGATCGTTACTTCCCACAGGCTGTGTAGGCGCTTGGGTTCAGGGCAGGCATGGGTGCATTAATCGCCATCACGACAAAATGAGCATACAACAAAACAATGACAGACGACATCTGCACGCGCGTGATGGACCATACTTCCCAGCGTCACCTTTCGCCGCGTTCTGGTCGGCCTTTACGTCCGAATTTGGCCAAGAATTCGCAACAGATAGCGGTGCGGCTTCTACAAAACCCGGCAGCTCTTTGCCCGCAGCGCAGATGACAGTGACTACGACCGCGGTGGTGACGATCCCACTGACCACGGTGACGATCCGGTCGACCCTCCTCGAGACTTCATTCGTCACCGTACCATATACGACGGGGATCGTGCAACCCGCTTCGACTTCATCTGGTAATCTACCGAGTGCATCTCCACTTCCAAGTTCGATAGTCATGACTGGGTCTTCAGCAGGGTTATCTTCTTCATCGTCCATTACAAGCGGGCAGTCCACAATTCCCACCGTTGTCACGGAAAGCAGTCATTCTGTGCCGCTTACTGGTTCGATTACACTGTCATTGCAGACAGAGCAGCCGATGGTGACGCCTTCAGCTACGGCACAAGGGGTCACGCATAGGTACGAGACGATGCACAAACACGCCATTATCGGCGGGTTGTGTGGCACAGTCGCTGGCCTTGTAGTGTTAGGACTTTTAGTATTCTTCTGGTTAACGCGGAGACGGCGACAACAACAGCGAGAAGGCGACACCGCGAGCGACGCGGCTTCAGGATCTCCGGAAGGCTCTTTCACCGAGAAAGGCTTGCGACCATCGATCGTTCGAAAATGGACTGAACTCACAGGAAAAGGCACTCCTAAGCAGCCGCCGGAACCGGGGTCCACCTCACCGGTTACTGTCGACGAGGAACATCACATCATTCGGATGTCGGTGCAGCACTGGCCACGGCCATATGCCCGAGGGCATGGGGAAGGCTTTAGAGAGTCTGTTGGTCCCGGCCAATTGCGCGTGATGAATCCAGATCAGTCACGACCGCAGACGCCTCGGATGTCTTCGGACACAGCTGGAAGCTTCCTACGGAGGCAACGGTCTGCACTAGCGGCAGTGCTACTTCACGGTAACCGCTCGAAGCCGAGCTTGCATTCGAAAAGGGACAGCATACCGAGCATACCGCAAATCCCAGAGATCCAGATCGACCCGGCGCTTTCACAGGAGTGCATTCCAGCGAACATACAGACACCGTCATTCAGATCTTATCCGTCGGCATCATCACTGCCGGTAGTGCGGCAGCAGCCTCCAGAGGATCCGTTCTTGACACCACCAGAGGAGAGCACGGAGGTGCAGGCTCAGCCAAGAAAAAAAAGGCCTGGACTAACACCTATTCAGAGCGCTGCGGGAGCTGCTGGACGGACGTTGAGCAATCTGGGGAGCGCACTAAATCCTTTCCGCGGAAGGTCAAATACAGCAACTAGCGGTCGAGCAGAATCTACGTTCTCGTCGCAGCCATCGATGCGTGAGAGCACGTTTTCTGATCCGTTTGACTTGGACCGACCGAGCATGAGTATTAAAGCAAGCAGTAGCGTACAGGGACGAGGCCGGAGTGTCAGTGAGCTTGAGCGAGGACAGGTACCGTTTCGGGCTGTCTACGACGGGACGTAACGCAACGCTAGCATACAGCAGGAATTTAATGATTGAGTAGCAGTGCGGTAATTCAGACTTTAGCTAAGCGCGAATGGCTCCTTGGTATGTGTTACACTCACCCATTTACAGCCAGATTGCAAAATACGCTTTTGCGAATCTACCTGCGTGAGTGTGAGCATGGGACGAGGTTTCGCAGCGGTCAAAACAATGTCAGGCTTTAGCAATCATACAGGAGGTCTGAACGCTTGCCAGACGTCTATGATCTGCTCCACTGAAAACCGACTGATTTGAAGGCTGGAAAGCACGTGGTAGATCTCGGATGACGTAGTTGGCCAGATCTCCAGCCAGATCTAGCGAAGTCGCGCAGATTGCAGATGCGTTGATAATAAAGCTGGAAGTGCCTTGTACGGTTCGTCCATCATGAAACAGCGCTGCCGCTTGCTTAGATTTGGAAGCTATGGCACCGATACTGCACATCATGCGCCATGGGCAGGGTTATCACTCCGAAGCCGTCAACAAGAATGGTCACGAGATAAGGGACCCGTGGTTGACGCCCAAAGGCGTGGAGCAGTGCCATGAAAGATGCAAGAGCTTCGCAAGACACGACCAAGTGAGCTACGCTACAGTCTCGCATTACAGCCTGAAGCTTACCGTGACCCTTCAAGGTAGAGCTATTGCTCGCATCGCCACTACGCAGGGCGCTCCAGACTTGCGCGCTTTCCTTTGCGCCGGTCCTTGATAAGAGCATCAAGATAATTGCCCTTCCGATGGCCGAAGAAGCTTCCGATGCTCCGTGTGACACAGGGAGCCCGCTAGAAGTGCTGCGCAAGGATTTCCCTCAGCACGTTGATTTCGACCATATCAAATACGGTTGGTTCCATCACGACGGCGAGTATGCCATAGATCCGAAAGCGTTGAATGCTCGTGCAGCAAAGCTCAGAAGATGGATCCGAGACAGGTCAGAGAAGGAAGTCGTGCTTGTCAGTCATGGCTTCTTCAACCACTACATGACGGGTGATGTCAACGAGAAAGGCGAACAAACGACGCCGTGGTGGCAGGAGACTGAGCTGAGAACCTTCACCTTCCTCGAGGATCGTGAGGATGCCATGATTGAGGAGACTGACAAGTCGCTGTTGGGCAGGGGTGCGGTGAAGGATGGTCTCATCATCAACAGGCCAGAGCTGCGTGGCAAAGATCGCTAAACTCCGGCGCACTTTGTCGTAACGCGAGTTCAGGTCATCTTTGGTCGCGAGAAATGATCATCGATTTGAACCGGTCAGACTTCATCCCATATCGCCCATGGGTTCGTCTACCAGGTCATCGTTTGGTTCCCGCGGTTCTTGTGCCTCGTGGAACTGGATCGCATCGTCGATGTAGCTCAGTACGGCACCTACACTATCCTCGTCTTGGACATCGAGCTTCAGGAAAGAGACCAAGCTGAAATCGTCAATGAGCTGCCCAACTGCGCGATTGAGCTTGGTGAAAGCATCACCAGTAAGGACGTCCGATCGGCCAATCGATTCGCCATTGTCGAGGTCATTCTTGTAATCATATACAAGCCCACTCTCTGGCACATCCTGGAGTAGGTTGACGTCAGGCTCGATGTAACGCTTTAGCTCTTTGTGCGCCACCTGCCCTTTAACCTGATCCATCTTGCTGAGAATGTTGACGTGCGGTAACTCCATCATAAGCATAGCGCTCATAGCACTTAGAGTGCCGGCGAAGAACTTGGAGTGATCGACAATAAACGTACTCTCCAGCAGATAGGCTGCACACATGCTGATGTTAAGGCTACCTCGCGTAAGTGCCTTAACTAGATTCGGTACAATAGGTACGTGCGTGTACAGCTCAATCTGTCCCGGCATATCGATGACAATCAAGTACTCGTCGGTGACTGCTTCAAGTGGATCAGTGAGAAAGTCCATGTTGTCGAGTAGAAACTCGAAGCAGTATATTAGGCCGCCGTTCGGGCCGAGATGAAGCTCTTCCATTACATCTTCAAGTGTGATGAGTTCTTTGATATCGATGTCTGGCTCGTAGACAAACTCCTCGGCAGCCGGATCAAGGTTGATATAGAAGCATGACCGTTTCTGCGTGCGAAGATGTTGAATGAGCGCGGAGCAGAACGTTGTTTTGCCCGCGCCGGCGGGCCCCATGACGATGACTCCATACTTCGAACCCATCGTCGCCCGCTCGACACTGCTATTGTGTTAGACTGAGACAGTGCCGCAGCATGATGTTGCCTCTTGAGCTACGAAGATTTATGCGAGGCATATCCTTCGAAGCACAGACTCCAAGCTTAGTAAGCCGATCTTCCACTACAGCATCTTCCGAGGAGCCGTGCCTTTTGCTTCCCTCCTTACACAACTAAATCCGAGACGATGAGCCGGCCTTCACGGCAAACACTTCACCCGCATGGCTTTCAGCCGCGTGGTGTGGATGATGCTGACATGCTCTGGGCCCACTCACCACCTTGAGAGGAGCAATATGAGACCTTCTGATCGGAGAGGTTGTGTTTATGCCATAAGCGCCACGCATGTCATGAAGCAAGACGAGATCCGTGCAAGGAGCTGGCACAGGTGCTGTTCAGCTGTTACTGGTTGCCGAAGACTGCATGAACGTGCCAGCACAAGACGTATTCAATGGACAAAGAGCGAGGGTCAGTTACTCTGAACGTTGCTGCCTTATTTCGAGCGCACAAAGGAGTTCTCGAGCGCCATAGCCGTCTAAACAAGTCTGCTGTGTTATATACTGGCCTGGGAAGAGAAGGCATGCAATAGTATATCTTCATGACACACTGGAGACTGCGCTACTTGTATCAAATTTAGGGCTGCAAGCGTGCTTGGTGGAGTTGGGAAACGGTTGGCAATAATCACTGACGCTGATACTCGGAGCGTATTGGGACAATCGCCGCGCACTGCGTGCTGGTATACCTAGTGGCCGGTATTGTTCGGCTTGATACCACACCTCTGCATGCACGAGGCGAGACCCCAGTTGCTGCCCGTTCCTGCGAAACTGTTAGCGATGTCTCTATCAGGAAACAAGGCTTCTGTCTTCCAATCACGCACCAACAGGCTGAATGTCGGCTGCGGCAATATTTCCCCCAAAGGCAGCGTTGACAAGGTCCGCAGGGAAGCCATTAGTGAAGACGTTGCCAATGTTTTGAGTTCCGGCGTCCTCGGCATTGAGGGCTGACACAAGCTGGGCGTCCTCGCAACCATTGTTGACCATCATCTGCGCTCGACTTCAGCCAAAGCTACTAGCTTGGTATGTACGGACTCGGAAAACTTACGTGCATGCTAGCTTGAGGGAAGATCGTCGCCTTGCCGGGAGTGAGTATCTCGGTGACGAGACGAGCACCGTTCTCCTCAAAAAGATAGGTCGACGTGTTGCCTTTCGTTGCAACCACGTAATTACTAGCTCGGGGGTGATAATGAGGAGGTAGCATGGCACAAGGACCAAGATTGAGCATTGCCACTACTAACAGTCAGCAGACCGATCGAAGAGTTTGCCCCAACAAGGCGCACTTACGTGTCATGCCGTTTCCCTTCGCAGCCGGAAATGTCGCAGCGTTCATGTTGATGACCCCACCAGGAGAGAAGGTATAGTAGGGCTGCTTGGTGAAGTCGAAGAGCCAGTCATCGTTGCTACCAAGGAGGGCCAAACGATCGAGCTGCGTAGCGGCGGTGGTGAGGTTGGCGACAAGCTCCGGATTGCGGGTCACATCGACAGCGAGGACGGACGAGACAGCAAGCAGGAAGCTGCTGGTGATGGTAAGAGCGTGCATATTGATTGCTAAAGCGAGCGTCAAGCGACAGTAGAGAAGCGAATTCACCACAGGAGGCCGAGCAATGGAGTTGGAAGCTCTGAGATATGATCGAGACGAAGGACGAGTGTCTCAGATTGGTGACCGTCTCCTTGGACAAGCCAGGCCTTAAATACTTGCTGCTCCCTCAAACTTGCTTGCAAAGCAGCACAGGCTCGCCCTACCACAACCGCCTACCTACCACCTTAGTGCCCGTACGGCATAGGCTACTCTCGCGCGGTCATCGTTACCTTGTGTTTGCCCTACAAAGTTGACTGGTGTGGATGGCTGCCGAACAAGGACCGGGTCACGAATAGCTTAGATTGGAGCATACTACACTAACCACGGGCCAACACCGCCCCAGCCCGTGCAATAGTCTAGTAGGCATGTCCGCCAAGCATCGTGGAATCCTGCGTGCGATCCTTGCAATTTGCGAATCCGGCAACGCGTAAGAGGTGTCGCGGGGCCTGAACTTATGTGCTTATGACACGACTGTTCGACGTCGAAGCCTGTCGCTGACCGTCAGACCTGTCTGTAAGATTGGGATTGGTGGAAGGCAGTCCGTTCACAAGCGTAGTCCAGATAATGTCGATCAAGCAGCCGATGCGCAGTGCAGGCGGCACCTACCACCTGTCCAGGCAGTAAAGCTAATGACAAAGGGATCAACAAGGCTGACTCGACCACGTTGTTGGCGGCGTCTGCCTTTCGCAATGTGGGTAATGCAACTGTGGCTGCAGCAATAAGCATCCAGTCAGACTGTACGGATCAACAGGTACCACTGCAATCTCAGTGATGCCTAGTCCTGCCGCTGTAGGGTTTCAGGATGAATTATGTCATGTTCCGCCTTCTCAACGGCGACGTTGTGCCGTCAAACTGTCACCCTCCCGACGGTGCCTCGGTCCGCTGCATGGCGGTGAGAAGCCACAGCTTCAGAAGACATGTGCTTGACATCTGCACCCTGCTTATTCCACATACATGGTCAGCGAGTTACTCTCCGCGTAGCTGTGCTCGCACTTCACGGCTCTCCCAAGCGTTGCCGGAGATGGCGAAGATACTGTGGAGTCATTTGGGGGCGAAGCGAGCCCACCATGCTCATGCTCAGCTCAGCCCCCATGCAAAGTGATCCTTTCGCATTTAGAACGGCAAGCAGGCCAACAACCCGCCAAGACAGCACGAGCACGCGTACAGCGCATCAGACTACTGCATAGCTGACTGCAATGTCCGGGCTGAGACAGGTTCGCAATCCCAATCAGTAGGAGTCCGACCTCGCTCGCAGTTCGCCGATAGATGTTCTCCAGGTCAATCGTGCCCAACGTGAGGTTGCCAGTATGCCGATTAGCTGGGACAAGCATCCACCCACAATCCAAAGACTCAAGCGAAGGCTCGGCTAGTGACAGAATAACAACAAGAACGTTCGCTCACGGAGCTGCAGTCCCACCCCTCAAGAACCCCCTACAACAGGCATGACCACATCATCTTCCGCCCCTTCTATCCGCTAAACCGGCAGCCGCCTCGTAGTGTCGCTTCTCCAAAGCCTGTCGAGTCGCCGTCGTCTTCTGGTAAGAAGAAGCCGTCTCGCAACAAGAGGCGGCTGGTGAACAACAATTGCGACCCGGCCGTCGTTTCAGGATTCCGCTCCCTCAACCAACGACCCGCCAAAATCCCCGTACTCTCGCAACCGTCGCGGCTCATCAGCACAACCTTACACCCCACGACAAGCGTTCCTCATGTACTCTGCGAAGTCTGCTCCGGCGTTCCGTATAACACTCACGTCATTGCTACCTCCGCGATCGTGCATTGCGCGCATGCCGTCCGCATCTCGATATCTCTCCGGATAATAGGCGGCGTAGACCACACCACTACGCCGCCGCTTTCTTAGTCCACGATACCGGTGGATTTCCAAGTCAAGGGAATCCTGTCGCCAAGAGTAACCGGCCGGACGACCTTTCGTGTCGTATCCGCCCAAATTTTAGACAGATTCCTACAAGTATCTTGCTCCCACCTCTTGTTGCCTCGTGCTTATAACAAGTCACACAACTATCAATTTTCTGCTTGGTGGTTGCCTGGATACCTCCCGACTGGCCCCGTCCCGAGACCAACGACTTGCAAGCCCTATGTCTCCGCAACATGATGGGCATAGCGGGCAGTACACTTTTAAGTTAAGGGGACGTGCCGATGAGTATAAACCTCCTTCTTCCCCGGACACCATACTCGTCTGCGTCATGTTGTTCACGAACCACTCATGCTCACCCTCGAGTCACGCCGACCAGGTTCCCGGTTAAGCACAAGCCTATCTGACCCATATCTCACCCCTACGCACGAGTGCACTTTTGTTCGGAGCAAACAGTAAAGTATTCATCTCCCTACCTACAAACTCTGGACTTACACCCGCCGACTATACCCCGCCAACCCTCCCCCACCGCCTCGTCTTCGCTCCCACCACTTCCTCCCCTCATCCACCCACAACACGAGACTCCCCATCGCCACCAACCCGCATAAATCCCCGACCCCCAACGCCTCCGTCTGAAACACGCGCTGCAACGGCGGGAAATACACCACCATCCCTTGCCCCACCAGACTCCCCAACACAGCATAATTGAACATGACATTTCCCCTCCCACTTTTACTACTTCCCCACCACCACCCGAGCGGGACTTCACCCAGGACGACGCTTTTGGTGGAGCTGCGGCAGGTGAGGGCGTTGAACATGTCGAAGATGACGAATTGGGTGAAGGTGAGGGTGGTGTCGCGCGCGCTGACGCTGTGCGCGGCCAGGTCTTCCGGGGTGAGGTTGCGGACGTAGGTGAAGAGGGTGCCCAGCAGGATGACGGCGGCGGATTGGAGGACACGTTTGATGAGTCGTGGGCTGAGGACGCGGGCGTGTCGGGGTCGCGGGGGCAGAGAGGTGAGCAGGGCTGGGTCGACGGGTTCCACGCCGAGGGATTGGGCGGGGGGGCCGTCCATTAGGATGTCTAACACATCATACTGTTAGCACAGCTGTCCCGTTGAAGGACAAGCATGTTATGGTTGGAGATAGGACTTACTAATCCAAAGGATCTGCATAGCATTCAACGGATTCCTCCACCCGCCCAACGTACTCATCATCACGAGCCCCAACGCCGCGACACTCGTGCTGAGCTGAAAGGTCAGGAAATTCTGGATGTTCCAAAAGATCCCCTTCCCTTCCTCGATCGCGCTCAATATCGTACTGAAATCGTCGTCCGTGAGGATCATATCGGCGGCTTCTTTCGCGACGTCCGTCCCCAACCGACCCATGGAGATGCCAATATCGGCCTTTTTAAGCGCGGGGGCGTCGTTCACACCATCGCCCGTCATGGCCACGACGTCCCCGCGACTTTGCAAGGCCCGGATGATTTTGAGTTTGTGGTCGGGACTCGTGCGGGCGAAAACAGTCACGCGGGGAATCTGCTCCGCCAACTCCGCTTCGGACATGGCGTCTAGCTGATCGCCTCGCAAGACGGGACTGCCCAACGCGGAGGAGAAGTTGAGGGGCATGCCAAGTTTCTTCGCGATGGCGAGGGCGGTGACTTCGGCATCGCCGGTGATCATGATGACTTTGACCCCGCTGGCCATGAGGCGGCGGATGCTGCGGTCGACGCCGGGGCGGGGCGGGTCGGACATGCCTACGAGGCCGGTGAAGGTTAGGGAGGTGTAGGTGTCGTCGTGGGTGGAGGATGCTGATCTGTCGCCGTTGACGGAGGCCGGGGTGGAGGCGCCGGAGCGGGTGGAGGATCGGGAGGGTGCGGTGGGTGTGCGTTCGGGTGTACGAACGGGTCCGGAGGCGAAGGAGAGCACGCGCAGGCCTTCTTCTGCCATTGTGTCGGCGGCTTCTTCGACGCGTCTGCGGGCTTTGTCGTCCAGTACGACTTCCTGTCCTTGAGCGTCGAGGTATCGATCACAGCGGCCCAGCACTCGCTCAAGCGCGCCTTTGATGTACGCCCGCTCCTCGCCGTCTTGGCCTTGGATCGCGACACCCATCCATTTCCGCTCGCTGGAGAAAGGGATCTCGTGCTTCCGCGCTCCAAGCTTCTCCCGTATATCATCCTCGCCAAAAGCGTCGAGTAAGTCGAGTAAAGCAACATCAGTCGGCTGACCAGCCCACCGACTCTTCGCCGCCGCCAATTCCTCCCCACTTCTTGTGCTCGCCAACACCGCCTGGGCCGCCGCCGACGACACGTGTCCCTGCGTCTGGACATGCGTGTTCAAACGGGCATTGTTGACAATATTCGCCGTTCTTAGAATTGCCTGCGTGATAGGCCCATTCGGTGCAGTCTTATGCACTTTACCCACCTCCTCCGGCGCATCGGATCCAAACCCCCACAGTTTGGTGACGGTCATGTGGTTGATCGTCAGCGTGCCGGTCTTGTCCGAGCACACCACGTTCACGCTGCCCAGCGTCTCCACACTGGGCAGTCGGCGTACGATCGCATTGCGCTTGCTCATGCGTAGTACGCCGAGGGCCAGCGTGACGGTGACGATGATGGGGAGACCTTCCGGTATCGCGGCTACGGCGAGAGAAACGCCGATTTGGAAGAGCTCGAGGAAGCGCAGGCCGCGCCAGAGCCCGACGAGCATGATCAGGCCGATGACGCCGAAGGACATGTAGCTCAGGTCCTTGCCCAGTCGATCCATAGATAGTTGCAGGGGTGTGCGTGGGGATTCAATCTCCTGCAGGCTTGCGCTGATTGCGCCAAACTCTGTCTCTCCGCCTGTGCCGATCACGATACCCTGGCCGTATCCTGTTCGTACTAATGTACCCATGAATGCGATGTTATGTTGCTCGTTCAATCGCAACTCACCGCCCATGCTGGGTGCGGAGAAGGGTGTGCTGATGCTGCCGTTCACCCCATGCTGTCCCGGGCTTAGTGTTTCCGCCGTCTTGCCAACCGGCTCATTCTCGCCCGTCAGATTACTCTCGTCTATGCTCAGGTCCGCGGAATGCGTGATGCGGATGTCAGCAGGTATGCGATCGCCCGTATGAAACAGCACCAAATCTCCCGTCACGAGCTGCGAGGCGGAGATGGTCGTGCTCGCCTTCTCCGCCGTGCCCAAGTCAGCCGTGCCAGGGCCATGCGGTGTGCCATTTGCTTGGGCCGATCCGTTCGGCCGACTGCTGGCGGTACTTCGTATAACATGCGCGCTATGCGGGACCAATTGGTTCAACGCCTCCAAGCTCTTCTCACTCCGGTACTCCTGCACGAATGCCACCGTCACCACGATCGTGACTGCCACCGCTATGCTCACCGCATCCTCGAAGTTGCCCATGATGGCGGAGATGGCGGCGCTTGCCAGTAATAACAGGATGAGCGTCTCCTGGAACTGCTTGACGAAGCGTAGCCACAACGCCTCCGGCTCCTCGCGGGGGAGCTCATTGGGTCCTTGCACGTGCAGGCGTGTGTTGGCGTCCGAGGGGTGCAGGCCATGGCTCAACGAGGTGGAATGTCGTTCTGCGACTTGCTCTGCGCTGAGTTGGGCGTGGATGGATGTCACCGACTGTTGGCCCGGTATCTTGACCCGTGACTTTGCGCGGGAGTGGCCGCGTTTGGGAGCATCCGCGGGAGGTTGTAGGCTCTGTGATGTGGCACGGGAGGGAGCATTGTTGCTCGGGTGGTAGAGAGGGAGGGCGTCTCGAGACATGTCTGTCTCGTGTCCATCAAGGCCAGCTTGCGACGACGTTCATCTGCTCATCGCGGAGACTGTGCCTATGCTAGCTGCCTGCTACAAGACAGGACCTCGCTATGCCTTCTGCTGAACTCGGAAAAGCGCTCCAAATGCGTTTAATGCAGGACTTCCAACGTGATTATATAATTCAGTCCCTGTGGCAGAAAGAACATTGAAGCCAATGAATGCGGCTGTCGTTCCTTCCCCGGACCCTCTGCAGCCAGCCACATCATCCGCGAACCTTCTTTTCCCACGCGACATTACATACACACATATGCCTGAGGCCACAATGCATGCCTCTCACACTAGCCACATTCGTTACCAGCCACCCCTCATCATCGACGGAATCGCGTTCGAGTTGCGACACAACTTGAACATCATGAACGTATACAGCAAGACATTGCCACGACATCTCTGCACGACATGTTCCATTCAACGCTGCTGACGACGGCATGATGCAAGTATATTAGTCGAATCATCTTGGGATCACGACGACAACCAACGACGCGTGCAAGGCGCAACAAAACAACGCGCTTCACGCTCGCCATTCCCCCTCACATCTTCCTACAACCAGCATCCATTGATCGCAACAACCTTCTGCTCGGCAGCAACGCGTGGGGAGCGCATCACCAATAACGCGCTCCAGGCTCGACATTGGCTGCACATTTCCATACAACCAGCGTCAAAGTGAGTCGAACAAGTCCCCGCTTGGCAGCGCAACACAACCGCCATCATGTTCTGGTCAGAAACACTCTTGGCTAGAAATGGCCCACTGGCAAGAGTGTGGCTCGCTTCGAATTTGGAGAAGAAGCTCAGCAAGCAGAACATCCTCACCGAGAAGATCGACATCAAAGTGCGCGACATCATCAACTCGCAAGATGCGCCCAAGTCGCTACGTCTGAGTGCGCAGCTACTCCTCGGCGTCGCGCGCATCTACTCCCGCAAGGCCAAGTACCTGATGGACGACTGCGCGGAAGCGCTGCTCAAGATCAAGATGGCCTTTCGGCCGGGGAATGTGGATCTGCCGAGCAATGAGAGCCACAAGGCGAATGCGGCCGCGTTGATCCTACCGGATACCATTACCGATTTGGATTTGTTCGCGCCGCTGCCCGATCCCGACGAACTACTGCGCGAGCCGGAGTCGAGAGGGCCGGGGAGAGATCCTACACTGCTGGACTTCGGCGCGAGTCAGCTCCTCCCGGACAGCCAGACACCGACGCGTCGGAAAGAGAAGAGCATGCTACTCGACGATGACGATCTGGGACTGGATCTCGGTCTCGAACCCGGCGAGGAACTCGTCCGATCCACACCCGCCGAAACAGAGCGCAGCATCGAAATCGGTCGCCGCGCAGCAACACCCCGTCGCGACGACCCCAGCATGCTTATGGACGACGACGACCTCGGGCTAGATTTAGGCCTGGATATCGGAGACAGCACCCTCCACGCCCCACCTCTCGACCTCGACGACGACGTGCCAATGCTAGGGATGGACGACGACAACCGCCCCTCCAACGACGCCGACATCGCCGCCGCGAACGCCGCAGCTCTCGCCCGTGTCGACGCCGCCACGGACAGACGACAGAGAGATAGCGCCTCCCCCCTCTCCACCATCGCCAGCGACGTCGAGCGAGATCTGGAAAAGACATTCCAACTCGATCGCAGCTTGGCCGCCGAGCAAGAAGAAGAGCCGGAAGAAGAGATGGTCCGCGCGGCCCACCGCGTCAAACGCCGCCGCATCATCCCCGCCGACGCCGAGACGGAACTCCACAACTCGCAAATCAAGCGGCAGCAAGAAGACCGCTCCGCCATCACCCGACCCCCTTCCTTCCTACCCCGCGATCCACTCCTCCTCCAATTAATGGAGATGCAGCGGAATGGCGAGTTCGTGAGTCATATCATGGGTGATGGTAGGATGCGGGGGTGGGCGCCGGAGTTGAGGGGGATCCTGTCGATCGAGGTGATACGGAAGTCGGGGGAGAGGAAGAGGAAGAGGGACAGTGGGGTTGCGGATGTGGATGTGGAGGTGGAGACGGGATCTGAAGGGCAAGCGACACCACGGCTTGAGTTGCCGCAGCAGGAAGAAGACGAGGGATTCCATGCCATGGACGGCGGGACGGGAGACTATGGCGGCGTGGACACGACACTACTTCACTCTGACGGCGCAGCACCCCCACAACTCATGTCGGACGGCCTCCAACCCGCTCCCTCAGACGCAGACGCCGCCGCCCCCGCCGCCACCGATGACGACGCCACCAACGCCCCCGCCTTCGAAACAACCGAAGCCCCGCTCCTCCACCCCTCCCACTCCGGCCCCATCTCCCTCGCCACCAAATCCGCCGTCTCCCTCCTGCGCTCCCACTTGGCGCCCGATCACCCGCCGGACGCGGGCGTGCCGCCCACCCCGTCCAAACGGGTCAAGGCGGAAGCGCTGTTCACGGATCTGTGCCCGGTCGCGACGACGAGGAAGGATGATGCGACGAAATTGTTCTTCGAGCTGTTGGTTTTGGGGACGCGGGATGCGGTCAAGGTTGAGCAGGAGGTGGGCGGGGGGATTGGGATGCCCATTCGGGTTCGGGGGAAGAGGGGGCTTTGGGAGGGGAATTGGGCGGCGGCGGAGAGGGAGGGGGTGCAGGTTGAGGGGGAGGGAGTCGAGGCTGCGTAGGAAGTTTAGGTCAAGTTCAGGATTGTGGGACCGGGTTTTGGGGAGAACAGTGGTAGTTGCTAACAGCGCTTTTGGGGCCTGAGCGACCTTCTTTTCGCCGGCAAGGTGTTTGGGGAAGCGTGGAGGAACGCAGTTGTTGTTACTCAGGCTTGATGACTCTTGGTTAAAGAGGTATTCTTGTGCTTGTACGATTACGGGGGGATGAGAATGTTGATCCCTTGAGGCTTTTCAGCTGCGAGTAAGGCTGCCTCTAAGGCCGACTGGGGTTGTGATTATCCTGATATCATGGCATTCATCACTCTGTTTGCACGAACCTCGTGGATGATCACTCGGCAACGCCCGGAGGCCCCTGGGCTGCGAGCAAAGTGCTACGACGAAATCGCACAAAGTTCCAGTCCCTCCGTCGTCTACATCTCCCAGCTCCTCGTACGTCCGCTGAGGCCAGTGCAAGTCGTCTTCATACTGAATTGATGGAAATTTGTCCTTCTGCTCGCTTGTCTGACATCGCGAAAACAATATGGCAATGCCGTGAGCAGCGTTCAAAAAGGCTGCGACAAGACAGCACGGTTTCGTACGAGTACTTCTATTCTCTTTTCATCTCTATCGTTCTTACAGCTCATCATGCCGCCCCACCCGCTCCGTTGGCCTCCCAAACTCCCTCCCCAAATCCACCCCGACCTTCTTCCGCCACTTCTCCCAAACCTGCCAAAACTCCTTCTCCATCCCGCCCTCCATCGCATCCGGCAGCACAACCACGTACTCGACATGCAAGTCGCCGAACGCGGGTCCCTGTCCCTCCTCATGCCGCCATATCGGCATCCCCTCACCCTTCACCACCTCCACCGTCCCCGGCTGGATGACTTGCCCTCGCGGGCGGAATAAGTGGACGACGTGGCCGTCGAGGTGCGTGAGATTGCGCGTCCAGTCGCCCATCCACGCTTCCCTCAGACTCAGCACCTCGCGCCAGTGGAGGTGCGTGTCCTTACGGCGGAAGAAAGTCCCGTCCGTTCGTTCGTGCTCTGCCACGCCCAACTCCGGATCCTTCTCCATGAGTAGCACTATCAGGTCGCCCGCGGCGTAATCCGGGCTCTCATCCGCCTCATTCTCATACGTCACGCGGATCCCCTTCGGCATCCCCTTCTCCACGGCCAGGTCGAACTGCTCCTCCGTCCTGACCACCCGACTGCCTCCGCATCGCTTACACTTATTCTTCACCGTGCTCCCCTTGCCGCCGCAAACATCACACTGCATCTGCGCCTGCTGGAAGATGCCCGGCGCGAGCTGGTGTCGTTGCACCACCATCCCCTGCCCGTTGCACTTGTGACACGTATCCCTCACGCCGTCTTCGCTGCCGCTCCCGTCGCATTTGTCGCAGATGGCCTGCTTCTCCACTTTGAACTCGTGGTCCGCGCCCGTGTAGAAATTGCGCAGCGGGACGTGGATGCGGACTTCCATGTTCGGGCCCCTGCGCTGCCCTTGCCCGAAATGTCCCCCACCGCCGAAGAACTGGCTGAACAGATCGAAGGGGTTATGTCGCGCCGCTCCGCCGCCTTGACGCCGCTGTTTCACCCCTTCGTGCCCGTGTTGGTTGTAGACCTGCCGTAATTCCTGATCGCTGAGGACGTCGTAGGCTTCGGCGATGTCTTTGAATTTCGCTTCTGCTTCCGAGTTGCCGGGGTTCTTGTCCGGGTGCCATTGTTTCGAGAGTTTGCGGTAGGCCTTTTTGATTTGCCGGTCGTCGGCGTCGCGGTCGAGGTTGAGGAGTTTGTAGTAGTCTTCTGCTGCGAGCGCGATCAGGGGAAGGACGCAGAGGAGGGCGAGGGCGGAGAAGAGGAGCATTTTGATTTTAGTGCGTGGTGGACATCAATGTGGTTTGTTGTGTGGTTGACTTGACTTGAGACGAAGTGGCACTTCTATCGCATCGTTGTATGTTATATTATTTCAAAGACCAACGCTATGCTGGTTTGACCTCGTTGTGGAGAATCGATGTGGGCAAATGTTATTGTCTCGTGCTTTCACATGATGCGGCTCGAGTTTGTCTCAGGTACAACCGAAGCTACAGCTGGCGACTTCACTAGCGTGTCTCGTAGGGCTGGAACGAGGATGCAAGGCACACGAGCTTCAACAAGGGAGACATCGATCCGCGAGAATGCTTTGATATGTATTGGTGCTACGCTGCCCCAACAGCCTCTTTATGCTTCCTCCAGTCAGGAGCGGGCATGCTCAACAGCCTGCAGACGTCCTTTCGTCTCCGCCTGAAGTCATCATACAACTCCTTCCATATCTCGCGTTCTCGGCAGGACGTAGCCCCGCCGTGCAGATTAGTACAGTTCGGCTGGATCTCTGCCAACGCGTCGTGCGGCCACATTACCCAAGGCTTCGGCAGCGGCCAGTCGGAGAAGTGCACGATTTTCGCCTCCTTGAGCACCCGGTCTGGATCCCATTCTGATGCGGCATCAGTCGGAGCGTTGATGGTACCGAGGTATGCCGCATGATTCTCGCGTCGGAACTCCGCACTCAGCAAAGCATACGGGCGGTGAGGCAGCACCATAGCTGATGCGCCGAAGCGGTGATTGAGCAGCTCCATGTCGTATTGCTTGGTGTGAGTTCGAGTCTGCTCAGACTCCATCCACCAGGATCGGAGCGTCGCGAGCATATGCTTGAACTCGGTGCGACTGGGTTGGAGTAGGATGAGCATGCTAGTAAGCGGCCACTTCTCTGGCGGACCATCACTCCAGTAGGCTCGAGGCATCGCTACGGCCGTGCTTGGAAGCAGGAAAAGCTCGTCCATGTGTTGGAGTAGAGTTACGTCGCTGTCGATGTGTAGCACGCGTTCGTACTCGGTGAGTTCGAATGCTCGTAGCTTCGTGATGGAAGTGTCCCATGTTGCGGTTTCGCCGCCAAGACCTTGCGTTGGCTCGCCGCGTTCGTCGAGTAGTTGCACTGGTCTTAAATTTACATGATACTTTCTCTGGGCTAGAGATAGCAAGTGTGCTTGACGGTCATCCGCTCCTTGAGCAAGAGATGCCCACTGCGGATTGTGTAGCAACACTCGCTGCGCTTTGCTTCCATGACGATGCAGGCTTTCGAACACCATCAACGCATTGCAAAGATTGTGCTCATCAGTGGCATATTGGACGTAGGCGTACTTTGACCAGTCGGTCCGTGTGAGACTCTGTGGCCAGCTCCAGTACAAGAGAAAGAGCAGAACAATCCCGATTAATGGTCCGTACCTTCGCGCTCTGCGCAAAGACCATGTAATGGTATTCTGCGCTTGTCGATGGACCGGCATGCCATAGTCGTCTTCATCTTTGTCGCTCCACCCAGCGCCTGGCATACTACGAAGTCTTTGCATTGTTGCGGCCATCAAATTGTGCTGTTACCAAGCTGCACGGTCATCCTGGGGCAGGAGCCGGCGCTCGGTTGCACTTGCACTCACCGGATAGCACTCACCAAACACCTTTTCTCGCTCCAATCACGCCCATACCAATGAAAGAGCACTCAATGTACGTCAGTCACGGCACTGTGCTCATGGCAGTGCAGCGGTAGTCGACCGGCTGCTTGAAAGGGTGAATCGGGGGGCAGAGACGCAGAAGCTTACATGCGATGCTTGAGTGGCTTAGCTCTACTCTCCCCAATCCTTCAGCGCAAAGTATGTCGGAAACGGGATAGCGTTGGCCTTCCTTGCTACCGATCTCTCGACCACAGCAACTTTTAGTGGAGCAAGAGTCCGTGGACAGGCGCAAGCACGCCTTCATCCGGTATGGGAAGCGCGCGCAACCTTCTTTGCGATATCAGCGTCGCAATGGCAGTGCTCAGATGCAGCAATGGACTGGTAGGTTATATGTAGGCTGTCGCAAGACTGAAGGTAGGTCTTTTTTTTACTACACCACAGCACCAGTGTATCACGACGAAGCAAAAGACGACCACGTTTCAGCTCCCGAAACATACCTCATACATACATCGGATTATCACACTCACCCTGTATCGCACCAAAAATGCTCGCTCCCACCGGAGACTTGGCCGCAGTGGAAATTGCATTCTTCTCCCTGGCGTTCACCGTCTCTCTCTTCGTTGTTATCCGACATGGCTTCCGCAGAGAGCTAGGTTGGATCTACCTCCTCATCCTTTCGCTACTCAGACTCATCGGCGGCTCCGTTACCCTCTACATGCAAGTCAACCATGACTACAACAAAAGCCTGATTACCACCGCCACCATCACCTCGGCGGTAGGCACCTCAGTAAGCACACAAACATGACATCCCCACAAGGCAAACCAGACTAACACCTACGGCAGCCTCTCCTACTCGCGACAATGGGCTTTCTCCAGCGCATCAGCGAGGGCATGGAGCCGCATGGAGTTACGAAGCAGCTCTTCCGACCACTTCATATCGTCTCGCTCGGCGCTCTCATCATCGCCATCATTGGAGGCACGGATCGCAGCAGCAGCGATCCCAACACGATGCAGACTGGCAAAGACCTCGCTGAAGCCGCTAGCATCCTCTTCCTCGCCATTCTGGTTGGGTTAGGGGGTATTGTCGCTCAGAACATCATGAACCTTCGCTTCGTGCTCAGCTCCGAGAAGAATCTGCTTCGCGCCGCAGTCGTCGCGCTTCCGTTCCTTCTGGTCCGAGTCATATATACCGTGGCTTCATCGTTCTCTGGTCCAGGCAGTCCGTTCTACTATCGCGACGAGAATGTGTACCTCCAAGCCTTTATGCAGTTCTTGATGGAGGCTATTATTGTGACAATCTTCATCGCTGCTGGACTGCTTACGCCAAAAGCCGAAATCAAGACCGGCAACTATGACCTTGAAAGTGCAAGGTCGAAGTCTGCTGTTGGACACCAGCCTGATATGGCCGGTAACCGGCCTTCGAGGCCACAATGGCAGCCGCAAAGTGTTGGTGACTACAGGCCAAGTCGGCTAATCAGGAATGCTCTTCAATCGAGATAAGTGACGAGATGGGAGAGCGCCAGGTTAATAAGGGCGGTGTGTTCGTCGGGCGGTATCATGACTTTTGGGATTCGAGCATGGCGTTGCCGGGTAGAGAGGTCAGCAGATATTCCGTAATGCATGTTGTGTGGCATCTCAGCATGTCAAGACATCCAACCCTGAGCGGGCACCAACTCGGAAGCCCATACTCATGCACTGTCATCGTCGCCACTGTCACCGAAGTCGATCAAACCTTTCGGCCTAAGGCGCTTCGGCGGTGCGGCGGTCTTCCCATCGTCCTCATCCTCGTCATCGCTACCTTTCTGGCCCCAACGGTCATTGAACTCCTTTACATTCTCGAGATCGGCCGCCAGCTCTCTGGCTTCTTTGATCTGCTTCGCTTTCTCTACGCTATAGCGACCCTTCATACCGACGTCTTCAAGCATACCCTTCAAGTGCTTGATCTTCCCATTCGCCGTGTCGAATGGCTTGAGCTCTTTGCCCCAGACTTTACGGATGCCGCATTTCACGAGCCAGCCTTGTAAACGCTTGATCTCTTCCTCGTCAGGCGAGACCTCTTTCTCGGCTTTGGGCGCCTTTTTGGGCTTGGACCTGGTATCTGAAGGTGAGGTGGACTTCTTCTGCCGCTTCTTCTTGGCTGGGACTGGCTCGTCTAACACCGAAGATAGCTCGCTTTCTTCGGCCTCTCCAGTAACACCATTGACGTTCACGCGTGGCTGTGCTTCTGGTCTCCTCTCCCGTGACTCATCGTGAGCCTTGTATTGCGCGACGGGCTTCTCATCATCGTCATCGCTCTCGGGAATACTTGCGGGAGGCTTTGTGCTGTTACCGTTCCTCTCAGCCTCTGCAATAACACGTGGCTCTGCATCTTCGTCTGCATCGCTCTCGTCGATGACATTCTCACTCGACCCTTTCCGTTTTTTCCGCTTCCCGGATTCTACTTCGCTGGATTTGCGCTTCTTAGGAGCTTTTGCTTGGGGCTTTACATCCAGCTTCCGAGGGGTCTTCTTCGCCTTCTCCGGCGATGGAGGGTCATTGAAGGCGATGGAGATGATCTCTTTACTCCTTTGCTTCCATGTCGCGTCGTCCTTGAAAAAGTCGATCCCAAGTCCAAGCTCAGCTTCAGCACGTGAGCGCGCAATATTGGTCGAGATCTCTTCATCGGCTTTGAGCGCGTTCCGTACAATTCTTCGTAGGCATTGTTCAATCTCGGTATCCGGAGGCAGGGTTCCCGGTGTCGACAGCCCCGAGTCAGACATCGCCGCAATCAATATACCATTCTCCAGCCATGCGCGTCAATGGTCAACACAGAACCGCGATCCGCAGTTTCTACCCCGCATGAACCGCGGATGTCGGTCAAATTGGGCTTAGCGTTCGTCGCGGCTTCGGAAAGTCTGCCGTGAAGGACGACCGAGGGGATCGTTGGTTGACTCAGGCTAAAGGTAGACCTAACGGAGCGTTTGTCATGCATATCAAACTCTCCTGTGAACGGCGATCCCCTTCGCATAGCATCTTCGGTTCACATCGCAGGGCTTCGTACATGAACATCTATAGCGCTGTCTCCAGGGAGCCGAGCCATTGGGACGCTAACCGCCAACGTCATGGGTGCGTAGCGGAAAGGCCCGTCTTCCTTGTTTTCACGTTGCATCAGGCCTGCGTAACTTGCTCGAAGTTGCTGGAATTGCCTATAGCAGAGACTCTGCCAACCCTGACTTTGTCAGAAGCACCATCACTGCTTTCTCTCTTGGCGTAGGTTGCCCTTGCACAATATCTGCGCCGTTAACGCCTTTTGGATATCCCGGCTTCGTCCATTGTGATCGTTGATGTGAAGTGCTGGCTTCGTCCGCTTGCCCTTCACTTCGGTCGCCAGTGAAACATTTACGACCACGAGTCTTGACTCATCTAGGCGCAGCAGTGGCATTGGGAGTCTGGCAAACGGCATCAGCAAAGCAGTGAAAGACACGATTACCTGACACAAAGGGTTAGCGAAGTTTGCACAAGCCTGCAACGAGCTCCTTCCCCGTGCAACGTGCCTGCCGACTGCGAGCTTGTGATCACTGCGGGCCGCGTCCGTTCACAAACTTGGCGCTGAACAACACTTGGTAAGTCCGCGAAGATTCTTCACTGCAAACACCCAGGCGACGCAGCACATCCACAAGGCTCCCGGTTGTCGCTCTCTGAAACTCTATTTCCTACGTACCTACCACAGTTTTATACAGCTTCGAGAACTTCATACAGCCACGGCCGCCTCGACATGGAGACCTCTGGCGACTCATCGTTGCGCAAGATGCACGCCAAGTCCTTTTCACATGGTGACTTGCGGCTAGAGCCACTACTAGGTACCCTTGCCTCACGCTTACGACGATTTCGGTTTGCGAACCTTGATGAACGCGTGCTAACTGCGTTCTCGATAGACAAGCGTGTGCCCGACATGCCTGCCACGCAGGAAGGGAAGCCTTCACCTAAGGGGCGTCTACTTCTGATCTCGAATCGGCTGCCTATCACGATCAAGCGCTCCGAAGAAGGCAACTATGACTTCTCCATGTCTTCTGGCGGTCTGGTGTCTGGTCTCTCCGGTCTGAAGAAGACTACCCAGTTCCAATGGTATGGCTGGCCAGGTGTGCAGCTACCGGAGAATGAGATCCCGCACGTCAAGGAGAGACTGCTCGACGAGTTCTCGGCCAGACCGATTTTTATGCCCGATGAGCTCGCCGATCGCCACTACAACGGCTTCTCGAATTCCATCCTTTGGCCACTCTTCCACTATCATCCAGGCGAGATCACGTTCGACGAGAACGCATGGGAGGGTTATGCGGAGGCCAACCAGCTCTTTGCGAAAGAGATTGCTCGTGACGTACAAGACAATGACCTTGTCTGGGTCCACGACTATCACCTCATGCTCTTACCGATGATGCTGCGGAAGGAGCTTTCGAAGCAAGAGCACCCGCCCAGCAACGTCAAGTTCGGCTTCTTCCTGCACACACCATTCCCATCGTCGGAGATCTACCGTATCCTGCCAGTGCGAAACGAGATCTTAGAAGGCGTGCTGCAGTGCGATCTGATCGGCTTCCATACCTACGACTATGCGCGGCACTTCCTTTCTTCGTGTTCGCGTATTCTTGGCCTACCCACAACGCCAAACGGTGTCGAATTCCAGGGCAAGCTTGTCTCCGTTGGCGCTTTCCCAATTGGCATTGACCCGGAGAAGTTTCACCAAGGCCTCGAAAAGGAGAGCGTCAAGCGTCGAATCGAGACTCTCGAGAAGCGATTCGAGGGCATGAAGATCGTTGTCGGCGTGGACCGTCTCGACTACATCAAGGGCATGCCGCAGAAGTTGCACGCTCTTGAAGTCTTCCTCACCGAGCACCCCGAGTGGATTGGCAAGGTTGTACTCGTCCAAGTTGCGGTGCCCTCCCGTCAAGATGTCGAGGAGTACCAGAATTTGCGTGCTGTCGTCAATGAGCTTGTCGGCCGCATCAACGGCAAGTTCGGCACGATCGAATTCACGCCGATCCACTTTCTTCACAAGTCCGTCAGCTTCGAGGAGCTGATTGCGCTATATGCTGTCTCGGATGTCTGCCTCGTCACCTCGACCAGAGACGGCATGAATCTCGTATCGTATGAATACATTGCCTGCCAGGAGAAGCGGCGCGGCGTGATGATACTCTCCGAGTTCGCAGGTGCCGCGCAGTCGCTTAACGGGTCGCTGGTGGTGAATCCATGGAACACCGAAGAGCTGGCCGACGCAATCCACGACTCAGTCACTATGGGTGACGAGCAACGTGCAATCAATTACCAGAAGATGGCTCGCTACGTCAACAAATATACATCGGCATGGTGGGGCGAGACGTTTGTCACGGAGCTTACGAAGATCAGTGAGCAAGCGGAAAAGAAGTTGAAGGTCCGGAAGCAGTCACTCATGGACCCGGCGTCTACTGCGAATGCGAACGAAGTTCCAGTCAAGGAAGATTCAAGTGCACCGAGCCCGATGAAGCTGACCACAGGACCAAGTGCCACGCAACAATCAGGGTAAGGTCTAGGAGTGCGCTCGGTTTGCTCCATGGTATGGTCATGTTACTAGGCGCAGGACTGACAGAAAGCATCACATAGGCAAAGTGGAGATGGCGGTATCTCAAACGATGAAGGCTTCGTGTTGAGGCTACCCCTCAGGTCGAGAGCGCAGTCATCGTCGATAGATTCAGCGACTGCACGCTGACACGGTAGCGATTCCGGGACTAAGCTGTGAAAAAGTTGTGAAAATCAATTGCAGCGACGAGCGTCGCGTTGTGTCATAGAAGGGTAGTTGCTGCGGTGTGTATAGTGGTACGTCAAAGTGCTAAGGATGGTGTCGTTTTCTCATAGAAAGTCCTAGCGTCTCAGGGCTTACATGTCTAATGCCGAGGTAAGTCAATATAAGCGCGAAGTGATCAACCGCGTGTCAGCGCTGTCAATGCATGCAGCACACATGTATTGCCTGCGTTGCGGCAAGCTTGAATGCAGGCCAAGCGCGACGAATATGCATTGGCATCATCCTTGCACTTGCTGTCGGGTATTTTAGCCGACCAATGAGTAGTGCACGCCGTTCTTTCACGACGGACACCTCGACAGCGATGGTTATGCGCAACGTGTCCGCCATCTTCACCGCCTGTATGGCGTCGTGGTCGTCGGTCGTGGAGACATAATTTCTTGACGCCCGTACTCACCGCTACGGCGTCAGATCGAACTTAGTGAATGCCTCGGCCTTCATGGGCCCACTACTCGACACGATATAGTCAAAGTAGGTTGTAAAGACAGACACATGCCGCGAGCAATGAATGGCATGAGCAATGACGCTTCGACGTCGTAGGGCTGCAGCTTTCGTTCTATTTGCTTGTGCAACATTCGCCGCAACCATCATTTCCATCAACGCCACGACTACCTGCCATCTCCACTTCATGCATTGGGTTGTTCTAGCGCGCATATGCTGGCAGGCGTTGAGGCACAGTCCATGCTGTTTCATCGTCTAGCGAGCACACGTCCCGCCCCCTTGACACATCTCTCGGAGCAGCGGCAGTGACCGCACTACGACGGTTTGACCTCACTCTGCACAAGGGCCACGGCAGTTGGGAGCATCTCGACGCTCCTGGAAGCACTACCGAGACGCTAGCATGATTCGGTCAAGTAATGCTTGGGCAGCATGTCTCGGTCGAGGGTACTGACTTCGAGGAACCTCCTGCCCTATACGGTTACGACGTCGACACCTCGTACCCTGCCATTCAACGTCTGCAACCTTATGCATGCAGCAGCGGCCTGAGCGACCAATCCGAAGATATTCCAAAGATGCCCTGAACGCATTGCTCAATCACGGGTTGCCGGTACGTCCTTCTTACAGCTTCTTCGGCGACGTGTGCGACCACACTGTTGTGAGCACCGGGCTCCACTGGCGCTTTCTTCCCTTGTGGCCAAGCAGCCATGACCATGGCTTTGAGTAAGCACCGGAGCCATGTGGAAAGTCGCTACTCATGCTCCTGCAGTTTACATGGCGATCCATGATTCCGTAACTTCCGACGAATCAGCAGTCAGTCACCCTTGTACACAGAAAAGTCTGGTAGACAACCGTAGTGTCCCGTATGCGCTCTCACCGTCTAACAGCTGATGTCCCCCGAGCTGCTGTGTTCCTCGTTCCCTTCACACGCAGCGATTAAGGCATTGTATGATTGAGTGACCAACGCAATGGAAACAGGACGCTCAACCCAGCCGGCTCTGAGACCGCCACCTTACGCTCCAGCGCAAGAAAAGAAGGATCCGGCCACGTCAAGCGGCAGGCCTGCTATGGCAACGATAGAAGATGATGATGAGAGATTGTTGGCGCGCATTGGCTACAAGCAGGTGGGTTGCGCACTACAGTGCCAACTGATCTCGCTTATGGTTCCTAGGAGTTGCGCCGAGAGTTCACCAAGTGGTCCACGGTCTCGTACGCCATCAGCATTCTTGGAGTACTCGGATCGCAACCGGCGACGTATGGTGTGCCGATCAGTCTCGGTGGACCAGCGACGGCAGTATGGACTTGGTTCATTGGCTCAGTCATGGCTATGGTGATTGCGAGTTGTGTCGCAGAGCTAGTCTCCGCGTACCCGACAGCAGGTGGCATGTACTTCGTCACGAAGCATGTTGTCCCAGAAAAGCATGTCGCGATCTGGGCATGGACGATCGGTTGGTGCAATTTCCTAGGGCAAGCTACTGGCGTTGCTTCGCTTGCATATACTATCGGTCAGATGATCCTGGCAGGCGCAAGTATGAACTCTGGCTACGCAGACGGAACCTATGCCTACTCGCCTACGCCGGCACAGACGGTGTTGGTTGCTATACTGACGCTCCTTGTCTTTGGCTCCATCTGCTCGTTAACGACGAAGGCATTGCATCGGATCGTGCTTTGGTTTGCACCCATCAACATCCTAGCGACCATTAGCATCTGTATTGCCCTGCTTGTACTGACGCCGGACAAACGCAGCGCAAGGTTTGTGTTTACCGATATCGAAGACTACTCAGGATGGGGCAGCAAGGGCTTCTCATTCTTGCTCGGCTTCCTGAACGTTGCGTGGGTGATGACAGACTACGACGGGACCACGCATATGTCCGAGGAGACCCACGACGCTGCCATACGCGGGCCACTGGCGATCAGGCTTGCAGTGCTTGTGTCCGGGATACTAGGCTGGGTCCTGAACATCACCTTTACCTTCTGCCTCACTCCAAACTACATGGAAGATATCGTCAAATCGCCAACTGGTCTTCCTATTGCGCAGATCTTCCTCAACGCTGGCGGCAAGAGCGGAGGCTCTGCAATGTTGTTTTTCGTCATCCTGGTCCAATTCTTCACCGGTGCATCTGCTCTGCTCGCCAACGCGCGCATGACTTACGCTTTCGCTCGCGACGAAGCGTTGCCGTTCTCCGGCTTTTGGAGTAAGGTCAACAAGACGACGGGCACGCCAGTCAACGCCGTGTGGCTGGTCGTGATATTCTGCTGCATCCTCAACCTCATAGGCATTGGATCTACTGAGACGATTTACGCAATCTTCAACCTCTGTGCGCCTTGCTTGGATTTAAGCTATGTTGCCGTGCTGTTCGCGCACCTAGTTTATGGCAATCACAGTCAGGTCCGCTTCATCGAAGGACCCTTTACGCTCGGCCGCTGGAGCAAGCCTTTGAATATCTTGGCGATCAGTTGGGTCCTCTTCATCAGCGTGGTACTGTTCTTCCCAACAACAAGGCCAGTGACTGCGACCAACATGAACTACGCTATCGTCGTCGCTGGCTTTGTCGGCCTGTTCTCGTTCGGATGGTGGTGGGCTGGTGCTGGTCGCAAGTACACGGGTCCTCGGACACAAGACATTATGGAGATTGTTGCCACGACCGAGCCGGACGATTACGCTTGAGCAACCAACTCTCGTGTCTCGAAGATGGCAAACACACGATCCGCGGCCAGAACATATTTTCGGTTTTTGACCTCATGTTAGGGTCATCTACGCATGCAACAGCGGCGTACCCACCTTATTCAAGTCAGCAACGTGGCCAGAGTTTTCGGATGACTTGATCGCCTGCACTCGCAATTCGGCACATATGCTCCTGCAGCGTATTCGGTCGGTGCACGTTGTCAAATCCATGTGCTTCCCAACTCAGCGGCAAGGGTGCGCTACAATGAGAGGCTCCACATCTCGATGTGCAGTCTCCCTGAAATAAATGTTCATCAGCTGGCACGGCTCGATACGGGATGCTTGTCCTCTACTGAAGCATCTGCTCTGTCGGGTACGCAGCGCTAGGCCGCTTAGGGCACGAAACTCACCGAAGGGGTCAAAGCGTCATGGTAGTGAAACCTTCATTGCAGGCCACTAAGATAGAACAGATAGAATGTAGATGTAGACATGAACGCGCACAATGTCGCGCGCTTCAATCGAGCTCGAGACTGTCAACAAACCCGAACCTGCGTTCACCGCAAAGGCAAGCCAAGCCTCCAAATATACTGCTCCTTCTATCGTAAGCGACCATGATGGGATCCCATTGCGGCCACTTGAGCGTACAATTACCGTTACCTCCAACAGCAGGACAGCAGTCATTATTACCGCAGTGACGCTCATTACGGCCATCAGTACGCTTCTTAATGGTGTCACTACAGTCGCCCTGCCGACTATGGCACGGGAGCTTTCTATCCCGGACGCTCTACTGTTTTGGCCGTCGTCGATACAGGCACTTACGAACGGCTGCACCTTGTTACTCTCCGGCACTATCACCGATGCACTGGGAAGCAGGTTCATGTACCTCGTAGGTTGCGTCCTGCAAGCTGGGTTCATCCTTGGATGCGGACTATCGCGGAACGCAACGCAGATCATTATCTTCCGTGGACTCAGCGGCGTTGCCATCAGTCTATGCCTACCAAGCGCGGTAAGCATCATTACGAGCTCGTTCGTTGGCAAGCGACGCGATATGGCGTTTGCATCTATGGGTGGTGGGCAACCGATCGGGTTCAGTATTGGCTTGGTGCTCGGTGGTGTACTCACGCAGACAATTGGATGGCGTTGGGCCTTCCATTTGTCTGCTCTCCTTGACGTTCTAGTGTTCTTCATTGCACTATGGGGCTTGCCCAAGGAGATTGACAACCCTCCCAATACGGACGGCGGCCCAGCAACTTCTAATTGGGCTCAGAAGCTGGAGAGACTGCGAACGGAAATTGACTGGGTAGGCGCTGTCATTGCAAGTTCGAGTCTGGCGATGTTGTCATATGCCATGGCAGCCCTTACCGGAAGTACAGCAGATATCAAGCAACCAGCGACAATGGCTCTGCTAAGCGTAGCTATCGCGCTGATACCTGGGTTCGTGTTCTGGGTGGCCAGGCAAGAGAAGCTGGGTAACCCTGCACTCATTCCAAACACCCTCTGGCGGAACAAGGTCTTCACCACTATCTGTGTCGCTGTCTTCCTGACATGGGGCAGTTTCAATGCGTTGGAGCAGATACTTACCTTCTACTTCCAGTATGTGCAGGGTCTCAACCCAATACAAGCGTCTATTCGCTTCCTGCCTGCGCCAGTGTCCGGAGCGCTGTCCAACATAGCGATAGGGTTGATCGTACACCGCGTGCAAGCCAACTACCTTGTCTTGGGAGGCTGCATTCTAAGCATTGTCGCGCCTTTGGTTATGGTAGCTGCAACGCCATACTCAAACTACTGGGCTACTGGTAAGTACAATGCAGCGCAGCACCTTAGTGTCAGCCGACTAATGCACCTTTGCAGGCTTTCTTGCAAACGTTTTCAACCCACTTGGCGCGGACAGCCTGTTCACGATCTCGAATTTACTGATCACGTCTGTCTTTCCTGCCAAGACTCAAGCGCTTGCCGGCGGCGTTTTCAACACAGTCTCGCAGATTGGAAAGTCTGTGGGTCTGGCACTCGTAGCAGTCATCGCCTCCTCGATAACCGCACGCTCGCCATACGCAGATAAGCGGAGTCCTGAAGCGCTGATGCAAGGCTATCGAGCGACTTTCTGGTTTGTTTTCGCTTGCATCTTTGCAACGGTAGTGATATGCCTCTGGGGGCTTCGATCAATTGGCAAAGTAGGTCACAAGCGTGAATGAGCTCTTATACAGATAGTGTGTACACTTCATGCTTCGTACATAGCATCTTCAGAAGTCCCATCAAACCGGAATGTGGGAAATATAATTACTATGCACAACGATGAAGAAGACGTCCATAAAGAGGCTCTCCGAATTGATTCTTGGGATGCTATTTTGACGTGTCTTCATTCCACTCTTCTCTCTTAAGTCGAGGCCGTTCTGTACTACGTGCCTTAGGCACACAACCCTCTGGCCGAGCATTGTGATTGACGTTGCATCTGCACCATGGCATTGTGAATTCCATGCACCAACGCAACGAATACTCAAAGCCTGTCGTATCAAACAGAACGCCCTGGTCAAGAGTCTCGTGACCGACAGGCTTTACTGTAAGGAAGCGCTCGACATGTGGACGAGGTCTCAATGCTACTGAGCGTTCCATTCCCCGCCATCAGCTTTACGCCTGTAACAACTTACAGCACTAGCGGACGGAGGCGTTAAGATTCTTGCTTACCTAGAGAATGGCAACACCGCAAGCACCGTACGAGGATGGTGCGCCGGATCCGGAAGGTGGTCAGTACAATGGATCATACGAGGAGCAGCAGCAGCAGCAAAACCAATCTGCGCCGGCAGCAGGGCCTGGCGGGAAGAAGAAACGCGATCGGTATGCAGGTCAGGCCTATGAATTTGGCGCTGGCACAAATTCCGGGTTAGGAGGACAGCAGGCAGGAGGTGCTCCTCCGCTCCAAGGCCAATCACCCGCTGCAGCCGGAGGATATGGGTACCCGGGCCAGCAACCTGCCCAGCCTTCGTACGGTATGCCGCAGCAACCTCAGTACAATGACCCGAACGTGCAGCAAGCGGGGGTACAGTCGCCATACGCACAGCCTCAATATGGCACGCCTCAGGATGGATACCAGCCGCCACAACAACCGCAGCCGCCCGCCTTCTCAGCACAGGGAGCTGCAAACATGCTGCAGCAAGGCGTACAGGGTGTGACGCAGCAGTTCTCGCAGATTGGCCTTGGAGGCGGCACTCCGGCACCACAGCCCGCGCAGCAACCGCAGTCTCAAGTGCGCCTTAACCCTCTCCAGCCCGTCGACATAAGCCCGCAAGGCCAACCCTTCCATGTCGCTGATCTAGATCAACCGCCACCTCCGATTATACTCCCACCGAACGTAAGTATAACGGTGTTCTTCGAGTCTGACGTGCTTTCTGACATGATGTACAGTCGTCCGTCACACCTTCACCGCACGCCAACTGCCCACCGAAATATGTCCGCTCTACACTGAACGCCATGCCTACCACCTCATCACTTCTCAAGAAGAGCAGGCTGCCTTTTGCGCTCATAATCCAGCCGTATGCGAGCCTTCATGATGCGGAAGACGACGTGCCAGTCCAATACGATCAAGTCATTGCGCGATGCAGAAGATGTCGCACGTACATCAACCCATTCGCCAGCTTCCTCGACCATTCACATAGATGGCGGTGTAACATGTGCAACCTCACAAACGACGTACCGCAGGCCTTTGATTGGGACAGCGCAAAGCAGCAGTCAGTGGATCGGTGGCAAAGACCCGAGCTTAATTACTCAGTCAGCGAATTCGTTGCGCCCCAAGAGTACATGGTGAGAGCGCCTCAACCGCTCATCTACCTCTTCCTTTTCGACGTTAGCTACGCCGGAGTGAGCTGCGGTCTATTGGCTACTGCCGCACGTTGCGTGCTGGAAAGCCTGGACCGGATACCGAACACCGATCGGAGGACGCGCCTTGGCTTTATGGCCGTCGATAGCTCACTGCACTACTTCCAGATTCCTCGAGATGGGAGTGAAAGCAACGAGGCGAGGATGCTTGTGGTCAGCGACCTGGACGAGCCTTTTCTGCCTACGCCCGAAGACTTACTGGTGAACCTTTCTGAGTGCCGAACCAACGTTGAGACCTTCCTTGAGAAGCTGCAGAGCATGTTTGCGAACACCACCAACGGGAGCTCTGCTATGGGTTCTGCATTACGAGCCGGCCACAAGCTCATCAGCCATGTTGGTGGTAAAGTTGTCGTCCTTTCGGCGAGCCTCCCGAACATCGGCCATGGCCAGCTTACTATGCGCGAGGACAAAAAGCTGCTCGGCACATCGAAGGAAAGCAGCCTTTTGCAAACACAGTCCGCCTTCTACAAGAGCTTTGCAGTAGAGTGCAGCAAAACGCAAGTCTCGATTGACATGTTCCTGTTTAGCTCGCAATACCAGGACGTAGCGTCACTTAGTAATCTCCCAAGATATACCGGCGGTCAGACTTACTTCTATCCTGCATGGAACGCCGCAAGGACCGAGGATGCCATCAAGTTTGCGACCGAGTTTAGCGACTACCTGTCCGCTGAAATTGGCCTCGAAGCCGTTCTGCGTGTACGAACCACAACCGGCCTCCGACCCAGTGCTTTCTACGGCAACTTCTTCAATCGCAGCAGCGATCTTTGCGCATTTCCGGCGATGCCGCGCGACCAGGCGTATGTGGTGGAGATCGCGATTGATGAGACGGTCAGCAAGGCGTTTGCGTGCTTGCAGGTTGGTGTGCTTCACACGACTTGCAATGGTGAGCGGAGGATCCGGGTCTTGACGCTCAGTATACCGACGACACAGAACCTAGCGGATGTATATGCATCCGCGGACCAGCAGGCCATCACCACCTACTTCTCGCACAAAGCGGTCGAGCGAGCACTGTCGTCTGGTCTGGACGCTGCGAGAGACGCCGTTCAAGCCAAGGTCATCGAGCTGCTACAAACGTACAAAAAAGAACTTGGCGGTGGCAACATGGGTGGCGGTGGGCTGCAGTTCCCGGCCAATTTGCGCGGCTTGCCCATGCTCTTTCTCGGTCTGATGAAGAATGTAAGAAGCGTCCCAATGTGTTGGATCTGTACGGAAAGGCTGATTTTGTCATCTAGCTTGGCCTGCGAAAGTCGGCGCAAATACCGACGGATTTGCGCTCTGCGGCTCTATGCCTGCTGTCAACGCTGCCCTTGCCGCTGCTAATGCAGTACATCTACCCACGTCTCTACAGCCTTCATGACATGCCGGACGACGCCGGTTTACCGCACGCAGAGACTGGGGCGATCGTCATGCCGCCAGCGCTCAACCTTAGCTCAGGAAACCTTGTGCCTTTCGGGCTTTACCTCATCGATGACGGGCAGACCCAGTTCCTATGGCTCGGTCGGGATGCTGTACCGGCACTTATCAATGACGTATTCGGCATGGAGGACAAGAACCAGCTTAAGCAGGGCAAGACCTCACTGCCTGTGCTCGACGGTGATATGAACGAAAGGGTGCGGGCGGTGGTGGAGAAGTCGGCGGATCACAGAGGCAAGGGTTGTGGAAGCATTACGCGGCCACCGCTGTACCTCATTCGCGAGGACGGAGAGCCCAGCTTGAGGCTATGGGCGCAGACGATGTTGGTGGAGGATAGGGCGGATCAGGGCGTTAGTGGAGCGCAGTTCCTGGGCATGCTTAGGGAGAAGGTCCTCTCGTAAGCGTCTCGGGCAGAAACCGCTACACAGGCAATACTTGGGCACTTTGAGTCGCTACAGCATCTTTAATGCACCTTCGGTTTAAAGACCTGTGTCATGGCCGGGCTCGGCGTAGCGTGAAACAGGCTACATGCGGCTCCAACGTTTCGTTCGTGCACGGACCGCATGCGGAAGACGGGAGGCGCAGAATGGCTGTCTTGGCTTTGAGCTTCAAATGTATAAAGCTGCTGTGCTTTCCCCGCGATGCGCCGCGCGTGAGCCGCATACCGGACACGCATTGACGATACAACCACGAACACAAATACCTTCCCACTTGGAGCTCGTATCAGTTGCCGAGTACTGAGAACCTCTTTCCAGCGGTTGAGCGTGCCGCGGACAGCTTGGATTCTGCTCACGCGACTTCATCAACAACAAATCCCTGGCCAGACTTCACTGTTGTTCACCTACCTCTGTGCATAGCACCTGGCAGTAGTCATGCGATTCCTTCGTAGATGAAAGTGCCTCTTGCATGTCATGTAGCGTTGAACCAATCAAATCATATCCATCTTTCCATCACCCTGCCTCTCACCACTGCAACCCTACCATGTGATCTGGTGGACGATCCAACTCAATGCGCCTATACACTCCTGCCGGCCTCAAATACCCGATCAGGGTCACAAAGGTGCTCGTCGGCCGAGATGACGACATCGAGACCAATTCGCCATTGTTCCGCTACAGCTACACAACGGTCATCGAGGTCAACGACCCCGATACGCGAGAATACAAAAAGCAGGAGACGAACTTCTATGCCGAATTCGAGAGTGAGGTGGAAGGCAAGGTGACCAGCATCAACGTAAAGGAGAAGCAGATCATCAAGGAACCCATTGCGGTGGCGGAGATTGAGGAGCCTTGCAAGCATGAGGTGCAGTTCGGCGGCATGTGCGCGAATTGCGGCAAGGATATGGATGAGACGACGTACAGCACTACCGTCAAGAACACGGAGAGAGCGACCATCAACACCGTACACGGACACACCAAGCTGTTGGTGTCGCACGAAGAGGCGAGTCGCGCAGACGACGAAGCGAAGCGAAGATTGATCAAGTCGCGGAAACTGAGCTTGGTCGTGGATCTGGATCAAACCATCATTCATGCTACCGTAGATCCAACCGTTGCTGAGTGGCAAGCTGACGAGACGAATCCGAATCATGCCGCGGTCAAGGGCGTGAGGAAGTTTCAGCTGGTCGATGACGGACCAGGTGGCAGAGGGACATGGTACTACATCAAGCTCCGACCTGGTTTGAGCGATTTCTTGCAGCTTGTCTCGCAGTATTACGAACTACACATCTATACTATGGCAACACGTGCGTATGCCGAGGAAATCGCCAAGCTCGTCGACCCCGGCCGCAAACTCTTCGCGAATCGAATACTGTCGCGGGACGAGAATGGCAGCATGAACTCCAAGAGTCTCAAGCGCCTGTTTCCTGTCGACACGAAAATGGTTGTTATCATTGATGATCGAGGAGATGTCTGGAGCTGGAGTCCGAACCTGGTAAAAGTCAGTGCGTATGACTTCTTCGTTGGTATCGGTGATATCAATAGCAGCTTCCTGCCAAAACGGCCGGAGTTGGAAGCCAGGCCCACGAACCCTGTCAAGGCTGCAAACAAGGCAATCGACGGACCCACGCCAGACGTAGGCAGCGATGACACTAGAGATGGCGACGACATAAGCAAATCAGGCGATCTTGACACTCCCGGCTCCACGCCACCTGTAATGAACGGCAAGGTTTCTGCTGTAGATCGTATGGTGTCTATGGCTGGCAATTGCGACGAAGACAGCATGAAGGAGAAGAGCGACGAGCAGGACGAGACCATTGCTGCGCAGCTGGCAGATAGGCCACTATTACAGAAACAGAAAATCTTGGACGCGGCAGAAGAAGAGGCCAAGACTTCGCCGGCAGTCGAAGCAGCTGCTGAGCTATTGGCAGGCAATGGCGAAGAGCCTGAGCTTTCACCTTCCGTCTCCCACCCTAAGTACAGGCACAATCTCCTCCAAGACGACGATACAGAGCTAGAAAATCTCGGACGGAGCTTGCGCGACATCCACCAAGCCTACTTTGACGACTACGATCGAGATCGAGCAGCGGTGAAAGGTAGCCGAGTGGCTGAGCTGCGTCCGGATGGACCGAACAGAAAGCGGCCACTTGACGACATCGAGAACATACCCGATGCAGCCGCCATTATGACAAGCATGAAGTCACGCGTGCTGTCCGGCGTACACCTTGTCTTCTCCGGCGTTGTGCCTTTGGGCGTCAACCCTCTCAATCACGACCTTGCCATCTGGGCGAGAAGCTTCGGCGCGAACGTGCAAGTCAAGGTCAGCAGACGAACCACGCATTTGATATCTTCGCCGGACCGCCGGACGGCAAAGGTGCGGCAAGCGCTGAAGAAGGGCTCGCGAATCGCCATTGTCAATCAGAATTGGCTGTACGCTTGCTTCAGCCAGTGGAAGAAGGTTGACGAGGAGCCGTATCGCATCCATGTCGAGGCGGCGATGAGCGGTAAGCCGTCTGGTCTGCCAAACAGCTTCGAGAGCAGAGAGTATCCGCTGTCTTCGTCCGACGAGGAAGCGGCGCAGACAGAGGACGAAACAGACGGTACACGGACGCCCAACGGCACCGGCCGAGGCGGTCTTGGTCTGGAGATTGATACGAGCGGTGTCGACACCGACGATGACATGCAAAAGTACAGTCCATCTACGGCGCGCGAAGACAGCGGTGCGTTGTTCGATCAGAGCGAGGAAGACTGGAGCGAGATCCGTGGAGAGCTGGACGATTATCTCGGTAGTGAGGGGGAGGAGAGCGATGCCGAGAGTGTGCGGACCGAGAGCACTGTGCTTTCGGAGGGTCTCATAACGCCGCCCAGTCAGCGGAAAAGGAAGAGGGACGCTCTTGCTGAGGAGGCTGAAGCCGGTGGTAGCGGGGTCAATGGCACGGACGAGAATGGTCAAAGCAGGCTTCAGAAGCGAAAGAAGGAGGCATTATCGAGGACCACCAGCTTGACGAATGTTGTTGAGGCTGTTGTCTTTGATGCTGTATCTTCGACGTCGCGGCCTGCTGACGATCCAGGTGGGCAAGGGTCGAAGGAAGAGGTGGAGGAAGACGATCTTGAGGCAGCCTTGGAGGCGGAGATGTTGAAGCAGGCAGACGAGGGCGATTAGTTGGCTCGGCTCTTGGTCCTGCAATGAGTACAACGCTCATCTAGGATTTTGATTAGCGCCACTCTCCCACTTCACCGGTACCTGTATCTTTGACTTTGCCCCGCTATTCACTGCCTGGGCGTCGCAACGGTTTCAATACCTACGGTCGGAATGCCTCACTTTTTGCGCCCTGAACGTCCTATCGTACTTCCCACATACTGTCCAGACAGTCTCGTATATAGCTCACCGCGTTATTGTGCGCTGAGAGCGTCGCAGCTTGTGCACCTTCCAGTTGATGCTCTAGCAACCGTCTTTACACGCATTCACTGAGTCAACGCATGTACTAGTTTGTAACCCATGCGTTCACAGAACCGTCTACTTCCAACAAGAAGGAGTCAGCATAAGACCGCCGCACTTCCGAGTCTTTACATAGGCTTCAACGTACACTTCTCTGCTCAATCGAGTGGAATGAGTTGAGCACTCAACTTCCGCACACCAGCAGCATGGCGAAGTTGCAATTCGGCGACCTACCAGAGGACATCAAAGCTTTGGTCGTAGAGCATGTGAGGTGGTCGTAGACAATCACTCGGTGAATGAACTAACAGAGAACAGATACTCCGCCCAACCGACCTCAAGAACATATGCCTGGTGAACAAGCAGCTACATGGACTCGCAGTGAAAGAATTATATCGCAAGGTTGACCTGGACTTGGGCAGTCGCAATGATACCCATCTCTCCGCCTTCTTGAACCCCAACAACAAAGGTCTGAAGCACATCAAGCAGATACGCTTGCACCGTGCCAACATTCACGACCGGCGTAACACTCAACTGATCAACTTCGCCACGAGAATGCTGGTGGAGTTCTTACCCGAAGACGTGCTAGAAGAGTTTAGGTGGGTGGGCTTTCCTCGTAACTACCGCGCCCTGCAGGTCGACTGGGCGATGCCAGATCAGCAGCTGCAGAAGTGAGCGCTTTCGTGGATAACATTCGAAACTCCCGCTGACACCCTGTCCCTCCTTAGTTGGTGTCCCTGGGAGCGCTTCTCCGCTGACAACATGCTTTTGCTGTACAAGAAGCAGCGAAAGATGAAATGGCTTGAGGCTTTCGACCTTGACCGTGACATCCTACCAGAGCTCAAGAAGAATACCAAGTTGCAGGATGGCGTGTTCTCTTGTGTACGAAAGCTTGCGCTTTATCCGGAAAACCAAGCGACGCTGCAGCTCTGCCACTTTTTCGTTGAGAAGATATCGGACGTGCTAGAGGAAATGATGATCCAAGCAGACTTCGAGCCCCACGACCAAATACCGACCCTGTCACTGCGAGATATCAATGATACTGCTACCGGACCAGGCTTGCTCAGCCGCACGATTTTCAGCCACATGCTACCTTTTGAGCAGTGCACACCCTTCAGGAGCCTAACGGCATTACGATTGCATCAGATCAGCCTCCGGCATAGCGCAGATACGTGGTGTAGGATCGTCAAATTTACTGAAATACAGACTCTGGAGCTGACCAGCTGTATCGGTGCTGACACTCTGCTCGGCCAGCTTAGCAAGGCTTCGAACCTACCGAGACAGCTTAAGACGCTGGAGATACAGCACAAGGACAATACTGAACACGAGGCCTTGGTTGCACTGGACGGCTTCCTATGTCTCGTGTCTGGGATCACGGAGTTGACATTGGAACTTGAGAATGTGAAGGCTTTACCTGCCGCGGCCGGTATTATGCGCCACAGCAAAACGCTGAAGCTTCTCAACGTCCATTGCACTCCAGAGTATAGCGCGATCACTAGTCCGTCCACCGAAGTCGACGAAGTGATTTGGTCGACCGAAGAATTTGAGGACATCTGTAAGGCTTGCACTAAGCTCGAGCAACTCTCCTGCGCCTGGCCAGACACAAGCCTGATTAGAGATCCAAGCGAGGCGTGGCGGGCGTATGAAAATGCAGTTTTCTCTCATCTCAACCAACTGGTCACCCTGCACGTCTCCACCTTTCCAACGAATCAACCATCATCGCAGCTGCTTCCCAAGTCGGTGTATGAATGCCTCTTGCAACATCTGACGAAAAGGATGTTCGAGCTGGCGGTGACGTGGGGAGCTAAGGCCAGGTCGAGCACGAATTCGCACTCTCATCTATCAGCCACGGATGCAACCAATGATGTCGCAGCTGAAACCGACAGCGACCAGATGCCCTCCGAATCGACGACAACACTCCGCCTTATTGCGTTTGGAATATCCGACAAGATCTATGAGCGCGAAGACAGCAAGCACCAGGCTATCTACCTGCGTTCAACTTGCATTTCGGCCCTCGGAAAGGAACATGTCTATGCAGCACCGATAGGCTGGTGCATGAGAAATTACGTTGAGCCGCGAAGTGACGTGCTCGACTTTACGCTACATCGTGTAACGCGCATGCCGTACAAAGAGCGTGATAATCATGACTATTTTGGAGAGACTGGAGAATAAGTCCTACCTGAGCCCGATAGCAGTGTCTGCGAAGCTAAGCTCTCCGTAGGGTGATCGTGCTTGATCCTTGACGGGGATATGTTGGCAGAAGACTCCTTTCTGTGATATTATCTAAGGCCACACGCACCGCAACAGCTCCGGAGGCGAGCACCAAAGCGTCCGATGCAACGATACTGCGGGGACTGCGATATTAACATACCATAGCCACGCGTAACATGTAGAACAACAGTGACCAACGGCCTACCGGTCATGAGAGTCAGTCGCTTGCATTGACTGGAAGTATGACATACCTGCAGACTACACTCTGTTGGCAAGCAGTCTCCCGACACTTCCTGCTCCTGGATCGTTTCACATCCCCCCGTCCATACGTCTAACAAGCTACCACCATGTGCAACTGGGAATCCTACCATTACACGGAGTGCGAACATGTATCAACCGACCCGACACTTGTGATGGTATGCCGAGAGGCCGCGGCACGAGGCAGCCAGCCTTGCCCAGTACGCGAGGAACAACACCCTATCGTGGTTGAGGGTTTCTGTCCGTCGTGCAATGATTCCCAGGACGATGATGAGCCAGATGTAAGTCTTGATCAGCCGCTATCCTTGGAGTATGCCGGACGCTGATCAAGGCGTGGTGTAGGACGGCGAAACAGCTGAGCAGGACGCGGAGGATGATGGTGCAGATGCGCTGAACGAGCCGACTGCTTTTCTGAACAACAATCAATACAGAGAGCCGAACATTAGTCACAGCGCTCCTCAAGCTCAGCAGAACTGTGGTAACTATCAGGAACATGCACACGGCGATCAGCGTGGTTTTCAGCCAAGCGCAACACCTGCTAACGATTCACGGGCGAATCCTGCCCAGAGCGTGGCAGGAATTGTTGAACCACAGGAAGAGCGCAAGTACGCCGAGAAGGGCAAGCGTCATGCTCGGAAACATTGGGACCGCATACTTGAGGAGGACCTAAAGCGTGCAACAGAGCTTTCAATTGCGGAACATGGCGAAAAGTATGGGTTTCAGCCTGAAGAGGCTGTGATAAGGTCATTGCAAGATTTGCAAGTACAAGAGGAGCATCTGTTGAATGTTGCGAAGAGAATGTCTTACGTTGAGTGTTACAAGGCCACCCAGAAAGCTCAGATGGGCACCCGACAACATGGCGCACTACCCTTGGACGGTGACGACGACGAGGACAATGATGGTGCATCCACCGTGACTGGCTTTTCCACTCATTCTGGAGTGCCCCCGGCTTTTAGTGGTCACCCTCACGCAGCATTTGCAGCGTCGCAACCGACGATAAGGCCTAGTGGCCCGACTACAGCTCATGCAGCGCCATACCCGTCAGGCGAAATTCCATGTCAGGCAGGCTCATCTGGGGGCGCCGATGCGCCACGCAAGAAGGGATTCTTCGGTAAGGTGTTCGGAAGGCGGCCATCCCCTTCCGCGGCACCGAATACGCACGCGCAGCAGGCCGCATACCCGCCACAGCAGCAGACAGGGATGCCATACCCAGATCTTGCCACACGAGGCCAACGTTCGACGGCCTCCATGCCAGTGCCTCCGGGACCGGACCAAGGCTTTGATTGGACCAGCCCAAGCCTCCATTCTCCAAGCCGACCGGCGTCGTACTATCGCGTTGAGACACAGCTAGATGACGAGGACCGAAGACGTCGGAACCTCCATTCCCAGCGGAGTGGTCACTCAGCCGGTAACGGCACACCGGAGGGTAGTACCGTGGGCTCAGAAGTTGAAGAGTATGATGATGGCAGTACAGTGACGGCGGTCTCCAGTGAGGCCGCAGACGAGGTTGACCACGTGGGTAGTAATGGCTACGGTGGGCCATAGAGTCGAACGAGCCTCTAAAGCTTGGCAGCATTCTGGGTTTTGTGCTTGAAGTGAGTGGAACGTTCGTGACCGAAGATGTCAGCTGATGACCCAGTACACTCGATCATAGCGGTGTTCATCATAAGCTTTATACAATCCAGATTGTTTGCGCCGGCTGTGATGCTTACTTCATGGCTAAGCATATTTTTCGTGCTTGCCGAAACACGCAACGCCGGCGCCATGCATTGCAAACATTGTAAAACGCTTGATGCTCCAATGTAATGTGGTAATTCAATTCTTGCGCTCGACTGGTCGGTTGAGCCGTAGCGATGTCGCCACGTGATCAATGCCCGAGGAGAATGCCTCTCTGGGTCGCGTGAACGCTTGGGCAGGGAAAGATCCTGACATTGGCGATGTTCTGTGACATAGAGATAACGCGTTAGCTTACAGGTCTTGTGCCAATGCATTCACGCCGGTGCAAGGACCGAAACATGAGTACAAGCTGGAATATCGACCTACGGTGTGATGCCCCTGGCGAAACGTTTCAGTGCGATTTGCGGCTTCAAGCTCACGACATATGTGATACGGTCTGTGAAGATGTGGCTCAGCACAGCCTGCATTGCCGGTATTGCACCGAAGATGAAGCCTCCAATCGGAAAGAGGCCGGTCTCAAAGACGCCGGCGACCTGGAAGACTTTGTTGCTGAAGCCGTCGTGCTCCACCATTTCATCCAGCATGCCAGCTTTGCGCATTTCATCCTTTCGTAGCTTGACGCAGAGCTGGTGGTAACTCTCGTAGCGAAAGAAGAAGACGAGCATGAGCAGCCAGCCAGCAAGCCGACACCAGCCCGAGAAGTCGAGCGCGATGCGGAGGATCCTAGGCATGAGAAAGTCCGGAGTGAGCAAAGTAAAGATGCTCGAGGTTGTAAGGATCACTACTAGATGCGTAGGCAGGAAGTGCGCCTCGAATAGACGATGTCCAATGGTATAGACGTTCATCTTGTGAATCGGCCTTGGTCGCACAGGCCGCGTTTTTGGTTGCTTCTGTAACTGCGACTCGTGGAAGCCAATCTTCTTGTAGAAGTTGATCCAGTCAGATCTATATAACGTCAGCAGCTGTTTGCGCATGAGCTTCACTGTATCGCCGACGTACTTTGGCGCGTCCGGCGGCAAGTCTGCGCGACCCTGGTACGCTTTGCGGTGTCTGTTGACCATCGCAACTGTCTGCCTGATAGCATAGCCAGTGTCTAGCGAACCCCACATGTGTCGCAAAGCCTGTAGGTATCGGGCGTTGAGGCCGTCCAGATAGCCATAAAAGCCACGGACGTCGCTGCTCACGTTGCACTGACTAGCGGCAGCATACACAACGCGCACCTCCAAGTTACCAGAGAGTGCAAAGAAGCACTTTAGGTACATGTGCATATCCTCACCAATCGCGCCCGGGCCGGTATCCCACCCGCCAACGAATTCAACCAGCGACAGCGGTAATGAGTATACAGAGGTGGGGATGCAGACAGTCGAGCCGGAGTACAGACTAGAGATTCCGGCGCCTGCCCACATAAGGTCTGCCGTCCGGACTGGCAAAGGAACGCGGTGCAGATTCCGGTCAAACACCAGCGGCGGCACATAGACTGTTATGTCGTTGGTCTCCGGAAATTCGAGATGATATCGTGCGATCTGTGAGAAGTAGCGTGGAGGGAGATGAGTATCCGCTACAGTATACAATCAGCTTTGTGTCGCACGTTTCTAGCATTGCATCTGCGCACCGTCCATCGTGGTGATTATCACGTTCTGCCTAACCTCATGGTCTGGGTAGTCCCGCAGCACTTGCTTCGCAGCCCAGCTTTCATTGCTACTCTTGCCTTGCGCTTCGCCGGGTATGCCTTCTGGGTGGATGGTGAAGCTCATCTTATAGAATGATTTGGTATGTCTGTCAATCAACGTCTGAGCTTTGACATTGGATTTCTCTTCTTTAGCTTCCATCGCAAGATACACCTTCCGGACGTCAGCCTTATCCATCCAAGCAGGACGAATCATGTCATGCAACAGGATCATTGCTAACTCGCGCAATTGGAGGCGCACATACATGGTAACAATGCCGTGCCTGCGGGTGGGCAGCCAGCACACGTAATGTCTCTTCCAATGTTCCCATATCCTCCTTGTACGCCGGTATCATGATTACGAACAGTGGCATAGGCACTGTCAAGGTGCCCTTCTCCGTCCTAACAGACCGAGTTTTGCGCGACTTCGGATCGTCTTTGATCGAAGCGGTTGCCTTGATTTTCGCGGTTATCTCCCCAATCGCAAAGCATACCCTCGCCGGGAAGACAATGGACATGATGTGCAGCGCCACGGTATAAACGCTGAGCACCAACTGCCACCATGTTGCCTCACCAGGCTGCCTATTGCTGCTGCCTTGGCCATATGGTGCGACAACGAACGCGAAGATGAGCAATACCACCACCCAAACCACCGAGATCGCGGGTGTAATTCTTGTCAAGTACGCCCATGCACGGGATTCGGTATCGGTCATAATGCACTGCGAAAGGAGCGTGGTCGTGGGCGGAGCATGCAGAAGGAACAATGGCTCTCAGACAGCGGCGTCGCACATGCAGAAGGCGGGCATGGGAAACCAAAGAGTCCGAGGTGAAGGAGCGTGTGATGGCGTGGCCTGCTGCTGTACTGTAACTGCTCCCAAGTAATTGTGTCGGCGTGTCCCTTTGGGCGCAAAGCAATGAGGGAAAGCGTTGCAGCTGTCGCGCTACGGTTAGCGTGGTGTAGGGCCCTCGTCCCGCAGCGTGGGCCTCAGCCGATGCGGGTAATTCGTTCGTTCGTTGGGCTTGAGATTTGCATCATTTACCCGATCACTTCACGCCGCGTGTCATGTATATTGGATGATTGATCCTAGCATCCAATGTCGCGACTCGGCGACAGCTGCACAGAGTGTCTTGCTGCGGACGGTAGATCATAGACCACCATCATGCACAAGACCCTGGACATCAATGCCAGTTCCGGTTCGCTCATTGCAAATGCGTCGTCAGCGTATCAATACTGCCTGACGTCCATTCATCCTCGACAACCTTCTGCAGCCAAGCAACTTGACACAATCTTTACACATTGAGGAGCGGGGACAATGTCCATGCAGTGGGTACGCTGAAGCCGCCCCCAAACGCTTTTAGCTTTATGAAGCCGACAAGGCAGTCAGTTCTACCATCGCTATGCCATGCCTCCGATATCATCCCATTTGTTGAATCTCATGTTCTGTCGTGGCTTCGTCACGGCAGAGGCTGCCTGATGCTCATACGCTCCCTTATGCAGTCGACAATGCACCTCAATGCTCAACGCAAGATGTCATTCTGTTCTGGCGATTCACGCCCCGCAGACACCTACCATCTGTCGTCCCTCTGGTAGTCTTCTTCCCTCTCCTCGTTCTTGCCATCATCGTAGGCGTCGCCAATCCTGTCGCCGAACTGCTCGACGCCTTCAACCCGACGGCCGGCCTGCAGAAATGTTGTTAGCGCTTCGCACATTACCAAGAACTTCTAACAAGCCACGACACCTACCCAGTTCGCAACGTTCTCAGGGGCGTCGACCACATCATCCACCACATTATCGAATCCCTGCTCGATGCGGTTGCCGAACCTATCGAAGCCGGCCTCCACATTCTCCGGGATGTCCTCCACTTCCTGCACTCTTTCGCCGGTCCAGCGGGCGGCATTCTCAGGGAAGTCCTCGACGCCGTCTTCAATCCGGTCCTTATTGTCGTGGAACTCGTGGGCAAGGAATGCTCCGCCCGCCAGACCCGCTACGCCTGCCATAGCACCGTACATCATACCGTGGCCACCACCGTGGCGCTGGCTCTCTCCACGACGACCCTCGGGGTATGTTGTGGTAGTCTCTCCCACGTACCCTCTGCGGTCGGGAAAGTCCCAAGTACGCTCACCGGTTTGCTCGTTGATGAATATGTACCTCCGTTCACGGTCGTCCCAATGTGGGCGCCAGGGATACGGACACTGTGGTGGCGGCGGCCGGTCGTTGGTGTAGTATGTTGTAGTCGTCTCGGTGATACGTTCGTCTTGGCGAGGCCCACCGCCGTAGCCATAGCCGCCACGACGGTCGTAGTCTGTGGAGTACTGTTCGGTTTCGGTAATTCGCTCATCATATTCGTCGCGGCGGTTGCCACCACCGAACCAAGACATCGTAGCGTCGAGATGAGGTTGAGAAGGGGGTCGAGCTATAAGGCGAGCCAAGGGAAGCGACTTCGATGGTCGGTGTCTGAAGAGTGAGGGAGCGTGTATGAAGTAGGCGGAGGGAATGCAAACGGTGAAGGTGGTCAAAGTGTCAGTCACTGCCACGGTACATACAGCTAATGACGGTAAGCTCACTTCATCAGCTTGACGAAAGCTGCAAGCTGCAAGCCAATGGGTCTGGTGACACACAACCAACGACATCCCCTGCATGCTTGGCGGTGAGAAGCAACGACAACGACAAGGACGACAACAACAACAATGGAACCTTTGAGCGCGCACAATACGAGACAAGCTCATAAGACTCGAGAATCTGAAGCCCCTCTCGCACAGCATCTGCCTCGCATTCTGGCTCTGAACTTGAAGGCTTGTACCTGAGCTATGTCAACGTACATGTGTTCAGGGCTGCCACAAGGCCGCATCGTGCATCTGCCCCGCATCGGCCTGTGTGTGGGAGACACCTTCAGACAGTACTGCCGGTGAGCTTGGTTCGCATCTCTGACGAACAGAGGTCTTACAGTTAAACGAGGAAAGGATGGTTTAGTACGTTGCGGCAGCTTGAGTTGTTGATCAGGAGCTCACGATATCCACCTTCTCCAGGCTGTGTACTACGCCTGATGCGGCATTTGTGTCGGGCGTATCAGCTCCCGAGACACTGCAGTATATGTCTCGCGCTCCACTCCTGTTGTTTCTGCTGGTTACTGTCTAGCCCGTTTGCCGTCTACGGCTTCAAGACAGCTTCTTTATTGGCCGAATACCACGGCAGCAGTACCAAGTAGCAAATACGCGCGAAAAGACACGCTGGGAACACCGAAGACGCGTCAAGGTACGCTCGTTGGGGGGCTTAGCGTTCCGTCTTCGCACAAATCCAACGCCTAGATTCTGTCGGGCGGAACGCCACACACATGGCACGACAGGGTGGCGCACTGTCCCTCGTCCCGCTCATGGCGCCACGAGGGCACGGTCAGCTTCACTGCATTCTTAAGCCACTACTGCTCGTTCGAGTCCATACATATATGCAGAGGCTTGCGCATGAGCGCGGCGACTCCGTGCGACTCGGCTAGACAGTTCCAAAGCCACTGGTAACAATCAGCGTTTGCTGACGGCAAGCGACTTGGAAGGCGTGACGGCTGGCCCATACGGCCTGAGAAAGATGGAAATTTGCACAAGTTGCAGCACGCACTGAAGCTTCGCAAGATTCATGTGCTGGACCTCGCGAGATGGCGGTACTGGCAATGACAGGTACTTTCCCAGAGTGCTGCGTCGCATACGGCAGGAGTTACTGGCGATCAATAACAATAGGTTCTGTGGAGAGCCCGAGGGGCCCTTGAGCGAAGCTGGAAATTGCGGAGATTGCGAGCGTTCGAGTTTGAGTGTTTATCTCCAAGCCTTTCGGTACTTCTACAAACTGGATGTGCTTGGCCGATCGGACTATCCTTCGCCTTGATCGAAGGCGCCTTTACAGCCCGCTTTCGGCCGACCATTGGGCATTGCTCAACGAGCCGGGTGGATTTTCGTACTCGAGGAAGACACTTAAGCTGCACAGTGTCGGCATGGTGCATGAGCTTCATCGTAGTGACATTCCGCTCTCAGGGACAAGGCTGACCTACTGCGGAAGCTAAAAAGAAGCGAGCTCCATGAACCCGGCACTTAGACCGGCTAGCATTGGAAAGCTAGTCCCATACAGGCTCATGCGCGGCCTGATTTGCCCGAAATTGGTGTGAGATGGCTGTCGGATGCAGGAGGTGCAGAGCCGCAGGGTGGACTCTTCTCTGCCGTACCGCGGAGGCGCGAACCTTGCGCATGTCGAGCGCGTTGGCGTTGCAGCTGCAGTATTCTCGCTCTGCAGGACGAAAAAGTCAGCGCGGCCATTGGCCGATTTTATTGCTTGTCGTGAGGTCCTGGTAGCGGCCGCTTTGTAGTCGACCTCATCTCTCTTCTCAAACCTGCATCACAATCCCTACTGTACATCACGCGGTTTCGAAGTCTCCAGATCCCCCGTTTGTTGTGTGCCAGTAAACACCCCGGAAGCGGCCCGCTTTGAGGGTCCCTTCCAACTTCCAAGTGACCGGGATACCCACACTTCCAGGCCTTGACGCGTTCCCCCATGCTCAAACTATCCGACGGCTTTGGCGTCGAGCGTTCGCTACCCTGAGCAAAGCCTCGCCGTCGAGGAGAACCGCGTCGCTCCACGCCTTTCATATTCCGGATCTCGCGTCGCTGCATCTCTCCAGAGTTGCGTGCTGTGTTCGCCAGTATCACTCAGATGCTGATCAGTCCCCAGGCTGGAAATTTCTGGACATACTCAGTGCCTGCCCCTGTGGAGTGAAGCGGCGGGACACCATCGCCGCAAGCCTGGCCATGTCGGCATTTCAGCAACAACACTTCCGCTCCGAGTCTTCGAGCACAAGCACCACGTCTTATGGCTCGACCGGCTCGGCCTACCAGCTCATTCTTGACCACATCCTTACGTACCCGGGCAGCTATGAGATTCCGCTGCGGACGATGTACACGCTCAATTGCGCACCCCGCGCACAGCCGGTGCACCCTGGCAACAAAAGTCCGTCCAGCGTGGCTAGCTCGCCCATCTCCCAGCAAGGTCAATGGCACGATAGTCCAACGACACTAACCTTCACGGAGAACTTGATGGCACAGATCTCTAAACTGCCAAATCAGCCAACGTCTCTGCCACCCAGCTTCATCACGTCTTTCGTGCAGCGATGCTTTCCGCCGGAACTCATTGACGTGGACTTCCCGCAGGCTCTTACAGGACTTGACTACCTCAAAGACCTTGAGACGAGACGGCGGCGAGAAGTTGCTGCGGCAATGAGCCGTCTCGCTATAGATCGTACGACACTGGAACTGGATGATGCCTCCTTGGGTGACCGGTACCCTGGAGTACAGCAGTGGGTCATGTCAATCAACGAGAAGGAGCGCAAAGTCGACGCATTGTATACTCAAGTCTATGTCTCTCTGCGGCGGTGGATTCTCGTCAACGAGATGTCGTTGCAGCCATTTAGCAAGGTCAACTGCGTCGCTATGCTCAACACGCTGTATCCGCCCACAGTACCGGCACCGCTCACCTCGACATTGACCTCTGCTGTGTTGAAGGACCAGCGAGACGGTTTCTTCAAGTATATTGTCAATGTTGAGCAGAAAGGTCCACGAATTCTGACCAACCTGATGAACCAAGGCAAGGTGCTTGGCGAGGAGAACGGCTGGGCTGCAGCAGTACGCACCCTTGGCAAATATTTGCAGCTAGCAAACAGCATAATCGTCGAATGCTGTGAGATCACCGATGTCCAACATCTTTCCTCTCAAACGCCAAGGGACTCCGGCACCTCGAAGACGCCTCGAAAAGTGGACTCTGGCGTCAGCTTCAACGCCAGTGAACCTCTACCTAGCGAGCCACACGTGATAACTGAAACAATGGTTCCTGTCGAGCCGCACAGTCGACCGAAGACACCATCTGGTCAACGATATGGCACGCCGCTTGAGATGCTGGCTCGCGGTCTGAAAACCATCGGACGCAGCAGGAACAATGTTACAGAGATGATCGAGCCCCTTCCGAAAGGTCGCAGCTCACCCTCACGGACATCACCGGAGAAGGCCAAGGGTCTGCGCAAGATGCGTAGCCTCGGAGCACTGAGCGACCGGAAGGCTCAGATATCTTCGCCGAGCGCGCCTGACTTTGATGTGGATGCAATGCGATTGCAACGAATGAGGTACGAGGCGAGTACCGCAGCGTCACACACGCCTAGGAGGCAGCATCACGAGATATGATCTTGGTCGTTGCCTACTTATGGTACGCTATGCTTATGGTGTTCATGCGATTATGTTATGATCGATGCGCGCCGCCATCGCTGCTAATGCATTTGACGCGTTGATGCGGGTTTCCTTTTACGCACGGGTGCGCTACAGGACTAGATGACCCTCGCGGGTGGCACTTTGCTTCTAATGTGTATTCGAGTCGGCGCTACAATAGGGTGGTGACATGCGGAGTTCAGCCGAGCGCTGGCGAGCAGGGTGGCGCAATGAGTTTTGGTGAATATGGAAGCTAACGTCGCTCCGGTAGTCGCGGAGCAGCTATATGTACGTTTCATGACACTTTAGGCTCCTGATGTGTATATAGGCAGAGATGCGGGTGAATCAACCATGAGCTGCTGCTCAGGCTAGAAGCTCCAGGGCACACAACGCCTCACACTCATGCTTCATTGTCACCACTCGGGGCTCGTCTACTTGGTGCTGGCGCGCGCCTAGATTAAGCCGCATAATCGAGTATGTCGCGCGTTCCACAGTACATTTGGTCCAGACACTCCTTTCATATCTACGACCAGGTATCCTTGCACGGAAGTAAGCCACTCTGAGGTCTGTCTGTGTGGACTCAGCCATTGCAAACATTAATGCTGCCACATCGGAAGGTTAGGAGATCGCAATCTGATGGTCAAATTGGCTTTGAACTTTACGAAGACGTCTTGAAGGCGCAAAGAACCTTCAGTAGCGCGCCGCCAGCACTGCTGAAACATGCTTGGCTGGACACAACATGAAACGAAGTAGCTAGGTTCTGCCAGTAGAATCTTGATCTATACTGGGAGCAGCACCTTCACACCGAGGAACTCATCCACCCCAAACTTGACGCCACCAATTTCTTGCACGCCGCCCGATTTCTCCTCTGGCGCCACCTGACTCCGTGTGCTGATTTGAATCTCGCGCCATTGCTTGTTCGTCGGGACCGGGATACCGGCATCTATAAGCTTCTTGTATTGCTGGAATACGCCTTGTTCCATGACGAAGCCTTCGCGCTGTAGCAGGGGTGATTCGACCGCGGGCATTAGTCTCATGTCGCCTTTGGAAGCATTAAACAAAACCAGCGACAGTCGTTCGAACTCTTCTTGATCGGCAGGAGTGTCGGTCACCTTATGCTTCGTCGCTTTAAAGTGGCCTCCAGAGACGATCTCGAGAGCTTCGCCGAGGTTGACTACAAGCGCTCCAGGATTATACTTGACGGGTTGCCACCTGTCTTGCTTCGACCAGATGTGGAGTGCGGTGACTGGGACTGAGAAGAGAAGGGTAGTGGTGCCATAGTCAGTATGGCCATACATCCTTACAGACTTGCGGCGCTTCTTATCTTCACCGAGCAGAGGATGAAACAAGGCATGTCGGAAGTACCCATCGCCTACCGTGCTGTCCTGGGATTGAATGTGATCCCAGAGATAGTTGTCCGGGAGTTCAAGGACTCTCGAAAGCAGCGTAAGAAGCCGTCGGTTCACCGAGCCTGTCAGATACTGCATCGAGGTCAACCAAGAAACACTCTACTCACATTGTATGCACTCACGTCGCAAAAAGCCGTGATCTCGTCCATAAACGGTAGGATACAGTCAGGCACCCTATCACGGTTCTCAATCTCCCCACGATAGAAATTGAACTGCTCAATGCCATCGAATTCTCCTGCCTCCCTCTTCCATCCCCACTGCTGCTTCCAACCTGCGAAGCGTCCAGATGATGGGTCCCATAATAGCCGCTGCTTGTCATCGTCGGAAATATTGCGGTGCAGATATTGCGCAAGATCGAATTGGCGCTGAAGCTGTTCTAGAGAAACACCATAGTTGGTGAGAAACAGAAAGCCGTCTTCTCTGATGGCTGTCTTGGTTAGCTCCACCAGATCTCGCACAACATCTTCGTCTGGCGAGTCAAGCAATGACAGATCAATGGTATGCAGTGTCGCCCAATCCAAGTCAGCTTGTGTCGTTGGTGGTCGTTGCCATCTGGGTACTATTGGCTTCCCTTCGATATTTGGCGAGGTGAATGGTGCCGACATCGCCACCGACTCGTCAAAGATCGAACCTATACAGAGAAGCACGTTAGACAAGATGACACCCTACCTTGTATGTCCTCCTGCACGCTGCCCCGCTTTGCAGCACGCTTGAGCTTGCCTATCTTTCAAAATCCTACAGTGATAGGCGGAGACACATTGATGAGGCTTACGCTCTGTACAAGTGGATAGATCTGCGTTGCCTATCTTTGCAGCAGCCCGCTGCATGCATATGGCTGCAACACCGAGGATGAACCTGCCACAGTTTGAACACTCATCATCTTTCTCCACGACAGAGCTTCGTCCATCGTCCGAGCAACATCAACCGAAATATGGACGAGAAAGTTATCCCACCCTCTCCGACCAAGGACACAGCCAGTGGCACGTTTGAAAATTCCATCGACCATGTTGCCGAGAAGAAGGTCGTTCGCAAGATGGACCTTAATTTGATCAGCATCTTCGGGCTGCTATATCTCTTGTCCTTTTTGGATCGCTCGAACATTGGCAATGCGAATTTGACTGGTTTCAGCACCGACCTTCATTTGGTGAACAACCAATATGGTGCTGCGGTATCGGTCGTGTATGCGACCGTACGTCTTAACGACTCCTCAACGAAGAAACGACGCTGACTGCAATGGCAGTACGTTGTGTTTGAGCCAGTATACAATATCCTATTGAAGATTGCGACGCCGAAGTTATTGATGACTTGCTCTTGCATCGCCTGGTCCGCGCTTACAGTTGGCACCGCATTTGTCAAGAATTTCAGCCAGCTTATCGGTGTTCGAGTCTTGCTTGGTGCGGCAGAGGCGGCGATCATCCCTTGCATACTGCTGTACATCACTATGGCAGTAAGATCGACTGGACCCGGACCTTGTCAATCGATGGCTGACTCGCATTAGTATAATCGTGATGAGTATGCCGTCCGGCAGACCTATGTGTTCACCTTCTCAGCGATCTCTGGAGCCTTTGGCGGTCTACTTGCCTTCGGTCTGACGCGATTGCGTACGGCGGGTCTGCATGGCTGGCAGTGGGTAAGTCGCATTGCAGAGGGACCATTGTTCGCTTGTGTTCGCTGACACGGGTATCGGGAAACAAAGATGTACATTGTCGAAGGTATAATATCTTTCTGTCTAGCGCCAGTCGTCTTCATCTGGCTACCCAACTCTGTTAGCGAAGCGCGTTGGCTCAATCAGTCGGAGAAGGCATTGTTGGCCCTCCGCCTCGAGCGCAACAAGGGTGTCTATGATGCTGAGGAGCGCTTCCGGTGGAGCGAGATCGTCCGCTGTCTCAAAGATCCCAAGCTCTATGTGCAGGCTATCTCACACTTTGGGATCGACACCACACTCTATGCTGTGACAACCTTTATGCCCAAGATTATTGCTGGACTGGGGTTCACTTCCACCATCAACGCACAGCTTCTAACGGTGCCGGTTTACGCTGCTGCAGCAATCTCTTACTTGATCATTGGCTACATCTCCGACAAGGTGAAGCTCCGGTCACCATTCTTGATTGGCGTGCTTATATCATGTTTGATCGGCTACATCATCCTAGCGGTCCCCTCGACCAGTGTCGGCGCCCGCTATTTTGCTGTCTTCATGGTCGCCATTGGTCTTTACGCCAGTACATCGCTTAATCTGGTATGGGCAAGCTGCAACCACTCTGGGTACTTCAAGAGAGCTTTCGCCACTGGGATGATACAATTGGTGGGGAACAGCGCTGGTGCCGCGATTGGCTTCATCTTCAAGGCCCAGACCGCTCCGAGGTACTTTGAAGGTATGCATTTCGCGATTGGGATGACGATCATGTCAATATGCTTGATTGGTGTAAACCTTTGCATTGTGATCGCTGGTAATAAGCGGAAACGGAGAGAAATTGCTGAAGGTGCCGTGGATGAGCCGGCGCTCATGGATCAGAACCCACATTTCTTGTACTACCTCTGAGCCGATAATCATAACGACTTGGTCATCAGCACATCAGGTAGATGGGAAGTCAGTGGTTCCGACTGCTGAGCACAGGTGGTAGCACCGTTAGTATATTATTGAACCAAGGTGCTATGCGAGGTTCGTATGCACTGTGTCAGAGCCCTGCAAGTCCGCAATGGTGACGATGTCGCCGCAGCGATGGAAGCAATCGCAAAAGGAGAAGTGGAGCGTTTCCCCAGACTTTCGGCCCCACCATGCCCCTGCATCTGGCAGGCACGGAGGGAGCAAGGGATCTTGCGGGCCATCCCGTTTGTTGATTTCACATGCAAGACCCTCCCTAATCTTCCAAACACATAACGACAGCAACGACTTGCAGGACAGCACTGGTAGGCGAGGCATAGTTCGGTGCGCTCCCAGGCGCTTGTGGCGCAATGGCGTTTCTGTTCGGGAGGAACCGCCAGCGCTCTGTACAAGACATAGTCCGATCGACAAAGGAGCTGCTCCAGAGGTTGGAGAAAGAAGAAGTGCCGTCTCCAAAGGTACGTTGTAAGCAAAAGCAGAGACTTTGCATCTGTTCACACAGTGAGATAGACGGAAGAGGACATTGCGCGCAACATCACGCAGATGAAGGTCACATTACAGGGGACGCCAGAATTGGAAGCTACGCCGGAGCAAGTGCACCAGCTCGTCAACTATATACTGGCTGAGGGCATCCTACCAATACTCGTCGACAACATACACCGTCTTCCGTTCGAATCTAGGAAGGACACGCAGACGGTCATCTCTAACGTCTTCCGGTTTAGAACCCCGGGATCCACGTCGCCGGAGCCTGATGCGTTGAAGGAGGTTATAAGGAGACAGCCCGACATCATCATTGCGCTGTGCAAAGGTTACGAGCGGAGGGAAAGTGCGAGCCCGTGCGGCGGCATCCTGAAGGAAGCTTTGAAGTGGGATGCTGTAGCAGCGGTCATACTTTACGACGAACCAACGGAAGGCGGCAAACGAATAGATATATACAGCGACATCGACGTTACCAAGCAGAGCAGCGGCAAGGGCGTGTTCTGGAGATTCTTTGATTGGATTGACAAGTCGAGCTTCGAAGTCAGCGCGGACGCTTTTGACTGTTTCCGAGTCATCCTTACCAAGCACAAACCGCTCGTGAGCCAATACATCGGCACGAACTTCAACCTCTTCTTCGACAAATACAACAATATCCTCATCAAAAGCGAAAGCTACGTCACGAAACGACAGTCGCTAAAGCTGCTCGGCGAAGTACTCCTCGACCGGCAATTCTACGAAGTTATGACCCGCTATGTCGACTCGGGTGAGAATCTCAAGCTCATCATGTACCAGCTCAAAGATGATAGAAGAATGGTACAGTACGAAGCCTTCCATGTCTTTAAGATCTTCGCAGCGAACCCGAATAAAAGCTACGAGGTGTCGAAGTTCTTGGTCATGAATAAGCAGCGCTTGTTGAAGTTCTTGCCGAAGTTCTTGGAAGAGCGGACGGAGGACGAGCAGTTCAATGATGAGAAAGCGTGGCTGGTGAAGGCTGTTGGCAATCTGCCTGACACTACTGCAGCGTTACGACCCCCTGATGGAGTACAGAATCCGATGCAGCAGCAACAGCCTCCCAGCGCACCGGTACGTTCATGACCACGAGCAGCATGCCAAGGATAATTGGAGTTGGCGCAACGAAGCTGGGGTCGGAGTTCAGACGGGACCGTCTAAATTGCGGCGGACGTTGTACATACAGCCCAGCTGCGAATCTTGTGCAGCACTAGTGGGGACGGTTACGCACGGTGCTTTTCTGCGAGGCATAGGTGTCTTCGAGCATTGCTGCCTCGGGTCGGAGTTGGAGAGAATGCTATCGCTGTTGAAGCATCATCTCCACTAGACCCCTTGTTGGAGGAAAGGCTTTGCTAGCCTGTGTCTTTGCAAATATCCAGTGTTACCGACACCACGCTGCTAGGTACAGAACTTGACATGGCCTAAGCGCGAACCTGCCAAAATCGGCTTAGTACGATTCCACGACCACTTACACGACCTTTATTACCTAGTTGTACACTTTAGAATCCGTGAAATCTACCGTACAACTGTCGATCCTGTGACCTGACCATAGCAATATGCCGAGCGTGTGTAGCAACACAACATACAAGGTAGCGCTAGGCTCGCTGTCCGCCATGGAGTGATCGACACCAACGCTGCACTCTCTTCATGTCATTACTGACAGCCTTCTCCCATCAGAGTACAATGATCGAACAACCTCGAGCCTGTGACCAGATCTCGATCTCCGGCAAGCTCGGGTCCGGAATTCAATGCTACTTCCTAACTAGACTGCCTGCGGAGCTGCGCATCCGTATCTATGAGCTTCTCTTGACATTCAATGGCGCACCGATCAAATTGCGGCAACATGTATCGGGCTCCCCAGACACAGCGATTATTCGCACCAACAGGCAGATCTCGAACGAAGCAATGGCAGTACTATACGACCTTAACGTCATTGTTGTCACGAGGAACGACTTCTGCCTGCTTACGATATCGGCATTGAAGACACCCGTCTTTGCTCAGCACATTCGGCATCTACTCATAACAAGCTTCGGAGAGTCCATTACATGCACGTTTTTGAGCGACCAAGGCAAATGCAACGTGTGCAAGGATTCTGCGGTGGGCCTGCTGGCGGCACTTTCGTCGATGCCTTACTTGAAGAAGGCTTACATCGACTACAGTGGCAGCGCCCAACGCTTCAAACGGTTTCGAGAGCACTGGGGGGAGGTGCAGGCACGTAATCCGCCTTGTCCTATAGCCGAAGTTGGTGCCAACCTGGACACAACCTATGAGAAGCGATGTCCCGAAGTTGTGTTCTTTTGCACGCGCTCCGGGCAAACAAGGTATAAGTTGACCGAGCTATCTCAGCTGAACCCACCAGACTCCGTTGAAGCGCGCTTTTCGCAAGGAGGGTGGATCTTGATACGGGGAACACGACCAGTAATGGAACGTGATTTCAAGCGAGCAGATGACGTGCAGGGTCGCACCAATCGTGTGGATCGCTAGCTCTGGCTTCAGTACCACCATCGCCACACCAATACTTCAGCTCTTGACTCAGTGTGAGCTGTTCCAAACTACAAAACTCGTGTTGGGTTCACCCATGGGACCATCCCAGAACTTCGTGCTCGCCCGCCGTGGTACAAATTGGTGCGCAGGAAGCTCCAATATACTGAGTATCTCCTCGAGGCTATGTTCTCTGGCCACTTGTGGTTTGTACAGGTAATGGCTCGTCAGGACGAGGTTTGCGACAAGCACAATCTCCTTCAAGGTGAACAATGGCTCGACCCCGTCATCGCCTTTGTCAATGCGTTCATACACGGCGTCAAGGATGGATAGGACATCCTGTCTTCGACGGCGATTATCGCATATCAGGGCGGAGTCATCCTCGCAGTCCTCTCCTAGGCCTGGGTACAGGCCAACGAAAGTCAACCTCCCATTGCTTGCGAGCAGCCTGGCAATATCAGGTAGTTTGCTCCACGGATTGCGGAACGTGAGCTGCCGGATGTGCGAGACGTGTCTTGGGACGGAGTCAAGCCAGGCTACTGTATGGGGATGCCAGTTCTGTCGCAGCTCATGTCGATGCTGCCCTGCACGAACCGGGGAGTTCGTCATGATGAAGCTGTTTTCGGCAAAGAAGACTGGCAAAGCTTCTGCTCGAATCTGGCGACATGTCTGCACGAGGGCGTGCGGTCTCACATAGCCAAGGTCCGGCGAGCCGACCTCAGCGCCTGGAGCATCCAGTACTTCCTTGTAGCTGATTGCGGCTAGATCGCTTGGACTCCGAACTGTGAGTACTTCGCGCCATATTGCATTTCGAAGCTCAGCAGGCAGGTGGAGGAGATAGCATGGTTGTGTGGTATCGTCTCTTATCTCTGGCGTTGAATGCCTTTGGTCAATAAGCCATGCCGCGCCGAATATAGTTAGGAAGCGTTGCATGTTGCTGTAGGGTTGGGTACAGCGAGGAGCTGCAGAGAGGTCCTTAGGACGTACAGAATGGCAGACAAATATACTTTGACATTTGCGAATGCCTTGTCATTGTTCGCACAAGGTGGCTTCTTTGCGCTGTGCAAGGCTGAGCGAGGCAGCCAGCGAGCCAGATGCACAGACTTAGGCGCAGAAGTGCCACAACGCGCTCATTGGAACGGTAGGCAGGCATCAGTGGATGGTGTGCGAGTATAAAACCTGTCATCACTCGCGACTTGCCGCCCCGATTTGGGATTTCATTTAACAGGTCAAGCGCTAGCGTAGTTATCATGATTGGACGTATGTGCACTGTCAATGCCTAGTCAGTCATATCGGCATCAAGCTGCGGCGCCTTGTGCCCTGGGCTGCCAGCAGCTAAACGCCTGTATTTCATGCTCCATAGGTCAAGCCTTCCATCATGACCGCAACGCCCCAAGCATCTGCATTCCAACAGATACGCCTTAGACCATATCAACGATAAATTCCCACGTCTCTGCAAAAGTGTCAGCCACAGATTCGTGTTATATGCTCAATTTTGATATAGACTTACGTTCTTTAAGGTTCTTCGCCGTGTCATCTAACAATATGACTCGCCGCCGCATGCAGTACGTCGTTTTGTCCATCATCTCCACCTTCAACCCCGCAAGCTGATCGGTCGACTTCTCAAACATCTCGCTCAGGTTCTCCACCGCCATCTCGAGATCCTTTTGGTTGTCCTCGAAGATGGCAGTCTGGTTGTTGCGCGCCAGATAGTACGCAAAGGCATACGTCCACTTGAGCGTCTGCCGGCACTGCTGCAGCGCTTGCGAAGCCGCCTCAAGAAACTGTACCTCGATCCAGCTCATGCCAGAGCTTGACTGTAGCAGCGTCATTTTCTTCTCGGTCTTGTGAAAGATGTCTTTGTCCAACTTCGCGCTCTGCTCGTGATTTGCGTAGCGGTTGTAGTAGTGTAGATATCTCTCCAAGCTCTGCCGGCTCTTAGCCTGTGCATCACGCGCGTCACTTCCGCTCTTCTCCTCGAAGCGGTTGCAATTGTACCAGCTCGTGCCGTGCTCGGACCATACACCCATGCACATCCAGCAGAACTCGTTCTTGCACTTCCGGCAGGTCATATGGTTGCAGCCGCCATTCTTTTCGATAGTCGAATGGCACTTGGGACACTCCTTTGTGTTCGCCGAGATCCAGTTCGCCGTCTCCGAGTCGTCTTCGCACTTTTTTAGCCACTTCTTCACCAGTACGCAAGGGCAGGGCTGGTGGTCGGCAAGCGTGCAGCCAAAGCAGAAGGCATGCTTGCAGTCGCAATGCACGCTCGGCACGATCTTGTTCAGGTCGCGCTTCTTTACACCACACTCCACAGCGTATACACAGTTCGGCGCAGGACACCACTTAAGATTTTCCTTGTCGTCTACGTATGTCCGCATGAGGAGCTCGTTGTAGCGCTCTGTGAGTTCGGTAGGCACCAGCAGGTCGAGTGACTTAGCATCGATAATCTTGTTGCAGCCGTCGCCAGGACACTTGATCCGGGCAGCCTCGCCTTCTCCCTTGATTTTCTGCACGAGATACTGTCGGTAGCAATCGACGCAGAATCGATGGCCGCAGTTCATTGCGAAACTTTCCAAGCCAGGCGTATCTTCGCAGCAGATATCGCAGCAAAAGCCGTCAATGACTTGTAGTCTTGGTGGGTTCTTGCTTATGTCCTGCCCTAAGCCGGCCTTGTCCAGAAGCTCTTCTTGGGCATCCATGTACTGCTCGATCAGTCGCTCCTTATTCCAACGCACATGCCGTAGTAGTATGGCCGTGGCTTCGGGCGGCTGTTCGAGCAGGTTCGCTACCTCAGCAACCTGATCGTCCTGCTGAGCTTGGATATCTTTGGGACTGTACACTCTGTATTCGACCTCGTACGCCTTTCGCCGTGGTGCCAGGTCCTTAGCCGTCGCTTCAAACGCCGTCTCATCTTCCTGGTAATCGTCAAGCTCAACATCGGAGTCTGTTGCCATGTCAGTCAATGCTTCAAGCTCGGCCAGATCTCTCTTGCCATCATGCTTGCCTGCTGCACCAAAGTCGACACTGCTGCTCATCTCCTCATCCAGCTCGATGCTGGAGGCAGCGCTGTTGAAGCCTCCCTCATCATCGGAGTCCATGGGCTTATCGGATAACGTTTGGGGCGTTGCCGGTAATGCCGCCTCTATCACGCGCTCCTCTTTCACGTGGTGGACGGTTTTGGTCGCCTTTCGCTTCGGTTCTTGAATGATGTCGGGCAAGGCGTTGCTTAGTGATGCTTCAAGCGCCCTCTTGCGGGTAGTAGGAGGCGTGGTGAAGGTGGTCAGCGGCTGCTCCGTCAAGACGAAGCCAGCCGACGCTGTTGCCGCAGTGTTGTGCTGTAGGCGTAGGCGTTCTATAGGTTGAACAAGTGGTTGTACTTTTGCCACGCAACCGTAAGCCGAACAAGCGACGGCGTCGGCAATCACTCACAACGACCAAACAAGGCGTAACTGCTGCGTTTCTGACTAAAGCTGGCTGATGGCCGGTCTTGCTCGTGACGACGTAGGTGCAGCAGCCGCTTGCCCGCTTCCGGTCACTATCCGAAAGGCAAAATTGGAATAGGCATGTAGCGGAGAGGCAGCCTTAGGCATACTAGTGCGTGCCTCGGCCCGGCTCGAGCTCTGTTAGTACCGCTCTCGGCTTCACGTTATGGGCAGTATTGATGCACATTGTCATGTGTGTGTACCACGACTTCGTAGAATGTGAGGACGCTCTGACCGCGTGCACATGACTAGTCGACAAATGTCCATTTTCGAACAGCGAAGCCTAATTTGTCGAGCCCTAACGCCTCCGCTTGAACGCTCAAACAAGACAGATCCAGCTACGTAGCCTGATGTTGCCATTCAGGGTGGAACCTACATCTCCAAAGTCTTGCTACGTCGTGTGATCTCAACGTCTTCGAGCGCAGCAAGCCATAGACACCGACTCAGCACCTCTGGGTGAGGATGGAAGATGTACTTTGAGCTCGCTTCGATCAATCGCAACAGGCTTTTGACGATCGTGGCAGCGGTTTGGTAGCGCTCAAAATTGATCAGAGGCTCTTTGCTTGGAGGCAATGGCTCAATGCGTGGCGGCTTCTGGGCGTTGAACATGAGATCGTGCGTGTACAGACCAATGAATGGAATGCATCCGCTGTCCAGCGATGACGCCTCCATTTCGGCTCGAAGGTTGTGGAAGTTGCGAACAGGTTGACAGAGTTTCTCAAGCTTGTCGAGCTTCTGCTTCTCCGCCGGCGCTACAAGCGTCCATGTTGTCTGTAAGCGCGCGAGATCTGCCGAGAGGAGTGCAAGGGTGATCTGATACAACGACGCGTAGTTGCGGAAGCGATGACAGTGTGTTGCGATGTGGATGAATTTCGTGATCGACCGAGCTCGTTCGCTTGGAGCCGCTGTCAGCACGATCTCAGAGACGACCCATTTGACGACGAGGTTAAAGCGCGCCACAACAATGTCGATGCCTGTGGAGCCGTCTTTCTTGAGGTACTGGACCCAATTACGGGCATTTGGTGGCGACTGCTGCCAGCGCATACAGATGAGATCCTTCCAGTCTACTTCGTCGAGTGCGTCCTTCTCTATGATCGTAAGTTGTTCCGCAACAACCTCAGATTCAAAGGCGAGCACAAATGGCAGGTGGGCATCGGTTTGAGAGCCCGGCGATGTCGCCACGCGCCTCAAATCGGGTGGCGGCAGATCAAGAGTTGCGCCGGCGTCCTGCAGCATCCGTTGCCTGTCGACGTTCGGCGACAGCAGTTTAGGCGCACTCTGAGCCTCCTTGAGTTGCCGGCTTGTCCCTTCAGGCTGTTCCAGACGGTCACCTTGTCGCTCTGGCGAGTCGTCGGGTGGAGCACCAACCGTAGAAGGTGGTGTAGGTGGTGCTTGTACGTGCTGTGGAAGCACGTCTTCGTCGTCTATGGTATCGTCGAAGAAGAAACTACGAACTCCAAGACTTTCCCCTTCATTATGATCCGCAATCTCGGTGGAGATCTCCGACAAGCTTTCATTGTCATCCAGCAAAAAGGAGCCTTGCGGCGTGCCGGAGGTGGGCACACTGTCAGACCTGGCCGCTCGCTCCAGCTCCTCTGAAGACCGAATCTGCACGCGTTCTCCCGCAAAGGCGACCGACTTCGGCGAGAAGTCATGTCTTGTACTCGGTGATGGGAAGCTTTGCGCCTGCGACAGACCAGGCATGATCGGGCGAGCGGCGTCGTGACTTACGACTCGCTCGTACGGAGCGGCAGACTGTGGTGTTCGGAGTATGCTTTCGAGAACACCGTCAGATGCGGATGGATGGTAGATACTGGCCCCTTGCGTTTCCGTACGAGGAGTCCATGGAGTGCGCTGATCCTCCACTGGTGTAGAACCATCGGCGGAGATGCTGGCGTTCATAATTCGGAGAGGTCGTGGTGGTGGATGCTGTCGCGGCAAAGCGGGTGTGCTGGTGTCTGTCCTCGTTGCAACGCTACCCCTTGAGCTCTCATAGTTGCCTTCGAGCTTCCTGAGCGTTTCTTCGATGCCACCCTCCCTGGAAGGGTCTGGAAGCCGGGCCAGCCGCGAGACTTCTGCTGCGAAAGACGGTCTTAGCTTCGGCTCCATCTCTATGAGGCTAGTGGAATCATTTTTGGTCTGAACATCAAGATCCGTCCTCGGCAGCCGCCAAGCTTCGAAGCCCTGTCCCGAAAAATGCGTCCCGGACAGCTCCGAGCCGTACTGGACAGATGTCGGTCCTGAACGGGATATAGTAGAGAAAGAGCCGGCAGTGTGTGGTCGTGGCGTTGGTTCTAGCTCATGGACGTGGTCTGCCGCGCGAAGGTCGCCACCTGGCCGCCTCCGCAGTTGATGCGGCGCCGAAGGTAGTGGTGGTTCAGCTGGGTGGATACCCGACGACTTCCGCGGCGCCGTCACATGTGAAGGCGCTCCGCTGTCACGTACCATACCACCAGACCTCCACGCTTCGGGTACGGAGAGCAGATCATGCATGGGAATATCTGAGGACCGCCGTCCCTGCGTGGTTTCCGCCGGATATGAAGCGGACGGCCGAAGCGTGACGCTACCAGCATGGTACTCATGCTTCGACATATCTTCGAGTACCTGCACGGGGAAGCGGAAGGGCGGTGATGGCGCCACGCCACTCGACCATGAGCTGACCGAAGGTAACGCACCGGGAAAGGTAGGTGTCTTGTCATCACCGGTGTCGTCCATTATCACGATCGATCTGCTACCAGTCGTCACTCGGCTATTGTAGCGATCGATATCCGCACGAGGCAGGATCATCTCGGAGTCCATAGAGTCCTCGTTAGGATTCCGCGGACGATGTGGCTTAGCATCTTCAACAACCACATCGTCCAGCGACTTCAGACCTGTTGGCTCAGGTAGGTTCACCTCCTGAAATGCTGCAACGTAAGCCTTCCCCATCCTGTCACCAAGGACGTCCAATCTTGGAGGACCATGCAGCTGCTGCCACGCCAACGGCTGACCAATTCGGTCCTTCTCCGTCAATTGTGCAGATTCGCGCGAGCTTGATGAGTTCGTTGAGCGATGACTGCCACGACTGCGGTTCGGAGATGTGTAACGGATCTTGCGGCCGCTCAGCGCTCTCCGTACGTCGCCCACCAGCCTCCTCACGCCGAGGTTCTGACCGTCGAAATAGCTTTCATCCATCGCTTCGAACTGTGGCTCACTTGGCAATCCAGGGCTGATTGGTATCAACAAGTTGACGTTGGCTGGTGACGGCTGTAATAGTAGGCCACGTACCAGGCCTCCCGTAAATGTAGCGGAGGGCAGCGACTGTATGTCGATGCTATCGATCTTGGTGGAAGGCAGTGGCGTCCTGCCATCCCGTAAAGCGTCCGTAAAGCTTCCACTTCGCTTGTGCTGATTCGCCCGCCTAAGGTGTTCTCCGGAGAGTGGAGGGTTCTTTTGCGGGCCTGCTGGCCTTACGACTCTTGGACCGTCTGGTATCCTGGCAGACGGCCGAATCTGACGCAGAAACGGAACGCTACAGGAGAGTACCTGCAAACTCTGCTCGCTCATAGGCGAAGCTGGTATGCTTGCCTCGCGCGTTTTCGTTGGGCTGCTCGGGCTAAGAGCCGGCATCGTGTTTCCGCCGGATTGTGCTTGCTTTTCCACGTCCCCAGGTATCTTTAAGGGCACCGAAATGCGACGAAAGTCTGCCTTCGACGTCTGATGATGTCCTGAGGCCAAGGGTAGGCTCGCCACAGACGCTACCGAGTCCATGCTGTTGTGCTCCCCGCCCGGCGTAATATCTGCTTCTTCGGGAGCAGCCAAAATGTCTTTCGCGGGCCAGTACATGGCGCACGTCCGCCTCCAGCACTTCTTCAGCTCCCCAACAATTTTGAGGTCGCTGCCTCCGCCATCTGCTCGCCGCCTTAAATTCCGCACCAGTTCGTTTACAAGGTCACAGAAGCGCCCACGGAAGCCCAAGTCTTCTGCAAAGTCGTCCTCAAAGTAGTTCAAGATCCAATGTCGTAGCGCTACAAAGGTGCGCACTCTTACTATGCGGCCAGAATCGGTCGTGGTGCCAAATGCCCAAGCCAGTCTGGCTAAGAGATATTCGAGCAACTCTCTGCAGGATAGAAAGCTGCGATAAGTTAAGAAGAAATCCGAAAGTAGCTCGTAGTCCAGAAATAACGGCGATGTGATCTGGGCGACCAAACGAGCTGGAGTCGCCGCCGAGATGCGGCCTTGCGCATTGTACCTTACAATAGCTGGATCATTGACGTCCGCTTCAACCTTGTCGAACACGAGCACAGAGATAGCAGTTCCCAAAGGCGTAGTCAGCGGTGGCGTTGGAGTTGTACGCGAAGTCGTTGGCGATACTCTCGCTGAAGATGGATGGAGGTAAGGCGACGAGGAATTATGTGGCAGTAAGCCTCCTCCATGGGTACGACCAGGCGGCGCCGGGAAGAGCTTGTCGTACTCTTGTCGAGAGTATACGGAAGAATGCATGTCCTCGGAAGCCGAGGTGTAAGTCGAGTTGTGTAGATACGCCGTACCGCGCTCGCTGAACCGCGGCGTACCAAGTCGGTAGTGCGGTATATGCAAGTCCAAAAAGCCTCCGGTAAGGTCTATCGAGCTCTTCGGCCTGCCTGCTCCAGCATCGCGACCATTCACCAGCAGCTGGAAGTCGTTTTGGTCCAATGTTGGGGAGCGCATTTTGTCGCTTACAGTGGATAAAGAGTGCGATCGGGATCTCCGCCTTGGCTGCACATTAGACAAGCTCAGCGGCGGCATCGGTATGCTAGGATCATATGCGCTTGCTGCTCGCGCGCTCTGCAATCGAGGCGTCCAAGTCCCAGATGCATTGCTCTGTCTTGCGGGCCTGGCCCACGCAATATCACTATCGGAGGTGTCTGGAGGCGTCGCAGGTGATTGTACGAATTTCGCAGGCTGTATGCGACTCGGCTTGAGGTACAGTGTCCCACCCGCACCCACATTGGCGACAGTGAAATGTCTTGCGCCTGGCTCGTCCTCTTGCGCCGTGCTGGGTCTTTCCGCCGGCACGGTTCGTCGTGGGACACGAATGATCTCGCTACTGTCCTTCGCCGTCCGTATGCTTCCGTAGGGAGGCTGACGGAGTCTCTCCTGCTGTCGGTGTACCGGCGTCTTCACTGCAGTCTGCGCCGCCTCTTGTCGGCGCTTACGCGCCAGAGCAGACCGGTCCATACCCGAGCCATGAGCATGCGCTTTCCAGCCTCAACTGTCTTCCGTACCGCAAAATGTGTGTGCGCCTGACGCCCGTTCGGAAGAGACACCCCTAATCGCGTACTGCGTCTTAGTGTACCACAGCACACGCGCTCGTCGTACGGGGAGTGTGTCACAAACTCAACATTGTACCAATGATTCAGCCAGAGCTTCGAGAGACGATCGGCAGCCTACAATGGAGATCTACATAGCTTGACGACCGATTCAACGGTCCTCCGTCGAAACGCGCAACCTTCGAGAAGCCATCCAGGCCGAATGAGGTATGGCACATTAGCCGGGAGCGTGGGGTCGGCAAATGTCTCGGAGTACAGCTCGCATCGGGGTCGTAGTTCCGCGCTCTGAGTGACGTGAAACATCAGGTCTTAGGCGAGATCAGTAGCATGTGCGACCTTTTCCATCGAGTCGAATTGACTGCCCTACTAACGAGAAAGTAATTACATGCAAACCGCATCTCGCAGTCAAAAACTTGCGCATTGCCAAAGCGGCTACGCGAATCAATATGCCTGCTGCCACGTGTGCGTGGGCGTCAATACGCGAGACGATCCGCTTCGCGGAAGCTCCACACGCCGCTTTGGTTGCTAACACCCGCGCTGCAATCCTGCAATGCGTTTCATTCACCACCAATGTACCGCAGTACGCTCTCAGACTTCCACAATTTCGTGGTCTTCATGAGCCGCACCCATGAATACGCTGATCCTCGTTCAAGCATGTAAAGCCACACGCACCATAATCCTCTGGCATTACCAGGCGATGACTGATGGCATGGAGTGGAGGTAGGGTGTAGCTGCGAATGAGACCCTCACAGACTGAGGAATCACCATCTTTGTCCTCTTTCCCCTCTTTGCTCTCACTGCTCTTCATGTGAGCTCTCCATGTGAGCCATATGAAGTCCATCGCGTCGTCTCTCCGTCGTCGTTTCCGTGCGACACTGTGTAGTACATGCGACATAACTGCTGCCGGAGAGAGTTGATGGAGCATAGCTTCACGAGTCCGTGTTATGCCAAACCCAGCGAATGATGTTGCTCAGCTCGGCTTCATCGTATCGTCGTAGAACTCTATGTCGCCGTCCTCGCCCAGCCTCCCCTTTTTCAGGTACTGACCCTTCTCTCTCAGGATGTCCTCGAGCGTGATACTCTGGTCGGAGAAGATCTTCAGGTTATCCGAGATCAGATGCCTGTTCTTGCACCCCGGGCACGTTATGAGAGTCGTCCCGAAATGGTATGCCTGCTTCGTGATACGATGCGACGAGCGGTGGAGGCATTTGCGGCAGGTGAAGGTCAACTCGTAGGCAGGCTCCTGCGCTTTACGTGCTGCGACGTCATCTTCATCCCGCGGAGTCGGCTCCTGATGATTTGTGAGAGGTCTTGGCTCGGATGCTGTCGATTCGCATCTGATTTGACGAGCTCCCTGGCTCTTTCGAAACCCTTCGTAGAAGGCGGGAGACAGTGTTGGCCTGTGGCGCACAAGCTGCTGAGACAAGCATCTCGCTGATCCTAATCCAAACCCCGCTAGTCGAGTGGGCACATAACGAGTGCTACCGGTCACCCGCAACACACGTCCGAGCGCGCCTGGCATCTGCATTGCATTGTTTGCAGAACAAGGGAGCTTGTTGACGTGTAGCTTGGGGAGGAATGTGCGCCACGGGTAAGGCTCGGTAGCGCTTTCCCTCATGCGGGCCTGCGGTGCGCCTTCCGCTTTGGAACTAAGAGCTTAACACACTCGATGTTCCCAAGATTCGCTTGGCTTATGTCTGTAAGAGGAACATCGCTGTCGCTGAAAACCAGGTTACTTCTCTTCACTCACAAAGCCACTTAAACCCCGCCCCCAACAATCAGACCTGCAACAGTGCCGCGTTACGACCCCGAAACCCCGTACATTGCCACTAGGAGATCGGTCCACCCCGCCATAACATGGCCTAGATGGCCTAATTGACAAGACGTAGCAGACTGAGTTGCAGGCGCATGATGGCGACGATGTCGCGGAGAGGCGGTGCAAAAATACGACCACCACGAAGAGTAAGTGAATGCATCTTCAATCTGCATGTGGCTCGGTGGCTACGGCAAGCAAACAACGCCGACACACATTTCGATTTGGTGACCAAAGTGCCGTTGACCAACACCATCTCCCACCTCACTCACGTGCTATACTTACGGCGACATACATGCTGATATAATGAAGGGTCTGCAAGGCGCCGATGTAGACTTCGACACGACATGGCCCATCCTTGAAGGCGCGTTCAAGGAGATTCACACGAAGAACGCTTCCGCACTGTCGTTTGAAGAGCTCTACCGTAACGCCTACAAGATCGTGCTGAAAAAGAAGGGTGAGGAGCTTTACAACAAAGTCGCACGGTTTGAGGAACAGTGGCTAGGATCGACCGTGCGAACGGAGATTGTGCGGACACTCACTCCACCACTCACACTCACGGATGGTGCTGGCAGGACGCTGGCTACGTCGAGTGAACGGAGGACCGCAGGCGAGAAGTTTCTCAAGAGCTTGAAGCATGCATGGGAAGACTACCAAGTCTGCATGGGCATGCTGACCGATGTACTGATGTACATGGATCGCGTCTACTGCACAGACCACCGTCAACCGTCTATATTCGCTAAGTCCATGGGTCTTTTCCGGGACCAAATACTGCGGACGCCGGTGCAGCCAGCCTCGACCACATTGCTGGATGTCCTCACGCGCATCGTCCTCGACCAGATACAGATGGATCGGGACGGCGAGGCGATCGATCAATTTCTGATCAAGTCGAATGTGTACATGCTCGAAGGCCTGTACGAGTCAGATCTGGAAGTGGAGGACGAGAAGCTCTATCTGCGCTTCGAGAAAGTGTTCCTCGATCAAAGTGCCAACTTCTACCGCGATGAGGGTGAGAGGATGCTGAAGGAGTCCGACGCTGGCTCATACTGCCGACATGCGAAGAAACGGATCGACGAGGAGAACGACCGATGCCGCTCTACGCTATCTGAAAGTACTTCAGCAAAAATCCAGGCTGTGGTGGAAGGTGAACTAATACGGCACAAGATGAAGGGTCTAATCGAGATGGAGAACAGTGGTGTGGCGTTCATGGTGGACAACGACAAGTTCCACGAGCTCAGCCTTGTCTTCGACCTCGAAGCGCGCGTTGACCCTCGAAAGTCAGAGCTTACGCGAGCGATGCAGAGGCTCGTCACCGAGATGGGCACAGACATCAACAATGCAGCTCTGACAACTTCCGAGGCTACGCCACAAAGAGAGGCTGCCGGCGACGACGAGGACGGTAAACCTGCAGAAGAAGGTGCAAAGCAGAAACTGCCCGCCAAGCCACTCAGCCAGCAGACAGTCGCGGCGCTGAAGTGGGTCGAAGAGATACTGCGACTCAAGGACCGCTTCGACAAGATCTGCACCACATCCTTCAGCTCCGATCAGACCGTCTCGAGCGCAATCAATCGTAGCATGGCTGACGTGGTCAACACATTCTCTCGCGGCAGTGAGTACATCTCGCTATTCATCGACGACAACATGAAGCGCGGCATCAGAGACAAAACTGAGGCCGAGATTGACAGCACACTCGAGAAGGCCATCATGGTGCTGCGGTATCTGTCCGACAAGGATCTGTTCGAGACGTACTACAAGAAGCATCTCTGCAAGCGTCTGCTGCTGAAGAAGAGTGTCAGCATCGATGTGGAAAAGCAGATGATCTCACGGATGAAGATTGAGCTGGGCAACAGCTTCACACTGAAGCTTGAAGCTATGTTCAAAGACATGACCCTTTCCGAGGAGTTGTCGAACGGCTTCCGCGCGCATATCGCTGGTGTGATGGACGGCGCGCACAACAACTCGAAGCCTGTTGACCTAAGCATTCGGGTGCTAACCTCCATGACCTGGCCCCTTGAAGCTTTCCGCGGCGCCAGTGGCGAAGACCGCGACGAGAACAGTTTGGGTGGCCGCGACATTACCCTCTACCCTCCCGAGATCGAGCGTCTGAAGAGCGGCTTTGAGCGTTTTTATGCGCAGAAATACTCCGGTCGTAAGCTGACGTGGTACAACAACATGGGCGATGCGGATTTGAGGGCGCGGTTCCCCAGATCTACTCGCATACACGATGTCAACTGCTCGACATATGCTATGCTGATCTTGCTTCTCTTCAATGATCTGCCTGCTGGGGAGAGCCTAAGTCTAGAGGAGATCGAGGCCAGAACCAACATTCCCAGAGGCGATCTGGCGCGGAACCTGCAGAGCCTGGCCGTGGCGCCAAAGACGCGGTTCTTAGTCAAGGAGCCAATGAGCCGTGACATCAACTCCGGTGATCGCTTTAAGTTCAACGACGATTTCAAGCCGAGCTTCATCAAGATCAAGGTCGGTGTTGTGTCGGCAGGCAACAAAGTGGAAAACGACCGCGAGCGCAAAGAGACTGAGAAGAAGAATAACGACAGCCGTGGATTCGTGATCGAGGCGGCTGTTGTGCGGATCATGAAGTATGTGCTCATTGCCCGCCACTTCGTATTGACTAGAGGACAGACTACTAACAGGTTCTGCAGGCAACGCAAGCAGCTTCCTCATGCGCAACTGCTCACAGAGACCATCACGCAGCTCTCGCACCAGTTCAAGCCGGATGTCAATATGATCAAGAAGCGCATCGAAGGGTTGATCGAGCGCGAGTACCTTGAGCGGATGGAGGATGCGCCGGTGCCTTCGTACAAGTACTTGGCGTAAGACGCTATGCTCCTGGCTCAGATTCTGGAAGCCGAAGGCTACGTTTCCGAATGACATCGAATGAAATGGCTAGCGTGGCGCTCTTGGCGAACTTCGATTGCTCACTGAAGTTTAGCGAAGGTGTTGGTAAGGGGATGCGGGTAAGCTTGATAGCTTGACGGTACCGCTAGTTGCTGAGATAGAAGCCCGCTGGCTCGACTAAGGTACACTGCACCGTTCTTCGGGACTCACTCGTGCACCTCATGGATAGATTGTCCCACCTTACCACGCACCACGTCAACAGCACGCCGTGCTTCTGGAGCATAACTCATGGGATTTCGCCCCAGCAGTAACGCCGGACTGCCTCCTGCGTCACAAACCCGATATTGTAGGCTGCACTTTGGTGTCAATTGAACAGCTTGGCGGGTGCAGAAAGAAGCGAGCTTCGCGGGCTCTGCCACAGCTCAACTTCCCGTCCTAAGCAGAAGCGCCTGAAACCCGTGGCGGTTTAACACACGCCAGAATTCCGCCATGTGAGCGTTGCTACGGACAGACACATCATCGGCACATCCATGTCCGAATGGTCGTGCCCATCCGCAATTTTACCTGTCTCGCTATGGTCATTGAAGCGGCCATAGCTTTATTAGTGTGACAGCCGGCTGATAGTACCCTTGGCCATGACGGAGTTTTTCTAGCAAAGGCTGCCTTGGAAACAAGCAATCGGAGGACATCGACATGTAGCACGTTTAGGACCAGATCTTAGCCGACTCCATTCAACTGTGGCTTCTCAGTCCTCAAGCGAGAAGTCAAACGCCTTGAACGCTGTCTTGAAGGTCTCCGCATCAGCTTCTTCTTCGACTTTCGTCTGCTCACATTTTCGCCAATGTGTCCGCTGTTCGAGCCCTAGAAGCTTGCCAAGCACCCTCCTGCCGAACTGCAAGTCAAACCTGAAGCTCTTGTCGAGCGGCATGACCATCTCCTTCCGCAGTGTCTCCGACCAGATCATTACCTTGAAGAAGTCATTGCCCTCCTCCACCTTCTCCATTTCCTTGAAGCTTTTCGCAAACTTCGGATACGATAGATTCTCCGCCTCAACGTCGAAGCCTGCCTCCACCAGCCCGCGCTGAATCATGTCCGCCGGCATAGGCAGAAACTGCCAATGCAGATGAACCCCACTGCCACGGCTGATTTCCCACGTCACTGCACCCAGCTTTGACTGACCGTCTTCGCCTTTACTGCACTCCACTAGCATGTTCTGTAAGGCTCCACGATAGCGCTGCATCTCGTTCATGGTCGCTCGCCGAGTCTCGTCGTCAGGTATTGCCGATGTCGTAGGGGCGTGCTGCAGCGGAATCAGTAGCATGTGACCCGGGAATCCCAGCTCCGGAAAAGTTGTCCGCGTGGTGAGTGGCCCTTTCGCAATTGTCAAATACACGTCATTGCCGATCGATCCTATCATGTGAGTCTCGCAAGCCGGATTCGACAAACAAAAGTAGCACTGGTCCGGCTTCGGTGGCGGCTGCCATTTTCCGCGCTTTCGAGAACCGTACTCCGAGTCGTGGTGAGCATTGCCGTTGCCGTTCGCAAACCGGAAGTTGTTCACGTTAGTATCATGGGCCTCAGCCTTGCGCTTCTTGGGAGCAGTGAGCGGCGAAGCTGTGCAACCAGGTGGTATGGCGGTTGGAGGCGGCGCTGAAGGCTCTAGATTGAACGCATATATCCATTTGTGCTTGAAAGCATTTCCGAAAGGTGCCAAACTGATGAAACGAGTCACAGAGTGGGGTGCGGGACCGTTGTGAAAGAAAGGCTCCCGCTCGTAGTAGGCTTCTGATGTGGCAAAGTGATACCGCGGCTTCAAGGCAGTGCACAGATCCGAGACGGATCGTACGCCTTGAGGTGGAGGGGTAGAACCGACATACTGAGCACTAGCACCGTCTTGAACCCCAGCAGGCCAGTCGTCCGTGACCAGGATGTCGGCATCTCCACCAATTGAAGACTGTGTGGTAGCAATCCGGAACCCATCAGATGTCTTCAGCGTCTTTGTGATGACGCTAAGATTGGGACAAAGTTCTCCAGTCTCGTAGAACGCTCTAGCTTTTTCCGGTATATGATGGTGGCCAGGAATTGTGTAGATAGGGAGCGGCACGGGGAGCTCCGCACTCAGCAGCTTGTCGAGCTCATTACTGTCATCTTCGCCGAACAGTTTACCGGCAATGATCGCAAACGCGAAACCTTGCTTCGCGTGCAATGAGGCAAGTCTTGCAAAGACCTCAGTAAACCGGCCATTAACGTCACCGAGCACTACGATTTTGGACGCCATTATTGGTGATATCCTGCTAGAAGATCCTCGTTGTTGGAGAGCGGCTGCATAGTTGCATTGATCTATCAAAATGTTGCGAAATATTGGGCCGTCGTGGATGCTGCACGTGAAGTTGGCGCTCCGGATTGAGATGTCAAGGTGGGGCCGGCCGTTGCAAACTAAGAAGGTACGTTTCGGTCCGCCCCCAGATTTCGACGGTGGCGTTAATCTTTTCTGATCCTTGCACATTGACGTTTGCGCATCGTCTACCTCACCGATTTTGTCCACAACGCATACGAGCATGTAAGATGGCTGGTCCTTCATCGCTCAAAGCTAGGAAGCCTTCCAAGGTGGTGAAGCCAAAGAAAAGCAAGCTTCGCTCGACTGCAACGACGAAACATCATCGCTTCCAGTCTTTCTCGGAGCGCATAACGAAATTGAAAATAGATCCAGTCCGACGCAGACGGCATGCGGAGAATCACGACGAACTAACCGATGACACGGCATCGTACTTCGGACGGTCACTGCAAGAATGGAAGGACCTGAATCTATCCGCGGCGTTCACGGCTTTCGCTCGAGAGGTAGCACCTTTTAGCGATAACCTGGCTATGATCCTCCATCACGATCAGAAGATTATGCAGCTTCTGGTGACTTACATCCAGCGAGGTGACAGTTTGGCTATGGAGCCGCTGTTGAGTCTCCTTGCGCATTTTGCTCACGACCTGGATGCTCGCTTTGAGCAGCACTTTCAAGCAGCTATCTCCACCGTAGCCGCTGTCGCATCCAAACATACAGATCCGGCGGTCATAGAATGGAGCTTTACCTGCCTTGCCTGGCTGTTCAAGTACCTGTCGCGGCTTCTCGTCCCGGACTTGCGACCTTTGTACGATTTAATGTCGCCATACCTGGGCAGAGAACCACAGAAGCCTTTCATAATCCGTTTCGCCGCAGAGTCGTTTAGCTTCCTGCTCCGGAAAGCAGCTGCTAGTTACGAAAGGGATTCTAAGCCTCTTGATCGTATCGTAGTCCACATCCTGCAGGATTACTCGACTACGCAATATGAACGCTCGGCGGAGCTGCACCGCCAAGGCATCATGACCTTGCTCACAGAGTCTGTGAAGAGTGTTCAAAGTGGTCTGCATTCCAATGGCTTGGCGATACTCGCATGTCTGTTAAGCACATGTCACGCTACGTCTGCACTGAGCAAGGCCGTGGTCACCGACCTAATGACAGGCGTACTGACAAGCCTCATCCATCACACGGACTCTGAATCGTTCCAACCGGCCTTGCAACTGGTCACTGCTCACATTCAATCGCAAACGCCTGAGGACGAAGCTTCTCTTCTGTTCGCGAGTGACATACTTTTCGCTACCGTAGCCGTAAGGAAAGGGACTAGAATCGTTGACTGGTCGCTTGTTTCTGCGACGGTAAGGGAGCTTTTCGAAAGAGCCGAAAACTTCCCCAGCACTGGCAGAAATGTTCGTGCAAAACTGCTAGCTCTTCTGAGCATTGTCCTCATGACAGCAACAATGCACGCAGTATTGCCGTTGCTGCCTTTGTTGGAGACGGCTCAAAAGGATCGATGGACGGAGCTCTTTCCCCGGTTTTGCGATATGTGTACTAGGCTTAACCGAGACAGATTCCAACATTTTGTTCTCCCGGCCCTTTGCAAATACATGGCGACAGAATGGCAGTGTCATACGGACGAGCTGCTGCTCTTGCTGCCAACCTTCCCTGCCGGACTTTCAGCAGACAAGCCGTTGGTACCAATGGAAATGCAGGTAGCCCTGACTGAGCGAGTGGAGCATACTGCAAGTAAAGAATGGGACATGATCAATCTGCCTACCACGAACGCAGCTTTACAAGCCTTAAAGCTTACGAAGCTACGGGAAGACAACGAGCAGAAGGTAGCCTCAGCGCTGGTCCGGATGTTGCAGTGCGCCGTGACCGACGCCGCCAACGCACCTCCGGAGTGGTCCGGTTTTGCTCTAGGCGTGGCCCTTGACTTTCTTCTTGACTGCAGAATTGATAGCTATGTGCTTTCCAGTCTGTGGTCTTCCCTTTGCGAGGCGAGTGCACATCTTTGGTCGCTACCCGCGTACTGGAAGAGCATGCTTCGCTTTGCTAAGCAGCTTAAGCCAACACTACACGACGACGACCATGTGCAAGTGCTCAAGGAGTCGCTCACAAACGCACTTCAGCTGCCTTCCCATGACGTCAGACAATATAGCCTGGAGCTCGCAGGCGCTCTCTACGATCTTGAGGGTTGCCCCGTTCCTGACGTTCTTTCCACGGCCATCGCCATCGAATCGACACCCATCAGTCTCGATACCAGTCGTGGGATTTCACTGAACATCCGTCTCCTCGCTTCTGGATTACATGCCGTTTCACCAGGTGCATGGATAGCCAAGGCCATTGTAACGTATTGCTTTGGCCTCCTGCACGTTCGCTTAGCTCAAGCTTGGGAGGATGCGATAAAAACGCTTCTTGAGATCTGCAAAGTTCACTCCACTTGCGAGGGGACCGTCATGGCGCTTGCTCAAACGTGGTTAGAGATGCCATCGACGCCATGCGACGAACAACTTGCAAATACCCGGGTTTTGCATGCAGACTCCGACGGCTTCCAAGTGGTGTCAGACTTCGAGTGCTCTAATCTGGCAAGGATGTCTGCAGTGACGCAGCAGGTCTTCGAGGCATCACATGCGGGATATCTTTCGCCGCAACACCAACTATGCCTTCTCACCAAGCGTGCGTCACTTGCGACTCCGGATTCACGCAGCCAAGCGCTGCGAGTCCTGCAAGCAATGCCATACTTAGCCGAGAAACGCTCCCGGGCACTGGTGCCGGTCCTGTTGAGCTGGGCTGCCGGTCACAGTGCGGGAGAAACAAGCGAGCGGTGGAATCGCAAGGATCAGAAGGCTCTGCTGGCAGTCTTTGCGCAGTTCACCAACCCCAAGGCACTGTACAGAGCACCAGAGGTCCACCAAGCACTACTTCAGCTATGCGCGAATGGTGATGTGGAGATCCAGCGTTCCGCGCTCAAGGCTATACTCACGTGGAAAGATACCGCTGTTGCGCGGTATGAAGAGCATCTTACCAATCTTTTGGACGATGCTCGGTTCAGAGAAGAGATGGCCACCTTTCTGCAAGGCGCCAACGAAGAGGGCGCAATATCCGCCGAGGACTATGAGCGCCTCACGCCCGTGCTGTTGCGCCTGCTCTATGGTAGAGCGGTCGCGGGCGGCAAGCACGGCCAAGAGTCTAGAAGGAAAGCTGTCTTCTCTGCCATATCGCGCTTTGGCCACACAAGTCTTGAGCTTTTTGTCGACATTGCAATAACGCCTGTTACGACGCCAGGTACGACCTTTCCGCAGGCTCCTTTACGGCAGCAGCTCGGCATGCTGAACATGCTGAGTGACCTCTTGGAAACTATCGGTGCCGGAATCATCTCACTGGCTGCGAAGATACTGAATGCGGTTGTGCCCTCTACGGTGAATGCATCAAAGGAGCTCGATGTACAATTGACAGATAATGAACGAGAAGACGTATCGTTGCTCCGCGCAGTCCGGCAAAGTGGCATTCACTGCCTTGTGCAGCTATACGGTTACATGCCCGAGCTTGCTGTCAACTGTAGTGAAGCAGCAGCCATCATTCTGGATGAGCTCGTGGCACCGCGCCTACCTAAATTTGCAACGGAAAACAGCCAATCCGTGTCCGGTCTATTACGGCTATTCAGCGCCTGGGCCGCATCGCCTCAAAGCGCGCAACTTCTCGCGGGTCCAAACCTGCTTGCCAGGCTTGCAGAGCTACTTCGTGAGCCCGCAGTCAAAACCGAAGTGTGCGTATTCGTACTGCGGGATATTGTAGGACACCTCCTGCAGGACACCGTTGAACCGAGCATTCTAGCGCCTCACGTGTCCGATCTTGTTAAGAGTATTGGAGTAGTACTGGGTAGCGCACTTGAAAGAGATCTTCTGGACGCCTCTGTTGCTGTACTAATCAGGCTGGCGGACAGAATAAACGATAAAGGTCAAGCTCAGGAAGTGATCGATGTCTGTTGCGCGCTCCTCACCAAAACCACTAAGCTTGTATCCCCTGGTATCAAAGCTGGCCTTCTCCGGACATTGATGCCTCTACTGGAGTCCTCGAACAACACGCCAGATATCAAGCTCTTTGCAGCGGTGTCCGGACTGTTGTCCCGTTTTAGCGACGCTGCCAGCCGCTCCCTCGTTCTTGAGGTCTTGAGCAAGTTATGCCTTGTTGATCCGAAGCTACAGATGAGTACCGAGATCTGCGCCGACCTTAACGCTCAGAGCGTACGCCTAGACAACGCAGACTATGAGAGACGTGAGAGAGGCTTTACGAACGTATTGAAAAATTGGCAATCTCTCACCCCACACCAGTGGCTGCCGGTTGTGCACACTTGCCTGTTCTATATTAGAGACGCCGAAGACCTCGTCAACCGAGCGAGCGCAGCTCAAGCCCTCACATTATTCGTTGACGCCGCGGCTGCATCGAAAGCTGGCGAAACGCAGGCGTTCCATGCACTGGCTCAAGATCCACTGGTGCGAGGCATCCAGTTCGGCATGCAGCAGCAGTCGGAAGTTGTTCGCGCGGAATATGTACGGTTGTTGGGCCATGTTACCGCCAAACTGCCGAACCTGCCAGCCGTCTCCGACTTGGCCCACCTGGTGCCCGACGGCGATGGCGAAGCTTCATTCTTCTCGGGCGTATTGCACATTCAGCACCATCCTCGACTTCTAGCGCTAGATCGACTTGCATCCGCTGCACCGCATATCAGCTCGAGCAATACCACCAAGCTGTTCTTGCCTTTGCTCGAGCACTTCATATTCGACCAGGCGGAAGGTGACCGGGCACGTAACCTTGCTGACAGGACCATCACCACAATACGCGCGCTTGCCGCTTCTCTGACTTGGCCCGTCTACCGATCGACCTTCAAGCGATACATTAGCTATGTCAGCTCAAAGGAAGGCTTGGAGAAGACGGTATTGCGGCTGCTGGGAGCTCTGGTCGACGCATTGGCATCCAAGCCACCCCAAGCGGCAAACTCTGACGAAAACATTGCTTCTGGTAAGGCGCAAACTGTCATGCGGGACTTCCTGCCGCCCCTTCAACAGTATCTACATCGGAAGGATGAGTCTACTGTGGACCGCCGAATGCCGGTTGCTGTCACTATCGTCAAGCTTTTGCTGCTATTGCCGGAAGATGAAATGGCTTCTCGTCTGCCAGCCATCTTGACCGATGTGGCCCACGTGCTTCGTAGCCGGCGCCAAGAAGCACGAGATGAGACGAGGAAGACTCTGGCTTCGATATTAGCTCTGATCGGACCACAGTATCTTGGCTTTATGCTGAAAGAACTCAGTAGCGCATTGCGAAGTGGCTACCAACTCCATGTCTTGTCGTACACGGTCCACTCGTTGCTCATCAGTCTTACAGCAACAGATAATTGTATGCCTGGTGATCTCGATCACTGCCTGCCGGACCTCATGGCGATCATTATGGACGACATCTTCGGTATTACAGGTCAAGAAAAGGACGCAGAAGAATATAAGAGCGGAATGAAGGAGGTCAAGAGCAGCAAAAGCTATGATACCATGGAGTTGCTTGCTAAACTAACGCAACTCAATAAGCTTGGCGTATTAGTCCAACCATTACGGGCATTGCTGGCGGAGAAGCTGGACTCCAGGATGTCGAAGAAGGTCGACGAGCTGCTGAACCGTCTACGCAAGGGTGTGGACCAAAACCCGGCAGCTAGCAGCCGCGACCTTCTCGTATTCTGTCATGAGATTGTGCGGCTTGTGTACGCCGAGCAAAATCGTCCGGTAATAGACCAGGTCATGCCGGCTTACAAAGTTCGCAAGTACCTAGTGCAAGCGGAGTCCGCCAGAAAATCTGGGGGGCGGGGCGCGACGACATCGCAGATGTACAAGCTCGTCAGCTTTGCCTTGAACCTGGTCCGGAAAGTCGTGCGGCGACATGAGGACCTGCTTACGCCCGTGAACATGGCTGGTTTCCTGTCTATGGCTGGTGATGCACTTGTGCAAGGGGAAGAAGAAGTCCGGCTTGCCGCGATGAGACTGCTCGCTACGGTCATCAAAGTACCGCTTGCACGGATCGATGGCGATGCTCTTGTCTATGTCAAAGAAGCCGTGGCGATCATCAAGGGTGCATCGGACATACACAGTGACTTTGCAAAGGCTGCCGTGGAGCTTGTCACTGCCGTGCTGCGGGAGAGGCGATCTGTAACCGTAAAAGACACAGACGTTGCGGTAATACTCAAGGCGCTGAAAGCCGATATTGATGAGCCAGACCAACAAGGCACGATTTACAAGTTTCTGCGCGCCGTAGTCGGTCGTAAAATAATCATCACTGAGATGTACGAGCTTATGGACGAAGTCGGCAAAGTCATGGTCACCAATCCGGATCGCAGCATTCGGGAAAGCGCGCGGAGTGCGTATCTGCAATTCGTAATGGAATACCCGCAAGGCAAAGATCGGTGGAAGAAGCAAACAGCATTCTTGATCGAGAATCTGCGGTACCAACACGCCACGGGCCGGCAAAGTCTTTTGGAGCTGCTACATCAGCTCCTTGCGAAGCTTTCGGATGAGAGGCTCGAGCCTCTGGCCATGACGCTGTTCGTGTCGCTGATACCGGTCCGTGTCAGTGATGGGGATGTTGCTTGCCAGCAGATGGCTGGACTGCTCATCGCCAAATTGTTCGAGCGCGCCGAAAAAGAGAGTCTAGAAAGCTTCTCAAGTTTGATGACGAAATGGTTGGACAACGATGAGAAGCCCATGCTGGCGGTTGCCGCCTTGCAATGTTGGCAAACTTACCTGCAGGCGAGGCGGGATGTGTCTACGGCACAGCTGGAGCAGCTGCGCGATAGGCTCGCGGGCTTTCTCAAGAGCGAGGACATTGAGGTCGGACCGCAGTTACTGCAGGCTGTTCTTGACACTGTCAGCACACTAGCCGACTCCGCCTCCAGCACCATCTTCGCTGCTAAATCTACCACGATTTGGGAAAGCATTACTGGACAATGGCTGGAAGTCTCACAGACCGACATCCAGCAACAAGCTTCGAAGCTACTGGAGATCTACTTCGCGCATTTTGCCCGCAGCAACAAAGACGCTGGCCTTTCCAGCATACCGTTGAAAGGCTCCTACGGCTTGAGTTTGGATGAAGACGGTCTTTGCTCCATCTGCCGAACCTTGCTACAGGTTCTGCATGGTTCCGAAGCCGATAGTTTGCTGGAGTCCGTGACTCGCAACCTTGCCTTTGTTGGTCGCGTCCTCTCAGCCTCTGGTCTTACGTGGAAAGACAATGGCGCCGCTGATGGTGACTCTGGTGCTCCGTCGGCGCTTAGCTACCTACTCCGCCAGCTGTCCTTTATCGTTCGCCAGGACCTGCCAGCCAAGAATCGCATCGCTGCCACTCAGTGCCTTGTCCTCATCATCAAACACCTTGACGAGATTTCTGACGTCCAAACGCTCTTACGACCATTATACACACTTACCGACACGAGCGTATCCTACGCGCAAGACCAGGCGCACGTTGATCTCATAGACAAGGCACGTGAGCTGCTCGACCTAGTCCAGTCAAAAGTCGGGAGTGAAAAGTACATCTCAGCCTTGGGCGAGACGAGGAACGAAGCCACAGCTAGACGGGATGAGCGACGGCAGAAAAGGAAGCTCGAAGCGGTGTCAGCGCCCGAACGATGGGCCAGAGAGAAGAAACGGAAGCACGATGCGCAGAAGGCACGGAAGAAGGTCAAAGGTGCTGAGATGGCTGGCCGACGTAGAGGATGGTAGTCGTACACCTCGCTAAGCAGAGTTCATGCGATACTTAATGTACATGATTTCTAGGTAGCCTTTAGTTTTCTGCCTATACTTACATCCAGATTCCCAATCACCCAGCTAACGGCGAAAACGGCTACCATCGCGGCGAAGATCGTCAATGGTTTCCGGAAGCGCGCCGTGAAAGGATACTCGTATGTAACGATGAGCTCGCGGTCACGCAACTCGTCGACGACATTGAGGGCGGTCAGGGTCAAGGTTGTGCGACCCACGGTGTCCATGAAGGTACGGTAAGTGCCCGTGGTGTTCGCAACCAGCGGGATGGCCGTCTCGAAATGCACGTTGCTACAACTGTACGTCAGCATACTGTGTAGGCCAATCCGAGGAAGCGATCTTACGTGGCGCCTTCAGGCAATATGACCCTCGTGACAATGCGTTCATACTCCACACCCTCAATCTGCTTCGGGCCCTCGAAGAAGGGTGCCTTGAGCACGTACGTCTCGCCTGTGCCCTTGACTCTCCGTACGAAATTCTTCAAATCGCCATTCCATCCGACCTGGAACTTGTAGTTCCAGCCTCCGAAAAGCGGATAACGTGGCCTCAGCTCCAGGTTCGCTTCGCGCAGATTACTCCTAAAACGGCTCGTCGAGACGTTTCCGATGTCGTCAACGAAGTACGCGTCAACACTTCCGACAGTAAGTGGGAAGCGCATCTCCTTTAACGCGGAAGTGGGAGGATTATAGTAAGCGCTCTGCGCATACGTGACTCGGGAAAAGTGATTCTTGAGCACGGCCGCGCGGTTGGTGAGCCAGTGTCGTTCCTCCGTTGCGAGATTATTGCCCCAATGTGAGACCGAGATGTCCCTTTCGAGCAAACTGCCGTGGGTAAGAGGGTGCGTAAACTCGTAGCGTACGCTCACTTCTTGAACTGCACCAGCTGGGACCTCATTGTAAGGGCCGTAAGTGTAGCTCGTACCTTGCTTCTCGGGGTCAGCCTTGCCGTCTGCGTTAAGTTCTTTAGGCAAGCTTGTGGCATCTGGGACATCGGTTGAGGGGAGCTTGAGCTTGGTCTTTTGCTTCAATGTGGTGTATGCTGACGGGGCATAGGCAGAGAACGGGTAGCGGATGTACTGTTTGTCTTGCTGACCAATCTGGAAGGGAACCGGAGAGAGAGCAGCGAGAGTCCAGTAGGTTAGGGAAAGTGTCTGTTGTTGCTTGGAAGGAAGAGCCGTAGGAAGTGTGATCTTATAGTATTCCGTTGCGCTGCCAACCGTCAGTTAGCAAAGGCTTACGCTTGCCACAATGTGACATACACTCACCCATAAGGATCGATTTCAACAATCTCCGCATGAAAGCCTATGTTGTCCGGGTCCTTCTTGTCCTTTACCACCAACCCGCCGACCCTGCCTAGTGTACCCTGTTCGAATGGCAGGTAGTACTCCGACTGCGGCGCAGCATCAATGTTCTCAATTACTACGTTGATCGTCTCGCGAGGGTAGCTCTTCTCCAGGTTAATTTTTCGTACGAGGTTAACATTCCGGAAGTGCTGGGGAGGCTTGAAGGTGGATGGCAGAATATCACGGGATCGCTCCGTGAGGTTTGAGTCTGCCCATGACAGTTGTATTAGGCCCATCAAGGCCCATCTATCGAGTCTCATTGCTGGATTGGAGGAAGCGCAATGCTTCGGTCTGCCAATGGACACTTAGCACGAGCTCGTCAAGGTGGCCTCTCAGAGCGTTGCTGGTGAAGGAAGGTCGGCCGAGAACGCTAATATGCGCCAGGGATACCACCAACGGCTTTGCTGAGGAGGCCTGTTTATTTGGCTGACAATCAACGATGTAAACACTCAACGAAGAACAACATGTCAACTTCGCGGACTGGGAGGTGACAAGTATGACCCTGCCATTGAAGGTATTCCGTCGGCGCTCTACCTTTCTACGGCCGTATAGAAGAGCTAAGTGCTCCATCTCTACTTCTTCGCGTTTTCTTCGCATTTCGGAAGAAGTTCAGCAAGCCATAGCCGAGAAGCGGCCAGTCGTCGCTCTCGAATCCACTATCTATACCCATGGCTTCCCATATCCTGACAATCTGTCCCTTGCCTCTCGACTAGAGAGCCTTGTCCGTATCAATGGTGGTGTCCCGGCGACAATTGGTATTCTGGATGGCATCGCTCGTGTCGGCCTTGGCGCCGACGAGCTGTTCCGACTGGTGTCTTCAGCCGGGCAGTCTTCTACCCTCAAGGTTTCCAGGCGGGATTTGGGTTTCGCTTGCGGGCTTTCAACGTTGGAAGGCAAACCGCTCAGTGGAGGGACGACCGTAGCAGGCACCATGATCCTGGCCCACATGGCCGGGATCCGCGTCTTTGCTACAGGAGGACTGGGCGGTGTCCATAGAGGCGCTGAACAGACCATGGACGTCTCTGCTGATCTGACTGAGCTTGGCCGGACACCTATTGCCGTTATTAGCTCAGGCTGTAAATCTTTCCTCGACCTCCGACTGACCCTTGAGTATCTTGAGACGCAGGGTGTTGCTGTTGCCACCTTCGCTGACGGACGACAAGGTGCTGTGGACTTCCCTGCCTTCTGGAGCCGAGATAGCGGTGTGCGATCTCCGGCTGTTGTTTGTGATGAGGCGGAGGCGGCGAGAGTAGTACATGCCCATCTCTCTCTTGGACTACATTCTGGCTTGCACTTCGCGAACCCGATCCCTGTAGCATATTCTATTCCGTATCAACAGATGGAGACTACGATTACTCAGGCTCTCGAAGAGGCACGCGTAGCGGGTGCTACTGGCGCTGCTTCTACGCCATACATCCTAGCTAAGATTAAGGAGCTCACAGGTAGCAAGAGCGTCGAGGCTAACAGAGCTCTTGTGGAAGCCAACGTTGTCCGAGGTGCCAAAGTTGCCGTTGAGCTTGCAAAGCTCGGAAGCGAAGAGGAACGGCGAGGGTAAGTGCATCAGCGAACATGCAAAAGGTCTCAGCTCACAATTTAGGCAGCGTTTTGAACACTGGGTACACCAATAGCGCTCGCAGCGACAGACAGGCTACGAGCTCGAGTCTCAGCGAGCATGGATATGATCAAATGGCCACTACTTCGTCTCCTGTCACCGGACCGAGGACTGACGGTGATGTCGCCACGGATGAGCGGGCAGACATTATCGTAGCGGGCAGCTTAAACGTCGATTTTGCGTGCGACTTCTTGCCGCCCACAAATTCCACCAACCGAACTCCAGAATCTGCGACCTCTAATCCAGCCATAATCAGCCAGTCGCTAGGCGGCGTGGGCCACAATGTTGCCAGAGCGGCACATCTCATGGGTGGCAGAGTCCGGTTGTGTAGCGCCGTTGGCGACGACCTATCGGGCAAAGCAACACATGACTCCCTAACAGCGAGTGGGCTCTCTCCAGCCGCCGTGATGATTATGCCAAGTAGTACTGGCCTGCGTACGTCACAATATATTGCCGTCAACGATGCGGAGAGGGATCTGGTGCTCGCCATGGCGGATGTAAGCATACTGGATGACGCCGCTGGCGATGACGCGATTAACGAGGCGTTCGACGAGCTGTGGCAGCCGCAATTGTCCATGACGAATGCATGTCAACTCGTTGTTGATGCCAACTGGTCGGCTAAGCATCTTGTTAGGTGGCTTCAGGTCGGCAAAAAGTATGGCCTGCGTGTCACCTTTGAGCCCGTTAGCAATCTGAAAGGTGCCCGTCTATTTCAGCTGCCAAAACCGCACAGCCTCTCCGTCTTCCCAATGGCCTCAGTCCACCTTACTACCCCCAATGCATACGAGCTAACAGCGATGTATCACGCTGCGCGAGCCTCGGGCGCCTTTGACCGGCAGGACTGGTGGTCCGTTATCGACGCTCTGGGCATTCCTTCTTCTGGTGCCCGCACGGCGATGGCACTTGCCACCACGAGCGAGCTGGTTGATCGCGGTATACCGCAGCAAAGTATCCAGCTGTTACCGTTCATCCCTTGCATTTGCACGAAGCTGGGTGCCGAAGGCGTGTTGCTCACCCAGCTCCTCCCTGCCGGCGATGCTCGTCTTACCTCCGGGCAATATGCGCCGCACATCCTATCGCGCTGCGTCAACGGGACAGAGGAGAGTCTTGGGGTGGGAGGAGTTTATATGCGTCTCTTCTCGCCTGCGGAGATCGTGGATAACGAGGATGTGGTAAGTGTCAATGGCGTGGGCGATACGTTTGCTGGGACGCTTGTGGCGGGTTTGGCCACAAGAGGGAAGGATACGCCAATCGAGGAGCTTATCGATCTGGCTCAGAGGGCGGCGGTGTTGACGCTGAAGAGTAAGGAAAGCGTTGCAACGGGGTTGGGCACGCTGAGTATGTTGCTGTGACCGTAGGTCGTGCTGGTGCCTCGTTGGTGTAATCCTCATGCTCTATAAGAAACTCACTATGTTCAAGTTCTAGGTCGAACAACATCCGTGCCTTCCCGCGGCAACGCCGTGGTAATCACTGCAGTTCTGATTGGGAGTGAGATGGACAGAAGAAGAAGAAGTAGAGTCTCCGTTTTTGCCCAAATACAGCATACACGCCTAGTCCGCCTTTTGCTTTGCGCTCACGCCATGCTCAACTACACACACGGTCTTGTACACAGAGTCTCAGCATCGCATTATACCCTAGTTTACTTCCGATTCCTCTCCACACCCGTTTGGCTGATATTCAGACCGAGCCCTTGCGTGTCGAGATATACCTTGTTACTGCTTTTCTCCAGTATCTCCGCCACTCTTCTCGCATTGTCGAACTCTCTGAGTTCAACATACGAACGACTCTTCTTGATCGCGTCACCGATCAGCTCGGCAGAGCGAGCTTCACCCTGTGCGCGGACGACCATGGCTTGCTTCTCCTGCCGTGCCTTGTCGACGACGAAGGCGGCGCGTTGGGCTTCTTGCTGAGCGACCTGTTTCGCTTCGACCGCTGCAGTGAACTCGGGGGAGAAGGAGAGTTGCTGAAGCACAAGGTGTCAGTAAGTGATAAGGAGGTGGTTGTAGAGTCAAAGTGACCTACAGTAAGCGAGACATCATCCACCATGATGTTGAACCTTGCCGCTCTCCGCACAAGGTTATCCCGCACCATCCTGCTGACGTTCTCTCGCTGCGTAATGAGCTGACTTGCATTGAATTGCGCCACCACGCTCTTCAGCACCTCGTTGACGATGCTCGGGAGCACTCGTTCATCGTAATCCTGACCCAGCGTGCGGTAGATCTGGGGTAGTGCATCTATACGTGGCCGGCTGAGCACACGACACGTTATATTGACCATTTGCAGGTCCTTCGTGCCGGTGAGGGAAGGAATGGAGCGGGGTCGTGCGCGGACATCGTAGTCGATGGCCGTTTCGAACCATGGTACGATGAAGTGGGTACCTTCGGAGTAGATCTCTTTGCTGATGCCGGATATGCGGGTGTATTTGATCGCGCGGTGACCACCATCGACTATACACGTTCAGCAAGAGTTAGATGGAGAGTAGTAGGGGAGGAGAGCGGCTGATGTACCGTTGAAGAGGCCGTTGTTGAAGAGCCAGTAGCCACCGATGAGGAGGCCGATGCCTGCGAGACCACCTAATGCTCGTCCTGTCGGTGGACCACCACCGGGGCCTCCACCTCCTGCGAATCTGCTCAAGCACTCAATATGCGTTTGTAGCCAAATCTATGACTGTTGCCAGACGTACCTTTGCCCTCGCTGCTGCATTTGCCGCAAATTCTTCTGTAGGTTCTCCCACGCTTGCCTCGGATCGGTTGCCATCTTTGTATAACAGCGCCTTTTTCTGTCCTCCTTCCCAACGAGATCGCTACCAAGTTCAGTGTGTGTGTGTGGCGGTTGTCTCGATGACGGCGCAGTGAAGCTCTCCAACTTCCGCTTTGGGTGCCAAGGCCGCATCATGAAGCTCGGATCTTCTCCGTTGCTGGCACCTCGAAGCCGCCTTTCTTCGTCTGCAAACATGGAACACTTTGTCGTACAGGCGCAGCACTCTGGTTCGATCAACCACCTCCACTCATTCGTCTTCTCTTCTTCCGCTGTAGATATTGCAAGAGAAGCGAGGAACATCGTCAGTGTCATCGTTGTTGGTTGGGTCTTGGTAACATCCATTCGAACGATCGCATTAAGGCCACGGCAAGTAGGTGGATAAGGCAGCACGGGCACAGTGAAGCTTCACCCGCGCTTTACTGGCAAACTGATTGCAAAATTCGCCCATATCAAGCATTACAGCGACGCCAACAAGGCGCACAATACAGGATCGATAGGACAACCGGCGCGCTTGAAAGCTATTGACGGAGCAGAGCATTTTCTAGCGTATCTTGGGCCAACAGCTGCGGGAAGGTCACTTCGAGGACTGTAATCATGCAACAGCCGTTTCCCCTATACGCGCTGAAGTGGCTTCTCCTCACCATAGCCGTCTCCGCACAATCGATCACCGACAGCGTCTCCTTCGGCCAAAGACACCCCATAGCAGCAGACGGCGGTAGCATACCAGGCTGGCAAGCATTTGACGAGAATCACCAAATCCAAATACTGAGCGATCGCATCATTCTTACCCCTCCAGTCCCAGGCAACGCAAGAGGTGCGATATGGTCAGACAACACCATCGCACAAGCCGACTGGACAGCCGAACTCGAGTTCCGCGCCTCAGGACAAGATCAGGGCACAGGTAACCTCAATATCTGGTTTACGAAGGAGAAAGGAGAGATTGGCACAAACAGTGTTTATACCGTGGAGAAGTACGACGGCTTAGCGTTGGTTATCGATCAATATGGCAGCACAGGCGGCAAGGTTCGAGGCTTCTTGAATGATGGCAGTCAAAATTTCAAGGCGCATACGAGTCTCGAAAGCTTAGCGTTCGGGCACTGTGACTACGCATACCGCAACCTTGGGCGTCCGAGCAAGATTAGCATTTCGAATCACAACGGCCTGACCGTCTCCGTGGACGACAGGGAGTGCTTCCGTACCGATCACGTGAGTCTGCCGGCAGGATATCACTTCGGCATCACTGCCGCAACAGCAGATAATCCGGACTCTTTCGAGATCAACAAGTTTGTCGTTTCGTCTAGCTCTGGCGCCCCACCCCCGCCACAGCAACAGCCGCAGACAAGCTCTTGGTCTTCTCCGCCACCGCTTCAGCGCCTTGACCGGTTACAACTTAGTCCTGACAAGCCGGCTGAACAGATCAAAGGCAGCGATCCGCAATTCGCGGATCTGCATAACCGTCTCCAGGAGACCAATCACGCCATTGAGCGCTTGTTCGCCGAGTTTGACAACGTCAATGCTCGGCTTCAGCAACAACATGCGGAAATGCTCAATTCGCTCTCTCACACGGGCAGCAGAAGTGGCGCGCAAACTCCCGGCTCGTCTGACGCTGCAATTAGCGATCTGCGCAACAAGATCGAAGGCATCGAACGGACAGTGCAGCAAATCCAGAAGGATGTTGAGGGCAGGGACTACAAACAGCATATCAGTGAGCTGCAACTGAGCTTGGATAGTCTCAGGGGCGGAATCACGGAGCATTTGCCCGAGACCATGACCAGGTGTAAGTTGACTACAATCTATAACTGTAATTTCTAAGCCGCGCGACAATGCTGACTATATCGCAGTGATCAGGAGTTCGGCGCCACGGATGGGCATGTTTGTGTTTGTCGTTGTGGCCGTACAGATCATGCTGGCAGGAGCATACATAGTGTACAAGAGACGGCGGGATAGGATGCCCAAGAAGTACTTGTAAGTGGTTGTGGCTTGTATGATATACACAGTCTGTAACAATAAGCTTTTCGAATACGACTAGAACATAGCACAGCGGCAACCGGCGTTGAGACATGTATCGATCATGGTCGTTACGCTGGAAAAAGGTCTCAGGAATGGGCGGCCTACGTTTCTGTCTCGTGTCAGTGCTCGTGACCGCTCCGGCCGCTACATCCGTCTATGTGCTCGCCTAAGCATGTGCGGTGTGCGTTGACCTCGAATTTGCACCGTGATAGCCAAAACGGCGACCAACACACCGCGGCGGCCTCGCGTAAAGGAGTCGGATGGCACCGCCCCGTGTCTCAGGCGAACCTTCACGCTTCTACTCACCGTTGTTACTGTGTGGTTGAGATTTGTACACGCCCACCGCTGACATGGCCCGACGGCCGAGAGTCCTTGAGACGTTGGTATTGGGCGAACGGGCCATCTGGCGCTTGTCGTGGTCTGCGCTCGACGATCCTCCGCCACCCATCCCTTCGGCAAACGACATCTGGACCTTTATGCACGTCGCTCCAGCGCTTCTTGTGAGTTACAACGTGAGACAGCGCTGTTCGGCAGACTGCCCCCGAATTGGACTTGTGAGGTTGGGAGTCGGTTACTGTAACCCCGGCTGCCCTAACCTCAAGCGGCTGTCAGGGTCCTCTAGCGGGCACGCGAAGAACACGCGTGAACGCGTCGTTTCTTGACTCGCTTTCGGCAGGAGTTGCTCTGCGGTGCATTCTCTGCAACATGGAGGAGAACTTGCCGCTTGCTACTGCAAGACATGGGGGAAGATTTGCCAACGGCTTATGCTTCTTCGAGCAAATCGGAGCGATTGGCAATCCTGTATAAGCCTATAGGCCCACGTCGTACCATAGACGCACTGACAGCACCGACACGCGGCTCGGAGGCGTTCGTCGGGACAGCTCGATCACACGCGTACTTGCACTGACTACTCCTGCTGTGTGCTTCGTGTCGAACGGTCGTTCGTTCACTTTTCTGCGCTTGGTATGAGCCCAGACTATCGACGTTATCCCCTACTGTATGCGTTGAATCTAATGGGAGCGCGTTGGTTTGATTCACATTCACGCGACCCAAACGCGAAACGTATGGACATATAAGACAACCTAGAGATGGACCAGCAGTCTTGCAATTCTACCTTTCGATCCCGAATCGTCTCTCGATCACAAGGCCAGCATTTAGTATAGCAGCCGGTCCGTGTGATCTCGATTTCTTCGGAAGTGCATGGGTTTCAGCGTCCGTGCACCGAAACTGGCTCTGACACTAGCGCCGCCCGTCGAGGCCCCGTTCGCGCCCGCGCCGCTTCTTTCTTGCAACCTCGCACCTTCCGCAATAGCACTTCGCTCGACCACCCGGCCACCTTTTGCGACCGCACCTCCTCTCCACGCACACCCAACGTTGTCGCATTGACCATCGCACTCATTGGATGTGTCTTGGACTCGCACGCATCGGTATGCTTGTCGTGCGCTAGGCGACGCAGCTCTGCCACCACCAGCGCCTACTGCGACGACCAGCCCACACCGCCGCACGCCCGCATAGCGTATTTGCCGTGCTACACCGAACGGCGTTCTTGCAGATAACACAGACACATTCACACACGCGCACACTTTGGAGGACAGGAGACCGCGTCACTTGCTTCTGTGCTTGTCGAGCGCGACAATCGAAACAACAATGGCGCAAACACCCCGCCCTTCGCTTTCCATCACACTCCCAACCAATTTCGAGTTCCACTACAATGACGGAAACCTACCCCGCACTCCAGAGCAGCAGCAAGATGAGGTACAGACGCCCTTGAACCCGCCGCCACCACCTCGCCCGCAGACGTTCAAGGTTAAGCGGAGACGCGCAGCGATACCGGAGCAGTTTCAGGAGTCCTTGTCTGACGTTCCGATCCCAACAATCGAGATGTCGGAAGCTATAGAACCAATGTCGAGTCCATTCCTTCAGCCGCAGGCAGCTTCGGAGGGCTTGCTTGCGCCGATGATGCCAAGCTTGCAGCGTATGTTCACTCCACCGAAGACGCCAGCTCCGCGCTTGCCCACCGGCTTCGACATGGAGGGAGACTCTCCTGCTAATGAGTGGAGCCTCATCGCCGACAGTCGAGACAAGCTGAGACCGACATTTGAGCGCTCTGGCTCGGTCTGCTCTTCGTTCTCTGACTCTTCCGTATCATCTTACGGCAGCTCTGGTTTCTCACTTCCGACCGCGACCGGTAGCTGCACAAGCCCAGAATCTGATGCGACCGATCCCTTCCTCGAGGAGGACCTGACCAAAGGTGACAAGCTTGACCTGTCTCTTGACTACGAATCATATCCACACAACAAGCGTGTTAAGACTCACCGCGATGTCAAGTGGACTCCAGCGATGGATGATCACATATGGATCACCTTCTTGTCCTACCTTTCTGACCCCCGAGTCACTCCATTCAAGATGCTTGCTGGCACTGCACCGCCGCTTGGTGTCTGCTTTCGTGTCGCTAATAAGGCGAAGCGAACGTGGAGTGGGCGCAGAGCAAGTACGAGCGTAGACCTCCTGGCATCCGACCGCTTACAGCGCGAAGACTCTCCAGATACCATTCGCCCAGGCACGTCGAACGCGAAGAACCCGCAGTGGCCACGCTCAGACGGCGCGACCCGCAGGAGGCTGCGCACCTTGTGCAAACGACGACCTTCTCTACCAGCTCATTATCAGCGACTCATCCGTACTCGTAGCTCGTCACCTTTCACTTCAACTTCGGCCAGCTCGATGGATCACACTCCCGATGTGTCGGTATTTGGGAGTCACGATATGCAGCTGTCTCTTGCTACGGCGACTGCTCCCTCCATGCAGCCCGAGGCACCTATTGCGCAGTTGACAAGCGACGGCCTATCAGAGAGCTCAAACCAGCAGCCTAGCAGCAAGCGTGCCACTCGTCCCGTCGATTGGTTCGCTCGTATCCCACGCTCTCAGGCCCATCAGAAGAGTTTGTCGCTTCAGTCAGGGCTGAGCTTGGCTACCGACCTCCAGGCGGCTACTACTCTCGCGTCGCCCTTCGAAGAGAGTAGCAATCGAGCACAACTCTTGCAGAGCATGAGTACTACGATGTCATTGGGCCGCACAGCTTTCAAAGATGGCCCATCTTTGGACTCACCGGTCGAGCTGTCTGGCGCACCCACCGCACCACGCACTTCGCTGAAACGCCGCTTCCGGTCTGACGAGGAGAAACCGAACCGCCTGCCACTACAAGGGGTGTTCGGTCCGAGTAGTGATGAGTGCGGCATTGTTCGTAACCGCGGCTTTACTGTTGGTGCCGTTCGCGCAACGGACAATCTCGCCAAGCTGTTCACGCCGCCCTCTGCAGTCCCAATAGCGAGCATGGACCACATCATGAGTGAGGCGCCTGCTATTCCTACGCTTCCGGACGTGTTCGATCTCGGTCCGTCCGGCTCGCGCTCCGTACCTCGCCGCTTAGCCGAGCCTGTCCCGCGTCTTGGTTCGCCATTCACAGAGACTCCGCATAGGCAGCACAATACATTCCCGCGTAGCTATCTGCCAACTGCAAGCAACCCTCAGCCGTTTCAGCAGCGCTTGCGTGAGCTTGTGACCCAGGACCAGGAACTCCAGTAATGATGCGGTGGCTTGCAATTGAACCACCGTTATGGTGACTTCCTATCTTTTCATCTTGCGGCGTCGTCGAGGTTGGAACCCCATTCAGGCAATTCTACAACATCTCGGGATACCATGTCGCGCTCGATACTCCAAGTCGGACACAGGCCACTTGCTTATGACAACGACCGACCACGATGCATACATCCAACGAATATACTTACAGACTATCAGCAGTTGTTTACGGAGGCGCTCCGCACCAGGACAGCGCTTGCCTTCCTTTCCTTCTCTCCTTGAGCTTCGACGCGGGTGACTTCTACGGGTATGGAGGTCACAACGTTCGCCCAATGGCCAGGCTCTGCGTAGCTAGCCTGAAGAATCGAGCCTTGTGGCCTTCTTCGTGCTTGGTGCGGGGCTTGAATGTACTTACTGGCTTACGGCTTACTTGATTGGGATGATGCAGGAAACGAAGAAATGATGAAGAGCATGAGCTGGCATATGAGGAAGGGCATTTGGCGCGTTATTATTGACTTCCGGTACTTAAGTAGTCTTTGGCTTGCACGCATGAACTCTGCCGCAGCGCTCTGCTCTGCTAGCCGAGAGTGCGGAGTCGATGTTTTTAAAACTGTTCACCCCTTCCCACTCCTTCCTAGTACGTACCATCTCTAAGGTAAAGATGCTCCCTCGGGTCTATCGAACCTGCCTTGAGCATTGTCGCTGTGTAGAGCTGGCGCTTGTACTGCCCGTCTCACTTGCTGCTTCCCGGCGTTTGACAGACTTGAGAGGCTACAATCAAGCAGTCCACTATCAACGTGCATGTAGGTAGCCTCCGAATGTGCAGTTTGAACTGATTAGCCCGCACACACACATGGAGCCTTCGACCATAGCTGTCAAGCCATCATCAGGCGTGCACCTTGACGGTCACACGTTGCCAGACGAGGTCCGAATCCTCACCCTCAATTGCTGGGGCCTTAAGTACATTTCTCAACACCGCCACGCACGGCTCGTCGAGATCGGCCGCCAAATCGCTGCGGCTGACCCACCACCAAACATTGTAGGACTCCAGGAATGCTGGACGCAAGAAGACTACACCGCGATCCGGGCTCTGACCAAGCACATCCTACCTTACGGCAAATTCTACTTCAGCGGCATCTTCGGCGGCGGACTGATCATCCTGACCAAATGGCCAGTCGAAGAAAGTTCGATGTACCGCTACCCTCTCAACGGCAGGCCGAGCGCTTTTTGGAGGGGAGACTGGTACGTAGGCAAGGGTGTTGCTTGTGCGAGTATTCGAATCGGACCAGGCGCGAAGCATGTGGTCGAGGTCTTTAATACGCACTTGCATGCTCCTTACGCTAGCGATCGCGGAGACAGCTATGCTTGTCATCGCGTAGCTCAGGCGTGGGAGATTGCTAAGTTGATGCGGCATGCTGCCGACCGTGGTCATCTGGTGGTAGGCTTGGGAGACTTCAATCTGGAGCCCGAAAGCATGGGTCATCAGATCATCGAGGCATGCTCGCCGGTCAGGGATGCTTGGACGGAAACGAAGGCATACAGATTCTCAGATTCGGCACGCTGCCGACGTACTGCAGCGTCAACGGTGGAAGAATGCTTGGTTAAGCACGGTACGACTTGCGATAGTCTGGCCAACACGTGGAGATGGAGCAAGCAGATGCGGAAGGATCTTACCAAAGGGCACGAGAGAGCGCTCGATTCCAACACAATGGCAGACCCGAATGCGAAACGATTGGACTACGTCTTTACTAACGCTCAGACTCAAGGCTGGCAAGTCGTTCAGGCCGAAGTTGGCATGACGATGCGCCATCCGACGCTCCAATGCTCGTTGAGCGATCATTTCTCGGTGGAAGTAGGCCTTGAGCATCCAGCTAGGTTATCTGCACCGGTTTCTTCAGAGTCTAGCACTCTACCCACCGAGACCTACGACCGGATTCTGGAGCTGATAGCCAGCTACACCGCCCGAGAACGCAGTTGGCGAAGATGGCGACTCACGCACTTCGTTGCCGAACTCGCCATCTCCATAGCCTGCTTGGTCGCGGTGTGGTGGTCTCCTTACAGTCACGTTGCCTTTATTCTAATGCTGATAAGCACGCTGGGTTTGAGTGCTGGTGTGCTCGACGGTCTAATGGGTGGACTCTTCGTAAGCAGTGAGATCAGAGCGTTGAAGGAATTCGAATGGGAAATTGAGAATGCGAGGAAGCGCGCAGCGGACACCGTGGGCGGTGAAAAGTCTGCACAAGAGCGAAGATTGAGAGTACTTGAGACGAAGACGCTTGTTCGATCATCAGCATTAGCAGGGTGATTCACAAGCTACTGAGCAACCGCAGCCGGTTCAACCAACACTCCATATCGGATGAGGCTGACCTCAGCACTAATCTGTCCTATTCCCACCCGGCAGACCGCCTTCTTCACCGCCTTCAATAATCGACGTTAGCTTCTTCGGCGGCATACGTCCACCGATATAATCCTTGACCACGCACTCCCTTCCTGCTCGCTCGCACACCGTCTCTCTACCTAAGGCCTTGAATTTCGGTCCGGTGGGCCCATTGACGTAGTGATACTGGCCGGCTAAGCGATACTGTCTTGGGTCGCCTAGCGGGTAGTACTTATCGCCCCAGTGTCCAGCGTAGTCAAACCATCCGGTCGGTGCCTGCGGGTTAAGCTTCGATGCGCGGAGGATCTGCGCTTTGTCGTCGTAGGTGAAGGACTTGAAGTTCAATTTCGGATCCCAAAGCGGACCGCGGTCTGTTTGATCGTGCAGGAGACCGAAAGGGAGAATGTACGGATGCAGACCGGGACGTGCGTACATGGCATGCGAGCCCGTCGCCGAGAAGATGACAGGTCGCGGAAATCCCGCTGAGGCCGTAGTGTCGTTGGCGTGGCTGGAGAGTAAGATGCCACTGCCGTTGGGATCTAGTAGGTACTTTTCGACCGCGTCCCAGGTGTACGCATCGCCGAAATCGTGCTCGGAGAAGTACACAGCTTCGGGTGTGCCATTGCGGAAGCGGATCATGGTGTGTTCCCAGTCTCCGACGTGGTTGCCGAACCGGATACCGAACACCTCTTGGCCAAGATTGAACGAGTAGAAGAAGAACCAGAAGGCGTCTACGACGCCAAAGCCTTTGTCTATGACAACGAGGACCGCCGGTGCATTGGATCTGCCATCCGTGGTTCTGTTTTGGTTGACTCTGGGACGGCTGGAGAATTGCTTCCCAGTCCTTTTCCGTAGATCAAAATGCGGTCCATTGAGCGGGCGCAGAGGATCGTCGCAAGTGCCGTGGAGTGGATCGCAGGAACCTCCGCAATATTCGGGACCACTGCCACACCAGCCATGCATAGAGCAGCATGGACCAAACCTGCTGTGCGTGCAAATGGTACTGTTGCCACCGCCGCACGTGCCGTCCATGCTCGCCTTAGCTCGTTTCGAGCGATCTGAGTCCTTCGACGGTCTACGCTCATCAGACGCCACAGTGCCGTCCTCGTATGACCACTCGCCGTCCGTCTTGGCCTCCTTCAGGCCAAGACGGCGGGTCGGAATGTTATGGGTGCTTGTAAGCCACTGCGGCATTGCCTCTACGTTGTCATCGCTATGCAGGTACATATAGCGGCCGTGCATTGCTCCATCGATTCGATCTAGCTCGTCCAAATTGGTTAGGTTGCAGGCATCCTTCATGCTTGCAACGATAGTATAGTTGACCTTCGGAGTTGAATGTACTAGATGCTCCGCAATATCACTTGGCCAATACTGCTCTCCAGAGAACAGATGAACGTATGGTGCATAGTCCAAAACATAAGCCGGAATCTCCCGCAGTTGTCTTTCCTTCTTCGACCACGTAGACGGATCTTCATTACTGGAATGCCAGAAGGATGTGAGGTCGCGCGACTCTGATGGCCGCTTGTCGTTATAACCCTTCCAAGTCCAGCCACCCTTGTGTACCATGTGCCACGCTCCGCACACTTCCACCCACCTGCACGTTTGCCTATCCCACCAGCTTCCACTCGCGACCCATTGCGCGTTTTCGAGACGCTCGGACGCTGTGCCGCCTGGTGTGACATGTATACCAATTCCTACAACGACGATGTACAGCAGGCAGACGCCTATGAATGCGAAGAAACATCCCCAGACCGCGCGCCCCATGGCCGCGAACACCACTTCTCGAGGTAGTTAGGACTGATAGCGGTGGACGCTTCACGCCGACATGCTAGGTCTCGCGGACGATATGTTCAATAAAAAGTCGAACAACCCTCTTAGGTACACACCGAGGCCCCACTCTAGAGTTTGAATAGCGAAAGATGTACGCCTCCCAGCTTCAGCGAATGGTCTGGTTACGTTAATGATGGAAAACAAAGAGTACTAGCCGTGGTGAGGGTATGTCGAGATAGTGCTATTTCTGAAAACGAGTGATCTGTGGCGAGCGTGTTGGCATGTGGCCTCCTCAGCGTCAAGTGCACCGGAGGTGGTGGCAGTGCAGTCACAGAGAGTGGCAGGCACTGTGACTGAGGCGTCAGGGAAAGTGCTTGGAATAGACAGAGCGGAGCCATTAGGACTTGCATGATCGAACCCTGCACGCGAACAATAGGCGTGAGTCTAAGTCATGCGGTTCCACACGTCTCCAATGACTTGGAGGTCATCCGTTACCGCAATGAAGCATCGGAAGAAGCCGCCGTGGCACCGATTGGGTGGACCCTGAGCCGCCGTCTTTTCGGTTGGGGCATTCGAGATGCCAATCGATCTAGCACGCACTGCGTTCACTGGAGGAGGAAACGCGCAAAGACCGCACTCTTCCTCGCATGAAAGAGCATCGAAGCAGCGACTGAAGGACTTGCAGCTGAGTAATACAACGTCGACACGAATAGTACCAACACGTGTGCCACGAAGATGGCGGGTTGAAGCCTTCCACGAGTCATGCGGGTATGGCAACCGACCTGCTGATGCGTGATGATGGACCTTAACGATGAATGGGAGTACGAGTACGATGAACTTGCTACGGAGGACTTCTTCTTCACCCTCGACCTGACCACGTTCGTTCCCGACGCAGTACCGCTTCCTGAGATCTCCCGCAATGGAAAGCGAAAGCTCATTGTGAAAGAACCGACGAGCGAACGTCAAGTCTCGCTTGGTGATCGTGATGACGATGCTCAAAACGATGACCGTAGTACGCCGCCAAAGGACTATGGCATGCTCCAAGTGCTCGATCTGCATTCGACAAATCCAATCATCAAACTCAACAACAACATATACAACTGCAACTGGCACACCGACCTCGGCACTCAGTTCTACGTTTCGAAAGCCGGTACGATAACGAAGGCTCTACGGCCCGGTCATGTCGCGGACATCGTTGGCATTTCGCAGACCAGGCTTATCGGGAAGCCGGTAACACTTCGTCAACATGAAGACTTCGCTGATCTTGATGCTGACCTCGTTCCTGCAACCTTGACGGCGCTGAAAGTCAATGCGGCTGACAATGCGGGAATGAGAGCTGAACCAAGCGATCTAACAGCCCTGCGTCCCGGTGAACAGCTGATCGTTCCGCCGGAAGCAATCAAGAACCCGCAAATCGCAGCTCAAGCATCCTTTTTAGAGCGCCTTTCCGCTATCAAGCTCAAAAAGGGCGAGAGAGACATTCTTCCTGTAGGTTCCGTCAGGAGCTATGTCCCACCGAAGAATTTCGAGGAGATCCGGCAGCGGGCGCTGGCTGAGGACCGTGAGCGCGGCTTAGACACGGACGATAAGCTTTTCGAGCAGCCCGTCAAGAGACGTCGGAGGCGTACCTTTGCCGAGCTAGGAAGGGAGTCCACGGGCAGGAAGCCAAGGAAGCCGAAGCGAAAGCGATCTGAACCCGATCCCGAAGCTGTATATGTGCCAACAGCTCCGTCGGAAACTGCCACGTCGTTTGGTCTGCAGGCGGCAAGTGCAACCGTATCCTATACTGTGCCCAGCTTCAACCCGGCACCTAGCCACAACTACTCAGTACCCGCTATGGGTGCTGCGATACCGTGGCACGCATTGCGATCACCTTCTGCGCCCAATGCAGACACCACAAGTTCCTTAGCTAGCCTGCTCGAGCGTCCAGAAACTGCGACCAATGGCAACAGTTCCGCAGATCATCTGCCAAATGGACCACGACCAACAGCCCACCGGCCGAATGGATGAAGGCTGCATCGCATCTTTCTCACAACCCATCTATCTATTGTACAGGACCTAAGAATATTTGCAGGAAGACAAGAAGCGAGATGCTCCTTTTTGGTCCAGACAACGATCAGCAGTCCACAGTTCAGTTGCGGGAACGTGAACGTGGAGCTGAACCAGATGAGAGAAAACTGCACAGTAACCTTTCGGCAGCGAGCAGCCTCTCAACATGGCTTGAAGCAGCGACGCTAGAGCTGGATGGCAGCGCTGTGACATCCACATTACTGATATCTTGCGTATACATTACAGCAAAGTGTGCCGCAATGAGGCGGAACGCGAGAAGTTGATCACAGCCGCCGACATAAGTGCCTGACCAACGAGGACAAGCCATGGGCGGATGACCCCGGGCGTCCCGGCACCGGAACACCCTATTTCTCCAGCGGCAGGTACGCCATGCATTCAACCCTTTTCGCAAAGCTCGACCATCTCGGACTGTGCCAAATGAAGGACTCGGGGTCTGTGGCACACGGAAGTGCTTCTGCAGAAAACGGTTCACCACTGCAAAGTCTTGATGATCAATCCGGCAATAGTGTCTTCAGACCTATGCGGAGAGCCTAGAGCTTCATGCACAATACGGGCAATACAACATCGTATGCACAGCACCACCTGTAGTAGGCGGCTCTTAAGCCACCAAGCGTGCTATTGCAGGTGCCAGAACGATGGCAAAAGTGCTCTGGCAGCCACCTTATCGAAACGATCACAACCTCCCCTCCCTCCTCCTGCCCCCAGCACTCCCCTCATCCTTCGGCATCTTCCTCTCCACCCCCAACGCCTCAATCTCCCCACTCCCATAATAATGCGGCGCCACCTCACTCAACCACTCCGCCCGCACGGGCATGACACTCCGCATGAACTCCTTACTCGTCAACACCAACTCGTAGAAAATGACCCACTTGGGGCGGAACATCGAACTCGCCTCCCCGGCCCCGCCACCTCCCGCCCCAGCACTGTTATTCGACACCAATACACTACTAGGATGAATATGCACCGTCTGATTATTCTTGACCGTGCGATAACTATCCCCTCCCCTCTGCAAGCGCGCCGCATTGGGGAAGAAGCCCGCGGCGATCGCCTTCTGTATCGGTGGAAGATTACTCGCTCCACAACTCGAAAGCGTGACTTCCACCCGATCGCACAGCTTCGCCAACTGCTCCCGCACATCCCGCGCCCGCGTCAGCGAGCGCTGCTGCAAGAAATTCTCCCGCGCCCAGACGTAGGAGAAATCGCTGTCGACCCACTGATTCCAAATATTGAGGTACGTCGCGTGATCGCCCCCTTCCCTCACCGTGAAGCGCGCCCGGGCGGCATCGGCCTGGAGTTTCTTGTCCTTGGGTCGGTAGAACAACGCCGAGGCTTCGCCCAGCATGGCGATGATGGACAGGACTTCCTCCACACATCCTTCCTTGTCCGCGGCGAGGACGGTTTTGGCGAGCATGGGATCCGTGGGGAACTCGGCCATTTGGCGGCCGATTTTCGTGAGCTCGCCTTTGTCGTTCAGCGCCCCCAACGCGTAGAGTTGTTCCAGACTTCGGATCAGCATGTCCGGGGACGGGGGATCCATGAAATCGAAGTTGATCAGATCGTTTATCCCCAGCGATTTGAGCAACAGGACCACGCTATTCAGGTTCGTGCGCTGGATCTCCGGCGTCGTGCTTTCGGGTAAGTCGTTGTAATACGCCCACTTCGTATACAACCGAAAACACTTCCCGGGCCCCGTTCGCCCCGCGCGACCGGCACGTTGGTTCGCGCTGGCGCGGGAGATGGGGACGGCGACGAGGGATTCCATGTTCGTGGCGGGCGTGTAGCGGTTCTCTTTCACATAACCAGGGTCGATGACGTAGACGATATTATCGATTGTTAGGGACGTCTCGGCGATATTCGTCGCCAGCACTACCTTCCGACACTTGGGTGGCGTGGGGTCGAAGATGCGTTGTTGTAGATCGGTTGGTAGGTTGGCGTAGATGGGACAGATCATCAATTCCGGCGCCGCACTGCCCAGTTTTCGCGCGGTTTCTTGTAAAGATTGCTCGGCTTGTTCGATTTCGTCTTGGCCCGTGAGGAAGACGAGGATGTCCCCCGGCATGGGCTGGGAGAGGTGGATTTGGAAGACGGTGGTGATGGCGGCGGAGAGGTAGTTGGCTTCGGGTTGCAGGGAGTAGTTCATCTCGACGTCGTAGGTGCGGCCGGGGATGTTGAGGATCGGGGCGTCGTCGAAGAATTCGGAGAACTTCTGCGCGTCGAGGGTGGCGGAGGAGATGAGGAGTTTGAGGTCCGGGCGGCCGCGGGCGATGTCTTTGACGAGGCTGAAGAGGATGTCGGTGTGTAGTGTGCGCTCGTGCGCCTCGTCGATCATGAGGCAGGAGTATCCGCCCAAATCTGGTTCGGTGAGGAATTCGCGGAGCAGCATACCGTCGGTCATATACTTCAGGGCGGTCTTGTCGGAAGTGGCATCCTCGAATCGAATCGCATAGCCGACCTCATTGCCCACTTTGACCCCAATCTCTTCCGCAACGCGCGCAGCCACGCTCATAGCTGCAACACGCCTCGGCTGGGTACACCCGACTTTCTGCCCGTTTTTGCAATATCCCGCTTCATACAGGTACTGCGGAAGTTGCGTCGTCTTGCCACTACCCGTCTCACCCACCACAATGAGGATCTGGAAATCGGCCACCGCCTGCAGAAAGGTATCGCGATATTGATACACCGGCAACGTCTTCCGCTTCTCCTCAATCGTCTTGGCCTTTCGCTCCGCCGCAAGCAATTGCTGCGCCAACAAGCGTTCTTCCTGCGACTGCATCTTGCTCATGCCCCCTTTCATCGTAGCATCCGTGACCCACCTGATCTGCTGCTCTTCATCAAAGACGTACTCGTAGTCGGCCTGGTTCACGCGATCCGCAACGACAATCTGCGCTTTGGTCTTGGCAAGCTGCTCTCGCTCCCACTCTTCATGCTCGGTGACGAATCGTTCCCGGCCCTGCTCGTCCCGGTCGACATAGCGTTGATACAGTGCATCCTGCTTTCTCTTCATATCCAGCTTGCCCTTTTCGGTGATATAGTCCTCCGGCATAGCGTAGCCATCAACATGATCGTCGATACCCTCCCGCTCCTCCGCCAACCGCAACGCCTCCCGATTGCGCGCAAACTCATCCTTCTCCACTTGAGTCAGGGTGGGATTATTGCGCTCCTCTTCCGCTTCGTCGGCCACTTGCTTGCGCAACAAGGCGAGCTCCTGCGCCGAGCGCTTCTTGAGGTAGTCCTGCCGTGACCGCAGACGGAGAGCCCGCATCTCCTGCTCCGTCAGCTTGCCGGCCTGGGCGCGACGTTCTGCGTCTGCCGTTTCGGTGCGATTCGACGAGTGATCGTCAGCCATCTTTTTGGTTGACTGCTTGTCTTTGCTGTTCAGGCGCTTTTCGAACTCTATACGTTCTCTACGGTCGCGCTCCTCTTCGTCTTCCTCTGGCTGCTCCTCCTCTGCTTCCGGTTGCGCTTCAGCCGCAGCAGACGCATCTTCGAATCTTGCTCGCTTCGCCGGTGGGGACGGGAAATCCTCCTCCGGCTCCTCGAGCGTCTCATCACCCCAGCGATCCTCAAAGTCCTCATCTCGCCGTCTCAACTTCCTACCATGCCTATCCCGATCCCGACTTCGCTCCCGCCTCTTCCCACTCTCCCTCTTCTCATCCCTCTCCCGCCTCTGCACCACAGGTGCCTCCTCCTCCACCTCCATCTCCACTAGCGCATACTTCTTCCTAGCTTCCTTCTTTACCCTTCCTTCATCTTTCTTGACGTCCCCATGATGCCCGTTCGCCGGCTGGCCTCCACCAGTGACACGCCGGAACAAGTCGTCGCTGAAGCGCTTGAGATCAGCGTCTTCGCCGAGAATGCCACTCAGTTTGTCCAGCAAGGCGGACGGGCTCTTCACCTTTTGCGCCGTCGACTGCACGAAGTCGACGGTCATGGCGTCCGCGGCGCCGACGAGGGCAATGAGGTGGTCGGAGATCCATGTTCGCGTGTCCATCGCTGTGGATACCGTGATGTGGAGGGAGTCGCTTGTAAGAGTTGGTAACAGAGATGGACTACATGACTCGTTTACAGCTGCCACAGCAGGGTTAAGGTTGTCGGCAAGGTCCGGCTACGGCTCGCTAGCGGCAGGAGCACGTGAGGCATTGACGGTAGTGAAAGATGCAATGTTGCACCTTCTCTCGTGAGGCGGTACAATGCAATATTGGTGGATCAGATCAGGCGAGAAGAGTACAGCGTACCCGCGTCGAGTGATGGTGGAAGCGAACAATATTCCCGCGACAGCGTCGGTGTACCAGACTGACATGTGAAACCGCGCCGAATGCTTGCATGCAGGGACAGGGGCCCTGTCGCCGCGGCAGCTCGCGAGAATGTGGGCGCGCGCGCCGTTGAATTGATCCAAGTGCCAGTGCCAGTGGTGCCCTTGCCGTGTAGTGGAAGACCTCCTTTCCACCCAATCCTCCTTCACCCACCTGCCCTGCAATGCTACCTTATTCACTCTCCTCAACTTCATGCTCACGTGCTGTTCCACGTTGGTGAGATTGGAGATGGGAAGATGGTGATAGCACGGCCGCGCTCCGTTGTAAGCCATAACTGTCGCGGCCTCGCTTACGCCCTGATAAGCCCGCGGTGACGCTGCAGTGAGACAAGGCCAACGGCGCACACACATTCCCACCCCTCACCGGTCACGCGGCATGTTACGACATCGTCACCATGTCCGCAGCAACTGGTAAAAAGCCTGCAACACCCGCCGGCAGCGGTAGACCTTCAGCCAATCCCACCCCCACTACTGTCACCCCAAGTTGCAGTCCTTCGAGCATGGCTGCTCAGGTCAGCACTCCACCACTCAGCAATGGTGGTGGCGCTGCTGCTGCTGCCGCAGTCACGAGGATGCGTTCGGTCAAGCATGGCGCACCAGTGTCCGCACGCACGGCTGCCACAGCACGGAAGCAACAATCTTCCGACAGCGACGCCACGGTTGACGATGTTCGTGCGGAGATGCAGGCCAAACTCGACGAGCTGCACGATCGTCTCCAGCAGGCCGAAGTCGTACATGTCGACTCGCAGAAGCAAGCGGCCTTTCTGCAGAGACGACTCAACGAGACGCTCAAAGACCAAGCGATGCTGGAAGAAGCCGCTCACGAGCATGTCGAGCGCATCGAAGAGCTGGAGCACGAGCGGAAGGAGGGCTTACGAGCTCGACGCGAGATGGAGCAGATCTTCGAAGCGGAGCGGGCGGCGACGATCAAGGAGCGGGAAGAGGCTGCGGTGAGAGAAGAGGACTTGCAGATCTCGCTACAGCGTATGAAGGAAGCGCTCGCGCAGCGAGAACTGCGCGCGGGGCTGGAAGACGGCGGCCGACCGAGTATGTCCCGCAACTCGAGCTTCCGACGGAGCGAAAACAGCTCGCCCAATCCAGACGGCGGCAACGGCACGGGTCAGTTCGCACCACCTGCGTCCCTCCAACGAAGCGACTCCCGCAGCAGCTCCCGCCTCGTCATGCACAAAGACAAGATCATCGAGTCCCTCCGTCTCGAACTCGCCGAAGCGCAGATCAAACTCGTCGATGTCGAGAACTTGGGCGGAGGAGCCTTGCAGCAACTCCAACGAGACCTCTACGATGCTAAGATCCAGAATGCGCGGTTGATGGAAGAGAACGAGTCCTTCCAACTGCTACTCAGCGAGAAGACGCTTAATGGCGATCTGGCGGCGCATAGTGATCTCCTCCGCTTACCGTCACATACCGGTTCTTCTCGCCCCGGGTCTTCGAATAATCGTGTCGCTAATAGCGGGAGCGGGATGATGACGAAGAGTCTTGCGGATGAACTGGCCAGTATCGACGACAGCGTGATTACTGACGCCGGTAACCCAGTCATGATTGATGCTGGTGTCGATGTAGAAGGAGGTGGAGATGGAGTACTGACGAAGCGACTCCAAGCCGAAATCCAGAGTCTGAAGGATCAGAACAAGGCGCTGACGGTGTATATTAACAATATCATCTCCCGCCTGCTGCAGCATGAGAATTTGGCGGAGCAGATCTTGAGTAAGGCGCAGGAGGAGGCGGTCGAGGCGAAAGCGAAGAGGAAGGACGATGGGGCGTTGGGGGTGGATAAAGCACTACCGCCTCCACCAGCGGAGGGTGCAAGGGAGGGTGGGCGGCCGGCAGGTGTGGCCGAACAAACACCACCACCTCCCTCCGTCGCCGCCGTGGAGCAGCAGGCACCACAAGGTTTCCTACAACGTGCCAGAAGTGTCATGGGTGGTGGTGGCCGCGGCCGACCTAGGCCCGTCACGCAGATGGTGTCGGCGGAGGATCGGGAGAAGTTGCAAGCGCAACTCCAGGTCCCTCCGGAAGACGAACATCATCAGCAGCAGCAGCAGCAGCAGCAGCAGAAGGCGAACGCGAACGAGAACCCGGACACCGCCCCGCGGATCCCACTCGGTCGATCGAGCTCGACACGCACAAGTGAGAGCGGGAGCAGACACCGTCGCGCCAATAGCGAGTGGCCCGCCGCGGCCGTCGTGACAAACATGTACAGAGGACCTTCTCCGGGCTTCCAGTTGGGGCTGGGGCAGGGGCAGGGACAGGGGCCGGTGAGTCCCGGGCTGGGTTCGCCGACGGGGGTGCGGAACGGGTTCTTTGGTGGGTCGTCGAGGGTGGTGTCGGGCGCGAGCGTGCCGACGATCAGCGAGGGTGAGGATGACCGGGATGATGAGAAGAAGGAGATGGAGAAGGAGAACAACGCTCCGAACCTCAGTAATCACCGGGACAGCAAGGTTGTCAACAACCGGAACAGTGTCATCTCCAACCCCGCCAGCCTGCACCCCACCGACGAGTACGCACCCGCCTACCTGGAAAGCTCGACTTCCAACCCCTCCTCCCCACCCCGCAGCACCACCAGCTCCGGCGAGCGCGACAGGGACGCCCGTGTGGGTGGTGGGGGAGGGGCGGTGATGATGGGCTCCAAACCCCGTCCGCTGCGACTCGTGCAAGCGGCCGCTGCTGCGGAGGAGGAGGAGGACCGGGCGAGGAAGGTGGGTAATCGGGGCAGTTGGTTTGGGTGGATGAATGGTGGGAAACCTACTACTGCTGCTGCTGCGGGTGGTGGTGGGACTGGCACTACGCCTGGGTATGGGGTTGGATTTGGTGGGCCAATGGGGGCGAGGAATGTGAGCGCGGGCGAGTAGGATGGGCTTTGGGCTTTGCAGAGGGTTGGGGTGTAGTGATGGGTGAGCGACGGGAGGTGTGGGTTTGGCCGGGGGTTCGAGCGGGCGTGGTTGGTGTGGTGTGATTGTGGGAGGCGGTCGTGGCGTTTCCGTTCCAATTTATATCTTCGGGCGGCGCACAAGGGTGAGCTTATTCAGGAAGATACCCCGTCTCTGCTTCGTGGGCAAGGCAAGGCGGCGTATCGGGAGGCTTGAAAGTCTTTACATAAAATACGACAATACATTGGTCTTCCGCACATGCACGAGTCGTAACCCGACCCGAACTCCAAACCCGGCCACGTCTCCAACATCCTGGTTCCGCGCGACGCCAGTAAATGCAGACTACCTTCCACCACACCCATGCAGTACTTACACGAAAGCCTGGATCCCCGTAATTGCCCGACCCAGAATCAGAGCTACACACACACACAAGTCAGCCAATGCCACTCCCAACGTCTGCGGGAAAGGTGAAAAAGTGAATCGAGAAAAACTCACAATGAATATCACTCTGCCCCTCATACGTCTGCGTGACGAACAAATTCGCCACATGCCGGCCAATATGATACTCATCACTCACCGCGTTCCCGCCGAAAATCTCCTGCAGATGCCTTGCATTGATCAACGCGCGATCGCAGTTCTGTCGCTTAATCATCGAAATCATCTCCGGAGCCGCCTTGCCCTCATCCTTCAGCCGGCCCACTTGCAACGCGGCCAGGATCCCGTACGCGGCATCGGTCGTGGCGTCGGAGAGTTTCTTCTGCACGAGTTGGTACTTCGCGATGGGGTTGTTTTTGAACTGCCGTCGCTCCAACGCGTAAGTGCGGGCGCGAGCGATTGAGTCTTCCAGCGCGCCGATGGTGCCCCAGGCGATGCCGAAGCGGGCGCTATTGAGGCAGGAGAAGGGACCGCGGAGGCCTTCGACGTGGGGGAACATCATTTCCTTCGTGACGGGGACGCCGTCCATCTGGATCATGCCGGTTATGGAGGCGCGGAGGCCGTTCTTGTGGCTGAGTTTCGGCGTTTCCAGGGTGCCTGGGGGACAGTTCTCGCGCTCGACGAGGAAACCGCGGATTTTGCCCGTTTCTTGCAGCTTGGCCCAGACGAGGAGGACATCGGCTATCGGACTGTTGGTGATCCAGGTTTTGGAGCCGGACAGGCTGTAGTATCCTTCTTTGCTTGGGTGCGGTTTCGCAACTGTTTCTAGACTTCCCGGGTCACTGCCGTGGTTTGGTTCGGTCAGGCCGAAACAGCCGAGGATTTTGCCTTTGGTCATGCCGGGGAGGAATTTCTGTTTTTGTTCTTCCGTGCCGAATTCGTCGATGCCGCCCATGACGAGGGAGGATTGTACGGACATGCCGGAGCGGTAGCCGGAGTCAACACGTTCGACGGCGCGGGTGATGAGGCCGGAGGCAACGGAGGAGACGCCGGCGCAGTCGTAGCCTTGGATTGTGGCGCCCAGGAGGCCGAGTTCACCCATCTCGGCTAGGATGTTACGGTCGTACTCTTCGTTGCGGTAGGCGTCTAGATATATTCATGTTAGCACGATGCGGTTGTGGCGGGTTGTGGCGGGTTGAGGATCGCACACCGAGTACCCGTGGTAATAACCGCTCTTGACAGTATGATTCCGCAGTCTCGGCTATGGCGAGCTCTTCTTCGGTGTAATTGTTGCTGCTGCCTAGGGGGTCTTTCCAGTCGAAGACGGCGGGCGCGTGCGCATAGCGGCGGGTGATGGAGGATGTGGTAGCGGGTTGGAGGAGTTGCCGTGCGGCTCGTGACGAGAGTGACTTGAACATTGTGATGGATGACTATGGAAGAGAGGTGGATGAAGCCAAAGACGAGATGTGGTTAGGCGTAAAGGAAATGATATGCAGAGTGAAGAAATGAAGCATTGCATCCCATCTTGAAGCCGATCAACGCATAGCCTCGGCGCCGAGGTCGCCTCTACCGAGTCGGAAACGGTAGGCTCGAGACGCTGTTTGGAGGCTGGAAAAGATGAGCGATATGTTGCAGTACATGTTTGCCGTATGACAGCCGAGTCAGTGGCACTAGAAAGCTCCGTCACGTGTGGAAGGGAAGGCAAGGCAGTCTTCCTAAGAAGGTAGGCACAGCACACATGGCCCGTGCGTAGACAGTACGTCATTCGGGAAGTGCTTCGCGTCCTCAAGACGCGCTTCCTCTGTCGCGTCCAACTGCGGCATGACCTGACGACACGCGATTCCGGCTCAGCTCACTGGATTCATCACTACCACCTCACCAAGCGGACCTTCATCAACACCGCCACCATGGGCATCAAGAATCTCGCCCAGGTCATTAAAGACAACGCCCCCGACGCAATAAAAGAAGGCGAAATCAAAAACCAATTCGGCCGCAAAGTCGCCATCGACGCTTCCATGTCCCTCTACTCCTTCCTCGTCGCCGTCCGTAGTGACGGCCAACAACTCATGTCCGACACCGGCGAAACGACCTCCCACCTCATGGGCCTCTTCTACCGCACCCTCCGTATTGTCGACAACGGGATAAAACCGCTTTACGTCTTCGACGGCGCACCGCCGAAACTGAAGTCCGGCGAGCTGGCGAAGCGGTTCCAACGGAAAAGTGAGGCGCAGGAGAGTCATGAGGAGGCGAAAGAAACGGGGACGGCGGAGGAGGTGGAGAAGTTTAGTCGGCGGACTGTGAGGGTGACGCGGGAGCATAATGCCGAGGCGCAGCGGTTGTTGAAGTTGATGGGGGTGCCGTTTATCATTGCGCCGACGGAGGCGGAGGCGCAGTGTGCTGTGCTGGCGCGAGCGGGGAAGGTGTATGCGGCGGCGAGCGAGGATATGGACACGCTTACTTTCAACTCACCCGTGCTACTCCGTCACCTGACTTTTTCCGAGCAGCGGAAAGAGCCCATTCAAGAGATTCACCTCGATGCTGTACTAAGCGGACTGGAGATGGACTTACCGCAGTTTATCGACCTTTGCATACTGCTGGGCTGCGATTACGTAGACCCGGTCAAAGGCATCGGACCCAAAGTCGCACTCGCTCTCATCCGCGAACATAAAACGCTGGAAAAAGTCGTCGAATCCGTAACCAAAAGCGGCAAATACACGTTCCCGGACGACTGGCCATACCAAGACGCCCGCCTCCTCTTCCTCGAACCCGATGTCCGGCCCGCCGACGCGCCGGAATGCGACTTCCACTGGAACGGCCCTGATGTGGACGGGTTGGTCAAATTCCTCGTGGAAGAAAAGGGGTTCAATGAGGACCGTGTGAGGAGTGGCGCGGCGAGGTTGCAGAAGAATTTGAAGAGTAGTCAGCAGGCGCGGTTGGAGGGGTTTTTCAAGGTCAAGGAGAAGACGGAGGAGGAGAGGCAGGCGTTGAAGCGGAAGAATGAGGAGAAGGTTGAGGCGAATAAGAAGGCGAAGAAGGAGGAGGCGAAGAAGAAGAAGGAGGCGAAGAGTAAGCCTAAGATGAATTCGTAGGAAACGAAGGAGGAAGAGGTGGAGGTGATGAGCTTATCTTTACGAATTAGCGAGGTGTTGGTGGTGTGTTTTGTGGCGTTGTGGTATGGAAGTGTTTTGCGGCATTGACTCAGACCTGCCCGGCTTGTGGCTGAGGCGCATCTTCGATAAGTGGCGAGCCACGCTGAGCCGGGGGCGTCACAACAGAGGCGAGGAAGGCTCAGACAGGCCCCTTCTCTATTGACTCTCTGTTCCTGTCTAGACCGGAACGCAAAAAGTCCGCTAGTCACCTGAGCAGTTGCTTTACCGTCCCTTACGCGTTTCTGTTCAAACGATTGTCTACTTGAACATCTGGAGCCGAAACCTCTTTGTGAGCAACGGAGCAGGCTCATCAATGATCACACTACCCGTGACTTTCTGCGCATCCTTTGTAAACGCCGTCCGCAAGATCGCGGGACTTACGGAGAGTACATGCGCCAACGACTGAATTTGTAGATAATCGCTTGAGCCCAACGCGACCGCTGACGTGGTGTAGATTGCAGACAGCGGATCACTAAGCTGTGCAGAGAGTTCGCCCATGAAACGTGAATGAAGCTACGGTACGTGTCGCAACACTCTCACGTGCTCGTGTGCATCTCTGCTCAACAAGCTCGGCGATCCCACGACACCGGCGCACAGAGCACTTTGGAGTGATACGCTCGTACACCACCGCCCGCATCAGGTCAGCTAAAGGCATAGGCTGGCTCACATGGCATTCGACCTTATGCCGGGGAAGCTAACCGTGGATGTTGACAGTCAGGTCGATAGTGCGCAGGTTCGGGAATACATCCGCCCGAGGCTCGGCACGGCTGTGATGTTCCACGCTCACTGTTTCCGACAAGCAGGCATGACAGGTGGAAAGCCTCTGTGCGGAGCTCAGTGTACCCGCGAACTTCTTCATGGAGCGAGGAGAGTCGAAGGTAAACTTCGTGCGGTGGTACAGCAGCAGGCGTACGTCTCAATATGTCTGGCGGTTGACGTGCATCAAGGAATCACCGGTTACGGGCACATACGTACGGACGATCATCATGTCTCCGTTGGAGTGCTCTGTCCCATTCTCCGCCGCATACCGGAGGATGTGGCTGTGGTGGAGTACTATTGCTGCAAGCGTACGCTGCTTCGAAAGAAGACTGCGTAGAGTCGAAGAGTCTCCCGCGGATCCCCCTGCGGAGTGCTGGCGGTGGTAAAATGACTTTAGAGTCGATGAGGACAATGTTGTCCAGAGCGAGTCATAAATACGCGTCCGGAGCTCTGCTGGGAGTATCAACAACGCAGACTCAGTGTCGGTGTTGTTAGGAGGTGTGGCCATCGTGCTGAGACTTTGTTCCTGATTGCCTTACAGTCTGCACACTTACTACGACCCGTGTTAGACACTGATACACAGCTTACATTGCATGCGTGGAGGACCGCCGTGCGATGTTCATGAGGCTGGTTTTCCTCAAGCCGTCCCAAGGCCTCACTTTATCCGGCAATCAGCCGCTCCAAGTGCGGCGCCGTGGTGGGCCACTCGATTACTCAACGCAGATTAGTGTGCAGATTGGCGAAGATGCGCCGATAGCTTATCAGACCGTAGCGTGGCTGATGGTGTGGTGGTGGTGACGGTGTACTGAGGTATCGGATCGCTCAGGAGAAGGCATGAGGAATGAATGCATGTGTGTCAGCCCTAGGGCCGCTCTCAGGCATGTCTACCACATGAGCACGAGCATTCCTCATCATTCATCATTCATCACTCAATCCTTTCACTCTGCTTGTGCTACTGTTTCCACCGCCGATATCGTCATTGCACGACGCGGAACGCTAGTCGAGCTACTCGCACCTTATTGCGTGCCTTGAACTCCGTCTATACACCAACTCGGCTTCCCCTCCCCACCTACTGACTGACTGTTCAACACTCCCTCGGCTTGCGCTTAGGACGCGACAGTGAGCTGGTCTCGCTCTGTGTGGTAACTACTTACGATACGTCAACTCCGTGACCGACAACGAGTTGCCTGATCTAGCGACTTGCGACACCCCTGTTGTCGATCATTGAGCTTCCGTGTGACCGGTCACCAGCACATCACTTCGACACTCAGGAGTCATGCTACACTCGTGACGCCCCGAAGCACGAGACGCTCTCCCTTGTGGCGGACAAGCGCCACGGAAGAGTCTAACATACATTCACACCTTGACATCCATCAAAGATGGCGTTCCAACAACCCCAACAGCGCCCTCAGGCGCCTCGTCAGGTCTCCTTCTCCAAGCAAACTCAAGATGTCCAGGTACCTGCATCACCGATACGGAAGAGGCCGCTCGAACAGTCCCAGGAATGGATCCTCTTCTCACCTACGGTCCGCGACGACGGACAATCATGGACCTCACAAACGCCACGTACGGCGACCGATTTGGGATCGCTTCAAACACACTTCAGATCGCAAGCTGCAGATAGCGCCGAGCAGGCGGTGACTGAAGCCGATGACGACAACGCGGAGCTCGACAGCCTCGACGATGGACTGCACGCCTTCCACTACCATCCTTTCTCCGCCTCTTCGGATGCGTTCGACCAGAGCGGAGGCACAGTGCTACCCACACACGACGGTCTCGGAACCTTCCCGTCTCCTGCAGGGTTGCAAGAGCAGTTGTGGCAGTTTGAGAGATACAATCCGCAACGTAAGCGGCACGTAAGACGCAGAAGCAGCATCCAGAAACAGCTCGATGAGGTGGGTGAGGATGAAGAGCTTGACTTTGCGGACGAGCGGACGGCGAGGATAGAGAAATGGAGGCTTGAGCAGAGTCGCGCTGTTTTGGAGGAGCTTGAGCGTGAGACAAGAAGGAGACAGAGACGGCGCAGTCGGATGAGTGGTGGGAGTGGTCTGGCGAACTCACGGCCGGACTTACGGGGCACACAGCGTACGGACTCTGTTGTTGCGGAGGAAGGCGAGGCATCAGCGCGGACCGAGCAGCCATCACCTGAACAACCGACTGAGTCCTGGTGGCAGAGGCTGACGAGGCGTGTCATCCGGGATCTTATTGGCCTTGATGACAATACCTTGTCTGTCATCTTCGGCGAGGAGCTTGTCGAAGACGTCTCGCCAACACCAACGCAGCAATCACCCATTGCTGCAGCCGTGGAAAAGGATTCCCGAGTGACGTTTCATGACCGCTCGAGTGATTGGGAGGTCAAGTTGCTGGAGCGAGTAGCCAAGGAGCTCGGTGTCATCGTTCATCAACTGTCCGAGCACGAAGGCGCTTTCAGCACTTACCGCAGCGATGTCGGCCAGCTGGAACTCTCTGCTCTGGCAGCGCAGACCGGTCGGCCCAAGCAACCGTCTCTCCGGCAGCGCAAGCGACGAGCAAGCAGTCAAGACCAGCGTGTACCCTCAGACGCACTGTTTAGTGCTACTTTGCCACGGATACCGCTCTCGCCAACTGAGCAAACGGACACTTCACTCTGGGGTATCGAAGAGGAGCCGAGTCAACATCTACCACAAGACCAGTACGCACAGCAAGAGCGCGAGCACTGGGAACGCGACATCGACATCAACATGCTCTTCTCGTACCTAAAACGTCGTTTCGCGTCGACACCACTACCGCCGCCACCTGAGCCCCACATGACACCACACTCTGGACCATTACCAGCGTCCTGGACAACCACCACATCCGCCCTAGGCACCTCCCCCGAGTCTCTCCGCCGCGCCGACCAAATCCGCCGCCAGCATCCACTCGTATCCCGAGCCGCAGCGGAGTCACGCAGACGTGATTCCTTGCTACGCCGCCACCACTTACAGCAGATCATGCAGAAGCGGGCGGGAAGCAGTAGTTGTGCGAGTCAGAGCACGAAGCGGAGTCGGAGGAGCAATAGTTCGAGGCATTACTGGCTTGAGGGTAGTGTGGCTCCGGCGGGGAGTATTGGGAGTGGGGCTGCTATGAGTTCTGGTTTGGGAGGATGGGGGGAGGTGTGAGTGGTGTGCTGTGTTGATGGCATGTATGAATAGTTATGATGCTTTTATTTTATGACACCTCGACTCTATAAGCAGCAACCATTCGGCCGAGTAACATGCTACACGAGCCTACCTGCTTCACTGAGATACTGGCTCCGAAGCTGTTCTGTTCTTCCAGCATGGCGATCTACTTCTTCGCAAGATACTTCTCAGCGTAAGCATCCGGCCCCATCTCTTGTAACCTCCCATCCTTCACCTCCACCTCCTCCGCCGCCTTCCGCGCATACTCCGCCACCTCCCTCCTCACCCTCTCATCCCTCACCCCCAGAATCCTCGCAGCAAGCAACGCAGCATTAACGCTCTTATTCACACTCACCGTCGCCACAGGGACTCCGTTAGGCATATTACAGATACTCAACAAACTATCCGTCCCGTCACCTATACTTGGCTTGACAGGCACACCGATGACGGGCAGAGTGGTGTGAGCGGCCGCCATGCCGGGTAAATGCGCCGCGCCTCCTGCCGCGGCGATGATGACTTGGACGCCGTTTGCTGCTGCCGTGGAGGCGAAGTCGGCCATCCAGGTTGGCGTGCGGTGGGCGGATCGGATGCGGACGGCGTGGGGGATGTTGAAGGTTTTGAGGATGTCGAGGCCCGGGCGGAGGACGTTGAGGTCGGAGTCAGAGCCCATTATTACTGCTACGGGAGGGTGGGCATGGGGTGACTGTCCGACACTCCTCGCTCTGCTGGCGGTCTCGTCTACGTAGTCTATCAGGGGCTGCATGAGCGTTTCTGCTTCGTACATCGATGGAGCGGTGACAGTGACGTGGCCCATCTTCCTGCCTTTGCGTGCTTGACCCTTGCCGTACAGGTGCACGCGGCCTCGGCCACGGAGGTGCTTCCGCGCCTCTGCGGCGAACTGTAGGTGTGAATCGGGTGAGTCGCCGCCCAGGATGTTGAGCATGATGGCTGGTTCACAAAGTCGGAGGGCTTCGGCAGCGAGAGGCAAATCTAGAATCGCGTTGAGATGGGCATCGTACTGTGAAGCCGGACATGCTTCGATGGTGTAGTGGCCCGAGTTATGCGGCCGCGGTGCAATCTCATTGATAAGCAGCGTCTCGTCCTTGAGCAGGAACATCTCCACGCCAAAGACGCCCTTGCCTTCGAAGCACGCCACGGCTCGTCGTGCTAGATCCTGGGCTTTCTCGCTAGTAGCGTCAGAGACTCCTCGCGCGGGCGTGTAGGTGAGCTTGCATATGCTGTTCTCGTGGATTGTCTCTGTGGTTGGGAATGATAGCACTTCGTTTTTGGTTTTCACAACCATTACTGCAAGCTCCATACGGAAGTCTGCCCATTTCTCAGCATAGAGGTCCTTGTTCTTGCCTAGTGCATCCAGTGCCGGTTGAAAGTCTTCGACAGTTCGCACAGGGAAGTTGCCACGGCCATCGTACGCCTCTCGTCGCGACTTCAGCATTAGCGGTAATCCAAGTGTCTTGCTGGCCTGCTCCACAGCTTCTACAGAGGGGTTCGAAAGCGGAATAGATTGTGCGGTCGCGACGCCATGAGCGTGTAAATGCTCCTTCTGCGCATACTTGTCCTGGATTTTCCGAATAGTCGTCCAGCTTGGTTGCACGTCGGTCTGGTCCGCGATATGTTCCAGTATGTGCGTGTCCACATGTTCGATTTCGACAGTCACCACATCGGAGATTGCGGCCAGTCGTTTAATGGCTTCCGGGTCCTTGAAAGAGCCATCAATGTGGTCTGAGTGGTAGCTGACTTGTTTTGCTGGAGAATGACCGGCGTCCAAGATGTTGACTTTTACTCCAAGTGGGTAGGCAGCCTGCACGAGCATCTGACCTAGCTGGCCACCGCCGAGCACTCCTACCGTTGGTAACGCCATTTTATTGAGGTCCCATACTGTTCTTATGTAGTTCCAAGTTCCTGTTGAAGCGTACAATGGTGGGAATCATCGGTCAGTCGTGCCTACCGATTTGGGCCTAATGGAGGCAAAATTGAGAACGGAATTTGGAGCACCTTGACTTAAAGTCTCACATACACCACATATCCTACACACTCTCATCCTACTGGCTGCTTATACGCGTGATGCACATTTACAATTGATCAGGAATACTGACCATGTATAACAGCATTGAGCTGTTCGGAATGAGGTTCAGAGCTACCAAATTTCAGACAGCGATACCTTGAGCGCCAAACTCCACGCTCATATGTCACAATCGCTATTCCACGCTGAATCAACCAGCCTCATATCACCCATCTATAACTGGCATACCTGCCCGCAGTCTCCGACTTCCGGATAATCTTCACAACCTGTCCTCGCTTCAACCCCAGATACCGCGCCATCGGATCGTGCGTCAGGATCCGCGGCAACTGCGTTTCCTTCAACCTATACCTCTCCAGCAGCCGCTTCTTGTCCTCAGGGCTGAGCAACGTGTGCTTTGGCACGAGTTCGTGCCGACTGATGTTCACGAGAAGATCCTCTTCTCGGAATATTTCCATCACGAGAGGGGCTATCGTAGGAATGATCTTCAATGCTGACGCTGTTGGCGCGGCTTGAGATACATAGATGCCCGTGTGGAGGTTCTTTTCGCTTAGGAGCTGTGCGAACGTTTTCAGATGCTTGATGCCAATATTTGGGTCTGAGTTGAACTGCACGAAGATCGTGCCAATATCCGGCGCTGGGTCGGGATTGCTTGGTTTGGGTAGCGGTGAGTATTTTTTGTTCATCTCGGGTGTCGGGCGCGCAGTGAAGTTCATTCGTGTCCGTTGCGGTGCGCCTGATTCGTCGCAATACTGTGTTTTGAAGTCGTCGAAGGAGATGTTACACTCGTCCTCGGTGAGCTCGTACCCCTGCGACCATTAGACACGCGTTCCCAAGTTCTCTGGTTCGGGTCACGTACTCTATCATAGCACATCTGTTTCGCCGTTCGTAGTATGCGCCATAGCCGTGACCTACGAAATATCAGCTTAAGCAGCAGCATGAGCACAGTACAGAAGAACGCACTGTTCACGGCTCGCTGCGTCGTCGCTCATGCCACCTTTCGCCGCTCTTCACTTTGCGCACCTGTCTGCCGTGTGGTCCTTGATTGAAGATCTGGGCGTAGACGTTTCTAATTGAGCGGCGCGCAGACTCTCTCGAATGCTCGTGTGACTGCCATTCATTCTCGAGAGTTTCACTTCGACTTTTGCGGAAGAACCCGCAACGTGCGCGCCACACCCGCGCCAAAGCGCCTCCACATTCGCAACGTCTGGACCCTTGCCGACAATGAGATATGGCTTCAATACCAAACCTTAATACACTAGGAGGCGGTAGACGCGGACACAGACTTCGAGGAGGTCGTGGCACAACGCCCACGCACGAGGATGCCACAGCCGACAGCGTTGAGCGTGGACGTGATCAAGTCGTACAACAAACGGACCATGACGCGAGCAGCAGCCGGATGAGCGCTGTAGCTCTGGGCTATCTTGACGATCCGTATGCGAGAACCTTCTTCGGCCACGATACAGAGATTCCAAAGCGCTATCCGATCATCAACCGAGGCACTTATGTCCGGACGAAAGCTATCGATAGGCTCGTGAAGCAGTTCTTGGACGTCAGACCAACTCAAAAGAAGCAGATTGTCTCCTTGGGTGCTGGTTCCGATACCCGCTTCTTCCGGTTAGTAGACGAAAGCAGTGCCTCAAACTTGCACTTGGTCTACCATGAACTCGACTTTGAGGCGAACGTCAACCGAAAGCGGACCACGCTTCGACAATCTGCCGAGCTGTCTCGCTTGCTGAAATCAGGTGGCGACCGTGGCCTGACCTACCATCTTCACGCATTAGATCTCCGCGATCTGGCAGTCAAGTCGCCGCCGGAGATCCCCAGCCTAGATCCTCAGCTGCCCACTCTATTAATCAGTGAATGCTGCCTATGCTATCTCCCACACGAGACCGCCGCAGCGGTGCTCGACTACTTCTCCATGCACATCCCGGGCTCAATGGCTTTGGTACTGTACGAACCGATTCGGCCATTCGATGCTTTTGGCAAGACTATGGTAACCAATCTTGCCTCGCGCGGCATCCATCTGCAGACACTAAAGCGCTATTCTACGCTTGAGGCCCAGCAGGGGCGTCTGCGTTTGGCTGGCCTCAGCGATGGCCAAGCCGCGAGAGACGTGCTCCAGCTATACGATGACGACGACTGGATGGCGCCTGAAGAACGTGAGCGCATCGAGAAGCTGGAGTGGCTCGATGAGGTTGAGGAGTGGCAGCTATTAGCCAGCCACTACTGCGTTGCATGGGGATGGCGCGGAGAAGCTTTTGGCGAGGCATGGGCAAGCCGTGGTGGTTCGAGCAGCATAAGGAACATACAGATGATATAGATTGTTCGTAATATTGGCCGTCGCTATTAATCGCTGCTCGCGGCACGTGCATCTCTTGAACCGGCATCCTACAGTCAAATGTACAACCGTCACATCATCTTGCAGCGGATAAGCCACAGCGCCTCGCTATGCAACATAGCATTCTAAACCGACACCGTCCTATAACGGCTTTTAGGAAAACGCCCAGGAACGCCCAGAACCGCATGCATCGCTCCAAATGCTTCCGAATGTCGACTTCTCTAGGCTCCGTTCTCAGGTCGCGTCGGTAATTGTTCAGACGGCACTGGAGCAAGACTCTGCTTGAGCGCCTGCGCCGAAGTCATCGATCCCGCCTTCTGCATCATCTCTGCAGGTTGCAGATGTATCTCTGTGTCATCACGTCGGGAACTGTGAGGTCGCTCGGGCAGCTGTGTTTGCGGCTGCTCGTTCTCCTCCTCATGCACCTCCGACACAACGGTACTTACCAGCTTGTTCGCCTCTTGCTGTAGGTTTGGTATCGCCCTCGTTGGCTGATTGAGATAACTCTCCAGCATCTGCTTGAGCGTATCTGCACGGACGGGCTTGGCTAGGTAATTGTTCATGCCCGCTTCCAGACACTTCTCGCGGTCGCCTCGAATGGCGCTGGCGGTCATCGCGATGACCAGGATATCCCGGACTCTCGGGTCAGGGTGTTTGCGGATCTCGCGCGTAGCGTTATACCCGTCCAGTACTGGCATCTGAACGTCCATGAGCACAAGGTGGAACGGCTTGCCGTCCTTGCTTGCACGCTCGAGTGCGTCCACCGCTTGTTGCCCATCGCCGAACGCCTCACAGTAGAAGCCAAGCTTCCTTACGAAATTGATGGCGATCTTCTGGTTGATCGGATTGTCCTCGGCGATGCAGACCTTAAGCTGGTCGCGTGGTATACCGGCCAAACTTACAATCTGATGCGCGCCGCTGCCCTCAGGCTCTGGTGGTGGTGTGAAGATGGACATGGGATCCGCTTCCCGCCTGTGTGGTGTGACACCGTTCGTTTCGCTGTTTGCGGATTGCTTGACCTTCTTAAATGGAAGCGTGAAAGACACAGTAGTTCCAACGCCAGGCTTGCTCTCAAGCCAGACGCGACCCTTCATCACATTTTCAATGATGGCCTTGCAGATTGACAAGCCAAGGCCAGTGCCGCCATAGCTTCTTGCCGTGCTGCTGTCTGCCTGGCTGAACGGCAGGAAGAGCTTCTTCTGCTGCTCTTCCGATATGCCGATGCCGGTGTCGGTGACGGATACAGTGACTTGAATGTTCTCCGCATCTTGTCGGTCGGCCTTGGCTCTCACGGTCACGCTGCCTTTGGCCGTGAATTTGTAAGCATTCGACATCAGGTTCATCAGGATCTGATGCAAGCGGACGGGGTCTCCCATCACGATAAGCTGCGGATCAAGGTCTAACTCTTCGATGGTGCGCAGGTTGCGCTCTAGGTTCGTATAGGAAAGAGCGCGGACAACCTCGTTGATCGTCTCTGTCAGCGAGAGTGGCACGCTGAACACTTGCATCTTACCGGCCCTAATGTGTGGTCAGCATGCATCTGCTAATACAGACGGGGACGGTACGTACTCTAGCTTTGAGAAGTCGAGGATGTCGTTGATCACACTCAGTAGGGTGTCGGCGCAAACTCTTATTGAGTCCGCATGCTCTGCTTGCTCTTTATTGAGCTGCGTTGCCTTAAGCAGCTCGCTCATGCCGATGACACCGTTGAGCGGCGTGCGAAGTTCATGCGACACGTTGGCCAAGAACATTGACTTCGCCTTCGCAGCTTCATCTTTCAGTCGAACCATCTCCATAGCTTTTACCTCTGCCGCCTTTGCCTGATTCTCCGACTTGCGGGCCTTTTCAAGAGCTTGCTTTTGTACTTCGAGCATAGCGGAGTTGCGCGCCGAGGCCTTTTCTACCTGCTTAAATAGTAAGGCGTTCGCCATCGAAATTGCGATCTGGTTGACGAGGAGTTTCAGTAGGGTCACTGTCCGCTCGGTGAATGTATTCGGTGGAGCTTGGCAGTAAAGGCTGCCTAGCAAGGCGCTGTCACCATGAAGAATGGGCAGTGCGATCATGGCAGCGCCTTCCGGGTTCTGCTCCAGCCATGAAGAAGGCACATTTGCAAAGCGCTCGTCATCCAGCACTTGGCGGAGAAAGACCGGCTCTTTAAAGCGAAGTACGTAGAGGGTGACTTGACGTGCGACTGGATCCTCAATCTGATCTAGTGGTACGCTTGCTGGGAGCGGTTCGAAGCCTGATGGTGTTGCAACTGCCGCCACCTCCCACCCACCATTGTCAGCTTCGATCGCTAGGCCGCAGACATCGGCACCGGTGGATGTCACGATAATCTCGGTGAGCTTCGGTAGGAGACGGTCAATGTTCAGTTCGGACGACAAAAGCTGCGAAGACTCAAGGATGCTAGTAAGGTCGATCATGTCGAGTCCCACAGCGGCAAGACCACCAGACAGCGCTGCAGGCGGCTCCTTAACCATCTGTGCGCCGTTGCTGGCAAGATGCGGTTCGAGCCACTCCTCTGTACGGTCGGCTGATGTTTGCGGCAGGCCCTGGCTTGCGATCTTTTCTAATCTGTAAGTGGAATCAATTGTGTCCAGCTCCGTTGTCTGGGTCGTTGCATCTTGCGTGGTCAGTGACCTCGTGCCATACAAAAGGAACTCAAAGCGATCAGACATTTGATCTGCCTTGCCAAAGGCGCCTATGCGACGGTAAGCCGAGATCGCATCTTTGATCACGCCTCGTGCAGGCCTCGCAGCTCCTCTTCGGACGAGCCAATCTGCGTACAGCTCCGAGGCGATGGCTTCAACAAGCACGAAACCGTGCAGTACTGCATGGTTGATGGCCCGCTCGTAGTGTTGCAAGCAGTCACCGTAATCGTGTTGGCAGTCTGCTAGCTCTGCGTCGAATAGTGCGAGATACGCAGCATAGTTGACCGAGCTGCTGACTGAGACAACCTCGATTCGCGAACGTAAAGCAGATACCTTCGTTAACAAAGCTTGACGGTCTGGTCGATCAGGGTTTTCGCGGATCATGGCTATTGCGCTCATGGACATGTAAAACGCGTTGTTGTAAGTGTAGGGCATGCACCACAGCTCGCTCATGGTATCTTCCATGGCCTCTGATAGCTCGAAGCACTCTTTGTGGTAGCCGAAGGAGTACAGTGCTGAAATCTTGTAACAGTTGTAGATGGCTAGGGGCTTATAGGGATTGGTCCGCGTGCCGAAAACCCGTTTTGTATACTCAGCAGTATTGTGGCGATCATCGCTGAGCACATCAGAAGAGGTCTTCGCGTACGTCTTGCCTTGCATTGCCCTAATATATTGCCGCACAGACACGAGGAAGCTTCCACCACGTATGTTCTCGCTAAAATCCGGATACTCATCAGCGATGGACACGATGAAGGCTTCCACTTCTGCAAAATCCTCCGAGGCCCACACTCGGTACGCTGCAACGATGCCAAGGTTGAGTAGCTGCAGAATCTTGTCACCCGCCGCAGAAGCTGCCTCTACGCCACGGGTGAGGTTGCGAAAGTTCTCCTGAGGGTCGCCAGCAAGGTGTCCAAGGAACATCACGTGGACAGTCAAACCTCGCCCGGTTGTGTAATGTTCCTCCGGGAAAGCCTCAAATATCTGCATGGCTTTGTTGCCAAGCTCCAAGCCCAACTTGACGAGATCCCACCGGAACACGGCGGCTATCGCCAAGTGTACGTATGCAAGGCCAAGGTACGCGGACATTCCTCGCTCCAGACACACATTCGCAAGCTTGAGCGTGCCCTGATAATACGTCAAGCTGTCCATCCAAAAAGCGGCGGATTGGAATTCCGTAAAGAGGGCGCCAAGAGTCTGCATCTCCCTGTCGACGTTGATACTGCTGGCGTCGGTAAGGTCTAGAGGCTGTGCTTGAATTCTAGGTAACAGGCTCTGGAACTCGTGATCGCACTGCTCGTACGTGAGGTTTTCAATAGGGCAACCGCAATCGGCAAGAGCATCTTTGAGTAACGCGAACGATGCGCGAGTGTCTCCCCTCTGGATCTGCATACGGCTCGCGATGATGATAGCCGGCGCCTTGCCTGCAGCATCCCTGGCGTGGACGGAAATCTCAGTCAGCAATTTGGAAGCGCCGTCAAAGTCGCGAGTGTACCAAAAGGCCTCGGCTGCTTTGGTCATCATTACAATGGTCTCCATATAGCTGGCATCTCCGCTGGACTCATCCCATGGGTCGTCCTGCAGAAGAGCTAGAGCGTACTTGTAATAGGTGGCACCGGACTTCCGCGCACCAGATTCTCGAGCGGTTTCGGCAGCCTGGTAAAGTAGTGCACGGAATGGCTCCTTCTTTACTGCTCGGAGCTTGACTGCTTGTAGGCCCTCCGAGACGTGTCTCGCCTGCTCAAAGAGTACTGCATTCGGCATCGTCACAGGATCGAAGGTCATGTGCTTCATCATGGCGCATGCGACGACATAGTGCATTTCTTCTAGCTTGTACTCTTCGCAGAGTCCATATGCTGCGGTGATGTAGCGGTCATGAGAGAACCTGAAGCGGTCTTCCTCTTCTGTCGCTACCACAATGAACGATGCAATAGTCGCCTGTAGACCGGAGACTGCGTCTTGCGAAGGTGGTGGAATCAAGCCCGCTGGCGAGGCTTTTGAGCAGTCGCAGCTCATGACCCGCAGTACTAGATTAAAGCTGAAGCTATTGCCGATGATGGCGGCCCAAGCCAACAATGTCTGAGCATCCTTCGGCATTTCTCGTAGTCTTCTTGCTATGAAGTCGTTCGAAGAGAATTTTCCAGCATCAGGGCTGCTGAACTCCGTGAAAAGCCTGTCTAAGTTGTACTCCCATTGTGAGCACTTCCAGCAGTAGTAGATGCATTTGTTGCGGTAGCCAGCATCAAGCATCTCACGCACAAAGAATGGGTTACCCCCCGTCTTTTCCTGCACGACAGCAACGAGAGGCACGCAATACTCTCTCGGTCTATGCAGAGTGTCGGAGACGTACTGTGCTGTTTCCTCATCGGTGAATGGTCCGAGTGTAACCTTGTGCGAAGTGTTGAGCAATTTTCGCGTTGGTGCCGTTAGCAAGTCCTCGCCTCGGTAAGTCAAGATGAGCACCACTGGCACTTTGGCGGCTACTATGAGGTGGAGTAGGTCCAAGCTCTCTTGGTCTGCGAACTGCAAATCGTCAAGGCAGAAGGTTATGAACTTCTGTACAGCCAGCAGCCGAAGAACATCGAGATAGATGTGCATAAAGCGTGAAGACTTCGCTCCGCCGCCTGAACGCAACCACTCTTGCGCCGCCTGCATGTTACACTTCTGCCGCATCGGTGTCGAACCGATGGCACCGTAACCGTTTATTGGTTTCCCGTGGCCGTCGCCACTTGTGACGCTGTTAATCGAGGGGGGGGAAAGTAGCCATGCAGGTAGGTCTAGTGCTGAGTGCAGCATGGCCCAGAAAGGCTTCACGAAGGTGCGGATATTCTCGTGGAAGGGCGTGTTAACATCATGTTCCGAGTAGATCTGCCGGAAAAGCGACGACAAGAGCCGAACAATCGGCTCAAATGGCGAGTTCTTTACCTGGTCGAATTTGGCTGTAGTGAAATAGCCATGTTTTCGAGCAGTGGGCGCGACACTCTGCACAAGTGATGACTTGCCGTATCCTGCGCGTCCACAAATTGCGATGATCTCTGTGCGACCCTTGCGCTTGAGCTTTTGTGCAGTGCGAATGAGCGAGCTTGAGTCACCGGTCAGGCTGTACATGGAGTTAGACCGCGGCATACTGTCGGCATTGTTCAGCGATCCCAACTGGCTGCCATGCGAAGACTGCCGCTCCAGCGCTTCGTCTCGGCTTGATGTTGGTGTCGAGTCATCGTTTGTGCTCTGCCTCTCACGTAAGTGCTGTGACTCTTGCACTCCAACCTCCGGGATGGAGTTTAGCCTCGAATCTCGGTCTCGGTCGCCAGAAGAAGTACTGTCGCTAAGTACATCGTCAAGCATGGAGATCTCCGGTCTGTCTCCGGACATGACAGATGACCCTGAACTCAGGCTGTACAAACCCTTTCGGGTAATCGGCGCAGCACGAGCGGACCGTTGAGCTGCCCTCTCGATCACCTCTACGATGCCCTTGCGCTGTTCTTCTCGGCCCACAAGATGGGCAGGAAGATTGAAGAAGCATGACACGTCGGCTGCAGCAACCTTGAAGTTGGCTAGAGCTTCCTCGTCGCCATCCGTGAGGATCTTCCTGAGCGCCTCTAAATCATACCTTACTCCTGCTGTAGAGTTGTAACGATCGTCCATGTTCTTGTGTGTCATTTTCTGTATGACTGCTGAAATGGCGTCCGGAACATCCGGCCGCACGGAGCTGACCTGCGGTATTCGACGGGAGAGTACGTTCTGCATAATGTCGAGCGGAGTCTTGCCATCAAACGGCGCCTGTCCGGTTAGCATGGTGTAGAAGAGTATGCCAAGGGAATAGATGTCAGTCCGTGAATCTGGCTCGGCTGGTAAACGACCGGTCTGTTCAGGCGCAATGAATTGAAGCTTGTGTTCAACGCCGCGCTCAGACATTAAACTTGACCAGCCGGCAGATGTTAGGCCGTGCTCGAAGCTCCTGGCGCCGCTTCCAAAGTTGATCATTTTCACAACTCTAGTGTCTTTGTTGTAGTGGAATGCATCGCCTCTGAGCTCACCATGCACAAGCTCGTTGCCGTGATGGAGGATCTCGCAGCACTCCGTAGCACCCACGGCAAAGTCTAGAAACGTCAAGAGCGGTACCTGCGCTTGTTCCCTCCGTGGAGTCGGAGAGTCTGGGTTGCCCTGATAGAAATTTGGGCCCATCTCAACCATCTCTCGGAGATAGTTACGACCCGGCGCTTCCACGATTGAAACGCATACGTTTGCGTCGCCCGGTTGGCGTATGGGGAGGCGAGAGTACTGTATGGGTCTTACGAAGTGTCGGTGATCAGGTTCGTCTTCCTTGTGAAGCCTCTGGGCCAGCTTGAACTCTCGTTCGAGCCGCAAGCGATGCTCGGAGACCCGCGCGACTACCCACAGCTCTTCCTCCTTCTTGTCATCCGTACTGCCATAGTCGGAGTGCGTCCTAACACTCCTGGGCCTTGATGAGCCTTGCGAGCTCCCTTTACGCGTCTCCACAGCTCTTTTGGGCTTCAACCTGCCGACGAAATGCCAGTTGTCGTAGCTTGAGTGGAAAGGTATGATCGATTCGAAGAACTCGTACTCGGGCAGCTCTTCGCGTAGTCTTTGGTACATTCGCTTGAACCTGGCATCCTCTGTTGCTCCAGGTGAGGCCACAGAAGGCCGACTACTTCGATGCTCCATTCTGCCTCCTGTGTCCGCCGTTTCACTTCAAGACATGCCCCGCGATCTGCCGCTCCACGGCCTGGCACTTCGTTCAGTCATGTACCTCTACCGCCGAGCGTTGTCGTTGTCGCGAGGCCTGGACAGAACAATGGTTTCTTCTGCTTAAAGTCCAGGTCAGGCGCCGGTATGCGCGGTTATACGATGGAAAGTACGCTTAGAAACCTTGTTGAGATGATTAGGCTCAGAGCCGCGGACCAGCTGCCAAGGAGCAGTAGCTGTGGCTTGCTGACGTCGCCAAGCGGGCAGTGATGGAGTTGGGAATACCGGCGACCTGACAACAACCCACACGCCGTACGAAAGTCGAGGGAAACGGTGCAGCGCGCACCATGTGGCACGCCGATGGCTTACATAGCAATACAGTGTAGATCTGCTTAATACGCAGGGACCACCACACGAGGTGGCGCCTCATCCTTGTCAACATGCTCCACACCAACCATACGCCGGGAAGATCCGTCTCTATATGTTCTTCTTGGCGGGCAATGACGATGGCAAATGCTTGCTACTTATGAAGCCACCCCTTCACAAAATCTGTGACGGTTGGCGGCGTTGGCAGAGCATTTGATTGTTTCATGACGCCAGTATAGCATCCGCCGAGCAAGGCAGGACGGCAGTGACCGCAATAAGCGTCACGATGCCAGCGCAAACCAGCCTCAGAGCTCCCGGGTAGTCGCAAACTATACAAAATGGACAACGAAGCCGAGGAGGAGTTCCAAGATGCGCAAGAAGAAGCGGAGGAGCATCAAGAGCTGGCGACCAAGCCCAGAGAGCTTCCATTGGATCTACCACGAAACTTGGACGACAGGAGGCCAGTGCGGGACTATAGCCAGCAGGAGTTCTATGACGACTGGAGCGGCAAGGCTGAGCTTTTGACGGCGCCGATGAGTGCGAAGTCCCTCAGTTTCAATCTGTCGCTTCACGAGCCCGATCAGGAGGACGCTTTTGGTCGGGATTTCGGCGGTTATGATGCAGCTATGCTAGCTGCACAGGCTAGGAAAGGCAACGAGATCGATGCTGGTGAGATGGAGGAGGATACGGTGTTGGCAAATAAGGATCTGTCGCTGGAGCAAAGAACGCAGAAATTGCAGGAGTTCTTGTTCCTCGCTGCAAGTAATGGTGATGCCAAACGGGTGCAACGACTAGTGAGAGGTCAACCTTCAGATTTCTTGAGGCTCAACGCAGTAGACGCGGAAGGTACGCCACCTTTGGTCTACGCCAGCTGCTTCGGCCACAAGGATGTGGTTCTCGCGCTTCTGGATGCAGGCGCTACGGTTGATACTCAAGATCGCAATCAATGGACTGCGCTTATGTGGGCGATAACGAACCGCCACAAGGACATCGCCAAAATACTGCTCGACCACGGTGCGTCAACAGATATTAAGTCATCAAGTGGTAGAACCGCGCTAGACTTCGTGCCACCCAACAGCGACATGTCAGAGTTTCTTCAACACAGTGGCAACAGCATTGGCAGTGTTGGCGTTTCGGAAGACTTCTATAACTCCGGCTTCTCACAAGATCGCTTCGAGGAGGAGCTTGCTGAGAGTGAGATGCGGCGGCGAATGATGATGGAAAGCGCGATCAACCTTGAGGTCGATTTGGGCAATCTTGGCCTGGACGAGCAGCCGGAGTCACCAGAGGAGCTAGACGAAGGACAGGAATTTATATGGGATCGATGTCTCAACGATCAGATGTTTGTCTTCATGGAGAGCGACATTGAGCGCATCCTGGATGTGGTCGTGACGAACATGACGCCCCAGCGATCACCGTCGCAAAAGCCGGTGCCAGCAAATATCGTGTTTCTTGGCGCTCGCTATGCGCATTACCACGCGAACAAGGAGCTGCTCGCAGATTGGCTCGAGTCAGCTCAAGAGAAGATCTACGCGGTGGTCGATCGCTATCAGTGGGACATGACAATACTCGCCTTTTGGATCTCGAATGCGACCTTACTCTTGTACTACCTGAAAAAGGATCCGGGTTTGACCGAAGCGACCGTCCAATTTCAGGCGCAGATGGCGGAATTGATACACGAGATCTACATCCTCATCATTAGGGATGCTGAAAGACGGATGGACAAAGTTCTCGACACGGCCATGCTTGACCATGAGACGATTCCGGGCTTCGAAGACGTCGCGTTCCAGAATGAGTGGAAGTTCTTACGCACGAAGTCCAAAGTGAAACCCGAACCCATGGAAAAGCGGTATCGGCCGCCTTCACCAAAGCGTAAAGCTCAGGTATCGCCGCGCAACATCACATCCTTGCTGTCCTCGACGCTGTTCGTGCTCGACTTGTACGATGTGCACTCGGTCATCATGGCGCAGATACTGTCGCAGCTCTATTACTGGGTCGGAGCCGAGCTTTTCAACCGGATAATGTCGAACAAGAGATATCTTGCTCGTACCAAGGCGATGCAGATCCGGATGAACGTTTCCACGCTCGAAGACTGGGCTCGTACCAATAACAGACAGCCGGACCACTACGAGAACGGATCGATGACCGCGACTGGAGAGACTACGGTCGATTCTGCAAGGCGCCACTTGGCACCAGTTGTACAGCTACTGCAATGGTTGCAATGCTTCTCATCACTTGGCGAGGATAAGGATGCTCTGGCCACCACCCTGCAACAACTGCCGAACGTTTCCGCCAGGCAGCTATTGCACGCTGTTAAGCATTACCGCGCGGAAGTCGGTGAGAGGACGCTCGGCAAAGTCGCACTGAAGTATATTCAAGAGGTTAAGAGCAGACCGAAGGTACCAGTGCAGCCTGAGCCGCATTCCGCGACGGGCTCCGGAGCGACGCAATCACCAGCTGTACCGGCTGACGCTGCTCTGCCAAACGGCAAAGCATTACATCCCCCTATAATTCCTCAACCAGACGAAGATGAGGCGCCAGAAACAAATTTGCTTAACCCAGCTCTCCTGCTACCTTTCCATTTACCGACCTCCACCGACATGCTGATTAGCTACGGTGCCGGTTTTGGAGGTATGAACAAGGAGCGCGAACGAAGGTACATACCATCAGTTCCACCAGAGTTCTTGGCCAAGCTGGAGCCGGACGGAAAGCAGGTTACCAGAATCTATGAAAACGCTCGGTTCAGTGACACGTCGGACTGAACGATAGGGCGGAAGCAGCCGAATGACCTGTTCTTGGCACTTTCGGCCAACTCCGCTGCAGCAAGAAAGCCTGCATAAAGTCCACAGAAGCTGCTGACGTGCAAAATGTCACATCTTTTACGAGCAGGCACTCAGCATTTATAAGATTACGGCGTGGACATGGAGGTACCAATTATCGCACTAGAAAGTATCCAACCGATCGTACAAGAAGCGGCTACGCCCGTCAAATCTGGAGACATTGATTCAACCTTCAATGGCAGTATTGGTACGCATACGTCGGAGTTGGCAACCTTGCTGGCACTCTAACATTAGTCTTGCAGACCTCGTGAACAAGGCTCTAGGCTCCCGCATCCTCGCCTTTTCCGATGAATGGTTCGCTGCAGCCGACAATCTCACCACCCCAACGCCGCCGATCCGCAAGCCTGGCGTCTTTACATACGCAGGAGCATGGTATGATGGCTGGGAAACCCGCAGACACAACCCTGAGGCATTCGATTGGGTCGTCATACGGTTGGGCGTTGCATCAGGCAGAGTGAACGGTGTGGAGATCGATACGGCTTACTTCAACGGCAACCAGGCACCTGAGATAGCTGTGCAGGGATGTTTCGCATTAGACGACCAGGAAAGTGAGGTCAAGAGCAAGGACTTTGTGGGATGGGAGACTATACTGGCTAAGCAGGAGTGCGGGCCGAGTCAGCGACACGGGTGGTTATTATCGAAAATGACGGACAAGGCATATACGCATGTGCGGTTACAAATGTTCCCAGACGGCGGCATTGCGCGTTTCAGACTGTATGGTGAGGTTGTGCCGGTATTGCCGCAAGATGTAGGCGAAATCTTTGACTTGGCTGCGACAGTCAACGGAGGTGTCGCCGTGGCATGTTCAGATCAGCACTTCGGTAAGAAAGATAATCTGCTTCTGCCGGGCCGAGGGGTCGATATGGGTGATGGCTGGGAAACGAAGCGCTCAAGGGGTGAGCATGTCGACTGGGTGATCGTCAGACTCGGTCTGCCGGGTATCATAGACAGGCTGGTTATCGACACGGCGCACTTTCGCGGGAACTATCCGCAGAAGGTGCAGGTGTTTGCGGCTTTGCAGTCGGACACGCCACCCTCTCACGATAGCCACTCATGGATTGAGATCCTGCCGCCGCAGCAAAGCGGACCGGACAAGGAGCATGAGTATGCACGAACGGCGCTTCAGCACGTCGAATCCGCCTACGCGTACGTAAAGCTGGTGATTATCCCAGATGGAGGCGTGAAGCGGATCCGTGTGTATGGCAGGCGGGCTTGAAGCGGTCCATGACAGCCGCAGCTGTGGCGTTGCATACAACACACGACCGCAACGATACCGAACATTGAAGCCGGCAATGGTTCCCAGCATGTGACTCACGTGCCAGTCTTCTCGAAGACAGACTCTCGGTAATGGGCCGCGCTTTATTCGGTCCCTCACGGGCAAGCAGTCGGCGAGCCGCCGAGGCGCCATATGTTGCCCCGCAGGGTATGCACCTCAATCAATGCGACCTGCCCAATTCGGCAGTCTGCTGTGCCTATCGTTGCGACCGCCACGCGACCATGTCGCCCACACCTCTACAACGCCAATCCCATGCCGTCACTCAAAGAAGAGCTTGTTAAATGGCACGTAGATAGCGTACGTCTTATCGTCCAGCAAGCCTTCTGTCGCCTCCTGTGCATGCCGATAGGGTCTTGGTAGGTTCACCTAACACTCTATATCTGTTTATGTTCCTTTACTCTGTTACACATCCGAGTGACGCTACCATCATCGTTATTGAAGGCCCAGCATGTCTGACGACGAGAAGAACCATGGCCTTGATCCAGCGGTTGACAAGCAGCTACCGGCGCCGTTGGCGAATGCTATCCGCTCTGGAAGCGTTCCGGAAAACATACTCAAGCACTCCCACGATGCCGACGAAGCCATGAAGGCCTTCGAAGGCCATCAGGGCGAGGTGATCCACATCGACGAGGCAACAAACCGCCGACTGCTACGGATTATCGACTGGCACCTTATCCCGGTGGGTGTGTGCATCCGCCGCTGCGCCTACATTGTCTGACACGATCCAGATCATGTGCGTCGTCTATGGTTTGAACTATCTAGATAAGGTAGATTACCATCTAATCGTCTTAAAAGGTGCTAAGCTAATGTGATAAGACCACCATTTCCTACGCTAGCGTCATGGGGATCAGGAAAGACATCGGTCTTGTTGGCAACGACTATCAATGGCTTGGCTCCATGTTCTACTTCGGATACCTGGGCTGGGAGTACCCTACGAACCGTCTTCTCCAACGTCTGCCAATTGGAAAGTATTCCGCCTGCTGCATCATCGCCTGGGGCCTCGTACTCACCTGCTTCGCCGCGGTCAAGGACTTCGGCGGCGCGGTAGCCATACGTTTCATGCTCGGCGTCTGCGAGGCCGCGGTGACGCCTGGTTTCGCTCTGATCACCAGCCAATGGTATACTAGGAAGGAACAAGGCACACGGACTGGTATCTGGTTTTCCTTCAACGGCTGGGCGCAGATCCTAGGTGGCCTTGTCGCGTATGGCATCGCAGTCGGTACCAGGAAGCATCCCGCGAGCATTGCAGGCTGGAAGATAGTCTTCCTGGTCACCGGGCTATTGACCGTTGCGATGGGGGTAGTCTTCCTCTTCATCGTTCCCGACAACCAGATGAACGCTCGCTGGCTGAAGAAGGAGGACCGCATCCTCGCTATCGAGAGAATTCGAACGAACAATCAGGGGGTCGGTAACCGACACTTCAAATTCTATCAGGTGCGCGAGGCCTTACTTGATCCAATCACGTGGGCGTTCGTATTTTACGCAATCATCGCCGACATACCGAACGGCGGAATTAGCAACTTCTTCTCCCAGCTTATAGTGAGCTTTGGATACACATCTGAACAATCTTTGCTTTATGGCACACCAGGCGGGGCCGTCGAAGTCGTTACGTTGATACTTGGTGGCTACTTGGGCGATCGCTTCGGCAACCGCATCGCCATTGCTTCCTTGGGCTTGTGCTTGAGCATCATTGGGATGTGCCTGATCGTTGGTCTTCCTCTCGACAACCTACATGGCCGGCTAGCAGGCTACTACCTTACGCAGGCCTCCGCCATGCCCTTTGTCGCCTTCCTGTCTCTCATCTCGTCGAACATCGCAGGATATACGAAGAAGACGACAGTCGCCGCGCTGTATCTCATCGGGTATTGCGTGGGCAACATCATTGGACCTCAGACCTTCCGGCCCAAGGACGCGCCCCGATACGTCCCGGCAGAGATTACCATCATTTGCTGCTGGGGTGTATGTCTTGGCATCATGGCTTTCATCTACTTCTGGTCACGATGGCAGAATGCGCAGAAGGCTAAGGTCAGGGCGCAGCCGGACTACGTCCGCTTGGAGAACCAAGAATGGTTGGATCTTACGGATCGAGAAAACAGCGAGTTCGTCTACACTCTCTGAGACCGTTGCGAGACAGTTGACACAATGACAGAGGTAAGGTGAGGTTCGAAGGATGGAACCATGCGGGCACACTTGGCACGGCGAACACATTGGGTAAATTCATACGCAAGTAATGACCATTAAATCAGAGAACTTCCACTTATCTACATGGTCCGGCCTATGCATATTTGAGAACGTTGTCCTCACGTATGATCAAAGTCCCAGCTAAAGAGCTCTTAAGCGGATTATCTCTGCCCGAACTGATTCAATGTGCGTAGGATCTGCAACGTCGTCTGCCACAGACGCACCGTTTCGTGCATCGCTCAAACCATGCCCCACCTCCTTCTCTCCGTGCAATCTTCCCTGTATCACCCTCTCACGCGTAGGCGGCGCAACTCCAGATGAGATTGCATGGTGGACAGCATCATGGTAAAGCTTGTCATTGCTCTCTGCCAGCGCAAGCAGATAATTAATGACCTTCCAATTCTCGTAGCGCAGTGTGCCCAAAGGCATGTCTGCAGTATTCAAGGCGGGCGTTGCTGACTTCGAAGATGTTTCCACTCCTCCTTGATGGCTTGCGGTGTGTCCATGCTCACCAGTCGCGCTCGACGTCTCTGCCGAAGTGTTGACGCGCTGCTCCGTGGTAAGCTCATCATATATGTGGCGTACAGCGCGCTCCGCCAGGCGCAAGTTGTCTGGAAGTGGAGATAGGAGAATCGGCAGATGCTCTGGATTGTAGTCGGTGATCCCAGGCAAGGCATCGGTTCGATCGTTGAAGATGTCCAGGTCTTGCTCGAGCATGCGCACACCGGAGAGTATATCCCCAACTTCTACACGATCGTAGCCACCGGTTGGCTTGTCACGGTCGGGTGAGTCATGCAGACGTTCAGATATAATCTCGCACTCTTCTTCTCTCAGCATGTGTCCGTAGTTCTTAAGTGCCTCAGTAACAAGGTCCGGACTCCGACACATTTTGGCTGCCTTGAGGAGGACCAAGAAGTCGGACATGTCAAGGCTCCCGCCCAAATCATTTCTCGAGTCCGCAAGGTCCTGCCAAGTCCGGCCAACCAGATGACCATCACCAAGAAGGCCCGCTGAAGCCATGATTGAACGGAAAGTGATCCGAGTTGGCTCCAGATCAAGTGCCTCGGCAGCCTTGAGTGCGATACCGATGATTTGCCTCGATTCGCCGTACCCGCCTAGGTTCGTTATGATTGAGTTGATTGCCGCCATACCGGGTTTGACACCAAGCCTCGCCGAGAGCAAGATCATTTTGCGGACGGTTCCCATCACAGTTTCTACCAGCTGCTTCTTCGACTTCTGCGCCAGCTCTGCTATGCCGTGAAGTCGTAAGAGTTGGGTCACACCAATGATCATTTCATTCACCGCGTTGCTGCTCACACGGCCTCCAGCACCGACGTACATGTAAATGAGTAACACCATCTGCCTCAACGCAGAAAGATGGGCGGTAAGTGAACTTAGGTCGGAGCTTGTGCGTAGAGCAGCTAACAGTTTTCTGGCGGTATCGAAAGGCAATATGATACCAGCTCGACACGCGATAGCAAAGACGGTGTACGCTTCTTCTACGGGTCGCTCATCGATAAAGAGTGAGAAGAAACGAGGGGGAGTGATTGTAGGATAGAGTCTTATTGCCGTGTCCAGTGCCAGATACGCGTTGCGAGAGTCACCGCGTAGTAGACGTGCTGTAAGGATACCTTGAAGCAGCGTCATCGGTACCCCTTTGATCTCTGTACGCTGATCACGATCGGTCAGAATGGCGTTTGGGGAGAGATGGTAAGCATTGAAGCTGCCTGGAAAGCGCTGCAAAGCTTGTTCGTACAAGGCTTCCAGATCAGCCAAAGATGCGCCATCCACAGCAAGCAGCTCAATGGCCGCGCCATATACATCTGGGTCAGTATGTTGGTCATCCTGTAGCTCGAGCCATTTCCAGAAAGCTACCCCTTCCGCTCGAACGCCTGACTCCTTGAATATAGCCAGCAAATGGAGGTGGGCACGCCTGTCTGGCAGAAGACCTGAGCTTTTGATGGCTTTCACAAGCTCTCTGGTAAATGCAATCAGCTCATCAGTGTCTTCTCGGCGAGCCTTGTCCCTTGCCACGCGCTTTTCTCGGCGGAAGGCTTCGTGAAGACACTGGGCTATGCGCCACACCAAGCTCCGGTCAAGTACTCGACGCTGCAACGCCTCCGGAAAGATCATAATCACTGTCTTAATATTTACGTCACTGATTGCCTGCCGTAGGTCGTTGGTGAGGAGTAGGTTGGAATCTTCGACAGCTTCTACTTGAGCCTCTGCTCTGGCCTTGTGCTTCCTGACTCGCAATCTCTGAGATACTTGTCGCCTTGGAGTCTGTTTCACGTGCTCACGACGTGTATCTTGGTTTGAATGGCGGAGCAGACTCTGCGACGCATATGGTCGAGGGCCGAAGGACGTTATTGCTCCAGAAGCGCCTTTTCCAGCCATGAACCGAAGGAGCCATAGCCTGTGCGACTGGAGCTGACATTGCGCTCGCCACAGTGTCTCACTCAGCATCGAAAGGCCGTGCTATACGCAATGGAAGCGAAGGGAAATGCATGCAGAAAGCACGCGACTGCCATGCAAAGTCGAGCGGCGGCGGCGGCGGCGGATGTTGCCGATAGGCCACCTTCACCTCTGCACACTCTACCCTACCTCTCGCGACTAGCTGCATATGCAAGAGTTGCGACGGTGGACAGATCGAAGACATTGTCAAGGACCATAAACCACACTTGCGAGCATGGCACCCAACATGTCTCTCTTCTCCGTCAACGCCATACTCATCCTCTCCACAGACGACACCTCTCGAATCCTCACGAAATATTACAGCCCACCACATGTGCCGCACCACCCACAAGGAACGACATACCCCGGCGCAAACCCATACCCATCACTTAAAGACCAGAAAGCGTTCGAGAAGGGTCTGCTGGATAAGACAGCGAAGCAAACGAGCGATGTAATTCTCTACGACAACCGGGTGGTGGTCTTCAAGATGGAGAGCGACGTGATGCTCTACGTCGTTGGAAGCGCAGAAGAGAACGAGATCATGCTGTACAACGTCATCCTGGCGCTACGAGATGCACTCAACATTTTGCTGAAGTACGATGGGACCGACCCACGTTTCTAAGACAGTGCTAACCATGAACCTAGAAACTCCGTCGACAAGCGAACCATCATCGAGAACTACGACCTTGTCTCCCTCTGCATTGATGAGCTTGTCGATGACGGCATCATTCTTGAGACCGATCCTGTCGTCATTGCAAGCCGGGTGAGCAGGCCTCCTGCGCAGGATGCGCCGAACATGCAAGGCATTGACTTGAGCGAAGAGGGTCTGCTCAAAATCTATCAATTTGGGAAGCAGAAATTCCAGGAGCGGTTACGGCAAGGTTTGTAACCGTGCGTAACATGAGCAATGCTTGCATAGCGCTGGTGTTGGGTGGAACTGCCACTGTAGGCAGCTTTCATTGATGTTTTCTGCGAAACATCCAGAGTCGCAATTCGAACATGGGCGAGCCTGCTCATCTTCCATCTCGTACCGGAGCCCACATTGCGACCTCGAGCGTCAAGAGAGAGACGAGCCTTCGTCGTGCCTTCGGTCGCGCTTACGCGTTCATGAAGGATTTCCCGAACAATGTTAGCCGCCAACACATTGCACCCTCCCGAAATGTAAATGACATTATGTTATGAGCGTGAGGGACACCCGACTGCGAAGTCCTGCAAGACCCTGGTACTCCGAAGCTCGAAGAGATTATTGGCGATACTGAGCTCAAGAGTGCTATCTCGGCAACGGTCCTGGCACTCTTATTGGGTTTATTGGTAGGACTTCCGGGTCCTCTACGTGGTCCGTCGCGCCCGGTTGGGTTTTGTGTATGCTGCGAGCGCTCGGCCTTGCGAGCATTGCTCGGGAACCGCCGAGCTGTGCTAACAGGCTTCTCCATGACGGACACAGAACGTTCGGTTGCCGCTGGAGGAACGGCTCCACGGCGCTCCGTTTCTTGATCTTGCCGAATATCTGCCCAGCTTCGACTGGTCAGGAGCGCCGTCTGTTTCTGGCCTACGGGAGACGGTGTGTCGAAGAGTCGCTCAAGCTGCGCAGGAGAATAATTGCTATAAACACGCTTTCATCTTCCTCCCGTGGACGATGTTGGTGCTAAAGCGATGACGAACGGTACCTGCTTGACGTTGCCAGGCTTGCATCCTTCCGGCGCCTCGTCCAAGACAGGGAGATGGCACCCGCAATGCAGTGTGACTAGATAGGACGGACTGGACACGTTAGTTTCCTGCTGAGCAGGGATCAGCGCTGGCATCATGCGGTTCATCACCAGACCCTTGTTTGTCAGCGAATGTGAAGAAGTTGTGTCGTGTTCCATGCAGACAATGTCTCTACACTGAGCGAAATTTGCAGGGGATGAAGCGAAGATGCGCACTCCATCTCGTTGCGTCCCGCTCCCGTCCAGGCGAAGATGCTCTCATCATCGAATTGTGTGACAATCTCTTCTTGCAAGCGTTGGAAAGCACGGCTTCGCTCGCCGTACAACAACGGGAGGTTGACGTCGAATAAGCCGAAGAGAGAATACGCCTGATCTTCGATCCTAGACGTGCGCCGAATCGCAGCCCAGCTCATCCGTCTAGCTACACTAGATTGCCAAAGTAGCGAAGACATTTCGATACTCTTCCTGAATGCCAGTAATGTTACTTCTCTGCGAGTTGAGGTTACGGCCACGGTGCGGAGGAGCTAGCGCCTCGCTAGCATACACCACGCAGTCTCCGCTATCATTAATTGTATTCCAGGCACACTTGTGGCCTTCGATATCCCATCCTCGATCAACGAAGAGGACGGTTCGCGGAGCCAGAAGCTCCTGCAACGCTGCGACGTGCGATGAGATATAAATCCGGGCACCCTAAGCTGGGAGAAGCACTTACTCCATCCACGAGACCACCAATCGCTTTTCCTCAAGGACTCCGAAGTGTCGACGTCCCACAAGTACGCTACACAGTCCGAAGCCTCGGCATACCAATTGATCATACTATTGATCGCTTCCGTGAGCTCAGCACTGCTGCGCTTGTCAATGCAACAAGTGTCTACCCAAGCCCAGTTTGTCCTCCTGACGCTGCGTTCATTGCGCGCCTTGATAAAGTAGCAAAATTCTTGTATTTTCTGCCAACCGGTGCTGTGCCGCTATTGACCCTCAATGAAGTCTTCGTACGACACCTCATCGTCCGCGCCAAACCATCTATGGGAGAGGATGTAGTAGTCTGGTCTATCCTCATCGAAGAAGTCGCTGAAGGTCAGTTCATAAACGTCCAGCAGACACATGGTCAGTTACGGCGCGGACTACGGGCATCACGGTTCAATTATCATCACTTGCTTTACCTGCGCCTTGATGGCTTGCTAGAATGCCATCAGCGTCGGGTAGGGATTTGTATCGCTGTTGCCGTAGCTGTGGTCTTTGACGCCTATACTGGAGTCGATTGGCTTGCGTATGCATACATGTTTGTAGGTGCGTATCGAACAGACGGGGAGCGTCACAGCGCAGCTTGTCCCATACATACCTCACAGCCGAGGTCTCAACGGCCAATCAAATGATACCTACGTACCCCAACACTACATATTACTTCGCGTCTCTCGCGCGCGATTCCTGTGCCTTCTATCCACGACCAATGATGTGACATCGCCTCTGCAGGCTCCCACGTCCGCAATGGCGATCACGCCGCCCTCGCCGTCTCCTTCCACCATGCTCTCTCCTCACCGTACCCCGAACCGCCCCGCGTTGCAGCCAAACGTCGCTAATGTTGTGTTGGGGAACTTGCACATCAAGCCATGGTACCCCTCGTTCTACCCCGAGGATATAATCGGCGGTAGGAAGACAGATTGGCTCTATGTGTGCCAGTGGTGCTTCTGCTATACCAGCGAGATAATGAAGTATAGCGTACATTGTGTAAGCGAGGCTTTACACGCTGCGCTAGCATAGTAGTAGCTGCTGATATAGGTAGAAAGTGTGCCCATTGAAGGACGATGCACCGCCCGGAGAAGTGATCTATGAGAAGGACGACTTTGTCATCCACGAGATTGACGGCGAGGATCATAAGGTCTGCCCTTATACACACCGTACTCACCCTCCGAGACTGACTGTCTAGGATAGCTATACGCCCAAAACCTGTCGCTGTTGTCCAAGCTCTTCCTCGATACCAAGTCGGTCTTCTTCGACGTCAGCACCTTCCTCTACTACCCCCTGATCCTCCGTAGCTCACCACACCCGTACGGCCAAGTTGTCGGCTTCTTCAGCAAAGAGAAGATGAGCTGGGACAACAACAACGTCGCCTGCATCCTTGTCTTCCCACCTTGGCAGCGACGTGGACTAGGACAAGTACTAATAGCAGCATCCTACGAGCTCGGCAAGCGGGAAGAGAGATTCGGTGGGCCGGAGCGGCCTTTGAGTGCGCTGGGCAAAAAGGGCTACATCAACTACTGGTGTGGTGAAGTGTTTCGCTTTCTCATGGCGTGCCACTTGAAGCGGACAGTGAGTGTGAAAGACATCAGCGACGGAACGTACATCATGCAGGACGATGTCGTTGCGGCGTTGCGGGAGATGGACGTGGTGGAGAAGCGGAAGACGGCCAGTGGCAGCATTGTCGTTAACAAGAGTAAGCTGCGAGCCTGGGCGGAGAAGCACGGTATCAGTGCAGAGCCGCTTGTCGATGCGGAAGCGTTCATTTTCGAAGAGGGTGATGAACATGAGGAGAGCGATGACAATGATTGAACGATGCGGTTGCAACATCACTCAAACTTTGCCGCGACCGATGCGAGCAACGCTCAAGCACAGTTCTGCTTTCAGCCCACCGAAGGCGCAGTGAAGCAGGCGGTTTTGGAAGATCACGCGTGAGATGCTGTGGTCGCAGAAGATGAACCGAACCCCGTGGCGACATGCTATCTCATTCAGCTTGGCGGAGTGTGCTGTTTCGGGAGCAGAGTCTGCTGAACTCCAATCAGGAGCGGAAGGTCTCAGAAAGCCTAGCACTGCATATAGCAACGGCGCGAGACCACACCTCTGGACTAGCACACAAGGGGTTCGGAACGAATGCAGGGTAGGACATTGCGACATATTAATGTACCGGTATCTTTACCTATGCGGACACTCAGAAGGACATCTCGCACAATCACTGGTAGACATCCACTTCCCCTTGCTCGACCGTCTCGCCATCCAACCCCAAGTCTTCTAGCATCAGCACCTCCAACGCCTTCGCCACGTCCATGGCGCTCTGACAGCTTCGGCCTGCGTTGTGAAGCATTTGGTACGCCCCGAGCACATACTCGCCAGCCATCGAACGTAGCCAAATCTTCTCAACAGAGTCCTCGCCGAACTGGCCGGTCATTTCAAGGAAGCTAAGATTTCCAGGCACTGCGGCCCAGACTTCGGGGAACGGCCTAGTTTCCTGGTAGGCATACGCGCCGAAGGCGCCCAGCATGAAGCCTTTGATGCTACTAGCGTGGTCATACTGCTTGATGCGCCGGTAGATCTTGCTGGCGGATTTGAGGCCCTTGAGGACTTCTTTGAAGAGGTCGGCGTGGTATCCTAGATCGCGTTGCGCATGTCGAGGAGAGATGAAAGTCGGGAGTTCAGGACTGCGCGTGAGAAGAAATGTTGAACCTGACTGCCTTTTGCGGGGTGACTTCATGTCTGGACTTCACGATTGTGCGGGAGACGGAGCGACATTCTACCATGGCTTTCATGCCCGGTGGCAGCGTTTGCTGCTGTTTCGATGCGGTGCGGACGATTGAACCGATTTAGATCGATTGGACTGTACTTCGCTCCAGGAAATGCTACAAAGCAAGGAGATACGATGGGCAAAGGGTGAGCAAACCTGCGCACTCACTTATGCGTAGCTCGGGACCGCTAGTGAATCGACGCTGAGGTGACGGGTTGATCGTGCTTGTCCAGGCTGCGAGCTGTAGTACAATGATGAAGGTGTAGGAGAGTAACCGATCAGGGTCGCAGACGTGGAGGAAGTCAAGGGTACAGCAGGTATATACACTTACACCATATCACAGGAAGCATGGTGGGCAACTCCAGCGAGTAAGAGTCTACGAGGAGCCGTCGTGTGTGAAAGTGGCTGCCTGCCTGCCTGCACAATTCCAATACATATGGGCAGCGCCATTGGTTGTTACATTAACAAGCATGATTGCTGCAGCATCAGCGACCTCGAGCACTGCTATGTGAAGGCAGCTGGAGCTCACGGACGAGGCTCCGGAGTACTGCTGTGGGCGTACGGAAGAAAGCCACAACATCGAAACGCTCGGCAGGTACATGAACAACGATACATGTACATGTGCGTAGCATGTGACGGCCGCGGAGGTCATGCTTGGCGTTTCACATGCCAATTGCGAATATCGTTGCCACTGTCTTTGTTGAGCTTTTTGCCCCTGTCGCTCTCCCGGTACGTACAGCAATTGATCGCGCGATCACTAACAAGCTGTTGGCGGAATGCATTGCTGATCGCTGTCATGAACTGCAGGTACTTCGCGACATAATGCCGTTGAGTGGTTGTCTACGCGGGTTGAAGACGACGTTTCACCACCCAAGCCTGCCGTTCTCGGGACGTCGAGCCGAGAGCGTGAGTGGCTTGACTAGCTTCACGTGCTTGAGGCAGGCTGCGGCGTAAGAATCGACGGGTTGACACCGTGGTGACACCGAGCTGTTGCTGCTGCAGCACGTCCAGGGTGATTGGCCGCTGTGCTTGGTCATCGAGTGTGGGTGGGCTTCGCGGGCCAGATTGTGAGTGGGCGAATGGTGGAGGAGAGTGAAAAGCGCGCCTTGTCGTTATCGGCAGCCACTGCACGAGCCACGTTTTCCCGCGTTCGTGCACGGGCGTAGGTATGACGCCGGATTTGCATGTGAAAGAAAGGGAAAGCAGGTGTAGGTGTAGGTGTAGCTGCTGGTGACCACGACGCTTTCTGCGTGGAAGCTTGGGTGAACGCGACGACGACCTGCATTTTCCACCGTGCAACCTTCTCCCAACACTTCCTCTCCCCTTTTCATCATTCCACTTCACACCATCTATCCAGCACTTTGTCTCGGTCTCTCCTTCCATCTTGATCCGCATAACACAATTATTGAAGGAAACCATCACCCAGTAAGTGCTTATCGTGCCTCCCTAGTGAAATCACTGGGGCCCAAAGAAAGAAAGCCGGCAGTAAAAGTCTAGCGTACTCATACATCCTTGATAACCGACTCACTCTTCGTAAGACACTCTAACAGACACATCCACTTCTCACCCCAGGACCGCCTGTACTGCATCCAGTGCCTTGACAAGAGTTTGCAGACGACAAGGCTGACAAACACCGCCGAACAGTCAATGCCTCACGCAACCAAGGAAAGGTCTAACAACATGACCAACGGCGACATGCAGAGCAGCAAGACGCTGTCCCATGTTACCAGCTACCCGGTGGTCAACGACGCCATCGAGACTTTCAAGTCATATCCCATTGGCAAAAAATCAATCGAGATCGCCGACGAGGCCTACCAGCGCTTTGGCAAGCCTGTTGAGCCATACCTCGAGACCCCCTACAGCTACGCCAAGCCGTACGTCCAGAAGGCCGATGAGCTCGCCGACTCCGGCCTCAAGCAGGTCGACACCCACTTCCCCATTGTAACCGAGGACACCAACACCATCATCGACACCGCCAAATCCTACGCATTCTGGCCGTACAACTACGCCGTGAACACGTACAACGGTGAGAGCTTCATACCTCTAATCTCACCTCACTCGACGCCCTGCTAACAGCTCATTTCAGATGAGTACCGCAAGACGGCCAATCACGGCAACCGGGGTGACACCATTACCACTTTGCTCATGGCCACCGTCTCCTTCCAACTCCGCGTCGCCTCCGACTTCTTCCAAGCCCTCTCCGAATACCTCGGCCCCAAGTACGAGGAATCGAAGAAGAAGAGCGCCGACTACCTCCGCCAAGCCCAAGACACCGCCGAAGACTACGCCCACAACGCCCAAGACAAGATGCACGAGTATCAGCAAATCGGGCAGCAGAAGTTTGACGACTACTCCAAGCAGGGCCAGCAAAAGGTTGACGAGTACTCCAAGCTCGGTCAGCAAAAGGCCGACGAGTACAGCAAGAAGGGCGAGGAGTACTCGAAGATGAGCCAACAGAAGGCCGAGGATGTGGTCAAGCAGGCGCAGCAGGGGAAGGAGAACGTCAAGGGCCAGGCGCACGAAACTAAGGAGCAGGCCAAGGGCGCTGCGAAGGATACTAAGGAGGAGGCGAAGGCGAGGGCCGGGCAGAAGTAGGAACCTCCCAGTCCGAGCTTGAGAGCGAAGGTTAGGAGTGTATTGCAGCCGCCTGTTGCGGGATTCTAAACGGTCGGTACTGCTCGGTCAGTTGAATGCGATCGCGGAAGAAGGAAGGCGTAATGGAAAGATGGAGCATGAGTATGCAATCTATGCTTTGAGCGTTTGTTCGTAACTACGAGGCTTGATACCAATGGGTGACCTTTACGATAGGGGCCACCATGCGCCGATAGAATGGAATGGATGTACTTGCTATGTTTCCGTCCCCATCACTTGGCAGAGGCATGAAGTAAAGTGCTAATGAAGAACCACTGCAGGGTCTCTACGCTGACTTCAGTGCCACGGCTAGGCATCAATCTATACCAGCGCCGTGCAGAACAATCCCAAATCGAATGCTCAGGAATGTTCACAGCCTGGCTCGCGTGTGGGGTCGTAATGCACGCAGTATAGTTCAAGAAGGGCCGTGGCCGAAACATTGGAGCTCTCTGCGTTGAGCAAGCTGCTTGCATGACCATGAGGGCGACGAATAGTCTTCATGCCTTCACCTTCTGCTCCATCTGCGTTACCAGCACCGGCCTCTCAACAATTGGACCATAATATTGCCTATGTCCGACGACAGCACACCACAGCAGTCCGGGGTGGACGAAACCGCCGAACACCGCAGCGCTCCAGTTCATCGTTACGGGTGGTGACCTGCACAGAATGTTAATCCGTGAGTTACGATGGGCAAACATGCTGCAGAGACAATCTTCCCACTTAGCCTGAGAGATTACTTGCCGGTACTGCAGGCGGGACAAGACGGAAAGCACCAGGAATACCGAGCTGAACATGTTTACAGCGATGCCGAAACGGCCCATGCTAAGAGATCCGTACCGTATTTCTTCGCCGCGAAGCTTCTTGTATTATGAGCACGATGGGAATGAGGTCGGAGATGAAGAGGCCTGCTTCCGTCAGGGATACCCAAGGCACTGTTGACATGCGTCAGCGAAACCAGTCTAATGTGAGTGTTCGGTTCCCTACTCACTTGAAGGCAGCAGTCGAGCCTAAGCTGACCAGCCCCAGCAAGCACGGAATGACGCTGCGAAGTACAAATGACCGAAGCGGAAGTGCAAGACGTTCATTGACGTGAGCGAAGTACGTCGAGAACGGCAGGCCATGGTCACGAGCAAAGGCTCACGTCTGCCTCGACGCCTTAGTAAGGAAGCCAAACGTAGCGCATCACATCAAGACAATCAAGACAGCCGTCATTCCCGCCGTCCCGGCCGAGCCCATCGCACCGTAGAAGACCTCCATGAAGTGATAGCTGGTTGGACTCGTCAAAGTGTCCTCGATTGTTGGAACGACGCAGAATGAGAACGCGATCACAATAGCACAGCCCAGCGTCCCGTTCAGGATTACGGTGCTGATCATGCACCACGGTACCACCGTTCTCGCATTCTGGACTTCTTCCGCCAGGTGTGCAGGGCCGTCGTGTCCGATCACCGCTAGGTTCGCAGAACGGGCGAAGCCGATAAACCAGGATGAACCGTCACTGATCCAGCCTGCGTTATTGGTGAGGGTCGCGAATACATCTCTGCCGTGCTGTGCGGGCTAAAATACACCTACAGATCGATGAATTCATAATCCAGCGCTTCGAGACACTACGAATAGCAGTACACATTGCTCTGCTCACCATTGGTATCAGGATAGCGAGGAAGGCAAATAGACGCAACACCATGATAACACCCTCCACCAGTGCGAGCAGGCGCGTCCCTATACAGTTGACGAAACAGACGACAAGTATAACAGCGAACATGAGCAAGGTCCCATGCCATCACTGATAGTTGTAAGCAGGGTCGTTCTGTACGAGCACGCCCTGAATCATAGTTGCTGCGAAAACGCGCCCACCGCTGTATTGGCGATCCAGCCTATCGTAGCGATCCAGCCGCAGAACCAGGAGAGAAAGGCTTTCTGGCGGGGTGGAGCAAGCATAGCGCACCAGTGATATTGGCCTGCACTGGCTATACGTGCCAGATTTAGCCTCGTCGTATGGCAAGGCAAGGTGGTCCGGCGGACTTACTCGGGTACATGTCGGCCATTTCGCCTAGATTACTCGCCGGAGCCAGAGCGCCTAGCATGCCGTAGATGAAGCCGTAGACAAGCGTTGCAGGCCCGCCGTTCAGCATGGCGGTGGCGTTGGCGAAGAAGACGGCCTCCCACATGCACCTCATGCTGGCCGTCAGACCTAGCATGGTCCAGAAGCCGAAACCGCGCTGCAGCTGCTGGACCTGTCCTACTTCGGCCATGGCTGACTCCGCCTTGTCCCGTGGTGTTCTTGATGATCACGTTTGTGATGGGTGGTCCTTTACATGAGCTCGTGGTGTGGAGGGTAATTGCATTGTGTTACGCATGGATGGCTAATGGCGGAGCAGTTGCAGCAGCAAATGGGCAGCGGAGAAGTAAGAAGCGAATAGAGTGAGTGAAGGCACAGAAGGAAACGCGCTTGGCACGGTTGCAATTACCATTTCAAGGAACAATGTCCCTTGCCTCATCCGGTAGGCCTTCCGCAGGATCCAGTCCCCATGTGTGACGACGATTCATTGCTTGGCGCATCTTTGCGCATCCGCCCCCAGGAGATTGTATGCCCGACCGTCCACGCCATGTTGGAGGTAAATATCAGGTACGGCCGCTGACGACTCGTACGAGTAGCTGACGCCGCGTGTCCGAGCGGGTGGAAATGTATGTCCATTAGCTACGGTCACTTGGAGCCCGTGAAGGATGTTCTACCAACAAAGAGAAGTGTGTAAAGCGAAGATAGGTGGGGTGTGCCCAGGAGCTGTCGATCTCGCCTACAAGAGCTGTATCGCTGTACATGGCGTCGAATCAAGCTTCAGCGCTGGAGACCGAGTGCGAGCTAAGAATCGTTAGTCAGACTCAGGCTAGACCTGCTTCCCTAATTTCCAAAGCGACCGGCCAGCTGCAGGAGCTTCCCACAGTGCTTATTCTTGTGCATCCTCGATTTTAGCCTTCTTCCCCTGCACCACGCTATCATCAACGTTCTCAGCTTTCCGCTTGCCAGTCCCGTTCGTGGTGGCAGCAGCGGCGCCAGCACCAGCAACACCCTTAGTACCCTCTTCCGCCTTCACCTTCTTCCTGTGCTTCACCAGCCCGGAGAGATCATTCGCCTGCGCCGTTGCTTCTGCGATCTTCTTCTGCTGCTCCGCCTTACTGTCTCCCAACATTGCACCGAGCATGCCTTTCAACGCGTCGGCACCACCGTCTCCCATACCACTCATCGGATCAGCGGACAAGGAGGCCGCGTTAGGATTCCGCAGGTCGACCAGTCGTTGCTCCATATCCGCTACCATGTCCTTAACGTCTGCGATCGACTTTTTGCGCTCCTCGCTCTTCGCTGAGGTTTCGGAAAGCGAAGCTTGCTCTTTATTGATGCGAAGCTTGCAGGACGCGATAGCTTTCTCCATTTCGGTTGCGGCTTCTGCGCGTAGAGCCTTATCCGCTTGCGCGATCTTGCTCTCGGTGTTGCCATTTTCATCCGCTGTTGAGGTCACGGACGCGAATTCTAGCGCAAGGGAGAGCTTGTAGTGCGCTTCAGCGATCAAGCTGCTCTCTTGCGGGTATAGATCTAACTTTAACGCAAGCGCGTCCCGCGAGTCTTTGATGGCGTCTTGGAAGCGTTCATTCTCGAGCGAGATCTCTGCTTGTAGGTCGTGCGTGTCTGCGAGCCGCTCCTTAACGTATCGTATCCCGGCAGAGTCTATACTTGCTTCGCCTCCAGTCTGCTGTTGTAATGCTTCCAGCTTTCGACCGAGGAGTATACGTGCGACGTCCAGAATCTCATATGCGATTGCGAAGTCATCTTCTTCCTCTTCCACCGCGGCATCTGCCTGCTCCTCGTCCTCGTCTTCATCCTCCTCGTCTGTAAAGTTCTCATCGCCCGTAATGTTAAAGTAGGGCTTGGGAGCGCTTTCTCCGGCCCCGTTCTCAGGCCCTTGATCGTCTTTCGCGTCTAAAGTCCCTTCGGCAAGCGGCGTCACGTCCTGCAGCGCCCGCCCGATTAAGCCGGTCCCGCTATCCTCAGCCTCGGTCGCAGAGGCCTCAATCTTCCTCTTCTTCCTCTTTGGCTGCTCCGTCGTACCGGTGACCCTGCCGCCAAGCACGTCGCTGTTGCTGACTGCAACATGGTACAAGCACCGACCGTACTGATACAGCAGATCCGCATTCTCCGGCACCATTTCGCCGTTAATCTGGTCTTGAACCTCTGCAGCTTCACTGAAGAACTCTGCCGCGCTACTGTAGTTCTTGAGGGAGTACTGTTGGGTCGCTGAGGCACGCAGTTGGTCGAGCTTGGCTGTTAGATCCATGTTGGCGGTTGTAGGCTGCGCTCGGAGCTCCGTGGGGGCCATTGTGCAACGTGCAGTTGAGTGTGGCAGCTTAGGTATACTAAAGAGCTGTGTTGTTTACAGAGCACTAGTTGCGAAGAGACGGCGCAGACAAGGAAGTCGCGCGAAAGCACGGGCCATCAACCACTTAACGCGTCTCTACGCGAGGCAGAGTCGGTTGTTGTTAATACTGGATCTTCCCCATTTCCTACACCGAACATGTGTTCAAATGATATTCCTGGGTCGGCAATCATCATGATGGTTTTGACATATCTTAGGGAGCACCAAATGATCTGGGAAAGGCTGGTATCGCACAAGTTATCCAAACAGCCGCAGCATCGCGTGAAGACTTCCGTCAAAGAGAACTGCAACAGTGTTTAGATGACTTGGCCTTCAAGAACGTATGACTACCGTTCTGCTTTCAACCTGAAAAGCTGCCCAGCAACAGGCATAAATTCATCATCCCATCGCCGCTCCTGCTCCCTCAAAGCACCTTCCCGCAGGCGAGCCAACTGGCGCATATTCTGCTCACCGAACAACTCCTGTAGGACGCTCGAAAGACCCTCGGCACTATCAAACCCACGCCCATTCTCACCGTCTGTGACCAACTCCGGCCAAGCTTGAAAGTTACTCCAGCCCGCGACAGGCAATCCGGCGCCGAACATATCGACCACTTTCATGGGTAGATCGACACCCGAAGACGAAGTATGCAGGCTAATCCCCAAATCGGCGGAGCCCAGCAGCGAAGCGTAGTCTTCGGTACTGAGCCAAGCGGTGGTGATGGTGGTATCGTCTAGCTTGCGGTCGTCGACAAGCCGCCGTATCCTCTGGAGATAGTACTGTTGTTGCGGACCTTTGCCCGTGATGGTAACGTACAGTTTCGGCAATTTGGTCCGAGACTTTCGTACTGCGGCATACTGCACCAGCGCATCTAGCAAAATGGAAAAGTCTTCGTCAGGCGTCCATGATGTGGAACTGACTATTAAACGCCATGAGCGATGCGTCAAAGTGAGGTCTTCGCCTTGCAACTCCGGTCTCGAGCGTAAAAACTCGATACGCTGCTCGTCGCTCAGCGGTCGTAGATGCCTGGCTGGTCGGTCATGTAATGGTAACGCATCGATGCTCCACTTCTGCTTCAACACCCGACACATGGCGTTCGTAACCGCAAAATGCGCTGTCGCACCTCGCGCAAAGAAGCCTTCATACCACTCCGAGAGGATCACAAACGGATGCTTGCGCCCAAGTCGAAGAGCTAGCAGACTGTAGCCAAAGTTGTGCCAATCGATGACGAGACGTGTGTTGCGGAAGAAGCATATCATCTGCGCAACTAGCAATGTCGGTATCGATGGCGGATTTTGAACTAGCATCCATTTGGTAGCCTTCGTGGAGTAGCCAACAGCTACGTAGAGGGACTGAAACTGCCATGCAACCTTCAGAGGCGCAAGTAGCAGGAACAGGATCCTACTCTTCGTCTGATACGGAAAGGGCGGAATTGGCACGATGTTGATGAAACGATGAGCCTTCACATCCGGGTTCAGATCGACCGTTGGATCGATGTAGCCGATTAGGTCTACCTTGCCGCCATGGGTGGCAACGCTCAAGGCGTGATACTGCATCCTTGGGCTGCGGCCAATGTCGCCCAGGACCACGATCTGGATCGAACAAACGGCCGTGAGAACGCCATCCGCGGTTTTGTGCTGTTGGTAGTACGCATAGCCTGATCGCTCGGAGTCCTTTCTGTCTTCTTCGGTAAAGTCGGATTCATTGATGCTGTGTGGATGGAAGTGACTATACGTGTATGGGAGAGTAATGATGAAGGTCGTCACAGCTGTTGACAAGATGACCGCAACGGTGAGCGACACTTCCCACACCAAAAGCCAGCTAATCGCCATCCCTCCTTTCTCGTGCAGTCCATTGATGAAAGCTTGCATGCTGTGACTTCGATGCTTAGATCGGTTCCTGGTGCGCATGCAGGGCCGATCCACCACGGCGCCACACCCGTGGACGCGGCGTCGATCCGCGACATTCACCCGGGCAAGAAGATCTGGGCAGACAACGTGCCCGCCAAGTGACAAACTACTGCGCCAAGTCGAGAGCAGACTGCCGCACAGGAAGCGGCTTTTGTCGATGTCTTGCACAGGTAGACAATGGCTCGATAGCTTCAGTTCCGCCACCTCTGAGCAGTAGTAGACTGTGGACATGGCTTCAGGCTATGCCTTACCCTCTAGAGGAGAAGGAGGCCACCAGCACGGCCATCATAGCTACAGTCGATCTTACTCGGGCGCGCAACACCTGTCACCAAACCCGGCTGCCGCGACTGGCCAGTTGCATAGCAATGGCTATCCTACGATCAAAAAGGCCGTTTCGCATAGTGGCCTCTATGCACATGCAGAAAGCAGTAGAGAGAACAGCCCGCTACCCTCGCCCAATGCAGATCAGTACAAGACACCTTTCGAGTTCAACACCTTCGCGTTCCGGGAGAACGCGCGGTCATCGCCGCTTTCGCTGGACAGGGGAAAGATGAGAAAGCAAAGCAGGGCACGAGGCGAGTCAGACCTTGGACGACCTGCTGATCCACGCAGTCCAGTATACCGGCCAAGACTGGAGACGATACCGGCCGCCGCATCATCTTGGTTCAGCTTACCCGAAGCGCTCACTGCCCTTCTCGTTCCATTACCGTACTTACTGGCATCCGCAGCTTATTCTACGATCACCAATGAGGAGCTGAGTGGAGGCACACATGAGTTGCCCGCATATGCAAGGCTACAGCATGGCGCAGATTCAGAGGGCCGATTGCTTCCCATGCAGAAATTCAGCAGCGACTCCGGTTTGATCGAAGCCTGCACCCTCACCTCAGGTGCTCTGTTACTAGTCGGTATCCTTGCCAAGATCCGAGCAGCTGAAAGAGTGCTCGATCGAAGGAAGGAAACAGCCAGCTATATGCCTCAGACCGAGGCATTACTCACCGTTCAAGCTGCACGAACAATGGCCTTACGAGCAATCAGCCTCGGCCTCCCATTTTATGCGTCGATGCAAATCGGCGGGCTGCGGACTGGGCTGATCCTGCTCACAGCATTCGCTGCGGGCATCACTGATGACCATGTATCTCTGAGGCGCACGCTGTATGACTGGAAACATATCCTATCTTCACGGTTAGCAACACTCCTGGTATTTACGCTAAGCCTGGCAGGCGACGCTAGCGGCCTAACCTTTCATGCTCCGCTGATTGACACTGCCTTTGGCTATCTGGCGCTGGCGCTCTCGATCACCGTTTTGCCTCCACCTCTGCCAATGCGATCGACGGGTTCTCGTCCAGCTTCGAACCAGCCGTCGCCTACCGTGAGCCGAGCGCCATGGTCTTCCGCAAGCGCCTTCCAACCCTCGATTACCTCTGCGCTCACTAAATCTACTGCAGATGTTGACATGACACTCCTCGCTGGACTGCTTATGTCTATACTCACGGTGCTGTTGTCGATGGTCTGGTCAGCCTCACCATCTCTTCAAGGCTCGGCAATCGTACTCAGCACGCTAGCAGTAGCATCTATGTCCGCCTCGATTCTTTTCTCACAACCACATACCCTTCGCAGTCAGCACCAAGCTGGTCTTGGCATTGGCTGTCTTATCACTGCCTCGTGTGCCTTTCTATATTCGCCATCCATATGGCCCGGTACGACGTGCAATGGCGGATTATCTGCGTTGTCCTTCCTTGGAGTTTTGTACGATACCCATGCTGTCGACGAAGACGCTCACGAACATGCACATGCGCACAACGCCCATACGCATCAACATCATGATCACGACCATCACCATGCTGCTAAGCACGTGACCCCAGGCCAGTATTCCGGTTTTACCAAGTTCATCATGGCAAAATGTAGGCCAGGCTCGCTTATGTACGGCATCCTAGCCGAGAAAGACTCGAGACGGATCGCTTACTTCACGCTGTACGTTGCGTAGTTCCCGCGTGAGATGCTTGTTGCTAACATCTCTGCAGTCTTAACTTCTCCTTCATGATCGTCCAAGGCGTCTACGGCTATTTGTCTGGCTCCTTAGGCCTGCTCTCAGATACGGTCCATATGTTCTTTGACTGCCTCGGACTAGTTGTTGGCCTTGGCGCAGCTGTCGCGTCAAAGTGGCCAACTTCGCCTGAGAAACCTTACGGATGGGGCAAGCTCAATACGCTCGCTGGTTTCGGCAATGGCGTGTTCTTGATGCTCGTCAGCGTCGAATTCATTTGGGAGGCTATCGAAGGCATCCTCGAAGGCCGGGAGCTGCGGCACGTGAAGGAGCTCCTTGTAGTCAGCGTCGCTGGGTTCCTGGTGAACATGGTTGGCCTGGTGGCGTTCGGACACGCTCATGCTGGCCATGATCACGGACACGGCCACTCACACGGCCACTCACACAGCCACTCACACAGCCACTCACACAGCCATTCACATAGCCACTCACACAGCAACTCACACAGCCATGGCCATGCCCACTCACACGACCATGACCACTCTCACGCAAACGGTCACGCACACCAAAACGACTGCAACGATTTGAAAGCACCGAAACCGCAGGTACACCATGTTCACGACCATGAGCACGATAATGAGAACATGCATGGCATCTTTTTGCACGTTGCCGCAGATGCTGGTGGATCTCTAGCCGTCATACTCAGCACAGCGCTTACTATCTGGAAGCCATGGTATCTGTGGGATCCTCTTGCCACCATGATAATTGCCGTTATGATATTCATTTCTGCCATACCGCTTGTCTCAGCGTCAGGACGGAAGCTTCTGCTCGTAATACCCAACGATTTGGAGTACGCTGTCAAGAGCGCATTGCAGGAGCTCGGCGAGGTGAGGGGAGTTGTGGGCTATGCCGCACCGCGCTTTTGGATCGATGACAGAGACGAGGCTTCTATCGGCGCGCACGATCAGCATCACCACCACGACGCAGAGGTGGTGGCAAGCAAGCAAAGGCTGATGGGTGTCATCCATGTCATAGTAGCGCATGCCGCGACTGAGGAAGATGTGCGAGAACGTGTGGAAGAATTATTGCATGAAAGAAACATGGATCTAGTGATTCACGTCGAACGTGAGGCGGACGGGCAGTGTTGGTGTGGTGGCGGTGGCGGTGGTGGTGGTGGTGGTGGTGGTGCGGCTGCTACTGCTGGACAGTCGCCTGCTATGATCAAGTCCGGTTAGAAGGATCTACGAAGGCTATATACCCTAGCGTTGCGTGTGTAGCGTGCGAGCAACAAGCATTTGCATGGCAGCATTGAAACGCTGTAACCGGTGTGTTGAGAGATCTCTGAGCGAACGTCGCATATTACTTGACGGGCCCTAAACGCTGACAGTAACAGTCTTGGCCGCCATCGTCGTAGTCATACCGGCATCCGTCTCCGTAGTGGTCACCGTAATGGTTACTGCATTTGGGTTGACAGGCACGATCGTAATGCCCGCCATAGCGCTTGAACTGGGGTTGAACGTTGGGCCTTCGCTGAATACCTGTGGCAGACTGCGTGAGTGTTGCTCGGACGCTGTAGGCAGGGATTGCTCGTAGGTGGTTGAAGAGCCCGTGTGAGATGGTGAAGGGGCCAGCTCCGAACCTGCAGCCGAAGTAGCGGTTGCCGACACGGTGGAGTAGCTGAAGGAGGTGATGATGATCCGAGACATCGATGCGGCGTCGGGATACGGATATGGTGTCGATACTGTTGAGAATGATTCATGCTCTGTCGAGGTGGACAGGTGTGTTCTCGTGGCACTCGATGTTCCTGCAGACGAGCTAGCTGTGGCTTGCGCTGTGCTTCTTGTGGTCGACTCGGACACACTTGCAGAGATTGTCTGAGTCGGCGTGAGCACCATCGAGCCAGTAGCGGTAGTCGACCTGACAGCAAAGGTGAGTGGTATAGTACCGTACATGAGTGGCGAAGAAGTTGAGTTGTGGGAAGGAGTTACTGTGGTGGTTGGGGCGGAGCTTCCAGCCGTATGCGTCGCTGATAGCGCCGCTGAACTGTTATGTATAGTCATCGTTGGGAAACTCGACGAAGAAAGACCGGAAACCACAGTCGGTGAGGTGACTCCGTTTGGTGAAACGGTGGTAAAGAGTGTCAGGGTCGTAGTGGAGTGGGAGAATGTGCTACTTTTGCCAAGTATTGTCTCCATAGTCGGTTCGGTAAAGCTTCTGCTAATACTTGTGTTCGCAGGCATGTAGCTGTAGACTGGCTCTAAAGATGGCGTTGAGGAAGCTGGTCCGCTGCTAGAGGACGTCGTAGCAGGCACCTGGTTGGCGAACACGAAGCTAGTTGTTCCAGACGGCGGTGCTGATACTGTCCCGCCGAGCGATGTGGAAAGCATAGTCGTGCAAGCATCAGAGCTCATACCGGACGTTGTCGCGTTGCTGTAATCGGTTGGAAAGCGTCTCAGAGGACCAGCTGTCACCGTAACGGCAAAGCCACACACGAGAAGGAAGCTCAGTACGGTAGACATAGTGCTGTCCTTGACTGGCCTCGGGCGGTGTTGAGAATTAATAATTAGTGTGCCGAAGACCAGCTTCGGCGGTAATAAGATCTATGGAAGAGCACAACGAAAGAGATAGTGTACGACCGAGCGAAAGACGGTTGAGAAAGAAAGATGAACAGCATATGAGAAAGTGAGGTGACGCGAAGAGGTGTTATTACTACCAGATGTTTGACTACTGTGAGCTTTGAGCGCTCACGGCTCAGCGCAAACTGCAAAGAGCTCCTCAAGACATCAAGTTCTGTGCATGCGACTCTCTAGGCGCGCCGTGTCGACATCTGGTGCGGGAGTGGAAGATGGGAAGCACTGGCGGTTCTCAGAAACAGAGTGGTAGAGAGAAATGGCGTCTCGTGATTTGTCAGATTGCTGAAACGTCTGCGCGCGCTCGGGCACGGAGACGGCGGTAGCAACCTGAAGCATGGCATGGCTCAAAGCAATGTCGCAGTAATGGCCCATGATCTGCGCACGCAGCGCGTACTTGGCTGTTCCGATCGATGGCGGTTGAAGAACCATCGTTATTAATGTGCAGTCTATCTTCGCCTCGTGCTTCAGACCCTGCCGCCGTCTCCGCGGCAACGCATTTCTAGGGTCTTAGTTTACCCACTTCCTTTCGCGGCAGCGACGTCACGGCACATGGTAGTTGGACGTGAAGCGAGCTATTTGTGCGTCGAGAACACCTTTGTGCGTGAATTGGACAGACTCTATACTATTCTTTCGGCAACATTGTAACAAGTAGTCATAGCGATGAGTGTACGCGTCGTCGCCAGGGTGCGCCCTTTACTGAAAGCGGAACACGTGAACGAGAGCATTGTCAGTACCGCAAGTGCACCAGGCGATACAGAAGCGAAGCCCAGCATCATCCGGATACCGAACCCCAAGAAAGAGTCCGAAGCCTTCTCGTTTCATTTCAACAGCGTTTACGATCAAGGCACGACACAGGCTGAGGTCTTTGATAATGAAGTCTCACCGACGGTCAAACATCTCTTCAAAGGTTACGATATTACCTTGTTCGCTTATGGCGTTACTGGAACAGGGAAGACACACACGATGCGCGGCGGTAAATCATTAGCAGATCGAGGCCTAATTCCAAGGCTGCTCTCTAGCATTTATAGGCGGGCGCGCAGGATCGAAAAGGACAGTGCGGAAGAGACGCAAGTGGAAGTATCCATGAGCTACTATGAGATCTACAACGACCGCGTGTACGACCTATTTGAAGCTCCGGAGAAGCGGACGCCTGCTGGATTACCCATTCGTGACATTGGGAACAGCAAGACTCAGGTTGTTGGACTGACAGAGCGGCCATGCACGACTCTAAAGGAGTTTGAGCAACTGTATGATCAGGCCAATGTAAACCGATCTACGTCAGCTACGAAGCTGAACGCACATTCGTCGCGTTCGCACGCGATACTGTGCGTCAAGATCACGCAGACAACTGAAACCGAAACACGGGTTAGCACGGCCTCTGCGATTGATCTTGCAGGTTCTGAGGACAACCGACGAACAGACAACAACAAGGACCGTCTTGTGGAGAGCGCAAGCATCAACAAGTCACTCTTCGTTCTGGCGCAATGCGTCGAAGCGATCAGCAAAAAGCAAGCTCGCATACCGTACCGGGAAAGCAAGATGACGCGCATTCTGTCGTTGGGCCAGAACCATGGAATTACGGTGATGATACTGAACCTAGCACCCGTACGAAGCTATCATTTGGACACGGTAAGCAGTCTCAATTTCGCAAATCGCACGAAGAAGATCGAGGTCAATGAGATCGAGAATCAACCCATCTTCCGCGGGCTGTCCAGCAAAGGCAAGTCCGACGGCGACAAAGGCAGGTCGATTGGCGATGCGCTTGGAATTCACCGGCAGCCTCTACGGCCGAAGAACCTGTCACAAGTCATCCATCACAAAGATGCCACTATGAACGTACCGAAGCCGACAAAACAGTTTTCTGTATACTCTGACAGGCCAACGGCGGCACCTCGAGCATTGAACACGGCCAACATGAGCCAAGCACGGGCGTCAGCATTACCTTTGAAGTCGCCCAAACGGACCAGCAGCGAGGCTGTGCCCACTTTGGGTCGACCCAGCAAACTGTTCCGACCAAACGAGCCCACAGTGCTACGAGCAGAAAATGCAGAAGCGATTGCTATGGGTAAAGAGGCCATCGAAGCACTCATCGAGCGCAAAGTGAACGAAGCTTTGGCTGAGCGGGCAGACCAAACCACCCTATCCAACCCGGAGCCTGTGCCAGAAGAGGTGCAGCGACGGCTTGAGGCGTTGGAGAAGCGGATGGAAGGCCAAGAAACCGAGCGTGCGGAGGGCCTGCAGTACCTTCTCATGGCCAAGCAGCACCAGGTGCGCGGCGAAGATGTCAGTGCGCTGAAAATGTTTCAGCTAGCTTTCAAGCACTTCCCAGAGAACGAGAAGCTTGTACGGAAGATGGTAGCGCTGAAAGACAGAATCGCCGCGAAGAAGGCACAGAACCGTGCTTCAGCTGCTGGTGGCGTAAGCCTGTCTAATGACACTGTCGCCGAAGAAGACACCTCGTCCGCCAAGCAGTCAGCCAGAAGGCGACAGGCGAGGGTTGAGGAGGACAACAGCTACCACGAAGACTTAGCGCACACTCCCGCGTACGCCGAGGAAGACGATGGCTTCGTCTACCGCCCTCGGACGAGGATCCGCCGCCCGCAGACAAGCAAACGTGCTGCCACGGCCCCGGCATCCGAGCCGAGCATCAAGCACTCACCATCGCCGGACGGGGACGGCGCCGACTCCAGCGAACACGACCTCGTCACCGCCTTGGTCGAGCAAACACCTCGGACGAAACACTTACTTCACATCATCAACACAAAGGACGTCAGCCAGATAAAGCTTTTAAGAGGCGTAGGTGCGAAGAAGGCAGAAGCGATCGTCAACTGCTTGATAGATTTGGATGATGATGCGAAGGTCACCAGTTTGGGACAATTGGGCAAGCTGAAGGGGGTCGGCATCAAGACCGTCGAGAACATGCGATTGGGTCTGGACCGGATGGCGGTTTGAGTCCGTACCCCGCCGCACTCTTGCAACTTATGCGCGTTGCATAGGGACAGTCTTGAATCATGGCATCTCACTTGCACACAAGCGCAGCGTCCCTGCCCTACAGCTTGATTTCCCTCCATCTCAAGGTGAAGGAACGCCGGATTTAAACTGGCGGTTCAGATGCATTCAGTCTTCCCAACACGAATTTCGATCGCATTGCTGTAATGATCCGCTCGTAGACCAGCCGCCGTGGATGAACCGAGGCCCAGAGACTTCAGGTCACCCACGTGCTGCGCTACCATTCTGTGTTGGGCGGCGCTCGTCCTTGTCGTTTCTGTTTGTGAGCTGAGATGACTCCGCCAGGGTATGGTTCTGCTGCCGCTGGGCATGTCACGAGCTGCGTCGTCCCGTCCTGTCTCGGCGAGTATCTTCACATGTTAAGAACATTGACAGCAGGCGTAGTTGTGTCTCTCAGCGGCAGCAGTAGGGCAAACGATATCGCCGTGCGTGCACGCTATTGATTGAGGCGCACATGGCTCCGCAGAGGACCGCAACGCCACAATGCTCTCGCGCTATGCACATCATCGCGCCGTTGGACGAAAGGTGGGATCGACGCGCGTCGCAAATAGCCTGCGATGCTGGCGTCTCCGCTCGGGTGATCGTTATCTCATCGCATCTTGCGATAATGCGGTGCTAGACTCGCACGGGAGTTCTTTGCAAGTGTTGGTTGCTCGACTGTTAACACATGCTGTAATTGACTGGCAGCTGAACAGTTGCTCAGCTTGCAAGCAAGCAAGTAGACTCCAACGGCGCTTGCTGCACGCCATCTCCATCGGGCTTTACTTGTTCCTGCAGTTGAGATCGTTCCTGACACAGACAAGGCTCCGGTTGCCGACATGCAGCGGTTCGGCTGCTTCCTTGATCCTTCATCGCCGTCCGAGACAGATCAATGTGGTGCAGACACGGGGAGATGCATTTGTGCAACGTAATGGAACGAGAGTTTTGGTAGAGCGTGAATGATACTTTGGTGTAAGGTGCCTAGAATCTAATGCATGCATACATACAAACAAAGAGATGCGGTCGTCAAGACCGTTTGTCATCAGCGTGGTGTCGTCCAGGTACCCAGCCCAGAACGCCACGCTCTCCAAAGAATACACCACACATTTCCAACTCTAATGAGCGGCTGGCGCATCGCCGACAACACATACATAATACAACAGGAAGAAGATTAGATTGAGCATCAAGCTCTATCCTCCCAGACGTTCTCAATGCCTTGCCAGTAACGCTCCTGGTCACCGGTCCATTTACCCTTCTCGTCAATCGATGAACGCCTCACATTGATATCGTCGCGAACACAGGCTTCATCGTCCTGCTTCGGACTGTCGTGCCAGGAGAACATCAAATCCTTTTCCTCGAAGATGTAGCACTTCTTCGCATCCGAGGGAAGCAAATGCGGGTCGTTTAGATCGTGCCTGTTCTGCCGACACCTTTGATCGAAGTGCCAGAAGTTGATAGTCGTTACTAGGCGCACGAATACAACAGTCATAAGGATGTACAGGAACGCCAACAGCATCTGCGGTGATTGCTGGGCAGACCGGAAGGAAGGGACGACGATTTTCGGCACTGAGTCCATGACCACTGCCTTGACTGGCAACCGGTGACCAGTCCGGATCTTGTAGGCTCGCAGCAGACGGCATCCTTGGGCCGCGCCGCAGCCAGAGAAGAGATGAAGCAGGACATTAGGTGGATCCTGAGGCGTCCGTTTCTCGTCGGCCGTCAGCGCATCCAGTGCATTGCCGAGCTGTCGATCGTAGGAGGTTGAGTATTGAAGTAGAAGTAGCTGCGCGTCAGGGTAGAGTGACTCGTATCCTTGCACATAATATTGAATCTGCTGGGCTGTTGCGTAGGGCCAGAGTCCGAGCACAACAGTTTCTGGAGGAGATTGAGGAAGAGGTGTTGCCCATGGTACGTATTCCGTGGGCGATGACGTCCGCGGACTTGATGTAGGAGACGATTTGATTGACATGCGCCTGTGCAGGTTGCAGTTGAGGCTGAGCGCCTTCTCCGCGTCGCGAGAGTCCATTTCGAAAGGCTGATGATCGCTGAGAATGTTGATGAAGTTGCTGATAAGAGGGACCGGCCCAGGCTGGCAGATGAGACTTGCTCTGATGAGTATCGAGGGCCTGCCTTGTGTGGGACAATGGTGTTAAGCTGAGACAGGATAGAGGAAGAAGTACCCTTATTGTATCCAAATTCAGGTGCCAGAGAGACAAAGATTTACTGCAGATCGTCTAGGCCCTTCCTTATGAATGCACAAGGGACCGCCGAGGGTTTGTGATGCTGGTGGCTTAAAGCAGTGGCCCAGGGTGCGACCAAGCGCTAAGCAAGCCCCCGCAACGGTCGGTTGGAGAGGTGATGATGTCGTGGACACTGCGCAGGCGCCGTCTGGCAACTTTAACGCGCTGCAGAAGAAATGCAAGCCTCGTCAGCCTTTGTAGGCTTCTCGTGGCGGTCTTGGCTGTTGAGGCCAAGTGCTTTCGATTAATGTTCAGGTACAAAGTTTGGTGCCTCCGAAAGGCACTCGACGAAACTCAACAGCGTAATTGGCTCGTACCTGACAATCACCGCCGGACATGTCTCACGCCGCCCACGCTGTGTCGACAACTTTAGCAAAGTTCGTTCCTAACCTGGAGCCTCTGATGTGAATGGCGTCGGAGCCTAAGCAACAACGGTTGCAGATCTACTCCTAACAATCTCAGAAGCTCTGGAGTCGCGCATTCACCTCGTCCCTGCTTTTACGGGGCGTGACAGACAAGCGCGTGGGAACGTGTAAGACGTGACAGCTCAGGCGCAGGGGTATGGTGATCGTATCTACGAATCCTGCCGTCCATAAGCCGCATCTGCAGGTGCATAGATTAGAGATCGTCACTCATGAACCGGGAGTCATTATCGAAGACGGAAAATGGTTAGCACTATTGGCAACGTGACGGCTTCCCTACCGCCATTCGCCCTCCAGATCCAGTCTCATTACGATCAAGGCTTCCAGCCATGCAGACCTATACCTGACCACAGGATTAAGTAATTTGTGAAGGTAGCCTTTGAACTTCTTCATGGCAGCGTTTCAGCATGGGAATAGATCCAAGAGCAGAGGTGAGGTGCTGGTCAATGCTTCAGCTTTAGCGCCGTTCGGCATGGAGAGCCGTCCGGAGAACAGGGGATCGACAGGCACGAAGTCCGCTTGTCCAGCAGATGCTGTCACGTGAAATGGTGATCATGGCAGAACTTTGACGGGACACACTCTGCCACCCTCGTGGGTTGACTGGTCCCAGATGGGGAACGACATGCATGGCTGTTGGACTACATTCTGCGCGCTGTTCCAGTTGCAGTTGGTCATCTGCTATTCTCAGAATGAATGCCGTGCGAACGTGCTGCCTTTACCTTTCTGCCAGTACTGCCTCTCCGCATGTCTCCTGCAGCTCAGCGCGAGGCACAGTCTCCCCCGGTGTCCTCTCGGACAAGGTGACTCATTGGATTCCCTTCGATAGCAGCGACCGGGAGCGGGGATGGAGCACAAAGGTTGGCGCCTCTCAAGGCTACCCTGAGACGTTACCGTCTCTCATTGGACTAGTCTCTAGATCGTTACACCAGCGCTCTTGTCAGCCTGCGCTTTGGCGAACTGATGAAGCATGCCCAGAACGCCTGCATTGGCAACCTTGTCGCCTTCTTTCCCTGTATCCTCGTCGCTCTCGGTGATCTCCCTCTCCGGAAGGTTGACATCTTGCAGATCTGCATCGTTCCGCATTACCACGCTTTCGGACACAGCATGCATGGTCGGACTATTGATAACTGCAGGCCGCCTGTCTGTCAAACGTTGCGCCGGCACTTTGCGATTATGGATGACCTGCGCGAGCTGACGCGGCGAACGAATGCCAAGCGTCTGGCTCTCCAACACATCTGAGCGCTTCACCTTTTCCTGCCCGAGCCTTGCTACTGGTGGTTCGGCTAGTGCCGCGGTCGCTTCACCGGCAGCGGAAGGAGGTAGCATTGGCGGCCACGCTGGAGGAGGCTGCCAGCCTTGCTTCTTTCCGTTTCGGCGATAGCGGCCATGGTCATAGTAGTGCATGAAGTTCTGCACCGAGGCCGCCATCTTATCGTCCTTGAGGCCAAAGTATTCGTCCCGCAGCCCATCTGGCTCATCTAGTACTGTCGTTGGGTCGGCCGCATTTGCGTCCTTCTTGAAGCCGAAGACTGCAAAATTGCATTGAAACCCAATGCCGTCAACGTGTACTGTATGCTCCCGGAAAAAGTCAATGATGCGCTCGCTGCGCTTGCCTGCATTTCGTAGTAGGATCCAAGGGGCAACGATGAGACTCAAGATTTCCTCGACAAAGATCAAGACCTTCGTCTGATACATTGCTGAGAATTCCGAACGTACTTCCGTTGTGTGCAGCCGGTCTTTCCAGTGAGACGGCACGTAATGCGTGCAGTAAAGCACAGCTTTCAGATGCATGACTGGGTCAAACACTTCGTCTTCTTCGGGCAATGAACCTTGGGAGACTGTGAAGATTGCAACCATGACGGTCAGCCAGAACACAGCAGTGCGACCAGGTGTCACCTCGAACCCCAGAAACAGTTCCGGGTCAAGCAGCGTTGCCAACGCAAGAACGGCAGCTATAGCTCCGCTCAGAAACGATACAAAGCGGCAGAGCTGGTCGACCTTGTCTTTCGGAAATTGGCGCAAGTAATTGTTCGCCGGTTGATAGGCCTGCCTCAAGCGGCGTTGGAAAAGGTGGTCCAGCTCGTTGAACTCGCGTATCTTCCACTCCGCAAATGGCGTGAACGACCTGGTGCTTGCTTTTGATGGGTTGCGCGTGAACTCCGTGTAGTACTTGAAGAAATAAATGATGCAAAAGCGGATAATGTTGACGGGTGCGACAAGCACGCTCGTCAGCGCGGCGAAGCGTAAGCGCGTTTGTAGAGCCTCGACCAAGGCCTTCCGGTTCCTTACCTCCAAACAGAACGGTCTGATACTCCCTTGCTCGTCAAAGATGAAGTTTGTGAGACAAAAGTCAATGCACCATTCGAGACTCTTCGAATAGAAGTGGCGTTGTCCCATGAAGGGGATTGGTAAAGTGAAGTCCAGAATATCCTTATTGTAAAGTGCGACGTAGTAGTTGGCTTGTCGCATTAGGCGGTTTGCTACAGTCTCCGCATTCATGCGTTGCTGTGGCCTATTGTACTTGGTGTACCTGCGAACGGCCGGATTTGGGTCAGCTGTAGAAATGTTGGCATTGTGCAGCTTGACCAAGCCATCGACCACGCGGATCCAGGATACGGTCTGTATGTCGCCATCGCTAATGCCTAGCACATGGTGGTAGAAATTGTGCATCCGTGACAGTTGGCGCACACCTCCCAGATTCGTGACAAGGCGGCTACACCAATACATTACGAACGTGAACAACGCAAGGTTCTTAATCCACGAGGCTTTAGCCATGCATTTAACGATGAGCACCTCTGAGCTGGACTTGCTGGACGGCAGTTTTCCCCAATCCACGCAGGTGGTTAGGAACATTGCGAAGGCGAACACGAACAGCTCAGTCAGAAGGCTGATAGCCCGGGACAGAAGGATCGACCAGAAGCCATGACCAACGTAATAGTTGTATACCTCGAGTAGGAAAGCGTCCAGATTACTGGCGTTGGTGTACATCCACGTGGCACCAGCCTGTGGATCTGTCTGTCTGGTATGCCCTGATACTGCAGCTGAGCGTGACCTAGGCGGCTTGTCTCTCTGTCCCCTGGGGTGAGGGTGAGCTCGGAGATTCGGTTGCCGTTGTGCTGCTTCCCATTGAGCATCAGCACGCGCTTGCGAGGTGCTACCTGGGCGTGCTGACACCGGCCTGCTGCCCAGAGCCTTGGTTCTGTCTTCGAGCAGCAGTGACTCCGGGACATCCTCATCGTCTTCCGTCCGCCTTTTGGTGGATGGCGCAATCTCAGGCTTGATCTGTGCATTTCGAGAGACGTCTCTAACAGGTTCCTGATCATACAGGAGATCATCTGGGTCGCTATCATCGTCTCGGAAAGGTTCAGTGACCTGAGTTTGGTCTTGCGCCTCAAGGTCATTCTCTCGTCGTATGCCTTCGTACACGGACACATCGCCTTCCGCAACCGGTAGGAGGCGCGACAGCACCCTCGAGGACATCATTCTGAATATTTTGCTACCGCTCAAGGTTGCTCAGTATATCCCCTGACTACTCAGAGCGGGAGGCAGGCGGCTACCGGCAAGGCAGTAGCACACTCAGGCACACTCTGCCCTTTCCCCGGCTCCAGCCACGTTGGCCTGGCATGCCGGAGCAGAACAGTAGGGTAGAGGAACACAATATACCGCCCTTTTACCTACCAGGTTGTTGAGCGGCAGATCGTTTGTCACAAGTTGAGCGGATGCTCGCGTGACACATGCATGTGAAGCCAGGTCAGCGCCATGCGGATGGCTGCCGCTTCGGCCCGGTGCGTATCCTAGTAAGGAGGGGCCAGCCACACTTCGCTCTTCATCAGTCGACGTGCTTCGGACACTCAAGTTCCCAAGCATGTATCAACATCTAAGGCACTGAGTCGTCGACCACACTTGCAGTGCTAGAGCAGACCGCAAGGGAATGACCACAGCTTGCCAAGATAACCCACTTATGCGCTTGACGGTCGTGACATTAGCCCGAAATTCTTCAAGCCATTCCGTTATGTAAAGAGAATCAATGCGCACCTCCACGCGAGACATGTGATTCGCACGACATATGTACTTCACCACATCTCTTCAAATGCATTCTCCGAACCGCTGTGTGAACTCAGTCTTCACTCTCACCAATTTCCGCACCTCCCAATCGTTCTCTTGCCAAATTCACAGTCGTCATCATGCCTCGTTCTCGCTTCCCAATCCGTACGAGACCACCCGTGAAGTGTGGACTTAAGGCAATGCTCGACATTCCCTCACCCGGGGATGCATCGCCAAACTACAAAAGAATGGCTTGAGCCTTGCAGAATCTACTCCGCAAGCTCACGTTCCACGATGCCGTGCGTGACAATGTCCAGCAGACGTACATGACTCCGGCCAAATCTATCTACAAGGTGTACTTGTACGTTCCCAACATCATACTCGGCCGACAGCTCCTGTAACTTGGGCTGAGTTTACGTGAGCCTTCGGCGTTCCATCGGCCGTTCGCTTCTCCGGCTGGCACCCGAGGTCCCAATCAGCATCTGTCGCGCTCAATTGCACGCTGTAGGGTTTCGCGTACACGATTCGTCCACACTAGAGAGCATGAAGGCAGAAGACTACGATCGCTGGTCCGACGTCCATTCGCGCAGCTTCATGGTAAGCCAGCTCAGCCTTGACAAGCCGAAAGAAGGGCTTGAAACGACGGTGAATATGACATGTATGCTCAACATCCGTTTCTATCTACCTTCCACGTCCGGCATCCTGACTCGGTCTCGAACGCACAGATTCAAGGCAGACTACGCGGCCAACCACCGGTGCAGATATCTAAGACCTGGCAAAAGTTGGAGCAGGCCGAACAATGAGGCTAAGCCTTCCGTCCAGCCACATAGCTTGAGAATTGTTGCGCGAGTATAAGATAATCCCGGGGTAGGCTGGTGCTCCTAACGCCTACATCGCTATTCCTTCTTCTCCAACTGTAGATGCGGGTTCTCGAGAATGGCCCCAACCTTCGCCGGCATCAGCGCGCCCTTCGGCGGCTGGTTCTTGGATTTGAAGTCATCGCAGATCTGCTCCATGGTCACCCACTCAACACCTTCTTTGGTATTGATATACTCGATGATCCTGCGCGCACTAAAGTCAGCCACTAGTGTGCTATGGCTGTGGCAGTCTCCACTCACCGCTCCAGTAGGAACAAGCCTTGTGGATGTCCGCAAACGTCCGGGTGGACGGTGACTGGAAACACGAACTCTTCTTCTTCCCGGTAAAAGTAATCAAACTGGTTTAGCCACAGCTCCTCGACGTCCCTCGGGTTGACCCATCCATGGCTGTTTGGCGCCTTCTTGATGAACATCATTGGGGGGAGATCGTCAAGATACCATGATGCAGGTATTTCGCAGAGTCCGGTTATCTGTCCACCTTTCAACGGTTGCATCCAATGATCCGGATGCTTTGCGTAATCGATGGGTATCCAAGAATCTCCGGTCCTGAGCCAATAGGCTTGACAGTCATGATGCGAGAAGCTATGATCATACTCCAGTCCATACCGAAGCATGAGCTCCGCACCCTCCTGGCTGCTCTCCCACCAAGGGGCCACAATACCCCTCGGCGGCTTGCCACCCTGGAAGTCCTTGATCAATCGGTAACACTTGTCCATTATCGCTGTTTGTTGTTCCAGCGTCATGGCGATGGGATTCTCATGGCTGTAGCCGTGAAGACCGATCTCATGGCCCGCATCGACGATCATACGGCATTCTTCTGGGAAGGTCTCCAGACTGTGGCCGGGGATGAAAAAGGTGGTTTTGATCTTGTATTTGTCGAAGAGCTTCAGGAGTCGACGTACTCCGATCGTACCGGCGAAGAGGCCTCTCGAAATATCTGACGTGCTGTCCTGTCCTTGGTAGCTACCTAGCCAACCAGCGACGGCATCGATGTCGACTGAGATGCAGCAAAGAGCTCCTACGGCATGTGAGTCAAGAACTACATTGATTTTGGCCAAGGAATGTCAGCACATACGCTTCTTTCCCATCGCGGGAGCTTACTGTAACGAGACAATATCAGTAGAACGAGTGTGGCCGAGCAGACAACGAGAGGGGCGAAACAAGTAGAAGCAGAGGCTCTGATCATATACTCGCGATACCATCCATTGGCGGGGTTGCGTTCGGCCAGCAAGCTAGGCGGATGACGTCGAACGGTTGGCCTCTCACAAACGCAATGTCTTGTCTTATCATCCGCTTGAGGCCATCAAACTACAGGCACTGGCAGAGCATTCCCCAGCCAGATGGATGGTATGCGAGTACGGGCCTGCCAAAGCAGCGCCTGCGGTGCTATTTGCTGCGGGACTTCCTGGTCTAGGCTTGGCTACCGGCCCTCCGGCTTAAGGGGTACGCTGTGGTGTACGCCCAATCTGGTCAATTCACCATGCACCCAGTTAGCCAATATGCTTACTTGGGATAGGTCTTCTTGTCCTGAGATGGTTGCAAATCTGGTAGGTTGCGACAGGGCTCTCCGTGATGGAAGGCTTCGCTTTGCCGAGGCACGAATGGCGGGCTGCTTGCTGCATGCTCCATCTCGTCGGAATTTACAACGATCGAGGGGATAGCACGACAACCATTATGATTCAAATGCACAGTCAAACCTGCGTACACATTATTGTCCGAAACGCACAGTTCGGAAGTGACAATGACCCATTTCAAGCCTCGAATAATCAAACGATTGCTTGTTGCAAACAGGCAAGCCTAAAGAATTCGTAGAGTATGGGAGTCGTAATGCTAACGAACCGACAGAGGCGAGATTGCAGTTCGGATCCTCTCGTCAGCTCGCGAGCTGGGCATCGAGACCTTCGCAGTCTATACTGAGAATGATATTGGCCATGTCTACAACGCCTCGCATGCAATCCAGTTGAAATCACCTGCATCGTACATGAACATCGACGACTTGATTGCTGTAGTGAAGCAGCATGACATCGACGCTTTACACCCTGGGTACGGCTTTCTTTCGGAATCTGCAGACCTCGCCAGCCGTATGGCACAGCTCAATGTGATGGTCATCGGGCCCGGCAGTGACAACTTGGCCAAGACTGGCGACAAGCTTCGCGCTCGTCTACTGGCAGTGGAATGCAATGTGCCGGTCCTTCCTGCTCTGACGGACCCAACGGGTATAGTGGGCGATGTCAAAGCTTTCGCAGAGCAGGCAGGTCTTCCGGTTATGGTTAAGGCTGTCGACGGCGGCGGCGGTCGTGGCATCAGACTTATTCGTCAGATGGAAGACTTGCAGAGCCTGATAGTCCGAGCTATCGAGGAGTCACCATCAAAGCAGGTCTTCGCCGAGAAAGCCGCGGTGAATGGCTTTCGGCACGTCGAGGTCCAGATTGCTGGCGATGGTAGAGGTAATGTGATGCACCTCTGGGAGCGAGAGTGCAGCATTCAGAGACGATACCAGAAGATCGTTGAGCTCGCTCCAAGTACCGTCATTGATCGTGCCATCGTGGCTCCGGTCATCCGTGCGGCCGTTGCAATGGCGAAGAAGATCCGCTATGGATCGCTTGGAACCTTCGAGTTCCTATTGAATCCAGGGACTGCGGAGTTCTTCTTCCTTGAGATCAACCCCAGACTGCAGGTAGAGCATACCATCACGGAATCGATATGCGGTCTGGACGTTGTGAAAGCGCAACTGCTGCTCGCACAGGGAGCGACGTTCGCTGAAGCCGGATTGGAGATTGCCCAAGATCCGTTGCGACCTCCGAATATGCACTCAATTCAAATGCGCATAACTGCTGAAGACCCAGAGAAGAACTACTCGCTCAGCATTGGCAAGATCCTATCGTTCCACTTCCCATCCGGAAACGGCATTAGGATAGATACCGCGCTGCACCAGGGCATTCCCGCCGTTGTCACGTCTGATTTCGATAGCGTTATCGCGAAACTGATCGTTACAGCGCGGACTTGGCAGGATGTTGTACGAAAAGCACAGCGCGCGCTGGAGGATACTTCTATAATTGGCATCAACACCAACATTGCTTTGCTAAGAGCCATTGTCGGGCATCCGGACTTTGCATCCGGTCGCTGTGATACCCAATGGCTCGAAACGAAGCATTACGAATTGCTTGAGAGCATTAGAGCAATATCAAACCGCTCAGATCCAACTCACGGACTTGTGACGCAGCAATCCACCACGTCTGTCGGAGCTAGTATCTCGACTTCATCGGCGTTACTGAGCAAAGACGACGCTTGGTCGATTGTCCTGCGCCCGTTAGCCAATGCGAGATCCTCCGATGCGGCCCAAACATATCATCTACGCCTCACCCGAATACATCGCAACGACTTTCCTCTTGCCATTACAGCTGATGCGATCTTCACCTCCGCAGATCAACAGCCAACAAACTACCACCTTGAGGCTCACAGCACTACCGCCTCTGCCGGCTCTACTGTCTCTCAGCACAGGCAAGGTTCGCGCTCGGACCCATCACACATCATTCTTCCAATCTCGGGTAAGCTTGTCGAGGTGTTGGTAGATATTGGCGATGCAATAAGAAAGGACGATCCAGTATGTGTTATCAAACAGATGAAGATGGAGATAGAAGTCCGCTCGCACAAAGCGGGGGTCGTTACCTGGATCACCGAGGCTGAAGATGACGAGGATGTCGCCGAGGGTATGTTGGCGGCTATCGTGGAGGACGACAGAGCCCAGGCGAAGCTGTAATGAATGCCTCCCAGGCATGCTATGACTCGTCGGGATCGTCATAAATCCGGACTTTGTCCGCGTACTCAAGGATGTTACTGTGGATCGTGTTCTCAATAAGATGCCCCTTGCCACCAGCTATGCGCAGTATCAAGTCGTTCAGCGATGCTCGTCCGAGGATATCAACATGATCCGCTGTATTCGGGCCTCCTCGTGGGTGGAAGCGTTCGGGCTCATGTAGCATCTCGTAAGTGGTGATCGAGATGTTTGCAGGGTTGTAGCGCTTGATCTTCCAACCCTTGTTGCACATATAGCCGGTGCTGAGGAGGTTGACCGTACCGTCGCCCTCTCCCATAACCACGCCATGGTCAATTAGTCCGTCTGCGCTGGTCACAGTGGTATCGATGGAAACTGTGCTCTGGTTGGTGACCTCGTCCACACCTTCCCGGTAAAAATAAGCCCGCTCGGTAGGCTTGCCCATCCCATAGAAGCAATAAATTTTGAATGAAGGTGCAAAGGGCAAACGAGTCTCCAGAGGATTGCTCCACTTCCCAGGTATGTTGTTATTCGCTTCCACCTCATCGCGCGTGTGCGCAACGCCGTGGCTGTAGGATTGTTTGATCGTTTCGGCATACCATTGCTCGGTATGATTGAATAGGTACGGCAAAGACTGAGCGACTGTAAGGTTACCAGGACTGTCGACTGTCGATCTGGCCTCACGGAAACTGATAAACTTGCCGTACGTCACGTTCTGCCCGGGTCGGTCATCCGGCGCTGCCTGATGGTCGCCCCAAACAGCTTCTCCGCCGATAGGCAACATGCTAGATATTCCAGGCATGTGGCGGAAGATCTCTGCTCGCTCCTGTCTCGAAAGGAACTTCTCGAGCCCATACACGGCGAACGCGTTCAACTGCGCGGTGTCTCGCATCTCGCCGCTAAGTACGGCCGGAAGATCCTTTAGCGCCCCGAGCATACAACCTGATATGTTGATCCATGACTCGAGATGATCTTCAACCCAGGCGGGCCCGCCGTTACCGTAGCCTTCAGCTTCTACCCAGTGCATGAAGTAGTAGAGCACTTGCCCACCCATTGAGTGCGTCAGCAGGACTACCTTCAACCCTGAGACCTTCTTTGCCACCTCGATATGGTTCTTAAGGCGGGTGAAGTACTGATCTCGCTTCTCATAGTTCGCATAGCTTAGCCGCCAATCATAGGCGGCCGTGAAAGCGTTAGTCGGATCGTAGCCGATCGTTGCTAGATTCTCGAGAATCTTGTTCCAGATCCAGTACCCCGTGATGAAGAAGTCGGCAGCATCAAATCCCTGGGCAGCACGTAGCTTGATGCCAGATGGGTCCATCCCTGTAAGCGGGTCCAGCATGATATGCTTCTTCCAGCTTGCCTTGTCAAGCACCAGTGCTCTCATCATAGTCCAGGAGCCCCAAAGTCGCTTTCGGAAGTAGGGTCGACTGTGATCTCCCGTTCCCCAACTCTCCAAAGATGTCGATATCACTCCGGGTACCATGACGACGGAATGCCTAGCAGAGATGCCCTCAGAACGCGCCTGCAAACCAATGGCAAAGCTGTCGTAATCCACTGCATCCTTCTCACGAGACTACACGCCACAAGACCTCGGTCAATATCAGCATCGAAAGTGCTTGTGGGTATCCCTGTTTCGTGTGACTTACCTGAAGGTCTCGCGCGTCCCTGATAAGTCCTGCGGGCAGCACATCGACAAGGGAATCCAGATGGACGTCGTTGAGGCCAACCACTTCCGCAAGCCTCTCTAAGCTTCCACTGCTACCTGCGAAGAAGCCTGCGACTAGAAGGCCAAGCACGCCGCCCATCGTAAACATCCACGCATTGCGTCGTTTCGTGCCGTGGGACTCTAGTCGTTTGCTCAGCTTCTCGTGGTTATGGCCCGTTTTATCAGCGCGGGACTTTGGTGCAGGGTTGTCAGTGCGTGAGGTGTCGTCCGGCGCGCCGAGGCCGAATATGCGGTGCCGTAAGTCAGGCATGGTTGCCCGAATACTGCTAATGCAAGAAAGGCAGAGTCTGACATATGTTGAAGTCCGGTGGCGCAAACGGTGCACTTGGCCCGTGCGTTTATCGAAGCCTCATATCCGACATTCAATCGCGAGCAGATACGTGAGTATAGACGCAGCTGACCCATAAACCCCTTCGGTATAGCACAAATGTCAAGACTGTCCGTCGATGAGTGGCAATAGCAAACATGCCGCCAACGATGCGAGCCAGACCGAGCAACACGGTGCGACCGGCGATGTTGACCTGCACTACGTCGCCTACGGCAGCGAGAAGGAGTCTTTGTACCTTCCCGCAATTAGGAAGCTGATCTCAAACGATCTCTCCGAGCCCTACAGCATATACGTCTACCGATACTTCCTCTATCAGTGGGGAGACTTATGCTTTATGGTGAACTAGCAAAGAAAACATATCCACCCCCCGAAGTCTTGCTAATTTATTGTAGGCCCTCACGCCAGATAACGAGCTTGTCGGCGTCATTGTATGTAAGCTGGAGCCGCACCGCGGTGGTCCAATGCGTGGCTACATCGCCATGCTTGCCACGCGGGCGGAAAATCGAGGTCGTGGTATAGCTACCAGGCTCGTTCGGATGGCTGTCGACAAAATGATCGAAAAGGACGCGGATGAGGTATGTGCTGAGGTTGTCTTACGCTCCCAGGTTGGCGCCTCGCTGAAGACCATCAGATTGCTTTGGAAACCGAAGTCGACAATATACCGTCCCTGCGCATCTATGAAAACCTGGGTTTTTTGCGGACCAAGCGTCTGCACCGATACTATCTGAATGGCAACACCGCATTCAGGCTAGTGCTCTATCTCAAGCCAGGCATACCTTACAAGCCCACCTATCCTCCCGAGTTTTCGCATGATGACATGGGCTCTCAAGCGCTGTCAGCCCAGCAAGGCCACGGTCTAATGAACGAAGACCTCATGCAGCGACAAGCGGCCCAGTTGCGGATTGAGGACATTCATAGCAAGCACTACGATGTGACGGACGACGCTGCTGAAGTTCAGCCTTGATATTCGATGAGCAATGTCAGCTATCATCTGCTGAAAGTCCTAAACGTAGAATAATACAATGCAAGCTCTACTACAATGCGCGTTCCAGAACGGAGCGTTATGGTACAGCTCCTTATAGAGCCGGCTTGTTCGCAGTATGACGCTGTTGGCATGTGAGGTTCCCTGCGAGAAGTGGACTCGGTACCGCTCATGCACCGCGAGAGTGATTGAGCGCCGCTACCCATTACGTGCACAAACCGCATTGCATAGCGATCAACTTAGATGTCCTGTTACGATCAAAGACCTTCCGCAGCCTTCTCGCGCTCAGTCTTCTCGTACGCCATGGCGTGTCGGTCACCTTGAGCGACTGGGTGATGATGATCAGGAGAGCCTTCGCTCGGCTCCTTGCCCTCGAGCATCTCGCTGTGCTGGTGGATGCCTGTAGCGAATGTCAGATTAGCATCCCCTTGAAACATTCGCATCCGAACTGTGGCTTACCATGACGATCGCCCTGCGGAATCTGCGGTTCTTTCTGCTCCGGCTCCCCCTTCGCGGGCGTCCACGCCAGATAGTCACGACGGACCTCAACATAATCGTACGCGAATTCACCGAGCTGGTCATCGTCCATACCCAGTAGCTCAGCCTCTTCCGACGCTCGGAGATGTAGGCCGGGTATCCAGTTGATCGCATACGCAAGGATAGCGCTCACGACGAACGCATATACGGTTACTGTTACAATGTACGCGACTTGCTGACCCAGCTGGATCCAATTATGCTGAATCCAACCGCCCGGGAAAAGACCGGTGTTGACGCCGTCCAGCCCGATAATGTAGTTGGCGGCGAAGATGCCGTTGAAGAAGAGCCCAACCATGCCTGCCACACCGTGCTCGGCGAACACGTCCATGGCGTCATCAATCTTAATCCAGTACTTGATCTTCGTAGCAAAATTGCACACTACTCCGGTAACGATACCGAGAACAACGGATCCCCATGGGGTGATGAAACCAGAGGCCGGAGTGGCAGCGACCAAACCAGAAATAGCACCTGAACACCAACCGACCATTGACCACTTCCTTGCAAGCCTCCAGTCGAGAAGAACCCACGTGATCGCCCCGAATGCGCATGTGATGTTGGAATTCCAGCAAGCCATGGTCGCACGAAGATTCGCACCAAACGCTGAGCCGCCGTTAAATCCCAGCCAGCCAAACCACAGCAGTATCGTGCCCAAAGTGATCAGGGAGACGTTATGAGGTCGGAAGTTCAACATCATCTTCTCCTGCCTCCGTCCGAGAACCCAAGAGTATGCGAGTGCGGACATTCCGGAGCCAATCTCGACGGGCCCTCCACCAGCGTAGTCCAGCACACCCCACGAGTATGCCCAGCCGTTGACATTCCAAGCCCAGCATGCAATTGGGCAGTAGACGATCGTAGCCCAGAAGAAGATGAAGACCATCATGGGAATGAGGCGGCCTCGCTCAGCAACAGCACCAACGACGATTGCGGCGGTAACGGCGCAGAATTGCATCTATCTGTTCGTCAATAACTCGTCCATACGATGCAGGTTGGCTTGGCGTACCTGATAGAAAGCATAGAGTAAGTCCGGAATAAGCGGGCTGCCGGGAGAAGGTGTGGCGAGTGTGCCTCTCAGACCGAACTTCTGCAAGTCACCAATGAAGCCATTGGTAGCGTAGTTGCTGAACGCCAACGAGTAGCCCCAGAAATACCACTGGAACGTGATGATTGAGCAAGAGGCCATACAAGCCCAGATCATGCTCAGTGCAGACTTTCTTCGTGCAAGACCCGAGTATAAGAAGCCCAGTCCCGGTACCATGATCAAGACCATGGCGGATGCTACGATGATATATGCTTGGTCTCCAGATTGGTACCACTGGTTCAAGTTCTCTGCGTCTGTCGCGGAATGATGTTAGCATTTCATACTATGGCTGCAATGAGGCAACTGTCACGTGCGCACTCGTTGTAGCGATGCTACGGCGCCAAGGACTGGGAGAGCGTACTTGCATCGCCGCCATAGCGAGGATTAGTCCCGTTGAAGGTCGTCGGAGACCCCACCCAAGAGTACGACATCGTGATGTTGACCTTCCCTGCAGTGCACGAGTCTAACAAGGCCGAGACTTGGACAGATACCTCTACGTGCTTCGATGCGAGTGTTGTACAGTGGTAGGCAGGGAAAGTCGACCAAGCCCTCAGTCGAAGGTAGGTGAAGTCCAAGTAGACGCCGTCAGAAAGGGTCAAAGGAAGTCAAAGTCTAGACGGAAAGAAAGCATGAAGAGAGATGGCAGGGGTTCTCATATGCGGAAACGTGGATTCGACGTCAATGCGATCCACACGCCAACTAGTAGCGTACCTCATCTAGTGTCTTGGAAGTAGATTGCGGGAGGAGAGTATCTCTTGGCTTTCTCAGCGTAGAACAGCCGGGACGGAGCTGGATTTCAACGCTGCTTTTCCATTGCGTAAAACGTCACTGAGGCGCATGGTTGAAACGAAAATAAGGACCCCACGGTTCTTGTTAGCTGCCGTAGGTCGCCGCGCGCCCTCAAGAAGGGTCTAATGGCGATACCGCTTCATGGTCGATACCAATTCTGCCTCTGGAAATACTGTTTCGAAACCTTCATCGCCTCAACCCGCGTCGACTTTTGCCCTTCCTCGCAGGATGATCTGCGCTGCAAGATCCTCATCGACGCCAGTGACGAAAGACGCCCTCAGACAATCCGTCGTTTAGCATGAAGTGGTAGGCGTGGAGAGCGCCGAAGTCGGTTACTGTCTTGCTATTCGATTGGAAAGCGGGAGCTATGCGGTAAAGGAAAGCTTGTCTTATCCATGACTGGCTGTGATAGGTCGCTTGTGGGCTCCTTATCTCTGCGAATCAAAGGGAATGTCATTAACGATTGGAACATGAAAGCCTCAAAGATAACGATGAGCTAGAGACAATTCAAATAGCAACTCCGGAGACTGGGCATCGCTTGGGGATCTATCGATCACCGCTCACAGTGCTGCATCGAACTGTCGCGTGGGATTGTGTCATATCGAAACGGCAGGATGAGGTCTTGGCAGTAGGAAGCCCGATAAGAGGTAAACTCACCAAGCTTCGCAGTCCAAGGCTCTGGCTGCATTTGCATCGTGGGATAGATGCCCCACCTTAGCAACGACCGGTCTACCGGACCTCGCGGAAAATCGTGCGCTATTCCGATCAATGTCTAGTCACACGAGCATGCCCAAACAATACGGACCATGAACCGCTCGGCATTCTCTTTCGGGGAAGTGGCTCGGAAGCAGTGCGATAACTAAAGTGGGCCATGAAATTTGCAGGTTGTCATTCCTTCCCGACTGCACAGAGTGACCATAGGATATCATGCCTTCTGAGGATGCTCTTCCGCGTGAGGTGAGCATGGGATGTATCAATTTCTGATACCGACAGGATGCTATAGGGAGCGCCACTTGTCGCAACCACGTGGGCACAGACCCGCTCCATGGAAGTAAGGAAGCCACACGGCAAATTCTGCTGACACTGACTCTCCGAAGTGGTCCCCTCCGATTTTAGGGATATACCGGAAGGGCTCGACTTAACATCGACGTCGAGGCGCTAAGGTGATAGCGTCACTGTGGCATGACATGATAGGATTGCTGGCTCTTGGAAGCGTTGTGCGGACGCGACGCAACTACATGAACCCGCCGGGTCTTCCAGATATTCACGAGACAAGCCAACTAACTCCTAACCAGCCAGCGATACCGCTGAGTCCAAGAAGCAGCAGGCAGATCCCTAACAGCACGCCAGATACCACCCGGTCGCCGGCATCCCTGAAGCCACCATGCGGTGTAGCTCCAGGAGTAGTCACCCGCCCTAGGAACACCCATAGTACCGCTGCCGTTATACTAGCCATGAGGACGAGCAGTAGAGCAGCGAAGACACGTGCTATTGACCAGCTGACCACGAACTCCAAGCCTTCTGGCTGCCAAGCACGGTGCACCAGATCCCTTTCCGTCTCCAGTGCGATTTTCGCACTCCCGCCTGGTACAGGCATTGGCGGCGCAGCAGCGATGCGATGAGCCCAGTGCACGAAGGCGTACCGTGCCCTTCCCAGCGCCGGTTTGCGGTAGTGCTGCAGTATCTTCTCTTCGCTGAATGTGTCGCTCAACCCTCGGTAAGCAAGCGTCCGTGGAGAGCGAGGCTGATGTAGCCACCCGTATCCGGCATCTGCGGCTCTTGACGCGGGTCCGCTGACTGCGATTCGCGTCAAACTCCTGGCGCTGAATACTCGCAGGGGCCCGCTAAGCTGTCGGTAAGCGCTCTGTAGCTGTCGGAAGAACTCTGCATCGTCGTACTCAATTGTTCGGAAATGCTTATCTTTCTGCCATGTACTTCTCGATGAAAGGGTGCTAAAGTCGTTTGAGCCTGATATGACAAGTGTTGCGACTCGGGGGAGACTGTTTTGGTTTCTCCGCCGGATACTGAGTGTGAGTATACTTTCGCTTGCGCCAAACGTGCTAACAACGGCAGACGGCGGACTCATTTGACCAATATTCTTGCGGTGCACGCTCTCCGGGGAATACGGATACGGCGTCCGCACAAGCTCCTGTGGCAGTGACCCTCGAGGTCCTGAAGTGTCGATGGGAGGCGGCACAACCTGGACTCTCTTACTGCTACTGGCGGCTGACTGTGGAGTGGCAAACGTTTGAGTACGCGGACTTCGAGGGTCATGAAGGCGCAGGGACGCAGGCAGCAACGAAGCACGGTTCGTCAACTTCAGTGGCGCGAAGCCTTCCACACTCGCGTTGAGCTTCTCCTCGCGCATCAGCGCATTCAGGGTGATCTCGTGCGCAATCGCATGAGCGCCCAAGATCTGTTCGACCTTGCTGGGTGACGGCGCCAATGGGTCTCCCTGGCACTGCTCGATTAGCGCTGAACTTCGTGGCGTGCGTCCACTCGCAACGCGAGCTTGGCGAGGAAACTGCGGTGGGCTGATCTGGTCGTTACTTGGGATGGGTAAGAGTTCATCCACCGAGCCGTTGAAGGATGTACTTGGAGTATCCGGCAATTCGGCCTGCTCTTCGTGGCCATGACTGGCTGCCAGCGGATGATATCTTCCTTCAGGCGGCAGGCTGACATGCTTGGGCTCGCATTGTGAAACAAGGTCTGAGCCGGTCGAGATCCGTTGGCGCTTCTTCATTGCAGAGCTTCTTGGCTCGATGGCTTCGGCACTTCGCACATTGGGTCCACCTCCGGCTGATCTGGCGTTACTCGTGGTCTCTTCGTCGGATGTGTCATCGAAGAAGTCCGTGGTCCTCAGTCCCGGGTCTGTTCGGTTGTGGCTCGAATCAATGCCTTGCATTTCCGGGTGCACGCTTATTGCAGGACTACGCACGGCCTGCGTGATCTGAGGTGACCGCCTTGGGCTTTCGGATAATCTGACACTCTCTTCTACTCGAAGTGGAGCTTCCATATGCGTTCGTCTGCAATTCCAATTGGATCTGCAGCCGTGCAGCGGACGTCTTATGGCGCTGTTCGCAAGAGATCTGCCATTGTGGACGTGCAACGCTCAACTGGCTTGTAGTGTTTCCAGTACGGAAGAACGCTAAGCAACAATTTTCGCTGACGCCAAACAGTTAGCTAGGGTTGGGAAGATCAGTTGTCACAACAGTCACAGGAATGTGGAAGAATTGCGCCTAAATTCCTGAACTAACGTCGACAACATTCTATCTTTATTACAGCGCTATCAACCAAGTCCAGCATGAAGTGCAACAAATCCACAAATACATATATCATCCTAGTCGCATTATGCTGGCTAGAATCCACCAGCGTCCCGTCATCGCACCTCTCGACTCCTACACCGAGTGGGGATACGGATCAAGCTCCAGTACCAAGGCCATGTCTGTTAAGGAAGTCGAAAGACACCTCATAGCCTGCAGTGGCATTGTTGTGCAGTGTCAGCCCGTGTCCGGTGTTCGGCTGAATGGCGACTTCGATGGTAGAGGCATTCGGATAGATTCCATGGAGCAGTGTGAGATTGGACACCCCTTTGCAGTCTCCGCCGCAGATGAAGAAGTCGAATTCCGGTAGGAAGTACTGGATAGGGCCTTCAAAACGAGGACCGGTGACATATACAAGCTGGTACGAAGACGCCAACTCGCCTATGGGCACTGGTTGCTTGATCGAATTGCCGTAATCGAATTGCTGCCGCGTGAAAGCAGTCGTCAAATTGCCTCCGAAGAAGACATTCTGTATGCCGGACTTCGAATCCACCACGTAGCCACTGGGCCGACTGAACGGAATGTCGGACTCGTTAGCAAACTGCACGTCCCAACTGGTCCAACCAATGCTGCCAAAGTACTTGTTGAGTACGTATCCGGTGATGACCGCGCCGTCGCTCAATTCAGGATACGTGCCAATGAATGCAGAGGTCATGACCGAGCCAAAGCTGTGTCCAACGTGCACTACCTTGTCAGGGACCCGGTGCTGACAGAAGGCTGACAAAGTCCCGTTTCGCGCCATGACGGTGAGCTGTCTGAGGATTTCGAGCTCGAGAGGTGCTTGCACAATGGTGTAAGCGTCTGGATGGTCCGATTGCCCCGCCCCCAGGCGATCGTATGTGAGGATGGAGTATCCAGCCTTGAGAGCTGCTTCGACATAAGATTGATTCTCCGGATCAAGCTCAGGGTCCCAATAACGCGAGTCGTAGTATGCTCCATGTGTCGCGATTTGCAGCACATCGACCTTATTATTTGCGACGGTTGGATAGCACAGCTGCGCATGGATGTTCCAAGTGCCCATTGTCGTGGTGTTGACTTTGATAGCCGCAGAGCCGTCGGGAGTGCTCCACGTGTCCTGCTGTACAGCCCAGGCAGTCGCCGATAGGTTGTCATCCACCACCGGCAGATCGTAGATTGCGCTCGGGGCGGACGCGGTTATCGGAATGTCAAGTTGCTGGCAGTTCCCGTAGATGTGAGTTGATCTCTTGCTCGTGGGAGCAGACTTAGCCCCAGTCGCGATGAGGATGAGAGCAATAAGGAGGCCTGCCATTGCGTGATAGTCGAAGAAGACGGAAAACTGTGTGATGATAATGCTCATCCTATGAAAGGACAGCGACGTGAGCAGTCTTATATACGGCGGACACGCTCCTGCTTAACTGCGACCCTGCCCATTGTCGCATTCGGCGTGCTGAACGAAGGGGGCAATGTTCGGAGCATATGTCCCAGCCGACACCCGTCAATGGCCAAGCCATTAGTACTCCAGCGCTAGCACACATGATGGTCGCTGGGAACAACTCACTTTTGTCCTTCCAAACATGCCGTGATGTTCGTTGGCTAGGCTTCGGGGTATAGAGCGACAACGAAAGCGAGCCGTGTATGTGAGGGCTGACTCAAGACTGGCAAGGTCCGTCCGTAGGGAGTTCCGAGGGTACCTGTTGCTCAGCCGTCCTCGAGAACGACACGTGGTAGGACACAATTACAAACACTGTGAGTTCTGAGTAGGCTGTATCTGAGCGATATAGCAGAGCCACCACAAACGCGCGGCGTTCGCGGTGTGACTATCCCAAACCACAGCAGCTACAGGCACAGTCAAGTGGTCTCAACTATAGCCCTCCCCGGGTTGACCGGGTGGGGGGCTTGGCGCTTACTGCGCAGCGTATCCACCGCAGTCGTGCCGTCGTTCTCGTTTACAAAGCTCTCCGTCACGGTCTTGGCTGGCTGAGGCAGTGTTTACCAAGATGCCTGCCTTCGCTTGGCGCAGCAGGTATTAAGCTGTGTTGTAGAGTGATCGTAAACGCAGGATGCGTAAACGAAAACTCCAACTTAAGCTCAACCGTGACCGCCAGCCTAAGCCAACACAATGGATAGCGATGGTCTTTTTCCCCCGGAGATTCAGAGAGCCACTCTCAGATTGAAAAAGTCCCACAAGAAATCTCGAACAGGCTGCGACACATGCAAGCAAAGGCGTGTCAAAGTGGGTTCGCTCGACGCCAGTAGTTGTGCGAAGGCAATTGCTGATGGTAGGTTCGGCTAGTGTGACGAAACCCGGCCATCATGCAAAAATTGCTTATTGCGAGGGATCAAATGCCGCTATAGCAAGCGTCTGTGCACTGCAGACCCGGTAGATGCTCCAACAAGGAAGATAGATGCCAATCACAGCACAAGCCCCGGCTCCTCCAGCTCTCCCGACTGCGAGAACGGGGCTGCGTTGGCAGCAAGTCCAGTCAATCTTGGTGGGATCGATGATGCCGAGCTCAGTCGGTACTACTTCGAGTACACCCTGCATACTTTCACGCGCAGCTGCGTACGGCAGGAGTCTTCGTGGGCGTGGCACATTTTCGTTCCCAGCCTGGCCTATAGTACCGAAACGGTGCGCCATGGCATGTTGGCACTCGCCGCCATGTCTAGGTATTACGCAGCTAGGGACGATGAAGAACGTCCACTGAAGTACCTCGAAGCTGCCAAAGCCCACGGCAATGTGTTCGTCTCCCAAGGCACGGCAGCGCTGCAGAAACTGCACCCAAAGGAGGCCAACGCCAACGTGGCAAATAGCAGGCTGCTAGCCGTATTAGCATTTGCGTTCGCCCGACAATACCGCAGTGCCGGCGTGGAACTGGCCTGTGCGACCTCCTGGACATGGCTTCACTTGCTTCGTGGCGTGCGCACGGTCTACACTGCAATGGTTGAAGCCAAGCAAGATATCGATCCGCTAATTAAGCGGGACATGGTTCCAGAAGTGGTTCCAGAAGTCTCGACAGCAGGTCCGGTGGCTGAAGTCTCCTGCACCTCTAGCATAACGAGCGGCATGCGAAGCATTCTGGATGCGATACAGTGTAGTCAGCACGAGCGGTTTTCTTTATTACGGGACGCCTGCCACGCAGTCATAGATGACGAGTACGCCGAAGACTACCTCGCAGCGCTTGCAAACCTAATCGAAGTTACAGAGCACATCTGCTCAGGCAGATTGAATAGCCTCTTCCGCTCTCTCTGCACTTGGCCGGGCAGACTCTCAAAAAGCTTCGTCATGCTTCTAACAACCCTTCACCCTGCAGCGCTTGCACTCTACTCGCACTGGCTGTTGCTGGTCGTGCTTGCGGAGGATATGTGGTGGATGGGCGATATGGGTCGGGCTGGTATAGGTGCAGTTGTTGAGCTACTCTTGAAGTTGGACCCTAGTGTATTGGCGCTTGTCGAATGGCCAAGGCGAATCATGATGATGGTTCCAGATCATGTTGGGACTAGTCCGCTCGAGGCCCGCCACTGCTAGGTATGGAGCTCTATGGCTTGATGTCTCACAAAAGTCCGAATCATACAGACCTTCGAGTCGGGTAGAGCTAGACGATCAGATCCACAAGCAATGAAGAAGCTACCACGTACCTACGGCGGCATCCTCTTATTGGATGAGTCTGCCCCAAGGCACTATAATCCGTCGCGAAGCGCTTGGTACATCAACAGATCCTTGTCCAGCTGTATTGGTGCGGACAAAGTAAATATGCTGCAGCAAAGCGAAGTGTCAAAGGTTTTTGCCGCTGGCTTTTTAGGAAGCCATGTTCACGTTCCATGTATGTACGCCTTCTTCAACAGCGGATACGAGTGAGTCATGATCAGAGCAACAGACTGGATGCTCTCCTCTCAGATTAAATATGGGCAGGAGACAGTGCCTTGACCAGCCATCACATATATGGATAGGTGGTGTGGAAAAGAAGCTTTGGAAATGTCAACTTTCACTGTCATTGCAGTCGCCAAGCCAGCTCGCCGGATATCATCCGAAGCGTTAACCAGCCTACATGTATGCTGCTCCTTCCTCCGTCTCCTCACTAATTTCTTGGAGTTCGCACGAGGTGATTGAACTTTCACGCATTGAGACCTACGAGCGTGAGCTGGTATCATCACGGCATTTGTGCTGTCGTCAATCCGGCAACATGGTTCTTTCCTTCATTCTAATTCAAAACCGCCAGTAAGCGTTGCCACCATATAGCGCTTTGGACTTGCGCTGACCATTTCATTCAGAGGCAAGACTCGCTTGGCGAAGTGGTACGCACCGTACAACGATGACGAGAAAATCAAGCTCAAAGGCGAAATCCACCGCCTAGTCGCGCCACGTGACCAGAAGCATCAAAGCAACTTTGTCGAGTTCCGGGGCAGCAGCAAGATAGTGTACAGGCGCTATGCTGGACTCTTCTTCTGTGCATGTGTCGACGCGAATGACAATGAGCTGGCTTATCTCGAAGCGATCCACTTTTTCGTTGAGGTATTGGATCAATTCTTTGGCAACGTATGCGAGCTGGACCTGGTGTTCAACTTCTATAAGGTAATTCTTCCGGTACAGAACTCATAATTGTGTCCTGATCGTTTGCACTAGGTCTACGCCATCCTCGATGAGGTGTTCCTGGGGGGTGAGATCCAGGAGACTTCAAAACAAGTCGTCCTCACTCGGCTCGAGCATCTTGACAAGCTGGAGTGATTTGAGGATCTAGTCACAGTTACACCTCAAGCCAACGCCATCCTCGTCTGAGTGGCCCCATCTTTTAAAGCGATGGCGCGATCATTATGAACAGCGATACGTTTGTGAACAGAGGCAAAGCGTCATGTTCACCGCCATCGCCATTGATGCTGGCCACAGGTGACGAAGAGCCACATCACCGCTGAAAGACTCAAATCGAAGCCGCTGGCGGCGGCATGCAGTCGTGCGCATGCGTATGGCCAACAGCTTCTACTTGAGTCGAAAGAAAGCGCACCACCTGACCCGATTCGGAAGGTTTCCCTTCGATTTGTGACGGTAGTGTACGGATTCGCATCGTTCAACAGGACCAACACGCCATTGGAAAGCCGGTCAACCTTTTCTTCGCCTTGGATCATTGCCGTGTTAGTTAGGGAGCATAGATATTCACAAGTGTCGCGCTCATGTGGTGCCTTAGGGCTGGATTGCTGAGGTAAGATTTGCGTGGGACCGTCGAGCCTACCAGCGAGGGTCATGGACACGAAGGAGCTTTGATATCAGGAGGGAACGACTGCAGCACGGGCGACATCATTCGACACAAGTCTTCGGTTGCAGAAGCGAATATGCTATGTCCGTCGGCGTTGGGTCGTCCTTGTGACGCTATGGATCTGCAGATTGTACAATTCTTTCGATCCTTGGGATAGTAGGCATTCCGAAATGAGCATCGCCGCATAATCAGGCCAAACCATAACTTTCGCATTATACGACCAACGTCACTCCATGTAGTTCCTCGGTATCACCGGGTCGAGCATTGAATGCGGATTTTTCCTATTGGCAGGACTACATTGCATCAGCCCTATGGAACGCTTCCTCTGCATTAGCGCATCCTCTGGAGTGAGAGAGCGGAGATCACCCGAAACACGCTCCGGTACCGACCACTCATGACCGTCCCCTGGCTCTACGCCAAGAACCACAGGCCACTCCCACGATCGTGGCATGCGGCGTTGTTGTATACGAGTTCCCATATCGAGGACTCACTTCGCCAAGTACCAGCTTCGTTCATCGAGATATGCCTTGAGTCATCACATACTCGGTAATCCGCAACATAGAATGTCGGGTGGGCATCCTAGCTTTACCTAGGTCACATCGGCACCGGCAACCAGCGTTATCCTCTTTGTGAAGCTGCCCCCGTCTGCGTTCAGCTCTGTGCGGCTGTTGCAGTAACTCCGTAGGCTGCTTTCCATGGTACTTGTAGCTCACCTAGGTGGGTTGCACCAGCCTTCGTTTACAGAACAGAAGAGCCCTTTCCATGTCTTGTCTCTCATGCCAACTCTTGAGATTCTCACATCCAGATACTCAACGACCATGATAACAATGATAACATCCGCCAGAATGATTGCTCAAGAAGAGAACCCTTTCCCGGAAATGTGGACTGCGGTGGTGGACACCGACCGGAACCCTTCGCCCATAGCAAGCCCGGCTAAGCGAATACGACAAGCATATGAGACGGAAAGTCTCGATAATGCGACCGCGATCGATCCGTTACTGCATCTCGACAAAGACTTCAGCCATGGCTGGCCAGAAGATGACATAATCGATGCAGGACTGATAGCGAACGATGAAGAGCTGAATGAGATACTGCGCGGGTTTGAGGCAGATACAGCACTGCGTATGGTGAGAGCCGAACATGCTCCGCCCCAGCCGAAGACGGGACGCAAAAGGTTGATGCAGACGGGTTGCATACCATGCCTGTGCGTAATGTGCCTCGAGCAGTTCCGAGGCTGTCCCTAACCGGTCCATCTAGTGTAAAGAATATACCGTGCGACCCTCGGAATCCACAATGCAAGCGAGTCATGTCAGATGACTGGAACATCAACTTCCGTCCGCAGAAAGATGAACACCCGTCTTTGGACCACCCAACGCCTGAGTCACTGAGCCTAACCGCCTACAGGCCGGACATGAAGTGGAGGCGCAACTGGCGAGAACGGCACAGTCTGAACTTCTTCGTCAACTTCTCTGCGCCCCAGATGGCTGGATTCTTTGACTCGAGCTTCTGGCAGCGTATGGTAATTCAGAACTCATTCCATGAGCCAGCTATCCTGCACGCCGTCACTGCCATTGGCGCATTGCACGAAGCGATCATGCAAAGAGCATTCGCAGAGGAGAAGCGGAAAGCGCAAGCATTGGCATTTGCGCTGGACCAGTGTAATAAGGCGATTTCGCAGTTGACGGGAGGTAGGCGCGCAGCCGGGTACATGACAGTCTCTGACACCCGCCTTGCCCTCATAACGTGCGTACTGTTCACATGTTTTGAAGCGATGCAAGGGCGATGCGACAGCGCAGTCAACCATGCATTGCAAGGAAGACGGCTCCTACAAGCGACTGCTCGCCCAGAAGCGTTAGCGATATCAGGTTCCGAGCTGGACGATATCGAACAGATGCGGCCCCTGGTTGAACGTCTGGAAGTGCAAGCAACGGCATTGCTGGACAAAGGCAAGCGGCCCGAGGTCGACGCTCTAGATCGAGTGTCACCCCTGCCACCCATAGAGTTCGTTTTCAGCCTGGATCATGCACATAACGCACTGCACCTGGCACTCAACAGCATTATGCGATTTATGCAGGGCTTCCAGCCGATCAGTCCGAAAGACCAGATCTCTCTAATAATGGCGGAAAAATACATGCGCTACTCGCCATGGTTTCAGCAGTGGGAGGCTGCCTTCACGTCGTACCTTGCTGACAACAAGCATTGGATGACTAACATGGACTTCAAACGCGCCATGGTGCTGAAAGCGAATCATTTGGTTGGTACGATGCTGGCCTCGGTCGATCAATCGGCTGGTCCAGTAGCCTACGACCCGTACGAGGCGGAGTTCAAAGCCATTGTAGACTTGTCGCGAGAAGTACTTGCAACTTTTTCATGTCCACCGCTGCCAACATTGAATGGCGGCTCAACCGGCACGCCCTACCTCTCGTTTTCTTTATGGGTTACCGACCCACTCTGGATGGCAATCTCCCGGTGTCGCAATCCTAGCATTCGACAAGCAGCTTTCACTTTGCTGTCGCAGAACCCACGACAAGAGGGCATTTGGCATGCCGGGCCGCAACTGTCGAATAACAGATACATGCGCCGTGCTGAAGCTGGTCCGACCAGTCGCTTGAAAGAGACGGTCAAGGGCAACAAGCCACCTGAACGCGCAAGGGCTGCGAACAGTGGAGCAGCAAGCGATGATACAGCATGCGAGGAAGACCAGCGAGCTTCGAAGAGGACGGTCAAGGCGACACGCAGTCGTAATGGAGAAGTGCAAGGGGAGGTGCGCGGAGAGTGGGTCGACCTCCGCGCTGCTCTTGGCAAGCACGCTAACAGTATGTGACAGCAAAGCGCCCGTACACCCTGCGCACGTGAGCTGATCAGCGACACACAGCTGTCGCAAGACCTGATTGCGCTAGGTGCAGGTGCGAGGCCCCAATACTTGAGAGGTACAAGCTGCATTGTTATGGACGTTGCAGCATACCCACTCTGGATGAGCTAAAACGACACCGGCATGGCTTCTTGGATGATGAAGGCCCACGTGAAGGTCGTGCAGCTATTGTGCAAGTAAGGGTACCTGCTTAGCAAGCGGCCAGCCGATACGTATGCGTGACAAACATCGGCATGGCGCATGCAAGCGGTGTAGCCTTGGGTAACACAACCCTGGCAAGCATTGCTGGGAAGCTGCACTATGCTTTACAGACTTGCTTTCTCTCCCACGCTCGAGTTCGCAACCATGCAGTCGTTGAGAGTATAGCAAACCGTGGCCGAAGCCTTCAAAGCCGGAGTGGGCACCATGACCGCAACAGATCTTCTGGATGTCATGGCACGCACAAGGCACCCGCGGGCGTGGGTGCGACGGCGCATTCCAGTCACGACGATGGACAGCGACCTGTGGATGCCGCCCGGGATCAGCACCAGCATGTGGCAGCATAGCCTTAACGATCTGTGTCACGAACCGTCTCCGCCTCGTTCATACGAAGACCTGAGCGACAACAACGTGCTTACGCCAGCCTTCTCCGCGTTCAGCCTCGGTCGTGCCGACGGTGTTGCCCAAGCTAATAGGGCTCGAGGAGCAAGGCGCTACCAGGGAGCTGTACCGTTTGAACGAGCCGTCGATACGCTCTGCCAAGCTCTCCACTCAGCGATGAAGCACTGCAAAGGCATCAAAGACCACTTCGACAAGACCATTGAGGCATCTTCCATCGCGCTGTGGGCCCCTCCGAGGGCCGTCGACGCTCTATGGACGATGAACGTGGAGTGGGACGGCGTCGATCGTAGCCGGCGGGCACACTTTCCGGAGCAGCAGCCCGCGCCTGAGGTTGTCACGTTTCAAGGCATAATAGCGCGGTTTGAAAACGCAATGAAAGCCATGGCGCACTGCAGCGGTCCTCGACTCGACTATCTGGAGTATGCCGATCATAAGCTGAGTCCAGAAGTCTTCCGCAATACGCTAAGCAAGCTGAAGGTGACTTTGAAGGGTGTAGAAGAGTTGATGCAATCGGTCAGGAAAGATCGAGGTTTGATGGAGCCGTTGATTAAAGACTTGATGGCTGCTACACAGTTGTTAGATGACATCGGTCCTTTGTGGGTGCCACGACCCAGGACGACTGCTGCCAAATCACGCAGGTGGATGCAGGAGGGAGATGATCACGAACGGCCGTGGTATCGTGGCGATTGAATTTATCGCCCATGACTTCTCCGCTATGATGTAGAGAGACCCTGCCAATCTATCGTCACTGTCAGCACATTTGCTGTGGTCACATTCCACAGTGCCAAGCTTACCAAATCTGGTGTGCTCAGTGTTGCGCCTTGTGACCTTGACAGAGTCTCCAACTCTAATCGTCTGGCCTTCACTACCTCGTTCTAAGAATGAATAACGACCAAAGCAGGGGGAGTATTTGACTCCACGGTCGACACGGCGATCAGACTGCAGCTTCTTCAGTATCTCGCCAGTCTGACCAGTGCCAGGTTCTCCAGTATCGTAGTCGATATTGATGCTTTTACATCGTCCACAGTTGTGTATGCATTCGATTTTAGTCTGCCCGTTGACGGTAAGCTCGGCCCAGAAATCCTCGTCCCATGGCTTGTCAGCTCCGGATACGATGATGTTCGGCCTGAACTTGATTATGTCCATCTGAACACCCTCGGACAGCCGTCGGTCGACGTCTTCCATCGACTTGGCGGAACAGACGAGATAAGGTGCGCAATCTGCGAAGGTGATGCCAGCCTGGTCCATATCGGCACCGAGCACAAACTCTGTCGCCTTGCTTGCAAGCGAGTTAAGCCAACTTCCATTGCTCGGTTGCTTATTTCCGCTTGTAGACATCAGGACGTTGCGCAGATTGTCACCCAGGTACACGAGAACAACACGATAACCGAAGCAAGACGAGAACCAGTCATCATACTTTTGGCCCATCTTGTAGGCCTTACAAGGGCTATTGTGCATTGTCACGTCTGTCACCTCCAGATTATCCGTTTTTGGTTTGAGGGGCATATCAAGCGTTTTCGTCTCGCCACCGTTTGGAGGGTCATACAGTATCGACAGACAGCCTTGCATTGCATCCCCATTGGGCATGCTGAGAGACGGGAAGAACCTCGACATCAAGGGGTAGTGCGCTGGATTACGGTCAGTGGAGTCCTCTAGCAGCTTACGGCCACTGACCGATCGCCATGTTCTTAAACGTTCCATCATCCTGAACATGTAAGACCATGAAACGTCGGTCGTTGGGAAGGCCATGCTTGGTTAGGACAGCATGTTCGAGCTCTGTATGTACATCAGCGGCCGACCTCAGGTCTTTATACCGATCGTACCAATCGCTCTCATTCCCTTCACAGGATACTGGTAGATGCCGCTTATCTTCATGCTAGCGGTTGTCAACGGATATTCACTACGAATACGCAACCTCGCACGGCAGATTGTGCTGATGTTAGTCTGGTGCGTTCAGTCTAGTTTGATGCTATAGCATGTGTGTTGAGCTACTGGCGCCGCAATCAAGTATTGCAAGCCTTCCTGTCGGCCGGCCATGCAAGAAGGAGTTTGGGAGGGGTAGCGCATCAACTACTACGCCCGAGGCAAACGCCACCGGCAGACCTCGTAAGCGAACAATCCCAATATAGGGACAATGTCCTGATAATGCCTGATATGCAGAATATCGTGCTCTGCAGATGTCGGTGCTGAGCTGGATGTAGTGTCCGAACCACCATTGACATACTGACTACACAGTGACCAGCACATTAAGGTACTGTGTGAAATATTGTGACAGGGCCGATACTGGCACTTTACTGCTACGATCGCAGCACTACCAGCCGCAAGTCCAGCTCCTCGCTCTCCGGTACGATCTTCTCCGTCTGCCAGGACGAGCTGCTTCTCGTCCTACGCAATCCGTTCTTTGGCGAGAGTGATGTGCTTTTCCTCCAGTGCAATGCGCTCCTTCTCCAGGCCAATGTGGCGTAAGCGCAGCCGTGCCTCTGTCGGTATTTTCAGAATGCTCGTCGCTGTTAAAAGGTCAACTGCAGCCCCTTCCTGGGTCTTGGTTGGATCTCGTACAATCCTGCTTGGGACAGGGCTGGTAGTCTCTAATATTGCTGCTGCGGTAAGCATGGTTGAGTCAGGATCCTCCGATGTAACAGACATCCTGTCACGCGCATTCGCCGGTCTGTGCGGCCTCGTCGCAGTCATGGTAGTATCCTCGTCATCGGTGTGATCCGAGACGGACGTCGTACTTCCAGTGTTGCGGCGGCGCTGAGATGCAGCGCGAATCGCTGCGCTCTCCCTCTTCCACTTCTCCCTGTTGTACGCAAGTTTCCTCTCATGGACCGCGATCACGGCAGGATCGCCTGATCGAAGTCAGGCACGGCAGTTGCCTCTGTTTGAGGTAAACTTACCTGCTTGCCTTCTCTCCTACATCCTCTTCCGATTGCCTGCCCCCTCACTCTCTTCGCCATTGCTTTCGCCTGTTGCTCTTCGCTGAGGAGCTCAACATTGAGCTTTCTTCCGGACATTGCAGTTGCTGGACCTGCCACTGAATGAGACTGCCGCGGTGTGCTTAAGGAATTATGTGCTTAACACTCACTTGACGTCTTAGCTATTGATGCCAGTCGCATGCACATTTCTGTTAGCGGCCCGGTGAAGCGTCTTCAATGGTTTCACGGGTGACTGATCTAGGTGTTCTGATTAGCAGACAGTCGGCCGACAGGTATGTCACGAGGGTGTCGTGCTTACTTACGTGGGTTGATGACGATGGGATAGAGTCAATAAGATGCACCGGGACCGATGATCATGACGGTAGGCAGTGTTGGCGTTGCCGGTGTCTGCAGCTTTGCGAAAGCCGGACCAGGAGAGAACGCAACATTCGTACGCGACAATATCGACATTCATAGCTACTTTGCCCGCTACGCAGGATCCTCGCTGCCGTAGTAACTCCAATCATGACGGCGTGATCATCGTTCGCTCTCGAGCGCGCCCTCCGTACTGGTACAAATCCCTCCGTGAACGCCACGCAATAAGCTCCTAACAATTCACCACACACTATGCTGTAGACGCCAAGCAAACAGGAAATGAAGAACTACGCAGGTGCAATGTCGAAGTCGGCCTGCTCTTTCATCATTCTCAACTCCTCCAGCTGCGTTGTCATTTCGCTCAGAATGTCGGACATGGGGCAGGCTTGGGCAAGCATACCGTCCTTGAATGGCCGCATCATATTGCGGATGGCGAGGGTGGTGATGCAGGTCTGCAAGCTCACAGTCAGCGCAACATCATGATGTTCAAGCTCGAGATGATAGCCTACCTCAATCCTACTGATCTGATGCTCAACGAAGTTCACCAAGAACCGATCAGTCACCTCGCCTTCCCTTTGCTTCATTTTCTCCAAAAGCGCCGTCTCCGGTGGCTTCAATCTCGACTGGCCTGTGCTTTCCATGGAGCTGCACAGCATCTCCAGCCGCAGACTAACATTCCACAGATCCCACACATTCTGCGTGTCCACGGTCAGATCCCTGTTCTTCGCCTTCGCCGCATGATTTTGGCGCTCAACCTGTGCCCGCGACTCCGCTTCAGCCTTCTGTTGCTGCACCACGAGGCGAGACGCCAGCGAATGCGGGTACATGAGGTAAATGTACTCTGGGTTTTCGAGACCTTTGAGCGTCCGTTGACCAAGATCCTTAACTTCAAACCCCTGGCTGCTGAGTGAACGGAGCTCGCGGCGGATTGCCTGGCTCATCAAGTCATCGCTGAGTGTCTCCTCGGAGCCAGTGGAACCCGACCTGTCGCTTTCGATGTGGCTTTCGAGCATTCGTTGCACCTCGCGAATAAAGTCCGATGACACGCAGATCTGGCCACCGTCTGCCACGCCTTCAATACGCGCTGCGCGATTGACCATCTGGCCAAAGTAATCCATGCGCTTCGTTACAGGGTCAATCTCGCATACCGGTCGACCCCAGTGAATACCCATACGCACGCTCAAGCCGCGGAAGATGACATTGCCGTCTGCGTCGCACACCTCCTCGCCATGCACGCTCGACAAGATCTCTTGCGGCCACGGAACCTCTAGCAGCGCGCTCTGAATGGTGAAGCACCACAGCAACGCGCTTGTGACTGTAGGGAAGGCGACCATGAAAGCATCGCCCTCAGTCTTCACCTCGTAACCGCCGATGATCCTGAGATGTCGTCGCATAACTTCGTTGTGCATCTTGATGGCAGATTGCATTGCGATCGGATACGTCTCCCACAGGATCGTGCTATTCTTGATATCTGTGAAGACAAGCGTTACGTCGCCGGTTGGCGCTTCGACTTCCTGATCCAGTCGTGCGAGCTTCGAGTCTCCGACAGCATCACGTCGTCTGTTCGGCTTCCGAGCGACAGTGCTGAAGTAGTCGTCCGGTGAGCCGGACGGTCCCATACTCATGCTCTGTGTCCGATATCGTGCCCGTTCACGTTTTCGCAAGTCCGAAACGCCGACAATCATCACCATAATCTTGCCCGTAGCGCCGAAAGCGATGGCGAGATCACGCAGCTTCTGCGCAGCACGCATTGCATCGCCCCGTTCCTGTCGCGCTACGTCGACCGCAAAGTCTGGGGTGAGATAATCCCACAATTCACGCGAAGCCAGCAGAATCAACTCGTCGGATTCCTTAATATCGACCTTGCAGACGTACGGGGCCGCAATAAGGCAAGGTGTCAGCTGCACGTACCCAAACGCTCTCGAAATGTCAAGCTGATCGTTCAGCTTGCCCTGCCGAGAGACGAAACCCCCGGCCTCCCGAATGCGGGCTCGCTCCGTAGTCTCTGCAGGGTCGTGCTTCCTTGTCATAACTCTGTGCCCGCCCTCGGACTGAATTAACAGGGCCTGAGCGTCACCGACATTGCTCACGTACAGCTCCATGCCGTGCAGATACATGACGGCGGCGACGCAGCCAGAATTGAGATCTTCTTCCTCAAGTGTAGGCCCGGAGACACTACCTCGGTGCACAAGCGCACTGCTTGGGTGCTCCCTCGCATCCAGCGCCTGCGTTGCGGCTGTCGCGAGCTCTTTGTTCAGGCCGAGATACGTCCGCCGGAGGGCATCGGCTGGCGTCTCGCCCTGCCTAAGTCGGTCCAGTTCCTCAATAAAGTGGTGCTTGAATTTGTCATGCAGATACTTGGCCACCCTGCTGCCTCCTGTAGTTAGACTTTGTCCGTCAAAGAGGCCAATGAGGGTCTCATCTTCGTGGCCCTGAAACCGCGGCACAACCATATCAAGCGTGGACAGATGCTCGTTCCGCCCAAGGGTATCCGCCATACCATACGGCATACTCGTACCGATAATACTGCCGGCAGTTCGTACTCTCCGATCCGGTGACTGGTCAGGCATGTTGGGGATCGTAAGCGTGACGTCCATCAACCCGAGAATGCGCAAGTTGATGAGCGACGAGAAGTCTGTGAGATCGCGCGCCTCTCTGCCACTCAATGTTTGCGGACTTGGCTTGATCTCCAGCCGTCTGTTCCCAGAAAGGTTGAGATACCGAAGCTGATGGTTCCAATTCCAATTCCAATCGTACGGCCAGTTGGAGACATTGTACTTGAGCATGTTGCTCCCCACATCCAGAATAGCCAGTTTCTGCACCTTGCCCAACTCGGCGGGCAGGACCTGAAACTTATTGTTGTTGATATGCAGAACCTTCAGACTGCTACCTTCCTCCAAGTCCTCGCTCGGCAGGCTGGTAAGGTCGTTGCCGGATAAGTATAACTCAGTGAGGTGTGTCCACCGCTTGATCGTTCTCGGTGGAATGTCATAGAGCTGATTGTATGACAAGTTCAAGATCCTCAGCTCAGGTAAGAGTACAAGCTCATTGAACACATCGTCCTCAAGCCGGTTGTCCGCAAGGAAGAGGTGCCGCAGACTCGTCGCAAACGTTGTCGCAAGTCTACTGCTCAACGTCGAGTCCTTCCGGCTTGTAGGTGTAATGGTCCCGGTGGAACTAGCGGTGCTTTGCCGGGCGACCATACTTGGCTTGCTTGAGCTGTATGACACCACTGAGCCCTTCCGACTCACCGTACCGGGAGAAGATGAGACGGAAAGCATACCACTCGCCTGACTTGGCCTTCGCGCTTGGAAGTCTTCAAGCCTGCCGAGTTCCTCGAATTCTGGACTGGTGGCCAGGGTAGGTGCTGCAGTGCCTGGCGTACTGGCCACATCCTGCAGCGGCGGTAAGGGTGCACCCGGCTTCGGAAAGTCGGACAACACGTTCGAGGAAACATTCAGTGTCTCCAGACGCCTGGCGTACCAAATCTCGGGCGGTAACACACCCAGATTATTTTCCCGCACGTCTAGATATCGTAGCTCAGTAAGCCGTCCAATCTCCGCCGGCAGCCGGCTCAACTCGTTCTTCGCTAGACTCAGATACTCCAGCTTACTGAGCAAACCAAAGTTCGGGCTGAGATTCACAAAGTGGTTCTTGCTGATTGTCAGCTTCGTCAAGTTCGGCATCTTAATGAACAGCGCGTCCGGCAAGCGAGCCAACTTCGCACTTGCCAGGTTCAGCACGCTCAGTGTCGGTACCGGCGCGTTGAGGTCAAAGTTTGTCACCGGATTGTGATTGAGGAAGAGATTCTTCAGTCGTGTAAATGACCCTTCAAACTGCGAGATGGAATTATGTCCCAACATCAATTGTTCCAGTCGTGGCAGCTGCGATACCACATCGATGTTGCTGATGGCATTGAAGCGCGCATCAATCTCCTTGAGGTTGACAAGCGCTTTCAGCGATTCGTCAAAGGGTCCAGAGAGCTTGTTGTTCGTCGCCCACAAGCGTCCCAAGTTCGTTAGCGCACCTATATTCCCTAGCGCTGAGATAGAGTTGAAGCTGACATCTAGATCTTCCAATGTAGTGAGTTCTCTTAACGCGTCCGGGAATTCGGTTAGCGAGTTGGAGCTCAGGTTTAGACTACGCAGCGCGTGGAATTGGCCAAAGTATAATGGCACGCTCATGAGCTTGTTGTTGCTCAGTTTTAGACTCACAAGCCCACTCACGCGCCAGAGTTCGGCATGATCGAGCTGTTCAAGTCGATTGTTGGAGACATCGAGCATCGTCAGCTTTCCCGCCAACGGTAGACTCGGTGGGATGCGCCAGGCCTCGTTGGAGGTGTACCGGATCTCGCGCAGGTTGGTACAGCTCTGCACGAAATCTTTCGGTATGTCGAGTGTTGGATTTCGCGAAAGATTGAGCGTGTTGATCTCAGTCGCTTTCTGATACAGCGCGATCGGTATGGTCACCAGATTCCGCCCAGCAAGGTCAATGTGATTGAACCGCTGTAGCTTGTTGAAGCCTGGATCCCGCTCGAGAGATGAGTAGCCGCTCATCTTGGCTGGTAAGAAGGTAAAGCGGCATAGGTAGCCATGATCTTCGCGCCCTAAATCCTCAAGCCGGTCATTCGACTCGTAGCCGGCCATCTCAAGAAGCCGCTTCTGTAGCACCAATGGTCTCTCTCCTTGCTGCAGTTGTCGACTTGTGTCCTGCTTTCGCATGACGATTTGGTAATTATCCAACTCATCCTGTAAAAATGTTTTCTTCGCCATCATGCTGATCAACTCCGCAGCGGTGGTGTTCAAGCTCGCAGAGATGACGGCAAAGGTGCTGTCTGCCCTGAATATCCGCATGAAGAACATAGGTCCCGGGTCCTCATCCCGCTGCACATTGCCATTGTCGTCGAGCTCCGTGAGACGTTCCTGATTCACATCCGGCATACGCTTCACGGCCCATGAATCAGGCGCGTCCCACGTCCCGCCACTGTCATCTCCAGCTTGCGGCTGAAGTTGTTTCGCGACTGGTTGTTCGCCAGGCCATCCGGTATATATTTCTCCACTCGGCGGCGTCATGAGTGGTTGTCGGTGATCAACAATGCCCTCCATTTGTGACATATCCGTGTCAAGATGCCAAACGTTTGCAGAGCCTTCGGCCTCCGGCGTGCGCGCATTGGGATCCCTAGCACGCAGATCTGACGCAGTCTCGGTGCGCTTCGTTTTGAAGGGCAAGCGTGATTCCTTACGAGGAGCAGACATCGCCGCGATGTTGTTAGTAGACGACGCAGCAGCATTATTGATGGCTTCCGTGCGAATGGTTGCTTTCGAGGGCTTGGCAATGGACTTGGTATCAGCGCGCGTCTTACCCAGTGTGGCGCTTGTGGTTGGCAGATTTGTGGCCGAGGTGGTGGTCTGCGCGGTTTCGAAGTTGGCTTTGTCCTGCTTGTGCCGGCCAGTGAGGCGGTCGAAGACGGAGCGCTTCCCGTTGCCATGTCCTGCACCGCCAGGTGAGCGATTGGACTGGGTATGCGAGCTTTGCGCGCTGTGCGCGCTCGGCGTCGGCGATGTCCCGCGCGGTCTTGAAGCCTGAGTGGTGCTCATCATAGACGCTTCCCTACTTCTGGCTGCCGCACTGAACGATTGTTCTCGACTCGTCGTTGGCCGCAGCGGATACCCATGGCTGATGCTGGGTTTCTCCTCGGTGCTACGGTTGTGTCGGTGACCGGGTAAGTGTAATCGATGATGTGTCGAGACGGAATGCTTGGGTGCTCGGTTATTGTTCTGCTCGGGGAAGAACGATTCTGGTGCTCGATCCTGCAGTATGTTAGTCACGCCTGCGCGATCTTTAGGCAGGCTGGTGGCAATAGCCATCCAACTAAGTTTCCGCCACGTACCTGCACATCCTGATATATCCATGGCGTGACCTCGCTACTCGGACCGGGACCTGGTGCGGGCGTCCTCGGCCTAGAGCTTGTTGGGCTCGGAGGTCCACTGCGCAATGACCCATCGTTCACAGAATTATTCCTATTCCTCGGTCCAGCTCCAGGCGCAAACGATGGCAGAGCGCCTCCTTGGAGAGAGCTCGTCTCCGAGTTATGTCTGCTCAACTCTCTACCGCCCGGGGTCGGATACTCCTCGCCGAAGAAGCCTTGCAGCTTCTTTTTGTACCTACCCCCCAGGCTTGACTTTGAACCAGACGAGGACACAGTAGTGGCGCTAGCGATGGAAGGCCTGCGATCCTCGCCGTCATAGGGGAAGCCCATCCCGCCAGGTGGAGCGAACCCGGGCGAGATCTGGCCCAGGTTCTCGTTCGAGTCATTGTAAAAGCTCCCGCCGAAGACAGATGTGGGCATCTGGGATTCGTTCTCCCTGCCCGTGGACCACGGCGAAACGGTGGATGGCGGCTGGCGGTTGATCGATGGAATGTTGCCGGAGCCTTGTAGGACAGACAGGTCACTACGGTAGTTGTTCAGTTGTGAGCTTGGCGACGGGCCTTCTCCTTGCTCCCACGGTGCGATGTTGGTGCGCGGGTTCATGGGTTGCGGTTTGGGAAGGATGGTGCTCGGTGAGACCTCGGAGTCCTTGCGATCGAGTCTGAAGCAGGTATTGTTAGTCCTTGTCTTTCACTTGCAAGATCAGTCGTATCGCATGCACGGCTCTTGCCGCTACGTATCTGCCAATTCGACGCCACACGCGCCTACGACTTTACAACCACGCTACATTCGACACACTTCGCAACGCCGCCTCGCCTTGAGAGCTTGGCCCTCGCTGCCACAACAAAGAGCCTCCTCCGCCATCCGCACGTGCTACTACCTCGTCGCACCCATACATCGCCGAAGGGGCACGTACTGTAAACGTTTATTCGTATTGACCGTCACCGGTGTCCCTCTCTCCCTCTGACTGCCGTGCCTTCCGAACGCGAACCCATGTTTGACCGTGTCCGTCGAGCGCCATGAGTCGGTGCCAGAGCTCTCGGTGGAGCCTTGTCGCTGTGCAACATTACTGTTGCCGTTGTTGTCGTTGAACGCAGTCTTGATGCTGCTGCCACCACCCGAACTGTTGGTGTTGGTGCCTCTCGTCATGCTCTCAGCGGCGGCTGCCCCACCACATTATCGTACAACATCCGACATGGAGCTTCACTGCGATGCAATGTACTGCCAGTGAAGGAACTCTCCAGCACAGTCAGATCATCCCTCCTGCGGAACGGTAATAGAGTCGAGCGAATAATGATGCTGCTGTCCCGAGATCTGGGCCCTCACAAGGCTGTCTTGGGATACGGAATCTCGCGATTCGCGTTCCGTCCCGCCGTCGACTTGAGTTTCGCGTGGCGCCTCGCCTCGCCTCGCCCATGTTCTATCCTATCCTGCCTTTGAAGAGCGTTGCGACTCTCTCTCATACAATACACAAGCGATTATCCTTACGAACCGCGGACGTACGATCTGATGAACGAGGAACAGCAGATCGGTGATGCTTGGCGAGATGTTGGACAGGGATGCAGCCCGTTCGGCTAACCGTAGTAGCACGACGTTGGTTCGGCTTGGAGCTTGGAGAAAGCGGAGGCAAGCGTAGCGGCAGAAACTAAGCCGTGAACCGTGAACCGTGGACCGTGAACCCTTCGTGCCTATCGCCGTTTCGGAAACCTGAGAAAGTCGAGAAGCGTATGCTTCCCTTCAACATGTATGCGCGTATATGCCTGACATAGCTACCGTAATCAATGGCAAACCTTGTGCTCGACCCGGCCCTGTGTCGCATGGCTTACGGCCGCACGGAATGTACTCACGAAAAGGGCACATGAGAGACTCTTCAAAGGTCACATTGCTGTTTACGAGCTGGCTATTACCTACAGCATTGCTGCTGCTCATGGTCTGGCCACGGTTACGGAGAAGCAACGCCGCCGTCTTCCTTCGCCAAACGATACCCTTCTTCCTCAATCTGCGCAAGTACTGACTCAAACCTAGTGCCTCCAGGCACTAACCCCTACAATCGCTGGAAGCTCATGAACATGGGCCGCCATCGATCAGGATCCACTCGATTCTCATAGCCTGGCATCCTCAATTCTTCACCTATGTAAGTCTGCAAAACCCGAACCTCGATGACATGAATGAAACCACCAAGCGTCGCCGTGTATTTCACAAGACGAGCCTCCATGTGGACTGGACATTCCTTGATGCGCGGAGCTTGGACTTTCTCCGAAGGCAGAGGCGTAAGATGTGCTACAGCAAACTCGTCTTTGATATAGCTGTATCCTTTCGAGAGCTTAAACTCTGGGACGAATTCGGTGCCTGTCGTCTTAGCCAACGCGTTGATAGCGGGAGCCATTTCGTCCGAAGCCAGGTTCAGAACGCACTCGCCAGTCCGATGCAGATTAATTGTGGTCCTTGAGTTCCATGCCAGGCCCAGGATGCAACGATTGCCAAGCCAGAAGGCGGACGACATTGGTGCAATGTTGGACGTGCCATCTTCGTTCGTCGTTGTGATGAGGACGACTGGCGTTCCCCAATAGAGTATGGCTGGGTCGATCTTTACGTGAGCCATGCCTGGATATGATGATGCGTTGGACGAGTAGATTCCGAGGCGATGGGAGTGTTTGGTAGCAGGAAGCGTGGCATGTCGCCTATTTATGATATGGTAGTCCCACTGTCACCAGAGTGAGCGCTCAGCGGCATTGCTTGGCAATTCTATAACGGAAGCACATTATCTTGACCCGCCATTGCCCGATATGTGGCCACTGGAGAGTGCTGTACACATATCGAGCAACTCATCCTCAACGCACAGACATTGAATAAAACGACATATCGACAGCAAGCTCCACCATAACAAGAGGCGGTGGACCTAGCGTAACCAACACTCTCCACGGTCCTTGAGAGGCTCATGTGAAGCTCGGAATGCTGAAGGACTCCGTACTTGCTGGAAGGCCGTGGGACTGCAGCGGTGACTCTAGCGGAGACATAGCACGCCTTTTATTGCAGGCTGCTCTGTGATTGGCCAGTTTCGAAGCAACGCTCGACTCTAGTCAGGTCTTCACAACCTTTATGTATATCTTTCTTTCTTGCATGTTTCTCTCCGCTCAACCCATGACTCTCCGTTAGCAGCTTCGAGTTGTGCCAGCATGATTCAACAATCATATAGCAATGAGCGGTGGCAAGCTGTCGTCGATAAGGATAAGACATTTGACGGAGCATTCGTTTACGCAGTAAAGACTACGGGTATCTTTTGCCGACCCGTCTGCAAGGCAAGACTGGCAAGGCGCTCAAACGTAGACTTCTACGACTCGGCCTCAAACGCGGTAGAAGCTGGCTTTCGCGCATGCAAGCGCTGCCAGCCACAGCTTGCGGCCTTCGATCCAACCGCCGGCAGCATTGCGAAGGTCTGTTCGATACTGCAATCTTTACCGCCGGACAGTCCTTCGCCGAGGCTAGAGAGTCTCGCGAAGCAGGCCGGGTTGACCAAACACCATTTCCACCGGCTTTTCAAGCGAGAAACCGGACTGACTCCACGAGAGTACGCACTCTCCTGTAGGCTTGATGCCTCAAGCGCGTCAGTGTCCAGCACGTTGACACCCTCAGATATCAGGATCAACTTTGCAGATTCGGAGGAGGTCAGCTCCGCAAAGTTCGCTTACGGTTCAGAGAACCCAGTCATTGAGCTGAACCCTTTAATTTATCACACGGAAGTCGAGACCACTTTCGGCTTGCTTCTTGTCATCTTCCAACGTGGCCAAATATGCGGGCTGGAGCTATGTATCGACCATACAGAAGCCGCAGTTACCTTAGAGCATAGGTATTCGAGTAATGACTTCCTTACTCTACCTGTGGACTTTGCAAGCGAGCAGGAGCTGCCGTTTCTACAAACTCAGATAGCTACCGTAGTGGAGGCGCTCGAGCAACCGAGCGGGAAGATGCTCACTCTGACCTCAACAATAATGGTCGCCGACTGAGATATTGCAAACACAATATCTCACGATTTCTCATCACTCAGGTGATCCACGGAACACCTCGCTAAAAGCAGCAACAATCATCCGAAATCAACAGAATCCAAGCCTCGTTCTCTGACGGCGTCCTGTACCGCACCCTTCACCCTCTCCAGCACTTTGGTCCAAGCACACCGCACTTGCTCATCCAAGGCTTCCGCTTCTTCGACCAGCCAGGTCATCCACTTAGTCACAGCAACAGCCTTCGCCATGTTGGACTCCACGAGCACCACCTCCCTCAAGTATCTCGTCAGGGCATCGACATCCTCATCGTACGGCCCCTCATCGGAGAACTCAACAAACCACGCCTTCACCGCTCCACGCAGATCTGCCAGATCAGAAAGCTTTCGCATTGTGAAAGTGGGTTTAGCCGGCCGGGCCGGGAGCTGCAGAAAGCGAGCAAGTGACCCATCATCGTCAGAAGTCAGCTTCTGCTTTCGCTTCAGGGCTCGAGGACGCTGATGGAGCGTGAGATCAATGCCGCCGGCGCGCGCAAGCCGGGCATTGCGTTGCTGTTGCAAGACTTCTTGGCGAACATCATCGGGCAGCGCAGCAAGAAATTCAGGGTCAACGGCGTCTGGCTCGGCTTCCGTGTCGGTGGTGGTCGCGCCGCCGTCTTCACGAGCACTCCTAACTGCGGGTCGGGATATGAAGTTCGACTGTGTCAACGTTGAGGCACCCGCCGCATTTAGATTGCTCCTTGCACGGCCCGCGAAAAGCCCACCGCCACGTTTCTTCCTCGGAGGCTGCTTGGTCGGCGGTAGTACACGGAGCTTGCGAGGCGATTGCGGTAACAAAGCTTGTTCAACACGTTTACGGTTGCCGGGGCTTTTGTAGTAGCCCAGCAACTCTGCCCGGACGTCTTCTGGGAGGGCTTCCAATATGCTCGGATCGAGCTGCGACTGATTTGGTAATGCAATAACCGGGGATTGCGCTCTCGATATGGGCTTCGATGGTAGTTGCTCGTCCACTATCGGCCGGTGTGGACCGACGGCGGCGGGCTTGATGTGCTGAGCCAGCTTCGACCGAATGTCCTCTGGCAGCTCAGCAAGAACGCTTGGGTCGACCTGCGTGGGAAGGATGAACTGGGTGCCAAGTGTGTTGAGAGCCCTTTTCGTCGATGTGCTGACATTGACTGCCTGGCCCGGAACGCTGGGCTTGTTAGCCTCTGGTGTTCGCTGCCTTTCCGGTATCCGCGCATCGTCTTGAATAGGGTCCTCATCGAGCGTTTCTGGAGCCTCGTTTTCTGCTGCGGTCTTAGGCACTTGGCCAGACTTGAAGTGTAGCCTCCGTTGGCTGCCCAGCTCAGCGCTCTCGCCGTTCGACTTGATGGGATCTAGCTTCTGCATCTGCACACCGATGCCTCTCAGCTCGCCAGGCGAGACACCAAATGACTTCATCATTGCAATAGCTTCCTTTGCAATTACCGTGGCATCGTTCGTTGCTACGCCAAGCTGCATACTCTTGTTGTACGTATCGCACTTGCCATGCCCAAGGTGCTTTGGCGGGTCTCTCGGCGCATCCGCTGCGCGCCTCATAACCTTCATCGTCAACTGTCTGCCCTTGACTCGCTCCTTAACAAGTCGCTTGTGCAGCTCGCCACAAAGACCATGCATAAATTCATCCACTTGCTCCTGGTTCTCGAATCGAACTCCCCAATTGACCTCCGCTGAGACAGACTTGCGCACCACCTGCTCCCCAACCTCGCTCTTGTCAATGCCACGAGCATAATCCCACAACTTCTCACCCGTCTTCGGTCCGAGAGCGTTGACTAGCTTCTCCTTCGTCAGGTCGCGGATGTCTTTGACAAACTTAACGCCTATGTCTTCAAGCTTGCCACCGATACTCCACGCAACACCGGGTAAGTTCTGGACCTCAAGTTGGCCTATGAAGTCGAGCACTTCTTCCGGCTTCAGCTGATACTGACCCGCGGGTTTGGCCTTGCGCAGCGCCACCTTAGCCTGCAGTATATTGCTACCAATGCCTACAGATACCGCACAGCCAGTCTTCTCAAGCACTTCGTCACGGAGCGCTTGTGCAACCATGTCGGCCTTCCGCTGTTCGCGATGCACAGCGCCTTCGTTCCGTTTGACGCCGTCTGTACCGCTTTCGGTGAAGCAGATGGCACTGATGTCCACTAGCGCTTCGTCAATGCTCACACTTTGTACAATGCCGCCCGTAGCCATGATCGCATCGTAGAATTTGCGGCTTGCATCTTCGTAAGCTGGGAAGTCATACGGCAGGATCTTGACCTCTGGACAAAGATCTTGAGCGCGCCGCATCCACATGCCGTTGCTGATGCCGTATTTGCGGGCCGGGTAGTTGCAGCTCGCAATCTCAGAACCGGATCCCCCACCATGCGCAACTACGGCCGGCATGTCTCTACACTGAGGGTACTTCTTGAGTGATACAGCGGCGAAGAAGGAGTCGAAGTCGACATGCATAATATAGCGTCGTTGACCCGGCAGCTTTTTCAGCTTGTGTTTCTGGGACGCAGACTTCTCAGCTGCGAGTGCTTGGAGCTGAGATTTGAGCTCGGCTTTCCAGGTTGAGAGATGGTGTAGGCGAGATTCGCGATAGTATTGCTCGAGAAAGTCTGGGTGGACGACGGTCGACTTTCGAATGCGAGGATCTGAAAGCAGAAGCGCATTGTGCTCCTCAGCGGTCATGGTGGCTAGCTTTGAGGGAGAGACGGATCGCAGGATCTCGGAGTCTCGGACAACAGCCATTGAGTAGTCGGGCTCTTGAGAGCCTTGCCGTGGTCGCAGAGTGGTAGCATTATGGTTGGTATTTTCTCCGCCATCCACAAGAGGTTGATTATGTGTATCGTCAGGCACCCCTAGCGGTGGGCTCGACAGAGGTGGCGTCTCGAGCTCGGTCTTCACTTCAAGTAGGTCACGCGGACAGTCGGGCTTGCTAACTCTGACTTCCTCATCTTCCTCATCTTCTTCGCTCTGCACGTCGTCAAGTGCTCGCTCGATCGAGCTCGTAATCTCTAGACCAGGATGCCCGGCATCCTCAACATCGTCCCGTGGCGTTGCCGTTTGGGTGAAGCTAGGTGGCCTACGAAAGCTGCCAGACGTAGTAGCATCCTGACCCTTGAGTTGGCTCGTATACCAACTGGTATCAGTCTGCTCCTTGTATGTCTGCAGCTTGCGGTTGAGCTGACTTACAACGTTTCCATTATCGAAAGCCAACACTCTCTGGCCTACACCTTCGTCTACAACACGATAGGCATCCCACGGGAGTAGCTTCCCAGCATTGACGCTATCGACAATCCAGGCTGGTTTCACAACACGGTAACGCTTGAATTCTTCCTTTTTCTTCGGCGTGAGTTGAGAAGCGATGATGTGCGTCACCATCGTCTTGCCATCCAGATACTGAATGAAACCACCGCCATATTGCACAACGAGCGTGTGCAGATCATTCAATGAAGGCTGTGTATAGCCGTTGACGTGGCATACTACGCCTTTAAAGATCTGCGGTTTATCTGCAGATTGCGCTCTGAGAACGGCATCTTTATTCTGGAGCTTAATCTTCTTGCGCCTGAAGTATTCTGGGAACCCGCCGAACTTGGACGCCTCATACTCCTCGCCTTCCTCATCCTCGAAAACGTGCCCTTCTATGCGCTTGCGGACGAGAGTCGACTTCTTCTCAAGCCGCGAGCCCATCGCCACATACAGCTGCCTGTGATGGAGCTAAAGATGTGGCCGTGCTGTTCATGTTGGATAAGATGCTTGTTCGCAGACAGGCATCACACATGCATCGCCACTGCAGTACTTCTCTCGTTCATAAGCCTGGAGATACCCGGTGCCTAGTGACCCCTGTCGCTTGTGGGGTTAGAGATCGCTGCAGGGATGGCGTGTGGCTTGGTGGCTGAGAACCGACGTCACTGGCAGGCTTGTGCTCTTCTAGAACATGGCAGCATATTGAAGACACTGTTCCCATACCTCTCATTGTTGGTTGCACTATTAGTCCTCTTTGAAGTGTCTCAGAAAAGTGTTAGATTATCGACAATCGTATCGAGAAACATCACTAGCAAATCAAGTCTAACATGTCTTTCATCGTCGACTGGGCCAAGGACACCGCAGCTGGCTATCTGAAGACCGGCATCCAAGCAGGTGGAACGCTCGCCGGCAATACTGTTGGAGGTGTCGGTACCCTCATTGAAAGCACTGGTCGATCTGTCGGAGAAGGTAGTAAGTTTTCGATCTTGACTTCATGGAACGCTTCCAGTCGTCTACTTTGAACGATGGAAAAGGCAGCATGCTGACTCGTGGACACCGTAGCCGTGGCCGGCGGCGTCCGGGGCGTCGGAAACTACATCAACAGCTATGGCGACAGCCTCAAGTCGTCGATGGCGGCGGACGGGCCTGTGAGCACTGCACAGAAGGCTGCGGCCAAGCCTGCTGGTGTGGTCGACAAGAAGGCTCCTGCTGTTCCAAAGACGCTGCCAGCTGCTGGTGGTGTTCCTAAAGCTTTGCCACCCGCCGGTAGTGCACCCAAAGCATTACCGGCTCCAATGCCCAAGGCCAATGGCGTGCCCAAGCCGGCAGTGCAGCCGCCGAGAGGTGTTCCGAAACCAGGTGTTACTAACAAGACGCCTGACGGCAAGGTCAGGATAAACACGGAAAGTCGACCGAAGCCAGCTGTTGGTGCCGTGAAGCCTGTCGGTACTGGAGCGGCACCAAAACCGCAGTCAAATGCGATCCCGAAAACCGGCACGCCAGCGAGCAACAAGGCGCCTGATGGCAAGGTGCGGATAGCGGCAGAGAGTCGACCGAAGCCTGCGTTGAAAAGGTAAGCGGGCAGTCAACGAATTACGTCAAGTCATATGAGGGTGGGCCACGCATGCATCATATTTAGCGAGCATTCAAGTGTTCAGTCTCATCACCACAAGGGTCTGGCATGCATCGATATAGGAGATCAAACCTCATTCTGCCCAGTCAGTTCACGTCAGTACGCAAGTATCTTCATTGTAAGTCGTCTCCTAGCTCCACCGTGCACCGCTCATTGTAATGTTGGCCCTACTTCGTTTTCGCGCACCCACAGAGTGAAACCACAGGATGGCCGCCTTCCCGTAGGAGCAGCTTGGATAATTGCGTCCCAAGCTCTGATACTGATTGACATGCTGGGCATAGTTTCCAGTGAGCGGAAGAACGCCTCTAAGCGCACGGAAACGCGCCTCTGCCAGGCACTTTAAAGCGCGCTATCGATGCGGCAGGCCGCTCTGGCAGGTGCTGCCCCAGCGTGAGTGCACACGCATTTCTGCACATCATTCCGTGCTCGGCAATCCCTGTTTGCGCGGTGCCTGGCCTCGTAGATGCTTTGCTTAAGGTTGGCCGTAAAGGCTTCGTGGCGGGGACGTAGGCTCTGCAGTGCAGCGGCACTTTCGGTAGGCCGCCTAGCGTCTTCGCTCACATGCTGAGTTCTGAGTCGATCGATGCCCGTTGCCACTGCGCCGTATCGAGAAGAGTGCGCAACCTTTGAACTTGGGCTTCCGAGGCGTCGGCGGTGATCCCAGTAGTAGTAGTCGCCCGTCGAGGAGCTGAAGGCTCCAATGAAACGCGTACAACGGACGTCTCGTTTGGAGAATCAGGCTCGGCATCGACAATTTTCGAAGCTGCCCTCTGAGCGGCTCTCTAACGTCATTGTCGACGGCATTGATGCCATCGGTGCGCTTGGTCGCTCTGTAAGGAGAATCAGCTTAGGACGAAGTGACACTCGAATAGTACTTATATCGAGCGGAAAAGCCACGAAGACATCGCTGGTGGTGAGCGTGGACTATCCTTCGAAGACGAATTCCATGGGTGAGGTGCTCGTTCTGGGGAATGGAAGCTTGTTCGATGTTGCTTAATGTGAGCGAAGGGATACCGATGTAAAAATACAAAGCAGAGCGGTGCGTAAGTGGAGAAAGATATACAGGCATCGTGACAGAGCGGGCAGTTTATAGATGTAGGTACTGTACGAATGTAGCGAAGTGAATAGGAGAGAGCGTTGTTAGCTTGCGAAAGTTGCTGGCGATGACTTTGGGCGCATATACCTGCCCGTAGTGACTGCTGCGCAGCGCATAACCGCTAGGAAATCGACTGCAGAAAGCTGCCTCTCGTATGCGACGGAGCTTTTCCACACGAAATGCGCATAGAGAAGGGAGCAAGCCACCATCGCGTGATCATGAGAGTTCTGTTCTATTTCCCAGTCCATCTAGGCTCCCGTAGGATGCGGGATCTGGAAAAGGTGCAAACCAATGGTGTGGAGTCCCGAGGAGTGCACCATCCGTTCGTTCCTACTACATTGCTCTTTATACGCTCTGAAATCGACCAGCGAACTCCATGCGGGCGTCATGCTGCGGGGAAGGGCCACACAGCGCCACAGCTGCCATGAACAGTCTTCAGAACATTGCAATCGCTTGCGGTTTGGTATGCTCGATGACAAATGAGGGCGAAATGTCTTCAGCGGATGACTTGGGCGGCTGTCTGAGACGTCACATTCCACAACCACATGGCGTTGCCATGGATGATGGTTTTGGCCGCCAGCGCGGTTGCATAAGCCCTGAACCTGCCGACAGCATGGTCTGTCCTCCGAAGTCTTGAGGACATTCCATGCATGTGAACTGATAAAGTCGTGGCTGGATTCAGATTTGGCACGATGGCCACAAGAGATCCGGACTGCAGTGCCCTTGCGGTCGGTGAAAGACAACAAGGAGCAAAAATTTCTCGCTACCGCTCCGTTGGTTTGCAAGATAACAAGGACATTATGTCGATGTCGCCGTTAACGCAAAGCTACTCAGCATCAAGCGCCAACTGAGTGTCGTGTGCGAGCGGGCCAGACCAACGCTGTGGACGAAAAAGGCGCATCCGCTTCAACGGTATTGGTTCGGCTGATACGCTGCGGCATTAAAAACCATGGCCACAACGTCGCGTCAGACGACGTAAAGACCTGAAGCTCAAGATCTGCCCTCCGACCTGCCAATGTTCCCTCTTGCTCTGCTACGTCTCACTTTCGCAACCTTCGAAGTCCACTACAGCTCACACCTCGTTCACTTTTGTTTTGCTTGGCGGGTCGGTTCAACCAATCAGAGCGCAGAGATTCACCATACCAGCACGTGGAACACCTTAGTACTCAGCAAAATCAGTTAAGGCAGGAGCGCACCTCTAATACCTCTCAGAAGTAGCATCGACACCGTCGATCTCTCGAGCACCTCACCAGAAACCGGGATATAGACTACTCTTGACCTTTGCTACCCTACCAATCAACATTCTTCGACCAACCCAGTACAGCAACACTTAACAACTCGCCCGACTACACTCACGGAATAAAAGGACTACAACTACACTATATCCCTCGTCGCCTAGGCGACTGCCAATTGGCACCACCGCAGTCATGGCTGCAACGACGATTCAGTTCGACGACGATCAGATTCGTAGAGCTCGCTCAAGAGAGGCAGCGACTTCTTCTGGTGTCAGTTTGAATGATGGCATCGTAAGTCATCGCACCGGGGCTTCCGACGAGCATTTGACTGACGCGCAAGTGCTAGGTCTTTTCGCGAACAATATCACAAGGCCGCCGGTCAAGGTCGCGTCGACGCTCACTGCCAACCATCTCCCTATCTAAGACTCTGGACGCGGAAGATCCGGAGCAGTCTGGCCTGCATCGGCCCGGTGATTTCAAGAAGCGGCAAGTCTTCAAGGGCGCGCAGCTCTTCTTCCTGGCATACCAATCCATTGGCGTCATCTATGGAGACATCGGTACCAGCCCCCTCTATGTCTTCTCATCAGTATTCGGCAGCACAGAACCAGCTCGCGACGATCTCATCGGTGTTCTGTCTCTGGTCATCTGGTCGCTGTTGATGATGGTGACACTCAAATATGTCATCATCATTCTGCACGCTGACAACGACGGTGAAGGAGGCACCTTTTCGTGTTACTCACTCCTCTCGCGCTACGCCAATATCACCCACAAAGACCCTCGCGATGCTAATCTCCAACTACCGAGGCGTATGGGTACCGACGAGATTCCCAGTGCCAACCTGCAGGTGCGGAATTTTCTCGAGAGGAGTAAAATTCTGCGAGGGTTGTTGAAAGTGATCGGCGTCCTCGCGGTCACTATGGTCATGTCAGATGGCGTTCTGACGCCTGCTCAATCTGTGCTGGGAGCTGTCCAAGGTCTTAATGTGGTCGTGCCCAACATCACCAACGCGACGGTCGTTGGGACGACTTGTGGTATCCTGGTTTTACTGTTTGTCATCCAGCCATTTGGTGTTACCAAAATCGGTAGCGTCTTCGCACCGATCATTATCCTGTGGCTCGCATGTCTGGCTTCATTCGGCATCTACAATCTTGTGCATCACGACTGGCGAGTGCTGAAGGCATTCAACCCTGGAGAGGGATTTTTGTATCTCATTCGCCACAAGACCGACGGATGGCGCTCTCTGGGCGGCGTGCTACTCGCTTTTACCGGTGTCGAAGCTCTGTTCGCTGATCTGGGTGCTTTCTCCATGAGAGCGATTCAAATAAGCTGGCTCGGCTTGTGTTTACCATGCCTGCTTCTCACCTACGTTGGTCAAGCGGCATACATCGCGGATGTGCCGTCTGCGTATGCTTACCCAGTCTTCAGCACCGCACCACCAAACTGTGAGATCTTCATCCTGGTGATCGCCATTCTTGCGGCTATCGTGGCATCGCAGGCCATCATCACGGCTACCTTTCAGCTACTGTCCCAGATTGTCAAGCTGTCGTATTTTCCACAGATACAAATCACTCACACATCGAAGACATACCACAACCAGCTTTACGTCCCACTGGCCAACTATCTGCTCTGCATCGGCACAGTGATCATCACAGCTGTCTACAGGAACACGACATCGCTGGGAAACGCGTACGGGGTCTGCGTCATGTTCGTCACGTTCTTCGACACGTGCATGGTCACCCTCGTTGCTCTCATTGTGTGGCGAATCAACCCATTCTTCGTTGTCCTACCATTCCTGACGATCATTTGCATGGACGGTGCCTTTCTATCCTCGTCTCTCACAAAGGTTCCGGACGGCGCTTGGTTCACTATCACTCTGGCTGCCGTTCTGGCTGCGATTCTGATCCTTTGGCGCTTCGGTAAAGAGCAGCAGTGGACTGCTGAAGCCGAAGACCGGAAGCCAATGCCTTCATTCGTGAGGATTGACGAAGAGGGTGTGCCTCGTCTGGTTGGGCAGAATGGTGAGAAAGGCGGCGAGCCGGTCTCCATCAACCGTGGATTCGGCATTTTCTTCGACAAGGGCGGCATTAACACACCCATGGCTTTCAGCCAATTTATCCACAAGCTTGTCAGCGCTCCGGAAGTTGTTGTCTTTTTTCATCTGCGTCCACTGGAGTATCCCACGGTGGCGGCTGAGGACCGTTTCGTTGTGTCACAACTGAAGTTTCCTAATGCATATCGAGTCGTCTGTCGCCACGGCTTCATGGACGAGGTCGTTACCTCAGATCTCGCGTCTATCATATACGGGCAAATCAGACAGTACGTTCTTGACAAGAACAGGCCCCCTATAGCGCCTCTACCAGGAGCTAGAGCACCTTCTCTGGAGCGTGATGCTGATTTAAAAGCTGACGGCGATGCTGATGGCGATGCCGATATGGGCAACCTTGACGTGGAGAAAGCATCGCAGAAAGCTGCTTCTTCGGCGACAATGGAAGATGCCGGCACAATCACGCTTGCTCAGCTCCAAGCCGCGTACGAGCATAGAGTGCTCTACATTATCGGAAAGGAGGAGATGCACGTGAGGAAAGGATCTCCGATTTGGCGGTTACTCTTGCTGAAGACGTTTCTGTTCCTACGCGATAACACACGGACGAAGATGGCCAATCTCAAGGTGCCAACGGATCGCCTTGTCGAAATTGGCTTCCTGAAGGATGTCTAGATGTTACATGACCTTGGCCCTGCAGACAAGCCTGGTGTGAAACCAAGCCCACGATCGACGATTCCTTTGTTGGAAGAGTGCGCATGGCTCAGGGAAGAGTTAAGCGAAAAGCGTTGAGCGATGGCGTTATTTCTGGAAACGATGCCGACCACGGAAGTCGATGCACGTATTTAGTTACGGCCACGGCAAGCTTACCAAAGCATAACAAGGAGGCTTAGCTGAGATAGAGACCGAACACTGATGTCAGAACTTGAGCGTGACGCCAGTCTTCTTGACATCCTTGGGGCGTACTGTCTGCAAGTGATGTCATGTATACCCTCAGATGCCTTTGTGAAGGTAGAAGAAGTCTGGCCTTCGTACAGAGATACCTAGCGTACTTTTCCTGCTGATACCGTGTCGAAAAACTTCGTTCCCATGTGGATGGGCGACCAGAACATCGAAAGATCGAAGCTTCAGGGCATCAAACCAGAACCCAAAAAACTCCAGAAAATGTCCCTGTATCTCAGGAGATACGTCTGCGCCCGTTACAGGAACGTCTGGCAGACTTGACCGCCAACCCAAATCATTACCGGCGCATGTCGCTGCAAAGCACAGGCGAGCAGCTGCACGCCGTTGTTGAATGTCCAAGTGCTGCAGAAGGATTAGCATCACGGTTCTTTAGCGAAGTAAAGGAGGTTCACCGTGCCACTCACCTTACTTCGAACCCCATGTTTCCAGGCCCCTTTCTTCCCAGCCTTGAATTTTACGCAGGCCGGGCGCCGGAAGAGGAGTAGTATCGCCAGAAGCCGCACTCGGACTATGTGGTGACCTGGTAAGGGATAAAGGTGTACTGCCATGGTATAACGGAGCTTTGGCTGTCAAAGCTTGTGGCGATGGCCGTAGTCACTTCGGTGGCGCTTTTTGCACTAGCCGACGAATAGTTGGCCTGCGAAGGGATGGCTCAGTTTCTTGGAGATATATGTCGGTACGCTATCCCGTTTACAGCGGCAGCACCAGTCATGTTTGCTATATCACTGATGACGCAATACAGTGCCTGCTCGCCCTCGAATGAGTTGAAAGTACTTTGAAAATAAGTCAGTCAATATCGGGCCCGTTGTTCTCAATGGTTTCGAATACACTGGTCTGACATCGAACCAGACAGGGTGTGGCGGAATTGCCGTGTTCGACCAGCACTGCAAGTTTCTATTGCTTTGTAACGGCAGCCAAGAACTTTCGCTGGTATACGTGAAGCCGGCGGATACGACATCGCAGCAGGGTCCTTATACGTACGTGCGCTGGCGAAGAAAGCCGTGCTCGTGCCTGGACTTTGCGAGCTGTACGATAAAGGCTCTCGATACCAACGATACCGGGCTCGATGGCAACAGCGAAGAAGGTTCGGCGAGAACGGCAGTCGTATTGTCATCCGCCATTAAGGCAAGGTCTCTTGAAACGTAACAGACTTATGAGGCGCGATCGCAATGCACGCCATTGACAGCGACAAAGTCCGGTGCATAGATCATGTCGTTCAGAGCGCAAGAGAGCGCCGTGTAGCCGTTGATATGATCGAAGATGCTAGACAGGCAGTACTAGTCCGTCTTCGGCCGAGAAGAGCGGAGGTCGATGCGCTTTCACCTGATGTCAAACCAGTAGACGGTCAAGAAGTATAAGTCGTAATGATTCATGATGGTGGCCAGTCGGTGTTCAGCCAAGGTTCTCGAGTGTTAAAAGTTCTCAAATGTGGTTGTGGATTATGGGTTGATGAGTATCGAAATCAGCGAGATGGGTGCTCGAAAGTGGAAGGCTTTTCACGGGTACTGTAGAAGGTAGTCGTAGGTTTGTGAAATCTAGAGCCTTACAAGCAGTGAGGGATGTTCAGTGACTGCACGAAAAGCAACAATGAGATATATCAGTGAATAACGCCGGCTTGTGAAGACTGGCGGCATGAGCGCATGAACATAGGTTGAGCGGTTGTAAAGTATGACTGAAGTGGAAGGCACCGAAACGGAAGTGGAGCTGATCACCTTTGAGGACGTTCGGCAGCAGGTGCGATTGGTGGATCGTTTGTCATACTCTCTGTTTTGATCACTGAGGTAACTCCTAAGGCTTATTTTCAAACGCCCTGTCAGTAGCTCGTGAAAGCTGGCACAATTAGCGCTGAACAGTCAGTCGGCGGTGGAGAATCAAGCGTACCTGATGTACAGCACTCCGGTGACTGAGATAGCTAGTCAATGACCTCCGCTAACATTTCTGCAGGATCCTCAAGCTCCGCAAGCATTCTCTCGAACGCGTCTATACGACGTTGCTCTACTGCTTTCGCCTTTGCCATCGTACGGTCACGGTTCGCAGCAGTTCCTCGAATTAAGTCCAAGCCTTGCATTTGCTGGATGTGGGTGACTTGGACAGCCGGGTAGGGCTGCGCAATCTAAATAAGGCCACCAAACGGTAACGGCGTCAACGTGATCACAGAACTAACATTGCCGTGCTGAAGGTCCAGCATACCGGAGCCATATCCGAAAATCCCGCAGCGCACCCTTGACAGGCTTGTCGAAGCTTCGCCGAGGGCTGGATTCCACGCGGTTGGAGGCGCAGAAGTAGCAGGGCCCATTCGAGCAGTCAGTGCGACATATCCACCCATCATTGTGGGAAGCAAAGCAGCTGAGTTCGAAGCTTTGCTGCTTATCTCTCGCTCTTTCGGAACACTGGTGAAGAAGAATGCCGGTGTCGCTGCAGCATTTAAGGTATCAAGACTGCGCTGAGCCTGCTTCTGGGCTTTTGCGGTATATGTTCTTAGATTCGCAGCTTGTGCGCTTGTACTAGTACTGTTTAATCTAGCTTTGCCTGCCGGTGATGACTGTGTGTTGGGAGGCACAGGACGAGGCTTCGCAGCTAACGAAGAAGGCGGTACGTGGTTGCATGAAGGACGACGCGGTGGGATAAGCAATCTCCCATTGTTGAGCATAGTGCGGATCTGCTTCTGTCACTGCAGGATGCGCTGACAGTTCTTCAACCAGGGTCTCTTCGTCGTTAACACCGGCTGAGTGCTGTAACGCCTAGGTTGGCGAGATGCGGCGAAGTGATGGCGGACTCGGCGTGGGTGGCATTCACATCACATTTACTGAGCCATCGCTTGATAGTCATGCCATGCGAAGCATGGCGAACGCCGTGACTGTGACCACCAGAACCAAGCGCGAGCGGGCAGCGTCTGCACGTCAAGACAGACGACAGCAACCATTCAGCAGAGTGCTCGTACCGCCCAACTTGCACCGGGCAGGTTGATGAACTCGGCGAGGCTTGATTGACCACAAAGACGTCGATCCATTCATAGCAGATCGAAGTCGTCAAGCTTGTCACGGTACTTCATAATGGCGCGCTTGATCTTGGATGAATCCACCCACGTAACGAAGTCTTCCATGTTCCTACTTTCAGTGTCAATTCGAGCTTGGTTGGTCGTAATGATACAACATCCTTACGCTGAACTTACCTCGTCACTAAGAAGGCGGGATCCGTGACCACCTCCGTGCCTACCCTTACATGACCCTGCTCGATGAATTTGTTCGCAGTGCTGACAGTCTCTGCCATACGAAGTCGCGTCATAACAACACCCAAACGTCTTCTGCAGAAAGCAGATACGGTGATCTTCCTTTCCACATCGCTAAGCTTGCCCTTGCCCTCGCCGCCCACACCGAGTAAGCCCATATCGTGCAACTTCTCTAACAGCACATCTTCGTGCTTTCGTCTGAAGGCTGACTCTGGCGGTAGTAGTGCCAAACGGTGCGCCAGATGTCTCAAGTTGCCCGCTAAGCGGTTGTAGGAGGCGTAGTCGGCCGGATTGCCCAGCGAATATCGTCTGATGACGGCAGAGGCACGATGTGTGGCATCTGATGGGTAGTTGACAAAGTCGACCTTGCGCAGGAGCTTCTGCTCGTGGTGCTTGAGCTTGCGCACCATGTTGCTGGTCGTACCACAGGAGGGAGACTGTGCCTTCCAAAATCTCTGAAGTGCCCATCGACACGCGGGCGTTGCCGAATTCCACCGGCATCTGCCGCTCAACCACTCTTCTTCTCGAGCGGTCCGCAAATTACTCAAATCGTAGCATTCTGCACTATCCACACCACTGCAAGTGGAGTGCTCCAATCAAGTTGGAGAGGCTGCTTTCTGCCTGTGACATGCCGACTGTGCACTTGCTCGACTACGCAGCGGGCAATATCCGCTCACTTGTAAACGCCATTGAAAAATTGGGCTGGGAGGTGGAATGGATCAAGTCACCAGGTGATGTGGCAACGGCGGAGGTACATTCACGTATAAACATACGAAAGGGTTAAGCTGATGGCTAACAGGTAGATCGAGTTATGTAGAAACTCATTTTACCTGGCGTAGGCCACTTCGGCCACTGCCTATCTCAATTTGCCAATGCCGGCTACGCTGAGCCTGTTATAGCCTACATCGAGTCCGGAAAGCCGTTCATGGGCATATGTGTAGGTCTGCAAGCTTTGTTCGAAGGCTCGAGTGAGAGCCCAGCCGTACCGGGACTTGGTGTCGTTAAAGGCCGCCTGGAGCGCTTCCGCAACGATGAGAAAAGCGTCCCCCATATCGGCTGGAACTCTGCCAACACCCTGTCATGCCGCGACTCATCCGAGCAACGTAGTGTCTATGGTCTTAGACCTGACAGCAAGTATTATTACGTCCACTCGTACGCTATGCCTTACAGAGAAGGTGAGCTTGAGAAGGACGGTTGGAACGTGGCGACGGCTCGCTACGGTAGCGAAGACTTTGTCGGAGCGATTGCAAAGGGGAACGTGCTGGCTACGCAGTTCCATCCGGAGAAGAGCGGCGCAGCTGGCCTCCGAGTACTGAAAGCTTTCCTGGAAGGTCGAGCGAAGGAGCCGTTACTGGCGAATGCAAACTCTGCGTACACCAAAGAAGGACTCACTCGTCGGGTTATTGCTTGCTTGGACGTCCGCGCCAACGACCAAGGCGATCTAGTTGTCACCAAAGGGGATCAGTATGACGTTCGTGAAAAGTCGAACAATGCAGTCCGCAACCTCGGCAAGCCCGTCCAAAAGGCGCAGCAGTATTATGAGCAAGGCGCGGATGAAGTCACGTTCCTCAACATTACCTCTTTCCGTGATACGCCGCTCAAGGACCTACCCATGCTAGAGGTGCTTCGACAAACAGCCGCCACCACCTTTGTCCCGCTGACGATAGGCGGGGGCATCCGCGACACTCTCGATCCGGAGACGAACCGAACGGTTCCGGCACTTGAAGTAGCCACCCTCTACTTCAAGTCTGGAGCAGACAAAGTCTCGATTGGTTCGGACGCTGTCACAGCAGCAGAGCAATACTACGCTTCCAACCGGACACTCACCGGCAAGACCGCGATTGAGACCATCAGTGAAGCGTACGGCGCGCAGGCCGTAGTCGTATCAGTAGACCCCAAACGAGTGTACGTATCTGATCCAGAGGCGACGACTCATCACGCGCTCCAGACGAGCTTTCCTGGCCCGCAAGGTGAGAGATACTGCTGGTATGCGTGCACCATCAAAGGTGGTCGCGAGACGCGCGACCTCGACGTGGTACAGCTAGTGACCGCTGTTGAAGCGATGGGCGCCGGCGAGATTCTGCTGAATTGCATCGACAAGGACGGTACGAACTCTGGCTTTGACATCGAGCTGATCAGGTCGGTAAAGGCGGCAGTCAACATACCGGTCATTGCTTCGAGCGGTGCTGGCAGTGCCGATCACTTTGCGGAAGTGTTCGAGCAGACGGATGTTGATGCTGCGCTTGGTGCTGGGATCTTTCATCGAGGAGAGTGGACAGTGAAGCAGGTCAAGGAGGAGCTGCAAAAGCGCGGTTTGATGGTCAGACGGTTTGAGGAGCAAATCTGATTTATAGAATGATTTCTCCTGCGGCTGACCCCCAGAGTCGCACAGTTGCCATTATGAGTCTATAGAGCATATATCATACGAACGTCGTGGAATAGGGTCTGGGACATGATGGACTGACTGTATCTACTGTCGGCGTGTCTTATGCTAGCTGGACAATCCATCCATCTCCCTCCCTCTCACCCTTCGCATTCACGCCGCCCCACATGAAGACGCTCTTACCGTCCTCCATGACATCGCAGGCGAAGAAGCCGCGAGGTCCCGGGTGAACTTTGCCAGATAATGCATCCATATCAGTGGGTGGCGCGACCTCGACCTCGGCCCAGCTGTGACCGCCCGAGTCTAAGCCAAGAGCATTGCGTATCTTGTCTTTGATATTGGCAGGCCTGACGGCTTCAACGATGCTGCCGGCGGTGGTTTTGGGCTCCGCTGACACGGATGGAAGCTGATATGTCCAGATGTCGCTCCAGTACTGAGGCTGCGAGTCTGCCACATCTGTTGGTGGTGATGGCGCAGATGCATCAGACGGCTCCCCATTCACTATCTGCCTAGCGCCAAAGAAGTACAACAGGAAAGTCCTGCCGTATCCTGTGTGTATGGGGAGAAGGCCGGCGCCGGTGCGTGGGCGTGGGCCGGGCGTGAGCGGGTTCGTTGGAAATGGTACGGTGTGCCAAGTCAGCTTCTCTTGAGTGCCGCTCAATGGTAGAAGATATAAGTTGCTGCTGACGTTGCTCGTGCTGGAAACGATATGCAGAATACCGTTCGTTAGAGCGGCGCTCGTCGTGGACACCGGTGCGTCGGGCAACCGAGTCCAGAGCATTTGCGTGTAATCGAAATGCCAAACATCCTTCAAAGCTTCACCTCGGGATCCAGTACCGCCATATAACACAAGGTTATTCAGCACTGAGAAGAGGCAAGCTCCACTTCTCGCTTGAGGCGCCTCAGCTGGGTTACTGGGCTTCAGTGCTTCCCAGGTCGATTTGGCAGTGTTGAACAGCCAGAGCGTGCCATCGTCTATGATATTTTCGGACTCGTCCAAACCACCGAAGACCGCAACACAGACATTGAACGAGCACGCCGCATGACGCTTCCTGGCACGAGGCACGGCGCCGCCCTCCGTGTCAGATATTGCCGGTACGACAGAGTAATCGGGCTCGGGCTTGTCTCTAGAAGCTAGCGTAACAGCATGGATATCAGCTGATGCTAGCTTCCCACTTGCTGTTTCGCCACCGAATACGTAGGCTTTGTTGCCCACGACGCTCACGCTGTGTTCAGAACGGGTCAAAGAGAGACTGCTGACGAATCAGCGGCAAGTGGAAGGAGACTCTGCGCCAGCCTACCCTGTGCTGTCGTTGGAAGATGTAGCAATCTGCGCGAAGGTCGCCTTTAGAGGCATTGTTGGCTGAGCTACCATATAGGCGGCAATGCCCGCTTGCGCGCTCCAAGTGACGGCTTCCTCGGCCGCGAGTGCGGTGGCGGCTACCTCAGCCATGCCAATGATGTGGATTACCTTGTGGATCCAAAAGCTGTCCGGACGCGCTCCAAGCTCAAGGGAACTCGACTGCTACGGTCCTCAAGGACGAAGGATCGTGCAGACGCACTGGCGGGTTTGCTGAGTCATTGACTTGCATGATCTCCACAGTGGCTGCATCGATTGGTAGGGCTGAAGGGAGCTCCCTATGGCCATCCTGCCGTCTTCCTCCCGCAGCTGAGAGTGGATAACGCCCGGCTCAGTATCGCTCGACAACCAAGCTCACCGTTCCACTGGCGTCCGCGGCGCTGAATGCAACCCGATGAGCTCGCATGCTTCGGTACAAAGCTGGCGCTGGAGGATCGGATGTTAAGCCGCAGCCACGACTTAACCTGATGTTCCATAGCGCTCATACATATTGTGCGGAGACTAAATGAAGCATCTCTACCCGGTCCCCTGGACCGTTACCCTAGGATCGATCACGAAAGGTGCTAAGTATTACTTCTGAAGTCCCTTTCTTCTCCGTATCATCGTCCCCCAGAATGGCTCCCCACGAAGACTTGAAGCTGGCAGAACCCCGATTCCGCATCCGAGGGGCGGAAGTGGAAGATGTCCCTGCTATGACTGATGTCTTCTTTCACTCCTTCAACGCTCCTTTCTGGCGATACTTCATCGCAGACAATCCAGTCAATCGGAAATGGTGGGACGATTCGTGGACGATGGGCATCCAGAACCCGACCGACCGCTCCTTTGTCGTTGAAGACACGGACAAGAGCAATCGCATCGTTGCTTTCAGCAGATGGATGATTCCTCAAGCAGACGGTAAGCTCGACAGATTATGGCCCGAGTTGCCTGGTGAGTGGGATCAGGGAGTGGCAGGTGCCTTCTTCGGCGGGATGGAGGAGAATCGCGTCGAGCTGATGGGCAAGCGGCCGCATTGGTGTAGGGCCTACCACATATTCAAGCATTGGTCACGGCTAACGTTGAGTTTATAGTTCTGGAGATGCTCGGAGTCCATGACGACTACCAGAAGCATGGGATTGGGGCATCGCTCATCAAGTGGGGGACTGATCAGGCGGATAGAGATGGCTTAGAAACGTATCTTGACGGCAGCGAGATCGGTCAACCATACTACAAGCGACATCACGCTTTCACCGCGGGTGAGAGGGTAATTAACATTCCAGATCGCCCTGCATATGGCTCTTTCGTGTATAGGAGCCTTGTAAGGTCGTCGCAGGGGAGTACAATGTAGCCTTAGTATTTTGAGCCAAAGAGTTACGGATGGTACAGCATATGGACCGGAAGGGAAAAGGCTACGCTATTACCGCACTACGATGCCTTAGCATCTTTCGCAGCCGATGTCGAGAGACATTTGCGTATAAAAGAAACCCAACTCGTCCACCTCAGTGTCTCAGTACCTCGGCCTTGGGAGACTTGGAGTTGATATAAACACTTTTACCACATATGGGCGCACATTCACTCGTGAATCTGTGGTTCATTCTGAGCTACTCAACATCTTCGTAACTCTGCACAGGGTATATCATCACACACATCTTCTGTAGCATCCGCCGTTCCATCTACATTCCCATCCACCAATAATCTACCGGAAGTGAGGCGCATTAAGGAACAAGCCCATCAAGCAGCCTGCCAGGGTACCAGCGATTGGGATAGTAGCGATCCAAGCCGTGACAAGTAGACCGATACGCTGCCAGTTCACAGCCTTGAGCGTGCCATTGCAGAGACCGACACCAACGGTGGCGCCGGTAATGCACATAGAGGTCGAGACGGGCAAAGAGTACTGCGAGAAGAGGAGCACGGTGATTGCCGCACCCATCTCCATCGAGCACCCTCTGCTGGGCGAGTGGTAGGTGATCTTGTTGCCCATGACCTATGCACGTCATCAGTAACGTAAAATCTCAGGGCATCGTGGTGGGTGATCGAAAACTTACCTTCATGATGTTGAAACCGTAGGTGATCAAGCCGAGCGAGATGGTGAGAGCAAGGACAGCGAGCTGCCAGACGGGCACTGGCGCCTTGGACGCAGCAGCGTTACCAGTGTGCCAAGCGCTGTAGATGACTGCCCAAGGACCAACAGAGTTGCCGATGTCGTTGGCACCGTGCGCGAAAGAAGCCGTGCAAGCGGTGAGAATCTGGATGAACGAGTAGGTGTGCTCGACCTCGTTGGGGTACTTCTCAGCACTGGCATAGACACGCTCCATACGCTTGCCGTCTGGGGTGCCGGCAATGCCAGTCTGAGCGGCGTGGATGTCGTAATTCAGACCGTAGAGGGCACCGCAGACAATCATGGCTGGCAGGCGGATGGCCGCAATCTTCATGTTGTGGAGCTCGTAGATCTGACCAGGACCCATTGGGTAGTTGTGGAGAGTGCGCATGGCCCAGCCAAGGGGACCCGGCTTCTGCCTGAGCTTCGCGTGAAACTTCTCTTGGGCTTCAGCCTTAAGCTCCTTCTGAGACTTGAGACCAGTCTCGGTCAAAGAGACGCGCTGTTCGGTGGTGGCGGCGGTTTTGTTCATGCCATCCTTCTCGATTTCGTCAGAGTCGGAGTCGTGCAAGGCTTTCGCAGCGCGGTCCTCAGGCTCATCATCATGCTGGACGACGGCGTAGTTGGGGACGACCGCGCGATCCGATTCGGCGACTGCGTTGCGCTTGAGGAGGGCTGGGCCAAAGATGAACATCCACCACTTAACGGTATTGTCACGTTTGATGACCCTAGCGTACAAAAACGGAACGAAGAAGATCGCGGATAGCAGGGCAAGACCGGCGCCACAGCTCATGGTCACAGTTGCGATGTACCACGCCGGCTTCTTGTTCAGGCCAAGGTTCGGAGATCCCTTGTACACGATAGAGAGCGTGCAAATGGTGCCGGCGACGAGGAAGAAGAAGGGCGCGGTGAAGACGGCCCAAGGGATTGGATTCTTGCGGAGGTGAACGATAAGCTTGATAAGCATGAAGATGCTGGCAGCAAAGCCGGCGGAGATGGCAGGAGCCATACCGAGGCCAGCGAAGATGGCTCCTAGACCTTTGCCTTTGTTCCAGCCCCACTGCACCTTACTGGCACCGGCGGTCGCAACACCGACGCCAGCAACGGCCGAAATCAGGGAGTAGGTGGAAGAGACGTGGGCAGAGTGCTTGGTGCACCACATGACCCAGGAAGAAGCGGCAGCAAGCGCGCAGGTAAAGGCCAGCATCTGAACACCAGCATTGCCATGGAAAGCAGAGTTGGGGATGATACCGTTCTTGATAGTGTCTGCCGTGCGAGCTCCGACAGTAATGGCTCCTAGCAGTTCGAAGATGGTGCCGAAGACCATTGCCTGTCTGTACGAGATGGATCTGGATGAAACGCTGGTGGCCCACGCGTTTGCGACATCGTCTAGGGAAAGAGTAACAACGTTAGTCTTGTGAAGGGCTGGCAGGGAGTAGGTGCAACTCACTTGCGCCGTTGTTGAAGGCATCAAGCATAGCAAAGAGGGTGCCTAGCCATTGTCAGTACGAGCCAGAGCCAAGGGATGAAGACGTAGAGAGCAAGCGTTCGCCGCGCGTGTTGGCACGCCTTCGCCCAATGCTGAAACAGCCGCTCAAGCATTGGTAGGGGCTCGCTTCTCCTTCTCGACGTGTGTGGATGTTCTTACCAATGGCGAAGATGTAGTCATATTGATGGAGGACCGGCATCTTGATGAGAGACTATGCTGTATTGCGGAAGGAGAGTGCTAGCTAATGCTATAAAACGAAGAATACTGAATGCTTGGTGAAAGGAAAAGGGACCATATATTTAAGACTCCATAAGGAAACCTTCTGGAAATCTTCGTGCCATCTAGCGCCTTGGATATTGCGTCCCTCGCTCTCACCTAGTGTCTTGGGATCGATAGCGATTGCAAGAATCTATCCTGTCTGGCCAGCCAGTTGTCGGCGATGATTCGCAAGTTGTCGAGGATTGGCAACCCCGAAAGGCTTGTCTGCAATGTTGGTGAGAGTCCTTTGCCCAATCCATGCTCTCGACCGAAAGCTGAGCTCCCTCGCGACGTTCATCCGACAGTCCAAGAAGATTGGCAAGCTGGGCAGAGGCGAAGTCGTCTTAACAGCACTGGAGAGGTCAGCCTGGGCGGGACTTGGAGAACTTGGCGGGCAATCCCGCAAGCCTATAAGCTTGCTCGCTGCGCCCACGTGTGTTGCTCCTCCTGCTTTTCGCGAGAAGCTGTCAACCTCACCTTTCAAGAACGAACCTGGTCGCCAAGTTTACTCATGTGGACTGTTTATTGGAACTTTGCGGCGCCGAGCGAGAGTGGGTATTATGGCATGGCTGTGTGTTGAAGGCCAAGGACGTCTAGACTGCTCCCTCGCGTGTGAGACGATGTTAAGGTGCCAAAAGAGCGAAGACAACTGCTTAACCAAGAGAAGAGAGCTCAGTCAAGACGACGAGCATTGGCGACTAGGTTTTCTTTGACCGATCGCGACGACTTTGGGATATATATTCCGAGATCTGCATTGCCAGCTTCGCATCATTGATCACGAGACATGCAGCCCGGGTAGCAGGCGTTACTTGATTGCGCCATCCTGTTCGCATCCATGACTGGGCGAAGATAGGTACTCACTCACAGCATTCTCGCCTCAGCATGTCGGAGACACCGTTTACTGGACTCATATGCAGTGTTGTCGCTTTAGGTTCAGCTCTTGTTGTTGGACAAGGCTTCTGTTTGGACTCGAATGCGACAATCATCCGTAGTATCGCTAGCTATCGTTTCGCTTCTTCATCATCGAGATCGTACCGAGGCGCTTGCAAGAGGTCGATGCTTAGCGGAGAGAATGAAATGCAGATGATATTGCCAGTTGGCAGAACGATGTTGTCGAAAGACATATCAAAGTGGTAGCAGTTGTCACGGATGTGCCATTTTGTGCTAAGATTCTTCGACTTCGCCGCCGACAGGCAGTGGGCTTAGTAAAGCATCAAGAGAACGTCAAGTCTCCGCCGTGAATGCGCGAGAAGCCTTCGTTAGCTGGCCAAAGTGACGACTCGTATTTCTATGCACGCCGCGCGGGGGCACCATAGGGAAGGGCTGAGTAGCCCTAACGTTGTGGGACACGAAAGCTGCGTCTTGGATTCGCTGTAAAGTGTGATGATACAATGCGCCGCACCAGAAAGCCTATAAAAGCGACAAAGAGGTATACAAGTCACTGTGGACCTCCAAGATTACTTCCTGCATGTTGAAGTGGATTGATACAGCAATGCTACAAGTTACGTTCCACGCCTTCGTTGTTGGTATTTCACATGCGCGTCGGACAAGTGTCGACTATCTCGTGACATCAATCCAGGTCGTTGTGTCGCTCTACAAGTCGTCTTCCATGAGTCCCACCATGCAGACAGCCACTCTGTAACAGATTCTTGGTCTGACATCTCAACGGGCGAGACCGAATCGTACTGTAAGGCCGTTTTCGTCGAGAGTTCGGTTCCTGGATTTAGCGCGTCTCACGGTCACGGGCCGCAACGCCTTTGATGGGTCTGCAATTTCCTTCTCGGCCCAATCTGCACGCGACCTCACCGGCTTTGCGACACGGAAGTGTTTGAGTAGTCGCTTTCTGCGATGCTATCACCCTGCTCAAGTTGTAGAAAGGGACAGAGAGTGTGTGGTGAACAGTCGTTCTGACCGCAAATGGAACCGAGGGCAGCCGTTGGCGTAGGATGTTTGACGACGAGGCTTGTTTCGTCGCACAGTTCATGTGGCTTTTGCTAACTGCACTTCCTAGTCTCACCTTTCGCCGACCCCTGCCATGTGTCTCTTCGAGCCGCGCGGACACGAACTTCAGTGGTGAAACTTGTCCCGTCCCTCCTCCCTACTGTGGGCCACCACATCTCGGTCGCGATCTGCTGGAGGCTCATCAGCGGCGTCGATGGGGCATCCGGACATTGGCGGGCGGCTCCTCTGCCATACACCCCTGCCACGCGAGAATAGTAGCGCTGTCAATCCCTATCTCTCGCGCTAATCGGTCGGCTCCTGAGTCTTTTCCTTCGCATTTTCTCTTTTCCTCTCTTTCACCACGAACAACCAAGTCGTTGTCGGGGCCAATTGCTGCACTCTCTTTCTCTACAGAGCAGTCGCTCGTTACATTCACTTTGTCCTCGGTGACAAATTCACAGTCATTACTTCGAAGCAATTGCCCTGGTCGGCTAAGCAATAGCGCTCTAGCAGCTGCATCTCACGCGCAAAGGCCTCAAATCGCATCACCCAACACAAACCACGTTATACATCTTCAGACAGCTACAAGATGTCTCCAGTCACTCGATTCAGTATCCTCTCGCTGGCGGTTGGTGCGCTGGCCCATCCCAACTATAGGCAATACGGAGGGCAGCATGGCCACCACTACGGCTTCCATCATAGCGGCGCGAGCGCCTCCGGTAGCGCCTCTTATGAGACCGGCAATGCTACCGCTGTCAATGGCACTGCAGGACTTGCTACAGAGGCCAGTGTGTCCACGAGCAGCATCGACGCGGCCAACAACGTGCAGACCATCTACGTCTCGCCTCTTCCGGCCACAGCTGCCAGCTCTGATGCCACGAGCTCCGTCATCAGTGTCGATCCCGTCGCAGCAAGCAGCTCAAGCACGGTTACCAGCATCAGCACCACGACCACGGACGTTTACGTTTCCGCAACTGACTCCACGACTACTTGCACCACAGATGTCACGGTCACCTCGACGGAGCGCACGTACGTTACCGTCACTGCGTCCGGTTCTGCAGTATCGAGCGATGTTGCCGCAGTAGATGCATCTTCCAGCTCCAGCGACCGAAGCACGTCCACCGTGACGGTCCAGAGCACAATTTACGGCACGCCTTCGGCAAGCTTCGAGGCTGCGAATACTACGTCGACTTCCAGCTCCGCTGCCGGCCTTACCACGACGATCCATGTCAACAGCACGGTCTACCTTACGACTATCACCACCGGAACACTGAACCCGACATCTGAAGCTTTCGTAAACGCAACCAGCTTTGCACCGGTCTCAGCGTCGAGCGCTGTATCTCCGTCTGGCTCAGTCGACCCGATTGCCACCTCCTTGTCCAGCTCTGCACCAGGCACGACAGTCCATGTGAACAGCACAGTCTACGTTACCACCCTTACCACGAGTTCGGATGCCTTCTCATCGTCGAGCACGGCTGACCCGGTCACTACTTCCTTATCAAGTTCGAACGCTTCGTCGCCATCCTTGAGCACAGCTGACCCGGTCACGACCTCCTTGTCAAGCTCTTCGCCTGGTGTGACGACCACGATCCACGTGAACAGCACAGTCTATATCACGACCATCACTACAAGCTCGAGCGCCGCATCTGGCTCCGTAGCGCCGCTCTCGGTCAGCTTCGTACCAGCCGACGCGTCCAGTGCACCTGCCTCGTCGAGCTCCGACAGTACTAGCAGCTCATCGTCAAGCCCGACGTCCTTGAGTAGCCTCAGCTCGAACAGCTTGGAGGCAGCCTCGGTTACGACGTCCAGTACGTCCTCGTCCTCATCTGATGCTACAACAATAGTCCTAGCAGACAAGCACCATGGCTACAATCCACGGTCTTCAACCTCCACCTCTACTTCTGCAAGCACCACCATCTCGGTCTCCTCTAGCTCCGCAGATCCTACCACCTATGCCGCGCCGAGTACGAGCAGCACCAGCACCTCCGTCTACATCGCTCCGACCACCAGCACTTCCAGCTCTGTCTACGTCGCGCCAACCACCAGCTCGACTTCCTCCAGCCCTAGCGCGGCCTCAAGCACCGCCCCGAGCGCCACATCCAACACGCCCACCGCCGCCGGTGGCAAGCGCGGCCTGGCTTACAACACGGCCTCCCTCACCGCACCCTTCATGACTTCCTCCCAAATGGGCTTCGCCTACAACTGGGTGTCGAACCCGGACGGCTTTACATGGAATGCCCAGAGTGCCATCAAATACATCCCCCTCCTCCACAGCTCCGACAGCATGTGGACCTCGACCTGGAACGCCGACGCCGCCTCCGCGATCAAGAGTGGCTCCGAGTACCTGTTCTCCTTCAACGAGCCCGACCTGTCCACTCAGGCGAACATGAGCCCGCAACAAGCCGTTACGGCGTGGAAGACCTACATGGAGCCCTTCGCCGGCCAAGCCAAGCTCTGCGCGCCAGCTGTCACCAACGGTGGCGGAGCGATGGGTCTCACTTGGCTCGCCAACTTCTTGAGCCTGTGCTCCGGCTGCACGATCGACTGTGTCAACATCCACTGGTACGACAGCTACAGCAACACGGCCTACTTCAAGAGTCACGTCGACAATGCTACGACCATCGGCGGTAACAGACCGGTCTTCGTTTCCGAATTCGGCACCACGGATGGTACGGCTGATCAGATTTCGGGCTTCCTGGAGACAGTCATGCCGTACATGGACTCGAACGACAACGTGGCCGGGTACGCTTACTTTATGGTTTCCAACGGTCTGCTGGTCTCCGGCACGTCGCCGTCGAGCTACGGTTCTACGTATGCTACCTACACGGGCTAGACGCTCGTGTGAGTGCGGGTGCGGTTACAGATACAGAGTTCCGGGGTGTCGGCTGGTTCTGGTCTGAAGGGGAGGATGAGGCTTCTTTCTTGTATATCTTTTCTCTTGAAGAACAAATCTGGTAGGGTGATGACATATGGTGATGGCTTTGTTTTGGTCTCGCATTTCGGACGGTGTGGGTATAGATCACGGTACAAGATAGCTAGGCAGAGTCCAGCCGAACGAAGTCATGAGCTTTCGCCTTGCAATACATATCACGTCCTGTCACATACAAACGTCCCTCATCGATCGGTTTGGCGGTTAGCATAGCTCACCGACTATCATTCCATCGTGGCGCTACTATATATCCGCCTATTGCACAATAGCTATGGCTTTGTGATGCATGTGTGTTGTACCGCATGCAGCCGCAAGAGTTTATCAATGTCTCGGAGGCTTCATCCAGTGGCGCCCTCCGCCGCATCTCACCAACGGTCGGCTGAGCAGCCACCCGTTCCGGAGAGCGATCAGCCTTCCACCTCAGACCACGCATGCGTCCTTGCACTGCTGACAACGATTCAGCATTGTTGCATTCTCCATGTCCGACCGGGTTATCGCTCCACGACCTTGAGTTCCGTACCGTCTGGGTCATTCCTGCGGCGTGGGATGTCCGCCACATCTCTCGCCAATCACTGATTCCTCCTGCTCGTGCGCTCTCCTTATTTGGAGAGATCTATTCCGGCGTTGCTGCACTCAACCATATGCTGGACGGTACACCGCCTCAACGTGAAGTCCCTGGCGTGGAGACTCTATGCCATTGCAATTACTCCCTCTTCAAGCGACTGGTGTAGGTAGGAGGTGCTTGTGATAACCACTTCAAGCACTCTCTCATTCCTTTTCATCTACTTCCCTCTCCATTTATTTGCTTCCCGTTTGCTTCCCTTCTCGATCCCATGGCGTTGCTGTTCTGTACTTTTCGGCCTTCGGTTGCCCTTCCCAGTCGGTTCTTCGCCGGACAGCGCAGAAGCATTACTATCAAGCAGCTAGAAGCTGCCAAGAACGGTAGATATGGCATGAAACGCCTACTCTGACACAGCGCTGACACCTCCAGACCGTGAACGAGTGGTCATTCTCGGCTCGGGATGGGCAGGGTACAACCTCGCCCGCAGCCTCAACCCGAAGAAATTCCAGACTGTAGTAATATCGCCTCGCTCCTACTTCGTCTTCACGCCCCTGTTGGCCTCAACCTCTGTGGGCACACTCGAATTCAGAACAGCGCTGGAGCCAGTTCGGTCCCGAGGAAGCAAGTATGAGTATATCCAAGGACGAGCAGACGCCGTCGACTTCGGCAAGAAGGAGATTATGGTTCGCGAGACGGTCCGAGATCCTAATCAGGGCCTGCTGGGTGTACGAGCGGGCGAAGTGAAGGATGAACGACCGCTCGAGATGAGGATTGAGGCTAGTAGAGGCTCGCTGTTCAGCATGCATTATGACAAGCTGGTCATTAGTGTTGGAAGCTACAGCCAGACCTTCGGCATACCGGGTGTGAAAGAGAATGCTTTCTTCCTGAAGGATGTGCAGGATGCGCGAAAGATCCGGAACAAGCTCTTGTCGTGCTTCGAGACAGCGGCTTTGCCAACGACACCGGTGGCGCTGAAGAAGCAGCTCCTCAATTTCGCTATCGTGGGAGGCGGACCGACTGGCATAGAGTTCTCCGGAGAACTGAAAGATATCTTCGAAGACGGTAAGTCAAGCATTCAGCGCTCGTTCCTGGAGTGTGCCGTCGCCGAATTCAATGCTCATGGTGCACAGATATGTCGAGGTTGTACCCGCAGCTAGCAGAGCATGTCAAAATTACAGTGTACGATGTTGCGGACAAGATCTTGCCAATGTTTGATGAGAAGCTTGCGGGCTATGCGCTGGAGCACATTGCCAAAGGTGTCACGGTCAAGACCAGCCACCGGATCAAGGAGCTGAGGCGAGGCTTCCCGAACATCGAAGGCGTTGGCGACGTATGCAAACCCTTGAGTGTCCCTCTACTTCGTGTGCGACGCAACGCTGACGGTTGTGGTCGATGCTCTTAGTTCCACGACGATGTCAAAGCCAGCGGCTTCACGCTCAGTCTGGAGAACGGCCATCAATCTGAAGTCGGTTGTGGATTCGTAGTTTGGAGCACCGGGTTGATGTCGAACCCTTTCGTTGCCAAGGCCTTAAGCTCGTCGTTCACTGCGCCGGCGAGTTGCGTCAGGCTCCTGAGCAATATCGACGACAGCCCGGAGTCCAGCGCAGACTGGGAGGTGCAGAAGCATCCAAGGACGGGAAGCATAGTCACTGACGACTACCTCCGAGTCCAGCTCGGCTCCTCCGCAAGTCACTCCGAGCCGCAACCAGCGGCCATCCTGCGCGATGTCTTCGCACTGGGCGACTGCGCCGTCATCGACGGCACGCAATATCCAAGTACGGCTCAGGTTGCGGCTCAGAAGGCGAAATGGCTGGCGAAGAAGCTTAACAAGGGCGACATCAACACGCAAGGCTTCTCCTTCATGAGCCAAGGCATCATGGCTTACATTGGGCGGATGAATGCGATCGTGCAAATGGACAAAGGCAGTCTGTCCGGCCGAGCAGCGTGGATGATGTGGCGAGGTGCATATCTCGTTAAGAGCATATCGTGGAGGAACCGGCTACTAATACCCATGTACTGGACGATCAATTGGATCTTTGGGCGAGATATTTCGAGGTTTTGAGGATCTGCAGGAGGACCTCTTCAAGGCGGTAGTGCTGCCCGAAAGTGTCGCATGTGCTTGCGACAGCTCGCACATTCACCTTCGTTCTGAAATGGTTGCCAAGCGAGAGCGTCTGGAGTTCAAAGATAGAAGATAGACATCAGTTGTACACTTTGGGAGAGCTCTACACAATTCATTTGACCAGGCCGCAACAATGGATGAGGGTTTCTGTATCAAGATACACAGGCACTTCGATGCTCGTCATCGAAGCGAGGTGTTTGAGCCTTGCGAGCTCTATCGAAACGAGCTGGTATTCCCAGCCAGAAGCTCAAGGTCCTCTATTGCTCCTTGCGGATGGCTTCGCTTCTAATGTCTACGATGGATCGTTTCAAGGGTGTCTGCTTTCAGCTCCCAGCCTTCTTCTTCTCCCATTCCTCTGGCGTGTAGCACTTCGGCGTCCACGCGTGGATGGCAGCGATTTCTCCCTTCAGCGTGCTGTTAACCAGTCGATGTCGCGCGAGCGTCGTCTTCTTCACAAACTGTGGAGACACTATGATCGCTTCGAACATCTGACCACATCCACCTATGTCTCGTCAGGCACGGCTCATGACGGACATGATGCTTATGTGTAAAGTGAGTGATGCGATACCTGAGAGATCTGATATGTCGACATGGGACGCTTCAAGCTTGTCCTTGAGCGTGGCGCCGAGAGTGTCGGGAGTTACGCCAGTGGAGTTCTGGGTCTCGGTGGCTTCGACGTCAGTCCGCGCGCTCATCGTGAAGTTGTCGCTGCTTTCTGCTCCTCTGAAGATCGCATACCGTGCGTAACTTATGCTTCGCACGTGCATAAATCAGATCGATCTGGGAAGCGCGCGCGCCAGATGGCGCTTGATGTCATTCGCACCGCCAGCTCCAGTCACCGAGCTCAAGCCACAAACACGCCCGAACAATCTTGTCAGCACCACAAGCACCACCATGCCTGCGTTTTGCGCCGGAGCATCTCCTGTATGTTCGCGACGACATTGAGGCGAGCGTACAGCACGATGAGCTCGCCAGCCGTGGCGGCGCCGTATACGCGCGCGGTCGTGAGTGCGATGCGCAAGCTGCATGTTCTATCCTTCTATTCCTTCGGACGCTTCGGCTGACTGTGGACTAGCTACCCTGAGGCGTTAGCAGACAAGAGCTTCGACAATACTGGTCGTACGGGATATACAAGCGTTGATCGAGTATACGGATGAGCTGACGCGAATGCAGTCCTGCTCGAAGCGCCCTTCGATCCTCTACGCCGACAGATGAACTCGGTCCTGCTCACGGTGGATTTGACGAAGGCGGTCGCAGACGAAGCCATCGAGCGCAATGACTCGATCGTTGTCGCATACCGTACGGCAAGTCCATCGACTTACGAAAGCCGTCCTGCTGACCGGATGTGAAGCGTAGATCCTATTATCTTTAGAGGACTGAAAGCTCTGACGCTCAAGGACTCCCAGCAGCAGAGCTTGCTGAGACTAGCTGCTGAAGGCATAAGCGTACATTACATATGTTCCAACTCAACAGAGTGTAGTCTAATGTCTACTGCTAGGTCTACAGTCCTCACACTGCTGTCGACTGCGCACGCGGCGGCCTTGGCGATTGGCTAGCTGACATCGTCTCCGGCACGCCAGCGGAGCCTGACAATGCGGAGCCGGACGCTGCTGAGACGACTGATGCAGAGTCAAAGCATGCAGCTACCCATGAAAACAATGTGGACGTCAATGGTGAATCGAATACCAAGCGCCCAATCTACATGCTGCAGCACCATCCGTCTCAGCTGTCCCTCAAGGAGAAAGGACTCCACCTAGGCTCCAACCAGCATACGAGATATCCCATCCAAGCGACGAAAGTTGAAGGTTATCCTGGAGCAGGCATGGGCCGCATCGTCCGCTTCTCCAAAGCCGTCCCGCTCACCGACATCATTGACCGCATCGGGCTCGGTCTCGGCAATCCGAAAGGCTTTCCGATCGCCGTCCCGCAGGGCAAGCAGGCGAGTGACATGATGATCAAGAGTATTGGCATTTGCGCCGGAAGCGGCGGGCATTTATTTAGCGAGATGGAGAAGATGGGCGAGGAAGTGGATCTGCTGTTCACGGGCGAGCTGAGTCATCATGAGGCACTCGCTGCGATCGAGAAGGGGAAGTGTGTCATCTGTCTGTTCCATTCGAACACAGAGAGAGGCTTTCTGCATTCAGTGCTAAAGGGACAATTGGAGAGTACAATTGCGGAAGAGGTACGTTCAGGCTGATTGCTATTCTGATGCGCCCAAGCTGACCGATGTTCCAGTGGGAGCGCATACGCATGGAAGAGCGGGCGAAAGAAGGCATGAGCGATGAGTACTTCGAGGCGCTGGACGACGAACACATTGAGGTACATGTCAGCGAGGTGGATCGCGATCCGTATGGCATTATGATCAGTAAGAGGGAGCTGTGAGATGCAATGTGCGAAGGCGTTTGTGTACGTGCTCGGATCATGATACCCCTCGAGCATACTTCGGATAGATAGCGGTAGAACAGTCCATCGAATCAGCAAGTAGGTAGTGGAGAATTTCTTCATTACGACCAGGGCGTCAATTGCGAACGGCTTGTACCGAAGGGTCCGTTTCAGACGACACCATGCTCGACTTTCGTAAAGGGACTAAAAGTATGCGCTCCGAGCACCTCCTCTCCTCAAACTTCCATACACCACAGGGCATTACAGCTTGATGCTTATGAATGGGCCCATTAGCAACAAGAGTATAGGTGGAGGGCACGCTCTCTACATGTATGCTTTGGCCCCCAATATGGATGCTCCGCCCCCAATATGGCCAAGCAAACGCAGCCTTGGGTGTGCAGCCCACTGTGCGATGACAATTAATGTTGCAGGCATTTTGACCAAGGCAATGCCGACGTTAGTCGTGCCCTGACGTAGAATCCGCTGTTAAAGCAGCTGCAGATGTGATCATGGTTTCACCTCTTCCTGAAATCCGTAAGCCTCAATAACAGTCAGACGAGAGTCAGGTGGCGTTCACAATGTTTCTTTCCTCTACTGTCGGCGCAGCACTGATTGTCCTTGCTGCCGCACAAGCAAGCTATGACTTTGTAAGCGTTCCCAGCGAGCATCTGCATGCTCCAAGCTCCTGACCAGCTCACAGATCGTTGTGGGAGGCGGCACAGCAGGAGTCGCTGTCTCTGCCCGCCTAAGCCAGTACCTGCCTGACTCCTCGATTCTGATTGTTGAAGCGGGACCGGACGGGCGTCAAATTCCTGGCATCTATATTCCCGGTCGCAAAGGGTCTACGCTAGGCACGACTTATGATTGGAACTTCACCACGACGCCGCAACCCTATGCCAATGGTCGAGTGATCCCACAGAACCGCAGGAAAGTACTCGGTGGCAGCTCAGCGTTGAACCTGCTCTCTTGGGACCGGGCTACTGCAGCGGACTACGATGCCTGGCAGCAGCTTGGCAATCCGGGATGGAACTGGTCCAGCATGCACGCCGCAATGACTGCGGCAGAGAGCTACCAGCTCACGCCAACGAATGGCTCAGCTAATATCCTCGGCGTCGGCGAACATGGTCCTATTGAGTTTCTGATCAACAGGTTCTCACCACCGCAGCAGGAGCAATTCTTCCCAGCTATGCAAAATCTGGGCTTACGCCAGACGTATTCGTTCCTCGACGGTGATATGCTGGGTTGGATGCGTCATACCAGCAACATCCTTGACAGTAACTACACCAGATCTTACAGTCCGAACTACCTTGCCAGTGCCGGTCCGAGATTGGATGTCATGGTCAACACCACGGTGCTGAAGGTAAATCTGGGCAATAGCTCTCACGTGACGGGTGTGACGCTCATGAATGGCACAACCGTTACCGCGAGGAAAGAAGTCATCTTGTCTGCGGGTTCGATTCAATCGCCTCAGCTGCTTGAGTTGTCAGGCATCGGCAATGCTACGATTCTTAGCGCAGCCGGTATCCAACCACAAGTCGATCTTCCAGGCGTAGGTACCAACCTTCAGGACCACATTCGAATAACCACAGCCTACCGACTCAGACCCAACTATACATCTCCCGACATCCTTCGGTTCAACGCATCTTATGCGGCACAGGAGCTTCAGAACTGGACCCATAACATCTCCGGCTTCTACGACGAGACCGGCTCCGGCTATGCTTATATGACATGGCCCCAAGCTGTTGGCGACCCCGGTGCCGCAGTCCTCGACAGTCTCGCAACAGCGGCAGCCTCGTCCGCGAACGTGGTGGACCAGCGCAAACTCCAAAACCTTCTCAATCTCACCGCGCGAGTGCCCCAGCTGGAGATCCTCTTCAGCGATGGCTACCTAGGGAATAAGGGCTATCCGGCCGTCAATAGCACGCTTTACGGCGCCGAGTTCTTCGCCATGATCGCCAGCATCCAGCACCCCTTCTCCAGGGGCAGCACGCACATCAACGCCTCAAACCCTACAGGCCATCCCATCTTCCACCCCAACTTTACGGAGTGCCGAATCTGAGAGTGGTCGATGCAAGCGTGATCCCCATTTGCATCAGTGGCCATATACAAACGGCTGTCTATGGCATCGCCGAAAGAGCGGCACAGATCATCGCGGCACAGTGGTCATAGGATCATCCATGTCGAAGCTTGTGGTACGCTCTATGCTTTTTTTTTAACACGGACGTCCACCCGCGCAATAGCAATCTAGGTAGACTCGGAAGCTCATCTGTCGAGCGAAGTCTCACTCGCACGTATCGACCCACGACTTCACTCCTCCATTACCCCGTTCCCATCTACAGCCGTGTTCTCTGTGCCAACCGCCGCTGCCATCTCACCCTCCCCTTTGACCGCCTTACCGCCTTCGTACATCACTCTCCTCCAGCCCTCTCTCACGCTTGTATCCTTCACAAATTCGGTTGTGGGGAAGTAGTGTTCACACTTCTTCATTGTGGCTACCCATGGGACGTTGTCGAACGTCATGACCTTGATCCTGAAATATGTGTTGTCCGGAATCTTGTTCACTTCACGCAGGAAGGACTCCAGATCCGGCGTTGGCACGGCATTGACAGCGAGCAAGAAGTTCGTCGGTGCGAGACCGTACATATAAGCCGGTGAGCCTCCGTATCGGGCGGAGACGTATATCTCACTATGCACTTTACTGATCTGTTGCCGGACGGCGTGGTGGGGTGCGTGTAGAGTGGCGCCACAGAAGACAACGACGCGAGTAGTGCCTAGTTCGCTGGTTGAGACGGTTGGTACCTCAAGTGTCATCTCCTCCTGTTTCCGCACGATGCGCACGGTGAGCGCATGGTGGTCATACATTACGTCGAAGTCCGACACCTTCGTTATTAGGCGGTCGTTAATCGTGAGGATGACGTCGCCCTCTTGGAGGCCGCTCTCGCTGCCAGCGTCTACCTTGTGCACCATGAAGAGCTGATGGCGTTCTGGATCCTCGTTTTCAACGCGCTCGATCCAGGCTTCTGGCACGCCCATGATGCGGCATTGGCTCATGTGCACGAACTGTGTTTCTATGTTAAGGATGCGAAGGTCAGGTTGCCTCCCGCTTCTGATCGCTTCGACGACTGGAAGCAAAGATGGTGTGGCGAAGCCAAGCTTGTACTCCGTATCCCTACCACTGTGACCATCGCGCTCGCCCAGGTATGTCAAGAAGAGGGCCTGGACCGTACCATCTTCGGCGACGAGAACGCCAGTTCCGCACACGCTGCTGAGCGATGTGTCAACGAGGATAGCATCCAGGTTCAGCGCTCGATATCGAGGTGCCGTCCCGCTCGCCGGTATGCTCACGCTGGTGATGTCCGTGACGGTAGTACTAGCTACCACAGGTCTGTGATTGCCGTTAAAGCCAAAGAATATGGTGCTTTCGCCTTGCTTGATGGGCTGCTTCGCCAGTTTCGCACTCTTCACAGGCGCATTAACCAGGCTTGGATCGTACTTGATTATGGCGTAGTTCTGCAGCGGGTGCATGAACACGATCTTGCCATCCACGATAATCGAATCCGCGATCGTAACAGTGATGTCGCACATATCGTACGGGACAAATGCTCGACTAACAATAACCAAGCCCTGCTCAGCGTCAACCACAAGGCCGAAACCAGTTCTGCGAGACTTAGAGAAGCCGTCAAGCTTCAGCGGCATCGAAGCTCGGATCTGTACGAACGAGCGAATAATGTCAACAGCTTGTGGATGTTTCGAGCCTGCCATGGTGACGAAGTTGGCCTTTCTTGGCACTTCCGCCTTGGGGGGTAACGGCTCGCTCAGGTCTGTGAAGTCCCAGAGACCGGTCTTGTCGTTACGCACAACGAGACGCATATGCTTGTGCCAGTGCCGGTCAACGTGCATGACTTGGGTGTTCAATGTGTGCATGTCGCGGAGATGCTTGTGCGTAATGACGATCCGGCTGCGGTCGGGAATGCCTTTCATAACCTCGATGAACGTGTCAAGATCTGGTGTAGGCTTGTTGTCTACGGTCTGTACCAGCCATCCAGAGCCAGCCATGTCGACAGGGAAAGAGCCTGACGCCTCGCAACAGTACACGCCGTTACCCTTCAGTGCGACGGCGTAGAGACGAGCTTGTTGGTACGATAGGTCGTGGAAAGCGGAGCCAGCAACAGACACGAATCGATCCGGCGTGATGGCGTGCAAGTCGCCGACGTCCAATTCGACTGTGACATCCGCGCCACCTCGCTGAACCAGGAGCTTCACCGTCTTCCCGACGCTAGAGTCAAGAATCTCGTCCAGACGAACGAACTGCGTCAGCAGCTCGCCATTCACTTGGATGAGCACGTCACCCTCCTCCAACATCTGATGCGCCGGGCCTTTGGGCAGCACAACCTCTGCGACGAGCATGCCAGTCTCTTTAGGGAACTTGGCGCGTATTTTGTCCTCCCATTCAGCAGCTAAGCCAAGCCTCCTGCACTCGTCGAACGCCTTGATGACCCATTGCGTTTGTATCGTGCCTCGGTCGACATGCTTGCCTTCTCTTATGCATTCCAAAGCTCGTCTCGGCCTATCAAGGGGCAGAAAGTAGTCTGTGGCTGCGCCATCGGCCCGTCCACCAGCCTGCAACGCCACAGCATAACCGTCAATGTTAACAACTGGTGAGCCAGACGAGCCTCCGGATGCTGCAGCGGCCGCTTGTATGTAGTTCGTGTTGAAGTCGCAGTAACCTTCGCCATATTCCGGTGCGTTGCGGTCTAAGCGCGAGATTACGCCAGACAGGATGCTCAGCTTTTCGCCTGCATCGTTACCCACAACTCTGATCTCCACCCCAACCTTGGCCAGATCGGGTCGCAACTCCAGCGCGGCTAATGGCATGTACTTGATCTTCTTCGGGTCGAAGCGCAGAATGCCAAAGTCATGGACCGGATCGCGGTAAACAGGGTAGACGTCGCACTCCTCATGGTTGTCAAAGATGCAGTAACCCCAGAAGGGTCCTGCGCCGACAACGTGGCGATTGGTGAGGATGTAGCCACGCTCAGCATCAACGACGAAGCCAGTCGCTTCGCTGGAGATGGCTGAATCTGTATCGAAAGCGCAGGTCTGGCAGAAGTGGATGCTCACCACGTTGCGCACGACCTTTTCGATGGTAGCCTGCCACTCTGCCGTGTCAGCGGTTGCTGCTCCATGGATGATACTGCCGGCCTCTTCCTCATCGAAGTCCTCAGACGGCTCTCCGTGATGGTTGCCGTTAAGCGCGCCATTGGTGGAAGCCAGGATACTATTCGGATACGGCTGGTTGCCGTCGGTGTAGTCGTCGTCTACAGCGCGAGACGGCCTTCGCGCCTGTTTTGAGGGCCGGCTCGGCGGCGAAGACGGTGGTTGTTTGCGCTTAGTAGTTGAGAGTTGCTGCTGTTCCATAGCCTGCTGTATAGCGCTAGAGAAGAGACGAACGGGCCGTGAATGAAGAGCACCACTTGTTGACTGCGCAGCTCGCCTACCGCAAAGGAGCGTCAACGGTGCGTCAAAGTGTGCTCCGAACACTACTGTGTTGCCGTGGTAAAGGGATGAGACTGCGCTGCGGCTGAGGGCTGTCTTTAGGCCTCCTGAAAGGCAGTGAAGCATTCAGATAGGCGCATGAGCACAGCTCGATCGGTTGCAGATTCAAGGTGGTACTATACAGCAGCGAGAAGGAAGGTGAACATGACACGTGCCGCAGAACATGAGAAAGATGGCTGTGTGCAGGGACTTAGGCCGGACAAGGTTCATCGCGCATGCAGCCGCGGAAAGGCCCGCAGAACATTCCATCGTCTCGGGGAAGAAGTCCGCACCTTGCCTCCAACCTCACTCTACCCAAAGCCCCAGATCACCGTCAGCCTACGGGTGGCAGCTGATGGGAGTCGGCACAACGTCCGCAGCCATTGCCTGCTCAGGCGAAGATGCCATCATCATCCCCCGGCTCTCCCTTGATTGCCACGTCTTCGATACCGTCTGTATCCCCCGCGTCGTCGTGAGCGCTATCAACCGCCAGCTCATCCACACCAGCTTTGACCGGCCTAGCTTTGTTACCCTTGGTGGCTTTGGCCTTCTTCGTCGACCTTCCTCACTAGCTGCTTTCTTGCTGGCACCGCGTCTCTGCGAGGTTTGTTAGTCCGGCTTTACGCGGCAAATAGTAGGTAACGAGAAGTGCACACTTACCTTACCAAGGCCTCGGGCAGATACTCCGTTGCCCCCCACAGATCCCGAGACGTCTGCCGCAAGCTTTGCCTTCGCCTTCGCGATCATCTTTATGGCCCCAGTAAGGGTACGATCTTTCGGCAAGTCGATACCATCCCAGTCAACCGTACCGAGTTGGTCGATCATCTGGAAAGCACGGAGAGCTGCCCAAAGTTTAGAAATGAATCAATTGATCCTGGTGTAGGAACTCAACGGACCATCTCCGACTCGCTCCATGGAGTCTTGTTACCCTCGCCGATAGGCATGTTGGTATGTACAATGGGGTTGGCTGGAGGCTGGCTTGGGTACTCGAGCAGGTAAGTGTGAGACGAGCTTGAGGGGGACGCAGTTATGTGTGTAAATGGGAAGATGCAGAGGTGATGGTTGCGGGAAAAGGAAGGCTTTCACGTGCTATCATCGCCTGCCTTGGTCCTTAGCGCACCCTCACTCCTAAAGTTCAGTTGCAATATTTCAAGCCACAACTGCGGTGCTCAATTCACACGCAGCTCTTCAGCGTCCAACCAACATCTTCAGCGTTCTTGCTGCTTATCATATAAGTAGTCTGGCTTCCGCCACTTTGCACTTTCCGTCGTGCACAGCAACCCACGGTCGTTCAGACGGCGTTGCAGTAGTCGCACGGCCTTGGCTTCGTCCGATCATTACTGTGCAATTGACAGCATACCGACATCCGACACCATCATGCCGCTCTTCTGGAAAAAAAAGAGGACAGCTTCTGCCAGCCATATTAGCGGAACAGGAACGGCTAAGCGCAAGGCGGTCGATGATGTGAGCGATGGGAGTCCATCCTTTAAGAAGCGTGTCATGTCAACTTTGGGCTTCGATAACGGCATGCAGCTGGTCCGCAAGACTGTCTCTGGCAAGAATGTACCGATTGAGAAAACTCTCGAGGTCTTCGCGGACGAGGACGAGGAGTACAACGATGCACAGGAAGAGCTGGAGGACGGTGCTCGTGCCAGCGATGGAGGTTTGCCATCCGCGAACTCAAGCTACCAGTGGGCCAAAGAGCAAGAAGCCCACGACGGCGCGCCTGACGGCAGGGATAATGAGCAAGAAGGGTATGCCGTCAATACCGGCGAGGATGAAGACGCCGACCGGGAGCATGATGTGAGTGTCGATAACGGAAACTTCATCGTACGCTCCGGCAGCAGCGGCGTAGAGGACGCCGACGACCTCTTCTCTGTGGCCTTCGGAACCAACGGCAAGCGAGCGAGCCAAGTACGCAGCAGCGCAGTCAATGACGAACCCGAAGATGACGACGAGGTTATGATCACGCATGTCATACCCAAACCGAAGCCCAATCATCAGACCAAGCAGCTCGCCTCAGCACACAATCCAATCGAACACGCCCGTGGCTGCAAGCCCAACCGCTCACCCTCTACCCCAGCACCCCCATCTCTTCCCGATCTTCCGAAACACATCGACCCTACCACCCTCCAGCCCATTCCAGCAACCCCAAATCCGGAGAAAGACCTCCGCAAACCCCTCGCCCGCCACCAGCGCCTACACGACCGCGCCTTAGCCGTACGTCCGAAGCTTTTCGACTACCCCAACTACCCAGATCATCGATACCCCATCGCTGTCCTGCATTTAGACAATCGCAAGAAACTCAATGCTCTAACGGAGAAGGACTTTAGCTGGCTCAAAGGCAACCGGCAGACGTGCATGAAGACCATCGCGGAGGCGTATGCGAACACGACGCTGGCTGAGGACTTCTGTCTGGTGCTGGCAGGCGAGCGACTAGGGGAGTGGGATCGATGTGAGGAGATTGATTACTTTGGTGATAAGATGGTTGTGTTGAGGGCGGTTAAGGAAGGAACAGAGATGAGCAAGGGAACTGACTTGGGGCACGGTTGTCCCATGGTCGTTATTGAAATCGACTGATCCAATACAGTGTCATCTAGCAATAGAGATAGAGAAGCATGGCGCCAGGAGACATTAAGAAGCATCCTTACGAGAAGCATGCTTCGCGAACTGCACGATCAGGCCGGGGTTGGGAGCATCGACCACGGCCTCATACTATGCATCATATCTACAGCAGTGGTAGCATGATCTAGCAGCGATCAAGATCCAAATGATCTCAAGCTAGATACTCACCTTTCTGTCTATTGCTATCTCAATATTTGTTCTCGAACGCTGTCTCAAGCGCAGTCCTCCTCGGCACCCGGAAGTTCCCTCTCGAGCATGGTGCATCAGGCAGCTCTCGACCCCACCTCCTCAGCGATAGCTCCAGCTCGCTCCCTTTCACCATCCGCCCGTATCACATGATGACTTCACAGATCAGCGTATCGGAGTGAATTTGGTTGGCGCGCGGATCTGCTGTGCTGCGGAACTGCGGAAGGGTGAGCATGACCACCATGCTATCACCATGTGACTTGATGTTACCATCGAGCTGCTCAGGAATGCGCCCTTCCTGCAGCCTCCCCTTCCTCCTCCCAACCATAGTCCACTCTTATGAGCGCGCTGTAGCCTTCCTGTGCCATTCGCGTCATCAAGCACAGGCGCGATGCCCTTCCCAAATGTCCCCTCACCGCCTACCCTTTTCCCTACCTACCTCGTTCCATCACTACCCTTCCGCAGGCGACAGTCCAGCACCGACAGCACCATCTCAGCCATCAGCAGTACCGCCTCTACGAGCAGCAGCAGCCCTCCAGACCCAGGATCCTTCTTGTCCGGACACGCCTCCCACTTACGATGCGCGCGCTGTCTTTCTGACCTTGCCATCAGTACTCAGATCATCAGTAAGGGCTTCACCGGTCGCCATGGCCGCGCATACCTTGTCGCGCCTTCCCAATCCTCTAACTTGCCCACCCCGATGGACATTTCCTCCGTAAGGCAAAGGAACGACGCCCTCCCCAATCTACCCAACACATACACCCACAAGCCCGTCCCACGACAGCTAGTCACCGGCGCGCACACCGTCGGCGACATCAGCTGCGCCCATTGCGGCAGCGTGCTGGGCTGGAAGTACATCAGCGCCGAAGAGGAAGCGCAGCGGTACAAAGTGGGCAAGTTTATCCTCGAGACCAAGCGTGTGTGCAGAAGTAGCGTGTGGGAGAACGAGGATGACGTGACGGAGGCTCACGAGCAGATGGAGAATCAGCGGAAAGATAGTTCCGGAAGGAGAAGAAGTTCGCTCTTGCCGCCCAATGAGCTGCCGAAGCTGAGGGAGGAGGACGAGGTGGAATTTGATAGCCAGGATGAGGATGAGTGTGAGGACTTGTTCATGGGAGTGTGGACGCCGCAGTTGGCGGCTAAGCGAAGGAAGAATAGGGTGTTTGGACGGATTGATGAGGTTTCCTGATACGCTTCCGCGTGCATTTGAGACGATGATACGATCAACGACTTATTGACTTATGATTGGACGATGCTTAATTGTAATCACGCATCATCGAAGGCACGAGCATATAAGACTTGGTTATGGGCGTTCTGTGGGTTGTGAGAGACGCATTGCTCGTCACCGCGCAGTACGTACTGCTTAATAGAGGTTGCGAAGAGTCTAACGCGCACATTGAGGACCAAGCAATCTTGCCGACCGTCTGCAGGCGCAAAGCCAACACCTACCATGTAGACTTCTAAACCCCTGCCGCCGGACTGAGTTAAGACTGGCCACCGTTCGCGCTCGAGAGTCATCCTGAGCATATTGGTCCCTTCGCGTTATAGGCATCGCCCAGAAAGTACGAGAGGCGCGCAAGTGCCTGCGGCTACACCAGCTACGAAGGCGAGGGGGTTTACACTACGCTTGGCGGTGCGAGAACGTGTTGCCACCCGATGTCAAGAGGAAAGCTAGATCTAACGCCCCGTCCAGTGGAGCCAGACTACCAATGGCTAAGATCCGCATCCCAGCCCGCGAGCTCGGAACGCATTCCACGAGCGTAGGAGAGATGATCGCTTCCGATAGGATTGCTACGACCATATGTATTGGGCTTGTGAGAAATCACACGCGGCCGCTTGTACGATGGACGTGTGTTTTGCCAGACTGGCACGATAGTGATGCTCACACGCTGCTATAACGCCAGACTTTACTCACAGCCGGTCCACTACTGTCCGAAGCCGCTTCAACTCCGCTCTAATCCTTTTCAAGCCCTTTGGCTTCACCTGTTCAAGCCAGTGATCGATTCCGATCACCAGCGCCCGATACACATCAGCGTTCTCCAAGTTGGCGCCTTCCCTCTCCTCAACCTCCACCCGCAGCCTGTTCAGACGGATCCAGCTCTCCACGTCAGGCCTACGAACAATATGTCCACCAAGGCCAGCCGTCTGGCGCCCTTCCGGCAGTCTGAAGAAAAGATGTGGCGTTCCGCCGCTGAAGTATACCGTGTCTTCTGGCCTCAGGAATCTGTATCGCCACCTGTTATCTGGCTGGAGCCTCTGTTCCAGCAGCGCTATACGATCGGCTTCGGTTGCGTCCGGAAGGAAGCCGAGTCCCATCTCGCCCTCGAGGCACGTCACCCAGGTTGAAAAGCCCCAGTAATCCCAGTGCGCCTCGGTTACAGCGCCGGCTTCTGCAAACATAATCGCTCCGGACCATTGCCGCCAACCAGTCTTGAGTTCGACGGCCTGGGTGAGATGCTCATTGCAGCAGTGTGGGCTGCTTGTCCTCTCATTCGTGCAGGCATCTGTACATATTACTCCTGCAGAGATATCGAAGACGCCTCGCACAACATCGGCCAGCACATTGCAACTCGGATCTTGCAGGAACAAGGGTATGCCGCTATGGTGAAATGGGTTCGGCGTGTCTGGAAAGTTCCACGGTGTTCCCGATGGGCGTCGATTGGCTACGAAGCGCTGCCGTATCTGACCCAGCTCTTTGCCTCTTGATATGTGCTCAGTCGGATCATGGAACCAGGCGAGCAATTGTTCGACGGGTCGTTCATCTGACTCCGGGGCCAGGATGCCGGCCGTGTTGGCCGCGTGGGCAACAAAGACTGGTGCGGTCAGGATGCGGTCGCCTTGCAGTAGCCTGCGAGCCTGCTCGACGGAAACGATGTGTGCATCTGCCAGATGTGTAGCCGGCTCAATACGGCGGAGATACCGCACGATCTCTCTGCAGTCATCCCGCTTGCTTCGCTTCAACTGACGTCGCGCTTCGTCGAGAAACTGCTTGTCTGCATCTCCGTCTCGCTCGTCACCTGCGTCTTCGATCGGAGCTTCGTCTCGGGCTTCAACGACTCTCCTCTTGCGCTTTCTGCTCCCAAAAGGCGGAACAGGAGCGTCCACGTCAACCCAGCTCGCTCCCTTGGAACTATATGTCCGTCCGGACGCCGCCGGCGCCTTCTCCCGGGCATTGTCGAACCCTAGAGCCGCTGTGCCATCTATCTGGAGCCTGTCAGCTTCTCGGCCCGCTGCCAATGGCTTCTGTACGCTCTGGGCTTGTTTGGTCGCCCGGGTGGACTTCGGAACGCTATTGCTCGCTTTACTGCTACGTTTGGGTGCCATTGCGGACTGATAAGACGGAGAGAGTGATGTGCCAAGCGTCCAGGTTCAGTAGGCGGACAAAGAAAGTGACAGGCTGAAAGGATGAAAGGAAAGCTAGTATAACAGAGCTGGGCAAATTGAACTTCACGGTAGATCAATCTCTCTTTGCGACAACCCACATCTTGTCGGAATTGAGAATAGTGAAAGAGATAGTGTAAGGTTTCTGCTTCGTCTCAACTCAAGGTGCTATTGTCACCTTCAAGTGAGGTTTGGCGAACACATGCGCAGGGAGCAATGCGGTGCCAACAATCCCAACCCCGCAGCCATGACATGAGCTTCTATGAGCACCCATAGTTGCTTATGTGGTAATGTAGAGTGTGGGTATAGATCGCTTCGCACGATATCCGGCGCTTTGCGACGAGCCGATCCACCTTTCATTGTCCTGTCTGCAGGTACTCATATCGCCGGCAACATTGCAGAGCTTGGACTTGTGCTTGAGATAGTGCTTAATTACAATGAATCTCAAAGTCTGCATCAGGATAAGCTATCGTATTGGTTGTCGCATCTTCATGCCGATATTGGAGAAGTCTTTGAAGTTGGGGGTCTAATCACGCACGCATCGAAGCAAGCTATTAGTAGTCTTTGAGAGGTCAGGTTCATGAGTTGCTTTCGCTCTTGACAACCCGCACTTCCGCCTCCGAGTTCAAAGAGTACACCCTGAGACTGAGTACACAGAGCGCGTTCCACTGATCCTCCCCAAAGATCTCGTTCTTGGGGCCAGCCTTCAGCTCGGCAATCTCGTCCGCCAGGTCATTGTCAACGGAACCATCCATGTCACTGTCCCAAGCGAAGTCATTGTCGTCGAGCTCTTCAAGGGGCTCTATTGGAGAGTCATAGTCTTCGTCGTCGAGTTGTTCCTCCAAAGGTGACTCGGGTGCTTCGCCACGTCTCTGCCCGGGCTCGTGCGCTTGCAGTTCTAGCGTCGAGAAACCCTCTGTGAGTGCCTCTACACCTTCAGCATGCGTCGCCACTGAGGGTTCCTGCTCGCCTGCTGCAGACTCCTTCGTTTCCAACGACTTCTCGGCGGCCCGTTCTGATTCCGAGGGTTCAACTGTCGGTCCGGTTTCTGAGGACTTCACGGCAGCATGCTCTACTTTCGCAGGCTCCTTAGAATCCTGGTCTGCCTTACTAGGCGTCGCGACGGTCTCTATTGCTTTCGCAGACTTCTCGATCGTCTGTTCAGGTTCCGTGGATTTCTCCAGAGCTTGGTCTGTTTCCGAAGGCTTCAGCGGGCTTGAATCCTCGGAATCGGTGCCCGGCGTCACACCTTCCGCCTTGCCCTCACTATCATCTTCCACGCCCGCATCCGCTTGAGCCTCCATTGACGATGGCCCCCTTCTTTCTAGCATGCGCTGTTGCTTCGCTCTGGATTTTTCTCTCACCACCTTCTCAAAATCCTTCCGCTTTTCTTGCATAGCGTCGTTCACACGCTTTTTGCGCAGTCGAGCGCGCTCCTTCTCTTGCATGTTTACTTTCCGAACCTTTTTCTGGAGGTCCTTCACCTTCCTCTTCTCGCCCACCTTGCTCCGCTGCTTCATCTCTTCTTCCATAGCCCTAAGATTACCTTTGCTCTGAGCGTAGTCGAACCGCCGGCCAACATAGAGCAGCTTTTCTTTACGCTCCACGGCGAACTTCAAGATCGCTTCTTCCGCTGTCGATGCGCCCGGAAGACGCACGGCGGATATCTTGAAGACGACGGAGTAGGTTCCTGGCTCGAGATTGTCGAGCTCAGCGGAGACTGATCGTGTGAAGACCGTCTCATTGCCACTATTATGCATGCTGCGCACGATCCACCTACCCTCCTCACCCTCTCTGTAGACTCGGAAATGTAGTGAATAGAGCAACCGACCTCCAAGACCGTAGAAGTACCGATCGTCTGGCTGAGATAGCACGATCACGACCGGGCCGCGCTCGGATATAGTGAAGGTGAACTTGGTGTCGAGGTAGTCCACTGTCCAAGGCACCTGGACACAGGTCCACTGCTGTGAGACCTTCCACGTCTTGTCGAAGAGCCGAACACGGTTGATGCAAGGGAAGTGCTTGAGAAAGTCCTTGTACGACATCCAGAACACTCCATCATTACCAAACTCATGCTTTAGCTTCGTTATCCTATTGATCGAAGGGCAGAAGGGTCAGTTATGTCTTACACAGTCCGGGAGAGGACGACACATCGTCTCGCTTACATGTCTGCCGTCCACAGCTTACTGCCATCGGACCAATCGCCTTCCCATTCCTGGTGACCCCATGGGTTGCGCAGCTTCAACAGCTTCAATTTCTTGTCTTCACTTTCCCATTTGTCAAGGACAGCATAAGCGTGTCCACCGATAACGCCTTTGGAAGAGCTGGCTTTGCTCCCACCGCCGAACAGGTACTTCACGTTGACTTGGCTAAGCTGCTCGCGCCAGAATCTTTCTTTGTCCATGATATCCTCAGGATTCAGAACCACGCCAACACCGCCGGTAAGATCCTCGATCCCTTCACTAGCGAAGCCCCCTTCGATAGCGAAGTAGTCACCGTGTGCTTTGGCATATGCTTTCTCGATGAGAGGAAGCCATGTCTCGTTGGACTTGCAGTGCGAGAAGTACAATGCTTCGCCCCCGCGCTGAAGGATATTCTTAAACTTCTCTTCGTCGTGCTGGAGAGGCATGCCTTCCTTCTTGTCTCTGTCCCAATCCCGCACTACTTTTATGTCGTCATCGTCACCAACGCGCATGAACAGCTTATCGTCAATAACTTCGTATATCCACTCGCCATCGCGAAAGAAGACGAAACCATAGACGCCCATGGACTCCTCTCGATCTACACAAATGGTGCCAATGAGCTCTTTCTTCGCCGTCACGGCCATGAGGGCAGCAAGGAACCAACAATCGCCGCCACTACCCTGGTGTACATCCATAGGGGTCGCGTCATCAATGTAGAACTGAGGATCGTCGAAAATGTCCTCCACACGCTTAACCCACGGTGGTCCGTCGATCTTCTCTGTAGCCTTGGGCCAGCGTCCAGTCAAGCTCTGCATGCAGTATGGACCTGCTTCGATGTTGAAGCTGTAGTCCACATACTTTTGGTTGAGGCGCCTGCACTCTTCTCTGATAGCGTTTACCTTGGCTTTGCACTCGTCAACGGCTTGCTGCCAGGATGTAGCCGCATTCTCTACGCTCTGCAGTCCGTCTCCGGGCGTTTCATCGACGATCCGTTTCTCCTTCGCAAGCTTCTTGAGCACAGTTGATTCGGACTTGGCACGCTTCGGCTCTATCGCAAGAAATTTATCCCAAGCCTCATAGAAGCAGTCGTTGCGCTTCCCAGAAGGTACTTCGGATGCTGGCCCATCGTCGGCCGCCTTTGGAGAGGGTTCCGGCACAATTCGTATGGGAAATGGTGTTGGCATGGGCGGTTCTGGATCAGCCATTGGAGCAGAGACTTGAACGAAGGCTGACCTCATCTTAGTGAACAAGTGAGACGCAAAATAAGGGCAAGAGATACGGACACTGTTTGTATAATTTCGAACAAACTAGGAGAGCTTTGAGCAAAGAGCCACGCCCTGAAGCGCAAGCTTCTCAAGACGATCAAAGGTAGAGAACACGAGGTCACGGCCACAAGCAGTTCAGTGCTGTACTTGTTGCAGGGCGTCGTAGCGAGACAGTATTGACGAACAGGCGAGATTGCCCGGACATGGGTTGCGTGACCTCTTTGAGCAAGACTTGCGGATAAGAAAGGGAACTCAGTGAAAGGTACCTACCGACCGGTGAAAGGCAGGAGGGCGCATCGCGCAGCCTTGCAGCTCAGCTCCTTAGCCGAAGCCGAGCTTTTGCTGCATGAGGCTGAACGCTTGACACCATGGCGGAAGAGGTTAGACCAAGCGCGAGTTGATCAGGTGATGCCGCCCCGGCTGAGGCGCGGTTATCAGGACAGACGGCGAGCCATCTGTGCATGTTGGAGATCCTGTGTCGCAAGTCTCTTCGAACGGTGTAGAGCCGCGAAGCTATCGAGGCAGCCGCTGACGAGGACGCCGAGCTACATTGGCCCCGGAGAAGCCGTCTTTGCGACATGAAGGTCCAGATCAACTGGCGACAACCATTTCCTTATGAACTCACAGATCGCCGCAGGAGTGTCGACGGCGTCCGGTAGGCTCCTAGCACTCCTAAGGACAAGCTGATGGAAGCGTGTGAAAGTGGAAGTCTTCGAGTTGAATCGAAACTTCGAAGTCACCTCTGTAGTACCCCACAATGACATCCTTCGCACTATCAATAGAACTTCGCAGGTAGGCAATTTGCAATCACTTTCGAGGGTCCGAATCCGAAGACATCAGACGATTCATAATTGAAATAGTCAACCGCAAGAGCACCCAATCGTCAGGGCACCGCTTTCTGAACAAGCTTGACGCTCCCAAGCTGCGTTGCCGCAGACTGGGATCCCGAAAGAACAACTCTGTAGAAGCTCTTCAGCATGACTACCATGAAAGCCGTAGGTAAGAGATATAAGAAGGAAGCACAGAAATCGAATAAGTCACTGACACCTTCCCAGAAATCAAAGGTGGTAAGGGACCTATTGAGAACCTCTTCATCAATGAGATACCGCGACCTAAAATCGATCATGCCAAGGTGAGCTTCGAGTGTGCGCTATGTACGGAAAGTGTCAATTCACTCACCCCCCCTCAAGGCCCTGATCAAGGTTAAGGCCTTCGGTCTGAACCGAATGGACCTTCTGCAGCGGGAAGGAATGTATCCTGTGCCGCCGCAGGCACCGAGTACGCTAGGTGTTGAATGTAAGTTGGTGACGACCGTAGGTGAGCCGACAAATGACTAATTGGCGCCCGTCCTGAAGTCTCGGGGACAATCGAAGAACTAGCCGGCGAGAGTGAAAAAGGTTTCAAGAGAGGCGACGAAGTGTTCGGCCTTGCATATGGCGGCGCATATGCGGAATATATCGCCGTCAGCACGCATATGCTGCTCCACAAGCCGGACGAACTAAGCTGGGAGCAATGTGCTGGCATACCTGAGGTAAGTGATCGTAAAGAAACGTCATGGCTTGCAAGCTCACGTTGGCACCAGACTTGGATCACCGCGCTACAAGCAATGTATCTCATCGGCGAATTTGCGCCTGGCAAGTCTATCCTGTGGCATGCTGGTGCAAGTGCGGTCTCCATCGCAGGCCAACAACTAAGCAAGGCGAATGGCGCATCTGCGGTTTTCGCGACTGCTCGATCTGATGACAAATGCGATTTCTGCGTCAAGGAATTAGGTGCAAAGGCAGCGTACAACACCGAGACGGCCGATTGGTCTGCGGAAGTCCTCAAGGCTACCGAAGGCAAAGGCGTTGATATCATTGTCGACTACATCGGACCAGCAACGTTCGCGGGCAACCTTAACGCAGCCGCGAGAGACGGTCGGATCGTCAATCTAGCGTCGTTGAGCGGCGCAAAATTGAAGCCTGAGATGGCTCAGCCTGATTTCTCCAACTTCGTTCGTAAGCGCATCCGGATAGAAGGCAGCAGCCTGCGGAGCAGAGACGAGCTTTACCAGGGTAAGCTTCGCGATCAGTTGCATGACCACGCCCTTCCGAAGTTCAAGGACGGCTCCTTCAAGGTGCACATAGAGAAGGTTTTCCCATGGGAGCAGATACAAGAAGCTCATCGCCTAATGGAGTCGAACAAGGTCAGTATCATCATCTCTAGAAAATGTTCCGCCTACTGACAATGATGCAGACCAAGGGAAAGATCATTTGCACAATTGCTTAATATAGTCGTTGTAATTGTCCATCGACGCATAACAAGCTCTGTGTTTTGCTGGCGGTATTGTGCAAAACTAGCCACGTGTTTATGGTCTTTGACGATCTTGGTTCTGTGGAGCATGGATGTATTGGGAGCCGATAGAGCTCTTCACTCTCTTCGGCCCCTCCTGCACGTCCAATTGGTTACCGTCCGGCTATCAAAGATAATCACGTTTCCGTAAACTATCGTCAACGGTCGACGCCGGTCGGTTGGCCATCAGATCGGTCCCTCTGATGATCTTGTCCGCAGCGTACAGTATGAGCACTGAGAACACCGCTTCAGCTTGCCTTAGACGGATCGCACCGTCTCACGACTGCCTCAGTGCTTGGAGACTGGCGCCGCAAGAAGGAGGCATTGATCACTACGAACCAAGGCTCGTTACGGAACTGCGGGCTGACCTCCGCCAACGTTGCTGTCGATCTCGGCATCGTTAAGACATACCCGTCCTTCGAAGGTTACATAAATGCCCGAGACTGCACGCCTGTACGATTATCGTAAACCGTGTCCACTTTTTATCGAAGCTCGGCAGGCAAGTAGACTTGGCAACAACCACCTTCAATTTTCAGAAGGCGATGCTACGCATCGTTGTACGCTGTTGCTGGAAGATTATTGTTCCATGTTGCGTTCAAAACAGTTGTGCTGAACATGTACCACATAGGTCAGTGGCCTCTGGGGAAATTGCCCAACCCCACCGTTAGGCACGGACCAGATTCCGGCTTTGACAACGCCCCTTCGGCCCCTTGATATCAGATTGTGCTATCCTGAAGCAGCGACACACTTTCGCACTAGATCTCTTTGGTGAGGATCCTCTCAAGGAGATAGTCCTCGGCCTCCCAAGATGTGCGGCGATGACCCATTGTGGCTGCATAGGAAGCCAGTTGAGATTGCGCGCTCGGCGCGTCGATCGCCAGAAGGGGCTAAGTCACCAAGCAGCATCTGGTGAGATTGTAAGAGGACGACCTGGTTCTTGCCGGGGATGGCGTCGTCGGCCTCTCTCTCCGTAGAGCACAGACTATGCTTGGAAACGGCAGCGCATCAAGTTTGTGGGACATCTAGAGCTGGATATACACTTTCAAGGAGCCGTGGTCGAGCTGGGCGAAACTTTCCTTTGCTTTGTTCTCTCCTTGCAGCATTTCACATCAGCGCTCCCTAGCCGACATGTCCCTTCGTTCTGGCACCAGCGGCCTTGACAGTGTTGACGTCGAGAAAGTCAACAGATCCGTGTCGCCGCTTCACAGGAATAGCACTTCTGGCTTCAGCGGGCCAGCACACCCAAGCTTCAACTTCAACGCGCCAGCAAGCGCACAAGGGTTCAGTTATCATCGTACCGATAGTCCAGGAGGCTTTAATTTCAACCGGACCGACAGCCCAGGCTTCGCAAGGACGCAAAGTCCGAGTGTCAGGTTGAGCACAAGCAGTGCAGGCGAGCGCATCACGGGTAACCTGCTGCGAGCAAAGAGCACTCCGCACGTTGCCCCGTCTGCAAACTCGACATCTCCTAGCAGTTCCACTTCAATCGAGTACTCCAATCCACCACAGAGTTGGCAGCGGCCCAGCGAGGACGATACGCCTCGTTATCAGCCTAGACGACACACTTTTGTAGAGCTTCCTGCAGACCCTACGGCTGGAAGGATACCAAGCCTCAGTCAAAGATCATCGAAGCCGGACTTCTTGAAAGGTCCACCCCCGCCACCTCCGCCTGCAGTACCTCCCATGCCCACTGCACCGTCAAAGGCAAGGTACTCGCAGCAATCGAGCAAATCGCACGAGGTCCACGAAATGAAGCAAGCGCCCTTCCAAATGCGATCCGACAGTCAGATGCAGACTGAGAGTATGCGGTCGCTCGTACCTACCATTCGCGAGAAATCTTCCTTCATTGACGGGCCGAGCACTTTTGCCCAGCGGGTCTTTGAAGCCGGCAAGCCAGACCTGTTGTACGACCTACGAACAACGATCCTGCTCAAGGATCATAAAGATGGCTTTCTGGATTTGACAACGCTTCAGCGGATGAGCACACATGTATTGCAGCAGAAGCTGGTAGAGCAGGTGAAGGCGATCGGTGACCGAGGAGCATGGATGGAGATTGGAATCAAGGACGCCCTACACGACTATTGTAAGTCTGTCGTCTCTGGCAAGTCCGTCCAATGCGTGCTAACTATTCGCAGGTGAAGCGATACGCGACTTGCAATTTATGGAGTCGTGCGGGACGAACGGGAAGGACAACGATCCTTTTCTGCTGTCTACCGTCAAACCTATGGACTGTCAACTGCTCGAAGACGCGGGTTTGGCGTGGAGAGACTCGAAACACAAGCCTGCTCGACAACACCCAGACCGCCTTGAATACACAAAGCGGGTCTCGCCTGTGAGGCAACGGCTGCGAAGACTCCTGATGGCGCTCCTGGGCGGACTAGCACTTATCGCGCCCTTCCTCATCATCACGCTGCTCCAAGGCCAGTTGGTGAGACTCGTCGTCACCTGTGGCTTCATGGTAGTCTTTGCAATAGCAGCGGCGATAGGCAGCGAGCTCTCTCCGGATCGGGTAGCACTGGCTACTGCAGCGTATGCCGCAGCCCTCGTGATTTTCGTCGGCAACAACCCTCCAACTTGGCAGTATTAATGAGCAACAGGGCGTCTTCTTTGGTTTCCTATCTACAAAGCGTCAGTCGAAGCTCGCTTGGAGCATATCGGCATTTCTCTTCAACGTACATAGGGATGCGACGATTTGCGTAATGCACTCTGTTGGAAAACAAATAACATCAAACACCGTTCGATTACATTGCCTCGTTCACCATCGACCCAAGGTCATTCATGCCGATAAATGCTGGGCACGGGTGTGCTGCAAAACCATAGCGTTCAAACTCCGAACCACGATGTCCCCTGCACTCGCGCAAACCGGGCGCGCTCAAGGTTCGTCATGAGATCGCTCAGGTCGCGTCAACGCTCTCGTGAACAGGCTCCAGGTTGCCGGTGGAGCGGTTGAGGTATGACACGATCTGCATCTCGTAGACTCTTTGAAGCCGCTCTTCGGACTCTTGCGCGCGAAGTGACGATTGACGTGACTGCAGACTATGCAGGTCTCGAAGCGACACACCGACTGGCGACCTTCTTCGCCGTAGCGCTGGGGTGATCGGCGTGCTCGTCACACTGCTGCAGCTAGTCGATGCAGCAGATGTCGAGGTGCGCGCGGTGTAGAAGGAGCTCTCAGAGACGATCGAGGAAGGGTTCCTTCTGGAGAGCATGACCCCCGAGATGGATCTGCGCTTGCAGGTGCAGACGTCGGTGGGATGGCTGAAATATCTGCATACTGAGCAGTAATGCTGTGTGCCCGTTGTTACCCGCACAATCTGTCCAAAGCTGAGTCGTTTCGAGTTCTCCATGGGTGGCAGCGATGCGGACCGCGGTAGAAGCAGAACAGTTGGCAGAAATAGAGAGGACCAGGTCACTTACAAGTCTCGATTCCTTCCGTCTGAAACGCAGGGATACGTCAGCTGTCTATACTAGGTTTGCGGGACAATAATGTAGCACTCTGCAGTTCGCGCTATCGCTCCGTCGACAGGGCACTTCCCTACACTGTACCAGACATCCGCGTGCGATTTGTCTCGGGGACTACTGACTCTCAGCCCGCCACATACATCCCACTCAGCATAACCCGAGACCGCCACATGACATGCTCGCGGTTTGTCGCACGCTCGTGAGCAGTTCCTTCCACTGCCGATAAGGGTGGCTGGGAGCCGTACTATTTCTCCCAATGGCTGAAGTCACCTCCAGAAGTGACTAACGCCGCTGACCCGTCAGCAGCCGCAAGGCGGAGTCGCCCCCGCAAAAGAACAAATTCACCTTGGGACGCTGACGCCGAGCGCCCTAAAAATCAGCCTACGGTGAGAGAGATCGAGATTCCAGACGATAGCAGAGTAGCCTTCCAGGTAAAATGTAGATGCAGCAAGGCCAGAGTGATATCATACGTATGTCTTACTACACAACGGGAAGTGAGACCCTTGAAGCAGGTCTATACTGAGAACGTTGCGATGCTGCAAATGTTCAACGACACAATTGAAAACACACCGGATCAGGTCCGATACTGTGTCCCGTCAAGGTGACAACGCTGATTTCGGTCATCTCATATTCGTACATATGTTACATGCTATGGGCCATATTCTGCGCCAGACAGCCATCGCTGCAGCCCGTGGAAGCTGCGGCCGAAACTGGATGAAATCATTATCACATCGCATTGTCCTCCGTCCTCATGATTAGCGATCTATGCTGGGCAGGATCGTTAGTGACCGTTTGTAATACGGCTTCCCTCCAGCCTCCGAGGGCTACCAGACTCGTGGGAGTTTATTGGTAGCGCAGCCTGGTCAACCCAGCAGCGCAGGTGTTGTTAGACCACCCGAGATTGAAGTCGTCGGCGAACCACATGCGCTCGTCAGTGCCAGTGTACGCCAGAATCTGCAGCCCAGTCAAGCTACGGAATGATGCCGGAAAGCTGACTTGTTGGAGCGGGCAATTCTCGAGCGCAGAGCAAGGCGGGATGGTTACATTCTGCTTGTATGTCGCAATCTCATCGCCTGCTGACGGACTCCACGTGTAAGCGGTCATGACAAGCGTACAAACACCCGGTCCAGCGTTGTCGCAGCCAAAGAAGGCGGTGAAGGCATCAAACCAGAAGGCCGACATTGACTCGTACGGGCCGTCAGCGATCTCGCCAGGCTTGGTGGAGCGAGTCGTTATGCCGCTCGCGTTACCAAGGAAAACTGCGAGGCGTGGCGGGGATACCGGAATGTAAGGCTCGCTGGATCGAGGAGCGTAGACGTAGCCGTTGCTGAAGGTGAGGTGATTGTACGGGTTGGGGACCGGAGGAGCTTGCGTGATGTCCGTCAGGTTCGCATTGTTCGGCACGAAGTTCGGCAGGTCGTCAAATGTCAACGTGAAATTGCCGTGCTCGCCGCAAGCTGTTGGCGTAGCAGTGGCTGACGAAGCCGGGAAGGGGTTTAAGAACGTCGAAGACGTGGCCGTGCCGGTCTCGTTGGACGTTAAGGCAGGCTGCGGAGCAGACACCGAAGCCGAAGTACTAAGAGCGGATGTAGATGCGGTGCCGGTACTCGAACTATGGGGCTCCAGCGAAAGCGGGCTGGCAGCTGAGGTGACAGTTGTCAAGGTTGACAATGGCGGGACGGAGACAGTTGAGCTGCTGAACGCACCAGATGTTGCGGACAAATTGGGCGCACTGCTGGAGGTTGAGCTTGTGGCCAATGCCTTCGTAGATGCAGACGAAGAGCTTGTCGCGCTCGAGATAGACGACGTAGTCTCGATGACCACAGACCCTGACAATGTCGACGTCAAAGTTCTCGACGTCACGGCGGTTGACGAAGGCGAGCCTGTTGTGCTTACCACAGGGCTCGGATGCGTGCTTTGCGCAGCAAGGCTTGCTGCACTTGTTGTGTTGGCTATCGCTGGTGTCGAGATCGGTGTTGAGTATGTGGCCGCTAACAACGATGTCGGGTCGGAAGGGGTCAAGCTGGACAGGACACTGGAGATGACTGACAGGGCCGCAGATGACGCGCTCTCAGGTATCGTGATCGATGGTGCTGCACCTATGGTGGAGGAGACACTGGTGGTTGATGGTCCGTTTGAAGTTGAGTTGCTTGTGACTGGAGAGCCTGTCGACGACGAATTGCTGCCGGACAGCGCGCCTACCGCCGTGCTAGATGACGATGGAGTACCTGATGAGATTACAGGGTACGGCGCATAGGGGAGAGGTGTCGTTCCATTCCAGACAAAGTAGCCCGACACAGTCGATGGGTTGGGTCCGGCTAAGCTTAGCGCCGTGCTCCTCGTCTCAAGGAACGTTGGAGAAGAACCTGCCGGCATGGTGCTAATTACAGGCACAACAGACGTAGCTACGGCTGAGCTGGCGACAGATGCGTTGGCCATTGCGCTCGTTGTAAGCCCGTTCACCGTTGACAAGTTGACTGCCGAGCTAATAGCTGAAAGCGTGAGCGGTGCGCTCGTGGTGTTCATCTGCATGCTGCTTGCGCTTGACGATACGCCACCACTCGGAGCGGAGATAGCTCCTGCTGTAATTGATGATGCGTTCGCAGATGTTATACTGGCCGATGGAGCCGAGCTGGAAGAGAGCGTGGTCGCTGATGTACTGATTCCAGCAACAGTGGTGTTGGCAGCCGCTGCGAGCGAACCAAAACTCGGTGACGGCGTGATGTCGAAGCTTGTGCTGAAGTAGATGGGTGTCGGAGTGCCAGTGTACGTGACTGTTGTCGTGATCACGGTAGTGCCAGTCGACGTGGTAGAACTGTTGGTGCCGAGATAGTAAGTTCCTGTTAGCGTTGTCACAGAGTCGGTTCCATTAATCGGCGCGCTCTTCGGCCCGGCAGCGTCTGTTGGACCAGCAAGCGCAGCACTTGAGCTATTCCATCCGCGAGAACCCATGCCTCCAGACGATGAACGGCTAGAAGATGCGTAAGACAGCTGGACAGTGGTATAGCGTGTGCTCGTGGATGTCTTCGTCTGGACCGGACTGATAAAGGCGAATGTCGTTGAGACGTAAGGCTGTATGGTGATCGTGTGAATGTCGTGAATGGTCGATTGAATGGTCACTGTGGATGTGGAGTCACTACTTGGCAAGGTTGACAGCGGGCTGACGATCTGCGTGGTCGTTTCAGTGGCACCGTAACTGCTTGGCGGGTCTGGAGAGCTCGAAGGGGCGGCAGACACAACCGTGATGGTGCGTGTCAACGTTGATGTGGAGTAGACTGTGCTGTGGATAGTGACAGTCGAGCTGCTGCTGCCTGGAACCGTGTCCGCCGAGGAAGCGGACGCTGGGTACACAGTCTCGGTGTACGTGACCGGAACGTAAACTGTTGTAGTCGGCATGCACGCCGCAGAAGCTCTAGTTACAAAAAGTAAGTATTCGATGCATTGGTACAATACACCGCCAACAATTAGAAGCAGGAGGAGAAAGGTGCAGAGGTCTCGGCAGTGAATCAGATGGCGTCCGTTTTGGCCTTGTGGGAGCGGGTGGAAGCCTGCTTCAGATCCAAAGCTCTCCTCTGTGTCCCCTTCGAGTCGCTGAGTCCAGGCCTCAAACGCATCGGACAATTTTCGCCCAAGAGCGACCCACGACCGGTCCTCGTCGTCGCCAGGAGGGTCCGCCACGTCATTCATACGGCCAAGATAAGAGTCTCTTCTAAGCTGTCTCTCCGCCTTTGTGATGACTCGACCTGGTGCAGCCAAGGCTCCCGTCGTCTGCGAATGCTCGCTGCTCCTTTTCCGAAGCGCTGGGCGACCAAGGCCAGAACGTGCGGAGGTTGCAGCCTCTGGAGATTCAGAAACCCAATGAGACATATGCAGCGGTAGTTTCTGCAATCAAATCTATTGTGTTCTTTCGGTATATCGCGGTTGCCTTGATGTTCTTTTCTTGTTGATGCCAAATGTACTGCTGGTGGTAGACTGTGCCGAGACCGAGTATTGCTGCTGTTGTGACTTGCAGAAAGGAAATGCCAAAGGACCAGATAGCTGCAGGGCTGGCCAATCCAGGATGCGGAAGGAGGTATCGAGACAGGGGAGGTCTGGCTGAGCAGGCACAGCGATATGAGACAGAGGACTTACCCATCTGAAGGCGTTTGAGCTGCGGCAATCTGGACCGCCAACGCGGCAGCGAAAGCGATGGCCTTCATTGTGCAATAACGAGTGAGGGTAGCTGTGAAGGAGTGACTCTGAGTTGGATGCAAAAGCGAGTGCAGGTGGTGGGTCGATGAAAGAAGGACAACCCGTTGGCGATGAAGTAGAGAAAGCGCGTTGATTGCAAACGAGCGTCGCAGTGACGTTGCGTCAAGAGAGTGCGGAAATGAAACGGACTCGCGCTAATGTGCCAAGTCTTCCGCTTCCGCAAAGTGTGTTTGATTAGGAAGGTACCACTGGAGGCCTTGCGCTGGTTCAGATTCAGCCCTTCTGCATGCACTCAACGTCTTACTTGCAGCTGGCAGTCTGAAACAATGGTATTTGATATGGATCAGGTAACGACCAGTCTTGGTATCGGTGGCTGCTTGCGCGATCGAAGTACTGTGGGACAGACAGCGTAACGCGAACGCCGCCGCAAGATCAGCGGTTGTACGATCGTTGCGCAGGAACCCAGAGTCTTGCTGACCTGCAATTTGCCATGTTATCCAATGCGTCGGGCGTTACTTTGGGCAAACACAATGCAGCTATCCGACTAGAGCAACGCCTGGGACCAACATCCCGAAGAGGTCACGCGAGGCAGCTCACAGGCACGGGTAGCTTGTCAGTCTCCCAGAACACTTACAGGGCTGGCCTCATTATGCCACTCGTGAGGTGGATCTTAACGCGAACACACGTGCGCTTTTTTCGTGACTGCCCGTTCAGGTTGAAGAGGCTGCTCGCGCTCATGCTGTGTAACGTGACATAGCTGCGGGCGGGAACTCTCCACCCTCGGCATGTTGAGGACACGGAAGCGATAGCACGTAGGGGTAAGGCGCGCAATGTACGCTGCAGAGCATGCTGAGGCCCCAAGAGAAGATCAAAAGTCGTAAGGTGTCTGGAACGTCATCTGCTGATGGCTTCGGCGAGATCTCCTGGCTGTCAAAGAGCACGGCATATGATTGGAGAAGCGCACCCTTCTGCATGTTGTCAAGTCGCGCGGATCTGAGGGGATTCACGCACTTTCGTCTTAGTGCCAAAGGCCTTTGGAGAGCTATCACATGGCCCTCGTGGCTGAGGCGTCCGAGACAGGGCGACGCCCAACTGTTCGCTCAGCATGCAGGGCGTAGAGCTCCCACTTGTAGGCACTCTGGTGGCGACTGTGAGTCACCGCGTGATCTCGGTCAAACCCATCATGTTGACAATGATGCTCAGATGGTTTCGGCCTCGCACATGCTGCAGCCGTATGTCGAGCGATGCTCCCATATCGCGTGTTCCGTTACCTTTAGCCGGGAGGAACCGCCGGCGGTTTGGTGTAGAAGGCGTTGTTATTTCGACGCCTATCCCACTTCGAAGTGAAACGATAACCTCACTACAGAAGGACAATCATACCGAATTTGTGCAGACTTATTGGTAACGAACACCGACTGTCGTAAAGCGTTTTCTTAACAGCATACCAGTTTGCGCACACCTTCGGCCCCAACTGCGTAGCCAGCGCATTGTGGAACATTGACACACGACCCGACCCCACCACACCCAAATGCCCATGTCGAAGCGATGAACAACTTCTCTCCTCTGCCAGCGACTGGCACGAGACAGAACAGACGATCAATGGGCGTCGATCACAATGGCATCCGAACGCCAGGAGAAAGGGACGGTGCCATGCCTATGCCTGTGGCCGGCGCACCACGTCCCTTCGGACCCTACCCGACCGGTGCTGGCGCATACGGCCCGCTACCAAGAAGTCCGCCGAAGAACAAGAGTAAGTACGCTCGTACAGTACATACTACGGAGTGCTTGGGGTTGATAAGAGTACAGACACCCAACACGTACCCTGCAAATTCTTCCTTCAAGGCGGCTGTCAGGCTGGAGCTGCATGCCCCTTCTCCCACGACCTCGAATCAACCACCCGCCCAGCACCCTGCAAGTACTTCGCTAAGGGCGGCTGCAAATTCGGGCGCAAGTGTGCATTGCTACATATCACCCCAGACGGCACGATAGTGAACCGACCGCCTCCGCCAGCGTATCCGCCGGCGCCTCCCTTTCCGGGCCCACACCCACAAGCGCAACCAGGCATGTACGGTCCACCACCTCCCGGTCTACTTAGTATGCAGGCGCAGGGTCTCGAGCAACGCACAAACGGCGACGCAACGCCAGAGTTCGATCACTATCAGTACGGGCATAGGAACGGCTACGAACAACCTTTCGATATGGTTTTCACATCTGCCTCACCCACCTACGGCTCACCTCCGCAGAATGGCCTTGGCTCATCGCCACCTCAGCAGCAGAAAGGCTTGTCAGTACTGGACGCGCCGCTACCAAACTCTTTTGACAGCAACGGTATCTCCATGGCAGCCCGCAATGGCCCCTTTGCAGCCTCTGTACCTTCGAGGTTCGGTATCGAGTCTCCGCCTTCTTCACTGCCACGCAAGTCACAGCTCGGCAACACGGCGTTGAGAGATCTGCATAGCTCAGCATTTGGCGATATAGGCATGGACGGCATGATCGCCAGTATGGGTTCCTCGCCACCCAGTGGTACGGACGAGCCTTTGACGTTTCCAAAGCGACCGCTACATTCAGAGAGACTACGAATGTCCAGACCCATGGTGTCTGCCAGCCTGGGCACGAGGCTACCAACGACGTCCTTCGAATATTCTGACGACGAGGGCGGCGACAGTGATCGAGAAGAGGATCTTCTACCGGCCAGTCTGCGGGACCTCATACCGGAAGGCAAATCACGTCGCGCATCAAGGACCCGACCTGACGACGACACCCCGGCCGGTTTCCTTTCGGCAGCAAGGCGGACGCTCTCACAGGAGAGTAAGAGCGGTAGTCTAGGCTCGAGTCCGTCACGGTTCTCTAGCGTCTTCGCTCGCGCGCAAACCAACAGGCCGGACGGAGACGGCCACGGTCATGTCGGCTCACCACTTCGTAATGCGGGCCTAACATACCGCCCAGCAACGCAGCAGACAAATGGCGAGCTACAGCCCGGAATCAGCAGCCCTCCAAGACAAGCGAGCATGAGCATGCTCACACAGGAGCTACAGCGTACCAAACTGGACGTGGCGAGGTCACAAACGCACGCTATCGGTGGCGCACCTAATCCGTCTCCGGTCCGGACGTTATCAAATGGTTCAATGGGACACAGCAGTCTAGACCGCGGCGTAAGTAGCACCAGTGTCCCGAAGATAGACGAGGAGCAGGAGCTCTTCGACATGGATGAAGTCGGTGCACCTACCAAGGTCCTGCCGAGATCTGTTCCTAACGGCGAAAACGGCTTTGGACCTATTGGTGCACATCGTTCGGGGAAATGATTGGGCTTGATATGTGCGACTATGGAACACGGTGCAACGATTATTGACTACGCTATGAGCGATAGCAAGCGAGGCGCAGGTGGAGTTGGTTTTCCTGCTTCGGGGCATTATTTTTGCAATCACAGAGATGGAGTCCTCGGCGATGAACATCCCGAGGCGACTTTAGGCGATGTCGCACGTATTTGCGATCAATCGGCGAGCGCCTAATGCGCATCAACCCTGCAACCAGTCATGAGTATAGCAGCCTACATATACAGCAAGCTACATATACACAGGCTGCAGCTTCCCGCAAACTCTCTGCACGACTCTTTCGGGAAGAACCGTTTCGTAAACCATCTTGCACCACTCGCTAACCAGCGGTCTAGTGACAGCTGGATCGATGATCTCTTCGATACTAAACGCATTAGCCGTCCTCACAGGATTCATCAACCTCCGATACTCGGTCTCGAGCTCTTTGTATCTTGCGTCTTTCGCCTCCACTCCGTGCTCCTTCTCGAGCTTGCGGAGTTCGCTGGCGTGGCCGACAGCGATACCGCCGTCTAAACATGTACTTCGTCAGCAAGACGAACGAAGATAAGGAGGAGTCAGTCGGGGAGTGGCTTACCCAGTGGAAGGCTACCCCATTCTCCCGATGGCCATGCGACTCTGGTATGCGGCTGGCGGCACTCTACCATGATACTTCCTGCAATTCCGTACGCCTTTCGAACAATGACATTGAACAAGGGGACGGTAGTGGTGTAGTAGGCTTTCCAAAGCTCGACGCCCCAGCGCATGGTGGCTGTTCGTTCGGCAACGGTCCCGATGGAGTAGCCGGGCACCTAGCAGTAAGTGAGCAGGTTTCACACACGAAATGCTAACACAGGCCGGGGCTTACGTCAACAAACTGCAGGATCGGCAGGTTGAACACATCGCACATTTTCAGATGTCGCGTGATTTTCTGCGAGCCCGCCGCGTCTAGCGCTCCCGTCAACACTTCGGCGTTATTGCAGATGATGCCCACGGGGTTGCCACCAAGCCGTGCTAATCCAACAATCGCCGTCCGTCCCCATAACGTACCAATCTCGAAAAAGGACCCGTTGTCGACGACGGTCGAGATCATCTTCCTCGGGTCGTACATTCGCTCACGCCGTCTCGGGATCAGAGTCCGCAGCTCAGGCGCCGTCCGCTCGATCGGATCTTCACACGCAATCGTCGGCGGTATCTGCGTGCCACAATTCGGCAGAAACCCGAGCACCGTCCGGATCTGCTGGAAACACCCCGCCTCGTCCGGAGCAAGATTGTCGATCGTGCCGTTGGTGCAATGGATCGCTGGACCACCCAGTTCTTTGAACGACAGGTCTTCCTCAAAGGTGGCATTCGCCACGACCTGCGGTCCCGCATTAAACAGCGAACCGACATCCGCCGCCATCACCGAGAAATGGCACGCCACGACTCTGGCAGCCCCGAGCCCGACAGCCGTCCCCAACGCCGCGCCCAGGTTCGGAATCCCAGCGTTCAGCTGCTCAACAACCGCGTGACTCCCGTCCAGCGGCGGCACGTAAGCATACTGATTCGTGATAATCGTCGACACGGAGCCACCGCCCGACGAGCCGTCGACGAGTTTGATCATCGGCAGTTTGAGCGAGAGGGCCAGTTTCTCCATATACACCGTCTTCGCCATGACCGCACCGTCCGCGTGTCCGGCGCGGATGGTGAAGTCATCAGCAGTAAGTACCACACGTCTTCCGCCCAGCATCCCGAAACCATTGAGATTGTTCGTGGGAGTGAATTCGAGTGGTTCTTCCGTGATGGGTCCGGTTTGCCTCCATTTCACTTTACCTACCACACTGCCGACTTCGGTAAAGGAGTCTTTGTCGAGGATTTGGTTGATGCGTTCGCGGACCCAGAGTTTACCTGCTTGTCGATGTCGGATGTAGCCGGTTTTGGTTTGGTCGGGGTTGGCGGCGAGGTGGCGGAGTTTGTTGAGTTGGCCGAGGACGTCGCTGTAGTCTGCGGGAAGCTCGTCTGGTTTCTTCTGGCGTCGTCGTTTGCTGGTGTTAGAAGTGATGCCGTTTTGGGAAGCGAGGTGGCCGGAGAGTTGAGCTGCTCTGGCTGTGGCTTTGCTTGTCAGGTCCGGAGACTTGGATGTTGACAAGTCTTCGGCCTTGTCTATGCTGCCATTTGGAGCGTCGTCTGGGCCAGCCATCTTCGCAAGCGCACAACGAGCGCCCGAAGCGCACAAAGTTTCTCCTCTCCATTGTCTGTCTTGGGTATGGAAGGATACATGTACATCGGATGAGAAGCAGAGCTGTGCCGAGGTTGCGAAGATCTCCACAAGCTGAGGAGCCTCGTCTCATCGTGTCACTGACAGTACTTTTTCGTTGCGACAGCGCTTGAACAAATCACCGATCCATCGGTCGTTCATCAACATGAACTACTGTCTGCGCATCTGCTTAAGGTGTAAAACCATCGTCCTCGCTGTAGGGTGACTTTCCGTCTACCCAACCCACACTTCACATGCAACCTCCGCTGCAAACCGTACTGTCGTCGCAAAAGCGAGCATTACTTCACCGTGAGTAGCTGAGCTAACACGAACCTACCAGCCTCGGAACATGCACACAGATCGGATGGCACGTGCACCGCATTGGCAGAAAGGGAAGGCACGTGAGCATTCGCCACCCGCTAATGGCCCATATTATCTTCTTGATAGGGTAGTGCAGTAGCATCTAAGCTCTGTTCCTAAGCTTTGAGAACACCGTGATACGCCTCGAAGCAGTTCCCGGCTCCTTCCCAGCCTTGATCGTAACCGCACCAGACGCCGTCTCCCGTCGGGTATTCGTAGTTGTGCTCGCCTCCTTACTCCTCAAAGCAAAATCCCTAACCCTAACTTCATCGCTCGACCCGGTCGAGCTATAGCCCGAATCCTGCCGCTTCCGCAGCGCATCTTTCATGGCATGCCTCCCTTCTCCGGCGCCAGACCCAAGCTTCGGACCCTCACCGTCCTCCGCAGATCTCGCGCCCCGCTAATCAATCCCATGCTCACGTTTGAGCTTTTCTAAGTTCTCCTGGCGTTCCGCGAGGTCCGCTTGTGCTTTCGCCATCTTCTCTGGCTGATGGTAGAGGACGACGAGGTAGCGGTTTTGGAAGTTGAAGCCGTTGAGTTTGTCGCACGCGGCTTTGGCGTCCATGACGTCGTCGTAGACTACGAAGGCTGTGCCTTTGGTGTTGGAGGCGATGCCTTGGCGGATTTGCCTGGGATGGGGTGTTAGTGGGGTGGTCGCGTGACCTGCAAGTTGTGGTAGGGAAGGCGCACCGAATGCTTCCGTAGGCGCCGAAGAGGCTGAAGAGCTCATTTGTGGAGACGGTGAAGGGGAGGCTGGTTGCATGTTAGCGATCGTGGTGGACATGAAGAGTGGGCGGAGGACTGACTTCTTCACGTAGAGCGCACGTGATGTACTGGTAGACTGTGAGGCTCTGCTCATCGCCGACGGCTGTTCGTATGGACGTAAGGTGCCTAGTTGGAAGGGGACGAAGAGCGCTGTGTCGCCGGCGGTCCGATGTCGAAGCGTAGTGGGTACTTGGAGGGTACAGGATGATCTCGAGGCTTAGTAACACTTCAGCCTTACGATATCGGCCAGGCACGGCAGATCCCGCTCGCAGCTGAGCCTCGCCTCGAGCTCGCAAGCAGGAAGGCGTACGGAATGCAGCAAGTCACCACCGACGATACAGTAACAACGATAGATGTATCCTTACGATAGACGCTGCTACACTACCACTGTACCCGTTGCGATTGCTTGTATACGCGGTTACAGGCTGGCGATGAGTTGAAGGTGGTCATTGTCGTGCGAGCCTGTCTTGCTCCACTGCTCCACTGCTCCACACGCTCAATCCACATCTCCAGTGACGAGCAATCGCCGTCCTCATTCGCACCCACCGTAGCCACAACACACCATTGCCCGCGTGCAATCACAGCGAAAGCGGTTGGAAACATCTCCTGCAGCACGAGTAGTCGGAAGCCACCGTGGCAGACTGGTGTACCTGCGTCCTTGCTCTCCTCCGTTCCCCGCAGGACCTCCGCTAGGCGATAGCCAACGCCGCAGACCGCCATGGCAAGCTGGAGTCACAATCCCATATTCCGGCGGCCGGTCACTTCCCCTCCACACAACCAACGCTCCCCGTCACCACCGAGAGCGTACATTGAGCCGCTGTCACCCGCGAAGCCACGACCGGTTGAGCCATGCTTCAACTACCCGGCGTTGACCGGCGTCGACTTCACCGTGCACCCACCCCATGCCTTCACTGCGCCGCCGAGACTGCCCGCACACGATACGGCGCATAGGAGCGGACATCAACGGACATCTTCCATTGACACTCTCGCTCAGGCAGCCGCGGCGGTGAGCCCGCAGTACACCCCACACTCCATAAAGAGCACAGACAGGTACCGGTACTACGATGGCTACTCGCAGAGCTATGTGCCTAGTCCTACGTGCGGCACGGGTGAACCACCGCATAAGCGAGCCAGGTCCGAATACCTACCATCACCGCAGGCCGGGATCTACGCTTCCAGACCTGCTACCAGCTATGTGCCGCAGGACGGACATAGAGGGGCGTATGGCAGCAGGGTTGAGGACGCCGCCCTCCTTCTGAACTTCACAACGAATGCTAGTGCTATGTCACCGCCACAAGCATCTGCAGCCGCACACCGGCCGCATGCGAACTCATTCCCGCAGTCGTCCCATCCCCCGCGGATGACTAACAACTTTCCGCATGCACCACTGCTGGCACGTTACGAGGCTCCGTATCAGCATCAGCAGCCCACGAACCTTCCATGGCAACACTCCGCTGAGTGGACGGAGAGAACCGACAATAGCGATCATGTACTACAGCAGACTCGACTCGCCACCTCGGCGGTGTGTCTTCGGTCGGATGACGCAACACCGCCACCCTCCAGCGCAGACGTGAAGTCTGTGGGCAGCTCAGAGGCCGGCAGAACCCGGCGTGGCTGGCCGAAGGGGAAGCCCAGGGGCACAGGCGCGCGGAAGACAGTCGCGGAGAAAGCAGCTACCAAGCGTGCGGCAGCTGCGCGGAAGAGGATGCCTGACGCCAAGCCCAAAAAGGCGACTGCGGGTGCTGTATTTGACGGCTCGGTTGAGGCGGCCAGTATTCTCCCGCGGCGGAAGAGCGTGAGCGACTTGATCCGAGAGGAGCTTACAGAACGTAGCCGCACGCCACAGAGAGCGAGATCAGTCCCTGTGGATACGCCAATGAGCATTAGAGGCCCTCCGTCTGCGAAACCCTCTCGACGGCCGCCGAAAGTCAACCCGGATACCATCTGTGCTGGCTGTTCGACTGCACGCGAGACGGCTACCGCTAACAGTGAGATGGACGAATGGATCTCTTGCAACGGATGCAAGAAGTGGTTTCATATCGACTGCGCTGGCTTCAGCAAAGCCCACGAAATCCGCGACGTGGATAAGTACTTCTGTCAGGCTTGTGAGCCGCAGCACGGTAAGACAACCTACGTGCGGAAGACTACGCGTGCGCACGCTCTAGTCGACTACGCTGAGCTTCAGAAGGGTGTGCTGAAGACCAGTGAGGAGAGCGTGGAGCATCATTACATTCAGCCAATCAAGGACGGCACGTTTCAGTTCGATCCGGAGAACTTTCCGCGTATGCGGCCGGAGATGGTGACTCGTGAGTTCTTCGAGAGGAGTGGGACCTTTGTCGAGCCTATCTGCATTCCAGCCGAGTGGAATCCGCGCCCATGGCAAGAGAGGACTGGTAAGGGAAGTGACTTTGACGAGGCGACTGTTGCAGGTTCGGTGCCCGAGACGGCAATGGCAGATCTCGAGCTGGGCGACTACGAATACGACACAGTGGCCGACGAAGGGCAAGACCGGCTGGACATGGTCATGCCGGAAGGTCTGACTGTTCGTCAGGTGTGCGAGCTTGTCGGCCCCGAGATACCGCTGGACGTTATCGATGTGAAGACACAGAACTCCGGTGCGAAGTGGAATCTCGGTCGGTGGGCTGACTACTACGAAGAAAAGGATCACGATAAAGCTATCCGCAACGTCATTAGTCTAGAAGTCTCGCAAAGCAAGCTCGGCCGCCTTCTTCGTCGGCCAAAGGTTGTTCGTGACGTTGATTTGCAAGACTCGGTCTGGCCTATCGAGGAGCGGGAGAAGGGCAAGTGGCCGAAGGTGCAATACTACTGCCTGATGTCCGTCGCGGACAGCTACACCGACTTCCACATCGACTTCGGAGGCAGCAGTGTTTACTACCACATCCTACGAGGCAAGAAGACGTTCTTCTTCATCCCGCCGAAGCCAAAGTATCTGAAGATGTATGAGGAATGGAATGAGTCTCCGCAGCAAAACTTCACTTTCTTGCCGCATCAGACGAAGGAATGCTATCGGGTGGACTTGAGCGAGGGCGACACGATGCTAATTCCATCTGGCTGGATCCACGCTGTCTGGACGCCGGAGACGAGTCTTGTCATCGGCGGCAACTTCCTCACAAGGTTGTCGTACAAGAACCAGTTCAGGGTGGTGGAGATTGAGAAGGCCAACCACACGCCGATGAAGTTCCGGTATCCGTTCTTTCAGCGCATCATGTGGTATACAGTCATCCAGTATCTCACCGAAGACCCGCTGCCGGCAGAGGTTAAAGAGGCATTCACGCGCGGCAAGCAATTCGAACGTTCAGTACCGATTTGGCAAGACTTCGACGGCGATATTGCGGCCAAAGATCCTCGACCGGGAGCGCAGAACGCACGCTATTACTCCCAAGCCGAAGTCGATGGGCTCCCAGACCTTGTCAACTACATATGGCGCACCGTCATGGTCGTCCTCGGCCGGGTCGAAGGCATATCCGAGGACCAGAAGAAGCGAGTGTATGCCAGTATTCCCAAAGGTTACGGCGACCCGCTCGAGATTGCCAAAACGTTCGCCTTGTGGGTCGCGCTAAAACGCGGGAACGAGGATCCGCCCGCTTTCGCGCACCCGGACTTTGCAATCGAGAACGTCAGGGAAGACGCCCCTAAAAAGTTGTCTGCGCGCGCATTGCGAGACCTGGAGCGCAAGGAAGCGATTGCGGCATGGAGGATTGCGCCTGATAGACAGAGTGAAAGGGTGATGAAGAAGATGGAGGCCGCGACGACTAACGGCGTTTCGCGTCAGGAGTCGAGGGGCCCAACGCCACCAGATGTGAAGATGTCGCATCCATCTCCGCCTCATCATCAGGAGCAGACGTCGGTGCATCAAAGCGCACCCGCTGTTGCATCGCCGGCTGCGCTCATGATGTCGCCAATGCCGGGCGCGTATTTCAGCACGCCCAAGACTTCAGTGCTGGGCCCCAAGCGCGTGGCTTGCGATGCGTGTCGCAAGCGGCGCATCAAGTGCAAACATAAGGATTTTGTAATGCAGACGACGCCGGAGCTTCTTAATCATGCGCCGGGATATGGCAGTCCGAATGCGCCGGAGATGCACGATAACATTACTGTCACGCCTAAGCAGGGACCGTACCATCTGGACGGTCAGCAGAATGGGATGACGAATGGATATCATTTTGATGGTGTGCCTACCGGTGATGCGGGGCCGCTGCCGGGAACGAACGCTTATGTGAATGCGAATATACCGATGACGATGAACGGGGTGCCTATCTTCGGCGAGGCGGCGAAGCGAGGGAGGAGTAAGGCTTGCTTTGAGTGTCGTAGGTCGAAGGTAAGACCTTTGTCAACTTCGACGAGTTGATCTATGATGCTCACTCTCTCACAGCGGAGATGCGTCCATGACGAGAACGGCAATGTCGATCCCGTCAAAGCTGCAGAGACACCCACGCCGAGAGGCACTGCCAAGAAATATTCCATAGGCGAAGACGGCAGTCCAGACCCGGCGCAGAAGAAGCCCAGGCGGGAAAGCCTCAGCAAGCCACCAGCCGTGCAAGGCGGTCAGGCGGGCATGCTGATCCCACCAAAGCCGCCTGCAGCATCAAAGCAGCAGACTCCGCGACCGCCGAGCAGACAGAAGCAACAATCAACATCACTACCACCTCCGCCACAGATCGTACATCATCCGCCTGACGACGAGCAGCAACCCGAGATCGACCCGAATCTCTTCCATTACCCGGAGCCGAGCGTGAACGGAAACGGGGTCCATACAGCAATGTCCCACAACTACCCTTACCCCACATCCGAACAAACACACTCCGCACAGCAGCAAGCGTACGAACTCGCGTCACTCGAGCAAATCGCCAACGAAGTCCTGGATATCGACGGCAACGCCAACGGCCAACCCCCCAACGAAGACTACATCGACGCGCAGCTTAACGCACTGGCCCGCGAGAGGCAGGCGAGGGAGAGTAACGGGTATCACCATGGCTTCGAAGCTGGTTCGTTAAATGGCACCGACTCCCTTCCAAACGGCACCGGCATTGACACAGCAAGCACAGCGCTCAAGCAGGAGGACGGGAGTATCGACAGCGCCATCTCCATGTCGAACAGCAACCACGTCGACGTCGACCGAGACGTGGATGACCGATTGCGGGACGCGTTGACGGGGCAGGACGTGTTTACGTACCGTGAATTACCGCTCGCGCATCCCTCCGTGGAGACGAATGGCCGTGGCTCGAATCACCAAGTGGTGATGCGACGGCCATCGACGAGTAATGGTGATGTCAACGGGCTTCCGCATTTCCAGCCGCCGCTGTCCATGTCGCAGTCGCCCGAGCAAGTCAAGAAGAGGAAGGTGGACTTTGACGATGAACATCACTATCATCAAGCGCTTGCTGTCAAAAAGGGCAAGCTCAATGGGATGGTGGCGCGAGAACTTAGTCCGGAGGAAGTGGAGGACGGACGGCTGGTCAAGCAGATGCTGCAAGCGGAGCGGGGGCTGAGGAGTAGGGTTTGAGAGCACGTGCTGGCCAGCAGGGGCGTGTGTTGTGTTGTACAGATTTGCGACGGACAGATGGTGCGTGGCTCTGTTGTTGTACCGCGTTGCGGCTGTAGGATTAGCTAAGCGGTTAGCCTGGCTCGTTGGTAGGCTGGGCTGGTATGGATCGCATCTCCATCTCCATCTCCATCTTCTAACCCACGTTCAGTGCAGCTTCAGTCAATTTCAACGCTTGAAGCTACACCAGGTTGACAAGCTTACTCAACAGGCAAGGAAAGATCTAGCCATCGCTCCGCTGCGTCTCATCACCATCACCTGGTTCAGGTTCACTGTCCAACCCCTCAATCTCCTCCTCCTCAAGCTCACTAAGCTCCGACTCTCCCTCCTCCTCTCCAGCCCCATCCACCTCCCCATCCACCACTGCCTCAACCTCCCCATTCTTCTTCCGCTTCCTCCGCGGGCTCTTCGCAAGCCTCTCCTTCTTCTCCCTCACCCTCTCAATCTGCTCCACCAACCTCCTCCGCTCCGGCTCCCCCTGCCTCGCCAACCTCCCCTCCAACATCAAAAACTCCTCACCCTCCACATCCATCCCCACCAGACTCTCCAACAACTTGATCTCCCGCGCCCAGATGGATTTATCCTCCACATTCACCTCCGTCTTCGCCTTCCCCTTGACTTCCTTGATATACTTCCCCTCGTCGTCGCGGACATCGATGGGCGTTTCCAGGATCAAAGGCAGGCCGGCGAAAGGAGGGAAGTTAACTATGTTATGAAAGGCGCGGAGGCCGAGGAATCCCGTCCCGATGTTGGCGTGGAGGTCTTTGTGCGAGGCGAAAGGCGCTTTACTGTCGTTGATGTGCATCGCGCGGAGATATCGCAGTCCGACGATGGAATCGAAGGCGGACATTGTCGCCGCGAAGGCGGTCGGGGAGCGAAGATCATACCCCGCCGCAAAGGCATGACAGGTATCCAGACACACTCCCACGCGACTCTTGTCGGTCGTGAGGGCGATGATGTCACGTAGGTCTTCAAAGGTACTTCCCAGCACGTTGCCGCCCGCGGCCATGTTTTCCAGCAAGGTGATGATGCCGCTGCCCGCTGTGGCGGCGTGGGCGCGGTCGAGGTTCGCGGCGAGGTGGGCGATGGCTTTGCCGCGGTCGTGGCATTGCACGTTGCCCGGGTGGAAGTTGTACAACTTTATCCCCAGCCTCTCACACCTCCGTAAATCGTCGAGGAAGGCGTCGTAGGCTTGCTCTGTTCGTGCCTTTTCTGTGTGCGCGAGATTGACGAGGTAGGAGCCATGCGGTACTGCATATTTGGCTTGATCGTAGGCGTGGTCTTTGCAACGGGCGTGGAAGGTGGAGCAATGCTCGTCTTGCAAGTCCGGGTTGGTCCATTTGCGCTGGGATTTGAGGAATAGAGCGAAAGCGTTGGCGCCAATCTGGACGGCGTTGAGAGGGGAGTTGTGCACGCCGCCGGCGCTGCTGATGTGGGCGCCGATGAAGAGGGTGTGGTTGAGGGTGCGAGGCGCGAGTGGCATCGAGACCAATTCGGCTTCCTTTTCGGCCTTGGTCTTGCGCTTACGTTTGGGCTTGTGCTCGATGGGTTCGCCGTTCTCGTCGACTCGCTGCTCTTCTTCCTGAGCTTCCTTTCTCCTCCTTCGCTTCTTCTTAGGGGACGATGCGGCGTTTGGTGAGGCTGTTGCTATCTCTTCCACCCCTTCCACCTCCACCTTCACCTTCTGCTTCCGCGCCCGTTTTCGCCCTGCCGTCTTGTCCTCGCCGTCGACTGCGGCCGAGACAGCGTCTGCTTTGCGGCTTCGCTTGGCTCGTTTCTTCGGCGGCTCCCCGTCTGCACCCCCTCCATTGGTGGCGACTGCAGGCACCGGCACCCCTCCCTCCAGTAGGTCATCCGGGGGCGGTGACAGATCCGAGTCCTCTCGCTCGACGACTACTACTTCCTTGATCTTCCGCTTCGGCATGCCGTGTAGAGAGGAGGAGAAGTCGATGACGAAGGCGTCGAAGATGCAATGGCCCGCGGCTATGGTACGCTACTGCAGGTACAACTTCCCCATTGGGAAAATGGGCTGGAGGTGGGTCTCGAATCTCGTGCCCCCCGCTTGCGTCAGCGCTCTGTAGGCGGCCATTGAGCAGCAAAAGTGTCTTACAGCGCCCCCTCCCCCCCCCTCTGCCCACCTGAATGCCCCAACCATGTCCCTCAAGCTAGGTATAACATTCAGCATGGCACCCGACATAAATTTCATGCTGAGTAACAGATAGAGTCCATATGGGCCGCCTCCCCCACCACCACCCGCGGCACCCCCACCCCGCTCTCCTCCGACAGCAAAGGCGAACGCCTGACCTACGCCTCCAACAAATCCATCTTCGTCCGCTCCATCGACAACCCCTCCACAGCCAAACAATACACCGCCCACACCGCCGCCACAACCGTCGCCCGCTTCTCCCCCTCCGGCTACTACATCGCCAGCGGAGACGTCACGGGCACGGTGCGAGTCTGGGACTCCATCGGCGCAGAGACGACAAAAGGGGAGTATAGTATCATTGCGGGCAGGATAAACGATATAGCATGGGATGGCGACAGTCAGCGGATCATCGCAGTGGGCGACGGGAAGGAGAGAGGCGGTGCATGCATCACCGCCGATTCCGGGAACAGCGTCGGTGAGATCAGCGGACATAGTGCCCAAATCAACTGCGTGAGCATACGGCAGCAACGACCCCTCCGCGCCGCGACGGGGAGCGACGACACGACACTTTGTTTCTTCCACGGCGCGCCCTTCAAATTCAACACCAGCGTGAGAGGGAAACACGACAAATACATCTATGGCACGCACTTCAGCCCGGATGGGAGTTTATTGGTGAGTGTCGGCAGTGATCGCCGGATTTGGTTGTATGATGGCAAGACGGGGGACGCGGTGAAGCAGGTGGGCGAGGGTGAGCATAAGGGGAGCATTTTTGGCGTGAGCTGGGCGGGGGATAGTAAGAGACTAGTCACGTGTAGTGGGGATCAGACGGTCAAGATTTGGGATGTTGAGGCGGGGAAGTGCACGAGGAGTTGGAGGATGGGGGAGGAGGGGACGGTGAGTGTGCCTGATCAGCAGGTGGGCGTGACGTGGCCGGGGGGGAGACAAGATGGATTGGTGATTTCGGTGGATCTGGAGGGGAACCTCAACTACTTCCAAGAAAGCAGTCAGAAGCCTGTTAGGATTGTGAGGGGACATCAGAAAGCCATCACCGCCGCCACCGCTGCATCGTTAGACGGCGGAAGCAGAACCCTCTGGACCGGCAGCTACGACGGCCGTATCCGCTCGTGGGATCTGTCTACCAACGCCGGCACCGCGCACGAGATAGAAGGCGCGGGCCACTCCAACTACATCGCCGGCCTGGCCGCGTCACCTCACAAAGGGAACGAAGGGAGAATCTTCAGTATAGCCTGGGACGACACCCTCCGCACCATCGCCTCCCACCAAGAGACCTTCATCGGCACCGCCACCAAACTCCCCACCCAACCCAAGGGCGTCGCGATCGCAAGTCTAAACGGCCAGTCGCAGACGCTTGTCGCGACCGCTTCGGTGATAAAAGCGTATGCAGAGGGCGAGCAAGTGAGTTCACAAGCCCTACCATCCCCACCTGTCTGCCTCGCTGCGGCGGGAGAGACAGTGGCGGCCGGGTGCGAGGACACCAGCGTGCGGATCTTTTCCTTACGAGGCCCCACCTCATTCGACGCGATGCCCACGCTCACGGAACCGACCCACGCCATCTCCGCCCTAGCCTTCTCGCCCGATGCCAGTCATCTGGCCGTCGGGACGTCGAACGGGAAGATCTACGTCTACTCCTCCTCCTCCTCCTCCTCCTCCTCCTCCACCTCCACCGCTTCCTCCTGGTCTCTAAAAACGAACCGCTGGTCCGCCCACACCGCCCGCGTAACCGCCATCTCCTGGTCCCCCGACGGCACTAAAGCGGTAAGCGGTGGTTTGGATACGAACGTGTTTGTCTGGAGTCTGGCGGAGCCGGGGAAGAGGGTTAAGGCGCTGAATGCGCATAAGGAGGGGATGGGCGGGGTGGTGTGGGTGGACGATGGTGGAAAGGGGAGGGTGGTGAGTTGTGGGGCGGATGCCGCGGTTAGGGTTTGGGGGGTTGAGGGGGTGGTTTGATGGGTCATAGGATCTGTGACGTGGGGTGATGGGTGGGATGGGATGATGGGAGTGAGGAGGGTGACTTGCTGTAAATTGAAGGCAACAGTGCCCTCTCTATCATGCAGTCACTGCCTGCCAGTGGATCGGTTCCCCGTTCAGAGGTTTAAGTAGTAGCGGAGAAGCAACGCTTTTCAGCTTCCAACTTTTTCCAAATGAAACAAAGGCTTGTAACAACCAGTACCGCAGCTGTTATGGTCGGTAGGGCGTCGAATATTCGCTCCGTCTATCTCTAGCAACTTGTATGGTTGTTGTAGCAGTCTATCGATGAAGGATGCTCCAGCCTACAAGAACCGCACAGTTCTTACGGCACGCACTCACAACAATGTATCACCCAACGCGCATCGCACAATACTAACCCCCGCCCTCACCGTCTCCGCCGCCCCTTGCTCCTCCAAACTCGGATTCACCTCCACCAAATCCAACGCAACCAGACTACCAGTCTCATGCACGCACTCGGCAATGAAATCGCCCTCTCTCAGCGTCAAGCCACCTCTCACCGCCGTCCCCGTCGACGGGGCCCACATCGGATCCAGCGCATCGATGTCAAACGACAGATGAATCGGCGTATCCCTCCCAATCCACCCCAACGCCATATCCATGACCTTCCCAATGCCATGCCGGTCAACATCGTGCATACTGAACGCCTTGATCCCGTGCTCCCGCAGGATCTTCTTCTCCCCCCGATCCACATCCCGCAAACCGATATACACCAGTTTCTTCACACTGACCCGCTGATCCTCCCCGATCCACCCAAACGGCTCCCCCGCCTTCTCCCTCGCCAAGCCCGTGAGGAACGCAACCGGCATCCCATGAATATTCCCGCTCTCGCTCGTCTCGGGGGTGTTGATGTCCGCGTGCGCGTCCACCCAAATCACCGCCATCTCCCGTCCCGGCCCAAGCCTCTCCCGGATCGCCTTCGCCGTCCCCGAGATGGTGCCAATGGCGATACTATGATCCCCGCCCAGCGTGAGCACGAACCGGCCCTCCTTCGCGTGGGCGTAGACTTGCTTGCTCAGCTGCTCCGTGACGGCGCTGACGGCGCGGGGGTTCTTCATGCCGCGGTGGTCCGGGTCGGCGGCGGGCATGAGCTCGGTGTAGGCGTGCACTTGGCCGTCGTAGTGGATGGCGTATTCCAGGTCGTCGCGGAGTTGCTCCACCAGGCCCGATTCGATCAGCGCCATGGGTGCGGCGTCGACGCCCGGTTTGCATTGCCCGCCGGAGAAGCCGACGGCGACGAGACCGAGTTCGTTATTGGTGGTGAGGAATTTGGACTTGATGGTGGGGGCGTCCATGGTGTGGTTCGTTCGCCTGCGGAAAAGTGTTTGTATCGGTGGTCGTTGTTCCTTCGTATGAGGGGGAATGTAAGAGCACAGGAATGCGATCGTTGCCGGTTGGTTAAGGCGCTCAATGAACGTCGGGTAGAAAGAAAGGAACGGATGAAGGAGACGTTGCTGACCCGTCGGTCAGCTGATTCCTCCCAAGCATTGTTACGAGAGGACAACTTATGCCTCGCATCTATCGTGACTTGGTGGGGTGAAAGTGGAAGAGATCGTTGTACAGTAGAGACGCACACAGACCAAAATAGCACGAATGCCATTGAGGCTCAAAATTCTCGCTGCCGATCGGCATTTGATCGGCTGAAATAGGTAGCATGTGACAGCCGTGCAGTAGGCGTGAATATGTAACGCTCGATGCAAGTGTGAATGCTGAACATCAATGGGTATAAACGACCACTTCAAGCCTTCGCCGCCCTCGTACTCCTCTCGTAAAAGTCCAGCGTGCAAGCGGCAAGAAAACAGGGTATATCCTTCCTGCCCTCCACCCAGAACTCGATCAAACCCTTGATCTCGCTCGCGAACACGCTCTGCGGGCCACCACTGACCTTCATCGTCCCATTCTCCCCATCGAACACTATGCTCGCTTCCTCCTCCTCTCCATTGACAATGACACTGGGGTACAACACCGACGTCACCTTGCATCTCCCCGAAGGTAGGAAGTCGAGCTTCCATCCCAGGATGCTGCAGACAGCCTCGCGGAATTCGAGCGACTTGCTGGACCAGATCTGTTTGAGCCGAAGTGTCTTCTTCTCCTGCTGTGCGAGTGTTGACTTGAGCTCCTCCAGCTGCAGCCGTGTGGCGTGGAGAGTGCTGATCGGTACGACCTTCGAGCCGCTGTTGGGCTTACCCTCCAGCTGTGCGAGGAGTGCTGCATTTTCCTCCCGCAAAGTGTTGAGGGTGGACATCTTGAGCGCCTCCACGTCGGCGGTCGGGTTCTGCCGGAGCTCCAGTATCCGCGTACGGGAGGACTCCTTGAGTGAAGTGAGCTGGGAGACACTAGCCTTCAATTCCGCTTCAAGCAGCTGGTTGCGGCTGTGGAGCTTGTCGAGATCGTCTTGTAGGCTTCTCGCCCTCCGCTGTAGCTCCCCCAAACGTTCGCCCTCCGCCTCGTCTTCTTCCCGCGTCCGCTTTCGAGGCGAGGGTGTGGGCGGTGGCGGCATCTCTGCACGCGAAAGCTCCACGTGAAGTGTTTGCAGCTCGTTGCGATATTGCTCGACAAGACTTTCAAGCTCGCTAACCCGGTCCGATTGCTCTTTGTTTGCAGGCTCGGTACCGAACTCGGTCTCCTCCGCCTCCAAAGCCTTCATCTGCGCACGCAGATACTCCACCTCTTTCATCACAAGGTTTCGTTGCCGCTCAAGGCGCAAGCGAGCCCTGCTGTCGCCAATGCCGCCCGTCGTATTGCCAGCACTTCTCAGCCTCTCCAGCTCAGCTTGCAATTTCACCCTCTCGTCCTCCAGCCTCCGGATAGTCTCGTCCTTGACCGTCAGCTCAGGCTGCACCGAGCCAAGCTTATCCACCAAGCTCAACCTTTCCAGGCGCTCCTGCAAGAAAGCACGCGCCATCTGTTCAGGCGTATCATACTTCACGCCCCCTTCTCCCACCATTTGAGCATCAAGGTAGCTCGTCCAACCCTGCTTCTCATCCTCCAGTATGCGACGCTGTAGCTGCGACTCGGCGAGCTGTTTCCGCAAATCTTCCATCAACCTCACTTTTCCTTCCAGCGACCGCTTCTCCTCCTCCACCACTTTAATGCTGTTCTGCACCTTCCGAAACTGCTTAAGCTCAGCCGACTGCTCGCGGTTGGTCGTCTCTAGCTTCTTGATGTATGCAACCTGATCGCTCAGCTCCCGTTTCACCACAGCCAGCGTATCCGCATCGCCCGTCTGCGCCTTCAAGCGGAGCACCTCGTTCTCCAGCTTGCCGACGTCACCCTCTTTCTCCGCAAGCTTCTGCTGTGCACTCTGCAGCGCGCTCACTTTGCCCCGTAGATCCTGCTGTATGGCGTCGACAGAGTCCCGCAGCGTGGCATACTTCTGCCCCAGCTCGTGGTACGCATGCTGGCTCTCCCGATCTCTGCTCGAAAGATCCGCCTGCACATCCTCCAACTCCTCCCTTACGGCGCGGTTGTCCTCCTGCAGAGCTCGGATCTTTCTCTCCAGCTGCAACTTCTCGTTCGTTGCGCGATCTTGCGCCTCCTGCTGTTCTCGAACAAGCGCATCCGCTTTGCTCTTTGCGATACTGCTGGCCGCCTCTGCTGCTTGGGCCCGTTTAAAGTCAGCTTCGGAGCGACTCAGCGCTTCCCGGATTTCTTGTTGGTGGTGCAGCGCAGTGAGGTCTCGCTCCTGCTTGATTGAGTCGAGCTCATATTGGAGTGTGTTGAGCTGCGCGCGCAAGCTCTCATTGTTGATATCTGCTCGCGACACTGTGGACTGCTTGAGCGTTTCGCGCAGAACCTGGTGCGGTGGTGATGGATCAGGACCAGACAGGAAGTCATACGTGGGCTGGTTCCGCGCCATCATCGTGGAGACGGTCTCATAGTCACGCCTTCAGAAGGAAAATGATGACAGCACAGCGAATAAGCATCGAAGATTGATGCGCCCACTGACGGATGTCTCCGTAGGAGAAGTGGAGAAGGCGCGAAGGGCGAGCGACAGCACGTGAGTACCCTTCGTAAGGAATGTACTAATGGTATGACAGACACTTCAAACAGTCACTGGTCGCTCTTCGTCAAGTGGAGTTCTGACACCGTCTTGGCCCCTCTGCTGCCCCGATGGTAATCATTCCAAAGCAGCGCAACCATCGCATGTGGGATGCACCAAACATTCACGTCCATCCAACTTCCCGCATCCTCTCCTGCAGCCGTTGCATTTCCTGAACTCGCTCCATTCGCCTCTGCAAAGTCAAGAACAGATCATACTCTCCGCGCGTGACAGTGGGGTGATGCATCATTGGCATGGTATTCTGTTCAAGCCACAGCCGCGTTTCCTCATTCATTGGTCTTCGCCGTGAACGCTGGCTCTCCCGGCTCATTGTACTCCAGGGTGAAAGAACGAAACCGTTGTTCAGTCGGACATCGAAGTCAAAGTTGATCTCCGTCTCCGCGACAGATACCGCACCACTTTGCGACTCATTGTGCTCCGGCGGTTGCAGCTCTTGCGGCCAATTGAGTCGTGCCGCCCTGATCTCAGCAATGATCCTGGCGCGCTCTTCGGCGTACTGGCTGAAGAGTTGGGCCGCTTCACGTGGGTTCACACTTAGCCCGTTCAGCTCGATGGCTTGTGCGAACGTGCGACGAGCTTGGCGGAGAGGTCCTAGCCACAGCTGCCTTCCGTTAGTCCCGCGCAAACTCTGCGGCCTTGCCGAAGACTTACATTGCCCTTCCAGTCTAGCCTTCCTGAGCACAGCATGAAGCATAGCACGAAGCATGAGACTACGCTGTAGCAGCACAGCACCCACGTTGCCGAGACAGTCCAATGATGCCGGTACCAGATCCCATGGTCGGATATGGGTGCTGAAAGAATGTTTCCATTCACGCTTTGTTGCGTTTGCGTTGGGAACGTACTTGCGGTCGGAATATGAGAGTACGTCGTTTGTGCGGAGAACACGTCCGGCTGGCTGGGGTTGTAGATTGCAATGTTGAGGGATGAGGCTGGTATGAGCAGTATCGGTGCAACAGAGATCGGCGTGATAGTTGCCAGCTCGCCGCCTCCGCCTGGAACAGTGACAACTGTCGGTGCTTCTGTGATGCATGTTGCCAGCACAGGCACGCCAGAAACTCTGCTACTCGATATGGCCATTGTGTTGCTTGGTATTGTGCTTTGGCGCGGCCAGAACGGATGCGTGCTGGCAAAGTGAAGGTGGCCGGAGCGAGTGTTAAAGCTTCGACAGGGCGAGTGGGACCGCTTAGATATAGAAGGCACGACACGGCTGGCTGCAGCAAGCAGGTGCCTCTACACACGTATGTAAGCAGGCGCTGTGCCATCGACACGTCCATAAGAGTGAACGATTTAGGTGTACTAACCCCCTGGTTCAGTCATGCATTGATGTGTTTGCTCGGTATGACGCCCAAACACCTCGCTCGTCACTCGCTCACGCCGTGTCATGCTCAAATCCCCACGCTCATATCCATGCCGGAAATGATTTTTAGAGTCACGCTACGACGCTCTATCCCATGGCAGGGAGAATGTGCCGACCCTAACGAGCATTAGTAATGCATCTCACGCAATCGAAAAGTTCCACTCACCAGTCTTCCACCTCTCGTCTCAGCTCAACAATCTCAACACATTCCTCTCCCTCACCGACGTACTCACGGAAAGCATTGACGCTCTTCGGGTTCTTTCGATTCTTCTTCTCCGCCGCTTCTACCGCCTTGCCATCCAGCATCTTCGTAATGTTGACCGCGCGATGCACCACATCCGCAACCCTCTTGAAGTCGCTCGTCGTGAAGCCTCGTGTCGTCATAGCCGGCGTACCCATGCGTAGCCCGCCAGGCTTCATGGCAGACAGATCGCCAGGGACGGTGTTCTTGTTGGCAGCGACACCGACGAGCTCCAGAACTCGCTCCACGCGAGCGCCATCGATGTTCTTGTTCTTCAGATCGATGAGAACGAGGTGATTGTCAGTACCGCCACTGACGACGTTGTAGTCTAGACCGCCATTGTCCTTGCCTTCACCCAAGCGTGCCGCGAGTGCTTTGGCGTTCTCGAGTACAGCTCGCTGATAGTCTTTGAACTCCGGCTGCTGTGCTTGATGTAACGCCACTGCTAGAGCGGTAATGGTGTGATTGTGCGGTCCACCCTGATGCCCCGGAAACACGGATGCATTGATAGGATTCTCCAGATCGTACTTCTCCTCTATACCGGTCTTTTTGTCTATCCGTCTCGTGCCCTTCCGGAAGAAAATCATAGCGCCTCTGGGTCCCCGTAAACTCTTGTGCGTAGTCGTCGTCACCACGTCACTGTACTCGAACGGACTCGGTATCACTCCCGCAGCCACCAAGCCCGAGATATGCGCCATGTCACTCAGCAAATAGCAGTTCCCGAGCTTCTCCACGATCTGCCGGAAACGACTGTAGTCAATAAGCCTGCTGTATGCGCTTGTACCGGCAATAATGATGCGCGGCCGGTAAAGCATCGCCAGCTCCTCTAATTTGTCGTAATCTATCAGGCCTGTCTTCTCGTCCAGCCGGTATGGCAGCTGCTCGAAGTACTTGCTGATTGCCGAAATCTTCCTAGTTGGCGTCTGATAGCCGTGCGACAAGTGTCCACCATGCGGCAGGTCAAGTCCCATTATGCGGTCGTGCGTGTTGCAAATTGCCGAATAGGCGTATAGGTTTGCGGGCGAGCCGGACAGAGGCTGTACGTTGACACCCCATTCGGACTCCTTCAGCCCGAAAGTATCAAGTGCTCGCTGCTGACACAATCGTTCTGCCTCATCAATGAACTCGTTGCCGCCATAGTATCTCGCGCCCGGGTAGCCTTCGGAGTACTTGTTCTGCATGACACTGCCTAATGCATCTAACACTGCTTGGCTCGTGAAGTTCTCGGAAGGTATGAGGTTGATGAAGTGTTTCTGCCGTCGTTTCTCCTAGACCGGCGTCAGATGGGTGCTCTTCGCCCGGGTCGCGTGCACACGATGGGCTGGATGACAGACTTTTTCTATTATGTTGTAAACCTTCTCATCCGCAACCTCCAGATGTGACCCGAGGAGCTGTCCATTCATTAGCATCTCTTGCCACGAGACCACGTGGTACCATCCCACCTTCTGCTGGCTGTCGACCGACATGTTGCGGGCGGCTGCCCATTGCCATGCTTGGGTAGCAGGTATTGCAGGTCGCCTGCATGCTCGGCATACTGGCGTTGCGAGACGTTGAGAAAGTGGTCTGAAGGAAGACATATTGACAAATTGCCTAGAGAGGGAAACTAGGCCAAAGGAACTCTTTTGCACACAAAGCATGCAGTGTTGTCAGGACCATATATTCGATTCTTGGAGCGGACTGGCTGGTGGCTACATAAAGTGGGGCTTCTAGTCCTCCCATGTACCTGGTACATCGATGTTTCTTAAGTTGTCTACAGTAGATCGTCCCGTCTTTGCAGGCAGTAGCCTAACCTGATATTCACAGTGTGTCGACATAGTACCAGATGCTTGGACCGTCAGCAACATCTCTCCGTACTGGGTCATGTCAATGTCAGCCGTATCCAGATACGCACGCATCTGGACATAGTATCTGCAATCAACATGGTCGTCGCGCGCCGCTACTACCGTCATATCAGCGATGCTCGCTTGCCCTGACGCCTCACATCCCCATGCGGTCTGAAAGCGGATTTATAAATCACAGCATGAGCAAAGGCTCTTCTCGACCGCTGCTGGCTTGGTGAGTTATCGTTGCCCGTACCATAGCCTTGTCTGCGAAAGACAACACCCTCCAGCCCCATGAGCTATCCCATGGCTTGGTTACAGGACGGAGCGCTTCTTGAACGCCGAGATGCTAGTGAAAACTGATCGTCTAAAGCGAGGAAGGTGCATTTGCTGCATTGACTGATAATGAAGGCACAAGTGGGCCCGTGACGCACATGCCAAACGTGCGACTCCACCAGCACATGCACCGATCATTGTGTTGAAGTCAACATGAATTCTTCTAGGACTTCAAGCCGTGGTGTGACACTCACGTAGAAAAGCCTCGAGTATCGGATCCTGCACAATCAGCGATATGGGTATCACTCCGTTGGAGGACATATGTTCCTTAGCCCCATACTCGGACAAGGATTCACCTATGATCTACGTAGGAGGTCCTGACAAAAGTCCAGACGAAGCGAGGTTGATGGAAGCAAATGGTTCCTCAGGGAAGCTGCGCGTTCTTGCACTGCACGGTAAGCAACCGCATGGGTGAAGTTCTGTCAAACAATGCTGAGTCCGCCGTCAAGGCTTCACTCAGAATGGCCCCATATTTCAAGCCAAGATCAAGGGCTTTGCTCAGGACCTCCATGAGCGCGTACTAGCCGACTTTGCCCAAACCTACCCAGCCGGTGTGGAGTTCTACACTCCTACTGCGCCAACAAAGCTGGTCGTCGGTGGTCAACCGACAGCTCCGATTGACATGCGTGCTTGGAAGTCCGACCTTGACGCTCACTCCAGACTCGAAGAACTTGAAATGAATTTCGACTTCTTCTCTGACTACATCCGCGAGCATGGTCCTTTTGATGGCATTGTTGGCTTCTCACAAGGTGCTGGTTTCGCCATGATGCTCGCTGCCTGGTGTAGTGGAGACGAGGACCGGCTTTCCAACCTTGCGGCGCAAGGTCATCCTATTCGCATGCCAGCACCTCAAGGGCCGTTCCAATGGGCAGTCCTCGCTTCAGCAGCCTGCATGGCGCACGATTTGTACTGGGGTTTCTACGAGCCAAAGATTAAGACGCCTTCCCTCCATATCCATGCAGATCTCGACACAATCACGGATCGTGGAATGTCCCAGCAGCTGGTCGATGCCTGCGTCGACGCTGAAGAGGCGTGCCATGGCGGAACTCATTACTGGCCCAAAGACGCTCAAACGACCACTACAATGTTGGACTTCGTTTGCCGGACGCTTGCTAGAGAGCACGCGCCGCAATGCAACGAGCCTAGCGCGGAAGAGTTGTCCCGCCGACTTCAACAGCTGAACGATGAAGAGCCGATCCAGAGAAGCACCAGCTATCAAACTGCTGTACCTCCGCGCCCGGCCGAAATTGCACTTCTCTGACCAGGTGTAAGTCCTTCCGTTGTTCAGTCTGTGCAGCGAGTCGGCGGCGTTAGCCACGCTTTCGAAAAGCAGACACGGTGCAGAGATGCTGAGGGGTCTTGCAGAAACCTCTAAGCAAGGCCGGAAACAGCGTAAGCCGAGGCTACGTGCCATAGCCGGACGAGAGTCGGCATCTGAGACTGAACGCGCAGAGATATCCTAGCGGACCATATGAAGTGCGGCGTGGCGTCATGAGCGTTGAAAGCGAGCATTGTAGGTGCATTGGCGGACCGGCTGCGACGGTGACAGCCTTGTGGAGCTCATCTCTATATCCGCGTACAATCAGTAATAGGAATAGACGACAGTAGAGATAGACAATCTGCGAATTGACGACCTGCTTAAAGCAGTCGAATTGATCATTTAGCCTCTACCTTAATGGCAGACGGCACCTTCCGGCCGTGTGACGCCATTGGCTTTGCTTTCAGGCGCGCGTCGCGTCAACCACTTCCCATGTTCTTCCTCACCCTTCAGCCTGTGGCTCTGGGCATGAAACAGAGTATCTTGGGCGGACCACTTTCATTTTTGACCGACGGCGAGGTGGGCGGATACACTTTACTTCCGTACCTTGTGCGACTGCACCTCCCCATCAGACTTCGCTGGAAGTCTGAACAGCCATTAAGACTTCTTTCCCGTCTTCCTCGTCGCCATGATATTTAACATACTCCAGCACCTCGTATGCTGTCTTCTCATTATGCGATCTACCGCCTTCGCTGCAGCTATGCTGCCCCTCGCTACCGCAGCAGTCAATGTAGTACTTTCCAACGACGACGGCTGGGCTGAAATGAACATCCGCTCGCTGTACGATGGTCTCACTGACGCTGGCTTCAATGTCATCCTGTCCGCGCCAGCTGACAATGAGTCGGGCACTGGATCAGCCGACGCAGAGCCCACGACCGTAGGCAGACGAGGCTGTGAGTTCATGTCCTGCCCGCCGGGCAGTCCGCCCTTTGGGTACAACGCATCTAACCCGCGCTTCAACGTACGTCCTATGATTTCTTGACGTGCCAATATCAAACCACTAAGCTGCATTGTAGTACGTAAATAGCTTCCCAGTAACATCAATGCGCTACGGCATCCAAACCCTTGCTCCCCATTTCTTCGGTTCAGCGCCAGACATTGCCCTCGCAGGCTTTAATGTTGGCACAAACCTAGGCCTAACGACCCAGATCTCCGGAACCGTGGGCGCGGCGACGGAAGCAGCCAGAGAAGGCATTCCCGCCATCGCCTTCAGCGGCACCACTGGCGCCCAGGTCGGCTGGACCACGCCATTGCAAACGTACCAGCAAGTCTACGCCGACCTTTCCACCACCGTGACATCTGTGCTGGTGCACTCTGGACTTCCGTATCTTCCCAATAACATCTGGTTGAATGTGAACTACCCTGATGTCAGCGACTCAATCTGCTCGAGTCCTTCGGACTTCCGGTTCGTCTTGTCGAGGATTAACAATGCGGTGCCGTATGTCACACCCAAGGACGTGTACACGTGCCATAATGACGGGAGGCTGCCGACTGAGACCGAAGTCGTGGATACTGAGGGCTGCTATGCGTCCATTAGCGTGGGCGTGGCGACGACGAAGTTGGATGCGGGCGCGGCTGATCAGCAGGTTGTGCTCGACAAGCTGGAGAGTATCCTGTCATGCTTGCCCGCCTAAGAGGGGCGACAGAGAAGGATGCGGTAGCAAGCTGTAAAGGATGACGAAGCATCCTAACTTTTGAGCCTGCTCAACTCAGCCGAGTGACCTGACGTGCTGTGCCCATCATCTCTATCTCTACAACATCTACGCGCGTCTATATCACAAGGTACAGGCTAGTCAAAAAGCTCGGCCCAACGAACAGCCCAAACCAGAAGATCACATTCCCCAGCACCGCCCGGCTGCGCAAGAACTTATGCCTCGACATCATCACAAGCGGCATCTGCAGCAACTGCGCGGTGAACAGGTACCCCCTGACCTTCTTGAACATGATCGCCATGCACATCTCATGCACCAACGCCGACAGCAAGAAAGTGTAGAAGGTGGCGGTGTGCTTCGAGAGGTGGAAGGCGGAGATGCTGCTGTGGTAGACGTGGCGGAGGAGGAAGTTGTGGACGGGCCGGTTCCAGTCGCGCGCGTATTGGTCCCAGGTCACGCTGTTCCACCAGTCGCCGTAGAAGCCGCGGTCGGCGAAGAGGGTGAGTTCGGCGAGGACGTTGAGGATGCATTCCTACAGTTACACGATGATGGTCAGCGATAAGTGCGGTCAAGAGAATAGCTGTCAGGTCTTGTGCTTACCCAGATCAGATACCACGTCAATAGTTGTTCGATCAACAGCGGGAAGAGCAAGTCACTGACGATCCATGGGAACTCCTGCCATCTTTCCGCCACAGACACACCCGCCTCCTTCATGCGCAAAGTCTTCGCTATGGGCGGGTAGATGAAGGCTTGCGAGATCACCATCATGATGCACAGCACACCGAAAGTCGCCGTGAGCTTCTCAAGGACGTACCACCAGTTGATCTTCTCTTGTCGCGGATACTCCAGCTCATACACCAGCGTGGGCAGGCAGATGAACTCGGCGAAGTTGAGCAAGCGGAGGTTCTTTGGGTACGCGTGAGCTCCGGATACGGATTTGCCGGCGAGCTCGCGGTTGAGGTCTTCGAGCTCGGTATTGATCACCTGCTCGAAAGTGGACATCTGGTCCGGCGTGATGGCGGTTCCGGCATGTATGGCCGAAGCTATGGTAGCCACATCCGATTGCTCAACTGCAAGGTTGGTGGAGGTGCGGTTTCCGATTGAAGGACGGCGCTTTAGGTCGCTGTTGTTGATAGCTTCCGAAGCTTTCTTGGACAGCTCCGCGACGTCAAGACCGCTCGAGAAAGCATCCATTTGACGGGAGTCTCGCGGACTGCTGGGGCCGGAGTGGATTGGCTCCATGGTCTGCAGCTGCTTCAGCTTGTTCTCGAGCAGCAATTTGCGCCGGTACACGCCAGACAGATACCCATTGTAGAAAGCATAGCTGTGCTGTTTCATCAAGAACACCAACCCATGCAACACAGCGAAGATGGTATGCGTCCACGGCCACTCCCGGAAATAAGCCCAGCCGACGACGGAGGCGAGGTAGACGGTCTGCCAAACATTCTGCACCACCCACGCACCCCGGCCCCAATTGAGGACACGCCACTGCACGAGCTTTTGCAGGAAGAACGTGACGGATGTCCCGACGCACATGGCGCCATCCGTAAGGCCTAGTACATAGACATCATGGCTCAACATCATCTTCATGATCTGGTTCCGGCCCAAGATACTCCCGTACTCGCGGAAGTTCTTCATGGATACCTGGAAGAGGAGCAGCGCCATAGCGATCCAAAAGAGGGTGAAGAAGCCGAAGAAGGGGCTCTCACTGCTTGCCGGATTTTGTCGATCAAAGGTGGTGAATTGCCGCGTGAAGACAAGGTCGCGGAAGCGTATCCGCGGCTTCTTGTTCGCCGCTTCGAGCTCCTCGCGTTCGATGCCTTTGCGCAGAATCTCACGGATCTCGGGATCGTCCGCAGTGAGGATGTAACGACCCTTGCGGTCCGTCTTCTCCAGGCGGATCTGAATGCTGCCTCGTTTGCGATGTTTCAAATGATCGTGCTGTGGTTCGGACTGCCTGTGCATGTTGTTCGGTGCGGCTGCTTCGCCGGCTGCTGGACGGTAATTCTCATCCAGGCTCTTTCTGCTGTTCACCACCAGCGTGTCCGGGTCCAGCTCCATCTCGTCGTAGTCTTCGATCACGTCTTCTAAGGCAGCCTCGTCCGTGAGGAGCGTACCTTCCGACTTTGAGCGCTTCCCACCAAAGTCTCGAGTGTCTGATGTTGCTCCTTCCGCGGGAGGGAGAGCGTGGCCGTTACTGCCGTGCTCGGGATGAAGTGAAGCGACACCATCGTTACCGAGCGTGCCCGTCAGCTTCACCTGATCGAGTGTATCCTGCGATTCAAGGGGTGGACGCCGTGAAGCGCCCGATGTCTCCACCATTCTCTCCACAGCGATGCTCGTGAGTACGGGGTATGCGCTGTAGTGCTAACGCAAGATTTCACTGACCGAGCTGCTCAGGCCCGCTGATGATTGAGACGTGTCAAGTCGGGACAGCTTGAGGACGTTGATACAGATCGCTCAAGAGGTACAGGAAAGCTGTTGCTGCACGCATTGACGATGCCAACACTCGCTGCCGCCAACGATTGGTGATGACGTCGATCAAGGCCCGCTCATATGCTCCCAACGCTCTGCCTTGGTAGGACCGTTCGAGAGCACGTCCTTTGGCTCTGTCCACGTATGAACCTCCACGGGCTCACTCGAGCTATACATCGAACCTTTGCCGCTCGAATGCAAGCGCATTGCATCTCGATGCATTCATATCATCTAGCGCACACGCATGCGAAGGTTGCGGCCAGATGACGCAGGTTCAACGTCCCGCGCGGGAGGCTTCCATTAGCGCTGCCGCAGCAACACCGCGGCTGTTTCAGCTTGCGAAAGTTCGGCATGTGCCCCACCAAAATTTCTCCGCTGGATGCGTACAACAGCTGCGTCTCCGGTGTGCTGACTCCCTGTGCTCGAGACAGGCATGGGACGGTAAAGGGCTCGAAAAAGAATAGAGAGCTACACAGGACTATACCAGAGTCAAAGACCATACCCGCAAGTATGGCCGAAACACACCCAGATGTCAACCATGTCAACGGCATCGATACAGACACTACAAACGACGAAGTTCTGCTCGCCGCCACCAACCACGACCTTGAAACATTGACGAGATTACTCCGGAGCAACCCAGCCTTGGCCAAAGTCCAAGATGCCGATACCGGCTTCTCGCCTCTACATTGTGCCATCGCTTCCTGCGAGCCTGACGAAGACTTTGATGCAGATGCTGGCGCTGGAGATGCGGTGCATAGTAACGCCTTGGACGAGGACAGTGCGCTAGCCACGGTGAAACTGCTCTTCGAGAACGGCGCGATCTGGAACGAACTTGACAACGCTGACGAGACACCTGGCTGCCTTGCATTAAGACTAGGTTTGCGGCAAGTCTACGATGCAATCGTAGAAGCAGGTGTAAGAGCCGAATTACTATTTGGACGTCTCGACGGGTATGAGCTATTGGCTGGTGGTGACGAAGATGCTGAGCCAGAAGATGAGGCGATTGTGGGCTTTGAACCGTCTCCGGTTGAGGTCCGCAGGCCGGAGCTGCCGTTGCCGGTCACAGATGGTGCGGTGAATGCGACTTCGAATGGCGCGATAGCAGCAGGTTCGAATGGTGAACCGCTCGAGGCGACAAACGGCGCAACTCAACAAGCAACTAGCAGGCTCGAGGATTGTGAAGGCTTTGAGCCGGCTCCAAATCCATCCTACAAGATCGAAGACGAAGCGGCCGCAGGCGCCTCACCAACCAACAAATCAACAATCGTTCCGGTGGCTACTGGTGGCGGCGACCTAGCCCAAGCATCGACCACGACCGAGCCAATTCTCGCGAACCCGAACGTGAACAATGAAGACTACCTCAAGTCGGAGCTTACCTACTCAGGCGACCGCCTGCTGGACTCAGATAAGAATGCTGTCATGATGGATTGGGAGACGGAGATCATGAAGATATCCGCCGACCAACTCAGTCCTCGCCAGGGACTCCGCACGATGAATGTTGGTCACGGAATGGGAATCGTAGACTCCATGTTCCTACAACACGAGCCAGCGATGCATCACATAGTTGAAGCACACCCAGCTGTACTCAAACGCCTGCGGGAAACCGGTTGGTACGACAAGCCCAACGTCACCATCCATGCTGGCCGCTGGCAGGACGTCCTTCCAAAACTGGTGGAGCAAGGCGTCGTGCTGGACGGCATCTACTATGACACGTATGCGGAAGACTACAAGGACCTCAAGGAGTTCTTCACCGAGTATGTTATCGCCTTGCTTGACAAGGACGGTCGCTTCGGCTTCTATAACGGCCTAGGCGCCGATAGACAGGTCTGCTATGATGTCTATTGGAAGGTCGTGGAGATGGATCTTTTCGATGCGGGCCTCGATGTGGAGTGGACAGACATCGCGGTGCCGGATTTGAAAGGCCGGGATGAGTGGAATGGGGTGCGGTATCCTTACTGGGGCAGCATTGAGACTTACCGTTTGCCGACATGCAAGTTTGTGGGCTGAACAGAGCAAAGGTGAATGGCTTCATTGCGAGCTGTTCGTTTGGGCACCGTTACTACCAGCATGACTATTACCATTAGCAGCGGCCGGCTTCGGCCTCGCCGGCATACTGGCGCCTGGATCGCCCTTCGGCCGTTCTTTCCAGCTCGAGATCAACTCATTGCTGGGCTGACAGTCCTCGTCCAATACCTTCGCCGCGGTCTCACTCCCATACACCGGCAAGCGCTGCAGGCCCTGCTTCTTCATGTTTTCGGGCACCAGCTTCGGGTCTAACAGTCCGATCTGCAACGCGGAAGGTGCAATGGTTAGCGGAATCTGTACCAGCAGGCGAGGTGGCCTATCACGTACCTGCACGAGCACGCTCGCTTGATCCCAATAGATGTGTTCATGGTACAGCTTCCCGCCACGGATGCAGACCACGCTCACCAAAGCTACATGGACCACTTTCCCCGTCGGCGGAACATCTGGCAGCATCCATGGGATCGTCTGGGTGTGCTTGAATGAGATGATCATCTCGTCGACCACTCGATCCGTGCCTATGGTGCGGGAGACGAGCTTCATGGATAGGGAAGGCGGGTTCTGAGGGATGAAGTAATCCCGGTAGAAAAGGAAGAGATCTTTCTGTCCAATCCCGCCGGTCAGCGTCGGGATGTGGTTGACGTAGGGCTCGTCGACCATGGTGCGCATAGTGGCTGCCGCATCTTTGGTGGCGAATTCGAGACCAACGTGCGATTCCCATATGCTCTCCAGATCGACTTCAATCTTGAAAGCTTTACGCAGTAAGGTCAGCGTCCGGGTCCAGGAAAGGGAAGCAGCGACCTTGTTATAGGCGTCAAGGTCACGCTCCGCAAAGCCTGGCTGCACGCCTTGGTAGGTGTAGGAGGTGAAGGCCGGCGCGAAGCCTTGCGATCCGGCGATGTGGCAGAGGACTTGCAGTTGGGAAGGATACTTGGTCTTCGGATTCGGTATCGTGGTGGGATAGTATGCTATCAGCGCTGCGAGATGCGGTTGTGGCTTGATGTGCGCATCGAGGCATATCGCCGCCGCGTCGCCGTACGCTATTATGGCGTAGTTTTCGCCGAGCTCGAGGTCGTCGGATAGATGCTTCAGAGTATTGCGATATGCTTTGTCCTCAGCCGGACCGCCGTCGGGGTTATAGGGTAAGAAGGTAACATCGAAACCTTCCTCGCGGAAATGTTGGCATATTACTGGGTCAAAGTCGCGCTCTGAATCCGCATCTGCGGTGATGTGAAGTCGGGGCGGCATGCTGTTGAAACTCAAGAAGCCCGGACCTGCTGGTGTCGACTTTCCGGCCATGTGCAATCTAGAAGCCAATGGAGCCTCTGTTTTGGAGGAATCAACGCTACAGATCGACTAGCCACATGGCTAGTGGGGGAGGCGTTGTTCTTATCTGTATCGATGAAGGCTGGAGGTGACGTAGGCGGGGTTGATATGAAACGAGATGAAACAAGGACGAATATGAAGGTTGGAAGACGGGAAAGTAGGTCTACAGGGGCATCATGCACGGTGTTGCTCGTCTTAGTCTCGTCCTTCTTAACTGCTTAGACATATCGTATCGCTTATCTGGAATGACACTGAGACAACCATCGATATTGGTCCTGGTACAGGCCTCATTACCGCAAACGTCGTTTGGATGACGCTACTGTAGTGCGCGAGTCGATCAAGGTACATTGTAACTACCCTATCCTCTACTCCATCCGCCATCTCCATTCATATCCGGGAAGCGTATGTGGTTTTGCTGCGCTTATCCATCTGAATTGCCACTTCGGCCTGACTTTGTTCGCCACGCGCTTCTCACCTACCACACAGCTTGCGGCAACTCCATTATTTTCAGGCTACCTCATCTGGACACCAGCACGATCCAGTTTCTACGTACCGTCCTCGCAGCCATAGGGCGCAAGCATAAGCCACACCGCAACCAAAGGGGCGGTCGCGAGCCCAAACCAGTACAGCCGAGCAATTGGCGCAACTCTATCGGTCGCTTCTTCAACATGGGTAACGAAGAATCATCACCTGTTGACGAGTCGGTCCCGCCACAAACCCTATCGAGCCGTACGCTTGAAGCGCTGGCCGAATACATGGCCTCTCCGCGCTGCTCAAAGATCGTTGTCATGACCGGTGCTGGCATTAGTACAAGTGCTGGTATTCCGGACTTTCGCTCTCCAGATACAGGACTATATGCGAACCTGGCACGACTTAATCTCCCGTATGCGGAAGCGGTGTTTGACATCAGCTTCTTCCGCCAGAATCCCGAACCATTCTACGCACTGGCGCACGAACTGTATCCGGGCAAGTACAGGCCAACAATCACACATAGCTTTATCCGGCTTCTACATGACAAGGGACTCCTTCTCAAGCTATTCACCCAAAATATCGATTGTCTGGAACGGGAAGCTGGCGTACCTGACGATAAGATCGTGGAGGCGCATGGCTCGTTTGCAAGGCAAAGTTGCATTGAGTGCAAGCACCCTTACCCTGAAGAAGATATCAAGCGACATATTGCGGCCAAAGAGATTCCGCGATGTCATTCTTGCAAAGGGTTGGTAAAGCCGGAGATTGTGTTTTTCGGCGAGCAGCTACCCGAGGCTTTCTTCCGGAACAGAATGTTGCCTGCGCAGGCAGATTTGTGTATTGTGATGGGCACCAGCCTGACCGTCCAGCCGTTTGCGAGTCTGCCCCAGCTTGCCGCTCGCTCAACGCCACGGCTTCTGGTGAACAAAGAGAGGGTTGGTGGCCTGGGCTCTGCATCAGATGACGTCGTGCTGCTAGGCGACTGCGACGAGGGTGTGAGGAAGCTTGCAAAGGCATGCGGGTGGCTGGAGGAGCTGGAGGCTCTTTGGGCAAAGACGGCGCCAGAGGGTGCAAATGGCTCGGTAGAGGCTGAGAAACCAGCTAAGAAAGACAAGGATGAAGCGCTCGAGGAGGAGATAGAGAAGCTCACTAAGGATGTTGATGAAACGTTAAATCTTTCCAAGTGGCATGAGGAGAAGGTGCGGAATGAAAGCCTCCCTTCTGCATCGCCTACCAAGTTGTCGGAGACGAGTTCGCCGACGAAGCTCACAGAGGCGGGCGGAAGCCATGAAACACCGAGTGGTAACTTGGATCACGTCTTCGTCACGTTGCGAGCCAACGGAGATGCTCAATCTGACAATCCAGCGCTCAATATGGAGAAGGTAGAGGATACGGCCATACCTGGCGAGGATACCAAGAAGTAGTTCGGCTGCAGGTATGGGTGTCTCACGAAGCTCACGTATACCCAACCTCCATTGAGCCAAGCGCATGCCATTACACATGTGTTTTGCTCGTGCCACCATCCAACATTCCTAGCAGCGTGTTACAACGCACATTGCGTCCCATTCTGCGTACAGTATGGCATCTGTATCGGCTCAGCCCTGATGCCTCTCGCCACCAAACGCTCCCTCATCTCGCTCAACCGCGGGCTAGCGGTAATCTGGCTGCGATTCTGGCCCGATGCATCCTTCGCACCGGACCACAGCACCTCGGCCGCCGCACATGTCCTTGGCCAAACCATAGTATCCAGATTAATCGTGTCGGTCTGTTCGGACCAAATGTGCGCTTCACCTCCGAGCACCAAGTGTGTTGCGTTCGCTGGAACGCCAGATAACGGGTCGTAGCTATACATCAGGCGCCAATTCTTCCGCGGAGAACAATAATCTGCGTAAGGCCAGAACTGCTCCGAGCTCGTGCCGGGAAAGAAGTCAAGCCATTGGCCCTGGCCACAATCCAAGTACCAGAAGTTGTAGTTTCCGGCCAGCGCACGATACCCTTGCGCGACAACTGCCGCAACAGAAGCATCGCCAATCCATGTCTGCACGATGGTCTCAGCTGGGAGTGTCAAATTCCAGTCCAACAACATCTCCTCCCAGACAAGCGGTGTGAGACCGAGCGACGTGACTTGCGCCATATTACGATCCATATAGCGCTGCATCAGCGGCTGCAGAACAGACGACGCATTCGTACCGACGGTATCATCAAGCGTGTAAGCGTTCATGTTCACTTCGTCACCACCGAGGTGGAAGTAGCTCGTCAGCGGGCTTAGCCGTGGCAAGAGGTCGGCAAAGAGTGTATTGAGGAAACTGTATACTGCGGAAGAATTGAGCTTTAACGTTCCAGACGGCGGCTCGGCTGCGTAGGAGTCCCAATTGGGCTGAACGTTAAAGGCGGCAATGAGGTCGGGATAGGCGAAGGCGATGGAGGAGGTGTGGCCAGGATTGTCAATTTCCATGACAACCTCGATTCCGAGCAGAGCACCGTAGTGCTGCACTGCCGCGACATCAGCGGGAGAGTACTTCTGCCAAGTGGCGTAAGCACCCTTGTTTGCAAGGTCTGGAAGAGAGGGGATCTCAAGGGGCCACGCTTGGGCGTCGGTGATGTGCCAGTGGAGACGGTTCATCTTGTTGTAGGACATGGCGTCGATCATCGCGTACAAGTCTGATAGAGGCTTGTAGGTGCGGGAGGTATCGATGTTGAGACCACGCCACTGGAACTTCGGGGCGTCACTGATGTAGACCGGAGCGAGGGTGCTGTAGACCCCACCACTACTGTTGCTCGACCTGTAGAAGAGCTGCGTGAACGTAGTCAGGCCGTGCAGCAGACCGATAGAAGAGATACCAGTGATAGTGACGTGCCCGTCCGCAGTCATGGCCAAGGTGTATGACTCGTCAAGACCGCCTGTGTTGGGCTTGACAATGTCTGAAGGGTCCGTCGCATTCTGCTGCAAGGTAATCGATTTGACATACACCGAAGCACTCGTAAGGGTAGGCTCGAAGCTCGACATGCGAGGGTGAAACTTCCAAGGAACGAAGTTCTTGTTGAAAAGGGTGTCGTATGTCCGTTCGATGGCATTCGTGACTATCGCACTAGTCCACGTCTCGTTGTTTGCCTTTGAGCCGTAACCACATGTGTAACCCCCCTTACTATCTATCAGTCGGACTCACGACATTGACGTGAAGTTCGAGGAACGACATACCTGTCCGGCACCGTTGTACGAGACCTTGACATCCTTGTCAATCCAAACAACTCCGCTGCCATTAGTATACACGCTGGGGATGGGCCAAAGTGCCGAAGCCGAAGATATGCACAGTACTAGCCCAAATACCGTCAACATGTCGACGACGCAAGTAGTGGAAGGGAATGTGAGGAGGGGAAAGGCAAGGAACACATCTCAGTCGATCACTTGTACCTGCAATCTGCAAGGCCGCCAGCCTCCCAACCCCACCCCGCCTAATACGAATGTGACATTCGCGCCCAGCTGAGCGTACGTTATGTATGGATGCGATTTGAGGTATAAGTGCGATAACCGGGTGGAAGGGGAAGGTCGCGATAATGACGTTGCACCGCAGCGTGCGACATTGACAGCTACAGCCCTCCGCGCCACAGCCGCGGTCTCAACACAGCATACCTCTCCACTCATCACCAACCACAACATGCCGTATTGGAAGGTTCTGCTGCGCGGCTCTGCCTCCTACACATAGCAACTGGACTCTAGCGTCAGTGCTGAACGTTACAGCTTGAGCTCCCGTGCTCCGTTACCCCGTTACTATGACTCGGCTGGCTACCGCGCCTTCTACAGCAACGGTAGCTTCTTGTGCTTGTACTGCCGACCGCCTGAACCATACATCGCGGCACCTTGCCCCATACCCGACAACCTGTACTCGTGTATCATTAGACCTTCGAGGCCAACCGGGCCTCTGGCGTGGACCTTATTCGTGCTAATGCCAACTTCCGTCCCGAAACCAAACCGCATACCGTCACAAAAGCGGGTGCTACAATTCCAGAACTTGCAGGCCGAGTCAACACCGTTGCAAAAGCGATCTGCGACTTCCTTGGAGGCTGTGATAATCGCATCTGTGTGATGCGAGCCATGCGTGTTAATGTGCTCAATCGCGGCGTCAACGGCCGAGGTAGGCTTGTTGCCATCAGGTGTGATAGTCCGTATGGCAAGTACCAAATCCAGGAACTCTGTGGAGAAATCGGCGTCGGAAACATCGTGAAGTAGCAGGGCTCGGTCTTGTGGCAAATGCTTGCTCAATGCCGCTCTTGATGCTTGATCACAGCGGAGGGCAACTCCCTTCGATATAAGCGCAGATGCCACTTTGGGCAGCACAGTCTTCAGAACATTCTCATGTACGAGCAGTGTCTCCACCGCATTGCAAGCTGCAGGATAGTCGGTCTTGGAGTCGACGACGACATTCACCGCCATGTCCTCGTCTGCGTCGGCATGAATGTATATGCTACAAAGACCGTCTGCGTGACCAAGCACTGGCATATGCGCTTTGCGCTGGCAATGTCGGACAAGTTCATTCGAGCCTCTTGGAATCACGAGATCAATGTATTCGCTGAGCTCAAGCAATGGATCGACTGCATCTCGCGTCGTCACGAGCTGAATCGAATCGTTTGGTACGTCCGTGTTGGCGAGCGCTTTCGAGATGATTGTGGAAATGATTTTGAACGATTCTGTCGATTCCTTGCCACCCTTCAGGATCGCCGCGTTGGCAGATTTGATGGCCAACGATGCGATGTTTGCAATGACCTCCGGACGAGCTTCAAATATGATCAAAAGCACGCCGATTGGGCACGTTTGGCGCTGCAGTATTAGTCCATCATCTAATTCTGTCCGTAAGTCCACCCTGCCGACTGCGGGGAGTCAGCAGGGTAGCATGGCGGACCATCACGAGTCTGGCAGACTGCTGAGCTGGAATGACAAAGGAGAAAATAGAGATAACCAACCTGGATCTTCTAGCGCTCGCACGTCTCTTATGCCCTGAAGCATATCGTCGAACTTGCCTTTCCGAGACAAGTCCAAGCGCTTTAGTATACTTAGGCTGAGCTCGCCGCTCGCAGCTGACTGCTTCGCAAACTCGACATCTCTTGAATTTGCGGCCAAGATGTCAGCTCTCGCGCCCGCCAAGGCATCATGTACTGCATCTAGCGCAGCGTTTCTCGCCGCTGTCGGCAGCGCTGCCAGCTTTCGAGAAGAGACCTTCGCAGCGCGTGCCGCTTGCTCGGGGGAAGCGTTGGTCAGAGACATGAGTTTTGCCCTGCTAAATTTGAATGGGCAAGTCGCTGTTGACTGTCACCAGTTGGAAGGAAATAACAATTAGTGAGTCAAGAGCAGTGAAGTTTTCATGTTTATGTTGATGCACTCCCACTAAAGGCGGCATTTCCCGAGCGCCAGCCACTTCCGAGCATCCAGCCACACGAGCGAACCACGACAACGTACTCGTCTGCAAGCACGACCGCTCAGGCTTGGGCATGCGTAGGTCTGTTTCCACGATGCGCAAGCGCTGTAGAAGGCTGGGTGGCTCATAAGTAGTATCCTCTTCCATGTTCCTATCCGTTTCATCCTCGCACAACCATCCCACCACCGCTACACTAACAGCCCACCTGAAGCACACATCTACCCGGCCAGTTCGTGTACCGAGGATGCTGTCTCTCAAGGACTTCCTCTCCATGAGTTCGCCCCTTCGACTGGCTACCATTGCTACCATATCGGTACTGCTACTGGCACAGCCCGGTGCCTCTCAGACGTACAGCAAGTGCAACCCAACGCAGACATCGAGCTGTCCTGCAGACCCAGCACTTGGAACATCTACCAACATCGACTTCACGAAAGGAAGCTCGAGCGCCTTCACGGCCTCCGGTAATCCAACATACAGCTCTAATGGCGTCGGGCTCACCGTCGCAAAGGCCGGTGACGCGCCAACATTGACCTCCAATTGGTACATCATGTTTGGTCGCTACGACATCGTTATGAAAGCCGCGCCAGGCACTGGTATTGTAAGCTCTGTCGTACTGCAATCGGACGATCTGGACGAAATAGATTGGGAGTTCCTCGGAGGCGTTGGCGATCAAGTGCAGAGTAACTATTTCGGCAAAGGACAAACCACGACATTTAACCGCGGAGCTGTACATACTGTCACCAACACGGAGGGACAGTGGCACAAATACACAGTTATCTGGACCAGCTCGCAAATCACTTGGCAGATCGATGGCAACACAGTGCGAGTGCTGACAATGAGTGCCGCAAACGGACAATACCCGCAAAGTCCGATGCAGCTCAAGATAGGCTCGTGGGCTGGTGGTGACCCTTCCAACCCTGCTGGAACGATTGCGTGGGCAGGAGGAACCACGAGCTACGCTGCCGGACCATTCACGATGTACGTGCAGTCTGTCTCCGTGCAGGACTACTCTACTGGCAAGCAGTACACCTACGGCGACACAAGTGGTAGCTGGACCTCAATAAGATCAACTGGTGGCGCAATAAATGCCAACGTTGGCTCCTCTGGAACGGCAGCTGCAGCACCCGCCATAACCTCGACCGCGAGCAGTAACATCATTCCGTTCTCTGGTACTCATGCAGACTGCTCGACCTGCACGACGCCTGGCGCGGGTGGATGGACGGTCTCGACTGTTACGAGCGATTCCACCAGTTGTACGAATATACCGAGCTTGCCGTCCGGTTGGACAGTGTCCGGTTCCTGCAGGCTCGTCGCGCCAAGTGCCGCACCGCCTCGTAAGTATCACCCTCTTTACAAACGCTACTTTAACCCGTAACGGTTACTGACTTGAGCTTAGTTGCAATTCCGATCAAGCTTGTGTGTCTACTGGCTGGTGGCCTAGCAAGCGGTCTTCTGCTCGGCGTCCGGTTGTAGTACCGCTGATAGACCGAACGACATAATGTACGTACTGCATAGCAAAATTGGTCGTAGCGTCTCTGCTTAGCGTGGTGCTTGGGGGAAGCTGCACATAGATTACAGGTTAGACACATTGATGTGCCATTCAATGGTACGTTAGACCCCTACAAGAGGGCCATTGCAAGTCGAATCGTGACTCTGCTGTGCCGTATGCAAGCCCCCGCGTTGTGAAATTCGAGTCATTCGCCCTGCGGTGTATCCAGCATGGCAAAAGCTCGCACAGGCGCTGTGCTGGTGGTTCGAAGCCCGAGCTCTGCGATACAAGAGTATGAAGTCCTGATTCTGCACGACGGCAACCATACTACTGCCCCGTCGCATCTCAGCAAGAGGACGAAAGACATTCGGTGGCAAGCTTTGCTGCGATGTGCCACCCCGTCAGTCCACCTCGCCGCGTAGGTCAACAAATTACGTAGTGCTTCAAAATACGGGATTGCAGGCACGACATTCGCCCAATGCTGCCCTTGTTCCGCGGGAAAGTACGAGACAAGATACTTTCAAGCTTTGCTGGCCAAGTAAGAGTTTTGGCGGTCGAAGCTTACCGATGGGGTTTTCGCTTTAGCCAGTTGGGCAGCAAGTGACCAGAAAGATGGTGGACCCGTAGCTTTCGGGCCTACATCGAAGCCAGAATACACGACTCATGTTCGACGTTGGCGGCGAGACGTGGTTGTTCTTCGGAGACCTGTCCGTGTATGTCGGCATCCATTCACCGCAGCGTCCACGAAGGTGCATGCAATTGGCGGCCGCAGGACAATCGTGTTCAGAAAATGCTCCAGTAATAACAATGGAGACGGCTTGCCCACGACACGAACACAACCGTGAGTCAGGGAGACGGAGGATGGACGGCATGGTCTCCAACGGTTGGCATTTTGGACGTCACCCTCGAGAATAGTCGAGTCGTTCAGCACAGCTCCTCCATCACGACGGAGCTGACGTGGCAGGTTTTGTTCATCTATAGTCACTTTGTGCTGATGGACTATGTAGCAGCAACGCGATATCAGAGACTGAGGCTATCGGAAATGGATGGAAGTTGATTGGACCTCTAACTTCCTCGGCACCTACATGTTTAGCAGCACGCCCGAGTCGTAAGATTGCAAACGTTATTGACGTGATTCACCGTCCAGCGGGCAAGTTTTTGAACTGAACATCGGGTCATGCCGAAGAGCTAATGCATTTGCCACGTGAGAGCACAGACCAGGCGCAAGCCACATGAGACGATGACGGCTCGCCTTATGCTTGTCATTATCGAAGTGTCTCACTAAGAGCGTCTCTCCTGAGCCCGGCAGTTGGTAGAGGCAGATTTCCCGATGCTAGAAGGGATTGTTGTCGCCCACAAAGGATGCGGTTGGTCCGAGCATAGTGCAGACGAAGCGGACCGCTAGTGATCGACACCTTGCCGCGCTTCTGCAATGGATTCTAGAAGCGCGATTCTGCAGCCATTCACACATACCGTTTCTGCATGGGCATGTGAGCTTTTGGAGAGTATCTCACGCGCACTAACTTCTTGTGTACCATGAGGCGGAGTTACATTGGTTGCACAATGCTGCAGCAACACGGCATATCGGCCCCGAATGGCTTTTTCATGACTTAGTCTCAGGACATGGGGTGGCATCACGGGCGCACAGCGTGGTTGACGAGCGGCACAGTATTACCAGACCGTACATCAAATTGGACTATCCTCGGGCTGTAGCCAACAGTCGTTGAGCAGCTCGCGCCGCGAAGTGGCTACAGCTACAGCCTACGCACTGAACCTTTTCAGCTTTTCCAAAACCTGGAAACGGCCGCCTAGAAGGCTTTCCGCTGGCACGAAAGCATGCGGTGCATGCAAGATGCACCTCACGCACGTGGGCCCCATGGAGACGTACGCCCTTCCCGCAGCCTCCCTGCGCGATTTCATGGTTCGCTATTGATGCCTGAATCATCCTGTACTTTCCTCCTCCTCCTCAGCATCAGGGAGCTTATGTCTGGAGGCAAGCTTGAATGAAACATCAGGCACACGTCGAGTTTAGCATAACCTTGTGCAGTCCCGCCCTCGACCGCGTCGACAGTTCGGAGGGGAGAGGCGCTGACTACAATTTCTCGGAGCATGAGAGCGGCGGGGCGAGTGGAAGCTCTGACCGTCAAGCCCGAGTCGTTTCAGATCATACATGGTTCTGATCCTTATGCAGCGTGTGAACGATGTAACCGATTGATTTGAAGGCCAGTGCTTATGTGCACGGCATTCGGTGGACTCCCCAATCGGTTACGTGGCATACGGAGTACAACGCAATGCAGAGCTATCAAGCTATGGTGAAGTGTCCTTCCTGAAACGACAGACTCCGTTATCTCAGGTCTTACTGTACCTGGTGGGCATACGAGCGCACCAACAAGGAGTGCTAGACCAATCGCCCATCGGAATTTCCGTGCAATCTGTACCTCGGTACGATGCATACCTCGAACGGACATTTACGAGTCAGGTGTCTCTCGGTTAAATACTATGGACGTGGGCGGAAATTGAATGCAACTGTCAACTACCATGCTAAAAAGGGCGCTAGAACTTGGTAGGGATATAGAAGGTCGGCAAATAGAATTGCAAATGGAGAGTGGCTGCGCTGGGGCGCCCTCGGTGGCGTGTCTATCGAGCAACGTGGAGTGTCGCTATGGGTTGCGGCTGGCCGTGATCGGAAAAATACTATAGCTCACAAAGCACAGGACCGGAGAAAGTCGAGGGTTGTGCACGACAGATACACTGTGCTGACAACCCTCTCGGTGCAGCAGCCTCTCCCCCTTTGTCATGTCATCTGTATGTACTCGCTACCTCCGCGGCGACCAGTCGCACGGTATCTGTCAAGCGTCATCATCGTATCGGTGTAGAAATGCGCTAGCGCAGCGTACCTTGTCGCCGTCGCATTCTCTCGGCCCGAACGTCTCATCTTGTTTAAGTCCGGAGACGTTCTGCGCCATCTCGAAGTGCCGCGGTTGTCGCTTGCCTCCACCCTGCTGACGCCGCCTGGTACTTCAGTACAAGTGGGATCTTAGATGGGCGGCGACGGCGCACTCCACAATACCACATACCGTGCCCCTGGAAAAGTCTAATCGACAGTAGCTTTGACATAGCTCCGGCTCATCACGCCGGTCTGCCACTCGTTGCTGGGCATCCACACCCGGTGCCTGACTCTATGTCATCCGCCTTGCCATTCCACTATCCTTGTCTCGCACTGTCAACCTTGGCCGCCCTATTGCGATTCCACTTCGAGCCTGGCGTCGCCATCATGTTCAGCGCCTGACTTGCGGAATCGCTGTCCCGCCCGCCGTCTCAACTTGTCTGACGTTGCTCGTTCTTGACCGTATGGCTCTGCTACCAGGATGGACCAGCGGCGACCTCCATACGCTGCTCCTCCACCCCCTCCGTCCATCGTAGACTCCCGCGCAAATTCGACCCAACCGCCGCCGTCTTATCCTGCTCATCCATACCCTCAACCGCCGCCACCGGCGCAACATCCGCAATACTCCTACCCACCTCCCGCACTGCCGCCCATCAATTACAACCAAGCGTATGGACATCCACCGCCCGGGACACAGCCTCACCTCCCTCCTATCAACCAAGGGCAACCTCCACCTCACGAATCGCGTGACGCGCAAGAGCAATATTCGTACAACCAGCAGCCACCAAGTGGGCACGCAACGCCTGCGCCAGTAAACAGGACATATTCGCACGACTCGGCGCACCAACAACGAACTCCGACGACACCCGCACAAGCAGGCCCGTATCCGTCCGGGACAGTAGACGGTGCTCAACCTCCGCCGCAGCACATGGACCATGGCCCACCACACCATGGGTATCCGCCAACGAATGGTATTGCGCACCATCATGCGGGCCCACCGCCACCAATGGCGGTGCACCACGAACATCAGCCTCAGTACCTTCCTCCACCCATGGAGAACCATCACCAGCAGTATCAAGGACCGCCACAGCCATCTCCAATGTACCCGCCTCCGCATGCTTCAACCTTCGGCCCGATGACTGCAAGTCTGACACAAGGACAGCGTAAGAAGCAAATGCGGGCGACGCAAGCCTGCGAACAATGTCGCCAACGGAAGCAGAAATGCGACGAAGGTATACCGTGTTCTTTCTGCAAGGAGAATACTTTAACATGTCAGTATCGTGACACGCCACCCGCCAAAACGGACAAGAACATGGAGCAATTGCTCGGCTACATGAAGTCGCACTCGAACATTCTGGAGGCGCTGACTACTAAGATGGACGTGATGGACGCGAGAGTGCGGAAGGTGGAGCGTGCCACTGCACATCCTACGCAAGGTGGCGATGTACAACTCCCGTCACATGACCATGAGCAAGAAGCCAGCACCGGACTGAAGGAAGACCATCGCACTGCGCCACACAAGCTTCTACTTTTGTGGCCAAGCGTTGGTAACCTCTTCAAAGATGCGGGTATCGAGCACCTGGAATCTTATGTCATGGCAGCCGAAGATCGTGGCATTCTCAGGATTTTCACTCGGGGCGAAGGCATCGATGAGAACGACGGTACCCAACCTGGTGCACCCTCCAGTCCTGCTAGGAGCGACAGTAGCGGCGAAGGAATGATCCCGAGCGCGCCCACGCCACCCGAAGGGATATGGGTGCGTATTCAAAGGCCTATCTATTATCTGGACCATGCTAACGATTTGTCCTCGCTTTGCAGGGTACCGGGTTTCCGCCAACTCCTTCTTCTTCCGACATCAAGCGATCGGAGTTGCATTCTTGGGGTGGTCTCAAACCGGACAACTCACTCGATCTCGACGCCAGCACCATTACCGACCTCTATGCGAGCTATATGCAACATATACACATCATGCATCCCTTCCTCGATCGCCAGCGCCTGCGGACGCTGGTCGAGGTGTTCATCAAGCGCTACAGTACCACCCGTACCACTACGGCAAAGTTCGTTTCACACCATATAAACTCTGATTCTGATCGCCCGCTCAAACGGCAGCGATCTGCCGGCTCTGCAAACGACGGCTACACGCGCAATCAGTCCGGCGAACGTGCAATCCCCGAACACTCACCCGGCAACGCGATCGTCTACCTCGTGCTGGCGCTGGGTAAGATTTGCCAACACCGAGATCCCCTCCCAGCCGTCGTGGCGGAGAACAGGCTAGTGGCGAATGCCAAAGTATCGCATCAGCTCACTGGTGTGCAAGGGCTCAATACTAGCTCACCGACATTTTCAGGCTTCAAGCAGTCCCCAAGGTCACCGAACTCGGCTCCGCCGACTACACATCCTACTCCACCCGTTGACGGTCAATATTCTCGAAGTCGGAGGTCCTCAATCTCCGCCGACATTGTGCCTTTTGCTGGCGCGCGAAATCTGGATATCATTCCAGGTTTGGCGTACTACGCGAAAGCTGCCGAGATTCTAGGCGCTCAAGCAGACGGCAATGACCTCGTACACGCACAGATGTTCCTGCTCGCTGGACTTTACAAGGGTCAATTAGCGCGTGTCAAGGAGAGCATGGGTACGTTCTTCAAGCACAAGCCTGGTAAATGTCTGAGATCCTGCTAACGTTCATGGTCGGTGCTTCTAGGTTGGTATGCTATGGCCGGACGCGCACTGAGGAGTCTGCTTGATCGCCACCAGCTGTATAACGAGCACTATTGGGATGCATTCGGCGACGCCAAAGCGGAGCTTGAACGTGGCAAGAAGCTGATCAGAGACAAGCGACATAACCTGATCGTGCTTGCTTCCTGGACCTGCCTTCAATTGGAAAGCGACATCCTCGCTGAAATGCGCCTGCCATCCAGCGGCATCAAGGATATCGAGGATATGCTTCTGATGCCGCTCGAGGTGCCGGAAGAGGAAAGCTACAGCTGTCTGGAACCGGCAGTACGGGACGATGACTACAGCAAGATACTCCTGTTCTACACATCACAGATGTTCTTACGACGTCGACTCAACCAGGTCCATCGGGATATGTATGGCCCAGCGTGCCTCAATCAGTCACTCGAACAGGTTAGGGGCATGTTGAAAGGCCACGAAAGCATCCTCAGGGCCTGGCGGCAAGGACTTCCACCAGCGTTACGATGGGAGGACTCAGATCCGCCGGCTGCGGACATTCTCTCCGCACGATTACGCGCGAAGTATTGGGGCGCGGCCTACATCGTGAATCGACCCTTTCTGGACTACGCGCTGCATATCATGTCTCATTCCAAAGATCCGGTGACCAATGCGAGCGTGCGAGACGTGGCCAAAGACATACACGGCAATCCGCGCGATGAAGCAGATATACACCTCTTCCAGGCTATTGAAGGGATGGGTGAAGATGAGGTCTGGCAGGCTTCTATGCGCTGTGTCTCAGCTGCCATGCAAAGCACTATTGCGCTGGATGGTGTGCCAGACCGGCTGATCGTGACTAAGTACGCAACACCATCTTCTGTCTGAGACAACGCTGACCTTCCTTAGCATTCATGGCACCGCTCATGCGTAAGTGCTCCGCTCCTGCAGCCCTGCCATGCACGTCACTGACGTGCATTAGACAATTTGGCAATATGCTCGTGCTTTCCGCAACGTGGCACAGCCGCGTGCTACGTCGACTCGTTGAGACCAGAGGCCAAGAGTTCCCGGAACTACTCGAGAGGACAATTGGATTCCTGAGAAAGCTAAGGGGGATCTCCCCGACGTGCACGCACGACTGTCAGATCCTCGAGCGCATACGAACGGTAAGCAGACTGCATACACGACTTCGCCATCCCGAAACCTTGCTGATCCTTTTACCCATCGATCTCTAGCATCTGTTCGGCGTGCCGTCGGAAGAACGTCCGATCTACAAGAACGAGGTGGAGCCAATGAGCGCGACGCATTCGTTCAGTGCAAGCACGTAGCTGTACAGCCAATAGTCGTGGAATCTGCAGCGCTGCGATATTTACATGACCTGATGCAGCAAATGCGGGCTGCAAATCTTTCACCCCTGAGACTGGAGCACGACGGAGCAAGACCCGCCGGTCCAAGACCCGCCGGCCCAAGGGCCGAGGCCCGTTCCAGAGCGGATCTAGCGGATCTGAGCGAGGTGAAGACAGGCGACCATCTAAGATTCCAAATCGAATGTACAAATCGAATGTATGCTTAAGAGCGGAGATGGAATCGCAAGGGCCGGGCGCCGTGGACTTGCCAAATGCATTTTAGCCGAAAGCATGTCGCGTTTTGCGACTTCAAGCCAAACTTAAAGACACTCCAGGCCCGCTTACTTCTCGGAGATGGTCGGGCTTCCTTTCCACAACGAACATCAAACATCACGACTTCGCACGGCGGCTACATTACGCAGATCTAATTGGATTTGTCAAGATCACCCGATATACGGATATACTCGAGCATCGGTAACGGCGTTATGATGGACGGATTGTCACAGCTTTTATCTTTATCGAGCATCTGGGTGGCTAGCGCTCGAATTCCTGCAGCATTGCGTTTACTTTGCGAGCGAATAAGATACCAGGCCATTATTGTGGTCAGAGCATGGGTGGATCGCATTGCTTCTTGCTTACATGTACTCTGCTTGCATCGACGGCGTCATAGACCCGCGGCATTTACGGCCGTACCACTGTACAACAGTTGTAGCTGCAACTTGCGCATGATCAGATAATGTGCTGACTGTTAGGTCTCACACTACTGCGCTCTGCAGTCCGTATCTCAGACTCGATAACGCCATCCAACGCCCATCCCGGGGATTGACATCCCAACAACCAGGTCCGATATGTAGGCATAAGCACCGACAGCCGCATTCCGCATGAGAGACCAATCTCCGGGACTGACACGTTAGCACTATGCCTTTGCTCGGACGTCATCTCTTAGCTAGCCCTACAGACCCTGTATGTCGCAAATGCCGTCGTTGTCGTACACGATTTCGGCGCTGTCATCCTCGGATAGAGATAAGTCTTCACTGTTGTTATCGCCGCTACGCAGCAGGCTCGGAGGCGGACTGACACTGTGCTCGCCGGCGTAGGCTGTTAGGTGGGACTTCACTGAGGCCAATTCATCTAGCAGAATGTGGAGAGGCTGAGCAAGGCTAAGCCTTGCTGCTCTCTTTTGCGTGGCGCTAACGCCTTCTACTGAGTACCGCGCATTGAATGGTCCGCAGGACCAACGTACCCCGTCCAGGAACGCAAGCCGGAGGCTTTCCTTCTGTTGCAGATCTATGCTGAATTTGTCTACAGTCCTGGTCATTTCCCATGCGAATATAGCGGAGATCTGGCGCCATTCAGTCGCGGTACTGTAGTTGACGTACAGGCCGAAGCCCTGCACGATATCGGACACCATGTGCGCAATCTGCGCAATGTGCTCAACTCGAGCGGCGGGTCGGAGTCCGCATGTAGAGATTATCTTAGCGATTGCGCACACCACCTTCGGCGTCAGCGCAACCTTAGCGTCTTGTAGCTGGGGACGGATCTTGGTGCGATAGTCGCGGCTCGCGCCAAGGACGGCAAAGCCTAGTGCGTTCACAGAGGGACACCTGGAGCACAGATCCGCGAGCTCGTCTACAGTTATAGTGCTCAGGACGGCCTCGGCCGGTATCCGATAATAGACCTGGAACTCATGGCTGCCATGATAATTCTGGGCTCCATTTTCGAACGCGTACTTCTTGCAGAGCTCCTTGTGCTAAAGGGTCGAATGTTAGCGACCGACTATAGCAGGCCAGATTTGCTTACTATAGGTGGCATATGATAGACTTGATCTCTGTCAAGAGCGCTTGCATTGATAAGTGTGATACGGCCATGGCGCGCCCCCTTCTGCCGCATCTTCAATGCAAGCCTGAAAACCCAGACCAGGAAGTTGCTCGTGCTAATGGTTTCCGCCTCGAATCGAGTCCGGTTAAGGTGCGTATGAAACATTGCCCAGGGGAAGTGACGGCTATTGATCGACGGCAGAGGCGCTGGGTCGATATTGTAGCCTTTAAAATGTGATGCTATGAACCCGTTCTCCAGCTTGATCGAGCTGTTCTCGTCCCTAGATCGGTTAGTACCAATTTTGACGTAGAAAAGCCGGAGCATGCTTGTAAAGTAGCATACCAGTATCGAAACAGCAATCCACTGAGGTTCAAATGGATCGACGCTTCGTCGACATGCGACCAGTCCAGCTGTGTCTTTGCATATTCATCAGGTCTCAGCCATACTTGATGACCAGAGGGCGAACAGGTATGAAGGACTGTTGCATCAACTCTTCTCGTCTTCGGTGTGCGTGGGGTTGTGAACGGCGCGACGGTCACTGAGGCAGAATGTGCGGTCACCTGGACTATAGCGACTCGCTTTTTCGAACGCTTGACCGGAATCGGGGATTCATTTTTTGACTGGCCAGGTGCGATGTCCTGCAGCTGAACGTACGCACGCTTCTTGATCGATGTGGAAGTCGGGGGGTTTGGCACCTTTGATCTCGCAAGTGGAGCTGACGGCAGCTCACCCAGAGAAGCTTGAGCTTCTCTAATCTTGATCGTCATGGCCTGTCTTTCGACCTCGCTCGCATTCGTGACCGCTTGCCAACACTTCGGCAAGGGCGTTTTGCTGCGCTCGCAGTACTGCACGCGCAGACGGGTAACCGTCGCGCCATCCGCAAGTCCACAAGCGTCCAGGTGGTCTTTGAAGACCGTATTAAAGACTGCCAGGCGCTTGCTCATGTCCGTCTCAAGCTCCCAGAGGAGACACAAGGTAAGGCGCATTTCGTGATTCCATCTCACCTGTGCGCCGCGATGTGAGGTGCCCGCCATAGTGGCGCTGCTCAAATGGGTTGATACGCTTGAACTGTGGGAAGTGAGGGGACCGAAGCCTGACGTGTGAAGAGTAGAGGGTCGGTGCGAAGCAGGAGTTGATAACGAAAAGGCGGCGCGGGAAGGAAGCTGTGAACCTCTGCTGTTTGGTGAAGTGAGGTCGACTCGACTGCTGCGGGTGGCCATAAGGTTCTTCCCCGCATGCGCCGTCTATAGGGCCACATGCGATGGTAAGCAGCAGGCAGTGAGGTTGACATCGAGACCCAAATACAAGCACATGCTGCAGGGGTTGCTGACGATGCCGTTCCGCTTGGAGGAGTCGATAAGGACAGACTAAGAGTAAGCCTTTCGCTGTTCTTTCGGCGCGTAACCACACGTAGCGTCAAGTCGGTATAGGCCAAGTGACATGCGCAATAACAAGTCGTTATTAGCCAAGCGCATATGGCACGTGATAAGCGTACAGGTGAACGGTAATAGAGGTCGCTGTTGACCTATTAAGCTTAGTCGTCCTTCGATGGACTCGGCCGCCGACTCCCTCCACGCCCCACGTCAAGGGCGATAGGGTTGATCTCCTCGATAGGTGCCGCCTCCGCTTGACTCTTCCCTACCAACGCAGCATGTTCATCAGCATCCTCGTCATCCACGTCCTCGCTTCGCACTGCACCAGACCTATCACCACCCGCATCATCGTCTTCCGCGTGCACCTCCTCATAGCCAGCCTTCTGACCCGATTGCTTCTTGTCCATAATAAAGTTGTCAATCACCCAATACTGTACAGCGTTCATTGCCAATGGGAAGACAAACATAGCAAACGTGACTTCCAGCACTTCGTTGCCTTTTGTCCAGCGTAGCGCCCAGTCACCGATCCAAGGCAATTGCGGGATTGCCGCGAATAGAAAGAAGACAAACAACTTCATGAAGACTAGGCCTATGAAGTATATCATGAGCTGCTTGAGATACCATGACCACTTGGGCGGGCCGCCTGGCGGACCGTAATGGCCGGACTGGATTGATTCTGGCGGCTTTGCAACGGCTGTGTGCAAGAAGAGAGCGTGTAGTACCTTCAGCAAGAGGTACAACACAGGGATTCCAAGGGTAGTCTGGCCGAAGTTAGCACTTGCAATTCATGAAGACGTCAAGCTCACGTGGGTGTCGAGGATCGGGCAATAGAGCACTTACATCAATGGCTAGGTTCAGCAGATAGAAACTGCAGGGATTCGGCATGCGGCCCTCTGGATCGTTGATGGCAGACGTCACGCCTGCTTTCTTTGCCGCATTGACCATGTCCACGCTCGATAGCATGCTCATAGCTAAGTTGAGCACGTGTGTGAGCATAGAGCCAAAGACTTGCTTGCTAACGTCGAAGAACCAGATGCGCCACGGTCGTTTTGGGTTCTCACGGTACCGTTTGAAGACGAGTGAGAGCAAGGCGAATGCGCCCAGCAAGCCCTGGATTAGCAGAGCGAACGGTCCCAGCAGATGGCACTCTGCCTGCGGAGGCTCTTCAGGCGGTCCGTCCGGACTGTCTTGTGGTTCCAAGGGTGTGGCGCTGAGCTTGTCGTCGGTGACCTCATGCACGTTGTCGCCTTCGGGAGGGTCCGCCGGCGCAGTGGCAATGGTAAGGATGCCGTCCTCCCCAGTCGTAACAGACGCACCGCCGGTGATAGCCGTAAGGACATCAGCCGTTGGTGTCGGGTCGCCCAAAGTGACGAACTCCTCCGTGACTCCAACAATGTCGACCAGCTCTGTCGCAAACAGTAACGTGCTGCCAGCCTTGATGACACCTCCTACATCCTGATTGCCATATGCGAGATCCGAAGGTATCGTCAAGTTCCTCCGCTCTCCGGGACACATGTCGAGCAGGCCTAGGTCCCATCCTCGGATGACTTGTCCGGCTCCTAAGGTGAAGGTGAAGGGTTGGCCGCGCTTGTAGCTCTCATCGAACAGCGTGCCGTCCTCGAGGGTGCCGCGGTAGTGAACGCTGATGGAGTCGCCATTCTGCGAAGGTCGGGAGCACCGGGCCGGAGTGGTGTAGTCGATGCGTAAGCCTGAGGGGAGAGTGGTGTGTAGGGGCGCTGATTGTGCCCAAGCTAGAGAGACGAGAGCGAGGAGAGAGGGAGGCAGGAGGGCAAGCGAATGCATCGTTGCATTCACGCCTTCTACGCTTGTTCCGTAACACAAGGAAACTAATGCTTCTCGCAGACAGACAGTAGCCTGCAGGCGATGGTGGCGGTGCAGCGACAGCTCTGATACACTGGGTATAGTGAAGCCTAAGGCATGAACCAGGAAATATGGAGGTGGATAGGAACAAGTTGCGACTGACGGGCCTCAGTCTACACCTTTATTATACAACGAGAAGAGGCCATTTGAAAGCTGTTGCAATAGCTTGGGACCGGTCAATCAGTGGTGAAGGCCTGCATTGGATCGATCAATGTCTGGAGCGTCTGCTCCCTCCGCGTCCCCATAGCCCAATATGACCTCCACCTCCACCGCGCCCATGCTCACCAAGTTCGAGTCCAAATCGTCGCGCGCCAAGGGTATAGCATTCCACCCCAAGCGACCATGGATCCTGGTCTCGCTGCATTCTTCCACCATCCAACTATGGGACTACCGCATGGGCACACTCATAGATCGCTTCGAGGAGCATGACGGACCGGTACGAGGCATCGACTTCCACAAAACGCAGCCGCTGTTCGTGTCCGGAGGGGACGACTACAAGATCAAGGTGTGGTCATACCAGACGCGGAGATGTTTGTTTACGCTCAATGGCCACTTGGACTACGTACGGACTGTCTTCTTTCACCATGACTTGCCCTGGATCCTGTCCGCTTCGGACGATCAGACAATTCGGATATGGAATTGGCAGAATAGGTCGCTAAGTAAGGCAGACGGCGCCTGCTGAGCTGCAAATGACATGCTGACTGAATGCAGTCTGCACCATGACTGGCCACAACCACTACGCCATGTGCGCACAGTTCCACCCAAAGGAGGACTTGATTGTATCCGCCTCACTAGATCAATCCGTCAGAGTTTGGGACATATCAGGCTTGCGCAAGAAGCACTCAGCACCTTCCTCCATGACCTTCGAAGACCAAATGGCTCGAACGGGGCAGAATCAGGCAGACATGTTTGGCAACACGGACGCAGTAGTCAAGTTCGTGCTGGAGGGTCACGATCGCGGCGTTAACTGGGTCGCCTTTCACCCCACACTACCGCTCATCGTCTCAGCAGGCGATGACAGGCTGGTCAAGTTGTGGCGCATGAGCGAGACGAAGGCGTGGGAAGTCGACACGTGCCGAGGACACTTTCAGAACGCTTCCGCCTGCCTCTTTCACCCGCACCAAGACCTGATCCTCTCCGTTGGCGAGGACAAGACCATCCGAGTCTGGGACTTGAATAAGCGGACATCAGTGCAGTCATTCAAGCGCGAGAACGACCGCTTCTGGGTCATTGCAGCACACCCCGAGATCAACCTGTTTGCAGCGGGTCATGACAACGGAGTGATGGTGTTCAAGCTTGAGCGGGAGCGGCCAGCCAGTGCCGTGCAGCAGAACCAGCTATTCTTCATCACTAAGGACAAGCATGTGCGGTCATACGATTTCACAAAGAACGTCGAAAGCCCCTCCCTGCTGTCCCTGAAGAAGCTGGGCAGTGCTTGGACGCCGCCGCGTACCATGTCGTACAACCCTGCCGAACGCTCGATACTGGTTACCACACCCGCGGACAGCGGCGCGTATGAGCTAATCAACCTGCCTAAGGACGCTTCTGGAGCAGTAGAGCCTTCTAACACGCAACGCGGCACAGGGAGCTCAGCAGTTTTCGTTGCCCGCAATCGCTTCGCCGTCTTCAATCAAGCCAACCAGCAAATAGACATTAAAGACCTGTCTAATTCCACCACCAAGACCATTAAGCCACCCACAGGCACCACGGACATGGTGTTCGGCGGTCCTGGCTGCTTACTGCTCATCACTCCCACTATGGTTTATCTCTACGACATACAACAGAAGAAGCAGCTTGCTGAGCTCGCGGTAGCCGGCGTCAAGTACGTCGTCCACTCCGCGGACGGTCTTCATGCCGCGCTGCTAAGCAAGCACAATGTCACTATCGTCACGAAATCTCTGCAACAAGTGAGTACGCTGCATGAAACCATACGCATCAAATCCGCGACATGGGACGATGCAGGCGTCCTGCTGTACTCCACGCTCAACCACATCAAATACACGCTAATGAACGGCGACAACGGCATCGTCCGCACCCTCGAACACACCGTCTACCTTGTGCGCGTCAAAGGCCGCAGTGTCTTCTGCCTCGACCGCGCAGCTAAGCCTAAGATCCTCACTATCGATCCCACAGAGTACCGCTTCAAGCTCGCGCTGGTCAAGCGACATTACGACGAGATGCTCAACATCATTAAGACGTCAAGTCTTGTCGGCCAGAGCATCATTTCATACCTACAAAAGAAAGGCTATCCAGAGATCGCGTTGCAGTTCGTGCAAGATCCGCAAACCCGCTTCGAGCTTGCCATCGAGTGTGGCAACCTGGATGTCGCGGTCGAGATGGCGAAGCAGCTCGACAGACCGAAGCTGTGGCAACGACTGAGTACCGAGGCGCTGGCGCACGGCAACCACCAAGTCGTAGAGATGACCTACCAGAAGCTACGAAACTTCGACAAACTGTCATTCCTGTACCTTGCCACCGGCGATACAGACAAGTTGCGGAGAATGCAGAAGATCGCAGAAAGCAGAGGTGACATGACGAGCCGATTCCAAAATGCGCTCTATCTTAGCGATGTGCAGAACCGAATCGAGATGTTCAAGGAGGTCGATCAATATCCCCTCGCATACCTCACGGCAAAGGCTTATGGACTTGACGATCAATGCCAGGAGATTCTTGAAGCGTGCGGTATGCAGGAGGAGGAGGTCAGTCTACCAAGTCTGGGCAAGCCTGTGCAGGCCCCGAAAGCCATTGTGCCGACATTCAAGAACAACTGGCCCACGCGGGCTACGGGTACTAGCTCGTTCGAGAAGGCGCTCATGGCTGACGGAGAAGACGCGCCAGTGCCAGAAACGAATGGGTTTGTGGGAGATGAGCTCATGGCAGAGGAAGATGCGCCAACGAATGGTCACCTTGGCGAAGAAGGCGAAGACGAGGATGCGGCGGCAGGCTGGGACATGGGTGACGACGCTGCCGCGGATCCAGAAGCCGACGACTTCGTGGATGTCGCCGCAGAGACCGCAGGCGCCCCGGCGAGCAGTGAAGCCGACTTATGGACGCGAAATAGCCCACTCGCAGCCGACCACGCAGCAGCCGGCAGCTTTGACAGCGCCATGAACTTGCTCAATCGGCAGGTCGGAGCAGTAAACTTCGTGCCACTCGAAGAGCGCTTTATGGATATCTACGCTGCGAGCCGCACATTCCTGCCTGCTAACGCAGGCATGCCGCCTCTGGTGTACTTCGTGCGACGGACTCTGAACGAAACCGACTCCCGCAAAATACTACCTTTCATCCCACGTGATCTGGAAAGTATCCAGACCGGCGAGCTTGCTGCAGGCAAAAGGGCCATGGTAGCCAACAAACTCGAAGAAGGCATTCCAGCGTTCCGAAAGGCCATCTACCTCCTCACCGTGAACGCCATGAGCTCTCAAGCCCAAGTGCAGGAAGCGCAGCAATCGATCCAGCAAGCGGCGCAGTACATCCTCGCCATGAGTATCGAGCTCGAGCGGCGGAAGCTCGTGGGCACAAGTCCGGATATTACTGCGTTGAGCGAGGAGAAGAAGAAGCGCGCGCTTGAGCTTTCGGCATACTTTACGTGCTTTGAGCTGATGGAGCCACAACACCGGACCTTGACGTGGTTGAGCGCGATGAACTTCGCGAATCGCAATAAGCAGATGGGTTCGGCATTGGGGTTTGCGAACGCGCTGATTGAGAAGGGTACGAGTGCTAGGCATAAGGAGACGGTAAGTTCACAATCAACCTTCGGCCTATTCCTCCGAACTGCAGATGTACTGACGTGTTTTGCATTCACAGGCAAAGAGTGTAAAAGCCCGAGCCGAGCGCGGCCCCACCGACGCCATCGAGATCGAGTTCGACAGCTTCACGGAGTTCGACATCTGCGGCGCCTCGTACACGCCTATCTACGCTGGAGACGCGAGCGTGAGCTGTCCGTTGACTGGGATCAAGTTCAAGCCGAAGTATAAGGGAACCGTCAGTCCGATCTGCGAGGTTTGCGAGATTGGCAAAGCGAGCAGTGGGCTACGGTTGACGGTATGAGGGATAGCATGAGTGGGTGAAAATATGGAGGTCGATGGAAGCGCACTGGGATGGATATTCAATTTAGCGAGCATTGATTACGAGAAGCAGAGAACGGGCTCCTGACGGCGCGGATCGAAATCGAGAACGGATATAGCGGGGAGTCTGTCTGCATGCCCAGAGCAAAAAGCATGCCGACTTGATTAAGCTACTCAAGATTCAATCGTCAGGCCGCAGAACGCGGTCAAATTCGTCATGGTATCATCGTGCGCAGAAAGTAACAACTGCTGCCCCTCGACAACGCCAAACAGAACGCTATGCAGTGACCTGAAAAGGGGGTATCTCCAAAACGTAGAACGAAAGAAATGACCCGCCTCCAGTATGCCCTCCATCATGCGCGTGAAACCAACCCAAACCCGAAGCCAGCGTATGCGTGATCGAACCAAAACCGAAGCCATCATATGCGTAAAAACAAGGTTCGTTCATCGTAATTCATCGTAAGGTGGCGAGCGTGCCATTCGTTTGTTCAAGGGATCGAGAGCGGATGCGAAGCCATGCTGGAACTAGGAGCGGTGCTCAGCAGCGCGCCCTTCGCTCGTCGCAACAGCGACAAGAGCTTCAAGACGGCCCATGCCGTTGTTGGGAGCCTGAGTGTAATCGGATGTGTATCTGGGATCGTGACCCGTCTGCAGCGTGTAGGTCTGCGGCGGTGCTGCAATGACCGGAGGCTGAATGTAGGACTGGAAGCCTGAGTCAGCCCTGGCTGGCTCAGGTTTGCTCGCAGCAATTTCTTTGTGATGTACCTTGTGCTCGTCAACAACCATTCCGCCCGGCGCGTACGCCTCGGCCGTGCCATTTGGGCCGACTATGACCGGGTGATACTCTGTGCCTTGGGAGGTCGACGGGGTGGGCACGCCTTCACTGCTGCCAGAATCTTCCGGAGACGGTCGCTGGATTGGAAGGGCTGCGGACTGATACGCTTGCATGGGCCCGCCGTACCAGCCTTGTCGCTTGTTCTTGCGCGGCGTGACGGGCTCCGGCATGGAGGCAGAATGCTGGTGATGGATGGCCTGCGGGGCGATCGTGGTTGGCGGCGGCTGCTGAGCGAAGTAGCCGGGTGGAGCGGCTGGCATTGGCTGCACTGCAGGCCAGTGTCCTTCGACGGGGGCATTCGCAGCTGCAATGTCCAGCTTTGTCAGGTTTTGGTGCAACCCGGCATCCGAGACGCGGTGGGAGCTCGGTGGACGGTCGTCAACCATCATGGGGCTCGACTGCTGGCGAGCAGCAGGCCGGGGTGCATGATCAAAGCTTTCTATGCCCGGCAAGCGCGTCATCTGGCTTGCTGCAGGCTGCCCAGAAGGTGCCGGCGCCTGATCGTCCGGCGTCTGCTGATAAGATAACCCGCTCGTTGCTGGCCGTTGCGCATAGTAAGTGCCAGGGTGCCACGTCCGCCGCCGGTATTCGAGCTCGGCCTCCGACTCGCGCCGTCCACCTGAGAACACGGAACTAGTCGGGCTACCGAACATACTTCCGCTTTGCGAGAAGGTCGCTGAGGAGCTGGAAGGGATGGGGCTGAAGTATGCTGGCGGGTAGGTGGCGCCAGTCGGGTTCTGGTATGGATTTGCGGCAGAAGGGACTGATAGTCGGCGACCCGGCGGTCCATGTCTGGCGCCGTTGTAGAAGGTGTTGCGTGACAAGTTCGAAGACGGAGAGCCAAAGTAAGGGCTGCCAGGCCCTGTCGAGAATGATGTCGAAGTTGGAGTGCTGTAGCCTGCTGGCGAGGGATTGTAGTATGCGTACTGCGGGCCAGGACTGCCGTTTATTGAATTGTACGTCTCAAGCGTAGGACCTGCTCGGGCAGCCGGGTCGCTGGCCATCGCAAGTGGCTGAGGACGGCGTCGAGTCTCTTCGGCGGCGCCAGTGCTGGATGCTGTCGAGCCTACACTGGACGTTGACAGATTGCGACTATGACCTCGACCATGACCACCACCTTGACTGCCGATCGTTGACGCCCGGGACCTGTTGTTGGGCGGTCGCACCCGATCCGTCCGTATCTGACGCTGAAACCTTGTGCTAGTAGCAGCCAAAGAGTCGCCAGGTATTTCCTCGTTCACGTGGACCGTCTGCGCATGCTGCCGAAGGTTGTCAAGACGGGAGAACCTGCGAGAACAGTGGCATTGGAAAGGTCGTTCGCCGGTATGCTTCCGGATGTGTCGCGCCAAGTGTTCGCTTCGCGTGAAGCTGAGATTGCAGGGCGGGAACTCCGTGCAGAAGAACCGCTGCCCTTTCTTCTTCTTCGATGGTCTTTGCGAGCCACTTGCGACGCTTTCGTCGTCTGAGCCGTCATCGTCACCATCCTTGTCTACGTCCTCCCCGTCGCCCATCTCGACATCTTCATCCCCGGTAGACTCTTGGGAACGATACGAACTATCTCGCTTGAGCGACGCACCCGACTCTTTAGGCTCGCTGTGTACTTGCGCCAATATAGTCGGATCATCTGGCAATGGACGCTGCCAAGAAAGGCTGCCAAAGTCATTTGTCTTTGGTGTATCAGGCAATGACTCTTCAACAGCTGTAGGCTTCGCCACTTGTGCTGCGAATCGCGGCTTTGGTGTCGTTGGCGTCTGCTCCTCGCCCGTTCGTCCAGGCTCAGGTGCGCTCAGTGCCGTGTCCACAGTGGCGAATGTGGCCATTTGCGCCGGCTGTCGCGCTCAGGCGCCTTGGGGGCGGCACACCGCCGAGTCTGCACGACCGAACCACGTTATGTCCGCTCGTCGACCGAAATGCACAACCGTTGGTATAGCGGAGCGGTATCTGTGCTCAAACCGTGCGCTGGGCCTTACTCAGCCTGGTGATGAGCCAGCGCGCAACAAGTACCGTGGGCTGCTGAGACAGATGGCGCCAGGCTGGGCGCCGATGACAATCGGTTTGCGGACTCGAGCGACGCGGATAAACGGTGAAGGAGAGACTCGAAGTTAAACTGTCAACCAAACGCTGCTCAGTTACCGTCCAGTGAAACCCGCAAAACCATCCAAAGAACGTTCGTGCCGTGTGAAGCGGCGCAAGAGATGTGATGACGAGGCTAGAGCCGAATGACCTGGATGATAAGGCACCCTCGCTAGAAGGAGCAGGCTTAGCGGCCACGGCGGATCCGTGCAGGTGGGCTGTCCCGCCACCGGCGATCGCTGACGTTGGGGAGAGGAACAGGCACGAGGGCTTGTTAGCGCAAAGAACAGAAGTTGCTGCGTGGCAGTAGATTCCACATATAGGTGTAAGATCATAGTATTGTGTGATTGCGCAGCCAGTCTCCAAGCGTCGTAAACTGCAAGGCGGCACTGTCAGGAGCTGCTAAAGGCACAGAGTTTCGCCAACAGCTGAACCCCACACTAACACACCACCCCTCTGTTGCGTCTTCACGGTAAGCGGCGTTTAAAAGCGTCGATCTCGAGTCTATCTGGCGTGCTCAACTTGGTCAATGCTGTAGTTTGGGATGCTTAAAGTAGGCTCGTGCGAGTTTTGACAGCCTTCGATGCCTGACTCCCGCTGCTATTTGTTGTCCTCCTGGTATGCTCGGAATCTGTCGGCATTTTGCAGCTACAAGCGTCCACTCGTGACACCGATAAGCACTCAAACCAGTGGCTTGCAACGAAGGTTGTCTTGGCTCAGTGTTTGTGGTGGGGATCTCTGGTACTGGTCCATCTAGCGCCGAAGACCGTCCCCAATCACAGATGGTAGCTCCAGGTACAGCCCGCTGCATACTTCACAAGTAACGTAACGTTACGGCAGCTTGTTTTGCAAGAGGTAGCCTTGCTTCGCTGTGGCAGAATATCGGATCTAGTGCTGGCCAGTCGACGTGCTGTGCGGTCCTGAAGACGCAGTCCTCTTGTCTGACAACGGACAGCCACTTTTTAGCTCGACGTGCACATGCCAAAATCCAAAAGTTTCGAGATGGCAACTTAGCTGCGATACGCCGGCCAAGAGCCGCCAGGAAGTAGGACAATTCGACTCCTGCACAGGGACAAGAGTCATGTTTTTCGTCTGATGCGAGCTCTTGGCGCCACCAGAGAAGCGGGCCTATTACGTGCATGAGGCTAGTGCACTCTGCGCCAGTGAAAGGCTCATGCAAGGGCAATACCTGAGCTCAGGAACTGAAGCCTGGACCTTCGCCAGGGTTAGACTTCTGTGTTGCAATGAAATGCAGAACACCTCCGTAGACCTACCCATTCTCTAGGTGGCTACTTTACCTTGCCAGACATGTATAGCCAAGAGCAGCAGGCTCGTTGGTGGCGTTACCTCAGATGCTAATCCTTGGTCCTGAAGCTTGGAGCCAAGAGGTTACCGGTCCGGTGAGCCTGTAGGTAATGTAAGCCGAGCTGAGGGGGAGACACTGGATTCAATAGAACCTTCTCTGATGGATGACCTAAAGGGACAATATGTCGTTGCGAACGACTCCCGCTAGCTTCGGTCTGTCCCGGAGAATGAAATGAAAGACAGAAGGTACGGTTGCGATCGTGGAAGGAGCAAACCGCCTTACGCGCTGTCCTCAGCGTTGTCAGTCCGGATCTCAAACAGCGTTCCACAATACACCAAGGCTATACTGGAGTTGATCCCGGTCGGAAACCGTTAATGCGCTCCATCGTATGGGATCAGGGTACTAAGCCCTGTGAATAGTGTTGGTTGAGTAGAATGCACCCATAACAGAGCGTTGTCGCACTGCTGAATCTTGCCCGATCGTGGACAAGATCCCTTGAGAAACCAGAGACTCGCCGCAGCGAGAGATCCACCCTTATCAACGAGTCATTGATGTCTTCTACTATGGTAGATTACCGTCGAACAGACAGAGCATCGTTCCTAGCTGTGTTGGAAGTGATCTTCGAATGCGCGACCGACTGCAATCACGAGCCTCCAATAGAGAACTTCCCACGATAAGGTCGACCGTTGGCAAGGGCAGGCAGACATCTCGTGAGTGGTATTCGGTTCGGCGTGTCTACTCGGTATAATGTACGAAAGTGCACAACTGCGCGCACAAGCACAGACCGTATCAGTCACGTGGACGATCGGAGAATTCCACGCCACAGTTGATCTTCCCGTGGGGCGCTAGTTGCATGTGGCGGCGGTAGCGTATATGTATGTAGATGCTGCCTTGTGACGTTCTGCGACGGCGCAAACACATTGACAACAAAGACCGGAAAGGACAGCTTGCATCAGGCCCAACATGTTGCAACCTTCCTCAAAACCACTCATAATCTGAGCAAAGCATGTTTGCGCTGAAGAGTTTGACCAACTATCTCTTCGGCAGTACAAGCAAGGAGAACATCGTTGAACTTCCCGCTGGCAAGCTATTCCTCGTACGACCTCACTCCATCAAAGGCTACAGTGAACTCCTATTCCGAGACTCTGCAGCATACATACGACGGACTGGCCAAGACTTCCAGTATCAGCTGGTCATCCAACGCGCGTACGAAGAAGGCGAAGCGGAGCTACTCGAAGGGGAAGGCGGACCTGAAGCTGTCGCAGACGGCCATAGTGACAAGGACGAGAAGACATTCTTGCTTGACGAGGAGCTACACTTCCGTGTTCATTTGAAGGAAGACGGACAAGCTGTGCTTGCTTGGCGCGATCTCTCTGGTGACGAGGGTGACCTCTTCGAGTTCGCTTGTGAACCCCCTACCAAGCCGGAGAGTGCTACTAGTTTCGGCCTGGTCGCTGCGCAGTGTCAGTACGAGAGAAAGTACCGGAAAGGCCATCAGCAGGCGACCGAAGAAGACCTCGAGCAGTTTGCGTTCGAAGACGAGCCGCCTGTGCCCGAAGCCAGCCCTCTGTCAACGCCCAGCGGACGCTCACCAGCCTTGTCGCCGTCACCGCAGACCGTAAGATCACTGAACGAGGTGAGAAACGTCAGCGAAATCGACATGGCGCGCTTGACCAAGAGCACAGCAACGCCGCAAAAGCAGATCGAGCAAACGCCGACGAAAGCGCCAACAGCCCGCAAAGCTCCCGAGAGTCGCGAGATCCTGGTGAATGAGAAGGCAGAGCTTCATCTATTTGACTTCCAATCCGGCACGTTTATACTTCAAGACGCAGAGGTGCATGCCACGGTAACCGAGGTCGGCAACTGGAAGTACTGGCTCCAAATTACAGGCAGCAAGCAGCAATGGCTTGGTCAAGAGGTCGTACCTGACATTAATCCGGTCTTCAACTTCGAGTATCTGAGCTTCATATTCAACCACTATACCGAAGACGGATCGGCATACTCGTGGTTGCTTAAGTTCAAGGATCGTGAGACAGAGGAGCGATTTCAGGAGGGACTGATGCAGGCTTTGTGGGAGCATCTGAACGAGACGAAGTGGCAGAAAGCGGTGAAAGATGCGGACAGAGATTACGTGCTGGATGCCTTCAATGATCTGGTAATAGAGGACACGACACGTGATGACCAGCGTGAGGCGGAAGCTGCAGAGGATGACGAAGAGGAAGATGAGTTCGAAGATGCGCATGAAGGTCAGCGAAAGGAGGATTTGGATGAGGACGAAGACGAGGATGAGGTGGACCTGGGCCGCGACGCTGATGGCAGTGTCAACTCGCAGCTCGCGGTGGGTGCGAAGGTCGATCGATCCTTCGTCGTCAGAGGCGACAAGATTGGTGTCTTCAGGCACACGCCCGACAACCATCTCGAGTTCAGCACGTCAATCAACAAGATTGCGACTCCGAAAGGCAAGGTCTTTGCGCCAGGCAAGATCATGCTGCATGCCTCCGACAGGAATATGGTGCTCCAAAACCCCAATGACAAGAACAACCTGTACCGCATGGATCTCGAGTACGGCAAGATAACGGAAGAATGGAAGGTGCACGATGACATTCCAGTCAACATCTTTGCGCCGGAGAAGAAGTTTGCGCAAACGACAGACGAGCAAACTTTCCTGGGCTTGTCGTCCAATGCGCTTTACCGGATCGATCCACGCCTGGCAGGTGACAAGCTCGTAGACTCCGAGCTGAAGCAGTACGCAAGCAAGAATGACTTCTCCGCTGCCGCCACCACAGACAAGGGCTACATAGTCGTTGGATCGAACAAGGGTGACATTCGCATGTTTGACCGCCTCGGCATCAACGCAAAGACCGCCCTACCAGCTCTCGGCGACCCCATCATCGGCGTGGACGTCAGTGCTGACGGGCGATGGATACTCGCCACCACCCGGACGTACATCTTGCTCATTGACGCACTGCAGAAGGAAGGCAAGAATGAAGGCAAGCTCGGCTTTGAGAAAGCTTTTGCGAAGGACAGCAAGCCACAACCGCGCCGCTTAGCACTGACACCGAACCATGTTGCGCAGTTCCAGCACGAGACCAAGCAGCCGCTCTCATTCACGCCCGCTCGGTTTAATACCGGCGAAGGTAACAAGGAGACTACCATAATAACCGCCACCGGACCATTCGTCGTGACTTGGAGCCTGGAGAAGGTACTGCAAGGAAAGAGGGACCCTTACAAGATCAAGCGGTACACTGAGGAGATCAAGGCGGACAACTTCCGCTTCGGAAGCGACAAGAACATCGTTGTGGCGCTACCCAACGAGGTGGATATGGTGGCGAGGCGGGCCCTGCAAAGACCGACGAGAGAGTCTATCATGGCTCCGCCAGCTACGCCTCGCAGGACCAAGGGCAGAGGAAGCTACCTCGGTCGAAACGAGATTGTGAACTCGCCATACTGAGACAGCAAGACCAAGTGGTGCTGAATGCTTTGTGACCAGATGCGGCGTAGGAGGCGTGTGCATTTGATGAGCGTTCAACCTTTGCGTTACGGCCAACACGTCAGATATCCCTAGCTTAGCGTTTGAATAGCAAGAAAGTGTACGTGATACTTAGTCGTTGACGGCAATCAGAGGTATAGAGCTCTGCGACGTACATGGTCTGCGGTTAGCTCTCTACCCTGAGTGTGTTATAGGACTCGTGCATGGATTGCGTAAAAATGTTCGGCCTCCAAAAACGATCTGGTCAAGCGTTCCTCGACACAATGACAAACATCTCTTCAATACAATCGCTCGCTCTTGATCTTCCGCCAAGTTGCATCGCATTCTGTCCTCAACAGCCCACCTACTTCGTCATAGGAACATACTATCTACATGCGAAAGCTGCATCGAGCGTTCATGAAGCCAATAGTCTCCCCAACGACAATGGCGAGGGTGATTCGCAGAAGCGTAGCGGCAGTCTGATCCTATACCGACTTCATAGAGACGACATGTAGGTGAGAAAATGTCCTTACGCGGCGGCCCAGAGGGTTCATTGACTGAGGCCTGTCCAGCACTCTAATTGCCACTGAAGCCACGCCAGACTTCTCGGTATTGGACATACAATGGTCATCCTATCCGTCGACGGAGTCGCCAGTGCTAGCCGTAGCGACCTCGACGGGTTTGCTGATGTTCTACCATCTCGAGCACGACTGCGACAATGCAAGTCTTTCAGCCTTCAGTACGAAGAGAGTAAGCGATGAGTCTACGCTCGTCCTTTCGTGCATATGGCACCCTCAACGTGCAGACACCATTGCTGTTACGCTATCTGACGGACGAGTGTGCCTCATCCGAAGTACAGCAGGGAAGGGAGAGCTATGGGCTGAAGATTCCACTGTTACGGTTACGGATATCTACCAACACAGCCTTGAGGCTTGGACGGTAGCCTTCACAAGCGACTTCGAGCGGGAGTATCTCCTTTCGGGTGGCGACGACGCTACTCTACAGTGCTCTAGGGTCGATATCGAAGATGAGACGACCCTTCTGTGGCAAGACCGCAAGTCGCACATTGCTGGCGTGACTGCGATCTTACCAATTACGTCCGAGCTGTTTCTGACAGGGAGTTATGATGATCACATACGCCTTATTTCGACGCTCGCCGGTCGGAGAAGAGTCGTTGCGGAGCTAAACCTGGGTGGCGGTGTTTGGAGACTTCAACTCCTACACGACAACGAGTCTGCGGAGGTGGAAGGTGCCGACATACGGTCAGGATTGTCTTCATCGGCCCAGTCGGGTTCCGTGATGACACTACGCGGGTAAGCGCTTCCAACCATATCAATTTGCGCGGTGTCAGGTCGCCATCGAAGGACGCTGTACGCCGAGGTTGCCGCAGTCGGTAGAGTAGTCGTGCTGACACTTGGATGCTAGGCTGAGAAGCATATTGATCCTTGCAAGCTGCATGCATGCTGGAACCCGAGTTCTACGTTTAGGCCGTTTCGAGGATGAGGACTGGCGACTAGAGGTGCTGGCGAAGTTCGAAGAACACCGGAGCATGAATTACGGCAGTGCCGTGCGGCCAAGTGATCAGGCAACGATCACCATTGTCAGTACCAGCTTCTATGACAAGCTATTGTGCCTTTGGCGTTTCTCTCTTCCAGATATAGGTTGGGAAGTACAGGTCTAGCTGTACATTACTCTTGACATTATCCGCCAAGGCATCTGCGCTCTAGCGGTGGTCAAACATAGCGATTGCGCGGAATCTAGATCACTTTTGTTCCAAACAAAGGCCTGCCCAACCATATCCACACCAATAACGCCGTTCAGCGCTTTATGCACACGTGTGACGAATAATTCAGCCCATGGTATGTGTACAAGTTCGCTTCGGGTATTCGCAAGAAAATCATTCCGCCAAGGTGTATGCCAAGAACGATCGAATGTACCAGAAGCTCCTGGCTGTGGTGAAGTTAGAAGCGCCCAGTCTCTGGTGAGTTTCAGGTGCGCCGACTCGGTCGCGCGTGGCAACCGCAGCCGGTTCGTAGGGTCGTGGTGGGTTTGTCGGCATCGTGAGCGACTCTCCACGGCCAAATCATGTCGCTCGCCGGCCCCGTCAGGGCTCCCCGGGCCCACTAATCTTGATCTGTGGCGTTGGAGGTGGCGGAGCGCCGTCGGCGTTGTTTCGGGCACGCCTCCATTTGAGCACCGGTATTCGCTTGTCGCCCTGAAGAAGAGAAGTTAGAGCAAATCGAGAACGTCAAGGGTAGCAGTGCAGCTCACCTTGATCTCTGTAGCTTCTTCGCTTCCCAGGACAAGCACCTGGTCATCCTCCTCGAAATGGTGTGTCCGTATCTGTATGTCGCCGATCCAGCCGGGCAAGTTGCACACTTGGAAAGTGTGTCTTAGCACCTCTTCTCTCCCTGCTCCCTCGTTCGAGATGTAGTATGGTCCACAGTAACCGAAATACCGTTTGCCTGCCTCTGCCCATTGTGGCTCCTCCCCCTCGCCGCGCTTGAAACTTTGCTGTCCAGGTATCAGCATCTGAGCTGACATATACCCGTCCGGCGTATACATGATGAAGCCAGTCACGTTTTTGGTCATTGGATGTGTTGGTCTCTGAATGGGTGAACCAGGTGTCGGATATGAGATATATGATTCTAGCTTCCATGCGCCCACGAGCTTGTGTCGCAGTGGTTCTGGAGGCGGAGGGGTCTCACATTGATCTAGCGTGTACATATCCTCGTTGAGATCATCGTAGCTGGTTCCAGTCTGCTCTTCGACCGCCGGACCTGGTGAGGCGTGTGACGACCCATTTGTATGGCTATAGTCGGGCTTGTGGCTATGGCCGTTGGTGTACCCGTTCGACATTTCGTTGATCGCTCCGAAACCATTCGACAACGGTTTCACCTCGACGTCTGGGAGTGAAATGGGCGGAGTCTGCGGCCGGAGCTTCGTCGGCGACACCACCACCTCCTCTGCCGCGGCTACCGGCTCCCTTGATCTTGATTTCGACCTCGATCGCGCCTTGCGATGGGGCAGCACCTTGGGAACCTGCAGAAACTGCGAGCTCATCGCGGGCATTACGAGCATTGCGGCTGTGGGAGACGATGGGTCGGGTGGCGTGGAGACAGTAAGGAAACACCCATGGTCTTAATGTTGCATTTCCAGGACACAGACACCAGACACGATGACGGGTCGTTGCGCCGTAGAGCGGCAATACACCGCAATGCTGCTAACGGTTAAACATCTCAGCTCGGACATGATGAGACGACGTGCACGGCCACCATGTAAGTGTGGAGACTGCCGTACTAAGACATCTGATGATCATGCACGATTCTGCAGGGTGGATCCCGATACTATTGAATCTGCTGCATGCTTCCGGCCCCAATGCATTATAGAATCATGGAGCGACAGTCAGTATGTATCACACCTCTTGAGTCGCTGCTCGAACGTCGAGCGACCACAGCATTGAAGACCGAAGGTCATTGGCACCAGAGTTGAGGAGATCGACCACAAGCCCAAACGCCACCCTCTCGCCCATCAGAAGGTGGAGTTGGACCCCTTGTCATCCTCGAACTTTCTTACTAGAAGTATATTTCCCCAAACTGCTCCGTGTTGGCTTGCACCGGCTGCGGGCCAATTGAGGCTTATGTGAGAACACTGCGTTGTTACTAGACGTTCGCCAGCCGCTGTTGTGAGACTTCAATGCCTATACGACTTCGAATGAGAACCCGAGTCAGCCTACGATCGCGACGTTCCGTTGACGGCTGTGGCGGGCCTAACGGCAGACCTGGACCACGCAGCCCGTTGGCTGGTTACTTGCTAGGTTTCGAAGAGGCGTCAAAAGCAGTCTCTTCCAGCACGCTTTCTTCGACCTCCTTGTCGCTTGCCACTGCGAATGCAGAACACGGCGGGCTGATCTCCAGGGGTCATAATCTTTCTGAAGCAGCCTCCTCATCATTGTAACAAGGGTTCCATTTTCCTCATCGCTCTCAGTTGTAGAGCGATCTCCGCCAGCAGGCGTTTACTAGGCTGGTTGGTCGGGCTTCTGCTCGCCATGCTATCCTCAATGGACGGTTCAACGATAACCTAGGTCAACATTTCGCCGCATTTTCACGTGCTCAGGTGCCGAAATGCTTGCTTTTGGGCTTGGAGGTACCGGCCGGCGGTGCGAAGCGCACAAACCATCCTCCAACCACTCATTATTGCTCGCTGCACCACCGTCACCCGATCATGGTACCGATGGCAGCTGACATTCCTTTGCGATGTTGCGCAAGCCGACCTGACGTGCATGTGAAAAACATCTTCACACCTTCCGTTAGATATTGGTGCGAGTATGACTGTTGACAGCGTCCAATTTGCCAGGCTGGCGCTGTTCGATATTTCGCCAGTACCTACCTGGATCATCACGGGAGAAGTTTGGTATGAGAAAATTTCATAACCAGAGGCTCGCATGTGATTTGGTGTAGTATTCATACAATCGCTGATGTGACTAAGAGTAGCCAAGCGGCCTTACCGTGACACATATCGGTTCCACTGGTATGGGAAATAAGAGGATGGGCGTCGCAAAGCCGCATTCCGTTCGCCTCAACAAATGTTGGCGCCTCCATTCTTCGTCCCATTCGCGTCGCCGGTTGTCTCCTTCACCTCACCAAACACCTGCAGGAACGCCGCCGGCTCCTCCGCACCACTAATCTCGTATTTGCCGTTAATCAAGAAGTTTGGGACACCACTAATGAACCTCTGTTGCGCCTGCTTGACCTCCCTATCCACCTCAGGTCCTCCCTTATCGCTTTCCAACCAGTCCCTAGCTTCCACCTCATCCAACCCAGCTTTCACAGCCCGCGCGATCAAAACGTCCCGCGATGTTATGTCTTCCTCCGACTCAAAGTAGGCGTTGAAAAGCTGCTCGACAACCTTCGTCTGCATTCCGTCGCCCTTCGTCTTGGCCAGCTGGATCAGACGGTGACTGTCCCTTGTGTTGCCAGTCCGGCCACCGAAAGCGAAGGTGATGCCGACCTGCTTCCCTAGCCTTGCCAGATGGCCCTGCATGACCTGCGTCCTTTGCTGTCCAAACTTGCGCTCGTAGAACGCTTGCTTGTCGATGCTCTTGGGTGCATCTGGGTTAAGGTAGAACGGGTGCCATGTCGTCGAGAAGGTGTCGTTCGGATTCGATTGCTTGTGGGCCTGGATCGCTTTATCGAGTCTATTCTTACCGACATAGCACCACGGGCATACCGTGTCGCTCACAATGTCGATGTGGTAGTCTGTCATCCTGCGGAGTGTTGCGCGTAGAGCCACGGTGAAGCGCTTGCAGAGGGTTACAGACACAGTGCTACAGATGAAGAGGAAGGAAGCGCGTGCTACTTAGCCATCACATATAATCGTGCCGTATATCCCAGTCCTTTAGCTACCGCGGTCGAAGTCCGTGGAGTGAAGCTGGAGATTACTAATTCATATGGGAAAGAGCTTGATGTGAGCGCAAAGGGAGCTTTCATGGTGGCGCTCGGCACAGCTACTCGGATTAAGTCGGAACTGTAGATCCGAGCTTACACAGGCTTTCACAGCTTCCTTTCGCAGAAGCACTAGGCTGAGCACAACCGCAAAACATGATACGGGTTGTAGTGAGTTGTGGTAGGACCGCATCCTACAGGTTCGCTCTCTCTTCTCGCACCACTATACCATGCTCTCCACTGCGTGCCTTATCCCTCAGCACACGTCGCAGAATCTTTCCGCTCGCACTCTTGGGTATCACATCGATGAACTCCATCTCTGTTCCGCGTGTCAGTGGGGCACCTTACAAGCGTTCGTATTCCGTGAGAGTCATACCTTTGACAGCCTTGTACCTGACCTTCTTCTCACGGACGTATGCGATCAACTCGCGACCAAGCTCATTACTCGGCTTCTCGCTCGGCTTCGGCACGATGTACGCCTTGGGTACTTCACCTAGAAAGAGTACACTGTAAGTTTTGCTTCAGGCAAAGAGGAGGGTCTTCCGGCCTTCAACCACGCACCAGAGTAATCGTCTGGAATTGCAAGGACGGCAACGTCCTCAACCTTCTCGTGACCGAGGAGTAGGTCTTCAAGCTCTGCCGGTGCCCTGCGCAGTTAGGTGTCAGCGCGCATCCCAACAGACAGTGTTGACGCAACAGTCTCGTACACTCCAATTCCCTTCACCTTGATCATCTCCTTCAACCGATCCGTAATGGTAATGACACCTTCCTCGTCGATTTTGCCCTGATCGCCTGTATGCAAGTAGCCGTCCTGGTCGAACGTCTCGCGAGTGGCTTTGTCGTTGTTCAAGTAGCCCATGACAATTTGCGGGCCTTTGGCCCATATCTCACCGGGCTCGCCCACTCCGCACTCCGTGCCGTCTTCCCTCATGATCTTGACCGTTGTACTAGCGCAGATTGGTCCGACAGCGTGAGCATACCTGTAGTCGTAAAGCCAGAATGGATGAGCGGTAATGCACGAGCAGGACTCTGTCATGCCATAGCCTTGCTTGAAGCCGGTTTGTGGGAACTTCTTTTGCAGCAGCTGGATGATCTCCTCGCTGAGCGGTGCGGCGCCGGATGAGAAGCGCCGGAGAAAGCTCAGGTCATACTTGTCCTAGAGACAGCATTGCCGGTTACTGACAGCCTCACGCGAAGACGCATGTTCACTCACCACAACGGGGTCCCTGACCATCCGAATAAGAATCGGCGGGACGAGTAAGAGCTCTGGAATCTGATATTCGCACACGGTTTCGAGCATAGACTCCATGGAGAAGGACGGAAGCATAATGACCTCGGCATTGAGAAGGACTGGTAGATGCAGAACGTGGACCAGCCCAGTGATATGGAACGAAGGCAAGACCGCAAGTATACGCTTATGATCGGACGGCGATATTTGCTGGATCTGGTGACATTGCGCAATGACGTTCTGATGTGCGATCATGACTGCCTACCAAAGTGTTGATACGATCGTCAGCATTGTCGAAGACAGCAAGACAAGGATGAGCGGTATTCCATACCTTGGGTAGACCGGTCGTGCCACTAGAGAAACTCAAGAAGCCGCAAACGTCGAAATTAGTCTTGCCTTTGGGGATGGTATAGTAAGGAACTTGCTCAGCCTCCTTTCTACCCATCTCGACGAGCTCCTTGATCGTGGTGTAGCCGTCCATCTTGCCTTCCAGAAGGAACAGATTCTGCCGTGAGATACCGGCTTTTTCTGCTGCGGCGGTGGCGACCTCCATGCTGTTTGGGTGAGTCATGATGAACTTTGCGTCGGCTTTTTGAAGAGCATAGGTCATCTCCTCGACATTGTAAGCTGAAGGTTATCAGTACTGTTGCCGATGGTATATGACGAATACACTGTCTCAAGGCCTTACCCGGCGAAGCACCAGACACCTTCCCACCAACACGCAATGCAGCATGCAGAGCGACGCCATACCTGACAACATATGAATGAGCTACTTTGTATATACGGACGTCAGAACCTCAAACTCACCATATCGTGTTCTGCGAGAAGAGCGATACCGTATCTTCCGCCTTCATGCCATACCGCTTGACGAGCGCAGTCGAAATGTAGGTTGCTGCCTCTTTCACCTCCCGCCAGTTGAGGCGCTCTTTCGTGATGGCATGGGTATAGCCTGCAAGCTCATGCTCGGAATAACGCGCAATTGGAGAGTAAGTAGGATCCTCAAAGAGCCATTGCCAAGTGGTCAGATGGCGCGGAAGAAAGATATCGTTCTGTTGGCTTTTAAACGGCATACTGTGAGTCTTTTGGATCGCTCGCAAGCGTGAATATGTTGGATTGAATGAAGCATGAATCGAGTATAAGATCCTACCTTGACGCGTGACAGATCTACACCGCGCATGTCTGCGGGCACCGCAGACGGTATCCTCGGCCATGCGCATGATGGCTGGTGAAAGTGAGCTCCAATGGCAGCGTGGAGATGCGGGGACGTTTGCCGGAACGGAGATGGATCACGTGAGCTCCTCTCCACCTCATCTCAGTATCTGTCACATTTAACTTGTTTCCACGCGATCACAGTGCATTCGTCATCCTCTAAGAGCTTGATCAGCCGAACGAAGAAGTTCAGGATAGCGCTGAGAAATCTCGAACCTGTCATTATGCATATTATATCCTCTGGCTAAGCACAACAAAGCAGCAGTGTGCTGGCAAGTAATGCTATGTACAACGCTGCGCTTGAATGCAGATGTAACGCAGAAGCAGCTGACCTTGTGCTGCTAGTTGTTCTAGCCTGTGAGGCAGAGGCGGATGAGCTTGGTGCTGCCGTCGTAGACACACCAGTCGAGGACGGTATCCCTGACAAAGACACCGTGCTTGAGCCAACCACCAGACCACCTGACGCGTCACTGACGACGGTCCCGTCGATGGTGATGGCCTGACCCCCCACAGAAAGCGTTGTGCCATCGAAAAGGAGGAATGACGCTCCCGAGGGAGCGACGGCGGTCAAGGTTCGACTTCCAAGCTTAACAACAGCTTCCGAAGCAGAGGCTGACGGAATGGGTGTCAATTGTATCGTTTTCGATCCCACGATAAGCCCGCCTTGTCCGTCACTCAAGACCGTTCCCGATATCGTGATTGCGCTGCCTCCAGGAGACAGCGTGGTCCCGTTTACGATGACGTAGCTTGACGCTTGAGGTTGGATTGCGGTTATTGTCGAACCGCCGATCGTAAATACTGCCTCATTGTGTGAAGCCGTTGGGATCGGTACAGTCTGGGAGCCATCCACGACGAGAAAATTAGATCCAGCATTGCTTCCGACGCTCAAAGTAACTCCTGACACTGTAGCAATGCCATCGCTCGGTAATGTCGCTGTCGAGGATCCGTCAATGACCGCAGTCTGTCCGTTGAGCTTTTCTATAGTCAGTGTCTGTCCATTTGTGGTGATGGTCCCAAGTGCAGTCGGTGTTGCTGCGGGGACAATCAGACTGCCTCCAGCGATCAGCCCAGAGGAAGCGAGCGAGACAACGACGGAATTTATGGTCTGCGCAGCGCCTCCGAGAGTCACCGGAGTACCGTCAACAATGGCGACGCTGGGATTGCCCGGGTCAGCGCTTGCAGTCAATGTATGTCCTGCAATCACAAGCGTAGGGTCCGAGATGCCGATAACGTTGCCCGCCGGAGCGCCCGGACCGGCTGCAGCAATACTCGTGGCCTGGCTGCCAGTCCCGATTATGACGCCGCCCGTGGAACCTGCAGAGACCACTTGACCGCCTATGGAAGTCTTCTGTCCCGCAGTGAGCGTTGCGATCTGGCCTCCCTCTGCCACAATGACAACTGAGCTGCCTGAGATCTGCGACTGAACTGCTGTGAAGACTGACGAGCCAACCGTGACCACAGAGCCTGCGGATCCAGCATAAGTGTTTGATCCAGGCGTAACAGTGGCTGCGCTACTCCCTGTTCCGACAACAACACCTCCGCCAATGGTAGCAGCTGAGATAGCCTGGCCGTTCAGTACTGTTGTCTGTCCTGGTGTGAGGGTAACAGTTGTGCCACTCTGGTCTATGACTATGGCTGAGCTAGCGCTGGCCACTGTGTATACCGAGGAGCCTACAGTGAAGACTGAGCTTCCACTTCCGGAGCTGCCGGTGCCACCACTCGGGGAGCCTATATCATTAGGAGAGACAGTCTTTGAGTCTGCACCGCTTGCTATGACCGCGCCGCCGCTCGCCGGTGCGCTCACGGTCTGGCCAGCGAGTACTGTGGCCTGTCCAGGCTGGAGAGTAACTGTGGACCCAGCCGCTGCTGCCAGAATAGCTGATGGACTGCCAAGTGAAGCTGGAGAGGCTTGTCCAATAGTAATTGAGCCAACGACCGTGGACCCTGAATTTCCGTTACCTGAACCGCCTGATCCGGAGTCGGCTGGTATGACAATTGTAGCACTGTCGCTGCTACCGATAATGGCCCCTCCGCCCGATTGAGCGCTGACGATTTGACCTCCTATTGTTACCGCCTGTCCTGGCTGTACAGTCGCCGTACTGCTCCCTTGCGCGACAATCACACCGGCTGTGCTGCCACTCTGCAATGCCGGAGCTATTGTGAGTGTAGCCGTGCCAACACTGACGACAGTAGTACCTTGTTCGCCGTTGTTCGAGCTGCCAGGAGCCGGGCTATTTGGCGATATGCTTGTTGCGCCTGCGCCGCTGCCGATAACAGCCCCACCTCCCGAGGATGCGACGCTGATGGCTTGTCCAGCCAGTGTAGTGCTCTGACCAAGTGCAAGGGTTGCTGTGGTACCTCCGCCAATAACAACAGCCTGGGTGGATCCTCGTGTGTCGGTAGTCTGCGACAATGTGAACCCCACCGATCCGACAGATGCGACTGTGGTCACCCCGTTCGAGCCGCCGAATCCCGCACCGCCGGATGCAGAGTTGCCGGAGCCGGAGTTGCCAGGACCAGGATTGCTTGGGGCGGAGTTGCCAGAGCCAGAAGCGCCAAAACCTGGAAGGTCAGAAGTTGTACTGCCCAAAGCTGCCGAGAGCACGGAAAGCGCGTTGTCACTCGGCTGAGAGTTGCCGTTGCCAGCGGAGGTCTGTACACCACCACCATTTGTCTGTCCAGCGTTTTCGTTGGTCATGGAAGTCTGCGCAGATGGATTTACGTTACCGGAATTGACCGGGGTGGCGGATCCTTGTGCTGATTGCCCAGTAGTCTGACCGCCGCCAAGTATTGATGCAAGCACGCCACCAGGGTCCGGTGAAGAAGAAGAACCAGCTTGTGCCTGTCCAGGATCCTGACTGCTTTGACTGGTCGAGGACTGTGCACCGGGATCAGTTGGGATGCTTGAGCCGATGGTCTGCGCCCGTCCACCTGCCACTGAATCGAACCCAAGAGTGGCCGTCGGGGAGGTTGTCGATGTCGCGGGAGACGTCGCCGTCGGGACAGGTGATGCGCTTGTCGTAGGAGCAGCTGGCGGCAATGATGTCGTGACTCCAGCTTCGGTAGACGCGGGCTGTAGAGCCTTGGGAGGACTACACGATAATCAGCATTTTGCGTCGGTTTCTATTTTACACCCTTATAGCATACTCCCAGATCCCGTTAAGAGTTAAGAGGCAGTCACCCCAAGCAGGATCAATGTCGCGAAATTGTGGCGGAACAGCCAACCTAAAGATTAATGCATAGGAGTTAGCTCTGTCTTACATGGTCAGAACGGGAGTTTTTCGCACCATGGTCGGAACGCTGCATCAATAACAAGACCACAACCAATCAAGCCCGTGTTGTTAAAGGCCGTGTTCGTCACAACCGGGTTCCATTCGTTGACCCCATTGACCTTGTCAGGATATTGATAGTCACCCCATTCCTGATCACCCTCATTACAGGAAGGTGACCCTAGGTAGGCGCTGGCTGGCACTGGTGCAATTAGATCGGCGAAGTTCTTTAAAGCAACAGTCAGTCGGAAATCTAGTCATGTCAATGGTAAATGCACGCTGTAAACATACGAATGAGTAAGCGTAGTTATAGTTCTCCCCCCAGTAACCCCACTGCGGAGCGCGGATCAAAGCGTTAGTGATGCCTCAGACACGAGATGCTCCAATTACGAACCAATGAATACAGGTCTGTCGAAGCCACAGTCAGAAGACCGCCTAGAGGTCGATGGGTAGGGTGGTCAGCTGTGTCTCATACGATTGCGAAAGGCTGTGAACAAACCGGCGTGATCACTCCCTACCCTGCCACACCCATCTGAGGCATAAGCGGTATCGTAGCTGATATAAGCGCGATTCTCATAGAATGTGGTTCCGGCGGAAACAACAAACGGCCCAGAGTTGAGTGTGCTGGTCGCGTTGAAAGGTTTGTACGTGCAGGGTCCTTCTGCCTGTCCCACGGCGTTTGTTGCAGCTCCCCCTTCTACGACCTCGCCAAAGGGACAAATCGACGAGCTCGCAGGTGGCTATGTCATCATGTTAGAAGGTCAGCTGTATCTCGGACAACCCGACCGGGACGACGCACCTTTGTTGCGCACATATCTCGACTGTAATTAGTGGTTACTGGAAAGTAGAGCAGCTGAACGCTGCCACCATAGATGGTACAGTAGCCACACGCACTAGCATTGCCGACGCTAGCACGTCTGGTGGTCGATAGCGCTGAAGCCAGAGTGCCAGTAACATTGCAAACGGGAGAAATCGAGAGGCTGCCGGGCCACTTCGCTGACCCATCTGTGGATAGCGCCATGTTATAGGATGACACTGCAGACTGGTAGTTGCTGGACATCGAGTAACAGTCATCATTGTTAATAGTGCAGTTTGGCGGCGGACCTGAACCAGCATGTCAGATTGGCAAGCTCTCTATGAAAAGCGCCTTGTGAAAGGGGGGATTCACCTGTATAGTTCAATCTGTACATCGCTTGGGTCGGATAATAATAGGAGGAGAGCGGCGTCAATGTTCCCATTACGCGCTCTCGTCCGTCGCAGAGCGTCGTGATTGTAGCTGTGAAATCTGTCGCCCAGACCGACGTGTTCGTGGTATAGAACGAACCATACCCGCTCGATATATCATAACTATACTGCTGCCACAGGCCCTGGCAGCTGTACATCGAGCTCAAGCCGCTTCCACTGACCGACATGTTGAAGCTCGGGGGAGGTGTGCACGACGGTTGCATGAAATCGCCGTTCCAGCTGGGATCTAGACCTTCTGATTTAGATGACCAGAAGTCAGACGCCAATGCGTTGTAGTAACTCCACATCTACAGCGATGTCAGCTTCGTTCTATATTGCAAGGAAGCTTGATACAACAATAACGGGCTGGATAGACTTACTGTTGAGCATTCTGCACCGTTGACGGTACAACTTGGGGCTGGGCCAGAATAAGTGATGGTGCCGTTAGTTTTAGATACGTGCGTAATCGTTGTGCTCAGTGCCGTAACATCGTAAGAATAAGTGACTGTTCCGGTACCACAGCCAGTTTGGACAAGGTTGGAGTACTGCTCCCATTCGTACTCACACTCCCACATCCTGTCCCACGCTGAGTCCAACCCTGTGCCGTTCGCAGCAACGGACCATGGCGAGCCAGTCGCTAAACACAGCGCAGTGAGATTTTGCGCCGGGGGGACTGGGGCGGCTATGGCATTGCCAATGGTTGCCGTTGGTGTGATCGTACATACTGGTGGCAGGAGAGTCTCCGTCCAAGTTGGGTTCAAGCTTGCTGAGATTGCCGAGAAGTAGGAGCTCGTCAATGATCCGTAGTAGCTTCGCAGTGTGGCGCATTCGGCATTCTCCAATTTGCAGGCGGGGGTGGCCCCAGTATACAAGAGAGTGCTGTTCGACGAATTTGGGGTTGTGATGGTCGTACTTGGCTTCGTCAGTGTCTCCGTGGCCACAATGGTGGTAGTGGAGACGCCTAGCGTAGCCATGGAAGAGTACAAGTACCATTCGTTGTTACATGAGCCGTAGTAGGCCAATCCAGTCCCATTAGCACGCACTGTCCATTGCGAGCTTGAAGTAGTACCCGGAGTGACAGTCGCGTTTGCCGTTGCTGAGTTTGTACAAACTGGCCATTCAGCAGCCAACGTCCAGATTGGGGACAAGCTCGCGGACGACGACGACCAATACGCCTGATTCGCGGCGCCGAAAGAAGACACTAAGCTGCTACACTCTGCGCTATTGAGAGTGCACGTCGGCACTGGGATTGTTGTGCTCGCCTCCGTGATCGTTCGTGTTGCGGTGTTGCTCCCAGTAGACGTAGGGACTGGGATCATAGACGAATAGGCCTCCCATTCGCCTTCGCAAGCCCACATCCACTCCCAGCCATTCCCTCCAGGAGGTACTGTCCAGAGCGCGCCAGAAGTCGAAGTCGCATTTGCCGCGGCTGACGTCGTGCAGGCCGGATACGCGCCGAGAGTCCATGGAGATGGTGTTAAGCCGGCGGACGACGATGCATAGTAGTCATCCGCTGCTTCCTCGTACGACGAGATCAGACTGCTGCACTGTTTCGCATTTAAGGAGCACGTCGGCGTAGGACCGCTCCAGTAATACGTCTCTGATCGTGTGGCAAGACTGGTGATTGTAGCGCTGGACCCGGTGGTTGTGTGCAGCGCGGTAACGATGCCAGTAGATGTTGGAATGGCTGTATATGAGCTGTATTCGAGCCACTCAACATCACAGGCCCACATCTGGAGAACGAGATTGATTAGCAGTCATTCAATGCTACTCTAGGGGCCCGTTTTGGCACTCGTACCCAGTCCCAGCCAGTACCTGTAGGACTGACGGTCCACGCTAAGGTAGTCAATGTCTCGTAGGCAGTTCGGGTAAGATGAACCACACTGGTGAGTTCGACGGTGATGGTGGAGTCTGTCGCGTTAGTCGAATTGCCAGAAATGAATGCGCCATTTCGATTTCCACTCGCAGTAACAGTCGGGGAGCTCGCAATTGGGGCTAAGCTGCTGGTCGAGGCCGATGCGTTGACCGTTCCACCACCTGTACTACTAACCGAAGTCATTGTTGTGGATATGCCAAGACCGGACGCGATGTAGTCACCCACTGCAAGGCCGCTGTTGCCGGAAACCGACGTAGTAGATGAGCTCGCCAGAGCGGCGGAAGAGCGGACCGTACTGTTTACTGACGACGAACTGTCCAAAGTGCCCGTCAAGGAAAGACTGCTTGTCAAGGAGAGAGTGCCCGCCGATGATATACTGCTAGCTGACGGCAGGCCATCTGCTGACGCGAGACTGCCGCCAGCGGAGAGACTGCCTGCCGAAGAAGGATTGCTTGCCAATGAGAGACTGCTTGTGCTGGTCAAAGCAACGGGCGAAGCAACAGAGGAGCTCGATGATGACAGGGTGGCCTGCGGCGAGGCACTGGACGGCGTTGTGGAAGACAACGCATTGTCACCAGTCGATGAGGAAAGCGGAGAGGTCGGCGAGGTGCCTGAAAGCGAAGGGTACTGATATGTTGAGTTGCTAATGTACGAACTTGTAACTATGCGCCTTTCGTCAGGATCGATCCGTGGCCGCGGACTCACTTCCAACATACCATTATGTTGGGCGCTTGTGAACGCGAGTGACAGTGCCAACAACGCAAGCACTTGGACGATCGGTAGCGACAGGATCATTGCGCTGCCTGCACACCTTTGCGGCGGCTATACACACTCACACGCATACGCAGAATGGCAGAGTTGATGTCGCAGAAGCAAAGCAGGAGTGAAAGCAAGCCTACCTAAAGTTCAGCCCCAAAGGCTGTGTAGTACGCTTCGCATTAGTGTGCGGCCACGCAGACTCCAGCTCGCATATTGTGTGAAGCAGATCGTCAGCTGAGGAGCGCAATCCTGGCACTTCCAGCCCTACTGTAAGCCAGCACGTGGTTCAGGCGTAGCCCAGTGCCAAAGCGGCTGTCCAGTCGGCTTCACCAAGCACATGTACAACAGGCGGCTTACTCTACGGCTTTAAATTGTTGGCAGAGCACATCAAGGCTACGGCGTCACTCGCTGCAGGGTATCTGGTCCCAAAACAGCCACGGTGAGATTGATTCCAACCATCAACCGCCGTTGCACGCCTCCCTGACGTCAAGGCTTGGAGGCGGAGGCTACAATTGGTGGAGCAAAGTGCTTCCCCGTCGGACCGACACGCCCGACGCGAAGGAAGAACTGGATACAACCCTGAACGTTCTGGCCATCCTTTACCAACACTCGCTATCTCGAAGCGGACAACGCTGATCAAGTGCATTGATTCTCCGGCAGACCTTCATGCTGTGTGATGGACTATACGTGTTATCCATAGTTAAGAGTCATGGTTAGGAGTGGATGCAACCATCCCATCGCTGCAGGTCTCCCCTGCCAACAGCTTTGGCAACTCGCTTACGGATTTTGTAGCATCGCTTCTGCTGTCGTAGCACTCTAGCCTCGATTGTTCGAACTTGCATCGAACTCATGTCACTGAACCTCCTCTTCGCAACTGACGGCTTCAAGAACGCTCCTAGTCCTTGTGTCCCTCTCCCTGGTGTCAACCACGCCATAGGCTTCGTCCGTTTGCCGGCACACTTCGATCTGCCAATCTTCGCCTACAGCAATACTACCTTTCTTCACATCCTTCTCGCTAGCGTCCCAACACTGCTGCACTGTACCACCAATCTTATTCAGAAAAGACTTCAAGCCTCCGTCTCCGCCACCGGCATGGTACGATTTGAACGGTCCGGCTACCGTCCATCTTGGGCCCATCGAGTTCTGTACAACCTCATCAAGATCCTTGACATCGATGACGCCTTGAGTGACCAGACTACAAGCTTCCCGGAACAGAGCAAAGGCCAAGCGGTTCGCTACGAAGCCGGTACATTCTTTCTTAATGACCACAGGGGTCCGACCGATGCCACGCCAATACTCCAGCGTTTCATCGATAACAGCTTGCGAAGTCCGCGGCGAAGGCACAACTTCTAGCAATGGCATGATGTGCGGTGGATTGTACGGATGGACTACCAGCAGCCGGGTCTTATCCTGCATGTTCCGACTCTGCTGACTTGCCGGTATGCCAGAGGTACTCGACCAGAAGAGTGCTGTCTTGGGAGCGTAGCGTTCAATTTCTGCCCACGTAGTAATCTTGAAGTCCAGGTTCTCTGGCCCCTGTTCCTGGACAATGACTGCATCGAGCACGGCTTCCTGCAGATACGCGCTGATTCTGAGACGTTGCATCGTCGAGTCAATGTCGACGCCAGCGCCGGCAAGTGTTTTGGACATATACTCCGCAACGTAGTCGTGCACATCGGGTCTTGTGTCATAAATCGCAATAGAACATGTCGGATGCTTAAGGAGGTGCAAAGCAGCGAAAGACAAGCCGATAGTACCCGCGCCGATGATGGCGATCTTGTCTTCTCTCTTTCTTAGCATTGTCTCCATTTATGTAGGGATATGCGGCCAAGCTAGATATGAGAAGAGCAATGGAAAGGAGGAATGCCCACGTTGACGTGACAGTGATGGAGGCTGTGTATTATGCTTACAAGATGCGATGTCTGTTGGTTGAGTCGAGCATGGTTCCTCTCGCGATTTGCCCGTGGATCAAGCATGTAGGTTCACAGAATGGCCGTTGATTCAATGGCCCGAGGCACCCAGGATGAGCGCAGCTCGGACCAACTCTGTCCAAACCGCTCAACTTCGAGTCGCTTTACGCAAGCTCATGTTCCCAACGCAATATGACGCCCTTCCGGCCGTTCGCTGTGAGGCAGTGAGGACAATGCTACAAATTCGACTCGAAAGCGAGCGGTGTCAATCGCGCCAACGCAATTGTAGGCGATTGCTCACAACCAATGCACTACGCTGAAGCTCAAGATTACTTTCTACGGTTGCAGTCATGGCGCACGGCACACGGCACAGGGATTGGGCATGTAATACGAGAGCTGACAAGGACACGTTTTGAGTTGCGGACAAGTATACCCTGTTCGCAGGGGAGAATGTTTCCCAAACAGAAGGCCTTGTGGGAATCGATGTTTCGCATACCGCATTGCAGCTCCGCCAGATTGTGGCTATGCGAAGTATCAGATACTGCGGCGATCGCTTTCAACATGCCAAGATCGTCTGCTTCTCACGCCGAATGTGGACTTCAATCTACGAAAACTGAAAGGATGAGCGGCATAGCGGACCTGCAGAGTATTGAGCAATCAGCGAGGCTCCCGTGTACGCCTTCATCATCCAGACAAACTTACAGGTGCTGGCATTGCTCGTCTTGAACCACCTGATCAAGCAGCTTGCGTGGAAAGCATTCTTGCAGGTCATACAGCGCTTGGTCGGCAGCTGCTTGTCGGCACTAACCAAGGAGTAGCAGATCTACGATGCATTAGTCGTCAACATGTACTCTAATTGTTGCACTATGCAACTCACAGCGCATTCCGTTTGATTCTGGAGTGCCCCAACGACGTTCTTCCGCCATGCCGAGAGCCCGTCGATGATCGAGCCGTTCTATATCCAATTCGTCAGCAGAAATGTCAGGCTCAAGATGGTGCTCTGATCGTACTGAAAACGTGATGACACCTTGGCAGTTCCGCAACCAAGACTGCCACTTCTCCTCCTTGACCGCCACTCGACTGACGCCTTCCACTCTGGCAGCGGCCAGTGGATACGCGTCCGGGAGGACAACCTTGATGGCCATTGTCTGCTCATCAACAACATAACTGACATTGATCTCCTTACTTCTCATGCCGACCTTGACACTCATCTTCTCGTACTCAGGATCTTCTTTGACGCTCTTCTCCGCCCACTCAGCCACGGCTCGCAGCGAGCTCTCAATAATCAACGGGCTGACGTGCTTAGCGGTCCAGCTTTCCACAGCTTGAGAAGTCTGGCGCGAGCGGAGATCAAGATAGTAACTTCTGACAAGGCCGGGCACATTCGTAAGTGCAAGGTAGTAGAGGTGGCTGAGCAACCATTGTACGTCGCGCTCGGGGTTCGGTTCTTCATCAGGCGTATAAGCGCGGACGTCAAACCTCGATATCTCAACGGGCTTGCCACGCGTGTGGCCAATAAAATCAAATGTGAAGCGAAGCAAGTCAGGCAGATACGTGCCGTCTTTGAGCTGCTCCGTATAGTCGGACTTGACTCGATAGCTAGAGCCTTCGAAGTGGTCGAAAATCAGCCGCCAGCTGTACAGATACCCTGCAAGCTGCACCGGCATTCCGCCATCAAAGGAGGCATCGATGAGAGATTCAAGGGTAGGCGACTCCAGGATTAAAGAAAGAAGCTCGTCTGGCAGATGCGGTGTCTTGTTCTCCAAGGCAGCATCAAACGAGATCTGCTCCTGCGCCACCGGGATATGCTGATGCAGTAGCTCGAACGTCGCGTGCTGGACTGAGCGAGATGGCGTGTACAACAACGGGTATAGCATCGATGCGTCTTTTAACGTCTTGCCGCGTAACACCTGGGTAACCTGCCGTGCAAGAAGCTCGTGGGTGACTAGGAGCGGCTGGTTTGAACCGTCCGAAACGCCACTGCGGGTCAAAAGTAAACCGACAAGGCCTGTAGAAAGGTCTCGCTCGTGATCTTTCAGTGCGTCTAGAAGATCATCATTGGGGTCCTCATGTTTCGAAAGCTTCCGTAGCACACTGTGCAATCGCAACGTACTGTTCATTACCAGTGTCCACCCATCCGTCGGCTCATGCTCCGGCTTCATAGTGGCCCACGTCTTGATGATGTATGATACACATTGTGCCCAGTGTTCACCGTACATGTCTTGCATACCAGGTAGTAGAAGTGTCAAGGCCTTGCAAGTCTCGCTACTAATCACTGGGTCCACGGCATTCTGCACTGACACAACCAGATGCTTGACCAAGAAGACCAGTCGCTGCTTCGCAATGGACGACACAGCGTCATCGTGGGCGGAGAGAATGCTGTTGAGAAGGATGAATTGCTCGAGCGATGATGCTTGGAGCTCTGCATCTGTCAGACCAGCCACAAGTGCGTTCAGCAGCCGTGTCAGTGTCTGTGTGCCAGCCAATGGTTGCTGCAAGCCAACAATACAAGCTGTGGTGGCTAGAGTATTTCCTTCGGATCGTTGCCGGGTTAACTCAGCTTCGCTATGCTTCACTTGCTCGGCATTATGGTGCGTTCCGAAGTAGTTGGCGTTGACTCTAGCTTGTGCGAGCGACACATAATAAGCCATCGCAGAGTATGAGCTGTAGCCTTCCTGCATTCCCACAAGAGCTGAAAGGAAGTCTGCTTTCGTCTCGTCGGATAGTCCAGTGGCTTCCCAGTACCAGCCAAGGTAGCTGTTACCTTCCGTGACAAAGTCAACGATCGCTACATCTTCAGCGAGGGTTGAATCCCAGAGAGCGTTGGTTCCTGGAATGCTTAGGTTGTCTTCAGCCAAGAGTACGGTCATATAGAGCAGAGCGGCGGTAGTAGGATCGTCAGTTACCTTGCAACACCTTACCAAGTACATCGCCACTCTTAGCGCCTGTGAGAAGCCTTCACTGTCTGTCTGCACGACAAAGTCGTTGGCAGCGTTGAGATCTTGCACAAGGTGCACGCAGCCTCCCAGAGAACTCAAAACCGCGAGCGATGGCTTCGGAGCTCTTACCGTGGCCATCACTGTAGCCCTCCAACTAGCAACGTCCGGCAAGACAGTGTGCACTTCAGCAACTTTCCCATCGGCACCAAGCAACCTCTGCGTCAGATCCCGAAGACTGTCGACCGACAGGGATTTGAGCGATGCACGCTGAAGCCCCTGTCGTACGACATCGAGTTTGGTCTCGAAGCCGACGTGACCATTCGCGGCTGTCGATAACCGTGAAATCAATGCCGCTGCTTTCTCCACCACATCTTCAGCTGTCTCAACCTCTTCTATGCGAATAAGGTTCGGTAAAAGCTCCTGTCCTTGAGGCTTGGTGACTATACTCTGTAGTAGTCGGTCGTCTATTGCGGCAAGGAGATCAAGACTCGAGCGCAAGTTTTCAGGGTTGTTGTTATTCACGAGGTTGCTGATCAATTGTGATACGCCTTCATTCGCCGTTTCGTCGCTCACTGCGCCAATTGCGTATAGCTCAGTAAACAGAAATCTCTCTGCTTCATCTGCGGAGGCGCTTAGGCTGCTCATGACAAGCTCCTGTAGCTGGGAATTCGCCTTTGCGAGTGAAAGCGCTTCTTGGGGCGCATTCTGTGGCAAAAGCACCCGCACCATCGAAGTCGGAGACTCACTGGTGTCACGAAGTGCGGCCATCAACGCACCCTCGTACAGCGCGCCGAAATATGACTGGTCGTGCACAGAAAGTAAACACCCGACCAGTTGCCGGTTCGAGGGCCAGTGCACCCAGCTGAAGTCATCGGTCATCAGCAGGTCTTGGATGATCTCCGGGAAGTTATTTGCTAGCTGCAGCTGCGCTCCACAGCCCCTGAGAAGCTCTTCAACGATGGCCGCCGTGCCAAATGGCTTCCCCTGCCTAGCTTGAAGCAGCTGTGCACACTCCTTGAGTACTTGAACATTGGTTGCGTCAAGGAATCGACTCAAGGATGCTGACGGTCGCTGAGCATATAATTCCCTCTGTAGTGAAGCCCAGCGCTCTCCACATGAAGCAACATGTAGCTGTGACTTGGCAAAATCTTTGGATTGCTGCGGTTGCGACATCTTCGCCGTGTTGACCAACTCATCTGCGAAGTGGGCTAGGTCCACCTGTAGCATGGGCAAGACAGCGTCAATGTGGACCAGCCTGGCCACGAGTGCTGAGGGCTTCGCGCCTGCGACCGTCCAATCGACCGTCTCCGGAGATGGCTGCAGATACTGCCGTACGATAGGCGAAGCGCAAGTGTCAAGAAGCTTCTTACAGTCTTCCTCATGTAAATTGCGCACGATGCGATCGAGCAGAGCGTAATAAGCTTGCCATGCCCCCGATGCATTGAAACGCTCGTCCCTCTGCGTCACTCCGTCGCGTGCTGCTAAGAGCAGCTCTTTTGCATCCTCCGCAGAACTTGGCAACACTTCCTGCGGAATATGTTGGAAGAGCGATCTGGTCACCGTCCAGTAGTCTGAGGATCCAGACCTTGAGCCATGCTTCAAGCACTGCTTCAGACGGGACAATGCAGACTTCTTGCCGCTGTACTCCGTTGTCCATATGGAAGGGAATTGGCGGGTCAGAGCATCTAGCGCCGTCATGTAGTCAGCGGCAGAGCCAGTTTGATCCGAAATGAGACCCTTGTAGACGTATGCGGTGCTCAACTGCTTAAGGTGGTCACGAAGACTATCCGGCTGCTTTTGTAGCGTTGCTTGCAGCAATCTATGCGCAGTCCGCCGGACACCAGTATCTGCGTGACAACCAAACTCCCAGAGCTTTGGGTTACTGAACAACTCGTCGTACAGAACTTGCTGCTTTGAAACCTCCGACGAATCAAGCTCACTGAGCAGAGCCGTAATGACTGCCATGCTTGTAGAGACAACCCTCGCGTACGTTGCATCTGCATCATCCGGGCTGACAGTCCGCTCATCATTGAGCGTCTGGACAGTTTCGTGGAACAATGAATCCCGGCAGTACGCTAGGATGGCACCCTGAAATGTCCTTCGCAGCCCGGCAACCTTCTCTGGAGTTGGGAAGACGAGGGCAAAAGCATCCTGAGCAGCCTTTGCCGCGGCGCGATCTGTGTCATGGCTGCCAGCAAGCCATGGGCCGGCAATGCTCGGAAGATGTCTGCCACTTCGCTTCCCAGCCTTCGAGCAGACATACCCGTTGACGACATGCGCTAGTTGTCGGACACGTCGGGCACTGTCAATAGAAAGGCGAGGGTAGAGTTTGACCTGGATGTCATTTCGTCACTATCTAGTTTGACGTACAAGTTCGTCCACACGCACCCATGCTTCGAGCAAGCCATCTTCAACGTCAGTATCAACATTCGTTATATAAGCTTGAATCTCCTCTAAAGCTTTAACTTTGGTCGTACTATCCTTCTTCGAAAGGTTCTTGAAAGCAACGATAGTATTGGCATTCGTGATCGTCGAGTAGTCTGGCGGCTCTTGGATGTACGAAAGTGATGAAGAATGTGTTGTTCCAAGAGCAGAGCCTCCAAACCCAAAGCCTGAGATGGCACGGCCACTGCTGGCTTGCGACTTGAACTTCTTCGCACTCATCGTACGCCGGGCCACATGTTGGGGTGAAGTACAGGGATTTTCAGTAGTGGACGAAGGTAGACCCTCATGCGGAAGCACTTGCCGTCTGGATGCGAAAGTAATGTTCCAATTCCTTTAGTCATCGAAGAAGGCAAAGAACTTCGAGCGATGACGGGTTTGATCTTAGTGCCGAGATCGCCCGTCGGCCCGCTAGTGCCTATTTGTGCAGCAGTATTAAAGTCCGTGCTCACAGATGCCTACCAACATGTACATGTATGTACCTTACGCCTTCCATATGATCCACATGTGCCTCAGTCGAAGCAACCAGCCATTTCTCCGCTGGTAGACTGCATTACCATTACTAATAACTTCCTAAGGTGCGTCGCTGTTGGACTGGGCGCCGCTTGCCTTAGCCTGACCGCGTGCTTCATAACCGACAAAACGTACCGTCGCCGTCAACCGCAAGCTTGTTGCATGCCAACACGCTACACATCAAGCCACCATGAGGTTCATGATCGATGACTTACCTGTGCTGTTCCCATATCCCAGGATATATCCTGAGCAATATGCCTACATGTCGGATCTCAAACGAACGCTTGACGCGGGCGGCCACTGCGTGCTTGAGATGCCTTCGGGAACCGGCAAGACAGTCTCTTTACTTTCACTTATTGTTGCATATCAACAGTTCTACCCAGAACATCGCAAATTGATCTACTGCTCACGTACGATGTCGGAGATTGAGAAGGCTCTGGCTGAGCTGAAGGCACTAATGAAGTACCGAGCTGATCAGCTTGGTGAGGTGGAAGACTTTCGAGGACTGGGCTTGACCAGTCGGAAGAACCTTTGCCTACATCCGTCAGTAAAACGTGAGAAGAGCGGCTCTGTCGTCGATGCGCGCTGTCGTAGCCTGACTGCCGGCTTCGTGAAGGAGAAGAAGGAACGTGGCGAAGATGTTGATTTGTGCATCTACCACGACAACCTCGACCTTCTCGAGCCGCACAATCTAATACCACCCGGTGTCTGGACGCTTGACGGCATGTTACGCTACGGTGAGCAGCACAAGCAGTGTCCCTACTTCACCGCGCGGAGAATGATGCCATTCTGTAACGTGATCATCTACTCATACCACTATCTGCTCGACCCCAAGATCGCCGAGCGTGTCTCCAGAGAGCTGTCAAAGGACTGCATCGTTGTGTTCGACGAAGCACACAATATTGACAATGTCTGCATCGAGTCACTAAGCATCGACTTGACAGAAGAGTCCTTGCGACGAGCCGGTCGAGGCGCGCAGAACCTTGAAGACAAGATCAAGCAGATGAAGGAGACCGACGCTGAGAAGCTTCAGAACGAGTATGCAAAGCTTGTAGAAGGCTTACGGGAAGCAGATCAAGCACGCGAGGAAGAAGCGTTCATGTCGAATCCTGCTTTGCCAGATGACCTACTAAAAGAGGCTATACCAGGCAACATCCGCCGAGCCGAGCACTTCACAGCCTTCCTAAAAAGATTCATTGAGTACCTCAAGACGCGTATGAAAGTGTTGCATGTCATTTCCGAGACGCCACCCTCGTTCCTGGCGCATCTGAAGGAGCTGACCTTCATCGAGAAGAAGCCGCTGCGCTTCTGCGCCGAGCGTCTCACCTCGCTTGTCCGGACTCTCGAACTCACCAACATCGAGGACTACCAGCCGTTGCAGGAAGTCGCCAGCTTCGCCACTCTCGTTGCAACATACGAGACCGGATTCTTACTGATACTGGAACCTTACGAATCAGACACCGCTACCGTACCCAATCCAGAGTTGCATTTCACCTGTCTTGACGCAGCAATCGCCATCAAGCCGGTCTTTGATCGCTTCAGCTCCGTCATCATCACCTCTGGAACCATCTCGCCGCTTGAGATGTATCCGAAGATGCTGGGCTTTAGCACCGTCGTTCAGGAATCGTATGCCATGACGCTCGCGCGTCGCTCTTTCTTACCGATGATAGTCACACGCGGCTCAGATCAGTCGCAGATGTCAACGGGATTCCAGACGCGAGACGATCCGCAAGTGGTGCGAAACTATGGCAACCTGCTGATAGAGTTCTCGAAGCTGACTCCGGACGGCATCGTGGTCTTTTTCCCGTCCTATCTCTACATGGAGCGAGTCATCTCTTCATGGCAGTCGATGGGCATCCTTGACTCTGTGTGGAAGAGCAAGCTGATCTTAGTGGAGACGCCTGACAGCCAAGAGACCTCGCTTGCCTTGGAAACATACCGCACAGCCTGCAGCAATGGCAGGGGTGCCGTGCTGCTCTGCGTCGCCCGGGGTAAAGTGTCCGAAGGGATCGATTTTGACCATCACTACGGTCGCACTGTGCTTTGCATCGGTGTCCCGTTCCAGTATACGGAGTCTCGCATCCTCAAAGCCCGTCTCGAGTTTCTACGCGAAACTTACCGCATCCGGGAGAACGACTTCTTGTCATTCGATGCTATGCGACATTGTGCGCAGTGTCTCGGGCGTGTCTTACGAGGCAAAGATGACTACGGCATCATGGTGATGGCAGATAAGCGATTCGCAAAGAAGCGCACACAGCTGCCGAAGTGGATCTCGAGTGCACTCCTGGAATCTGACTCACAGATGTCGGTGGACCAAGCCGTAGCTTCTGCAAAGAAGTTCTTAAAGGTGATGAGTAAACCTTTTCCCGCAAGACTGCAGGAAGGCGTCAGCACATGGAGCTATGAGGATCTTATGGAGCACAAGCGGAAGATGGAGTCGGAGAAGGAGCGCGAGGTGCGCAACGGGCAGGCAAACGGTGACGGGTATCATCTCCATGGCGATCAGATCATGGCGGAGGCGCAGGCTGTGGAGGACGAGATGGATATTGACGATGACATGGACGCAGCGATGTTGGAGCTGGACGCCGGCAGAGCAGCCTGAGGCCGCTGCAAGTGCTTCCTACCCAACCCTGTCATCGACGAGCGTACATTTCCGCCGACGAGATGGCACCTTTCACGAGCCATCGGTTAATGCTCCACCACTATGAGTGGCCCTTGAGCTTGCCAAGTGATGGTTGCTTTAGCTTGAGAACGTGCATCACCGTGCATGCGAACACGGAAGCTTGTCGTGCTCGAGGTGAAATCAGTCTCCCGCCAGTCAGCGCGAGCGGACCGAAATGAGACTAGCGCTGCAAATCTAGTGGGCGCCACCAAACGTACCTTCGCTGCACATGCCCTCGATCCTGGCTGGCACGCCTTCTGTATCACTGACTTTTCTCGCTAATCTGATTCGCTGCGAGGCAGGAGTGCGTGCCTTTATCGCATGGCAACAATGAACGTGGGGCCCTTTCCGCCGCAGCAGCCTGCAGGGTTTGCCTTTAACGCTCAGTCTTATCCCTCCCTTTATGGCGCCGCCTCACCTGGAATTGCGCAAGCGCAGCAACCCTCGCACGTAGCGAGTCATCAAGCATTTGCGCCCGCGCCGCATGCCGGCTATTACGCGAATAATGACGGCAATGTCAGTGGTGGACCGGCGGCGGGAGACGTGATGCAGTATGCTGCTGGTCAGTCTCTCCTCTCCTCGTTACTCCTCGCCTAGTTAAGCCTCAGTTGACCCGCGCCTACCACGGAGGCTACCGGTCTTCTGCCGCTCCCGCAGACACTTCTGCCCGTTGAAGTCGCGGCCTCTAATTGGCACTAAGTAGCTAATACGCAATGATGCAGGCCAGCAGTACCCTTACACTTCTGCGCCGTACTCGCAGTCTGTACCTGCGCAAGCGCCGTCTACTCCTGCGCGGAACCCGCAGCCAGCGCAGCAGCAATACCCGCAGCATAGCCAAATAAGGCAGGCCCATGGTGTATCTCCGCAGCAGCGCCAGCATACCCCGAATGCAGCTACCCAGCAGCAGCAAAAGCAGCAGACTCCGCCGAATATATATCCAATGGCAGCCCCCCTTCTGCCTCAGTCGCCAGCCAACCGACAGCAGGCTGCTGGCGTAAACGCGGTGTCGCCGAATACACCACTGACTCCCGGTAGCCAGAACAGAGAACAGCAGCGGATCACGTTACTTTTGGAATTGAACCTCGAGATGCTGCAGGAGGTCAATAGGCTGCAGGCCGATGGCAAAGGCGGTGCCATCAATCCGCAGCAACAAGCGCAACTCAAGGCCGCAGACCAGCCTTCAGGCATGGCTTCAGATGAATACATCCAGGTTCTGCGACGCGTACAAGCCAACCTGGCGTACCTCATGCCGAAAGCGCAAGGCGACGCCTCGAAGACACCAAAAGGTCCGGCATATATGTCTCCACCTCCTCACATGCCGCAACTACAGCCCAGGTATGATCAGCTGAAAGATCTATTTCCGGACTGGCAAGGCTTGGAGCATAGAGTGTCGCAGTCATCCGCATCGCCACGACCGAACGCCATGCCCTCAGCGAACCAGAACGGCGTGAACGCGGTTCCACCAGCCAATGCATGAAATAACGAACTTGTTTTCTGAGCATAGAGTTTAGGCGCAGATGTTGGGTTATAATTGCGCTATATGTATGACGAGCGAAGGGCGCACATATCAAATTGGGACGGACTAGCGATTGCTGCAATACCCGACATATCTTGTGTCTGCCATGCGCACACGCTGTACAGTATGACCGTGTACAAAGTCGCTCAACCTTCCGTAGACCCTTGTTTGCCTTTCGAACCTACAGCCACTTCTCATAGCACACACTGTAGGTGGCGTCGTAGAAACCAAATGTCTCTCTCCGCTTCCAGCCGTAGGACTCATACATCTTCTGTGCTTCAGGGAGTGCGTGCAGCGTCTCGAGCACCAGAAGATGCAGACTAAGCTCCATCCGCGCGAGGTCCTCGTTGGCAGTCAGTAGCACTCTCTGGGCGCCATGTCGCCGGTAGGCTGGTCGGGTAAGCACGCGCTTGATCTCGCCGACTCTGGCTTGGGCTGGTAAATTTTTGGCACAACCCGAGCCCGGCTGGAGCGGTATGAGGCAAAGACTACCTACCACACTCTTTGGACTATGTTGAGACTGAGGTTCGTGACATGAATCCAGCTCAGCAACAAGGCAAACGGAGCCACCGGGTAGAAGCTGAGGGCGTGCTTCCGGCGGCAACTGCATACGGTGGCCAAGAAGGTGAGATAGCTCAGTCTTCATCTCCTCCTTAAATTGCTGGCAGAGTGGGCCATTTGCCTCTTCTTTGCGGACGATCAAGGGAAGACTCGTGTGCGCAGAAGACATAATGAGGATCACGATAAGGCTGGCGCTGAAAAGCGGACGTTGCAGACAGCGAAGGAGACTTTTGAACAGGCCCCATTGAGCACGTGCAGGGCTGCCATCATGCTACTCGAGACAAGCTGAGGGCCCTAACGGCATGACAGTGATACCCTTGTCGCCAACGCGAGGATGGAGGCAGTACTTGGGGCCGAGGTCGACGGAGTGCAGCTTCCGATCACGGGATCAGGTGTCAGTTCATGCCTGGCACGCGCATAAGGCAAGATTCCATGAACGCGACTTCGCGTCTTCTGCCTCCTGCCTTACGCACTTTGCCACATGCGTAAACAGTGCCGCAGAACGGCGTTGATACACCGTAGACACAACGATGACTGTCGCATTGGGAAAGGAGAACAACACGCCGCTGCACAACAAGCATAGAGCGCGCCTTCAAGGTGGCATACCGCAGTCGGTCGACCGCTTGACAAAGCCTTTTAGGTGCCCGGGCTCGAATGCGCCGTCTCGCACATCAGACAAGCCGGCACGCAAAAGACGCAAGGTCGACTACGGTGGTGGCGATGCAAGCGCAGAAGATGGGGATAAGGCCTACAGCAATGACGATAGGCTTGCGCTTGCGACAAGAGATGTCAATCGCTATCCCGTCTTTGAGCCCAAAGACAAGGACTCGGCTTTCCGCTCGCGCTTCTCTGTGCCCTTGCTCAAAAAGGATGCCACGTCCTACAACGCTGTGAGGCCACCGCCATTGCTAGGCTTGCGGCAAGGTGCCGTGTTCGTGGCCAAACCTCTGCATGACCCGGCCGGAGAATTTGCGATTGTGTTGTTTGATCCTACAGTAGACGGCAAGCCCGAAATCAAGGCTGCCGATGAGGCGCTGAAAGAGTCAGCTAAGGGCTCACAGGATGACGGATCCAAGACATATGACTCACTCATGCACAGAAGCCTTGCAGACATTCTTGGTATCAAGAAAAAGGACGACAGTGAGCGGCCTAAGGTTCCCGTCGTTATCGACCCTCGGATCGCGAAGGTACTACGACCTCATCAAGTCGAAGGAGTCAAATTCCTGTATCGATGCACCACTGGTTTGATCGATGACAACGCCCAAGGCTGCATAATGGCGGATGAGATGGGCTTGGGCAAGACGTTACAGTGCATTACACTAATGTGGACCTTACTCAAGCAGTCGCCAGATGCCGGTAAAGGAACCATTCAGAAGTGCGTCATTGCATGTCCATCCAGCTTGGTGCGCAATTGGGCCAACGAACTCGTGAAGTGGCTGGGTCAGGACGCCATCAACCCTTTCGCCGTAGATGGCAAGGCTTCCAAGGAGGAGTTGACGATGCAAATGCGTCAGTGGGCAGCTGCAACAGGTCGTGCTGTCATTCGGCCGGTGCTGATCGTCTCCTATGAGACTCTCCGCCTGTACGTGCAAGAGTTGGGCAACACGCCGATCGGCCTTATGCTTTGTGATGAAGGACACCGGCTCAAGAATGGCGAAAGTCAGACTTTCGAAGCGCTGAATGCTCTGAACGTCAAGAAGCGCGTCATCCTCTCCGGCACCCCAATACAAAACGACTTGTCGGAGTACTTCGCCTTGCTGAACTTCGCGAACCCAGGCTATTTGGGCACCCGGCAGGACTTCCGCAAGCAGTACGAAATACCTATCCTGCGTGGCCGTGACGCCGGAGCCTCGGATCACGACATGCAGAGAGGTAACGAGAGGCTCAGCGAGCTGCTTGTGAAGGTCAACAAGTTCATCATTCGTCGTACAAACGACATATTATCTAAGTACTTACCCGTCAAGTACGAGCATGTCGTCTTCTGCAACCTCGCGCCGTTTCAGCTGGATCTGTACAACTACTTCGTCAAATCGCCGGAGATTCAGAGCCTGTTGCGCGGCAAAGGCAGTCAGCCGCTGAAAGCTATTGGTCTGCTGAAGAAACTGTGCAACCATCCGGACCTGCTGAACCTACCAGATGACCTACCTGGCTGCGACGAGCTCTTTCCCAAAGAATATGAGACCAAAGACAATCGTGGTCGGAATCGAGAAGTCAACCCATCGTATAGCGGTAAAATGCAGGTTCTGGACCGCATGCTCCGCAGTATACGCCATGAAACGACTGACAAAATCGTCCTCATCTCGAACTACACGCAGACTCTAGATGTTTTCGAGCGACTTTGCCGTAGTAACTCATACGGCTGTCTGAGGCTGGACGGCACCATGAACGTGAGCAAACGCCAGAAACTCGTGGATAAGTTCAATGATCCCGAAGGCAAAGAGTTCGTCTTCCTGCTCTCCTCGAAGGCTGGCGGGTGCGGTCTAAATCTGATCGGTGCCAATCGTCTCGTACTTTTCGATCCAGACTGGAACCCGGCCTCTGACCAGCAAGCTCTTGCTCGTGTATGGCGAGATGGTCAAAAGAAGGACTGCTTCGTCTACCGCTTCATCGCTACAGGCACGATCGAGGAGAAGGTATTCCAGCGCCAGTCGCACAAGCAATCACTTTCGTCATGTGTTGTCGACTCCGCCGAGGATGTCGAGCGCCATTTCACCCTGGACAGTCTGCGAGAGCTGTTCCAATACCGGCCGGGTACAACGAGTGACACTCATGACACGTTCAAGTGCAAGCGTTGCAAGGAAGGAAAGCAAGTCATTAAAGCTCCGGCAATGCTGTATGGTGATACGAGTACGTGGAATCACTTCGTCAACGAGGGGGAGAAGGGGCCAATGAGCAAGATCCAGGATCTGCTGTTGAGGCAGGAGACGACGGAGAAGGACATCTCCGCGGTGTTCCAATACATCAGTCACTGAAGCGAAGGAGCACGTCGGCAAGGCACAGCTCAAAGGCTGAGATGCTGTAATCACCCGATCAAGTCAACGTTACATCCGGGAACGCTTGTCGAATACGTTCATGAAACTTACCGCGATCAATGGCAAGAGCAAGAGACGCGCTTACATGTACAAGCCTATTTCTAGCCATGCCATCCGGATCGACTGTGCCTGGTGACTCTCATTGCCACGGACTAAATGCCATGTACGCCTTGCACAGGAGATCGCTTGTGACAAATAACCGGCTCCATGAGGCCACCTGAATAGTGATTGGCATTGCTGCGCCTCTTCGGCTGATCGTCATGTGAGCGAGATGCTAATCACATAATGCAGAGGTTTCGGAGTTTCAATGGCAGTGTATGTGCCTAAGGCTCCCCCGAACCCTGTGCGCTTTAGCTAAGCCGATTACTCGGCATCCCAGATCTCGAGATGCTTGGCGCTAAGACTGAAGAAGATAGGACGCTGCAGGAAGCATGCCGAGTTGCCGGTGGTTGCGACCTGTTACTGGTGCAATACGAGGCGTTCCGATGAGCATCACAAAGGTACTTGCTTTGGGGATCCAAGCCGCTCACTTTGTGGGACTCTCCTCATACTTCGCTTCTGCCTGTGCGCCTACTCAGGGCTCAGGAAGGCTGAACGAGTACGCCCCACTCTTGCAAATACGAAGTGCGGCATTCGAGGCGTAGTTATGTGCCCAGCATTTGCCAATACCGCGAGGGGCTGTGATTGACTCAGGCCAAGTGACGGAGGATGAAGGGTGGGAGCAGATGACTTGGAGGACAAGGCTCTTCCGGCACCCTGTGTGCCACGGTTATCACTTCCGCGCCATTAGCATTCATAATTCGCGCTTGAACCACGAGGGTAGAGAGATAAGCATTTTGTGCGCCTTCTAGCGCTCTGAAGGAGGGGGCGATGCTGCAGGTTACAAGCATAGCTAGACCGGAACGAGCAGTTGACAGGCTGATCGTTCCATGCGACCACCACATACATCTCATGACGTCCACCACTCTTGCCTTACATACATATTTCGCCTGCGCGCTTGCACTTTGCCACGGAGCCTTGCTGAAGACTCATTTGCTTACTGACTACTGGCTACAAAACACCGCATTCCAGCATCAACAACAATTTGGTCAATCAATAACACTAATCAAGAGGAATATCAACAATTGTCAGTATGAACGGCGCAACCGCTGCGAACGGCAAGGCGCCGACGAATGATTTCAAGACAAACGGCAATGGCAGCGGTCGAAGGGACCCGGATGAGCCGCTCATCAAAGTCCAGCCGCCACGCCGTGAAGACCTGCAACCATCGTATGCGCAAATGATCCAGGCAGACACCGAGGACGCCGCGCAACATGGCTGGTACGGATCCATGATCAACAGCCTAGGCACCCTCATTGGTACCTGTGGCGCCATTCCCTGCTGCATCGTCTGCCCCAACCCGTACAAGCCGGTAAGTGCTCGCCACCAAGCTGTCAGAAGGCGTATACTAATACAAGGTCCCACAGGTCGCACAAGGAAACGTCGGTCTCGTAACCAAGTTTGGCCGCTTCGCGCGTGCCGTCGATCCAGGTCTCGTCAAGATCAACCCACTATCCGAGCAGCTCATCCAGGTCGACGTCAAGATCCAAATTGTTGAGGTTCCCAAGCAAGTCTGCATGACCAAGGACAACGTCAACCTCACACTCACTTCCGTCATCTACTACCATATCACCTCGCCTCACAAAGCCGCCTTCGGCATTTCCAACATCCGCACTGCCCTAGTGGAGCGCACCCAGACCACCCTCCGCCACGTCATCGGCGCCCGCGTGTTGCAGGATGTCATCGAGCGCCGCGAAGAGATCGCCCAGTCCATCCGTGAAATCATTGACGAGACCGCCGCCGGGTGGGGCGTGCAAGTTGAGAGCATGCTGGTCAAAGACATCATCTTCTCGCAAGAGCTACAAGACAGCTTGTCCATGGCCGCGCAGAGCAAGCGGACGGGTGAGGCCAAGGTCATCAGTGCGCGGGCTGAGGTCGAGAGTGCCAAACTCATGAGGCAGGCGGCCGATATCTTGAGCAGTGCGCCGGCGATGCAGATCCGCTATCTGGAAGCTATGCAGGCGATGGCGAAAACGGCCAACAGCAAGGTCATCTTCCTGCCCGCGCAGAACCAGACCGTGCAGTCGCAGCTCGCGATGGCGGAGCAGCATGGCGAGGGTCCGAGCAGTTATGCCAACTACGGCCAACCTGGCGGCTTGCACAGCACCGGCGGTAACGGCGGTATGGGCGAGTACGGTGGCAACACGCAGGGCTTCCAGAATGCGGTCAATGCTCGCGTGGTGGAGAACATGTGAGCGGGGCAGATGCGATAAAGGAGTGGTTGGCAGTGTTACGACTCGTTATGGTAATGGGTTTTGACTCTCGCAATATGTAGATACCCTGTGCTATGTACTTGACAGCATTTCACTTCTACGTTGAATGACCACCGTCGACACTTATTACTACTTCGTCTTTCAATCTTTCGTCGCTCGTAGGCTTGCGCTAATCTGATACTTCTAGACAGACATCTCTCCACAATGCTTTAACAGATGTACGGACAATATAAGTTCCTCTCCCCGGCAGTGGAAAATCGTGCCGCATGCTCAACCAGCCGCGACATTGTTCTGCTAGACTTTGATGTCAAGTCTGCTAACCGGAGCTAGCGGCTCGCATTGGGAACGCTCACAACTCGTTGACATGGTAGAGCGTGGCCCTGGAAGTGAATCTAAACTCAGAATCACTGTATTCCAAGTTAAACTTGTCAGTGGAGCGTGCTGAACCAAAGACGGCATATGATCCCGAGACCTTCAAAATGGGAATCCTAGCAACGTTCAAAGCTATAACATCATCATCCCATACTGAGATTGAGCAGTAAAGCATGCTCTCCTGGCCGTAGCATGATATCCAGACTTGATGACAACAGGAACAATGGTAACATCTGTTGTTGCCATCCGCTATCCCGGCTCGACATTCAGCGGTAAAGTAGCCGAGGTGACTATGGCATGGTATGAAGGCTCTGTGGAAGTGAGAATGGTGGCCAGGTTAAAGTTCGCTCCCAGGCGCTTTCATTAAGGTGCATCATATCAGCAACGTGCCTATAGCACACGATGTTGCTCAAATACATCGTTAGGCCGCCACCCAGATGAGACATCATTCCTTCGCTAATCATTTCTATCACAGCTATCGTACCTCACTGAAGGTACTTGGGATCGAAGCGGATCTCCGCACCCTTCAGAAGCTTGCCAAGGCGCTGGCTGTAATACTCCTCGATGGTCTTGCTCGAACCGAGTGAGTGCTCATCCCTCGCCACGCGGAAGAGCCTCTGTAAGCCCTTTGACACATCCTCCTCCGCCAGGTCAGCCCAGGTGCTGTGCTCAGGGAATAGCTTCGAAGGTGGCGACTGGACTGTTTGGGTGGGAGTGGCCGCTCTCGAGTCGTTCGCCGCCTCACGCCGTGCTTTCTCTGCATGATACTCAGCTACGTCCGCTTTGAATTTGATTGTTTGCGCTCTGACTACTGCAGGAAGGTTACGGGCATTGGGAGTGCCGTGTGTTGGTGTGTAAACGTTTCCTGAAGTGTCACGTGCTACGGGCTCTGTAAACGCAACGGTCTTCTGAGCCTTACCTTGCGGGTCCTTGACCGAGGTGGGAGGCGTGAACTCTCCGGTGGTGAAGGTGGGCATGGCTCTCAGCTTGGCGGAGAGGTCGCTCACGTGAAGCTCATGTGATTGCGAGTGAGGGACATCTCCGGCCACAGACTCGCGTGGAGTGCCCTTTGGTGCGTTCGGGTAGATGAGGCTAGGCTCGCTCGTGACGGTCTCCTCGGAGAGAGAGGTCAGCAAAGTCTCCGAACTATCGCTGCGCTTGAGATGAGGCAAGCGGCTGCCGCTTGAGACAGTATTTGGATGATCGGGAGAGGCTGGGAAACGGTTAGCCCTCACTATGTCGAGTTCGGGAGGGAAACACGTACTCGTGCCGCTAGCGTGACCCTCGGCGATAGTGGTAGGCTTGATGTGCTCTGGCTTGAGGGCGGGACCGGAGCTTGAGTCTTGCTTGTGCTGAGTGGCTTGAGGATTCATATTGCCGTACGGTTTGTTAGCAGGTCTTGAGTAGCTGATGGAGCCTTTCTTGTTCCTCAATGTCCCGAAGCTGATCACACGCTCCGAGTCTGCTGTGGCTTTCGTGCTTGCCGTGTTACCAAGGCGGCGCGGAGCAGATGGCTGAGATGGAGCTCAAGTGGAGTTCTGCGAAGGTGTGGTGAAGGGAACAAAGAGCAAGAAGCGCTTAAACGAAGCCTTCTCACTTTGGAGAAACTCACATTCGCAATGTCTGCAGCAAACCAAGTTTCGTGTTTGCAATCGTCGGAAGTGTTTGAGCTTCTGGTGAACAGAGTTTGTGCGCGTGGCCCGTTCAGCCGGTTGAGGAAGGTGCGACTGCCGTTCGGGAGCGGAACTCGTGCTCGGTGGAAGGTGTGCGGAAGACGGATGTCGACGATGGCAGATCGTGGATGGCAATGCTTGTTTGTCCTTGGAAGGTATCTTCTGGTCTGGCAATCCGTGACCGCCGGCCTGCAACAATACTCTGTAGCCATGGAAGAAGCTTGTAGTAACCGCCGCAAGCGAAGATACCGATCCAGAGCACCAGCTCAACACTATATATGACCAGTCCAAGCACGTTGACCCGCTGTTCGTAGAGCACAGACACAATCGAAGTCACGTCGCCTAATGCATCTATACCACAGAATAAGAAGGAGATACCTGCAACGCTGCCGTGCTTGAAGATGGAGATGTACTGCTCGCCCACGCCCAAAGCAAGAAAGAGGGCAGCAAGCACCGCCATCAATGTGAGTGGCCACCGGACATCATGCTGAATGCCATGCTGTAGTGCAAAGACAAGGGCAGTCTCAATACCTCCCATTATGCTCGCCACCGGCAAAACAACGGCGAGAGCTTTCCACACGCTCCATTTGTGTTCGTAGTAGTAGCATTGGATCCAAGTAGCCAGGCTTAAGCAAGTCAGTACCTGAGGTTGGACCTGCAATGCGATGCTGGATTTGGAGACGATATTGTATACGCCTAAGGGTACGCCTGCCCATGCCCAGAACCTGACCATCATCAGCATGGAGCTCTTCTGAATAGGTTGATGGCATTTTACATCATGAAGGTGGACGACAGGCCTCTGGCACTCTGTCTTCGGTAATTCAAGATTACTTGCGGGATCAATTGGACGGACCAGCAAACCGCCCCAAGTGTACCAAAGACATTGGAGAGCGTTGGGCGGTCCATGTCTCTGAGAAGGTAGGTCTCGCTTCATAAACAGGCACAAGACAGCCTTTTCAAGCGTCTTGTTCTTTGCCTACATCGTGCATCCGGCAAACGCAACGTATATCAGAAGATGAATGTACACGCGAGACGGGAGGGAAGGTGATGGTGTCTGAGCTCGGCATTCGGCAGGTCGAAAGTTCACTTGGCGCAAGCTTGCAGGTTGAAGCTGATGAACAATTTCGAGAGCGGTCCGACAACCACAAACACCATTGCGATAATTGCATTCTCAACACTCGCATATGGAACGACGATAGCGATACCTTTTGCACCTGGTGATACTATTGGACAGCATATTGGTTCTGCATCATCGCACTCCGGATCTGCATCTCACCGCCGAACACAATGGCGGACGTAGCAACACCGAGTGCGGTAGCCATGTCCACCGCCGACACTGGCGCACAGCCTGCGAAAGAGAAGCATGCGGCACCCGAGAAGCCTGAAAGACCGGATGAGGAGCAGTACAAGACGGAGTTGGCAAAGGCGGAGAAGGAATTACGGGCTGCTGAAGATCGAATGGTAGGTGCATTGTCTTTCACTTTCTTCAGGGTTGGCAGGTCGGAGGGGTGTGCGCCTGTGGAGGAGATGGTACTCGTCTAGGTGCTCACATACTTCACAGAAATCGGTCAAGGCCAAGGTCGACATGACTCGACCGAACAACAAAGACTCGCCCTCCGCCAAGCGGCAACAAGAGCTCCGTTCTGAACTACAGCAAATCCGAACGCAGCAACAGTCCAGCAAGTCTTCTCGGACGCAGATCATGGACAAGGTCAAGCGATTGGATGAGAACTTGAAGGCGCGCATCAACGAACAGAAGGCGGCTCGCAGCAAGACGCAGTTCAAGTCCGTCGACGAGGTGCAGAAGGAGATCGATCGATTACAGAAGGATGTTGATGCCGGCACGATGCGCATCGTCGACGAGAAGAAGGCTCTGGCAGACATCACGCAGCTGAACAGGCAGAAGAAGGGCTTCGCCGGCTTCGAGGACCAGCAGAAGGGCATCGACGACGTGAAGGCACAGATCGCGGAGCTGAAGAAGCAAATGGATGACCCCGAGTCGAAGGCGCTGAGTGACCGGTACACGGAGATACAGGGTGAACTCGACCAGATCAAAGCGGAGCAAGACGAAGCCTTCAAGAACCTGAATGCGCTGCGCGACGAGCGGACCAAGGCGCACGAGGACCAGCAGAAGAAGTATGCCGCCGTGAAGGAGATCAAGGACCGCTTCTACCACCAACGGCGAGCCGCGCAAGATTACGAACGTGAAGCTCGTCGGATACGGGACGAGAAGCGCAGACAGGAGAACGATGCGTACCACCGTGGCAAGCGGCAAGCCGCTGCAAAGGAGCGTCTCGAAGAAGCCAGTGCACCTGCGTATCAAGACGAGATCCGCACCGCAAGCAACCTCATCGCCTACTTCGACCCGTCGTCCGTCTCTAAGCAATCCGTCGCGGGCCCCGGAAAGTTTGCAGCAACCGCCTCCCGGACGATTGACGACTCTGGCATCAAGGGCACACGGCTACCGAAGAAGGGCGAGGAAGAAGAGAACTACTTCATTGGTGGGGCGTCCAAGAAGAATAAGCGCAGCCGCGGCGCAGCAAGTGGCACCTCTTCGCCTGCGCCCGAGAGCAAGTTCAACCTCGATATCGGCACGCTGGACAGTTTCGGCAGGTTGAGCGTGGACCCGCCTATGTCGCAAAGTGATGTCCCGGCTGCCGTGGAGAAGTTGAAAGAGAAGCTTGAGTTCTGGAAGGGCGACCAGGATCGCAAGACCAAGGAGGTACGTATCCACTTCTCCTTTACTATCTGCTTCGTCTTGCTGACCTCGAAACGCAGAATATCGCCAAAGCGCAAGCGGAGATCGACAAGCTCGAAGCAGAAGCCAGCGCGGCCGAGAGCAAGGGCTCCGACCGCTCGACGGAGTCTGCGCGCAAGCCGGCGGCCGCGAAGCAGCAGGTCAATGGTACCGCTAGCGCAAGCGCTGAAGCTCCGCAGGAGCAGGAGGGAGGCGCAGACGCTGAGATCACCGAAGACCTGGCAAAAGCTAAGCTGGACGGTGAGCCTGCTGAGGGCGGCGCAGAGTAGGTGAGTTTGTGTGTGTGGAGACGGTCCGTTCATGAGCGGGCCATCCGCGTGCTTTCATGCATTAGCCGGCAGGAAAAGCAGTGAGCCTGTTGTCTTGGGTAAAGGCGCCACATGAGCGTCTGATAGCGGCCGGCAGCCGAGATATCGCGAAGGTAGTCGAAGCCACAATATGCTACAATTAGCACCCCAGCGCCATCGCTCGCATAACAAAAGCAGGGTCAGACAACTCTACAAAGCCTGAACCTCTTTGAAAAACGGGTTTGCCAGCAACGCTTCACTGCCCAAGACAAGGTCCTTCATTCTCTGCACCTGGTCCTCCTTCCCGAGATGCTCGGCCACGACCTGCTCTTTCCACTTCATCAGCACCTCCTTCAGCATCCTACTCCCTTCTTCCACTTCCTGCTTGCTCGCCTTCACGTGACCGATATCCTCCTGCTTTCCGGAGAAGTCCTCGAGTTCGTCGGCTTTCCGCTTCGCCATATTGACCACCTTCTGCGGGAAGCGAACGAGCTCGGCGACGTGGATGCCGAAGGATTGATCACTAATGCCAGGGACGACCTTGTAGAGAAGAGTGACTTCTTGTCTGCGCGGCGCAGCGGGGGCGTCCGTCGTCCCAGTCATGGCTGCATCGCCGCTACCGCCATCTCCGATGTGTGCTACAACGTGTAAGTTCTGAACTTGCGAATACGTATCATGCAAGGCAGTGAGCTCGTGGAAATGCGTTGCAAACATCGCAAAGGCGCCGATCTCCTTGATGATGTGCTCACTGATGGCCCAGGCCAAACCAAAACCGTCGTAAGTGCTGGTGCCACGGCCAAGCTCGTCGATAATCACGAGCGACTCCCGCGTCGCCGTCTTGAGAATGTTGGCAGTCTCGAGCATCTCCGCCATAAAGGTGCTGACGCCTTTTAACTGGCTGTCACTCGCGCCGACTCGCGCCAGGATGCAGTCGAATAGCGTGAGCTCGGCTTCAGAGCAAGGCACGAAGCAACCGATCTGGGCCATGAGAGCGATGACGCCGATCTGGCGAATGTAGGTTGATTTGCCACCCATGTTCGGGCCTGTGATGATGAGAAACTCGGAGTCGCCACGGACAAGCGAGACGTCGTTGGTGATAAATGAGATGTCGTCTTGCATTTCCATACAAGGGTGCCGTGCTTCCTTCAGTATAGTGCTTCCGGTTCCTCGCGGGTGGATCTTGGGTCTTACGTACGCTGTCGGCGCGTGTACCGAGACATGTGCGAAGCTTACGATAACATCCAGATGTGCCAGGACCCCGGCGAGCTTCTCGATGACTGGACAGTACGATGCTGCAACGTTAACCACTTCTTGCACCAAGCCACTTTGCGTGCGGTTGTACTGTTCTGAGAGCTGATCGAAGTCTCGCCGGTAGCCCGTCATTTTAGTGGTAGTGAAGAAGACACCATTCTTTTGCGTTGAGCATTCTTGATACTGCTTCTTGTTGCGGATGGCCGCTGCTTCGGTCCTTGTTAGGCGGAAGCACCAGCCGTGCACTTTGTGGTTCTCAAGGAACAGCTTCTTCTCCGGGTCTTGGTTGAGATCGTCAGCAACTGAACGATGTTCCTTCTCCATCTCGTAGCGAAGCTTGTCGAGCTTCTTGCGGATTATGCGCAGTCCGTCGTCAAACTCCGACTTGATGATGAACTCATGGTTGTCAAGAGCATCGAGATCGACAGTAGTCTCGACCATTTCTTGGAGCTTGCCAAAGCTGTCTGTGTAAGAGCGCAGCTTGTTCGTATACTCGCTATCGAGTGCATCTTTATATGCTTCGTCCATGACACCCTCAAACGTGCCGATGAAACCGGGCAACCTGATTGCCACTTGGTATGCACGCACAACGTCCTCGAGGTTGGCCTTCTTCCGCTGGAACTTCTTTGCAAGACGGTAAAGGTCCGGTATCGATCGCAGATGTTCCTCCTGCAGAGTCTGTCGCAGCTCTGTATCGCTGACGAATGCCTCCACAAGCTGCTGTCTCCGCTCGATCTCGTCCAGGCTCATCAGAGGCTGTTTGAGCCATTGAGCAAGAAGGCGACTTCCGACGGGGGTTTTGCAATGATTGAGCAAACCGTACAAGTTCATTGTCCGCGAGCCATCTTTCGGGCTCGGCATGAGATTGAGTGCTTTGAGTGCCGATGAGTCAAGCTTCATGTACTGGCTGAGGTCGTGCTGATATAGCTGGTATTGCCCGAAGTTTGTGGCATCAGTCAATACGCCCAAATACTTGATCAGAGCAGCCGCTGAAGTCATCGCTAGTTTAAGGTCTGTCTGCGGCAGCGTACCGGCAGATCGCTCATCTCGCAAAAGCCTGGTAAGATCTTGCTCAATGTCTCGGTTACTGAAGTCGCTTTGTGGTCGTTCCGATACAGCGCAGCCGCAATTGTCCGCGATGGTGCGCAATTTCTGCAGCTCAGCATCCTTCTTGGTGCCATCCGATTGGATCAAACACTCCTTAACGCCGAGCTGGATGAGTAACGACTCGAAGTTGGAATAGATGTCGTTATCGGCAAACTCGCTCACACCAAGCTCTCTAACGCTGGCATCAGCAAAGCACACGCCTACTTGGCGGGCTTCGGTGGCCTTTGCGGAGACTCTGACAGCAAGGATAATTGGAGCGGAGTCGATGTGTCCACCGAGCTCCTCCTCGATGTCCTGTAAGTTGCCCGGTGACGCTTGCTTGATGACGTTCCACTGGTTGCGACCAGTAGTCTGCAGTACCTCAACTCGCTTGCCGAGCCGGAAGATGGCTTCTCGCAGAAAGCTCTTGTAGGCGGTCCATGTCATGGTTACCGAAGGCAAGCCAGGGCTACGACCAAGAGTCTTGATCACGGAGGTCGTCTTGTACTGGACCCGCGCGATGAGCATCGCGTCCTCGCCATGAGCGCTGAGCCAGTCGCCACGATCGAAGATGCGGACCGTATCAACGTTCTTGGCCGATTCCAGTTGAAGATAAGCCTTGATGAAGCCACTTTCGTCGTCGAGCTTGAGCTCCGGTCGACTCGACATCGTGTGTGCTTGCTAGAAAAGATGGCTCGGCGTCGACGTTGATTGTGCGCGTCGAGGAGGACGCGTCGCGCATTAAGTGGCGCTCGCCAAGCAAGGGCAAGTTCAACCGCGGGTCCGAGTTAACTTCTTCTACTATTATACACATACATGCAGTGTAAACCGCCGTGCGACGGAGGTGCAGCGGGCAATGCTTGTGCTGCAGGTGTATCGAATACTGTCTAATGCGTCGCTGGTGACGTTTACACGTAGGCTGTGTTCAATGGCTCGAAACTTCCCCATACCAACCATGATAGGAAGAGGATACCGTACCTTTGACGTGATATGTACAACTATCCAATGACCGGTGATTACTCGACATCTGGACCCAAAGAGTCATCGCTTATGTGCAACCCGCACAAGTACAACCCGGTCCATGGAGCCAAAACTCTGCATAAGATAGTTAAACCCCGACATAATCATCCACCATTGCGCGTATGAGTGAGACTGCCACAGCTCGGCCACGTTCCAAGGCTGCTTCATCCGACTCTGGGGGCACATGGAGAAACAAAACGGGCCGGTCGGTGGCCTTGCCCCTCTGAAGCCTCCCGCAGCGCCTGCCGTACCAGGCCAACGAATTGAAGTAGGTATAATCGCAGAGATAGTGTCCAGCATCGTCACTGGGCCGACAATCCGCATCGTGGATGGGTGACGTGTCGGGTGCCAGCGATACCATTGACTGCCACTTCTGGACAACTCTCTCGAAGTTCAGCGAAGTCTCCAGCATTGGCGGACAATCTCCGAAGCAACGCTCAACCTCGTCGTTTGGCGGTATCGCACCGTCCAGATCTTTGTGCTTCGAATAGTCGTCTCGGTGGCCGTATCGTTCAGCCGCGTAGTACTTTCGGCCAGAGGCCATTCCGATGTGCAGCACAAGATCGACCGCTTCGCTGTGCGCATCCAGCAGCATCGGAACAAGCTTATGTGCTTCCCGGTACGCTACCCGGATCGGCGAGCCATGTGTGATCACTTGGACCGCCTCGCAATCAGCTGCACTTCTTGGCAATAGCTGTGGCAGTGACTTCGCGATCTCGAACGAAGGGTTTACAGGGTACCGATCTTGGAAAGGACCAAAACCTGTAACCAAGACTGTGATCAGACGTCCAGATTCATCGACTTTGCGCGTAGTTGGCGCCATCCGACAACGCTACAGATTGCGCGGATTGATGCATCAACCGTCGGACAAAAAGTTTCCAACAGCCAGTAGCTCGTCCACTTGTGGAAGACAGGCCTTTTCAACCACAAGCTGTCTGGTTTCCTAACCTCCTCTTCTTCCTTTAGACTAATGGATCTCAAAAGCCGCGGTTCCTTTGCCACTGCCTTTCGCAATTTGCTCAAGAGACTCTCGTAGAAGGAGAACGTGGCTGCGACGTTGGTCTTTATGAAAGTGACACAGTGGCGAAGTGCAGATCTCTACAGCGTCTATTGCCCCACTTGACTGCCCCGTCCTACCTGGGTGTATGCCGAGAATCTGTTATTTCTCGAAAACGCGCCAGTCGAGATGATCCCGAACTGAATGGGATCGAATTGGGAACGGGCCGCTGAATGCCGATGTGGACCCCCGTCGGTTATAACACGGGCTGAGAGGCACAATGAAAACACAATGCAGCCGTTTAACAACAGTTTCGACCATGTAGCGGAGACAGGCCGGACACGTTTGCTTCAACCTGCATTGACTTCCGCAGCCTTACGCAGCCGGTTCATGACGGCGGCAGCCGTCAATTCCTCACCATCATCAACACCCTCCACAAGAATCGCGTCCACATCGTTCCGGTCAAGTTCTCGAAGCGCTGCGAAGACGCCTCGCGCGATGTTGCCCATATCAGGCCCTAACGTGATCACGAACAGCTGCACAAGCGAGCCGTCCAGCGTAAGCGAAACCGTGGATATCGCTTTCTGTGGCTGCAAATTTGATCGCAGTGTTTCAATCACACCAGCCACTCCTGAATAAGAGGTTGCCTTCGAGTTCTGGTGCATCCTGCCTTGCATTGTGGTCTCTACGTGACTGCGCAGCCGGATGAGCTGGCCCTTAGCGACACTGTCGCTCTCGATGTTCCATCTCCGAGTGCAGATGATGCCTAGCTTGCCGTTTGGTCCAATGTACTGCTGCAATGTCTTGGCATATGTTGGTTCGCTCCCAGCCTCAAAGAGCACAACAGGTGCCTTTGGTGAGTAGTGGCGGTATTTCATGCCGGGTGCTTTGGGCTGGGTGCCACTTTCTGCAGCATTCTTATAGCCGATTTCAACCTCCTCCCAACCAGGGCAGCTACGAAGCTCGTCAATACTCACACCGCCAGGCCGGAGAACCAAAGGCGGATTGGAAAGCCCATCGACGACTGTACTCTCCACACCTACGCTACACGGTCCACCATCGATGATGGATTCGATACGACCGCTGAGATCGAAAGCTACGTGTTCAGCAGCTGTAGGTGAAGGCTTCGTGGACGCGTTCGCCGACGGAGCCGCGACAGGAACGCCTGCCAACTTGATGAGTGCCAATGCCAGCACATTGCCGGGTATGCGTGCTCCAAAGGTGCTCAAGCCTGCAGTGACCTCAGGAGCGAAGGGCGAGTGTGCAGGATTTGGCAAGATAATAGTCAAGGGACCAGGCCAGAAGCGGTGTATTAGCGGTTTATAGATCTCCGGTATTGGATCGCTGTCGTCCGTGTGCACCGAACCTCCGTCTGAGTGATGCGCATTCTGTGCAGCCGTAGAAGGCCTGAGAGTGTCTCTTAATTGCTGTAAAGAAGCAAAGTGCACGATCAACGGGTTGTCAGCAGGTCGCTGTTTAGCCTTATATATTCCCAGTACTGCGTTGCTTCGTGTGGCGTCCGCACCAAGTCCGTAGACAGTCTCGGTAGGAAATGCAACAGGCACGTCGGACAACCTGAGCCGCTCGCCCGCTAAAAGAAGGTTACTCGCATCTTGGGAGTTACCATCCAGTTGTAACGTGAAGTCGTCCAGAATATCATGGGGCCTTGGTTCAATCTTCAGATGACCGATTTTGCGCGGGTCTACGGGCAGTATCGTGGTCTGCATTGCGGCTGATGCATCGATCGTGCCCTTTACGTAGCAGCGCTGCTGTGCTGGAATACTGCATCTCGACCAGTTGAGTCTAGAGGAAGATTGTTCTGGGAACACAATTAGCAGCCCCTTAAGCTTCAATGCAAGCATCAAACAGGGAAATTTACGCAGAGATTTCGGAGCGCAGGAAAGAGGTAAGCGCGAATCCAAGGCTAGAACCGCGCCATCACGTGATCCACTCTTGGAGTGGAACTGAGCGTGTCACGCATTGTCTGCAGGCACTTGCCAAAGACTTCTTCTGTATGTACAGCCACGAAGGCAGGCTACTTTTCCTGTGCCTGTCCCGGTCTTATAGGCTTTATCCGAACATAGTCCTTCGTTCCGATATGCTCTAGGCCAGTTCCCTCTCGTCCTTCCTTAAGACTACGTGCAGCATCCCACGCCGATCTCAAGCAGTCGTTGACCCCTACACCTGACATCCAGCTACCTGCTACCCGTAATCGTCCCTTGTACTCACGCAACAAGTTACTGTGTGCTGTCTTTAGCTTCTTTTCATGTCCAACCGTATACTGAGAGATGCAGTCCTTCTGCATGTTGACCTGCCATGCTTCCGGCTGTTCAGTGATCCCCAGGTGTCGCTGTACAACTGACTGTGCCAGTGCCAGACCCTCTTTCTCGTCTGGGAATGATGGCCAACCGTTCCACCAATGACCGCCAAGCATAACGGTCAGTTTAGTGCCACGTTCTGAGACTTCGTCTTGGAGATTGGGTCTGTTCGGCATATTGTACCACGCAAAATCATTGACGTTGATGAGCTGTCCTTGCTCTCGTGCTTGCCTTAGCTGGTCAGCGTCCGATATTTGCCAGTTACTGAGATCCAGGTCAGTTGGCGACGGCGCATAGCCGGTGTCAAACACAACGCCCAGCGCACGTTCTGGATTGTTCTCAAATGGCGTAGCTTGAGGTATAACATAGCCAAACCCCGGCGGGTTGAGACCTGGGGTGCGGTAGTAGAGGTTCACTGTCATGACGGTGACCGATGGAATGGCGGGAATTAGAGGTGGCGGGTCTGACCTCCCTGGATCGAATGCCTGCGCTGCAACACGGTTCAGATGGTAAGGTGAGAGGGCGGATATCGCATGTGTAAAGGTAAGCGGCTGTTCTGATTCCTGAGGCTGAATAGATATTCCTGTCTGACCTTCTGTTGACCGTACATACGACACCGGGGTGGAGGTCTTGAACTCTATATTGCCTTTCTCCAGCAAATGTCGCGCGAGCCGGTCCACAAGCATACCAAGCCCGTCCTTGAACGTGAAGACAGATGTGCCTTTAAGTGTTGCTTTCAACAGCGGGTCCCAGTCGTAGTTCTTCATCTCTTGCAAGTAACCCGCTTCTCGCTTCGTGACTTCCAAGCCATCTGCCCTGGTTCGGATCAATCCACTGAAGATGCCGCCGGACTCCGCCTCATCCCGCCAAAGGCCTGGGAATAGGCTCTTTGCAGAAAGCTGATAGACATCACCAGCGTATATGCCATGTATAACTGCGCTCAGGATCCGGTCGACTGTGTTCTTGCTGAACCTCCGTGAGAAGAAGTCACCAACGCTCTCGTCTTCGACCTTCTCGTCACGAGCGTCCCGCCAAAACTCGCCGGCGATACCCCACGTTGTGCCTGCAAACACTGGCTCAGTCATCAGGCTCCAGAGGTTGTCCGCTATGCCGAAAGAGGGATGTGGCATCCGAACGAGGTGGTCAGGATAGTAGACGTAGCGGTTGCGTGCGCCCGGAGACGTGTTCTGTGCGAATATCGCATCCTTGGCCAGGTCGAGCTCTTGCAGCAGCCTCGAAGACAGCACCCCGTTGGCACTGGGCCGAAGAGTCCTCGGTCCGGCCTCGAAGAGGACAGTGCCATCTTTCACGGGAACACGCTTAGAAGACAACCATCCTCCAATACGGTCTGAGGCCTCGAATATAGTGATGCTGGCCTTTGGTAACTCTTTAGAAAGGTAGTATGCACATGCAAGGCCGGTAATGCCTCCGCCGAGAATGGCTACATTATGTGTTGGTTTGTCGTCAGAGCTATATGCTCTGATATCGGTGAACCGAAGTTGAGTGAATGTTCTCAAGTGGCCTGATATCGTCGATTTGATCAGCCCATGTCCACCACGAAGCATCGCTGCATGACCAGCAGCTTCGCTCGAAGTACGAACCGCGTCCTTTAGGGATATAGAAGCATCATCACTGTGGACTGTCCAATTCCGATCAAGCCTAGCCCAGCTTTACTCTGAGCTAACCATATCAAGCAATTGCATTCTGAGTGTTTGCATGAACGCAGCATCAAACGACAGATGGACATAAAGGCTTTCGGAACGACATAGCAGCTTGTTAGCCATGCTAGTCAAAACGTTACTCACAAGCCGCCATTACAAGGTCTCTAACGTAAGAGTAAAGGTTGGATAGAAAAACGTTCTCGTGCACTACATCCGCTAGGATTGAAAGTACTATATACGACTTTATCTCGCTGTCCAATCGAGCTCAGGCCGCCAGTCCTCGTTGGGTGCTTGGTATACTCCCGTAACTTTTGGGGCTTCCTGACGACTCCATGGCCATTAGGGTTTTCAGTCCATCGCCGGTGCACCCGACGTAAATGCAGCTGACTGGGGCTCCGACACCGGGTTGCCTGCAAGCTCCGCTTTGTCCGTTGGCTTCTATGGCGGAGGACCATGACAACGATCAGAGCCACTAATACTGCGAGTAAAGGTATGCCAAGTCCAAGACCGAGCCCCGAGCCGAGTGGAAGGTTGTTCGTTGACGCCGCCGCTGCGGTGGTACTTGCGGCGGCGCCAGTACTCGCAGCAGTGGCAACGGTGGCGACAGTGGCTGTACTACACGCGCGGACTGTTGCGGTCGCGCTGCTCATCGAAGATGCCGCAGTAGTGATGTTGAAGTTGTGAGAGATGATCTGCGTCTTGCTTCCCAGGGTCATGTCGGAGATCCAAGGCCAGAAGACAGGACCTTGCACAAGCGACGTTTTACTGCCCGATAGTGATGTTTTTCAGTAAGGCAACAGATCACAGTGCGGGATGCGTACCCTAGAGCTGTACGGCCCACTCAATATATTGTGTCCGGATATGGTCAGTCACCTACCCGGACCAGTCTCTAATGCTGGTTAGGGCATCATCTCAATCTCAGGAACGGAAGTGCAAGTCACGGAAGACCACGTCCACCTCCCATGGCTATAAAGGGTTGAACTGACCTTGCCACAAAGCGATATTGTATGGTTCGAAAGCGGTATTGTACATTAGATTGGTCACAGAGCCGAACTCATACACAGGGTTGCTCGGCCAGTTGGCGCTGTTGTTGGGTAGTGTCTGACCAGGGACTCGAGGGTCTCATGGTGGTGGTGCATTGACCCAGTAGTTCGATTGACAGTAGGCCGAACAGAAGAGAGCAGCGGCTAGCAATGTGTGTATGCCGATATCAGACATGAGCGTGGTAGGACAAAGCGCAGCGGGGACAGTCTGGGGAGAGGGGCAGAGTTATACAATACCGTTCTCGTGCGACCTTGAGTTGCCCTAACCGTCTCAACCAGGGCTGAAGCTTGGCGCTGCAAATGAGGCATCCAACGGATTCAGGCTATATGTCAGGCTGGCCAACGAGCCAAGCCAGACACTTAGGAATGCAGAAAGGTCGCTAACACGCGCGGAGTGCATGGCGCTCTTCGAACACCATGGTTCACCAGGTAAGTTCAACTTCGTCCTGGGGCGCAGCGCATGCATATGCCTGGCCCGCAACCGTGCCGCCCGCATTTGGGGGCCAACTCGGAGGTTCAGTGCTATTCGTGTGCGGTCACGCTGACTTCAACTATCTTGATGTCGCCGGTGTTGCTCGACCAGACGCATAGAACGAGCACGAGACTCGAAAATGTGCTAGATGCTCGAACTTTCCAGCCGCGTCCTGCGAAAGTGTCTCCGTAGGCGGAGCGTGCTTGTTGAACGGTAATTCTGAGGTGATCACGCTCTAGATCGTTCCTCAGGACATGGATTATCACCAGTAGACAAAATGGCAGGGGTTCGGCATCGGTTCATCTTCAGCATACTGGAGCGCGCCCAAGCACCGGAGTGGGTCGGATCGTGGAGCTCTGCGTTAGCCATGGGCCGTCTGGCTGGCAGCTAAACTTACTACACCTTCAAACGAAGTACTTCGGACGGCGGTGGTAACAATCAGAGGGTTTGCGACTTCGATCAAACCGCGGCACCATTTGATTGTGCCGCCCGCTCTCTCTCCGCTTTGCGTTTCACAAACTGCCGTAAAAAGCCTACCTGCAGCGGAATAGGTTGGCCCATCCTACACACACAGATTCATGAGCATCTCCAAGACCGGAGGGACAGATCGAAGTGCTTACCATGTCGCCAACTGGGTGTGATCTCTCACATCGTCACCAGTGTTCGGATGCACAAGTGCACTCAGTGGCCCTCGGTTGATTACGAGCCAAGGAATGAAGGCACCAAACTGCTGCGGCGTGTGAACGTTCACTTCAAACATAGCCACCGGGTGCGGGCCAACTGGTCGGTCCCATACGCGGTAGATGCGCAACTCGGGAAACTCTCGCCTGATACGCTCGTGCAGCTCGGTCGCAAAGTGAACTTCGTCCTCGTTGGTCTGCACGTAGTAGATATGGATGTCGAAGCCGCCTCGCGTGCCGTTAGAGATTGGATCCGTGAAGGCGTTGTAGGCTTGTGATGGCGTTGTAGGGGCCGGGTTGATGAAAGCTTTTGCATTCGGGCCTTCCGTGCACTTCTCGCTGAAGGAAACGAACTCAGTGCCTACATCGTACAATGCTGAGGCACCGTGGCATCACGTGTTACGTTCCCTACTTACATCGATAGTGGCTCCAGACCTCGGTATCCTTCAAGCGGCGAAGGAAACGTGTACAAAGAGGGGTCAGCCATGGTGTTGCAAGTGCCTGCACTTTCTTCTACACGTCTGAAAGACTGTGGCGCGGAGTTTCTGGCAACCTTTGTGGTTTCGTGAAGCCCTCGTGCAGCGGAGTGTAAGGTAGTGTCGTACTTGGAGTGCTTCGGAGTCGCGTTAAATCTGGCGGCCACTTCCGCCGTGTCAAAGCTTGCCGCTCCGTGACCCTGAGTTCTTCCATCTTCTCAATATGCCTATATGGTGCTCGCTGTACTGTGGTTGTGGAAGCGCAGTTTTCGGACGAATAACAAGAGACACTCTTCAGGGGTGAAAGTCCAAGGCTTTGGGCCGACAACAGCTTTCCCCTGTATTACATCTAGGATTTACAATACCATCAATGTCCCGAGAACCTACATCTGACATTCTGCTCCCTGCATTCCATATCTATACCATGGGCTTCGAAGGTGTCTAACAATCCATCAAATGAGTATCAACCCCTGCGCTCCAAATTTCGTTGTGACACGACGTGGACGGTGAGGGGTGGAGTCTGTGTACTGAGGGGCGGAGTCTGTGTAACAGCATTCTAAGCGGCGTTCGTCTGTTTGAGTACACGCCTCTCTGCCTGCATCAACTCGATGACTCGCTCGCCGTCCGCCTTAGTCAGCCTCACGGAACTCTCAAGCCCGTCAACGACGAAAACATGCTCGGTCACTCTGTCACGCAACGCCTTCACCGGCGCCGCAGCCGGTACCAACGCTGCTGCCTCGAAATCTTTGAAACTCCAACGAGGCACACCATCCACTTCCACCAACCGCCACTCATCGCCCCAACACCCAACCCACTCCTGCCACCCATGCTCCACCGGCGTACCCTCAACCGCTGGGTAAGGCACGAAATCATCCTCCATAAAATGGCCCGGCAGAGAGACAACTCTCGGCCACCCCTTCACATACAATAGAGCACTCAGTATAGGCTTTATAACATCAAGGCCATAGCTGCTGCTCGTCATGACCGCGAAAGCGTATCCGGCAGGTATCTGCAAGACGCTATCATCCTTCGCATTGACGAGTCCGCCATGAGAGCCGAACGCATAGCACATATACCCGGGCTCGTTACTCCCAGTATGGCCAAACCCGCTCCCATCTGACGCCCACCCGAGTGCCAGTGCGCGCTCGGTATTGGCGGAGGTGACTTTGGTCAGCATTTCTTTCGCCGTAGACTGCTTGAGAAACCCGTTTGGCGCGTGCAGTGACATCTGCACCGCCTCAACTGCTCTAAGCAAATCCGACGGCGTCGTCCACAGTCCCGCGGCCGCCAGCTCCCGGAAAATATGGTAAGGTGCATTAGCTTCTACGTAAGCGGTGTAGTGTGCCATGGCGTGGTTTTTCTCTCCGGGCGGCAGGACGGTATCGCTATAGCGACTTCGCGTCATTTCCAGCGGTCCAAGAACGACGTTCTGCATCAGGTCGGCGAACGGAAGCTTCATGACTTGTTCGAGGAACAATTGGAGGACAACGAAGCCTCCGCCGGAGTAGCTGTACTGTGCACCCGGGTATGTGAGGAAGTGTACTCTAGGCGTGTTGGATGGTGCTCGGCCAGCTAAGATATCCTCCGCAGAGGGTACGTCGCCCGCATAGCCAGGAAAGCCGTGCTGTGACAACCCGGATGTATGCGAGACGAGCATGCGGACGGTAACGTGCTGCATCAAAGGTGCTGTTTTGGCATCTATGATACAGTCAATGGTACTTTGTGGGAGATGCTGGACGACAAGTGTGTCGTATGAGAAGTGACCATCGTCGATGAGCTTTGCGACTGCGACAGCCGTGATAGCTTTGGAGATACTGCATGCTTGGTATATGGTATCTGTGTCTTCTTTGCCATTGGTGATGTTTAGTGCTGCGATCTTGCCATCTTGCAAAATCGCGAGAGATGCTGAAGGTACACCATCTGCATTGATCTTTTTGGTGGTAGCGATCTTGTGTATAGCCCGAAGGACGTCCATTACGACTTCGCTTATGCAGAAAACAGAGAAAGGAAAGCTTAGAGATAAGGGAGACGAGAAATATGGAAACCTTCGCTTACTACCTAGCCCTATCAGTGCACGTATATTGCGATGTGGAGCCTGTCTTGCAATGGGCTCTGCACAAGGCGAAGAGTTGGCAAGCTTCCAGGCAGAAGCTTAGCCCTCTTTCTGAACTCCGAATGCCGAGAACATGACGACCTTGGGCAGGCATGTCAGTATGACGGGTTCGTAGAGAGGTATGATCGTCCTTCGTAAGGATATGGCTGATATTTCTGAATCGTTGGCTAGTCTTTCAACATCCTCAATGCCGCCGGGAAACGATGGCAGGAGGCGACATTCTCAAGGAATCATATGCAGGGTATACATAGTCTTCCATCCAACTAACCCGCCATGCCAGATAGGCCCGTTCCTACGCAAACGCCATCACACGCCTCCCATTTGTCGCTAAAGACTCACGAATGAATGACACAGACTGCGACTAACGAAGCACAGCTTGACCACCATCTATGCTGTAGCCACAGACGGGGAGTCAGCGGGCAACTCAACCTCAATACGAGGCATCGTCGCACCAGTGCCACCGAGATCGGTAGCCTTGGCCTTGGGGTTCTTCTTGTAGTAGTTTGCGATGGCGGACTTGATGCCGTCCTCGGCGAGCATGGAGCAATGCACTAGCACACGATTAGCAATCACCATAACCACCGCAGGACATCAATCTCGTGCCACTCACGCTTGACAGGGGGCAGACAAAGCTCCTTCGCAATCTCCGTGTTCCTGATCCTGCCCGCTTGCTCGAGCGTCATGCCCTTCACCAGTTCTGTCAGGTACGAGCTACTGGCGATCGCCGAACCGCAGCCAAATGTCTTGAATTTGACATCCGTGATGGTGTCGTTGTTCGGGTCGACCTTGATCTGGATCTTCATGACGTCGCCACAAGCCGGTGCTCCTACCAGGCCGGTACCGACGTCCTTCTCGTTCTTGCCCATGCTGCCGACATTGCGCGGGTTGTTGTAGTGGTCAAGCACCTTCTCGTGGTAGCTTCGTCGCACTGGTCGTGATGCAGCGATAGGCGTGATGGTGCGGACGAATGAGCTTGTGGATGGACGAGCGGACTGAATGGCCCTGCTGGCTTGCACCGGCGCGGTGGCGAGAACCCTCTTGAACATATTGCTTGTCGTCTTAGCGCTCCAACTGCTTGAGTATTCTAGTACGTTGTCGTGATGGTCAAGGTATGGAAGTTTGTGCGTTGATAACACGCAAACGGGAACATTGAAGGCAAAGGACAAGCATATGACGCTAAGGGTCTGCGTAAATGCGGGCTCGGGACATCCCTTCACGCACGTGACTTGCTTTCGCGCGCTCACATTTCCTTTGCACCTCATCATTGCAGGTCTGCCGTTCACTTGTTGATTAATCACACACTTGACAGCGGACCATAACAATGTCTCGCGGTGGCGGCACAACTCTCTACGTGACAGGCTTTGGGCCTGGCACACGCGCACGCGACCTTGCCTACGAATTCGAGCGGTATGTCAGCTAGCGAGCGAGCGATCGATCGACCGGCGGATATGCGACCCTCCTCCCCTCCCTCACCACCCTTTCGACACCGCACGCGCTTCTCGTCATGAGCGTGCTATGGCCCCACCGAACGAACGAACGAGCGGTCGAACGGGCGAGCGGCGTCCACCTCATCCACAACCACCACCACCACCACCCATCCCACCCTTCCTCCCATTCCGTCGAGCGAACCGTCCACGCCTCGAAGCGGCCTCGGCCACGCGCTGTTCGAACGTAATATTGACAATGACTCAAGGTATGGGCGTCTCGTCCGCTGCGACATCCCTGCTCCGCGTACTGCCACAAGCAGACTGTAAGTCATTCTTCACCCGATGCTTATGCACTCCCGTATAGCTGACCTTAATGAAGCTTTGCATTTGTCGAGTATGAAAGCCGTCGCGATTCTGATGATGCCTATCACGAGATGCATAACATGCGACTGAACCGTGACGAGACTCTCAAGATCGAGGTAACCTTAACCGTGCAGACTATTACAGCTGTGCAAAATTATTGACGTATCACAGTGGGCACGTACGCCACCATCAGCCAGCTGGCGTTTCGATCAAGGAGCCTCACGTCCACGTGAAGCGCGCCGTGAGCGCTCGCCACGTCCACGTTCCCGTAGTCCGCCGCGCCGTCGCCACGATGACGAAGACGACCGCCGCAACGACCGCGATCGTGACTATGATCGCCCGCCCAGACGCGATAGGGACCGCGATGAGGACCGTGATCGCGATCGCGACCGTGACATGAAGGATCGTGACCGTGATCGCGATGATGAGGATCGTGACCACGACCGCGATGGCGGAAGGGATCGTGAGAGGGAGTATGAGCGCGAGAACGGCGCGAATGGAGATGATCGTAAGGGTGAGTGCGAGCTTAGCGTCAATCTTCGTCACGTCGCTGATAATCATGAATAGTGGACCGCGAGGAAGTGCCAGCAGCTCACGATGACCTCGACACGGCTGAGTAGAACCCAGTCGCTACGGGCGCGAACAGCATGGCCATTGATTGTGGCTGGTAGATGCCTCTCAGCTAACGCGAAACGCGAGTAAGCTGTTAAAGGAGAGCACGGAAGTGGGCGTACGCCTTGAAAATGCCAACAGCGCAGTCTGGGCGCATTGCGCGATTGCGACTGCCATAGCAGCCTTTCTTCCTGGGGCGCGACCAGCAATATTGCTGTGGCAGACGGCTCATGGCACAATATGCGAGTTATTCTACATCATGCGGCCTTTTGACCGGCGTGCCAGGTACATGTCCACTCGCCACAGTACCATTTCCCAAATGCTTGCTGAGAAGGCCATCTGTATCGGTCGTCAAACTCAAGCTATCTCGCATCAACGCAAGCGTCTTATTGGGTTCGCCCTGCTGCGTAGCTTCCTCGTACTGCGCCGTATCGTCATCCAACTCTGTTGCGCCGCGGAAGGGCGCAACCTCGATATCATCCTTGAGCATCTCGTGCGCCTCCTGCTTCGCATCTCTCGCCATCGCACTGTACTTGAAGTAATTATAAGCCGCTATCGAGGCGATGGTGACGCACAACCCGGACAGGTTGACGGGCGATAGCGCGTCTCCGAAAGCGAATGCTGCGGCGCTGATGGTTAAGACCTCCTTGAAGATCCCGCAGACACTTAGCGTGACCACTGAGGTGCGCTTGAGGAGGGCAAATTCCGCGGCGACCATCATGAAGGCTAAGAAGCCAGGGAATAGCAGTAGGATGGTGCTGTAGGACCAGCCTTTCTCTGCGCCCAGGGCTTGAAAGCCTGCAATAACTTTGAACGGACCCTCGATGGGTAGTGCGAGGATAAAAAGCGCCACGAACATGACCGGAGTCAGGAAGAATATACTGCTAAACGGATTGCCCGTCGCACTATTCCTCAGCAGCAATATCTGCGTTAAACTCCACCGAAACCCGGAGCAGCAGCTCGCGCTCATCACGAGCAAGAAACCTGCGATTGAGAAAGCTGCCTCGCCGGCAACCATCATGATGACGCCCGCCGTCATGACGGCAATGATAGCGCAAAGGCGCCAAGTGGGCGTTTCCAGTCGGAAAAGGAAGGCGAAGAGTAGCACGAAAGCAAGCACGGATGACTTGCACATGGTGTAGAAGCTGAGTGTGATGAAGCGGAGGGAGAAGTTTCCGAGGCCTATGTCCAGAGCGGTGGCGGTGCCGCATGGGGCGATGCGGGTAAGATAGAACGTTCGCGTCATGAGCGGCCGTTTCGTAGGTGGTGGTGCGCCGTCGCTTTCTGCGTCCTCCGTGAACGGCATGGCAGCAGGTCGTGGCCGGAACTGTGGGAAAATGTATAGAACAGATGAAGCGAGGCTGAACTGCACGAGCATGTGGATTGCGGTCGTGAAGAGCGGGAAGTGGAAGTCGAGGTTCTCTTTTGAGAACATCCATTTGTTGTAGACGGATATGGAGATGCTGAAGGTGTACCACAGCGCGATGAGGAAGCCGTTGATCATCATGTCGCGCATCAGTGCTGCGGTCGCCAGCCTCTGTTCGGCAGCATTTTGGTTGTCGCTACTTGGACCATCGAGCGTGTCGTGGCCCCTTCGTCGCCGCCGTTTGTGTTTCCGGTGCATGTGTGTGAGTCCTGTCACCTCGTCATCCTCCGGCCCCGCCGCGTCGTCGTTGAAGGACTCTAACTCGTCCATATCAACGTCCGATTCCACTCCTCCAGAAGGCGCTTCCCTGATGGTCTTAGCATACGGACCATTGCGCTGTCCTGTTTTTACTTCGTGCGTCCGTAGAATATGCGCTACTGATCCGCTCCGCCGGCGATGGGTTGGTGCATCGGCCTCTTCCATAACCCTCGCAGCGCTGCGAAGCTTGCGAGGTCGTATGCATGTGTCTGCGATTGGTAGATGAGGCGCAGTCTTAAAGGGGGTGCATGTGCTTGAAGGTTTAAAGATCGGCGCTATCGGCGCTCGGCTGAGCCACAGCGTCGGACCTAGCGCCGCAAACCTCTGAGTTACATGTACGGGTGCTATCGTTAAGACTCCCCAAAAATTACGACCTTCAATTTAGCACGCATGTGTGAAGAATGTCGATCATAGAGTATCGGCTTTTGTATGGACCGTCTGGACCGTCTGGACTCCGGACGCACAGCCACGCTCTCACACGTAGACGTCCACGTATCAGTGCTATGCAAACTGTCGTACATAGACGCTGTTCACTGGCACCGCGCAATATCAACGCAACCGACTCAGCCCCATAACCCCAAAGAAACGCCCTGCAGCAGCTCAGCTTCCCCGACAGCCCCCCGGCTTGCCTTCAGTGACATTAGCCAGCACAGTGTGATGACCCCATTTAGGGAACGCATCGGGAGCGGACGCCGCTTCGACTTCAGCGCTAACGACGGTGACCGTAAAACCATCAAGGTTTCCCACAGGCACGTGTACCCCGTCGAACTAACAGCCTGTCAGCATAGCCACAAGCAAGTCTCACAACCGGGACTTACCATAGCAACACGCCAGTGAAGATTATGCTTCAAGTAGGCCGTCACGGTCTGAACGTCCATGCACGACAGCCCACCCTGCTGGTAGTTCTTCAAGAGCGTTGAGGTTAGCGGAATGCTGCCCGTAACCTGCAGGCCTGAGCCTTTCCGCTGTGTACTGGCAGCGTCTGCACCAGAAAGAGTGGCGAAGACTGCATGCGTGCCCACCAGATTCTGTGACAAGGGCCAAGCGGCAGGCGAGTCACCAAAGTCACCCATGAAGATGTAGACGGCGTATGAGCCGTTGAGTGCACCTTTCGGGGAGATGATGTTCGCGAAGTACTCCAGCTGCTGACCGTTGTTGTTTGATTCCGAAGGATATTGATTGTGGGCCTTGATGCCATGAGAGTGTCCATGCTTGGCGGTACGTCTGGAAAGATCGCTGCTTCCGGTACTACCTCCATACAAGCGGTTTATGTTTGCTTTGACAGCAGACACGCTACCGTTGCCGAGGTCTAGGTATGTGTACCCGAACATGCTGATCCAGCGAACCGACTCTGAGGTCCAGAAACCGCCGCTTTGATCCGAATGGAATGGCTTCAGCGCTGAGGGTCGTTAGCTAAGAGGTGAGACGATATGACGGGTTAACCGACGCACGTGAAGTCTCATCCTGCACATTGCCCACGAGGAAATCGAATGTCTGCTCGACGGCTGCCAAAGGCTCAACGTAGCTGTCGCTGTAGATGGCTTGCCACATCGCGAAGACCCTATCAATCATAACATGATGCAACCAGAAGACCGGATCAAAGGCGGAATAGTCGAGGAAGGTCATATGACCAGAATAACCGACTGTGGAGTGGACAGCATCGTGGAGGGACTCTAGGCTGTCAGCGTTCGTGATGTTCTGATAGGCGAACCATGCCTCGTTGCTAAATTCCGTGAAGTTGTCGTAGTTCGTGAAGAGGTAGTACAGTCGATCTTGGAAGGATACTCGGTTGTTGTCGAGCATTGCAGCAACCAGATCGTCGTGACTGACGGCGTCTGAAGACCAGTCCGTGGGAAACCGCATGGTGACGTTCCAGGTAGCGAACTGGAATCACGTTAGTGGCAGCGACTGACAGTGGGATGCAGACTTACCGGGTTATAGTAGAAGTCGGTGGCGTTGACAGGGTGGAAGTTGTACGCATACAACGGATTGGATATCGTCATGGTTCCGTTCGGTGCGGTTACTATGACGGTCTCATTCGTGAGACTGTCGGGAAAGGTAGACTGCCCGTCCGATGGCATTACGGCCCAGTCCCAGTAAGGAGCTCTCCAGCTGAGCGCAGCGGAGGCGTATCGTTGCCGTACTGCGCCATCCGGAAACTGATTGACAGCTTCGACAATATGTTGGAAGAGCACTTGCTGCGGTACAGTGAGTATACTCCCGTCTTGAATGTCCGTGACAGCGAGCAGCGCACCTCATAAAGAGCCAGATAAGGGCGATGCCATGGCAGGAAGATGTTAGACACATGAGTGCAATGACCTGAATCGGTGATGCCTGGCCAAGGCTCGACTCCATCCCACACCGTATATGGGCGGCCATGTATGCCTATATATGCCCGTCAGACTGCGACACTGTTGCGATTCAGCATACCTACCGGCTATCTGGTAGTAGGAGAGCTTGTCCGCTTGATCTGTCGCTTGAAATCGAGCCAGACCGAGCAGGTAGACATTCCACAGGTCGGCATTCTGCTGAAGCTGTCGTATTTCCAGGCGCGGCTGCTGACCGTACTCTTGGATGCCGGTAACTACTTCGAACGAGCCCTGACTCTGACGGCTTCGCAACAGTTGCTCCGACGGCGCAGGGAGATCCTCAATGCGGTGATGCAGTAACTGTCTCGACACGGTGAGCGAAGGAAAAGCTAGGGCTGCGAATGCAAGGTGGGAGAGACGTGGAAACGAGGATGGCATCATGGTGCTCAGAATGGATGGTTCGACTCTTGGCAGTGATTGCTGGCTTCGTTCGCATAGGCCTCGATCACGCGGCGTACAGAGAACCGGTGTCAATCGCCACGGAAGGGTGCTTCTGAAGCAAGTTATGTAAGGGACGGTGTCGTTCTTTCCTCGAGCGAAGCTTGTCGCCAGCAGTATGTCATGCCACGTGCGGCTTGCTCGGCACTATTTCCGTTCGATCGATGGTGCGGCAACATATGCTGCATGTCAAGGTGGATGGCAGGTCGGGATGGAGGGACATTACGTTGAAGGAACAGCGGTTAACAGAGAATGTGGTACCCTACCTGCGATGCGTTTGTGCGTGTGCTTGCTGGAGGCTGGCACGGGAATGGCCACTTCCCAATGCCTCGAAAGCGGGCTCTAACCTGCAAGATGCCGACGTCTGGGAGTGCAATGTCTCCCGCTGTGTGCTTCCACAGGGATTTTGCGCGACAATTTGCACTCTGTGGATGTAGGAAGCGGGCAGTCGCTCCTGCCTTGGGCGAAAGTGACGGATGGGATTAGGTGCTGCCACGCGCCATAACTGCAAACGCGGTCTCCATGGCTGCACCATGCGCATGAGCATGCGCGCGCACTGAAACCCGGTCTGCACAGCATGGTCGCCGCAAAGGGTTTGCAGAGTAGGTGTGGAGATGGCAGAACGCTGTGGTGGAACGGGAAGCGACGTAACTGTGGGACATCGCGACCAATCATCAAGTAGCTTGGCAGTTCGAGCGAGCAGTGCAGGGCCAATCATGTGATCGTACATTTGGTGTAGATTCCCCCATTAAACGTGTGTCTCCGTCCCTAACAATCATCGACGCCACAGCCAGATGCGCTATGATCTCCACTCGACTTTGACGTGCCTCCCAGGCTTTTGACGTGCCTCTCAGGCTTCTACGGGAGCTTTTCTGTATCGACTACCGGTCTGACTGCTCCAGGAAAGGCCACGCATGCGAATGTCTTATACCCGGATCCAGCATGATGAGCATCACAGTTCTTGAACCGAAGCTCAGAGGCGCCGCAAAGGATTCAATGTCAAGATTCGGTGTCGGCACGGAAGACGCCATCATCACTGATGATCGCAACACACTGCCAAACTGTGTCTCACCTTAAGTAGCATTGGGAGCACATTGTGGAAGCAAGGGCAACCCACCAATATCCTCGATCCTCGTGCTAGTTCGCCAATCGGCGACTTGGGGAAATCGTTTCGCACACGGACATACATTTCCCGTACGCCATCAAGCACGTTATAGTGCGCTGCATGGCAAATGCGGGTGTACTCGCTCACCATAGGACGGAGTGTCTCGCCTACAATTGGAGCCATTTGCTCGTGGCATGCAAATCGAGACCTTGCTATCCTGCTTAGGATTGACGGAGTAGGTGGTTTCAAGGCGCTCGTAAGCTACTTGCTACTGCCCAGCCATTCGCGAGCTGAAGAAGAGCACTCTGTTCCAGTTGACGCGAATCCCTGCGCGTACAGTTCGTGGGCGTAGCGGCATTGCCTGCATTTACTCGGTAGTTCTTGGCTTGTCGGTCGTTCAACAGCTTGCCGAGTTCCAATACTCCCATATGTAATTCTTCACTGTAGCAGGCACAGTACTCTATCCCATCTGGTCACCCAATGGTCCCTACCAGATTCAAAACCGCCGGAAGAAAACAGAAGCGCGGTCAGGTTGGATGTCCATAGGTCACGACAAGCAGTTGCTTTCTCGTATCTGACCCTAGGGCGTATACGACCAGATGCTCTCATCGCTCAAGCAGCGGCCTTGGTACTACGCGTCGTGACCGATGAGGTGATCGTACGGAAAGGAGAGGAAGCACTCTATTGCTGAGGGTTTACGCGCTCACAGACGGGTAGTTTCACTCGCTGCCGGAAAGCTCTGACCAATATACCCGGCACCTCGGAGGATGTAATGCTTACGCCGGTGACCGTTCAGCAGAGCAACATATATCCATGGATGCATTGATGTGGAAACGTACAAGGTGTGAAATAGCGGTGGGTATGGGTATCCTATGTTGTTTCCGAATTTGCTGAAAGCAGCACATGCACAAACCACCAGAATTACCACAGTTCTGGATTTGATTGAGCGATCATTGTGCACACATGGTTTGCATCTCCGTCGTAGCCGATTTTGTGCGCTGAGGTGCAGAACGTCTGACCAACGTCAGTCATATCTCCCCACCTGCGCCCTACATGCTCATTGATCCGTTGGTCGTGTTGACTTACGCTCTACGCAGCCTAATCGATGCAGGCACGCGAGCAGCATGCCGCCACCTGATAAGCATATGCGGCCCCATCTTCGAACAAGCATTCACAGGCGAGCAGTGCGGCAAGCGCCGCAGGTCCGTTGTCAGTGTGGAGCTGACCATCGCCTTATGGAGCAAGGTTTTCCCAAGGTCTGGATCTTGCCGCGATAAAGGCCGTGCGTTCAGCCAATGGCATCACCTTCGCTGATCAGCGATAGCTAAGAAGAACGAAAACCGTCTCGATAACTCGAGTGCAGAGCACCTGCATCCCGTTCTATCGCGTGTTGCGCGACACGCTTATAAGGTAGGGGTACAATCTCCGCTACGTCAATGCTTGCGAAGTCTTGATAATTGAAGAGTGTTGCGCTCACACCTCTTACCATCTTCTCGTACTGTTGTGTCCTTGTCAGTCTAAAACCCGAGCAGTCTACAAAGGCTGCGGGCAAACCTGACTCAAGATGCCGAGCTTCAAGGTCGATATGGGACGGTATATCCCTTCAGCGGAGACCATCAAGCAACGATGTACTTCTATCAAAGCATGGGAACTGCCGAAGCAGGAAAGTGCGCTTGCGCCGGACTATGTCTGGACGAACAAGGTACGTTGGAAGACCGTAGGGCTTTGCCGGGCTGTCTAAGACCTCGCTGACGGTTACCGCCTGTGCTTCGTAGGATATGGACCCAGTCCCAGTAGAGGACCAAACATGGACGCTTTGGACGTGGATGGCTTACTGGGCAACCGACACGATCAACTTGGGCACTTGGGAGACCGCTAGCTCCATCATCGCAGTTGGCTTGACATGGCGCGAAGCCATTCCAATCGTAAGACAATCTATTGGTTCAGCCTCGACTTGCAGATTGGACTACGCTGACGACGTCGATGCAGATGGTTGTCGGAACATTTTGCGTTGCTATCCCCATGGTACTAAACGGTGCTATCGGTAAGCAAAGCAATGCGTCGGCCCTCTCGCTGCGTACCCCCTCGCGGTTGTCTGATACACAGCTAACGCTTCTACCCATCGATTGTCAGGTGCAGCACTTCATGTACCCTTCAGCGTTATCGTGCGCTCAGGTTTTGGCTACTACTTCGCCTACTTCTGTATTGTACGTAAGATGCGCACGCTTTTGCATCGCGGCAGCTGACGGCACGTCCACCAGGTGTCTCGATCCATCCTCGCAATGTTCTGGCTTGGCATACAAGGCGCGAACGGTGCGCAAGCCATTACGGTCATGATCACTGCGATCTGGCCATCATACGCAAACGTGCCCGACCATATCGGCAAGGCGACGCAAGGTATCTCAACGAACGGGATGATCAGTTATTTCATCTTCTGGATCATTCAGTTACCGCTGCTGCTTATTCCGCCGACGAAGCTTCGATGGCTGTTCATCATCAAGTTAGTGGTACGTCTGTCAACGCCGCGGTTGGGATTGGTGTCGAGGACTGTACTCACGACTGTCACAGGCTGCTCCAATCACCGCCGTTGCTACCCTGGGATGGTGCGTCCACAAAGCTGGGGGAAGCGGTGAGCTGTTCAATCTCCAGCCAGCAGTCTCTGGATCGACATATGCCTACTTATGGCTGTCGTGCATGTCGGCAGTTACTGGCTCGTGGGCCACACTTGCCTGCAATATTCCGGACTTCTCCCGATATGCGAAGAGCTCAAACGGCCAGTACATCCAACTTCCATTCCTGCCTATCATTTTCACCATTTGCGGCGTGCTCGGCATCATCACAACCTCAGCTTCAATCGTCATCTGGGGCGAGCCTTACTGGAACCCGCTCGACATAGTGGCTAAGTGGCTTGACTACGGCCATAGCGGAAGAGCTGCTGCCTTCTTCGCTGCAACCGCGTGGTATATTGCGCAGGTCGGCACCAATATTACAGCGAATAGTGCGTAAAATCTTTACATCGATTCTGCCTGTACGTGTGCTAACTGCTGACAGGTATTTCCGCCGCAAACGATTTAACTGTCCTCTTTCCGAAGTATGTCAACATCTTCCGTGGCTGCATCATCGCGGCCATCGTCGGTGGTTGGGTCATCGTTCCATGGAAGATCCTCAGCTCCGCCGAGACGTTCTTGGCTTTCATGGGTGGCTACTCTGTCTTCTTAGCCCCGATGGCGGGCATCATCGCTTCCGACTACTGGCTTATCAAGCGTCGCCGGATCGACGTACCAGGCCTATATGACCCATATGGCCGATATCGTTACTGGTACGGCATTAACTGGCAAGGCCTTGTTGCTTTCCTTTGCGCCGTGGGACCAAATCTACCGGGCTTGGCGTACAGTATCAACGCAAAGGGCACCCATATCAGTCAGGGAGCTAAAAACCTGTATAGCTTCGATTGGCTATATGGCTTCGTGTCGAGCATTGTCATATACACCGTGTTGCACCTCATCTTCCCGGCTAAGGAGAGCTTGGTGCCGAAGACGATTGATGGTGTCGAGCTTCTGGCACAAAGGAAGGCTGAGACTGGTGGACAATCACCTGCGGAGAAGGAGATTGCTGAGGACTATGAAAAGCACGCCGGTCAATTCTCGGAGCAAGGCATCAGGAGGCGGAGTGAGGGTTACGGCTATGCGAATGTTGATCCGCTCCATCATGCCCGTGATGTTTACGATAAGTAAACAAGCTAGGAGGATGTGCCGTCGTTGCCGCTCCCGCTGCCTGAGATCGGGGGAAGGCTTGATGAACGACCTAATGACTACGATGTCAGATAGAGATGTATAGAATTGTTACAACTACCAATGTCCATATGCCAGCCGACCATGTACGTACCTTGACCTCGGCGCGAGCAATCTCGCGAATTGCGTACATGCGCTGAAGCTTGGCTAGCGGGGTGCAGGAGCTCGTCTCATGCCACTGCTTCACAGCTCCAAGCAGTTACGGGAAACAGGAAGTTATGTATGCGGAGTCGGCATGAAGGAGGAGTTGTTGCGGGGTTGATCCATCGCTGTGGTTGATATGGCCGTTCAGTTCAGGCGACCACCATGATGGTCGACCTTACCTACACCGACCAATAACGAGGTCAACATGGGCAACATCCCAAAGGAACAATCTGCAGCGGTAAAGCAAGGTGAAGGTCACGATGCTACTGCTCCGGTGCAGAAAATCGCTGTACCTGAACCCGGACCAGGGCAGATCATGGTCAAGATCAACTGGACCGGGTGAGTGGACCATGCCGCACCTCATGCTTATTACATGCTCTTATACTTTACCTCGCATGCTGACGCCATGCGAAGATTGTGTGCGTCAGACAAGTCTTTGATACATGATGAATGGGCCGCCTTCGGGCTCGCCATGACCGAGGCTGCAAAAGGCATTGCGGGACACGAGGGCGCAGGTGAAGTCGTTGCCATCCATCCTGACGTGGCCGATCGCTGGAAAATCGGCGATCGCGCCGGTGTGAAATGGGTGGTGAGTGTGTGCAGAGCGTGCGAGTTCTGCCAGAATGGCACGGATGAGTTGCATTGCCCGAAGCAGCTCAACTCGGGCTTCACCATGCCCGGGACGTTCCAAGAGTACGTCTTGACGGACGGTCGGTATGCCACTCACCTCCCGGATGGTGTCAAAGACGAGGAAGCCGGCCCTATCATGTGCGGCGGTGTGACGGCGTACACGGCTTGCAAGCGATCAGCCGTACGCCCAGGCCAGTGGTGCGTTATGATTGGTGGTGGCGGAGGTCTTGGTGAGTTCACTAGTATTGCGAGGTGATGTCCCGTACTTACGCTGTCATAGGTCACTTTGGCGTCCAGTACGGCAAGGCGATGGGCATGCGTGTCATTGCCGTAGACGGTGGCGAGGAGAAGGGCCGCCTTTGCAAGGACCTTGGAGCGGAGGAGTACATCGACTTCACAACCACCAAGGATGTTGCTGCTGAAGTCATGCGAATCACGACATTCGGCGCTCATGGTGCGATCGTTTTCGCTGCGAGCAAGGGAGGTTATGATATGGCGCCGAACTTGATGCGTCCTGGCGGCACAGTTGTTAGCGTTGGCTTACCCAAGGATCCATCCGTGCTTGCGGGTGCTCCACCATTGATGCTGGCCCTCAAGCGGCTAAATATTGTGGGCAGTGTGACGGGAACGCTGAAAGACGTGGAGGAGGCGCTGGACTTCACGGCGCGCGGTCTTGTCCATCCGATTCTGACTAAAGGCACGCTTAGCGATGTTGACAAGTTCTGCAAGCTGATGGGTGAAGGCAAGCTGCCCGGCAGAGCGGTTCTGAAAGTGGCTGCATGAGAGTGAGTGTGGATATATTGCAAGCTGTCAAAGCCATGCCATGTTCCCAAATCCCTCAATGCTTCACATCTTCGATGTCTCTTGACGCCGGAAGTAGTAGCCTACCCTAGGGAAATGTGCACGGACTCCATCCTTGCCAACCTCGACCACCACCTCATCCGGACCAGTCCCGACGAGCTTTCCGACCTGCGGATGTGCGCCAGGTTCTGCGTCTTCGCTCTCTATAGAGATCGGCGTTCCCGCGGCCAGGTTAAGCGGGTCATCTGCCATGACACCTTTAGGGCCCATTTTTGGCTGTCCCGCACCTCGGATGGCCTCGATGGTCTTGTCACTGCTCAAAGCCTCCGGGGTCGCAGTCGGCAAACTTCCAATAGCCTTCCATAGCTTTGGGAAAGCGTCTTTGCCGAAACCGGCTTCCTTGGCGGCACCTAAGCTCATCAAGCCCCACCGAATAGACCACATGTAGTGCACTTCGGATAGGCTGACAGTCTTGCCATGTGTAAAAGGTCCGTCCATGCTCGGCAGGAAATTGTCCTCGACCTGCTTGCAGCGTGCTCGAAACGATGCCAGCGCGCTCGGACGCAGCTCCGTGATATCCTTGCGCGTAATCTTCGGAAAGATGCTGGCTCGGTCCTTGACGAATGCCTTGTCCTGGAGCGCTGCAGAGGGTATCATACCTAGCGCGGCGTGAAAGGTGGCGTTACCCCAGTCTTGGAAGGCTTTGTCTGCCGACGACGTAGGCACCGCTCCCGCTTTGGCCAGATGTTGCATGATGGTGTCGATGATGAGCGAGCTGTCACAGTAGACATCTTTGCCGATTGCCAGAAGTGGTATGCGTCGATACGTGATGCCTAACGCTTCCAGATCTGGGCGTGGCAGAACTGCAGGTTGATCACATCGTCTCACTGATACGCCGGCTGCTGCAAGGAGGAGTCTGATCTTCTGCGCGTAAGGTGAACGTTCTTATTGGCGATCAGCGGGTTAAATCTGGTAAGAGTTGGGGATGTAGCGAACCGTATTCGAACAATATGGGATGCTCGGACATGTTGAGTCGATCACGTCTCGTCGCCCAATGGGCTGATACGTGCTACGTTCGTTGCAACAGTGTGAAAACCGCCTAGGTAACGTTTAAAGACACTTGCAAAAGGGTTCGCGACGATACCACTGTCTCTTACCTAGCGACTCTAACACTAATAAGGTATGATGTAACGTAGCGAGCTTACAAACTTCAGCTTTCTCGGTCATAGCGGGGTTTTGCCTCGCTATTGAATGTGCTTTAAGTGATACACTTCGAGAGCCTTGGTGGTGGCATTGGCTTTCGAGACGTGTAGTCACAAGGAATATATGCGGCGGACGCTTCTCTCGCAGGGAGCATGGACTGCGTTCCACGATATGACCTACGTGTGAGCTATAGGGAAGTGGCGCCTTAAGTCTCGGCCATCTCCTGTTGTTGCCAGATCTAAGCTCTTGAGAAACGGGCTGGATGCTTCTTAGCAATGCGATAGCCTTTGAACGGCCTGTTCTCACTAATGGCGTAGTGCTGCCAGCGAGTGTGACGTGGAAGGGATCGAGAATCTTATCGCAGGGTGTGCCGTGGTCACTTGGCACGTGATCAGCTTAGCTCGATTGTAGCTCGTGTTCGAGTCATGAGGACAGTAGCCTGACTCGCGCCCACTTGAACTTCTACGCCTCCAGTTCCTGCCGTGTCTTCATTCTTAGCCAATCACCAGCGTCAAGATGTCTGGTCGCAAGGACTTTTTGTCGCAGCCGGCGCCGGAGAATTATGTCGCAGGTCTCGGGCGTGGTGCGACGGGCTTTACCACCCGATCAGATCTGGGTCCGGCGCGGGAAGGACCAAGTGAGGAACAGATCAAGGAGGCGCTTGCGAAGCGTGCTGCAGCATTAGGCACTGCGGCGCCAACAGCATATGGCGTTGGTAAGAAGAGAGGGGATGACGAAGCGGACGAGGACCAGTTTCAGGATGCCGAGAACGAAGAGGGGCTGTTTGCCATGGGCAATTACGACCGCGAAGACGACGAGGCAGACCGCATCTATCAGGCCGTGGACGAGCGCATGGACAAGCGAAGGAAAGCGCGAAGGTACGTTCTACTCTCGCTCTACTCATCTTGTTCCCCCCTCGTGAGAGTCATGGTTCATGTCCATCGCAGTATCGTGTGGAACAGTATGCCGACTTGAATTTCATCAACAGGGAAGCACGTGAGCGTGCGCAACGCGAAGACTACGAAGCCAAGAATCCAAAGATCCAACAACAGTTTGCCGACCTAAAGCGAGCGCTTGGCACAGTATCGGACGAAGACTGGGCGAGCATTCCAGAAGTCGGAGACTTGACAGGCAAGAACCGACGCAACAAGCAGAACGAGCGGCAGCGCTTCTACGCCGTGCCTGACAGCGTGCTAGCTGGTGCTAGAGACAGCACGCAACTCGGCACCGAAGTGCAGGAAGACGGCATGATGACCGACGCACCAGACGGCACGGCGAATGATCAAACCGACGGCACGGTGACTAACTTCGCCGATATTGGCGCGGCGCGCAGCAAGGTCATGCAGGTCCGCCTGGACGCTGCAGCACAAGCCCAAAGCAACGGTACGGATTCCGTGGCTGGCACGAGCACGAGCATCGATCCGAAAGGCTACCTTACCAGTCTGACCAAGACTGAGTTGAAGGCGGGCGAGGTTCAGCTTGGTGATATCAAGCGTGCTAGGGTGCTGTTGGAGTCGGTCATCAAGCGCAATCCACGGCACGGCCCAGGCTGGATCGCTGCGGCGCGATTGGAGGAGTATGCCGGCAAGGTGCAGGCAGCTCAGAATGTCATTCGAAGAGGTACCGAGATGTGTCCGAAAAGCGAAGACGTCTGGTTGGAAGCGATCCGTCTCTCGCAAACGCACGGCAACAATCACAACGCCAAGATTCTCGCTGCCAAAGCTATCGAAAACAATGACAGGTCGGTCAAGTTGTGGATTGAGGCTATGCATTTGGAGCAGCAGTCGGTAGCGAAGAAGCGTGTACTGCGTAAAGCTCTCGACCATAACCCTAACTCTGTGGCCATATGGAAAGAAGCTGTTAATCTCGAAGAAGATCCGAACGACGCCAAGCTACTACTTGCGAAGGCTACGGAGATCATCCCGCTGTCTGTTGAGCTCTGGCTCGCACTTGCCAGACTGGAGACCCCAGAGCAAGCGCAGGTCGTGCTGAACAAAGCTCGCAAAGCTGTGCCTGCGAGTTTCGAGATTTGGATTGCTGCAGCTCGCCTACAGGAGCAGACGGGCCAGACTCAGATGGTATTTAGAGTGATGGAGCGCGGTATTAAAGCCTTGGCACGAGAGTCAGCTATGTTGAAACGGGAAGAGTGGATTACGCAAGCTGAGATCTGCGAGCAAGAGGGCGCGCCGCTGACGTGTCAGGCCATCATTAAGGAGACTCTAGGTTGGAGTCTGGACGAAGACGATGACCGCAAGCAGATATGGCTCGACGACGCAAAGGCCAGCATTAACCGTGGTCGATACGAGACAGCAAGAGCGATTTACGCGTACGCTATCCGCGTGTTCTACAACCGCAAGAGCGTGTGGCTTGCTGCAGCGGACCTTGAGAGACAGCACGGCACGAAGCAAGCTTTGTGGGAAGTTCTCGAGAAGGCTGTCGAGTCTTGCCCGACAAGCGAGGTGCTGTGGATGCAGCTGGCACGCGAGAAATGGCAGGCAGGCGATATCGACGAAGCACGGCGGGTGCTGGGAACTGCATTCCAAGCCAACCCCGGCAACGAAGACATTTGGCTTGCAGCAGTTAAACTCGAGGCCGACAATGGCGAGACGGAGAAAGCAAGGGAGCTGCTCAAGGAGGCTCGGGAGCAAGCAGGAACTGATCGTGTATGGGTCAAGAGTGTAGCTTTCGAGCGCCAGCTCAAGAAAGACTCGGATGATGCGCTAGCGCTTGTCAACGAAGGCTTGCAGATCTACCCTAAAGCGGCCAAGCTGTGGATGATGAAGGGCCAGATCTACGAGGCGAGGAATATGCTCCCGCAAGCGCGCGAAGCATACAACACCGGTACCCGAGCTTGTTCACAAAGCGTGCCGCTCTGGCTTCTCCTTAGTAGGCTCGAAGAGCGTATGGGTGTGCTGGTCAAGGCTCGCTCAACGCTGGAGAGGGCGAGGTTGGCAGTGAAGAAGAACCCGGAACTTTGGACCGAGAGTGTGCGCCTCGAGTACCGCGCGAAAAACATGGCCGCTGCGAATCAGAAGATGGCGCAAGCGTTGCAAGAGTGTCCAACTTCTGGCCTTGTCTGGAGCGAGAGGATTTGGCATCTCGAGCAGCGCACGCAACGAAAGCCTCGCATCCTCGAAGCTATCCAGAAGGCGGAGAATGATCCTATCCTCTTCGTCACGGCAGCTCGCATCTTCTGGGGTGAGAGAAAGCTGGACAAGGCGGACTCTTGGTTTCAGAAAGCGGCTATTCTGGACCCGGACTACGGTGATACTTGGGCATGGTGGTATAAGTTCCTTGTACAGCATGGCACGGACGAGAGGAGAGAAGAGGTGGTGGCGCGGTGCGTGCAGACGGAGCCCAAGCACGGAGAAATGTGGGCGGCAGTTAGAAAGCATCCGGACAATGCGGGAAAGAGTGTTGAGGAGGTGCTGAAGATCGTTGCTGCGAGGTTGGAGTGAGGTGCTATGATCTCTCTGCTATCAAGCACTTGCAGCTACTGCGGCCACGGAACCCAGCACATTCGTCGCCGTCTGGCTCAGCTCCTGCTGCTTCGCTTTCAACGCCGCAAAGTTCCGCTCCATAGCCGCCTTCGTAAACTCCGCGCCAGTCACCATTGGGTACTTCTTCAAGGGTCCCTGGATATTGCAGTCGATGCACGGTTGATTGAAGAACGCAATGCTGTAACGCGGCCCGGAGTAATCGCCCTGGTCTGTGGGCGCTTTGACACGATGGAATGTTGACTTGAACCTGTCATCACTCCAAGACATGAGGAGATCGCCTATGTTGCAGACGATGTCACCTTCCTGGAACTCAACCTTGCTCCAACTATCACCGTAGCCGAATGAAGTCACAACCTCACGTCCGGGACAAATCTCAAGTCCTGATTCACCAGGTCGTTGGAACAGGAGTGTAAGGAGGTCCCAATCAGCGTGTGCTCCTGCTCTGTAGTACGTCTCAGGCAGCGGACCTGCAGACTCGTCAATCCCGAAATAATGCAGCAATCGAAGCACGGACTGGCAATCCGGTCGTGTCACGTCATGCGCCTTGATGAAGTAGTCGTCAGGAAAGCCAAGACCGCGGGCAAAACACAACATCAACTTCTCGCTAACAGCCTGCGCTTTCTGCATGAACTGCTGGGCGCTGGCCTTGAAGCCGGGCAAAGCATCCTCGGCGATCCACTTGTCGGCCATGTTATCGCCGAACTGGAGCTGGTAGCTTTCCTTTTGATCCGCGAAGCCAGTGCTCGGCCGTACCTGTGAACGCTTCTCCCAGCCGACATTCTTGTGCGTGAAGGGTACCGTAACCTTGGTGGAGTCGGGCAGATCGAAGAAACTCTCTGAGGTGGCGAAGATGGCATTGATGTCGGACACACTGATTTCAGTATCGGTCAGTGAGAAGAAGCCGTCTGTTTCGGCTGCGCGCACGAGCTGAGATGTGATCTCGTCCGTACGGGCTTCGAAGTCTTTCAACGAAATGCGCGGAATCGCGCGATTGGTGTACTTCGTCGGGCCCATCGCTAGGTTTCCATTTAATCACCTACTACGGGCTCATTGATCGTTTGGAGCATGTTATATGTGCGTGTGTCCTTGCGGTCTCTTCGGTGTCGGCCGATATGCGATTACTGATTGATTGGCCAGCGCCTCGCCCGGCGTTGGCCGAAAGACATGCCTGGCCAGCATGAGGACGATGCTACAATGCCGCTGATGTTAACATCGATCATTTCCTCACTTTTTCCGATAACTGACACCACTATAGTCCGTGTCCAAGCCTTCCTGCGATGCGCAGAGGCGTGTCCCAGGTATGATTCTGAGCATGTGTATCTGAAGTTTGCTGAGACGACAACATTCAAGATCCGGCTGCTCAGCAGCGCATTGGATCGCCAAATACAGGACTTAGCACCATACAGCTTCCATCCGGTCAAGGCTTGCATGCTTACATGAGTGTGCCGTCACTCGACACTGGGTTCGATGCTCGCGGCGGCATCGTCTTCCACTACTTGACAGATGTGTAGCCGTGCATGCATAAGCACTGCTGTACCAAATTTCCTATCTAAGTCTTCGATACGGCCAATTGCGTACGCGCGATGCGTCTGATGTTTTCTCGATCCCCATGCTTTCAACCTATCCAAATGTGGGTTTCACGATCCCAGCAGCTCAATGATTGTGAACTGAAGGAGTCAGCTGTCAAACTGTTCCTTAGGAAGCACCGTCGGTAATGCTACGAACGGCCGAGCCGCTTAAAGCAACGTGATGGCCGTACGGACTGGATGTGAGCAAAGCCGATGGTCAAGTTTCATTATCAGCAACTCCAATGGCACCTCACATATCCCCAGCTCGTCCCACGTAGCAGAGAAGCTTACTGCATAACCACTCTTTTGGGAAGGGAAACACAGAAGCCAGCCGGTAATAGTGTCGGCTGCTAACCTCAAGTGTGCCGGTGAACGCTTTGTATAGACGTTGAAAAACCATGAGAGAAAAAGGACCACGGTAATGCTCATGGTTGCAGATCTTCGAGCAGACCGATTGGGAGCGTATCACAGTCCGAGACACCCACATGATTGAATCAAGCTAAGCGCGCGTTACAACCAAGGGTAACCATTGTGATGCAACGCGGCTACTGCACATAGAGTAAGCTTACAACCTGGAAATTTGGCGACTTCGAGCGTAAGTAGTGGATTACTGCAGCACATCTAGTGTTCCAAAACCATACAGCATCGAGCGTCAAGTGGAAGTTCGGAGAGCCGGACCATAGACATCATCCCAACAATACAGCAATCGGAAGCCTGACTCTTGCACGGCCGAATCGTTCTACAGCGACTGTGATACTGGACTAGCAGGACAAGGACCATGGCTACTGCGCCGTCATCAACGTTCGGAGCCGTCATGAACCGCGAGGCAGCTGTAGGCCAAGTTCTGCTGAAACGACGGACTGGAAGCTCTCCACAAGACGGAAACACTATGTCGAGCGACATGGTCCGCTTGTCCTGCCCTGGTGCTTGGCTCTCGGCGTAAAATATTATGCGCAGGTGAGTGGGTGATGGTACCGGCGACGCTGCAGGTGACCGTCTGGAGCGCACGCTGAACTTCAGTTAGCTGCATCGATCCTTACGCTGGGCTACGCCGGATGCACAAAGAAAGTACAGCGATCAGGTCGGTCTGGAGCAGTGGGATGCTGTAGCAGAAATGTTGTTCCCGGCTGGCTTCGACCTCATGGCTGCAGTTCAGCCAGGAATGACCGGTGCGCGCTACTTTGAGGAAGTCATTCTGGCAGATGAACGAGTGGTTTTGCTCAGCAACGCCACGTCGCATCTAAAGGCCATAGACGCTGGCAGCGTGACGGGCGAGAGGGTGGCGTTTATCGTGGAGAGTGCGGCGATTGTAGTATAGGGTGCTGGCGGAAGGTGTGGGAGGAGACACAGTGACGAGACGAGGGTGCACCATGGATCTCGGTGCGGATCATCCTGGTATGATAGGCTCAGGCACTAGTAGCACCGTAATCATTGATGCAGAAGATTGGGAAGATCTCGTTTTCAGCGGAAGCTGCCGGTAGATGGCATCACATTCACTGTTGTATATTAGCGCCATGCTTGGTACCCAAGAAAAAAGCGTTAGCGTTCGGTGTTCCAAAGAGGCACGCTTCATCAAATTGTACTTCTCACACGTGTTGACTATGCTCTCGGGCACCGCTGTTGAGGAGAGGATAGCGCTTTCCTTGCGCCGCCCTACCCTGGGGCGATGGATCGTCCACATATCCTTGCCAGTCTTCTTCCTACCGAGCCACTCAATGTCTCTGGTCGAGTTACTGCGCGTTGGAATAACAAGGTGGACTTCTGGCCTGGCATGCACCATCCCGAAAGCCTTGTGCTGGACTTCGCAGAAGTAGAGGATGGAATCGCCAGCGTGAAGCTGGTTGACGAATGCGTATTACGCTGACTTGGTACCAACGCCGGCGCTAAATCCACATACAAGGCGATACGCACGACGGCGTCCCTCAAGCCGCTCAAAACGCGTGTATCTCCTTCTTCACCAGCCCATACTCTCCACCCAACAAGCCCTTCTTCCCGGCAATAGCCTCCTGCATCGCCGGCGGACCACAGATGAACACTTTCGTCCCCTTCTCATCACCCCAAACGCCCTCCTTCTTTGCTTTCGCAATCACCTCCTTCAAAACAGCACTGTCCACATATCCCTTCTTATACTTCGCCTCATCGCCCAGACTCGGCGCATCGGGCTTGCCTTCCGGCCCAGACACACAGTACGTCACTTGCAATCGCTCCGGATACTGCTTCTCCAGCGCGTCAAGCTCTTTCTTGAGCACGATATCGCGTGTGCTGTTCACGCCCCAGACGAGCTGTACCCGCGTCTTGTCGTTTGCATTGCTGAGGATGCCTTTTGTGAGGCTGTAGATCGGTGTGATGCCTGCGCCGCCAGCGATAAGGACAATGTCGCGTGGTGACATTGGGACTGCCCAGTTGTATGCAGGAATCGGTCCGCGGACGGTAAGCTTGCTGCCTGGAGATAAGGAGTGAAGGTAGGATGACGCTCTACCGTTGGGATACTGCTTAACGAGCAATTGCAAGACGCCTCGCTCGTCGGGGTCGGAGATTGGGGTATACGGCCTGAAGACTGGGAGCCATCCTGAAGTCGGTTGGTGGGCGGTAAGTATAGCAGCTACAGTCCTGATCAGCTTGTGAAGTAACTGCAAACTGCGCACTTAAAACACACCTCCGAATGGTACGCCGCTGATCTCGCTATCGCCGCCGGGAAGGGAGAAGGTTATTCGTTTGGTGTCGTGGTTTACTTGCTCAACCGTGGTGACAGTGATTTCCTTGGGAAACAGCATTGATGTTGGCATCGACAATGCCTTCTTTGGCGCATTCTGGGCTGAGTCAAGTAGCATTGGGCGCCTCGAGGCGTAGTATGTTGCTCCCGCAGCTGCCAGTCCGGTAGCACCGGTGAAGTAAGGGAGAGCACGCGATGACCTCGAAAAAAGAGACGCCATTGCGGTGCAGCAGAGAAAGGCGAAAGGTTGAGGTACGAAAACACAGCGATAACCTTGTCGGTAAACGTCTTGAAGCAGAGGATCTGAACGAAGCGAATGGTAAGGAGCTGGACAGTTAGTGTACCTTGTTATATACTCCACCCCCGGACTCAGCTATGTCGACGGAGTCGGAGTCTCAAGTCAGCGACTGCTCCTCGCGGTACCGACGAACGACCTGGCTGCCTGCCTGTTGCTTCAACAAGGCGTCGGCGAACGTACGTCCATTATCCGAGAAGCTGCGGAAGACGGTGGTGTTGGACACATCCAACCTATCAACTGGCGCCGGAGACCGGATGGAATCCAACCCGTACGTGCGAGAGTGACTAAGCCGTCGTCTCATCTTATGGCGTGGAGTCGGAAGGATGGTATAGACTCTCCTGGCGACTGCTTCTCGCTTATAAGACAGACTCGAACTCCGAGAAGCATTGTCAGTTACGTGCCCTTCCGGCGGAGGTCTTCTGCTCGTCTGTCGCCACGGAAAGACGTACCACGTTGAGAGCCTTGGAACTTGTCAAAGACAGTGTTGCTAATTTGGGACTCGGTGGGCCTGCACGACCGTTCCGATTCGCTGAGGGCGAGTGTCTTCCATCCACTCCACTGATTGTATTGGAAGTTTCACACGCGTCTTTGGAAGCGTAGCATCCACCGTTATGCCGCAGACATCGGTGTCAATACTCGTCATCTCGACAGCGTGAGTATTCTCTCATTCTGTTCGTCTCGTCTTTCGCCTTCTTAGTAGTCTGTATTGATTTCGCCCAAGCTCACCACAACCTTTGTTCATGTTGTTCAACCACTAATCTTAGTATTGCCAACACGTATCGGTCCTGCATCGAATACAGCGCAAAAGTTGGTCTGCAACTCGTACTCAAATGGCTTCCATACGGCCCGCACGGCGAACATTCGCCATACTCGCCATTCTTTTAGCGTTCTGTTCAGCCCAGAACCTCACCTCGAGCAAGCGCGGCCTGTGCTACGTCGCAAGCTCACACTCCAGCTCAGACGACTCGATATGGACGTCATCAGGCTCAGACCTGACATGGTACTACAATTACCAAGCCAGCCCCACGAGTTCCATCTCCGGCAGCAGTCTCCAATTCGTCCCAATGCAGTGGGGAGCTCCAACAAGTGACACCGACATGACCTTCTTCAATACCGTCCAAGGTCTAATCAATGGAGGACAAAAGATCCCATACGTGCTTGGCTTCAATGAGCCAGATGGCTGTGTTAGCGGTGGTTCATGCATTAGCGCTCAACTCGCGGCGCAGACGTGGATACGCGAGGTCGAGCCGCTGAAGAAGCAATACGGCGTCAGGCTGGGCGCGCCAGCAGTCACAGGCTCCCCGATGGGCTTCGTATGGTTGCAAAGCTTCTTCACTGCATGCGCTGGAAACTGCACGCCCGACTTCATCCCTGTTCATTTTTACGGGTCGTTTGAAGGCCTTGCAAGCCATATCGGTCAGGTTAATGCGACGTATCCGAATATGACCATGTGGGTACGTAGCTGCACAGCGTTATCTTGCCTGGTGTCAGATTCTCGCTAACACCGATAATTTCAGGTCACGGAGTATGCGTACGCAAACGTGACGCTACAGGAGAGCCAGAGCTTCTATAATCAGTCCGAAGCCTTTCTGGACCGTTTGAGGTGCGTCTGTTCGTCAAGATCGTCTCATGCGTGTTCACTGATGAGCAAGCTAGCTATGTTACGCACTACTCCTACTTCGGCGCCTTCCGGTCCGATGTGTCGAATGTCGGGCCAGATGCAGCAATGCTAACGCAGAAAGGTCAGCTAACGGACATTGGTGCGTGGTATCTTGGTCAGAGAGCTACCGGAAACGTACCGAAGGGCGGCAGTGCTCGCTCCGTTCGCTTTGCGGGTTGGGCCGTGGTCGTGGCCGCGGTGTGTCTATGGGCTGCCAATTAAGCACATATCGTGACAGAACGGCGTTCTCTTACCGGAGCATGGATGGTGAATGCGGGGATGCTACAAACTCACTCTGGATTGCGCAACGTCAAAAGCTGCCTTGACCTTGTCATATGCGCGCCTCCGCCTGCAAGATGCCTAGGTCGCAGCACTCCAGACACGTTTGTCTCTGAGACTTGGAGAGGCCAGCGAAGACCTACAAGCGACGTGGCACGACCTGCACAACCTCTTAGCGAGGCAGGCATGCGTGATCGGATGATCGGTGAGTGCCCATGCGGAAATTATTATCGCCTCGGATAGTAGACTGAGGAGCTCAGGCCACGCCATCCTTTACCTTCAAAAAGTACATGGCCGCCTGTTTCCCGTTAGGATCCGAATATGGTGAATACCTCGGCCGGCGTCGGAGAGGATTACGGAGTTTGCATCGCTTAATGCATGCAGGGAGAGTCGCACCCTGCCAAACTTATAAAGAACAGAGACCGGAAAGGCAGCGTTCCCGCCGCACTGCTCGGTCTGCTCCGTGACCGCGCGGTGACACTCATAGGTTGCGGGGGCCTCACGACTGAGTGCCTTCGCGATCCTGAATTTTCAAATACATGATTCCTCGACACAAGTCGGATACGGTGGTAGTCCGAAGACACGAGACACTCAACCAGCGTCTCCCACATTGAAGCAACGGTCTCGGAGACATGACATCGGTGGGTGGAAGCCAAAGTTAGGCTGAATATCTCATGGAGTGCGAGCTAGGGATACTTATATACTTCCTAAACATGCCCACACGAACGGTGCTCAAACTTGGGCACGTGACTTCAGTGCTGGTGCGTCTGTGGCGCCATCGATAGCATGGCGCCACCTCAGCTGATGCCGGGATAGCATGCGGTTCAGCCTTCTTTCGGAAGTGGGGGCCATTTATCATGCTTGCGAAAGGTAAATGGCGCCGTAAGAAGCACAGCATCGCAGCGGGTACAGCTCGTTCGCTCTCTACCCGGCCGACGTGCGGGTTTGTCCCACTGCAGCGAGCCATTGGGCGTCGGCATCGGCGGAATACGCAGATGAATAGTTCTGATTGGCCACATGGCGGATATTGCGGGGACAGTAGCTGACTTTATCAACATTGCCACAGGCTTATACAAGAATCTGCAAAGTCGTAGGAATGCGCATGCGACATTGCAGAATTACTTGCGAAATTTTACGCAGTATCAGCTTCATATAGGCCCGCCAACAGATGATCTCATAAGTAATCGCGCTCATCGTCACGGTCAGCTCGTTGACCAAGCAATCTGGGTGTTACATCTCGACGAGAGTCTACGCCAATGGTTGTTTGATTCCGGTTTCGGACCCTCTAAACGAAAGGCTGGAGTGTATATCATACGTCGACGCCAAGCCTCCTCTCGTGCCCAGTACTCGGCTGAGTTTCGACCAGAGCATTCTGGACCTCCGAAATTCCCAAGGTTTGGAGTGACAGAGAAGGCGACCACATTCGACTCGCTCTTTCAGAAAGTCAAAGATGCCTTCGAACGGCTTGAGACTATGATGTCCGATGACTTCTACCGTAGCTCTAGCCAGGTAAGTGCCCTTGTGAGCCCCGTGGGTTGCAGGCGAGCCTAGTGTGTTGACGCTGTTGGCGTAGCCAGTCGATCCAGCACCGGGCCTTCGCCCAAGACAAGGACAACGACACAGAGGTGGTCCTAGGCCTCAAGCTCGAAGCACTCCTCGTCGTGGTGGCCCAAACTTGAGGGGTGGCTACAACTCGGACGAAGAGGTATCTGTTCATCCTGACATGGCACATTCATATGCTCCCGTGCCTGCCAATGGATATACCGGACGACAACGGCTGATGCAAGAACAAGGCAAGTCCCCTTCATAAGGAGCGATTGTCCCGCGTGAGCTCACGTAAACCAGCGCTTCAGAACCTGTCATCAAGGCTTGAACATGGAATCGCCGACATGATGCTCAGTACTGGCAACGTGGAAGCATATCGCAGACGTCGTCACGTCAGGGCTGAAGCCGAAAGCTTAAAGCGTCAGGTGTTGGAGCAGGAGAGCCTTGCAGAAGAATTCCGGTCAGCTGAACACTTAGACAAAGAAAAGAAAGAGGACCGACGTAAGCTAAACACTCTAATCCAACAACGGGAACGTCGAGTATCCGGGCCATTGCATGACGATCATATTGATGTCGAAAGCCAATCAAGCGAAGATTCAGACGAGCTGGATAATGAGAGACAAAGACTTGCAGCTGAGCGACGACGAATGGAAGCTGAGCGACGACGGCTTGCGGCTGAAAGGTTAGCTCTGGAAAATGAACGAAGAAGACTTCAGCAAGCGCAGCGTCCTCCTCTCAACCCACATGAGACTTTTGGTATGCATGAGGATCCGCTGCCCCACGGCCGGCCAATACCAGGAATCTATAACGCCCCAATACCGCCGCCAATGGAGCATTCCAGGTTGTTCGAGCCACGAATTGATATCCTACCTCCACCGCCACCGCCACCACCTGTGGCGAACAAGCGTCGGCACGCGACGGCCCCCCCAAATGATACCCGAACAAGTATACTCGAGCGGTCAGCAACACAATCTGGTCCTAAGCGTACACAATCGACGAACACACCCCACTACTACGTACGTGTGGCCGACGAGGTCACTCAAACCGTGCATCCCCTGGTTGTACCGCTTAGGCACTCCGATCCCACGAGCACAACAAGAAGACGTGAGAGTGGCTATGTTCGGCGCCGAACGAGTCGGAGAGTGAGATCCTGGCGCTTGGTCTGAGAAGTAACGACACTTTGAGCCTTTGCACCTTTTAGTCAATTGTGAATGCTCAAGCCATGGAAGTATCGCCAACGTGCCGATGGTGTGTTGTGTGCCTACGCTGCGCCAGTTGCACCGTTCACGTGCCACACTCCCTTTGCACAGTGCTCAAGGTTCGACACTCCAGACTTCCCGTCGAGCAGGACCAAAGCTACACGACTGTCCTTGCCACAACGTTGTCCGCAGAGCACCCCCAAACTGCATGCGATGCCATTACAACACCCAGCCACACCATCACTAGCAGCATAACATCGGACCCTCCAGTCATTGAAGCAGTCTCTGCAACTGACGCTGGGCTTTGCGAGCTTATCATTGGTGAGACAGTTCCGCCGCCGCCTCCTCATACTCGGAGATCTGTTAACCCAAGTTCAGGCGATTCGCTCGCACTCTTAAGTAGCCCAACGAGCTCCGGGATCACCGAATGTACCCGCAACCGCATCGAAGTCAAAGTCACCATTGACGGCAAGGTAACAGCTACAATCGACGTGATAAACCACCAAGCGCACGTTCTCGAGACCTAGAACATTGCAGGAAAGAAGTCTTTAGTACCTCTAGCTGCAAGTGGTCTTGCTGCATCGGTCTCGATGGCTCTACACGAGCTTCTGACCATGACGGCGGTCACTCTTGGAAAGCAACGTGTATATGGCCGTTGCATCCAAGGCATTACTGATGAGAACGGGAAACCTCTCCAACACGGATCAGCTATGAACATCTCGGAGCTTCTCAGTCAGTCCACGGGCTGAACAAGCACGATTGACCTCTGTCAGACTGTCGTGGGGTCGCGCAGTCACCCGCGTCGGCTGCAGAGACTACACGGCGAAGCGAGAGCGGATGATGCACTGAAGCACGGCTCCGGCAGTGTCGCAAAGTCAATCCGATCAGAATGTAGCAAGTGACCTCATGCGCTATGCATATTGCACTGTATGTGGCTACAAGAAGCACCACAACGCCATGCTAAACAAGAGCCAGCCAACGCTCATGTGACTCACGAGTGCACCAGCACCCTTCGCTGTCGTCGTTCCATTTGCGGACCCGTTGACGGCCGCCGTACTCGAGAATGGCAGGCCTTGATAGCCAAAGGTCAGGTTCTCCGCTATGCTCCTGTTGTAACACTGCCCATTCGCTATATCCAAGCCCATCAGATCGTTCGGGTTAAGGAAGAACATGTACTGGGACTGATTGAGCCCTTTGAAACCTACAGATTCCGGGAATAGGAGGGTTAGCTGTGGTTCAGATGCTGCAACGGGGCTATATAAATCGCACCTTCCGTCGTATATGGGAACTTATCGCCGCTGTCCGTAGCACTCGTATTGCGCAAGAAGATACACTGCACCTGGCCAGGAAAATCCGTGACCATCTGCGGATAATCCTTCATAACATCGCTATTCGACGTATCCGCCACAAGAATAAATTTCCGTTGCGGGAACGTCTCGAAAATCTTGTTCAGGAGAAACTTGCGGATACTCAGCGTAGCGCTGACGTCGCTGAAATTGAGTGGACGGGTGTCGAAGCTTCCGCCCGGGTAGTTGGAGTAGATGAACTGCATGTAGTTCCTCGTCACTTGTTCCGGCGTGGTGGTCAGATAGTGGAAGTGCATGTTTGGGAGGCTTCGGGACCAGTTAGCGTAGATGTCTGGCATGTTCTCCCATGGCGTGAATGGGCGTGCGAAGGAGTTCAGAAGGCCCTGTTCTGGTTCGTAGATTTTGGTGATGCGGAGGATATCGTCGATGTCAGATATTACGGTGAGGCCTTGGGATGGTACAAGGAAGGCTGTGCTGTTGCCGAGAGTGGTGTTGGTAATATAAGTGTTGAGGCGTTGAATTTGTTGGGTGCTGTTACCAGCCATCAGACCGTTCTGGGCGATAGGCACGAAGACATCGAAGTCCCCTTCTGGTGTGGTAGGGTATGGAAGGGTGATGTCTTGTGTGCCGCCAGTTGCTGTGGTCGCGCCACCACCGCCTGCCTCTCCGCTACTCCCTTGGCTTGAAGCCGGCTCGAGGTGAATGGTTGACACGTTGACATCGCCTTGCTGGACGACGAAGATCTCGGATGTAAGATTGCGGGTTTGCGCTTGCTGGTCTGGCGGCAGATCCTGTACGCTTGTTCCGTAGATGAAGAGTTTGTTCGCTAGGCTGTCGAGAGTGCTGTTGGACGTGTTGGGCTGCTTGTATATATTACCATGAAACCGAACATTCCATCCCTGCGCTGTCCAGTTCGCATATGGATCGATATTCAAAGCCTGGGTCGGTAGAGCCGCCAGCTGCGAATCGTCGACGCCAAGCGAGCTCTTAACGCTGTCACCAGTTGGGAGCCCCTGAAACCATGCGGGTATGCCAGAAGCGACAAAAGATGGTATGCTCGAGCCGAGCCCACTCAAAACAGAGCCAATGTCTCCCTCTACGCTGCTTAGGAGGTCGCGCCTATGCTTCCGTGTCCGGCTGGGCGATAACTCGACCGGAGAAGGTGTGATTAGTGGATGTTCCGGGCCAGTCACGTCAATGGCAACTCTTAAGTTTGGAGTGGATGTTGCCGCGACCAGCGTTAGCAGCGCAGCTGGTAAGAGAAGACTGCTAACACCCAACGAGAGCATGGTGGCAGAGCAGCAAAGGGAAGGAGGTGGCACAGGCGAAGAGATGCAATGCTACTAGAGCTGTAGTGACAGTGAGCTTACTCTTGTTACCCGTCAAAGAAGCACCGTTAAGGAAACAACAGAGACGTGACAGCTCGACCAATCGAGACTGTCGCATGACAACGCACGCGACCACTTGCCTGCTCAAAACTTGGCTTTAGCTTCACGGACGCACATTGGGCACTGACGTGCGCCCAGCCTGTCAGTGCGCCCTTCACCATCTCATCTTAACTCATCGTCCTACTGTTGCGTTCAACAAGCGGCTCCGAAATATCACAAGATGTAACAACAGCATGGATGAATGTTGTCGATAGACGACAGAGTAGCAGCAATGGCGAAGTGAATTGCGTGTTGTTGGTGCAACGCGGCGAGCTTCCCCTTTGGGCAGATGCGTCGCGATAGGGCGTACGGCAGGGCGTACGGCAAGGCGACCATGTATCAGTGCCATGGATTATATGGTAGCAACGGACACATACACAATCGCGTAGACCGGTAACGTTCTAATATCTTCGTCCGTTGATAACCCCTCCATGGCTCTTCCACCGCCCATCCTCTACAGTCCCAGCATTCACTCCAACCTACTCGAGCAGCTTGCGCGGATCCATGCCGATTGCATCCTCCAAGATGGCACTCTCATGACGTTCCAGCCCGGTGACGACCTGAAGAGTATTGACATGTCCAAGGTCTTGCGTAGTTGGCAAACATGGGCTTCTGAGATTGACGATGCGGACCGTTCGCGTGAGATCATCTTACAGTGCACAGATGCATCCAACACTGAGGTGATGGGCGTGGTGAGTCTTAAGATGCCTGCCTCTGAGACCGGACCGTTTCGTGCGGAGGTGCAGCGGTTGGCGGTTAGTCCAAAGCATAGGAAAGTTGGTGTTGCGAAGCGATTAATGTCGAAATTGGAGGAAGTGGCGAGGGAGAGGCATCGCGAACTTATCGTTCGTTCAACCGCGTTCCCGTTCTCGTGCGCTTACGGCTGACAGGGCTGCGGCGTCTAGATGTTGGACACGACGATCGGCTCTGGAGCCGAACACGTATATCCACGGTTGGGTTACAAAGAGATCGGGGTGGTGCCGAAATACGGCATTCACCCGTTGACGAAAAAGCTCGTTGATGAAGTCTTCTTTTACAAGGATTTGAGGGACCATTAGTGACAGCCCGTGAAGACTCCCACAGTCCTGCAAGGTTGCTACTGTACAGCTAGAGTACATTGAGGAGCTTAGGGTCGAGCGGTCATGTCAGCTCTCCGCTGTTATCTGATTATTGTGCGTTGCGATCGAACTTCACCGTCCCCTGCCGACTTACACTGGCGTAGTTGAGGGTCGTAGGCGTCGCCTTTGTCGATGTGGACCCACCTCCTGGTGTGACTGCATCGGCAGGCTTGATTGCTAGAGCTTCTGGCACGGCGCCGGCTGGAGTATCTGCGATTTCGTTGACGTCCCGAGTCGTTAGTGAGTCGCTCAGTGCGGCGCCGCGTGATTGTACGAGAATTGTGGCTGGTCCTTGAAAATGCAGGAATAGCTTGGCCCGCAGTCAGCACAGTAAGACGCCGTAAGCGAGTCTGAAACGTACTCTGTCTCCCCAGATCGTCCTCCTCGCCCAAGTCCGCACGGCAAACGCCGCATCTCTCGAGTATCGCCATACAGCACTCTTTCTTACAGTTTGCCAGAACCGCGTATCCGGTAGCCAAGTAAAAGGGTTCGGAATCTGCAGTCTCAACGTACTAGCCTTGAAGCGATACGGCTGCGGCGCATGCTGCATTATGCTGTAGGCTACTATATTGCTGGGATGTACGACATACTCTTCGCCAGTCTTGAGAGTGATTTGGTGGATCAGACCGCGACCAATCAGGGCGAGCAAGCCGCGGCCGGTGACGTGAGTATTACCCCAATGGGAGAGGCCCATTCTGGTATTCGTACGTGGCGATAGGGCTAGAGTCTGACCGGTCCATGCTAACAGGGCGTTCCGTTGCGTGATCATCCAGTCTAGCCTGCCGTCTAGGTGGACCACGACTACTGAGGTTATAGGGGACTTGGTTGCTATGAGCGCAGTGTAGGGCGTCGTCGACGAAACTCGCTGGTAGATGAATGGTATGCCTAGTAATGCTCTTCGGAATGGTCCCAGTAGGGACAGGGTGGAGACTGCGTTCTCCGGCTTGCCATTGAAGCCTACGAGCGTGCCTTTGCGCGTGTAGAGGTTCTGCGAGGCGGAGATGGAGGCGGAGAGGAGGGAGAACGGTGTCCCTAGCACTTCGAAGCGTGCGTCTACCAGGCTGTATGAGTATTACACGGCGCAACAGGTATAATAAGGGTCGTACCTGCGCCAAGCGAGGAACTGCCATTGGCGGCGTCCAGGTTCTGCTGGGGCTCTGAAGATGCTGGAGTCGCGCTGATTTGAATATGGCGACGGCCACTTCTACTCAGCACGGTCTTTGCTTCCAGCTGAAAGCGGCAGCTGGCGCAAACATGATATAGCGCCTGACGGCGCATCGCAAAGGCTGTGTTGCTACACCAACAAAAGTTGCTTGGGAACCTGAAGCTGTCTTTGGAGCCTTAGCTCTGGAGCCGGGAGTGTCTGCGCCGTAGGGCTGAGATGACCGCACTCCACTCTTCAGCACGTTCTACTCTCCTCCGAACACTGACATCAGCCATGTACACTACACGCACATAAACCAGGCCGTACTACAAGCCATGGCCGAGGACAACGCTGTCTCGGCCTCCGCCAAAGGGGCAACGTTCATGGTGCTGCTCCAGATGTCAAGCCGGGCCTTAACGTTCGCCTTGAACCAGGTCCTACTGCGCTTCCTCTCCCCACAACTGCTAGGAGTCGCCGTGCAATTGGAGCTCTTGATCATTTCGACCCTCTACTTCTCACGAGAGTCGCTTCGTATAGCCACGCAGCGGCGCTCGGATGGCGGTGTCCAGGCGGCTATCAATCTCTCCTACCTGTGTATTGCCGCAGGCCTGCCCATCGGTGCCTTCTTGGCACAGCTGTACATCTGGAAAGGCAACATGACTGGGGTGAAGTACCTCGAAACAGCACTCCGGATCAATCAGTTCACCGTCATGATTGAGCTGCTCGGCGAGCCAGGCTTCGTCGCGGTGCAACAATGCATGCTTTACAAAACGCGTGCGGCTGCTGAAGCGGCTGCGGTTATCATGAAGACATTATCCACAGCAGGTCTAGTGTTCTGGAGTCGCTATCGAGGCTACGATCTTGGGGTGCTACCTTTCGCGGCGGGTGAGCTGGCCTACTCTACATCGCTTACCCTGGTCTACCTCTCACAGACCAGCTACGCTGCGCGGCTTAGAAACTTCACTCTATGGCCCAGTAAAATGCAGTCGAGGTGTGTCTGCTCCACCTCATGTGCCGTAAGCCAGTGCTTTTCGTTGATTGTCCATCCCTAGCTCTTCCCATGACTACATCTTCTCTCTTTTCTCAAAACCGCTGCTCTACCTCTCCGCATCTCTGTACTTACAGACCGGCATCAAATGGCTACTCACTGAAGGCGACAAACTTCTCATCGGTGCCTTCGCCACCCTCGAAGACCAAGGAATGTACGCGCTTTCGGCCAATTACGGCGGGCTCATAGCACGCATGCTATTCCGCCCCATCGAAGACAGCTCCCGTAACTTGTTCGCAAAGCTATGTGCCGCACCGCCACCTCAGCAAGAACTATCGGCAGGGAAAGACACAAGGCATGAGAACGGTGACGCCGCGAAACCTACGAAAGGTGACCCGAAGCCGGAGGCTCAGTCAGCCAACTATCATCAAGCGGCGCAGATCCTCCAGACTCTACTCCGCACTTACTCCATCTTCTCCCTGCTTGCCTTCACCCTGGGACCCATTGCGGCGCCACTGCTCCTCCAGCTAGTCGCCGGCTCCCGCTGGTCCGATTCCGGTGCCGGCTTGGTCCTAGCCACATACAGCTACTGCATCCCACTCCTTGCCCTCAACGGCGTATCCGAGGCGTTCGTGGCCGCCACCGCTTCAACTACCGAGCTTCAGGCACAGAGTCTGTGGATGGGCGGCTTCAGCGTGGCCTTCGCGGCGTCTGCGTACGTCTTTCTCCGAGTACTGGAGTGGGGAGCGCAGGGACTTGTGTGGGCCAACTGCGTCAATATGGGGTTGAGGATCGTGTTCAACTTGCGTTACGCTAAGAGCTTCTTTCAGCGGCAGGGCGTGGAGTGGAAGGTTACGGACGTCCTGCCGAATGTGTATGCCTTGGGCGCTAGTGCGGTTGTGCCGGCGCTGTTGACGCAGGTCAGGGGGTTGCTGGGTGGAAGATTCGGGATTCTCGGACATTTGGTTGAGGTCGGAATTGTAGGAGGGCTGTTTGCGGGCTTTATGTGAGTACTTTCACAGGGTACAAGAAATAAGCTGACCGTACAACAGTGCTGCTACGGAGCGTCATTTTCTGACGGAGTGCTATAGACGGTTCAGAGCATAGTACATCCCCGAGTGGCGCCACGCAGACGCTACATTCTAGTGCATTGCCTGTCAAGAGCCCACCATAGCATCTCTGGGCAGCGCATCCTGCAATTGTGCCGCTGAGAGGTTGTATCCGCACGTACTCCGAACATGCATTAACCGAATTAGCAGATCTTCATCATAAACATACTTCTGACTCCTCAAGAGCATGTCGCGGCGATTATTGCACTGAGTATTTGCACGCATCGAGCTAGAAGACGACCACTGTTCTCAACGGCAGTAGGGAAGTGGTATAATGCTGTTCGCTGTACCGTGCGCCATCTGTCCTACCGAAGGGGAGCGATCAAGACCGGCAGCATGTACTGCGTTTATTTTCCTCAGGTTTTCCACGCTAGTTGGGCTATTCTCCTCTGGTGCAACGACCGCTGGATGTACCGGGTACCGCTGTGGATGTTCCCTCTTCCCGTCTATTGACCGGCGAACCCGCCGACCATCGCCGTGAGTGCCTCGCCCCACACGGGATCTCCGAACCACTTCGTCCCGAGGGCCATCACGACGGCTGCATGCTGCTCCGCGTCGGCATCGATGAAACCCTTCCATACCCTAGCCAACTTCAACATCGCCGCATCGACGCTGGCCGCCTTGCCGACATCAGACGGGTGGACAGAGGTGGTGGTGCTCGCGAGGGTTGGCTGACTAGGAGATTAGTAGACTTGGCAAGTCGAAAGGGTGATAGTCAAGACTCACCAAGTCTTCGGCACGAACCGTAGGAGGCTGGTTTCGCATACGAGCGGCGCCGACATTGGCCAGCTGAGTTGCGTTGGCGGGAGTGTTGCCTGACATACCGCTTCGGTCGGTCAAGACTTGCTGACGTTTGTTTTGAGGCTTGTATAGAAAACTGTAGATTGGTGGAATTCGAGTTCGAAGCTGATATAATATGGACAGGATTATGTTCGAGCGAAGAAGTTTTCTTGTTCCGGACTCGTTCTTTATGCTGTACAAACGAAAAGCGGGTCCTTGAAGAGTACGGGTTCACTGATCATTCACAACATCTGAGTCGCCGGAAGTTGACAGGGTCTTATACGCTGGGTGAATGCCCAAGAGCAAACGAAAGTTTCCGTTGTTGTACACTGAGATCAGGCAGCCGGCTTCATTGTGAGAGTGAATCATCAAGCCGACGGTGAGAAGATGGTTGCTATGGGTTAAAGGGCCCTCAAGATGTTACAAACGGATGCTCTGCGTGTTGTATAGGTGTTATGATTTGTGCCATTGAAAAGCAGTCAAGACGGTAGATCTCTTGGCGGTTGAATTGCGGACTCCATTTCTTGAAGCTGGCAGCGAATGCAAATGTCCATGTGGATGTTCTTCATTGTTCAAATGCCGTTGAGACCACCCCGACTCCACAACTAACTCCATGAGGCCCATATAACCGCTACTTGAAGTGTGTCGCTGATGGACGAGGGTTGACAGCGTATGGTGTGAGTACAAGGTGTCCGCAGCAGAGAAATTTCGCTTCTTCCGCACGACCTTCCGTCTCGTCCAACCCATCACCATTTCCTTGCTGTCGTGCTTCGTTTCACATCACTCGTCCGACAAAATGGCAGAACATTATCAAGCTGTCGTGGACATGGGTTCCAATGGGATACGCTTCTCCATCTCAAACCTACAACCACCGACAGCGCGCATCATGCCAACGCTCTATCAGCACAGAGAAGGTATCTCGTTGTACGATGCACAGTACGCTGCCTCTGGAGAAAGGAGACCGATCGACGAAGTTACAATCTTGGCGGTACTGGCCTCCTTCAGGTTGTTCCAACGAACATGCGAAGACTTCAGGGTGCCGAAAGGCAACATCACGGTACTTGCTACAGAAGCCACACGGACTGCACTTAACTCTGAAGACTTTCGCCGACGCATTAAGAAGGCTGTCGGGTGGGAGGTCACTATGCTACCTAAGGAGGAAGAGGGTCGTGTAGGCGCCATGGGCATTGCCAGCTCATTACCTGAAGTCAGCGGCCTAGTCATGGATCTTGGTGGCGGCAGCACGCAATTGAGCTGGCTGATCAAGACTGCCGACTCTGCCGAAGTGCTGATGCCTGAGCAAGGAGCAGTCAGCATGCCGTATGGCGCTGCAGCCGTGATGCGACGGCTTGCAGAAGCCGAGAAGGCAGGCAAGACCGCCGCGCTCAAGACTGAACTGCAGACGGCCATGAGGAATGCTTATGAGACCCTCAAAGTACCCTCGCAGCTACAGAACACTGCTAGTCAGCACGGTGGTTTTACGCTGTACCTCTCTGGCGGCGGCTTTCGTGGTTGGGGCTATGTTCTGATGAGCAGACACCACGTCAAACCTTACCCCATCCCGGTTATCAACGGCTTCAGCGCCAGTCGAGCGGACTTTCTCGGCATCGACGATGTCAAGCAAGCTGCTGCTGCCGCGCTCCAGGACGAAGAGGACGAAATGTTTCGCATCTCGGACCGTCGAGCGAGCCAGGTCCCTGCTGTTGCCTTCCTGATCAGCGCCATCGCGGAAGCTCTGCCCCTCATCAGAGAAGTACGCTTCTGCCAAGGCGGAGTCAGGGAAGGGTTTTTGTTCACGAAGCTCTCGCCAGAAGTGCGCTCGCAGCATCCTTTGGTGGTCGCCACTGAGCCATTCGACACCACTCGCTCATCAACGGATATTGTCGACCTTCTGCGTGCGTCGCTACCAGAGGCAGACGGCTCACAGGACGAAAGGGATGAGTACGAGCAGATCTTCAACATGCATACCTTGGCGGCTTTTGCCAACCTAATGTACTACCACTCCTCATACCCGAAGGACCTGCAAGCCTCGGCTGCTATGCGGTCTACGACATCTGGGATCCTCGCAGGCGTTCATGGCGTGCTGCATGAGAGTCGGACCATGCTTGCATTGTTGCTGTGTCAGAGATGGGGCGGCGACGTACCGCCTATAGACGATGTGTTCAGACACAACATGATACAGCTCGTAGCCTCCCCATGGCCACTGTGGTGGATCAACTACCTGGGCGCAGTGGCTAACTTAATTGCTGCGGCCTATCCGGCGGGCGTGACCGGGAACAACAGAGGGAGACTTGCGGTCGAGGCAGCATGGAGCCCAGAGAGTACAGCGCTGGCGCTTGTTGTTAAGATCAAATTCGCTCGCGACACGTCGTCCGCCGACTTTAGCAGAGAGTTGAAGCACCTAGAGAAGGTGGGCAAACGGAGACGGTGGGTTGGCGGTAGGGAAGGTGCAGGCTACAAGATCGATGTGCAAGCCGTCAATGCCAAGTAGTGTTTGCAACCGCAAGGCCGGCAGAGCTGGCGAATCAGGATTGAACCGACAAGCCCGTCGCTTTACCCTGCCGCTCCAATCGGTCGCAGACCGCTCAGGTTGACGACCATACCGGGGCCAAACCTCTGTCCTCCGAAAGCTGCGCCTGCATGGTTGACTCGCTCGGACTTTTTCCAGCCCGGAACGTCTTCGCCCATTCCACCTCTCTCCGCCTTGGCCCTCAGCACCTCCCAGACATTCGGAAAGCCAGCGCCCAGCGCGTCTCCGCCTTTGGCTTTGGCGCCTTGTATGGCGAATTTCATTAGGCGGTGCGAAATGAAACCGTTCAACATGCCCTGGTCGATGAGCGATGATAGCTTACTCTCAATGGCCGTAACTTCAATGCTGGAGGAGCTGCTGGTGTCGCCGTAATCGATCGACGCAAAGTCCGGATCGGTATACTCTCCGTTGGTCTGCTGCTGAGATACAGCGAGGCGCTCGAGCCAAGAAAATGCGGCAATGAGATGATCGATGCCGAGAGTTGGCGCTGATCGAGACATGGGGTCTGTGGGTCTGTATCCAACAAGAATGAAGGCTCGACGGATCAAGCTGCGCCAGACAAGCGCTTCGCAGCGATTGCGTAGCTGTAGCAGTATCCTGAAGTGCAGGAACCAGTCCGCATGCTCTCCATTCAGATCGAGATGTCTGCGAAAGGCAGCCAGATCGCCACGCTTGACGGCCAAGCACAAAGGCAAGAACCGCTCGCGAAAGCCTGCTGACTCTGGCCGATCGAGCAATGCTTGCGACGGAAAACGTCCGAGTATGATGTTGCACGTCACCAGGTAGACGAGAATGTGACGCCTCTGCCTCACGCACTGCTGGCTTGCTAGTGCTTCCTCGTACGCGAATTGCAGCACCGCTTGCGCGCGGTAGAAGTGGCTGTTCTGGAACAGAAAGCGTCCAAGGTAGTAAAGGTACGTGACGCGCTGACTCTTGGGGTATAGCGCCAGGGGCGGCGAGAGGTTGTAGATGTTCTCGAAGATCTGCGTCGCGTTCCTCGTCTTGCGGCACTGAAAGAGGATTCTCAAGCACAGGTTTGCGATGACATAGATTCCTTGTCTTTTGCCTTCCGGACGTCCTTCAGCTGTAACGCTGGTGTTGCGGTCGTTCAAACATGTGACGAATGCCTGTCGAAGGATGTTCGCAGCCCTTTCCGGCAAGGTTTCCCGAAGGCCGCCTTCTTCGCCACCGCCAGTGGCCGCGCGACGTAAATGTGCGATGAGATCTGGTCGCCTATCGAGTCCAATGGCGAGTTTGCACACAGTCCTAGCGGACTTGACTACTGTTCCGAGCACTAGGTGACCAAGCGTGGCGTGACCGAGTGCACTGTTGGCTCGTTGCTGTAGCTCGCTCAGAAGCTCGTAGGTTTCCAAGTAGTGCTCCACGCCTTCGCTCACGTCCCGTAGGTAGGCCAGATATTGCATCATGAACTTGACGAAGGCAGTCCAAGGACTACCATCTGCGCCTTCGACGGCGGCTGTTAGCGTTTGAGTGCACTTTTGCTCGAGTGCCTGCTCGTTGCCACTTGGACAGGTGGACCGAAGCTCCTGAATCATGCCTAGATAATGCGGATTCCATGGTGGCTCTACCACAAGCCAGTCGGTGATGCTAGCCTCGTTGCGAGACTTGATGAAGCCGTTGATGGCGACCAAGAATTGGCCAAGTAGCGGTGTCGCCATGATGGATAGAGTATAGCCTTTATTCCAAGACGTCTTCGCATACACAAGCTCCTGTGCAAAGATAGGCGCAGCGCGTTGAATCACGTCAAGTAAAGGCCGGCCGACATATTCAGCTACCTTCTCGGAAACAACACGCTTCACGAGCTTGTGGATTCGGTCATTACTTAGCCTGGGTTCACCGAACTCATTCAGTGCTCGGAGATTTTGGAGTATCCAAGCGTGGTCAAGCAGGAGGACGGGCGCTGTCTGCTCGGGGTGTCGTGCGTCGGTGGGTGCGGCTGTGAGTGCTTCATGTGGTTGCGCAAAGTTGTTCGGCTTGGAAGGAGCGCCCAACTTCATCGCGGCTTGGCGGCAGTGACATGTTCAGGACGTTCACAACAGTCAAAAGATCATTCGACATCATTTCTACTGATCATTTCATGTTGCATGCCATTGCTCTCAAACGAAACAGCTGCAACTACCCGTTCATTCTTTGGAATGAGGCCTGTAACACCAAGGTCACACGGTGTCACGTTACCGGTCATGACACACTTTTGAGGTTGTAAGATAATAGTGACATTGCAATGAAACCCTAAAGCAAGCCATGAGGTAAATGTACACGGTTGTCTGCTCGCCCCTCCTTCCACGTGTGCTGGACGGACCGCCACTGGCCAGCACTGGCGCATGCCCGCTGATAGCCTCGCTCCCGGAGCAGACATTATGCACAACCCCAGCCTTACAGCCTCTCTGTACACGACCTTGTGAAAGAAGAGCGGCCACACCTCAGGAACGATAGGCATGGCCGAAGAAAGTTATTGTTTCCGACCGACAGTCAAAGAAAGAGCGCCGAATGATTCCCTACCCAGCCCTAAGCCCGTGGATATATAGCTGCACTTCGTAGCTTTGGGGTAGCAGCACGCAACGTTAAGGTCATCATCTCGCAACGAAAGAAGGCCTGCCTCGATGCTTTGGTAGTCGGATTGACTATTTACGCTTGGCCCGGCACGGGCTTGCGCACGATGGCAGGGCTCTGCGGTCGCTCGATGGCGCTGGCGTTGGGTGTTGGCGAGCCAGATTGAGCTGCGGACGGGCCTTGTGGGCGAGGCTTGACTGGGACCTTAGAAAGGCAGGTGCGTGGGACGACACCTTGCTGCGAGCGGTCCATGCGGATGCAGAGAGCCTAGTATACTGTTAGCGTACTGTATTCGTACTGATATCTGAGAAAGAAGACTTACCCAACCATCATCATACTCGTGCAGCATGCGGACGAGTTGACCGGACTTCAGCTCGAGCTCGTCATCCATGCTTGGCTTGAAGTCGAGCTGCACGCGGTGAACGTTGTTAGGACCACGGGGAGTTGGAGATGGAGGTGGTGCGGCGGCGACCGCGGCGTCCTTTGGTGGTGACGCTACTTCGGGCTCCTCAAATGGGTTAGTCGGTGGGGAGACGGGACGTTCGACTTGCTTCTCAGAGATTTGGTTGGCATCACCGAACGGGTTCTCCTCGTTCTGCGAGCGACGCTCCCACATGCTCTTCGGCTTCTCGGACATGTCAGGCACATCAAGGTTCTGGGCGGCAGGCTTGCGGCTGTCAGAGCTGAGAAGGCTGGGCAGGAACTGGGTGACTGGACGGAGACTGAGACGTGGAGCAGTAGTAGCGGCGCGAGCAGAGTCTTCGCTAGCGGTGGACACGCGCTTCTCAGCGAGTTTCTTGCCACCGAAGAAAGAGCGGCCAGTGCTACCGTGCTTCTCATCGAAGAGCTCTTGGTGCGCATTCGGGTTCTTGCGGCGACGCCAGCAGAAAAGCAACAGACCACCAGCGAGCGCAAGAGCGAGAAGAACGCCGATTGCGAGGCCAGCCTTGGCACCGCTGGTCATGCCGGTGCTCTTCTCAGAGACGACACCACTCTGGGAAAGAGGAGTACCTACCGCGGCAGTGGCAGCGGCGGTGCTTCCAGGGTTGAGGAACATTGACTTGTTGTTGGTGCCATCGACAGCGCTGGTGGTGGATGCGATGCTTGCAGTGACGCTCGCGCTGGTGGCACTAAGCACCAAAGTGCTGCTTGGGTAAATAATCTCAGCTATAGAGGTAACGTGGACGGTGGTGGTTGAGGCGGCAGATCCGGTGTTGGCGGCGGAGGACTTGGCAGCCAAGTAGGACGACTCATCGGCGCTCAGGTCCACAGACGACATCGTGAGAGCTGCGGATGACTTGGCAGCGAGGTATGCAGACTCATCCGGGCTCAGGCTCACGGACGAGGTCGTGACAGCTGCGGCAGTGGTAGTAGCCTCAGATTGCAGAGCAATAGTAGCGGTAGTCTCGGCAGCCGAGAGAGTGGTGTAACCTGCAATCGGTCCAGTAAAGTCGGCAGACACGGTTTCGTAGACGACCTGGGTAAGCGTGGCGACTGGTTCGTTGTCGGCAACCTTCATTGAATCCGGGATGTTAAGCTTGATATTGTCGCCAGTGGTGAAGCTGTTACGCTTCTGCATCTCCAGATGCTTCCTCGCGTCCAAACCGCGGAAGACGCGTCCATGGTGGGCATGCTCGTGGAGGCCCATTGTGTCGAATGTGTCGTGGTTGTCGTTCGATCTGGCCGTGTGTCGTGGACGTGAGGTTCAGTGTAGTGAGGCTGGTGTGTGTATTTGGGTCTGCTTGGAATGCGGACAGTGCGGTCGTCAAGACCCGTGGAATGTGCGGCACGTCACGTCTTGATCAAAAAGACCGACTGTGGTGTTTGTAGTGAATGGATAGCGACACAGCGCTGTGTGAATCCGCCGGTAAGGGAAGGGCGACGGACCTGCGCTGTCGCGATGTAGAGAACGTGAGTGACGGATGGTCTTTGGGAGAGGAAGAAGCGCGCGACGTGACAGGAAGAGGAGGGAAAGGCTCGCAATGCATCCAGGAGGTCGTCTCAGAAGGGAAGCTTGCTACACATGCACAGGCCACCTAATCTCCTGTTCCTGTCGCACCGGCGCCGCCAGCCCAATCACAGGCGACGGCGGCGCGCTAACGGGTGAGAAGGCCAAATTAAAACGAGATCCTTATAACAACGGTTGTTTGGGATGAGATCGCTATGCAAGAACAGTTCTTGCTGCGCTCTGGAGACTGTTTGGTGCGGGAACGTGTTCGGGCAGCTTGCGAAGCTATTGTTGATGTATAACATGAGCCGCATATGCAGGTATACCTTTCCCCTGGCCCGCCACAACCGTAGTACCCTGGCGGCTGCAGTGCTGCGCGTATCGCAATCTACAGGTCCACAATGGCAATAACGCGGCATCGCAAGCGGTTCCCGAAACCAAAGACATCGCAAGCCACCGACGAGCATGGTCTTTCGGGTGACACCATGGACCAGCGCCTCCACAGCCTTGTCAGATGGTCTGTGGAGATGCCCGTGCTTGTATGAAGGCTTATATCGAGCAGTCCGAGATAGCTGCAACGTGAGCATGCCGGATCTCGCCTTGTAAGGCCGCAGGTACCTTAGCAGTCGGATGACTGCGTGGCCTACTGTTGTATCGTGGCCCACCTTTATATGCCAGAAATTGCGGTAGTCGCGTTCGAAGATGAACGCTCTCTCACCACATGCACGTTTAACCCGTCGTCTTGGTACGACTACCGCAAAGACTTGACTTTACTAAACCACTCGTCGTTAACGGTCGTCTTTTTCCGTAGGCTCTTTTCAGCCCAGCCAGTAGCAACCTTTCTCCCATCGGCCCTCCACTTCGCAGCTTCTTTCATCAACCACGGGACAACGGCTGCTGCTACTTGAGCTACCGCCACTAATGACACAAGGTGCGCACATACTGGATTGATCGCAGCTTGCACACGGCCGTCTTTCTGCCCGCCGCTGCCTCTCGCGCAGAACTCCGTTCTGGTGAGCTTGTCCTCGATACGACCTGGACATGACAACAGACTGCGGAAACCGAAGACATATAGAATGGAAGGTCGTACGTGCCTTGGACCTACGGTCGCTAGAACAGGTTCTTGTCCTGATATTGTGCTAGTCAGCATGTTTTCCTTCGCGCATTCGGTTACTTCTTTCGTGCTTACTGCGCGATAGCAGGTCGTGATAGTTCCAGCAGGGCCGATGATGTCCGGAGGGGGAAGTCGGTTGGCCTTCGCTATGCTGGGCGTTCGCCCATCGCCTTTCTGCGCGCCGGGCTATGCAGCATGGTCCAATGCGGCTGACAGCCCTCGAGAGTTCGGGCGCAGGTACGGGAAGACCTCTCAGTGCTATGTAGTAGCGAGCGTAACAGGCTTCTCCAGGTGTTCCAAAGGGCGGTCATGACTGGCGAACCACCGATGCATCTCCTTCTCACCCCACGCGTCAGGATTCCAGAGTTCCACTACATTACCTTGTTCGTCTGCAATGGTGTTTTCAGGAACGGCGACTGTGGGCAGCTCGCGAAAACCGTGCTCGTCTCAAAGTGCCAGCACGCGGTTGTCCCAGCTTTGCAAGGATTTCTCGGCGGCGTGGACGGCGTCTGCTCTTGATAGCGCTGTATCCTTTCGGAGGGTGGGCGCTCGCGTAAGCCTAGGTCCTTGGCATGGTTTTGTGCGTTTTCCGATGACTGGCTCCAGGAGTACTAGGGAGTGAAGCAGTCTGGGGTGCATGAGGACAAGCTGTCCGGCTCCCATGCTATGGCCTATTCCGATGATGAGTCGCGGCAATTGGTCACGGAAGTTGTTGACCATATGCAGAAGATCTCTGCAATGGTCAAACCAGGATTCTAGGTCCTAGATAAGTACCGCTCGCACAGTAACGGCCCGGTCATCTCACGATCATTGCCCAGTTTCCGCTTAGTGCGAATGCAACTCCCGCCTTGATGAGCCACATCGGCAATCCATATGCTTCGAACGTGGGCATCTTTCTCGTCGCAAAGTTGAAGCACGTCATCCCACAGCGGCTCGTAAGGTTCCTGTCACATCCACTTAGTGAACACTCCGCAGATGCCACGATCTTATTCCACCTTGGGTGAGTCGCTACCATCGGCCGCCATGATGGTCAAGTCGCCAGCGATTGGTGTTGGATTGTCAAGAGGCACATATTGCTTAATACGAAGGTCGAGCTCGCCATCCTGCCCGGAAGCGGTCGCTCTGGAGTACTTGCGAATGTGCGATCTTGAGATCACATGCTCGATGGTGCGGTATCGTTGAGACATCGCTTCTCATATGTATTCTCGACGAGAGACCAGAGGCGGGCGGACTGAGGGTATCAGGTGATTGAGAGTTCTGGAGGCAGGTTCGGAGGTCGTTACTTTATGGTGCAGTTTAGCCTCAAAGTAATGTCAAGCTACTGGCGGCGCCTGACGGCCATTGATCAAAAGGGAGACGCTGCGGCTCCATGGGGCTACTAGAGTCCCCAAGCTCATGGCTGGACAGTGATGCGGTGCAGCTGCAGGTAGTGCAGCCATATATCTGCTGGCATTCTCGCATTTGACTTTCGGCATGGACAGTAAACAAGCTACAGGGTGAGTAGAGCGGTCAGGAGCGGCCATCGAACTCTTTGGCGACGCTTACATGGACTGCAGTTGTAACAGCAAATAAGACAAAACATGTTAAGATCGGGCAAAATGACTTCCACACGGCAACGCAGCTGCCCGTCTAGGATTCCGGTGCCGCTCTTTCCTGCAACACGCCCAGTCACACCCCGTATCCGGAGGGATCAATGTTCTCAGAGGAGTACCAGCATCTGTCCTTCTGACCCATCAGTACCAATTCACATGTGAGCTGATTGCGCTGCGCTGCGATGTAATTCCAGGAGGTCGGATTCCCAATTGGTAGCATAACCTTTGATTGCGACCTGTCTAGCGAAGGTCAAGACAATGGGTCTGGACAAGCGATCTCTGCTACCGAGCCTTGCGGATCAGGTCGACAGGTTGCAGCACCGTTGCTAGTGCTAGACACGTGCCATCGGGTCAGCCGAGCCCACAACGGACCGAAGCCCGTACCTTGTGTGCTAATGCCATTCTTAGCCAGCAACCTTGAATGCCCGATCTACCCCTACTGCATATGTAGTGATTATGGCTGGCGCCCGTTTTCACACAGCGCTTTAGTGCTGTTCTCAGCTAACTGCCGCTCGGCTTTGTTAGACACGAAGAACTGTCAGTCAGTCTCATGCGCTCTGCTATGGCAACCTGCGAGCGGCAAACACCTTAGCAATGTTCACCGGTGTCCGAGACTTGGCCACACTGACTGCACCGCAGTCCGACCCCGAAGCGATGCTAAAGCGTTCGCAATAGCGCATTTAGCCAGCATGGTCTTAAAAGAGCCGCGCAAAACGCAGGGGCGCCGAAGACCCTTGTCGGAGCTCAAGTGCCAGACACACCACGAGCTTCCTCGAGCTGAGTCCTTATCTTAAACAGCCACATGCTTCGCTGAGCACCAGAGGCTTGCATGAGTCTGTTCCACAGTTGATAGCTGCAGGACATTGTCGCCTGAGTCCATCATATCACAGATCTGGCTTACTGGAACTGTCTACGCTGGCGGGCAGCACCACAACTGGCCGGCTTAGGGACATCAGAAAGACAAATGCCTACCGTTTACCTGTCAGCTATCATCTAGAGTGACATCTAAGCTCCTCTTAGATCCGAGCACCTTGATTCTGCCGGAGCGGCCAAAGAAGCTTTCCTTTGCGAAGATAAGGCGCGGTATTGACCGTGCAGGCTGAGCTTAGCTCAGCTGAGCCACCACGAGGGCGTCAAGGGTGTGTCCGCCATATGGTGCCCAGAAGCTCCGTTGCTGGTCCAATCAAGCAGTAAACCTCGCCTCATCGAGATGACTCGTCTGGAATAGGCGTGGGAAGGTAAGTGATATCAAGTATTGCTTCCTCGCATTGTGTCTCCTCCTCGTTCGGATACTCGCATAACATGATCAAGCGAGAATACAAGACTTGAGCACGCCCTATCTTCTGAAGCACCTTTCATTGTTCAGTGTGTTTCAGTTCGGTTCCTTGCGATCCTGGACTCGAGCATACAGCAGCAGTAGCACAAGCAGCAATGTTGCTGCGCACCCTGACAGACGAGCATGTGCACACCTTCCGCTCGATGGAGAGTATGTCACTCTGCGGCGAGTTGGGTGAGTGGACTAAGCATAACTATGAAGCTGAAAGCACGGCACCTGGACGCGAACCCAGGAGTCTCCGATTGCTAGCGCTTCACGGTGAGTTCATAGTCAGGTCGCCATAGTCGTAACGCTTCGCTAAGTGCACATATAGGTTACGGTCAGAATGGGGAGATCTTTGCTGCAAAGATTCGACGTTTTGCTGAGACTCTCAACGAGCAGCTTGCGACAAGAGCGCCGGGTGGTTTCGATGGAGTCGAGGTTTATTGTCCACCCGGCCCGTACCAGCTCGACACGCACGCCAGAGCTTGGACACCCTACTTCGATTATAACTCGTATCTCGAAGAGGACAGTCCGACCACGGAGCTATTGGCAAAGTATGTTATCGAAAACGGGCCGTTCGATGCGGTTGTTGGGTTCAGCCAGGGAGCTGGCACGGCTATGGCGCTCGCGAGTTGGTGCGAAGCCGGCGTCGACCCGGTGAGGAAATCTGCTCTCGCCTCACAAGCGTGTCCGTTTAGAAGACCTCCTCCACAAGGTCCGTTCAGATTCGCCATCCTGGCCTCCGGTGGACGTCGTAACGCACAGAGCCATTGTGGCTTCTTCGAGCCTACCGTTAATGTTCCGGTGCTCCATTTCGTTGCTGAGCTCGACCAGTTGAATGAACCCGAGTTTACCAACAATTTCAACAACAGTTGGACGACTTTAGAAGTCGTTCGCCACTACGGCACACACTTTTGGCCGACGAATCGTCGACGTACTGGATCTATGGTAGAATTCGCGTGTCGGTCATTAGGCCGGAGCGAAAAGTATGGCACGCTCGGGAGCATAATAATGCCTTCATTGTGCTTGCTCGACAGCTCGAACCAGAGCGACCAGAGCCGCACTCATACCTCCAGCAACAGCACCCCAGACACCAGTCCGAGTTCGTCGTCTTCGAGTGCGTCGTCGTCGAGCAGACAGCAGCGGCACAAGCCACGGTTCCGAAAGGCTAGGGTGGTCAAGGTCTTCTGAGCTCGAAGCGACTCCGCAATGGCCGGTTGCAGAGCGGCTGGTGTTACAGGATGGCATTCAAACCTGCTTTCGGCAACTTCACATAGATATCCTCAAGCCGTATGAGGCGGAGATAGATTATTTGAATTGGTCATGGCCTCAATCTCTATAACGCGCCCTAACACTGTACGGCCGTAAAGATTACCCGTCTCTGCAAGGATGGTCACTTGCTGCAGGCTCATGAGAAGTTCGTGAAGCGGCAAGACTGCAAGACTAAGACTAAGCCGCACGTGAGCGCTTATGCGTGCTTGCACGGCTTGGGTACAGCCTTGCGATCTCACCTTCTCGTACACTCTTCGAAAGACATCGACTGCTTCCGAGTGTGCTCAGTAGTAAAGCTACTTGGAGTGGGTAGAGACCGTCATTGAGATGCTATGCCACGTTTCTTTCCCCACAACACGCTTACCCACCAGACACTCACTGAACCAGACTCGTACAATCGGCAAACCCACTACTAACCTCCTCCGAAATACCCAATAAATTCATCCTCCCCATAGCATCCGCAAACGCCGCATCAAACGCTTCCTCATCCTGCGCAAACCTCGCCATCTGCATACCAACCGCAGTGGTCTGGTTACCCAGATTCACATCGCTCTGGAAGTGGTAAACGCCACGCGGATCACTCTGCAGCTCCTTGTAGTAGGTCGTGTCCCACTGCGTCGGCGTTGAGTCCTGGGGTCCGCCGGGTGGGATACCATTGCCTTGTTCGGCGAAGGCTTGAGAGACGGTATGTGCGCCGATAAGCGCGGCGAGATCTGTTGCGCTGAAGCCTTTGTCTAAGAACAGCTGGACAAGGGTGTCGTAGTCTGAACCTTGGCCGAAGGCTTCTGGAAGCATGCCTTCTGGGGCTGCGGTGGAGGTGTCTTGGCGACCTACGAGCTGTATGGTTGGTTAGTTTCAGTATGCTAGCGTAGGAGGGTAGAATTCTTAGCATACAGTCCTCACGATAGGCCCACCGTTGCAGCTCCTGATGCCAATGTTGCCGGCAAACTGCACCAGATCCGCGGCACCAACGCCCTGGCTATGGTACTTGTTGTACTTGCCTAGTAACCAGGGTTGATATCTCTGCAACGGCGCTTCGATCTGACGCTTGATCTCATCGCTGCTTAGTAGCAAGGATCCATCAGCGCCACCAGTCGCTGGGGCGTAGTAAGGCGTCTTACTGCTGTATCCGGCAGCATCGTGGAAGGCGAAACGAATCGCGTTTCGTGCCAGGACGTTGCAGCCCGTGAAGGCCGATTTCAGGTCCGTCGCAACGGTTGACCAGACGGCGGGGCAGCCGGAAGATGTAGACGTAGAGCTCGATGCCGGTATAGATGCGGTTGTAGAGCTGCTGAAACCGAAAGGAGCAATCGACTGCGAGTGCCAGTCGCGAGCGTGCAGTGCTGGTGATGCATTTGAAGGGGCGAAGAGCAATGCAGACAACACCACGGTAGCGGCTGTGAGATGCGACATGGTGGCTTTATAAAAGTGTGCAATGGAAGTAACGATGCGGAGAGATGTTCTTGCCAGAGAAAGCGCGCGAACGTGTGTTGCACCAAGAGTACTTATAACTAGTTAACATTTAGTGCTTCGACTGGACCTACCGATTAACAGCGTGATGCTCACGGTAGGATCCGGTGTGTGGTCAGCCAGCGCTCGGCCAGAAAATGCTGCAGGTACTTTCTGAGAAAACGGATAGAATCCTCGCTTCCGCTCATCCAATGTCCGTTCGTTCTCGAGGAGGCCATGTGATGAACAATGTAGTAATGCATGAGGTGAGCAAACAAACTAGATGCAATAAGTCTGCAAACTTCCTGCTTAACAGCGTACATGCTTCACGGCGTAAGTCATGACCATCGCAGCAAATGTTGAGTAGGACAGACAGGACATTTCCGGGTCACATGTCTCCGCTATCATTGTTGATGGATTGAGAGGGTTCTGACAAGCTGGGTGTCAGCCCTACACCTCAACCAGTGACAAGCAGCAAGCGAGCTGCTGATGTCAGACGGCACCAGTCCGAATGCGATGCTCCGACAACAAACTACACTACCGTACAGGTTACTCCCGTCTCCCTGGTTTCTGGCATGTCTCTGTGATCATGCGCCCGGGATGCTTCCAGGTAGCGGTAACCCGTCAATCAGCGACTAACCCTCGCGCAAGCCTAAGTGTAGCATATGAGGTATAGACTTGTTCAAGCGCCGGTGGGAACACTTGTCCCTTGGCGAGTGATATCGCAGTCAGTACAGCATCATTGTGGCTCAAGACCAGGAGAGGAGATGGATGGGGTAGGGCAAACGCGTGTGGTTGCATGGATGGCGCGTGGCGACGCGGCTCGAGCCGAGAGCTTCTGCAGGCCAAGATTTCGAGCTCCAAAAGTTTCGTAGAGATGGATGACACTCGCTACGTAGGTGCAGGCGCAGGCGCAGCGAGGCTGTCAAGATGAACACGTCCCAGCCGGTATCGTCTCAGGTAACCGCCGTATCATTTGGCAGTCTCTCCGCTACAGACATACGATCGCTATCCGCCCGCCAAATCACCAGCGCAACCACTTTCGATACCCTCCTCAATCCTGTTCCCGGCGGTCTGTATACGCCTGAGCTGGGCCAATTCGGTGATGCATCATGCGCAACATGTGGGCTCAAGAACCCACAATGTCCCGGTCATTGTGGGCACATCGAGATGCCCGTGCCATGCTACCATCCCACCTTCATGGACCAAGTCCTGCGGCTTTTGCGCGGGATGTGCATCTACTGCAGTCGGTTGAAGATGAGCCGTGTTGTAGTACATAAGATGCTATCCAGGTTAAGGTTAATCCAGTACGGTCTGTTGACCGAGCTCCACGAACTGGATGCCATGTCAATCAGGGCGGTAGCGGGTGGGAAGGGAGATACGGCACGGTCGGACGAGGAGGAGGAGATAGATGAAGACGATGATGCCGAAGCAAATACGGTAATTGCGCGACTCGACCACTTCGTAGCGAATGCTATCCGAACTGCCAAGCAGAATGGCACCTTCTCCACGCAGAAGACGGAAGCCACAACGAGTGCGCGTCGAGCAGTCATCGCGGACTTTATGGGTAGGATGACAGGCAGCCGTAAATGTGGAAACTGCAAGGGCATCAACCACAAGTACCGGAAGGACCGATACGTGAAGATCTTCCGCAAACCGCTTACGGAGAAAGAGAGCTTTGCCATGATTCAAAGTGGTCACCGAGCGAAGGATCCGATTGTCGAGCTTCGAAAGAAGCAGCAAGCAGAGCTCAGCCGTAAACGCAAACGCGAAGCGGAGAAGGAGAAAGATGAGGGCATTGCGGACATGGATGGTTCTGAGGAGGGCGAGGAGGAAGGCGAGGGCGACGATGTTAACATGGACGATGGGGTAGAATCGTCGGAAGAAGAGGTCCGCATCGCCGGCGGAGACATCATTGGGTCTGCCACCGAAGCTGGGACGAGGACGAGGAAGTCACAGACGCCATCGGAAGAGTACCTTAACCCATCCCGTGTGCATGCGCACCTCTCTCAACTCTTCGAGCGCGAACAGGAAGTTCTTGCAGCCGTATACGGACACAAGCGGAGCGAGCGGAGAGGTGGCAAGCCGCTGACACCAGACATGTTCTTTCTGCGCACCATCTTAGTACCGCCGAACCGCTACCGCCCAGAAGCACGTACCGGAAGTGACGAGATCGCTGAGGCGCAGGAGAACACGCTGTACAAGAATATACTGAACGCCTGTGAAACGTTGTCCAACATACAGCGTGAGCTCTCCGGCAAACAAGAATCGGATCCTCGCTACCGAGCCCGCAATTATGGCGACCTTGAGAACAGCTGGATCCAGCTGCAAGATGCGGTCAACAGCCTCGTTGACCGCGATCTTGCACCTCTATCTGGCGCTGCCGCACGGCGCCTACCGGACGGCATCAAGCAGAAGCTGGAGAAGAAGGAAGGCATGTTCCGCAAATACATGATGGGTAAGCGTGTTAATTTCGCTGCCCGGACTGTCATTAGCCCTGATCCGAACATCGAGACCAACGAGATCGGAGTGCCACCTGTCTTCGCCATTAAGCTTACCTACCCTGAAGCAGTGACCGAGTGGAATATCGAGGAGTTACAAGAAGCCGTGAAAAACGGCCCGCATGTATGGCCAGGCGCGGTGGCGATAGAGAGTGAGACCGGACAGGTTGTGAATCTCGAGCGCAAGAATGCTGAAGACCGAACGGCACTTGCAAACCAGCTCCTTGCGCCTTCAGTCGGCCCGACTGGAGTTAAAGGAACCCGACCGAAGAAGGTACATCGCCACTTGAACAACGGCGACATTGTGATCATGAACCGACAGCCGACATTGCACAAGCCATCCATGATGTGCCATAGAGCAAGGGTGCTTCCTGGCGAGAAGACCCTTCGAATGCACTACGCCAACTGCAACACCTACAATGCCGATTTCGATGGTGACGAGATGAACATGCACTTCCCGCAGAACGAAGCTGCGCGTGCGGAAGCACTTAGTATTGCGGATACCGACCATCAGTACCTCTCCAGCACCGCCGGCAACCCGCTAAGAGGTCTTATCCAGGATCACATATCCATGGGTGTCTGGCTGACGAACAGAGACATGTTCTTCGACCGAGCTGACTACATGCAGCTTCTGTATGCAGCAATACGGCCGGAGAGCGGACACTGTGCCCGAAAACAAATCGAGACAGTACCACCTGCCATTTGGAAGCCAAAGCCGCTGTGGACGGGCAAGCAGGTTGTGACGACTGTCCTTAAGAACATCTCACCCGAAGGCTCGGAGGGTATGACAATGTCTGCCACCTGCAAGACTGACCCAAGACTCTGGGGCGAGGCCGGAGCGAGGGAAGAGGGTACCTTACTGGTCAAGGACGGCTATGTATGCCACGGCGTCCTGGATAAGAACCAAATCGGTCCGTCAGCTGGTGGGTTCGTCCATGCGGTGTATGAGCTGTACGGACACGTTACCGCCGGACGCCTTCTGAGCATCTTGGGCCGTTTGCTGACCCGGCTCGAGAACATGCGAGCCTTCTCTTGCGGCGTGGAGGACCTGGTCTTTACGCGCGAAGGCGAGGAGAAAAGGCGGCAGGCCCTCGCGGATGCGGAGACAGTTGGCTTCGAGGTCGCGAAGAAGTATGTCGGCTTGGCTGAGCAAAACGTCGGCCGTGACAACCGTGAGCTCAGAGTGCGGTTAGAAGATGTTCTGCGCGATGATGCGAAGCAGCGTGGTCTGGATCAGCTTACCAACAGTGCAACGAGCGTTCTGTCGTCGGCTGTGACTAACGCCTGTCTGCCTGCTGCGCTCGTCAAGCCTTTCCCTGCAAACCAGATGCAGACGATGACTTCATCTGGTGCCAAGGGCTCGAAGGTCAATGCCAATCAGATCAGCTGTAACCTGGGACAGCAGATTCTGGAAGGCCGACGTGTGCCTGTCATGGTTAGCGGCAAAACGTTGCCGTGCTTCAAGCCCTTCGAGTCTAGCGTGCGAGCTGGAGGATACGTCGTAGACCGCTTCTTGACGGGTGTACGGCCGCAAGAATTCTTCTTCCACGCTATGGCGGGCCGCGAGGGATTGATCGACACGGCTGTGAAGACATCGCGTTCTGGGTACCTTCAGCGATGTCTGATCAAGGGCATGGAAGGCTTGAAAATCGAATACGACACATCGGTCCGCGACGCTGATGGCTCGATCGTCCAGTTCTTGTATGGTGAAGACGGTCTGGATGTGGCGAAAGCGAAGTTTCTTGGCGACTTCAAGTTTGAAGCCGAGAACCATGTGAGCTTTTTCAGGTCGCTGGGCGACGAGGAAGGTGGGTTCGAACGCGTGCTTAGTGACGAAGCGGCTCTATACAATAAAAATGCGATCAGGAAGTACCGCAAGACTGGTGATCTTGCGGCGGCGGACCCGGCGCTGGAGGTTTACAGACCTAGCCGCTTCGCGGGCAGCACGAGCGAGAAGGTCTACAGCGAGGCGAAGCAGTATATGGACGAGAATCCTGACAAGCTCATCAAGGACAAGAAGGCCGGCATCGAAGGAAGAGTGACAAGGAAGGCATTCCAGCGTATTCTGGACATGCGGTACCTCAGGTCGGTGGTTGAAGCTGGCGAGGCCGTCGGCGTGGTTGCAGGACAGTCGGTCGGTGAGCCAAGTACGCAGATGACGCTGAACACCTTCCATTTGGCCGGACACGCTGCGAAGAACGTCACGCTTGGTATCCCGCGTCTCCGCGAGATTGTGATGACAGCCGCGAAACAGAACGCAACACCCACCATGACGCTGCGCCTGAATGAGGAGATCGCTGTCCAAGAGGCGAAGAGGTTCGCTAAAGGCATTTCGAAGTTGTCCATGGCGGAAATCTTGGATAAAGTGACTGTCACCGAGAAGACGGAGAAGGGCGTTGCGTATTCGGAGGCGAAGAAGTACGAAGTCAGGCTCGACTTTTTCCCAGCTGCAGAGTACACGAAGGAGTACGCGATCACCATTGACGATGTGGTTGCTACGATCGAGCATCGCTTCCTGCCTCGGTTGCAAGTTCTGACCAGGAAGGAGCTCAAGAAGCGCGGTGACGAGAAGAGTCTAAAGAATGCTGTCCGCAGCGACGCAATGCCCGACGTTGGCAAAAGCGCCGGGATGGTCGAGCAGCAGAGTTCGCGACCTGAGGGCGAGCGCGAAGGCGGCGATGATGACAGTGATGGGGAGGGTGATGACGATGCCACGAGGGATAAGGCGAAGAGCAACAAGATGCAGGCAGGGTATGAGGCATTTGAAGATGATGAAGAGAATGTACTTGCTGCGCGGAATCAGAGAGAGGGCAGTCCAATAGAGGAAGACGAGATGGAGGACGAGGCTTACGGCGGTTCGCCGAGGTCGGCAGATGAGAGCAGTGAAGGGGAGGGTGAGGAGGATGCGCCGAGGAAGCTTGCGGCAAAAGAGAGGGAGAATCGCATCAAGTCTGACAAGAAGTCGAATGACGTTACTCGTTTCGCTTTTGATGACGAAGCCGGCGAAAGCTGTACCTTCACACTCGAATACGATTCGGACGCGGCGAAGATCCTGATGCTGGCTCTCGTCGAACAAGCCGCTCGCCATGCGGCAATTCAGTCCGTCCCTGGCATAAGCACGGCCATGGTCGACGAAGTCGCCATGAAAGATTCGAAGGAGGTCCCTGCCGTGCCCATCCTCGCGCTCAGCGGCGTGAACATACCCGCCATGTGGGAGTACCAGCACGTCATCAACCCACACCGTCTCTACACGAACAGCGTGTACGATATCTTACGCCATTACGGCGTGGAAGCGGCCCGAAATGCCATCGTCCTCGAACTGCAATCCGTCTTCGGCGGCCACGGTATCTCCGTCAATGCAAGGCATCTCACCCTCATTGCGGATTACATGACGCGAAGTGGAGACTATCAGGCTTTCAACCGGATGGGATATAGAGGCAATGCCAGCCCGTTCATGAAGATGAGCTTTGAGACGACAGTGAGCTTCTTGCGAGATGCGGTGCTTGAGGGCGATTGGGACGACTTGAACAATCCGTCTGCGAGAATTGTGACAGGCAGGCTGAGCAAGGTGGGCACAGGCGGATTCGACATCTTTACTAAGTTGCAGGCACGAGAGAAACTGCAAGACGGTGCGGGTGGCGATGTTGACATGGAAGAAGATTAGATCTGAGGATATTGGACCCATGGTGTAGCACGAGAAATATAGCCTGAGGAACGAACAAGCTGTCGTCTGACTCTTTACGGGTCGCATCGGTATCACCTCAGCGTCTCAGACTCATTCTGTTGATATGTTATCTCAACAGAGTCAGCACGATCACAACGCTTGTGTCATGCACGATGGTTTGTTGTAGATACGCTGCATCCATGGCTCCGTAATCGGTTCGGTCTTGTAGCAGTTCCTTCGTACATTTGATTGTCTTCGGCACGATCGAACTGATGGCTGGGAGCACGAGGATCATCGGGTGTAGAAAGTCTATACCTAGAGGAAGACGGCCAAGCGATAATGGCAAGACGCGAGGTTGTGCCCATGCGGCTGATTGATACCACCACAATCAAGCTTGTAGAGATGTTACCAAATCCAAAGTCAAGACGAGAAGCCGCGAAAGGGTATGCGATCCTTTCACATACGTGGGGAGAACGAGGTGACCTACCAAGCCATGGTTACTTCGGAACCTTTGACATGGAAGGCTGGGTACGCAGAAATCCTGGGAGACCTGTCAACAGGCCCGCAAAGACGGATATAACTACGTCTGAAAGACACTTGTTGCATCAACACAGAAAGCAGCGCCGATCTGAGCGAAGCCATCAACTCCATGTGGATGTGGTACCGCGCATCAGCGTTTTGCTATGTACTGCTCGAAGACGTAAGTACATTGCCGGAATTTGCTGAGGCACGGTGGTGGACCCGAGGTTGGACGTGACAGGAGCTACTAGCCCCTTACAACGTCGTTTTCTTCAACGAAGACTGGTGTCGTCTTGGTGACAACCGAACACTGAGCGCCGTGATCACCCGTCGCAGCCGCATTTGAGTGACGTCCTGAATGCAGGCGAGCTATTGCGGCGATCAGTTGCGGAGAAGATGTCGTGGGCAGCCGGGAGGAACCCAACACGAGTGGAAGAGCGAGCGTATTCTCTGTTGGGTATCTTCGACGTCCATATGCCTTTGATCTATGGTGAAGGGGAAAAGGCTTTCTTGCGGTTTCAGGAAGAGATCGTCAAGCGCTCAGACGACAATTCCCTCTTCGCATGGCCCATCCATGACAGCTACCAGCCTCAACTGCTAGTTAACAGCCCAGACGCATTTGCAAGCTGCGGCGCCGTCCGTTGCATGCAATCACGCAAAGGCCGCTCGTCCTACTCTCTCACCAACCGAGGGCTGTCCATCAAGCTTCCTACTATAATGTACAGTACGGAGATGTACTTGGTCCGCCTAGATCGTGGTGACCCACGCCTGTTGAGCAGAGCCGACAGCGACCAAGTCGCTTCGTTCCTGATAGATATATTCCTCATGAGGCTGGACAAAGATGATCAGTTTGCCAGAGTCGAGCACGCTGGATAGACGTTCATACAAGCGCCACCGTCGACCTGGGATGACGAGCAGTGGCGCTTAAACCGGACAGGTCGGCCGGTGGAGCACTTGAACATCAACGTGCGGCGAAATCTCGTAGACGCCGACCCGTGGACATGAACCCGGACACTTGGACTCGGCGGGATCGGGTGTACGGTTTCCGTTTCGCCAACAAGGAGCTGATCGAGGCATCCGCTTCCGGCAAGGAGCGTTACCGAGTGTCTGCTAAGAATTGCTAAGCGGACGAGCACATTATGTCCATGCCGCCCGGCGATTACCACTTTGTCGGTTCGCTCGACATCAGCGAACAAGGCCGCAAGATCCGCCTCGTGAAGCTAGGCTATGGCCTCGACTACAACCCCGTGTGTCTTGTTGATACCGGAGGAGGTCGAGGTGACATTGCCAGTATTTCCCAGAGGCAGTCGAGCGCCGAGGAAAAGGCGCACGCTGCGAACATCCACCGCCGCACGCCGTTCGACTCTCTATGCTGGGACCAGGTCCGGGGTAGTTGGGCAAATCGACTGTTTCATTTCTCATGCAAGAGCAAGCGGACCCTTTCAAGCAAGCCGCCGGACGCCGCCAAAGCCAAGAGCGCCGTACATAAAGCAAGACTTGGATTACCGAGGCTGCGGACGCCAGCACTTCCCGCAGGTCCAGGTCCTGTCGTGGCCTGCACGTTCTTAAGGGTCGCAGTAAGCAAAGGCACAGTGACACTCAAAGTCATCGTGGTCGTGGAGCCGCTGACCGTGGCCGTCATTGTCGTCGCGGTGACAGTCTGCTGGACATCATTATATCTCACGCCGCTCAAACCGCATAGCGAGGAGTTCCCGAGCGCTGAAGCCGGGTACAGAACTCTCGGCAGGCCTTCGGACATTGGGAGATCGATGAAGCCGGAGGAGTCCACCGTGTAGTTCGCGCAGGTCAGCACCTCGGTGAGCTGAGTGCCGCTGACGTAGCCTAAGCCGCCCAAAGATACCGTGAGGGTCGCCGAGCTTGCATTCTGGCCGCTATTGGTAAGAACAGTAACAATCTGGCTGCCGTTCGCACCTCGCGCCATAATCATGGTGTGGTCGTCTTGATAGACGAGGTCAGAAGTGGCGGTAGATAGACCTGGTTGTGTCTGCATAGCGTGACGGCGGAGAAGGTTGAGTGTTGCGATCATCTGGTAGATGGGTGCGAAGACATCGAAGCCATGCTCCCAAAGCGGCTCACGATTGGTAAATGGATTCGTGCCACCACTGAAGTGCTGCTCTTGGCCTTGATAGATAACCGGTATGCCGTCGTGCATAAGCACAAAGGTGGCGATGTTCATCGCTAGAGACAGGTCGGATGTCGAGTTGGCGAAGCGCGGTACGTCCTGATTCTACTCTAGTGTCAGCAAGCAGCATGACCACATCGCGGCCTCTGCAAAGGCTTACCTCGCTGAAAGTGGCCATAGCAGTTGTATTCTGACAGTAGGTCTTTTGGGCATCCATAACAGAGGCCAGCTCGGAGAAACTGCTGCCTGGTTGAAACGCACTGACCAAAGGCCAGTAGACCGGGTAGTTGAGCATACTGCCCACAGCGTCCTGCCACTCGCACGCTTGCGTCGCATTCGAGAGATACACTTCCGCCGTGGCAAACACGCCGGACCGCTTGATGAACCCTGGGAAGAAGTCCGGTTGCACGTTGGCGCCGGCGTCGATACGCAGGCCGTCTACACTATAGTTGGCAACCATTTGCTCGATCCAGTCGCCAAAGATATCCTGGACTTCCTGATCCTCGGTACGCAAGTCCACCAGCGGGACGTGTTCGCTTCCCAGCCAACACTCCTCGAGCGCGGTTGAGTTTACGCCGGAGTAGTCCATGGGGCAGTAGTCATGGAAGTACTTCTTCTCGTTGAAAGGGTTGAAGATGGTGTAATTGACATTGGTAGGATCGCCCGTGTACGTGTTGTAGGCCATGTGGTTCGGCACGACGTCCAACATGAAGAGCATCCCTCTTGCGTGGACTGCCGCGATCAAAGCGTGTATGTCGTCCAAGCCTCCAAACTTGGTGTTGATCGTGAAGAGATCTTGTTGCCAATAGCCGGCATAGGCTTGTCCATCTGAAGTGTATTGCGGAAGCTGCGCAACAATAGGCGAAACCCATATTGCGTCGAAGTTCATTCCCTGGATGTAGTCCAGATTATCAATGATACCCTTCCAACTCCCACCGCAGTAAAGACCAAGCTCGGTGTGACATGGCATCCAGAAGGTATCGCTGGAAAGAGCGAAGCGATCGGTCATAACCTGGTAAATCGAGCGCGTTCGCCATTCTTCCACCGTGGCGGCAAAGGAGAGCTGAAAGAGAGACGAGGCGAAAATAATGAGCGACAGTGCCTTCGCAGGCATAAGCAGAGTAAACATCATAACTAGCAAGAAGGTAACGATCGCGGCTGCATGCTCCACAGACAATGAAGAAGTAGGACGTGATGCTCAGAGTCAAACAGTGAGTACTCGGGAAGAAGGCGACGGACATTAAACGTAGCTTTGGCCCTACCGTTACCACCCCGTTTGCACGGCGCCCGTAGCCAACCGCCACGAGCCTGTCAGGCAGGACCAGCCTGGAGCTGGAAGGTTCATTTCGGTTTCGGTAGGCTAGAAAGGAGGTGAGGTCTGTGCCTGACCCTTCTCTCGGCTTCGCGTGGCCGGAAAACCGTTACACCGCGCTAAAGCCACGCTATCTTACCCCTGATGCTGTGAAACGAACATAACAAGAAGTGCAGAACGGGCTGGGCGCTGAGTGTGACAACCAGGCCATTGTTTGAAAACCGATGGTCGACTTGCTTATACAGTCGAGACGCCGTACTCTCACGCGCCTGAATTTGAGTGAAGAGGTCAAAGTTGCTCTTCGACGAGAGCTATAAGGATACTCTCTAATAGTACATATTAAGGATGATCTTGGATGCCGATTTCTGAACTTTCTGTCTGCCCAGCAGGATACAACGCGTCGTAGATCTCGCCATGAGTACTTAGAACGCCGAACACCTCGCTTGATACACATGATGACCCCTGCCACCAATACACTCGTGCATTTAATCTTTCATTGACAACATGTCCCCGTCCAGAAGATCGACTTCGGCGGAACACGCTGAGTCGATAGACGAAGCCACTCACATAACCGGCGCACCAAATTGGGCCCTCAACTGCACAATTTGGTCTCTCGCAACCGGATCGAGCGCGAAAATCTGCTCCCTTGACATTGCTAGGATCTGTTGGATGAGCGCCGCCTGATCTGGCGGCATACCTGGCGGCGCCGAAGGTGGTGGAGGCTGCGCTTGGGGCACTGGGGGAGGGTTGTATGCCGGCTGCTGCACTGGCGGAGTCGGCGCGTACCCGTGAGGTGGGCCTTGCTGGTAAGGTAGTGGCATGGGCGTGCTATATTGCTGCGGTGGCGGCTGCGCATACTGTGGCGGCATGGCCTGCTGTTGGTATTGGTGGGCTATCGAAGGAGGTGCTTGAATCGGCGTCTGAGGCGGTGGCGCAGCTTGTGCGCCTGGTAGAAGCTCTTGGAGCTTGTTTGTGTCTACCAAGCCTAGTAGTAGTAGTGCTTGGAAGATGGCATAGCTCAGTTGCGGTGCTTGTGCAAGGAGTGCTGCGGCTGACATTGGGTTTTCGGTCGCCAAAGTCTTCATCTGGCTAAGGATATCGAGCAGCTGCGCCGGTGGTATTGTTGCTAAGGTTTTACTGATAGCGTCAGGCGCCGACATGCCTGCAGGCAAATCGACACCTGGTGGTAACGGTGGTAGCGGAGCCGGAGCTGCGCCGTTCGACTGTGCTGGGGCTTGAGCATTGAAATGAGCTGGCGGTGGCGCTCGGGTATCTTGCTGCTGTTGAGTTTGATCCTTACTCCTTCCGCCACCATTGTCGTTGCTGTAGTCGACCCTGAGCGTTCTACCCATGACCTCGAATTCGTTCAAGTTCCGCACGGCTGACGCTGCCGCATCGACATCTGTGTACTCCAAGAACCCGAAGCCTTTGGGTTTGTTCGTCTCCTTGTCGTACACCAGTCGGAAACTAACCACGTTCCCTACGCGACCAAAGATCTCGCATATTTGCTCCTCGCTGACTCCATATGGTATGTTGCCGATGAAGACCACGCGACCACCTTTCTCCCGTTGCGCCATGACTGGAGGCCCGTCGTCTTGCCTTTGTTTTGCGTACTGCCAAACCCTGGCTTGGCTTGTACGCGGATACCAACCCACTCACTTGGATATCCCGTGAAGATTTCTATTGCCAGAAGACCTGTTGATCTCGAGTTGCAAGTCAATGTCGCGTGACATGCTGTTCACAATCACAACTTTCGAGTAGAAAGCTCGGACCACATGACCGGAGCCGCCTCCGACGACTCCCTTAGTAAATGAACTGCTTGAGTCGCGTACTTCCACCTTCGCATGATTCAATCATATCCCGTCAACCCAACAGCGCGTGCGAGAACACAGTGCAGGGTGCAGAACTCGTTGAGAGCAGGGCGACGATGAGATAAGGTATGTTCAACTTCACGCCATTACTGGGCGCTCAGGCGGAGTCGGCAGCGTCGCAGTCGCTGCTTGAACTCGATGGAGGCATCAAGGTGCTGGTGGACGTGGGCTGGGATGCGGCATTTGATGCGCAGAGGCTAGACGCTATAGAGAGGCAGACATCCACCCTGTCTCTCGTACTGCTCACACATGCTACCACCGAGCATCTAGGCGCATACGCGCACTGCTGCAAGCACATTCCCCTCTTCAGCAAAGTGCCCGTCTATGCTACCACGCCAGTGATCAATCTCGGTCGGACACTGTTGTTAGACTTGTATGCATCGTCACCGCTCGCGGCGTCCATCATACATACCTCTTCCATATCGTCTTCGTCGACAACGAGCAAGGCCGACTCCTCGCCCAACCTCTTACTCCAACCTCCTACTCCAGAGGAGATCGCCACGTACTTCGCTTCTATCAATGCGCTCAAGTACAGTCAACCACACCAACCAGTAGCGTCATCATGGTCACCCGCACTAGGTGGGTTGACCATCACCGCATACGGAGCGGGTCATACGCTCGGAGGAACAGTATGGCACATCCAGCAGGGGCTAGAGAGCATTGTCTATGCCGCAGACTGGAACCAAGGTCGAGAGAATCTGCTGCCGGGTGCAGCCCTACTGTCAGGAGGTCAAGAAATCATTGAGCCCTTACAGCGACCTACAGCGCTCATCTGCTCCTCGAAAGGTGTGGAGAAGGCTCAATCGCAGTCGCGAAAGGATCGGGATGGCATGCTCCTGAGTCTTGTGAGGGATACCATTGCGCAAGGTGGCAAGGTGCTTATACCCACCGACTCCTCAGCGCGCATGCTCGAGCTGGCATTCCTTCTGAATGAGGCATGGAAAGAGAACCTAGACGGGCCACATGCGGCCACTTATCGAAGCGCAAGGGTCTACATGGCGAGCAAGAGCGGCTCCGCATCCATCCGTTATCTTCAAAGCATGCTCGAGTGGGTTGAGGAGTCTGTGAGAGCCGAAGCGGAGGCGCACCTTACGAAGACTAAGGGTTCAACCAACCCGCTGAACTGGCAGCATGTCAAGTTGGTGGAGCGCAACAGCACACTCGAGAGGGCCGTGCAGCGGTCCCAGCCATGTGTTTTCCTTGCAAGCGATGCGAGCCTCGAGTGGGGGTTCTCCAGGTTGGCACTTGAGTCGCTTGCAACAGATACCAAGAACCTGGTCATTTTGACGGAGAAGTCGGCTCCCGGCAGCCCACCACAGTCGAGCATTAGTCGACAGTTGTGGGATCTGTGGCAGAGCCGTCAGGGTCAGGGTCACACTTCCTCGAGTGGCGCTCGGCTTGTGGACACAGATGGCACGGCGATTGGGCTCCAAGAAGCTAGCACCGCTCCGCTGAGTGACGCTGAGAGGGCGCTCTATGAGACGTACATCACCCGTCAACGACAGCTGCACAGCACAATGCAAGGCGACAACACCTTAGCCGACGCAACAGCGCCCGATGTCGCCGAACAACAAGACGAAGAGGAGTCTGAATCAGAGGACGAAGATGAAGATGCCGAGCACCAAGGTCGTGCTCTTAACTTGTCGGCGCAAATGACGCAGTCCAGCAAACGCAAGGCTGCCCTCTCAGACGCGGAGCTCGGCGTCAACGTCTTGTTGCGTGGCAAAAGCGTGCATGACTATGATGTACGCAACAAGCGAGGCAGAGAGAAGATGTTTCCTTTCGTCGCTCATCGGACGAGGAATGACGAATTTGGCGACCTCATCAAGCCAGAGGAGTACCTACGCGCCGAAGAGCGCGACGAGGTGAACGGCGTCGACATGCGCGATGGTAACAAGGAAGACCTCGCTGTCGGCAAGAAGCGGAAATGGGATGACGCTTCTACCTCCGGTCCGAAGGGTCGCAAAGGCACAAAACCGCAGAATAAACGCGCCAAGATCGACAAGGACAAGGCGAACGCGCCGGATGACATTGATGCGGCCATTGCGCGAGCGACGGGCGAGTCTGCGGGCAACAAAGCACAAAACGGTACACCTGGAGACGGCAGCGACGAAGATGAAGAGAGCGACTACGAGCCCGAAGAGCTCATGCCAGAAGGCCCGCAGAAAGTGGTCTTCACATCCCGCAGTCTAGCCTTGCGACTTCGAATAGCTCACGTTGACTTCGCCGGTCTGCACGATCTTCGAGCATTACAGATGATCATACCATTGATGCGACCACGTAAGCTCATTTTGATCTCTGGCGAGCGAAGTGAGACACAGACGCTGGCTTCGGAGTGTCGGCGCTTGCTAACGGAAGGAACGGAGTCGGCGGGCACTGACATCTTCACGCCGGCGGAGGGCGAGGTGGTGGATGCGAGCGTTGACACGAACGCTTGGACGCTGAAGCTGAGTCGGCAGCTTGTGAAAAAGCTAACGTGGCAGAACGTCAAGGGTCTGGGTGTCGTGGCTCTGACGGGCAGATTGGATGCCGAAACGGCAGCAGAAGACGCGGTAAAGGAGGAAGAGGAGAACGCAAAGAAGAAGGTGAAGCTCGAAAGTGGCAACGATGAACTTGTAAAGCCAGCAAGAAGCATGACAGCCACGAGCGTTCCAATCCTCGATCTTCCCAACTCCACGGCGAACGCGGCTCAACAGCACCAGCGTGTCACACAACCCGTCCATGTTGGCGATATGCGGCTCGCAGACCTACGACAAGCATTGCGTGGAGCGGGCCATGAAGCCGATTTCCGCGGCGAAGGTACGCTGCTGGTCGATCAGGCGGTTATTGTACGCAAGTCCGCGAGTGGACGTATTGAGATTGAGAGTGCGGCAAGGGGTCTGCAGCAGCCAGAATGGAGGACACGAGAGAATACAGGCAGCTTCTATGCGGTGAGAAATGCTATCTATAGCGGTCTTGCGGTTGTTGCTGGCGTGTAAACCTAGGGATCGCTCGAAGCGGTCAACAAACAAATGGTGGAAAGAATGATAGCACCATACTGATTCGAGAAGCGTTTGATGTGTGAATCTCAAAGCGACGCCATTCGTGATCGTTATTCGAAACAGCGATCTATGTCTAAGTCCTGGAACAACGGCACCCATCACCGAGAACCGTGACTGTCGAAGATGCGCATAACAGCCAGCGTGACGATCGGGTTGCCCATGATCACGTCATGAAGACCGTACTTCAAAATTTCTTCGCGGATGATGCCATGGCTCGTCCTCCATTGCATCACTGTGCCCGCAGCTCCTAGGTCGACTCGGGATTTCGCCTTCGCCTCGTCGAGCTCCTCTCGAGTCATGCCGTCCGCTTTCGTAGCGTTGACGGCGTGCCAAAAGACCGTCGTAGAATGTTCCCATGGGATGTCGTAATCATCTTCGGCATGCAGTATTGTTATGCGGTATGGTGCACTCAATGCTTCTGCGGCATGAACGTAAGAGGCGATGCGGTCTTTGGTCGACCATTTTTCGCGGACGAAGTTTTTGAGGTATTCGAAAACAACTGGAAACCGAGCCAGCGGTCCGAGAAGTGGTATCGTTCCAGCTATGCTATATGTTGATACAAGAGTCGGTGCGTCGACGAAGGGGGCAGTGAGAATGTGGCCTGCGAAGATGACGGGGTTGGCTTGCCGCACGAAATGCTCCGCGCTAGCCATGTTGACTGCAGTGCCCATGGATTGACTGTATATAAGGATGTGGGATGCTGGTACCTTTGCTGCGTTCATGGCCCACTCTATCACGGTTACAGCATCGGTAATCAATCCTCTTTCCGAAGGGCTGCCGGTGCTGCGTCCAAAACCACGGTAGTCGAAGGTCAGAACGTGAATATGATCCGGCTGGACAGCTAGGAGAGCTCTGTAGTTCGGACATCGATAGCCTGATGCCACTGTGCCAGCAGCGCCGTGCATGTGAATGATGAGCCAGGCATCTGGGTCTTGTTGAAGGAGCTGGAAGCCGAGCCGCGAAGTGATGTCCTGGACCGAGCCCGAAGGCTCCGTATTTAGAGCCTCTTCGTGCTTGCGGTATAACCCAACGGGCAGTATGTGCCAAGTGTAGAGCGTCTCGCCATCGTGCGTCTTGATATGGAACGGGGTCACCTGATTGTGCAAGAAGCCGAATAGCTCCGGGATGTTGAGGTCCTTGAACCATGTCATTTGTATGGCATTCAAGTAGACCACGTGCGCTTGAAAGAAAGGTTGCGTGAGCAGTCCCAGCAGGCCTAGGTATAGTGCACCTAGAGTTGCTGCCGTCAAGGCGGCATATCTAAGGAGCGAAATGAACATCTTCAGTGGTATCTGAAGTTGCTTGTACGCGTCAAGGAGGGTTCCGGCGTTGATAACGGACAACTTGAGAGAACACAAATGACATGCTGGAGAGTCTTACCTTGCTGAAGATAGTGCGAGCGCGGATGTAGGGATTGCATGCCATCCAGGCTGAAAGCCAGCGCTTGCGCTCGTGGCACGGGCAGCCCGCTGCTGTGCCTTCTTTTTGTGGCGTCCAGCATGCCCCACTCCCTCGAAACGTTATAGGCTCGTGCCTGACCTACTGTGCATCCTATCACGCGTACCTATCCTTCGAATTTTACACCATGCACGGCAACGACAATCATGAGCGTTTAAGTCACGGCAGAATGCTGGACCTCCACAATACCACTGCTCCACGGAGTCGTACATCGCAGCACCGTACAATACCGGCGTGATTGTCATGTCCACGACATCAACAGGACACAACACCGCTAGGACAGTCGAAACGCCGCCCCACCGCAGCGCCATGCCACCGCGCAGCCGCCAGCCTGATCAATGGCTTGTCAAGGATGCTCTCATGTCCGAAAATGGGACCTGTTGCCGTGCGGCACAGTTCTTGTGCTGGGTGCCAACTATTAAGGCTGGGATCTCGCGCATACGAGCACGCAGGTAGCGCTTCTGTGCCTCGTATATCGATTGTTCGTTAGTGAATCATCAATGAGCATCTAGAATCACCATGAGCAACGGTATCTGTACGGACTGTAACGGCACCGCAAGCGCTTCATCTTCACACTTAGTGGGCTGGACTCTGGAGTCTTCAGGAAGGGGTACCTTAAGCCTGATCCTAACGTGTGCAACAACCACTGCTTTATGCACGTGGGTAGTCATACACCCTCGTATTGACAAGAGACGCAAGTTCCGGCATCTTCACAAGGTCGCACTCTTCCTCAAAACTTTCATCGCTCCAGAGTTCATAGCGGTAGAAGCTGCCCAAGAATGGAACCAAGCCCGACACATCATTCAAGAAAGTTCAGCACACACTAATGGTGAACTCAGACTTGTCGAAGCCTTTTACATCGGCATGTTTGGCATTCGATATCGTACGTCTCTTGGAACTAAGATCCTGTGGCCAAATCAGTGGATCTGGCTGTTGCAGAATGGTCTTTTTAACTGGAAGACACGCGATGACTGGGGACTTGACAGGGAGAGCATCCGTGACAAGAACAATGCGGATGCGACAGCCAAGCTGTTTGCTGTGCTTCAAACTGTGTGGTTCGTCGCACAGTCTATCATGAGAGCGGCGCACAACCTGCCTCTAGCACCGCTCGAGGCGATGACACTGGGCTACATCCCACTCTTCGTGGTGGCTTACGCTTATTGGTGGCTTAAACCGAAGGACATTGAGACCCCATCTGTTGTTGACCTGCCAGCCATGCCCGATACGGTGAGGAAGGACTTCGAGGCGATGGAGCTGACTAGCTCATTCGACAATGAAGGCAAACCGGAACAGTCTTCTCTGTGGCAGGTTTGGGCTTTGATGCCCAGGATGTTCGAGAAGGAAGCTCTGGACCTGGAGTACCACCGAGCTGAGCAGGAGTTCGAGAAGCGGAGTATGCTTTACAACAGTCATTTCTTGATCTGCCAAAGGAGGGGGTGCAAAGAATGCAAGCGTTTGAGACCGAGTACTGTGAGACGGCGACATGAAATGCTTTTAGCAAACTGGGATCCGACGCTGTATCATTCGAAGCTGTGGCCGATAATCTGCTTGGTTGGAGTATCGTTTCCAGCACTACATCTGATAGCGTGGGATACAGTGTTCCCAACCAGAGTCGAAGCTTGGCTGTGGCGGGCAGCTGCGATGACGTCCATTGGGTCCATGTTGGTGTTCATGCAGTTCGAGAAGGTGATCGTCCGCTGGAGCGACCCACTTATGGCCATCAAGATTCTGTCGCCTGCGCTCTACCTCGTCAGTCGGTTTATCATGCTGGGAGGTGCCATAGCAGCCTTCCGAGCCTCTGACCCAAGGACCTACGACACTTATGTAGTGTCGACTTACTGGGTACATCTCTTGTAACCCGGCCCGCACCAGGTGCGCCTGATGCGTCATCCCTGTCAAATTCTGTGCCGCAAGCGGTACGTTGAGTTGAAGTCACGGCTCTCTCAACTCGAGGTAGTGGTTCGGTAGGCGGAAAGCTCAAGCTATGCGGACGCCTCCGCCTCCGCTTGTCGACTGGCAATACTGCCACCTCGCCAGCTATGCTTCGGATCCTGGCGCTCATGCTGCCTAGTCTCGCTGCCCTTGCCAACTGGTCCCCAACCACCTCCACCTGGCGTCTTAACGATAATGCGTTCACCGGGTTGCATCGAAGCGGTGTTCTTGCCACCCATGTTGATATGTCTGTATTCTTCATCTGCAGTGTCTTCTCCAGCCTCATGACGTTTGCCTGGAGCGTTGGGCGGGTTCTCCTGCTTGCTACTACCGTCTTTGTTGCCATTGGCTTGCGCATCAGCATCCGAGCCCTTCATCTTGGGCACCCTGCGCACCCAGACATTCTGACCGCATGCCGCATCTCCACCTCCTTCCAGGCCGTACGGATGGTACACCCTTCGCTCACTGAGTATGCTGACTTGCACCGGAATGCGGAATTCAATGTCTCTGACCACACCGTCACCGCCCTTGTGCTGTCCCTTGCCGTGACTGCCAGCCCGAAGACTGAACTCGCGTAGAATGACCGGGTACCGTCTCTCGAACACTTCCGCGTCTGTGATGCGTGTATTCGTCATGTGAGTATGCACGCCATTCGTGCCATCCCAGTCTGGGCCGGCACCGCTACCGCCTGCGATGGTCTCATAGTAGCCGAACCCTTTGACAGCCTTCTCACCTTCTATATTTCCACCGAATCCGAAGGTGAGATTGTTGCAGTCGCCCTGACTCGCTGCGCAAGCGTTGAATGCCTTGAGCACAACGTCCGTGACTCGCTGGCTAGTAAGCACGTTGCCTCCAACCACTGCTGCTGTTCCAGATGGCGACAAGAAGCTCTTCTTTGGGATGACGACCTTGACCGGTGACAGGCAGCCTTGATTGAGCGGAATGTCCTCTTTGATCAAGCACCGCAAGCAGTAGATGATGGCACTGTAAGTCACAGCTTCCGGGGCGTTAGTGTTCCCGTATACCTCTGGACCTGTACCAGTGAAGTCGAAGACAGCTTCTCCCTTCTCGGCATCAATAGTGACCTTCAGCTGAATGGGTGATCCATCGTCCATGTAGTCAACCGCCGACAGGTCATGGCCTTCGAACCGCTTACTGACATCCTTCAGCAGGTTCCGCACGCTAAGCTCTGCATTGTCCTGGATATTGCGCATATAAAACTGCACGACCTCCTCACCATAATCGTCGATCAAGGCGCTGATCAGGTTGATACCCTTCTGGTTAGCCGCAATCTGTGCCTTCAGATCGTTGAGGTTGTCCGGTAGACACCTCGTTCCACTGCAGCCAGGGTAGCGAGCCGGCTCGTCAAGAAGCAGCTCAGTGATTCGTTTCTCGTTGAAGTGGCCCTCCGAGACCAGCTTCTCCGTCTTGATGCTCGCTCCCTCCTGGAATAGCTCTCTCGAATGCGGCGGCATCGAGCCGGGTAATATGCCACCAATGTCCGCGTGATGCGCACGGGACGCCACGTAGAAGACGATCTTGTCGCCGCTGAATGCAGGCGTGATGACAGTAATGTCTGGTAAATGCGTGCCGCCGAACATGGGATGGTTCGAAACGAGCACATCACCCTTCTTCAGCTTACCTCGCCATATCTCGGCTTGCTTTTGTACACAGGTGCTCATGCTGCCCAAATGCACTGGCAAATGCGGCGCATTGGCTACAAGCCCACCGTCCGAGTCGAACAATGCACAGGAGTAGTCAAGCCGTTCCTTGACGTTAGTGCTGACACTAGTCTTTTGCAGCGCTCGGCCCATCTGCTCAGCAATCGCCATGAACCGATGTGCAAAGATAGAGAGCATGATTGGGTCCGCCTCTTTCGTGTCTACCTTCGTATCCTGCCCATCGCTCTCTCCAAGATTGATCACGACATGTGTATCAATTAGCAGTGCTGATGCATCCGGAGTTACAACGATAGTCTGCGTCCCGTCTGCAATGATCGCAGGCCCTCGTATCCGGTCTCCAACTGCCAGGTCTTCGAGCTTGTAGACAGCGGTCTCTTGTCGACCACCATCGAAGTAAACGGAACGCTTGCCGTACACTTTCTCGTCCCCCTTGATGTCTTTAGGCTTAACCTCCTTCAATTGCTGATCCACCGTCTTCTCTAGTCCTTCGAACGTCTTGCCAATACCGCGAGCGCGCACATCGTCGACGATGATGTCTCGGTCAGGAAGAGTGAAACCAAATTCTTGTTCATGCTGCTTCACAAATGCTTTGCCAAAAGCCCACTCCTCGCCATTATGCTCCTTCTCAGCTTCCTCCTTGCTCGGCTTCACAACCATGAGCGCAGACTCCGTGCCCCGATATCGCATGTTGAGATACTCTTCGAATCGGATTTGGTTCTCTTCGAAGCCTTGGTCACGCAGCGTAGCCGTCGACTTCTTCTTCAGGTCTTCCATCTTACCTTGCAGATACTTTCTAACGTCACCGTCATCAGACCACACCTTACTTTCCGGCTCCTGCCGCTCGTCTACCACATCCGCAAGCGCCATACCGTAAGCTGAGAGCACGGAAGAATAGCGGTGTATCAGTATCTGACTGATGCCAAGTGCCTCTGCGATGGCTACCGCATGCTGCCCGCCTGCGCCACCAAATGTCGCAAGCCTATGTTTACTCGTGTCGTGCCCTCTTGCTTCCGTCAGTGATCGAATAGGCCTTGTCATGGTTTCGTTCGCGATCTTAATAAATCCATAAGCGATCTCATCCGTACTCATTTCCCCCTTCTTCCCGCTCCCCTCTCCCCTGGCAACCTCCTTATTAATCTGCTCCGTAAGCTCCTTGAAGGCCTTCTCACTCGCACCCTCGTCCAAGCCCTCGTCCTCGTTCTTGCCGAATATCTTCGGGAAAAAGTCCGGGAGCAGGCGGCCGAGGTAAAGGTTCGCGTCAGTTATAGTGAGGGGACCACCTTTGCGATAGCATGCTGGTCCTGGATGTGCGCCTGCGCTTTCCGGCCCAACCACAAAGAGGCCGTTTCGGAAGAAAAGCCTGCTGCCACCGCCGGCAGCGACGGTATTGATGTCCAGCTGTGGACTCTGTATGGTAACACCAGCCGTCGTCGTCTCAAAGACATGATCATATCTGCCGCTTCCGTACCTACTCACGTCCGTACTCGTGCCTCCCATGTCGAAACCTATGACGGGCGTCTTGGTGTTGGGATCATAGCTGGTAAGCGCATAGCCAACAACACCACCGGCCGGTCCAGACAAGATCGCTCGCAGGCCGGAGAAGATGTCCACATCCACCAGCCCACCGTCCGACTGCATGAACTCGCATCTCGCACCCTTGGAGCCCTCCTCGCGCTTCACACTTTCGGTGCCCAGACCACCTGCGAAACCTTTCTGGAAGCCGTTGATGTACTTCCGGATAGCAGGTGTAAGGTAGGCATCTGCGCAAGCGGAAGTCGCCCGGGGCACGAGCTTGATCATCGGCATGAGCTCATGCGAAAGAGATACATGTTCGAAGCCGATGGCTTTTGCGATACGTCCAACGAGAGCTTCATGCTTCGGGTAGGTATAGCCATGCATTAGACAGACCGCTATACTTCGCAAGCCCGAGTCGTAAACTTCTTGCAGCTGTTGCCGTATTTGGTCTTCCTTCGGTCTCTGCAGTATTCGCACAGCCTCGCCTGACAAACCTTTGACAAGCTCAGCATCTTCTGACGCATCTTCTGCGGCAGCAGCATCCGTCTGGTGCCGCTCAGGATCCTCGGCATAGTCTTCCAGCGTTACTCGTTCATCTATCTCCACGACTTTCTTGTACAGGACTTCAGGCTTCCGGATTGCCAAGTCGAAGATGTTCGGTCTGCTCTGGTTGCCAATCTCGAGGCAATCCTTGAAGCCTTTGGTCACCACCATGGCGATGTCTTCACCCTTCCGCTCCAAAAGCGCATTCGTCGCTACTGTGGTACCCATCCGTATACTCTCAATCTTGCTTGTGTCCAACGGCTCACCACGAGGGATCTCCTTACCTTGAAACTCGGACAGCAGGCGTCTGATGCCTTCCAGCGGCGCGTCGTCGTAGTTCTGCGGATCGACAGAGAGCAGCTTGATGATCTTGTCATCCTCCATCTTGCCCGTACCGGGATTGCCAACACAGTCCGTAAAGGTCCCACCGCGGTCGATGGCAATACGGATGCCGCGTTCGCTCTTCTTCTCCGACGCCATTTTGAGTGAGATTGTTGGGAGAAGACTAGAGGGACAGGGAGCAGAAGAATATGGCACTTATCGACTGTGAGAGAGAATCGACCTACATATGACCCGCGAGCTTGAGTTGGCCTGCAATGAGGCTATCGTGTACCTATCTCGAGCGCAATTATTGGGTGTGCCCCATTACGCCCCGCTGATGTTACAAAGCATCAATTGGAGCTTCACGGTGACGTTGGAGGCACAGAAACTCGCCTACGCTCGGACCGGTCTGGATCTGGATGCTGCACTGAAGACATTCAAAAAGATGATCGCCAAAATGCCTTGACGATAACAACTACAGCATATCATATTACCTTGGCCAGAGAGGGTGAGATAGCCTCCAAAGCTTGAGCTGCCTACATCCTTGCTAATCCTAGCGACCCTGGAGCCCAGTATTGCTTGTACGAGTCGTTTAAACATCGTCTGTACATATATATACGCAGTTCACGTGCCATTGACAGGGTATAAGATGGCAAGTACCCACACGGTCACGCATCTGGATTCCTCGGAATCATTTGAGCGACCAGCCATAGAGTTCAACAAGCACTACAGGCCTGAAGGCGGACGCCATAGCACCTCAGTGGATACTGCAATTGACGCCTTCCATCGGCAACTGCCCGAGTATGGCGAGACAAGGTTGCACAGTCTGCCGGAGATTGCGAAAGACCTCGGATTTGCTCACGTCGTCTTGAAGGAGGAGTCGACACGCTTTGGGCTACCATCTTTCAAGATTGCTGGTGCGTCTTGGGCCATCCATCAAGCGTTATGTGAGCATCTGCGCTTACCGCCATCCACAAGCTTCGTCGAGCTGAAAGAAGCCATTGCTGCCGCTACGGGACCCACAGTACGTCTGGTGACATGCACTGAAGGCAACTGGGGTCGCGCTGTTGCGCGGATGGCCAAGTATTACCGCCTGCCGGCCACAATCTACGTGCCGTACTTCATGAACACTTACGTGCAGGGTCTGATTCGTGGTGAAGATGCTGAGGTGCGAGTCCTTGAAAACGGATCGTATGACGATACGATCGAAGCTGTCCGGCGCGATGCCGAGAAGACCGGTGCACTGATGGTGATGGACTTCAGCTGGGCCGGCTACGAGAAGATACCGCGATGGGTTACCGAGGGTTACTCCACCATCCTCCGAGAAACGGATCGCCAAGTTACATCGATGACCGGAAATTATAGCTTGCCGAAGCTCGCGTTTGTGTCTGTCGGAGTGGGATCGTGGGCTCATGCCGTAGTTGAGCACTACCAGGCGGACGAGCTTGCGAACGAGGTGGTATCGGTTGAACCTGATACTGCGGCCTGTCTGAAGGAGTCTCTGCTTTGCGGAGCGTTGACCAGCATTTGCACGGGTGAGAGTATCATGAATGGCATGAACTGCGGCACGCCTTCTGCTCTTGCTTGGCCAGTATTGCGCGATGGCATTTACGCTGCAGTTGCGGTCACCGACAAGGAAAGCCATACCTGCGTGCAGGAGCTCCAGAAGCGGCGAATCAACGCCGGGCCCTGCGGTGCGGCGACGCTGGCGGCATTGAGAAAGCTGTGTGCGGATACCAAAGTCGCGGACAGGCAAGATAAGATAGCCGTCCTCTTCAGCAGTGAAGGCATGCGTGAGTACGATCCACCAGTCTAGGTGTCAATAATCGGGCCAGCTAGGGTCGACTTCTGCTCGCCACGCTCGGAAGCCATTTTTGATGTCTTTGACTGTTGCGAACGCAAGCTGGTCACTCATCCGGTCAATGACCGCCTTCGCAGCGAGCTGGGAATCGTTGCCAAGCCTGCAGATGATGTATCTGTCCCTGCCGTCTTGGGCAAGCGCACCTCTCAGCACACCTTGCTCGAGCCACGAGTCCGCATTGCCCGTCCACGGTACGTTGATCGAGCCACGCAGTGCACAGATGGCATACTGAGTTTCGTCGCGCACATCAATCAGAACATTGCTGCCATCCCTCGGTAGTTGCGAGAAATCGCTTGCGGTCATGCGAAGAGCGGGTGGGAGCAGGTTGACTGGTGTCGTCACGCCGCAGAAGGCAATGTAGTCGAGGGAGCCACTGGTCAAACTCTGCGCGGAAATGGTAGGTTGCGCAGAGCAGACCGCACAATCCTTTCTTCTTGGCCTCATGCGCACAGACCGGAACTGAGGCATGCTATAGGCGGAGAACATAAGTAGGCTAGGCTTTGTACTTTCGGTGTCGCCGAAGTCCGTGGTTAGGTTGACAAAGTTGGCTTGGGGCTTTGGCTTGGCGGTGAGGAGTTTGACCGCTTCCAAGGCTTGTAGTACTCCCATCACGCCTACGACGGGTCCTAAGATTCCCCCTTCGCCGCAGCTCAGAACACTTTCAGCAGGTGGCGGAGTTGGAAAGACACATCTGTAGCAAGGCCCGCCTGATGCGTCGCCAGGTGGTCGAGGTGGGTTGTTGAGCACGATAAGTTGACCTTCTGTCTTGAGTGCAGAAGCAGAGACGAGAGGCTTTTGCGCAATCACACAAGCGTCGGATACCAGGTAGCGAGACGTCGGGTGATCGGTGCAATCAAGTACCAGGTCGTAAGCACAGATAGTCTGCAGGGCGCGCTCCGCGATTAGAGCAAAGGGATGGCGGATGTAGTTCACAAGCGGGTTGAGACTGAGGCGAGTTGATCAGAAAGAGCATGGCGAGGATTGTAGGTACAGCTACGTACGCCTGCAGGTACTCCAGCGCGCTGTCCACCTTACTTGTGCCGATTCTCTCTGTACTGTGTGCAATTTGTCGATGTAGGTTGGATAGTTCGACATCATCGGCGTCCACCAGACCAAGTGTACCGACCCCCGCTCCAGCTAGGTATGCTGCTGCAGGACATCCTAGCCCGCCCACGCCAATGACCAGGACTTTGGCGTTCTTCAGCCGCAACTGGCCATGGAGTCCCACTTCAGGGACGATGAGCTGACGGCCGTAACGTTTGTACTCTTCGTCTTCGAGCGGCCACCTCCTGCCTGCTGGCCGCTCGCTCCCAGCTCTATCCACAGATACCGGAGTAGGCGCGCCTTCAAGTCTTCCGTCCTGGCGCAACCGCTGCGAGACGTCATCGCCAACATGCCAGTCAAGTACAGAGAGTGCCTCGCCTATCCACTCGGCAGGCATCCCGCCTAGGTAGGCATCGTTCAGATGTCTGGCCGCCTCCGCATGCTGCTCGGCGGCCACCAGTTGCTCCTTGAGAGACCGTAACTGAGCCTCGGTAGCAATAACCTGCGCTCGCAGACGCGAGACGTGGAGGTCTGTTGTGGTACCATCGATGTCCATCAGGGGATGATGTATGAAAGGCACAAAGCGTACTGACTTGCGTACACAAAGCAGGGATATACTATTCTGGGTCTACAGGGCCCAGGTCAAGGGCCTCTCCCGAAGGCCGTGTCACGCTGGTGGCAGACTTGGCGGCGCGGCAGACCCCTCAAAATCCATTCACCCTTCTCCGCATCGTGGCGTGATTCTTTCATACAATCAGCAGCATACCGCTTTACGTTCCTAGCAGAAGTGCACTCCTTCACCAATGGTCCAGAAAGAGTTACTGCGCAGTTTTCTCCTGCCGCGTTGCATGTTCTTAAGTGCTGACGTTGCAGGCTTACGCACCGCTATGGGAACCCGGAAGTCGGCAGCGCTCTCCCCACTCATTGGCTTTCGGCGGACGACGAGAATGCGGGACATGGCACCGATACCACAAGATAACGGAATGTTACTCCTATCCACTGGTTTCAAAATACCATTAAGCGCGCGCGGCTGGGCCAGATACGGTCCCGAAACAGGGGTGAAACGAGAGCGCCAAGCCTGATGCGTCCACGACTACGCGTTCCGAAGGGGTTTCTCTCACTGCCCTTACCCCGGAACGTGAAACGGTTGCTTAATCGGAAGACAAATAAACTGAACCCGCAGATTCCTGAGATGCGGAAGGTGCTCCAGAAGCTCATGTTTCCTTCATGCATCAGGCCGCACGCCGCGCGTGATACAAGCTTTCTGACTTCCTTTTGCTCAATGCTTGGTCTTCTTGGCACCAACGTCGTCGTCTTACTCTTCGATGCTGCTGTTATGAAACCGTCCAATGTTTTCTATCGTTTCCCTTTTATCATGCTTCTTTGTGCCCATCCTTGCTGCGCATTCTTCGGCCGATGAGCCACCATTTTTCCAAAGCGGGGAGTACAACGCCGGCGAGTACGGCAAGTATGTCACGCAGAACTTCATAACAGCGAACGTTACGGTACCGAGATTGAACGTTAACCGGCCATTTACGAACTGCGATGATGGTTCATACCTGTTCATTGCCCCGCGCGGTGAAGTCGCAAATTCATCCGTTTGCATATTGGACGCTAGGTGCGACACGCGAGTCTTTCTAATGACGGCCATCATGACCCCTGACTTCATATAGTGGATCGCTCGTCTGGTGTACCAGCGACTTCCCAGGCCAAGCCTACAATCTGCAAGTACAGGAGTATAGAGGTCAGAAGTACTTGACCTACTGGGCGGGAAACAACTCGCTCGGCCATGGCATTGGAAAGTATTATATGGTACTTTCGCCGCTGTAACGTTCCGCGCATGCCAATCACTAACACCTCGGCAGCTTGACCAGCATTATGAGCTGTTCCGTGCAGTCGACGCCGCTGGCAACATGTCTGCTGATCTGCACTCATTCGACATCACGCCCGAAGGCACTGCCGTCCTGACTGTGTACGACATGGTCTTCACAGACCTAGCGAAACATTTTCGGAAACCTACGGTCTCATCACCGAGCATACGGCAAGCGGGCATCAAGATGCCAGGTCTACCACCACTCAGACCGGGCCGGCCGTCGAATACTCCACCCGATACGGGCTGGATTTGGGACTCGCTTTTCCAAGAGATAGACCTGGAAACCGGCGAGTTGTTATTCCAATGGCGCGCATCCGACCACTACAGCTTCGGCGAGTCATATGATCCGCTTAGGGTGGCAACGGAGCAGAAACCGTGGGATTGGTTTCACATCAACAGTGTGGAGAAGGACGCAGCGGGGAATTATCTCGTCTCAGCCCGCCATATGCGCTGCATTGCATACATCTCCGGAGAGGATGGAAGAGTGCTTTGGCAGGTCGGTGGCAGAGCGAACAGCTTCAAAGAGAAGTCGGCAGGGCGTGCCACAAACTACATCGGGCAGCACGATGCCCATTGGGTCCCCGGCAGTAACACTTCTATCACCTTCTTCGATAACCGTGGGGACTGGACGTACCACACCGAGCAGAAGTCGATGGGCACCCGTATCGAGCTTAACTTCGACGACATGAGCGCCACGCTTGGCAAGCATTACGCCCACGAAAAGAATGTCTACAGCGTATCGCAAGGCTCATACCAGACCCTACCCAATGGCCACGTCGTGCTAGGCTACGGCAACAACGGTGTTATGACCGAGTTCGACGAAGATGGAAACATTCTCTGCGACGCCTACTTCGAGCCATCGAAGGATTGGACGTCCGGCAATGTGCAGAGCTACCGCAACATGAAGTTCAACTGGACCGGCATGCCGAAGACGAGTCCAAGTCTAGAGCTGCACGAGGGCGCGCTCTACATGTCATGGCTCGGCTCGACGGAGACCGACGGCTGGTTGCTACTGCATTCCTCATCCTCAAACGGCTCGTTCAAGGAGCTTCTAAGCTTCCCCAAAGCCGGCTTCGAGACTCGCTATGAGTTCGAAGAGGATGTCCAGGTGCGCGAATTCGTCAAGATCGGCGCTCTGAACAAAGACGGCCATCTAATGGCCATCTCCTACCCAGTCAGCATCGGCGACCGCGCCACCGTTGCCGCCAACGTAACATATCCGCCTGAGGCTGGCGAGTTCGACGATCTGGAGGATGACTACGAAGCGGATGAAGTGCTGGAGCTTGAGGAGACTCTTGAGGATCTAGAAGTGCTCATTGCTTTTGCTTTGCTTGCGGGAATCAGCACGTTCTTGGTATGCTGGCTTTTCCTCGGATTACGAATGTTCAGGCCTTTGCGCACGTTAAAGCATCGATTACTTGGCTTTTGTGATGACTTCAGCAAGAGCAGGGTCGCTCAGGTCTACTACGCTGCGAGTACACAGACGGCGCAACGATTGTCCGCTCTGCTCGTTTCGGTGTCGGGTGGAAGAAGATGGATGTATCGGTCGTTGGAAGCAGATGATGAACATGAGCTATCTGCAAGTAGTTCGGAGTTCAGTGGCGGTCCGCCTTAGCGACCCATAGCATACAAAACAAGTTCTTTGCACTCATTGTGTTTCACTCCACCCACACTCTATGAACTCCCTTGGAACAACCGCAGCTTATGCCTCAGCCGCGCCAGCCTCAAACGCCTCCGGGAAGCGGCGCATGTTGTACTCAAGCGGGCCACGGTTCCTCAAGAACTGCACGTAGGCACCATCCACCCTCACGCGACCGGCCTTGCGCTTCTCAACGTACTCCTCGCGGCGAAGCGGGGTGAAACCCCAGTTCTTCGAGACGATGATCTTCTGGCGGCCCGGGAACTTGTACTGGCTTCTGCGTAGAGCCTCGATGGCGGTGGCGCGGTCTAGATGTATTCATCAGCCTCGTCCGTGAGATGGGATGATGTGGTAGTGCAGCTTACGTGAGTCACGAGTGCGAACAGAGAGCAAGATCTGGCCAATGTTGACACGGGCAACAGAACCGTTTGGCTTGCCGTAGGCACCACGCATACCGGTCTGCAGTCTATCGGCGCCGGCGCAGGACAACATCTTGTTGATACGGATGACGTGGTATGGGTGGGCGCGGACGCGGAGGTGGAAACCTTCCTTGCCGGCAACCTTTACGAGGTACCTTCGGTGGTTGTCAGTATATTGCCGTCGCCTCATCGCTGTCATTTTGGGTTTGGTAGGTCCACGTACTTGTTGGCGCAAATACGGGCCGCTTCGAGCGCCTCTGAGCTGAGCTGCTCATACTCGTTCGAGACTAGGTGGATGCAGAGAGGGAACTCGTCGACGTTCGCGCGCTTGCGGCCAAGGTCGAAGATGCGAATCTTTGGGTCTGGCACACCACGGTTGAAGCGAGACTTTGGGTATGGCTATGATGCTTGTCGTCAGTCTCTGATCTCGTATGCTCTTCTGAACGCTGAAGTGTGGCATTTCCGCCGCTTCATTTTCTCTTTTGGTGACGGTTGATGGTGGCGTACCTTGTTCTTGCAGTAGCGGTAACACCGCGCTGGACGACGAGCCATTGCGACGATGTGAGGAGGAGTTTGTGTGGTGTTGTTGTGATGGTGGAAGTTCGAAAGTGACGATCCAAAGCAGCGCTGTGGTGGCCAACGCCGGCTTTGAAATCAGTGCCAAGACTTTTGGTGGGCCAGACTTGAGTCACGATAATCGAGGACTACGAAGAAGGCAACGGTGCGAGTAAGACGAATCATGAGCCATTCTGATACATAGAACTATGTAGTGTATGACTCGAGGAAAGTGTGGGCGGATACGAGGTGCTGGAATAGTGCAGCGTCTACCAGCCGTCGGCGTACGCTGCTTCTACTCGCGGCTAGAAGTAGTGTCTGCTATGCCAGTAATGCAACAGACCGCTGGCTTTTGGAGCCGCCGGAGGACTGGCTCTACTACTTCTCTCACTGCGACACCATTGCGCCTCAACACCATGCTATGATTGCAGACCTGCCTCCACATGACATTGCGCCGCTTATGACACGTTCGTGCTCAGGATGTCACTGTCACCAGCGTCCAAGATGGCCATAGTCGAGCACATGAAGAGCTTACCGCACGCGGTACCGAGCTCAATCTGCGGGACAATTAGCGTATATTCCCCTCCACAGCTTGCAACATGCGCAATGGCTGCTTCTCAGGGCTCTAGAGGTGTGGTTGCCTTCCAGAACCATAAGAGCTCCTTCGCCAGGCTTGACATGTTCAATGGGAGAGGGTCTTACGTTGTTTCCGGAGAAGTGGTGGACGGCGCACTTGGCGAGCATGCTGTAGTCTGCAGGCGGCCGTCAGCGCATCCCTAGTGCTAAACAAGTGAAGAAACAACGTACACTCGAGCTCAGACTTTCGAAGAGGGGGCGTATTGCCAGCGATGATGACAAGCTTAGCCTTGCCGGAGCGCAGCGTCTTGAGGGTGGACTTGTAGCCAAGTGTGACCTTGCCGGACTGCGCAAGATGTCAGTTCAGATGCTGGGCATATTCGATATGCACGAAGCGCACCTTAATCGTCAAGGCAAGTTTGGCATTGATGCTGTCGGTCGTCTTCGTGCTCTTCTTCGGCGCCATGGCAAGTGATAAATCGTATGACAAAGTGCTTGTCGTCCACTGCACAATCCTGCAACAGCTGCGAAATTCGTTCGGTTCGAGTGGAGACGCTTGGGCCATTTGCGCCAAGTCTGTGCTGGCGGCAGCTTCCGTGTCCGGCTGCCGCACGCCAAGAATTTCCGCATCTCGAATATCGCAGAGTTCGCACGCGACGAAGGCAGTGACTTCATCCATTGACGAATCCTCACCGACGACGACACTACTACCGCCAAGATGGGTGTCGATCTCGACAAGCACCACGGTATGTAAATGAGCCCGAACCGCCTGCGTCTAACCACAGGCTGGGCGCAGTGACGGTAGGCAAGAGAGACCGTGTGCTGACAGCGACTTGTTGCAGTCAAGAGTGGCCACCGCAAGGCACCGAAGAGCGAGAACCCCTACCTCCGAATCCTCGTCAAGCTCTATGCGTAAGTAGTGGAAGACCGCAGGAGCAGGAAAGATTTGATCAGGACGCTGGTTGATGACTTGATAGCTTCCTTTCGCGCAGGACCGACAGCAGCTTCAACAAGACTGTCTGGCGCCGCCTCTGCGCCTCCAAGATCAACAGGCAAGTGATCACACGGTGATTGCGCTTTTGAGCCTGCTTTCTGACTTCGAAGTCAGGCCGCCAATGTCCCTCTCCAAGATCGTCGGTGTCACCGCGAACAAGCACTCCGCCGAAGCCTACGAAGGCAAGATCCGCGCCGTTGTTGGCGTTGTGACTGACGATAACCGCCTCGTGGAGGTGCCGAAGATGACCATCTGCGCACTCCGCTTCACCGCCACTGCCCGTGCTCGCATTGAGAAGGCTGGCGGCGAGTGCTTGACCTTCGACCAGCTCGCTATGCGCGCACCCACTGGCTCGAATGTTGTTCTCCTTCGTGGCCCGAAGAACGCACGTGAGGCTGTCAAGCATTTCGGCTTCGGTCCGCACTCGCACAAGGTACGCTATAATACCAACCTTGACTGTAACTGACTATGATGCTAACGGAGCTGCAGAAACCGTACGTGGAGAGCAAGGGCAGGAAGTTCGAGAAGGGTCGTGGCCGGAGAAGATCGAAGGGTTTCAAGGTGTAAGGATACACTTGCTACAAGGCTTCAGCGTTGTGGTCCTTTCCTGCGTCGAGTCAGCGCATTGTGGTATGGTGGCGGCGTATAGCGCTTCCAAATGGTCGAGGCCTCCGGCGTTCTATATGCGGGCGTCGCATCATACATAGCGGAATGAAAATCATCGCTTGAAAAGCCACATTCAGTCTCATCATGTCTTTTTGACTGCAAAATATAAGCCAATGCACTGCCTTACTACACCTGCACGCCCTGCTACCATATGAAACCCATGCTAACCTAGACCCAACTCATACAACCAACTATCCGACGCCTAAAACAAGAAGTCCAAGCAGCAACAGCACGCGAGTGCACCTAGAATTCCGGCACATATGCCTTCTCCCGCTCCACCCGACGGCCTATTCCCATAGTATCCGCCCTGCTGCGGCGGCGCTTGCTGGTAGTACATCGGTTGCTGTTGGTAGTAGCCCTGCTGTGGAGGTCCGTAGGGTCCTGGACCTCCTTGTTGATACGGGCCGGGACCAGGACCGTACTGTTGCTGCGGAGGCGGCGAGCCGAAGTTGCCAAACCCTCTCGGGTCTGCGCCTGCTGGGCCGGCGTCGTAGTGGGCTTGCTGTGGGTAGTTTGGTGGCGGGCCTTCGGGAGGGTTCTGTTGGTGTGGCATTAGCGACTGTGATACCTCTTTCCCTTGTGTGTCGAGGGATCGTACAAATTTCTGCGACATTGTGTCTCTGAGTGGTAGTGGTTACTGTTGAGATCTGCGTGGCGTAATGGGGACGCCGCAGCCGAGGTGGGATACGATGCGCCGGATGTTGCAGAGGTCGCTCACTTGCGTCAAACGCCCGCTACCGAAAAGCGAACTCCACTGATGATACTACCGAAAGGGCGAATGACACTCCGTAACATGAGACGATGGAAAAGATAGAGAGTAGGAGACTCGGAGCTCGATGACGAGGCGCAAGTCTCGGCGAGCTCGGCAGCGGCAATGGTCGGGAGAAGGAGGCGCAGTCGAGCGTTCGTGCTGCATTCCGAGTCTTCCAACGTGGCGTGATCACTTCGTGGTGGAAGTAAGCAGTACTTTCGAAACGGTGGGAGACACGTTTCGTTCACAAGAATGCGACTGTGACAGTACGGCCGTGAGCTGGGAGCAAGCAATCTCAACGGACATACATGCATAGTTGCAGGATGTAGACAGCTGTCGTATCGTAATTGCGGCTTTCACCATTACATTATATGTACGGCCCCCTGGGCGTAACCAGGCATCATTGCTCAAGCTATCCAGCGTGATGCTGGCGCTCTGCGCCTTTTAAATATACCCAACGCCTCGCTAATGTTCCGCTCAGAACGTTCTCAACAAGTCGCATGCACGGCTTGGAAATGCATGAGTATACCAACCACCAAAACTGCCCACCGTCTCGCCGAATCGAATCCGCGTACCATCAAGGGAAACCGTCTCTCAACACCCGCTGATTATATGGCCATATATGCCCGAATCCCAACGGAATCTGTAGATCAATGTCCATGAAGGCCAGTCTTCGCTCCTAGACCTTTCGATACAGGTCTTCATGATCACTCAGGCCGGCCAGAGTCTCATCATCCCACGAATCGCTACTAGGAGACCGCATGCCAGCCTTAGGGTCCGAGCTGCTGCTAGACCGCCCAGAGCTGGAGCCGATCGTCCAGTCATCGCTCTCGCTGTGCGAATGCGGGATAAGACTCTCGAAGTCGGTAAGGTCGAACACTTCCTCCTTCTCCGCAGCTTCGCCGTATTCAACGTAGTCGTACGCCCATCGCAGGTTCTTCCCGGGCTGTAAGCGAGGCAGGAACTTCGCCTCGGCGATGAAGTATACCACCGCCGCGATTAAGCTGCCCGCGACCAGGTCGATGGCATAGTGATGGCTAAGATACATGGTAGACCACCACAGCCATAAAGCGTACGCGATGAACAATGGTCGCAAGCGTGGGAATGTGTGGCACATGAATAGCGCCTCGATCGTTGCAGAGCCAGAGTGTAGGGACGGAAAGGCGCCAAATACGAGTGGTGAAGCGGTGAACGTCGAGGTGTAGAGATCGAACCCGAGTATCTTATCGATCGCTGCAAGACCTGCCGGTGATCCAGGCATTGAGTAGTTAGCGGGAGCCAGACCGTACATGTTCTCGTACCAAGGCGGGGAGCACGGGAAGAACATTTGTATAAGTACGCCGGTAATGTTCATATACCCAAATGACCGGGCGAAGACCGGCACGGTTCCCGGAGGTGCGCAGATGAACATGGCGAGCGAGCACACGAACGGCGCGCCGAAGTGCGTCAAGCCGTAGGGTATCCATGCCAGCACGTTCAACACCGTATTCTTGTGCGCCGACAAGATGTTGCTGAGGTTCGCGCCGTACAGGATGTTCTCCAAAGCCGGTAACACTCGCACCCATATGCCTGGCCTGTAGATGGCTGGGACAAATTGACATGCGTAGAAGAATATGAGCCAGCTTGCGATCGGCAGAAATGGCAAGAAGAACTGCCTCGTTATCGGTATTATGAGGCTCGTCATTAACAGCCCTGCCACCATCGTCTTGATCAAGGGCCCAGGCGTCTGTATCACCGAAAGGCTAAAGATTCCCAATACCGCCAGAAAGAGATATTGTGCATCATAGGCAGTCCAATTGTGCGATCGGAGATCCCGGATGGTATCGGCGGGGTTGAAGGAGGTGCTGAGCGATGCGATGTTCGAGGTAGGTGATTGTCGGGCACGTATCTTCGACCGTGCGGAGCGTAACCGTCGTCGGACTCGATGTGATAGGAAGGTTGGTACCGACGGCCACCATGACGGAAATTTGGCGATTGAGTAGGATCGCTGCGTTGAACGATCGCCGGGTATTGAAGAGTAGGTATTCATGGTGCAGGAGGATCTCAGATTCGAGGAGGCGGAGTTTGAGATGCGCCGTCCACGCAAGTCTTATTGCGCAGAGCCGGCGCGAGTCCGTATGATCGATGATGCTCAGCGCTGAAGCATACGATGTACAGATGGCAACGTAAGGCCGGGCGAGGGACGAGACGGAATTGCGTGACAAAGCAACGCGACCACTAGTGATAGACTGCTTGGGCTGGGTGTACTTGAGAAGGTGCCAGTCCAGCGAGGTATGCGAACGATCGCAACCACCACCGTCTTGAACCGATCTGCCTAGCTCTTTCTGCACACTTGGAACAACAAGACACGAGCAGCAGCGAATGCAGAATGAAAGGAAAGATTGATGCACTACCCTTACCTTGCCTCCATGCTGCCCACAACCATCCGGATGCTCCGGGTCTTCATTAGCATCTCATGCTGACGAGAGGCAAAGAAACTTTCGACCATAGCGCCACACTTATTGGGTGGCACTGTTCATTTCCCAGGGAACAGCGGTACAGGCATGCGAGACCGGAAGTCCTGACGGCGGCTAGGGTAGTGCCGGCGACCTTAATGCATCTCCTTTGCGGGTCTGTCATAAGAGATGATCTCATCTCATGAAGTGTCGCGTGCTTACGGCAAGAGTGTAATTCCGAGAGCCCGGCGGCGAGCACGGGGTTGACTCACCAGGTAGGCTTCTGCCTACTACATGACAGGTCGAGCATCAGTCCTGCCCAGTGTGGACGAGGCGTTGGCACTACAATCAGACCAGGATGCTGTACGTCGCTTTACGGAGGTTTTCGCTCCAGCAGGGTGAGGTAACGATTGCTAAGCGTAATGTGTCGCGTGCACAATTCAGAGCTCGGCACTCGGAAGGTTTTTTCTTAGTGGCCGTTCGCTCGCGCAATTTCCGCCAAGGCCTTGCTTTGCCTCACTTCACCTCCGTTCCAAGGGCAGATTCGAGGCCGACATCTGCATTTATACATCCGCATGGCAGCTTTTCGCATCGCATCCATTGCACTGAAACTCTGGACGCTTACCGGTGTCCATCTGGAGTGATTACGTGATTTCCTTTGCGAACCCCTGGACTGGTACCGTGATGTTTCCGCTACGTAGCACCTTTTGACGGGGTTATGGTCTCGGTAGTGCATTGTTTAAGGTAGGCGGCATGTCTACGAGTAAGTCGAGGTAAACCTATCATTTTAATCATCCCAGAACATTGCAAGTACAACTGCTACATATAGAGACGGCACCATACTCCAAACGCCACGCCAATCGTTACAAGCCCACTAAATCAACGGCGGCGACTCCGACGGCAAGCCCAAATCACCACCAAACCCCCAATCCATATCCGTCCCACCGTCATCTACCCAATTGTAGCTACTCGTGAAGTTGCCGAAGTCTTTCGGGTTGACGGTGAGCTCATGCTCCGAGAAGGTGTAAACACTCGACCCGGAGTTGGACTCACCCGGCGGTGAGAATGCATCAAACCCAACGTTTGGCTGTGGTCCGATGGTGAAGTCGTCGAACGGGACAGCATCTGCTGGGCTGGAACCGCCGTCAAACGATGCCACTGTCTTGGCGGTGTTGCCGCTGACGAGCGGTGAGGTTGGTGGAGTGTGACGCCAAGCGCTCGTAGGCCCGTCGATGTCTTCATCTCCATTGCTCATGTTGACGAAAGCGGCGACGTCGAAGTCCTCATCGTTGCCTTGCGGCGTAACCGGACCGTCACTTGCGCCAGAGCTAGAGCTGGCGTAGATGATCTGAACCTCCGGTTCGTCTTCGGCCTCGTCAAGCGGAGCGGCAGCAATCGTAATGACTTGATCAAGCTCGGTGTCAGCCTCCTCCTTGGCCTTGTTCTTCCTACGCTGCTTGGCCGCTTTGTCGACCCTCTCCTCAAGGTTTGGGCGCTCCTTCTTCGGCCTCCCGCGTTTCGGCTTCTCCTCCTCAGTCTTTTCATAGCCTGGCAGGGCGCCGACACACACACCGCGTTGACGGTGACGAGTAAGCGCATCGTGACGAGCGAAGCCCATTCCGCAAATGCACTCGTGCGGTCTCTCATCGCTGTGGATAGCGATGTGTCGCTTTAGGTCATGCTGGCGGACAAAGGTCTTGTCGCAGAGATCACACTTGAACTGACGATCTCCAAGATGGGTCTGCACATGCGAGCGAATGTTCTCCTTACGGCCAAACTTTCTGTCACAACCATCCCACAGGCAAGGATACTTGGCTTCCCGCTCATTGTAGTCGCCGATGTACTTTTGTACTTCTTGGGGCGGAATGCCGGTCTCGATAATGCTGGCCGGAATGTCTGGGCCGAGATTATTGAGCAGTTGCTGCCGCGGTGACATTGCGTTCGAGCCACCAAAGTCGAAGTCCGGATCATTGAAGTCTTGCGCGCCGCCTGCGGCCTGCAGTAGAATGGATGAGCCGTGAAAACCGCCGCCTATGGGCTGGCAATCTTCTGGCGGCGTCGTCTCCTCGAACAAGGTTGGCATCTGGCCAGTATTTTGCGGCGCAGGTGAATGTGCATCAGCTCCAGGCATTGCCGATAGCTGAAAGCCATAGCCCGGGGGGAAGCCTTGGATGGCAACGAAGGCGGGTGGATGGCCATAAGATGGTTGCATCCCGGCGTTGACATCGATACCGTCGCCGATAGGAGCCACATCGACTGGGAAGCTGTGACTACGCACATGGTGGCCATTGCCGTTGGCGGGATGAGAGGTTTGAGAGACGCCGGGGGCGTTGATGTGCAGATCAGCTCCCATCGGCGCAGCGTCAACCTGGAAGCTTTGGCTACGAGCATGCTTGGCGTTAGATGGCGGCGGACTCGGCCAGGCCTGAGAGTACGTTTGTGGGGTGTTCGGCACGGTGCGAGCGTGACCGTAAGAGAGTGGAGTCTGCGGCATGCCACTCATCGATTGCATCACGGGCATTGGGACTGGAGCACCCGGCATCACAGCACCGCCCGCCTGACTAGCTTCGAAGAAGGGTGTTGTAGACGAGTTTGCGTTAGGAGACAATCCGTAAACTGCAGAGTACCAAGCCATGTGGTTCTGAAGTTCTTGTAAGGCGACTTGTTGGTGAGCGGATTGTGGTCGAGGCGATGCGATGACTGGCTTGACGTCGATCGCTGCGTCGAAGTTGTGGTTAAGCTGCTGTTGAAGGTGCGACTGGAAGTCGTTCGCTGGGTAATAGCCCGGCTGGGCTGGTTGCTGCTGCGTTTCTTGCACGTATTGCTGAAGTTGCTGGTTGGGTAAGTCGGTCGTGTCCAATAGTATCCTTACTGACGGGGGTCCAGGTGGTGTGAAATCCGTTGGGTCCTGCGGTGGTGGTGGTCGAAATCCGTTCGATGATGAGACGGCGCTCAGACTCTGGTCGAGAGAGAGGCCTCTTCGGTGTCCTTGGTGTGCTGTTGGATGTCGTCGATTGTTAGCAGGAAGTGGTGTTGCCAGTATGGGAACCTCGAGTGATTGTTGTCGTCGATGTAGTTGGCGTCGTTTTTGAATACTCGAGGAAGAATTGGTGGCCAGCATTTTCGCTTTCGGTTTGTGCGGTTCTGTGAACTGACGTCCAGCAGAGGTGCAAGTCGAGTCCGGTATATTTGGTGGGGTCGAAGTCGGATCAGCCAGTAAAGGCCTCCTTGTGTAACCGGATCTTTCCACGTATCAGCGCATGCTACTAACACGCTCTCTCGAAATGTTTCGCATACCTCACGCAGTGTGCACGCGCAGCCCAGCCTAGGCGGCTGTGTGTCTTTTGGTTGTCCTCAGTCGCTTTCGATCGTTCCTAAGCGTTGGTTGTTGAGGTGGGAAGGAGAAGGTAGATAGTGCGCTTTGTGGCTTGTAAAGGTCCTGCCTTGTGCTTTGATATGTACAATGCTCTCAAGCGACTTTGAGATATGAGTGTGCGTACGGGGAGATGGGTTTGTAGGTCGAATGCAAGGTCGCAAAGATTCGAGGTGCGAAGGTCGTCTCTGTTTACACAGAAAGTGCGACGGGCTGTCTCCATTGGCAACCAATCGTTGCGTTGGAGTCCAACGTGCCATTGGCTGGGTGCCCGGCTTCACGGCGCCACCCGTTCATGGCGCATGCAGAACATCTTGTAGGGCTGCATGTACATCATCTCCACGCTTTTGGAGCGAGAATGCGGTACCTCAAAATAGTGTAGAGCGCCATGCTAGCATAATTTGTGCGCTACATATTACCATTCTGACTCGTACAATGTGTGCATGCTTACTTACAATGCTCGAGAACTCTGATGGTCACATTTCCATTCCCTGTTTCTTGTCCCAGCTGCTAACCGTTTGCACCCACCGTTCCGTCGCGCTGTCACTGGAGATTACCTCGGAACTTATCGCTGTACGCCTTGATGCTTTCTCGGATTGTGAAGTCGTGGCGTTCCGAAGCCTCTTAGTTGATGCACCGCGAAGTACGCATCCGCAGAGCTTCTCGAGATGTCTGATGTCCACTCTCAGATCAATAGTAACGCTGCAGAACTCATGCACCATGCTCTTCGCTTAGCCTGGCTTACCAAATGCTCTCAGATGTTCCCTACCATATGTACGGACGAGGCAGAAGAAGATGTGACCGAGCGCGTTGCTATTGCAACCAGTTGTTCATACTGGCTGCGGGGCTCCTTCCGACATTGATATATGGCGGAGGTTTGGTGCCATTTACTGATGTTGCAGACAGACCCAGCGTATGTTGCTTGGTATCCGCTTGTAGTTGGGACATTGCTAAAGGGCTCATGGCAGTATTAGTTGCAGATCCCACAAAAGAGGCAGTACCCTCAAGTAAACTGCCTTCCTTTCACATCGCCAGCGTCAGTCGGCTTTGCTTCCTTGCCTCTGGCCTTGATGTTGAGCTTGTCAAGCGCTTCCAGTGGCAGACTAAGGAATTCATGCTTATTCTCCCATCGTACATCGCGCTCCCTGAAGCCGGCAGCCTGTTCTGGCGGAGGCGGCGGGCTGGTGATTTTCGTAATGAGGTACGCTGTGGAAGCCTCTGCTACGCCATAAATGAGCACGCCACCTAGTGGTATCCTTAGGATAATGAAGAAGGTGAGCGCAAAGCCGTAGAGGACACCCTCGCGTTCCTTGAACCAACGCCGCTTCTGCTCCGGCGTGTAGCGAATGCGGGAGAAGTACGGATCAAGCTGCGTATTTCGGTTAGTGACTCGAGACCTTATCAACTCTGCATGGCTGGCCAATGCTTACTAGCTCACGCATAAGCGTTCTGCTTGAAAAGTAGCTTTGCAAGAACCGCACTAGATACCGCCGAGGCAAGAAGATTCCGGTGCTGAATATCAGGACGGCAGGCGCTGGGCCGACGGCTTTGTTAAAGGTGTAGAAGCTGACAGCAGGCAGGACAAACCGTCCGACGTACGGTATGAACGAACATAAATATACGGCAAGAGACAGAGCTGCTCGTTTGCCGAAGCGGGTCAGAAATGCCACGATCGCCATGTACGGGTCTCTGCGTTGATTCTCGCCATGCGCATTGTATCTCTTGAGGTTCTGATAGTACATGGCCCTCAGTTCATCCGGGTCCTCGTCTTTGTGCTTCTGCACGTACGTCCGGTCAACCCAAGCTAAGCTGTCCATAAACATGGCGTCCATGGCCGGGCTCAGGTAGCGGATGAAGCTCATAAGGAAGAAAGGCACCTGGACGACAGAGTGCTCCACAAACTCGATACCCTCAATGACGTCCTCATCCCAGGCCGAGTGGTCGAGGTCCACGAAGAAACCGGCAAAGTGAATCAGAAGACGAATGCCAACTGTAGGTATGGCCACGATCAAGCGGATGAGTAGGCCAGCAATAACGGCGAATGCAGCCTGGCGATAATGGACGCTGGTGAACAGCGCCGGATTCTGCAGGGCACGGTTGGCGCCTACGAACGTAAGCTGGGCACCGCGCAGGATGGCGTTGATCTCGAAGGAGGTGTGCAGCTCCTTCAAGAAGGACTGCGGATCGAAGTTACCGCTCATCCCGGTGGATCAAAGCTTTAGGATGCGGCAGATGTGGGATTGTGGACACGCCACGCTCCAAGGTGAGAAGTGTGTAGAAAGACAGCCTAAAGGCTTAGTCGGAGGATTGACGTCGATAGCGGGGCATTTTCCGCATCCTTCACTTTGCATGCGAGACCGACATATGCGGATAAATCCAATCGTGCCTTCCGCTTTGGGTTCTCATCGCGAACAGGTCATTCCTAACACCACCACGACTCCAACCCAGCAGCACGATGACTCAGTGTCTGATGCGACACTTTCGTCCACTGCAAGACGGTAGCACGAAGTCAGTGTTGCAACCCCACATACTCCCCTGCAGGGAGCGCATCGGCCCGTTAGTGTTCCACCTCCACACTCTCCCGCTGGGCGCGCCTCCAGCGCATTCCGGTCGTCGACCGAGTTCCCCAGGCTTCAGGGGATGTGTTGCGTGAGGATCACCCTCGATGTCTAGGAGACTAGAGGCTCTCAACCCTCGGGTCCCAAAAGTACCGCCGATTGCGACGTTGTTCTGCTACAACAGTAGCCGGCCGGGGGACAGCCCACTTCGCTGTCAGCATGGCTAATACCGCACCATCAACACCGGAGACCCCGCGACGTCTTGCTGTCAACCGCTCTTTCACGCTTCCTTCGAAGCTCGCAACCACTTCGCGAGCTGGTACCACTGCGGAGATAGGTGCAATGGAAGGGGTTGAAACGCTCTATGTTCACCCCAATGCGAACATCATCAAATTTACCACACCTTCGTCGCGTCCTGCTAGCTCTGGATCGCCGCGCACACCCAGAGATCTTGGTTCGGGCGCACTACCATGGGTGTCACCTACCGAAAGGACGCTGGCGGCAGGTCCTTTAGAAATTTACCGCGTACCAGGTTCAGTCTCATTTCTACGTTCAGGAGCATTGCTGCATGCCATCTTACCACGGAGTCTGTGCTGGTGCGTAGATGGCATCTCAAAGTTTGCCTTACGAGTGCTACCCGACACATACTATCGCATTGAGCTTCCTGCACACACTCCTGAGGACCATGCAAAAGTGGAAGAGATCAAAGAGGTCTTGTCTAAGGTGCTGTTCTACGAGCGGATAGCATGTCCCTTCAACAGAGGCATTCAGGAGGAGTTGCCCACCGTAGAGGAACTCGATGGGAGAAAGAAGACTCGGAGAAGAAGCCACGGACCTGCCAAGAAATGGAAGCTTGATCGTGCTTACAGCTGGAAGCCTGAAGATGGCAAAGAGCCAGAGAGAAGAGCGAGCGAAGTTTCCAACGAAGCCGACGACTCAAGTGAGCTTGGGTCAGAGGAAGAGGAATGTGAGCCCGAGCAGCAAGCGGAGCAACAGGTCGAAGCAGGTGCTGCACTACAAAGCGTAGCAACACCGTCTCGGCCTTCTACACTACCGACACTACGCTCCGCGACCGCACCGCCTCCTTTGACCGTGCGCACGCCTGTTCGGATGCGAGCTAGTATCTTTGTGGACGGTACGGTCGAAGTTAGCAGTGCAGCAAGCATCCCTGCACCGAAGCTGGACCCTGGACGTCTACGTACATTTCAACCGATTCTCACTGACATGCCGCCTTCGCCACCTGATTCCAGCGCTGGCTTAGAGAGCATAGAAGTGGCAGGCCCAAGTTCGCTCCATTCGCCACTTGTCGATCCCGTGCCTGACTCGCTTCATGATGTGCGCGTCGAGGAAGCAGGAGCCACCGCCGCCGCATATTTTAGCGAAAGCCAAACTAGTGAGGCATTGCCCGGGCCTGAAGGCGCTCAATCGTCTGATAGGGAGGCTGCCGATGCCGAGTATACTGGTAGATGGACGGAAGAGGAACCCCAACATGCTGAGGCGACACCTACCGAGTCATACGAGCTACCGAAGATCGTACGTCAACGATCCTCAGACGACCCGTTCGCCGCAATACAGGCACGCATACTCGCCCGACGCTCCATTGGCGGCACAACTTCCTTCCATCCGCCTCTATCAACGACATCATCGACTTCATCCACGTCATCGACGAGCACTCTTGCCTCCCGGCGGTCGTACGCCACGCTCCCGCAGCAGCAGAACATGGCTTCGGCACTGGTCAAGAAAGCCTGCGCTGTCTTTTTAGGCCCACCCGCGCATCTTGTAGCGATTATGCTACGTATAGCTGCTCGATTCACGAGCGGTGCGCTCGGCTTTGGGAGCTGGTTTGTGGTGGAATCACCACGAGGCCACAAACGGGTTCCTGGGAGCTTCAACCTGGAAAGCATCGATGCCGACGATCTGGAAGGAGATAATGAGCTTGAGGAGTGGGAAGAGGATGACTTTGGTGTCCCGCTCCGAAGTCCTGTAAGGCTCGCTAAGATGCACTCTGCGCTCGACGCAGTTACTGGTGCACAAGAGCGGAAACGGTGGGTGGATGACTGACGGACAGCTATGTGGAGCGTTCATTAGCTTTTGTAACTGTGATGTTGAGATATGTGTTAGCGTGGTGTTCCGGACTTGTGTCGAAAAGACAGCTTGGGACGATATCAACTGGCCTTGTACGCAGCGCATACGGGAGGAGTGTAGCACACCAAATGGTTAGACGGGACTGTGCGGTGCCATGGTGACGCCCATTGATAAATGCGGTGATCGAGGCCCTCTCTGCTGCCTTTGCTGCAACTTGAATGGCCCCTATTTCAGGTCCACATGGCCCGACATAACCTGTACGGCGGAGCCGCTAAGTTCGATCTCCTCGACGGCATCCAAACCATCCTTCAGCGTGACGGTGACGCCGATGTCGCTCTTGCGTCGCATCTCAACACCTTGCGTGATGACGAACTTGACTGTTTTCTGTCTTGTCTTCAAGGTAAGGAGCGCGCCGAGTCCGCAGGCAGCACTACCAGTAGCAGGATCTTCCATCGTGCTTTCAATCATCCTGGTGCGAATGTGCCTGGTATTCGCGTCTGGGGACTGCATGCAGTAAAAGTATGTTCCTACAAACCCCGTGTCCCAGCCTTGATCGAGCTTCGGATTGGCCGCAATGCCGCGGGCTTCTACGGCGGCGAGTGCTTCGAGGCTACCGAGCTTGGCACAGATGAAAGTCATACCCTTGACCGGACTGACCAGATCGATACCCTTCGGCGGACCATGCTCGCGCAGCGCTGGCTGTAGCTTGAAGATATCCTCTGCACTGATGGCATTCTCTGTGTGAACATGCACATTGTGCGGGATATTAGCTCTAACCACGCGCTCATGCATTTGCAAGTCTATCGGCCCGGCATTACAGAGTAGTCTCCCTCTATCAGTGCCACCGGCGAGTGTCCCCAATGCATAGACTGCAGTGCCAATGGTCGGGTGGCCTGCGCTGTTAGCAATGTTAAGCAGATACAAGCATGGGAGCTTTTTGCCGGACTACCTACCCGCAAATGGAAGTTCAGCATCTACAATGAATATGCGAACACGCCATTGAGGTACACCGTCGTCGCCATCGTGGCGCTCGTGGATGAAGACGGTCTCCGAGAGGTTAAATTCTCGAGCGATGAGCTGCATTTGCTCACTTGTAACGTCATGGCCGCTAGGGACATTGACGACCGCGAGAGGGTTGCCAGCAAAGCGAGTCTCAGTGAAGACGTCAAGCGTTACGAAAGCAAGTATTGCCATCGTGGAAGTATAGTGCAAGTCTGTGGGCGCCGTAGGCGATAAGATGAAGCAACAACCGGTGGATGAAGGCTGATCTTGTGAGTGTGTCTTACTTGACTACTATGCGAGGCACCAACACTACAATTGTGTTCTCGCAAGCGTTCCATCCTGCACAGACAGTCATGTATGACTGATCAAGTGTGGGTTTGAGTCCTTGACCTTGCTAGCGGCACCATGCATGCATGACTCGCGGCGCTGTCCGTCACGCACTCTTTGAGCACGATACTCTCCCCCAAGCTATCTTCCATCCGTGTCCGAAAACACGATCACCAACGAGCCGTGAGCGACTGCAAAGCGACTATGTTAGTGTCGACCTCACGCCACCAAATAACCGACCATAAATGGCTGGAAAAAGGTCAGACTGAGCTTCTTCGCAGAGCGAGCAGGCGTGCACGCAGTGATTAGAGGACTCGACGATGGCGAGTACGGCAGGCAAGCGACCATTGCCGCCAGACGACGATGAGCATGATGCTCACAAGCGTATCCGCTCGAACAATGGCTCACCAGCACCGGCGCCGGCGGCCGTAAATGGCGTGTCAGACATGGAGCGTAGGAAACAAGAAGCTGCCGCGCGCATGGCCGCTGTGAAGGCGAAACTGGCCGCGTCGAGACCTAATGGAGCTGCCTCACCTGCTCAGACGAGGCCGGCGGCGGCGCCTGCGGACGATATAGAAGCTAAGAAAGCCGCAGCAGCGAAGAAGATCGCGGAGATGAAGGCGCGGATGGCTGCTCAGCGACAAGGTGCCACAGCTTCGCCTGCGCCAGTCTCTACTCCGGCCCCACCGCCCCCTTCTGCACCGAGCGAAAAGGACCAACGTATTGCGGCAGCACGTGCGCGAGCACAGCAGATGGCGGCAAGGTTGGGTACGCCCACGGCCGCTCCGTCTCCGCCGCCGAGACAGGATATTGGAAAGCAAGCCAGAGGAGGTCTAGGTATTGGGCTGCACCCGAGTTTGATTGGCGATATGGGTTCGACTGCAACAAAGGGTAAAGGCGTGCAGCAAGGCAGAGCCAACCAGCAGCGGGAGCACCTCCCAAAGATCAATCCGTACCTCGCTGAGGGTGAGGACGAGACCAAGGTGGAGCAAGAGGAAGGTTTTGATCCTACTTTAGGTGCTAGGCGTGGAGAGAGGAAGAGCCGGCAGCTCGGTTTTCACCAGAAGGGCAAGTTCATCGCTCAAGCCAACGCTCTACGCCAGCAAGCAAGGTTGGAGGAGATGAAGCGACGAATCGCAGCTGAGACACGGAAGACGGAGATTGAAGAAGCTTCCGACAAGGCCTTCCTCGTGCCGGTGCCGCCGGAAGTGGAGTGGTGGGATGAGGGCCTTGTCGACAAGATCGATACGCCAGACAGCATCATTACAGCGCTCGTGCAGCACCCCGTCATTCTACAGGCACCGCAAGACAAGTTACAGCCGGCACCGAAACCACTCATGCTCACACCTCAAGAGCAAAAGAAGCTCCGTCGCCAGAGGCGAAAGGCAGACATGCAAGAAGAACAAGCCAAGATTCGCCTGGGCCTTGTGGAGCCGCCACCGCCAAAGGTTAAGAAGAGCAATATGATGCGCGTGTTTGGCGAACAAGCCGTCAAAGACCCGACAGCCGTAGAAGCGCGCGTGAACCGAGAAATTGCCCAGCGTGCCTTCGACCATGCCAAAGCCAACGCAGACCGCCAACTCACGAAAGAAGAGCGCGCGGAGAAGCTCAAGCAACAGCAAGCAGGCGACGAAGCTAAGGGTGTCAGAATAGCTGTCTTCCGCGTTGACAATCTCAGCTCCGGCAAGCACCGGTACCAGATCGATGTCAACGCCAAGCAGAACGCGCTCACTGGCATTGTGATATTGCATCCGCAGATGAATCTCATCATCGTCGAGGGCGGCGTGCATAGCATCAATGCCTACAAGAAGCTTATGCTGAACCGTATCAAATGGAGCGAGAACACGATGCCCCTCACAAACTCCAACGCTCCCAGCACTTTCACGGGCACAAATGATGGCACGAAGGTCGGCAGTGGCGGGGAGCAGAACAAGGCCAGTCAATGGCTGAATCCGATGGATGAGCGTGGCAACTTGAAGGACCTGGGCGAGAACCGTTGTGCGCTGGTATGGGAGGGCGAGGAGCCGTTAAGGACGTTTAAGAAGTGGGGTAGTAGGGCGTGTGAGACAGATGGCGAGGCGAGGGATGTGTTGACGAGAAGTAAGATGGAGAATATGTGGACGCTGGCCAGGAGTATGAAGCTGGAATGATGATCGGCTGTATATGCTGTAGTAGTAAGTACATGAACATTGACGTGTACGAAGTGGGGAGATGCGTGCCGTTGGTTGAAGCCGTACAACCCTTTGCAATGCTGCACAAGACCCGTCATGACAAAGGCCGTCCTGGCTGACTTCTGCACACGTCATTACTAAGACTCACGACAGCACCCTCGTATCTGCCCATCAATCTCAAACGCCCTCATCTCAACCCATCAGGTGACCATTGTCACAATTTGAGGCTCCGCAAGGCGAGACAACCAAGCCCATCTATTTTTATGTCTCACCTAGCCACGCCTTTCCTTAAGGGGATGGTCGGCGGCCCCACATGGCAAAACCTTGGCCGCTTCAATTTCCGACCGCAAGCACACCTGACGCGTGCGACCAACCCAGCGCCGCTGTCGCTATGGCTGGATCCCATGTCGTCGTGGTGGCTACGGCTCCTGGGCAGTGCCAGTGCCGGAAGGAAGGTTTAGGTGAGGATGGTTGCGCAACTTCTTAAGTCTACCCACCTACCTGCATTGCACCCACACCTCTCAGAGTACGCTCGTTGTATCACGGTCTTGATGTGATTCTTTCCGGCGGTGTTATTGTAAGACTCGGCCACTGATCCGAACATACATTATATTTCGTACCTTACTTGTCATGAACTATCCTACCGCTATGCGCCACCACTCGTAGCGAACGAGGCATTACCATTGATCGCATGCGCAGCATTACACAAGTATACATACCAACCGCGGGCGGAAGGAGAACAAGCACGGGGTTCTTCAGCGGTCAGGGACAGCACCGACATAGCCGCGCAAATATGAATTCTTCATCATACTTTCGCCTACCTTCGATATTACTGCTTGCGGCATTTGCAACAGCGCAAGACCTCTACTTCACCTCACCCACTGCCAATGCCATCACGGCGCTTGGCTCACCCTTGAACTACACCGCCGGACAAGATGTGCGGGTTGCATGGTATTCGACGTTCAATGCTACCACTTTGCGGGTATGGCAGGGACCAATGGTGGATGGCAGCTACATTGGGGAGGTCTTGAGTGGTACGTCATGTTGTACGAAGCGGTCGTGGTAGATTGAATGTTGGTATACTAACGTAATGTGCTATAGCTAGCAATCCTCCTGGAGCGCAGGCGTATACCTGGAGCGCGGAGCCACCAGACAGCCAATCTTCGAGCGGGCTGTACCTTGAACTTGTCAATGATAATGACAGTACCTGCGGGAACTGCAAGGTCGACAGTCTGCCGTTCGTTGTTTCTAGACCGAGCAGTATAACGAGCTCGATCACATCCTCCAGCACGACTGCGAGTTCGACATCTTCAGCCTCGTCATCATCATCCACTTCGACTTCGACTTCGACTTCGTCAACATCGTCCCCTTCATTGACGACATCATCTATGTCGGCGAACTCAGCAGGAGCAACAACCAGCTCTTCGAGCAGCGCATCGGCATCCGCATCCACAACTGACACCACATCAAGCGCATCCTCAACATCTTCATCGACAGTCACAGCCGCAACGAACAGCGCTGCTGCTCTAAGCAACAAAGCTTCGCAGCACAACCACCAATTAGTCCTCGGCCTCGCGATAGGCCTCGGCGTAGGCATCCCACTACTGCTCCTGCTCCTCGGCTGCTGCATCTTCGCTCTCTTACGCCGCCGCCGCAAGCATAACCCTCGACGATCTACCGCAAAAGGCGACGGCGGCCCCGTCATCTCCCGTCCAACGCTTGATATAGCACGAGGGCAGCAAGACGGAGCGAGCCAGCATAGCCGACATCCGCTTCACGCACCAAACCACATCGCGGCAGCTTACTTCCCCACAACGCGATGGGGCCGACGCTCCAACGCTGCGTCTACCGCGCCGTCAACGGCGTCGTCATACCACGGACCCTTCCAGTTCGAGATCCCGCCTGGCAACCAGGACTTCGAAGCCAAGAGCGTCACCGGCGAAGTGCACGATGCCGCCTCTCATGGTTTGGCGCGTTCAAGAGCGAGCACGCCAAGCACCCAACGCACCCATTGGACGAATGGGCAGGGAGGAAGGTTGCGGAGTATTGACGAGTCTGGCGGTAGAGGCGGTTCGGATGGCGCCAGTGTGCGATCCAGTGCGAGGACGAGCCCGGATTGGCCTCTGCCTCCTGGAGCGGGACCAGGGTGGCGAGGATGAGATTCGTGCTCGGGCTTTTGCTGAGCTTTTCGTTTAGCGTTACGGCCTTTCATGACTATGCGACCACGCCATTTTGTATAGAGGGCCATCTGTCCGTAATAAGCGCAAGCTTCACCAAGGAACATTCGTACGGGTAGCAGTGCTCATCCAGCCCGCATGAACTCTCTGACGTCCCAGACGAGCACCCTCTCGTCCCATGCGCAACTCGCACACCAGCCTTCCGCACCGAACAGGCACCAGTCCACACCCATGGCAAACTCGGTATGACGATCCATCCGACCCATCTCTCTTCCGAGACCGACTCCGTTGCCACCTTGGTCAACGTTTGAGCCGTCCGTCCAAACGCGACAGCTCATGTCGTAGCTTGCGCTCAGCAAGACGTCAGAGAGATGTGGGCTCCAGCTCACCTTTCGCACGGCGTACTCGTGACCAGGAAGCAGATTCACGGGTCCAGAGGGTTGGCGCAAATCGAAGGTGCGGATCACGCCGTCCACACCTGCCGTCGCAAGGACGGAGTCGCGGTACTTGTTCCAATCGTGCGTCAAGCATTCTGTTGGGCCGAGACTGCCCGTCTTCCCTAGTCCTCCCATGCTCGGCTGCTGCACCTTTGGTGCCGCATGGATGGGTACAGCGAGCGTCATGTGATTCTGCGCACTGGCTTTCGTCCGTAGATCATACACCCTCAGATGTGAGTCGCGCGAAACGGCAGTCAGGATGTCTGGATGATGCGGCGAGAACTCAGCGCTGTACACACAACTATGCACCGGCAATGTCATCACGCTCTCCTTCCTCTCCGGCATCCAAATCTTAACCGTGCCATCCCAACTACTACTCAAAAAGCGACTCTTATCCACCAAGCCCCAATGCACGCAGAACACCTCTCGACCGTGCTCCTGCCACCCCGCAACAGGAAACTCACCCTGCACGCCGACATCGAAAAGCTTGATGCTGCCGTCGCCGCCGGCGGTGAGGATCTGGTTCTCGTGCTGCTCGGACCAGGCGGTGTCGAAGAGACAGTCTTGGGTTTCGTAGTATCTCTCGCAAACGATGCCGTTGGAGGTGAGGTTGAGGACGAAGAGGCGGCCGTTGCCGACAAGGCCGAAGTTGGCGCCGGCGGAGACGGCGAGGCGTGAGTCGAAGAAGGGGGAGTATTTCACGGCGTAGGGGTTGAAGCCGGCGGTGCGGTATTCCAGCATCCTGACCTGTATGCGATGGTGGGGTAGAGGATGGGATATAGTAGTGGATGGGGAGGTAGTGATGGTTATATCATCGTGCTACTTTGCATGCGCGAAGGATCCATCCACCACCCGCTTGTCAGATACATAAGGTAAGGTTGTTGATATTGGCTATGTATTGCATCTCGTTCTGAACAGCCAGTATGTGAGAGTATGTGAGGGGTCAATATGATCGGCCGTCAACATCATCTGGCCAGCGGTTCACAGGACTGCAGACAGCGATGTCGCTATTGCGTTCTCGCACGCGATTAAGTACAAGATTGAGTTGACTGGCGAGTATCTCTGCAGTCGTACCATTCACTTTGTTATATGAGTTTGAGCTAACTGTGACATTCCGCTCCAGGGTGTGATCTCAGGACGGGTGGAAGGATCTGCACCCCTAATCCGACGATGAGCATAGGAAGACGGCAGGCCGCAGATAGCGAAGCATAGTAAGGTATCGGGCAAAATGTTGGCGACAAGGCTTTGCCTACGCTCGAGCACACGCGCATATACCTTGCCACTGCCATTTTCTCATACTGTAGCCTTGCAGATCAGCCGACAGACACCGGTATGGCAGAACAAGCGCATCTTCGCTTCCACGCCCAGACACAGGAAAGACGATGCGCGGTTACGGACCATACAAGCCGAGCAGCAGGCCAAACAGCCTGCGAAGGAGAACGTGAAGCCGGAGTCAGTCGAGCGGGAGAAGCCTGCCGAGCCGGAGCCAACGAAGAATGACCCTCTGCTGGCAGAAGAGTCGCTCTCGAGCAAAGAGCAGCGCAAAGCCGACTGGCGCATCATCAAGGATATGTCCCAGTACATCTGGCCCAAGGATGACTTCGGCACGCGCTTCCGGGTGGGCATGAGTGTAGTACTTCTCGTTGGCGCAAAGGTCCGCTTATCCATCGATCGACACGTCTCCCATTCATTAGTGTAGCGCATGTTGATAGCTGTATGTAGGTCCTTAACGTACAAGTCCCCTTCTACTTCAAGGCCATCGTCGACGGTATGAACGTCGACTTCGCCACACTAGGCGGCACAGCCGCAACAGTAGCAGGCGTCTCCATCTTCGCCTACGGCGCCACACGCATCGGCGCCACCGTCTTCCAAGAAATCCGCAACGCCGTCTTCGCCTCCGTCGCGCAAAAGGCCATCCGTCGCGTCGCCGGCAACGTCTTCTCACACCTCCTCAACCTGGACTTAGCCTTCCACCTCTCCCGCCAAACCGGCGGTCTCTCCCGAGCCATAGACCGAGGCACGAAAGGGATCAGCTTTCTGCTAACAAGCATGGTCTTCCACATCCTTCCCACCGCTCTCGAGATCGCTCTCGTCTGCGGGATCCTGACCTACCAATTCGGCTGGCAGTTCGCCCTTATCACCGCCTCAACCATGGCGGCATATACCTGGTTCACCATCGCCACGACCGCTTGGCGAACTAAATTCCGCAAGGCTGCTAACGCGGCGGACAACAAAGGTGCAACTGTCGAGCTCGACAGTCTAATCAATTACGAGGCGGTCAAGTACTTCAACAATGAGTCGTACGAAACCAAACGGTACGACACCGCGCTGAAAGCGTACGAGGACGCGAGTATAAAGGTCGCCACGAGCCTGGCATACCTTAACATCGGACAGAACTTCATCTTCTCCGCCGCGCTGACGGGGATGATGTACATGGCTGCCGAGGGCGTGGCGGCGGGAACACTGACGGTGGGCGATCTTGTCATGGTGAACCAGCTCGTCTTTCAGCTATCCGTGCCCCTCAACTTCCTAGGTTCTGTTTACCGTGAGCTGAGGCAGAGTCTGCTGGATATGGAAACACTGTTCAACCTCCAGCGGGTCAATGTCGCTGTGAAGGAGAAGCCTGACGCCCAACCATTGCTTCTCAACCGCGGCGGCGAGATCAAGTTCGAGAATGTCAGCTTCGCGTATAACCCTGACCGACCGATCATCCGGAAGTTAAGCATGACGATTCCGGCGGGACAGAAGGTGGCCATTGTCGGTCCTTCGGGCTGTGGTAAGAGCACCATCCTCCGCTTACTCTTCCGTTTCTACGATGTGCAAGACGGACGCATTACGATCGATGGGCAGGATATCCGCGATCTGAGCTTGCAGAGTCTGAGGAAGAGTATCGGCGTTGTACCGCAGGACACTCCGTTATTCAACGATACGATCGAGCACAATATTCGTTACGGAGACATTACTGCAAGTCATGAGCAAGTCATCGCTGCAGCGAAGAGAGCGCAAGTCCACGAGATCGTGGAGAAGCTGCCTGAGGGGTACTCCACGCAAGTCGGTGAGCGCGGGATGATGATCTCAGGAGGTGAGAAGCAACGACTGGCTGTCAGCAGGCTGATACTCAAGGATCCGCCGTTGCTTTTCTTTGATGAGGCGACGAGCGCGTTGGATACGCACACGGAGCAGACGCTGTTGGGAAATATCAATAGCATATTGAAGGAGAAGAAGAGGACGTCTGTGTTTGTGGCGCATAGATTGAGGACGATCTACGACAGCGACTTGATCATTGTGCTAAAGGATGGAAATGTGGCGGAGCAGGGGAGTCATGAGCAATTGTTGGATAGGAATGGGTTGTACTCTGAGCTGTGGAACGCGCAGGAGATGCTGTTTACGGAGGAGGAGGTGGAAGGGAAGGTGGCAAAGGGTGGCGCGAACGGCAGATGAGAGACGGAATTGTAGCTGCTTTCATTCAGCTACCAGTTTGACATTTCCGCCGCGCTTCCTGCTCTTGTATATGCGGAAGTTTACCACGCAGGCGTGCACACGCCCAGCAATGCCGACTGCGTCACCCTCACACAGGCCAGCCGCCACGCGATCGCTTTGCGGGCCACCTGATATCGGCGTCCACGGTACCTTTCGACTGTTCACTATCAACCTAGCTTGTTGTCAGCATGGTGTCCGACTTCAAAGTCATTAGCCCCACGGCGCCTTACGCATTCAGGAAGCGCTCCGCCAGAGAAGCGGTCTAAAGTCTAACTGTGCCGACCCTGCGGTCTTGCGCCACACCATGGACATGTGCTGCATGTACGAGTCGTGGAGGAACCAAGTTGCCTCCCGGCGTACAAAGCGGCTGGTGGCCAAAACCTGCGTGCGGCAAGGCTTGACGATGAGCAAGTACTCGTAGACGCGGTTTCTGAGTTCTGCCGGAAGATCGAAGCAGCGAACGCGCATGCGAGCATCGCTGCGCTCAAGCATGCCGATGAGGATGTGCCGGATTGGTGGACCGGTCAAGCGGTATTCGAGGAGCTTGCGGGAGTGGATGGCCGCCCTGAGTTTCTCGTTTGAGCACTTGCTGTACTTCAGCCCAGCCAGTGGTGGAGCGATTCGGCCGATGACCGTGGGCTGGACGGTGATGGGAGTCCGCTTTCTGCGGCGGCGAGTCGGTGTGCTTTGCTCGTGGTCGCCCACGGCTGCTGTTTCGATCAAGCACTTTGTTACTGGGGGATCGTGGGCTACTGTGGTGACGAGGCTGAGCAGAAGATCGGAACTCGTGCGCACCCCGAAGGAAGGCACGACCGACTCCGTGTGACTTGGCGTTAAAGGTGAGCCGCACATCGTCTCAACCACACTGGAAGCTCGGCGGCTTGCTCGTTGGCTTTCACATGACCTCCCGAACAGCTCATAGTGAGACGGACGCAAACGATATGAGAAAAGAAGAAGAGGTGGCTCGTGATTGCCGGCACCAGCAGAAGGCGGCCAGAAGCAAACAACAACACGTTCCAGGCCTACGACATACCACACCGCAAGTAGATGTGAGCGCGGTGAAGCAGCATACTGGACTATGGCTGGTGACCACGTTGACGGATGGGTACGTGATTAGGTGATATGTAGACGATGTGGCAACACACGATCGCCCCTTTGTTAAGCAGCCCCATGCGGCTCGGCAGTGCCGTGCGAACAGCAGGGATTTCCACTATTGGTCGCGATGCGGCAACAGGAAGGTGAGCAGTATTGAGAAAGCCAGCCGAATAATGGAAGCCATGTATGTTGAGCACGGACCTCCGGACTACTTCTTTAGACAATCTAGCTTCAGGCCTACATCTTGTCGTAGAGTGCCCTGTACTCCGTGAAGCTGTACCATTCTCACAATAGAAGTTATCGCCGACATGGCTTCCAAGCTGGCGCCTTGGGTGCTTAGGACCGGATCGCGGACGCTGCGTAGTGCATCGAGACAGCAGCGGCGGAGCTTTCAAACTGCGACAGTGAGGCGGAGCGAAACGTTCGTAGTGGTATGCAGTAGAGCTTAGAGCGGAGCAAAGCGATGCGTTCATGTCTGACATTGTAAAGCACCGCGATACCCCTGACAACAATCCGTCAATACCATTCAAGTTCAATGCGCAGAATGAGAAGCTCATACAAGAGGTGCTTAGCCGGTACCCTAGCCAGTACAAGAAGGCGGCGGTGATGCCGCTGCTGGATCTTGGACAGCGACAACATGGCTTCACGAGCATCAGTGTCATGAATGAGGTGGCGAGAATACTGGAGATGCCTCCGATGCGAGTTTACGAAGTCGCCACTTTCTACACGATGTACAATCGCAACCCGGTTGGCAGATTCCACGTGCAGTGCTGCACGACGGTAAGCTCATTGCGCAGAATGGCGGGACATCGAGAACCCACGGGTGCTGACGGTAGGTGATAGACACCTTGCCAACTTCGAGGCAGCGACAGCATCATGAAGGCTATTGAAGAGCAGCTCGGCATCCACCACGGTGAGACCACCCCAGACAACATGTTCACCTTCACCGAGGTCGAATGCCTCGGCGCGTGCGCCAACGCTCCCATGGTCCAAATCAACGACGACTACTACGAAGACCTCACGGCAGAGACAACCAAGTCCCTCCTTCAAGCGCTGAAGGAGGCCGCGGAGAAGACTGGTGCCGGCGGCATGGCGCCCGGCCTGGCTGGCTCAGCCGGCAAGGATGATGTTTCTGGAGAGTCCTCCGGAAGACCCGTGAAGCAGGGTGGCGAAGGCTACTCGGCACAAGGCGCAAGTCTCCCTGCGCCTGGCCCCTTGAGCAAGCGGATTTCGTGCGAGCCGGCTCATGGCCTTACGAGCTTGACGGGTGAGCCCTGGACTGCTGAGCAGGTGTTCCGAAAGGACGGCGCATTGTAGATGTGTACATACCGTTGTACTATAGGGTGTATCGAGGTCGGTCCAGGCCGTCACATCGAGCTTGACCACTGAACTATCAGGCTGGTGTGCAAGCAGAGCTCACGTGGATAAAAGGCCAGCTGAATCGTTCTTGGGGACTCCGATGCCTACCTGCAGCTCCTCTCCTCATTTGTCCACCCTCAAGCTAGGTCGCACCCTTCCTGTTCACTACACTTCGACCCAACCTGCGGTCACCTGGCGTTTCTCAATTCTTTGCAGTCATCAGCCTCAATTTCCTTGCACTGTCATCTATGCACAACCACATTAAAAGCTTAGACAGCGAACTACTAGAGATTGTCGAACAGTGAAGACAACATAGACTTCAACATGGTCTACAACATATCTACGTGGCCATTATGGCGCTCATCAGAGCCACTGCGCTACCTACTCCCCTGCCGCAGAGCGAGCGAGGTAACGACAGTGAGCCCAACGCTCGCAATGGACACCCGTATCAACTGACTGCTCGATGTAGGCATCATCGGCAACCTGAGCGACACGACGATACAGTATCTGCAAGCTGTGAAAATCCTCTCGTCCTTCTTGGGTGGACTCTCGCAGGTGTCGCCGTGGATCCTAACGAGCTCGACCAACGTTGCTAAAACACAAGCGGCACGAACAACAACCGCTGGGAAGCCGCAGACGTGCACGCCTTCCTCATTCTTCAGCCGAGTTGCAACACCTTTGCAACCACCCTTGATCCGACCTCCCGCCGCACACGCATATCAAATTCAAGCTCTCACCAGCCTTTTCTTAACTCAAGTTCAGAATGCTTTTCAGCAGAGGATACTACTATGTGGGCTTACCTGTGCAATCACATTCAACGGATAGCGCTTGATGCCCTCAATCTAAACGACAAACCAGTCATTAACGCAACATGGGTGCGGCGGCTGGGCTGCATCTTCCGCCAAGACCATATGGGCTCCCACCGCCGCTGTGATCCCGCTCAATGTTTCTCAAGTCTACCGCAATACAGTCAGCTCTCTATATGCCATCCTAATCGAGGCGAGGGCACAGTCGCACTCAGACGTGACGACCTACTGCGCCGACCAAGCACAACGTGTGGCAAGTCTGAATACGTTGATGGGTGAAGCAGAGTGAGTCACATCACCAGTAGCGTCTCCCCTGATTGACTGGCTACTAGAAGCCCAATGGTTTGCTTGTGAAGAGCACCATCTGCGACATTGCCGCAGGTACAGGACCGCTAAGTACTGAACTGGTTACCGCGAGCATGCGGAGCTTTCCTACCAAGGTGTTCGCTAAGTCTTGCGGAATCTTGCTATTACGCCTGACTACCTTCTTCGGCTGGAAGGGAACTTGGACATTGAGGCGATGGATGCAGTCGGTATGGGTGGTCAAGCATTTTATTACCGGGTGGCTATTGCGGTTGGGTTCGCCTGAGCGCAAATAGGTGAAAGGCGGTTATAGAAACGATACATATCCAAGAGTGGCTCGTAAGGCTCGCAATGAGGGAGGGGGTTTTCTAGACTCAATTTCAGGTGAGCTATCTTCGATATTACCAGTTTGAGGGATCTTTATCAAGTTCTGTCAATGTGATCAATCAAAATGTGGCATGCTTTCCATCAATCAGGCTTAGTTGCCCGAATCTCATATTGTCCAGCACCTCTTCTTCAGGGCGTTTGCACCTACTCCAATAGATGCAAACCACGATATCGAAGCAGGCTACCGTTGGCGGTCTGCGGCAGGTATGTAGCTCGTCAGCTGGTACAAATCTGCTACCTTTCCTGTACAACACAAGAACTCTTCAGACTCGAGCGTACTCCGAACGCACTCATGGCGCGCAAGATGGACTTGCAAAGCGTCGCAGCGATTTTGACGAGCCGGGAAGTACTGGAGAGTTACGAAGACAGACAAGAAGGCAAAGGCTAGGGCAACGAACTGTGGCGCGGCCGCGGCCGGCCGGTTTAGGAAATGTTGAAGTAAGCTCGACGAATGGATCACGGTCAGCCAGACAGGGCAGAACGGCGGGTAGGACTGTAGATGTGCCATTCGAGCATGCCGCCGACGACGCCGAAGTTGGGCTGGGTCCCATGAAGTCAACGATCACACCGCGGGAACAGAAAGCCTTCGAGAAGCTCTTCAGCATGAAGCGCAACCAGCCCACCGAAAGCCCCGTCAAACGCAAGTCTTCTTCGATGGACAAGAACAACTCTCCAAACGCGATCGTCAAGTCCGCAGTGACCGGACACAAGCGTAGAGAGCGTTCCACACCCGAGTTTCCTGCCTCTCTGCGACCCATGGCGGAAGAAGCGCGCGTACGAGAACAAGCAGCTCGAGATGCTCGCCAAGGAATCGCGGACGCAAATCATGATGGAGCGATCGAGTCCATGTACGACCACACCAAAGCCATAATGGAAGCCGCGAGGACGGACTTCTACCTTTGGAAACGGCTCAAAGAGCACGTGCTGGATCGCGCGGCGGCGCTCGAGCTGGATCCTATGACGACGGAGTATCAGCAAGACGCCGTTAAAACATGGCAACGTCTTCAGCGTCGGTTGGAGTACGCTCTTCCCACGGTTTCGGCGGCGCAGAAAACTTCGTCCGATCTAACTTTCATGACTGCCAACCTCCCAGGTCTGCTCCTGCACTTCATCGACCTCATGCGAACACGCTTTCCCGCCTCACTACTAGCCCTCAATGTGCTGCCCTCGCTCAAGAAGCTTGGCCCATCCGTCTTCGCGCTCGGCGCGTCTACGGCGCTCTATAACGCTCATATGCGGCAACTGTATGAGAAGTACCCGCTCAACGTCCCTGCCATTGTCGAAGTCCTGACGGAGATGGATCGAGAGGTCTACGCTTTTGACGATGAGACGCTGGAAATTGTTGAGGATGTCATTGCGGAGGGGACGAGATGTAGGGAGGGGCATGCGGGGCCCGCGCTGCGAGTGGTGTATCATGCTGATACGATGGTGAGGGCGGGGAGGCATTTGTTGAAGTGGAGGGAGGTTATGCAGCAGAGACGGGAGGAGGAGGCCCTGAGGGTTGCGAGGGAGATGTATGCTGAGGCGGAAGCTTCGGGAGAGATGGAGGATGTTGGTGTGCATCGTCGAAGACCCGTGCAGAACGACGCGTTGGGCGTTCGCATGCTGGCTGGGCTGTAGCCGAACGCCCTGCTGTTCGTGAAGCACGCTCCACATCGCAAGACACTTTTCGAAGGACTGTTACTACATCTAAGTGTGAGTGTGCGCGTACGTTTATCGCTTGTGAATACCGAAGTATCCTACTGAGAGAAGTAACCCGCTGCTAGCAAAGTTGATTGTAAACTCGTGACTCGTCGTGCTGCTTCCTGCCAGGAAGGGCTATCAGCGCCCTTGCGCGCAGAAAGCAAAGCAGGCGACAAGGTCTCAAACTTCGATCAGGCCGTTCAGCCCAGTACGACACCTTGCCGCACGCACGCACCGCCACGCCTCAGGTCGTTACCTCAAGCTGTTACCTCAAGCTACCCACCCGTCGCAGGTGTACACCCGGCGAATGTGATGGAAGTAGCAGTTGCGGAGGGTATAGACATCGTGGTTGCCGTGATGCTTCTTGCACTTCCAATTTCGAGCACGGTCGTCATAGATGCATTCGTCGTAGGTATGCGGAAGCACTGCCTTGTCTGCAACCAACCTTGGGAGAGCGGCGGGCGTTGCGAGAGGGTTGAAGGTGAAGGAGGTGCTGGTGCTAAGTACGGTTATTATCGTGACGAGGGGGTCGGAGGTCGCCGTTACCCTCGTGGTATGCGTGGCCGTGACGGTACGCTTCGCAGTTATCGGTAGCGTCTCAGGCGCGGCGATCTGCTTATCGGCTGCCTCCTCGGTGTTGGGACCCAGGGTCTCCTTCGCAGCCACCGAAGGGTCCTGCATCGGGTCTGTCTCGTGTTGAGGAGTTCGAGCACCGATCGGTGAGCCGTCCGTGTCGTGCGGGATATCGTAGACGGTGTTTGAGTCCAGCTCTTCTTTATTGCCCGTAGATAGGGGAACGAAATTTGGCAAAAAGTCCTGTGCGAAAGGAGTATGCTTGGCTGGCAGTATAAGATCTCGCGGGTGTCTGCGAGGATGCAGGACAGGGCCTGGACCGAAGATGATTGGGTCCACAACATTCGGCTCGTCACTGACAGGAGTGGGAGCTGATGTGCGCTTGGCGAGAGATGAAACAGAAGTGACAAGGCTGGTAGTGTGTCCGTTGGCGTACGCGTCTGTAATGGTAGTCTGCTGTCCGTCATCCTCCGCGGTTGTCCGCTCGTCTGGGAGCCGGCTGAGATCAGGGGCCTGCTTGGAAGGGTCATCATCGCTGTCGGCCGTGATGCTCACGGTCCGAAGGCCAACAAGATCGATCTCTGAGACATTGCCTTTCGGGTTGACCTTGACACCCTCGACCACTATGGCGGTAGCGCTACCCGAGCCGTGAGCAGAGTCGCGAACTGCTGGGATTACTCTCTGGCGTAGAGTTAGTGACTGACCGGCCTCGTCCATGCCGATGGCGTCGATGGTGGTTGTGCTGAGGTCACCGTATTCGACTCCTGTAACGTCGCCTTGCGGGTTGACATTGATGGCCTCGTATGTGAGCTCCGCAGCATTGCCCTTGATGTGCTCAGAGGTTGCGATGCTGGCCATGGCGGCAAACGCCAGGCCAGCTGCAGAGTAATAGCGCATAGCGACTATTCGGTGTGAGGATTCTTGTCACTGCGGTATCGATAATTGTACTGGAGTTAAGATGCTAAGAGCTTGGAGTGTTTAATTGTAGTATTGTTGACCATGGGAAAAGCGAACGGAAAGCAGAACGTAGCGAGCCGGAAAGGAAGAAGCAGTACTTGCCTGTGCGGCATGATGCTTGCCGTAATCCCATTAAAGGGTGTAAGTGGAAAGCATCCGCTAACATTCTGCACCGTGGTTCCCCGACGATGTGCTTGAAGCTGTTCTGGGCGCTCATGTGTTGTCGGAAGGTGCGCTCACGTTTCGCTCATTCCCTCAGCAGGCAGAGCTGGTGTGTTAACATTCCCTTTGTACCCTTCCGCCCACGGCGGCTTCCCATCCTCATCAAACTCTCCCCATACGAAGTATGTGCACCCTTTTTGGCCGGGTGTATATCCGGAGTGGCACATCCACATATATCGGCCTCGCGTAGCTGCTCGCTTCTGTACACATCGCAGTACAGTGGGCACACCGCACTTGCATTTTGGCGTATACTTCGGATGCAAATATTCTTTGTAGCACCTATAGGTCACGTTCAGCCGCTTGTTGCCTGCTAGAGGGTGCGGATCGATTGTTTGCGCAGGTGCGACGGCATGTTTCCACTCTTCCTGCATCTCGGCGTGCATGACGAGTAAGCTGTTGTGCGGGAGATGGATGGCAATCTGGCCTTGCGTGTCTGCAGACGAGCCATCCTGCGCTTGCGGCACGATCTTTCGTACGCGAAACTCGCGCGCTACGCCCAACGACAAACTACCAATGACTGCTCGTGGCCCCAAGTAGGTCAGCTGGTCTGAGTGGTAGCCTACACTCTCTCGGGCTCCATCGTAGCAATTTACGAAGGATGCATTAGGCTTCCACTCATCCGGAGACTGGAATTTGAGCTTTACACCGTCTGACGTGGAGCCATGTACGCGACGCTGTATCTCGTCGTTGACGGCATCACGCACACGAGCAGACACCTTCAGCATCTCCGGCGTCGTCTGAGCTACATCCGGAACGTAGCTCCCGTTGTACACGTAAGCCGTCTTCTGCGTCTGCAGTTCTTCCAGGCTATCAACATAGAAGCGCATGGTATGCGGTGACTCTACCGTCTTGTCAAACAGCTGAAATGTCTCCTTCCTGAACCTCGGCGCCTCGACAAGAAGCTCCTTCAGTAGCGCGTCTGCCTCTGCTTGGGGGAGGAAGTTGTGGATGATTGAGCATGGCGTGTGCGCCTCCACATCTTCGGGCGCATAGAGGTGCAGCGTCTTCCCTTTCTTCGTAAGCGCCTTTTTCGTGCCGACCTTCACCGCCTCGTCGCTGCTCGGTCTGGCAAAGCTAGACAGCGAAGATTGGTAGCCATTCGCAGCTGGCGGCTTGCGCGGTGAATCCATCATTGCGGGTAACGCCAGTGCGGAGGAGGCTCGCTCCACCGAGCCATCATAGGCCAGCAGATAGTCCAGGAGGATCTCTTGGCTACGGTCTAGGTGTAGAGAGGCCAGTATCGCAAGTTTGAAGTCTGTCGACTCGCCCTCGGCCGCTTCACCCAGCGTCTGCTCTTTGACGGGCTCGGCCTCCGATGAGAGCCTTTGCCTTTTTCGTGATACAAACACCTCCATCGCTTCTTTTCACCACGCGCGGTGCCAGCATATCGTCTGCTTCGATGTACGATCTGTGGTAATGGCGTTGATCGAAGCTTTGAGCTGATGAGCAGCGTGAATCACTCGAAGCGCCGCACCCCAGCGCCACGAGCTGAGTCACATACCGTACAACTCACTAACTATCCTCACCACATGACAAACAAGGTGTCGATTGCACGATCGACAGTATGGCTGAGGCCATGAACGATATACTGGTACAGCCCAAGCATACCATTATCGAGACAGAAAGACTTCGTCTAAGGACTTTCTACGTCTCGGACGCGGAAGCTCTGCTGCCACTCCTCACGGATCCTAAGATCATGCAATGGACTGGGAATCGAGCACTTCAATGGAACAAAGCCCAAGCTGAGCGCTGGACCAGTGATCGTGCTCTGGGTGCCGACGTCTTTAACTTCGTGATCGAACTTCGCCCTCCCAAAACTCGCGGTCACATTGACCGCAATACTACGCCCAAGATCATAGGGGTAATAGGTTCGTTCCACTGGCCATCAGTAGGGTATCTCATACGGACAGGTATTCTGCCTTCCATAATGATTTAACTGGCAAGCGAGCTTAGGTAAGTGATAACCTCCTCTTTCACGTAGATCATGCCGGGAAAGGCTACGCCACAGAAGCTCTACGTGCTCTGATACCGGCTTTCTTCGCTCGTATGCCTCCAGCCAGCTCCACCTCAGACTCCACCTCGTGCGCCGGCTTCGACCATATCGAAGCCAGCACAGATTCCGAAAATTTCGCCTCTCAGCGCGTTCTGCTCAAGTCTCGCTTCACGCGTTCCGAGACGATCCTGCAGAATTTCGAGAACCCTACTATGGGTCTCAGAGATACGGTTGTCTATAGGCTAGCGAGGCCAGGCTTCACGTTGCAACAGCTGGGTCTGCTGCATGGCGCTGAGAGTGAAGAGGAAGAGGCTGCCTTCAAGCCGCCCATAGAGTAGTTTTTGTCCGTCAACTAAACTTATACGTTCTATCAGGCTGCCTTTGTGTCGACCTGACGAGGGCTCCTGGCATGTAAATGATACTGGGCACGAGTTCTGCTTTCCTCATGTAAGCAGGCCAACGGATTCGCCTTGGCCGTTAAACTACGCTCATCAACACCAAACGATCCTGTGCTGGGCCCAAGTGAACCGCGAATGCTACTGGCATTGTTGGTCCTGGAAAGAGTTAAATTAGAGCTGAGATCCAACACCGATGCTGCCCGTGGTAACGTGAGCTCCGTCTCCCATGCCTATTAGCACTATCAACCTTCCACATTTGGCGCCTGGCGACCTAGAACTTCGCGGTCACCTTCCAGCCCACGAGTCTGATTCGCGCCATCACGAGCACACATGCACTATACAGGCGGTCAGCAAACGAATGTTATGATGGAAGACCAGACAGCTTACCCAGCGAAAGTCATGACACCTGCAAAGGCTTGTAGCCCAGTCCACTTGCCATCCCACCTCTGTAAGATAGCGCCACCGATCGGATTGCTGATCAAGGCCGCAATGGCGATGATGGCGAACAACGAGCCAGTTCTAACGCCTATCTGGCGAACGTCAGATATCTGTGCAATTAGAGACGGAGCCAGCGAAACGAAACTGAAGTGTACTGTCAGCCGGTTTAGGTCTTTTCTGATGGGGAACATGGCGGACGCACGCCCCGCTACCGAAACCGTATAGAGCACTGAACACGATTATAGGTGCATTTCCAGTTGAAGGGATCCACATCGCTAGGACCAGGATTGCGGTGAAGCTGCGACACGCTGTCAGCATGATCTTCAGCGCTTCTGGCATTCTCGAAACGTACAAGCACATGATAATCATCATGTTGAACCTTCCGAGCTTGTCCGCGAAATACCCCGGCAGCGTTCGTCCAAAGAGGCTGGCAGCGTTGAGAATGGCTGGCAGATACTGGGCCAGACTCTCACGCATGCCGTACGATGTGGCCTCGAGGATGATGTAATTGATGGGCAAAAACATGCCAAGGAAGAATAAGAAGCAGCCGAGGGTGACAAGGTCGAACGGTAGTTCCGCAAGAGGTGCCAAGAAGTCGACGAGCTTCCACGGCTTCTTTACAGGTGGGATGCGCGAGGTGATTGTGAGGTTCGCGATGATCATCAGGGACAGTATCAAGAAGGCAGCAATGCGCATGGACCTGCAAGATAAGGTCAGTACTGTCTCTATCCGCTAGGCATATGTTCACTCACCAGCCGAAGCCGACCTCGTAGATCAGCCTCTGGACCATGATAGGAAAGATGACACCCCCAAGCGAGCTGCCTGCCGCCATGATGCCGAAAGCCGCACCACGCTTCTGAAAGAACCATGTGGTGATGCTGTTGGATAGCTATTAGCGATACCGGATGCAGCGTTGAAGATTGAGGGCCAGTACGCTTACTTACGTGCTCATAGCAGGGTAGAATATCGCGCTAGCTCCGATGGGTGAGCATATACCCTGCGCCAGAATGAACTGGTAGTATTCTGTAGCGAGCGATGTCATCATCAAACCAAAGACGTGCAGAAAGGTGCCAACGATGAGCAGCCATCGAGGTCCATACTAAGTTTACCGGTTACGATGTTTAGCGAAGCCTCGTCCAGATGGGTTAACTCTACTCGTTAGTAAACTTACGTTGTCGTAGAGCTTGCCGATGATTGGACCTCCGGCGAACATGAAGAAGGTCTCCAGTGAGGACACCCAGGACACCGTGCTCGGGCTATACTCCGCCAACTGGTGCGTTTGGTAGTAGTTCTGAAACACACCGATAGTGTTGATCCAGCCGAATGAACAAAACAGTACGCAGAAGCCTCCGAGCACGCACAGCCATGCCTTCGCTCCACCGTCCGGGTTCTGTCGAGGGTCAAATGCTCCTGGAGGTGGGCCGTTCTGTGGTTCGGCGGCAGCACCCTTCTCAAGGTCATTTAGCTGCTCCTGGCCCACGTCGGGGAGTATCCTGGCTTCTGTCCGACTGTGAACGGGGTCAGGCGCCTTCTCGGGTCCCTGAAGAGCAGTACTCTCAGGTTTGTCCTTGAGCGAAGAGGTCCACGTGGAAAGGTTTGAAGGCATTGTGGTAAGGTACATACGGAAGCGGAACGTGTGCGAAACAACGTCCTGCTTCGCAATCCTGCCGATAGACAGATCTTGATGAGGGAGAAACCATCGAAAGAGAGGAATGTCTTCAAGTAAGACTTGTACTGTACCTGTACTATAGAAGGTCGACAATCGGACTTTCGGTTGGCGAAAACCCGTGCGACCCCGTTGGCGCCGAACCACTTCCAACGAGCTACGAAAGTACTCCTACGTTCCTGTTTAGTGCACTCTACTAGTGGACGGGCACGGAATGTACTGGGCGGGCGTGGCTAGTGTGCTGCGTGTGCGGTTGCCTATAGAGCGCTCCTGCTTCGCATGCTTGGTGCCAGGATTCGCACTAGTGAGAAAAGGGCGCAAGTATGATATCGCTGTCATCAGGGTTTCAATGGCAATCAGGGCTAGTGATGTGCCAACCCGAACCAAATGGCGAAGACAAGGTCCCATGGGATACGGGGTTGCAAATCGGAGAGGGAAGGTTCACAACACTTGGTACATGCCGTGACAATCGTCGCCTGACTCGTGCACGCGTTGCGCCCCGCGACACCACTAGCGGCGTCATTGATTGTTCGATATGATTTCCTCACAAACGTTCGCCGCGAACGCTTCGAGGCATTTTAGCGTCGTCGTATGGCGCGCAACAGGATGTGATAACAATGTTTGGGTAGGGAAGCTAGCGAGCCCGTTCGAGAATGCCTACCGCAGCGCCAGCGGCTGCGAAGCCGTCGAAGTCGATATTTGACCCGTTCAACTCTTCGGCCACTGGCCACCAACGAGCAGACAACCGTCTTAGCGGCAGCACTTCATGGAGTGATTCGCGCTCGCTGAAGTTGAATGAACAATTCACCGCAGGCGCAGGAGGTGGAAAGCGCATGAGTGACACTGTCGGTGCGGGCAGTTTGGACTTTGGTGTGGACGGGAGAACAGAGAATGGTGGTTGGACACGTGGAGCAAAGGGCTTGCGCACAAAAGGGCAAGCTAGTCTCTGGGAGAGTATGCCGGGTGCTCAAATCGAGAAGTGCGTAGAGAGGCCAGCAAAGCGAGCCAAAGTCGAGCCAGGCGAAGAGAAACCGACAAAGGTAGTCAACCCATGGACCCCTTTCAGACGTGAGGATGGCAAGATCCGAGAGACTAGCTGGACGTCGCACGACTCCTCGCCTTCACATCTACTTTCGCCTGTTGACCCGAGCTGCTCGGCACCAGAACCGTCAGCGAGCATAAGTCCCGAGCCACCAGCACGCGACGCTGCCGTTTCCGACATTACCGTAGACGTCAAGAAGTCATCGCGAATCTTTGAAAACCTCACATTCTATATAAATGGCTCCACCGCACCAGCAATATCCGACCACAAGCTCAAGCACATGATTAGTTCGCATGGTGGCCGGCTATCCATCGCACTGGGCAGGAGGTCCGTAACTCATGTTATTATTGCTCGCCCTAGCAGTAATGGTGGCTGTGGCGGCGGATTAGCAGGCAGCAAGATCCAGAAGGAGATTACATCCAAACGCGGCGCTGTGGTCAAGTACGTCACTGTCGAGTGGGTGATGGAGAGCGTGAAGGCTGGCAAGAGATTGCCGGAGTCACGCTTCGAGGGACTGAGGTTGGCCCCGAAAGGTGTCGATAGCGTATGCAGAATGTTTGCGACAGTCAAACAGTCTCCGAAGGCTCATGACGAGAAAGACGACAAAGGGTAGCCTGTGCATTTTTCGATGTTCCATACGTCACAACATGCAGCCGCAGAGCCCCAATGAGAGAGAAACCTGTGAGCGCTAGACTAGACCGAGGTCCCAGAGTCTATGCACAGATTCTGTCCGGTCATTGATCTTGTCGTTGCTAGTACGCGAACCTGCTCTGCAACGTCCTGTTGAGAAGACCCCGTTAGCTTCATCCCTGCTAATTAGTGCAGACTCACCTCAACCGTGGCCAACCGCCCCAACTTCGTGGCCTGCGTCGCTTTCTGGATCTTCTCCTCCCCGAACTTCAACCCCCATTCCGTCAACAGCAAACCAGGGCTTACACTGTTCACCCGAATTCGCGGACTACAGATCACTGCCAGCGCCTTGCTGAGGTGGATTGCGGCTGCCTTTGTCACCGCATAGGGGAGCGAAGAACCTGACGGCTTCACGCCTGCAATACTGGCCGTCGTGATGAAGGCACCTTCGGTCTCGTCGAGATGCGGACGTACGGCATGCATTAGCCAGAGATGAGATTTGACGTTGTAAAGAAAACATCGATCCCAGTCTGCGTCGTCAAGGCCTTCGTCCAGGTTTTGGAAGTTGGTGACGCGAGTCCACCCGGCATTTGACACGACAACATCGAGGCGCCCGAAGGTTGAGACGGTATCCTGAACCAGTTGTTGAATGCTGGGACGATCGCCTACGTCTGCACGAAACGCCTGAAACCGAGGCTTTGCAAGACGGCCATGACTGTCCGGGATGCTGTTTAATTCGTCGATTAGCGACTTAGCACGGCCTTCGTTGTTGGCGTAGTTGATAGCCTAGTGGACAATCACTCAGTCTGGAAGCGGGGAAACACATATATACCATCGTGCATACCAGCTGGAAGTCGGGTGCGAGGCTACGAGCAATCTGTGCACCTAATCCTGCAGTTCCAGCTGTGATGAGGGCGACTCTGTGCATTGCCATTGTGAGTGCGAGATGCCAGCCTTAGATAACGTAAAGGCAGAACAAGCGAGACGAGCACCACCTTCTGTGATACTCCCATGGTTGTCACCCTCACAGCCCCCGCTATCGGAGGCCTCGGCGCGTGTTGGCCTTTGTCATTGTTAGCGAGGTGGACAACCGCCGACTGCATTTACACTCCTACTTTTGAGCATTACACGATACCTTGTGCTCCTGAATGCTAGTATGACTTTAATCGGTAGGGTTGTTGGAGAACGAGGTGAGGTGAGGTGAGAGACATTACGCGTCTTGCACGCGTCGCCTTCTCCCGCCTTCGGGTCTAGCTACCTACTCCATCGATCATCCTCGCCTTGTCCTGCCTATCTTACTGCTCAAAGTGTATATGCCTCCTCTTGTCTAACTCAAAGCGCGATAAAGCCCAGATTGAGTAGCACCACACAACATCCCAATTAAAATGCCGAAGCGATCGCAGGAGGATTACGAAGACGACGGTGGCTTCGTTGAAGATGCGCCAAAAAGCAAGAAGCAGAAAGATCGGAATGACAATGGTGCAGCGGAAACCACGTTGAACAGCGGGACGCAAATTGACGAGGATGGAAACGAGTACTGGGAGGTGTGGGCTCCTATGAGAGTGTGAAGTTAGTGGCATATTACTGATCCGGGTCGACCAGCTATCGCGTGGGCGGAATACACGACGTGTTGGGATATCGAGTTTCAAGGACAACACCCTGGTGAACCTGCGCGAGTTTTACCAGAAGGACGACAAATGGTTGCCTGGAAAGAAGGTGAGCAGGCAGTCCCTCTGCGATAGCATGTGGCTGCATGAACCACTGCAGTAGATGTCTGCTGCATAGGCTCCACACACGTTGCGCGTAAGAATCTCCCTAGTACTGACCACCACCAGGGCATCTCTCTTCCCATAGAGCAGTTCGAAGCCTTCATTGGAGCCTTACCAGCCATTGAAGCGGCGCTTCACTCGAGAGGCATCAGTGTATCCAGGCCGAACTACGACGGCGCAGGGAAACCAAGCGCCGTCCTCGCAAAGGCCGTAAATCTCGGCGAGGACGGCGCCGCTAAAGAGGATGGGCACGATGCGCAGCTGGCGCCAGGGTCTAAGCTCGACAAGTTCAAGTTCAAAGCGAACCATGAAGTTACAAGCGAAGAGGACGAAGGTTGAGTATGTGCTATTACGAAGGTGGCTTCCAGCTACAACAGCCTATACCCGTTAGGCCAGTTGAGCAGGGCTACAGCACACCAGCAGAACCTTTTCTGACGGAAGCGGTACGACCTCGTCCTCTTCTTTGCACCGCACGCGACCTATCCGCTGATTTCCAGTTAGAAGAAGACTCCTGCTAAGGTCAGGACCAGGCTTGCTGCCGTGTGAAAGCGCATGAACACTGTGCTTTTCAGGTTAGGCCAACGCGAACGACTACGCGCACGTCCTCAATTCCCACAGCATTATCATCCCCTTGATGGCCGGCCTACCATTACCGGCGCGAAGGACGTTACATTTCCATATATACGGCGGATTTGCGAGCCCGGGCATGATGCTCTGTTGTGCGGCTGATACCCATGGCCTACCTGTGTTGCTAAGCTAACGCCATTGGTAAAGTCGACTGCGGCAGCAGTCGATTGACGCCTTTGTGCGGTATTTACTCTGCATCATGCGCACTGCTTCCGCCAGGTAGTCGACCAGCCCTACATTGGATCGTCAGGCCACCCACTACTTCCCCCAAGTGGACTGGCTCTGCATCGGACCGTTAGGCCACCCATTGCATCCGCCAAGCCGACCGGCTCTGTACCGGACCGTCATTCCACCCAAGCTGTCTTCGCTTACGAACAAATCCTATTCTTGTCGCGCATGGAGCTGTGTGCTCGGCGAAAACACTCGTCTACTCGAACAAGCAGCTCAGATTTCGCTATATAAGTGAGCGGTCACTTCCCATATCCAGGCCGTAGCAGCGCTGCATCTTGTGCGTTGAGGACAGCATCTCCGTTATACGCTTGGCCGATCAGTGCTACAGGCTCAGCATGCCTACCATGTCCAACAACTTAAAGCCATCCATTCTGCTTATCCCTGGTTCCTGGCACAACGGCCCGAAGCACTACTATCAGCTGATCGATCGCTTGCGCAACGCAGGGTACGAGGTCGATGCATTAGAGATGCCTTGCGTCTGCGACGATCCCAAGGACAAGCATTACTCGGATGACTACGAGCACGTCCGAAATGCTCTTCGCACGTTGGCTGATCAAGGCAAAGACATCGTGATGGTAATGCACTCACGTGGCGGCCACATTGGATCGGACGCCTGCAAAGGCTTCGGAAAGGCGGAGCGGGCTGAGGCCGGGCACCTAGGTGGAATTGTGCACATGGTCTACTTAGCTGCCTTCGCCATCGCAGAGAATGAAAGCATCTTCACCGCTTTCGGCCAGCAACCGGCACCGTTCGTCCGCATCACAAAGACATCTGGGGGAGAAATTTCCTTCATTATCAATCCAGAGCACTATATTTACCATGATTGTCCTGCTGAGGAGGTTAAGAAGGCGATAGCCGATCTCCGGCCAAGCGCAGCAGTGACGGAGACGGAACCGTCGACATTCGCGGGGTGGAAGCATTATGCATCAACCTACTTACTCTGCGAAAACGACCAAGCGCTATTGCCCCGGTTTCAGGAGATGTTCTTGTGTCAGCCCGGCGCGAAGTTCAACGTCGAGAGGTGCGATGCGGGACATAGTCCTTTTATGAGCCGGCCAGACTTCACTGCAGAAGTAGTAAGGCGAGCGTGTGGCGAGAAGATATGAGATGAACGTTCGTAGAACATATCAATCCTGCCGAGCGGCATACGCTGCAAGGATAACGACTTGCAGGATTATCAGCATATTAAGCTCCTAACAAATGTTCGGTGTCTGTGCTGGACTGGTATCGAGATGCTTCGAATAAGCCAATGCTTCATATCGCCTTCCAACACCGACCCGCTAATCCCAACGACAATAATCGCAGCGCACCAGTTGCTGTACTGATAGATAGTCCCAATCACGCTCACACACTGACCCTTCGTTCATCCCCGCCGTCACTCGGACTCAGCACGATGGCTGGAGTGCTGACTCGCCGTCTCCGCTGCCTCTTGAGCTCCAGCTCAGCATCCATCAACCGCGTTTGCACCCACATCCTCATGCGGCTGTCATTGCGTACGGCTTCGCAGTTGAGCAAATCGGTAAGCGTAGACTTGATGTCATGGTTGACGCCGAACAGTCTGTCTTCGTCTGGCGAGAATGATACGGCGTGATAGGCCTCCGGAACGTCCAGCGTCCCGTCTTCGGGTATGGGCGACATGGACGGCGAGCGAGAGTTTGATTTCCGCATGGTCGGAGTCGTGGCAGGTTTTGGTAGGGCGAATGTGGGTGGCGACATCTGGGAGAATGATTGCCGTCCACCGAGAGTAGGTGATGAGTCTGTGGAGCTTACGTCCGAAGCCGACATCGTTGGAGATGATGTAGCGAGTGACTTGGGTGAGGCAGGCGGTGACGAGCTATTTGATAACCGGCGGCGGATCTTGCTCTGTTGAGAGTGGAGTGCCATATAGCGTTGCAAAAATACCGCCTATATAGCGTTTCGGAGCATCAGCATCGATTACGGATCGGTAGACGCGAGAGTTCAAGCTAGTCTTGTTGCATCTGCATGCAAAGTAGGTGTCTTTCGGAACATCGAAGACGTGGCGCTTCCAGGACGTTTCAAGCTCCCACTATAGAAAGGTCGAAGAACACAGAAGGAGAGCAATGTCCGGTACGTACCTTATCTTGACATCGTGGTGCAGCATTTGGCGCGCACAACGGTCGCAGCGAATCCGGTGCCGCTGCCGCTGCCATTGAGAGCTTGGATAGCCGAATCTGGCAAGTCCGCTGAGTCCACAGACGGGACGGGAGCTTGATTGGTCGCGAAGGTCAGGTACCGCTTCCGCGTTGGTTTGCGTTTCGATAGAATCTGGTGTTATAGCAACAATAGCGTTCCGGACGTGACAGGCGTCGTTGAAGGAGTGTCTCTGAAGCTGGCGAAAGAAGGTACGGGCTCGAATGTTTCCTGTTCACTTCTGGAAGCCTTGGAATGTTCCACGGTCGGGGGTGTTACTGCGTCACAGCAGACTGCGCGGTGAACAACCCTGTATCCGGAGTTCAAAAGGCTGAAATGGAAGCCAAGTTGACGCTACTAAAGCATTGCCGAGAAGCATACGTATAATTTGGTCAGCCCCTGTCACAAGCACGTCGTCGTTATCTTGTTATCCACACTGCGACTTCAGCTCACCGCGGCGCAGCCATGACGTCCGAGTGGCGCAAAGTTGGCATCAGTGATCCGACACACCTCTAAACAGGCACTTTCGATCCCGATTCCAACGTCTACGCCGGTCGGTGCAGCCGAGGCCTGCGCTGAAACAGGATTAATACCTGCTATTTGGCGATCGCAAAGATGAAACGCCGTGCGGACTACTTACCTCAGTCCCTTTCGATCTTGCTTCGCCCAGCAGCAATCGGGCTTTCGGACGTGGCTGGATCTGGTATGGTGACCGTGTCTCGTGATGGTACCGCGGAATGTAAGTGTAAACAGCTTCCCACGATTTCCTGGCAACGACGTTCGCGACGAGCATCCTGGCAGTTGGCAAATCGCTGTGTCTCTTGATGAAAGCCAGAAAATGCAATGTAAGATAAGGTGCAAGGAATGCGAGACTCAAGCATTCAGCGCCAACTGAGCGGTCTTGAGCATCACTTCATCCTTTCGGAATGTGGCCATCATCTTCCTACCCTCCCAAAACCCCTTCCCATAACTCACCAAGACCTCCTCACCATCCTTGATTCCACCCTTCCGCTTTCCAGCCTTACCCGCGCTCAGCACAAAGATGCCTACCCTTCGTTCCCACTTCATACCGTCCTTCCGCTTCGCACACACGACTTGAATGTAGCAGTCTCGGAACTCAGCGTTGGGCCTCTCAGCAATGCCGCGGTAGTCGTTTGCACAACGACTCTCGTTTCCCGACCGAACGGCATCCACGCTCAGACCGATCTCCCGGTCGAGACTGAGGTCGTAGTCACTATGTGGATCTGTGTCGGAAAGGCTGTTATTGTGGACGTGGCCAAGATACATGCATATAAGCCGGTCTGGAGCCAGGTGCTGCGCCGCGAATAGTCCACGCTGGCCGCAAGCTGGATGGGTTTCGTCCGTTATTACGCGGATCTCGACTAGTGGATTCGGAAGGATGAGTGCCTCGTTACTTGCGGCAATCTGTGACCACGTAGCGTCGTCGGAGCCGGTCCGGCTCAAGGCAGTCCTTTGGTCGGCGGTGACAGCAGCTGAGTAAGTGTGATCTGTAAGGTAGGTCACGTCTTCAGGCCAGTCCTTCGGCAGCGGAGCGGTTGCACAATCGAGTTTCTGTGGTGCAAACGCCGCAACGTCGGCTTTCGATTTCGATGGCATCCTGCTAAAGTGTGATGCTCCCCGTCGATAACCCGTTCCTCATCATGATACCCCGCCTTGCTACTTCTACGACTCTCAAGTTCAACTCTGCAATCCGGAGCCTGCACGCTCAGGAACGTGTCATTGCACGATTGGTGTTGCCAAATAATATATACAAACCTTCCTTCAAGACAGAAAGCTGGAAGCGGGGCAAGATATTCAAGCCGTGCTTTCAACATCATAAGCAACGACATGTTACGACCCAAAGAAGCGTAGCTTATGCCTGAAAGGCTTATCAACGTAAACACATGCGCTGCGTGCGATCCTACCCGCGCCAACACTGCGCATGAAGACCAACGTTTTTCCAAGCGGCCGCGCTGCGCTCGAAGCGCCTACCTGTCCGTCTGGATGGCTTGCATTCCGGTGACCCATCGCCATCGCCTCATCGTCGCGGCCACTGCGCGAGCTACACATCGCCCCTCAAGCCGAAGCTCGCGTAGCCAAAGTGACCCCCTGCCGTCATTCTAGGAGAGCGTGAGCCTCTTGGGCTTTGTGTCACTTAGATGCGCCTGGAAGCCACGGTTACCGCCAAAGTCGACCCATCTCCAGCCATTCCATCTCGGCTCCACTGCCAATGATCCTTGAAAGGCGCCCCAACCCTTGCAATGTCTATCTCGAGCGTCTCTCTCCCCCTTATCTGGCTTGGCCACTAGCCAGGCAACTAGACGCTGAAGGTCCGCAAGTACGAATCCTTCCTTGCCATCAAGGGCGTTGAACTTGCCTTCCTGCAATTGCTTCGTCTTGGTGTCAAGGTGCTGAAAGAAAGCATCATGCTTGCCATTGTTGTTGCCGGTAAGAATGTGGACGTAAGGGTCGATTGCTGGCCCGTTCGGGGTCATGCGAACCTCAAGCGTGAGGTAGGCGAGACTACGGAATGGCGTGCCGACATCGAAACGGACGGTGGGCAAAGGCGCCCTGTCCAGGTTCGTTTCGAGCAAGTGCTGCATGGCGATAGCGGAAATTCTCAGTTTGCCGCAAGTTTTAAGACGTTGTTCATCCACGTAAAACATGCAGGCCGTGGCATCGTAGTTGACCCATGTCTTGCAGCTGAAAGTGGTATAGCGAAGGTAAGCAGCGAAGATCTCGTCGCCAAAGGGAGGGTACTCGTGGCACAAGTCGGGTATCGCAAGCTTCTCGATCGGTACAGCATCCAGCTCGTGGAAACATTCCCAGTACTTGTCCTGGCGCTCGTCGAAGCTCATCGTGCTGAGCTGTTCGAGTGTGATCATGCCGTCAGACGTCGAGGGTAAGGCGGAGTCGGTGACCATTTGATCTTCATACGGAGTGTGGTTGGCTACCTCGACCTGACTGTCCGAGGTTACTTCCGCTTCCATCTTGCTGCCGATTGAGTCCTTGACGAACACTCTGAGTTTCAGAGTTACTGCAGCGGGCATCGTCCAGCGTGTGGTTCTGACTTGTGACAGCGAGCTTTCCAAGCAGTGACGGAGGCCGCCACCGAAGTGATGCATGTCAGTCACACGTGTTGAACACGGCTGCTTCGTGACATGTGACCGGTGACGCAGGAATGTGGTGAAAGGCTGCTAACACGTGTAGCGACATCCAGACGTGTGACTGCCGCACATTGCAAGCCGAACACCTCGTGCGTGGGCCAGCACGGGGACATTATCTGTTAGTGACACTATCACTTCACGTTAATGGAAGACAGGCACACCTCAAGCCTTGGGATCCAGCTCAGGGCGCCGTAAGGCGGGCGGTTGTGCATCTGAAAAACGAATTCGGAAGGCACGTTTTCACGCACCATCTTCTATTTCCAAAGCCATGCACTAGTACTATTTACGCTGCCATTGACTGTGATCGCTGTAAAGTTCTACACATCAATGCTCTTCTCCAGTGCCTCGCCTTTGGAGGCGACGGCAGGCTGATGAAAATGCTTGCTGCTGTAGCAGTGTTTGTTCCAAAAGTTCCCTGCCGATCCGAAGACCAACAGGAGCGGTCAGTTGATAGTTTTCAACTAGCAAAAACGCAATCTCGGACGAATCCTCACTGATATGCGTAATGCCCGTGCACTCGGATGGAGAAGAAAGGGAGGAAGTTGAGCGGCGAAAGCTGAGTTGATATATGGGCGAGATTGGCCCGTGCGTACATGACTCAAATTTGCTTTCTGACTCGTGTACCTTTGGCAGCCTCAGGCAAGCAACGATCGCGTCCTCCTCTTGTCGCGCTCTACGGTAGCTGTGCGTACAGTCACGTTGCGCATTGAGACCCGCCACCTGCGAGTGTGAACAGCGAAGTGAAGCAATCATGGCGCAAGCATCTAACCCTCTCCAGGCTGTTGCTGCGCCACTTGTATGTCTGGCTACAGGACTGTTGCGACTCTGCTAACCCTGAACCCAGCAAAACCACGTCCATTTGATCTCCGGCCGCCGCTTCCCACTTATAGCCGGCCCTCTGTCCATTGACCAGGCTGTGACATACCTGCTCGATGCGCCTACCATCGTCAGCCGCCTGGCAGCGATGTCATGGACGTATGTCCAGGCTCCGCAGGACGGCACCCTTTGGCTGGAGTATATACCACCGGAGAAGGAGCGCTTCTCCAGTGATGGATATGTTTGGGGCGATCCGGAGACGAGCATTTGCCATGAGTTTAATGGTTACACGATCGAGCTCTACCGGCACACTGTCGGCTACCGTCCGCACCATGACCAGATGGCTTCGCACGCACGAACTCGGTACCATCTCATAGCAAAGAACCCCGCCGTCAACGCTGCAAAGCCGGATCCCGCGCTGTGGATCGTTCACTACCATACGACTGATGCGAATCGGATGCTCCCAAGCAGTCAGGTGCCTTTCCCTCCGCAGATGCAGCAAATCATGCGCGAGCGGCAGGTGCTTGAGGCGCAAGGCAGACTCGAGAAACGCGATTTCATGTTGCACGACCGCAGCGCTTGGCCGGCCCTCAACCTACCCAACGCCGCTACTCTGCAGCGACAGATGAGCATGCAACAGCAAGGCTACCCTTCCCAAGCCAGCCAGGCGCAGGCGGCCATGATGCGAAATCAATATCCCCAATACCCAGCTTATCAACAACAACAACCACAACATCTACAACCCCCGCCGGCCAAGCGTCAGCGGCCGAACCCGTCCGTCTCGGGTGCTTCGGTTTTGCTCGATGGTATTCATGGAGACACGTCGATTGAAGATGAAGAGAACACCACGCTTGGTGACTTCTTCGACCATCTCACCCCACGCGATATCAGCGTGTCACGGTACATGCAACATCATCGTTGGATGGAAGAGGTCTTCTCTTCACCTTACGCTTCTAATCAGATTGTGCCGGCAGATCTCGGTCTCGGTCTGATGGGCGAGCTGAAGGGCTTGACTGACGGCATTCTTGAGCCGCCGACTGTAGACCTTGCGCTGAGCGAGCAGCCCCTACAGAAGGCGAAAGAAGCCCAGCCGTTCACTAACCTGAGCAAGGAGCAACTCGAAGAATTCAACAAGCGCGTAGCGACGCACCTTGAAGAAGGTCAAGCCGAGATCGAGCGGATGAAGGCCGAACATGCCAGAGAGATGGGCGAGTGGAAGAAGACGAATCTGTTGATGCAATCAGAGAAGAAACTGCGTTACGCAACTTGGCAGGGCCATGAAGATGCTGTACCTGCCTATCGGCTTGAAGATCCGTCGGCCACCGAGCATATGTCTGACTCCGAAAAGCGAGTAACACTTGAAGATGTTCTGAAGGAGGTCGAAGATGCGCTTGGCGTCAAGATCTCTGCCCGCAAAGAAGCAGAGATGGTGGAAAAGGGCGGTTGGGAGAGGGAGGAGGATGCCCCGCAGCAACAACCAGCAGCTTCTCGACCAGCGGACTCGCAACACCAGGACATGTTCGGCCAAGCCCAGCAGCAGCCGGTGATGCCTACCGCGACCGACCAGCCCACCATCTACCATGGAGAGCCACCCTCAATGCCATTGAAGCTGCCGCCCAATGTCGCCCAACGGTCAATCGCCCACGTGCAGCAAGCTCAGCAGCAAACGCCAATTGGTGAACCTGCACCGCAAACCGATCTCGGAGGCCCTTCAGATGTGTCTGACGAAACCGTGAACGACACGTCCATGATGGAGGGTATCGACCTCGACATCGGTGATACTACTATCGACTTCGGCGATAGCGCGCTTGTTAATGATGATGATGATGTGGATGATGGCCTCAACACGCTAACCTCTGGGTTAGCCGCACCCGATAACAGTAACACGACGACAGCCAGGACGGCAACATCGGGTGCACAACAAGCGCCACAACAAGCGCCACAACAGTCAACGACATCCGGAGAAGGCAATATTACTGGCGACAGTGCTGACGACAGTGGCTTGCCTGATGCGGCCGGCGACGAGTCGATGTTTAATGAGGATGCCTTTGGCGACCTCACAAACATGGACGACACTGCTGGTGACGACCTCTTCGAGTTCGGAAGTGGCGGTATGGGTATGGACGACAGCGCGTTTGGCGACGCAATGCACGGTATGGACGCTGGCGGTGACGGTGATGAAGGGCAGTAAAGCGGGGACGGCAACGCTGCGTAACGAGGACGGTAGAAGCTCACTCACTTCACCGACAAACGCTCGGCTTTTGCAGTCTTGCCATCTCGAACAACAAAATGCATAAACATGCGTCAACCCGCTTTCACATGATCAAGATCGTCTGCGCCTTTTGCTGTAGCGCGCTGTTCACGCTACTGCAACGCCGGCCGGCTCTCATCCTACGGACCGCTTTGACACCGTCGTCAAACCCTTGGCTAGCTTGTAGTAAGCAACACCCGTGGAGATGGTCCATTGACTTTCATCTCGACTTATCAGGAATCGAAGAAGCACATAGTCTGCCAATGGCAACTGTCTGAGCGGGCTCATTGCTTGGAGGCCGATAGCTCTACCTGTTACGTACAGAATAACTAGCGGCTCCCGCCATGGCGGCAACCTTGCGTTCAAAAGCCGTCTCTTCGCCTCTTATCCCGCTGTCGCCGTTGCGGCGGCGTCGTCCACTGCAGAAGGCGCCAGTGATATGTACGGGCAGCGTGGCATCTCCGCCTCCAAATGTCGAACAAGCCGACAGCCCTCTCCACGACAGAAGGATGTCATCCCACGCGAGTTGCGACACGTTGTGTGCAAAGTCTTGGTCACTGGAGATGTTTATACTGCATGTTGGTCACTTTTTGCAACAGCCTGGCAGCCTGCGTTGATAATATGTTGCATGCTGTTGGCCGGTGGACGGGATGTAGGTTACGGGTAACTAGCATTGAATGATTGAAGAAGCCTCTCGCGTATGAGTACGCATGAAGCTCAACATCTTCGACATGGCATGCGGGCCTGACTAGAGAATGGCCATTGTTGAGCCTCGGCATTTAAAACATTGCTGCTCTCCTGGTTATCGATCTGAGACCGTTGGTGTCCTGTCGAGAATGCAAAGCAATGCGGGTTGCGGCAACGCATCAAGCCACGGTGAGCCCTCATACAGCTCGCTTGTCGAAAGCTACTGCACCATTATGAGAGGCGCTTGTGTAGTCGTCCGGCCCGTAAGCCAGCATTTCTCAAGTGAACATGCCGCTCAGGTCTCTTCCCACTTTCGACCTTATTCAGACACAGCAGCTGCAGCAGGCTGAATTCGTGCGATCCCCATCGTTTAGGCCTTCAAGCCGTGAGCTAGCTGCGTTGAACGCAGGGCTGCAGCTTGGATCGTCTACGTATCGAACAGCAACTACGGTAGCGGGCTGCAGCCACAGGGTTAGCTTGGGGGAGACGCCGGAGCAAACAGACTCAGCGCCGTCCTCACTTCCCGGAGAATGGCGCAAGCAGGGAGTTGTGCCGATGCGTAGATTTTGTCCCCCACTTTTGTTAGTCGCGCAGTCCAGAATCTTTTATTCCGAAGGTCTGCCCATCGCTTTGATCAAGCGAGGAACGACGATCACCAAGATCAGTGACCTGTCACGCAGCACCGCCATTGCATCTGTACAACGCGCGTACAGCGTTCGAATCCAGCACTATTCTTGAACAGCTCGGTTACCCGCCGGATCGGTGTACTGGTCTACATAACCCTGGGGCAATCCACCAAAGCGTATTTGCCACGTGCAGCGAGTAACCTACTGCCGCCTAGACGCGCATAGAACAAGAGTGGCTGTTCAATTCGTCTACAGCTTTTTGCTATTTGATATAGCACCGCCAGGCCACTATGTCTGGTTAGACGCCGTTGTGGCCGCAAGAGACAAGAAGAAGTACTACCAACCAGTCGTGCAGCTAAGCAATCCAAAGTTTTTCCTGGGTCAAGCTAGCCCGTCGATCTGCTTGACGATCACATGTACCTCCGCGAAACTGCAGCGTGCCGAAGATTTGTCCAAAGGTCCATCCTTCCTACGTACGGAGCTGGTGGAGTTCTCTGTGTTTGGCATTCGTTATTCTCAGCGTATTCCCACATATTCTTGAATCTGAGGGTTCCTGATCGGCGTCTGATCTGCAACGGATTTCCTGGCTTCGCAAGTCCAGGGCCACCAGGAACGGCTTCCTCTCCTGGCCAGCCTTTAGCCAAATTCCGCCCATTGGGCAGCAGACAGGGTGGTCACCCGAGCACACACGGCGTCAATAGCCGTCGGGTGCGACGTAGGTGTACGGTGCACACCGGAGCAGTGCTGGCTCGCCTCGTTCACTTATTGGACCGGGGGTAGCTCGCCGGTGTACAGCTTCGCTGCGAACGCCTGCTGGACAGCTTGCTGGAGTACTCCACACTCCTGAGCTAAGTAGCGCAGAGTCGCAAACATGGCTCACGGAAAAATGACATTGTACAAGCTGGTGGTGCTGGGAGACGGCGGAGTGGGAAAGACCGCGCTCACGATACAGGTGTGCCATGTTACGGGATCAGAATGCGTAAGCTTTGACTGACAGTCAGCAGCTGTGTCTAAACCATTTCGTTGAGACGTACGATCCGACGATCGAAGATTCCTACCGCAAGCAAGTACAGATCGACAACCAGTCATGCATGCTGGAAGTGCTCGACACAGCTGGCCAAGAGGAGTACACAGCCCTGCGAGATCAATGGATACGAGATGGTGAAGGCTTCGTGTTGGTGTACTCCATCTCGTCTCGATCGTCCTTTGCGCGGATACAAAAGTTTCACCACCAAATACAAAGGGTGAAGGAATCGGCAGCGGCAGGCTCACCAACCTACCCCGGCTCTCCGCTCTCGCAGACAATGGGCAGCCCACTACCTGGACCGGTGCCAATCATGCTGGTGGGCAACAAATGCGACAGGGTGACGGAGCGGGAGGTGTCCACGCAGGAGGGTAGCGCTCTGGCCAAGCAACTCAATTGTGACTTCGTCGAGGCATCCGCAAAGAACTGCGTCAATGTGGAGAAGGCTTTCTATGATGTGGTGCGTCGATTGCGCAGCCAAAGGGCAGCTGCACCGCGAGAGCCCGGCAGAGTCCAGAGACCTGTCGACTCCGATCCATACCGACGAACCTACCGTGACGACAGCGACCGTTACTATCGATCGGATGGTAAAGGCACGGGGTCCAGCAGGAAGTCGAAACGATCCCGAGCCTCGTCCAAATGCGTAATATTATGAAGGGTATCAAGTCACTAGGGACAGAATCTTTGCGAGGGATGCTTGCCTCGGTACAGTTCGGATCGTTCAGGCCCGGCCCTCGGTTGGAGGCAACAAGCAGTGGTCCTATGCAGCAAGGATATAATCGCCTACAATTGCAGATGGAGCGTCGCGGATGCCGGAGTAACGTACACTAGGCGCCGGCTGCAGGAACCAGGGCGCGCAACAAGACCGCGAGCCGGACAGAGGTTCGCTGCGCAGCACGAGCCGCTCACGGGACATTACGGTCGGACGCGACAACCACCAGGTTGTTTTGCTTTTCGGTCGATGGAGCACCGGCCGAGGCGCCGAGATTACATTATGTCGCATCACGGTCCTCGCCTTCAGTTCCACACCGTACCACGAAGATTTTCCGGAAGCACTCTGAGTCGCACAGACTCGTGCTTACGCAGCCCAGGAGGCCTGTGCGAGGAACCTGATATGCGCTGGAGCCAGTGGATAGGGCCGCGGCTCGCTTCCAAGTTTACCGAGACAGTGGTGGATATAGTGCGCGGTGGTAATGCGCAAGGGAAGCACTAAGTGTGCCCATGCCACTCATTGCGCGAAGTTCGCAAAGGTGCGCCGCGATTAAGCATGACACCATGTGTTGCGCAACGATTGTGAGTCGGAAGGACTGGATGTCGCTGTTTCACGACTGTGCTATTCACGACAGATGACTCATGCATCGACCAGCAGGTTAGCCACGGCGCACAGGGATCCATGAGTCCACTGTCCAATGAGACGGCTTGTTCTTCATGCGGAGCATGAGATGGACATGAGAAGGGCATTCACGCAAAGAGCGGAGTAACTGCCGTGCAGATGTTTACACCCTTCGCGAATCCTGCTTGACATTAGCCGCTACACCAAATCGAATAGCTGGCAGCGAAAAGAACCAGTGCAGGCTATACAAGGCGGGCGGATAAATGCATATATGAATACAGATACCGTAGAGAAGCATGACTATCGTCATACGAGCTACGAACACGCCGATCAAACTCTTGCTGCCTTCTTCGCCTGCTTCTCTCGCTGCCTCCTCTCCGCCTTGTCCTTCTTCGCCTTCCTCCACTGAATGCCGTACTTCATGCTCGCTAGCGGCCCTAGCCCGGAAACAACGAATAAAAGTGCCAAGATGGTATATGCCCATCCGTTGCCAATCGCATCACTCATTGGGACAATAGCCGCAGAAGCAGCAGCGCCGAGCAGGCAACGCGTCACATTGTTGGCGGCAGTGGCTGTAGCTGGTTGACCTGGGTAGATGTCCACCATTAGCACGTTCAGGCATTGGAAGCCAGCTGTGAGACAGTAGCCTAGAAGGAACAACATGATGATGGGTCCGGCAAGCGAGATCTTATGGGTTATCATCCAGCCGTAACCGACAATGGCAGCAGCACCGAATGCGAACATTGGGAGCGCAATCTCCATTCGGGCTTTCTCAATCGGAAAGTCGGAGAGGTCCGTCTGGCGCGTCTTGTGAATAGGGAAGTTCAAACGCTTGGCATGCCTTCTGTAGTTCCAGTCGACCATCCTGCCCGTCGTGAATGCTGAAATGGCGCCACCCACACCCAAAGGTAAAAACATAAGCGAGATGTAAAGGTCGTCGAAACCGTAAAGCGTACCGAAGACGACTGACGCGCCAGTGGAGATGGCGTAGAAACAGGCGAGAGCGAGACCTGTGGCCATGAGTATCAAAGCGCTCTCGAAGTCGGCCAGCACGACCAGCGTTGATAGTGGGTTGGGGATAGTGAGGCGGAAGTTCTGACGCAACTCTGCTTTCTTTGCCTCGTCGACAAGAATGCCTTTCTTTGCGCGATTGTTGAATCGTATCGTGTCTGTAATGTTCATGCTGGACCATGGCGGCGGTACTGAGCCGTCACCGACGATCTTCCTGCACGTCTCCGGCAGAAACAAGACCAATGGAATGAAGAAGACGACGGACAGGATCAGCAGGAACCAAAAGATCCTACAGGCTGGGTCAGCCATGACATGACGGGAGGTAATAACGCAGCGTACCAGTGCCAGCCCAAATATTGGCTAAGAAGGCCACCCAGAATGGGAGACAACGAGGGTCCAAGTAGTGTACCAATTGAGGCATATGCGATATAGCTACCACGCTCAGCAGAGGTGATAGTGTCTCCCACCAAGCCGTTCGCTAGCGCAATCGTGCCGCTGCTGCCGGCCGATTGCAGCATTCGCAGCAGCAATAGTGCAATGTAGTCGTTCTGCAACGCTAAGCCGAGGTTGGCTGCGATGTAGATGACGAAGCATATGAAGTACGCCGGTCGCCTTCCAGCTTTGTCCGAGAACCCAGCGATCATCATCGGTGCCAGACCTTGAATGATGAGGTAAGTGGTAACAGTTACTAACAGCATGCCATGTCAGCATTCATCTTCTCGTCTTTTGCGCTCGTTATCCAGTACGTACTGTTGATTCTTGCAGGCGTGACGTGGAGGTCCGCTGCTATCTACGGGCCTGTCAGCAGGACTGCAACAATGCATGTTTGGCCACCGCCGTACCTGGTTCAGCGCAGGATAGTATATCGCGCCGCTCATCGGGCTAAACCAGCTCACGAAGCTCCCGGCGACAATGATGGCTCGTTTCTGTCCAGTGGTGAACACTGAGTACTCTTCTGTGGCAACGATGTCTGGCCTATGGTCTTGCTGCGCCGTCTTCGATAAGTCGACCGCTTTCTCGGTGTCAGTAGCATCTTTACTGCCGTCGTCTGCTACGTCGCTTGCTTCGGCCTTGACATCCTTCGGGGACAGGTCTGGAACAGAAGCACCGCCATCTGGGTCGGCTGCTTGGGGCTCGCTTGTCTTGGCCACAGCGCTGTTGCTTGCTGGCATGGCGTTGGCGCCTGCGGGCGTAGGTAACACGGTGATCTCGATCTGTTCGCGGACGGTCTCACAGATGTGGTAGTTGACTGGGGTGTCGCAACGCAGCCTTGTCCTCTTAAGGTGAAGTATCTTTAGTTCGGGATGATGGATGAAACGTGGCACTGCTTGCTTGTTACCATAACATGGCCGAATACACTATCGCAATCACCGCAAACCCCGTGATATAGCCATCGTCTGAGTTACAATAATGTGACTATACTAATCTAAGGTGCTGCCGCTGCTCGTCATGACGTGGATTGAGAGGCGGACAACGGTCTTACGCCGAAACCTCGTACTCTGCTCGGCCGTCAACTATGTGACCAATGAGGACTGAATATGTTGCTGGACCGTGCCTTACAGCAGATGCCAGATCGAAGCGCCATGTTGAATAATGTGCTCGATGGCATTCGCACGGTCGTGCATGGATACGGAGGTATCTAAAGTACGAGCGAAGTGCGCCGGCTTCGGAGCCCCTTGAACTGCTGTGTGTTGTGCTAGGGTTAGTGTTTGGGTTAGCATTGTAGGTTTTTCCATGACGGCAGCGATGTCAGTGTCTTGCTCTGCAGGTTAACCTCACGTCTAGCGGACCGCCATTATATTGAGAAGGTCGGACTTAGAACGACTGAGCTGGTCGTGGACGTTGTCGATTGTAGGCTGCAATGCATGCATCGCTGTTTGTACGTTAATGGAGCTGTCTATGTTCGGAATTTCAAGTACTGTTGACGTTTTCATACACGAGCAGGGTGTTCCGCACCAACATTAGACAAATGCTTGATTCAGTAATACTCTGGAAGACGGCGCAAGCAGATGCGTTGAGATTGACAGTTCGACGTACATTAGAAAGTTACGTAGCATGCTCAGAGATTGAAATACCCAGCCTCTCCGCCGCGGTTACAAATCCCATCTCACCCTCCTTCACCCAGATGTCCACAAGGTCCGCCTCACCACCCAGTTCAGGGTGCCGCTCCTCCTGCGGTCGCTCAATGTAGATCGTTCGAAATCCATTCGACTTCGCCGCCTTCAGATCGTCCAGATGCGCTGCCACCTACGGTTCATATCAGCATGTATGCCGTCGGACATTGTGCACGAGATGGACGAACCATGGCGCACTCCTCTGGCCTCAAACCCATCTTCTCCGCCGCGCCCAAGTAGACCTTCGGACTGGGCTTGTACGACTGAAACATCTCGGCCGAATAGACGTGCGTGAACTCCATCTTCGCATGCGCCACCATATCCTTCAACAGCGTCAAGTTGCCGTTGCTCAGAGTACAAGTGTAGAATTGACGGTTCAACTCCTGGATCCCACGACATGTATCCGGCCATGGATCGAGACGATGCCAGACCATGCTGAGCTCCTTGATCTGTTGCTCGTCCCACAGCGAACCGTCATGCACAAGGTCCGCTGGCGTGCCGTCCGTCCGTGCGAAGATGAGGCCTCGTTGGGTGAGTATGTTGCGTAAAGACTCCAGATGATGCTCGTCCACGGTCTTGTATGGCTTGCTTGGATCCGTACTGTTGGCAACTTCTCGCGTGAACTTCAGATATCCGTTCCGCCACTCTTGGGCCACTTCGCCCCATTGCTCGTACGTCTGTCGTGACGGTGAGCATTTAGGAGAATCGGGAGATGTTAAGACACTGTACCATATCAGAAGCCAGCATGCGGATACGGCTAGCGATCGAACTGGTCGGTGAGCTCAAAGCCTCCCGCGTCTGCTGCCATAGCTCCTCCGTGACCGTCTTCCTCCAGTCAACGCAGGTGCCAAACACATCGAAGAACAGACAGCGCGGCTTCGGATGCACGAGTGCCATCGCGGAGTAGAGGACCTTCAGAGAGCTTGACTACAATGCGGAACCGTACAGAAATTTGCCTCTACGAGCAATGGGCGTGGTAGCGCAATAAATATGTGTGATATTCCCTCGTGGATGGCCGCCCTTCCGTTACTCGTTCAACACGAAACGCTAGATGTACCATGACGATCTCGGCTACGATCGGACAGACGGCGGCCGCGGTAACGGAAAGGACTCATTGAGGGAAAGCCGATCGAACAAAATATCGCCTCATAGCAGCAAGTACGAAGTGAGAACAGATGATAAGTACTTGCCATGCAAAGTATCTCCGCCTTCGATGGGTAGCTACTATTGATGGCGTCCTGTCGGGCTTGTATCCCCAGGCCGAACTTGGAACGGTTGCGCTTTGCCGACACAAATGCGTACCGCATGCAACAAGGCAGCGTGCAGTTCTCTTTCCCCAGATAGTTATCGTAACTGCGACATAACATTGCAGGCTCGATGGTACTGCGTGTGTTTCTTGTCAAGTGCTCAGGCGTACGGGAACTCCCGCCGGGCGCCACTGCACCTTATCCTCACACTACAACGCGATGGCCCTTGCGCCACTCACGCTTGCCGGATGCAGTATTGTCAACATGGCAGAGGCACGTACACGCGTATCGAGAGCATGGAGATCGGTGGGAGAGAGAACAGGATTGATTGGGTTTGAACAAATTGCCACATTATCATTGCTGGGCTCCATCAACGCCATGATGAGCCGTTAATCTACAGCAAAGCAAACCATGCCGGCTGAGAGCAGCCCTTTGCAAACACCCCAGCCGTACCCATATCGCGCCTTCCATCATGGCTGTGCCCAAGCCTGTCGCCGGGCCAGCTGCTTCATGCCGACGGATATTGTTGGTAGTCGTAAAAGCATGCCGAAGAAAATCTGAAAGTCGCGCGCCGCTTAACCACCGAAACCGTAAAGGGTGCGGCCTTGCCTCTTGAGCGCGTAGACCACGTCGAGGGATGTGACGGTCTTGCGCTTCGCGTGCTCAGTGTAGGTGACTGCGTCGCGGATGACGCCTTCGAGGAAAGTCTTGAGGACACCGCGCGTCTCTTCGTAGATCACTGGGAAACCTGTCAGACGGAGCCCGTATATGGAGATGTGTGGAAATCTTACTGGCCGAGATACGCTTGACACCGCCACGACGCGCCAAACGGCGGATGGCGGGCTTTGTAATACCCTGGATGTTGTCGCGCAAAATCTTCCTGTGACGCTTCGCGCCGCCTGTGGACACGTTAGTAACGTCGTCGGTGAGCTGCTGAGCGCGGTCACGTGCCCTTGCCCAGTCCTTTGCCTCCTTTGCCGCCTGCGAAGTGAATGTCAGTGCCTGTATGATGCAAGTGGTAGTGGTGGAGTGGCGAGTGCTTACGGCCAGTCATGATGAATTTATTTGTTGGGTGGGTGAGAGAGGTCGAAGGTAGATTGACTGATGATACTGCTGATGCCGGTGATGCCGAGTTGCGCGGGTAAAGCTGTGTGATGGATGGGATGTAGGAGTGTGAGTGTGGGGGAGAAGCTGAATATATAGGATTCGCGGCTCCAGCCGGCTTGCGGTATCAATCGATTTGGCAGGCGCACGGACTCACAACAGAGCCGCGCCCCGCGCAATCAATCCTTCCACGCGCTTTTGATTCTGAACTGTGATTAGACATGCGTGGCTGAGGTGTCGTTTATCTTTTAGGGCGTCTGCTTTTCCGCTTCTTTCCTACACCCCCACTTCAGTAGCATTCTCCACCAAGTCATCCATCTCACCACCACCAGCTTCCACCACCTTCAAATTCAAACCATCAATAAGCACACAATCTCCATTAGCCATGGCCCGTACGAAGCAGACAGCTCGGTATGCCTTCCCATCATCACTTCACGGTCGCGTTGTTATGACTCCGCGTCATTCCTTCGCCACCCTTCTACCATCACCATACTAACACATCTTTACAGTAAGTCCACCGGTGGCAAGGCGCCCCGTAAGCAGCTCGCCTCCAAGGCCGCTCGCAAGTCCGCGCCATCGACCGGTGGTGTGAAGAAGCCTCACAGGTACAAGCCAGGTAAGCATCTCTTCCACTCACTCAAACCACCACCACCGCCACCACCGACACTAACAACCACGCCAGGTACCGTCGCGCTCCGTGAGATCCGTCGCTACCAAAAGTCGACCGAGCTCCTCATCCGCAAGCTCCCCTTCCAGCGTCTGGTGCGTGAAATCGCGCAGGACTTCAAGTCGGACCTGCGCTTCCAGAGCTCCGCCATCGGCGCGCTGCAGGAGTCCGTCGAGGCCTACCTCGTCTCCCTGTTCGAGGACACCAACCTGTGCGCCATCCACGCCAAGCGTGTCACCATCCAGAGCAAGGACATCCAGCTCGCGCGCCGTCTCCGTGGCGAGCGCTCTTAAGCGGGTCTCTCTCACTCACATCAACTCGACATCTTCTACTACCACTACACACTCGATACCAATGATGAAATAAGACCATGAGGCACGGCCATCTCGACCTCCTGCGGTCATTGCTGCTGACGCGGCTGGCTGGGTGATGGGCGGTGGTTCGTTGGCTTGCATGGCAGATGGCTTGACTACTTTTGCGGGAATGGAGTTTGCGAGGAGATTCACAGGGCATGGGTTGATATCATGGGTGCACCAGGCGAGGTAGCGCCATCATCATGCTGTATCATAATGACAATGGTGCAAGACATTTCCTCCATTCAGTCTCTTCATCCTGCTTGTCATGTCTCACGTGTTGTTTGTGGTTGTTGTTGTCGCCAGTCGCTTCCACGCGTCTGCTACAACGCTGCCGCCGGGCGCAATCTGCCAACAGCCCCTCGTCGCTGCTACTGTCTCCGGTGCCATTTCTGCCTCTTACCCTGACATTGTCACTTCCACATCCATATGTCAGCATCACTCTTGCTCCAACGAGCGTTCTCACCTCCATCCGCTCTGCGACACAGCGGTATTGAGGTGTATGCAAGCGTACCTGCAGCAGCGAGCATCCTCTTGGCACAAATGCCGGCCATGACAGCCAACCTCGGCGCTAGAAGCCGAGCCACGAAGCCCCCGAACGATGGCGCAACAACCGTGCAGCAGAACCCCCAATCCAACTCAACGCTCATCACTGGCAGTAGTATACGCTCTTCGTAAGTACATTTCATTGATTCTATCAGCTACAGTCATTACTCCTCTTTCAGATCCTCTTCGCTCTCCATCTCCCTGTCGTATATCAATTCCCTCCATGCGACCAAGATGACCTCCTTCCTCCCAACCTTCATAAACATAGGCCGCTCAAGCACGCACAAACTCCACCAGACAGTCTACCGCAACATCCTCCGCCGCCATCAACAGACGCGCCTCAACTCGAATGCCAGCCCCTCCACCATCCGCAATGCGTCAACGTCAACGTCCACCTCCACCACAGCACCCCCTCCTCAAACCATCCCCATCCCCGGCTGGCCCTGGATCACCACCCCCTTCCGCGCGTACAGCGCCATGCAATCCCGGCGGCCCCTCCTCACCCAACTCGAAAGCACGCTCGTCATCTACTTCCTCGGCGACCTCTCCGCGCAAACCGTCGCGACCGCCTCCTTCACCACGGGCTCTTACGAACCCATCCGCGGGCTCAAAGCCCTCGCCATAGCCTCCATCCTGTCTTTGCCCAGCTACGCCTGGTTCATGTTCCTCGGCCGGCACTTCAACTTCCCGGGTCGACATTGGTTGAGCATCGGGGTGAAGATCTTGGTGAATCAGCTCGCGTTCACGCCGGTGTTTAGTACGTGTTTCTTCGGGCTGCAGAGCCTGTTGTCGGGCGGGAGTTTGCGGGAGAGTGCGCGGCGGGTGAGGGAGACGGTGCCGATCAGTTGGACGAATAGCTGGAAGATCTGGCCGCTGGTGACGGCGGTGAGTTTCACGTGGGTGCCGGCGCGGAACCGGAGTGTTTTTGCCGGGGCGTTTGGGGTGGGGTGGCAGACGTATCTGAGTTGGTTGAATAAGAATGCGGAGGCGGTGGAGGGGGGAGGGCAAAAGGCTGGGAAGGGTGTGACGGCGGCGAAGGCGTGAGATTGGCGAAGGGAGAAGATGTGGGACGAACGACTCGCGTGAAGCAGCCACTTCACGGTTGCGGATGCCAGCGCTTTCTGACAATCACGACAAGCTCGAGGCCCGCGGATGTTTGGTTGCCCAAGACCGCGATTTGCGGAATCGAGCCTTACCATGCGAACGACGTACTGCTCCATGGGTAAACCGGCCTTTCATACACGGCTCGATTGTCGGCCAAGGCTGATTCACACCGATGGCCCTGCGACAAGCCATTGCGCAGCAGAGTATGTAGAGGTCGTGAATTGGTGGCTGTATGACGGTCGGCCTCTGTAGAGCAGACTACAACAGTAGAGCATAGAGCAGACGATAGAACAGGGTGAAGCCTGCGATGCCCTGCGATGTGAGCAAGTCTGAAGCTGTGTTTGTTGATATGTGCCACTTAACGCGCTTCACTGCGAAACCTCGAAGCGCGTCTCTCCATGACCGCTACATCACCTCTAGCGTGTCACCACATCAACCCAACGATGCGCTCACAATGGCGGCAAGCATCATTGCTCCTCCGCAAGACAATACCACACAGATAGTAGGGAATGACAGTGACTATGGCTCCGATCTGGACGAAGCCGCCGTAGACTCCCTCTTCTCCCAATCCGAGTCGCCGGGCAGCGTGATAGCGAGCATTGAAGCACCCACCATCCTCGACGACCATGGCGGCGACAGCAAGCCTGTCCTGCGCTTCTCGCGCCTGCACGACAACTTGGTGGCAGTCATCGCTGGCCTCGGCAGTACACAGGAAGCGCTGCAGCGGTGGAAAGACGGCGAGCGTGGAGGGCCGGCAGTCGAGGTCGAGTACGACGAGGTCAACCGACACACTTTCTCCCGTGCGTCTCACAATACCATCGAGAGTATTGTTTGGGAGAAGCTGACGCGCTGACCGAAAGCGTCTCATAGCACCCCCCGATGAGGAAGAACAGCGAAGACGTGAGCGCGAGCAGTCCGCTCCCTCATTTGTGCGAGACGTAGACAAGAATGACACCCGCACACCACTCCAACGCTTCCGCACCGCGCCCAAGAAGCCACTGTCCGTCACCGACATCATCTCCCCCGCATGGTGCGAATTACAGTACTTCTACAACCTCAGCCGCTACGGTCGCGTGCGGAGGACGACGGCCATGAAGCAGGGTTCGAGCGTGCATAAAGTATTGGAGGAGGAAGTCCACACGGACGTGCCCGTAGATGTGGTGACGAAGGAGGATCGCTTCGCGCTGCGGATATGGAATGTCATATCCGGTTTGCGAACGCTGAGGCAGACGGGCAGGACGAGGGAATTGGAGGTTTGGGGTTTGTTGGATGGGGAGGTGGTGAATGGGGTTGTTGATTTCGTTACTACGACGTGTCCGGATGAGGAGGCGGAGGTGGAGTTGTCGCGGCAGAAGGGGGAGTCTGCTTCCGAACGTACTGGCGCACAAGGCGGCAAGAAGCAACAACCTCTCCCCTCCGACCAGCGCACATTAACCGACTACCTCACCACCACCTCCCCGCACGCCTCCATCCTCGAACAGTATCACAACGGCAACAGCACCGGCAACGGCAACCCCTGGCTCGGCACGCTGCAAGAGAAATCCCCAACCATCTACCTCCTCGACGTCAAGACCCGCCAATCCAGGACCTTACCACCAGAGGGCGGCAGTCAGCTGAGACCAACCCACTACCAACTCATGCTCTACCACCGTCTCTTCACCGCCCTGGCCGGCAACCAAGTCCCCGCCGACCGGATTTTCGAACGATATGCCGTAGATCCGGAGAAGACGTTCAGTGATGCTTTTCTGGCGCAGATGAGTCAGCTTTCTGTCGGGTTGCAGGAGAACCACCCGACTGTCTTCGGGAATGCCGATGAGGCTGACCCGGGCGATGGATGGCAAGATTCCACCGACACTCTGCTGGCGCACAACAACCTCTCCGCGCTTTGGAGTCTGATGATCGCCGATTTCGCCCGCACAGTCTCCCGAACTTCAGCCTCATCCACAACCTCGCCCTCTCACTCCGCCTCGATATCCCCCCTCCTAACAGCCGAATTCCGCACCTCCTCCTCGGGCACTTTATTGGGCCGACGCAGCTTCCTCTACAACGCCTCCCAACTCGACGCCTACGTCTCCGACGAACTGCGCTGGTGGCGCGGCGAGCGCGAGACGAAAGGTGTGGAGGTGGAGGAAGCGTATAAATGCCGCCTGTGCGAGTTCGCGGAGGGGTGTACGTGGCGGGCTACGAAGGTGGAGGAGGGGGTTCGGAGGGCGCGGTTGAGGAAGAAGAAGCGGAGGACGAGTGCCGTCTGACTTTATTTACGCGAGATATGATACCCCTGCTGCAACGATACTATTCGCGATTCGGTGATGAGATACCATTACCAAGGATACGCTCTAACCTCTTCCTCCTTCGAAAAGTCCACCCCCCTCGCAACCTGCTCCTCATGCTTTTGGTCGAGATACTCCAACAGCACCTCCCCATACCTCTCCCGCCCCTTATACCGACTCACGTCCTCCCCCCAACTCCGCACCGCACTCGCCAATCTCCCGGGCACGTACTCCTCCTCCGCAATCTCCGTCACCGGATGAAAGTACGTGCGGATCGTGAACACCACCCCGCCACTCCTCGGCAGACGTCTCAAACTCTGCCTCTCTGACCGAAAATAATGATGTTCCACCGCGCGGTTCTTCTCCGCCGTAAACCAACCCACTGTCTCACTATCCTCGTCCCCGATCGAACTAGACCAGGCTAGATCGTCGTCAACCTGGAGGAAGTAATTGTTGCGCAAGACCGCCTTCTCCGGCTGCACGCGACGGAAAAAGTTCGTCATCCCTTTCTCCAGCTTCTCCTTGAACCCGGGCACGTCGCCGGAGGTGTGGATTTCGGATAAAGGCATGCCAAATTTGTCCTCCAGACGCCAGAAGCCGGCGAGGAGGATGGCGCCGGCGAGGAGGTAGTATTGTCCGTCCTCTTTTTCGAACATGATGGCGAGGTCGTCTTGGATTAGGCGGGCGCAGAGTTGCATTGGATCCTCGCGGATGCCGTTCATGGTCAGTTCGGGGATGTTGAAGGATTCGTTTGTGATGATGTTGTCGACACCGACGTCGGTTCGGACGAACATGGAGGGGTATCGTTCGCTGAGGTACGCGGAGAGTTCTTCGAGGAGTTCGACCGCGCCGTCCCAAACCCGGGGGTCTGCGGTGGTGGGGTCGCCGGTGGAGGTGCGGCAGCATTTGGGCCCGCGCTCGGCGATGCGGCGGGCTTTGTCGGCGTGGAAGCGGAGGTAGTGGTTGTCCAGCTCGATCCATTCGTCCCAATGCATGGAGCGGAGGCCCATCGTGATGTGGTAGGGCCCGTGGCGGAACGGGCGGTAGGGGAGGGGTTTGGTGGTTAGGTGGGACCAATTGGGGTAGGGCGGTGCCGTGGGGCGGGTGAAGGGGGAGGGTGTCCATGCTGGGTGGTTCCGTTAGTGGCTGGAAAGTGATGCGTGGTGGTGATGAGTCTTACTGCCCGGCTCGCGCTCGGTAGGCTTCATTCGCTTTTCCGCGAATGTGTTGACATCGGTGGGCTTTTCTGGGTCGGGAGAGCGACGTGTGCTTTGCAGCCATGTCTTTGGTCGGGTTTGTTTGCTGAGGTAATTGCGGAGTAACAGCGCCACTGCCAAAGCCAAGAGGATGTAAGGTGCAGTCTTCACATTGACGATTCGTCTCAACCGTTCGAACTCCAAGACATCCTGCAATCGATCCATCCTGCAATTATCCTGTATCCAACGCTGTGCAGACTCCATCATGGATAGCGGTCAGAGAGGGGAATGGTCGGTAACAACCAATCGATAAAACATTTAGAACCTCTTGGAGGGCGTAGCGTCGTGAAGAAGCCATCTCTAAGTCAAATAATATGAGCTCCGTATGCAGCGCGATAAGAGACGCGATTGCGTGGGGTCAGAGTCTCTCCAGAGCCAGCTCTGACGTCCAGTCGTTGGCCGAAGGGGCACGCGGAAGTCTTTGCCCAATCTGGAAAGCGTAAGCTCCACCGCACGTGACCCAGTCTATGCCTTTCGACGTTGATGTCTCCGTTGGCGAACGTGAATCAGACGCATGTGTATATCGTTATTCGTGCGGCACTTTGAAGACTAAATGCGTTCAGCCAAGCGTCTCGATGCTCGGAATATCATATCTTCTCGTCCTTTCCGCACCGGCAGGGGTACTTGCAACGGGCTTCTTCTGCGGCCTACGCTTAAGCAGGCAGTACTCACCCCATACTCGCTGGTATTGCTCAGGTACCCAAGTAGCATTTGGTATCCAGAACAGTCTGCCAACGATATTCGTCGAAGCGGCATCCAGATACGGTACGCAATGCACCTTCTCCCAAGTCGCGTTATCCGAGATATAGCTTGGCTCAAGACCCGTAACTTCCGTAGAAGGCGAGTGACTGTCGACCAGAAAGTTGCAGTGCTTGACATCCGTGTATTTAGACAGATCTTCCCGGTTTTCATCATTCATACCAGGCGGTACGAGCCAGGTACCCGGAAACAGACCGAAGCTTTGACCCGATGCGACTTCGCTGAACTCGCCAGGTAGGAGACCCGAGAACTCGGATCTGATGAACTTTGCCTTGACGCCTTCGGGGAGATGGTAGTGGGATGGGAAGCGGTACCATTCCTTGCCTAGACACACGGTGTCGCCTGGGTTGGTGGCGTTCGCCTTTAAGGGGTGGTATACCGACAAGGGAGCGTCGTAGGCGCTGATGTGGCCCATGATGCGAAGAACTGAGACGGAGAGGGCAAGAACGATGAAGCCGAGAATGCCGGCCAAGCGAAGCATGACGGGGATCTTCGCGATCAAGTCGCTCTGATCGGTGGAGCCGAGGTTGGCGAGGATGATGTGCATGGCGACTGCTGCATTCAGGGCCAGAGCAGGGTAGGCAGGGTACATGAAACGCTCTTCCTTGTGGGGCTGAAGGGTGAAGATTGCCAGCCAGATGTAAAAGGGTGTGAGGAATACTACGCCACGAAGCCAGCTCGATTTGGTCGCTCCTTTGGTGCGGAAGAAGTGCTGGGCGAGCACGAGTGGCATCGCCGATAGTGCAAGCAGTAGCCAGACATGAAAGTTCAGAAACAGATTTCGAAGGTAGAAGTGCCACGGTTCGGTCCCGTAGAGTTCCGGCCCTTTGCTGCTGAAAATGTTGTAGGTAACAATGTTGAGCGGCACCAGTAGGAGCTTCTTGTAGAAGAACCCATCGACGCTGACTTGCAGTCCGAGGCAAAGCAGTGTCCGGACAACGCCGTCTACCACACGCCAGAAAAGCTCAAGCATGCCTTGCGTGTCGCTTATCGACGCCAGGTAGAGTTCTTCGATAAGGAAAGGTGCAGACAGTGCAGCGGCAAACGGCCAGCCAAGGCAGGCACCAACGCCAAACATCCAGATACCCTGTGCCGTGCGTAGACCGCCTCGCCAATCCATGAAGGCTGCCATGCCAAGCATGACAAAGCACATGGCGAAACTGCTGGGCAGATACGCAACGCTGGCATGGAACATGCCCGGGCTCGTCGCCATGATGACGAGGAACAAGACGGCAATCCTTGGGTTGAGCGTGGCGGCAATCTTCGAGAATAGCCTGGTCTCGGACAGAGCGCAGATGAAGCCTAAAAAGATCCGGAGTAGGTAGAAGGCAGCAACTTTGTCGCCGTTGGCAAGCTTGACGGGCAGAGTCACCAGGGCGTGTAGGCCAGTATACGCCCATGAGCGGATGGCGTACTCGGGCGAATACTCCCAGGTTTGGAAGCCATGGCCGTGGGTAAGGTAGTGGGTGGGTTCCCAGTAGTTGAAGACTTCGTCGCAGTCCTGGATGGGGGAGAAGATGGCGGCGACTATGTGACTCGCGAACAAGGCATAGAACGCGTTCATGCTGGAGAGCTGGAGAGGCGCGGGCTGAGGCTTGCTACGAGCATTGCCAGGTCTTCGTACTAGCTGAGGTGCTTTGACATCTTGACCACTGCCGTTGGCATGTTTGATAGACCTCTTCGTGGCCGCGCCGTTCTTAGAAGCCATCTTGTCAGGTCACGGATGCATCGTTGAGCGAGATGTATTTCATTTCAAGGAGAGTTGAACTGCTTGGAGACACACGAAGCTTGGACCACCAAGGCGCGTGCTGTGACGTCGCGGACTTAGGAAATTTGACCTTTCCCCGTAGTACTGTGCCATCAATCTTTAATCCATTCCACCCATTGCTACAACTCAGCCTACCGTAGCGGTGCAAGTTGGTAGCCGGTATGGACATGTCAGCAGATCCAAGGCTGGAGTACCGGGATGCGGACGAAGCACGTCCAGCCAAGCGCGTGCGACTCGAAGCTCCGCTGGAGATTACTGAGGAGTTGCAAGAGGAGGTAGTGGATGATGAGGGCTGGGACGACATCTATGACACTTCAAGTATGACGGCGGAGCGAGTCGAGCCATCTGCAGAGCAAAAGGTGATTGGCAGTGTTCCAGAAGCAGCACTGGATGAAGCGCAAGAGGAGCCCATCCAGCCAGAGACAGATCTCGTTTCTGCGGTTGAGGTTCAAGCGTCTGCTGGGGATGTACTACCTTCAGCGACAGACGCCAACGATGCGCCACATCGCGACCTGGAGCCTGGTGTATCCGCGGAAGAGACGGGTGACGGCGTACCCGTGGAGGCTATTGACGACGGAGACGCTTTAGTAGACGAGCAGCACCACGTGTCAGCAGTCGAAGAACCCACAGTCCGCATGCTGGAAGAAACGAGCGCCGTGAATGGTGATGGCGATGCAAACATGGAAAACGTTACAGCTTCTACAGATCACGCGGCCAACGAGCTGCGGTCAGCGCCAGAAGATGCTGGAGCTGCCGTCACTGTTGAGGTTGACCCGGCTGCAACGACAAACGGCACGCATGGCGGTGAATCAGCAAGCCAGCCAGCACAGACGAAAGTCACGCAAGACACAGAGTTCATGGCAGCTGCTGCAGCGCAGAAGGAGGTCGCGAACGCAGAGTGGCAGTTTGACTCGTCCGATGCGGAGTCGACATCAGATTCCGACAGTGATAAGGACGACGAGAGCTCCGACTCCGAATCCGACAGCGATGGCGGTTACGAGATGCTCGACCCAGCCACTGCGGCGAAGATCCTAATGTCTGGCGAAGGCGACGATGACGACGACGGTGGGCGTAGAAAGGATGGTGCAGCAGGCGACCGCCAGCCTCGGACCGCGAATGAGGTCAAGGAAGTCGTCGTGCCGAAGCCTGACGTTGCGATCACAGACGAGACGAAGATCACCGAGTTAGGTACCGTGCAGAGGTCGGTCGAAAATCATCTACTTATCAAAGGGTCTACACCAGGCGAATACCAAGTATTGGAGTCGGGGTCGGTGCTTTGCAACGACAAGCGCGAAGTCATCGGCGTAGTAGCAGAGACGCTAGGCCGAGTGCAGGAGCCAATGTACAGCGTCGCCTTCACTAACCAGCAAGAGATTGAGGAGCTGGGCCTGCAGCATGGCGCGAAAGTGTACTATGTCGACAGCCACAGCACCTTTGTCTTCACGCAACCGCTCAAGAACCTGAAAGGCACGGATGCCTCCAACATCCATGACGAAGAGGTCGGCGAGGATGAGATTGAGTTCTCGGACGATGAGGCAGAGGCGGAGTATAAGCGGCAGAAGAAGCAGGCGAAGAAGGCCGGTAGAGGAGGCTTCGCGGCACATGCGAACGGACGAGGTGGATACGCTGGCAGCGACAGTGCTCTGTACAGTTTCGGCGCACCCGGCAACGAGGGCGGGCAAACGTTCGTAACTGGCGGTGATGCTCCGAGGCAGGGGTATGGTGGTGGGATGAGCTATGATGACGAGCCCGCGGATGAGTTCTATAATCCGCTCAAACGGCCGGACAACCTCAGTCAGATGATGGCAGGTGGAGGCGCAGCTCCTCCGCCAAGACCGCAACAGCAGGGCGGCTTCGAGCGAGGGAGAGGCAGAGGGCGTGGCGACCGTGGGCGGGGCAGAGGCGACAGGGGCAGAGGGCGTGGCGGCTTCAACCATGATCGGCAACAGCGAGGTGGCCATAACAATGACCGGCAACAGCGCGGTGGGGCTCGTGGTGGTGGGTTCGGCGGGCAAGCGAACGGCGGACATCGTGGCAATGCGCACAGCTTTCCGGACCGACACAATCATGACCGAGGCGACGAAGACCGCCAGTTATCTCTGCCTCCGAAGCCGAATGTGCCGCTGCCGCCACAGCAAGCTCAGCAGTATCAGCCGGCGAGCTACACTCAACAGCCGCCGCCGCCGCCGCCGCACCAGCAGTCGTACCAGTTCAACGGCTACACTTTCCAATACGGAAGCGCGGCGCAGCCTCCACCACAACACCATCCGCAGACGGGCTACCATGGCCAACAAGGCTATCAGCAGCAGGCTCCATCTCATACAGCCGCACCGGTTCCGCCCGGAGCGTATGTTAATCCGGCTTTCTTCCAAAATCAGCAGCAAGCCTGGAACGGAGTCCAGCAGCAGCAGCACCAACAGCAGCAAGCACAATACGGGCAGTATCCACAGCATTATCAGCAAGCTGGTGCGTATACCGGTGCGCCTCAGCAGCAGCAACAGCAACAATCGCAGCACAACCTGGCCGATATTTTGCGCAGAATGGGAGGTGGGCAAGGCTAGCAGCCTTTGCGCAGTTGTTCTAATGAGATGTCGAAGCGAGATATCAGCTAACGTCGGGCCTAGCGTGGTGCTGCTGGGTCTCAGAAATTGGAACACCGGACGAACACGCATACCCAGTATGTAGGGCTGTCAACGTCTGTGTACTGCGTCTCGACGTACGCGGAACCGCAACCCTGCCACAGCCTCTGCGTGGCGATATTGGAAGGATGGCCTCTGGCACCAAAGAGCTCATTGAGAGCGCCTGTCAGCCGAGGAGGTCGGATGTAATGGTTCGCACGGCTTCGGCGTGCGTAGCCGTGCCTGCGTAATCCGTAGCGCCACGCGGCAGGATGCTCAGTCTGCTCGATATCACAGTATGGCTTATTTGAGCTAATGTGATAGCCATCACCTTTCGTATTAGGAGATCTGGCTGGACTAAGCTTGTTCTCAAAATCCACGCCCAAGGTGAACAGTTTCACCACCGCCACCATACCAGAGCGCTCCTTTCCGGTAATCCAAGCCCTTCTCCTCGCCTACGATCCACGCAAAAGCATCGTCACTGCCGTCTTCACTTGGCCAATACTCTGCATGAAGCCAGCTGTTGATTGATTCAATAACACCAAGCAGTTCCTGGACTTTAGCATGGTCCACCTTCCCATCCGCAGCTTCGAAGTCACTCTTCGTCACGAAGCGAGCAATTGTCAGATGCGCGGAGGGTATCACGTACCGGCTTGCAACCTTCACACCAGTTGCGGAAGCTTTGGCGTACAAATCCCGACGCAGGTGATGGTAGGTATAAGCGTCTGCTCTCGCATCCCTCCCAAATTCGCCTGCGGCGGGGAGGAAGGAGAGGGCCAAGGCTTGTGCATCGAAGCTTAACATTGGCTTGACTAGTCTTGCTCTATGCTCGAACGTGTAGTCTGTGAATGCTGGTACGCTAGGTAGCATCTGCTCTACTAGATCATCGATCTCGTTCGCACCAAGGGAGTGTGTGATCTCGAGGGCAGTCATATGCAGATTAGGCTGTGGCATTGTCCATGTATCTACAGTTATCAGTCCACATAAGCGAGAAGACTGAGTCGTAGCAGGTTGACCCACTTGGTGCAACCGTGAGCAGCCTCTGCTGGATCCCTGCAATCAGGGAACGGACATGTTGAGGCGGTCGAGCCCAGGATACAAGGCAATGCCTCCAGTCTGTGAAGCCGGGTTCGATGCTTGGATTCTCGAGCTTTGCGAGGATCTCATCGACTGTCACGCCCGGAAACTCGGGCGCTAGGAGTTTCGCTCCTTGCTGAGCATTGCGGTTGGTCCGATGCAACTCGTAGCGGGCTTGAATCTGTTTCTGTACTTCCGGTTAGGTACCTCCAACACAATCATGCCTCAATGTCACTCACTGGATCGTGACCGCATGCTTCGAGAAGACCGTCGTAAGGGTTGTCGGAGCTAGAACTTGTTTGGCCGCCTGAGAGGTCTTCGAAAGTGTAGAAAGCCGCCATCATTAGTAAATGGCTGGATTGTACTCCATGCACGCTTCACTCTCCGACTTCACTCGGCTTTACTACGGCTGCATCTTGCCAATGTTCTCATGAATCAATGACGCTTGATCGTTCCACCTTTCAACTCAGTACATTCAGACTACCTATGTCGTGCAACACTGCGGTAACCTCCTCCTTATAGTGCAACAGTAAGGGTGTGAGCCTACCAGTCTCAGAATATCGGGAGCAGACACCTTCGGGGCGCAGTCTGTGGCCTTGTCTTTCCAGCTATGTGCTGCAAAAACATTGCCTGCAGCCCGATCAGCAGACTCAAGCACTATACCAAGAGTACAGCGTCAACTCTTTCGCGTCGTTGACTGTTGTGGGGCAGATTGATGTGCAACCTTTGCGTCACATATTCTTGCGCCATGGCATGCTGCAGTGGGAGATGGCTGAACGGCTCAATTTCGGGAGTCGGCGATGCCTCGGTCAGGCGCGTCTTCCTCAACGCGTCGCACTCCGCTGCCACCATACGCACAGCGACACCTCGAAACCGTGAATGCTCTTTTGACATTGAGGTGTACAGCGATAGTATGCAGAACCTACAATGGCAGTCTTAGCCGCTTCTCGGAAACGTAGGTTCACAGAGGCTGCAAATACGGCTCACCCTGACTCTGACTGCACCGTCGTTTCTTCGGTTCGGAAGAAGCACGCAGAAAGCGCAGCTACAGGTACCGCTCTCATTAAGGATTCCCATGGACCCTTGTACGAGATCCAACACAACAAACGAAGGCGCATTGTCGAGTGTGTGTTGTTACCGAAGAAAGGGGTGCTAGATGTACTGCAAACGGCGAGTTGCACACCACCAGAAACACAGCGATCCATCAAAAAGGTCCAAGCTTCGAAGTCCGCCTCTGGCATCGCAAAGTACTTTCAGACTTCAGCAATCCAACACTCGAACGCCTCAGCTGTAAATGCGAGGGCAAGAAACACATCGCCCACGGATCAACATGCGGGTGTGGTGAGTCCGCAAGCAGCGCCTGAACCGTATGTACAACATCCTGTAACAGCATTAAGGCCTAGGAGGAGTACTGGTGCTGTGAGCCAACGAGCTTATCACGAGGATTCCGAGGACGATGGATTGCAGCTTGAGAGTCTCCCACAGAAGAAGGGCCGTATCCGGCGAAGGAAGGTCATCCATGATGATGAAGAATACAATTTCATTGACGATCAACCTACCGGCGACGAGCATTGTGTGTCAGAGACTACTCACGATGGAACTGCTGAGTCAAGCGATGTCTCTGCATCGGAATCTGCCGAGCCAGTAAAGCCAGCAACTGCGAAGGCAGTCAAGAATGCATTCACCCGGCTGACCGGCAAGATATCAAAAAGAAAAGGCATCGGCACGTCTGGCACACCTAAGAAGCTTTTGTCACGTCCCAAAGATATTCCGAAGGGTCTGGTGAGCAACCTGCCGCCGCTCAACTCAGTTCGTGACATCTTCCGCGATATAACCACAAAAGCATTGTCACTAGGGTTTGCTAAAGCCGTTAAGCACCTGAATGGTCGGTGCCTCAGAGTTGCTACGATGTGCTCCGGGACCGAGAGTCCTCTTCTCGCACTCAGCATGGTCGACCAATCATTAGCAGAGAAGATGGGCCAAGGTCGCATTAATGTTGAGCATGTATTCTCTGCCGAGATCGTGCCGTACAAGCAAGCTTACATCGAGCGCAACTTCGCACCGCCGGTTATCTTTCGTGACATTACAGAGTTCCCTAAAGCATTCGAAAGCGAAAAGCCAACAGCGACAACAGCCTACGGTTCGCGCGTCCCAATACCTACTGGCATTGATATTCTGATCTTGGGCACATCCTGCGTCGATTACAGTGGCCTCAACAACAAGCAGAAAGACATCGATGACGGCGGCGAATCCGGCAGAACCTGGTACGGCGCGCTTGCCTACTGTAAGGCGTGTCGACCTTCGATCATTATCTTCGAAAATGTCGTAAGCGCGAAGTGGGATCGCATGCTGTCACACTACACAGACCTCAACTATGAATGTGCCTGCGTGATCGTGGACACTAAAGACTACTACATCCCACAGACACGCCAACGAGGCTACATGGTATGCTTCGACAAGCTCAGAGCCGGTACTAACGTCAAGACGATGGGTGTGCAGTGGCAAGGTCTCATGGAGCAGTTCAAGCGATATGCGAGCAGCCCTGTGTCTTCCTTTCTGCTACCCAATGATCGCGTCACCCCTCAGCAGACCAGCCGCGGTGATGACCAGCAAGGCAGTAAAGATGTGGCGTGGGAATTATGCGAAATCCGGCAGATAGGTTACCGAGCAGCACAGAGGCTTGGCACTGCACGACCGTTCACTCTGTGGCAAGAGAGTGGTGCAATGCTGCCTCTTGAGGGAGGCGACAGAGCTTGGTTTAATCGTCTCGTCGAGCGCGAAAAAGACACGATTGATGCGGCTTATCTGCGCGCCAGCCTTCCATCGGGGAGTCTTACAGATGGCCGGTATAAGACTAAGATATGGGACATGTGAGTAGAATGGCTTCATTGTGTAAGAGTCAAAGCTGACGAAGCCTACTTTGCTCCTAGCTCTCAGAACATCGAACGAATATCGAACTCTATCCCGAACGGCATTACTGGCTGTCTTACTCCGTCTGGCAAACCATACATTTCAGATGCCAAAAGGATTCTCGCACCAGGAGAAGCTCTGCAGCTTCAAGGCCTACCCTTGGACCAGATATCCTTCACGACCGAAACACAAGGCGAAGTACGAGACTTGGCGGGCAACGCAATGACTACAAGTGTTGTCGGACCGGCTATACTCGCGGCTCTAATATCAGGGTATAGCGTACTTCCGCCAGCTAAAGAACAGCGCTCCGCGGACCAAACCTTGAGCGAACCTACGAGCGGACTGTCTACGTCTCGAGATATGTTATGGTCCACTGAGACTTGCGGTGAAGGCACAGAGATGGATCTTCAACGCTTGCTTGGCGAGGCGCGTGCTTCTATGCGACTCTGTCATTGCGAGGGAAGCCTTGGCCGCACTTCCAAGGCGCTCCAGAGGTGCATTGACTGCGGACATACCGCCTGCGTTACTTGTGGTGGCAACCCTGCCCATGCGTACCAACGGGAGTCGCAAACCTGCCGCAGCAACCCATTGGGATTCATCGAAATGCTTCTGGGACAGATTCCACTCCGCGTCTCCTTCGGCGAGGTGAGCATAACCGACGTGTGGCCACGAGCGGAGACAAAACAGGTACAGTCATATGTGGAAGCCGCTCAGAAGGCACTCTGTTCGACCTTCACCTATCACTCGGTCCGCAGGACTCAAAGCTGGACTGTGCAATTCATAAGCGAAGATGCTCGTTTGGAATTGGTTGTCGAGCCACTTCTGGCCGAGTGGCGCTTGTATGCTTTGCCAGCAAAAGAGCTGCCTGCCAATAGCTGGCTCCGACATACACTGCTGCCACCAATTGCTAAAGCGAGTGTCTCTGGTAGCTTCTACGGCGACGGGTGGTCTGTCCGTATGCCCACCAACGAGTTCCTGCCGTTGCAGGTAAAGCCTGCAGGGCGACCTACCCCGACTTGGTGGGCACGGAACGAGATGCCACAGTTCCACAGCCACACACAACCGGATATGCTGGAAATCTCCTTGGTGGACACGGTTGCAGAGCCTGCGATTTCAGTGAGCGCTATGCTCAGCGGGACGTATCGCCTGTTCCCAAAATGCGGTACTGCATGCTGCAGCCTATACCGCAAGCTTGATAAAGACGAAACAAAGTTGCCGTTGTATCTGTTCTTGGACTGTACAAGAACAGGTAGCTCGGATGAGGATTGCTTCGTATTTGCCCACTCTTGTGCTGATATCGAGTACGATGAGCTCCGACAGCTCATTGCCCGTATCGTGGCGCCATGGAGGCCGTGGAAGGACATTGGAACAGATGGGGAGCAGAGTATGCACGCCGAAGCCCGCATTGCCCTTGACAGCAAGTGGGTAACTTCAGAAGGACTTCGTCTCATGCCTGCGGATACCAGCCTACGCCTAGGATTGTCGGAGATGGAGATGGAGATCGAAGGGAGCTCAGCTTGCGACAGTGCTCAGCACCTTGTTACCTGTGAAGGGACGAGCGTAGCAGCAGGACACAGCGGTCATACGAACTTGTCCTTCGATATCGAATCTATCTCGAGCCGAATCTGGATTTTGGAAGCTATGCGTCGAAAGCTAGACTACGGTGAATGGCGAACCTTCGCTCTTGAAGCAAGCTCAAGCTGTCTCAGATGTGCACCCGAAAGGCCTCAGCTCAAGTGGAAGCTGTCAGACAAACAAAACAAATCAGACAAACAGGAACTCGACCCGTACGAAGATCCAGGCAGCGCTGCGGCTTATGAGCGAGCCATTAAATCGAGACCGGAGCCTCTTGTCGTTCAGACACCACACGACTCGGCCGGCATTACTTTTGGTGTAAACATCGTGTCTCTAGCGCACAGAGTACTCGCTCGTCTGCCGACTAGTCTAAAGGATGCGGTATTTTCGTGGCGACTGACTACTGATCATGCCAACAAGTCTACCACTTTCCCGCACTTTAAATTACGGCCAACCTCGGGCGAGACCTACGACGGTACGGTACTGAAGAAATCAACCTTGTTTCCGACGCAGCGACTTCAACTTGCATGGATGATAGCACAAGAAGCCGGCGTAGACTTCGTTATCGAGGAGTCACAAGAGGCGACCCTGCCAGTGGTTGGATGGCGAACTGAAGTCCGAGCAAACGTCTCAATCACTGTGAGAGGAGGCTTTTGCTGCGATCATCCAGGTTTTGGCAAAACAATCACCAGCCTTGCATTAATCAGCGCACAGCGAACGGACCCTCTGTATATGCACGCCGAGCTCAGCGCGCGCCGACCGAGTCAAGCTCAAGGGCTGTACACCTCGATCGCAACAGTCATAGTCTGCCCATCGCACCTAATAGCACAATGGAATAGGGAGATCGCCGAATTCTTCCCCGCTAGGTCGAAGATTATTGTCGTTAAGCAGACGTCTGATCTGAGCAAGTATACAATCAGCGACTTTGAGAGCTCGGACATTATAGTAGTCAGCCGCACAATCCTCGATTCAGAGTCATATATCAACCGTTTAGCTGCTTTTGCCGGCCTCCCTGGGCCCGCTGTCGCAGCAGGGACAGGTCGTGGGTTTGCAAGATGGCTTGACTATGCTCATTCGCAAATTCCTGAGCACCTCGCTATATTGAGGTCCCGACCGTCGAAGTGTACTTTGGAAGGACATATCGTTGCGAAGTATAAGAGACTACTGAGCGATGACGGCTTCAAGGCAACTATACCGTCTCAGCGCTTCCGAGGGAAGGATGTTGCTAAAACGAGGAAAGCGAGGTCAAAGACGACGGCAGGGTCTCTCTGGACAGAGGCTGTGACACCAGACATGACTCACATCGGTCGACCCTTGCTCCAGATGTTCTACTTCGACAGGATTATCATTGACGAGTTCCACCTGTTGGAGCCGAAGGAACGCGCGGCTGTTACTGCCCTGCACGCCGACAAGCGGTGGGGCTTGTCAGGTACTCCGCCAATTGATGACTTCTACGACATCGCGGAGCTCGCAGGTTTGATGGGCGTCCCGCTTCGCTATGGCAGCGATGCGAGAGGCGTCATGAAAGTGAGCAATATCAGACGACTGCGCAGAGAGATGACAGACTTTGAGAAGTTTGACGCGATGCGTGAAACACCCTCAAACGAGGTATATACTCGTATCCACGAAATCGATCAGCGCTTCTTGGACACCTTCGTTCGGCAGAACCTTATGGATTTCGGCGACGGCATGCGTATCATGGAGATACTGACGCCAGTGTCCTTGAGTCTCGAACACAAGGTACTGTATACCGAGCTTTCACAACATCTTAACTCTCTTGAGATGCGGATTAAGACAGGCAGGAAGTCACAGGACACCCACCGAGGTGAGCGCTTGCACCGCGCCTTGAGTACATCGGACAGCTCAGAAGATGCATTAGCTAAGACGGCAGCTTACTTTCCTACAAACGATTATACCAACCAGAATGGTTTTGGCCTGGAGGCTTTTGTTGCTATTCGCATTGAAGAGTTACAACTCCTTCGGCAGGAGTTGGCGCAGGCTATATGCGAAGCTCGAAGCAAGGAGAAAGATGCTTTCGACGTTTGGACGAGGACATGGCTTGACTACAAGCATCTCGCGGATGATGAGACCATCGCGACAATCAAGAGTCTTCTTGCAGCTGGGCCAGGAGCTGTAAGCGTTCGTAAACCGGCAGCCAAAGCTAAGAAGCTTGCTGAGTCCGAGGAAGATGATGCCGAAATGGGTTCGAAGACCTCGATCTCCGCACCGAGAAACTCCCTTACTAGTAAGGTCAACGAGTTGAGCAAGCGCATGGCCGTCTCCACTCGCTCTTTACGCTACCTTCAGAATGTGGCTAAGGTGCGGGATGCGGCCACCGCGCAGTGCGACAGACTCAGCAAGCTCTGTCAAGGCAATGCATGTACGGGAGAAGGGAACGCTAAAGATACTGCAGTCTCCGCTCTATGTGGCCACATTATCTGCTATGATTGCTTCCAGACCCTTGGTGAGCAGCACAGCACCCAATGCCCAGCTGCAGGTTGTGGGTGCTCGATGCAGCCGCATCATCTTCTCTGGAGGCAAAAGATGGGTGATCCGGACACTACTAATAGCATGCCACATGGTGCGAAGCTGGCTGCCGTTGTTGACATCCTGAAGAATGTCAGAGCGCAAAACGACAAGGCAATCCTATTCGTGCAATATGAGGAGCAGGTTGCTGAAGCACAGCGGGCCTTTGAGGCTGTGAATATCAGAGCAACTCCGATCACGACCGCAAACAAGGCGGCAGACACAATCGAGGCTTTCACGAAGAACGAGAACACCGTCATCATCTTGAACGCTTCAGACGACACTGCAGCCGGTCTCAATCTGCAATGTGCCAATCACGTCATCTTCCTTTCGCCGCTGCTGCGAGATACGCAGTACGGCTACGACTCCACTATGGCCCAAGCTATTGGTCGCGTACGACGTCACGGCCAGCAAAAGACGATCTATGTGTACCGGGTTGTCGCCATCAATACAATTGATGTCGATATCCTTCAACACCGCGAGAGGCGCAGAATAGCGCTAGTGGAGCAAGGTGCTCCACCTATAGAGCCGCTTGAGACAACGGGCGATGAAGTGACGGCTGAACGGACGAAGTTGGTGAGGATCAATGGACGGTTCAGCTTGCAGCCACGGTCATGGGTCATGCGATATAACGGTGTCGAGGATCTTGAGGACTTCAGCAGTCTGGTCAAATTCTCCCGAGCCTACACAGATGATGACGACTGAGTGTACCACAGTGGGCGTGAACAGTCTTAATTGTATTGTCGGCAATAGCGCTGAAAACGCGCTGAATGTGCCCGTCGGCGAAGCGCAGGCACTACATACCGCTAACGCTATGCTTCATCATGCTTGCCTTATTCGTACAGTCTTGCTAGGCGCCTCACACCAATATGGTGCCAGTAGCTTACTCAAGCAGACTTGCTTGATTAGTGTAGAGCACATCCACCACATTCCCAAGCTTCTCAATCGCTTCTATCGCCGCGTCATACCCTTTGTCCCTCTCGGTCTCTTCGTACACAATCAAAACACCTTTTCCCTGATCGAGCACGCCAATGATCACCCGATCCAGGATCATCTGACTCAATTTCCGCTCCACTTGCTGCACGTCCAAGCCGACCATCTGCGCCACGTGGCTGATCTCGACCCTCGAGAAAGGTTCAATGACTTTGATCAAGTTCTGCTCCAGCATGCTGTCGTACAACCGACGGAGGTGAGAGGCGATGAACCGGTCACTGCCCAGCTCGTACCGGTAATTGTGCAGTGCGGTCTCGTACTCCTCCAGACTGCGATTCGAGTGCGCGCGAGCTACGGCCTTCATGGCATCAAGGTTCTTGCCGGCATACTTCAGAGCTTGCTTAGAAGTCATGAGCGTGTCGACATCGTCCTTCAAGTTAAGCATGATCTTGCAGAGCAGCATGTACTGGAGAGCAGAGGTGGCGCGGGCCGTCTCGTCTTGCGAGTGATAGCCTTCCATAGCCTCGATGAAGTAGGAGTACGAAGTGTTGAAGTCGCCGTCTTCCGCGTGCAATTGGCCGGACTGCATATCCAGACCCGCTTGTAGCAAGGGCGGGCAGTAGACGGAGGCTGCAGATGTGCGGGCGGAAGTGAGAGCTGCACGGCCTTTGGGCACGTTGCCCAAAGCATGGTACACTCTGCTCTCGAGCAATTGCACTTCGACAAGTACAAGCTTGTCGTCAAGCCGTTTCAGCTCTTTGAGCAGGCTGTTGATGAGGGTGAGGGCATCGTAGTACGACTGCTTCTGCATGTACAGGCCTACAAGTCGGACTTCGAGGTTCTGTCGCAGGAAGCCTTGCCGCTGCGAGACGGCCCAGTCTATGCATGACTTGGTGACGGAGACTTGTGTATCAAGGGTATTTGGTATTGCCGTGAAAAGATCCAGAAGTTGCCGTACTGTTACTATATCAATACATATCTCTCAACAACGCATGCTGTCCACTGACCAAGCTTAGCAGTCTTCGCCCGCGCGAAGCTCGTGAGGACATCGCGCGTTTGCTGTATGAGGTTGGCCAGATCCTGTGTCCGCTTGTGATCCCGATACAGCTCGCCAAGGCCCATCAAAGCACTCTCGAATTCACGCACTGCCTTGTCATTCGTTCCGGGCGGTTTCGAAAGGATGTCTTTATATATCTGCTCGGCCTTCGCTGGCTGATCTTTCGATAGTTGCTTTGCCTCCTCTATCCGTTTCATGCCTTCGTCTTGTGCCATGACTCCCGGTTACTTAGTGGACGATTCAGACTGACTGTTCAGCAGTTAGTGGAATTTGTGCGAGTTGCGTTGATAGTGCGCAGTGCCGGGTCGTCAATGACTGTGGATGATGAGAAGGTGAGCGCTGCCGCGAGGCACGAGACAGCTTCGCAACGACGAAGTTTAAGCCTTGGGGCTCTGCGGCCACTGCCGTAGCGTTTCCGCAGTATCGGGACCGGGACGCCTCCGAGCACTTTTCCTGCGATATCAAAGTCCTTCTTCAACACTCCGCATCGCAGATGTAGAAGTAGCCGGCTTGCAGTATGCCAGGCGCCAAGCGTCCTCGCGAAAGCGACGATGTTGATTATGTGCACCCGTCTCGCAAACGCCGCGCCGAAGACGGCGCATCTCAAACAAAGCTTGCGGTCGTATACAATGCTCTCGCAGATGAATCTGAGCCCGTCCGACGTAAGGCTGCGGGTGACTTGATTTTGCTATTGTTCGCTGCAGACTCAGCAGATCGCGCGCATCTTGTGAATGGGGCCACAACCCGTCTCCTCAAAGGTCTTTGCAGCGGTAGGAAAGCGGCAAGACTGGGCTTTTCTGTCGCATTGTCTGGAGTTCTAGAGCTAGCGTTTGGCAAATGGGCCAATACTGCATGTGCTGACTGGAGCCTGTATGAGCTTACGGAGCGCATCTCGCATATCACGGAGCCCGGCGCAAATGCCAGTGGGCAGGAGCAACGCGAACATTTTTTGGGACGGCGATTCGCATTTCAATCGGTTCTAAATTGTGGCGTCGCAGCGTCAGGATCGATACCAGACGCTCACTGGCGCCACTTTCTTTCCAAAGTGGTAGCCTTAGCGGTCACCAAGGCGTGGCTTCGTACGGAGTGCGGCGCGATGCTCAATTACTTTCTCATCAGCGGCCAAGGCGGACTGCTCAGCGATGATCGGATCCAGGTGCTCCTCGATGTACTGCGAGATGGCAAGCTGCTCGAGAGTGCCGAAGGCGTTGCATTGTGGCTAGCCATCGCGGACCGCTGGCCCAAACTTCTTCCCAAAGGCATTTGGCGAAGGAACGATCCATTCTCTGCAGAGGAGCAGCCAAGACTCAGGAAAGTTCTTATAGGAGGCCCGGCAGCTAGTCACGATGGTGCAGCAAACGCGAGGCCGTCTGATACAGGAGCCCGCCAATCTAGGCCGAGCTTCGCGTGGGAGGAGATCCTCTTACATGCTTACGACCGGAAGCCGCAAACGGTCTTCAAGCACTTTTGGGACGGCGTCGTACTCCAAGGTTTCTTCACAGCAAATGCTTCCACGGAGCGTAAGGCTGTTGGGCTTCAGATCATCGCGATGGCCGTGGAGGGTGCGCCACTAGAGCATCTGTATCACATCCTGCACGTTCAGACTCTGCGCAACGTCGTCATGCCCCGACTCGAAACAGCGCGTCTACTTTTCGAGGCGGCTGAGCTGCCTTTAAAAGCTATCACCTCTCGGGCAAGGAAGAATCCAGAGCTAAGTCACGTGCTTCTTTCGAGCCTTCTGTCGGCGCGAGGTCTGGACCAGCGCACCAAAAGTAAGACCATAGAAAGTCTGTTTCAACTGTCAGATCCAGCTACAATAAAGCTCATGGTGCAGGTTCTTATCACCCATCTCCTCCGACCTCTTGATGGGAATTCCGACGATCAGCAGGCTACCAACGTACGTCGTTCCTATGCCGACCTTGCATTGTTGTTGGTGAGAAGCCAGCACAAGTCTGGGGCTTCGTTCTCGATGGATGATGCACAATCAAGCGCCAAGTTCAGCGATTTGCAGCACTGGCTGAAGTACCTCGTAACCGAAATGGTACAGTATGGCTACCTTCGAACCGGACTACAAGCGGCACCGCAGCTTACCGATTCCGAACGGGAGGTGCTGAGATCGAGGCTTAACTCTTGCATCTCTGTTATCATGGACCACTCAAGCGTCGATGGCAGCAGAGCTATGAATGGGGTTGCTGCGCTGCTGTATAAGCACAAGAAGGAGCTTTGCAAGCCGTTGAGCGAGGAGGCCGAGAAGACGATCGAAACGGCACGAGAGACAGTCAAGTCGATCACTGAGCCGTTGAAGCACTCCAAAGGAACAGCAGCTGCATACGCGCTGCTCTTCAACTCGCTGTCTGTTCAGCTCTTCGGCGGAGAAGAGGACGCACTCGAGGCACTTCAAGATCTGCAAGTCAGCTACAAGGCTCAAAGACAGGGAGGCGATAGCTTTGTGATGCTCACGGAACTTGTCTTGAGCCTGCTGTCGAAGCAGACGGCGCTGCTCCGTAACGTTGCCGAGCAAGTCTTCGGCAGTATTGCAAACGAGACGACTGCGGAAGGCTTGCAGTCGCTTACCATGGTCCTTGCACAGAAGGAAAGCCTTGCTGGTCAGCAGGAGCTTTTCGACGAGCGTGACGAGGACGACGTAGAAGATGGTACAGATTATGCTGACGAGGGAGATAGCGATGGAATAGTCGATGTCGAGGACGCTTCGGACGTGGAGATGGTCAATGGGGAGGCATCCGCTAATATGGACGATGAGGAACCCAGCGACGGCGACGACGTAAACGACGACAGCTCAGATGTTGTGTCAGGCGCATCCGGCGAGCTCGATGAAGAAGCGGCATTCGATCGGAAGCTAGCCGCCGTGCTTGAGACTGCTGGTGAGGATGGTGCCGACTCGGGCGATGACGACTCAGACATGGACGATGAGCAGATGATGGCACTGGAACCACATCTAACGAAGATCTTTCAAGAACGCCAGAAAGCCGGAGGGAAGAAGCAAGAGAAGAAGGATGCCAAGGAGAACATTGTGAGCTTCAAGAGTCGCGTTCTGGACTTGCTGGCGATCTATGTCAAAAGTCAGTACGCCAACGTGCTCTCGATGGATCTCATCCTTCCATTGGCGTCGTTAGTTCGGACCACGAGTAGCAAAGCCGTTGCTGAGAAGGCATTTGGCGTCTTAAGACAGTACTTTGAGGCATGCACGAAGCACAAGAGCCTGCCGCAGCCTGACGATCAAGAAGCGTGCTTTGGCGTACTGCAAGAAGTGCACGACGAGATAAAGCTCGGGGGTTCGAAACTGCACGCCCATGCCTGCAGCCGCTCAAGCCTGTTCCTGTCCAAGGTGCTTGTCGCGATCAACCCGCAATATTACAATCGCGTTGCAGATATGTATTGCGAGCTGCAGAAGGGCTGGTACGTCGACGGGAAGTCGAAGGTGCAGGGCAGCATCTTCACGGAGTGGATGAGCTGGTCGATATCAACGAGGAGTCAGGGGCGGGAATAAGTCGACATGCACTCGTCCGCGTAGCCCAGAATACATGTTTCACACATTACTTCCCGAGAGTGACATACTCAAATAAACCGCATCCAAAGCATGACTACACTAGGTCTTCGTAAATAGCCATTGAATGTCACGTGCAGTGGCGATGAGCACAAGGAATTAGCCTTACGCGGATCTGTTTACTGCGACGCGCTACGCGTCTTACGCTTAGAAACTCCGCTGAGAACTCAGTGTTCCACTTCCACACAAAGAGAGCAGCATTTCCCGACGGATACGCACATGCAGAACAGCTAGGGGAAGCAGGGAAGACCCTGGGTTGACATGCACGCCACCGCCGTCAGTGTAGTATCGGCGCGTAGAAATCGACGATGGAGATGGCTTGGCCGGAGAAGGCGTGGGCGGCTGTTGGGCCGACTCCTCAGCTGCCAGGCGAGCGCCCAGCGCTGGTAAGTTCCTTCCGGGCGTGCTGTAGAGGGTCATCTGTTATCGGATGCTTTGTTTGTTGATAAGCAATCAGAGCGATAGGCACAGGTGTCGCCTATGTAGACTTCGAAACCTGAATGCTGGAGGGGAAGCAGGTCGCTTATAACTCTTCATTATAGCCATTGAAAACCTCATGACGTAGCCCATCGTTAGCAAGATGCATGGAATCGAAGTTCAACAGCGAGATCAGTCGATGGCCACGCGACAAGGCTCGAACGGTGGACGCCCGGTCGAAGCTGAGGCATGAGGAATGCCTTTGCGCCGCAATGGTGGGACATGCTCACGGACCATGTGGTCGTGCTTGCGAGTGCACGCTCCCTCCTCTTTTTGACAAGCGCCAAACATCGGCGAATGGGATGTGTCAGTGAGGTTTCGGCGCCCGTTAGAGGGAAGATCGTGTCGCCATGGCGGTGTTGACGAATGAGGGGTCAGAGACCGGCGTGCAAAACGATGCCTTTTCCCGGTTTAAGCTTGTCTGACGACATCTGGAATGGGATGAATGCCATGCATGTAGAGATGCCGAGTAACAAAGCATTCGCTCTGGTCGACGAGACCAGGAGAAACGGCTAGGCCGCGAGGGAGCAATCAATCGCAACGGTGTTGGAGCTTGGGGAGCTTGAGGGAGGTTCTTGGATGAACCTGAAGCTCTTACTAACTAGCTAACCTGCGTTACAAGCTCTTCCTTGCAGCGGATCAGACGGCGGACATGCTCTGCGCCTGCTGCAGGAACAATGGCAGGATGAAGCCCTCGTAGCGGCTCGTCTGCCGTGTCGAGGTAGGGGTTCGACGAGCTGGGGAGGTGGGCGAAGTAACAGCGCGGTGCTCCACCACATCGTCGATGCGGGCGATGTGTGCCGTGTCCAGTGCCCTCCTGCAGTGTAGGATCTGCAGCATTTGTCCGACAGCATCCACCTACGTAAACTCTCTTTTGTCAGCAGCATTGTTTCTTGATTCGCTATTGCACACGCTCCAGTAAGCGCGTTAATCTTGCTGCTGCTCCGGAGTGCGAGCGGGTACCGCCGCCATCTTGCTCGGTCTTGGCCCGCTGGCTCGGTTGCGCTGCAGCTAAGGTTGCCAGGATAACGGCTGTGCGACCCTCGTCCACGCCTCTTGTACCTCTACATGTACTCCTAGACTCACCACCTCACACTGCCTTGGTCCTTCCTTTATACCACGTCTGAAGGCAGTCGTCCTCCTGCCCGATCATACCAGTTGTGCCTCCCGACGGAGCTGCGTTTGCCGTCGTGTCACTCACTTGTCCCGACCGGTCCCTCATTTCGGCAGACTCGCTGATCAAGTCGTTGGAAGTCGAACGGTTACCGTTATGTACAACGGCAGCACACTCTAACTATTTTCCTTGACGACGCCTGGCTTGGTATTCGGCGCTGGTAGCAGCTTAGACACAGCATCACCCAATCCCATAAGCCATTGGACCCATCTCACATTGTCATATCTCCACCACCACCCTCCAACGCACTCCGCCGACAGCAACTCTACTACCTAGTACCGGCACAGTCAGGATAGACGAGTAGGCTAAGACAGTATATACGACATGGAATACTCTTCGCCGCTGGCTGCTTTGCGGCCGCAACCGTGTCCAGTCTGGGCCAATGGCAAGGACCTGCCAATGGCTCGCCCAGCATATTCCGGATATCAAGCCTTTGCACCCAGCAGCTTCAACTTCAAGGACATGAGCATGCAGCCGCCAAGACCGGCGAGGCAGGATTACTTCACGCTCAAGCCTACGAGAGGCTCATCTCCCACTGCGAGCTTGACTGCCGATCTAGACGCGAACTTCCACATCGACAAGAGGTACCCGCATTCCTCGCTTAGAACCATCCTTGTCGATCGCGTGCTCACTATTGTACCAGTCCACAAGCTCCTACTCCGCGCAGGTCCTTGTTCACAACCAACCTGTTCAGAGCTCGTGACGAAGCTGGTATGTCGCATGGGGATGGCTTTCGCAACCAGCATGCTAACCCGAGGAAGGACCACTTTCGACTCCGCCCATAGAGATCGAAGGAGCAAGGACCCCTCCCATCCTTTCCTCATCACCTGGCATACCCGATATGATGGATGTGTCGCCATTGCCGCACAAGGCTCCCTACTTTGTAGCACAAGTCACACTTCCCTCCCCGTCGCCTGAAGAGACGCCAGAAGAGACGCTCGTCTCGCCAGATTTGCTTTCTCCAACCGAGATCTTCCCGGCGGCGACTGTGCCGCTGACACAGTATTCGACGTTCCTGGCACTGCCTGAGTATGTTGTCCGACGACGTCGGTTAAAGAATTCTTGCTAATCATTCACATCAGACGCACACGACGACAAGTCACAAGACCTTCATTAACCCGCACAAAAGGTTACTCCACAAACCACATTCCACTGCAGCCAGCCAGCGCCGAACACTCCCTGCCCCCTTTCCGTTTCGGCAATGTCACCACGAATGCCCTTAGTTGTACATCCACGCCAACGTTAGCAGAAAGCTTCACAGAGTCGCCTGTCGAAGCATTAACGACTCCGCCAGTGTTGCCGATGGTGCCGCCGCCTAGACGACCGTCTCTAAGCTCGGTGGGCCGCACAAACGGCTCGCCTGGTACTGGCCATGTCCGCAAACCTTCTGGCGGCCGACCTGCTTTCGTGCGGCCGCAGCGTAAGATCATGCGGAGATCGCTCAGTATGTTCCAGCATCCGGACGACGTGATGAAAGAGGAGCAAGATTCGTTCGAGCCGCAGCCCAACCTGACGTCGGCCATGGACATCGATCAACAAGAACCCGAACTTCAGCTGCCGCATCACCTGAACAGCGACGAGCCGGACGGCTTGCCTCGCATATCCCAGCTCACCATGGTCGACGTGCTGGAGAAGAAGTACGATTCCCACTATGACCTCATCAAAGTCATCGACTGCAGGTTCGAATATGAATACAACGGCGGTCATATTGATGGAGCCGTCAACTTCAACGACAAGCAATTACTCACTCATGAACTATTTAACGCGCCCACTACTGACCGGACATTACTCATCTTCCATTGTGAATACTCCGTGCATCGCGCACCACTCACGGCCAAGTTCGTCCGCAGCCACGACCGCAACGTCAACGCAGCATGCTACCCCAAGCTTACCTACCCGGAAATGTACGTCCTCGACGGCGGCTACAGCAAGTTCTTCGCCAACCACCGCGCCAAGTGCTTCCCGCAGAACTACGTGGAGATGAACGATCAGCGCCACGAGCAGGACTGCGAGCGCGGTATGGCTAAAGTGAAGGGGCGACAGAAGCTGTTCCGCGCGCAGACGTTTGCGTTCGGGCAGAACGCGCACGATGGGATGGATGCCTCACCTACTGCTTCTGGGCGTAGCATGGGCGCCCGGAGTCACAGCTCGTTTGCCGTCCGCGCAGATATATCGGAAGGCGTCAGCCAGTCCTTTTCCAGGCGTATGGCTTCGTATTGAGGAGCTGGAGGGCCCTCAGTCTTCATATTAGCACGGCGTTTATGGAGTATTGTCACTGGAGCTGCATCTGCACAACATTCAAAGGCGTTGGAAGCGAGCCATCTCTCGCAGTCGGCATTCAGCATCAACTAGGCCTGGCGTCACAGGCGGGCACATCATTGAGCACTATTTTCTGACTCATGCAACTTCTTGCAGCGACGAGTCGGTACAACCGCAATCATCGATCACATCATCTCCTGGCGATCTTGCATCGAGGCAACACAGCACAACCTTTTTCTGGACACCCGCACCATCTCTCCGCCATCCTTTGCACATTGGTTTTTCTCACAGCATCAACAATGCATCGCAGCATGATTTCTTGCTACGCCGCATTGCTAGCATGTGAGAAGACAGGCTGAACAGGGTTGGGTTGATCAGTGGGTAATGTGAGAGAGGAACTCCGTGTATAGTGTGGTGGTAGTCTGACTGGATAGCTACCATACAAAATGTCTCCAAACAACCAGTGCTTGTGATTTCCACATGTACTCCACCGCAATGGCGAGCGACATAAGCGGAACAACGCCCGTTCCTTCCCTTTTCGATCAGCACGTGCACATGCCTTCCCCACCTTATACAATCTAGATCGTGTTGCGTCCGCGATATTAGTTCCAAAGCAGCGTTCGGTTGGTTACCTCCTACCGGCAGTCATAGTACTTCCATCACACCGAAATGGCAACAACAAGTCCTTCAGATCTCCTGCTCGCCAAGCTCTCAGCGGAGCTTCGTGTTCAAATATACCACTACATCTTAATGACATCCAAGCCTCTCCGACGGCCCCTATTAAGCGACGCTTCGATCACTAGCCTCCTGCTCGTCAACCACCAGATCTGCAACGAAGCAATTGACGTCCTGTACTCGAACAATGCTTTCAAGCTTTCACTTCAGGAAGTTGCAACTTATCCCAACCGCACCAATTTCAGCGAAATGAGGCACATCTTTCTGGCACACCCCATCGGTGATGGCGAGTACGGATTTAAGGAAGGGGAAGGCGGCCTCTGCACGCACGCTTGCCGCTTCATCGCCGCCACTAAACAGATGCCGCTGCCGCTTCATCTTTGCGAAGTGGTGATCGAGGTGGGGCACCTAAGCTCAGCGTATCATGCTGAGCTAGTCTCGACGACTATAGGAGGGCGAGTGAGGGATGTGGATGTGGGAGTGTGGGAGGTGGAGTTTGGGCAGGGATTCAGGATGGTTGTGCGGTATGAGCGGCTATGCAGAGTTTGGAGTCGCATTTGGGGCGATGCGGTGGGCCGTGACTTCGCCATCAGGATGGCGACGGAGGACAGATTTGATTACGACTACGGCTGTTTGACACGTGCCGACATGCTATGCGCGTTGGTCTATTGCGCAGTTGGCGACTCCGGGTTCAGCGACGTTGAGCTCAGTGCCTTCTTTGAAGACGCCGGATTGGCGTTGTGGTCCTATAGTGGTGTGACGTTTGCGGATATCGAAGGGACAACGGACACCGTGTTCGGGGAGGGATTCGACTTCGGCAAGGTCGCGCCTGGGAAGCGGAGAGAGTGTGGCCGGGCGAACAGGATCTTGCTGGCGGTGCTGGAAGCCGTGACACTGCGGAACGATGAGACGTAGGATTCCTTCCGTGCTGCCAAGCCGCATGCTGCTGTGGATCTCTGTGAGGCAGCAGGAGCCACGACAGGGTCGGATGTCGCATCAGCATACTGGGATACACAGCTTATGATATTGCAATCCCAGCGTATTCGCCACACCGGGCCGGGACACCGTAGCGCCGTACATCATGAGCATTGCCTTAAGCCTTGCCTTTCCGCTCGAAGACGCTACAATTGCCACTCATACCAGCCCATCGTATAGCGACAGTGCAGATACGATCGTCTCATCTCGCTTGCACCCCTCCTAGATTCACACAGAAGTCAGTTCGAGATCACGCTCACACTAATCCACCACCTCCCTTACCTTAAACTCCGCCATATCCAAGCTCCCATTCTCATCCTTATCCATCAACCGGAAAATCTTCCTCACCCGCTTCTCCGGCGTATTCTCATCCTCCTGCAACCGCACCATACTCCCCACCAACTTATATATCGCCTCGACAATACTCAGCATCTCCTGAAACGTGATCTTGCCGTCGCCGTCAATGTCGTAGAGTTGGAACGCCCAGTCGAGTTTATCTTCCATTTTGCCGCGCGAGGTGACGGATAAGGCGCAGATGTACTCTTTGAAGTCGATGGTGCCGGATTTGTCGGCGTCGAAAACGTTGAAGATGTAGTCGGCGAAGGTGGAGGGGTCGCCGAAGGGGAAGAACTGCTTGTAGACTTTTTGGAATTCGGCTTTGGTTAGGAGGCCGGAGGGGCAGTCGTTGTGGAAGCCTGGATATCGTCATGAGCTTTATTGCTTTGGTATTGTTGACTGCGTATATGCTGGCTCACCTTTGTACCATTGCTGCAACTCCTTCTTGTCGAAGTGCGTCGCTTTCTGCAGGTCTTGCAGCTCTTGCGGCGAGAGCTTGCTCTGACTGTCATCATTGTGGTGAATGGTCAGCTGATGCTCGTCAAGCTCCAAGCGTGCTATGCCCGTGCTCCTCTTAAACTCCCTCTCCAAGTCTGCCACCCCAATTTTGAAGGCTGCCTGTCGCTTGCGGTTGAAGGCCGGATAGCTGTGGGAGAGCTCGCGCGGAATGCGGAAGGGTCGTCGGCGAGCGATATTGTATGCGCCTGGCAAGGGGTGGGCGCCCTCATGCTTGTCGGTCGTTGCTCCTCCCGTCGCTTGCTGTTCGATCTCCGGATGGTCCGGGTAGATGTCGTGCACCTTCAGCTCCTCCTTAGGTGTGTCTGTCATCGTCGCCGCCGTCGTCGTTGTATTGGTATGCGCTTCAGTCCGCGAAGGCCAAGAGGTTCCATGCGTTGAGCGCCTACACGCACTTGTGACGTTGGAGCGGTGGTGGTGGATCGCATCGCGTGTCGTCGATGGCTCACTTGACTGACTCCTTGTTCACTTCTCCACTTCCTCCTCCTGCACCTCGTGACGAAATAGGAAAGCACAACAACGCACCTTTTGCCCATGCTGGGCGATCCGGATGTCACGCGAGTGACAGCTCAAGGTACCTCGTTGTCAGAGCAATCGCTTGATTCAAGTGCCGATGTTGTGCTGCGGTGGAAGAAGGCTACGCAATTCTCAAACAAGGCAGTCTTACTTCGGGTCATGATGTTGCCGCCGGCCGCGAGTGCGATTATCCTGCCTACCGCCGTTGCATCGTTTATGCCCCGCAAGGGCAGGCACGGAGGGTACTTTCTGGTGCCAAGTAATGAGGCAGTGCTCGGGAGAGGCGCTCTAAGGGCTCCAACCTGGAAGGCTTGCATCATCCATCCCGCCATGCACACGCGCATCTTACTGCTCGGCCCGGCGCAGTGCTGCAGACGCTCAAGGTATACAGTCGCACGAGTTGAAGGACATTGTGCTTGCCATTGCAATGAACTGGATGGGTGAGTCGAGAGAGTATATGGCGCGCACGAGAGCAACGGACAATGAGCATCACGAGCTTGATGCTCATGACGGGAACGGACGACGAGCACTTCAACATTGTGGATGGGAAGGTTACAGTCCCATACCTCAGTCCCCTGCAGTCGCCACTCATGCACACGAGCCTCAGTCTCAATCGAGATGGACAGTACAGTACCAGCCTGGCGCGTGGAGCTTAATTGCGTTGCAGGCGAACCTTCACTTGAGCTGCGTCCGCTCAGCGTACGTGTAGACATATGACGTGAGTTAAGATGCTTGACACGCAGTCTACTACGGTGCGCTATCATTACCTCCCAAGTCGGAGCTATTAGCTCTGTTTAGCTGGCTCTTCGCACCGTGCTGCCGTCCTGCTTGCTCCTACTCCATGCTCGGTGATTGTCCTTCAGGTCCAGTCAGGAACGTCTCGAGATGCCAGCTACGGCTCCACACCCACTCAGCCACCTCAAAGCGCCAAACACGGGAGGTAGCGCTAATGCGGCTCGCAGCGAGCCCGAAATACGAACTGTTCGATAGGCGAGAGCTCATATTCATATGCCTCCTCCGGAGCCTGACGCCAATAGATACTCTACCGGCCGACAGGAGCAACGCCACCTTCACATACGAAACCCTGGATGATTCAAACCGGCACATCAGGATTCTACACATTGAGCGAAGCATCGTGGCTTCGAGAAGGGATCCATTGAAAGGCACTCTTCGACCAACTTCGTTTTCCAGCTGCCCTAAGCCAACTTACCATGATCTGCCGTACACATGGTGAGCGCCGGGCAAGGCTGGCGAGATCATGGTCATTCACGTAGCAGTACCGGTACCAGAGCCCCTTACGACGCCTTGTTGGAGCTTCGCGATTGCGATGTATGCGAAGTCTGAGCCGACTACCTCTGCGTCCATCAGAACGATGAGGTCGAGAAGTCGAAGCAAGTCCAAATGACGGATGCCATTGTCGCAGATACGCAGAGAGCATACGCTCGGCTTGGAGAAGACTACGATGGAGCTTCCTACGCAATTGAAACTCTACGGTTAAACGCCATCAGACACAACCCTATATTTCACTGCGGGCCAACTCAGTATTCTCGGTTGTCGCACGCAATCGTGGCAATGAGTGAACGCCGGTTCTGCGCAGAGTATTGATCATACAAGAGATCTGTCTTGCTGTAGAGCCGACTCTCCTTTGCGGAAGGGAACAAATAGAGCTTCGTCTCTACTTGCTAGCATTTCGAGCGTTGCACGACCCAGAACCCGAGGCATCGGATCTCATGAACCTCTTCAGTCTCATCACCAACCTCTACAAGAAAATCCGCACTGGCACTCGTACAGCGTTTGACCGTGCCGTACTGATGAGTCGAGCCTCTCGCAACAAAAAGCTCGGGACAAGATCTTTGCGATTCGCGGCTTGTGTTACCCGGCAAGATTGCTGTCAAAACCGTCGATTACCGTCAAAGCGTAAAGGAAGGGCGGCAACTTCTTCCTGAAGACACATCCACGGCGTGATCTGTTGCACAAATGGTCGCCAACAAACCCCTCCGTATCGCAGGACACGGATTGCAGGATCTGGGTCGAAACAAGGTGTTCGGTGCAGGCCGAGCCTTCGGACATGATCGAAAGCGAACAGGAACTGAGTCAAACCACTCGACATGTTCTACGCGATATGAGATTGGTGTTTACAAATACAGGACGTATCCGGTCAGACTACCATCACGCTAAGGTTGGCGACCTGATTTGCAGATTGCAAGGCTGTCCGCTGCCCGCCGTGCTTCGGCATTGTCCGTTGGCTGGACACGACTCTGCGCCTGGTGTTGAGTCGCATTATTATGAATATATAGGCGATGTCTATTGCGGTTCGGTGGATAGCAGAGTGTGGAACCGGTTCGAGCCGAGATTCTGGCAGACCATACCTCTGAGATAGTTCTTAACGCTCCAATGCGCTTTCAGTTGTAATTATTCATTGCGCTCAGTGCCGCACATGATTCGCGCAGTATGTAGCGGAGGACTTAAATCAGTTGCTTCCCGTGACGAAACAGAGCGTATACATATGGCCACATAATCCCATGTATTTAACTCATACTGACCTGTACCACACTGGTGTCTGCTCCTTCAAGCGATATGTCGGCTTTTCGGGATGTCCCCTCCCGATGTTCTTCGCGGAATGAGTCCGCTATATGGTCCAAAGATTTTCCAGAAGTCGAGATTGAAATGCATGGCTTGACTCTACGATGGTATGTACTAGTAGCTTGACTTCCTATGACCTAACTAACGGCTGTCTCAGAAGATCAAGGCGCTCACACGCCCGTCAGCTTCGTATCAAACACCTGGCAGCGATGTCACTCGCGCAACAAGAAATCTCGACCCAGCGGCGCATCCTTTCGAGCGGGCGAGAGAGTACACCCGAGCGCTCAATGCTACCAAGTTGGAGCGCATGTTCGCCGCTCCATTCGTTGCACAGCTAGGGCGAGGCCATGTCGACGGAGTATACGTCCTTGCGAAGGACCCGAACTCGCTTGATCGATTTGCAAGTGGCAGCGGCGATGGAGTGGTGAAGGTGTGGGACTTGCCGAGTCGCGACGAGGTATGGCAGACGCAGGCGCATGAGAATCTCGTGAAGGGCATTTGCTGGACGCAGGACAAGAAGCTGCTTTCTTGCGGCAGTGATCGAACGGTCAAACTCTACGACCCCTACAATACCACCTCTGGGAGCGCACCAACCGCCACATGGCTGGGCCAGAATGCCTACACCGGCATTACGCGCCACCGCAGCGAGCCTGTATTCGCCGTCTCCTCCGCCAACATCTCCCTCTACGACCTCACCCGCCCTTCATCCACGCCAACGCAAACACTCGCCTGGCCCACCTCCATCGACACCATCACCGCCATCTCTCTCAACCAAACCGAAACATCTATCCTCGCCTCGTGCGCCACCGACCGCTCTCTTGTCCTCTACGACCTCCGTACCGCCTCGCCCTTACATCGTTCCATACTCACGCTAGCCTCCAATGCGATAAGCTGGAACCCGATGGAAGCCTTCAATCTCGCCGTAGCAAACGAAGACCACAACATCTACCTCTTCGACATGCGAAACCTCTCCCGCGCCCTCAACATCCTCAAAGACCACGTCAGCGCAGTTATGGACGTCGAGTTCTCCCCGACGGGCGAAGAACTAGTGAGCGCGAGCTACGACCGCAGCGTGCGCCTGTGGAAACGCAACGAAGGCCATTCCCGAGATATATACCACACGAAGCGCATGCAGCGCGTCTTCTCCGTCCGGTGGACACCAGACAACGCTTACATCCTGAGTGGTTCCGACGACGGCAACATCCGGCTCTGGCGCAGTAACGCTTCCGAGAGGGCAGGGGTGAAGACGGCGCGGCAAAGGCAGAAGCTGGAGTATGATGAGGCGTTGAAGAAGCGGTATGCGCATATGCCGGAGATCAAGAGGATTGGGAGGCACAGGCATGTTCCTCAGCAGGTGAAGAAGGCCGGGGAGATCAAGGGAGAGGAGGTGAAGGGGATGAAGAGGCGGGAGGAGAATGAGAGGAGGCATGGGAAGAAAGGGGTGAAGAGGAGGAGTGAGCGGGAGAAGATGGTTCTGGCGACGGAGAAGTAGGGTTTGTACGTGAAGTGGATGGTTTGGATGCATCGCGGGGGAGTTTATGACTCGGTTTGGGAGGTGGCGTTTCCGTTTGGATGAGGTATACCCAAAGGCGTCGGGTAGACTGTACTGCGGAGGACTTCAGCCCTTGCTGTAGGAACGTGTCTTCGGGTAACAATGCGGCACGCTCGTGTACTGTGTACTGTGTACTTGGGAATAGTCTTTCCCTCCCACGTGCTAGGGTCCCGAATCCACTGCGACAGACTTTCGTGCCTGCCGTCTATGGTGCGATTGCATCTAGCTTGTGGAATCTGATTATGTACAGTCTTGTAGGAGGTCGATACATGTAACCATCTTGGCCACTGCTTCTTCCATGTGCGGACGCAAGCCACGTCACTCTCAGCGAACGAGAGCGCGGAAAGCTTGCGTCAGCTGAAAGGAGACACCGCAGACAAGCTTTCCAACAGCTCTTGAACCCCCTCTTGGCGACCTCGAAGCTCGCTGCATGTGTGCATGGAACGGGCAACGAACATTCACTCCCAGTAGCATCCAACAAGCTTCTCTCGTCTTCGCGTGTGGAGGCGAAGTCTGGCAGCGATGCTCTCCCTCAACACCCTCCCCTCCTCCCTCGTCGCACTCGTCCTAGCAGCATCCCCTCTCGCCTCAGCCTTCTACCTCCCCGGCATCACACCAACCAACTACAAAGAAGGCGACCTCGTCCCCTTGACCGTCAACCACATCACCCCCTCCCAAACCGGCACCGTTGGCGATGGCACCCATCAACGCACGCGCTCCGTCTTCGCCTTCGACTACTACCACCCTGCCTTCCACTTCTGTCAGCCCGAAGGCGGCGCGCAAGACATCTCCGAGTCGCTGGGTAGCATCCTATTCGGCGACCGCATTCAGACGAGTCCCTTCGAGCTGCGCATGGGCGTGAATGAGACGGGGTGCAGGGCTGTATGCGACGAGGTGCAGTTCGAACCGCGGGATGCCAAGTTCGTGAATCGACGGATATGGCAGGGTTACGGCGTCAATTGGCTCATTGATGGACTGCCCGCGGGGAGTAGATGGATCGATCCGAGCACGGAGTCGGAGTTTTACATGCCTGTTTTCGCGCTGGGGAGGACGGATGAGGAGAAGGCTTACCTGAACAATCATTACAATATCTACATTGATTACCATCAGGTGCGGCAGGATCAGTATAGGATTGTGGGGATTGAAGTGCGGCCGGAGTCGCTGGGTGAGAGTCGCAGGACAGGGACGGGAGATGATTACTCTGCGACGTGTGGGAATGTAGGCACGGCGCTATCGCTGGACGACAAGGTCACCACGAGCGTCACATGGACGTACAGCGTCTTCTGGCAGCCATCACCCACCTCCTTCGCCACGCGTTGGGACAAATACCTGCACGTCTTCGACCCGAAGATCCACTGGTTCTCCCTCATCAACAGCGCCGTCATCGTCAGCTTCCTCGTCGGTATGGTCAGCAGCGTGCTCGTGCGCACCCTGCGCCGCGACATCAAACGCTACAACCGCCTCGACCAACTTGGCCTCGACGACCTCGGTGACACCAGCGTCAACGCCGAAGACGGTGTGGTAGAAGACAGCGGCTGGAAACTCGTCCACGGCGACGTCTTCCGCCCGCCCCGCTACTCCCTCGCCCTCTCCGTCCTCGCGGGCAACGGCGCGCAACTCCTCACCATGGCCGCGGCAACCATCATCTTCGCCGTCATCGGCTTCCTCTCCCCCTCCAATCGCGGCAGTCTCGCCACCGTCATGATATTACTCTACACCCTCTTCGGCTTCATCGGCGGCTACGCCAGCTCGCGCATCTACAAATCCTTCAACGGCAGCAAGTGGAAACACCTCTTCCTCCTCACCCCCTCCGCCCTCCCCGCGCTAGTCTTCGGCATCTTCTTCCTCCTCAACCTCTTCGTCTGGGCGCGCGGCAGCAGCGGCGCCGTCCCTTTCACCACCATGCTAGTGGTAGTAGGGATCTGGTTCCTCATCTCCGTCCCGCTCAGCCTTATAGGCTCATGGCTAGGATTCAAACAACCGCAACCCGACCCTCCCGTCCGCACGAACCAAATCCCACGCCAGATCCCGCCAGCGCAGGGCTACCTCCGCCTCATCCCGAGCATGCTGCTAGTCGGCGTGTTACCCTTCGGCGCCATCTTCGTGGAACTCTACTTCATCATGAACTCCCTCTGGAGCAACAGGATCTACTACATGTTCGGCTTCCTCTTCCTCTCCTTCGCCCTGCTCGTCGTCACCTCGGCGGCCGTCACGATACTGATGGTCTACTTCTTACTCTGCGCGGAGAACTATCACTGGCAATGGCGGGCCTTTGCCACCAGCGGCGCCAGCGCGATCTATGTGTTTGTGTACAGTTTGGTTTATTGGGCGCGGATGTTGAGTTTCAGTAGCTTCTCGGGCGGGGTGTTGTATTTGGGGTATTCGGCGTTGTTGAGCTTTTTGTGGTTTGTCATGAGCGGTAAGTCTCTACTATCCTAACGTGACATGACGTATGGATTTGGCTGACTGTGATGTGCTACAGGTACGATCGGATTCTTTGCTTGCTGGGTGTTTGTACAGCGGATCTACGGATCGTTGAAGATTGATTGAGGGAGCATGAGGGCATTATAGCGAGCGAACCTTTGTACGTTGAGCGAGATGCATTTTGTAACATCATTGCCAGCTTCGTGCTGGGACTCTTATCGCTCGCCTGGGTGCTATCTACGCATTGCATTCTGACCTGTGTTGATCCTCCGCCATGCTCATCTGGCTGTGACTCCAGGCCTGTTATTACAGATATTCTAGGGGCGTATGCAGATATTGCATGCAGGTGTAGCATGCGACACTGCCGGCGTGCCTGACCGATCGTCGGCATGGGATCTGACATGACGTCAAAACTCTTAGTGGGGAAATAGTGGCGGAGACGATGTGTTTGTTTGAAGGCCAGTTCCAGTCTACACTGCAGCAGCACTTCGCCTTCTCACACAATCCACTCCTCGAAGGAAATTGACACGGTAAGTCGTACTCCCGTCATCGCATACAAACAGCTTGGCGGCCAAGTGTTGCCATCTACTGCTCGGATGTCCTGTTCCACTGATCCGTCGATGCCCCGCTTCACATCACCTGCACGCCTTGAATCCTCCTTCTACTCCTACTCTTACTACCCCCGCAGAGCACGTACTTACACCCTTGATACAGACAATCAATCTCCCATCCACAAACACTACAAATCACAGCAAGGATGTCGTTCAGCAACACCGACACCGGCAGCAAGCCCGCCGACCCGTACACGCAGAAGAACATCCAGGACCCGGATCTTCATGAGAAGGTGCAGGACTTGATCGGCTTCGTCGACCGGTGCAAGTTCTGCATGATGACTACCAACACCAGCGACGGTCTGTTGGCAAGTCGGTGTATGGCGTTGGCCGGAAAGGTAAAAAACCACGCCTAAACGAGACACACATCACAAGCGGACCCCTCCGCTGACGATACTCTCATTCTGTAGGAGGGCAACGGCGTCGACTTCATCTTCCACGCCAACACCGAATCCGGCAAGACCAACGACCTCGACGCCCACCCGGAAATCAACCTCGGCTTCCTCAACAACTCGGGCGAGTGGGCCTCCATCTCCGGCAAGGCTTCTGTCATCACCGACCGCGATATGGTGCACAAGCACTACTCCCCGGCGCTGAAGGCGTGGATTGGCGATCTCGGTGACGGCAAGCATGATGGTGGGCCGGATGATCCGAGAGTGGCTGTTATCAAGGTGCAGAGTACGTGGTTGTTGTGCAATGGTTGCGTATGTGGAAGTGTATGTAAGGGCTGACTTTATGATTGTAGGCAAGACGGCGCAATATGCCGTCAGCCGCAACACGCAGATTGGCAGTAGGTCTACGTTTCCTCGGACAGTCAGTTGGCCTGGATGCTAATGCTGATCGTACCAGGCATGATCGAGGTCGCCAAGGGTATCATCACGGGCGAGGCACCACAGGTCAACAAGCTCCGCCACCTCAGCGAGCAGGAGCTCCAGCAGGCGAGGAGCTCTTAAGCAGCTGGGTTATGGGAGCAGAAAGGCGGCAGACTCGAGCACCATCACATGCATGATCGCTCGATGCCGACACTGCTCTCGAAGCACGCCGTTGGGTGAGATAGGCGCACCCTTCGTAGCCGGCCATCAGAATCAGCCAAGCAAAAGGATTCATACCTCACCCTGGCGCCCATATTACGGGAAAGTGGTGACATAGATGTCAACAGTTCTGTTAACCTCGTACCGGGATTGCATCCTTCTTGTTGGCTCTTCACAACCTCACAATCGAAAAGTATACCAGGCAATCCTGTATCCGGAACGCCGAGCCTTACACCAATGACCGCACAGAGTTCCACCAGCTCTCCCACACCACGTCTCCAGCCCTAGCGATGGGCAATGGCCTAACACGTTCGCTTCATAATGCTCCAGACATTGAAAGGTTGGTATGTATGTACTCTGACCAAGCCTAAACACAAGCTTCCAGGGCTCGGGTGCAAAGGCAGCCATACCATCAAGTGTTCGCCGGTGAGGCTTGCATGAGCGTTCGCTCAGCTCCGTGAATGCAGACTCGAGCGGACAGTTCTTGCGCCGCACCCCGTGCAATGTGTTGATCCTTCAGTAATGGTGCAGGGCCAAGGGGCGAGGTGCTCGCGACTGCGGTCTACGGGTTAGAGAACCCTCGAGCGCGCATATAACAACCCCTTTGCCAAGCAGACCTCCTCCTTCTCCCTCCCTCCAGCTTCGGATCGAGACCTTCAGAACCCAGCATAGCCTCGGACCCCACATTCTCCCACCCCTGTGAGACCGTCCTAAACCCCCCTCCAAACTCGGGCCACATCGTCCTCCGCACCGACCAACTTCTCCGCCATGTGTACCTTCCAGACAACCTTCGTCGGCGCCCATGCGGTCTACGAAAACGACTTCCTCTGCTTCCTAGCGTACGACAATGAGCACGACCGTCTCGCATCGTCAAGATGCCTGAGATAGCGGCGCTAAGCGATCATCTGAAGACGTGTGGGCAAGAGCATGTCGCGCTCACGTAGCCGACTCTGCAGGCGCTGGCGTTGTCGTATTTGCAGCGGAATCAGCACGGGATTGAGCCGTGTTGGTGTGTTAAATCATGGGCCGACTACTAGTGCTTATTGGAAGGTTGGTCTTGAAGTGCCTTGTCTTGAGAAAGTGTGACTGACTCTGTCTTCTGTTGTTGACGGGATCCTGATGGGAGTCAGGTAAGCGTGCATGCACTCTGCTCGTGTTAATCTCTGTCGAGGGATGGTGTTAATGCGAACGCGTCTTGGATCGAAACCCAGGTCGACAACCTCGACGTAGCTGCAACCCAGGCATTCATGGAGTCCAAAGAGTGCTATGAGAACCCCATCGACGTCGACTGTACGCTCGGTGACCTCATCGGTGGCCTGCAGTCCGGTGAAGATGAAGCTGCCATCGAGAAGAGGCCGGATATCGGGCGGAGACGAGTGGACATAGTTCCAGCATGAGGTGTGGTTGAAGGCTGTACATAATGCATTACACGGGTATCCACAAAGGCAACAACGCCCGCTGGAACGACGACATCGTATGTGCAAAGTGTAGCAAGATCATCTACTCTCAAACAGCGGATCGCGGCTGTTCTTTCGCGCAGCCTGTTGCGCCTCCGTCTGCTCGGCAGCCGGCGCCGTTTCGGTCGCGCTTGCAATGTTCGTTGGTGAACTCGTTTGTTCTGCTCCTACCGGTGACTTTACCGCGGGTGCTTCTGCAGCTGCAGCCGGACCGACTGTGTTTGCTTCCAATTCTACCGGCTCCATCTTCTGATGGTTCTGTTCGGGCAGTTCGTTCAAGCCGTCTCTTTCTGGCTCCAACTCTGCTATCGTGCCATCCGTTCCGCGTGGATGGCCTTCCTTCTTCTCGTTCGCGTATCCCGCGCCTGCCATCATTGGTTCTCCAGCCGGAAGTTCCGCCTTTTGGCCGACGTAGGGCTGAGCAGCAGGACCGTCTCTCGGTACATCCGTTGCTTCTACTCCACCTGGTGTTTTCGGGTGCCGTTTCCTGTACAGGTAGAACCACACTCCCAAAGCGAGCAGTGCCGCGCAGGGCACGCCGACTCCAACACCGATGCCTGCCTGTGCTCCAGCACTTAGACCGCCTGACGCGGCGCTTGTTGTTGCTGATGTTGAGGTTCGTGATGAAGTGCGCGAAGCGCCTCCGCTTGACGTTCTCGACGGCGAACCACTGCCACTGGAACCAGCGGAAGAACTAGATCGGGCAGCGCTCGATGTTATGGGAGCTGATGAGAGAGACGGCTTCGGTGATCCTGATGTTCCTGGTAACGTTGACAGTGTCGATGTGGGAGTTGATGCCGCTGCGAGGACGGGTGCGCTTGCAGGGGTGAATCTCGTCAGGTCCACACTTCTCCACGCCACCGAGATAGGCCACTGCAAGCCCACGAAGTTGGAGAAAGGGACGGGAGTCGTGACACTGCCGCTGTATATTCGAGTCTGAAGATCACGAACTGTCAGTATCACACCGCACCACACACGCTCTTGCCGGCCTTACCGATGTTGCGACGAACGTGCTACAGTACGCGTAGGTCCCATCGTTGGAGAAGGCCATGCTGCTAGGGCAACACCAGGCTAGGGTCACCGTAGTCGAGGCTGAGGTAGCAGGTACTGGAACTTGCTGGCTGGCCTTACCCCACCCCGAGGGACATACACCAGGCGAGTAGAACAGGTTCGTACTGTACTGCAACGAGAACATGGAGGTCGGGTAGCAGGCCGCCTCTGCAAGGCTGTAGTCGCGGAACGCCGATGGCTGTCCAGATATTGTGCCATCTGCAAGAATGCCGTAAGGCCTGGTGAGACAGGTCGAGTTCGCGGTATAGATGGTCGTTAAGGGTAAGTTGGCGGTCAGAGTCACGGGAGTTGCTTGTCGCGCGGCCAACCCAGCGACGATCGCTGTTATGGTTGGCGTAGGCGCAAGCATCTTTCCGAGGTGAGGTTCGTCAGGGCACTGAATGAAATGGGACTTCGCGGATGTTTTCCTGTCACGCTTTCGCACGGTGCAATAGAATACGAGAGGAAGAGACAGTGAGATAGCGAATGATCGCCTGTGACCGGGCTGATGTGCCGGATTGGGGGAGGGAACCAACAGCGTGCGTGCAGATGGGCGTGGCTTAAGGGAATAGCGCCGTTTTGCTGCGGTCCTTCAATGGGGCCAAGCTACCTTGCAAGCACCCCAGCCTTCACCGGTCGCTGTAGCGTGCTTCTGTGGAGACGCTGTCGTGGCTATACGGGGGTAACGACAGCGCCTGACATCGCGGTCGCTGCTGCTTGCGTGGCTCATCACGGTTGGGCTTCTGCTTGGATGGTGAGTTTGAGTTTGATGAAAGCTCGGCCGCGCCAATCGCCGCAGACCCCTCAGACAGGCCCACTACATGTAGCATGGCGGATTCAACCAGCCCTAGCCGCTTAATAATTAGTTTAAAGTTGTTTCATCGAGACTCTCGACGGTCGTCATGCCGCATCCGTCAAACCTACGCAACACGAGACCGAGGCGTGATGGTCGTTCATATACGAGAAGTATACCATGCACCTCCTAAAGTGTATATCACCGCAACCGGATCGGTCCCCCCTTCATGCCAGACGCCTCGTTGTTCACTAGCTGGTCTGTGAGAACCACGCCCTCCAGGCAGTGAACTGCATATGGTCACGAAGGCAGCTTGTGATAAGTTGTTAAGATGGTCACCCGTCAAGCTACCCTTTTCCCTACGCATCAAGTCATCTACAGCATCACCAACCTACCACCATCGTTCGAGATCCGCTCGTCCAAGTACACCTTGTTGTGGATCCATCCACCCCTTCCATCACCAAGCTCAGCCTCAAGCGCTCTGCCGCCTTCCGTCAGGTGAATGTGTCTCGCACTCGCCGCGAAGTCACCACCCTTTGACCAAAGCAAGCGCCCATCAGTATTGGTGAAGCAGTCGTTCAGATCGAGGTACGACCTTTGATGCTGACCGTGGCCGGTTAAACACTCCGCAGCAAGGGTGCACCGGTCCTCCATGTATATGTCGCGAGAATTCCTCGAGAAGTTGCCGCCAGCGATGCCTCCACCGCCGTGACCCTGGTGCTGCATCTGCGCGTCGTGCTTCTGCTGTTCGTCTTTCCGGTGCTTCTTGTACGCGTCCTCGAGCATTGACCCGGCGACTGCGCCGCCGATGCCGCCGATGATGCCGTGGCCGCCCATGCGGTGTCCGCCGTAGGCTCCCGCAGCGCCACCGGCAAGGGCACCCATTACGCCTCGGTCGCCTTCGGCTCCTGGGGGAAGAGGTTGTCCGGTTGCTGGATCAATGGGTCCGTAAGGCTGCTCGCCGTAGCCAGGTTGTTGCTGAGGGTATGCGTGTTGAGGGTATTGTTGGTATTGCTGCTCTTGGCCGTATGGGGGATATTCTGGCGGCTGCTGCATGTGCGGCGATATGTGCGATGCTTTGTACGGCTGGTTTCCGTAGCTTGGGTACGCTTCATTTGAACGTTGCGGGTATGGATCATTGTTCGCTGCGTAGTAACCCTGCGCAGCACCAGGTCCAGCACCATAGGAAGAAGTTTGGTAGGACGGCTCTGCATTGTAGGCTTGGCCTTGGCCGGCATTGTAGGTACCGTAGTTTGGTTCATTCTGGCTATATGAAGGCTGCTGGTATGCGTAAGGTTCGCCACCTTGGTAGCCACCTGGTGGCGGATGCTGCGTCATTGCTTGAAAGCTCAGAAAGTGAAGATTTGAGCGTGGTCTATTGAAGAGCAGTTGGAGGAGTGGAAATCCAAGGGGAATAGTGATAATGAGCTTGAAGTACCGGCTTGAGGCTGCAGGTGGCCATGTCAAGCTGAAGTACACAGCCACACAGCTCTTACCTTCACGCACGTCTTCCGCCCACAACCATCACATCTTGGCATTACCAGCCATCTCACCAGGCAACCAGATAAGTGGCAAAGCTTTCGTCAGTGAATGTGCGGTTCACACGGGCAGTGAGAAGAAATGGCTCCACGATTGTGTTTCTGGCAGCGGGCCAAGCTTCGTTTTGAGTCCTCTTATGGGTACATGTACACATGATATAATCCTTTGCCCTCAAGTCTAACATTCAAACTCCCGCAGCCACGGTAGAACTCGTCATACAATACATAAGGGTATCTTCCGTCCGTGCAAATGCTAATAACGAACACCTAGACCATGCGCTGCATCCGATGCGAACGAGCTCCGACAAGCACCACCCAGAACACGCAATCCATGCAAAATACATGTACCGGTAGCTGAGACATTCCATCTTATGCGGCTACCGTGGTTGATCCAGACTCGGTTCGGTTCAAGTATGGATGCTCCAAGCACTCTTCCGCCGAGATCCTGTTTCCGGGATGGAGATTGAGGCATGCCCTCATAAAATTGATCGCCTCCTTCTCATCCTCACTCAGTCCCTCACCTGGTCCCTCTGCACTTTTCTTGTTACGACCAGTGCACCAGAGGATGATCTTCTCCCAGCTATGCCCAGTCTCCGTCATCGATGGAATGTTGGTCTGCAGTATCTGGCCATGCAAGAATGCAACCTGCTTCATTTTCTGCTTCCCGAAGATACAAGACAGCTCAATGAAGGCGTCTATATCGTCCGCGGAGTGGAAGAAGGGGAAGCGCTTGCTCAGGAAGGTCAGCAAGATGATGCCGCAGGACCAAATGTCAATGAGGCAGCTTTGAGCGGTGCACTTCAATAGCACTTCCGGAGCGCGGAAGCCACGCGTGCCCGCTCGATTAGCGCGGCGAGAGGGACGTTGGTCGTCTTTCGGGTAAGATGGCTTTGGCAACGGCACGTTGGAAGTTCGGGCTGCATCGAGTTTCCGAGCGTAGACAGAGCTTTGGACCTTGCGCGCCCTTTCTTCTTGCTCATAGCAGCACTGGCAGTGGTGGTAGTCTGTACCTTCACGCTCGGCCAAGCCAAAGTCGACGAGTACGCCATGTCGCTGACTAGGCGAGTACAGGAAGTTGGTAGGCTTGATGTCGCGGTGAATGATGTCGGCGTCATGGACCGACTTGACTGCTGAGAACAGATTCCGGAGATAGTCGCGAATCTCGTCCATGCTGAAGTCGCGATAGTAGTCCCGGAAGTCCTTGTGCTGAAAGTACGGCAGGATCGCAATCACCTGGTCTTGGTGACGGAAAGCCGTGATCAACGGGCAGACGTTCGGCGAGCTGCGCAAGTCATGCAGCAGCTCCAGTTCGTTAAGTATACGAAGCGGCGAGGATGTGACATAGATCTTCTTAATGGCCACATATCGGGGCTTCTGTTGGCGAACGAGTGATTGCTTCACGGCTGAAGAGTCACTATCACGGTTCTCTTTGTTGGCCTCGAGATCCCAGTCATTCTGGTAGTGGTCGTAGAGTAGATCCTCGGCCTTGTAGACGGTGGAGAAAGTACCCTCGCCAATACGGTTGATGAGGCGGTAACGCTGAGTAATATTCTTGAACGACGCCTCAAAGCGTGCAATGTCATCGGCGACCAGGTCATCCATCTCGCCATCACCCTCAGAGACTGTGCCGCCGCTTTCCTCCAGCGGACCCATGCTCTCCTCGAGCTCGTCGGTCTCCACTTCGGTGCTGTCGCCACGCTTCACATCATCTTCGTGAACGAGCATTGGGTGCTGTGTCCGCCTGAGAGTGGCAGCCATGATAGGCTACAGCTTCACAATTGCGCCACTGAACGGAAGTGTGCAGAAGAAGCCTCAGCAAATGCAGTGCGTTCACGTCGTGCATTGCACTTCGCTTACTGGGGAAGGTGCGCGGGACGCGTCGTTTGGCTCTAACCCGAAACAGTAGAGGTTCGAAAACACCGTCTTCAAGCCGGGCCATCACAAATGCGCCATCGAACATGCGCCTACGTTTCTGATAAAGCGACGAAAGCTAACAAATTCGCCGTCATGGCGGACTTTGACATCAACGAGGCGCTCAAAGCGTATCTGGATGATCCACAAGCCATCCTAACACCAGAGGCCGGTGCGACGTTGCTGGACTGCGAGAACGATCCAGATGATTTCACGCCTGGATTGATCAACAGCGTGCTCAATCCAATCATTGAGTCTATCGCGGAAAACCCAGATGCGATTGCGCATGCATCAGTATTCGACAGCCTCCAATTCCTCCTAAAGTGCGCACCCATCGTTCCTCCAGACCAACGGTCTGCTCTCAAAGCGCAAGATACTGGCACTGACTGTGAGCTGTTCGCACTTTGTAGGCAGACCTCGTACATACCGCCCGTATCCCTCGGCAAGCTTCTCGACCTTGTTGTTAGCGGTCTGGGTGCCGAAGCGGAGACTATCCACCATGAAGCCCAGGATGTTGAGACGGAAACGGCGTCGCACAAGCAGACGCTCGAAATGTTCGCATTCCTTCTACAGTGGTGTATAGCCGCCATGGAGACGAAGACCGCGGAGAACTCTGCGGCACCTGCACGTGGGAAGGGCGCGAAAGGCGCGAAGAGCAAGAGTGCGCAGAAGGATGGCAACTGGGACCCGTCGAGCCAGCTACAGACGGCTCTGGACACCATGACGAAGGTAATGAAACTCAAGCTGGCCAAGATCTTCGTGACGACAAGCGAGCGGGACACATTCATCAGCCTCTTCACAAGGCCGGTCTACCTCCTCCTCGAGCGGGAGCAGACAGTTAAGAGCACCGCACTCAGAATGCACGCTTTCAAGGTGCTATGTGTCGCTATCAAACACCACGGGCATGCGCATAGTGCGCAGACGAGCGTCATCCAGAACTTGACCTACTTCGAACATCTTGCGGAGCCCATGGCAGAGTTCCTCAACATCTTGGCCGAGCAGTACGACTACCCACAGCTTGCCGAGGAGGTCATGAAGGAGCTGTCGAACAAAGAGTTCAGCGCCAACGACGCCAAGGGTCCGAAATCTGTGTCTACCTTTGTCGCACGACTGTCTGAGCTAGCGCCCCGTGTGGTGCAGCGACAAGTCACGTACCTGGCGAAGCTGCTTGAGAGCGAGAACTACACGCTTCGATGCGCCATTATCGAAGTCTGCGGCAACCTTATTGCGATGCTCTCCAAGGCAGAAGAGGGTGAGCGGAGTGAGAACCATAAGGGCCAGATTAATGCCTTCTTCGACGTGCTTGAGGAGCGCTTTCTGGACGTCAATCCGTACTGCAGGTGCAGAGCTATCCAGGTCTACGTCAAACTATGCGACCTGGAGACGAAGTATCCGAAGCGCCGACAGACTGCGACCGAGCTGGCCACGCGGAGTTTGGAAGACAAGAGTAGCAACGTTCGCCGTAACGCGATCAAGCTGCTTGCTCGTCTGATGGCTACCCACCCCTTTGCCGTCCTGCACGGCGGTCTGCTGAGCTACCGAGACTGGAACGAGCGACTAGAAGCTTGCGAAGCTGAGCTCAATGCCATGAAGCCACCTGCCGGCACGCCAGGCCTCGGCGAGCAGACACAGGCCGAGCCAACAGTAGACGATAGCTTGCTTGATGATGCCACGCAGTCCGAGGAGAAGGCGCCCATGACGGAAGAGCAGAAGCTGGCTGCCTTCAACAAAGCGCAGGAAGATGCTGCCACTGCCGAAGCGCTCAGCAAGCTGCAGCTCACACGGCGTTACTATATCGAGGCACTGCGCTTCATCGAGGCGCTGCACGAAGCCAGCCCGCAGATTACGCAACTGTTAGCGAGCAAGAACAAGTCCGAGGTCATCGAGGCCATGGACTTCTTCGTTGTGGCTGATGCTTACCATCTTGCAATTGCAAAGACCGGCATCAGGCGCATGCTACGTCTGATCTGGACGAAGGGCAACAGCGACGAAGGCAAAGGCGTGCAGACGCATCTGATCGAGTGTTACAAGGGTCTGTTCTTCGACGCTCCCGGCAACTTCTCCGCTAATGATGCTGCCAACTACGTGGCAAGGAACATGATCAGCCTGACCTTTGGCGCAAGCCCAGCTGAACTAACGAGCCTCGAACAGCTGCTGGCTACCATGATGAAGGAGAAGTGCATTCCGGAGCTCGTCGTCCAAAAGCTGTGGCAAGTCTATGGGATTCAGAAGAAGGAGATCAGCAAACAGCAACGACGCGGCGCCATCATCGTGCTTGGTATGCTGGCTCTCGCGGACCCGGAGGTTGTTGTCAAGGAGATGGAAATCTGTCTGCGCATCGGTCTCGGTCCCATCGGCCAGAAGGATCTGGTTCTGGCTAGATACACTTGCATCGCTCTGATGCGCATGACTGACAACAAGCCGTCGAAAGGCACACAAGGCAAGCCGAGCACAAGGCTGCCGAATGATCATGCAGTGCTCGTCCGCTTGTCCAATCTGCTTCACATAGAAAGCGACAGCAGAGACTGGTACGGCGTTGCAGAGCAAGCGATCAGCGCCATCTACGCCCTGTCCAAACATCCGGACGTCTTATGTTCTGATATCGTCCGCAAGAAGACCAAAGCGGTGTTTGCTGTGAAGTGCGCCGTGCCGGTGAAGGTGGAACTCAATGACAGTATGGTCGACGCCGATGGAGACATTGAGATGAGTGATGTGCAAGACGAGCCGGAACAGTCGAAAAGCGAACAACAACCAAGTTCTAACGGCGACTCTGCGCTTGCCCTGTCTCAGCTCTTGTTCGCAGTAAGCCATATTGCGCTAAAGCAGATCGTGCATCTTGAGCTCTGTGAGCAAGACTTTAAACGGCGAAAGGCTGAGAAGGAGAAATCAAACCCTGGCTCCTCGCCCGTAAAGAAGGCGCCGGGTGGCAAAACGCCAGCCACATCGAAGAAGAGCGATGGTAAGAAGCAAGAGGAACAAGATGAGCTAGACCTCATGGCGGGTACGACTGAAGACGACTTTACGGACGTGATCGCTCAGGTCAGAGAGCGCGAGTTACTTTATGGTCGGCACAGCCTGCTTTCGAATTACGGTCCGCTCGTCCAGGAGATCTGCAGCAACAACACTGCGTACTCGAACGCCGAGCTACAAGCTCAGGCGGCGCTGTGTATGGCGAAGTTAATGTGCGTCAGCTCGGAGTACTGCGAAGCCAACCTTGGCCTCCTCATCACGATCCTCGAGCGGTCGCCATCAGCCACCACGCGCAGCAATCTTGTCGTCGCTTTGGGTGACATGGCTGTCTGCTTCAACCATCTGATAGACGAAAACACCGACTTCTTATACCGGAGACTATCAGACCCGTCGCTGCCGGTCAAGCGCACGTGCTTGATGACGCTGACTTTCTTAATCCTGGCCGGTCAGGTCAAGGTCAAAGGACAGCTGGGTGAGATGGCGAAGTGCGTGGAAGACTCCGACGAGCGGGTGCGAGAGATGAGTCGCATGTTCTTCGCGGAGCTTGCTGGCAAGGACAACGCGGTGTACAATCACTTCGTCGACATGTTCAGCCTGCTGTCAGCGGATGAAGGACTGGAGGAAGACCGCTTTCGAAGGGTCATTAAGTTCCTTGCAAGCTTCATCGAGAAGGTGAGTCGTGATGCAGATCAAGCTTGTGTGGGGAGGACGAACGCTAATTGTTGGGACAGGACAAGCACGCCAAGCAGTTGGCGAGCAAGCTCGCTCCAAGGCTACAAAGAGCGGAAAGCGAACGCCAGTGGAACGATGTCGCTTATGCTCTGGGCCTCCTACCGCACAAGAGTGAAGACATCGCTAAGCTGATCGGCGATGGTTGTAAGGTTGTGGAAGCGGCAGCATAAGCTAGTCAACATTCGGGCCCTCAGGACTTGCTGGTGTTGGGGTGTTAAACTCGACTTTGTATATACCCTGGCCTGCCGTGTAAATGGTGCAGCCACACTAACATTCTTGTATTACGCGGATCCACACAGCTATGTTACGCGGTTCGCATTGAATCACAGCAGGAGAGGGGGAAAGCGCCCTTCGGATATCACGGCTGTCACGGCTGGCTTGCTCTTCTCCTCCCCTGTACTGGAACGGCGATCTCAATCACTATATAGACGCCTTCATGCGCTGCACGGACATCAATAAAGCCTTCTCTACGGGAAAGAATCTCTAGCTCGTCTCAAGGCGGCGGAGAATGACAGATCCACAAGGCCGAGAGTGAAGGGAGGTGCAGACAAGCACAGCTGTGACAGAACCTCAGCCGATAAGCATAAATTGCCTTAAACGCGCCTTAAGTAGCGCCACCTCGTGGCATCCATCACCCTAGCTGCATGCGGCTTGAGCCTGGACTGCACGCCGCAATGTTTGGCTCGGCAATATTGTCCCGTCTGAAACAATACAGGCTTGACGATCTCTATATCCCGTCCGATAGCTTTCTGCAGGTGTCAGCATGGCTTTGTCTCAGCAATTCTCGAGCGGTCGGACAACGTGGACTCTACGAATAATATGACTGTAGCTGTAGAACCGGCGGCGCAGGACCGTAGATCACGGAACATATATTACAAACCCGCCCTCCCCTCAATAGCGCTGACGCGGCCTTGAGTGCTGAGACGGAGTGACTCCATAACCTTCCTTTTGCGCAGGGATTAACAGCCTCTAGAGCTTTCCGATTCTCGCGCTGCCGTGCCAAGCCGAGAAAGTGCTCGCCCAAGAAAAGCGAAGGCTGAGCTACTGCGGCTTGGCGCAGCTCATGACAGACAATGTTGACGGGATAGGTAAGCTTATCTCCACTCGGCGCTGACAGCTGGCGTCGTTGTTCTCGTGGCGGCGGAGTCCTGTGGTACAGCTCGTTGGCAACCACGGAACGCCAGCTGCGTGGCATTGTCGTGTATAAGAAGATCAAGCCAACTCGGTACCTCTTCCGGTACATCTTCGAAAACGTCGGACTCGCCAAGGCAGACGCAGGTCGACTATGCGTGGCATTAGCACGGCGCCAATGAACCGCCCAGCAATCTGTCTACAGTAGCGCATGACCTCAAGCCTGTCAGTCGGACTTCGTGCCAAGCAAGGACAAGAGTACCAAGAGGCGCGGCTTGCTTGGGTGTCTCGCGGCGTCCAACTCCAAGCTACCGCTGCTCGTTCCGTTTGGGTGCGGGCGATCGACACCACTTAGCAGGGGCTGTCTGAATCGAGAATACTCGCGCCCTCTGCGTGCGAGTCTACACTCACCGCAATACTTTTCGATACTTTCTGCGTCTGTGTAATTGGAGGCGCCCCATTGGCGCTTGTCGGACGACTTCGCATGCGGAGTTCCACTCGAGCTGACGCCATCATCAAGTAAGGTTCTCGCCAAAGAAAGGCTTCTAAGCTTAATTTTGCGTTAGCGTCGTTCTGGGGTTCGGCTGGCTAGTTCACGATCGCCAACTTGCGGTTTCGGTGCCCTTCACATCTTCTCTCCATTGTCGGCACCTCCTCGCTTGTTACATCAGCGCATCCCCAGCTCAGTCCTGCAGACACTGTATCGCACAGCTCTAACCCGTACATCACACAGTTTGCTGCGTGCAGACGTGCATATCATATCAGACTCGACAGCGTATGCGCGTGGCTCCACACTGTTCCACGCAATCACTAACGAGCAGCTGCGGCTTTCGCACTTCATCTGACTCTTAGTTAGTCGTGTGCATTGGCAGAGCATTACTCGCCTTTTGAGGTCAGAGAGCTCTCATGAACGGAATGGAGACGTATAACGGTCTCGTGCGCACGCCTGCCGATGCGATAATATTGTTCGAGGCATGCCGCATAGGCCTACTACCGCGCGTACAGCGCCGCCTGTCTGAGAAGGAACGTCAGTCCATCAAGTCAGGCTCCGTCTTTGTCTGGGACGAGCGCGAAGCCGGCATGCGACGATGGACTGACGGCAAGTCTTGGAGCGCAAGCCGCGTGTCTGGGAGCTTTCTGACGTACCGTGAAATGGAGGGCAAGCGAGGCGGCAGTAACTTTGACAAGAATGCCAACCGTGACGGCGTTCAAGGTGCTGAAGCTGAGGACGATGGCGGGCCTGATGGGTACCGTTACAAGCCGGATGGCTTGATGAAGCAGTCCTTTTCAATCACAACGAACAATGGCCAGCATCTGCACCTGATTAGCTACTTCTCCCGCACGGCATCGCAGACCCAGACCCTTATGCAGCCGACTAACGATCCGCAACTGCGTCACATTCGACCGGAGAAAGGCATGTACCCAGAGTCGACCGTTCATGAGCAGAGCACCATTCCCGCCGTGACCCGCGGCCCAATGAGCTCACCCGGCTACGTACCTGCAGCTCATCAATCACCATATGCACGTCCTGGCCACTACCCATATCCTCAGCAGCCATGGCCACCAAGTCCAATGCATACTCCACCGCAGCACCCTGGCTACGGACCATACTATCAGCAGCAGGGCCAGTATCCTCCGAACATGCCATATCCGCCACCTCCAGCTCCGTACGCGCAGCCGCCAGGAATGACAGCTTTCGATCGCCCGCCGCCACCGATGAGCAACACCGGTCTGCCACCGCCGCCACCTGCGCAACAACAGTATGCTCAGCCACCGCCGATGCAGAATGGCTACCAATCCTACGGCTACGGGAACGGGTATCAGTACCCGCCTCCGCCAGTCTCTCAGGGCGCCGCTCATCCATACCCGCAGCCACAGGCTCAGCCGCCTGCACCGTATCGCCCGCCACCGGCAGAGATGGCTCCGCAGAACAACAACGCTAAGCGCGAGGAGCAGCACCCCAACGGCGAGCAACACACGCAGCCAAGCGCGCCCAAAACCTCTGCTGCGCCAACAATACCTAGCATAAACAGCATGCTGAATGGTGATGGGCAACCACCTAAACGCACCAACAGTCGCAACTCTGGCGAAGGGGCGTCACCGAGACCGCTACAGGATATACCAAGCCACAAACTTGGCTTCGAGGCCACCAGAGACATGCAGGCTCTTCGCAACCTTGACAAATCGACTCTGAAGTATTGATCCCTCCGCGACGCTCGAACATGCCATCATGTTCTAGGTGAAGCAGCCGTCATGCTTTCTCTGACGTGGACAAATATGTGTTGGCGTCAAGGGAACAAAAAGGGGCTACTGATAAGCGTCGTGATGGAGGCGATTGCGTTTTAGCGTGGCGCGTGGTGTTGGTTTGGTTGACGCATGAATCTAGTAAACAATTGGCAATGCATGTCGGAATACGCAAGTGTACCATGCTTATGAGTAGCGCAACAGTAACGTCAATCAGCATGTTGCGCATAACGTTCGATGCCGTCAGGTCTCATCTCTTCCGTCGTAGCGTGGCAGAGCCAACCGCTCCTTTCCCCACAGAGTACCAACGCCGCGCTCAACAGTACGTTTAGTCATCGTATGAATGTACAATGCAGTGTAGAACAAATACGCCCACACATCTTGCAACCTCTACTCCCAGCCGCCAGGGACTGGACTCGCGCTTCTTCGCTGACTGCCCCTCGGCTCCGGCGGCGCAAGGCTCGCTGATGAAGACCTCGCCTCATCCGGTCGTCCCGTTCTCGAAGATTGCGAGCTCGACCGCGAAACACTCGTAGGCACAGACAAATTGCTACCCGTCGCCGCAGGTTTCTTAGACCCGGCCTGCGTGCTGTTCCATCCTAGTCGCGATTTGTAGTTCGGCAGTTCCGCTTGGTTCCACACATTCACTAACACGCTGTGGGACCTGTCAGTATGCCGTAGTATGCTCGCGATCAATGCGCCTTGGCCCGTACTTCTGCGTCTTGTCCGTGTAGCTCTCGTCGTCCACTTGCTTGACGCCGACCTTGAGTCCACCGTCCTTGGTGAAGCTTAGGTTCTTCTTCTCCATGTGTTTGCTTGCGCGATCCTTCATTTCATTTGTCCAGACGTAGACTTGGTATGCGATGAAGCCTCCAATGGCTACGACGAGGAGGAGGATGACGAGGGGTATGATATTGGCGGCCATCTTGCGCAAATCTTCTCGTACTGTATGGTAGGAAATGTGTGGGCAATATGAGGAATGTTTTTTTGATACTTTACACGACAGAGAGCAAACGGATATAGATCACATGTCATCAATGCGACAGCAAGCGCGCATGTCCAAAACGGCACCAGTGCTGCCAAGGTATCTCGTCGGAGACCCCTGCAACACACATTGCGCTACAAGCCGTAACAGAAGGTGTGGCTTGCTGAGACATGGGGTTTGGCTTCGAACATCGCCAATAACTTTTACCATCCGTATTATCTCCTCGAAAACGCCGGCGCCACTTGATTAACCCTCGGCTACTACGATGCCGCCTGTGCCGCCTGTGAAGAATGCTTGAGGAGAACTCGGGGTCGCTGTACACTCCATGCTGAGAGAGCATGCTATTGCTCGTCCCGCTTGTCGTCGCTGTCACCTTAGGACAGTGGACTGCTCGAGGTTTTGCCTCGGCGCGGGCGCCACGGTCTGCTATTAACGTTTGCGATCGGGTACAGGACCATGACCCTCACCCTAACCTACCAGGCAGGCGTACACCCCCGCCAGAGTCTTACACAAAGCGCTACTCCGAGCAGACATTCATCGGAACGCATAACAGTGCCGCCATAAGGACTGCCGAGAATGGCTGGAGCCTCTCCGGCAATCAGTACTTCAATGTCTCCGTGCAGCTGGAGAGCGGCGTAAGACTGCTGCAAGCCCAGGCGCATCGAGGGCTCGATGATGAAGACGAAATACGTCTGTGTCACTTCAACTGCGCTCTGATGGACGGCGGCAGTCTACTTGAGCATCTGTTGATCGTTAGGGAATTCCTTAGCATATATCCACAAGACGTAGTGACGCTGCTCTTTGTCAATGTGGTCGGTGGTAGCCTGGAACCCTGGAGGCAGGTTTACGAACAGACGGGTTTATCTCGCATATCGTACAGTCCGCCGTCTGCGAAGCGAGCGGGAAATATGACGATCTGGGACTGGCCCACCATCGAGGAGCTCGTCAACAACAAGAAGCGCCTGATCACCTTCCTATCAAGCGGCGCAGACGAGTCTGCGGTACCCTACCTACTCAACCAGTTCGACTACATGTTCGAGACAGACTTTGGCATCGAGGCGCCGAATCAATATACTTGCGAGCCTGCGAGACCGAAACGGTACGATTTATCACACGTTCCTCCGCGCTTGAGCCTGGTGAATCATTTCCTGTATGCAAAGTTTTTTGGCATCAGGTACCCAAATGCGAGCTACGCAAGCTTTACGAATGCTGCTGGCTTTCACACGGGAGAGCTCGGTGAGCATGCTGCTCGCTGCCGGTCGACTTATGAGCGACGACCGAACTTCTTGCTGGTAGATTTTTTCAATGAGGGAAGCGTGTTCGATGTTGAATATGGTATGAACGCTTATTGATCCGACTTCCGTGCAGATTGTTAGCATCCTACCGCCGTCGTGATTCCCAATCCACTCTCGAGGCCACCAGCGCTGCCATAGCATGATCACCGTCTTCCGCACGAAGCGAAACACGAGCCTCAGACTCGCTTTACCTCCATCGATCGTGCAACGAATGTGTCGAATATATAATAAATAGCCGGATTGACCACATTGGCATGGCGGTGCCTCTTAGCTGGGGTGCCACCCTTCAATCCAGTGTATTAATAAGTATTCTTGAGGCTATCAGTTGATACCCACCTTGGTGAGCCGATCTGGGGCACTGTCAGTACCCGGTCTGCCCTAAGCTTCAATGTGTTAATGCTCACAAGTGCTTTCTCACGTCCGCAGACTGTGCTGGGTGAAATGTCGGCTATTCCTGAGTGTAGCGGAAAGAGTCTTGACCATGAACGCGGAACCTTCGGCTAAGTCTTGCCTTCCTCTGCGCCCATGCTTACAGCCAGAAGAATGCGCTGCAGTTCATACATCAAGAGAAGAAGTTATTCTTCTGCCAGTTCGACCTATACGCGACCTCCTCCCTGAGCAACTCCGGATGCTTGTACACACTCGGCATCAACCCCATCCCAATCGCTCTCCGGATAGCTTTCGCCATACGCCGTTGGTTGACCGGCCTCAAGCCGCTCTCACTACTATGCTTAATCCTGCCCATCTCACTGACATACTCCGCCATCATGCTGAAGTTCTTGTAATGCTCCCGTGGATCGATGCCGAGCTGATCCAGGACGTCCCGCCCTTGACCTCGTACCCGCGGCTTTCGCCGGATCTTCTTCCATTTCGAAGCTTCGACGCCGGACAGGTCATGGGGGCTGTAGATATCGCCCGCCTTCCAGCGACGGGGCATTTGTTGCTCGTAGTCCTTGCGGCTGGAAAGGCGAGCCTCACGCTCGGCCAGTTGACTTTTCCGACGGGTACCGGTCGTTTCCTGCACTGTCTTACGGGCGAGATCGAAGGCGGCATTGCTGCTTGAGGTCGCGGCAATCGGAGGCCCTGTTGCAGCGGTGGAGGACGGCGGTGGTTGACTAGATAGATTCCGTTGCGCACCGTTGTCACCGCGAGTTGCTTTTAGAAGCTCTGATAACCTGATTAGCTTTGTCGTAGCGCGTATGCGGGTGTTGTGCAGGCGTACCCTCGACAGCTGATGTTGTCGCTTGCTGCTGTGCTCTCGGCTTGCCTGACGCAAAAGACCTCCTGCAGTGCGAACACACAGTCTTCGGCTGTAGAGTCAAGCGCATAAAGGCTCGTTCTAGTGACATGTTGATTGCCATTGCAGAGCAAACCAATACACATATGCGTCTGCATTGCACAAATCAAGCAGGGTTCAAGGCAGAGGCGGACTGCTTCGGGGGTGCTGCCGCAGACATGGCTTGGCATCGCAGAGCTTCCTCGTCATTGACAGCACATAACGACGAAACAAGCGACGGATACGGCGGCGCCTTTGTATAAAAGAATGGGAGATGATCTGTATGAACATTTGGTTTGAGGATTTCGTCTAGCACTCTCTGCCGCAATGGCATCGGCAAGCATGGCCTCCCACCTTACCCGCCACGTCTTCCGTCAATTGCTTGCCAACCAACCCGTTATACATCGCGGATGCCTGCGTAGACGTTCATACAGCTCGCAAGCATGCCAGTCAGCGCTGCGCACGAAAAAGCAACGACGCTACGGAACTCGCGTCCTCACAGAGATGGGTCGGCGGACCTTCTTCAACCTCGCCATGTTTGGAGGCAAACCGGCCCCGAGTATCAAGGATGCAAATATGATACCTGGAATGGATAAGATGATGTTGCTCGAGCGGCGGCAGAGGATGCGGGCTCGTTTACCAACACCTGCCGAGGTGGCTCAGGCTTTCAATGAATATCTACGAGATAGGGTTAAGACTAGCCGATTGATCGAAGACAACCAAGCGAAGTTGTTGCTCCTGAGCATACAATATTGCATGCGAGCTCAGCACGAGGGTGCAGAGGGCGCAAGTCCCTCTGTGGACATTCCTCTTATGATCGAACATCTCGCCAAAGCTCTACCATATACGGCATACACAAGGACGAGGGCTCGACGATCCATGATTTCTAGTGATCACTTAGGACTTGCCAAGATACTACTCGAACACGCCGAAGCATCTCAAGAGGATACACCGCAACTGTCCGTCCCAGTCGCTGCTCGCGTCTATGTGAGAATTCTCACCAACTCTGGAGATCCGCTTCAAGCACGTGATGTTTTGCTTCGCTACGAGCAGCGCATGCTCAGTAGTAAGAACCTATCGAGCCCCGAGAAGTTGCGCGGCTCAAAGCTCAATGCAGATGAGACCGGCGAGGGAACTGAGAACCTTCAACCCACAGCAGGCTCTCGCGCTGTTGTAGCAGAGTTGTCGGAGATACTGCATGAGTTCGCATCTCGCGGAGATGAGGGTCATGCTCTTGAAACACTCGAACTGATGAGAAATCGAGCAGGGGAGAGAGATCCTATAATCTCAGAGTCCCTGCTGCGCTTGAACTTGATCAAGGGCGATGTTTCGAGTGCTCATCACTGGTGGGGAGTATTCTGGGCGGAGAGGAAGCTTCGCTACCAGGAAAAGCCGAGTGGAACTGAGTTCATGGTTCGAAGAATCTTCAGATGGTGTCTGGAACACGATCATCCCGATTTTGGTAACGCTGTAGCTCGGGACATGATGGAGGCGAATCCTTCCAAAGCGACCTGGGATGATATACTCGGATGGGCGGCAGGCTCCGGAAGGAGCGTCGACGAGATAGACCGCATGATCGACGTCGTTCGATCTTCTCAGGATAAAGTGTCCGAATCCCGGAAGGCGAAGCGCTTTTTTGACGTGCATACCATCAATGCGCTGGTGGAGGCTGCAATGTTGAAGTCCGATCCTTACAGAGCGGAGCGCTTTGTCGCATTAGGCAGGCAACGAGGCATTGAACCGGACGCATTGACTTACAAACTCCAAATGGACTACAGACTCGGTGTGAACGACATCGATGGCGCCTTGACGGCGTACCAAAATTTGCAGGCCGCGCAATCGGCAAAAGCAGATAGTGTTCTGTCTGTCAACAAGCTACTAGTCGCACTCTGCAAGAGCAAACGGCACGATTTTGATACCATTATGAATGTTGCCGGCGATCTGTCCGATCGACGAGCCCGCTTTGAGCCGGAGACCGTCTCCCAGCTTGCTCTACTACACCTCAACCGCGATGAGATACACGACGTTATTGACCTGCTCAACACTCACGCCTACCACTTCTCCTCCGCCGAGCGTGCCGTCATCCGCGAGGATATCGTGGCTTTCTGCCTTGATGCGAAAACGCCTGTATCGCGCGCCTGGGACGCTTACATGATCGTTCGCGAAGTGTTTGACGAGCTGTCTCGCGAGCCCCGTACGAAGCTCATGCTGTCCTTCTTCAGCCGCGACCGCGCCGATATGGCTGTGTACGTCTTCAACCACATGCGCATGCACTCACGTGTAGACACTATGCCGACTGTCGACACGTACATCGCCGCCTTCCTCGGTGCGGCGGAGGGACGTGAGCTCGACAGCCTCGAAGTTTTGCATAACCAGCTTAAGCTCGACTTCAACATTGATGTCAACGCCCGTCTTCGGAACTCACTGATGTTGGCGTATACGCTCTGTGGCCGCCCGCGTACAGCACTCAGCTTCTGGGACGAGATCGTGGGGTCCCGCGAAGGCCCGAGTTACAACAGCATTCACATTGCTCTCCGCGCCTGTCAGCGCGTCTCTTTTGGTGACCTGAAGGCACAAGAAGTCTGGCAGCGCTTGCGGAGAAAGAATATCGAGCTGGATAACAGCTTATGGGCCGCTTACATCGCAGCTCTGGCCAGTGAGGGTAATTTGAATCTTGCGGTTCAGACGCTGGAGGAGGCTGAGAAGCAGAAGGAGCTTGAGGTCGACGTTGGCGTGTTGGGTGGATTGATGAATGTGACTCCGACCAGCGAACAGCAGGCGGAGGTGGAGACGTGGGCGAAGCGGAAGTATCCAGATCTGTGGATGGAGCTGGAGGAGTTGAGCGCTGGCTTGACGGATGACCGCAGGAAGGTGTTCAATGTGAATAAGAAGCTGGAGCCTTGAGCATTCGAGTGTCACTAGGAGTACTCATTACTGACGCCAGCAAGTGGCACGTTATTCGGACAGTTTCCCATGCACCTAGCATTCCTGCATGACGACTTCGAAGCGAGCTGCTGTCCATCACACGGGAACTATGGCTTGGTGAACATTATACAAAAACAAAGCCGAGCAGGCGGAAATCCGATTACGCGGCAGAATGTAGCGAGGTGGTGCTAAGGTATAGCGCATGTCAGAAGATTAGTGGAGGCGAGTAACATGAGGACATGAGCGTCAGAAATAGCAGAATGATGAAGCCACTGTCGCAGCTATAGGTCAGAGGCCAAACAGACAGTGTTCCTGATACTCAAAAGACAAAGTGTAGAGTCAACACTCACGTGACATGAGATATCTGCCAAGACTTCGAGCGCGGACTCTCCCGTCGCACATTGCAGACCTGCGAATCCCTACCAAAGAGTTTGCGCAAGCGTGTTGCATTGAACTCTTTGCACTGCCAGTCACATCACAATGCCTACCAGGTTAACAAAGACCCGCAAGCAGTAAGTCACCCTCCAGTTACGCCAGCCTGGCTATCTGTCATCGAGCAGCCACCGGCGCCACTTGCGAGCACTATGAATCGCGACGCTAACACATTCACCGCAGCCGCGGCCACGTCTCCGCCGGTCATGGTCGTGTCGGCAAGCACAGGAAGCATCCAGGTGGTCGTGGTATGGCCGGTGGTCAGCACCACCACCGTACCAATCTCGACAAATACCACCCGGGTTACTTCGGTAAAGTGGGTATGAGGTACTTCCACAAGATGCAGAACGGCTTCTGGAAGCCCGTCATCAACCTCGATAAGGTATGCTATAACATTCTGGCCTGTGCGATGGGATAGAAGACTGATATGGCGTAGCTCTGGTCGCTCGTACCCGTCGAGCAGCGTGAAAAGTACCTCGCCAACAAGGGCTCCTCCGATACCGCACCCGTCCTCGACCTACTCCCTCTCGGCTACAGCAAAGTGCTCGGCAAGGGGCGGGTACCGGAGATTCCACTCATTGTTCGCGCACGCTACTTCAGCAAAGACGCCGAGCGCAAGATTAAAGAGGCCGGCGGCATCGTCCAGCTAGTCGCATAAGCGGCGCTGGCACATGGCAAGAACGTCATGCGATATGCTGTGTGGACTTCACTGTAGCCACTGGGTGGGTGTAGGAGCATGGCGTTGACTGGCAAGAGGTGGTTACGCCGACGATGAGTGACACCATACCCTTTCAGCGTGGTAGCTGAGAGATGCTCTGCAGTCATATATAGACATCGCAAGCATCTCTGAACCAACCTTCTGACATCTTCGTGTTGAAGATGAGCTGGACACACGTATCGGCGCCTCTCGGGCCCGTATGGGCAGCATATAGGTGATGCTGCGTCTGGGCTGCTCCGCCATGCGAAGGGCATAAACCAAGACGTCACGGTAAGCCTGGACAACATTATTCCTTGCGCAATCGGATTACATCTGTCCGTTTCCTTGATCTTCGAGTCTTAATACAAACATCGCACGTCTCTTACATGTAGCGCTTGTACAGTGCGTTTTCGCTCCTCATCCGATACCTGCCGATAATCATGGAAACCACTCACACTTGCATGAGGCACTGACTACTATGCCGAGGAAGAGTGCAACTCCTCGTGTGTGGAGCAGTGCGCCAAGCTGCACGATCATCGCAGCCCAGGAAGGCGCAGCAATCCTGCGCGCAGGGACGCTGTCTCATACTCCTCGTCCATCAGATGATGCCAAGAACAAGGTATCTTGTGTAGTGGTACATATTGAGGCGCAGAGATGCATGCCCACCATCGGTACGGAAATTGTCAATCTGTCGTATGTTTCAAGTTTCGTAGCATGACCGCCATTGATAGCTTTTGCTTGCCAGAGTTACTCCTCAACTACGCACCGTGAGAGACGGTCGACATGCCGAGCAACAGCCGACCGCACAACATGCCAGGCATGGTCTTAAATGAGCTCGCGAAGCAGCAATGGCCCATGAAGTTGGGCTTCAAGCACAAATGTGGCAGCCCTGTCGTGAATGGTGACCCCTTGCAGCACGATGGACCACACAAGACCGACGCACAACCAGCAGTGGAAGTCTGGCATGTCCAGTCCAACATTGAGCAAGACCCACCCGAGGCTATCGACACCAGTCGATTTGACAGGCCAAGGCGAACCTACAACGTCGTCAGTGTACACGTTTTCACTCAAACGGCGTTTGAGATCCAGCTACATGGCCGACCCGTCCTTTGCGCCGTCATTCAACGTCGCTGTTTCTCGAAAGACTGCGTCAGTCTGCACCAAGGTTCCGAAAAAGGACCTATCGTCGCATCCTGTATGCTAGGCAAGTGGAAACGGGACCTTGCTTACCACGTTGGTATTCCCGGCGGCTCGGATAAGGACTCATGGCCCGTTGCAAAATGCGATACCTGGACCGAAAAGGCCTGGAACTTCACGGTGGGCGGCCGGCCGTACAGCTGGAGGCGCACCCATAATAGGGAGCTCGGCGCAAGCAGGTGGTCCATTGGGGATTTTAAGCTCGTCGACATCCTCGATAGCAAGAAAGTGCTTGCCGTTCACCTGCGCAATATGAAGATCTTTGGTGGTTGGAAGGATGTTGCGAAGATAGACTTGTTTACGGAGCTAGACGAGGAGTTAACGCTGACCAGTCTCGTGATTATCATGACCATTGAGGAGCGCATCGCGCAGCAGTCGAGGAGCTGTACGGTGAGCGGGATGCTTAATACCGCTGTGGACCTTGGGACGGCGGGTGGTGCCTAAGCAATTTTGCCTATTTACCTGTGATTGTGAGATTCATGCGGGCTTGTAGCAGCGTTGCCACATGTGTATTCGTTCCTCGTCTAGCGTGAAATATTCGGATCAATCGAAAGGCCCATCGTTACTGCAATTCCATTTGTAGAAGTCTCTCAACGACGTCTCCGTCTGCCGCTCCTTCCATCACCGTCATCCTGTCCTCCCCCAGTCAACCTACCCAGTATATCCGCAAGGCCGGCTTCACCAAGGATCCGAGTGATACCCTGGGCAAGAGGATCGACAGGCTTCCTGTTCCCATGCTCGTCGAAGCGATCGGGTAGCTCGATCGTCCCTTCAGACTCCTGGTCCGGCTCCCGCTCATATTGGTCATGCATCAAGTTTGGCGACTCTGTATGCTCGTTGCCTTTTCGCGCATGATCTTCGCGATGCTTCCGCCGCCTCCTCCGGTGCTTATGGTCTCCGCTCGTCTCACTATCGGTATGACGACTTTCATAACTGCGCACAGCCTCTGGTGAATGAGCCGTGTTTGCACCGAGATTGAACCGAACACGACTTTGACTACGCGATCGACCAGGTTGGGGCGTCTCTACACCATCTGCAGACACCTTTGCATCAGCACTCTGCCCCGTAGCATCAGTAAGCTCATATGCGGGTACATGGAACGTACCCGCATCTGGAAGTTCACGCTCGGCGGATGCTTGTGTGGGCGCACTCACATTCTCGGGAGGTTCTCTGCCTCGTCCCCGCTCGTGGTGAGCGGCCGCGGGCGGCGCATCATAGCGCGTATCGCCCGCAAACGTATCATTCGGATATGGTGCGCCAAGATTCGCGTCGCTCTCGTTGTAAGCGCCGTGTAGCTGGCCATATGGTTGATGCGGTTGAGGGCCTGATTGAGCGTAATCGGCAGGGTTGTACGCAGGGTACGGACTCTGTTCAGCCGCTGCTGGCTCACCACGGGCAGTTGCGTACTCTCCAGTCGGCGGCGGCGGGAAGTAATGGCTGTTTGGATACTGTTGCGCGTTGTCCGCGGGCAGATAACCGCCCGGCTGCTGTGCCGAATGATAATCGGGGTAGTCCTGATCGTGGCCGTAACCATACTGATCCTGGTAGCCCTCTTGTCCGTGTCCTAGCAGAATCGTCAGTAGAAGCTAACGGTCACCGTCACACATACTTACTCTGCTGTTCATCTCTCTGTCGCGACCGCTCCCTCCGCTTGCCCATCTCATGGGCCGCAACCGCCGCAGCTCCGGCCGCAGCGCCAGTCTCAGCAAGATGCCGTGACCGACTGCGCCTCCGTCGCGTGTCCGGGCTGCTGCCGTCGTCACTGCCACCTCGGTGGCGCCGTTGATATCTACCCGGCTCATCGTCGCTGTAGTAGCCGCGACCTGGCTCGGAGTAGATGGGATCATTGCCATAGGCTATGTAACCCCCGTGGTCAACACTCCGGTCATCGTCAGGGTACGGTGCGGGAACGGACCTACTCCTCGACCGGCTTCGCCTGCGCCTGCCGCGGTGCCGCTCGTCTTCAATGATGGCTGCCTTCTCCGCTTCTTTGTTCGCCTTGTTGCGCTCATACAGACCCGCCAGTGCTGCACCACCCAGACCTGACGCTACGATCGGTACAGCTTGACGAACTCGACTTCGCGACCTACCTCCCCGGCTCTTCGAGCGGACATGGTCCCATATGCCTGCTGCAGCCGCGGTAGCGAGACCGGCTTGAGCGATGCGTGTATTGCGATGGTTCGGGTCCATGGCTCTTCCGCCTCCATCGGACAAGACAGTTCGGTCGTCGGTATAGTAGCTGTCAACGCTAGCTCTCCGTCTCCGCGAGCGGCTGCGGTGCGGTGGTTCAACCACAACAGTTTCCTTGTTCTTGTTTCGAGTCAAGGCGTATCCGGCTAGCGCTCCCACAGCGGCCACAGCAGCAAGACCACCAAGCTGCTGCGCACGGCTCAACGACTTGGAGCGCGATCGGGAGCGCTTTCGTCGGTCTCGCCTGTCATACCTACTATCATAGTCGCTCTCGGGAGACCTGTCCCTGTCTCGCGAACTCCGGCGCCTACTCCTGACCCGACTGACGGCCTCAGCGCCGATTGCTCCAATGGCGGCACCAGCTAGATCGTTCACAGCTCTCCCTCCAGTGGCTTGGCCCTGTGACTTCCGATGATGGCGTAAAATTTCAGCCACGCCAACGCCAGCAATAGCGCCCTCAGCTAGATGCCTTTTATGGTGAGGAGACTCATCTCGCTCGCGGCTGCGGCTCCGGTCATCGTCATATGTCCGCTCGCGTCGAACATACTCATAGCTGTCATCGCTGCTGTACTGAGAAGCACTGTCACGGGGCCTGACCTCGCTTCTGCGCTCGTAACTATCATCGCGTCGTTGCGGGCCGCGATCAATTTGACGTACACGGCGTTCGTAGAAGTAATTTTCTTCTTCTGGTTTGGTTTGACTTGTCTTCTGCGTTGGAGCCTCGGACGGTGGTGCAGGTGATGGTGGCGGAGGCTCTTCTTTCTTCGAAACTAACGACTTTGATTCGTCGCGTACCTCTTCGCGCTCAATGAATTCGTACTGCGGCTCGCGACGCTCTTCCCGAATAATGATTGGCTCGCGACGTTCTTCGCGGATGATGATCGGCTGTGGCGCTGCTTCGCGTATGATGATCTGTTGGGGCTGCGAGAAGTACTCAGTGCTCTTACTGTACTTCTCCACGTCGAAAGGCCGTTCGCGTTCGCGCTCCCAAACCCGCGCACGTGGTGGAGAGAAGTCTCGCTCCCTTTCGAAGCGCCACTCTCGAACGCGCTCGGCTTGAGGTGGTGAAGGAGCACGAACTTCTCTGTCGCGCTCAATCACCCTGAACTCACTCCTGGCGCCAGATGATCGGTCGCGGTCGCTATCGCGCTCAAGCACTCGATACTGTATGTCGCGCCTCTGCGGTGGCAGTTCGCGGTCGTACTCCCTAATGCGCTCAGTAACGCGATAGTCGACCTCTTCCCTTGGCGGCAGATCCCGCTCTCTGATGCGCTCCGTCACACGGTACTGCACATCTTCTCTTTGTGCTGATGGGTCACGGCGCTCTTTGCGAATAACGATTTGCTTGTTATCCTCCTTCACCTCGTCGTCCAGATGTAAGATGGACCGGCTGCTTTCCTTATCTGGAACCTGGTAGCGTTTCACGGTCGTATATGTCCGCTTCGGCGCATCGTTGTAGCTCGTCTCCCGGTCCACCTCCCGGTCCCGCTCTCTGTAGACGATCCGCTCCCCGCGTACAGACATGTTGTCACTCTGAGCTGCTCAAGGGGTGATGGGTATCTGTTGGTAGGTCGCTTACAATGCCGTACCCAGATGGTAGGCTTGCACGCCTTCGAGCAGGGCCCCACCTTTGCGCACACCTTGTCGAAGTGATATCGTCGCAGTCTCACGTGGCGTTTGGGTTGATCCGTCGAAAGTTGCTGCCGATGACGAAGGCTCGAGCGGCGGATGATGCCGTTGCGGATCACGCGGCTGCCGCTTCGCAACGAGATGGCGCAAGCAGGCGGGATTTGCGGAGCACTGCCTCTACTTGCACATACCAAAGCCCAGTTTTGACCGAGGCAGAGAAGGAGGGTGATGAGGTGGAGGAGCTTGTCGCGGAAGTCTTGGGGCCAAGACGAAACTCCCTCGGACACGCATCCCAACCTCTGCGCGCTGGCGCTTAATGACGTAACTTGGCATCGACGGCGAGGTCAATGGTTGTAACATCCAATCAAGCGTCCAGCACTGAACCGGCACACTACAAGCCTACATGATGACATTCACGCGCAACTTATCAGTGGCTGGGACGACAGTCAGCAGCAGCATGAGTTGCAAGCGCAAAATGCTGACAACTGGTCAATAAAAGGTATCCCTGTACTCTCGTGATGAGAGTGCGCTTGGATTGTCTGCTACAATATGCTGCTACATGCTTGACAGCACCCGTGTGGGAGCTTAACTCTAGGCGGGACACAATGTCATCCGTGGCTAGAGCAGAGCGTGCCTTCCTCTTTTGCGCCGCACACAAGCCATTTGTAATGGTCCACTCATGCTGAACCAGTCAGCCAACCATGCCACCACTTAGACAACAAGCCCGAAACCATGCCTGAGCCGTCCTACTTTTATATCTCGCCGAATGCCGTATGCCGTATGCCCGTACCCGACCGCCCATGCAAAATCGACCAAACGCCATCGTGCGACCATAAGCGTGAACCGTTCATGTCATCATTAACAAGGCCACCGCCACAATTCAGGTTATAAGAAAATCCCATCCACGGTTCGCTATTATGCTTTCCCAATCCCACGTTTCTTCTTCCTTACCTTGATCCATCATCTCCCACACTTGCTCAACAATGGTATAAGCGTACTTGATGTTGCCGAGACTCGACCATTTCTGCAAGCGCTCAAACGCCTGACGGATCTCAGGCCGTTGGTTCGGCTCAAAGGCCGCGCAGCCCAGTAAGAAAAGCGGCATGAGCAGGATTGACTGCGTGGAGCCATCATCGGTATCCCACGGAAGCATGCGGAGGTATTGCAGACCTTCGTCAACTGCTTGCTGGAACGTGGGACTCGGCTTCGAAAGTTGTATTGTCCGGTGCAGGTACAGCCATGTGCATTGTCGATACAACAAGCTTGCTGCAAAGCGAGGACTCTCCGGTGGATGCACGCATGTCCACTCCCGTAGCGCCTTGTCGATAACAAAAGCGTCGTCGATGATAGCTGGGTCCCACCAATGGCCTGTTCCCTGTGCTCTCCGTTGTCGGATTAGATCGCGAAGTATCCGAATGCGACTGATAAAGCCAAATAAGCCGTCCATAACGCCGAGCAGAGTGCCGGCTTGGGGCTGTATCATGAACTCGGGCAGTTTGAAACCTTCCATTAGGTCAATGCTGCGTTGATCAAGCGGATTGCTCAAGCTCGTGATGGAGCTGCTGTAGTCGTGATACAGGAGAAACTCGAGGATGAACTGTCGTAACTGCTCGTTGGGAAAGGAAGACGCTCGTTGTGTAAGCATTTCTTTCATGGCGTTGAGGTGGAAGCGGTAAGTGCCGCTTGTATCACCAGCACACACCGTCTGTAGACAGAGTACGAGCGTCTGTGCGATCGATGGGTCGCCTATCCTTGCGACCGCGTTCTCCGTCGTACTAGTCGAAGCAGCAAGATCTTGCTGCAGGAGGCGCATCGCTTTGCTGCTGTGGTGCTCTTGTCTCGCCTCCCATTCTGTTTTTGGAGCGGGCTCGTTGGCGATCAGACAGCTACCTGACAGGTATAGCAGGCTATGCATAAGACCGGTATGACCCATGGCCATCGGCACGATGATCTCCAGGAACGGATTGTGGTGGTCCGTCAGGGAAAGAACTTTGCCAACATTGGCAGTGAAGTGGTGAAAGAACATTTGGTCTACGGTGCCGTCGATGCCTTCGACGAGCATGGGTAGCTCAGCCGGTATCGAGTCCCGCCGAACCAACGCCTTCTGCTTGCCGCTCCGCCATGGTTGCTTTGGTTCGTAGCCGTCGCACACGACGTTGTTCTTCTCGCAGTTGCTGCAGTGAGGCCGCGCTTCGTCGCACTTCTTCTTGCGTCTTCGGCATGTACCGCAACCAGTCTTCGACCGCGCATGAGAGGTCTTCTTCTGTTCGATGACTGGGTGTTTCCTTGGCCGTCCACGCTTTCTAGGGGTCGGTAGGGTGACGTTGGGTAAGATGGAAGGCTTAGCGTCCTCCAAGTCGTCCAATGCATCCTCTTCCAGCTCCTCTACCTTCGGACGAACAATGGGCGTTGGCGCATCCTCGTCGCTTTCCGGTGTTATGACACTATCAGTTGTTAGGTCGGGCGACGAGTCGGATGTGGTTGAGTATGCCGAGCTCGAGAACGTGCTCCTTCGTCGTGCGAGTACAGCAGGGTGTTGGATCTCTGATTCCATTGCGGTAAACACCTTGATCGCCGGAAGATCTTGGTTTCGAGTCGTGTAGCGGGTGTAGTCCAGCGTTCCGACAACCCTAGCTTGTCTTTTACTTGACCACCATCATTCTGCAGGGACTACTGTCTATCCACTCCAGGTCCAGGTTGTTTGTCTTTGCGAGGTAACCTAGACTGTCGAATGATGAGACCATATTAGCGCGGTAGGTATCCGCGACTATGGTACCGTGACTGGGCCGACGGTACGCTGAGCGAACCAGGCAGAGCTGGTGCAGCAGACACACACAAAGCGAAGTCAATCGCGCATGAACAAGGTGGACCCAGGTCTCCGCATTTGTAGGCGGCGGGTCCGGGCCAATATCAGATCGCAACGGCGTACCGGCCACAAACGCTCCAGCTTCTGCGGGCCACAGCACGAGAAGAGCATCGGCATGCTTCCTTAGCGGTCTTCAGGCGAAAAGCTTACGAGTCAGGGTCTCATTTGTTGACTGCGCGCTCGCCCTGGGCCGCCAGGCAATCGTATGAAACTTCTGCTCGCATGATGCATAAGCCGTAAGAGGTAACAACGAGAGCGAGGGCCGAAGATCGGACGGCTACGTACTTGGTGGGATTATCGAGCTACGCCAGCATAGGAACGAGGCTTGCAATCGGTGTCGTCGTGAAAAGGTCAATCTCCACATGCAAGCATCCATACTCGCCTACTCGGCCTGATGACCCGACGACTTAAGCTTGCCTTTCCTTCGGATTACCCAATTAGCGATAGTCACACAAAGCTCGCCATGACCAAGCGATCCTCTCCTGCATGAGGTGAGGCAGTAAGCAGGCTCCTGACGAACCCTAAATTTGTGCAATGCGGCAGCGGGAAGAGGCAGTCCGCTCGCTGCTCGTTTTGTGGTACAGACCGAAGTTCGCTGATCCAGTGGTGGAGGCCTGTTCTCCACAGCTGGCGAGAAAGGTTGTCGCCTTCGGCCCGCTTGATTGGCCTACCAGTTCGTCTATTCTGGCCGTGGTTGGCCTGGACCTTGTCGATGTCTCACGTAGATCGTGTCCGTGATGGGAAGCTTCTGCGTGCGCGCTCACGACTCTATCGTGCGTGTTTGTGGAAGACCGCAGCAGTAGTGAGGTCAGGATCTCGACAATCAGCAAGCCTATTCGTTAGCGAAAGCGAGGGGGTCGTGGGATTCATGCGTTGTTCATCATCGGAACACCTCCCCGGAGAAAAGACCAGCCATTGCGTGGATACGAATGATGCGGAGCGGTGCGGAGTACATTGACGCTGCTGCAGGAGAATGGTGCCACAGCAGCGGATGACCACCCTGAACGGGTGGCAGCTATAGGAAGAAACACCCTGCAGACCGCCTTCACGTGAGGCTTTAGGATCCATCAACACTCCATAACACTCCACAAGGCGTATAGTACAACAACGAACAGCCTTCAAAGGGCCGTGTACTGCTCACCGGTAGTCGAAAGGAGCAACGACCGCGTGGTCTATCGCCTTACGGAACGTAATTGCTCCACTATAGAGGAGTATGCAGCTTGCCACCGCGAGCCTCCATGCAACCATCCCACGCTGCAGGTCCGGTTACGGAAAAGGGTCATGTGCGCAAAATGTCACCTATAGCCCTGGATTGATCATACAGTCTATGGGCGATCGTAATCTCTTCATCAGAGCTTGCTGCTCGGCCCCGGCGTGGTGCAGCAAACCTGGCCTGACCCGTCAATGACACCCTCCGTCGCCCCTTGCTGATGCTGCTCGCTCAGCAGCGTGCTCTTATTGAACTCCTGCGAACTAGGGGGCACATCGATGGCAGGATTCCTCTCGAAGAAGTTGACAGGCTTCAAGGCGACCTTGATGACCTCGCATGGCATGACTGGGAAGTCTTCTATGCGCGGGATCTATGACCGATGTCAGCATAAGTCATTTGATCAGGCTGACCCATTCTCTTGGCAGATGCTTACGTGGTTTATGCCGAACTGGACGAAGACCACCAGATCCTCATCCTTGATGTTTTCTTTCCGGTTGGCCCAGCTGCGTACCCCAGTGCCGCCCCTGCTTTGGTTGGTATATTGGCCGCCAGCGTAGAGCTCCCCGTCTCGGTACCGCACCGCGTAGATGTTGCTGTCGGAGAACTCCGCACGCTTGTGATTGAAGCTCTCGGTATCAGACAGGATCTTCTGGAACGGCGGAGCATGGATCTTGTAAGCGACGGGTTTGCCTACATATCTCAACAATTAGCCCTTAACAGTTCCGAAGATCCGTGTGCGACTGTGAGATCGTTACGATAGGGCAGGGACTTACCATTTACCGCGTTGCGCACGTCAACATTCTGGATCTTGAATGTACGGTTCCGCTCAAAGTCAAGGTCGTACCCTCCAGACTTTTCCAGCACGGTTTCCTGCGTGTAGTACCCAGTGCCATGTGGATTGAAGTCGCTTCTTGGCATGGGCAGGGCTTCGTCGTACACCAGTCGGTTGTGGTAGCCATCAATCATAGGGTCCACACGCAGCGAGAAGATGTGCTGATGGTGTGTAGCTAGGACGCCAGGGTGGACGACCGTACCCCAAGGCACCTCAAGGCCGTCGTCAATGGGCTGTGTGGACAGGATGCCAGTGGCTCGGACCTCGTATGCAAGCTCACCAGCCTGGTTGAACATGAACGCCATGATGTACTCGTAATTCGCCACCGTTATAATGGACTGCAAGACCAATTCACGGTTGCGGACGACAGCAGCACGGCCGGTACGGTAGTTGGTGTGCTTCCATCCGATACCACCATCCTGCTCGTGGATGCAAACCACATTCGGCATGTTCATCGGTTCACCCTTGTCATCTGCAAGCACTGCTGAGAGGTAATGGATCGAGCCCAGACAGTCACAGCCAAGCTTAAGGTCATTGGCCATAACACCCGCCCCAGCATCTCCCAGATCGAAAGCGGACTTCTTGTGAAATGGATGTCGAGGGTCAGCGTAGGGAATGTTCATATCGCTTAGTGAGAGACGGTAGAACAGGTTTCGACCCTCGTAGCGCACGTCGTAAAGGACCATGCCTTCGCGGTAGTTGAAGCCGACACGGAATGACCACTTCTGCCACTCAACCACGTGGGACGTACCCTGATTGGTTACAGCGAAGCTGGCACCTTCTGGCTGCACCACGTGAAGTGGCTTGAGGTCCGTTCGCAACTGTTGAAGCTCAGAGATATACTCGTTGCCCGGGCGGCGCTGATACGGCTTGGGGCCGCTGATTGTGTTGTCCTTGCCGGTAGGGAGATGGTCAATGCGGACGACCTTCATCGACGTGGAGCTGATTACCGGAGAGATGGTAAGCGGAAGCGCGTAGTGGTTGGAGTCGGCCTCGGCGGAGTTTTCGGGATCACGCATGTAGAGGAAGGCCTGCCAAAGACGCTCATCGTCGTTAACCCCATCAGAGCCGTAGATCCACGGATCGACCACAACGTGAGCACCCTCCGGCAACTTAAGCTTTGCAATCTCTGCTTGGACTCCCTCATCCCCCAGTGCAACCCGCTCGATAGCGAGGATCTCTTCGCCGTCACCGGGACCGTGCAGATTTGGCCCGAGTCTGACGTTCTTCTCGACGGTTTGTGTGCTGAGATTGACGACTGCCTCGTGGAACTTGTTCTATGCTCTCGTCAGAGTGCGCACTTCTGATCTCGTCCTCCGCGCTAGCTTACAGTATTGCGAAGATAGTAGTTCAAGAAAGCTCGTCGATCAACCCTGGGTAGATTGTATCCATGAAACTCGGCCTCAATGAATGGTACTGTTTCCGCTTTGGCAGGCTCGTGCAATGTCACGCACTTGAACCTTAGATCCACATTGGCGGGCCACTGTGCTTTGATGAGCAAGACGGCGTTCCGGATCTCGCCAGCATTGAGCGGCGCAAGCGGATGGGCTTCGCTCTGCTTAGCCGTGCGAAGTGGCAAAGCCGTGGAGACGGATTCAGTCGCCATCTCAGAAGTTTGGATAAGAGTTGGAGCAGGTCAACTTCGATCCTTATACGAAAAAGAGGAGGGAATAACAAGGAGTAACAGCAAGTACGAAGTGCGGTAGGAAATGCACTTTCAGCAATCTGCCACCTGATTGACTTTCAGGGCATTACGTTGGATCTTCAGTATTCCATGTGGTAAGACAGCAGGGTTAAGCGCCCCCCGGTGGGTCTCCTCTGGCCGTCGTTGGCCGTGAGAAACGAACAAGATCGCAATAGAAGCTCTCGGCCACGTCGCAAGCGTAAGCGCCTGCAAGAAGATTAAGCAAGGACAAACCGCGTGTCGTATCTTGTCTGATAGCAACCCGAAAAGGAAGGTCGATGCGGACGCTTCATGCAGGTCGGAGGCACAGGGCAAGCATATTCGGGGACCCTATCATCCTGCTAGATGCAACCCTTTAGGGTCAATTCTGACTGATTTGCTTATCAAGAGGGGCAAAGGGTTGAGGGCACGATTTGGTGGACATTCCATTGACTCGATTGAGGTTCAGTTAGTCAAAAATGCGAGCAGCCGAGGCAAAACCACTTGGACGCGTTTAGTCGCGTCACCACTCGTTCTGGGAGGGCAAATTCCACAGCTGGAAGCGCTCCGATTCTGAAGGTCTTTCTCTGCAATCGACGTCGCTTTGTAAGGCTTTCCAATGGCAGTGGGTAAAGGCAACACACAGGTCAGCGACTACGAGCGCCAACGGCAGGAGAAAATCGCGAAGAATCAGGCATTGCTACAACAGCTTCAACTCGATGCGAACAGCACCGGTCTCGGCTCCAGATCGAAGGCCAAGTCAAGCTCGAGCGCTGGTCAAAAGCGCAAAAAGCCAGTGGAGAGGGTGAAGAAGGAAGACAACGCGCCGCGACGCACATCTGCGCGACTACAAGGCATAGTAGCTGACTCGCAGGTTGCGCGGGAGAAGGAGGAAGCGGACAATGAGGCGTTTCAAGAAGAGCAACGGGCTAAGCGGCAGCGGGTCACCGAGGACATTAATCTTGTCGACGCTGTCGTCAACGGACGGACTTGGAACAAGGCAGGCAACTGGCTAACTGCGGTCGGACCTGCCAACCCCGGCGAGCGCACCTTCTCGGCCCAGGATGTCACAGATACGACTGACAAGCAGCTGCGCGAGTTGAGAGAGCGTATGAGTAGCCTGCAGCTATGGGAGGGTGCTGAGCCAAATCGCATCAAGATCACCCCGGAGCGGATATATAGCCTAGGTTTCCATCCAACGCGAGAGAAGGCGCTGGTGTTTGCAGGAGACAAGCTTGGCAACCTTGGCCTTTTCGATGCGTCCCAAACATCTCCGGAGCAGGTGAAGCAGGAAGCGGAAGATGCGGAAGAGGAAGGCGACGGCGATGTGGACGAGGGTTTCGACCCAGCAATTACGACGTTCAAGATCCATACACGTACCATCAGTGCCTTCCACTTCCCACCCTACGATCCGAATGCTCTCCTTACAGCCTCGTACGACTCCTCGATCCGCAAGCTGGACCTCGAGAAAGGGCAAGCGGTCGAGATCTATGCGCCAGAAGACCGATTGGCTGACGATCCCATCTCTGGTGTCGAGGTCAGCAGATCAGATCCGAACATGCTGTATTTCACAACGCTGAATGGCGCTTTCGGGATGCGTGACATGCGCACACCAGCCCACGAGGCGGACCTGATGCAGCTGTCAGAGAAGAAGATAGGCGGCTTCAGCTTGCACCCTGCGTACCCCCACTTCGTAGCCACGGCAAGTCTAGATCGCATGATGAAGCTCTGGGATCTGCGTAAGATTAATGGCAAGAAGGGCAGTGAGTGGCGTCTACCTGCGTTGGTAGGGGAGCATGAGTCTAAGCTATCGGTCTCTCACGCAGCCTTCAATGCGGCTGGACAGGTAGCCACAGCTTCATATGACGACACGGTCAAGATCCACGACTTCTCCTCTTGCGGAGAGTGGAAGCCTGGTCATACGCTCAGCGACGCCGAGCTAAAGCCTGCAACTATCGTACCGCACAATAACCAGACCGGTCGATGGGTCACGATTCTGCGAGCGCAGTGGCAGTTGCAGCCGCAGGACGGTGTACAGCGGTTCGTTATTGGTAACATGAACAGGTTTGTTGATATCTATACGAGTAAAGGGCAGCAGTTGGCACAGTTGGGGGGTGAGGGTATTACAGCTGTGCCGGCGGTCGCGCAGTTCCATCCTAGTATGGACTGGGTGGCCGCGGGTACGGCGAGTGGGAAATTGTGTCTTTGGATATAGAAAGAGCGAACATTCTCATGCCATTGGTATGGTTGAGCGTTGTTGAAGACCTACCGACGGCCGACATCGCGTCATTGCAGGCCTTGAAAAAGTGCCCCACTTAATTTCATCTCGGTACATGCGCATGGTGGGATACCGGCAGTAATAAACTGGCCTTAACATTGTTGCATAACAAAGACCGACACACACCCTTTCGCCCACTATAATTTCTTCCTCGATATAGCTCTGATATACACCGTGTTTGCTCAACATTGCCCATCATGGTCCATGTCAACGGCGAGGTGAAGGGTCAGGACACCTTCCTGTAAGTTTTGAAAGCAAACATTCCGTTGCAGCATAGTAACACCGCACACATAGCTTCACTTCTGAATCGGTGGGACAAGGCCACCCGGACAAGCTCGCGGACCAGGTCTCTGATGCCGTGCTCGATGCCTGTCTCAAGGATGACCCGCTCTCCAAGGTCGCGTGCGAGACGGCCACCAAGACTGGCATGGTAATGGTGTTTGGCGAGATCACGACCAAGACCAAGTTGGACTACCAAAAGATCATCCGCAATGCCATCAAGGACATTGGGTATGACGACTCATCCAAGGGTTTCGATTACAAGACGTGCAATGTGCTGGTTGCCATTGAGGAGCAGAGCCCGGATATCGCACAGGGTCTGCACTACGAGGAGGCACTGGAGAAGCTCGGTGCGGGTGATCAGGGTATCATGTTCGGCTATGCTACGGATGAGACGCCGGAGCTGCTGCCTTTGACGCTGCAACTTGCGCATAAGCTCAACAAGGCGATGACAGACGCCCGTAATGACGGCTCGCTCCCCTGGCTAAGGCCCGACACCAAGACGCAAGTTACCGTGGAATACAAGCACGATGGAGGAGCCGTGGTGCCGCTCCGAGTTGACACAGTCGTCGTGTCCGCACAGCACAGCGCAGACATCAGCGTGGAGCAGCTCCGGAAAGAGATCAAGGAGAAGATCATCCTCAAGTCCATCCCAGAGAAGTACATTGACGACAAGACCATCTATCACATTCAACCCTCCGGCCTCTTCATCATCGGCGGTCCTCAAGGTGATGCCGGCCTTACTGGTCGCAAGATTATTGTCGACACCTACGGCGGCTGGGGTGCTCACGGCGGTGGTGCCTTCTCCGGCAAGGACTACAGCAAAGTCGACCGCTCCGCCGCTTACCTCGCCCGCTGGATCGCCAAGTCGCTCGTGCACTCTAAGCTCGCCCGCCGGGCGCTCGTGCAGCTCTCGTACGCCATTGGTGTCGCTGAACCGCTGTCGCTGTTCGTCGAGTCGTACGGCACTTCGGACAAGAGCTCTGACGAGCTGGTCAAGATCATCCGGGAGAACTTCGATATGAGACCCGGTGTTATCGTCAAGGAGTTGGATCTGGCGAAGCCGATCTACTGCGAGACGGCGAAGAATGGCCATTTCACCAACCAGAACTTCAACTGGGAGAAGCCGAAGACGCTGAAGTACTAAGTCAGTCGCGTCAGAAGCTCAGTGCGGATTGCTCAGCGCGACACTTAACGCGCCTTCAAAAGTTTTTGCAACCATAACGGCCGGTCTGCGCATGGTGTGTTTTTGCGATCTGTGAGCAAGGATGAGCATTCTGCCCAGGGCGTGGAGTATTCAAGACATTCAACATAGACCACTGGGCGGAGTGTTTGTGGTCGTGGCTACCAACAATACCCTTACATGGCAGCCTACGACAGATGGGCGATAATGTGTTGCTGCATATTAGCGTCGGCGTTTCAGGAGACTTCAACATTCTCTCGAGAGCGCGGCGATACCCATCGAGATAGATTCGCGCAAATATATGGGAAGCGGAGAGTAGCCTTTCACTCTCCGATAAACTGTCTTCTCTCTCCACAGGGAGCTGTTTCTTGCTTCGAAACCGGCGTCACTAACTGCAGGCTTGTCCGTATTCTGGGCCTACACAAGCCAGCGGCAATTCAGCCTGGCTAATTAACCGGTCTTTCTCCGCCGTGAAACGTGCAATGCTTTCACGCTCTACGAAGAACATTGGAAAGGGTAGCATGAGAGCCACAAGGACGAAACTGACGGCAACAACGTATCGAGTGCTTCGTCGTGCGGGGACAACCATGCTGGAGCTGCTCGGTCAACCACCACATGCGTACCATGCACCGATACCTGGCTAAGCTTTACCGAGCCATTGTAACTCGAGAGCTCCAGTACTGCGCAGACGTCACTCCATCAGAAGCTGTCACTCTGCTCTAAGGTAGGTTGTGATGACCTTTCCTCAAGATCGTACGTAAGTTTGCCGATCTCCACTCTCCTCCACCGCGTCTCCGACGGCGAATACAGTCCACCTATCGTACCTCATTCACTTGTTGCTTGGTACTCTGCCAGACCATGTCTGGCAATGATGCGCGTAAGGCCACGTGCGAGATGCGGGCAACGGCGTGTTTGGAGAGTCGGCAAAGCTGTACACGATTTCAGTAGGCTCGAGTTCGTGAACGGCTAAGTGATTCGTTTCATGTCAACTTTCTTTGACTACGCTGTGTCATTTTGAAACGGTGAGAACCTATTGGAACCCAAGCTGGAGTGCATCGATTGCCCATCATGACTGGCATCAAGATGCCGTTCACACTGCCCAAGACGTACAATGTCTACTTCCTGGCCATCATCTCCACAGTTGGAGGCATGCTGTTTGGCTTTGGTGAGAACCGTCTACTAGCCGGTGAGGCGACGCCCGCGCATCGCTGACATCCGAAAGACATTGCGTCGATGTCAGCTATTGTAGTTACCGACCAGTATATTGACTACTTCAACAACCCAGCCGGGGCGCTGCAAGGCGCAATCGGCTCAGCTCTTGCAGCAGGATCCGTCATTGGCTGTATCAGTATGTACAACCCCTGGGCATAACCTTACTCTATTGTCTAATAAACCGCTAAAGTTTGTGGTCAACACCCTTATTCGCCGGCCCACTGTCTGACAAGATAGGTCGTCGAGATGCCTGTCCTTTCGGTACGCCTCAAGCTATGCCCCATGAGCCGTCTTTAACTCCGACTTACCATCTTTGCAGCCTGCTTGTGGTGGCTTGCCGGCACTGCTGTACAAGTTGCAGTCACCTCTGCAGGCATGCTGATCGCTGGTCGTATGCTGAACGGGGTTTGTGTTGGCACAACTTCGTCTCAAGTGCCTGTCTACTTAGCGGAGATCGCGAAGAAGAATATGCGGGTCGATCCTGGTCATCCAGCAGTTGACAATCGAGGTCGGCATCTTATTGATGTTCTTCATCGGTATTGTACACGTCGAGCGTGCTACAAGAGGTGCGTACTGACGCTCTGACAGGCTACGGCTGCTCATTCATCCCCGGACCTGCTGCCTTTCGCACTGCCTGGGGAATTCAGTTCGTCCCGTGCTTCGTGCTTATTTGCGGTTTGCCTTTCCTTCCTCGCAGCCCGCGTTGGCTCGCTAAGGTCGGACGAACCGAAGAGGCTGTGACTATACTTGCAAAGATCCAAGCCAAAGGTGATGTAACCGACCCAATGGTCATTGCGGAGTGGGAAGAGATTACTACGGTGCTTGCGGCGGAAAGAGAAGCACCTCCTGGATGGCGTCGTTTCGTCGTCAATGGCATGTGGCGTCGCACTCTCGCGGGCTTCTCGGTGCAAGCATGGCAGCAGTTGAGCGGTGCTAACGTTATAACGGTAAGCAAACCAAGTTGTGATAATATCCGCGCTGTCCGAGGCGTTACTGACACTGGTTCCCTTCGATCTTAGTACTACATCGTATACGTCTTCTTAATGGCCAACCTTTCTGGAAACGCAAACTTGACTTCTGGAGGCATTCAGTACGCACTGTTTATCGTCTTTACGCTTGTGACTTATCTCTTCATCGATAGTACATCGCTCTCATCAAGCACCCTGGCAAGATACTGACGGACGCACAGAGACCGGTCGTCGACCTTTGCTCATATACGGCGCTCACGGGATGGCTGTCTGCCACTACGTGATTGGCGGCATGCTCCTCTCCTACGGCGAGGCGGTACCCGGCGGCGTACAGGGCAACGCAAACGTCTTGGTTAGAGTCTCTGGTTCTCCAGCCTACACTGTCATTGCGTTCTCGTATTTGCTCATCATCGTCTACGCTCTGACGCTTGCGCCGATTGCGTGGGTCTACGCGGCCGAGGTATGGTCGCTCGAGACTCGAGCCTACGGTATGTCAATCGCAGCCCTGGGCAACTGGATCTTCAACTTCGCATTGGGTATGTTCATCCCAAGTGGCTTCAGGAACACGGGCGGTGGTTTGTTCGTAAGTATTGCATTGGCCTCAAGTCCGAGCTTGCCGCTTATTCAGCTCTCTCGCAGCTCGTCTTCGGCACGCTTTGCGTTCTTGCCGCCATTCAGTCATTCCTGCTCTACCCCGAGACAGCGAGGAAGAGCCTGGAAGAGATCGAGACCATGTTCCACAAGAGTCGCCCTAAGCCGTGGCGCACACACCCTGGCAGTTCACATTTGGATGTCGATGCCGAAGAAGTTAGGCGCAAGGCTTCGGCGCCGCAGCGGGAGGGAAAGCCGCAGGTCCTGCACAAGGACGGTACGGTCGATACTGCAGACAACGACTCCACGAGCAATGACAAGAAAGAGGAGGTATAGGCGGTGGCGACACGTAGTAACACATGATGCATGTGCAATCATACTGACAGCTTGCCAACCACATGGTCTCTCCTCTAGCAGGCAAAGTCTACAATGCACCCTTGGAATATGGGTGACAGGCGCAACCTCTGATGATCTCCTGCCTCCAACGTGCCAACCTGAACGTGAACCGATCACCATGTACAGTACACAGTGCGGAGACGCCTCGCGCGGTGCCTCAAACGGGCGCCACATGAGGCGCACAGACAGCTCATGCACAATGACGTCTCGCAGAGCATTCGGCACGCGAAGCTTCAGAAGCGCGTCTGAAGAGGTGAAGTAGCGAGACCGTCTCGTTGTGTGGGTGGCTGGTTGTATTCTGTACGTTGTGGTCAGTTTTTTGGGTTCGGGCAATGTCAGCGTTGGATCATTTGAAACAACAACAAGGTCAAATCGAAGGTTCGTCTTGATTTTCCGGACTAGGACGCATGCTGTCCCGTGTCTGTGCGACCCTACAGTCAAGCAGGAAAGTCGTAATATGACGAACGTCCCGCACGGGACTTAAGTCGTACTTCAATGCCTGCTCCGTTCTTTATACCTCCGTCCACGACAAGGGCTTTGAGAGAACCCGACTGACCGTTTGCGCAGAGGGTGTAGGAAGGATTAAGATGGTCGACAACGATCCGCCGAAGAAGGCCACGCCTGCAAAGGCGCCGGCAGCGAAGGTGCCAGCTGCAAAGGCAGCACCGAAGCCGGCAGCAAGCACTCCTGCGAAGCCAGCAGCTAGCACTCCGGCAAAGCCTCCTGTGAAGAAGCCTGCAGCGCCAGCATCTACGACCTCGGCGGCGTCGAAGCCAGCTACCGCTGCTGCTCCTGCGAAGAAACCAGCACCTGTAGCCAAGACTGCGCAGAGCGATACACCAGCAGCCGGTGCTGCCAAACCCGTTGCAGCAAGGGCCGCGATTGGGTCAAAGAAACCTGTTCCGCCTGCTGTCAAGCCATCCACTAAGCCAGCGTCAGCTGCACCCAAGCCGCCTGGGTCAGCAGCACCACCAAAGCCGGCAGGTGCTGCAGGTGCTGCACCTGCAGCACCCGTCAAGAAGGCTGCTCCAGCCGCCAAAGCGCCGAGTACGGCTTCAGGGCCCGCCTCAACTGCTGCAAAGTCGACGCCGGCGAAGACGGGAGCTACGCCGGTTAAGAAGCCTGCCCCAGCCGCCGCGACAAAGGCACCTACACAAGCGACTGCAGGTGCGCAGAAGCCGGCTGCCGCAGCGCAGAAGACAGCTGGTAGGTTACGTGCATAGTAGAATGGTTGTCAAGGTGTTGAGACGTGTCCTAGGTACTGCGACTGGCACCGCCCAGAAGACCACAGGACAAGCGACCGGAGCCGTGAACAAGACTGTTGATCAGGGCACTGGAGCCGTTAACAAGGGTGTAGGCGCAGCAACCGGTACGTCCACTCTACCAATGCGCGCCGTCTTCGCATCGCAGGACAAGGTTTTGGCGTTTCTGCCACCTTGGCTGGTTGAGACTTGGCAAACGGCGGATGCTGCGAGCAACAAGCGATGATGAAGTGCTGATAATGTGAACCAGGTGGGCTGGACAAAGTCACCGGCGGCCGGTCGGCGCCTGTCTCGAAGACAGCGGGTGGAGCCGTCAAGGGAGCCACAGGGACGGCTGGTAACACGGCCAAGAATGTTGGCGGAACAGCTCAAGGAGCGGTAGGCAACCTGGCCAAGACCGGGCAGAACACTGTTGGCGCTATTAGGCGTGGTGACATTGCAGGCACTGCAACCGGTCTGGCTTCCGGTGTGGGGGAGACGGTTGGCGGCGCCGGTGAAGGAGTCAACAAGACCGTAGGAGGACTTGGTGACGGCGTCAACAACACTGTCGGTGGATTGGGCAAGAATGTCGGTGGTCTGTTTATCTCTGTCCATCACGTGTATTCAGGCAAAGCTAACAATTGATTCAGACACCATCGGCGGCCCAGGCGGCAAGCTTGTGGGCGGTGCTACCGGCAATGTGGGCAAGACCGTCTCAGGAACAACGGCTGGCCTTGGCAAAACAGTGAGTTGTATGGTTTAACAGCTCGATATGCGATGCTAATACGCTTTAGGTTGGAGACACAACTGGCGCTCTTGGAAAAGGCGATCTCAGAGGGGTAGCGTCTGGAGCCACTGGAGGAGTTGGCACGACCCTTGATAGTGCTGGCAAAGGCCTTGGAGGCACTGTTGAAGTACGAAACGCGAGTGACTGTCGAACACAATATGAACTGCTAACGATGTTGTAGGGCCTCGGAGACGGCGTTGGCGGGTACCTTCCCGGAAGAGCAGGTACCACAGTATCTGGCTTAACCAAGGGCGTCGGTGACACTGTTACTGGAGTGACTGGCGGACTCGGCGAAGGTGGGCTCAATGTCCACTATGCTGCAGCTGCTGCCTACTGACACATGACTAGGAGTCGGCAAAATCGGAAAAGGCGATGTCGTTGGCGGTCTCGGATCAACAGTCGGCGGACTCGGCAAGGGTGTCGGAGGCTTAGCCTCAGGTAAGGACTCGTGTGTCCCAATTCGGCTCCATTGTTCGGCAGCTGATAGTGATCTAGGTGTCTGGGGTGGTTTGAGCGGCAAGAGTAAAACCGATCAAGACGCAGACGATGTTAAAGCAGAGGCTGAAGGCCAAGCAGAAGATGCGGCGCAGAAGGAGCCTACCGGACAGAAAGGCAGCAGCTTCTTCTAAAGGCCTAGTTGTGGTCCAAAAGCATTGGATAGGAGCATAGATCATTAGGTGAGAGGTGCTGTCGATCACGATGGCCGCTTGGCTCCTAAAAGGACGAGCTCTGGCTTGTTCCTGTATAGCCTTGGGAGACAGTCGATAGTCTGGACTCTTTTTGGATCATTGATAGTCTCCATATATAGCAAAATACATTGGAAGCTGGACGGCTTTCTAGGCTCGGACTGTATGAGGTCGTGTCCTAATAGCTGAAGCAGCATCTATGGGTAGAAGCATCCACGTGCTGCAGCATACAGGCTTTGTTGCTCCAGTTTACCTTTTTCTCCTGCAACAGCACACTGGTGAGCAACGGGTAACAACCCGAAGTAATGCCAGCGCTAGCGCTGGATCCCGGCATTGCATGCTTAACGCTGTCCGAGTGAAGCACTTAAAAGAGCAAGCAGCGTTCGACAATGACGGAACGTGAAGTGATGCAACGGATCTTGGGGTGACCTTTCAACTTCTTTGTGCTGACATCTTGCGCCATCACTTCTGCCAATGTTTGCCCGCCGTCGCATCACCTATGGACGTGAGCACATTCGAGGATTGATACCATGTGGTGTTTCTTGCGCTCTAACCCCTCTTCACTTTCACCGACTGCACCTATGGTGAGTGAAGCGCGTACACATACTACAAGTATTACTGAAGTATTCCTTGAGTTTTCCTGCTCCCTTCATGTCTGCTGCTCGTACTTCGACATATTGACTTCAGAACACGACACACATGTGCTAATCACTGCGGCCTCCGATGGCACCGAATGTCACTCCGCTGCTAAAGCGCAAACGACGTTCATGTGCAGCTAGCTGCAGCGGCGTTCTCTCGCAGCAGGCACGAAACAATGATCATTCAGCTACTGACGTAGCTCGAGTTAGCGGTATTACGCGCTCACACTCTCCCAGTGTCGTAATCAGGCGGGTGAGGAGCAGTTCTGAATCTATACCACCCGGCGCAACAAGCTCTGCGATTCATATCACGACCAAGGGCGCAAAGCGCCAGAAACTGAGCCATGTAGTCGTCCCTAGACCTGCATATCCGCATTCGGCTTTTGGCCTTTCGAACGCCACTGCACCGCTACGCAGTGAGTTCGAAGCTATCTACGCATTGAAACAGGAGTATAGCCATCTCCACGCTGATAAGCCGAACCGCCCGGCATACACCTATTTTACTTTGAACGACTTCAGTGTCTATCGACCGTACTACAGGCTGTCGAGCAATCGTTATGATGGAGAACTGGTCACCCTTGACCGCCTCCAGAACCGGAAAGGCTGCAATACTTTCCTGGTCGATGGCGTGCTTGCATGCGGTAAACTGAAGGTCTGCGTCAAAGCCGTTCCGATCAGTATCCTGACGGTTGATGGTTACGGAAACACGGACACTTTCAGCTTGAGCGGCAAGATCTGTGTACAGAGCGCGACCGCTGCTGAGTGCGATGTGTGGTATCAGTTCGGCACGCCGTCTCCTGAGTATCGAAGGTTCTTTTCACCTTTCCTATGGCTTGCGCATTTCACCAAGTCCTTCGTGGAGTACCTTACGGAGACGGAGAATGTAACGTTGGCGCATTTTGCTGCCGATATGCAGTTCGTGCAGTGGCTGCAATACACGTACGGCGGCGATTCAGACTGGTTGCAATGGCAACAAATGGCCAATCTGAGCGATTATAGGACTACGGTTGCTGCTAACGTCGGCTTTCTGTTCAAGGAGTGCTGGAGCGTTCACAACCCTGCTCCTGGAAGCCCATTCAACATTCGCAACCAGCCGGTTTGGGGCGAAGTCGATCCGATGAATCTCAAGGCAATCCCGCAGCAACCGAACAAAGAAACGGCAACGATAGTCACACCCTATGCGTACAGATGCTTTCGACATATGTACTTCGGACAGCAACTCAAACAGATGTCTATCAGAGATAACGCCGTCAATGCACAAGTCACGGAGCGCAAACGTGCATTGGGCTTGACCGTCGCAACTGGTGTTACACCTTATGAAACGGGCATGCGTACACCTGAAAGTATGCCAAGTACGCCTCCCTCTGCCAGCCCCCTGGAGGTCAACGCGGGCGATGTGGTGTCTGTGGAGGCTGACAAAAACGGACCGTGGAGGTCGTGCGACACTGTCTGGTATGCCTATATCATGGATGTTCGTTTGAACCGACGGAAGGAGCAGGTTCTTGACGTACTATGGCTATACGAACCACAGCATACGACATTGGGCGCAGCATACTATCCCTTTGCTAACGAACTGTTTCTGTCGGACAACTGCAGCTGTGGGCATAATGCAATTGCAATCGACGCTGTTATTAGCAAGGTCGATGTAAAATGGCACATCAAAGATCCCGTGGGTGTTGCTGTTTTCTTTGCCCGTCGAAAGTTCTGTACTATTCATGAAGAAGATAGTTACAGCTTTGAAACGCTGAAAGACTCCGACTTCGTCTGCAACTGCAGTGAGCGCCAGCGGATCTGGGACGATTGCATTCGACAGTTCGCCGTCTCCGACTGCGTGCTTGTCCTGTCGCCCGAGCGATCGCCGTCAACAACATCGAGTGTTGACGAAGAGGAGTTCAACGCATACGGGCGGGCAAAGAAGTCTTGGCTCGAACCCGCAAGAGTCGTGGCGTTCAACAACCTCCAGCAACGAGTAGTTTTGCAGCTGTTCCAGCGCAAGAATCGGCTTGATCTTGCTGCTAGAGCTAATGAACTGTTGGTCAGCCCGGAAATGATCGACGTACCGTCGTCAAGGCTCATCCGGAAATGCAATGTCCGTGAATTCGAACCTAGCGACATCAGGAACGGCCGCCTTCCGGTACCATACGATCAAAACGGCGCTGCTGATTGTTATTACATCGCCAAGAGCAGTAGTGGTCATGAAAAGGATGGAGTTCCTGAACGAATTTCGAAGCCAGGCAGCGCCCGGGAGCTGTTCACTCAACAGGATAGTAAGCAATGCAACCCGACACACAAGCTGCGCGGTATGGGCATCTTCTGTGGTGGTGGCAACCTCGACCGAGGCCTAGAGGACGGCGGCGCTGTCGTCTTCGACTACGCAATCGATTGGGCGGAGCATGCCCTACACAGCTACAGAGCTAATTCTCGCAACCCGAACGCCCGATATTTTCTTGGCTCTGTGAACGACTATCTTGCGGCTGCTTTGGACGGTGCAGGGGATGCTAGCATCGCGGCAGTTGGCGCTGTCGAGGTGCTCGGAGCTGGCAGCCCTTGCCCGGGGTTCTCTAATCTCCAACTGAACAAATTTAGTGACGAGTCGTTGCGTAACGCCTCTATGGTCGCAGCGGTGATCGCTTATGTCGACTTCTACAGCCCGAAGTACTTCCTCCTAGAAAACGTTGTAAATATGACAAGGGGCTTAGGACCAGACAAAACGGAAAACGTCTTCTCTCAGGTTCTTGCAGCATTAGTCGGTCTCGGGTACCAAGTGCAGCAATTCTTGATGGACGCATGGTCGTACGGGAGTCCGCAGCAACGAACCCGAGTGTTCATTGTCGCAACAGCGCCAGGACTTGACATTCTGCCGGTGCCCGTGCATACGCATGACCATCCTAGCAATATGGGCTTTCGCGAGCGAGCTCTCGGCCGCTCGAGTAATGGTCTACCATTTGGCCAGCGCCGCAATGACTGGACGCCTTTTCCGCATGTGTCCATTTCCGACGCTTGTAGCGATCTGCCGGAAATCACAGATTCGCAGCCACAGCTATGTCCGTCGTTTCCAGACCACAGGACCTCGAGCGAGGAAGGTGCTGACAGCCGATCGCGTATCGCCCTCATTCCTTTACGCCCTTACGGGATGGGGCTTGTCAAGGCAGTGCAGCAAGGACTAATAACAGGCGGGGAGCCATTAGACTACTACAACCGACTCGGCAAGCATCAAGCGAAGAAGAACAGCACGACTTACGCGCGCGTTCGCCGAGACGGACTAATGCCCACACTTACTACAGTGTTGAGAATCGGAGACGGCATCGCCGGGAGAACTATCCATTGGCGAGAACACCGGAATGTGACTGTACAGGAATGTAAGCGCGCCCAAGGGTACTGGGATGAAGAAGTGCTCGTTGGCTCTCCTGCCCAACAGATGAAAATCATCGGCAACAGCGTCGACCGTAAAGTCTCACTTGCGCTCGGTGTAGCGCTGAAAGAAGCGTGGAACCGCAGCCTTCGTCGCGAATTGGTCGCTGCCGAGGACTCTGCCGCGAGTGCACTACAAAAAGGACGATCTTTAGATCTAAGCCCAAACGCTGCAACGCGGAGTGTTCAAGGCGCGACGGTGCAGACTGGACGGCTAAGCTCAGATCAAGTGCGCGACGTGCAGCAGCATGGCTTCCGTGCCATACTGCAGATACTACAGCCTCTATCAGGACCATCCAAGGTTGGTACACAGGCAAATCAATTATGATATCGCGTCGCATCGACGGCGAACAACTTGGATGTTGGCACAGTTATCTTGTGGCTAGGAGTGACTCCTCAGTGTTTATCATATGAAAGGACACTCTTCCTATTCAGCCTAACATTCTCGTTGGCGGTCATACGACCCTTTCGCTTGAACGCTTCGCAACATGTAACACATAAGAAACGTTAGCCCCATGAAGGGTGCGATTGCGATCAACCATCCTCCACCTCCTTCACCCTTTCCTCACCCAAGGCCCACTCATCTCCATCCCTCAGTTCCTTCCAATTAACCCACTGCCAATGATCCTTGTGCTCCACCGGCTCCGTCCGCATCTTCCCCAACTCATCCACCCCATCCTCCGGATGCACCAGCACGCTTCCACTCACACTCACACTCTGCAAGCGCATGCTAATGGGCAGATTGTACTTCAGCACCCCCCTGACGATCAACTCGAAAGGGTGCTTAAGCACGTTCTCCCACCGCTCGCTACCACCCGCTTCAGTTTTATTGCCGGGCTTGGCGAGCCGCAGCTCACCGACGGAGAAATGTTCGTGGTGCTTGACGGGCGAGCCTTCGAAACTGAGCGCTTGGTCGAAGTGCAGAATGCGGCCGAGAAGCATAGTTTGTGCGTCTCGTTCGAGGTCGTCCGGAGGGTCTGTGCCTTGGTCGACGCCGCCGGAGTTGGAGGGAGAATGCCAGTGGTCGCTCAGGTCCTCCCACCGCCGGACGGCCGGCTTGGATCGTGACGTGGTGATTACGGTCCCAACGTGCTTGCTCTTCGCAAAGACATTGATGTCCATATCTGCGACAGTGATGCCCAAAGCGTTCGGGTTGACAGCTCCAACCAGCAGATCCAACATAATCTCCTGCTCACTAGCCAGAACGTTCTGAATCTTGCGTATCCGCACATCCTCGAGCGGTCGGTTAGACACAACAAGGAATGCAACTGCAGTGAGAACAACCGCGACCAGGACGCAGAAGCCAATGAGGCAGCTTCCGAACCGACTGCAGCAAGACCGTGGTTGCTGCACAGGAACGTAGTAATCATTGTCGTTGAGCGAGCGCACACTGCCACTGTTGATCCGTCTGTGGCCGTGGCGTGCGCTCCTCGCCGTGCGCACCGAACCTACAAGCGGTGTGCGCTCGTCGTCTGCGCCCTCGCCGTCAAAGTCAAATGACTGCTCCGCTTTTCTCCCGCTGAAAAGCGTTGCCGGGCGCTCTCCACGTCCATGTTGCAGCAGACTCTGCGGACTTCTCGGCGAGTTCGGTCTCGAGTGGCGCGTATTTAAATGTCCGGTCCGCAGTTTCGACGCTTGCGTGAACGGCGAGTCTGCGTCAAACATCGACGAGGCGTGACTAGCACCTCTGCCGAACTTTCCGAAATGCCGCGGCGTCGAGCGAATCGTGCCATCCTTGCTCTCGGGACTGTCAACATCGTGATATGGGTTGTTGGAGAACTTCATGCTGCGCTTGCCGGCTACTTTTCGGTCATCCATCGCCTCGCCGAAACTCCTGACCGCGCTGCGCTGTTGGTCCGCCGTGCTGTGCGAAGACGTCACGCTTGGTGTGCGAGAGTGGAGCCGTGGTCGACGTTGTGGTTCAGGTGGGTTGGACTCGTATACGAACGTCTCGTCGGAATCTGACGTGTTCGCCTCGTCCACTTGACTCGCCACGCGAGCCTCGAAGATGTCGGCTTTCGAAGAAGCGGTACCCTGGTTCAGACTCCTTGACTTTTGCGATGCCTTCTTTCGCTCCTTCTTCGGCCGGATGGTTTCGTTACTCGGTTTGAGCCTGACACTGCCATGATCGTTCCGCCCACTGCCCGAGCGATCGCCAGCGTTGAGCGCAGACTGCGGTATTGAAGGAACCGTCTCGGTCTCTACAGTCATGTTCGGCTTGCCTTCGGGCTGACGCGACTTTGCTGACGACAGAGGTGCGTAGTTAGTTTTGGCGGCAATGGGCTGCCTCTGCGCTGATTTGTTACTCTGGGTAAGTGACTGTCTCCGTCCTCGTCCACGATCCAGTTTACTACCTGCACTTTCACTGCCGCTTTCGCCAGGCTGCGTGTGCTTGTCGCCTTCATCCTGCTTTAATGCCAACTTGTCGCCTTCTGTGATCGTCGTGAGCGGCTTCAGATCCGCAGCCGCTTGCACTGCCGCTGGTGATTCAACAACGGAGTCTGTGCTGTTCTCCTGCACCGTTTCCAATGTGGACTTTCCGCTTGGTCCACGAGATGGCGCCTTCGGCGGCGCTTGCAGTTGCTGCTCAGCCTTTCGGACATCCTCACTGCTGGGTTTTGTGGGTGGTATCGTAGCTTGCTGAGCAGGACTCTGCACACTGATGCTTGGCATGCTGGCGGGCTCGACCTTTTTCTGCGCTGCTGGTGCAGAGCCTCTTCTCGAGCCGGTTGCTGATGGGGGCGGCGACTTCAGGCGAGGCGATAACGGCATTTGCGGTGTCGTATCGCCCGAGCCGCCTCCTGCGCTTTTACTCGATCTAGGTAGCCTCGACACAGCTTCCGTTATGGGGCCTGTTGATGCCGGGAGCTGTGGTACGTTTGCGGCGGACAATGCCCTCTGTATCGCTGCAGCGGACGGCTGTGTAGAAATTGGCGTGCTGAGCGGTGCAGGGCGGCTGTCCTTGCGTATTGGCGAGGTGTTTCGTGACGTCTGCGGTGACGAAGAGTTACTGGGCAGAAGTAGGTTGGACGAGCGCTGCTTTCGAAGTGGTGGTATCTGTACGGGCGGCTGTCTGTGCTGACTCGAGCTTCTCTTCGGAGCGGACGAGGCGTCTTGCGCTGGTTTGCTCGTAGTACTGTTCCCATTGTTGCCGGTGGCAGCATCCTTGCTAGATGTGATCGGCTCCGCGGTCTGCGGACCTCCAGTCACTGACCGGAAGTCGTTTGACATCCTTTCAAGACGGCTTCAGTGCCTCCCTCGGCCGTTCGACCATCACGTCATGCTACGCTCTAGCCCATCTCGGGCCTTGGACCGTCCTTAGGCGTTGTACCAGCAAACCGCGTGCCTTGCAGACAAAGAACGAAGGCGCAGCGGTGTGCCAAGACAGGGTATTGTGGGAAGTTCGATGGGCAAGGCGTGGAGTAGCGGCGATAGAGACCGAGTGCTTAAACAGACACAGCCAGAAGCCCGAAAGTGATCAATCAATTACACAGATGATGTGAGGACGAAAAGCGGCAGGCAACCGCACAAGGTTCACCTCGCAAACGCTCCAAAATGCCGGAAGGAAGGAAGGAAAGCACATCAATGACAGCGGTCCCCTGCTCCGATGTGAATATGTGGCTTGTCAGGGACTCCCGTAAGGCCCGGTTCGCCTGCCGAGGCATGCGAGGAGGCACAATGTCGCTGACGTGGCACCAATTCCTCCTTACAATCACTATCTACACGGTACTGGCACGTACATCGACACAACGGGCGCAGGCAAACTGTATGGGTGGGCTGGAGCGCGGTGTCAGGTGTGCAGGCACCCGCGGAAGGCTGCGCTAGCTTTCGTCGTCCGCGTGGGAAGTAGAATGTATAAGCCACAATGACGCCGCACCACATCACAAACCGGCCGCGCAGCTGGTTGCAGGTTGCTCTTGTGACCACTGCCAGCCCGCTACGCAGGACGAGAAGACGGCAGGTCGATGAAAACGAAGAAGAAACGAAGTTGAGATTGACTTAAGCTGAGCAGGAGATTGTGATGCGTAGGGTCACTTGCATTGTAAAGTACATTGTTTGCGCTGGTCCAGCTGCCGTTAGCAAGCAAATCGCAAAGCAGCAAACGCCACCTGAATTCTACTCGTGGATTCCATCTGCACACGCGCCGGAAGCTTTCTAGTACTGTGCTCCAGCCCCTTGCCTTTCGATGTGAAGATGCTTCTCATATCTCATAACACTTAATTGGCCGTCAGAACATCTTGCTCGAAACGCAGAAAAGTGCAAAGGCCACCGTGCATCTCCGATCCAAGCCCATACGCACCATGCGGCGGGAGGCGCTCAGCTGCCGAGACATGGCGCTGCGCGGTCAGCCCACAAACCCGGCTTTGAGGAATCAGATGTCCACCATCTCAACATCTTGTCCGATGCGGACAACGTCGTCAGCAGGACCCCAACTGCCTTCGTACACTGTTGCTCCAGCCCTTCGACGCTTGTCCACCCATTGCACGCCTCCAGCCTGAAGCAGCTGGTCGACCGTGGGCCGGACATCTGGGTCAGGGCAGATCATCCACTGCACGACTTGGTCCAGCGCATTGGGATCCGTAGGGTCGACCATGAACTTCGGCGGCGCAACCAGATCGCGACTGCGCTTACGCCCGTGCCCCTGCATTGCGGGACGTAAGAAGTCAAACTCCTCTTCTACACCAATAATAGGCGCAAATGAGAGCAGCTCGTTCGCCGTCATTGCATGCATCTCAACTGGTTCGCCAGACTCGTCGCGCAGCAAGCTGCCATCAGACGTCCAAGAGAGGCTCGGTAGGTCGCTCAGATCACCTGCACGTAATCGCTGCCACGAGTCGCCGTTGTCGGGTAGAACAATATTCCCACCAATCTCCAGCATGACCATGCCCAGTGCAAAGATATCCGCAGGTTTGTCAAAGCGGCCTGCGAGCACTTCCGGGCCAATGTATTCGCGATCACCTTCGCCCTCTAGATGCGCCGGTGCGGGCCACGAGCTTGCCATGCCGAAATCGCCAATCTTGAGCACACCCTCCCAGTCGATAAACACGTTGGCGGGCTTAAGATCGAGGTGGATGAAGTTGGCGTCGTGAACGGACTTCAGCCCTTGCGAAAGCTCAAGCAGGATCTTCCAGATTCTGAAGTCGTCCAATCTACCCTTGAAACCAGTAGCGAGCAAGAAGTCCCTCAGGTTGCCGTTCTCGCAGAACTCAGTTTGGATGTAAAGGTGGCCCTTAGCCTCCCAGTGATCAACCAGCTCCACGACGTGCTCGTGACCGCGCAATGCTTGCAACACTTCGACCTCACGCATCTTACGCTGACGGTCTTTCTGCCCAGTGTAAGGCTTCCTAGATTTCTTTACCGCCCATACTCTCGCGCCTGGGCTGGACTGGGTATGCGAGCCAACAGCGCCTGGGAGTGGCTTCTCGACCCTGTAAACCTGAGAGAATTCACCGCCGCCGGAGACCGTGACCTTTGCGAAGCGTGAGCTGAGTGATGTATCGACATCGTTGGCGAAGTAGCTCGACGATGCGTTTGCCGGGAAGAAACTCGTGCTGCTGGTATGCTCTCTAGGTCCGGTTGGTGTCGCAGGTGGGAACGACACAGTACTCTTACCCAAGGCAGTCATTGGCCGCTGTTCTGCGGAGATTGACAAGTTGCTAGGATCCGGCGGTGCGAAGAACTCCAGCGCATCCTGCGGAGTATGTGGGGAGCGCTTGTCGCCACTCTCTACATTAGTGTTCATAGCGGTCACTGCTGCACCCAAAGACTTAGCGAGAGCTCCGCTGCGAGTGCGTAGATGGGGCACCGATCGAAGCGATCTCTTTGCGAGCGGTGTAGGTGACGCGACAACGTTATCGCATGACAGAGACCGGCTTCGACCTTGCAGCGGTGACGGCGAGGTGCAGGCTGTCAGGGTGATGCATGGTTGAGCAAGTGCATCGACAGGTGGCTGCGTCTCCTTTTCCAGCCGCGCACACGGTGTTTGAAGAAGAAAGGTATACTTACTGTCATCCTCATTAGCTAGCACTTGATCGCCTGCGGATGGCAACGCGAAGGTGTCCGGGGCCAAAGACGTCCTCCTCCCGAACAAACTGCTACGCAGACTGTTGCTCTTGCCCTTCGATTGCGGTCTAGCCATGACTGCTGTTGACTTTGTAGGAGTTGGAGGAAGATCGTCATTGCTCGACTGACTTTCCAAACGGTGAGTCGGCGAGTCATTAAGGTCGTCACCGCCATCAACGCTTAGGAAGCTGTTCCGACGAGTAAGCTGCGGCGCACCAGCAATCGACCCGAATATGTTAGCGCCTTTGCCGAAAGACTCTGGCGAGTTCTTGGACGTCCTGGCATTGAAAGGTGTGCTGGGGCTGCCAAACTCATGGAGCGGTTGCACCACCTTGCCCAATACCGAAGCCGGAGCAGGTGAGAAGGCGTGGCTTATATGTACAGCCTTCTTCGATGGCGTATCCGGCATTACGGAGCAGCCGAAGTCTGCATGAGGTAGTTCCACGTTCCGGTTGCGCTTAGAGATTAAACCGGTGGAGTGGAATGGTTGAGGGAAGGGCTTGGCCATTTTGAACGCTACTGGTGTAGCGAAGGAGCCTTGCGAGGACATTTGACTTGAGTCAGTGTCTGCCTGTCCACTTGGCCGGAGAGCACCAGCCGGCAAAGAGTTCGAGAAGCTCCCAGGAGGTCTCATTGGCTCGACCTTCAACACGCTAGCCGCCGATGATTGTTGCAGTGACTGCGGCAAATCTTCTGCCATACTCGAAGTCGACGAAGAAGGCGTTAGAGCGTGAGATAGTGGATGCGGCTTGGGAGCTGACTGATACGGCTTCTGACCTGGCGGCGGGAATAGTACAGGCGGCTCATCAATACCGTTCCTGCGAAAAGGCGAGTCGCAGTCGGCGCTACGAAGTGGAAGCGCACTATCCAAAGATATGCGTGATCGAGCGCGGGTAAGCGCTGGGCTCAAGAGCGACTCCCGCCCACCGTCGATGGATGGCCTAGTACGAGCAGCACCTGTACGCTGGTACAGTGTAGACTTGCGGAGGCTGAACGGGCGTCGCTGCACAGGATTTGCTGCTGGAACTGACCATGTTGGCTGGCACGCAGTAGTGCCGTCCCGCTCCTTTTCATCCGATGAGCGGCTCGCCGTTGAGTCAGTCGAGTCGCTAGTCGTGCCGTCTAGGCCTTGGTCGAACACGTTGAAGTCCGCACTCAACGAAGACGGGCTGTGCAGGCTTCTGCGCTTGTGGCGCGGACTGCCAAAGCCTGCGGCCTCCAGATTCATGACTCCATCACTTCTCTTCAACGGACTCGACTTGAGAGGTGATACCTGGTCCTTCATGACAGGCTTGAGCAGCTTGTCCGGCTTAAGGAATTCGAGCTTAATCGGTTGATCGAACCGTGAACTGCTCATGCTTGGTGCAGCATCCTCCGAACAGTCCATCCTGTCCTGATTTTCTTGTCCGTCTCCGGCGCTGGTTTTGCGCAGCAACCTTGGCGATGCATTTGCCTGGTTGGTGTTGTCGCTCAGTGCGCGTCTAAGCGGACTGTTCGGTGAGGTCTTGCGAGAAACTGTGCGCACAGGTCCAGTGCGCTTCACAGAGTAGACTGGCCTCGCGTGGAGGTTGCTCGGCGGGTCAGCGCTGAAGGTCCGCGCAAGACCAGAAGGCGACCTTGGCGCATTTGGAGAAGTGTCTGCAGATTTGCGCGCGCTCAACGGGTAGCGCTGCGGCTTAGATGGCGACCGCGACAACGACCGCCGCAATTGCCTAATTGCCGCGAAATTGTCGACTGGCGAGCCATGCGCATGGGTTGGTGATAATAAGTGCGGTGCGCCGCCACTGGAGTGACCTGGAGAATATTCAATCTCCATCATTGCACACTCATGGGGAGTAGTGCGAACGCGCAGTCGCCTTGCGCCCACACTGGTGGCGACTTGCTAATGCGAAGTGCCTGCGCAATGTGTGATTCTGTGTCGCTCGTTGCTCGTTTGTCTCCACGGCGTGCAGTTTGCGGAGAATGACGCGGCGCAAGGGAAAGGATGGTGTGGAATGGAGCGGTGCTCAGTGATGGACCAGACTGATGGCCGTCGATGGCGACCGTGTGCTGCGTGTATTGGGAGTGCTTTGCGACTCGGCGTGGGTGGATGGGTAACAATGCCGTTGTGTCAGAGTTTCATTCCTCTGCCGCAATCAAAACAGCACGCGTCATTCAGGGCCGGCCGGCTGACTGCGTGTGAGTGGCGGTGCCGCAGGTGACGGGTGAGGTTAGGTTGGCGATGTTTACACTGGTCAGAAAGGAAGGAGCAATGAGAGTGTGTCAATAATGTGTGCAGAAAGTACGGTCAAGCAAGTCTGGACGTTGATGGAAAGCGCAGCGCAACGCAGCAGCGTAGGCGACAACACGCGGAAGCACAGACGTTTCCCCGTTCAGGGTCTTCGCTTCCAGCGCACGACCTTGACGCTTGTGCACGTGCCGTGTCTGAGCTCGCCGCTTATTGGAAGACACCTGTTTCGGCGCACAGTCGGTGAGAGCACTGCGGCCCATTCTCGAACAATTTGGACATCCGACGTACACTCACAGCTTCGTCAGTGATTCTACAGCCTCTGGAGGAACAAGAGCGATCAACGGGCAAGAGTGGACTGTATATAAACATGGCGACGTCATGGCAGCACGCCGTGACAACCACATCAACGATCTCCCGTTTGGAGACGCGTCAAAGATCGGGGGATCGAATAATCACACCGTCAACCCTGCCATCCCATGGCATGTCAGCAACATTGGCTGGTCGACAATGCGGACGCACAGTTGCTAGGATATTCAGTAGGTTAAATTGATCGTAGACGACATGCGCGCCCGAAGCGCCTCTTCAACACTCACCAGCACTCCTTTCAGCATTTCGCATCCTCACTTTTCTCTCCCCTCTCCCGAAAGCGTCTGCTACTATGTATCTCAATAGCCGCTGCGCTGCGATTCGGGCAAGATGCTTCATGCAGCCGGCATCGGTCGGCGTATGATCTACTCTCTCCGCACCTCTGCAAATACTCTACCTCAATGCAGAAAGAAAATGGGGAGTTTTGATTTCACATCGCCAGCATTGACAAATGATCGCGCGACCAAACTCATCCGAGAACGCGGATGATGCCAATGAACATTGTCCTGAAGCCGACTGCAGATATTAGCAGTGAGAAACGTGGTAATGGCGAGCCGTTACGCGAGGACGACTTAAGCGTCAACACATGGCCAAATGCCGCGGACGAAGATCTGGAAAGCGCTATTGATGAACTCGAAGATGGACCATCGATAGCTCAGCCTAAGAGCGACGCAGAGAAGGCGTTAAGCGTACACTCTAACGTTCTCGCCCGGACAGTCTCCGGCACGTCACGACGGTCGAGAGCGGACCCAGGCCCACCACCAGACGGTGGCCTAGTTGCATGGTCTCAGGTGGCACTACTTCACCTGACTATCTTCAGTACCTTCGGCTACATCACCGCTTTCGGCAGTTTCCAAACATACTACCAGGCCATCCTCGGCGTCTCTACTTCGAAGATCTCATGGATCGGAAGCGTGCAGCTTTTCCTTCTCTTCTTCATCGGAACGGTAAGCGCTGCAGAGAGGATATTTGATGGCACCGATCGCTGACTGCACCATAGTTCTCCGGTAGAGCGCTCGATGCGGGTCTCTTTCGACCCGTTTATACTGCAGGTGCTATATTGCAAATACTGGGCATCTTCACCACTTCCGTGGCGACGGAGTACTGGCAGCTTCTTCTTGCGCAAGGCTTCTGCATGGGCATCGCCAGCGGCCTCCAGTTCTGTCCATCTATGGGATTGTGTGCGACATACTTCGTTAGGAGGCGAGCGCTCGTCCTCGGTGTCGGCGCGCTGGGCTCATGTACAGGAGGCGTCCTCTTTCCCATTCTCGTCCAGCAACTCCTCCCTCGTATTGGCTTCGGCTGGACCGTCCGCATCGTCGGTTTTATCATGGTCCTCGTCAACGCCATCACCGTTGCATTCTACCGCACCAGGCTTCCTCCACGCAAAACCGGACCGATCGTCGAATGGGCCGCCTTCCGCGAAGCACCCTACACGCTGTACTGCATAGCGTCTTTCCTTTTCTTCTGGGGTTTGTACTTCGCCTTCTTTTACGTCGGCTCATACAGTCGCGACCGGCTCGGCATGAGTTACCAAGCTTCGGTCAACCTGCTCCTGGCTATGGTGTGTACAGGATTCATCTTTCGCCTTCTACCTAACTTCCTCGCAGACAAGTTAGGCCCGGTCAACCTCATACTGCCCTTCACCTTCGTCTGCGGCATCATGATGTTTGCCTGGATTGGCGTGGACAGCCCCGGCACGCTCTACGTTTTTGCGCTGCTGTATGGACCTGGTGCGGCAGGCATACAGAGTATGTATCCGGCGACATTGGCCAGCCTGACGTCAGATATGAGCAAGGCAGGTGTGAGGATGGGCATGAGCTTCACGGTTGTGAGCTTTGCAAGCTTGACAGGACCTCCACTTGCTGGAGCACTGATACAGTATCATGGTGGCAACTACCTGTACGCACAAACATGGGCAGGCACATCTTTCCTCGCTGCCGGTATTGTTCTGATTGCCGCTAGAGTGGCAAAAGTCGGGTGGAGAGTACGATGTCGTATTTGACATTGACCATGGGGATTACCTCGCTTCCTACGTACTATTATCGCCACTCTACCCGCTGATCTCTAGTTCTTGAGCGCATGCTCCTTATCATATAACTCCAACCAGTGGCCCATGACACTGACCACACACTCTTCGAAGGTCGCCAGCTTTCCAAACGTCTTCTCGGTCTTGGAATTATCGAGCTTGGTGATAACAGACGCCAGCTCACCGCCGAGAGGCAGAATGCCCTTCTCCACGGCCTCCGGGAAGTGCTGTCGCACATGCTTCGCCACGTCAGACCACTGCATTCCATCCTCGCCATTATTCGACACCACGAAGCTCTGATTACCCTCAACATGCGGGTCCAGAGCTTGCACGTGGATGCGAGCGGAGTCATCCACGTGGTTGTAGTTGTTGGGTGCTGCAGGGAAATACGATGGCATGCCTAAGGCTTGGCGAACGATGAGCGCGTTGGTACTCGTGAGGAAGTACTCGGTGCTGTCACAAAGGTCATCACGACCTTCCACGAAGCTGGGATGGACATGAATCACGTCGAATGCAGGCTTCTCGTTCTTGATCCAGGCCTCGGCACGGTTGAAGGCCGCGATCTTGGACGCAACATACCCGGCCATCGGATTCTCGAGCGGACCCGTCAGCTCGTCCACGCGCGTATCGGCTGTGTAGACTTCGCCGCTCGGCTCAAACATCGCTGTGATCGGCATGATAGCAACGACGGAGGAGGTGATGACGACCCGTTTGATGGAGCCAGCCTTGCGAGCAGCGTCGAGCATGCTGAGCGTCATGTTCACAGCAGGATCAATGAAACCTTTCTGATAGTCTCCGTCGGCCGGTGCGCGGGTGGCCAGTGGCGAGGCCACATGTATAACGTACTTTGCGCCCTTGGCAGCCTCATCAAAGGCGTTGGCCGCGGAGAAGTCCGGGATGATGGTGAACGACAGCTGGCTATCCTTGCCCATGGCCTTGAGGACGGCGTTGTTCCTGACGATGTTGGCTTTCTCCTCACTTCGGACCGCGGCGCGGACTTGGTAGCCATATTCAAGCGCATAGCGCAGGACGCGGAAACCAATATGACCGCTCACGCCGGTGATCAGGACGAGGTTACCAGCCATGATGACTACGCCTGGTTGCTGGTGATGATATTTGATTTCTGAGTGGCTTTGGTCGCTATCCGGTCGTTGATGGTGGTGTTGCAGATACCATGATGTGAGGTGCATGGAATGGTGCTTTTGTACTGTCCACGGCCGACGTACGAGGCAACAGCATGCGTGGTCTTCGAGTTAAGATTGATCAGCATGCATGTCGGCGAGCGTAATGTGATCCAAGGCGTAAGAACCGTTGCATCGGCTTGGCTCGCTACGGTAACATCGTGTCGCTGATACTGGTACTCTTGATCACTAACACTATGGCCGGTAGCGTAATGACAAACGTTGAGGCCGGCACCATCGCTCGGCCGCAGCGTTATCATTCGTCTAAGCGTGATCAGTAAACATGCTTTACATGCTTGAATTAGCGACCCTGCTCGGACATAGCCGCAGTTTCCGAACGCAAGGGCAGCGCCAGGCGATTTCTGCTCGCCGCGCACGATTCAGACGTGAAAAACAGGGTTGTGCTGTGCAACGCACTCAGCTCGTACATCCATTCTTATCCATTCTTCTGTCCAGCGACTTGGAGCAGGTGCTTGCCCGCAAAGGTATCCCACCGCTCGCCACCCATCGTTTCTCGCGCCCGTCGTTGCCGCACAACTTTCTCTGCAGCCTGCTGAAGCATCACAGAGGGTGGTGCATACGAATCAACGCTGGGATCAAAGACGCGGTCTAGGTACTTTGCCGTCGCCTCTTCCATCTTTGTGAGGCTCTTCCCGCCAGGAACATTAATGTTGCCGCTGTAGTCGCCCTTGATCCAGTCGTCCAGTGGCATACTCTCCAGCCCGGAGGACACATTCAGTCGCTTGTACCACGTGTGCTCTCCGTGAGCGTGCTCCCGCATCTGATTATGCTGCTTTTCGCCTTCGGTATACTTGATCAGCAGGTGTTGGATGACGGCTCGCTTTTCGAGAAATTTCGAAACGAAGGGCAGACGTCCAAATGGTCCGGGCCAAACGCTTGCGAAGCCATCTTGTGTTTGATCAGGCCGTCCAGTTCCGATGCTGAGGAGTAGAGCCGGTCTATCTGCTTTGCCTGCATACAAAGCGTGAAACTCGCTCAACGCTGCACCGGCAGGATTGTTCTCACGGATCCCACCATCCTTGAACAACTTGGTCCCGCCTTCAACCTCGTGCTGGACCGTCTCAAAGTAAAACGGAGCCGCAGTCGTCGCTCTGGTGACTTTCCAAATCGGCAGTTCGTCTGCGCCTTCATTGTACCTTGTGATCCAGTTTGGCACATCGTCGGTGTAGTAGTGCGGATAGGACCGTAGCAGGTATGCTTCCGATATGCTTTTGTCGTGAGTGGCGGTCAAACAGCACGATTGGCAGACCCTCGGCCTATCAACGTCGAATGGCACATCAAGCTTCAAGATCTCATCAAGTTGATCAGCGTCCCATGGGTGAAGGTCAGACTTGCCGTCGCAGTCTGCGTGTTCGTAACATCTAGCGCCTACGATGTCTTGTACCGCCCTTTCAAGCGGTTGGTGGTGATACTTCGTCATAAATGGGATGTGACTGCGCCTTTTGCCGAACAAGTCTTCGCCAACTTTGCGATAGAGTTCCAGTCCTTCAGAGACTGTCATGCGTAATCGGCCAAGTATAGTTGCAATCAGACCACCGGTAGAGGTACCGTACACAAAATCAAAGTAGTGGCAGGGCAAGAGTTCCTCCTCAGACGAGGGCTTCTTCGTGCTGACGTCTGCGGTAAGACTGTCCTGTCGAGCTGAATGCACATCTGGTACGGACGCTAGGTCTTCAGCACTCGGAGAAGACGCGGATACCCCATACCGCCCCTCCACAGCAGCAGTCCTGCTTTGTTTCCTTGCTCCTATCTCTTGTGCCTGAAGAGGCTGCTCCCTATCACGATTTGTTCGGTCTTCCAGGCCTAGCATACCCGGTTTAACAACAACCTCGCTGCTGGTGGAGTGGTCCGACCCGCCATAGGCTCCGGGGACTGCTTGTTGTCCTTCACGAGCCTCTACTGACCTCGGCGACTCTACTGTGGTCTCATGGTTCACTTGTTCTGCATCTTCTCTATCTAGCCGTTGCTCCCACAACCACACCTCATGCATTAGAGCTTTGAGGATCAAGAGACTGCTATAACCTCTGATGCCACCTCCGTCCAACGTTAGGATGCAAGGCCACCATGGGTCATCGACCTCCCTCGCCCAACTTCTTCCGGCCTTGTCGGAATCTTGGGTCTCTGCGCGTCGCCTTACGCTCGGTGACCGCACATGATGCCCAGAAGCGGAGAGCGTGGACAGGCTCGCATCCAGATCCACGAGCGATTGTTGTCGCCGGAGCGGTGTCTGATTGCCAACCATACCATCAGTGATTGGAACGGACGAGGGAACGCTGGACGTCTCGCGCCCAAAGAAGGCCCAAGGGGCGAGTGGTATTGAATCCAGCGTGAACGCGAGGCGGACACTGATTGAAAGTATCTATCTTCTGGTCTGGCTCTGTGTGTACGGAGTAGCGTGCTTCTGTGGAAATGGGTGATGACGGGCGGGCATGACTGCCTTGTGCAACGCCTCGTAATGCACGGTGCCGAAAAGCAATGAACGCAATGAAACGCAGCAAAGTGTCAAACCCAGTGAACGCCGTGCTATGCGACTCTAAAACGGTGCCGAGAAGACTTAGAGGCTGTGCGGCAGCCTTTCTTCGAGGAAACTGGACTGCGAGACTGCAGGTGTTATCAACAACTCGACCTTGGCTGTTTGTGGCTTAACCTTGTTCAAGTGGCTGTGCCTGCCTTATTCACCAGATGAGTCAGTGCGCATGATTGCCCCGCCGCCACATCAGCAAGTGATTGATCCCAGCCGCAAACATTGTGACTCGTCATCAATCTTGTGACCCGCTGAATCTGCTGGAGGTTGTTGGACAAGCCTTAGGCGATACATGACCAGTCAGAAGGCCCGTTTCCGCACAAAGAGAGCGCGGTCAGCCTCCGTTGATAGTATCTGGCAGCCTTGAGTACGCTTAACCTCGACATGAGTAACACCCAGACACTGGAGAGGAGCTTTGAAAGTGGCTTTTCAGGTTCAACCGGCAGCTCATCAAGCAGTGCACAAAAGTATCGCCTGGACGAGTCAGACATCCGGCCAGTCTTGTGCTACAAATACCGGGGACGCTTGGAGACTTCTTCGCAGAAAGAGATCTGCGCGTGGCTAGACAAGGGTGTGTATAGATATTGGTGTCGGCATGTAAGGTGCAGGTCACTGACTGCTGGTACGGGTAGACGAGAATCTGCGCTGCACGAGGAAGCCCATACCACGTGGCACATCCTATGTAGACGTCAAGCGGCACGATCTTTACTTGCCACAAGAAAAGGACGAGTACTCACGCTTCCCTAACTACGACGCTTCCCTGGCATCGATCAGGGTACCTTTCATGGCCTACCTAAGCCGCTTGGCCTTCGGCGCATACGACGAGCTCTTCATTATCTCTCCGGAAAACTCACCGAACGCGAGTCTGGCCGACAGCGAGAGCAAGCGGATAAGTCCGTCAAGTACTATGTCCATGGGTAGTGGCGAGGATGAAGCACGATCCGGCGCCGCAGCATGATATGACTGCGTGCTATACGATGAACATCCATTGCATCTCTGAGCGTTAGAAGCGAAGGTCGTCCGGCGTTCACTCACCTTCGAATAGGGACTCACCGGCTCCATGAACCAGGAGCAATTCGTTACTTGTGCCAGCCACTATTGCTCAATTGAGACGAGTTCGCGATGGTAGGACGTATGGCATGCACTAGCGGTTCCCTCGATACGATAGCCCTGCGTCATCTGGTATAGCAGCAGCAAATGATACATTCAATACGCAACGCCACATCCCAATTACATGGCTGTACACATCCGCCAGTGAAGGTCGACAATATAGAGTTCTCGCCGGAAGTGTCTTGGGTGCGCGATCGACAAGTATTCAGGAGGTGCCTTTCGACAGGCTTGTGATGGCGGATAGAAGTGTTGTGAATTCGACTCTGATCAACGGACCGTTCACTGCAGTAAGACCGGCGCTGAGTGAGCAAGTCTGGCTCCATTTGTTCGACGCGCATTTCAAGAGCAACGCGAAAGGAATGCTCATCGCCGATGCTTGCTTCGATCCCACTGACCAGCGCTGCAAGTGCGACTCGGTTCGCCTAGTCATTACCGCGCCGATCGAGTGTGAAGATGGTTTGTCGGCTCGATCACGACAGCAAGTAGAAGAGACGATGGCAAGGTAGAGGCGCGGTTTAGGCGTCACTGTCCGACGGCGCCTGTGTCCGCGTCCGGCGGTGGTAGGACGGTGAAGGGGTCATGGTCACAAGGCTGGCAAAGGTTCACAGCCTTTTCAGTCGTGAACAGTGTGTCTGGGGTACGAAGGCGAGCCATTTCATTTCCAGATAATTACCATATCGCGAAGTATGAGTGCACGACCACAAGCAAAGTAGAAGCTCGGTAGTAAACATTGAGGTCCGTCTGATGTCCTCACTGCCAACCGGACAATTTCCTGCTAGAGCGTGTTAGCCGCTACTCGCGTGTCACGCCAAGCCACGAAGATCGTTTGACGACTGTGCTGGATGGCGCACGTTTCAGGGTTGCTGGAGTCTGGATTCTTACTCCAATCGGTCAGAACGCGGCAGAATCGGAACTTCATCATTGAAGCTGCTCACATGGCCGTCAAGACAATGTTCATCATCGCACAGTGTTTGTAAGGTCCCTACTGCACCACGTCGTATTCGACTGATCAGGACCTTCAAAGACCGGTCACGCAATCGGAACAAGTGTCCCTGGGCTGCATTTGTTACGCGCCTTACCACGCATTCGTCTAAGTAAAGTATTCCCAAATTCGCTTCACTTGAAAGGAGCAGCTAGTAGGATGCAGGATGAGGCAACCTTGAGCCATCCCAATCACCTCTGTTCCACAAACAGAAGGCCTACATAAACGCAAATAGCGATCACACTTGTTTCCTTAGGCGATGCGATCATGAGAGGAGGCGTTTCGGCCCGGCAAGGGTGCCGAAAGCCTAGACTTCTTGCGATCCTGCGATCGACACGATCCTTATGCTTCAGCTGAAGATCGAGCAGGCCTGCACCGCGTGCGAGGCTGCGGATCTCAGAAACAGCCACCATCCGGCAAAGACCCTATGCGTGAGCGATCGAAGCCATGCATCAACATCGACTGAGCCTTTTTCGATTCCTCGCCGCCTCATTCACAGGCCTGCGTCAGCGTGGAGGCTGTCGTCTGCTTGATGACCTGATGCAAGGCATGGACTGCGATTACGCTTTGTTGGAAGTGGCCAGAGTCGGCTGAGATCTGGGTTGTTTACTCCTGTGCGAGCGAATCGCACTCGCATCGCTCGATCCATGTTGGCTGCGTAGTAGGGCAGGTCCACCTATTGACCTACTGAGTCTACCCTTTCAGCCTTTCCAAGTCTACTTGCCATTGTTAGAGTATACCTACAAACTGGATCAACTGTACTGTGGGGGACGACTGCACACCTGTTTGGTCAACCGCACATGAACGACACATCGATCTTCTCTGACTGAAGCTCCCTAACCAACACCAGACATGTCTACGCCTCCCCAGTTGCGCAAGATGATGTCCCCGCCAACAAGTGCGGGTGCACAGTTGCATCCTCGTCGTCCGCCTGCGCATCAGTCGGTGTCTTTGTTACATTCGCCTCGCGCTCGTGTACCTACCGTCGACCGCAGCGATTCATCCAGCGATGGGCACATCCAGCGAACTCAAGCTCTTGGCAGGCCAAGCAGAAACACTCCATCCAGCCTTCAGCCGCTTGGGAGAGAGAGCTCTGGCGAAAGCAGCAATGCAGAACAGTGGTTTGAGAAGTCCAACAATGATGTACGTGACAGCACCGCACCGTTCGTGGACGGCGAGCCGCCCTTCTTTATGCGCAATTCGTCGTCTTCTGAGACGCCACCCGGGCTTCAAGACCGGATGAAGCGATTCCTGGCTGGTCAAGATGGGTCACAATCACTGCCGCTGCGGACAGGCTTGTTGCACATAGGTACAGATGGTAGCAGCACGGAGGACTTCCGTGGTGTCATCGATGACTTGACAATTGAGAACAAGAAATTGAAGAGGAGGTTGAAGCAGTACGAGAAGCTCCATGATTCGCACTTGAAGGACGAGAAACTGTTCGAGGTCCGGTTTCACAGCTTGCCGCCACAAAAGAAGCTTGAGCTAGAGGACATGCTCCGCAAGTTTACCTCTGGACTTACCAGCAAGAATACCGCCAGCTTTCCACCAAACGGCTACGAAGGCCTGCTACCTATGTTGCAGCCTCACAAGACCGCGTCGTCGCAAGCCTCCATGAAGCACGCCGATTCGGCGTACGCGTCCATGTCTGCATCAGGTCAAGGTGGTTCTTCCAGTCTGTCTGCCAGTGACAGCAGGCAGAAAGCTTTCAAACCATCCGCTGCATCGCGTCGACAGAACATCCATAGTTATCTGCACCATATCCCGGAGGGTCTGTTGCCTCAGCCGAATCCAGCCACAATGACTGAGCGCGCCAGGAAGAAGCTCGTTGTGAAACGCTTGGAACACCTCTTCGCTGGCAAGGGCGCCGCTGCCATAGGCCATCAGCAAGCCATGCAGCAGCAGGACGTCTCACACATGGCTGCTTATGCCGACCGATCGGCTCTTGAAGCCGAAGGTCAGCATGTACGGCAGGAAGGTACGCGAGAAGCAAACATCATGACTGAGGACGCCGAAGATGACAAGGATGAAACCCCTGATTTTGCAAAGCCTCAACAACAGCTTGGCGCCAGAATCGCCGAGCAGGATTTTGCATCGCTTCCTGGCACTGAGCAGCGACCCACAAGACCTCTCGACCTCGACCCACACCGAGCGCAGGTACCCATGGATAACATCCGTTACATGCGCCATCTTGGCTTCTCGCCACCGGACCCGAGGTCGTCAGCTTCGCCGGAAGAAGGACATGGTTGGATCTACCTCAATGTTCTCGTCAATATGGCCCAGCTTCATACCATCAACGTCACTGCAGATTTCGTTCGGACAGCGCTGGGTGAGCTCAGCGACAAGTTCGAGCTTTCTAACGACGGCCGCAAGGTACGCTGGAGGGGAGGACGTGAAGTCACACAGAGTAGCAGTGGCAGTGGTGCTGCTTCTATTGATGCACCAAGCGAGAGCGGTGACGGTCAAAGCCCTCATAAGCGGCTGAAGACGTCTCACAAGGCGGGCTCGCGCTTAAAGTCACGCGTTAAAGCTCAGGCTCAGGGAGCTGCATCTTCGCGATCCCGGGCAGAGAACAACAAGCTAGTCTACACCCCGATGTTCTCTCACCGCGACAGCAGCGAAGAGAGCGACGAATCATCGTCAGAGGAGGAAGACGACGACGTCCTATCACCGTTCCCAGTAGCACCTGCTGGAGATTCGTCGGGTATGACCAGCTCTGGCATACGTACAACATCCACACGACCAAAGAAGCACAAGGACGATGGGCCTATCATCTTCTATAACAATGCACGCTTCTGCACCGACCTCAGTGGCGAGCGCAGACCCGAGGGCAACATGAACGCTCCGCCCTACGTTAAGCTCGCTGTCCCGCCGCTTGGCAAGGTACAGCATTTGAGCGGCAGGCCTGCTGAAAAGCGTGGTCCGCTTGCTTTGGCCTCCGAGCTACCTGAACCCATGGATCTTGGTGACAACCCCATCCCAGAATCCATGGAGGTCAAGTTCCCAACCAATACCTCACTTACGTCGGCTTCTGCACCAGAAAGGGATCCTATTGAGCTCGAGGTCACCGGCATTGGTGGCGTCTACCCTGCCGATAACTTTGCGATACGAGTCGAAAGTCGCCACGTAAGAGTCGACCAATCAGGGGCGCCACAGGTCTCCCATGCATACCTGCACAAGACCGTGCCACCCAAGCTCGCCAAGCTATTACATGGCCACGGAGCGGTGAGCAAGTCACACGGCGCTGTGCACAAGCAGATCGTTTCTGCGAGGCGGAGGGACCTACCACCGTCGCGGTTGCCACCTGCGCTCAGCTTTATGCCATTTGAAGAGGACTATGTCGGGGACGATACGGATGCCGACGAAGAACTGTCGCTCTGTCCTGGGTCTTTGGATGGGCTACCACCTGCTGCCGCGCCGCAGATCATTGACGTACCCTATGCTAGCAGTAACGACGAAGGTGAAGATGAAGATGACGACTCTAACGATGCGGAATCTGATGGCTCGCTCGATCTTCTCGCCCTTGCCCGTGAAGTTGACCCAGAGGCCGTCCGAGCTTGCGAGCGTGAGTACGATGCCAACATGGCTGAGCGACTGGCGGAAGAGATACCCGCGGGTAGTAGTGCTGCCACAGCTGGTGGAGGGAGTGGCTTCGCCTCGCCATCGTCCGGAGTCGGTCGGGACGAGTATCGCCGCGCAAGGCACGAGGTGCGAGCGGCAGCAGGTATGGCGAAGATGGCTGCATTGAGGAAGGCTCAAACAGGTGATAGCATGCAAGTACATGGTGCGCCTCAACGTCCTGGCAGTAATGCGGAGAGCGAGGAGGATGAGGACGCGGAGATGTCAGATGCTAGGTCGTAGAGACTGTGTTTAACTATCCTTACGCACAAACCATCTATCACCACTTGATTCTAGGCAATGTGCCTCTTTCACAAGTCTGCTTCGGCTGCTGCTGCTATGCTTGTCAAAGTTCCTGTGAATGTATCTAGTACATGTGCTCCGTCAGTATTTCGCGGGCCGCTCGTTTAATCTGCAGGGTTTCTAGATGGTGGCGTTAAGCTGCTCATTTGCAATGCGCCTGTCAGGCTTACACCCCCGCTAGCTCTGTGCATACATCGCATGCAAGGTGTTGATACAGTCCGTCGTCGCGCATGACAACTATTTAGAGCTATATCGCGGTCGATGTGGCGCTGGCGAAGCCATATACTGTTCCAGCCGGCTATGCTGGCGAGTTGCGGAACCTTGGCGGAAAAGCCAAACCGTCTCGACGTCTGCATGCGCTGTTGGCACTGACTTCTTACCTGCACCCGTATGCGAGTTCCAAGGAACTATACAATGGAGCAATATCCGCCTCCTCCGGACGCCTCCGTGGTGGATCCGCAGATCACAGGCATTGCGCCCGCCACGTATTCGGACCATATGCCTCAGCCTGAGCAGTCAGAAGTGGACGACTTCTTACGGAAGAAGCGCAAGGCGAGGGAGCACAAAGCCTGTTACCCGTGTAGACAGCGAAAGGTCAAGTAAGTCGAGTATCTGCCCATCAGGGGACTTTGCCGAAGATGTGAAGCTAATGTGCTCCGAAGGTGCGATCTTGAACGACCATGCAGGACGTGCCGAGACCGAGACCATCCCGAATTGTGCTCGTATCATCCACCCAACAAACGACAAGCGATGGATCAGAACCAGGCTGCGATTAAGATTGAAGATGGCGCCTCGTCCGGCTCTGTTACGCTTGGACGTGCCGAATTCGAAATGTTATGCAGCAAACTGAATGGTCTTGAGAGTTCACTGGCCGAGCTCAAAAGAGAGATCAATCGCAATGCTCATGATCGTGTAGCCGAAGATCCCAGACCCGACAGCACTGCATCCACCGGAGCATCCAACTTGAATGGCGAAGCCTCGTCTCAGCAGCCTACTCACACAGACGTCCACGGCATCCACACCAGGAATGACGCAGGTGAGATCGTGCATCTCGGCGGCGGCTCGATTCCAGCCATGCTCTACAGCCTTGGGCAGGGGCAAGGTCAAAGCCCGGACGAGAAGATTAAGCTTCAGGAACTGCTCGGCAAGTCGGTCCTACCTCTTTTCGGACTCGACAACGAATCGGCAACCTATCCCTTCGTCGACTTGTGGGGTTTGCCGCACGGCTCGTTACAACGAGCTCAGGAGCTGGCAAGAGCACTGCCAAACGACGCGCAGTGTCTCAACCTATTTCGATGCTATCGCGACATTGGCCATGTCATCTATCCCGGCATTGCTGACTTGCAGGCACTCGATTCGGATCTCACGACGTTCCTTATCAATCGTGCAGCAATGATTAACTCGTTGGACGGTGTTACAGAGCAAGCCATCTTTGGCAAGACGTACCACTGGCTTGCGGTGCTCTTCGCAGCTTTGGGCAGTGGCGCGCAATGTAGCGCCATGCCACGGAAAGAGCGCGAGCTAACCTCTCAAGTGTACAGTATGCGTTCATGGCTTGCCCGTTGTCGTATCTAGCGCTAATAGGTCTACAGTCTGCTGCAGCTTCGAATGCTTACGGTTTACCAACTTCCTGTCGCAGCCCCACGTTGAGAGTATACAGGCGCTGCTTGTGATCGGAAACGTCATGACGAACAACATGAACGCAGGGACGGCTTGGTGTCTACTCGGCTTGACAATCCGACTGGCCCAAGGTCTCGGACTACATCGTGACTGCCCACCCAACGTGCCAACTGAAGTCGTGCTGCCACGGTCGAAGATCTGGTGGTCGATCATCTGGCAAGACAGCCTACTGTCTCTGACGTACGATAGGGCAAGCACTACGGCGGCGACCGCTTTTAACACCATGCCTATGCCGCAGAACGTTGGGAGGGTAGGCGACTATCATGCTGCCATGTACCGCCTGATGAAAATTGGCCTCGACATCGTTCGGGACCGAGCAACTGTTGCCAGCGCAGTGGACCAGTTCGAGCGCATTTCAGAGCACCAGAACGCAATCTCAACCCTGATGCGAGAGGCAGCGCCATATCTGCGCGACTCTCGGCTGTGCAAGTCGAACATAGATATGATTGAGCATTGGGGTTTCTACCTGCATACATCCTACGCGCTTTCCGAGCTCTACCGGCCTGCCCTAAGCCCCAGCAAGGCCGAGTCCGAGCTATTACAGACCTTCAGCCGTCCCTGTATCGACAACCTCACCAACGTTGTTGAGTCTTACCTCGGACTGAACAATATCACTTCCTTTGCCAGGCAATCTTGGTCAGCCACCCACCGTGCCCTGTCCTCCGCGCTCCTGCTCGGCATCCTCCGTGAGCATACCCGCAACGACCGCGCTCGGATGCTGTTGGCGCGCTTCATGGCGGTCATGATCGAGATCACCAACTCCATCTCGGCACAGGAGATCTCAGCGCCCTTGCAGCGAGCCTTGTCGGCTTTGAGTAAGCTCAAGATTGACGAAGTCCAAGGGCAAGACGAAGGCTATGGCCCCCATGTTGAGGGTGCCACTTCAAGATCGGTCGGTGACCGCGGGAGCAAGGCTGATCACCAAGCGACCATCATTACGCCTGCACACTCTGATGGTAGCAGCTCGCTGGAAGACCACTCGCCGCATTCAGTGCTGAACTCGATATTGTGGGGTGACCCTGACTTTCGCTATCCTGAGACATGGGCTGTGTAAACAGTTGTAGTCCTTCCTGTTCGGGCTGATGCTTAGCGTGGCGTTGTGGCAAGACTCCCTTTTTGGCGAACACACTGGCTGAGCGTTTGTATGTGAATGAAGACACAGATTCGTCCGCGAGCTGGCGTACACATACATCTCAGGCCATTCCCGTCCCACTTCATCCTCCATCTAGTTGAAAATGTATAGTGTGAGGGCAGAGATTTCTGTGGCATGAGCTAACTTCGCATATTGCAAAGCTATTGCTGTAGACGGACGACAATGCTTGAGCACTGTGAGACTCTTACGTGTCAACGGATGCTCTGACATGCTCCTACCCGAACGCCACGCTAAACCAACAGATTGCTCGAGCATGCGGCTCATGGCAATACCACGACACCAATGCTCGCTGCCTGCGCGATGACGCTCTTCACCATGCCCTCCATTGGCACGCCGCTTAACCTCGTCTCGCTCGCCTTAATCTTCGCGATCTCCCAGACCTGCTTCAAGCTCACTGAGCCTACAGTGCCCCGTCCACTGTTTCCCGGAGCTGCCACTCCCGTCTGCGTTGATTGCTTGCCTCTGCCTGCCAGACCTGCATTTGACTTCGGTCCTGCGACGTTCCCAGCGCCACGTAGCTTGTTCTTTGTGGCCTGAACGCCAGCAGCGGCAAGTAAAAGGGATGCCGTTGGTGGTGTCCGTAATTCAAATGAGAAACTCCTGTCCGGCCGCACTGTCACTCTGGCAGGTATGGGTGTGCCTGTCACGTAGTTGGCTGTTCGCGCGTTGAACTCCTGCATCACAGTAAGACTCCAGCATAGTATATGCGCTCCTTGAAAACCTTACTTTGCAGAAGTCCATTGACTTGACGCCTTTGCTGCCGAGGGCTGGCCCGACTGGTGGTGATGGCGAAGCCTGTCCGGCTCCGACAATGAGCTTGACTATCTGGTCGTTCTGCAACGCTCGTTTCGCCATTGTTGTGAGGTCGAAGTCGTCAGTTGACATGCAAGCTGTGGTTCGGTTGTCGCTGACGGTTCGGATATGCCAAGATCGCGATCACCTCTCACGTGACTGACAACGGGCTCATATCAGGCTGGCAAAGCGGTGCGGCACCAGGACGTTGTCCTGATTGGAATGCTTGGTAACTTGGACAATATAGCAAGTGGAAGTGACACACGGATAAATATTCTTTTCGGAGTTATTCCGCAACTGACTTCTCATATCAACAGCATTGATATGACAGAACGCATGGTATATTGATCAGCTCCAAGGACAATCTGCACCAACCATAGGCGCTGGCAACATGAAGACGTCCCGCGGCACAAGCTTGTTAAGCGCCTCAGCATTGGATATGTACATTACATGTATCTCCTTCCGCCACTCGTAACTCCGTTGCAAGGGTATCATCTGTACGCTAAGTCACATTTGAAATGCTGAAATTCAAGTCCAGGAGTTGAGGGTCAATCCAGGATGCCAGCACGCTAAGTGCGATGCTGTGGAATACAACCAGCGATCGCAACCATCAGCAAAACGTATGTTGCACCGCAGACTGCCCATTCGCGAGCTGGTATCAAGTGTCGCATTTGAGTGGTAGCTGCTGCGACAATGAAAGCGCCGACAGCGATAAGAGCGATTACAACAAGCCTTCCAACAAGTGTCGGTATGATGGAGAAGAGTAGCAGAGGCAACATTAGCGCCAAAGGACCGTAAGCCAATGCAGCACGCTTGAAAGGGTTATCGGTCGCCACCTCGGACTTGCCAGGAACGATGAGATCGTCGTCGCGTTCGAGAAAGCGGGCCTCAATTTCGTGTACGGGCGCATGTCTTCCCATCCAGTTTTGGTATGCTTCAAGCTCTCCAGCCTCCGCTCGGTGCGAGCCTTTGGACATTCCTGTGTAAGCGGTCATCGCTTGATTGTACTGCGTGGTCTTGGTGAAGATACGGCCCAGCAGGCTGGTCCGCTGATAATAGAGATCGCTCCCTTGATAAGCTTCACGACGACGGGAAGCGGGCATGCGCTGTCCGTCCGGCTGCGTACGGTCAATCTGCGCGGTGATTTCGTCGATGGTCCGTAACTGCTCTTCGAGCTCGCAGATCTCATCTTGCAGATGGAGAAGAAGTCGGTGGTTAAGGTATTCAAACTTCCGATACAGTGGCGTCACGGAGGACTCGTCCGAGGCCAATTCCCTCGCGAGTAGCTCATAGCCCGCGAATGTTTGCTTGCTCAAGTCTGGCGCGTCCGGCGCTGGAGGTCTGTGACCGTGGACGTCCGCTTCCTGACTAGCAACAAGCGGCATATACATTCCTGGGCTTGTGGGCCACTGATACTGCTGCACCGCCATGGGATAGCCGTACGCTTCAGTAGTAGTTGAGGATGCTGACGGCGACCGTGGCTGACCATGCGCAGTCTCGGTGAAGTAGTACTGCCTTGTCTGGTTACCGTACTGCGTCTGCTGTTGTGTTGGCAATGCGTCGTGTGACGACTGATCTGTGGAACGTTGAGATGTCCGTGACGAGCGTGACGTCGAACGTTGTCGCATGTCAAGATTGAGCTCAGACAGGGCGGTAGAACCGGTAACGCTCGCTTCTTCTTCTTCCATCACATCTTCCACGCTTGGCTGCTTCCGCAACGGTCGAGCAGATGGCTCTGGACTGCGGCTATCACTGCGCTCAGAACGCGTGGAGGAGGCACGATGTGGGTCGTACCTTCGGCGCAACTCTGCAACGCTATGACTGCGCGTACTCGTGGGCGAAGGGAAGGTTGATCGGGAAGATGGCGTGTCGGGAGCATCACTGGAAGCTGCTATAGAAGGTTCGTAAAGGGAAGAGGCTGAGCTTGACAGCATCGATTGAATGTCATTGCTCTCCTCATTGACTGAATAGGACATCATGTATTCGAATACGTTGGGAAACCGAGGCCGTGATTGACCTGAGACGCTTGACTCAGCGTCAAAGGCAGAAGCAGCGTATCTTGGCCTTCCAGTAGGCGTTCTCGAGCTGTCACTGCTACGCCGGTCAAACGATTGCTGAGTTATTGTTGAATTGCTTCCACTCGACCTCTCGGAAGCTCCAGTTAAGCTCGATAGTACAGAAAGTAGCGACGAGTTGGCCTGGAGCAGTGGTTCGCTACGTTTCTGCACACCGCTTGTTCTATGCTTCGCACCTCGTCTGTAGATCGTGTTATTGTCGTCACGGTGATGGCGGCGCCTCGCAGTGTTTCCTTCCCTATGTCGAGACGTGTCCGTGCCTGCGCCTCTTGTGGTTGGACGTGAGCCCGGAGTGGATTCGCTAGCCTCCAATATCTGGCTAAGCCTTGGGAAGAACCGGCCGAAATCACTTTGGCTGCCCCTAGCCTCTCCCATACGAGCACTAGGCAGTCTTGACTGTTGACTATGGCGATGCAATGTTCGCTTCAACGCTTTTCGTTTGCGCGGCGGAGAGTTGTCTATATCAACCCACTCTGATGAGCTTGACCTGGAGGGCTCTTCGTGGGCTGACCAGGGCCCATCCGTACGTCTCCTGCTCGTCTGAGTCCTTTTGTTGGCTACGTCGTCGGAGGGTTTCGACAACACTAACTTTGGTGGTACGAGCGGCGAACCTTCTTCTGCGGTCTCAGACTGTCCGGATGCAACGCACGGTTAGTCTAGGATGATGCCAAACATAGTCAAGCCCACGTACCATGTTGTCGGAAAACCAAGAGAACTTGCCTCTATAGCCACATCAATGAATCTGAAATCGCAGGCGACGAGCAGCATACATCTTGGTGCAACTGTCCAAGATCGGAGGTATGGGGCAACTGTGTGAGACGTGAGACGAAAGGATTCGCATCTCCACGACCCAACCAACGGAATGTCGCAGGACGAGCAGGAGGGAGAGAATGCAGTCTAGCCAAGCAGAAGGGGTAAGGTTGGAACTGTTGTGCAACTCCTGAGATGAAGCAGATAGGCTTGCGTTCAGGGGTTGCCGATGTTCGAAAGAGCAAGGAAAGCTGACCGTTGCAAGTGGCCGACGATGTGTTGGCGCCCCAATGCAGGACATGCATCGCATATTGGCGAGTCATGGGCCATTGGTTCGGATAACTGCATGGCCGCACCCATTCATAGTCATATGTAGTCGGGTGCGTCTCACGTTACAAGTGAGCATTCCAGAGAAATGTAACCACGGGTCGTCGTCTGTCTCGTTAATCAGCCCCTCAACTCCTCACGCCACACACCCTTCCATGCCAAGAGTACGGACTACACCGGCTTTAAAGCACGATCACGTGCGGGGAAGTATCACTTCTTCACTGTGGCTGACTGTCGTACTGCGGGACGTTGCTGGTACATGGTGTACGACATCCGGGTGCGAACTGCTGTCCTTTACTTCCGCCAGCACCTGTCAGCTATATATGCCCAATGAAGGTGCGGCAAGATAGCTGCAGCCTGGCGCTTTGCCCCCGCTTGACACGTCGTGCTGCTGACGTAGAAGCATCCTCCGCAGGCGCAAAGTGAGGTGTTTCTATTCACTCTGTCCATGCGTTCAAAATCGGGGCAACGTACCCTTTTGACGGTCATCATCTTCCACACGTCTCTGCGCGATTGACCAAAACCGCGTTCGCCAACCCGAAGTGAGGTGTAAACATGACGAGCTTCCTTGAATACCTCTCCCATCCTCTCTTTATCGCATCATGCCTCCTAGTGGGGGTGGTCGTTCTATGGGCTGCGACAAGCGTGCCCTCACCCGTGCCTTCCAACCTGCCATGGCAGGGTATGAAGGAACAAGAGTTTCTCGGCCACTTCCGAGCCAGTCTTAGATCGTTCGGTTCAATGAGGGAGTGGCTCAAGGATGGCTACGAAAGGGTCAGCATTGATCAACATATCGTAGAAGACGTAGTGTACTAAAAGCTATACAGTACTCAAAGAATGGCAAATCGTATATCATCCCAGATGTGTCGGGCAGAACTGAGGTGCTTATGCTTCCCTGCAATGTATCGTGGGAGCGACTTGTTGATAGGTTAACAGGTCATCATACCACCACAGAAGTTACGTTGGCTACTCGACCATCCCGACAGCGTCTCAAGCGTTGGCGCTGCGCACTATGATCAACTTGTTGGCGACTACAACTTCACGGATCCGTACGTGCTCGGTACGCTCTACCATGAGCATGTTGTGCACAAGAGTCTAGCTCGCAACATGGCAAACATCATCCCGAACATCCAGGACGAGGTGCAGCACGCCCTAGATGAGACCTGGGGTAAGGACACCGCAGATTGGAAAGACATCTGCGTTTTTTCAAACATGATGGAGGTCGTGGCTCAATTGTCCAACCGTATGTTTGTTGGGTTGCCACTTTGCCGCAATAAGGACTATGGTCGTCTAATGGGAGGCTTCGCCAACTCCGTCATCTCAGCAGTGACCCTTATGCCGCTCTTCCCAGCCTTCATAAGACCGATTGTGGGCCCGGTAATCACCATCCCGAACCAATACTATTGGTGGCGGGTGTCGAAGTATACCGTCCCTCTGATCAAGGAGCGGGAGGCGAACATGGCTCGTAGGAAACAAGATCCATCGTTCAAATGGGAGGAGCCAAATGACTATATCACATGGTATGTCTACTTACAGACGCAGGAGTACTAAACAAACCAGCATTACGGTATGCAGACTTACCGTTCTGCAGGCACATCAACGTCGCCGAGGCAGAAGGAAGGAAAAAGGATCTCGATCCTGTCATGATTGCGCGGTTTCTGCTGCCGCTTAACTTCGCTGCTATCCACACGACCGTGTTCACAATCACTAACGTCTTTTTCGATCTTCTCGGATCTGACCCCAAAGATGGTTTCCTGGAAGGCCTCCGCGAAGAGGCGGAGAATGTGTGGGCAGAGTCCAAGGGCAATTGGAGCAAACAGTCACTCGCAAAGCTCTATCGAGCTGACAGCGCCATTCGGGAATCAATGCGAGTGTCCAACTTCATGACTCATGGTTTGCTCAGAAAGGTGATCGGCAAAGACGGAATAACCGACCCTGAAGAAGGCTTCAAGGTTCCTTACGGTGGCTACGTTGCTACAGACGTCCACTCTGTGCAAGTATGGTAAAGGTACAGTGACCACAACGCAAGCGCTGATTCCGTTCATAGCACGATCCAGACATCTACCCGGATCCGGAACGGTATGATGCATTCCGCTTCTCGCGACCGATCGAAGAATTCGAAGCAAAAAGAACGGCGAGCGGTGGTGCTCTCGACCCGGCTGATGAGAAGGAATGGCTACGTCTCAAGCAGACGGGCATTGTCGCCACTGGCGAGACCTTTCTCCCGTTCGGCCACGGAAAGCATGCCTGTCCTGGAAGATTCTTCGTCAGTCACGAACTGAAGATGCTGTTGGCTTACGTGGTAATGAACTACGATGTGCAGTACCTGGGTAAGCGTCCGGAGAACCAATGGTTCGGGCAGTCGGTTATTCCTCCGACGACAGCCACGATTAAGGTCAAGAGGCGTAGTCAGGCGGCTGCAGTGTAGAGATGGATTTCATGTACAACCTGCCCCCACCACTCGAGTACGTATCCTTGTACCAGCCGGACAGCAGTGAGGCTCATGCTACGCATCGCCATAATTATGCAATCTTCGGCGGCGCATAACATCAACTGCTTGTGGCAAGAATAGGTTAGACTACCTATCAATGCGACAACACACGCTGTCCGCCTTAAGGCTTATTGGTTGAAATTAGCAATGGATGGAGTCCTCACGGCGGAAAATGTCTTGAACCCTTTCCACAGCAAAACCGGCGGGGTGCTGTGTAGGTACCCATGCAGGCGTAAAGCCAGCCACATATCGGAGCTGACAGCTTCCTTGGGTGTTCATCGTAACGTTCCCCTCCGTACGTACGATCACGCCGGAACGCCAGGAGTCGGAGGCCATCATAAAACGATGGCGGTCGCACGAATGGATTACCAATCACAATTTCTGCCGCCTGGTCACTCGCTGGTAGCACTGAAAGCTCAAGGTCCCCCGAACACTTCCCGCCTCCGTGCACTGACCTTGTCGGGGCATCCTGAATGCTTCAAGCGAAAGGCCAGCAGCATGGGTGTCTGCGGGAAGTTGTGGTAACTCTGAGCGTGCTCTGGATCTCCGCCTTCGGTCTTGAAAGCCGGCTCCCGCATCGCATCCATGACGAGCCCTGCCTGAAAGAAGGGTTCGAAAAGTGACCAGAACGGACGATGATAGACTGTAAGTGGCTCGGGCTGCCCGCGGACTGCTTCACTCTGCGAAGGTGGGATGTCCAGGTATCGCATCACCTTGATATAGGTTTGTAGCTGTTGCTTACCAGTGGTAGGATCTTCGAAGATCTCCATTCCGCGGTGGCCAGCGGGCTTCGAAAACGCAGGATGCAGGTCCACGATGACAACGCGGCCGTTTGGAGCGAGGAGCAGAGGCAGGGCTCTTGCCAGAGGCTGGAGAGATGGTAGTGACTTTAGTGTTGTTGATATGGTAATTATATCAAAGGGTCTTATGACGTGTTAGAACGGGCTCGACAACAGTCAGAAAGTGACAACATACGAATGCTTCTCGGCGTACGAGCGCATATTGTCGTAATCCATCAAGTCAATATACCCATAGTTGACCACCAGGTTGTCGCTCAGGGTGCGGTTTCGCGCCTTCACGAGCATAGGCTCAGAGTAGTCAAGCCCAGTTACTTCGGCGCCTTTCCGTGCAAAACGGCGACAGATGATGCCGCTACCAGCCCCGAGATCCAGAACAGTTTCTCCCTCCTTCCAGTCGGCCAGGCTCTCAACTTCTGGAATGAGGCACTGAGTGAACATGTCGTTGCCATCATCGGTACCGGACTTGCCGGTCTGGTTCTTCTCCCACCAGTCGGCGATGGCATCCCAAGCTCGCCGGTTATTGGCATTGGCCGCCTGAAGCGTACCCTCCTGGTTATTATACTGGATGATGTTGATGTAATTTGCTGTCATGTTGATTGGCTGGCTTATTGCGTTAGTGTTGCGACCCATCGTCGGGGATGGAGAATTTAAGGTCAGCGAGCTGATTGGCATTCACTCACGCTTGCTGTGGTAGGAGCAAACAATCGGCGACATTAACCAGGAGACCGCTTGTTATAGTGTGTAACACTATCATGAGAATTCTCAGGCGGCCGTGGACACATCTTCACATGGCTGATATCTGTCAGAGCGGCAACAAGGCTGTGCATGAGGTACAATCTCGGGGCAGTGACCTGCCACGGTTGGTGTACGGCGAAGCGGCAAAGGCTGCAGCCGGGCGATGAAGTGTGCTTGCCTAAGGCTGTGTCTGCCCCACCTTGCGCAATGCTAAGTCATTGGTCGCAGCGTCTGCTTCGGGTCGGTCATGGACGTGACCTCTTCTTCCGTGCCTTTGCTGGCCAACTGAGGAATCCAGGAGACTTTCACTGAATGTCCTCCATTGATCACGATAGCACATTTTGAGGTGATCACGTTATCTAACGCCGGGGATTTGCTGCTGAGATCGTCGGGTCTTCTTCTTCAGGTGCGTGTTCGAGAAGACCTAAGCTTGCAGTAGCACCAAAGCACTCCGCCTCCAGTGGGGGCACCTGCATAGAGGCCACCGCATCTCAGCCATTGCGCTGCTTGACATGCATTGCATGCGGCTTGGTAAGATGGACTGCATTTTGCCTCACCAGGGTGGTGTCAGGCTTCCGTCCTCCCAGGACGTATTAAGTTTGATGCTGCGCCCGCGAAAAAATCAGTTGATCTTTACCTATTCACATGGTCTCTTGGTGGGCCTCTGGTCAGTATGGTTCGATCCCTAGCGCGCCCACTCTTCGCAAGAAACCGAAAGCTACCCGATAATGGACTTCATGAGCTGCCCGTACGTGAACCTCAGCGGTCAGCTCCGACACGAAGCCCTACCCTTCAGCAGCTGGAAGGGGACTGCTATATTCAGCCCCACAGTGATGCCGGCGGAGATGCTTACTACATTGGGGATGCGTACGAGCCAGCCAAATGCGCTCACGAGTGGGAGATCAAAGACAAGTAGGTCGTACCAATTGTTCCAGTGTATAGCACTGACCCGAGGGTTTCCAGCCTTCGTAGGCCATATCTCGAATACATCAAGCGCATCTCGAAGCACTTCCCACATCTGGAGTACTTGGCTCACTGGATGGAGGTCACTTGTGCTCCGCCCAAGTGGAAGTTCATCCAGAAGTGCGAATCCAACCGAGAGTCGCGCGCCCGGAGGTGCCACGTCTGTGTGCTGAACTACGATGGCGACGGCTCACTCAGTTCCAAAACTCATGAGAGTACGGTTGGGCTCGGAGCTGCACTCATGAACGATCCAAGCGATGGTGGAAAGGCACCCGTAAGACTTATCATCGTAGAGGACCTTTCCCGCGACGTTGTGGAGCTGCTAGGCGCAAGATACGACATTGACCCTCTCTTTTTCCTTTCGCATATTGGAGATTATTTGTTCCATAACACCCGCGACCGCTGGGTCGAACTGCCAGACCTGAATGTTGTCGCGCGGCAAAGACCTTATTTCAATGTGTCCTACCTGCGAGCCCGCTATTTCAAGAGCCAGCTGGAATTTGCAGAGGCAGAACGGCAGACGGGCATGTGGAATGTCCTACGCCGCCTCGATAGTGACCGGAGCAGTAAGAGGCTTTCGAACGGCCTGCTAGACGAGAAAGACGCCTGTGTCACGCTCACACGCGCGAAGACCTCTGTATGGGTTAAACCTCGCTCTTCCACTGAGCCGGTTATCGGTGAGTACTTCTCGGTCTCCCACTTGTGGACATCAATTGACTGCTAATTTCTCGAACAGCGATAGTGCTCGTGGATCCGACTGTTGAGGTTGGTTATCCGCAGTGGGGAGGCTATCGACCATTCGCCCCTACGCCGTCAATGCACGATGAGACTGCCGCGGAAGGACCGCCGCGCACCTCGTTGTTCCACGACACCGTGTACTGGAGCAGCAAGATGACCAAAGATGAGCTGGACATTATGCGAGCTGACACTAAGTTCACTGTTGCCATACCAATTCTTCGTCTGGTGCTCGCTGACTGGATGACGGTATTAAAGTATATGGCCACCATGCTTAACAAGCTCGAATGGGAGTTTGAGAGGCCACATTTCTGGGAAAGTCCAGGTGATATTGATGGCTTGCTGAAAAAGCTTTCCCCTTGGCGACGAAATGTTCCTCTCTACAACGGAATGATATCGGATGCGATCGACCGCATTTTTGGGCACAATGCGCGCCCGGAAGACCGGAACGCGAACGCAAGCGTACCCAGTCCTGATCTAGGCATACTATCCCTGCTGCAGGACTTTCGCAGCATTCAGCAACAAATGGCGGAAAGCCAAAAGCGCATCGACACGTACCAAAACATCGTGACTGCCTCTGTCAACATCGAAGAAAGCAGGCGAGCAGTCCAGCAGAATCAACAGATCGGCAGACTGACTTGGATCGCAAGTCTGTTCATTCCTCTGAATGCCACATCAAGCTTTCTCAGCATCTCTCCTGACTTCTCAGCCGCTATACAAACCATTCGGTTATTCTTTGCAATCGGCATTCCTTTGACGATCATCGCCATGCTTTCAGTGGACCTGACCGACCCAAATAGTGGCCTAATACGCCGGGGTTGGAAGGCTCTTACGGTGCGCAAGAAGAAAACAGCCGCAGCAGAGGGTGAACGACCAAAGATGCAGTCGCGCAAAACCATACTGTGGGACATTGGAACTGGCTGATTCGGATGAACGAACTGCCGTTTTAGCGAATATTCAGTGCCAGCGGAGGTGTTGGGAAAGCTTGGTTTCGGCGCTACGCTATAGCCGTATATTGCGGAATGTATGCAATATCCAGGTCGGTAACACGTCGAACTTACTGCGTGGTCGTGGTGCTAATCGGGCTACTGGTGATCGCTCGTCGTCGCCGCATTTGCCATGCCCACGTCCAATCACACGGAAGGTGCGACGTATGCAGGCCAAGGAAACCCCCGATATGCTGTTCAGACTAACATCACCAGTTCTGATAACGGTATTGCATTCATTGCAGATCCCTTGATATGTGTCTGGTGGTAATGTCTCTAGCGGTAGTACAAAGCATGCTTCGGTACGCACGCCGCTGCAAATGCGGAATGCGATCAGCTTACACGATCGTCTCCAGCTTCTGCGCGTAGCCTAACGTATTCTCGATGACCGCGCCACTGCTACTCATGACATCCTTCTCTGCTGCTAGCAGCTCCTCTTCTTGCTGCGGGAAGTATATCCGTCCGTCCCTGGCCACCCAGCCTCTCGATTGCGCGAACTGAACGACTGCGCCTTCTGAATCGAGGAAGAGCAGGTTCTTTGCGTTGGCAATCGGTAGGGACGGGTAAGCCCGCTCTGAGCAGGATGCGATTTCCGACCGGATTGTATTTATGAGCACCTGCGATCCGTATTATTAGTGTCAACGCAACACTCTGGACAGATCAAACCCGCTCACCTCAGAGAACACGCCAAACTCCTCACTCGGCACCCGCTCGCCCTTCGTCTCACCCCAAACCTTGTCGTAGCTCCCCTCCATCAACGCCTGTTCGAGTCTGATGGGATACTGTATGAAAACATCTTTCTCCACCTGTGCCTTCCCTCTGCTCACCTCCAAACCCTCAAGCACTGTGTGAAACCCGCCGTAGTCGCCAAGACTCAGCAGTAACAGCAGGTACAATCCCGTGACCTGACTCTGATGCTTCGGGCGACCGTGCCTTGCGAATCTATCGTCTGGTAACGAGTAGAAAGACTGCAGTTGCTGGTAGTAACGGGTGAAGCTCTCAGTATCTTTTAACCGGATACTGATGAGGGCGCCGCATTCCAGTATGCTTGCCCCTAGAAGGAGATGCTGAGGTGATGTCTGTGATGATGGTACAAGCGCTTTGAGATGTAGTAGTGCGAGCTTGCCACGTGAGAGAAGCTGCGGTGCTTGTTGGATTGTCGACGGTTTGAGAGAATCAAGATGGCGGAGGATCTGGGTTGCTTCGTGCTCGGCCATACCTTTGTCTCTACAGTCTGGGCTGGGAATGATGTAGCGTATAGTTTCTTTGGGACCGGGTCAGACAAAAGCTATTCGATATGAAGGCGTTTGTTGTTTGCCGGCTGACACCCCGTTCACCGGCAAAGCGCATGATGCACGCGACCTACCTGCAGTTCAGCACAGACCATATCGCCGCTGCCAAGCTGCCGTCGGCCTCGGGCCGGCGCCAGGTCGCATGGAAGCTTGGGATTTGCCACCGCACTCCTTCGTCGGTAAGCACGCTGCTGTCACCAGGCGTACAAGGTAGTCACTCCACGTTGGTGTGGACTAGAACAACTCTCGAGACATTACAAGACAGGAGTGGACACGGCGAAACTCTGTTGTGGAGCGATTGCATACATCAGCAAGATAGTCATGTTTAGCGCATTGGCCTCTTTCGAGCAGTCTATATAGGCCCACGAGCCCCCGAAGTGTGTGCAGGAGCTACTGGAGTTAATCTAAATGTCACTGGCTTGTGGCAATGGATGCTGGCGCCTGGTAATCACCGCCCAGTCAACAGCTGGTATGAACAGCTCAGAAGTGATACCACGAATGACGGTAGGCTCGTTATATGCCTGCACGTGGTTAGTGAGACTCATCTTCTGCTTTTTTAAGAAGTTTGGCAGTTCCCATGTGGCTGAGTGTCACCGTATACGGTCTGAGGCGGACTCGGTTCGAAAGTTCTGAAGTTAGCCACTTCTGTGAGCTTGGGCGTCTGGCTTCATGGTTGCGTTCCGGTGAACGAAAGCGAGTCGTTATGCTATGTGCACGGTTGTTGCGCTGATCTGTCACGTTAGCGTATCTACTATCTAAGGTATCATGAATCTGGTCGAAGCCTCGATCTTGGACCGCCGTAGTGACTGATCACAATCTACAATTACGAGTGACAGCTCCTTGACATTTCAACTGCTTTGGATGGGGTATCTGAGAAGTCGACGTTCTGGACGTGTCGGTTGACGCGTTCCGCGTAAACTTGCACTGACATGAGTACCAGAGCTGAGGTGATGCATGGTGCGAGCCTATAAGCACTGGTTCGGCCTAGTCTAAGATCTCAGCGGAAATCTAGAGTTGCGTCCATCGCAGTAACCTAAGGGTTCCAACAGCCGATGACCATCAGCCTTCAGAATTTGTCTACTTACTAAATGCGAGCAAACCCCAGGTCCGGTCTCGTGGCCAGCATGAGTGGTAGGCAAGCAGGCGGACAATGCTGCCCAAGCCGACATATCGTTGACGTTAATCGGCCCGTCGAGCTGCCTGACTCTGATCTCGCCACGATCGTCCGAGACGCTGCTCGGCGCTTCACCTTGCTCTTGTACACGAGCATCGCTCAAGAGATCGATGAGCCCATGGTGGTCGTCGTTTTGTACTAGTTATTGACACAAAATCGTCAAACGTGATGTTGCTGTGGTACGAGGCATTGTTGACGCGGTCGGTGACGGTTTTTCGGATTGTGTGCTGATATTCTGGCTTGTTCGCTGGAGACAGGCACTTGTCTCATGCCATCATCCTTTCGTAGCAACGAAGACGGTCTCTTATGCTGGTCAAGGCCCCCGATGCGTTTCTCTTGCACCTTTCGCACGATTGACCGGCCGGAATCGGATCGGATTCCAGATCGGAATGCATGGTAAGGATGGGATAAGCCTGCAAGTGTGAGGACGAGTGAATATGGTCAGTTGAGCGCGTAGCATCCATTCATGGTATGTGTGACTGGAAGCCTGTCACATTGGGGGGTTCTACTTGCACGGTAGTGCGTTGTGTTTGTGTCTGGTGATGCTAGGCAGGTTGCGCATTCATACCGAGTAGTGGAATTAGTACTTCATGGTTGTACGTCAGCCAAACCAGCACCCGTGTCAGACGGTGCGATCGAATGGGTATAACGAAGTTGGATCCCTGACGAGATGCACGAATACAAAATGACCTGAAGCAGTATAAGCAGCAATCGCAGATTTGAATTTAAACCGTTGCGAGAGCATTATTCGAAGACTCAGCTGCGCCACATCTCGTACAACCCTTCGCTATCTGAATGTACTGGGATGCTGTAGTGGAGAAGTCAGCCGTTAGCATACCGCTAATGCAGAGTCGGAGAGGGCTGGGGAAGCCGGCAAGGCAATTGTAAGTGCTGCATCCGCAATGGCAGTCATGGCACGCCACTAGGTACTCTCGCAAACGCGTAGGTACGTTGTCTTCTTTTGGAATAGGTCTGGCGACCTTCACGGGTGATCGTGTTGCCAAGTCTCGACGGGTAGCGAGGTTGGCATGTGCTCAGAATATGAGTGTGATTATCAGACATAAGATAGGCGCTTGTTACAGTACGATGCTTGACAATACGTGTGGCGTGGACCTTGACGCGAACAAGAGAAGGCCAAGCGAACGGAGCGAACGGCACGAACCACGTGCGGTAATAGCGTCGACAAGGTGAGTACGGTACCGCATGCCGCTTTCAAAACCGCACTGAATGAACGCTGCTTGATCGCGCAGATTGGATAAAATCGAGGTATTTGTGCCCTTCATGACATTGTGATCAAATCCCCGCCATCGCCAGCTCATCTTTGAGTCTTATATGCCAAGTCAGCGTATGATAGTCCAAAATTATGTCCCCTCCCAGGCCGCAGTCTACCGAACCGGCCGTATCCGATCGGTTTCCAATTGCCTCTCTGCAATTGCCTTTGGGGATCAAGGCCGCCAATACGGCATATGCTTTTGCGCAGTTCGGGGGTAGAACGCAGGCTACCATACCGAAGACGCAACGCTAGGTCACAATACGTGACCGTCGGACCCAACGGCGACCCGTATAGCTTCAAGGGACATAGTCCCCAGCCCAGCGGCGCATCGAGCAATGGTGCAATATTGATTGCGTGTTCGTGACTGCAACTCTGACCTCCTTGGCTCTCTTCACCACGTTTCTAGCTTCGAGTGAGTATTCAAGTGTTGGTCAGCTTGTCACGTATAAACCGCGCAAGCGAGGACAGTGATCGCCGGCTTATAGGCAACTGTAAACGCTGTCAGTAAATACGATAAATATCTCAAGTGGCCAATAGCGTGGCGAAAGCGCCCGAAGGGAGAAGCTCGGGTTGCTTGGCGCCCGCTGATGTTCCTCTCTTCCACATCCCCAAACCTTGACCGTATCAATCCTGCAGCCGCATCACCTGCATTCCGCATCCTTGACCCACTCTCAGCAAGCTGTGCAAGCTGCCTTCGTTGTTCTATTGGTCCACAACGAGATACCGCCATTCTCGACGCTGCCCGCGCGCCCACAACCTTCGCGGGCTTAGCCTGCCATCAATCCTGCAGGCGACCCGCAAAAGGCTTTCGGCAGTGACGCCTACGACTCTCTTGCACCGGCAGAGAGCAGAAGGAGACTTGGGGAGAGAAAGACACACGTAGAGTACGTGACCCCAGCACCAAAGGGCGTCTTATTAGGCGCGGCCATGCCACCATCACCGCCCCCTAGAAGCAGCCACGCTGCAGAGCTTGCATGTCCACCACAGCAGCACACGGCAGCTTTGTGCGTGGGTTGACCGTGCAGAGCTCCACTCGCCGCAGTACCTTCGTGGTCGATGAGCTCGGTGGCGCATGGTGAGAGGGATGGCAGCGGTATTGCCGCAATCTGCCCCCGTCCGCACCACGCTCCACAAGCACGCGCGCCTCGGCCTCGCTTGCTTCGGAATCATCACACTCTCACATGACTCCTGCATGCGTTGCATTGATCCGGCAGATTGACTGACGCGTAAGGCCACAGACACCGCTCGCATCCCTGCTGACTGAGGCTGCTCGGTCCCTCGCTCAGCTGCGCGCGCTCTTACCCTCCTGCACCTTCTCTCAAGCCATCACCACGATGGGTAAGCGCATTTTCCTTCATTCCCACTTCACCTGCCAAGGTTTATACCCTCGATCCTCACCTCTATTGAGTTTCGAGGACAACACTTGGCTTTTGCACTGTCTTGAGACAAAGCAACCACAGCGCGACTCGCTCATCACTCATTGAGCAACAGCTAAGCTGACACAACCTTTCACAGACGACAACTACCGCCCTTCTCGTGATCGTGACGATGTAAGTAGACTAACCTCCTCTTTCCTTCCATTATCATTCGAACACACATCCGGATATGGACCGCCTCGAACCTACTAGAAAAGGAGCATTTTGGATACAAACACCACAGCAGCAGGATCCACACGGATCGTCTTCACCATACAATGCAAGGAAATAAGGACTTGAGCTTCAAGGAGACAGCCTCAGCACTCACTGAGCGCGACAAGCAAGATAAGACCATCAAAGCGAGAAGCCGACATACTTGACCACGTAAGCCACAACAGTCCTGGCACAGTCCTGCTCTAGCTTGCGCACGGCAGTGACGAGATGGGTACTGCACAATGGCTTATAGCCCAAAGCGCCTTCTGGAAGCCTTTCATGGTAACTCACGCCCGAACCAATGGCGGAAGTCTGCTGGCCTCCTCCAGAAGACGCTTCGTGCTCCTCGCCATGGCTACCCAACAGGTCTCCAGATACACCCACGCCCAGGCCGGCACATACATTTAGCCACATCTCCGCTTGCTGGATCTAGCATCGCCGTACCTTTGCCGTCAGCGAACAGTGCGTATGACTTCTCGCCAAGTCGTAGGTTCGGCATCGACTCCAGTCCGTAGTCTTAAGTATGGATGGCCGATTGGCATTATTCGAATCCAATCCGCCTATCCTCTGGCCACCAAGGTCCAGAAGACCAGTTTCCGCTGAGCTTGTATGCTATCCGGTGCTTCAACAATCCGGTTGGAGAGCCGCCTAGGATTCCATACAAGCAGCAGCCCTGTCCGTAATCAATCATGGAATGTAGCAAGATGTGGCCGGTGCTGCTTGCTTATACAAGCTCCGCCACTGTCGGTACAGTCACCGCGTGCTGCGTGGCACTGTTCACATCCGCAGCCGCTGCTACTAGCAGCATTTCATGAAGCTTTAACAATGCTAGATCCGCCTCGCCACGCCGCACTCCCGCACCCTGTTCGATAATGAGGGCAATGAATGGCTGGCTGGTTCGGCGCTGCGTATTTGCTGGAGAACTGCGGATGAACACCGGTCGGATGGCGCGCAGCAGAGTGCTCTGGAGCTCTTCAATGGCGGCATGCGGTTCCGACGGCGCTATATCGGATCTGGGTCATGTCTGTCGCTGGTTGCAAGGTCGGCATCGGTCGGTATCATGGCAACCAGTGTACTTCGCAGTCTTACCCTGATCAAGATAGCCTTGAGCATGACATCTGTCTCTTCCATGCGCACCCAGCACTTTCTCAACGTACGCGTATACGCTTGCAATACCGCCTCGCCGGCTGGCGATGGGCTTCTACAATGCTGCTATACGACATCTGCAAGACACGCCCCGTTTGCGCTGCATTATCCCAACGCCATCATCAAGCAATATGCTGCTCTTCTTGTTTGCCAACACTATGTTTGCTGGACTATCCTGGCATCTATAGCACCTGAAAATCTGCTCGGATATCACCGCACGGACCATTCCCAACTCTTGGCGCCGAAACTGGAAGGCTTGCGGCCTCTGGCTCTAGGTCCCCTGCACCAACAACACCCTATCATGGAGCCGATGGCGGATTCCCTCCTCTGGGTCAGGAGAGGGCCACCACCACCGCCACCACAGCCCCAGGAAGCCCCACCACCGCCGTCGCCTATTGGGCCAACGGCACCCCCTGCGAAGAGTAATGCTAATGAGATGCAGCGCTCTCGTGACCGCTCACGCTCACGCTCACCAAGGCGTGATCGCGACTACGACGAAGACCGCCGTTCCCATAGCCGTGATCGCTACAGACGTGATCATAGGGATCGCAGCCCCGTCAACGGCCACGATCGTCGTGAGAGGGAGTACTCGAAGAACTACGAAGATCGTGCGCCACAGTCCCGTAATTTCGAGGATCGTGCTCAGCACAAGGAGAACATGCTCGCCAACGTCCGCGAGTCATCGCAGCAAGACCGTCGTGTCTACGTCGGCAACCTCTCCTACGATGTCAAGTGGCATCACCTCAAAGACTTCATGCGCGAGGGTAAGCATCACTTAAGTACCAGATCCTCCATTTCGACCTGTCACTGACATCCGTTATAGCGGGTGAGGTGCTGTTCGCAGATGTGCTGCTCCTTCCCAATGGGATGAGCAAAGGCTGCGGGTACGCACACCAATATTCAATTGCAGCTAGGAAGTACTGATGTCTGATAGCATCGTCGAATACGCTACTCGTGATCAAGCGCAGGCAGCCATCAATCAGCTCAGCAATCGTAACCTGATGGGGCGCTTGGTGTACGTTCGCGAGGTAACATCCAATCAGCCGGAATCGTATCGAAGTCTGTTGCTGACCATGATTCAGGACCGCGAGACCGAGCCTCGGTTCACTAGTGGTGAGCCGGCTCCGCGTGGCGGCTTCCAAGGCGGATACGGTGGCGGCCGTGGTGGCATGGGCGGAGGGTTCGGCGGTCGTGGCGGTTACGGTGGCGGAGGCTTTGGCGGTGGCGGTGGTGGAGCTGGCAGTAACCAGATCTTCGTCCGCGGCGTATGTTTCCTTCCGCCTACACAAATCATGCTAATGCTTACCAATATTGGCACAGCTTCCGTATTCCGTTGGCTGGCAGGACCTCAAGGACCTCTTCCGTCAGGCAGTTACCACTGGCCAGATTATGCGCGCCGACGTCCACATGGCGCCCAACGGCCAATCTAAGGGCCAAGGTATTGTAGCATTCGACAACCCTCAAGACACGCAGAACGCCATTCAGCAATTCAACGGCTACGACTGGCAGGGCTGCATTCTCGAGGTTCATGAGGATCGCTTCGCCAATAGCGGTCCGCCCGGTCGTGGTGGATTTGGTGGAGGGTTCCGTGGAGGCTACGGCGGCGGCTTCGGAGGCCGTGGCGGCTATGGTCAGGGTGGCTTTGGAGGTGGTTATGGAGGTGGCGGATACGGAGGGCGCGGTGGATTCGGAGGCGGCTATGGTGGTCGTGGAGGAGGAGGAGGCTTTCGCGGCGGCTACGGAGGCGGGGGTGGCTTCCAAGGAGGCACTCACGCAGGAGGAGCTGGTGGCGCTTCGGGCGCTGGCGGCGCTGGTGCTGCTGCTGGTGGCGAGGCTCCACCGCCAAACCCCTTCGTCGACTTCTCCACCTCGGGCGGCCCGGAGAGCGACACCATCTATGTTCGCAACCTTCCGTGGAGCACCAGCGACCAGGATTTGATCGATCTCTTCACGACGATCGCCGAGGTTAAGCGCGCGGAGATCAAAATGGAGACGAATCTTCGCTCCGCCGGCACCGGCGTTGTGCAGTTCGCCAACCAAGAGGACGCCGCGAGCGCCATTGCCAAGTTCACCGGCTACATGTACGGAGGCCGTCCACTCGGCATCAGCTATGTGCGTTACACCAACCAGGGCGATGACAGCATGATGGAGGGTGCGGACGCTGGTCGCATGCAGGCGGAGATGATGTAAAGCATCCTCTAGCCACGCATACTAAGCCAACCGACCTAAACTTATCAACTGCGACAAACCACGCGATTGCCGACGGCAACGTTGCGATTGTTGTCAACAGCTTCTTGCTGGCACTTGCTGGCAGAGCTTGTAAAATACTGGTATGCTCGATTACATACAACGGACTACTTGGAGGCGTGCTTATGGCCCCAACGTGCGATAAGCGACTCGCGGCTGTACCACCATCACGCCACCACCTACTGACCATAATGCGTCCCCAATCTGAGGCTCGCTGGTTGAACAATGGCATGCACATGCTCATGGAGTTCAAGGGGTTGAATAATGGACAGAGCCGGCGAGCTATATCTTTGCCACTGCTAGCCGATATGCAGGCCTAACTTGAGGTAGCGGAATAGGTAGCGTGCTGATCAATGGGTCAACTGTTTCATCACGTATTCGTATACCTGTTTTGTAGCTGGTCAGTCTACTTGTGAGACTTGGTAGAAGCAGGGTTGGGGATGGGAACGAATGCTTACGGCCCATTGCACGGCATTGACGACAAACGCCCTCGCAGAGCACACGCCAAGGCCTCTAGAGAAGACGCTGATGCCTTCAGCGGCATAGGCTTCCTTTGCGATGTGTAATGTGCTTGGTCTTGCAGTAAACGGTAATGTCTGTCTCAGAAGCGGCTGAGCTGCAGGAGAAGCAACCATTGACGAATGGGTTGGTACGAGGTCCCACGTCTGGTAGCGAGTCTTGATTACGTCTTGATAGAGCGTTAGCAAGAGCCTGCACACGATTACCTGGTAGGGAGAGCTATATACCCAACGGGAAGATGGATGACCAGGTCACAATGCCAGCCAATCCTCCACAGAGGAGCACTTTCAGGGCTTGCTGGTTGTGGCTATCACTTTCGGCAGTCATAGCACGCTTGGTCATCTCGTAGCTCCAGAAGCTACAGTACGCTTAGCAACCACAATGCTCACCATTTGCCGCTGGGTGGACGCACTAAAAGCCGTAGCCTACAGCATCTCGTACGCTCGTAATGCCACCACCGAGGTACAGGCCACGGAGTCCAGCCTGCTTCCACATCTGCCTCGCAATGTCTAACGAGGATTGAGGAGGATTGCTAACTTGAGCACGACACTTGACGAGCTCTGTTGGCGCGCTGACGATGAAGGTTGCAAGGCCACCAAGAGCTCCGGCAGTCCAGATGCTCCACGCAGATGGGTTCTCCGGCCAGTCACTCATCGAGCCAGTGTTCAGCAAGGCTAAGCTTCGATTGTACGATACGAATAGTAGAGCGTTCAGCAGGCCATAGCCTAGGATCGGGGCTGCGGCTCCTCGCAGAAGAGAAGTCCACCGCTGTGATGTGGCATTGTTCCTGGTGTTGGCTGAGACATCTGGCAATGTACTCGATGACGGTTCTGTTCTCCATGTGCCGGCTTGCAATCTTGTCTTTAGAATGTCTAACGGATTACCAACAACTATACCTACAACGCCTGCAGAGTAACCCGCCCAGAAGTCAGCGGCCATTATTCGGAACAAACTGCGAACCGCCGCATCGCCCTCTGAGCAGAGCAGGTCGCGCCAAAAGAGTCACTCGAGAGCCATAAAGCACCTGGTAAACCTGATGTGGCCGTCAAACCATATTGACCGTATTCATGCTCATGGAAGCAGTCTTGCAGTGGGTCCAACTTAAGAAGGCACGTTACCGCCACATCGGTCCAAGCGTCAGGACCCTCACTGTGGCTAGGAAGCGTCATCAATGCTTGTAATGGATGAGACAACTTCGTAGAATAAGTGGTCGTTGACGTTCGTACATCTATCTCAGTGTTGCCATGGGGAGGCGGCCGAAGACACGCTCGTGGTACTCGCCCAGTAAGGTAGTTCGCAGCAATGGCACTCCTTTGTCCTGCTGACACATCGTCAGTACTCTCGTGTAGGCTTCCTTAGGAGCGTTCACCACCGTCCATGCGCTTATAGGCGCCGACACTACTTGTGATACATGACGACAAGCACTGAGACGAGGCCGTGGGACTTCACCAACGTGCTTGACCTCGTTAACTCTCTGTCATCGAAAAACGTACCGTCAAGCGACTACAGTACGGGAAAGAATGGCGAGCCGGACAGGCTGCGAACCGGGACTGGTGGTGCCCAGCATGGCGGTACTGTAGCTGCCAGAGATTTCGCAACGCCCAAAACGAGCAAGCTGGGTGATTTTGCGAAAGTATGGCAGTTCCTAGGCTCTCCGTTGGATTCACCGACACCGACAGTGCAGCCACCGAAGAGCGAGCCTGCCCGACTACATACTTTCCCGAGCAAGCTTGACTACACCTCCGATGGCGCCACATACGCCCATTCTACCGCTGCGGCTAAGAGCGGCAAAAGCGTGACCTGGCATGATGAAACGAGTGCGGAAGAACCGGCAACGGATACACTTACGGATCGTTCTGCTTCCCCGGAGACGCCGACCTTGACGAAGCAGCAGCGCAAGAAGCAGAGACGGAAAGAGCGGCGAGCAAAAGAGGCTACAGAAGCGCTTAAGAATGCCACCGTCTCCGAATCCGAAGCGGATAACATGAGCCGCAAAACGCCGGCGCGAAAAGCAAGCGTGCACACTCTTGCGGCCGAGCCTACCAAGCGCTACAATTTGCGCGAGCGTGATGCCGGAGGTAGAGCCATTACAAGCGTGACAGAGAATCTACAGCCCTCTATCGAACTTGCTGCTACTAAAGTCGCAGAGAAGCTCGCAGAGCTAAAGCAAGCTACGCCTACCAAAACCCAGCACAAAACCAGTCCACCAAAAGTACAGCTTTCCGCCAATGTGCAGCCAGCGACGCCTCAATCGGTCATGCCCACACGCGCACCCCGTCCGTCACCGGCGCCACACAGACATTCTCAGCCCCTGTCGTTCCCATCAACACAACGAACCGTTTCCGCGTACGATGCTCTTCAAGCTCAACCACCATCCCAATGGCCCGTCACATCTTCGAAAGCCAATGCTATGCACTTTGTTCCTTCCACTGTTCAGCCGCCAAATCAACCGACGGCAGCATCTCTTATCACCAAGCCCAGTACGGCTCACGCCATCAAGCCAAACGCGACCATCAACCAGAACATTCCTCCTGTGATTGCAAAATCTAAACACGTCATCGAGCCCAAAGTTGTCCGCACTGGAGAGGATCGCAACTGGGCCCTGTTGATGAAGCTTATCGGCGACTTCTGGGAAGACCGTGGGCATCTCATTGCTCCCATGAACCTCACGACTCACAATAACGACCCTAACGGTATCCATGTTTTTGTCGACGCAAGCAACATATTCATCGGCTTTACGGACCAGTTGAAGCGCGCTCGGGGCATTCCTTCTTATGCGCAGGTGCCTCAAGTGGACCTTTCTTTTGACGCATTGGCTCTGCTCATGGAACGAAGACGACCTGTCGCTAAAAGAGTCTTGGCGGGCTCGACCCCACATCTGCCAGCCTTCGACAAGGCGAAAGCTGTGGGCTATGAATGTAGCATCCTGGAGAAAGTCTATAAAGCTCGCGAACTTACCGAACGCCAGCTCTTCTTCAAGGAACACGACCGCTTTGGCCGCCCTTATGTCCGCGCAGACAACGCGAAAGCGCTGTCAGCGAATCATAACGGCCCTGCGATTGGGATCGCGAATGGTAACGGCTCGGCACAAACGAGAAATGGCGGCGAGAGCGGCGGTAGTGGCTCGGAAACGGGCAGCACGCCGCAGTACGCTCCAGCACGCATGATCGAGCAGGGTGTGGACGAGATATTGCATCTCAAGATTCTGGAGTCTGTCATTGATGCCGAGAAGCCTTCGACGATTGTTCTCGCTACTGGCGACGCGGCGCAGGCTGAATACAGCCCCGGTTTCATGGTCATGGTGGAACGCGCATTGAAGAAGGGATGGAAGGTGGAGCTCGTGAGTTGGAGCCATAACATCAGCAATGCGTACAAGAGGCGGGACTGGCTTGAAGCGTGGGGTCAGCACTTTAGGGTGGTGTATCTGGACGACTATGCTGAGGAGCTACTCGAGATGTAAAAATGCGTGATTCGAAAAGTCGCCACAAGATCATCGTCACTTTTCCTCGAAGCTTTTCATTGAACGATCCATGAAGGTTCTGGTGGCACTGAAGAGGACGGTGGGGCCCTTCGGTTCAAGACGGTATTCTGGACAGGACGGACTGTCATTCAGCCAGTCTATCACTCCATCTGCTAGTAAGTATTGAAGACGGCATTTCAGGCGGAATGTACCGACGGCTCTCACACCACAACGGCTGTATGGAAGCGTGGTAAGGGATCTTGCTGATCGTCGTACTGTACACTCTCACCGACCATTCTTCCCGTTCGTGTCAATGATCACTGGTTCGGTGCGTGTACGACTCTGCTGCAAGAGCTTACTGAAGACCCTTCTAGTGTTGTAAATTGAACACCCTTCTAGTGTTGTAAATTGAACACCTTCTAGTGTTGTAAATTGAAGACCCTTCTAGTGCTGTAAACCCGGATCCATCCCCCGTCCGCCATGGTATTGCGATAGACAAATGCGCAGAGCTTCCAAAACAATATTTACGAAGCGGTAGGAGTTGGCGAAGGCGATGTAGTCGACATGACTGCGCATTCTGGGAGATAAGGTATGTGATATCTCGTTATTCGCGAGGGTACATCCCTCGGGCATCACGCCTCCTGGCCGATAGCATCATACAACAGGTTTCTGTCGTATCTGCGGCGGGACACCCGGTGCGCCTAACCAGCAATAACGGAAGCCACCAACACTCTGTGTTCATTGGCGTACCCCCTTCAGCTTGTACTCTTGCGTGCGTAGATTTGCAACCGTACGCCCCTAAGCGTCTTTCGACTGCACATTCACCACCAAGCAAGCGCAGCCGGTCCACTCCCGCAAGATGTAGCGATAAGAAAGTGGAGGACTGATGCAATCCCATTTCTGTATAACCTATTATTGAGCTAAGACGAAAGCAGCTCATCGTGGCGAACGGCTGTTTACCTAATAAGCACGGCTAAGCCTGTGAGCTAAGCTTGCGTGAGCGTTCTCCCCGTGAAGGCTAGTGCTGCCACCGCAGTCTGTCCTCAGCCGCAGGCGACAAGAGGAGCCGAGCGAGATTCTGCTGGACATTAGAAGCAGCATTCGGCATGCTCCAACGACCGGGCCTCGAAGCCTGATGACATGGGATCGACCGATGGGAGACTCACCAGCTGCTGCATCCTCTTCGGACAACCAGCCCAGCATTAATGAGCGTGGCGTGGCGACGATTGTGGCCCAGTACCCGGCTGCATCTGCCCTGCAGTTCGGGCTGGAACGCCCCTGGCGATGGTGAGCTCGAAGGATTCCGCAGTGCATTGGTGCGCTCTGTTGGCCTTTACACACGATTTTCTATGATATTTGATGAGCTTACTTACGAAATGTATGGAATTGAGACCTGATTTCGCGTCCTTACTATCGCTTCTGCCCACGATTTTTGCCATCGCATAGATCATTCGGACTCCAGGCGTGGGAACATCATGCGGTTGGCGGCAACTTTAGTGCCAGTATTGGGAGTACTAGCCGCAGCGCAACTGTACAGCAACAGCAGCAGTGCCACCACCACGATTACTACCAGCGTAATCAGCACCTCTAGCACGATCAGCAGCAGCTTTACTAGCAGTAGCAGTAGCAGTATCATCAGCAGCAGCAAGACTAGCAGTACCAGCAGCAATGTTGTCGTCAGCAGCATTTCGTCCATCGCGTCACGAAGCTCGAGTAGCTCTTCGATCCCTTCGACCTCATCATCGCGCACGAGCAGCACCTTATCATCAACCGCAGCGCCAAGTCCGACCACCAGTGTTGTCTCCGCAACGACCACGTTCAACAGCAGCAGCACCTATATTTATACGCCCCCTCCAGTCACCTACACCGCGCTCTCTGACTTTCCTGGAGCAACCGGCCTTTGTTGCTGGCTTTACCCAGTAGGTGTTGGTGTCAACACTTGGTACACGAGTCCTGTGACAGTTCTTGCTGCAACGGTCCATAGCACATTCTTGGAAATAAACGGCAGCCGCACACTCGCGAATGTTAGCACAGAGTTTGTCCCCAATGCCACGCAATACTTCGGTTCTTACCCGGTGCAATATGGCGACGGGACTTACACGACGGTTGTGCCGGGGGTACCGCCTACTCTGTTACCAGAGGAAGCCAACTTGTATGGTCAAACTTCGGTCAGTGACTACACCGAGGTGACGTTCCCTAACCAGCCGGGCCTGACAATCATGTCACCTACTGCTTGGCTGACATACGAGTTCGCGACACTGGAGGTGGGCTGGTCTTCCGCCGGAAGCTGTTATCAGAAAATTCCTCAAGGAACACTGCTGTGGTCGACCGTCTATAATGGAACGTACTACAGCTCCACCGACCTGGTAACAGCCACCTCCACCGCACTAATGTCATTCGGCTTCGGGAGTCCTGGCACCGGCGAGGCCCAGGGTATTCAGTTAGATTACGCGGTGCCTTTCGTCGGCAATGTCACCCAATACATGGAAGGCGTAGCATGGGACGGGGTTGGCCAGATTCGGTTTGACGACTTCCCGGTCTGGCCAGGGTCTGCTTTTGCCGATGATCCTTACTTGGTCTCACAATTTGCGTCTATAGGCTATTGCAGCCCAGCAGGTGGTCTAGGAGGTGCGTACCGTCGTGAGAGCAAGCCCCTCTAGGTTTGAGAGCTTGCTGACCATCCTTACCAGAACCTACCGCGCATGTCCCTGTTCAGCTACTGACTTCAACTTCCTCGACTGTTATCACGCTAGCAGGAACGCCGGCTTCCACTACTGCAAGCCCAACCGACACGCCTAGCTCAACCGGTACTACGGTTTCTGCAAGCACAGCAGAGACGCCGCTTGCGGATCCGACGGTAGAGACGTCAGCCTCGACCCTACAGGTACCGTCCTCGTCCAGTACGGCAATCACAAGCCCCTCCCAACCATCCAATTTATCACCGGCCACCGCGCAAACACAGACCAGCTTAGCAGTCGATGGTTCCTTCCCGAGCAGCGGAAGCACACCACAAGCCAGCCTCGTTAACCCAACCACGTCTGTAACCGCATTAGCAGATAATATCCCTAGCAGTACAGCTGTCAGCGCACCATTTCCGGTCGAGGAGTCTTCGGAGAACTCGCTATCAGTCCCTACACTGGCTCCCAGCACGTCGACCACCGTGGGTCTAAGTAACCTGATCTCCGCAATCGGTCAAGTTGCCTCCGCTTCAACCGTAAACGAAGGTGCTACACCTGCCGGCCCTGCATCTCCAAACATCGGCTCTGCGCAGGCGGTCGAGACCGGTGGCGCTGTGGGTGTGTTAGCGTCCGCGCTCTCGTCTTCGGCAACCTATACTGGCAACGTGGCCGGTGCTATTGCAAGCGGCCTCGGTCTGACCCAAGCTCAAACTGAAACGCCCGCTCAACCTTCGCCAGTTGCCGCGGCCGTATCTCAACCCAGTGCGTCGGCTCAACTGTCTCCGGCGTTGCAACAGGCTACCGTTCCGGCAGCCATTACGATCGCTGGGAGTACAGTTACGCCGAATTCAGCTTCACAATATGTTGTTGGGCCGCAGACTCTTGCAGCCGGAAGTACGGCGGTCGTCGTATCCGGGACAACGTATTCTTTGGTCGCATCAGGAATCGCTGTTGTTGTCAATGGGCAGACGAGCGCTATCACGGCGGCAGAGCAGTCTCCAGCCGTACAACAATCTCCGACGCTAGCAGCAATCACTGTTGCGGGCTCCACGATCACTGCAAACTCCGCTTCGCAATATGTTGTCGGGACCCAGACTCTCGCAGCTGGTTCCTCGGCAATCGTAGCCAGCGGGACAACCTATTCGCTGGCGCCCTCCGGGACCGCCCTAGTCATTAACGGCCAGACAACGCCTGTTGCAGCATCCCAGCAACCGGTTGCGCCTGCGCCTGCTGCTATCACGGTGGCCGGGTCTTCTGTCACCGCGAACGCAGCCTCCCAGTACGTTGTCGGATCGCAAACTCTTGCCCCGGGAGGCTCAGCAGTCGCCGTAAGCGGTACCACTTATTCATTGGCTGCAGCGGGGACGGCTCTTGTCGTGAACGGACAAACTAGCCCTATTATTATTGCGCAGCAGTCTCGCACAACTTTGGCTATTACGATAGCTGGCGCTACCGTGACGGCCAACTCGGCCTCAGAATACGTCGTTGGCTTGCAGACTTTGGCAGCAGGCGGATCGGCAGTCGTCCTAAGCGGTACCACTTACTCACTTGCTCCCTCCGCCACTGCGATCGTGGTGAACGGACAGACGTCGAATATCGCTGCGGCTGCCAGCACAACCCATCCGGCCACGGGTCAGATCACCATTGGCTCGCAGGTCGTGACATACTCCCAGAACGGCCAAGGCGCCGTGGTGGTAGGCTCACAAACGCTGTCTGCCGGTCAATCTGCCGCGACAATCGCAGGACAGCAGGTTTCCGTGCAGTCGAACGGCGTCATTGTGGTGAACAGCTCTCCCGTGGCAACCGCGGGTGGCACGGCCGCCAGCCCGGTCACGGGGATTGTATCGATCGGTAGCCAGGCGTATACGTACACTGCCCTCAGCCAGGGCGGAGTCGTGGTCGGATCTCAAACTGTATCCGCTGGAAGTCCGGCCATCACGATTGGCGGACAGCAAGTATCACTGGCTTCCAATGGCGTTGTGGAAGTGAACAGCTCGCCTGCTGCAACCGTCACCGCTGCTCGGGCTTCGGCCGCCGCTACGGTGCCCAGTACCGGGGTCATAACAATCGGCACGCAAACGGTGGGATACACCTTCTCCGGCTCCAGCGTGGTCATCGGCTCTCAGACCCTGGCAGCAGGATCCACCATCGTCGTTGACGGTCAAACCGTCTCACTCTCCCCCTCCGGCAGCGCAATCGAGATCGTCTCCGGCTCAAGCATCATCAGCACACTCCTCGCCGCGAGTCCGAGTCCGAGTCCCACCCGCACAAACGATGTACCCACCACCGGCATCCTCACCCTCGGCACGCAGACGGTGGGGTACAGTTTCACCGCATCGGCCGTCGTCGTCGGCTCGCAGACACTCAAACCCGGATCTGCCATCACAGTCAACGGACAAACGATCTCCCTCTCCCCATCCGGCAGTGCGGTGGAGATCGTGTCCGGGTCGAGCGTGCTCTCTACACTTGTGGGTGGGAGTGCTTCGAGGACGAGCGGCGCAAGTGTCTCGCTTGCAGCCGCGGCGTCCTCCACGTCGGCCCCGCGGACTTCGAGTGCCGCCGCAGCTGCTGCGGTTACCGAAAAAGCGATGGGGTTGTGGATGGCTGCGTTGGGCGTGGGGGTTGGGGTCGGTATAGGCGTGTTGTAGCATAGAACATATGAGTGTACGAATCTTGACATTAGCGTAATGTACAGATTATGACGAATGAAAGTTGTTCAATCTGAGTTCTCCACAAGATGAACCTCGATGGCGGTGTGGGAGTACGTCGATGTTTATCTGAACTGGGCCGAGAACTTGAGCTGTGGTATGGAGGTGATGATGCAGGCTGCAGTGAGTGAGTGCTATATGACGATGAACATTGGCAGAGAACGTCGTCAGGCAGTGACATTACGGTATTCGCCGCGGCTATCCTACATCGCCACCGCCCAGCAGCCTCTACACCCGTGGTGGGGCGTGAAAGTGCTGTCGGGCGCATGCTCGCACCATATACGCCATGCTCAGGCCCAAAAGCCACTCTGCACACCGCAACCAAATGAAGCAGACGCCCCGCTCACGCTGGCAGCTCATGACCGCATACCGTCCGTCAAAACGCAACGCAACGCGACGCAACCCACCTCACTTCTTGCTCACGTCCCCGTCCCCGCCCCACTCTTCCCCAAAAGCCCCTCCAACCTCCCCTTCGCGTAGGGGGTAGGATCATACTGCGCGGGCACCAACCCACTCCCCAACACCCCGCCCACGCACACCACCAACCCCACCACGGCGAGCCCCATCACAACGACCCGTCTACTCACCGGCCGTCGAGCTCCATAGTCCGCCCACCCCCGCTGGCCCTGGGCGAGGTACTCTTTGATCTTCTCCGCGCCGAGTTTGTAGTAGACTAGGCCCGCGAGGGCGATGGAGTAGCCGAAGGCTTGCAAGGGGGTGACGGGGTCGTGGAAGATGGCCATGGAGGCGACGACGAGGAGGATGTCTTTTAGCACGCCGGAGAGGGTCATCACTAGGGAGGAGGTTTTGCCGATCTAGGAAAAATCAGTAAGCTAGTTGATCAAGGGAGGGGAGGAGCTTGCACTTACGAGTAGCACGACCGAGACGTTGAGGAGGAACGCCACCATCGCGTTGGCGATGAGCGTCATGAAACCCAGTCGCTGCACATCCCCAAGCGTCATGCGCGGAACCTCGACAATCACCGCCGTCACGCCGTTCATCAGCGCACAGGCGGGGGCGAAGTAGTACAACGACACGAGGGGATCCATCTTGAACTCGGCGCCGGAGAGCAAGCGTTGCACCATGACGAGCCGGATGGCTTCGAAGATGATGCCGCCGCATTGGAAGAGGAAGCCGACGAGGACGAATTTGATCTCGCCGATGGAGGCGATGATGACGCCGACGACGATGAGGGAGACGTTGCCGAGGGTTTTGAGCGAGGGCTCGGAGACGTGGAGGGTCCAGGAGGTTAGGAGGACGACGATGGGGACGGTGGCCTTGACACAATCAAGTCTGTCAGCGTGTTGAGGTTGTGGTCGAGGGGATCGTGGATGACATACCTTGAGCATCTGTATAAAACTCACGCTGAGATACAGATATGCTTGATTCCCGCAGATCAAGCTAAGCGAGAACATGACGCCGATGGGGACGATGGTGCGTAAATAAATGCGGCCCGTCATGGGCACTTTCTTGCGGGAGTCGAGGAGGGTGGTGGAGCGGGCCATGAGTTGGGTCATGAGGGTGGCGAAGAGCATGTGCCAGCTGGTGAGGAAGATGGGGTAGTCGAATTTGGCGGTGGAGAGGACCCATTTGTTGAAGAGGATGACGCCGGAGGAGCAGGCGATCCATGCGCTACATACACGCCAATCCTGTCAGTTTGGTACGGTCGGGGATGCGGTATGGTATGCGGGGACGTACGCGATGTAGACTGCTGGGTGGATGCCAGCGCCTTTCTTGGACGATTCGGGCTTCTCTGTCAATGGGTTGATGATGGGCAGCACCGGCGCGGCTGGGTCTGTACGCTCTTGCTCGCCTGATATACGCTCTTTTTCCGACATCGACATTGTGGCGGTTGTGTTCTAGGTCTCACCCGGTGGCGGTGGTTGTGGTGGTGGTGGTGGTGGTGGTGGTGTTGCGCGACGGATGCGCTTAATGATGGGTCTGCTGTCGGTCGTGTGTGGGCGGCGAGATATCGGATGGTATTAAAATCGCGGCGCGTCGGGTGCTAATGTTGGGTTACGGTGGAAGTGTGTGCGATGGTTGTACTCCGTCGCACCTACCGAGTTGGGAGAGATAGGTAAAGTGGGAAGTGACGAACCAAAAGTTTATTGGTGATGGCATTGGCGAGTGATGCGCGACAGGCAAGGGACAAGCCGAGCTACCGGCAGCCACCAACGGCGAATGCGATGGCGCGTTTATCAACAACTCTGCTTTGTGGATGTTGAGAAGCTTGAATGTTACCTACAGTTTTACCTGATCCTCCCATCTGTCATCACTCCGACACAATGCTGCTCTTGTTGGACGAAAGGTCACGTTACATCCGTTCGAGCATTGTTCCTCACAGCGATATGCGGCCCACTCAAACCTCCATGTGTAAACACGCCTAACGTACAAGCCACGGGAATGTGCTTGGTTGGATGCTTGTGTCGCGTGAATGCTAAACTCAATGTTACGCCGTCCGTATGGGTCATTCTACCCGACCATCATCTCCTGGAAGCAACCTCAACACGAATGTGTGCATCATACAGTATTCGACCTCGGATATGCATAGAGCTCGAGCTACTGCTCATTTCGAAACCAAACGTGGGTGGCGCCGCTCTACCCGCTAATGCCCTGCCCTGCCCTGCCCTGCCGTTTACTGTATCACTGCAACAAGGCCGATGTACCCGACACTAGACCCTTCCTGCCCAGGTGACTCAGCATGTCGCACGAGCAGCCGGCGAGCCGCAAAGGACCCTGCATGTGGTGTGCAGCTTCCGGTGATTCTCGAAAAAAGGTGGACTTGGGGAAGTGGCGGGCTAGTGAAGTCTACCTTTTACATTTACCCTTCTAGATCGTGAGCGAGTCGCCATTCGTTGACTGTGCATAACTCTCGTCCTTACGTCGCTCATACAGTGGTCCTCGCTAATCCACCGAGCGCCCTCCACAGCAACGCGAATAGAGAACATGGCGCCCAATGGCGTGCTGAGCAATGGCAATGGCAGTGGGCAGGAGGTGTAAGCTCTGGAGCTAAGCTTCGTTGCCATCCGGTCCCACTGCTGACTCCTACCTACCTACCCTACTAGCGATGTCGACATTCTCATCATTGGCGCGGGTCCTACTGGGCTGGGAGCTGCGAAGCGTCTTCACCAGATTGTGCGCATACACAATATTCTCCCCATGTACTTACTGTTGATAGCTAATGTCGGTAGGACGGCCCATCATGGATGATCATCGACAGCAACGAGATCCCCGGCGGTCTCGCATCAACCGACATCACCCCCGAAGGCTTCGTACGTCCATATCACACACACCCTCCCGTACGCGTACTCCAGCACTGATACTTTCCTTGTTACAGCTCTACGACGTCGGCGGCCACGTCATCTTCTCCCACTACAAATACTTCGACGACTGCATCAATGAAGCCCTCCCCAACGAAACCGACTGGTACCAGCACCAACGCGTCTCCTACGTCCGCTACAAGGACCTCTGGGTGCCCTACCCCTTCCAAAACAACATCTCCATGCTGCCGAAGGAGGATCAGGTGATATGTTTGGAGGGCATGATCGATGCCGCGCTCGAGGCGCGAGTCGCCAACACCAAGCCGAAAGATTTCGATGAGTGGATTTTGCGGAATAATGGCGAGGGATTGGCGAATATATTCATGCGGCCGTACAATTACAAGGTTTGGGCTGTGCCGACGACAAAAGTGAGAACATCCGCATCACCTCATCGCATGCTCATATACTAATGGGATGTCGTAGATGCAATGCCAATGGCTCGGTGAACGCGTCGCAGCGCCCAATGTCAAGCTGGTTACGAAGAACGTCATCCTCAACAAAACCGCCGGCAACTGGGGCCCCAACGCCACCTTCCGCTTCCCCGCCCACGGCGGCACAGGCAATATCTGGATCTCCGTCGCCAAGACCATACCGCGCGAGAAGCAGCGTTTCGGCTCGCACGGCCGCGTCAAATCTGTCGATGCACCGAACAAACGCGTCCATCTCGAAGATGGCACGACTATTAAGTATGAAAAGCTCATCTCCACCATGGCGGTCGACTCGCTGGTGGAAGCCATGCACGACGACTCCCTCATCAAACTCTCCCGCGGCCTCTTCTACAGCACCACCCACGTCATTGGCGTGGGAGTCCGTGGCTCACGTCCGGAGCGGATAGGAGATAAATGCTGGCTCTACTTCCCGGAAGACAACTGTCCCTTCTACCGCGCCACCATCTTTTCAAATTACTCCCCTAATAACCAACCGCAAGCGACTAAGAAACTTCCGACCCAGCAACTCGCCGATGGGAGTAAACCGGATAGTACCGAGCCGACGGCGGGTCCGTACTGGAGTATCATGCTCGAAGTCTCCGAATCCAGCATGAAACCCGTCAATGTCCAAACCATGCTCCCCGATTGCATCGCCGGGCTCGTGGCAACACAAATGCTCAAACCCACGGACGAAATCGTGTCGACGTACCACCGCGCCTTCGACCACGGATACCCCACCCCAACCCTCGAGCGCGAGGGCGTACTCACCCAATTACTCCCGAAGTTGTATGATATGGGCATTCTGTCGAGGGGTCGATTCGGCAGTTGGCGGTACGAAGTCGGGAATCAGGATCATTCTTTCATGTTGGGCGTGGAGGCGGCGGATCACATCGTCAATGGCGCGGCGGAGCTGACGTTGAACTATCCCGATTTCGTCAACACGCGCGTGAATTCGGAGAGGCGGTTGGTGGATGGGGCGCAGTTTTTCAAGAGTATGAAGGGGATCCGGGTGGAGGGGATGCCGTTGCGGGCGAAGATGGATGGTTGAGGTGGATTGTCGAGGGGGGGGTTTTGTTTTGGGAGATGTGGGGTTTTTCTGGTGAGGCGGATAGGGTGGGGGTTCGGGGTGTTTGGGGTGTATGAGGTGTATGAGGTGCAGGGGAGTTTGGGGTTTAGTGTCTCTTTGTGCCGCGCGGCGTGGTGTGGTTGGGAAGGGGGGCTTATGATTAGTGATGGCATGGTTATTTTGAGCCTTGTTGTGAGGCGGATGCACGGGAGAAGCTGGCATACGGTATTGAGTACCGGTTTAGATTCTAGCTTAGATGCATAATGGTATCGCTGCCAATAGAGCTGAAAGGCGAATGCCCAGGCGCGGAATTGTTTTGGGTGGGTATCGAGTCTCATTCCAACCACGAACCACCTATATTCATACCACATTATACAAACGACTCACGACGACCTTTTCCGGTTTGGCGTTTCCGCCCAGGCTCCTCTTCTGCACTTACCTGCTTTCCTTGCTCATTGCTACACAGTATATGTACATGTATTTACCAGACTCTAAGGCCCGGAGCGTGGAGAACTCCCCCGGGTACAGTACATGTAGGCACGTACGCACTCATGCTGTAAGCACTTCGGCGCTTCCCGCTGTTCCCCGTGTTTTCGGGCCGCGCGCGCAATCCGCAGCCGTTTCCGCAACGCGGGCTTGACATGTGCAGCTTTCAGCTTCAGCTTCAGCTTCACGCCTTCGCCCGACGACGATGTGAATGTGAGTGGCAATGGCAATGGCTGCGCGCGTGTGCGAGTGAACCGTTCTACGGGGCATGCGGTTCCGCGGTGTTTGGGCGTCCTTTGATTCTTTTTTCCCGCCGTTATCCACGTACGTCGCACATCGGCATCAAACGCGCCATCATCTCTCCGGACCAGCCATCAACCCACGCAATAACCCGAAGCGACCGCCACCATGAACCCCGCCGACCTAACCCTCTCCCTCTCCCCGACGCTTACGACGAAAACCCTGCCCACGCCGCAGTCTTCCGCGCAGAAGCATGGTGGGAAAGCGCCCGTTCCGCGCATTGAACTGGAACCCATCGCGACCGCTCTCAAAGCCGCCCTGGGCGAGGGCTGGACGGAGTATAAGACCGCCGTTAGTAGCTTCCTGCTGGGGAACATCAATCAAGCCGAGCTGAGCTACGTCATCAACCCATTACTTTCTCCGGCCTTGACGGTGTTGTCCGTACTTGACCCCGCGCGTCCGGCCACGTCGACACTACATCTGCATAATCAATTCTTGGTGTGTCTGTACGCGAATGTCTACCGTGACGCCCCGCCGAGTGAAGTCGCGAGTTGGGTCGTCGCGACGGATAAACCTGCGTCTACTTCGAAGAATGGCGGGGCCGGTGGTGCGGGGGGCGTGGGGGGGAGCGATGAGGCGGAGGAGAGGCTGAAGAGGGAGGTCATGGGTCTTCATCCGCGGGATCGGCGGAGGTTGAAGATGGTCAAGGAGAATGCGAGCGCGGATGTGGATGCCGGGTTGAAGGAGATGATGGAGTATCATGATGAGCTGGCTGTTAAACCACCGACGGCGAATGCGCATGCGAATGATGTGCCGCCGAGTGCGGGCGGGATGGCGTTGGCGAAGGGGAATTGGGATATCGAGACCCGGCGCCGATATGCGCAACCGCTTGCTGCGGAGACGTTGGAGTTCCCCACCCTCGCCGACCTGCAATCCCGCATCGAACCCATCTGCGCGGAAGAAGGCTTACCCACCAATACAACGGGTATGCACGACCTCGCTGGCCTAGTCGAGCAAGCGACGGAAGTCTACCTGAAGGAAATGATCGGGACCCTCTGGTCGCATGTTCGCGCGGATGGGGTTGGGGAGGGTACGGTTCAGACTTCTGCGTTCCGGAAGCGGCTGAGGAAGGAAGAAGAGGAGGTGGAGAGGGGAGTCGTGCAGCGGAATGCGCTGGGTTTATTGCCGGTCGAGTTGGAGGTCCAGGCGCGGAGGATGCCGTTGGAGATGGAGGATTTGCGGGTGGGGTTGGGGGTCGGGGACGGGTATTTGCGGGGGAGTGGGCTTTTGGGGGAGGGGATTTGGTTGGAGAGGTTTGCGGATAGGGGTGGGGATATGACTCAGACTCGGATCGCTGGAAGTGGATGGGGTGGTGGGGGGAGGACGGTGGCGAATGGTGGGCCTGTGGTGAATGGGCATGCGCATGTTGGCGATGAGGCTGAGGTGTGGCGGGGAGGGTATGGGGGGATGCATACGGAGTTGGCTGGGTTGTTGGATGATTGTTTGGAGGTTGGGTGAGACTTCTTCAGTTCGTGCAACCGCCCTCTTTGCGTTGGCGCAGGAGGCAGTGTTGAGACCCTCGACCACACGTCACCACTGTAACCAACAGTACTAATCGCCGCGTTGGCTACAACAAATCGCCGGATGAATAGCTTCAGCGTTTGGACGAAGTCTCCAGCCAATGCAAACCGGCCCCCGATTATTGCAAAGGGGCGGCATCGATGCGACATCGCGGTCCCGGACAGGCGACAAAACGGAGTTGACAGCGAGAAGCAAGTCGAGCCTTCGTTGGACAGTGTAGCATGGCAAAAGCGGATGCAGATGCAGATGCAGATGAGCTCTATGCAAATGGCGAAAAGCCATATTACCCAATACTTCAACTTTACCTTCACTCGACGGCAACCTCACTGGACGTTGCTCAGCTTACTGCACACGCTCATACGCCCGCCACCACAGCCCCACATTCGCCGCAACCAGCAAATCCAACATCCCTATGCCCGCAGGCTCGATGATCAATTTCCCCAACTTCGCCCGTTTGCCGCCGAACCCTCCGCCCGCTTTCTCCCGGCCGAGGGTGAGGTCTACTCGGCCTTGGGAATCGAGTAGGATGGTGGGAGTCGGAGGTGCGTCGATGTCTCCTTCGCCTTCATGGTCCCCGTTGTGGCGGGAATGGCGCGAGAAATAAGAAGTCCGCTTCTCACTGTTTGGTAGCGTCGGCGTGGACGTGCCGTCTTTTTTTGGGGTAGATGTAGACGTAGGAAGGTTGAAGCGCAGTTCACTCACTTCCACCCCTCCCGAGTAGTTGTTCGGGACGAGGTAGTGTCGGCACTTCAGCGCTTTCCCCGTCGCCGTGGTGCTGAACTCGCATTGCCCATCCCAGGGACTGGCGAAGGTGTAGTTTTTGCTTCGTTTGTCCGAGGTGGGAGTTTCCCGACGACGGCCGGTTAGGTCGGAGAGAGTCCGTTCTCGGCGGGATGGTGCGGGATGTTCGTCCGAACCGACTTTACGATGGCCGTACCCGTGTTCTCCGTAGCGTGAGCCGGGGAGGTAGAGGCGGCGCCGGAAGGTGCCTGTTGGTGCGGTGACGGAGGCGTCGTCGCTGGTGGTGGAGGAGCGGGTGGAGGTGCTGGTGCGTGAAGCGGAACGATCGGGGGTGCTGATGAATTGGGAGTAGCCGGGGTTGGTGATGTCGAGGTAGAGCGGGGCGCCGGAGCGTTTCGTCTTGTTCGCTGCTGAGCCTGGGGAGAGCAGGGCGGTGGAGGTGACTTCGTGGATGGGTGGGTCATAGATGCATGCGACGTTCCATTGAGCGCCGGAGGCTGGGTCGCGCCGGATGAGGGTTAGAGAGCCGAGGGTGGAAGTACTGGCGTCATTGTTGTCGGTTGCCGGTCTCTCGACTGTTAGAAGGTACATGGTCCGGTCGTCGGGAGGGGTAGGTAGTGGTCTTGGCCGAGGTAGTATTGACGGAAGGTTGACGTGGGGCGGAACCAGGGGCGGAGTCTGCTCGTTGGTAATGTCTCGTAGGAGCGGCTTGCGGGGGATATGCTGAATGGAAGCTTGTGACAGTGGTCGAGGCTTTTGAAACGGCGGCTGATCTTCGTCCTGCGAGAGGAATGATGGCGAGTAAGGTGAGCTGCTTTGCGGAGCATGTAACGGTCTTCTTCTGATAGTATTCGGATCTTCTGTGGTAGTGCTTGATCCGGCTACGTCTGAACGCGACGAGGAGGGCCGTCGAGGCTCCGGCGCTTGCTGTTCGTCCTCGAGGTTGATATGTAGATAGTATAGAGAACTGTGCACATCCTCGGCAGACACAATCTTGTCGCGTGGCTTGAGTGGCGTTAAAAAGACATCCTGACTTCCCGGGACTCGTGCGATATATAGTACAAGAGGTCTTTCGACCGGTAAAGGTGCATTCGGATGTGATGGTGGATCCGATGCGATGGCGGTAATGGTTGATAGTGAGCTAGCTTCTACTGTTTCATCCATATCTCGAGCCATGTGTACTTCCGGAAATGTATCTCGATGTCGCCGCTTGGAGCATACAAGGTGTCAGCGTGCCTAAATCTAATGTTTACAACGAAGCCGGGTAATGGTAAGAGAGATGCAAAACGTATGGAGGGCAAGAGCGACGTTCTCGCAGTCCGCGGATGTTGTGGAAGGAAGGCTTCACATATGTATGTATATACACACAGTTAGGCTCCGACATGCTGAGGATGCATGGAAGAGTACGACGGTCAATGTGACGGTTGCTGCGCGGACAATGTGGCTGCGACCCAACCAAGGCATCCCTGTTCTCTTGCCGCGCCGCTGTGCGACTTGCAGCAACACACTCGGAGCGACACAATTCAAGAATGCCTACAGCAACTGATGCGAGGATCTTTGCGTTTCATGTGTGAAAGACATTGTTTTCAAAGCGAACAAGATCATAAATATCTAATGGGTAAGTACTGCATTAAAGGCGTTGGCGGCTCTCTCCGCGCCACAACGTAGCGTAAACATCCCATCTGACCTGGAAAGGCCACCATGTCAAAGATGTATCGATTAAGTGGGAGTGTAGAGATAAGGTCGTACGGAACGGTGGCATGCCTGATATATGTACGGTTACACCGTCTCTCAGTGCAAAGACTGCCTGGACATTTTGGGGAGTGAATTGTTTACTCTACCAGATACGCTTCGACCGTCTACGTGCAGTCGAAGGTACTTCTCGGTGCTGCAGTAGTCCGTTTGTCATGCACCGGCGTTGATCTCATTGTTGCACTTGACATCAAGTAGTTGACCAAGAGGATATGTTTGCCTTCCAGTAAGGCAGCGTATTAGTATTGGGCACGGACCACGAACATGCCTAGCGAATCAGCGTTCATTTGGCATAGCCGCCTTACCTCATTCGGAAATTGTCCCATGACTTTCTGGAAAGCATGAGAGACTTCTGGAAAGCGTGGCGTTGTTACAAGCGACATCTTGTGACCTCCAGCAATATCTGGCAAGATTTCGTAGGTTTGCTAGAAGGTGTTGGAACGTCAGGCGAAAGGTATAAAGCTGGCATGATGGCTCACCTTCACCATCCTCCATCAGACCAAGCAACAACAACTCATCTATGCAAAGCACTCGCATCAGCAACCGACTTCCACAAGTCTACCAAGTCATCAAGACCAACCCAACTCGCAACATGTCTCTCTTCCCACGCGGCATTGCCAACGACCTTGCGTCGTTCAGGCCAATGTTCCAGCTAATGGACGACTACGCCAACCACATGCTCACCACCGGCCGCAACGGTCCCGCAGGCTCAATGACAACCAGTCTCCGATCGTTTGCTCCTCGCTTCGACATCAAGGAGAACAAGGAGAACAACAGCTACGAGCTGCACGGCGAGCTTCCGGGCGTCCAGCAGAAGGACATCAACATCGAGTTCACCGACCCGCAGACCATCTCCATCAAAGGTCGCACCGAGTACGTTCGCGAAGAGGGTGAACGCCCGGCCGGCTTCATCACCGAGGGTGGTGAGCAGACCGAGCAGACCACTTCCAACGGCCACGAACCCCACAAGGCCACCGTCGAAGACGAAGCTGGCCCTAGCTCCGAAGCGAAGAATGACACCACCGAAGTCGCCAAGCAGGCTGAGCAGCAAGTCCAGCAGCAACAACCTCAACAGCCGAAGAACCGTTACTGGCTGAGCGAGCGCAGCGTCGGCACCTTCTCGCGCCAGTTCAGCTTCCCGGATCGCGTCGATGCCGATAATGTCAAGGCCTCGCTCAAGGATGGCATCCTCAGCATTGTCGTTCCGAAGGCGACTGCACCAACTACCAAGCGCATTCAGATCCAGTAAGCGCTTCGCTATGCATCCAGATCAAGAAGGGTCAACCAGAATGTTCGACATGCAACAATCAGACTGCATTGAGCGGTAATGGGTTTCCTCTCGAGCGAGGAGTTTTGGCTGTATCATAGGGTGATGATCGGCGATGAGCAACGGCTGAGCGAGTTGTACAGTAGCTGAAATAATCAATAATGTTGATCGCTTTACCTGAGCTTCCGTATCAACCTTTCCACCTTTTCTCATTATGTATTTTATGGATGCGTTCTCGACATAAGTGGCACTGACTGAATCATGCCTATACGCCGTACCTCCGCGAAGAACGCATGAGAAGACCCACAACAGATGTGGACTGCTCGTTTATCCCCGACCATACGTCCCTCCCTCCACCACAGTAACGTTGACGTCGATGTTGCTGTTGGAGGTAACGGGGCGGAAAGTCAAGCGCTTCCTCGGTTGACGAAGCAATGACTGCTTGGCAAAAAGAAGCTTACTCCATACCCATGCACGCTGCCACGCTTCACGACTTCCGTCACCATCCGCCGCGTCGGTATCGTTACAATTTATTATATCGAGTGTTTCCGTACCATCATTTGTGGTGTCGCTAGCGTATCGCGATCGCGATAATGGAGCGACAAGAATACCCGCGCATGCTGGTAAGCACAGCGAAAGCTATGACCGTACCATACATCGGGAGCTCACCCTTGCATGTAGCCGCAACTGCAGCCCGGGCAAGCGGTGGATGTCCTGAACGATCGCGTACGGCAGATTGATAGACTTAATGTATCACTGGCGGATTGGCTTCAGGTGAGCATATCGACCATGGCGCAACTCGCAATATCAGCAGCTGAGAGCGCGAGTAGGAGCGGAGACGTCTTGAGGAGCAGTATTCGGCAGGCCTGAGGAGACTTGCCCAACGACATATCAATGATGTTGACCTTGGGTATGAACATATAGTTATCGACCATGGTGCACCAAGCTAACCTCCAGCAGCATTTTCTCCGTGCCATGGGCCACTCTTACCGGCGCAGCGGATACCATGTCCGACTCGCACTCTGCGCTGGCCGCGAAGATCGAGATGGATGTAGAACAGCCTTTGCGCAACTTTGCCTCGTCAAACCGAGAAATGCAAGCCATGTCGACAATGCAGGGTAACTTGGGCGCGATGGCAAAAGAAGTAGATAAGGCTCGACAGAAGGCTGAGAAAGTACAGCACAAGGGCGACAGAGCAGAGGCGGGAAGAGTAGCAAACGCCTCGTCTGATGTGGAGAATGCGCAGACGCAGTGGGAATCCCAGGCGCCCTACGTCTTCGAGAACTTGCAAGCGCTGGACGAGGCACGACTTAACCACCTGAGAGACGCGATGACGCAGTTTCAAACGCACGAGGTAGATCTGGTGCAGAAGAGTCAGAGTACGGCAGAGCACTGCTTGAACGTTCTCTTGAGCCTGCAAACTGAGGATGAGATCAAGACTTTCGCGCTGAAAGCGGTGTCTGGACGCCCAAGAGCTGATCGATCGCAAAGGGCGAGCATAGCCCAGGCGCCGCCGTCGCGGGCTGGCACGTCCTCGACTAATTTGACTCCAACCATTTCGCAGCCGGATGACGACAGCTTACGGTCCGGTTCGGTGCAAGAGGAGAAGAAGAAGAGTCGTTTCGGCGGTCTTAAGCGTCTTGGTACCATTACTGGTGGTAAGAAGCGCGAGAGCAAGATGGTGCCCTCCAATCTGGCTCCGACGGCGGAATCCCCGGAGCGCAAACCTAAATCGTCACCTTTCAACCCGCTTGGAGGAAGGTTTGGGAGGAATAGGGACAATGCCAACCTTGAGCCGACAGTGGACGCCGCCTCTTCGCGTGAGCGCCCCTTCTCGCCACAGCGGATTGGTAGCGAGGCACTCGACGTACCCAGAGTGGCCGCTGAGCCGGTAAGCCCGTCGCCGCTCGACAGGGTGCGTGAAGCGCCGCAGACTAATGGTACCGCTGCCACGTTTGGTGGCGCACCTCAATTGGCGATTCCGAATGGTAGCCATCAAGTCGACCTTGCGGATCTTGAGCCTCCGAAACCGAGCCAGCCACAGCCACAACCGATCCCGGAAATGGCAGGGGATTCGGAGGGCTATTCGTTACCACCGCAGACTCTTGACCCCATTTCGCAAGCGCAGGCGGAAGCTGCCGCGGCCGGCGGCGAACAAGCAACGCCGACATATAATGTGAACATCCGCAGTACCCCGATCGAGGACGAAGGCCATGACTCCGCGGCCGCTTTGGCTGTTGTAGCCAATAAGCTGGTGAGTGATGTGGCATAGAATGGTCTGACTGAAGATGGGCACTTAGCTAATATCTACTAGCAAGCACCACCGCCCGTCCTTAGCAAGACCGGCACAGTGCGTGGTCGCAGGAATCGCCCCGTTAGTAGCTTCGGCGATGCCTTGCAAGAAACGCCAGTTGCCGAGTCCTCGGAAGCAGCATCCGAGCAGTCACGAGATATCGCATTCCCCTCCCCGCAGGCTCCTGCGGTGCAATCGCCCGGAGTAGCCTCATCCTCTCAACTCCTCGGATCCATGCCCGGTGGCTCCGCCGCAGCAGGCACGTTCTCCCCCTTCGCATTAGGCATGGGCGGCCAGCAACCCTTCCGCCCCGTCTCCGCCATCGTGGAGCAGCACACCGGCGACACCGGCTCCATCCGCTCCGGCAAATCCCTCACAAGCACCGGCAGCCAGAGCACACGCCACCCGGAACTGCACCACCCGGGCCTCAACTCCTCCATCGTTGAAACGGTAAACGCCCGCTTCGAGAATGGCAAACTCCTCACTTCCTCCCTCATCGGCGAAATCGCACTGGCCTACAACCCGGCCGACTTCACCTCCCCCTTCGGCTCGGAAACGATCCGACTGGAGAATTTCTCGAGTCTGGAGAAAGTCGCGCCGAATCCGGCTTTCATCACCCCGGCTTCAGGCAGGGAGGGCGAGTACGCCGTCAATCTTTCTGGGATCGCGAAGACGCAGGTGGCGTTTAAATATCAAATCCGAGCTGATGATGCAGGCGCCAATGCACCTTTGCTCGTCACGCCGGCGTTCAAAATCGAGCCGAACCAGACTTCGGTTATCATCAGTTACTCGCTTAATCCGGGCTTTAACCTGCATAGCAGAGAGACCTTGACGCTGTCGAATGTGATGCTGGCGCTTACGCTTGAGGGGGCGAAGGCGACGACTTGTTTGTCCAAGCCTGTGGGCGTGTTCTCTCGCGAGAGGAACTCCATCGTTTTCCAGCTTGGCGAGGTCACGCTCAGACCTGGCGCTGCACCGGAGAAATTACTTGCTCGATTCGCGACGGAGTCGGAAGCAAAGGGCGGCAGCGTCGAGGCGAGGTGGGAGATTGCTGGGGAGAATGCGATGGGACTGGGCAGCGGGCTTGCGGTAAGCTTGCAGAGCCAAGCCGGCGGCGGCGGCGGGGCGGGCGATGGTGCGGATCCGTTCGCAGACGATGAGGCAAGTGGTGGGTTGTATCAGGTGTGGAAGGGCGTGCCCGGGGTGAGGAAGCTTACGAGTGGCGCTTACCTTGCGAAGTACGTTGGCGAGCAGGTGTAGTGGGACGGGCATGTGTGTACATAAGTGTGATACCCACTTTGATTGTTGAAGTGAGCTAGATTGTACAGCTTGTCATCACAAACCTACCTGTATCCTCTCAGCTTCCTCAGCCTCCCGGGACAGCCATCGAATGACGTTGTCAGTAAGTCTCCCATGCTTTTACCTCAGTGACGCCCCTTCCATTCCTTTCCACCTCCGAAGCCACCCCGTTGACCATGGTGGTTGCCTACAGTAATACAGTCTGATGCCGAAATATTTGGAACCCGCGCGAAACCCTTGCCCAGCTCAGGTCTTCAAGTCATAAGCTGCACATGCGTGTCGAAGATCTCATTCCTCCACCCATCCGCCTGGAAATCATCCACCCTCTCCGCCGCCCGATCCGCCTCCTCATGCCACACCTTGACAATACTCCCCGGCGCATACACGCCCGTAAACACATTCTTCTGCACGTGTCCGCCCCTCTCCGGCGCGTCGACACCAACCCGCGTGTACAGATCCGGATCCTCTTCCGGCTGCAGCCGCGCGGCGACGGCGCGGAAGAACGTCATGAGATCATCGGGATTGCTGATGCGTGTTGCGCGCAGCCGCTCGCGAGCGAAGAGGAGCTCACGGTTGGCGGCGTGGAAGAAGTCGGCTAGGGCGGTGGCGAGTTGTTTTTCCATTGTTTTGCGTAGGATGGGCCGTAAGAGTGGTTTGAGCAGGAAGCCGAGCCAGGTGAATTTGCTCTTGCGGGTGGCGTAGTTAAGTTTGTGGATGTGGACTCGGACGGCCTTCAGTGTGAGGATTTGTTCAATGCGTTCTTTGCAGACTTCGACGTCAACGTGGATGTCGATGCCCTTGTCATCGAGGGCGAAGGAGGCGATGCCTTCGTCTGCAAGGCGGAAGAAGCCGGAGTGGGCGCGCAGCCAGAAGCCGATTTCGTCTGCTCGGGCGGAGAGGCCGTCGAGCTTGATAGTGACGAGAGAAGTTGTGGAGGTGGCGGTGCGGAACTTGGCTTTGCGAAGCTCGAAGTCGTTGTACGTTTCAACTTTGAGGCGATACGGGAGGAAGGAGCTTTGGTTCACGGTATGTCCGGGCTCGATGATGAGGTTCTCGAGCAGTACATCGACGTCGGGCGTGCTGACTTCCAGACGTGGAATCGGGACGTACTGGATGGCTGAGATGAGTAGCGGCACGAACACGTTGACGGCGTCGGTCAAGAGCTCTGGGTTTGTGGCTTGACTGACGGGTGATAGTATGGAGGCAAGGCGGTATGTGGTGGTGAGCAGCTTGTGGATGTCTGGATCCTCGACCACGGTGCGCCATGTGACTTCGATCTGGCGCAGAAGTGCTTGGACATCCTCGTTCAGCTTGCTATCTTTGCTGCTCTCCCGGCTTTTGGCTCGCAGTTCTTCAAACTTCTGCGGTGCGTTGTCGAAGAAGGAAGGATCCGTCAGGAGCTTCTGCAGCGAGTCGCCGATGTCTTGCACGGTGCTCTCGAGCTCTGGGTTCTTCTCACGATGGCTCATGACTTGCTTGAAAGCCTGCTCGCACTTGTCCCACTCCTGCTTGTCACCGAACGAGGTGATCAGAATCCAGGCGTTCTTGAGCGCCCGGTCAGTCTCCGGATTCTGCTGTGTAGCCTCCGATGCTGCCTGCTCGACTTGCTCAGCCGCGCGAGAATAGATGACTGCATAGTGCTTGATGAGCTGCGACAGAGTTGAGACGGAGCTGTTGTAATCAGGCCTCTGCCTCAGGCTGGACACGGCTTGCTTTAGACGATTGAGTAGCGTCTTGCCTTCGTCGCCTTGCAGTTTCTCCTCAGCACTCTCTACGGTCGTTTTGGCCACCTGCGCTGAGCCATTGACGACAGCCTTGCCGACCTCAGCGACGTCGTTCTCGAGCTCCTGCCCATCAGGAGCATGTCCGTCGCCGTTGGCAGATTGCTTGAGTAAACGTTGTTGCTCTTCTTGCGACGGTTCGAGCTTCTTGCCCGTCTCTTCCGCAACACTTGACAATTTGAACGCCGAGTCCCTGAAGATCTCTCTGCCGACGACATTCAAGTCACCCAAGAAGTTCCTGAAGTCGCCGTTCGTGAGCAGCAGTGAGCCAACGGTCTTCAAGCTTTGATAGGCTGCGGCAGTGTCCGCCCTCGCCCGGCTTTTCCGTGCTCGCTCTGTGATGTGCTCGACGTCGACGGAAATCCTGCTCTTGCTGAGGTACCATATCAGGTCTTGAATTTGGTCACGGTCGTTCTTGTGCTGCATGAGATCCATGAATTGCTGCAGCCATTGCCGCGTGTACTTGACCAGTCTTCTGCCGCTGTCTGACAGCTCCGGATTATCCGAGTTGAGCAGGTTGCTGGCGAGCACGGTGCGGAGATTGATGATGATCTGTTCCGTGCTTGGCATGTAGCCTTTCGTCAATGCCCGCACCATCTGGTACGAGTGCAGTTTCTGATGCAGCTGGCGCTGCATCTCCGTGTCGTCGGCATATTGTGGCAGCAGTGGCTCTCGCTCGGATGTGAGCTTCTTCTTGCGAAGGCCGAAGCAGGACGTGAGTGTCTCCATCGTCACTTGCGCTACGTTGGTGACTTGCTGAAAGGTGTGGCCGTCTTCAGCGTGCAACGTATTTGCAGAGGAACAGACGGGCTAGAAACAAGGCAGCAGCTTGTGTGTCACGGTGACGCGGGTGACGTTCGGGCCAAGAAGTCGACCAAAACGGTAGGCACGCAGAAGCTGGATGTGAGTGAAGGCCAGGTGGTGTTTCGAACGTGCAAACACTGAGAAGCAGACCAATGTGGGATGGATGCTAACAGAGACTGGACTCACGCTGTCTTCATCGTTGCAGACCTCGAGCAGAATGCAACCAAGCGCGGCAAGCTCTCTCCGCAATGACGATCGTGTGGCTGCCATGTGATGAGCCAATCGCAGATCTGCTGCGGGAACGCCTGAGGCAGGAAGCGGCTGGCGATGAAGAAGGCATTGCGGGAATGCTTCCTTCATGTTTGGTGGTAGGACTTGTTGTTTCGTTCAAGTGCTTGTCTGGCGGACATCAGCATTGGCGGGCATTACTCCGTGTAGAAGCTTTCGGTGCTCGCTCCTTGACCGCAGACCGACCAGCGTCGAAGGCTTTCCCCCACCACCACGGCGTCGAATCGCCGAGACCCGTTCCTGGCGGACATCAACCCGCAGCCATCCCGCTCTCAGTTTAGGCACGTCGGGGAAGTTCTCGGAAGGCTGTCTGCAGGGTCTGTCGAGTCCCAAAAAAAGTTGAGCTGCTCAAAAAGTCCGACTCGAGGAACAGCTTCCTCATCACACCGCTCAGGACAGTGCGGTGAGATTGCCGTGCATTGAAGTCGTGTTTACTACGAGGAGACAGGATTCGAGTACTTCTCCGCGAGCGGGTCTCCTCACCTCCTCACCCCACGTATACATCTCCAATGGTGCTGACAAGCTGAACTGTGGCCCTCCGCTGAACATAACATCCCGGCCGGCCATCCATCTCGTTGACCGTTGCCCTTCCCCGAGCCGTATCAGGTTCCCGTTGGTGGCTACCGCTCCAGGTCATCTTGTGATCTCAGCTCAGCTCATTGCTATTTGCATAGTGTATTCTGGCAAAGCAATCATATACATCCATATCTCCCCCTGACTCAACCCCTCTTCTGTCCTGCTCCCTATGCAATTGGTATCCCCACAACACAGTATAGCTACCGCAACGATAAGAACGTTACGAGTACCTCGACTGCCTTGTTGGAGAAGAACCTACGCTACACATCACCAACCCACATCAAACGAACAACTACTAGCCTGGTCGGCACCCTCTCCAGCAACACCTTGCAGCATGTCGCACACCCGCAACATCTCCACCGCCTCGAACAAGGGCAACCGTGCCCCGATGGCCAATCTGCATACTGCGGCCCACAACCACCGCATTCGTCATCCCACGAACTTGCCAGCTCCCACCGACTACGACACCTCCTTGACCCTCGAGGCCCGCAAGTTCCTGAAGACGTACGGTCTCACTCCGCCGGGTGTAGATACCTTCGAGAAGCAGAGCGAGAGATGTTTGGCCATCCTGAACAGCAGGAAGACGCCCATTGAGAAGTACCAGTACTTGAGCGTGCTGAGGAACACCAATGTGCATTTGTTCTACAGGTTGTTGGCGGAGAATGTCAAGGTATGAGTGGAGGCCGCACAACATGAGTTGAGATATGAGGTGATGTTCGGGCTAACGAGGGCGATCTTGTAGGAGCTCACTCCACTCATCTACACCCCGACCGTCGGCGAGGCCTGCCAGCGCTGGTCGGAGCTGTACACCCAGCCTGAAGGCATGTACCTTTCCTTCGAGGACCGCGGCAACCTCCACAGCGTCATCCAGAACTGGCCGCACGATGTCGAGATCACTGTCGTCACCGACGGATCGCGTATTCTCGGACTCGGTGACCTTGGCATCAACGGCATGGGTATTCCAGTTGGCAAGCTCAGCTTGTACACTGCCTGTGCCGGTATCCACCCGTTGAAGACGCTCCCGCTGTGCTTGGATCTCGGTACGAGCAATGAGTCGTTCAGGAACGATCCGCTCTACCTTGGCAGCAGGCGCGAGAAGGTGACTGCCGAAGAGGAGAAGGACTTCTTGGACGAGATGATGGCTGCTTTGACTGAGCGGTGGCCAGGGTGAGCTTACCCGTACGTACGTGCTTTGGTGTTTGCTAACCCTAAAGCTTAGAATCGTGATCCAATACGAAGACTTCAAAAACCCCTTCCCCTCCCTCGAGCGCTACCAGGAGACCTACACCATGTTCAACGACGACATCCAAGGCACCGGCGCCGTCATCCTCGGCGGCTTCATCAACGCCGTCAAGCAATCCGGCGTCGCACCCGCGGACCAACGTGCCGTCTTCCTCGGTGCCGGCTCAGCCGGTGTCGGTGTCGCCAAGCAACTGACCGAGTTCTTCATGAAGGAAGGTCTCTCCGAAGACGACGCGAAACGCCGTTTCTGGCTCGTCGATAGCCAGGGTCTTGTCACGAACGATCGCCCGGGCAAGCTGGCGGATCACAAGATCTACTTCTCCCGTGACGATAACAAGGGTAAGCAATACAAGACGCTTGAGGAGATCGTCGAGTACGTCAAGCCGACGATCTTGATGGGATTGTCCACTATCGGTGGCGCTTTCACTCCCAAGATCTTGTCGCGCATGGCGGAGATGAATGACCGGCCGGTTATTTTCCCATTGTCTAACCCGAGCAGTAAGTCGGAATGTACGTTCGAGGAGGCGATCAAGTACACGAATGGAAAGTGTCTGTTCGCTTCGGGCTCGCCGTTCCCGACGCTCAACTTTGGGGGCAAGGACTTGGTTCCGGGCCAGGGAAACAACATGTGAGCCTCCGTAACGTACCTATTGACCACTGGACATTGTTGCTAACGATAAGATAGGTATGTGTTCCCTGGTATCGGCTTAGGCGCCATCCTATCCAAGGCGGTAAGCGTCACGCAGAACATGATCTACTCCTCCGCCGAAGCGCTCGCCACCTCCATGCTCCCCACCGAACTGCAAGACCACTGGCTGTACCCCGACATCCGCCGCATCCGCGAAGTCTCCGTCATCGTCACCCGCGGCGTCATCCGCGCTGCCCAACGCGATGGCGTCGACCGTGAGTTGGCACTCCGAAACATCAGCGACGAGGAACTCGAGGAGTACATTCGACAGAGGATGTACGATCCGTTCACTGAGCATGAGAAGGTGGAGCGGGAGTTGGTGGATTTGGCGGAGAAAGTTATGACGAATTCTCCTATGAGTCCCAAGGTTAAGCCCGCGGATGCGCTGGGAGGGGCTATGACGAACGGGAATGGGACGGGGCAGAGGAGGAGTACGGTTACTTCGCGTCCGGGTACTTCTGGCGGCAGGAAGTGAGTGTGATGATAGTAGGGTTGGGGTGTTGATTGCGGGACTGCAAGGTGTAGGCGTGAACAGGATGAGCGCTGGCTCCGGGGCGAACACGAAGAGGGTTTCACGTGTCAGATCGCACTGTCGTTCTGGAACACTTTTGAGAAAGAACAGGCTTTCGAGTTGCGAGTGAAGCCAGGCGAATGATGTCGCCACCATTCATCTCGAGCGTTCACAGTACATGGGGCGTGATAACCCATAGGGTAGCATTCATGGTGGATGCTATTAAGATTCAGCACCGAACATAAGACTTTGATGGCCTCTACATGTGCACACAACGCTTCCATCGAGGCTCACCACAACACTATTCGCCTGTGCAATATGCCATGTTCGTGACGTTCTGGTGGTGTTATTAGGCTGAGGAATCTCGGGCCTGAAGCTTCATTAGTTATGGGTGTAACCAGGTTCTCGTGGCTTCCCGGGGCGCCGCTGCCGAGCCGCCGCATTTTGACTCCACGCCGGCGCGATACGAGCGCAATCACACCCACTCCGCGAGCGCTCTTAGACTGCAGGGCATCGCATCGCGTAATTTCGTCGCGAGCAGTAGCGGCTGGGCTAGCAATGTAGGTTTGGCGTATCGCGGACTAACGGTGTTCGCACTATACCTTGCTTCCTCGACATACCAACCCATTTTCCTGTTGATCGGTTCTTAACGACCAGCTCTGCGCGCAGCCCCATCTGCGGCGTAACATGAGTACATCGGCATATTATTAGGGAGAGCGCAATGTCAGCAATTGCGGAGGGATCGATCCGGCGGCGCTCCTTCGAGCCCGGATCACGTCCCGATGGCGGTACCGAGTCCATCGAGATGAAGAGCTCAGCTTTCAACATCTCTGAAGTCTCTCACGGCAAGGGAGATATTGAACTCGACTCAGCTGGCCATGGCCACTCTGTGGATGGATGGGGCGATACGCCCCAGGATGTACGGGATATGCGCCGCCTGGGCAAGAAGCAGGAGTTCAAACGCAACTTCAACTTCCTATCTGCCCTTGGCTTTGTATCAATCTATATGGCGACTTGGGAGTGCGTAGGGAATCGTCTCGCGATGTGGGTGGAGATGTTGCTAACACTTCTACTCTTACTTCTTAGGTTTGTGCTCGTATCACTTTCCGTCGGTCTGTCCAATGGAGGCTTTGCTGGCCTGTTCTGGTGTTTTATTACCACCGTCGCGTGCGTAAGCGGAAGATATAAGGCTTGGCCCGCCGTTTCAGACATCACTAACGACTCTGATTTTCAACCTGTAGCTGCTATTCGACGATCGTCGCTTCACTGGCCGAGATGGCATCTATGGCACCTACATCGGGGGGCCAGTATCATTGGACTAGTGAATTCGCACCGCCGCAGTTCCAGCGAGTGTTGTCGTACGCTTCCGGTAGGTCTACCATTTTCTGAATTTTTGAAGCCCTTCTGACCCTCTGTAGGATGGATGTCGACCCTAGGCTGGCTCGCTAGTGTCGCTAGCAGCGTCTATGTCTGTGGACAACAGATCGGAGCAACAGTCAACGTACTGCAGGCGAATCTGCTTATCACAAACTGGCAACTAACGCTCATCATGTTTGCCTTGATCGCCGTAACCATCGTCTTTAACACGTGGGGCGCACGTGTTCTGCCGGCTCTGGAGACGGCAAGCTTAGTGGGACACATCGCCGGCTTCTTCGTCATCATGATTCCGCTGCTGGTCCTCTGTCCGAAGAACACCGCCTACAACGTCTTCGTGGACTTCGAAGCGAACGGCGGTTGGAGTTTAGGACCAGCCTACCTTGTTTCGCAGGTTACGATCATCTATTGCAACCTCGGATCCGACAGCGTGGTGCATATATCAGAGGAAGTCGAGGACGCATCGCTTGTTGTGCCGAGGTGTATGTTCTGGTCCTTCGTCTACAATGTGGCACTTGGGATCGTCATGTTGATTGTGATGCTGTTCTGCATTGGTCCGCTGGACGGCGCGGTATGTATTCCTCATGCTTTTGCTATATAACGATTGCTGACTCTCGCGGTAGGTCAACTCCGACGTGCCATATGCGGTGCTCTTCAACAACACTGGCAGCCCAGCCCTCGCCGTGGTGCTGAACGTACGCAAATCCTTCACGTTGGCCTTCATCACTATTTGAGGCAAAGCTAACTGTTAGATTGACACTACTAGGTCATCCTCTTCTTCTTAGTCTTTGCCGGTAACATCACGGCACTCGCAACATGTTCTAGAGAAATGTGTACGGATACCCACTCAACGGCTGAGGCAACGCTGATAGTTCGCAGGGGCTTTTGCTAGAGACAGAGGCCTCCCTTGGTCGAAATGGATCGGGAAGATGGACCCGAAATGGCAGATACCCTTCAACTCGGTGTACGCTACCAGCGTCGCCTGCGTCATCCTCGCCTTGATCCAGCTCGGCAGCACACTCGCCTTTAACATCATAGTAAGCGTCTGTTGCAAAGTCCTGTTGAGACCATGCTAATCACAATTACTTGCACTTGTAGGTATCGCTCTCTGTGCTCGGCCTCATGAGCACGTACGCCATCAGCATTGGATGCGTCTTCTACAAGCGCTTGAAGGGCGAGCCACTGCCTCATGCCCGATGGAGTTTGGGTCGCTACGGCATCGTGATCAACGGGTTTGCGCTATTCTACGCGCTGTTTCTGTTGGTCTTCTGCTGCTTCCCAAGCTATCTGCCCGTGGACGCGAGCTCGGCCAACTGGTCGCCGTTGATATGGGCGGTTGTCATCATTGCATCCGTGACTTACTATGCCGTCTGGGGCAAGAACCACTACACCGCGCCAGTGGACTTTGTGGAGGGGAGAAAAGTGGCTGGAGTGGGATTGCAGAGTTCGTGATGGGAGCCTGACGGCGGTGAGGCCAGGACGGGCGAAGAAGGTGAAGGACTGTTGCAGGCGTAGTACTATGCGTACAAACCTTACAATGCGGTCGAAAGCCTGTCCAACGTGCGACGATTCAACGAGGTTTCACTGAGCTTTAACCCATTTTCATTAGAATCTTCGGCGCCAAAGCGGAAAGCTTGGCTAAGCACCTACACTTCAGACGGTACCACCATCCATCTTCGTTCCATAATCTCATTAGCCTGACTCACTACGCCGTCGCTCCAGCACGAACTATGGCCACCACCATAACTCTAGGAACGCTTCTTCGATCACCAACCGCTCTCCGACCTCTCCTTCTCCGCTCACCTCAAGCCCTCTACCACTCCTACGAACACAATGAACCGCCTCCCTACCGCGAACCAGAGTCTGCCATCCTCTCCGCCGCACTCACACACGTTCCAAGCCACGGCTTCACCCAACACGCACTCACCCTCGGAGCAAAAGATGCCAGCTATCTCGACATCTCCGCCAACCTTTTCCCCAAAGGCGTCTTCGACCTCATCAAATACCACCTCGTCACGCAGCGACTCGGTCTAAAGGATCGCATACAATTCCATGACGAGAATATGGGAGTAGGGCGTAAAGTCCGGAGTCTCATCTTAGAACGACTACGCGCCAATGCCGACGCTGGGCTAGTGGGACGCTGGCAGGAAGCTTTAGCCATCATGTCGTTGGCGGAGAATATCCCTCCGTCTCTACGGGAGTTGGGATTGCTGGCTGATGAGATCTGGTTTTTGTCCGGCGATACGGCGGTAGACACGTCATGGTATACCAAGCGCGCTTCCTTGTCGGGGGTATATGCGGCGGCGGAGGTATATCAGACGACGGATCAATCGACGGAGTTTAGGGATACGGAACAGTTTGTTGATCGGAGGTTGGAGGAGGTCAGGGTGATGGGGAGTGCGGTGGCGGGGACGTTGCGATTTCTGAACTTTGAGGCCGGGACGTCTGTGAATCTTTTGAGGAGTAAGGGGGTGAGGATATGAGGGCTGCTGCTATGGTGGGACTATTTTATGAGTATGCTTGACATTTTCATGCCGCAAGACGTTCATGCTTTATATGAGTTGCCAAGCTCTTCGGCATCAACGATGGACAACAAGTTCCGCTGGCTGCCTCTACAAGGAGCTAGATCATGGCGTCACGTCAACAAGGCTTCGTGAGATCGGTTTGCCACTGCCGCTGATTCAATTGATTGGCAAGACTTTGGAGAAGTGCCGACACATCATCAGGCGTTACTCGTCCGAAGCTGCGAAGAAACAAGCAATTACATGCTGCTGCACAGGTCATATCGACGTGCCCACAAAACCTTCAAATTCTTATAAGTAGGCACACTTAGAGCGACGATCAGCTGCCCGCATAGCTGAGCTGACGGTTCTCTCGTTTCTTGAGGGAGTCTTGGACCGTACCGTGCAGTGTACCTAACAGCTGTCCGTGCCGAAGTGAGACTCTGTAGATATCCCTCGTTCAGCAGGGGACGTGATCAGTGTTGTCTTACTTATTCATTGACCTTAAAGTCGATGAGTGGCGTGTTGTCCAAGAGTGCAAGAGTGAGAGATGACAGTGGATATGGCTGACTGAGCGGCGAATGTGGCGCCGCCTCGTGGCATCGGGCCGAGACGGAGCTCTCCCTGTATCTGAACATGAACATCTCGTGAAGCTCCCAAGCTCGTCATCTTCACCACCAAAACACTCGCTTGCGCCACCCTTCATCCTCCCCTTATTCCCCCATACCGCACCATAATGTTCAGTCGGCTATTACCACGGACAGCTACTCGCAGTGCGCTGCAAGCGCAGAACCAAGCCCCTCACATCCTCCGCTCCTCGCCCATCACATGCCTGCTGTCAGACCGGATATCGCAAAGAAGAGGATATGCGACACCTGCTGGTGTGTATGAGGCAGTAGCGAGTATATAAATGGCATACTGACTCTTCGGTAGAGGAGAAAGACTTAGTAATCATTGGTGGCGGCGTTGCAGGCTATGTGGCCGCCATCAAGGCCGGCCAGGAAGGCCTGAAGGTATGCATATACTACCTCATCAGCAGACATTACGACTGATGAGGATATACGATAGGTCGCCTGCATAGAAAAGCGCGGCTCCCTCGGCGGCACATGTCTGAACGTGGGCTGCATCCCCTCAAAATCTCTCCTCAACAACTCCCACCTCTACCACCAGATTCTCCACGACACCAAGAACCGCGGCATCGAAGTTGGCGACGTCAAGCTGAACCTTGAGCAGATGATGAAGGCAAAGGAGACGTCGGTTAATGGCTTGACAAAAGGCATTGAGTTTCTGTTCAAGAAGAACAATGTAGAGTACATCAAGGGCACTGGCGCGTTCGCAGACGAGCACACAGTCAAGGTCAACCTCGTAGACGGCGGCGAGACGAGCGTGAGGGGTAAGAACATTTTTATCGCGACAGGTTCGGAGAGCACACCGTTCCCCGGCTTGACCATCGACGAGAAGAAGGTCATCACATCCACCGGAGCGATCGCGTTGAAGCAGGTCCCGAAGAAAATGGTCGTGATCGGTGGCGGCATCATCGGGCTCGAGATGGGCTCGGTGTGGAGCCGATTGGGCGCTGAAGTGACGGTGGTGGAATTCTTGGGTCAAATTGGTGGACCGGGCATGGATGCCGAGATCAGCAAGAACATCCAAAAGACGCTGGCAAAGCAGGGCATGAAGTTCATGCTCAACACGAAAGTCACCCAAGGCGACGATAGCGGGGAGATTGTGAAGCTGGACGTCGAGGCTGCGAAAGGCGGAAAGGCACAGACGGTAACATTACACCTACATCTTCCCTTCTGCCACATACCCCAGCTGACCTAACGATTGTGTTCAGCTCGAAGCAGACGTAGTCCTAGTAGCCATCGGCCGCCGCCCATACACCTCCGGCCTTGGCCTGGAAACCATCGGCCTAGAAACCGACAATAAGGGCCGTCTAGTGATCGACAGCGAATACCGCACCAAGATCCCCCACATTCGCGTCATAGGCGACTGCACCTTCGGGCCCATGCTCGCCCACAAGGCGGAAGAAGAAGGCGTTGCCGCTGTTGAGTTCCTGACGAAATCTTACGGACACGTGAACTACGGCGCCATTCCATCAGTGATGTATACGCACCCTGAAGTCGCATGGGTCGGTCAGAATGAAGCTGAGTTAAAGGAGGCGGGGGTGAAGTACAAAGTCGGCACTTTCCCTTTCTCGGCTAACTCGAGAGCGAAGACGAACCTGGATACGGATGGAATGGTCAAGTTCCTTGCGGACGCGGAGACGGATCGGATTTTGGGGGTGCATATTGTCGGACCTAACGCGGGAGAGATGATTGCGGAGGGGACATTGGCGTTGGAGTATGGTGCGTCGACGGAAGATGTCGGAAGGACGAGCCATGCGCATCCTACGCTTGCGGAGGCGTTCAAGGAGGCTGCTATGGCTACTTATTCGAAGGCTATTCACTACTAGATCAAGGATGAGTGAAGGAGGGTGTTGAAGAGGGGGACGTGAGGGAAAGCGTGTGGAAGATGGGGTGATGGGTTTGTGGGGATACACTGGGATTTCTTTGCATTGTTTGCGGTGTGTCTGCGTATCGGGCTTGTCTATACCACTTGCTTGAAGCACGCTACCTCTCTGTAACATACTGCTCTAGCATGGAGTTACAGCGGGTTCAGCAGTAGCGTTCACCTTCCATCTGGCGGAGCGTCCATGTGAAGCGCCGGTGACTGATCCGCAATCCATTGAACCACCGGACTTGTCGCTCGTGGTCGTGATCGTGCTCAAGGGTCGGCCGCCTTTTCCTGCCAATCGCATTGCTCTTGATCCCTGCACGACGATCATCTGGGCAGGGTACACATTAGCACACCCGAAGATGTTACACCTTTCACCGCCACGGCCACATTTCTCACCCCACAAAACCAACCAGCACCTCGCCGGTGGATTTTGATCACGGCCGACACCGTCCCATATACCGAGGATAAAAGCAAGCCTCTCTAACTGTATGCAACCCACACAACCACGCCAAAAACCGCTCCAGCCCCAACCCATATCCTCCATGCGGACTCGTGCCATACCGCCGCTGATCCGTATACCAATAATACGCCTCCGCGCCGATCCCCTCGCGCTTATACGCCGCCATTAACTCATCGTAGTCGGACATACGCATACTCCCGCCCACAATCTCACCGACACCCGGCATAAGCACGTCCACGCTCTCGGTAACGCGGGGGTCGAGGGTATCTTTGGCCATGTAGAAAGCCTTGATCTCGACGGGGAAGTGGGTTAGGAAGATCGGCACATTCAGGATGTCGGTCATGCGGCGTTCGGCCGCTTCGGCAATGTCGTCGCCGAAGGTATGCGGTTGGTCGTTCTCGTTCTTGATGTCGTGTTGTTGTAACCACTCGATGGCGTCGGAGTATCGCATGCGTTTGAAGGGTCGAGTCGGCATTTGGAAGTTGGGGTTGAGTTCTTGGAGGTGTTTCGCCATGCGTGGGTTGGACAGGACAATCGAGATTACCGAGCAGATGAGGTCTTCGAGGTGCGTTAGGAGGTCGTCGAAGGTGATGAAGTCTAATTCTGCCTCGACGTGGGTGTATTCCGATAAGTGACGGCGGGTGAGGGATTTCTCCGCGCGGAAGGATTTCTCGATGCAGTAGCAGTTTCCTGCGAAGGGGAGCGCGGTTTCGAGGTAGAGTTGCGAGGATTGGGTTAGGTAGGCTTTCTCGGTGTAGTAATTTATGTCGAAGAGGGTGCTGCCGCCTTCCACTTGGGTTTGCACGAGGGCGGGGGGCGCGACCTTGATGTAGCCGAGTTCGTGGTATCGTACGTTGAAGGCGTGCTCGACGGCGTCGCGGACGAACATTACTGCCGCGGCTGTCTCACCCCGCAGGACGAGATGTCGCTGGTCGAGGAGGGTTTGAGCGTCGCCTTTGGCCTGGACTTTGTTGGTAATGGCGTCCTCGCCGCCGGGCGCTTTACCGATAATCTCGAAGTAGTCGGCGTGTAGTTCGCGGTTATCCGGAGCATGAGCGCCAGGCGGGACTTGCCACATCTCGCCCGTGATCATCATGCTCGTTTCGCGGGTGAGGGTAACGGCATCGTAGGTCTTAGCTAAGGGCCCAGTGAGGACGCACTGCATGAAGCCGTAGCCGTCTCGCAGCGTGACGAAGATGACTTCCTTCTGCTTACGCTCGCGATGCACTCGCCCAAAGACTCTTACCCGCGTCCCTCTGTCGCCTGAAGCATAATCGACGTCTTTACTCCGCTCTCCACTCCCCAACTTCACCACCTCCGGCCTCGTCTCGCCCAGGTTGATCTTCACGGCCTTGGGCAGGCTCAAATCCTCCTTGATGACAATCCTCTTGGCCTCCTCTAACGCCTTATCTCGCTCCTCCTGCTCCTTCTGCTGCCGCAACGCCAGCTCCTTCTCCTTGCCTGCCTTCTTCCGCTGCGCGTCCGCATAGTTGGCCGCTTTCTTCAGAGCTGCCTTGGCTGCAGACTTCCATGCCGACTCCCCATCTTCTTTATCCTTGTTCGGAACTAAGTACGTCGCCTTGTCCCCAAATTGCAGGTAGGCCGCACCCAGGCTTTTGAAGGGTTTCGATTGCGAGCCGTGGCTCTGGTCCAGCACATCCTCGCCCGTCTCCTCGTCAACGTAAACACTTGGTAGCTCTACGTCTTTTTCCGCCATCTTAACACACGCAAGCGGAAGAGCAACGGGAATGTTTATGCTGGGGAAGCTCAATGGCCGCTTATGACTATTTGCGGAGGCTTAAAACATTCACTTTCGACTCATGGAGCGGGGCAATGTGCGTCTGTTGCACGTGATCATGGTGGGGCTTCACATTCGATGCGAAACCGTGAAGCGAACGGATGAACAGTTGTGCGATACCGCTACTCCTCTCTTCGCATGTTCATACATCTCCACACGACAAGAAGACCGACCGAGACGCCTCGCTAGATACCCTCCCATCACACCTTTCGAACCGTGAAGCTCTAACGTCCAGCGAAGGAAGGTATATCCTACTTCGCCTTGCCCTTCCTGGCCCCAAACCCTGTCGCAACCCGACCGAGATTGAGACTACTCTTCCCCTTCACAAGTCCACCACCAACAGGCTGTAGCGGCGGACGTCCCACACTCGCTGCACTCCCCGGCCTCGCGCCACCCGCTCCCACCTTCTCCGCCGGCACGGCCAGTCTTCTTGTCTGCTCTGGCGAGGACATCCTATCATCCGTCGCACCGTCATGCTGTCCCGTGATCTGACGCTGCTGATTCCTCCTCACGCGCTCCTGCGTAGCTTTGAACTTGTCTAAGAGATCATTCCACCTTATCCCGCCATCCCCCGTGCCACCGCCGTCTTTACTCCTTAGTCGGTTCTGACGCTCAAATGTACTGACCGTGCTCGGCGTCGCGGGTGCGCCTCGGGGTGCGATGTGTAAGTAGCCGATCGCGGAGACGCTGTTCAACCGGTTCTTCAACGCAGCGAAAGCGGAACTCTGCGGCAGCAGCATCAATAGACCGTACAGACATTTATACAAATGGGGAAATCGTTCGGGCTCGAGCAGTTGCATGCGCAGGTAAGTGAAGACAGGTGACTCGAGGAGTTGCACAAGCTTGTCGATTTGAATGAGCGTATTGACCGTCATCTCCAGCTCGGCGAAGAGGTGGAGGAGGTTATACGCTTGTTCGTAGGCTTGCGCGAGCAGGCAGAGGGAGAAGGTGGCGACGGCGTTGACGCACCAGGCGCGGAAGAGGACGGTGAAGAAGATTTGGCCGTCGCGGGTGTCGAGGTTGCGGAGGCGTTTGCGAAGGTCTTGTAGTTCGGGGGCTGTGATGAGGTTGTTGTTGAGGTTTTGTACCATGATTGAGGCGAATTCGACGTCTTCGTCTGAGTCGCGCTCGAGGCAGTCGGCCATGGTGCGGTATATCTTCTCTGGCGGTAGGGACAAGCATAGCTGGCGGATGATTAGGTTGCCGCGGGATTCCAGTAGTCGTCGATCGGTGGTGAAGAGCTTTAGCAGGTTCACCATGAACGAGGTGAAGTAGGTATCGTCGCTGCTCTTGCTGATTTGCGACAGCAGCAGTAAATCCCGCGTAACTACCGCTTCGGCGGGATCACTCAGGGTCTTAAGCAATGCTGGGAAGGTGGCGTCTTGTATGGCAAGGATCTTGCGAGGTGACTTGCGGTGAAGCATGATGAGCCATGCGAGTGCGGCGACGCGCGTAGCTTCGTGCTCGTGCAAGAACTGCAGGGTAAGTGCGTTGACTGCTGCTTCGTAGTCCAAGTCTGTTCGTGCTTTCGGCTCCACCTCAGGCTCGTCCTCGACTGGCGGTTCAGGTTCTTGGGTTTGCGGCGCGGAAGTGGGTTGCTCAACTGGGTCGGGGCTTGTAGCCTTCCGCGTCTGTCGAAGACTTGGCGCGCTGTCCCTTCTGGCATCGCCATTGGCTTGCGCAAGCGCTCGGATGGTCGGGATGGAGGTGGTCGTTCCGGGAGCGGACGTGATCGCCGGAGGCGCCTGGTTGGTTTGTTGCGTCTGCTCTGCATCCGTCTGCGGTCTTGATGGCTCTTCTGGAAGTGACATGATATACGCCATGAGCGCTTGGTTGACGCGGTTGGCCGCTTGCTTGACATGGTCAACATCGTGGCTTAACGCCGGTAGCAGCTGGGCTAGGAGTCTTGGGGTGAAGAGCAGAATGTCTTCCGGGCAGATGTCGAAAAAGGTCTCAATCCACTTCAGGGCAATGATCTGTATCTCCTCCTCGCTTGACTCAGAGAGGAACGTTACCAGTATGTCTAAGATTCGCTGGTAGTCAATCTGTACGTCCTGGCCTGGTATCCACTCGTCCTCGAAGTCTTCGTTCTCCTTCTCGAGCTCGCCGCTTGCCTCCAGTGTTGAGCCACCATCTACCGTCGGTGAATCAGTCTCAGCTGTCTTTGGCGTCTGGGGTGTATCAGACGTCGGCGCAGCAGGAGTGCCCGCCTCATCGCCGTTGGCTTGCTCCGTCTTCGCTTGATCCACATCCGGATTGTCGACCGCTACAGCCTCGCTTGACCCACTCGTCTGCTGCTCCTTCTCGTCTCGTCCTCTTCGACTCTCAGCTATCCCCTTCTTAACAGCAGCGATCTTCTTAATCTCGTTGAGGAAGCGATCTAAAGCCACTTTGGTCGTGGTGTGCACATCCTGGTTTGGATCGCTGAGGAACTTCAGCAGGCCGCCCAGGAAACTTGGTAGGTACGCCACGAGCTCCAAATCGGGTATCGAGTCCAGCAATGTAATCCAGGATACCAGGAATGTCCGCGTGAATGGATTAAGGACGTGTATGCGCTCTTGCAGCAGTGGGATGAATCTTGGCAGACTGAAGGCTGTGTGTGCCTCACCATTCCGCTCCGGGCTGTCCACTTCAGAGTCCGCTGTGGCAGGCTCGGGGACTAACATGCTAGCATACGACGCCGCAGATTCCGAAACAATATCCTTCACCAGTCGGTCTAGTAGCTCTGCGCCATTCTTGACGGAGAGTTCTGTGTCGGCTGCAAGCTTGCACAATGCGTCAAAGACGTCATTAAAGTATACGAGGGTCTCCCCCTTCGCCACCTTGGCGATGTTGTACATGCTTTCGCATGCGTAGTACCGCACGCGCGCATCTTGATCGGAGAAGCAAGCTAGTACCGGTGGAACGATTTCTTTCAAGTAGCGAGCGACTTCCTGAGCGTGTCAGCACCTCCATACTGAACTCGAGCCGCGTCTTGCGTCCTTACTGCTCCCATCGCGATCGCCGCAGCGGCCAAGCCGATGAGCCCGCCATTCCTGGCGTGAGGCTGGTGAACGGCATAGGCATAATCATGGCACAGCTGGTGGACAATCTTCGCTATCTTGTCGTGGTTGTTTTCGGCGAGTGCGTTGCGGATGATTGACTCGAGTCTGCGGCCCTCCTCCGTCAGCTTCTGTGAGTACAGTCTGGTATGCGTGCTGCTTCTTCGATTCGTGGAGATGGAAGAGGAACGAGACAAGGCCTATCGCTTGAGGCATTCTTGCCTGCGGACGCCGTATGGTTTGTTATGTGAAGTTTGATTGACTGAACTGTATGCTTACTCTAACGCTCCTGCCTTCCGCTTGTCGTAGAGCTTGTCCTGCAGCGCCTTCGAGACGCTTGAATCCATACCCTAGGTGGCCGAAAGCGCCGACCGTCTGTGATGGCTCTAGGTGATATGGTACATGCTATATGATGGAGCGCAGCATTCGTGGCCGGCTTGCTGCGCACACGGAGGATTCACAGAAAGACTTTGTTATGCGAGCAACAATCAAGCAATTGAACATCAAGGCTGCATGTGTGGCTGCCCCGCATAAACATAGATCCATGCAAACGTCCATGCGCCATGACATGGATCCACAGATACGGGAACTGTGGCGCAGACGAGTCGCAACTCCGCCGGCAAATGCCTCTTTGCATCCGAAGGCAACATCATTCACCGTCAATGGTACTTAGTATTTTGCGTGTTACAGTCTGTCCTTTTCTCCTGACCTGCGATACTGTTGACACCTAATCACAATCTGCGACACACAACGGCAAGCGGTCATTGTCTGAACCAGTCTCATCGCTTCACCAACTCCAACATGTCTTCCAAAAGTACGGATTCGGCACTGCGACGCTTCATCAGGGCCAACTTCAGCCCGGCATTCATCTACCCTGTTAAAGGACTTTGGTATTGTGTTACTCATCGATACTTATGGCCACTGTTCAAGAGTCGCCTGTTGCCGCTGACGCTGCTCTCGATATGCGTTCTGGTGCTCCTCTTCTTGACAGCATATCTACCTGTGGTCGCATTCCTGGCCCTCTTCCACTACCAAGGATCTGCTTGGTTCAATGCCACTGTCTTCATTCTGGGCATCGGCGCGCTACTGATCTCGCTACTGTTCGAAGCGCTTTTTGTAGACAAGACTCAAGTCGACGTCTTTGATGCCGTCATGGTTGCGGAAGGCTACGAGCACTTGGTCAAGAACCGAAGACCAGTTGGCGAGGACATTGATGAAAGCGATCCGGTGAAAAGGCTCGGGCCTCGCGACAAGGGCGCCACCTTCGCGCCCTTTTCGCTACGCCAAGTCATCGAGCTGATAGTACTACTGCCGCTCAACTTCGTGCCGTTCGCTGGCGTGCCTTTGTTCCTGCTTCTTACTGGCTACAGAGCCGGGCCGCTGCTCAATTGGAGGTACTTCGCGCTGAAAGGCTTCACGAAGAAGCAACGAAATGACTTCATCCGAACGAAGAAGCGACGCTGGGAGTACATGTGGTTTGGCACGGTCTACATGGTTCTACAGCTTATCCCAGGTCCGAGTATGCTGTTCCTGCTCACCTCATCGGCAGGCAGTGCGCTCTGGTCCGTACATATTGAGCAGGAGAGCACTGATTCGTGGTACACACAAGAAGACGACGGCTTGTTACCGGAGTACGCAGACGAGGTCTGAGAAGACCATCCATCAAGGTTTAATATCCACTCGAAGCAGTTGCGATTGTTCAGACGTACTGTATGCGTGCATGCTTTCAGCCCCAAGCGCATTCCTAATGCGGCTTGGCGCTTCGCGCAAGGCTGAGAGGCTGAGACCACCCTCGCTCACACAGTCATACTTACCTCGCAACTGACCTTGTCAAAGTTGTTGCTGCCTACATATGCCCTGTTAAACCTTTTTGATTTGCGAGGACGTTGGGCGTCCCTTTACACCCAACATCGTCCGGAGCTTACCAGACGGACCATGGCAGAAGACGGCTCGCACCTTCCAGACATTGCCGTCTCCCGCGCTTCATCTGAATCCAGAGCAAGCAGCAGACGAAGCTTGAGGATTCCCATCCGTGGGAGGACGCCTCCGCCGCCTGTTGTGACAACTGCCAACGGCCAGCCGAATGGTGCATTCTGGCGCTTCAACAAGAAGACAGAAAGTTGGAAGCATCGCACATCCAGTCCAGACTTGGGATGGCGGATCAAGTGGACCCACGATTGCTTCCACAATGGACGTGTCTTGATCATCGATTACATCAGCAGTCTCGGGTCACAGAGCCTGAGCCCCACTGGGAAGCATCATGTAGCAGTGGCCGCCCAGGAAATTCAAGATCTGCGAGGTCTGCAAGGCTTCTATGCCGACCAAGCCAGTGCGCATAGCGTTGCCTTACGAGTCATTCACGTCCAGAATGCGAAATGGGCGACCAACTTTCTCCTGGAGAAGTTCAACATAGATCACCCAGATCCGATAGTAGGGATGCGGAGCTTTACGGATTGGGCACGCTTCGAAAAGCCACGCCAACGTAACGGCAAACCCTTCCCAAACGGTCGTGCCTTTCGCGAGCAGACGGACCCATGGCGGAACGTGTCACGAACAGCGTTTGGACTTGACTATCTAAAGGTCTTTCCGACACCGCCTCCTACGAAGCGAAGACGGCGGAGAGCGGACCTTCGCCCTGCTGAGGCTCGGATGATGCATCTGAACTCCTACGAGGACGGTAACAATCCCGACGGATCCGATGTCTCGGTACAGCGTCTGTCTGTCTATGTACAGCGCTCGCTGGGCGCCCCTGCTCGTGTCAGTCCAGACATCGCAATGAAGAATCCATATGCTAAGACTAGCCCGGCGACTCCGGCAGAAGACAAGGTAGACCCTCACAAGGTGAACGTGGAAAGCCTGGACAATACCAACACGGTGATTGTGTTCGAGACTTCTGCTTCGCTGCAGCTGGACGATTGCCTGATCCAGCCACGCAACGATTTTGAGAAGCGCTGGCGACGCTTGTCTTTTTACCTCCGGCGCGAAGAGGTCATGAATGATGCTCGGCTCGCCGCTGAATGTACCAATATGATTTTGACCGACATCTTCCGTGGCCTTGCTGGCGTATGGACGGAATTTCTTGAAGCCGGCGAGGAGCATACTACCATCCTCGAGGACAAGATCTACGAGCGACCCGCGGACGAAAGCCGAGCTCCCGAGCTCTGGACTAACCAGGCCGCTTGGATGAAAGTTGAGAAGTTGATCTCGCTTCATCAGGACCTGGTGAGGGAGGTGCAGAACAACCTGAAAGAGCTGGCTGAGCTGGACGAGCAGGAGCTACCAGTCCCAGAGCCCGACTGGCTCGCTGGAATACCTGATGAGTTTGGGAAGATCAGTCATACGGTGCAAGAGGACCTTGTGCAGCCTACTGCAAACCTGTCTGATCTGATGTACAAGTCGGTCGGCATTCGCGACTCACGACAGTCGTTACAGCTTGGCCTTAGCATGTGGCGGCTGAGTTGGATTTCGTTCATCTTCCTACCTTTGACATTCATGGTGAGCTTCTTTGCGTTGCCCATCTCCTGGTTCCATGACGGAATGTCACCGGCCTGGTGGTTCGTGTCTGCTATCATTATGATGGCTCTTGGTGAGTGTAATGAATCAGTGCCAATGTAGTATGATCGCTAATATGGAGCACAGTATTGGTGCTCTGGTATATGGTCAAGCATGCATTGCAACGTGGCAGACGGACGCCCTATCAGCGCGGGGTGTATGAACGACTGTTCGGTGAGCTAGAGGACGAGTACCCCTCCGCCTGGACCCGTTTGGGAGCCGATAATGACTTCCAGCCGGTCGGCACCATCAATAAATTGAAGTGGCGGCTGCTGAAACACTGGTTCGTGCCCGAGAAAACTGTCCATAAGAAGTTGTACAGCTCCTTGATTGCGGACGGCGATGATGCCGATTTGGGTCTTCTGGATCGCTTCAAGCGCTCGTTACTCATACGATGGCTGCCTCATGTACTGGGTGAACACCGTCCGAGCGATCCCTTTGACGGTGAGACAGGAGGCCGACGCCTTTCACTGCATTCAGTTCACAGCGGCGAGCCGTCAGCGATGCTTGAGCTGGCCAAGATGTCGACCTCGGTCGCTATGGCGGAAGCCGAGCCGGCTGCTGCCCGACACCTTTCTACCTATGGCTTACATCCGCTAGGCATCTCTGAGCGGAGGAGTAGTGGTGGGACACCGAGACGTAGCAGCGAGGAGAGGCCGGGTAGTCGTGGAAGCAGCGGGGTTATGATTGAAGAGCGCAACTTGAGTGACTCTGAAAGCGACACTGGAGAGGGCGCTGGTGAACACTTTGGTAGCACTGGCACTGGCGTGATGCAGGGTGCACGTTGAGAACGGCCGAATGTGGGCTCCTTTGTTTCTTGCACCTGACTCGCGCTGTTATATTCGTTGCGCTCACCGAGCATGTCGATGGTTTCTCTTCAAGGGTTCGCACACTTTTGGTGAGGCACTCTTTCGGGTGACCTTCTATCGGCATCTTAACCAGCGGGACACTCGCTGCCTCAGCGCTTTGTACAAGCTTTAAGTATACATATCTCGCACTATTCACGGCAGGGCCTCGGCATCTTTCTTCGGCTTCGGCTCGTGACTGGCACGGCGCACGGCACCCCCCATTAACGCTAATGACTGCGTTCACCATTTCTTCGCATTTCCAGGAGAGAATATCTCATCTGTACACTTGGCGACCATGAGAAGCGATAAGCCGGTCGTCCGAGAGAAGACTCTCGTCGGGCAGCAACATCAAACCAATTACGTTTGCAAGGCTAATTGCACAGGCACTACTTGTCGATCAACGCTTCTCCTCACTAACCGCGAAACCATCCTTCCGCGGCCACGCCTCCCCCCGGTCGTGCATAAGCGATGGACGCGGGGAGACAGGCAACGCCGTTCTAAATCCACGCACATCACTGCGCATGCTCTAGTGTTGCCGGTTACCAGGAAATCGACTGGCGGTGCTTTACTGCATGTTCTCCTTTCGCACGATCCAGCTGAAGCGTCGGTAAGTGCTCTATCGCCACGGTCAAACATTGAGCGAAGAGTAATTCTCGTGCTGCACCTGGAAAGGAGCTCATCCGAGGCTCCCGATCACGATGAGGTGAAGCTTTACTGGATGGAATAAACTCGCGGCAGTTTGGTTCGTCCGGGGGACCTACTCCTGTCAGCCGCAAAGTCAAACGCCTGCTTGTTGCCCATTTGCGCCAGGTACCGTGCACCAACTCAAGTAGGTTGGTTTCCAACCATGAGTCGCGAGACATCTCGCTGTCTTCCTTCCATTTGTATTTCGCTTGTCTTCCACACATACTACCTTATTTCATTTCTCATTGCTGTACACGATGTGAGGACAACCAGCTAAGACATTTAATATCTCTGTGTATATATATCTATGTAATATCAACATACTATCGACGTCAACTGGTGGCAGCCATGCCCGGCAACTTTCATGACGTCCCTCCATCGGTCATTGCATCGTGGCCGGCACCTCAGTACAACCACCCTGCAATTGAACGGAAATGGATGCCACAGTTTGGAGCCATATGGATTGCGGCATCAACGATCCTGGTTGCTGGCCGGCTCTATCTTCGAGCCACTCGTCACGCCGGCTCGCTAGGGCTAGATGATGCCCTCATCATTGTTGGCTGGCTGTTCGCTGTCGCCCTGACCGTGACCGCGTTCATTGATGCGGGTGATTATGGCTTGGGCCGGCATACATGGTGAGACGAACTGTGCGCGAACCTTCAGACAGAATAATGACCTAACACTCCGCTATCAGGGATGTTCGGTTGGAATGGTACAGTGGTGCAGCATTGATGGGCTTTATTGCGCAACTGTTCTTCCTCATCAGCACCTGTGCCACGAAATGCTCGGTCCTTCTGTTCTATCGCCGAATGGTGGACCAGTCGGGACGATGGATCTACGCCGTTTATGGGGCGCTCGCGTTTACCGTTTGCTACTTCATTGGTATCTTACTCGCATACTGCTTGATTTGCCAACCGCTCTCGGCATACTGGCTCTCGTACGACTTTAGGTACGACAAACCCTACAAGTGCATTAACGATGGCACGGCTTTGAGCATTTGCGTCGGAGTCTTCAGCGTCATAAGCGATCTGTACGCGGTGATCTTACCGTATGTGATTCTCCGCCGCTACGACCTGCATGCCTCAAGACGTCAAGAGATTGGTCTCAACATACTCTTCAGTTTGAGTCTCTCTGTTGCGGGAGCGGGCATTGCAAGGACGTACTACCTCTGGCAGATCAATCACACCTACGACACGAGCTGGGCTGGCTTTAATCTGTTCGCCTGGTCATTGGTGGAATGCCATTTAGCCATTCTCTGTGCCTGCGCTCCGCACCTGCGCGCATTCTTCCGACGGTACCTGAGCGATCCTATCAATCGCACCTTCCATCGGGCGAGCTATACTCGCAGTACAGGAGAGGGCACTAGGGGAACAGTATCAAGTAGGAAGCGCCAAAGCGAGATGCCTGCCGTGGAACACAAGCTGGCGTCGACCATCGAGGAACAGTCAACGCCAGATTCGTGGACAAACGGCAGAGTCAACGCCACGAAGCCGTTGTCTTACGACAAGCCCGATAAAGTGCATGCGAACATGGATGCTTTCTACGGGATGGAGCACCTTGAGCGAGCAGAGTCCAAGGAGCTGCATAACTCGTACACCTCTAATGCTACGAAGCATATTGCACGAAAACCAAGCCAGAGTTCACACATGTACGATTACCTGACCGAAGGTCTTCCACCGGATCCGCACCGAAGGCATGATATTGAGAACGCGGTGAGGCTTCCCCGAGCGCAGGAACGGTCTTACTCATACTGACAGCCATCGCAGCACTCATGGCTGAATGATCGGTAATCTCTGCCGCCAAAAGTGGCTCTTGTAACAAAAGAAGTCTGTACATCACCCAATATTGTACAATCATCCGAGAACCTGATTCATCGCTGCATGCGCCAGCTCCACGCCTAAGAACGTTGCGGCGTTTGCAGGCACAGCTCTAGCCATCGCGGGTCCAAACCCGGGAAAGAACGCTCGAACACCGCCTTTACCGTAGAGCTCTCGTACTGTGCCCATGATGCTGAGGTTGCCTTCTGCGGATTGCAACCGGCTCTTGACTGTGTCGACCGGGAAAACAGGGATCCACATTGCGACACCTGCGGCACCACCAGCCGCGCAAACGGCTGTCAAGCTCAGTTTGCCGGGCTTGCCGTCTGCGTCTTTGGGTGTTAGTCGACGCTTAATGATTTCGTATGTCGCGAAGTATGCTGCTGAGCCTGGTCCGTCTCGCGCCAGCGTCATCAGGGAGCCTTTGTAGACGGAACGAATGCCGCCTTCTTTGTAGAGTTGTCGGACAACGTCCACTCCGCCGTTGTAGCGTGGTTTCTCGCCGGGCGCTAATTGCTTCTGCCCCTGTATTTGTAGGATAATCTTCACACGCTCGAAGGGCGCAGTGATGAGAGTCATGGGAATGGCGGAGAAGAAGCCTGCTGCCGAGACTTGCGCGACCGAGTACTGGCCATCCTTGACTTCGCTGACGGATTCGACGAGCTGCTTGCCCACGCCGTAACCCCAAAAGCTCACAGCGAACATGGGAGTCACACCCACCAGTGGCGCTGATACACCGGCATAGAGTCCGCGTACAGGTCCCTCACGTGCAATCGTCTTCCTCACCACGTCCATCGCCCCTGTGTACACCCCCTTCTCCGCCGTCTGTAACCGCACTTTGACCAGATCGAATGGATGTCCTACGACCACGGCGAATACACCACCCACGCCGCCTGCCACAAGGTCTCGTAAGCTCGAGAACGACTTTTTGGCGACGACGGCGACATCCTTGGCGACTTCTTCGGCGGAAGGCAGCTTCTCTGTGACGGAAGACGAGGAGGACATGCTGGGCTAAGCTAGCGGAGCTTTGTAGCTTCTGAAGGCTAGAGACTGAAGGTGGTGGCTGCGGTTATTGTGCCATGGCCTTGTAGATGACCATATGGGCGATAGTACGCCAGAGGGATACGGTGCGTGCAAGGCCCAGCCAGACTTTGCCAAATTGCAATGCTTGGAAGGTTTGGAGGCTTGGAAGGCAGACGATCGGATGTGCAGAGCCTCGGCTTGTCGGCCCAATGGCGAGAGCCGTGGTTCGGCAGAGTAAAGCATGTGAACTACTTCAACAACAATCACCGACCATACTATCTTCCTTGCATCTACGGCATGGTCGAGCATGGTGGACACAGCTCTTTGACATTTGCGAGATATCGTCTAAACTATGCAACCAGCTCGACACCATGCAACCATGGCAATGGACTTTGGAAACATCACTCGCAGAGATCTCAGGCTGGAGATGCGGCAAAGGACTTCATCTCGTACTATGAAGGAGCGCTCGCAAGACATGCCCTGGCATTATCACTATCGGCTGTGATCAAATGCAATGACCGTTTCCTGGCTTCCAGTGCAGCTTCGTGACAAACACATGCGCCGTTTCAGTAACTGCACGAGTGAGCTCGAAGCATGAAGGCTTTCTTCGTTCTCATCGCCGTCTTCGCGGCTCAGAACATGCCATAGCACTTGTGACTGGATAGATATAGTCTTGAGCGATACAACTATTGTAATAAGGTTCGCTAACCATCTTGTAGTAATGCTGTTGCGCACACACGTTTCGTCTCCTAATTCAAGAACTTTATATCCAACATTCACATTCATGCAGCTTCACATTCGCAGGGGTTTCACTATCACGTGATTGATCTCTATTTGCCACAATTAGGGGCTTTGCTTTCGTGCCGCTTGTAGACTCGATTCAGATCTTTCAGGCGCAATGATCAGCACTGGCAAGATGAGCAAAAGGAAACGTCTGGACGATGAGACGCCAACTGATCACTTCTTGGCGGACGAAAAGCGATACTATCTCTACGACTACCGCAGTACTAGAGACCTGAAGCGGTTCATCGAGCAGCGAACCGGCCGGCCGGTCGAGGAAGGCCAAGAGAAGCATGTCTATGCGGAAACGCTGGTCAACTTGGACAATGCATGGCGCTTTCGATTCTTTGACCTGCCTCCAGAGATCCGCAACAACGTATGTTACCATCTCCTAACCCTGAGGCCCGCTCGTCGCGGCAATCGACAAGCGCGGCTCGCCTGTTACCCAGCCGTTCTGCGCATTAACTCCCAGGCTCACACAGAGGCACAAGCTTTGCTATACGCCAACAATGTACTGAGCGTTGTAATTCTCGCAGGGTACTATGAGACACAAAACAGACGTTATAGTTCGATCACACAAAACCTGTTTAAGGTGTCATTCCCTGAGATCGGCGCACCGTCGATTCTGCTTCACAACAACCCAACAGACAACATCAACGTCCGATGGCCGATGTTCGTGCAGAGGTCAGAGCCCGTTACGAACACAATCAAATTCATTATTGAACGATCGCCGCCTACGAACAAGCCGCGAGTATCGCATGATTATGTTGGCCTCAACCACATTATCCACTCGCTCACGTGCGGACAGCACGGTCTTACCTCTGCAAAGCAGATACGGCTTATAGTCAAACCTTTGCCATCAATGAAGAAGTGGGAAGGCAGGGCGCTGTCGGTCCTTTACCCACTTACGTGCTGCAAGCGGCCAAACGCGCTTGAGCCTATCGAAGGTCTTCCTGAGGACCTCGCATCGAACCTGCGTCAAGCCGCTGCGAGTGCCCCGCTAGCGAACGATCGCTGGAAGGTCGTTCACGAAATAGAACGGATGGGCCGTAAGGCTACAAGGCTCCTGAACCGTGGCAAAGGCGACAAGCTGCCAGAGGACATGCTCGATACCCTGAAGCGCTGCGTCACAGCTGCGGATAGACGCCTTGACCTCAACGGCGTCTTCATCGACGCCGACTTCTACAATGATTGCGATGATGTTTGGGCGACAATGAAGGCGTCAATGAACGAGCTATTGATCAAGGCGGCGGAGGCACTGCTTGCGAACGGCAGAAAGGCGAAGACCGAGCGGCGTGGGAGGTGAAGGGCGACTTTAAGTCTCGCTGAGGAAGAAAGCCCGGCTGCTGATGGCAAGAAAGCAAGAGCGTCCTTGACGACCAAAAAGTGCTTGAAGTTTTGCCAGCCCCTCGGATTCTGCTTAGCCTGCACTATTGTAACCTGCATTAATGACATACAACGAGTGGGATTATCCAAGGCTGCGGCTGCAGGCACTCATTCCTCAATGCAAATATTGAGGATCGTGGAATGGTTATATATGTTCTAACGGCTCGCATGAGTGGCATGTCTGTTCTATAGGCATTTTTGGACGTTGTAGGTATCATCACAACACCCATGCCGCATCAGCTGACCGGAGATTCCGTTCTTAGAACGTTGCGCAATGTTTATAGCTGAATATTGTAGGATGTTTCTTTATGTACCGTGACCTTGCTGTCTGAGCTGGTGGTCATACGTGCCAGCGAAATAGCAAACTGTCCCGTCACGTGCCGTTTCGTACCTTCATCGAGCCATGATCGCCCCCACGGGCCTTGCATTGCACAGGCAGTGTGCATGCATCGAACCGCTCAATCTGCCAATCACACTGTATCAGCCAACGACTCGCCGACTCTGAAGATCGTACCAGCCGCAGTCAGCTATCGCGCCTCAAAACAGATAATGGCCCCAAGCGCTCCATGTCCACAATGTCGGTACCGATCGACCTGCTCCTCCGCGCCATTTGTGGTTATCATGATAGGCCACAGGAGTTGCGCTACTATTTCCAGGAGGACGTTTACAGAGGTCTAACAACCACGCTTCGCAGCCTTGCCTCAGCCCGATGCAAGCCTTAGAGATTTCGGTCAATATCACAAGGCTCCACACACTCCATCTCTCCTCGTACTCTCTCTGCCTTGCAACGCGATCTGTACACATTTGAGATGGGTACCGTCTTCATCGCACAATGTCGACTCACGACCCTCACGTTTATCGTTTCCTCCTTTCCAGCGTACTGGCCCAACAATGCTACTACCCAGACGGTGTGACACAGGCGCCTGACGTCCGGTGCAATTCCTCCGCGATGAACTCGCCATGCTGCGGTGCTAACGCATGGTGCATGTCTAATGGTCTCTGTTACGGCAATGGCGTAGTGTCCCGCGGAAGCTGTACAGACAAGAACTGGGGTCCTGACTGCGCTCAGTACTGCCATGCCTTCAACAACAACCCGTCGGGTGGCTGGCCCATGATGTCGTGCGACTCTCTGACTGGGCAATGAGTCTACGGCCTCAACAACACGGCCTGTAATCAGCCGTCGGAGGTCTTCACGATGACCGACGCGAACGATTTCATCTTGCGCTCAAGCCAGGTACAGAATCTGGAAGCTGGGGTCCCAGCTGCCATGCTCTTCACACCTAAGACTAATTTGTCGGCTGCGGTGAATGTTTCGACGAGCACGAACGGCTCCTCGTCAAGTAACACGACGGCGTCTTGCGCCAGTAACTCAACGTCGGCTGCCGGGATCTTCACGGTTGGCGATGTTGTGGGAGCCGCTGTTGGTGCGGGTGCGCCTTTACTCCTGGCACTGATTGGCGCCATCTTCGTTATCCTGTCTCAGCAGCGTAAGCTGAAACGGCAGGGCGTTAGGGAGACCGCTCCACCAGAGAACAATGCATCACAGTACAGTCAGGCTCCTGCTGCATACGCTGAGCCTGTACAACGCAGCCAATGGGCGCCGCGATTACAAGACCAGGCTCCCTTCTACTCGCCACAGGGTTACGGCCAAGCTTCGTATCAGGACAAATCCGGCGGTTACCATGAGCTGACGAACGCGGCGAGTGTGAATGAGATGCCCAACGACAGGCCGAGAATGGAGCTGGATGGGCACCAGATCAAATAAGCTATGGTTCTCTTCCTAGCCAGTGTCAGGGCGGAAACTGCGCGGTGAGTATGATCTTCTTTACTGCTTATATCAGCCTTCAGCGCACGGGAAGGTGAAAGGACAGGCGAAACTTAATGTTAGCAACCACACGACAGAAACAGATACGAAATGCCTCGAAGTCACCTCTCGCGACGTCGAAAATACCAGCCAACGTACATGTACCTCGCACCACTAGTAAGTCGAACGTACTGCACCATTAATATACGTCCAACCGTCTCGGGGAACAGTATGCTGCAGGATTATCCGGAGCAGCATCGCGCGTTGCGGCAATCCTACGCCAAGCGTTCTGGAAGCTGAACGGAACATCTCTTCCGGTTATCCACTCTCTACTCACGCAGTGCACGAAGTGGTCGTGTGACATCTTGTTTCGAGTGTATGCTATCCACCCCAGGCTGCGAACTGAATTGTGGTCTTTAGACATCAACGTCTGCTCCTCTTCAACAAGCCCTCCAATTCACCCGGCCTTCTCTCTTCCTTTACCCCATAACGAGCGGCCCCTGCGCTAAAAGGCGCCAGTGAACGTGCTAACCACGCGGGAGTGACAGGGATGTGTTACCTTTCGGTGGGAATGGCTGCGCTCGAGAACTCCACCATCTGCAGCCAGCTCGGCAATACTACCTTCTCATTCAAGCATCCCATTCCTATCTTGTCCCTCGTTAATCGTCCGGTCTTATCTCTTCTCTTTCGTCTCTTTCTAACTCAGTATCGATCATATGAAGAGGAACTGGATCACCAAAACACGTACACTAGTGGAACGGTTCGAACAGCACTCGTTGTCATAGCACAAAACCGTTGTCGAAGTGTCAATCAGCCGCTCGTTTATACTACGTCGGAGAGAGCAGAGGCGATTCAAGAAAGTGCATCAGTAGACGAAGGTCGATTGTCACATCTTCAAGTGCCCGAACAGCTTCCTACCAACCAACCCAGGCTCACAGCAAGCCTCGAATTGAGCACGACACAGGCCTTGGCCTCACACTTGTTACCCACACGCACATCCACAAATTCGATAACGACATCTCAGGATGGGTCTCCTAGAATCCCTCCGGGCTAAATACGAACTCTACCGCCTCGAACAACGCTACACCCGCCGCGAAAAGCGGACAACCTTCATCTCCGGCGCCCAATACGTCGACGGCGAGTATGTTTACAACGTCGTTTCGCCCACCAGCTCGAAGTCATCGAGCAGCTTTGGCAGTTTGGGCGGCAGCAGCGGGAAGTTTGGAGGCTCGATCGTGAAGGTGACGGAGGTGCTTGGTGGGAAGAGGGGGAGTAAGGTTTGGTGAGGTTTCGCAAGTCGGAGGAACGGGGTCATTGATGATGCATGAGGGCTGGATGAAGCTTCGTTTGCGAATGAAGGTCTGACTTGAGCTGTTGAAGCTCGAGGGTATACGATGTGACTGCGTGTATAGCTCTAGTGGGTGGGAAAGCCATCGAGTGCATATCTTTGCCTGACGGCGTGGCAGTGGCGCGGATGTTTGCGTTTTGACTACACTGTGCGTTCAAGCGACTGATGTTCTGCATCTTGGTGTACGTAGAGATGATCAATTCACACTCATGAGGAACCACACAAGACGTGAAAAGAATGGCGGAAGAGCGCTACAGTCGAATGTGCAGATGTGAAGAATGGTACATGCGAAGAAGCCAACTCACCCTAAACACATCATCATCCCCGCACTACATTCTCCGTCCGCTCCTCCTCCACCTCCTCCTCCTCGCTACGCGCAGCCTCTTGCCCGCCACTCGCAGCCTCTTCCTCACCCTCCGCACTCAACACACCTGCCTCACCCGCATCCACAGCAGCGTCTACTTGCACCTCTCCACCCACCTCCTCCCTCTTCTTCAGAACCTCCGCCCCAAACTTCTCCACTCGCTTCCTCCGCCCCGCCCATACCTCATGCAGCCTCCCCACCGCAACCTCCACAAACGTCTCCCTCCCCGCCACTCCCTCCCCCTTCAATCCGTCCCTCAACCTTGCCAACAACATCGCATGCACGACCCGGAAACTTTCAGCAAGATGCTTGATTGCATTCGTCTTCCGTCCCAAATCATTCGTCGGATCTGCTGGGTCCTGCAAACACAGCAAGTACGGCTGCAACGGTTTCGGCGCGCTCATGGCCCACTGTCCCGCGCGGACTGGATCGTTGCGGCGGTGAGCCGCACGGATACGTTCTTGCACTGTGGCTTGGTAGGTGGCATCGTGGTGTTTGAGGAAGGTTTTGCCGACGGGGGTGACGGTTAGGCCGCGGGAGATGTAGTTGTGTCGGGCGTAAAAGTTCAGGAAGTGCAAGAGTTGCTGTGCGGGTGTTTGCGGTGGCGGGTTGGCGGAAGAGCGGCGTTTGAGCGCCGCCACAAGCATAACGAGCAGCCCGTACGAGCCGATACCGCCGTCGTAGACGTTGACTAACCCGCGCGTGCCGAGCATCGCCCGGCTGAGCAGGAAAAGGTCGCGGAGATGCGGCAGCTCGGCGAGGTAGCGGCGCGTGTGGGTCTGCTGGTTGGTGGTGGACGGTGCGCTGACGATTTGGACGATTATGCCCGTTTTGCAATGGGTAGCGGTGATGATGGGGAATTTGCTGTGGCGGACAGTAACGGCCGTCCAGTTGTTGTGGTCTTGTCGGAGACGCCGGGCGAGCATTGCCAGCAGCGAGTAGAGCTTGCCGTAGCTGCGATCTTCGTCTGCCTGCGAGGCGTCATAGATGCGTATATCGAGATCCGAGGTTGGGAGAGACAGTCCGGTTGTTTCAGAGCCGAATAGCTCGGCTTTGATGTCCAATCCGGGCCGGTTGGCATGTTTACGAAGGAAGGTTAGGAGGTAGTCCGCGACGAAGCCTCTGGCGGCCGTCTCAGCAGCCGTCGGTCTGGCCCAGGCTGCAAAGTGGGTTAGCTCTTCAGTGAGTATGTCCATGGCTTCTCTGCTTGCTTCTGGACCATTAACTCTTGACAGAGCTTTCTCTTCGAGGACCGCCCATGGTGCTGGCATCGGTTCTTTTGACGGATCCACAGCGCTTGCCCTCGGCCTAATGGCGAGTCCAGTGTAGTCTAGATTGCGCCGTGCTTGCTCAATCTCATCCTCTGACAAGTTTCCGAGCTCGTGACTGGCCGAAAATTTGTGCACAGTTTCAGCAATGGTGTGCATGTGAGCTCGATCAAACGGTGGCAATCGTCGCCTTCCATCACGCGTCTGGGGTAAACCAGATACAATCGTCGGTGCGGTCGACACCTCGTCCGCGGGGGTCTCCGAAGGTGACGAGACATGCTCTCGATGTACATTCTCTGCTCTGTTGTGTTTCCGACCGAAAGGCGAAGCAGACAGGGAAGGCTCTGCCCTTGACGTTGGGCGAAGTGAGCGGACTCCAAAACGCTTCTCCCGTGCTCGAGACCTCTTCACGCCCGTTGCCGGCGCAAATGTGGCGGCGTCGTCCTCAACATCACCGGGGCTGTCGAACTGGTGAGAGCTCTCCTCGTTCTGCGTCTGCCTCAGGTCACGTTCAAAGATGGCTTGGCGAGTAGCGAGGTCGAAATGCTGGGTCGACACACTTCTTGTCGACAGACCGCCGCGTCCTGGCGATGTCTTGCCATCTCGTACATTGTCGCCGGTATTGAGCCGCTCGCTTATGGTGTGATAGTCGGTATAAGCGCCATGCGCAGCCCTCGAGAACTCCTGCTCCGTCTCCGCTGGCCTCCGAAGTCTTGTCTCCGTGCAGAAGGCAGAAGAGAGGGCACATGCGACATTGTAGGCATTGTGGGCTCTGCACGACCGTCGCACAGCCAGGCGAGAGGTTTGCATGAGCGGCAGGCGCTTCCAATGCCACTCACCTGTTCATATCAATGTCGAAGAGGTTGCGGGCGTTCAATTCGAACGGAAACACCCGCACGCTAGCAAGTCATGGCTTTCACTTCGCCATTGGCCACTCAAACACCTACCACATCGTCTGTCGTGGAGAGTCGCCACTACACCTTTAAGGAGGCCCCATCATGTCCTCACCAAGAGCGCTAACAGCGCTCGCGCGTGCACGTCCAGCGACTTCGCTCCTCCAGACCGCCGCCCGCACATCCTTCGCCTCCCAGCACGCCTTCTCCACCACCGCCGCTCGACCAGTATCCGGCACCGGTGCGCCACCCCAGAACTTCCGCCTGCCTCGGCCGGACCGCTGGAATGAGAACAAGCAGAGCATCTGGGATCAAGCGGGCCAGTACTTCCTCCTCACCGAGATGCTGAGAGGGATGTACGTGGTACTGGAGCAGTTCTTCCGGCCTCCGTACGTCCCGCCTACACTACCAGCAACGCTCCTAGCAATGGTCCACTGACGAAGAACGCTTGTGATATAGTTACACGATCTACTACCCCTTCGAAAAAGGTCCCATCTCCCCCCGCTTCCGCGGCGAGCACGCCCTGCGCCGCTACCCTACAGGCGAAGAACGCTGCATCGCGTGCAAACTCTGCGAAGCCATCTGTCCCGCCCAAGCCATTACCATCGAAGCCGAAGAACGCGAGGACGGCTCCCGTCGCACAACGCGTTACGATCTCGACATGACCAAGTGCATCTACTGCGGTCTCTGCCAGGAAAGTTGTCCCGTGGATGCGATTGTGGAGGGACCGAATGCCGAGTATGCGATGGAGACGCGGGAGGAGTTGTTGTATAACAAGGAGAAGTTGTTGGCGAATGGGGATAAGTGGGAGCCGGAGTTGGCGGCGGTGGCGAGGGCGGATGCGCCGTACAGATAGCGAGGAAGCGGTGTGTTTTACTGGGTTTGTGGGGAGCATGGGAATGGCGTTTGGCATGTGTACGCAAGACTGTCTAGAAGTGTGCACAAGCCGAACATAGTTATGACATCCGTTGCACAGGGCCTTCGTGGCGACGTTCGGTTCGATCTGCTTACAAGGTGTTCTCGGTAGACTTTGGTAGGCCGCGACTGATGCTTTGAAGAGCACAATGCAACAAGCCTTCTGTTGCGCCATAGACGCGCGATAGGTGGGCTATGTTGATGCTCTATTCTATACTTGTGCGCAAGCTCTTGCTCAAAGCACATTCGCCATCCACTCGTGTATACTATCCCCCCGGTCTTTCGCCGGGAAACTCCACGCTCAAACCCATTTCTCTGACGGGCGGGATTGCTACAGAGTCTCACAACCTTGACTCCGGGACACCGCCATCAACGACAGCGATCGCCCCGACGTTTCCGCTATCGCTCTGCCCGTTCAGCAACGCCACTGCGGAGATGACGTCGGCGGGTTCAAGTAGATGCCACTGCGCCAGCGTCTGCTTGTTCGATGCGCCGACCGTCACGGCGAAGACGTGGTCGCGGTTTAGCTTCGATGCGTTCAGGGAACGGAACATATCTGCGTTAACAAAAGTGGTCAGCTCACAGGTCGCGTGAAGTGCAGGTGATTGAGCGTACCTTCATCCGTAAAGTCATCACCCAGACACAACACAAAGTCTGGCATATGATGCGTCGCCGACCCATAAGCCTTGACCAATTTCTTCGCAATCTCCCCCTTGTTCACAAACCTCGGTCTCACCTCCAAATTCGCCTTCCCCGTCATAACCTCCACATCATACGTCTTCGCCACCGTCTGCTCCAAATTCTTCTGGCACTCACGCACCATGACCTTAGCATTCTCCTGCTCCGCGCGGCGGTAATGCCACGTCAAGGCGATTTTCTTTCGCTCAACAAACGCGCCGGGAGTCTTGCTGGTGTAGTATTCGAATACTTCTAGCACCTTCGACTGCCAGCTCATGTCGAAAGTCTCGGTCAGGTTCTCCCAGTTGGCGGTGTTAGGGTGGCGCATGAAGCTGCCGTGTTCGGCGGAGAGGCCGAGCTCGGGTATGTGGCCCATCCACTCGTCGAGGAAGGCCTGGTCGCGGCCGGAGATGATCCAGACGGCGTTGTTGGGGTCGGAGGCGAGGGCTTTGAGGGTGCGGATGACGCGGTCGGAGGGGATGGCTGCTTGTGGGTCTTTCACGATTGGGGTGAGGGTGCCGTCGTAGTCGAACATGAAGAGGCGCCGAGAGGAGTTGCGGTATTGCTGGAGGAGTTTGGCGCGATCGAGGAGTGGTGTGGCGGAGGATTGATCGAAGGAGGAGAGATTGGTGAGAAGGCGCTTGAGGTAGTTGGAAGTCCAAGCCTGCACGGTATTACGCGTGACTTGGTTGTACAGCTGGGCGTGAGCAACGCGCTTTTCTTCGTCTGTCATAGTGAGGGCGATGTTGATGGCGTCCGCTGTGCCGCTAAGGTCCCATGGGTTGATGTGGAGTGCGTCACCGAGGCTTCCGGCGGTGCCTGAGAACTCGGAGATGATGAGTGGACCGTGATTGTCACGCTGGCATACTACGTATTCGAGCGCGGTAGTGTTCATACCATCACGAACGCTCGTGATCAAACCTAAATCGGCAATGCGTAGCAGCGCGAAGTACTCCTCCTTCGGAAGATACTGCGGGTAGTGCTGAACTGGCGTGAAGCTGAGCGAGCCGTATTCGCCGTTGATCCGAGAAACGAGGTCAGAAATCTTGTTCGCCGTCTTGTCGATCCCATCTGATTGGTCTTCGATACTAGTTGGACTTGTGACTTGGATCAGCACTACCTTGTCGCGCATCGCTGGATGTCTCTCGAGGAAAATCTCAAATGCTTGCAGCTTCTGCGCGACGCCTCTGACAGAGTCTAGGCGGTCGCGACCAACTATGATCAGCTTGCCGGCATACAACTCCTTCAGCGCCTTCACTTTCTTCTCAACCTCTGGTGACTCGAACGCTGACAGCAGTGCAGAGCCCGCGTTGATGCCAATCGGAAAGACGTCCACAGCAATATGCGTGCCGAAGGCGTCAACGCCAGCGGAGGACGAGTCGAAGCCTAGTATACGGGTACAGCACGAAGAGAAGTGGCGTGAGTATGCGTAGGCCTGGAAACCGATCATGTTGGCGCCGAGCATGCCTTCGAGCACCTCCTTTCTCCGCGTCAGGCAGCGGTAGTACTCGCTACTGGGGAATGGGACGTGCAAGAAGAAGCCCACGTATATTGTGGACACTCTCTGGCGGAGCATGTTTGGCAGGAGCAACAGATGGTAGTCGTGCACTAGGACGATATCGCCCGGCTTGAACACGCTCATGATGGCGTCCGCGAATGCCGTGTTCAAGCGGTAGTAGTCTGCCCAGGCCTTGCGAAGTGCGCGACCATCTGCGGGTTCGTTTGTCTTGTAGTGAAACAGTGTGAAGAGCTCATGTTCGGCGTACCGTCTCCATTGTTGCTGGTTCTTCAGCGTGAAGACCTCGTCATCATCTACGGAATCAGGCAGCCAAACCGGACACACTCGACCGCCGTGGTCACGCTCAAGCTGCACCTCCAAGCGCCTACGCTCCTCTGGAGGAATGCGAAGCTCCGTGGGCTCCTGCTGATCTTTTGGTGAGTGCTTCGTGTCAAGCGGGATGGGTGCCGACGCTTTGTTGATCGGATGCGCGTGGAGTGATGAGTTTGCCACACCATTCGACATCGCACTGTTCTTGGGTGGCGCGAGGTTAATTTCACCTGTCCAGCCGACGAGAGTGTGATTCCATGGTGACTCGGTCGAGGCAAGGTAGGAGAACGAATCGAACAATGCAGAAGTACCTCTCCGAGAGTGGAGCTCCCATTCGGCACCGGGTGCATAGGCGATCTTGTATGGTACACAGAACGTCGCACTAATAATGTGGCCACTGAGGTTCAGGCCGGGATGGGTGCTTCTGGGGTCGACATCGGCAAGGTCGGGATACTGGGCGCGAGTGGAATCACTCATGCTACGGAGCAGGTCGTCGCCCGATCCGCCATCGGGTGGCCCCTCGGGCCTCTGGCCCTCACCTGGGCCATCCTTCGGGTTCGTCACGTTGGAGTTCCATTGCGGGCCACTCGTGCCTGCGGAAGCATCGAACGCCGGTAACGACTCGCTGAAGTCCTTTGAGAAGGGGTTCTGGTCGATGTAGGCGGCATCGGTGATGCCGGGCGTGACTGGTATGCTTGTGTTAGCCTCGTTGTGGGCAGGGTTCATTGTCGTTTGCCGCTGCGGCTGTGGCCGCTCTTCCTTGGACATGATTGCCCTGGTGCCTGAGAATGACGGTTAGCCTCTCGTCAACAAGAGCAACAAGTCTCACATCCAGATAGAGCAGAAATGGCAGCCAGGCAGACAGCAACGGACGGCCAACGGGTGTGTAAGGATATTGTGGGTTATGTTGAGAACGGCGAAGCGTGAAACTTGACTTTTGCGTTTGGGACATGTGCGGATGAGGAAGGCACTCACGAAGGTTCCAAGCAGATCGTCCAATAGGAGCTTGGGAGCTCTTGCCGTGTTTGCTGATGGGCAAGTCAGCCAACAATGGAAGTTCACGAACTCTCTCCGAACGGCAGCTCCACAGAACGACTACTCTTCGAGCCGTTCGCAAACACGAAGACCCTGCTGCCTCTCCAGCAGGACTGCCAGCTTCGTCCCGCGAAATTTCAAGGCACGTGGAACGATCAGCGTCACACTGACTTCAATGCAGACCAAGTTCGTAGCCATCGGCACGGCGCGCTTCTTCCGTCAAGCCTTCCGGCGCATATGCAACGGTCTTCACATATAATTCCGACAACTGACCTGAACTCTAGGTCTTAGGAAGGCCCTACGAGGCATTGAGCCGAACGAGTAGGAGCTTGATGGCCTGATCGCGATACCGAAAAGCATCTACGTTCATGGCAACATCCTCCGCCCCTCCGGGTAGATGTGTGTGTTCAGATTGTTTGCAATCGATCCCCTGTGTCGTAAAGGGTAACAAACTGCCCGTCGCGAGATCTTGCGGTTATGCTGCAAGGCTTCTCGGTCAATAGGGCCATCAGCCGCTCAACTTTGAGATCAAGGCATCTGAACTTAGAAGTCAACGGGTGGACCAGTGCTCAAAAGTAGAATGCATTCATTTCGAGTCGAGTCGCACAGCATCATGGTGGGGTTCGGACCAGTTGCCCCGCAGTCTCCCACACGCAGAATTGACTTCCAAACAAACTGGTGAAACGCAAGCTCAAGCAGAGTTTTGCTGATACCATTAACAACATTGCCCAATCTACGCTGCCAAAGACAATCCACGGCGCGCAGACATGGCGGACGAGGCGCCCACCGGTAAGTGACATGAGCGAGCCTGTTCTCGAACAGCTACTGACTTTACCTGCCAGACTACTCCCTCGCGAACCCGGACACGTGGGCACTTACCAGAAGTAGCATTGACCGAGTCACTTTCGCTGACATGAAAATAGCTTGACGAAGTACAAGACTGCAGCGCAGATCTCACAGAAAGTGCTCGATGAGGTCCGCAAATGGTGCGTTGAGGGCGCCAAGATCCTCGAGATTTGCCAAAAAGGCGACAAACTGCTCAACGATGAAGTGGCCAAAGTTTACAAGGGCAAGAAAGTCTCGAAAGGCGTAGGCCACCCATGCACGGTATCGCCAAGCACATATGTCACGCCATACACGCCTTTGGTGTCAGACGCTGAGGAGGCGGGCACGGAACTAAAGGGAGCTGAGGTGGTAAAGATACAGCTAGGCGCACAAATAGACGGCCTCGGCGCCATCGTGTGCGATACTGTGATTGTGGGTGCGGGCGCAGAAGTCACTGGGCGTGCGGCAGACTTGATGCTCGCAACACATTATGCGAATGAGCTCCTACTGAGAATGATGATGCCGCCTGGACTGTTAGCTACTGGCACGGAGGAAGAGAAGAAGAAGGCGCAAGCGATAAAGCCATACAGCCAGTCAAAGATCACGTCATTGCTGGAGAAGCTCGTGAAAAGCTACAATTGCAACCTGGTGGAGAACACGACTTGCTGGCTGTTTGGCCGCAACGAGATTGAAGACAAGAAGAAGATCATCCTCGCGCCGAGCGAAGGCATGAAGGGTGAGGGGCTTGCAGAAGTCGGCGAGGTCTGGGGTGTCGAGATGGGTGTCGCTCTAGGGAGCGGCAAGGTGAAGACTCTGCCGAATCGGCCCACACTGCACCGCCGGACAACAACCACGTACGGCCTGAAACGACCGAGTTCGAGAGCGACGCTATCAGAGATCCAGAAGAGGTTCGGCACCTTCCCGTTCAGCTTACGGCAGCTTGACGATGAGAGAGCGGGTAAGGTTGGTATCGTTGAATGTGTTCGAGGTGGCGTTGTACGGCAGTACGAAGTCATCGGTTCTTCAGATGGTGAGCCTGTTAGCAGGTTGTTCACAACCGTAGCAATCACCAAGAACGGCGTCCAGCGATTAGCAGCCCCACCACAACCGAACCTCGATCAATATAAGTCGGACAAGAAGATCACCGATGAGGAGATACTGAAGATTCTCGAAACGACACTGGCCAAGCCGCCGAGCGATAAGAAGAAGAACAAGAAGAAGAAGAAGAAGCCGGCTAAAAAGGCAGCAGCTCAGAAGCCGGACGAGGAGGAAGATGATGAGGACGACGACGACGACGACGACGATGAGGATGACGACTAAGGCTATGCTGGCAGTCTGCGCAGGTTGGCTTCGACCCCCCGCCATTGCTCAGTTGACGTGCCACTCAGGCTCCGAAATGGCACCGGCACAGGCTTAATCGCGAGCGCCATATGAGCATGGCTTCGACGCAGCTGTAGAAGTCGTGCGGCAAGCACGTCTAGAATGCTGTATCAAAGCTGAAGTTCTTCGATAGTGCCATAGAGCCGAAAGCATACCAGCTCGTCGGAAAAAGGGGCAGTTGTTGCCTGTTCAGACAGGCACGAATTACAGCTCCCAAAAGCATTTCAAGAGCATTGCCGTTCCTCGATAGCATGACGTTGACAGATGCGAGCGTGGATCATAGTTATATCAAAAGCATTACCACTGCTGCCTTGTTGTGGCGGACGGTTCAATAAGATAGGGTGGTTGCGCGTCTTGGCGTTTGGCGCACCTTTCATCACGCTTCCTACACTCTTCTCACTGACGCGCATTGTGTTTTGTTTCATCCGAACATTTCGCGCTTGTACTCTAGCGAAACGTTTGTGTTCGAAACAGCATCGCCCTGGGTGTGTAATGCTCTACATAATGTGACGGAGTCATGTGCTAACGAAATCATGCAGCGGCGCTCTGCTCCCCTCGATGCCTGGCCGAGACTCTACGGAAACGCCGCGACTTCGACGGAACGTACCTGAAGCCGAACAGACGAGACAAGGCCATCAAGTCAAGGACGTGCACATGGAGAAGACGAAGGGCAAGCCAGCCATGGGTCAGTGGGTTGAGCCTCCCGTCGCGACGCGGCCATCGTACCAGGACCACAACGGCGCGCCTTATGGCGTTGTGGAGCACATGCAACCCTTGGGCGAGGTACCGTCTGCGAAGGTGAAGGGTAGGGTCAGGTCTGAGGCACCACGGAAGTCGGTCATGGGGCGAAGCTCTGCCGCAGTGAGTGCAGACGGTCAGGCCACGCCGGAAGGCACTCCGGTACCACAGACCGCAACGACCGTTCCACCGGACGTACCAGCGGTGCCAGCGGTCGTTATAGACGATGTGAGAGATGCAGAGTACGCGCCTATGGCTAAGAAGAAGGAGACTTCGACAGCCACGCCACCCACGCAACGACGTAAGCGGAGGAAGGAGATCACTCCCGCCAACATCCGTGTTGGAGACAAACTTCCAAGTGGCGCGACGCGAAAGTACGATGCAGCAAAGTTGAAGTCTGTGGTAGACTCTGCCATTGCTCGCGCTGTGGAGGCAAACAAGCCTGACTTAGCTGCGGCCGTGCAGAGAATTTGGGAGGTCAGCCTGAACAACATGCACCTCACTAATCTACTCGAGGTCATTCTCACACAAACAGCGACTCCGGAACAGACCAATGAGTTCCAAGAGTACGTGAAACAGGCCAAGGATCAGCTCAGAATAGAGAAGAATCAGAAGCGCAAAGAGGAAAAGCAGGCTCGGAAGCAGCCGGCTGCTGGAGGCGCAAACGGCGCGCAAGCAGCGCCCCTGCGTTCACCACCAAAGCTCACATCGCCCAAAGTCACATCCACGCCAGCTACAATGCAAGCTACTGACGCACCTTCGACTGCCATTCCATCTACTGAACAACCACCTGAAGCATCCAAATCAAAGCTGTCCCTGAAGTTGAAAGGTCCGGCAAAAGACTCCAAAGACCGTCGACGATCTGTCACAATGGACCACTCGCCGACACATGGTCGTACTCGACCCAAGAGCGAAGAATCTGAGCTCACCGACCTGACATCCGAACCCGAGCCTGACCACCCTGCCGCCGAAGCATCAAAGGGCCGCTCGTCACGCTCAAACGGCATCCCAAGCAAAAACCACGCTGCCGAACGAGGCACGCTAGCTGCACCAGACCGCAAACAACTCAAGCGCTCATCTGCCGAAGCGGACATAAATGATGAAGAACGTGAGCGGACAATCGCCGCAAAGAAGCAGAAGCTGAACCAATCCATCACTCGCGACGTACCCTATGAGGAAAGCGACGTGCGGCAAGCATCGAAGCCACAGCAGAGTCAAACTCGTGCCACGCGTGCAAATGGCGGCTCGTTGGTGCCACCGTCTGTCTCTCGCCCGCCGAACGGCAGCCCGGCTCGCAGCCTCAGAGGCAGTCGACAACCATCCGCAGAACCAGACTCGCCGCTGTCGGATCTCTCACCGCCGTCATCAAGACTGAGCACGCCGCCAGTCTTGAAAGTGCCACCGAAACCGCCTGGGAAGAGGGCCAAGACAAAGACATCGTAAGTTCCTACCCTTCTCATCACCTACAGATGGCACAAACTGTCCGCAAACCAAATGTTGGGCAAGTCTGCACTCATTGTCCGAGGCGGAAAGTGTTTGCTTATGGAGTGCCTTGTGCCTCGCTCTGTGCAACTTCTTCGCTCGCGTGCGGGGTTTGAGTCCAACGAACCTACCATCTCACGGAATGATGAGGCGAGCACTAAACGCTGACACTGTCCACAGACCCGAGAAGAAGCAGTCGACAGGCTATGGTGGGTTGTCAGGCGCAGGTGGCGCAGGAAGGGAAAGCCCAATCGGGGACGATGACAATGAAGAGGTAAGACAACGCGCTGCCTGCACGCTAAAATTCCCCGTTTTCCCGCTTCCACAACAATCTTCCCATCACAACATTACCAGCACCAGCACATTTTACGACATATGCATATCTCGCCCGAGAAACAATCATCCCCCATCGATTCTGTTACGATCATTTCGAAGAAGGAACAAGCACTGATCAGCGCCGAACAGCAATCCGAAAACAACGACTTTTGCGCTGCTTGTGGCGGCAGCGGCTACTTACTCTGCTGCGATGGCTGCGACCGTTCTTTCCACTTCACCTGCTTGGATCCGCCGCTCAACGAGGATGCGAGTGAATTAAACGAGCCGTGGTACTGCTTCGTTTGTGTGGCGAGGCGACCGGTCACTTCCGACACGAACGAGAAGCCCCAGCGGGGGCTGTTTGCGCCACTCCTCAGCGTTCTGAAGAAGCGCAACCCATCCAATTTTTCATTACCGGAGTCCATTAGGAACTACTACGATGCTGTACAGACTGGCAGGAACGGCGACTTTGTCGAGGCGGTCCACGCGAAGACGAGGTACGTCACGCCACTTAACTCAAAGCTTGTTGCGCTTGCTGACAGAAAGCGATAGAAACCGCGCTGGCTACGATGAACTGCCAGATTACTACAAGCTGAAGGATGGCAAAGGGAACACCGTGATCTGCTACAGCTGCGGAAAGACGTCGATGTCGCAAGGCCAACCGCCGCGGCAAATTATTTCATGCGACTACTGCGTCAACAACTGGCACCTCGACTGTCTTGACCCGCCGCTTGCCAATCCCCCAGCACGAAGCTGGGATGGCAAGAAGTTGCATGACTGGATGTGCCCATTGCACGCCGACCACGAGCTGCGCAACGTGCCGACTTCATTGCTTGCACCACGCCGGAGAGTGCACGTACGACGGCCGAGGAACGCCAAAGTGGTCGACACTTCGCTCAAGCGCGGCTTCAACAATCATGGCGTTGTCGATGTTGCCGAGGACGAGACTGACGACACTGATTCCGAGTTCTACGATGAGGATGCGCAAGAAGAAGGCGTCGTTTACCGCATGCCCGCCACCGGCATCAAGCTCGACTTCATTGACAAAGTCAAGAAGTAGGTATCGATGACACTCCATGTTTGAACTTACATTGACCATACATCATAGCAACCGCATCGAAGAGCTCGAAGAAGCGTTACGCATCGAACGGGAATACAAGCGCGCCCGTCTCACCGACGCTCCAAGCGCCCTCCACCAAGCCAACTTCCTCCGCCGTTCCTTCGCCGAGAAGCAAACCGCGCTCACCCTCGCGCAGTTCGCAAGCGCAAACAATGACCTCGAGCTGGGCAATGACCAAGTTGAGAATCTAGTCGTGGCGCTGATCGTAAGTTTGCCCAACCTCCCTACACTTACCACTAAGCCATGGTGACGTCAGCATGAAGCTAACCATTTTCGCCACCTTTACAGGCAGAAGCGCCCACGGAAGTCGTCGACGAGTACCGCGCGGCTGAAGATGCTGTCGCGGCTAAGGCCAAACAGTCTTCTGCTATACCACCTTCGCCCCCAAATTCTGACCAAACTGATCAGCTGTCTGCGGAGCAGCGGAAGGAGTTGTTGATGCTGCAGGAGCTGATCCGACGCAAACTCGAGAGCAGTAAGGCGTGAGAAGATCATCGCAGAGTACGAGTACATCCACTCGACGCTCGAGACGTCGGTAAGATGAGGCTTCCGTCGCTTCGTGGCCGTTTCAGAAGCGAAGCCGAGCGGGTTTCGCACAGCCAAGAAGATACCAAGGCATTGAAAGGGGCCACGCTGCCCACGCACGCAGACGCGCTAGGCTGTTTCGGAGCAAGGCTCCACATTGCGCATGCCACTTATACGGCTGGCTGATGAGCTGAGCGCTGAAGGACTCATCAGCACCCGCTAACTTATTATTGTTGGCGGCGTCTTGTTAGTTGGCAAGTTGGCCTGCAGCCTCCAGGTCGCTTGAGTAGCGCCGTTCACAACCCAGCATAGTGGCAGTTTCCGCGCAATACAGCGCCCATGCCCATTGTTCCGATACAGAGCTAGTGTAATAGTAACGGCAGCTTAAGCCGATTCATCCAACCAACGGAACTCACTCGCCGAACATCGTATATCTGCACTGTCTATACACCATCATACAGCAGCCAGCCCCGTCGGATCTAGCTATCTACAACCCCTGCCGTTCCTGCCTCTCCAGTACATTGTTCCTATGATTCCGATTGCGTAAGTGCACCTCAAACGCATCCACCACCTTGCCCGGTTCGGCCGTGTATAGCTTCCCGGGACAATCATTACACCGTATCCGCGGCATGTAGTGGATTTTGACCCCCGCGGGCGCGGAGGCTCCCGGGTCGAGCTGGGATTTTACGGTGGTGTTGTCGGAGATGTTGACGGTGTAGGGGCGCATGAGGGGCTCGAAGTCGGATTCGGGATGCCGATCGCGGAGGGTTTGGGTGGCTGTGTGCAGCCAGGGTGGGGGTGGGGGCTAGAGATCGATCGTTAGTTTGACAGTATATAAAAGAGCATATGAGAATAGAGGTAGTGAGGGATGTGACTTACAGGGGCCTCGTCTGCGGACGGCCAGTGATCTGTTTCTGTGCGGCCCAGCGCGTCATACTGCGGTTGTGTGATGCCACGTGTGGCAGAAGGACCGCGATGATGATGACCGTTCGGTTGGGGCGTGCCGCGTGTTTGTGGGACAGAGCGGGGTGTGTTTGTGGTGTTCGCGGCGCCACGGTTAGGTGTTGCCACTCGGAGACTGATGTTGGGAGGAGGCGGTTGGGAAGCGTACCCAGAAAGGGGATACTCTTTCGCGCGCTTCTTGGCCTGGTAGTCTTCCCACCATGCGCGGTACCTGGCTTTGCCGATCTTGAGCTTGACGATGAGTTGGTCTTCGTCCTCCAGAACGCTCTCGTCGCGTAGCATGCTACGCCGCGCTGTGCGAGGTTCTTGTGGTGCCAGAATTTGCGAGTCAGGGGTGGAAGAACGTGCGCCGTAGCCAGCCCGCATGGCGGCTTGCGCAGCAGTGGCAGCTCCACGCATTCCGCGCGTTCGTGTGGTGCCTGGATTGATAGCGGACGGCGCAGGCGACTCTGGTCCTGAGTCTTCGCTCTCGAGCTCCTCGGAGTCCACATCTACGTCGCCACGAGCGCCGGCTCGCCGGGCGCCCTTACCACTACGCCGTGCCTTTGGTATGCCAGTCGTCTCGAAAGTCTCCACGGAGCCAGGTATGACAGTGTGAACGATCAATGACCTCACCGTCCGTTGTCGGTCCTTCAGATCCGGAAGCGCTGGGCCGCCTCTCCGGTTGAGTTGCCGTTTTTGTGCTCTATGCTCGCGCATCATGCTGGTCTCGGTCCGCTCGAACTCGGCCTCACTCATCTCGTACATATACGGCGTCCAGTCCTTCTGCGTCTGCTGCGGTCGGAATGCACTGTGGATCGGATTTGGCAGGAAGCTGTCTCTGAGCTCGGTGTCTTCCACTATGCGACCATCGAAGCAGTGGTTGGTGAGGTACAAGCTCTTCGTGTACAGCTGGCTTTGCTCTCGAATAGTGTGCGCAATAGCAGTCATGAATTCGCCAGAGAGCGCGTTCTCCCACGCCATATGTCGCGCAAACTCTTCTGGAGAGTTGAGTGGATTGTTGATATCCCATTCGAACTGATCAACCAGCGTAATACGGCCAATGGTGATGTTGAGCTTGATCTGTATCCGCATCTCGTCGTCCTTGTGGTCATGATAGGGCCGTCCAGGGTCGAGCGCTCCATCTTCCACAGTAATATGGGGGTAGAAGTTTTGTATTTGGTCATGCATCTCGACCCTGACTTGCCGAGAGACTTCGGGCAAGGCTTCTGGTGGTACGCGCAGGTCCTCAAGCAAGTAGTCCGCAAACATCTCTGGCGAGATGAGCTTCTCGTGCAGGTTCCACGTAAATGTGTCGCGCAGCCGCAGCTTGTCCAGCTCGATGTCCAGTCGTAATGGTACTAGTTCTTCATGCTGCTCGGCTTGCTGCGCGCCGTCTTTCCGGGTGTAATACAGTTCGCGTGACCTCCGACCCTTCGGTGGACCACGATGCGTATTGTACACGATCTGACTCTTGCCGTCCGTAAGGCGGTTGCCGTAACCCATAAAGCCATAGCCGAAAACGGAACCGGGATTTTGTTGACGCGCTTGCCTGACTTCGGTGATGTAGAACTCCTTTTCTCTTTCCTTGTCCTTGATGAGGTCGCGAGACCATTGCTCTTGGTCGTTCATCGTTGCGCAGTAAAGCAGGTCACGTTGGACATAGCGATCAAGGAGCACCTCATCGTAGGTATGGACAGTGCCATCCTGGTCCGTCACCGTGGGCTTCGGCCGGCTGATGGGCAGCTGGGTACCATCCCGCGATCTTTTCCTGCTCAGCTGAGGGCCTTCTTGCACTATTGGTGCGCCATTGGGTACATTAGAAGTCGGCGCGTTAGCCTGCTGTGTGCCGGCGGTAGGCGCACCGGCGGCGGCCATGACCTCTCGCGCCTTTAGCTTGCCTTCCCAGATCGCGTCCTTGCCATCTGTATGTGATTGCGACTCGGTGGTAGTACTGTCTGCAGTATGCGCAGTCGGGGGTTGGGCGGTTCCGTTAGCGTGTGGTCGATGGGAAGCGGCGCTTGGCAGAGACATGGCGGGAGAGGGGAAGGTGGTGGCGGCGAGGAGTTGGATGATAGGCGCGCCCGTCGCCCACCATCAACCCAAAGCGTCTCCAACGCGCACAACTAGCACCACCGCAGGTCAGTACAATGCTCGCGCGAGTCTCGGCCATGCTTGCGAGTGCGGTGGAACGAGGCTCCCAGCCGCACGGCTACAGCCAGCCAGCCAGCAAGCAGAGAGGCGCGTGGAGCAGAGGGCAGTCAAAGTGCGCCTGGTCACCCAGCGACGCGGTGATATAGAGAGAGGGAGACATACCTGAGGGAGCGGAAAACCAGATTACGCGCGACCAATGCGGCGGTGTCAACACACTTCGCTGCGTCAGTCACTTTCTCCCGACTTGCCGCCGCCTGACCGCAGCGCAGCGACGAGAGCAAGGGCCGCCCCTTTCCACTTTCGGCCACGCAACGGCGTTGACAAGAACCGCGGCCCACCTTGCCGCCGCACCCTTCCACGTGGCGATGATAATCAGCCGAAGGGAGAGAAAGATCTTATCCGCGTACCGAAGATCCGCGATCGGTCATTCGAGGCGTCGGGCACTCATTCATTGGATCGTTACTTATGCGTCGTACACGAGCGTGAGGAATGTGAAAAGCGGAGAGATTGCGCCCGGCCGAGCCCGCCTCGCTTCGGCTTCATCTTGGCATCGAAGGGAAGAGATGGGGCCCAAAGATCTACATGTACCTATCATTGTAGGGCACAAGGGGGGAGATGAAGATAGACGATACAACACTCGGGAGTCTTAATAATATCGCTATAGGTTTGCAACCTGCAGATATTGCTCCCTTTGAACAAGTCATCACGTGACCTTACGATCCGTTCGTTTGCGATAAGGACGCCACATGCTCCTAACAATGCTGACGGTCGCTGAAACAGTAAATGACCCGAGGCACTCTATAGTGCCTCACAGCCTTTCGCGATCAGTTCGAAGTGAAGATGCAGTCAAAGCGCTTGGGCGCTTTCTCGCTCCCCGCAAGGACGTGCCGGAACTGCTGATGAAGGTGGTAGACCTTCCACCGACTCTCGCCTATAGTAGCGAATCAAGCCTTGTGAAGACGTTCAAGCACGCAGCAACGACCTACGCAACCAACCGTTAGCGCTCGACTGAGTCTCGTGGTCAGATATGACAAACCTCTAATTGCAGCTCCTTGTCCTTCGCTTGGTTGACCTCATCCCTTATGACTTGGTCGAGATTAGCACCGATAGCAGCATTGCCGCCCGCTCTCTTCCCAAACGGCCATTGCGAATACTCCGCAAGCAACTCATCAACCTGCGCGAACGCTCGTTCCCGTGCTTCGTGGCCCAGCGTGACCAGCGCATTCTCGAGCACATTCGCCGCATATGCTGCACACAGCATGGCCACCGTCCGTAGATACCGGAACTCGATGCCATCGGGCAGAAAGGGGGATGCTGGTAGTACGACGGTGCGGCTCGTAAGGACTGCCCGAACCCGTCGTCGGATCTCGTCCTTCGCCCCACCGTCAGCGACGGGATGTGTCGCCATGTCGAAGAGCAGGAAGTTGCGCTTTTCCGTCCGCAGAATGCCCTTGTCGACCAATCCCTTCGCGAGCCGCTCACGGACTTGCTTCAGCTGGTAGCCAATCTTCATCAGATTCCACGTCTCACCTAGAAATAACAACACCACATGTCAGCCAGAACCACACTTACTCCACCCCAACAGAATCTCAAACATACCCGACATAAGGTCTATCCACGAACTCACACTCATCTTCTCACTACTCTTCATCATCTTCAACGCCTCATCCAACAACACCTCCCCCGTCAACGTCTCGTCCACCACCTCAATCACCCGATCCGGCAACGGAAACCTCTTCCTCCCGGAATCCTTCTGCATGCTTATCCTCCCCCGAAACGCAAGCTCAATCACTATACACCCCCGCAACGCATAACTGATATTGTCGTTCCAGAAGCTGAGATACCCTTGCTTGTCCTTCAACCCCATCAATAACACCTCCTCCATGAGCGTCAATTTGGGTTGTTTCAGCCGCTCGGCGCTTTCGCTGATGTCGCGCGGGTCAAAGGCGATCTTGTGGCCGTTCGAGCCGCTTTCGTAGGCCGTGTCGGGGGAGCGTGGGTCGTCGGTGGGTTTTCGCGGCGTGGGGGAGGAGACGCGGCTGTTGTCGTTCTCGTCGTTGGATTCGGTGTTCGCGGTGCCGGCGCCTCGGCGACGGGTCAGGCCTGAGCCTGACGCCGACGCCATGGTGTCGTTCTAGGAGCGGCAGTATATAGCTATGTAGCTGTGAGGCTCTCTCTCCCTTGGGTGCTGGTCGAGCTAAAGGCGGAGAGTTTCGAGCAACCGTTCACTGTCTGGGCAGTACAGATACGCTATAGCCTGCCTTGATCGGCATTCGCGACTGCTTTGTGGAGTGTTGTGTAATTGTGGATCGCGTTGGAAGTGGTACGCCAAAAAGTGGCTGTCTGAACGTTGCACAAGCAGCTGTTTCGTCGGCGGCGGCTTGAACCCCTGCGCGGATCAATGCCGCACGGACAATTTGTGTGCCTTACATTGGCGACCATGGACATATATGAAAATCCATCGAACGCGAAAGCTTGGTTGGCAAGAGTAGATAGTACAAGTGCATTATGCGCCCACTCCGCCTTTAGCATGTACATTGCGCCTCTGAACAGGCTCCTCCCTCAGCCGATCACACGCCTCTCCACCACAACTACTGCTCTGCATCCATTTATGTCTTGATATCTTCGAATCGGCACCTCAGTGCGCTAGAGAGTGTCAGCTATTATTGTACAGGGCTGGAGGGTTTGGTAGCGTTACCGTCAGGCTGCGACATGATATAGTCCACCGCTTGGGTGACTACAGGCGTGTCAGCTTCGTCCCTTACAGCCAGTATCATTTCGGCTTACCGCTGTGGATCGCGTCTGCCTCCTTGTCTGGGATCTCAATGCTGAACTCCTGCCATATTGTCAATACCAATTGTATATCGCGTCTCCGCATGCAACCAACCTCCTCAATGGCCATGACCACCTCCACAGTGTCCAGGCTGTCCAACCCAAGGTCGTTCGTGAAGTGCGATTGAGGCGAGAGCTAGATAGCTGTTAGAGACGGTCATAGAGACTACCCTGCATCCGCGGAAAGCTACCTTTGATGGATCCTGAACCTGCATCTAATGTCAGTGCACATTCTCCTCACGGACCCTGCTCGCCTCGTCACTCACCTTGTCGAAGTTCTTCAGCAGATCAAGTATGCGCCCAGTGACTTCCTCCTGTGCTAGTCCAGATGACGAGGCATAGCATCTCACTGCGGAGATGGCGAATGCGGGTGTAGATATTCTGGGCTGGATGAAGGGGGTTTGGATCGCTCGTTGGAAGGCGGGTCGCTGCACGCGGGATGATGCTTGAGCGGCAGACCGCGCTGCGCGGAGAAGGGCTGTTCGGTACATGATGTGCTAGCGGAGGTGGCAAGGTGTAATAGAGCGGGCTATGGGCGAGTCGAAGAAGCTCATGCGACTTGAAGCATCACAAAGCTCGGACTGCATCGTTCGGGTTTGAAGCCTGAGGCACCATTCACTGCACTCCATTTGCCTCAATTTCGCCCGCATTCTGTTGCAGCTCTGGGAGCGAAACAACTACGGCACATGCATGTGTATGTACGCACGCAGCCAGAAACAACAGCATGGGAAGACATGGGGCCCTTTCGAGCCCGTACGGCCGCAAATGGCAAGACTGGTGCTCGGTGGCTGTTATACATGTTCCCACCACTCTGACATCCCAACGTGAATAGCATGCGCTGTCCTGCTCTTGGATCAAACTGCTGCATCGACTTTACTGTCGTCGACATTGCTGTCCGAGATATCCGTAGTCGTATCTAAGATGGCCACCTGACACAGTCGGGAGACCAATACGTGGCTGCAGCCACGGTACATGCTATAGGATGACGGGCGATACCTGGAAAGCAGCACCTTCCGAGTCCACTCTCCGGTACGCAGCGTTTAGTCTAGCTATTGCGGTGAGTGACCTCCATGATGACTGCATCATTAGCTGTTCATCCCGGCATGAGGTCGCCTTGATGTGGCTGTGTAGCCCCCGGCAGACGCCGGGACGAGCCTCAGCCTTGCCGATTGCCAATCAGGCACAGTATGGCGGGGCTTTCGTCATATGGGCCACGGATTCATGTCGATGCTGTGTTGGTACATGTACTCGGCTTCAAACACTCCCTTGGATACGAGACATATACGAAGTCGGTCTCCGCTTGAGTATCGCGATTAGAGGGAGGGTACTGTTTTCGACTTAGGCCGATAAACATACATAGCGCATTTGGACCAACGTAATCCGGCTTGCGACATCTAACGGCTTCTTGCTTCTTGCTGCGCCCCCTCTCTCACCACCTTTCGCACTGATCTCTCCACAACCTTGGCCGCATGCTCTGGGATTGAAACCTTGGCGCCTCACGCGACCCCGAGTACTAAGCTCCTCCATTCACCGCCGTAGCTTGGAGGAACAGCTTCCAATACATTGACAGGCCACCCAGCCTGCGGCCTTTGCGCCGCCAGCGATTGTGCAGCATGGACGACCAAGGCAGGCTCCGGCGCAAGGACACCACCAAAGGCCCGCCATTGCGCATATTGTCACTCGATGGCGGAGGTGTCAGAGGCTATTCGATGCTCATCATCCTGCAGGAATTAATGCACAGGACGTTTGTCGAGACAGAAGGAAGAGCACCGAAAAGGCACGAGATCCCAAAGCCATGCGATCACTTCGATCTAATTGCAGGCACTGGTACTGGAGGCTTGATAGCGATCATGCTCGGCCGACTACGCCTTGACCTCGATACCTGCAAGGACGTGTACGTGCGCATGACGCGGAGAGCGTTCGAAACGGACAAAACGATCGCTGGCATACCGTACAAGAGCACGATGTTTAAGGCGAGCAAGCTCGAAGAGGTCATCAAAGAGTGCGTGAGCCAGCATACGATCTTCGAGGATGAAGGCAACGATACAATCGCCAATGCTACGCCAATGACGCCGCCGTCCACCGGCGGTAGTGTGAACAGCCCCACTGATGCGCCGCATCGGACCATGAGCCAGGGCAGCAGATATAGTCAGGTGGGTGTTAGTCCGATAGCGCAGCGTATGGGCACCGGCTTTGGACGCCAATTTGGAAGCCCGAACGCACAGCTGTACGATGCGCGGGAGTCTCGCACGAAAACGGCAGTGACTGCGGTACTGAGGGGGACCGCAACCACCACCTTACTGCGATCATACGACTCGCGGAGAGAGCCGGCGCCGGATGTCAAGTGCACCATCTGGGAGGCCGGCCGTGCCACGTCTGCTATACACCTCGCTTTCAAGCCCATCCAAATTGGTCAGTCAGTCTATCTGGACGAAGGGAATGGGAAGTATAACCCTGCGCCTGTGATTCTGGACGAAGCGGTACAGAGTGAATGGCCAGGTCGCGAGGTTGGCGTCTTCGTCAGTATCGGCACCGGCAAGCGACCACCAGGGACCGATAACCAGCAGCAAGAATGGTGGGAGGGCTTCATGGGTGGCACGATCGGCGCGTTTGCAGAGGCACGAAGAAGGCTGATCAGGAAGCTGGAGGCTTGCGAAGAGACGCATCAATACATGCTGCGCGAGCACCTTGGGTCACGGCAGGTCAATGTCGACAACTACTACCGGTTGAATGTCGAGGTGGGCGTCGGAGAGTTTGGCTTGAACGAGTGGGCGAGACTCTCGGAGATCAGCACGAACACCCGAACGTACCTGCACAGGCATGACGTTGAGGTAATAAACCAGAGCTGCGCAGCAAAATTAGCCCGGATACATCTTGCCAAGGTAAGGCATGATCGATCTGAAACGCGAAAGATACTTGGCCAGCATGAGCGGAACACCAGCTGGCAGAACCCGTGGGAAAGGCCACTGCCAACAGCGCCCCACGACTCAATCGCAGCTGAGCTTCCCGGAGACGATCAATACTACCAGCCCCAAGCTTTCCGACCTGGCTCCCAGCAATCCTACGAGCACAGGCCAAGCATCGCAGACCAGAAATACACCATCGTGACAAGTGCACCCGGTTTTCAAGACCACAGACCAAGCGTAACCGACCAGAAATACACCGTCCTCCCCGACGACGCCGACGAAGTAACCCCCACCGCCAACGGCGAACAACGAACCCCCATCCAACGGCCTCCCCCCCAATACGGCCAACAACTACCCATCTCCACTCCGAGCAACGGGCCCTCGCCGCGACATAGCCACGACTCCGGTCATCGACCTAATGTGCCCCCGCCTTTACCGCCGAAGACGCCGTTACCGTATCCAGACCAACTGACTTCGCCGCAGACGCCGCATAGTCCGCAGCAGTGGTCTGGTTCGTATGATGGCGCGCCGAGGACTTTTATGAACATGGGGGAGTTGGGGAGGAGGTTGCCGTATCCCGATATGGAGGGCCCGCCGCCGGCGGTGAATACGGCGAGTAAACCTACTTTGACGAGGTAATAAGTGATGCGCGCATGACGGATGGCTGGTGATTTTGGTTAAGTAACGTGATACCCATGGTTATCGAACAACAGTCAACTTATCAAATGCCACAACTTGCTTACACGGTCTTGCCGTATCCGTCACATGCGTGAATCTGTGCGAGGAATCACAGGGCGTGGAGATGTCGGTATTGCCTTGGGCTTTCGCGTTGGCAGGTGCAACCCGTCGTGCCTTCCCTATACAGGTTTGTCGCACACTGTGCCCGTCGTCATGGTTGCAGTCAGCGCGGCCTACAACATTGGGTTTCGGCACTCTCAAGCAACACAACAATGATCTCTACGTTCAAAACGCAGTAACGTCAACAGTACACGCTGCATATGCAGGCGAACGCGCGCGACATGGCGGCGAAGGTGAATTAAGTGATGAATGTGTAGAGCGAACACCCAAGTCCCAAGCTGACTGCTTCACAGGCGGAAGCGGCAACGACGTCGACGGCTGGACAACAAGTTTTCCACACCGTCGAGCTGCTGGAGATGATCCTACTCCATCTGCCTATGAAGGACCTCCTCTTTGCACAGGCGATCAACCGCACATGCAAAGCCTGGATCACGAAGTCTGAAAAGCTACAGCAAGCGCTGTTTATGCTCCCGGCGACGAACGAAGCTGCCTTCTACTATCACCATACCAAGTGGAATGCAAGCGGAAGCAGATCTCGGCACTACAGATGCTTCCTCCTCTTCCCGACGGAGAAGTCCGCTGTAACCCGCCAACTGAAGGGCACGCCTGATTATGAGGACATTGAAGGGCTCGGCTTAGAGCGTGTGCAAGTCTTTGCCAATTCCCTGCTTGTACGAAATATCACACTCTACAGGCTTGTGTTCGATGAGAATCGTCAGTACAGTAAGATACGCATGTCACCCATTGGAGGCTACAGCGCCAACGTGTGGGAAAGAGGGCTGGAGTCGCCGTGGGGTTGGCGCTACGAACTGCCAGGTCTCTCACCTGCGGCGCAACGCCCCGAGGCTTCCTGGCGCAAGATGTATCTCACTCAGCCGCCACTCGGCTTTTTGGATTCTCCATACCTTGGGGATCACGAACGACCCAAGGGTCGAAAGCGTGCGGTCTTCACTCAACAAAAGATCGGCAAGCCGATCTTTATGGGCTCTTGGCAAGACAACTGCATCAGAGACCGCATTGAGTGGCCGCTGGTTTACGGAGGCGACAGACTTAGGCGTTGGACCTCTGGACAGGACCTTGACCAAATCGCAACGAGCGAGTCACTCGAGAAGTTCATGTCCCGGACGGCTGCTTGCCACGAGCCATATCCTGCCGACGCTGAGTTTCCACGGCCTCTAGGCTTCGGCTTTTAGGGTCAGGAGGACGAAGGAGACCTGGAGGTCCGAAACGGTGAACCCAATTGTCACTCGCTCTCGACCTCGCCGCCTTCGCCGGTCGTGGTTCACGAAAAGTTCTCGTGACTACACGTGTCCACGCGACATGGAGCGAGTACAGGGTTGTCCGACTGGAGCAGGATTCCGCTGCCTAACTACTCAGGCGCTCTGCAGCAACCTTCTAGCGGGAGGGGGAAAAGCATGCTCTGGACGATACATGACCGGATTGACGAACGTCGAAGTCAGCTCAGGACAATGAATAGGCGTGCGTCTGCCGTTGAACGGCTTGAAAGCAATAGTCTTAGTTCAGCGAATGAAAACTCCGGCTTGGGACACTCTTGGTATACGTGCGTCTGCGGTCAGGGTACCTCAAGTACGGCAAGGGCAGCAGTAGTCTCGGCGTGATAAACTTCGTTTCAGTGCTACTATTTCAAGCCTTAAACCTCCCCTCAAACCCCGCCCTCCCCTTCTTCTTCCCACCATCCTTCCCCTTCCCACCACTCCCCTTCCCACTCCCACTACCACTCTTCCCCTTCTTCTTCCCACCACTACCGCCACCCTTCTCCTCCCTCCTCTTCGCCAAATTCCCCTCTCTCCTCTTCTGCTTCATTTCCCGTCCCTTCACCACATTCTCCTCCCTCTCCTTCCACGCCTCCGCACTCTTACTTTTCTGCTTCTCCTTCCGCTTCAGCGCCTTCTTGAGCAAGCTCGTGTCGTCCCTCACTCTCTCCCCTTGCGCGCGTTGTTTCGCGTGCAGCCACATGTCTTTCTCCCCAATGTCTGCCCGCTTTTCGGCATCTAAGCCTGAGATGCGGGTCTGTTTCTTAGTAGCGGCTTCGAGGGCCGTGCGTGGGTCTGAGGGACCTTTGCGTTTCCTCGCTTCGGAGAGGGTGGTGAGTGATGCGTCCGCCGCCGTGCCGTCCTCAAACGCGAGACGCGAGAAGGAGAAGTTCGGCTCTGCCTGTTGCTGCGTGCGGGGGCTGAACATGTCCATCGCCATCGGACTTCCAGAGGAAGCACGGATCTGCTCGTCTCGTTTTCGCGCTTCGTCCTCCTTGGCTTTTCGCCAGGCTTCTTTCTTTGCGGCTTTGCGCTGTTGGTCTTTTTTCCGGCGCTGTTCGAGGAGTTCTTGTCGACTTCGTGCTGGACGACCGTCGGGACCGTCCGCTTTGCGTTTGGCGCGGAGTTCTTCTATGCGTTGGCGGAGACGTTCTTGGAGGAGGGGGGTGTCGATGTTGGGGAGTTGAAGTTTGGGAGAAGACGTGCGCGAGGGTGGGGAGGCGGGCTTTAGGACGGAGTCGGTTCGCGAGTGGGTTGTGGTTGAAAGTAGGTCGGTGGTGATGGTGGGTCTTGACGGAGCTTGCTTTGGTGGTGCGGTCTCTTTTGGCTGTGATGCGACGGATGGCGGGAGTATGGACGATGAGGATGAAGCTGTTGACTGGTTGGTGGCGACATCGAAGGCTGGGCTGTCGGCATTCGGGCTCGAGGGTGCAGATGACGGTTCAGATGCGGCGTCTTCATGGTGGTCCTCCCGCTTCGACTCTTCCCGCGACTCCGTATCATCTAGCCCAGAGACGTCGAAGCCATTCATCTCCACGTCATCACCAGCTGCAGTTGGCTGCTCCCCACCATCATCGTCTTCATCAAGTCGCAGAGGCTGATCCTCCAACTTGCTCTCCTGCTTCGCCGCCTTCTTCCTCTCCTTCTTCGCTTGCTCCCTCGCAGCCTTCTCCTTCTTCCGCATCAGCTTCTCCTTCCGCCTCTCCGCCTTCGCCAGCCTCTTCGCCTCCACCTCCTCCGCACTGGGCTCGGCCTTTTGCCTCTTTCCTTTCGGCTCCTCCGGTTTGCTCTCTTCCTCGTCCTCCTCACCCAATTCCCTCTTCCGCTTCCGCTCTCTCTCCTTCATGATATCCAGCGCACTCTTCTGGTTGGCGGGATCAAGCTTCGCCTTCTTCGCCGCCCGCTTCTGCTCCTTCGTCTGCTTCTTGCGGTTCCATTGCTCGCTCGGATCAAGGCCGTCGTCAATCTGACTGCCGTAGTACTCGCGGGCGGGTGTGAGCGCGAGGAGGGACTCGAAGGCTTTGGAGTGGGCGGCGAGTCGTTCCTACGATAAGCGGTTAGATACGTGGCGTCACTATGTGAGATATCATGGTATGAAGGCTACCATCAAGCCTTCTGGCACTTCGTTGTCGTCCGCCATGATCAATGATGGGATGGAGGGTGTAGTAAATAGCAAGAGTGATGGTGGATGCTGGTCTCGTGCAGCCTCTGCGGTGAAGCAACAAAAATGGGAAAGGCGGATGCCAAGATTTCGCGGCGATCGGAGGCTCCACTCCAAAGCCGGAGAGAAGCCGTGCCTTCTTCCGCAAGAGATCTTCTTCCACTCTATCATCCAGTCACAATGTCATACACTTCTCGACATGGACTGCAACTCTGCTTCCAATTGCCTGGCACTGTCTCTCATCGCCATGGACAGCGTTGCACCTGTGGGGACTGCTACATGTTGCAAAGAAGGCGTCGAAGCAACAATGCATTTACATATTCTCGGCGAGAAACATTACGGTAAAAGCCTTCGGTTTCGCTGCTCTTGTTGCTAGCAGGAAGACCTCACAGCAGCAATTTCACGTGTCTCAATGGCTTGCATCTGCCAGTGCAGGAAAACTTGGACAGATAAACCTGTTTCGTTATCACCGACACAAGAATCAACCATGACTATTCCATCTGCGAATCTTGGTAAATCATCAACTTTTTAATCCTCCTTTGACCGATGCATGTTGTCTTGTCATCATGTACTGTTTCTCACAATCATATATCTGCTTAGCTCAACAGCAGCTCAAACTCTTCTAGATTGGGAGTGGGTGGTGCAAAGCCCGGTCATGATGCCGTGGACGTGATGGTAACTTCTAAACACGGCAGTACCGACGTCGAAGAAGTCCACTGAGCCCTCATCCCTGTCCTCCTGGAAGCGCATGTTCTGCTCGATACTTCACGAACAACACTCATTCTTCAGCAGCTAACCATATCGGACTAACGAATGGGACTACACGGCTACAGCGTCGTGACCTCCACGGAACAGTCTGGGCTCATGAGCGTGCAGCGGCCTACACCTCCTACACCACGGGCCAATCACGAGACGAGAAGTGCTACCCGGAATCTACGTACCCATGCATTGGCGTCCAACGTTGTGCGACTATATCGAATCTCTTGCGGGACGCCATTTCATCGCCTCAGCATCCCGCTGGCGAATCGGCAACTACGACCAGACCCGACGCACTACTGGCCAGAGATCAGTACGCTTGCAGTAGGCCGACGTTTGAACTCGGCAAATACCCTGCCAAAGTATGCCGGCATGCCGGCGTAATGGTGTGAAACTAGCCGCAGCGGTTCATGCACGTAAAGCCGTTAGCAGCGAGTCAGATGCAAGGGACTGAGCTTTGGCCATGGCCGTCAATGAGCTTGATCAGACGTCCTTTCAACGCCGCGCTCTGAACACAACGATCCATCATCCAGGGATTCGTAGGGACCCCGTCGCAAGCCGCCCAGACGTCTGTGGAGATGCCAGAACAGCCGCCGTGAAACAACACTCAATCTTCGTAATCGACCGGCGGTGGGTAACGCTGGCTAGCCGCTCGGTACTCATTCGGGTACTTTCGTGCTGCTCGCGCGTTAAGTGCGCTGCAGAAAGAAATCAGCAAACAGCAGGTGAGTACAAAGCGGGCTGCAAACGCACTGCATCTTCTTTTGCGTCCACTCGAGATCTCGTTGCACCTCCCTCGCCGCCTTCATGCCCTCGGCAAAGTTTGCCCTGGTTTGTGCAAGGCGGGCTCGCGCTTGTGCTTGTAAGGCCATCAATTCGCGGTTCTTTGCGTTTAGCTCGCCGGACCTGACCTCCGTCAGTCTTAACAGCAAAAAGGCTCGGTTGTGGGAACAATCACATCTGCGCCTGTTTGGCCAAACTCTGATCAAGCGGAATCGGATTGTACGCCTGCGCCAGTCGATCGTTCATGTAATCAAGCAGATCCACACTCGTCGCTCCAGTCGTAGAAGCCTCGTAGTCGCTGCCGGCATAGCTGCTTGAGGCGGCCGAGTAGAGACCAGCACCGGAAGTGGATACGCTCTCTGGCCGTTCAGGTGGCGACGCGGAAAGGTGACTGTAGGCCGATGAGTTCCGGTTGTGGCGAGGAGCATACGACTGTTGTGGTGCTTTACCCGGCACGCCGACGGGCAGCGAGCTGGTGGGCTGGTACTGGTATTGGTAGTACGACGTAGACATTGTTGGTGGAGGCGCAGGCAGTGAGAAGTAGTGTGGCAGTGGGTAAGTAGACGAGCGTGGTATTTGGGCGAGATGGAGACAGTGTGAGCAAGAAGCGGAAGAGGGAGGATACTCGCCACAGCTGCTCACCAGCTCAACCTTTATACCCATCAGAAATCCCCGGGGGAATTCATCCGCTGTTACCCGTGATATGAGGAGCACACCCACTTCCATGCACACTATCAGTAGCTCCAGGTTGATAGCGTCTGATCATACCTCTATCAGCACATTCACGTCTCCGCCGAGCAAGGGTCTACCCACGCCGAGCACTGTACCAAAGGCGATATCGCCGATTGAGCCGGGCATGGGCATAGTCTAGACGGGCACACAAATGCCGCCATTGGCTTTTCCGAAAGGCTAATCGTTAGCTGCATGCTCGTAGGAAGGAGCTCTTCGCCCGCTATCGCGGCGTTCGTGGGTCAGCTGTCTGGTTGCGGTGCGGGTGATGCTGACGGCTAACAGAGCTGGCTGCTGCAAGGAAAGCGAGCGATATCTGCACGCTGCAAACGAGGACAACCCTACCTTTCCCGAACGAGACAAGACTGGCTCGAAAGACGGTTGACGAGCAAGGGTGCCATGTCCTGCGGTGAGCTAGCAGCGCGAGCAATATGTGTTGGCTGAGAAAGGTAACGTGAGGTCAAGGGCTCGCTTCCGGAGCGAAGTCTACGCTGTACGACCGGCAATGTGTGGTTCCCACGTGGTTTGAGTAGTACGGCATATGCCCTCAAGATCACCCCTACAGCTGTCACAGCGCGTTTGAAAGGCGTACAACCGAGCGATCCGCCTCCCATGCGTTCTCGCATATCCACGTAGTCAGAGGCTGACGTTAAAGCGGCCATACGGGATTGGCCGGGCCGAATTAGACCGAGGGGTCAAAAGTCATGGACTGAAGCTCACCACAACTTCTTCACTTCCTCCATCTCTTACGCCTTTGCATAATCGAACGCACTCTTGGTTGACGTATATACGGAAACTGAGGGCGAAACCTCGTAGCACTGCGAAATGATTCTCACAGGGCAGCCTGCTCCTCCACCCGATAAAATCCAGGTGAAGCGGGTAAATCTTCCCACACCTTTTCTCGCGTAACCTCCGTTGGGCAGACATACTTCTCTACTGCGCCGTCGCAAAACGACGCGTTTCCGTTACCTGGTCCTCGGGCATGACAGCATCAAAAACGGTACCCTGTCGATGACACGGCGTGGCGCTCATACGAACTAGGACGTATCGTCAAAATACCGGGTGCTCACTTGCTGCGTTCCTGGCATGAGCAATCCCAATCGCTTGCGAGTGCCAGTGTCCCAAAGGAGGTTCACGGCAGGTGTTGTTCCCACTCTGGACACCAAAACGGCAGGGTTATCACTGAATGCGGTGGTGGTGGTTCACAAGCGAGGTTTTGCAGCACGCTGTGCCGTCTAGCCTAACCAGTGTCGAAATGGTTTTCCACTTTTCCGATCTCTTCATAGGGTGCTAGAGGACGTCTGAGCATCACCATGCCGTCTTCTATCGTCTCCGGCATAATGGACACGCGAGCGATCCTGTCAACTTCTGTGATATAAAGCATTACAAACCTTTGCTAAGGTGGCCGGTGTGGTGGTTTTGTGATCTTCGACAGACACCATAGAGAAGCATCCGAGCGACGGCCTACTACCCTCACAAGCTGCAACCGCGATACAGTATGCGTTTTACGAATCACTCGGAGGCTTGACACTTGACACCGCCACATCCAAATCAGCGCTCGTAAGCAATGTAGTTCAGGCGTTTTGACACCTCTCCGTCATACCAGTCATCATCACATCTAATCTATGCCATCTACACCCCAGCATTCCCCTCCGCAACCGCCTCCCCCATCACCTCCGCAAACCGGCCCACCCGATCCTGGCTCTGCATCGCCGTCTGCATACTCAACAACACCTTCTTAATCCCCACATTCACCCCCTCCCCCCCGCCCGTCACCTCCCGAATCTCCCCAATCGCCCTCTCCACGTCCGCCTCGCTGAACGCTCCCTCCATACTCTCATCCAACATCACGCCCGCCAATTCCCGCGCCGTCATGACGTTGGGGACGGCAATCTGCATCATGAAGTTCAACTGTAACTGCTGCAGTACGGTCCGCTCGGACGTCGTGGCGAGGATGAGTAAAGGTCGTCCCTTGGGAGGTTTATTCTCCATCAACCCCTTGATCGCGGCCAGCACCGCCGAACTAAACCTCGGGCCCACGGGCACCCAATCAACGAGCAACTCGATGTTATCCAACACCAACACATTCAGCGGAGATTTATACGCGTCCGTGAAACTCTTGCTCAGATGCTGGATCTTCTGGATCTCATTCATGCCCAACATATCCGCCGGTTTCACCAGCCGAATAAAGGGGAACTCGGACTCCATCGCTATCCGCGCCGCGAGTGCGGTTTTCCCGGAACCGTGGGGACCGTGGAGAAGGACGGAGAGTAAGGGTGTCGTGTTCGTGCGGACTTGATTGATAAAGTCCCGGCCACTCTGCAGGATTTTGTCGACGTGGGGGCTGAATTTGATGATCCCGCCTTCTACGCAGCGGTCGAGGTCTTCTTCGCTTACGCCGAATAAGGGGTGGACTTCGAGGAGCGCGGACTCGAAGTCGGCCATGCGGATTTGCATGTTGACTACGTCGTCCTTGAGCGCGGCGACGGTGCCGCCTTTGATATGCCGTTGTAGTGCGAAACTACTCGCCGATTTGATGAGACCTTGTATCTCCGCCCCGGAGAAATTGCGGGTTCGTTTTGCGAGGTCCGCAAGGTCGACATCGGAGGCTAGTTTGCCGTTTTCGCGCATTTTCGACGTGTGGATTTTGAGGATTTGTTGTCGACCATATTCGTCTGGTAGACTGATCTCCATGTGCACTTCTAAACGACCGGAGCGGAGTAGGGCTTCGTCGATCATGTCTTTGCGGTTCGTCATGCCGATGAGGAGGATGTTGTTGAGTTGCTCCACGCCGTCGAGCTTCGATAACAGCTGGTTGACCACGCTGTCGCCGACGCCCGTCCCGCCTCCCGCGCCAGAACCGCGCTGTTTGCAGACCGCGTCGAGCTCGTCGAAGATGATGATGTGCAGGCCGGACTCGTCGCCCTTTTCCTTCTGCTCCTTTTCCGCATCGGCGAAGAGTTTGCGAATGTTCTCTTCGGATTGCCCGACGTATTTGTTTAGCACCTCCGGTCCGTTGATGACTTTTGGTTCGCGTGCGTTGAGCATCTTGCCAATTTGGCGCGCGATAAGCGTCTTGCCTGTTCCGGGAGGGCCGTAGAGGAGTATTCCGCGGACGTGTTGGATATTCATTTTCTCCGCAAGACCGGGGGGTAGGATACGTGAGGCGAAGGCTCTGCGGAAGATGTCGCTAAACTCTTTGTCGAGGCCGCCGATTCCGAGGTCTTCAAACTTGAAGTCGGGTCGGACAATCGAGTTGGCCGCGGCGCGACGGTTGGAGCCTTTGAGGTTGATACCTGACCGCGCATCCTTGAAGTAGTTGATTGCTGTCTCCGGCGTTAGGATACCTCTCGCCTGCGGGCTGGTGGACTGCCGTGCGCCGTCCGAGGATGCTTTAAGAGATGATATATCAACCAACTCCACCGTTCTAATCGTCATCCGCAACGGGACACTTCTAAAATCCATCAACAACTGCTGCCCCGGCGCAAAGATCTGGTTCCTGAAATTGTGCACAAACGCCTGCGCCAGCTCGTCTTGATCGTACGGTATATCCGTCGTCTTCTTACCGGCAAAGGCAACCTCCACATCCATAGCGCCCAGATAGCTTTGCGCGCCGTGACTGAAGGGGTCGTAAGATTGCGCCTCCACGACGTCTGTGAGCGCGACTTGCATCCACGTCCGTTGCGGGTCGTTCAGACTGATGTGGCCTCGTGGGAAGGAGGGTAGGGGTCTTGCGGAAAGGACATACTGTCCGTTTAGCAGGAGGTATGTGTCGCCGTCGTGAGCTGGAGGGATGTCTTGCGCGGAGACTGCGCATATGTTGCCGAAGGTGAAGCTGTTGTCTGGTGCTTTTGTCGGCCGTAGTTGCATGCCGCGCATGGGTTGTGACTGTGGTGGCGCCCGCATCGCCTTCTCTTGTTGGTTATATGGTGGGGCGTCTCTGTATTGCTGGTCAGGTGCCTGAAAGCGGGCGTCAGACTGGCGAGGCGCTTGAGGTATGGACTGGCGTGGAGGCTGTGGTGGTGGTGGTTGCTGGCCACGACTGCCGAAGAGGTTGTCCCTGTTGAACATGTTGTAGGTGAGGGAGGGGATATATATGAACAAAGAGAGTGCGCTTTGTAGGCAGATGGTAAAGCTAGGCTGCTGGATTCGACGGAGAACAAGCTACGTTACAACTCAAGGTCGGCTTGTGGGTGTGATATGTGATGACCAAGCAAGCGACATAGACCATAATAGGCGCGAGTGGATGTACTGTGTTGTGTTGTGTTGATACTGTGTGGACGCTATAGTGTACAATAGTCAAGCTGACTGAGACATGTCGAAGATGCCCCGCCACCCACATGCGCCACTTACATCTCGCCCTCGATCAATGAATGTGGTCAATGTAGCCACCACATCTCCCATCAAATCACTTCACCCAGATATCATTGACAACACATTGTCTCATCTGGTTGGAGTTATAGGTGATAATGCGCCTGCGGTGGTATAGCAGCTACTGCAAGCGCCAGCACTGGTCGTGTTTCAAGATGCCATCGGCTTTTCGGCTCGCCGAGGCAGCCCTTTACCTGCCACTCTCCAGCCACGCGCCCGACGACTCGAACCATGCACACGTTGTGTGTGCGTCACGTCTTTGCTGCCACTCTCTTGCTTGTGCATACACTCCTCCACGTCGCTCGTTCTAACGATATTGTTGCCATTGACTACTCTTTCGCTGCTGCCAACATCACTATGACCACTTGAAGGCAGTACGAACACCCTCACGGCCCGATCCGCGACAACACAGCGACCAACCTTAAGCACCACAACCGGACGATCAGTCGGGATAATCAAGACGAGACGAGACGAGACGAACAGTGAAAGGCGACCCGGATACGGCACCCACCCGCCCAAACAGGCGCAATGCCTGCGCTTCCGCAAATCCAACGGCATGCAGCAGACTCCCGCATCCTCGACTCGCGACAACTACTCAGCTCCGCCGCGCAATCCCTCTCTTCAGCGACGACCGCGAGTTTTCACAAACTAGCACGATCGATAATCCTACCCCGACAAAGCGGCGGCCTCCCCGCCATCCCCCAATACTACCAGTACTCCGGCCCCAGCCCCGGCGCCGTGGTGGGCATCGTCCTCGGCTCCGTCGCCGGCTTCCTCCTCCTCATGTGGCTCTTCTGGAGTCTCAGCCAAGGCAACACCTTCCTCACCTCCAACCGTTATGAGGAAGAAGACGTCGTCGTGCGGCGGCGCTCGCGCAGTCCACGTAGTCACCGCAGTCGACGCACGGAGATGTCGAGTCGCTCCCCTCCCGCGAGACGGGAACGCGTGATCCGGACGGAGCGGATTGTGCGTGACATTCCCCCTCCGAGGGAACCTAGTCGGATAAGGGAGACGGTGATTGTGGAGGATTTGCCGCCGAGGATGGAGAGGAGGGTGGATGGGGATGATATTGTCGAGGTGATTGAGGAGCATTCTTCCCTTGGGGGTGGTGGGGCGCCGCCGCCGAGGAGGAAGACAAGGAGGAGCGGGGGTGGTTATCGGTAAGTTCCCTCCCAGCTCTTTGCTTGTGCATGAGTAGGCGGGGCCTTGGCGGTATGGTGTGCGATGTGTTCGCATCATGTCAGTTTGCGTGGGTGTGGGGCAGGCTCTCTTGTTCTTACATTCTTTTTCGCGTTGCCCGCACAGTCACACTGACTTCTCGCTGTAGATGATGGGAATGAAGGCTTACGATTCTCACTTTTGACAGGCGCGGCGAGTTCTCGGATCTCTGATTTATGGCTGGCGTGCGGTTGCTGTACAGTACACGCATTACGTAAGCGGAGGCGTTAGGGCAATGGTATCGCATCGGCAAAACGGTGGCTCAGTCGCAGATGCTTGGTGTTTGCTTGCCTGGGAGACAGGAAGACTTACATCCAGTGACGGGAATGAGAGCGCGGAAGGTGAAGGTGATGGTGCTCGAGATACCCAATAAGTGAGATGTCAAATCAATGCCGACAGGTTTCGGCACGAAGCAGCATGTCGCAGTCAATCTTCATTACAGCGTTCAGACGAGTCCATATGGAAGTGGCAGCTTCTTGACTAACGTGAAAGGCATAGCACGAGTCGGGTGGACAAAGCACGACTCTAGGTCGTTCTGCTTGGACACCGCTACTTCGTGGCGCTTCTGCAGTACCCGGTTGACATCTCATCGCAAACTCTCTGCACGCAACGCTACTGTGGTAAAGTATTGCTGCAGGCAAGGCAGGCCATCTCAGACCTCTGACCTCCGCCGTTCATCTACAAGTGCTTCAACACCTTGTCAGCAGCCGTCACCGTGACCTCCGGCGCCTGATCCTCCGTGAAGACCTCCTTCACCTCCCCGTTCTCCACAATCGCAGCGTAGCGCTTGGAGCGGTGGTTGCCGAGCAGGCCGGAGGCGTCGAAGCTCATGCCCGCAGCCTTGGTCCACTACAATCGTAAACTGATTAGTACTACCACCCACTAAGGAGCAAGAGAGGGCTCGACTCACCTCCCCATTATCATCAGCGAGAAAATGCACCAGCTGATGATTCGCCCCCAACTTCTCCTTCCACGCCTGCGTGGTAAACGCGTCGTTCACAGCAACGACATAAATGCCCTTGACGTCCTTCTTGGCGAAGTCATCGGCATGCCGGGCGTAGCCGGGGACTTGCGAGGAGCAGGGAGGGGTGAAGGCGCCGGGGACACCGACGATGATGTTCTTGCCGTGCAGTTGGCTGAGGTTGACCGTGGCTTGCTCCGGGTTGGTTTCTTTGAGCGGGGTGGTGGGGAGTTTGCTGCCCTTGGTTAGAGGCGAGACGGAGCCGAGGACGGATTGAATGATGGATGACATTGTTGCTGTGGTTGCTCGGAAATTGTAAGGTGGATATGGCTTTTGAATGAGGTTCGAGTGGGGAAGGACAGTGTATGTGTATGAGTTGTATTTGAAGGGACAGACGCCCGGGGTCTGATATGTAACCTGCGTGTCTTTGTTTTTGGAATTCCAGACCTTCGCTCGCTGCAAGTGACGTGCGCGGGGCCGCGATGAGGGGCAGGCACGATCAGCAGTATTTCAAATAGCGCCATCGCGCCTTCCCTCGCAAGCCTGCCATCAAGGTGGTCGGACGGCAGGAACCACCGCACATGCATATCGATGCCTGAGGACAGTAAATTCGATCGACGTGGCTGGATTTGTGTGGGAAGAGACGTGCGTGGATTGGGTTGCTCATCGCGCCTTCTTACTCCCCTTCCCTCTCCCACCGCTCTTCGCCCCCGCACCCCCCTTCTTCCCCTTGTCGCCACCAGCGCCAGCACCACCGCTCATCATGACCCTCACCGTCTTCACCGGAATCACACCAACCACCTCCGCCTCCTTCAAGCCCTTGATCAACTCTGCCTCTCGCGGCCATATCCTCTCCGAATCCTGACTCTGCTGATCGATCTTCTTCCCATCACTCGCATCCTTCACCCACTTGCCCAGAATCTCCCGCACAGCTTTTCCCTTTTTCTGCTGACCTGGCTGCATCTTGACCTTGTACTTATACTTCCCCAATGCGGCCCATGGCGCGCACACAGGGATGGCTTCCAAGATCTCATCACCAGGTAGAGGTGTGCCGACCAGGCTGTCCAGCTGAGTGAGATGCGCAGCCTCCTCATCATCTACCGCCTCCACGCCCTCTTCCAGGTTTAATCGGCGGATCTCCTCCGCCTCCAAACCTTCCTTCTGTGCCTTCTCATGCTGTGCTCGGCGTCGAGCTCGAGCTTCTTCCGTCGACTCGGTCTTGGACGCTTTCAAGGCGGCCTCCGCTTCCCGCTTCTCAGCAGCAGCACGTGAGCCCAAGAGCTTCATGGCGAGTTCTCGATCTTCTTCGTCTTGCTCTGCGTACTTCTGCGCCGCTTTCTTCGCCTTTCCACGCTTGCCGCGGATTTGTGGTGTGGCTTTCGGTTTCGCAGAGGCTGTCCGGCTTTCCTGATCTCTCGCAGGATCTTTATTGCTTCCAACACCGCCATTCGCACTTGGCTGTGCGGCAGCTTGGCCTTCTACCTGCTCGTTTATCTCACTCTCCGCATCATCCTCGTCACCTCCATCTGCATCATCGTCTCCGGCATCGTCAAACTCGCTATGGCCATGGCCGGAAGCCTGCCCGTTGACCTGTAGTGGGTTGCTCCGTGCAAAAACATGGTCCCCGTTATGTTGCTCATGATCTTCTTCGTCATCGTCGTCTTGAGCTCCATCGTCCTCACCTCTGATTGAGTGGGTATGCTCCGCATCGTCTTGGCTTCTACCAACCTCGACATCCTGATGCGCATCTGGAAAGTCGTCGTCTTCGTCCTCATCGATCGCTACAGCCTTATCTGCGTCTGGGAACTCATCGTCATCGTCATCGTCACCGTCCCCGACATCCTGCGCGTGCTCAGCCTCCGCCTCACCTTGTTTCCTCCCACCAAGTGCTTCTCCGTCATCAGCATCCCGCAACCGATGCTTGAGATGCCTGGCCTTACTCTCCTCACTGATCCTGAACAACACAGCGAACCCCAACAACAGCTGCGCAGGCGGTAGATAGTTCTTCTTCCCTCTGATCACAAACCCTCCCGTCGTCAGGTACTCTCCGGTCGGCGCCGTCTTCGAAACCTGCTCACTCCCCACCCACCAAGCCGACATGACGGCTTTGCTATCCCACGCCGTACTCGTACATACGGCGAGGTTACCCGCCTGTCCAAGCGTCGAAGGCGGGATAGGCGCTTCCGGGGTTTGTGGATCGTTCTTCACAATCACGCTGGCTGCGCCATGGAGGTCGGCATGGATATAGACATCGCCTTTCTTCAGGTACCTGCGGTACAGCATTTCGTTCTGCTGTGCGTCTCGACCCGCGAGCACCAGATAGCCGTCGGAGGAGATGAAGTAGTTAAACTTTTCAAAGTACATCTGCTTCCTCACTGGTCGCAGGACGTCTTTTTCTTGCTTGAGGCCTTTCTTCAGGTCTGCCATGACTTTTTGTTCGGTCGATTTGAGTGCTTTTTGCGAGGCTTGAGCGGTTCGCTCCTGCTTCTCAGCTGCTGTGCGCTTTTGGTCGTAGTACTGCCGCGCGTTGGACCAAGGCGAAAGAGCGAGATCGACGTCGACGGCTAAGCGCTTCTCTTCGGGCTTGCTTGTGTGTCTCGGGGCTTGCGTGTCGGCTTCATCCTCTGATTCTTCGCTTTCCGTCTCGTCGGCCATATCATCATAGTCTTCTTCGAGTCCTGCGTATTCGGAGAGGAGTAGTGTTACTGTATTCTCGTACAATTTCAACGGCAACTTGATCATCTCCGCTACAGCGTTATGTCTGCTCTGCTCGTTCTCAATCAACCGGCCAATGTCCATCCAATCCATGCCTTGAGCGATCAGACCATTCACAGCGGCTACAGCTTCTTCGACTCGCTCGACGTTCGCTTCTATAGCTTGCGCCTTCCGCACATTCAGTTCTTGGACATGTTGTAGCCCGTCGATGCGCTTCGCCTGCTCCTGCCTTGCCTGTTCGATCTTTCGCTTCGCATTGTCTTCACGCTCCTGCAGTCTTGACTCCAGCTTCTGCCCTTCGAGCGAGGAGAAGAACTCGTCGCAGGTTTTGTTGAAGCCTTCGTGCTCGAGGAAGGTGATAGATGGGTCGCTCGCCAATTGCGCGGGCTTGAACGGGTGGAAGTCGTCGTAGAGCAGCCCTGCATCACTGTTCACCAAGCCATTTGCGTCTTGATGCGCTGAAGATTTGCCAGGTTTCGCCAAAATGTAACCTCTGGCCGTCGCCGCGCTCGTAATCTCCTGCACCACATTCTGAGCTTCTTGCAGACTCTCGACCAGTTTATTTAGCAGCTCCCCACTTGCCACTACCTGCTCCGGCTGAGCTTCCCGATCATAGCCCGTCACGTGTAGAGCATGATCGAGCAATATAGGCGGAAACTCCGTGGTCGTGACAGCCAGCGCCTTCCGCAAAGCATCCCCACCCTTTCTCTTGATCTTCTTCCCAGGTTTCTGCGCTTCAGCCTCCTGCTTCTGAATCGCCTTCTGTAGCCCGTCACGTACGCGCTCTTTTGTCAGTGGAGGCACACCACCATAGTTCTGCCGCAATGATAGATCGTACTTCAGACCTAGCTTGTACTGCTCATGCTCCGCTCCCTCGGCAACAGTCCGCAGCAGGGCTAAGATCGTCAGGTCGCTGTCGGTAAGTACAACGTTGCCACCCGCGTAGAACTCGAGGAACAGTCTGTACAGCCCCTCACTAAACTGTATCTCGATCACGCGGTCTGTGCCGATCTGCTCGACTTTCGTCACTCGTCTCGTCCGCAAGAACTTCCTGAGGCGAGCAACGAATGGCGAAGGTGCCGCGGCGGTCGCCCGCGCAAAGTCCGTCAGGTGACAGCGGAAGCCCGAGTCGACGAGGAGTTGCTCGCGGTGGTCAGGCTTGGCGAATTTCAGCAGGAAGATGCGAGTAGAGAGGTCGTAGATGTTGGCGAGGCGGAGGGTGACGAGGCTGTTGGAGAGCTCGTGCGAGATGACCTTGACGTCGAGGGAGGAGAAGCGTTGTTTCATCTTGCGGTTATCTCCACAACCAACTCCTTACCACAAGAGACTCAACGAGACAGAGAGGGGGAGCTGGAGGGAATCGAGCATGCGACTCACTAGACTGTGCTGTACGTCATGCAGGTACAAAGATGGAAATGGAAAAGCCCCACATCAACCTGTGCACTTTGGAGGTGAGCGGCGGGAGACATGATCTTACGCAGCAACAATGTCAACTGTTGCCGCTCGTGATTGCCTGGGTAACGCAGCTTTCGCGAGCGGGCGACTTGTATATGTTGGCATCGTGGGCAGAATGTAGAGATTTGAAGGACTGGGACGCCTCTGCGCGGATCTCCGCCGATTGCCTTTGGGCAATGCACGCGAGCCGCCAAACTCAGCGAAGACGGTCTATATCATTTTCACGATATTTCGTGTTTATCAGTCTTAACAGACAGTAAGAGAGTATAACACGCCCAAGCACCTCCTGTCTTCTCCGTAGCATCAAATACTGTCTTTCGGACGTACTACTTCTCTCACTCACACCGCTCTTTTGACTTTGTCACCATGGCTTCCAGGTACAGCGCAGGCAATCTAAACGACATCTCCGGCTTGGTAGCCGTGGTCACTGGAGGTGGCACTGGCGTTGGTCTGATGCTTGCGAGGGCGCTGGAAGCCAACGGAGCCAAGGTCTACATCACCGGACGACGAGTGGAGAAACTGCAAGAAGCGGCCAAACTCGCCGTGCATGGCAACCTCATCCCAATCCAAGGATCGACCACCAGCCATGACGATCTACAACGAGCCGTCGATCAGATTACCAAGGAGACCGGCTACGTGGACGTTCTGGTCGCAAACGCGGGCATGACCACCTTCGACTCTTCTCCCAATGCCCGACCGATGCCTACACCGCAGTCAACCGTGAGCGAGGTTCGCGACTACTACTTCAACTACCGTCACGAACTCAACCCGGACATCTGGCGGGACACGCTCGAGACCAACATCGCGGCCGTTTTCACCACCTCCATGGCCTTCCTTGAGCTGTTGGATGCGGGCAACAAGCGGCGGCCCAAGGAGGCGCCCACCAGCCAAATCATAGCCATCGGCAGCGTGGGTGGGCTTACTCGCTTCACGCCATCGTATATCTATAACGCCAGCAAGGCGGGTGTACACCATCTTATGAAGAATCTAGGTGCGACATTTGTGCCGTTCGACATTCGTACTAACATCATTGCGCCTGGATGTGAGTCGATAAGATTCTGCACTCTGAGTGGAAGACCGCTGACAGGTGTACTTAGGGTTCCCTTCCGACATGACGACCGCGGTGCAGAAACAGTGGGAAGGCACTGGCGGGGTGATGCCACGAGAGCTTGTGCCACGGCAACGCATGGGCCATGAAGACGAGATGGCCGGTACTATCCTGTATCTTGTCTCCAAAGCGGGCGGGTACTGCAATGGCAACATCATGTTGATAGATGGTGGCTTCCTCGTCAACCATGCAGGCAGTTACTGAGCGAGAGATACTGATCCCACGGTTTTCGCAGTCGGGAAAGTTGACTTGTCACTCTCCTGGATCGCTTTCGCTGAGGATTTGTAGCCTTGCCTTTAGGCGTGCTTTCCTACTCGTTTCGACCAGGAGTAGCACGTTGATTGTCTCAAACGTCTCGGAAAAGTGTCGGAAACGAGGTTGGTGATCCTGCGTCGTCGGAACGCGATAGCAGCGTCGCGCCCCTCTCTGGACCGTAAGTGCGTTGGCAAGGTGTTGTGTAAGCCCATCAGCTCCAACTAGCTTGGCTTCACTTAAGATGAACGACGTCGTTTGTTGTTTGATATGCAGTGCGGCAGGTCGACATCAACCTCCATCATCCACATCCATCGCGTCGTCGTTGTGCGATACAGTCACATCTCTCGCCTCACGATCTGGCGTCTTCGTTAAGCCAACCCTCAAACTACCCGCACTTGCCGTCCTGAAGCTTCCTGTCTCTGGTGAGCTACGAGGCGCATCCCCTACCGGCCCCTCCGTCTCTCTCGGTCCTTCCACGCGTCTCCGCAGCCTGCGCCGGCTAGCCGGCAAATCATGGTCATCAATCACGTCGGCCTCTGTCCCACCCTCCTCCGTCTCGCTTTTGGTTGCGCTCTGAATATGGGTTCGCTTAAAGACATTTCGTGAAGCCAATCGTTTGCTCATCCGGCGCTGTCTGCGGCCTACCTCGAACCTCGCTTCACCTTCTGCGTCGTTGCAGTGCAACTTCGAGAGTCGTCGCGTGAGTCCAGCTTCAGGGAGCTCATCATCGCGCAGATCATCATCACCAGCACTGAGCTCGTCATCCGCACCATGCTCGTCGCTGCTGCTGCCCGCTTCTTCCAGCTCCTCCGGGTAGACGACATCAATATCGGTCATGTAGCCGACGTCACCCTCCACTAACTCTTCGACCTTGATCTCGTCCGCACCTTCGGCCAAGACGAAAGGTGCGCGCTTGGCTGCCTTCTTCGCTGGACTCTCTGTCTCTGCGGGGTGTATCGAGGATGCGGGAGAGTCGGAGCGCTCTACTCGTGTGCGCTTGCCCTTGCCTCTATGTGGAGTGTAAGGTGGCGTGTGCAGATTCGAGGACATGCCTGCCTCTGATACCAAGCCTGGCGTGGTGCGCGGAGGCTCCATGATCAGCAGCTGTTGGCGCGAGGATATTCTAACTTCGACGCGCCTGCTGGCGCTGTAGCGCTGCTCAGCGTTCGTCCAGTGGCAAGGTTCCTGCGTCCGGCCGATGGTACCGCTTGATGATCTGGTTAATGCGCCGAAGACCAAGAAGTATCATGGTGTGAAGATGCAATAATCTTGCTGTCGATGGTCGCTTGAAGCTTACTATTGCCTAGCGGAAAGTGCGTGGGATGGTTGAGCTAGGCCGCACCACGAGAGGAAAAGATGTCACAAATTCAATAGGAAAGCTGACTCCTTGCTTGGGCAGCAACGACGAAGGAGTAGGTAGGGTGTCGAATGCAGCCGTCCCTGCAGGTGCGGCTGTAGCTTGCGGTCGGTTCAGGCAGCGCTTTCTGCCATCGGGTGGCGGTCGCGTACTATTGGATGGTTTGGCCAGCCAACTGCCCACAGTCGCAATTGAGATGATTCTTCCCTTGCAGAACAGGTAGACTAAGAAGCCGAAAAGAGAAAACACCTACCGTGAAACGCAAGAACTTTGTGCGAAGGTCGGAGACGCTCGGCAGCGGCAGAAGGGCTAGGCCTGGACCGCACGCGTGAAGCTGTAGCTGGCCCATCTAGTCATGGCAGCTCGACCTAGAAAGTGACTTTGCAGGTCTTGTTAAGGTGCTGAAGTCTTCCTACCAGATCACATCTGAGTACCGTCATGCAGCAGAAGGGGGTGACGTTCCAAAGGTGAAGCGCAAAGAGTGAGAGCCTTAGTTTTATCAAAGATCACAACCTTGCACGTGCACGCTAACGGCAGTCCAGCACGAGCCGAGGCGCTCTTCCAGCCTTTCCAGCCTTTCCAGCCCGCCTCTCCCTGCGCAGTTGCCTTAGGCCTTCCATGAACTTCATTGGAGCTCGATCGACAGAGATGCAGCTGGACAACTCATGCATGCAGTGACCCTGCACCACTCATCTTGCGCCAAATGCTGCCACCCGTCCTGCCGCCGGGTAGTGCATGACCGTCATGACTTGCATCAGTACTGCCACATAGTGCGACGTTACATACTGTAGAGCATATCGAAGCCTTGCATTGACCGCTTAACGACGAGGCGCGAGTGTTTTGCGGCATAAGTGAAGTTAAAGTGGCCGGCGGCAGAGAGACCCCATATTTCAATCAGAAGGCACGTCGAGGTGGCAAGCTGTTCGTGAATTTGATCGTTAGAGCGAGGTAGCATCGCACCAGTCAACACCATGTGGAAAGCATTCTCGGGCCGCAGCGAGACTGGCAGCGTGTCTGGCGCACGGCGCAAGAAACCGGGTCGCGATGGCGAGACTGGTAGCTCTTCGTCATCCCGCCGTGACGACGAGCGTAGGCGCGCGCATAGGAGCAGCAGGAGCGCATACGGGGACGACGATGATGGGCGGAGCACTACCTCGACTTATGCTACAGCGCCAGCCTCTCGCCTGGGAGAAGGCCGGTTGACGGAAAATGCGGTGAGAGCGCTAGAGGAGGATGAATGGGAAGATGACGGAAGGAGTGCGCGGAGCGAGAAGAGGAGTCGGCGCGATGAAGGCGGTGAGAGGAGGCATAGGAACAGTCGCGCTAGCAAAGAGGACATGCGCGATGGTAGAGAGCGACGGCGCGATGACCAGAGCTTCAAAAGCGAGAAGCCACGTGGCAAAGCTCGAGCGGAAAATGCTGAGAACGGTCCCGAGAGCTCGAGAGCTATACCGGCTATGGGCAGCTTCGAACAGTTTCCCGGTCAGCACGGCGGCTTTGTTGGAGCGCCGCAGCAACCACCTTCAGTTCATCTACCAACTTCGGACCCAGCCCATCAGTTTCCGAATCAGATCCCAGCGGCATTTGATAGACCTCAATTTGGACCTAGCCGAGCTGACAGCTATGGCGCTGCGGCAGACTATTACTTGGATGAAGGTCAATCGGTTATGACTCAACCAGGCAAACGGCCTCTCACGCCAAATATGCTTGTCAACCCTGACCACCACTTGATGGCAGCTACGGCCGTGGCGCAGCCAGCTCAGGACACCGGGCATGGATCGGCTGCTGATTTCTACAGTGGCAAAGTCAGTCCTGTGCACGCGGAAACTGTGCCAGCTACGATGAATGGTGCCAAGCCTCCCAGACCCGGTCGTCAGTCTACTGGGAGCAGTGGCAGGCTCTCAAAGATCACTCAGATGGCCACGACGGCGGCGGCTGCTGCAGGTACTGCTGGAGTGCTTGGCAGAATGTCACATGGCAAGTCTTCATCGTCGTCATCACAGCAGCAAGGCAACGGTGCGCCACCTCCTCGATCTCCGCCCCAGAGCAAGCCAAACCGCCAGCCTTCGGCATCTTCTGTCACTGGTGCTTCGGCTTCGTACTACACAGCGCCGCCAACGCCTATGCAGAGCACAGGGCCTCCAGGTATGTCATCCTCCCAACTTTCTTCTAACGTGCCATTGTATGCAGCAGGTGCCGCGGCCGCTGGAGCTGCAGCGTACGGATTGAGTCAGCATTCGCAACATCAATCCGCAAGTCACAGTTACTATGGTGGACAAGGTCCTTCCGGACCACCCATGCCCTCCGGTGGCGCATCGTACATGTCCGGCAACGGCAACGTGAACCAGCACTATCATTATCACGAACACAAAGGGCCCATCACGCGCTTGACAGATGGCTTACTTAACCTGATCGCCGACCCGGAAGATGTCCGTAGGATGGAAGAGTATACCGAGTACATAGGCGTATGCAAACACTGCTTTGATCCACGGTCTACCCCACGGGATGGACCGCGACGGCATCATTTCCACCGCCGAGACTCCCGGGATTCGTTCGAAGAGTTGCGGAGACGTAGGTCGTATGAGCGTATGCAGCGAAAGACGAGTAGCGACTCGATCAGGCGAAATGGCAGTACGCGAGTGGATAAGGAGAGTAGGTACCACGCGTCTGCGGATCACGAACGACGCCGACAAAGTGGGAATACCGATTTGGTTGCTGCGGGTCTCGCGGCGGCTGGTGTGGCTGCGGGCGCTAATGCCCTCTTTAACGATCGCAAGGACTTTGATGATACGTATAGTGTCAAGTCAGGGCATCGCGAGGCTTCGGCACGGCGAAGACGTAGTCGTAGTGATTCGCGCGAGAGGCGGAGAAGGACTGAGTACGGCACCATCTCCGCGAACGCACGGACGGAGTATGTTGCTGTCCGTACTAAGGACGGTCGAATTGAAAAGCGTAGGGTGGCGCATGGCTCGCCGTCGAGGACCACCGAACGCAGGGACGACATGATGGGGGCAGCTGCTGGCATCGTGACAGCATCCGCCTTAACCGGAGACCGGAGGCGGCGAGATGAAGCGCAAAGTACCCGTTATGAAGTCCGCCATCGTGAGGACCACCAAGCCGAACAGGAGACTGGCTTTTTCGGCTCCTTCTTCTCGCCTTCGCAGAATGAGCGCAAAGCCCGCCGCCGTAGTCGGGAGCACGAAAGCCGTAAGCCCGGACTCTTCGGCTTTGGCGACGTGCTGTCGGTGTCGTCGGACGAGGACATGGCCTTCGGTGACGGCTTCACGAGCAAAAGTCATCTTCCTTTGCGGCGCAAGAGGACGACCGGTCGGATGCGGAAGCGCTCAGACGAACATATCGCGGTGACGGTCGCGGGTATCAGCGCAACCGCTGCTGCGCTAGCTGCGGCTCAGCGAGGTCAGAAGATCGGTAGGCGAGGTAGTAGACCGGAGCTCGGGGCGAAGAGGCACGCGGAGGTTCATCATTCGCATCCTGATCATGCTCAGGGTTCGCCTGCTTCCACGGACGAAGATCAAGGCGAGTGGGTCGATGAACTGCCTTCGGATATCGACGACGCGTCGAGCACGCATTCTGCGTTGGCATTTGGAGGCCATCGCAGGCTTGGCAGGAGCGAGAGTCGGGAGAGTGTTTCCAGTGGAGATGGATTGAGTGCTTGGGGTTGGCGGTGGGGTGGTAAGGAGAGGAGGCGAAAGGATGGAAGGGCTGAAGAGCCGAAGCCGGCTTACTCAGCGCCAGTCAATGGTGTGTATGGTGCTCCGGTCGGAGCAGGTATGGCCGCCAGAGCAACACTTGGTGCTGCAACAGGTGCATTCCAACCCGAAAGCGTCTACACGCCGACCACTAGCGCGCCGCAGCAGCCTATGCAGTATGTGGATCCACGGCCAATCTCGGAAGCTGGGTCGCGGCATGCTTCCATGCATGGTGGTGCTTTCGACCCGCAGATTGCTAGGCCTGGACCGGCACCGATACAGCAGCCTCAGCCGATCACACCAGTGAAGCCAGCCTTCGTGCAGAGTCCACCTCGGCTGGACGAGACTCCCACAAAGGACGGGTTTAGTCTTACAGACGCTGCCCTTATCGGCGCGGGTGCACTAGCTGCAGGAAGCATCATTGCTGGATCTGGACGGAAAGCGAAAGATCCGAGCAATGTCCGCTTCGGACTCACGGAAGAGCAACGGCGAAAGGAAGAGCGTGCGAAGCGTCAAGAAAGGGAGGAAGCGGAGGAGGCGCGTCGACGCGCTGATCGGACCAGAGCGTTAAAGGAGGAGGCGGAGCGGGCGGCGAAGGAGGAGGATGCGAGACGGCGGGAGGAGGATGTGCAAAGGAGGCGGGCCGAAGAGAACCGGAGGGCGGCTGAGCAGGAGGTGCAGAGGCAGCGAAGGATTAAGGAGGAAGAGGAAGCGTATCAACGTGAACAGGCGCGGTTGGCGGACGAGGCGAGGCAGCAGGAGGTGAACCGCCGGCAGTGGCAAGCGCTTGCGGAGGAGGAGGCGGCAAGGGAGAAGAAGGCGAGGGATATGAGAGAGGCTGAGCTCGAGGCGCAGATTGAGCGGAAGCAGGCTGAGTTGAGGGAACAGGAGTGCAGGCGTAAGGATGCTGAACTGGCGCGCAGGGAGCGGGAGAGACAGGAAGAGGAACGTTCTCGTATGGAGAGGGAGAGACGGGAAGAAGGGGAGTCCCACACGCAGCGGGAGAGGCACGAAGAGGAGGATTCCCGCGCATCTTCGACAAGCTGGGGACCTGTTGCTGCTGGTGTTATCGCTGGCGCTACGGCTGGCGCGGTGTTGGCAGGTGCCGAGCATGGCCGTGAACGTGAGCCTAACCGTGAGCT